AACTATGTTATAACCAGAGTAGGTAACTAGGCCTTGTTACCGGTCGCTCATGACGGGTGTTGGCTTGGGGTGGGCCTGTAGGCACACGAACGTTGGGTTAACAGCAGGTGCGCGGGTGGGCGGGAGCGAGGGAGGAAATCTAGTTAGCGACCTGTCACAATCTTAAAGCCCGGAGATCTCAATTCACGACATGGACCATTCATCTGCTGTTCTCGTATCGTTGTCGGCCGGGGAGCCCAATAACACGTAGCCTATGACTCAAGGTTCTCGCATGGGACGCTCAATGCTAAGCTACCAACAAGGACGCCACAGTCAAGATTCTGACGGCGACAAATGCTGGGCCATCAGCTTACCATAGTACACCAGTGCTGAAAGCGCAGCTACCAATTTGGTCGAAGGATCGTAAGCTAGTAGCGTCGCGTATCGTGACTGCATCGATGTTCCAATCGCTTGGGTTCTGGAGGGTTGCTAGATCGATCCCACGAATTGGATGCTCGGCGTTGCTGTGACGTAACGATAGGCAGCACCGGAATAGGAATCAGACCGTTCCCATGGTGCTGACACATGCACCCTTATTAGTCGGTGATCCATCTACCAACGAACCTAGTGGACAGCAACGGACGATAGAGCCTTCTGGTGGTGTGGACGTTGACAATGGCGCATTTCAATAGTATAGATCCCTCACACTAAGTGCTTAGGGCATCCGAGCATTCTGCGTAGATACAACAGCGAATGGCAAGCTTTCCGACCTCAGCCTAGAGCAATAAAGCCGGAGCCGATGCGCCCCCTATAAATTTCACGTGTTATGAATGCATGAAGGCAGTTAGCTGCTATTCGTGCTGACACTCCTCTACTCGTTCTGACTTTCTCTGTGGCTTGTGTGTTATACTCACCAGCAATCTCCAGCCGGAGACCGTCAACCCGCCCCATCCAAATCGTTGAAGGTAACGATTTGGCACTCCTGCATACGTAGGCTAATGTTGCACAGCGCAGAACACCCGCCTCGAAAATGCTAGTGGTTTTCGGGTTGTCGAGGCCATCGCGGCCTTGAAGGCAGGATTTAGCGATGGCGTTGCAGGAATACGATACTAAATCCCGGTGCACCCGGTTCTACGGTGCAGAGCGCGAAGTACTTGCAATAGCAACGTGGGACCATGTGCCTGTGAGATCCGCCACTTCAACAAACTCATTCCGATAGCATGAATCGAATGAGACAAACTGTAGCTATAATCCTTCTAGTATTGAAAGGTTTCAGTGAAGGACACTAGGTGTTATTTCCTTCCTAATCATGGCAAGAATAGACGGTGCTCTGCCGCGTAGCTTGATGGCTGTAACGCGATCTGGGATACTACAGGTGATACGGGGTACAGACGGCAAGATTTCTATTCAGAGGGCTGCTGTAGAGCTAAACAGATCCATTCGAAACATGTAGCGAGTCACTCAGAGAGCTGTTGGCACCGCAATTATCAGCTTTCCAATTGATGGGTCTCGGCACCCTCAAATAGAGAACCAGAGATATTTTAAATTCACGTTGACTTTGTAGCCGGTTGTCACGTTATGGGGTGAGGCCATCGAGGGGGCGAGCCTCGGTATTGCGTCGAGATCATCTGAGCGTTACATTACTAGGGGTACCAAACGTGGCTGGCCTCTGGCTGTCACGGAGCCTCTTACACTCGCACTGCTACCCTGACGGTTATAGTCCGCAAAGGCCCAACGGAAGATTTATGATTGACAAGGAGGCCCCACCGCCCGAATCAAAGTCTTCTCGAAAACTTCCAGGCCGGCAGGGATGAGAATGAAATATCACTCCATTAGGAGTGGGTATCAATTATAGGTGGTCGAATGGGGCTAAATGTGTAACGGGTAACAAACCGTTGAGAGCCGGGAGGATGTTCCCTTCGCAGCGCCAGGTGGTTCACGACTGAAAACAGACTGGCGCAATGTCGATACGGATTAGCTTGCGAAATATCAAGATCCATCGATCCACCATGGACTCAGGTGCTGGCCCGCCGATGAAGATTGGAGTTCACAACGGCCCTCCAGGGAGGGGATACCCAGGCGGTACTTGGAGGGACCACAGGCAGTTTGCCAGCCTCCCCTCGCGCTACCTTGGGTAGCAGAAAACTAACGGACTGACGTATTAGAGTAGTGTGGACTGAGCCGTTAGTCCTACTCCTGGTCAATAGGATCTTGACCCATGATCCATGAACCTTGCACCTCACCCCATGCCGGATCTCGAATGCCAAACCCCTGTTTGCCTCTTTGTGCACGTCCAGAAAAGCAGTGATGTTCACCTGCAGCTTAGCGACACCTTGCATATCTTGGTGGAGTACGTACTGTAAGTCGCCGTCCTCGCCCTTCAGCATTGCCATCCATCGGCTGAGCAGACTTTATGAGGCGGGGTAGTTTCATGACAACTTGACAGTAAGGTTTTACGTACCGTGGTCAACGTGCCATCTGGCCGAGTAGCAGCACGGCTAGACTATCTCGGAAGCGCATAGGGCGAGAGACTATAACTATGTATATGTTGGTGTCGGGCTGTTGTGCAAAAGGTAGTCTGGACTACGCGAAGCCGGTGTGGGCAACAGAAAGCCGTGGCGCGGAACTCGCGAGGGCAAAGTAGTTGCACGCATGCACGTATGTGACTGCTGTACTGTACTGTACAGTAACTACTGTAACCCAGCGATAAGATCATTCGCGACAGGCCGCTACTGATCTGCCGAAGAAATTTCCAGCTGTGGCATCATGATCCAGAAAAACATGGCTCTTGGCAACTCCATCAGGGCATGTCAAGCATGTCTATTGTGCTAATAGCGCTCTTCCGCCAAGGAGAGAGATCGTCTCTTCGGCTGGATCCCATCTGTTCCGGGGCCAGAGTCACCCAGGCTGGACTCCGGCGTGGTAATTGACGAAGGCGCAAGTGGTTCTTCGTGAAGGAGCAAGCCGAAAAAGATAACTCCCAGGCGGCCAAATGAGCCAGACCCCCCCCGTGTGCCTTAATCTGTCGGTGTCGGACTCCATATCGGGCTTCTGGCGATCGTCCTTCGCCTCTTTTGGCCAGCGACGCCCTGGGGCCAGCACGCTATTGCATGCTATTCGACGACGATATCCGGGCGCACAGCACTGCAGCCGGTAATCCTGCAGCACTTGCAAGGCGCGTCCAGATGTTCAGATCCCGATCTAACCACCCCTGAACGTCCCTCAGGCCATGTACCTTCTTTGCGAAACAGGCGGCCTTGGACGTGTCGCTAAGCCCAGTTGAGGAGCAGCGAGCAGCAAGCAGCGTACCACGCAGCCTACGTACACATCCATTCCAGATCCCGACCCCCTTCGCGCACGCACGCACACACCACACACCACACACGCCCGTCTGTCTCTCGACCCAGGCCCCCCAGGACGGGCGTGCGAGCGTGCCCTTGTTCCCCGATTGTCTCCCTGCCCCGGTCCCTGCTCCCCCACCCCATAGCTAGCTGGGCCCCCGGCAGGGGTTCATCATTACAGGGTTTGGAGTTGGGACGTCCATGTCGCTGTGGTGCAAGGCAAGCTGCTGGTCCATCACCTCAGTCGTTCCCTACCAAGGTGGCTCTGCGGTTTAGGTAGTGTCATCCAATACGTACATGCATACATACATTTGCATATGCCCAACCATATGATCACAAACTCTACTCTTGTTTCTCGAACTCTTCAAAACTGTATTCCTCCGCCTTCTTTCAAGCCACCCTCCGACCCCTTTCCCCCCTTCCCGTTCCCCTTTCCCGGCCCTCGACTGTTGCAACCGAAGGTGACTCGCGGCCGGCGGCGAGAAGGAATCTCGTCTTCTTTTTCCCCCTCGTGGTCTTGTAACTACTGTTGGACTTGGCTCTCGCTACGGTACCGGTACAGCCCGAGCAGCACTCTGCGTACTGGACTCGAGTGGTTGTCGTGCAAGTTAGGGACTTCAGCCAAGGACCTTTCTCGTTCTGCACAACAAAACACAACCCAACACAACGCGGGAACAGCTGGGCAAAGTTGTGAAGACGTGTACCGGACAAGCAAGAGCAGAGCGCATAAGTACTGCGGACGGTTCGCTCCTCGACCCAGTCCAGCTACGGTACCATTACAAGTACGAGGGGGGCCCCAAAAGCCAAAAGCAAAATCCCACGCACCGTCCAGTCTCGCGGGTTCATCCTAGACCCACTTGGTGGCCACCTCCCAGGAGCGAGAGATCCCCAGGCTCAAGCTAGGTATGTCTTGCAAAAAAGAAGGCCGCCACCACTCGTGCTCGTGGTGGCTTTTTGAGGAGCACGGAGACGTGCCAGAGTCGCTGTCGGGCAGGCAGATCAAGGAGGAAAGAAACCACTCCCGACTCGCCGCCCTGGCGCATCTCGTCTCGTGTCGTCCCGCCCGCCACATACATGCCTCTCGTCTCGTCTCGTCCTGTGTAGTACTCGGTTCTGACAAGCCAGCTTCCTCCTCCCAGAGATATAAACATACGTCCCCAATAAGCCTACGCCACCGCGATTCTCGACAAGATCCGTCTTCCCCCTAGCGTGCCGTTGTATGGGACGTTACTGCGGGCTAGCGAGCCAATACGTACAGCATCTCTGCCCTGCCCATCGTCCCGCTACAGAAAGGAGTCTATTCCCCCCTCGACCCCAAGGCTGCAAGGTTCCGCACCGGCTGCTTTCTATCAACAGACGATCGACATCCCGTTCCATTAGTGTTCGCCGAGTCAGATGCATGAATCGTCGTAGCTGACCGGCTGGGGATATTGGTACCGTCATTGGCATTGGCACTTGTTCATCCCGCTATGGACGCGGGTGAATCTGGCACTAGGCAAAGGTTCGTTCGACAGACTAGTGCCCAGCTTTGTACTCTGGTATTGCATTTTCCGGGCTGACTTGTTTGGTCTTTTCAAAACTTATAGTGGTTTTACTCCCGCCAGTACTAGACCTGACCCTTTCAACCTCCATCGGCGCGATCCGACTGAGAAGCAACACTATCGAGAACCGCCGCCCAGTATGGCAGCCGCTGCTTTGATGAGCCCGGCTCCGGCATATCACCCACATGGTCCGAGTTTCCCGCCCTCGTATTCACATCAACCTCCTTCAGGTCCCATGCCTGGACTGATCTCCCACGTGGAGTCCTCCCGGAGGACCTCCAAGGACTCGGAGCCCTCACATAGGCAGTCTCTTCCCTCGATATCCGAGATGTTCAGCGGGAAGCCCACGGTCTACTCCCCGACGACTCCCACCTCCATGGCAGGCTCACAGAGCCTGCCGCCACCGCCGCCACCGCAACAGCAGCCGCAACCGCCGTCCTCGTTTCCGTCGTCAGCGTCAACCCGGGCGGACCCAGGTCCGGCCTCCCAGCCTCTGCCGCCACACTTCTCACAGAGACCTGAAACGACAGGCCCGCCAGGTCCGGTGTACCAGTACGACCAGCGCGAGCTCTCAAAAGCTCCTGAGCACAATCAGAGGCATAGCGCCTTGTCCAATCCTCACGCGCCACCTGTATATCAGCCTCCGCCGCCCGGGCAACTTCCTCCAGGGCAACTGCCTCTGTCGCAGGCTCCTCCCATGTCGCCACGGCATATGGGTCCCATGCCGCCGTTCGACCCTCAACGACCCCCACTGCATGGCGAAGAGGAATACGGCATTCAACGTAGGTATGATTCAAATAATCTGAACCGCCATTTCGAAACATGGAATTACACGGATTGTCTCCAGAGGGTAAGTCTTGACAGATTGTGGCATCTAGTGTCAACATTCGCTCACGGACAAACAGATTGCATGGAGCTCTAGGACAATCTGCAACTTTGCTGAGGCCTATGCGAACATCGCTTCCGAACAACACGGCGGCCAACCAATACCGCAACGGTTACCGACAGAACGCGAGGTCGCTGAAATGTTGGGTAATGTGGATTACCTTCGAAAAACAATCGAGAACGTACGAGACGTGGTTCAACACAGTATTGCCAGCGAAAAGGCGCGCGAGGGAGGAAAACATAAATCTTCTTACGACGACGACGAGGTTTCCATGTATGGAGACGGGGTGAAGCAACATTATGGGATTGGTGAGGTCAAGAAACGCCGCGGTGTGAGTGCCTCCTGAAGACAACGGATGGGTGACCCAGGACTGACAAAGTATAGCGGGCGGCACCTCCTGGCCGATGTCATAGCTGCAACAGAATCGACACGCCCGAATGGCGACGAGGCCCTGATGGCGCTAGGACACTCTGTAACGCATGCGGATTGCACTACGCGAAACTGGAGAGAAAACGACAGATGGATCAAAGATCCAGCAGAATTAATAAAGCAGCGGAGTAGTTTCCTTCCATCGAAACGACGAACTATCCATCGATTCGAGGCGTACATTTAGGCGTGTCACGACCTGCTCGCCACCGGAGCAGAAGCTTCCTTGAGTTCTGTTGCGTCACATCTTCGACAGACTTGGTTGGTGATGCTCGCTGGTCCACAGACTGGCTGAACAGCCACGCAGCCATTGTCACGTCACGTTCACTCATCCGCGCATGAAGTGTCAATATTCATATTTTCGATTCCCCAGCATCATTCCGGTTAAAACATGTTTGTGTTATTATACCCCATCCTGACATGAAGTTTCACGACTTGTTCGAACCCCGATTTACAACATCGGCGACCCTGGCTTTGTATATACCCTTCCGGGAGAAAATCCCGACTCTAGCGAATAGGGTCATGGCATATATGGCGTTTTGAATTTGGCTCACGCGAGGCTTCGTTTCGTCGCATAGCCGGTGTCTAGACTTTGGGAGAAGGAAGAGTGCGGAGGAGGTACATGGCAAGCGGAACCGTTAGGGAGGTAGCCCCCCTGGCAACATCGCCAGAATTGGGAGAGATTAGCCGATGAGCGTAAGGCTCACTACACAAAAGTGGCTAGGACACGAAGGGGATATGGAGACTACTCTGGGGCGCCATCGAGATGCCGACATTACCCTGCCAGACACAAGAAATTCCAGCCACGAAGCTACTAGGCTTCTGATGAATAATATTTGCGACATAATCATGAGTTGATCCCTCCCAGTGAAGCTGTGTATCTAGCCAACTCTCGTTAGTATGGGGTTACGAAATGTGTGTTTGCGGCTTCTTCCCTAGGGCCTACGGACGGGGCCACACACTCTTGCACAATAGCAAATGTTCCGATCTTCCTGTTAACTTATGGCATGCAGTTCCTGTCTCGACCACTACTCGGGCATGTGCCTCAGCAGGTTCCAGTGTTGGACGCAAAAATGGCGGCGCGCTACGGATAGCGGGACGCGGCCTATCTGCAGTGTAACGTGAGCTGTCAACTTTGGCGATGACATGTGCGGAAGCCGTCATTTGCTTGGGTTTCTTCGAGCTCGTACTTACACATGCCACCCACGCCTCGGGGGTAAGACATGCCCATTTCGCACAAGGTTGGCAACATCTTACTTTTCTACGACTCGGCCCTGTCAGCTGGGCAGCCGGTCTAGCAACTCTGGCACCCGTTTCTTGTCAACATTTTCCTTCCCACATTCCGCCCAGCGACGGAAGTGGCTGATTCCAGCATCGGCGCCAAAACATGTCTGCATGTAGGCGCTCACCCCCCGCATTTTCCAGGCAAGTCAAGTCGACAAGTGAGCTTGAGGATAGTGCGGCAAGAGCAAGTTTTGCCGATGGGATCTGGTCCAAGGCCGCAAGATGAGATGGATCGGCCGAGGGTAAAATGCGAGTCAGTCAGCCGCCATGCAGTGCACAACCTAGCACCATCTAACGTACGTATATCCTGACTTCAGGTTGACAGTCCACAGACTAAGGAGTCACTGGGTAGCTTGTGCATTTCACCTATGTTCTGTTCTCTCTCAGTGCGGCTACAACATTGAAATCTGGTTAGGTTCTGCCTGCAGAACTATTACCAGTAGGCACAATACTAGGAGCAATACAGCAACGTGACCGAGGCTTTCCGATTTGCAGCTATTTATACAGCCTTGTGGAGCATGTCTGCACACTTTACGTACATACGGAAGATCACGACAGGAAGCTCATTTTCGCTCCACAGGTTAGACCTCGGCTGTCGGCGCCCTTCGCCTGCCTACAGGACCACCGCACTTGCTTCACGTATATACGGGTGATTGCATCACAGACCACACGCTGAGATGTCCTAATCGAGAAGTGCAGGAGCAACCTCGTGGAACGTTGAGACGGTGAAAAGGAATGTGGGGGGTGAAACCAACGCGGGTTCTCAAACCATAAAGGCGCCATTTCTCTGAGTCCTGGCACCCTCGTGACACTTCTCAGATAATAGGCGTATCACGACGGCGCGAAACTCAACCTTCCAAGTCCCGTGAGCTTCAAGTATACGCATTAGATCTCGCCTGTCGGACAAGACCATGACAGCCCAAGGGGTTTAGCCTGTCTGGTTCATCATCCGCGTTGCTCCATGAGGGACAGCGAGCGACAAATAAGGGTCCCGTAGGGCGGAAGCAGTATAAGGCGTTCAGCTTGCAGATCACGACCATATTCCACGTAGTGTGGATCGCCCTCTCCCCCTACGTAGAGGTTCACGATCCACTCACGTCACGGGAAAAACCTAGAAGTGGATCGTCTCCTGGGTGTTTACTCCTCGTTAGCCAGAATCCTACTATAGTAAGTGTTTCGGCAGATTCGTAATCATGGCAGACAGCCGACAATGAGGCTCGGGAAGTGTTCACGCGAGTCATTCTCGTCAGGAGAAGCCGTACCTAAACCTCTGGGTCGCCTGCGCTCGGGCTTTACTTAGGCATCACCTCACAATTTAGAGTTTATCGGGCTCCAGCCCAGGACAAGCCGGGTGGCAGCATAGATCCGATTGCGCTTAGATAGGCTTCGGCTGCTCATCAGGGTAACCATGTTCATACGGCCGCTGCTGTGGCCCTACCATAGTAGCCCAGAAGGGCCGGAAACGCCGTTGGCGATCGATGGGCCATCTCATGAATAGACACGTCTTGTGGTAAATGAGTCCATCATGCCCCCCGGCCCACCGCTGTAGCAGTGTGCCTAGGGCCAATTTTCAGTCGGAGCTGGCTCCGACTGCTCTTCCTTCCAGGTACTCAGGCATTGTCAGGCGTTGCCAGGCGCTCAAGGGATTCAATGTGGGAAGCATCCGTTTCTGACTGCCTCAAACCCCGGCAGAGTCGTGAAGCTGCGTGTGGTCTTGTATCAGCTCTGTGCTCCCTCCCCTTATCTAAGACAAGATCGGTGTCTGGCCAGATGAGCCTACAAAATCGGCGTCTGGCGTTCCACATCCTCAACTATCTCACAGGGTTTTGCTTTTGCATTGCTCCCGGATATGCGTGATTCGGGTTATCGCGTGGCCACCCGCTGGGGAAGCATATACCGTGCTGTGTAAGCGCCGATTCCTAGATGATGCAAAAATGGTGGTGAAGAAGTCTTTAATCAATCCCTACCAAAGGTCGCCGACCTGCTGTCCCATGTGCTAGGCATGTGTCCAATCTCAAATCAATGTCTCAGACACTTCGTCTTAAGCTTCCCAAGCAATGCAATAGGATGCCAGCCAGCCAACCCGGACAAGGCACAAATCGCTGCCATCGCCCGTTCCTCGTGTTGCACAGCCCCTATGTCTGAGATCAACCGCCACACAGATCCAAGGTCTGACGCATCGCATACAGGAACCTGGGCAAGTAGTGGCCGGTAAACGAATACCAAGGAAACATGACCTGTGGAGAGCATTTTGCTATTGGGCGGGTATCGAAAGTAGTCTCATCCCGCGTGGCCGACGCCTTCTTTCAAAGCCACGTGGAGGTGGCCGGGACCCTGACCGTCGAACTCATCTCATACATCGGACGACGCACTCCGGATCGGCTAGGCATTATGCAGTCACTCAAACTATATGCCGACACAATCCTTATTTGCGTCAACTATTTGAGACCTCGAGGTGGTCGCGCGCAGACAAACTGTCGGCTCAGAACGGTCTGTTTTGCTAACATTAAAACAATCATGCACTTTAGTAATGCCCGGAGCCCGCCGAAAAATGCTCGATATTCTGACCTATGCAAAAAATAGTGGTAAACCGATCTCGATATGGCGCCAAAGTCAAGTCAGCACCCGGACCACTGGACTTGGCCAAGAACAAGATCTCCACCCCCCACTTCCTCAAGAATCACTATGGATGGCCTCAAGCTGGGTTGCAAATGACGTACGGTGAGAGTCTACTTCACAGAGATAGGCCGACACTAGCTCTGACTACATCGGTTGCTGAAGTCTGCAGGTTTCGGGAAATGGCAGGCAGGGTTGCCGGGGCATCCTGACTATAGCCTAGCTCAGAAATAGGGTTCGCGCCGCTGACACTAGTGAAAATATCGGTATAGAAGTCGATCGATCCCGCGGCGAATAGCTTCCTCCACATGGGCTCAAGCCTGGTTCAAGGCTAGAGTTTGGCCGAAAAGCCACGGCCGGTCTGTCACTGTCTAGTTAATAAGACCTGTAGTAAAAAACAAAGTCCAGCCGGTGAAAATGAAGTCGTTATGATGCTACAGATCCCAGCTAAGCCAGCGTTTGGTCTTTGCCGACTGCCACGCGACGGGCACGCGGAGCTTGTGTGTTAGAGCCACCACATGAACGAAGCTAGACAATCGTGCAGCAGTGAGATCGCCATGACGGCACTGTTCCGGTATACCGAGGCCGTGCCCCTAGCCAGCTCCTAATAGCACCGCGGGTCAGATCCGCGACCCTGGGCGAATCGCGAATCGCGAATCGCCAGATCTCAGCTAGGCCAGGTGACTTAACTCAGCGTCGTATTGACCATGCCCTTTGGTCCAACTACCTGATTTGCCGTTCCCCCGAGATGATCAAAAACTCAACATCAGTCGAGAGACTGGCTCTAGACGCCGTGGAAGGCCTAGAAACATGACGATCATCAGGTGGAAATGCATACAGCAGAAAAAGAAAACACTTTAGTGCCGCCTGCCCCTTTAGCCTAACGAACCGAGAAACCGGGCCACGAGGTATCCGCCGCCATTATTTTCTTCTGCAAGCCTTTCGCCTTGAGACATAAAACGGACAGATCAAAAGCAAAGGCGTTCTTGTAGAGCAAAATAGCATAGCCGAGCCGAGCTGTCTTCATTCAGACAGACCTGCCCCTGGCTTGGGCCCTGAACAGAAATACCATCCTCAATAATGCGTCGCTCGCTTGGGCATTCCCAAGAAGAATCCTGGAATGAATACCCTGGTCAGGCTCCCACACCCCCAAAAAGCCACGCTTCACTAAGCGATACTGGTGTTGATATTAGTGCCCACTCGCTTAGAGGCGCTATTAACCGATGGGCATTTGACAATGGCGAAACGCGTAACTAGTCGGGGTTGCTACCACGCGCTGCCCTGTGATCGAGTCGATCCAAGGTCCTGCATGGGGTTTCCCAAGTGGGCACCCTTGGTCAGACAAGATCACGGCTCTGGGCATACCCGAGTCGCTGGTTCAGTCCACGCTTAGCTGCCCTGCAGATCCGTCGATCGGTCTGTCGTATGCGGACCTGGCTCCGCTACCGCGGGAGATGTCAGTGTTAGCAAGCTAGATTTTTGCATCTTGTTGCTCCCACGCAGGACATTGAGGGCACGGAATAGCTTCACCGGGTTATACAGAAGGTTCACCGAGGTCCATCAGGACACATTATGTCTAGTACCTTGCTCTCGTAGAGGAACATGAGACAGACCCACCTCCTCGCCTACCTTAAGAACAGCATGTGAACCCTTGCCAAGGGGGCTGCTTAAGTGTTAACGCTCTAGACCGCCACTGGACAGGACCCCAGGACTGAAAGCAGATCTGATCTGCGATCTCACTTGTGTGACCCTGATTATGCATCGGGAAGGGGCTAGTGAGAGAAACCGCAACTCCTGTGCAGTATGGACCATCTCTATTCGTTCGTGCTAATATGCAATGTACGGTCGTGTCAATAGTGCACTCGTCTTACCACATCAGCTGGTCATCCTGGTTGAGGATATGAGATGGACCCTCTGGGGTGCAGCTATTACGGAATTGGGCAGCAAATAGGGAGTAGATCATTCAAATACAGCCGCAGTTCGACCTTTCTACACTGGGATATAACAAACGATGATACCCTGGAGATCTTCATGATCTGGCATTCGGATGCTTGCCGGCCATGGTATCATATAATGCTTGGGAAATAAAATTCATAGTTAAATCAGAATTGTTCCACAATATGAATGAAGAAACGAAATGTTTGTCTAATGTAAAGAGCGGTCAGATTGAATTTTAACTATTTCGCCTATTCAACCAATATTTTGCAGGCGGTGGTATTCGTAAGTTAAGGCTGAGTGATCCTCGCAGTCCTTGCCAAAAAAGGCAATCACGCGCAGTCTTAGATAATTCTCGCGATACTTCCCCAGGAGGCTTAGTTCCGTCCGAGAAATGTGCAGATCCGGATCTCTAGATGCGTTGACTAAGCCTTAGGTAGTTTCTCCTCTACTATGGTACAGATGCTAGCGCCAGTCAGGTTCCTCAGAAGTACCTGCAAGTTTCTCTCCATCGGGCACTAAAATACGTAGGAGATTTCCTGGTTTCTGCCTAACGTAGCGCGGTAACGGTCGATCTCATTAGAGTTCAGTAGTTCCATCTGAAAACACGTGAGAGGCTCGGGGCTCGGTGCACAACCACTGACGAGGCTGACTTGGTAACGTTCCTTCATTGGAAGAATTTGCAGCCAAAAGTCTTGAGTGGGCCTGTCTTCCAACAGGTACACAAGCTGTGAGATCGGAGATTTTCCAGTTCAACAATAACGCAAAGTTTCCTTCAGGGACTGGGAAGTGTTGCGAGAGTGTCCGATCATTGCAGCCTTCATGCAGCTCAGACTATAGCTCCTATCAAGTATAAGACGTAAGGCTCGCTTCTAAGCGCTTAGAATTCAAATGCCAGCAACCCAGCCATTAGACAATCTCTATAGATTTTGAATCGTGGACTAGGGGATACCTTGACACAAAACTTCGGTGCAAGTTATGGAGTCAATATTTTGAACGGTTAAACGGCATGCCCCTTAGTTTGGCACGGACGTTATAGGATATTAGCAAATAATGTCAGGGTCCAATAGTCATCAACTATGCTGACGCTAGTAACAATCGTTGTTTGAATTTCAGGATGTATCATAGTACTGAGTCTACAAATGGCAACTCTATAGACGATCGCTCAAGTCGTTATAAACTAGTCTCTGGAGCCTCCACATCCACCCCTAAACCCTCCAAGCAACCTTTCTAGGTCTGGAACGTCGAGACCCTTCCAGCCCTTGCCAAGCTGCTCTCTATCAGAGATGTCAATTACAGCACCGACCAGGTCCTTGGTGACAGTGTCGTCAACCACGCTGTCTTGCTGGTAGGCAGGGTGTTTGCTGACGAAGTGTCTGATCCACTTGGCTGCTGTCCAAAGCTCGCCACTAGCTCGCAAGCGAATGAGTTTCAAATAGGTATCCAGCTCGCACCGCGTTCGCACATCGACATTGACGGAATCGAGGTAACTTTCCACGATGGGGATGAGTCCAGGGAAGTCGTGTTCCTCGGAATTTGAGCCGTTAATGACCTCATCCACAGTCATGAGTGCGTATTCGTCTTCCACGGGGCCGGTGGGCGTCGGCGGCCGGCTGACCACGGGTGTGCTGGTGCCGGAGGCGACGGCACTTCGAGCCGGACGTGTAGGGAAGGGGTTTTTGCGGAAATAGAATTTCTTCTCTAGGACTGCATCGCGAGCATGTGCTGTTTCCATATTCTCATCAACCTTGGCGATGGGAATGTAGAAGTTCAGATCGAACGATAGGATGGCGCGCGTGATGAGGACCATGAAAACGGAGAATGCGGCGTTCTCGAAATCTGTGATTTGAATTTCCATCGGTCTGAACTCAACACGCCATCCAATGTCGCTGCCGGCTGGCGGCGGCTTGAACCGCATGTGTTGCCAGTTAGTAGACTGTATGTTCTCGAAATGGTCGGCCTTGGTCATGTCCAGCTCTTTCAGGTCTTCTGAGAATATAACAATGGGATCACGGATGAAGAGATGGGCGAAGTGAGTCGCGAGCCGATCATCCATGCCGCCTTCGAGCAACTGCTCCTTGATGGACTCGTCGATGACGAGATTTGGGTCCATATACTCGGGCCTAAGCCTGTTGTCCGTAGATATGTATGTTGAGTTGGATGCGTAACGGGACTTCGGTATTCTCCATCTATCCTCCTTTAAGGGCTGTATGAGTTAGCTTCCAAGGTCAGACACATCCACAAGATTCCGTACCTTCTCGCCCAGTTCTTCAGGGGTACGATCGTCCACTGCCCTGCTGATTTGATTCCATCGGACATCAGTGTCCGCCAGAAAGCCCTTGTAAATTGGGGTTGCTGCTGTCAGAGCTAACATGATCGGCCCAATGGGACTGAGCTGATCGTACATCTTCCTCCCTTCCGTGATATTCTTGGCTTGGAAGGTTATCTGAAGACAGCAGCTTCCCATGCCAAAAGCCATTGCATCCATGTGGATAAAGTCATCAGGACTCGCGCCGTTCCTCACGTCATCATCCTCTGGCCAATTGTGGAGGTCATAATTGACAGACGGGTCTTTCCACGGCTTGGACGTTTTCACGTCGTGAAAGACTGGCACATTGACTTGGACCTTTCGGCCTCGTCTCCAACGGATGTTGGCAGCTAAAGTCGGAAAACGGATGTGGGGGTTGGCTATCTCATCTGGAACAAACTGTGATCGCAGTTTCGAACCCGATGGGGGGAAATAGGGGTCTGTAAAGACGCCTGGAACACCTAGTCGAGGGAAAGTAGTGAGGGTGATAGGGTACTCGTTCGATTTCATGTGCTCCTTCGCAATTTTTCTCCTGATAAGACATTAATAATTTGCTATGATGGGAGCAACAGTGGGTTTGGCGTAGATACCTAAGCTTCATGTCTGGTTCGACATCCAAAAGCTCCTTGAACCCAATTCCCCATGGCTTACCGGGAGTTGCCTCGAGCATGAATCTCCCAAACTCGGGGTGAAAGACTGGGAGAGGGTTCGACCTGATTGAAATTTCAGCTTGTGACCTTTCTTGGACTGTCGTGTGGTTTTCTTACTGATGCTGGGGATCTTGCAGAGCAGGTACACCACCGCCCTTGGCAGATAGTTCCTCGTCAGCCGCCAAGGCCGTGAGAATATCGGCCTGGCGGAGCGACAGGAGGACCTTTGGGTCGTCCTTGGAGTAGGTGACGACTAGGTACTCGACCTGTACCTCTGTCAGGGGTCTTCCATCCAATAGGAGTGAGGCATATGATTGTTACCTCATCCCCCCATAGTAAGGCATCACGCTCCTTGGTCTTCGCCTTGCTCCAAATCTCAAGCAGTTGCTACCGTGGGTTAGTAAGAGGCTTATCATCAACCCCTACGGTCCGCATGGGTGATATGTACCTTGATTCCCCATTCTCTGACTTTGTTCGCGTGCTGTTTGGCATCCGGCCAATCGAGCGCCGTGCCTAGCGCACTGCAGCGGATTAGCAAATCTGTGTCACGTCGACGAGCGAACTCTGTTGGAAGACTCGAATGTTCACACACAGCAAACCCATCTTTCTAGAGTCGTGCGGATCCTTGGACGCAAGACTGCTGAAAATACCGAGCACTGAAGCGAAATCCCCAGTGATCAGCCGCCACAGGTTCTCGGTCTTACGGGAATTCCGTGTCGACGATATACGTGCTTCAATACCGAGAACGCAGATGCCGGGAGCGTCGCCGACGATCGATTTGATAGGCAACCGACCACTCACTGCCGACCACACAAGTGATGGCCTTTGGGAACAAGTTGAGAGAGTTTCGGCCGCGCCGTTATTCCGGAAGCAAGAAGTTAATCTGAAGCCAACCCAGTCCAGTCCCGGTAGCCGAGCCCGTCGATAAGCAGCCGCTGAGTTAAGCTTCCAGAGATTCTAGAAAACGAGAGAGAACTGGTACGGCTGGCCCCCCACGTGCACAAGTCACTCAGGACCGGATGCCCATGTCCAAGTGCGCGAATCAAGTAATGGAAACTGGGTCGCGGCACGCCCTGGATTGGCGATGTCAGTTCAGCGTACGAGCACGTAATGGCCGGGGCCTGCGAGTGGACAGGACGGACGGCGCGTGCCGTATAGTCAAGCCTAGAACGCCGGGAGCCCGCGCGGGATGGGATGCTATACCTCTATCTTTAGGCCGGGAAAGCAGAGGCTGCCGAAAAAGGAAGTCTTGATCGAATCGCCAACTATTCTACCTTAGCAGCGATGATTTCCCTCACCCAGATCGCCAGGCGGCTTGGGGATGACTTTTTCACAACGGCTCCTCTCATGTGGGGCTGACCACTAGGTCCCGGCAGACTAGTTGGGCGATGCTTAGAAATACGATTGCATCAGTACAATCTCGTCCACTAGAAGTGAGCTGCCGGAAGCGTTCCTCGCCAAATTCCCCCCGAGCTTTAGGCCTTCCGCGGCTTCCATAGGCATTAGCCCGCCGAGCACGGCACCCGCGTCTGAAGCCGGTGGCGGTGCGACGAGAGTCTGACAGCCACACTTTTGAGGAGAAAGTCATTCACTCACGTACCTGTGATATTTTGTATATATTAACCCAGAGCCATTTTGGGCCAGCTGTCACAATTGATTGTCCGGATGCTGGAGGTTGTTAAGACTATGAATATGGAAGACTCTGACAAAAGACGTGATATTTCACCCGCCGCGCACTAGAAGTAAGTGGGTGGGTGCTACATACACAGCTAGACCGACTGCCGGTAGCCGGCTTTTCAAACTACCTCGCAAATGTCAAAACGTCCTACATAGACGCTGTGGTAGACTAGACAGTCCAATTACGGCCATGGCCATCGTGAGATAGGCTATGTTTCCGTGGCAGGGTGATCAATGATCACCTTGGTGGGCCGCCCGAAGCGGGGAACACCCAGATCTCGGCAATGCCACGTTGGGGTAAGAATACCCCCGTCGGTAATCAGCCATGTGGTAACTGATGATGAAGGGACTTGATGGCGCGCTGAACGTGTCCCGATTTCTTGACATACGGACTCTTCTGTCGGCACGATTTTCCACACAACTCATTCGGCTAGAACATCCAAAATTGAGTCGAAATGGAGGGCGTTGAGACTTTGATGAACAAAGCTGTACAAGATGGCACTATACTCGGGGCCGTGCTCCTTGCAAAGGATAAATCAGGTATTATTCGAATCGCATTGAACCCCCAAGCCCTCAGACAAGTAATGACTTACATCTGTCAGGAAATGTGAATTACTACAATGCCTTCGGTAGCAGGACGGTCGTGCCGGAAGAGAAGCCCATGGAGAAGGACACTATCTTCCTTATGGCATCGATGACCAAGCTCATGACCACCATCGCAGCCCTCCAAGTTGTCGAGCGCGGGCTCATCAAGCTCGATGACGACGTCACGGGGCTTCTCCCGGTGTTGGCCAAGCAGGAGGTCCTGACCGGCTTCTCGGAGGACGGGAAGCCCACAGTGGAGAAGAGGCGGAAACCCATCACCCTCCGCCAGCTTCTGACACACAGCTTCGGCGGTGCTTACGACTTTCTCAGCCCGGATATTGTCAAGTACAGGGAGTACCACAAAATCCCCGAAGGCCCGCGCACCACCATTGACGAGGCCTTCGGCACGCCGCTCCTGCACCAGCCCGGCGAAGGCTGGCTTTACGGGCCGGGGCTCGACTGGGCGGGCCAGGTTGTAGAGAAGCTGACGGGCACCACGCTGGAGGAGCACATGCAGCAGAACATCTGGGGCCCGCTCGGCCTGCGGGACATCACCTTCTGGCCGGAGGCGCGTGCCGACATGCAGCCGCGCCGGGCCGCCATGGCGATCCGGGACGCGGCGACGGGCAAGGCCGTGCAGTCGCGCAAGCCCATCAACATCAGCGCCGGGCTCACGCAGGCCGCCGGCGGGCAGGGCGCGTTCGCGGGCCTGGCCGACTACCTCGAGATCCTGCGCTCGCTGCTGGTCGACGACGGGCGGCTGCTGCGCCGCGCCACGACCGAGGCCATGTTCCGGCCGCAGCTGTCGCCCGCGGCCAAGGCGGCGCTGCTCGCCAACTTCAAGCACCCGGAGTGGGCGGTCGGGCACTTCCCCGACACCGAGGAGTACGACTGGGGTCTCGGGGGTATCCTGATCGACGGGGACAAGCACCCGTTCCGCAAGCGGAATGCCATGTTATGGAGTGGCAATGCTAATTTGTCTTGGGTAAGTTATATTGAGGCACGCCCCCTCGAAGAACTTGTATAGGAGAAGGAGCAAAGTCACTGATGTATCGGCGTGTAGTTCCTTGACCGTACCGCAGGGGTTTGTGGTGTGTTCGGCACCCAATTACTACCACCTGCGGACCCGCAGATCGAGGAGCTGATCAAGGCCTTCGAAGAAGGGGTGTATAGTCTATCAGGAGCAAAGACTAAACTGTAAAATTTGGGAACTCTAGTTCTGAACTCATGCTGTGTGTCTACTCAGCATGTAGAGTTTGACAATACTCTGCATCTCACACTCACGTCAACCTGTCCACAAGCGGTATACTATTTATACACCCCCTTCCGCCCCAAGCACCAACCAAGTACCAACGCAACCCCAAGCACAGCCTTCGTCGCGATCCATTGTACGATGCCCGGCCAGCCCACTGGCAGGAGGAGCGGCCAGTTGTCCATCCGCCAGAAAACATTCATCAGCTCCAGCTCCAATATCCACCGCTGCCACGTATCATTCCAGCGTCCCTGAGACGTTCCCCTTGGCTCCCGCTTCCTCGCCTCCCCCGGGTCGGACTCGAGAAGCAGCCCGTTGACACACCGGAAGAAGACCTCCTTGACCCCATCCCGGGGTTGCGTCCACTCGCTGACGACCAGCGGCTCGTCTTGAAGAGTGCTACTGCTACGCTTCCACTCGTGGATCTCACCGCGTGGCACCGTGATAGTGCCATCGGCGGCGGTGACGGCGGGCAGCAGGGTGCCGCACAACCGGATCTCGGCGGCGCCCGAGACGACCCGCAAGAACTCGGTGTGCATCTCGTGCCAGTGCGGGCCCGAGGTCCACGCGGAGCCGGGCGGGAGCGTGATGGTGGCCTGGTGAGGGACTGACAGGTCGTAGGTCACGGCAGAGGGCGGCGGCCTCGTGAAGACCGAGTGGGTGGTCGAGGCTTTGCGGTGTTGTGGCGGCATAATGTATCAAGTTCTGTGAAAGCGACGACTACGCAGGACAAATGGCAGCAGATACCCAGACGGATTTGGCAGGCTGAACCTGATGAATCTCATGAGACGCATTGATGTATACAGACAATGGGTTTGGTTTCACGATTTTGACTTTGTACTAGGTCGAATCATATCTGGCACCTGCCACGTAGCTTCCCTTCGTCATGGGATAATTGTAAATGTTCTTGTCAGTTCTGCTTAGCAATCAGCTTTCATAACAAAGTACTGGACCGTTCACATTCGTAAAGACCTGTTCGTATGTATTGATTGGACGAGGATTGCTCAATAGTTCGGGATGCGTGGCCACATCGACTTGGCGCTTCAGGGGCGAAATGAGGATTATCAAAGTAATACCAGGTGATAGGGAACCACAAAGCGAGTATCCTTTTTTCGCTATCTTGTGTTTGCAAAGATATATGTAAACCTTTTTTTTCTTTTTCAACAACGCACTCTCCTGGCGGTCTTCTCATTTATCATCCAAACATAAGCATGTCTACCTTTGGTCCATGCACTCTATAGTCCGTGCCGCAGTCGCGCAATCCACGGAATCCTTCGCAGATACGGGTTCCGTCTCTTTGAATCCACGGAACCGGTATGCAAACTAGGCGAACACTTGCCTTCGGGGTGATCGTGTGCGCCCTCCTAAGGTAGGTTCTCAGAGCCAGCACCGCCACCACGAATGCGCCGGTTTGCTTCCGCCTTGTCCGCCTCGGTGATGTCGCTGGCATCCTTGCGCATGTCAGGCGTCCATTGAGGCGTACCCGGGCTATGACCGATTGACATACCCACCCGAATCTAATGTAGATGTTAGTTGTTTTCTTCATGTTGTTCACACATTTGTAATGCTCACCAAGGTCTCGACAGCGCTGTTCGAGTTGTCAATCAGGTCGTCATCGTGCACCATCTTGCCCTCCTCGAAGAGGAGAACAATGGTGCTACCTCCGAACTTGAAGTAACCTAGCTCCTCAGCCCGCTTAACCTGCTCACCCTCTTTGCGAGTGATGACGGTACTGCCGACCATCATAGCACCGACGCAGATGACCATGACGCGGCCGTGTGTAGGCGTATCAATGGGGCAAAGGACACGAACATTGTCTCCGTAGACGTCTAGCGCGGACCGGATGGCCATGGGGTTGACCGTGTAGTATTCACCCTCGATGAGCTTAGGCTTGCCCATAACGCCATCGACTGGAATGTGGAAGCGGTGGTAATCCTGAGGCGCGAGGCGGAAGATGCCCAGTGCACCCTTCTCGTAGCGTGCGGCATCTTCGGGGTACGCATTGCCGAGAAGTCGCTTGATGGAGAATTCACGACCCTTGATCCAGATCTGAGTCGCCGAATCGACGCTGTTGAAGACAACAGATCGGCAGTCGGCTGGAGAGACGAAGATGTTGGGGTTGTCCGGGGCAGAGCAGGGTCTGGCACCTGGCTTCAGGGCGCGATAGAAGAACTCGTTGAAGTTCTTGAATTCCTCCAATGGCAGAAGTACCTCCGACATATCCAAGTTGTGGAAGGCAATGAAGCCGGGGATATCACCCGCAGAGGCTGGGTCATCGTACTTCTTCCCCTGCTTAACACTCAAGCTCTTCAGCATCTTGCGAACTGTATGCATGTCAGAAATCTTGTTCTAGCAAATATCAGAGTTGAAACTCACTTCTTTTCTTCTCCATCTCCTTCGACTTCAGACCCTTGTAGAGGAGTCTAATACCGAGCCTCACGTAAACGCTCATCTTTTCTTCGTTGATTTGACCCGTCATACGGTCTTGCACAAGAATATTGGCCGAGTTCGCACCAAGCTTGTAGCCACCGTACGAGATCTTAGTGATGACCTTGGAGTACCACTTGCGCTGTGCTTGACTGGCAGTGACAAAGCCACCCATCATGAGAGAATTGACTTGGCGCCAGTCCTGGCTGGCACAGGTGGCGATGTGGGTGATGATATCCGTATCTTTGCGTTTGTTCAGACGTGGTTGATGACAGATGGGACATTCCCGGATCTCGACGACATGTTCTTCGCTCTTGTCTACATTGAGGTCATCTTTTTCCAAGTTGTCGCCTTCCTCCCCGGGAGTGCTCATGTCTGGTACGACAATGGTAGATGTTGACGATGGCTGCCCTTGAACGGTGGAGTCTGCGGCGCTCAAAGTGAATGAGCTTTCCTCGCCAGGGGTCTCTGATGGAGTAGAGAGACCACTTTCTGAGGACTGGCCTGGTACGGTCAACAAGTCCTTGACCTTTCCAGCGTCTGGCAACATGTTCCTCATCTTATCTCCTAGCCCCTGGGGTTTGCTCTTCTGTTCCAGTTGATCCTCCAGACATATGACGGCCTCATCCATAGTGAGATTGCTAGTCTCCTCTCCATTGGCAGCCTTGTGTGGGAATCTTTGGAAGAAGCTATCAATCGTCGACTCGCGCAGGGTAGATCCCAGAGTGTCTAGCATAGTGGTCAACTCAACCTTGCTGATCTCGCCGCTCTCGTCCGTATCGTACTGCTTCAGCATTGCTCGCCAGAACTGTTGTCGTAGGGCCGGGTATGGCATATACTTGGCGCGAACGGTCAACTGCGGGTTGTGCTTCGCCTCCCACTTCTCCAGGTTCTTCATCTTCAGAGGTACAGTGAAGCTCATGAAGTCGGGATCATCAGAAGCAGCCTCGCCGCCCTCGCTGCTCTCGACGTTCAGATTTGGCATCTGGTCGGCTGAAAGCAGGTTGGGGTTAGGAGCAGACGTTGGGGCGGCACCAGGGCCTGAATCAGCTTGAGACAAGGCAGACATGGTCGAAGGGTTCTTCGACAACGGCGGTCGCCCCTTGTTCAAACTAGTCGAGGACGAGGTTCTGGACATGCCTAGCTTGGCCAACCGCGACTTCTTGACGGGCGCGTACTCCGCGGGTTCTTTGAGGTCATAAAGGCCAGTCTCGGGGTTCGCCTTGGGGGACTTGTCAGCGATCCCTTGGAGAGGGAATGATGTGGAGGCGATGAAGTCGTTGCCGGAGTACTTGTCCCGGTCGATCACGGTGAACGAGAATGAGTATGTTTGTTCATGCTGCAGGACTTGGAAGAGCATCTTCTCGTTGAAGACAGGGTTGAGGTTGTGGCGGACGACCTTGGTTCTGTACGTCTTCTTGCCGAGGGAAGCAACAACGAACGGATCCATGTCGAAGCTTGTCTTGGTAAAGTTGGACTCAGGGGGCAAATCGGTGATGTGGCTGATTTCCAAGAAGACGAGGCCCACCACATTGTTGTCGCCGTTCGTAAACTCATACGGGTTCTGTCTCTTCTTGCGCTTCAGGCCTTTGATCCTCAGCCTCCGCTTGCGCTTCTCGATCGACTCGGGCTTGCTGGGGTCCTCGTCCTCGGGAGTCTCATCGTCGTCATCGAGGAGGTCGTCGTCGTCCTCATCATCTTGAGAGTTGTCTGTGCCACTGCGGACCAAGGGTGGTGACGGAGAAGATCCGGCCCTTCCCTTGGAAGGGCCAAGGACAGGTGTTCTTGTCGGAGTTGGGTTGCGAGAGGCGGCCTCGGGTAGGGAGCTTGCAAGCGTCCGGAGCTTGCCAAGTGTTTGCGAAGGAGAGGCGTCCTTGTCAGTGGAGTCGAAGATGGTGCACGACAGGAGAACTTCACCCGACACCACGCCCGCTTTCTTTCCCGTTCTCTTGCTCTTTAGGGGGTACCATTTGGGGGCCTGCTCGGTTTGCTCGTTGGCGAATATCTCCTCCAAAGCAAGATCGAATTCGCCCAGATAGTCTTTGCCAAACCTGTCCTTGTCCCAGCAGATTGCCTCGAGCAATAGGTTCTCGACACCGACGATAGGGACCGTAGCGACGACGTTCCAGTCTGGGTTGAGAGTCTTCGGGACGCAGTGGGTGACGACTTTCGTTTCGCCGCAGGTCAACTGGAGGTACTGTACAGAGCAATGTCAGCATGAGGGAATAACCACATCGTGGCTTGGGGAGGGTCAAGACACATACAGGGTCCGATGTTCCTCCACGGTCTTTCGCGGCCAGATCTCTGGCCTGTAGCCACTAGGTCAGCTTGGCAGGTCCTACGATATAGCTCTCTGGCTCGTCAGGTGGTTCTTACACGGATGATCACGACTTTCAGGACGAGCCCCGTGTCCCGTCGCCCATCAGGGCTCACGGCGTCTGTCTTGGCGGAGCGCATTGGGCTGGTGCTGCGGCTGTTGGTGGAGGAGTTGACGTTGGACTTGGTCGAGCCCGTCTTCAGGAGCTGGGGAATGATGCGGACCATTTTGAAGGAGAGGGCGTGCCGGGGCGGCAGCTGCCAAGTTGCAGTCAAGACCTGGTCAGGGAGGGCTCAGGGCTGGGGGGAGATGCTGCACGATGGGCTGGGTGACGTGGGTGAATCCGTCCCTCGGGTCCTATTGGGCCTGGCCTCGAGTCTTAGCCTGCCCGAAATGGAGATCTCCCAGAGTGCGCCTTGGAGTTTGAGGGGATGCACACCCTACGGCCAAGGCCTCTCGCAGCCCGCTGTGCGCCAAATGATGTCAAAGATTGGTTGTCTGGCCGGCGCACGGCAGCCGGGGACGGGGACGGGGGCGGATTAGACGGCAATTGTCCCCTTTTCTGCAGTAAGGTATAGACTTGAAAGTATACGGGCTACGGCCTGTGTATGCTCTGTCTGGTCACGATGGGTAGAGTTGAGCCGAGCCGAACTGAGCTCAAAGCAATTCGGTCGGACACGCTGTTAGATGCTGGGGCCGGACTTTAAAACCGTCGAGTCTCACAAGCCCGTCATGGCCTAGATACGTGTGCTGTTGGCGGGGCCTGAGGGGCACTTCCGTCATCCAGGAGGAGCACCAATGCGAACTAGCGACTCTGGTCAATGTCGGGTCGGCCGCGTTGGATGGTGGTTGCAGGTTGCCTAGCAGATGTGGAGGGCCGGGGCCGTCAGGTAACTATCTACTCGTCCCGTCGAGCTCCCAGCAGAACGCTACGACGCTCCGGATGACAAGATGCAGATAAACGGTGTTGTCAAAGAAGACGCAACGGGCCGGGTGCAAGAGAGCAGAGGCAACAACCACGTCTTATAGTAAGGAAAACAAAAGGAGGTCAAGTATGATGACTTCAGAACGAAGCGAAATTGGGCCCGGAAGGTACAGCTGAGAGGATACGGTAAGGAATTTAGTTAGTAGGGGGGACTCTTTTTTTAGGCACACGACAGTCACTGGCTTCGGAGCTAGCCTGAGCTTTTCTTCTTCCTCTTCTGCAGCATGAACGGGGAGACTTGTGCCATTAGCATTACGTTGCACGTAGCGAGTACAGCCAGCATGTCCTTTCTCTCTTCGAGAACATGAGCCCCCGTTGGTTGCAGAGGCTGGCCTGAATCCCTCCGTACCAAGCGCCCCAGATCGCCCACAAAACGGGATCGTCGACAGGGAAGCGCTGCGCAACATTCATGCACGCCCACCCAGCGCCCTCAGTACCCGATAGATCGGGCCCTCGGCGGGCTTGCTGAGCTCCCACCCGCTCTGACGATTTCTACCCGCCTGGGGGGTTTCAAGGTTTCGTATGAGTTGAGGCCGAGGCACGTCTTTCTCCTCTTCTGCCACGGAAAAGCGGCTCTCACGTTCCATGCTCAAGCTGTCAGGAAGTGCAAGTGCACACTTGTTCGGCTTGGATCTGCCGACCTGTCAGGCTGCTGCGCCCCTATAGGAAAACGTAATGAGGATCGAGCCCGAGTCAAATGAGCGATGGCCGCCAGGTCGATCGTAGAAGATGGGCAATCAAGAGCGCGATTTAAGATTCCGTCACACCCTATTGGCGGGGTGCATCCCTGGATTCTGGGGGAGGACCTCAGGGCAGCCTAGTAAAGGTAGGCTTCGTCGCCTTTTCGCTTGTTTCGGGTCAGCCCCCAAGACGCGCAGCCGCAGTTTTGTCAGGTCTTGTCAGGAACTTATGACGCTGCTATTATGAAACAAACCACCTTGGCTCCGTCTCACCCTGGCAAATGCAGCGCTCTACCGAATGAGGCAATTACCATCCAACGTGGCACCTTGGCTCTTCAACTCAGTAGCTGATGTAGCCCTTACGGTTGCCTAGCTCATTTGTATACTTGGTGATTATCGTTGTGCAAGCCGTCGACAAAGCTGATCTGAAGATGTCGTCAATCAACTTGTTCTTCGGAGACAGTGATCACTCCAAGGAATGTAGCGCCACAAACCGGGCAACGACAGTGGTATAATTGTGGTGAGGTTCACTGTTCTTTAATATTTTATTTCTATTTCCACACGTATATCTCTATCGATCTTTGATCCGCTAGTGTATGTGTACTCCTTTGGAGTGAAAAATCCACTTCCACAGTCTCAAAAACGGAACGCCATCCATCCTATATTCCTCGTGTGCGACCCAAATACGCCGTGCTAATGCGGTAGTAAAGTGAAACATCTTGGAACCCAACGCCGTTGTATGCAAGAGACATGTATAATCCCACCTATGCCTGGACAGTGGAGTTCAACGACCCGATCTCAGTAAGCTCAACCTGGGGAGTCTTCAGCTCAGTGTAAGCCTCAGGCCACAAGAACATCTTCTCCTCCTTGGAAGGCGACATGACAGCGAAGCGCGGAATGGCAGTCTTGCTGGAGACACGTCTCCACAGGTTGGCTCTGGGGTTGAAGATGGCGGGCATGCCCCGGCCGGCGGTCTTCTCCTCATCCTCCTTGCGGATCTCCTCGAGCTTCGCCTGGATGTCGGCAAAGGTTTCGTAGGCGTGGTACTTGATCTTGTTCTCGATGCAGTACTCCTCGAGGCGAAGTCCCTTGCGAGCAAAGAGAACGTCGGCCTCGCGGGCGGCGGGGAGGTCGGAAACACCATCGCCAATGAAGACGATCAGGGGGACAGTACCATCCTCGCATGTCATCTCAGCCTCCTGGCGGGCCTCGTTGACCGAAAGAGCCTTGTCGTGGCCCAATTCGTTGTCGTGTCTCCAGATGGGCTTCCACTCCGAGCCATCCTCCTTGATCTCGGCATCGTTGGCGATGATCTGGATGTGGGACGACGCTTCCTCACCCAGGAAAGTATCGAGCACTCTCCGGAGGATGGGCTTCAGGCCGGCCGAGATGACGTTGAAGGGGATGTTGTTGGCCAGGCACCACTTGTGGAATGTCTGAAAGTCACGGTCGATCTCGAGGGTCTCGGCCATTACCTCGAAGCCGTCGTCGAAGGGGACATTCAGGGAACCCCACATCTCTTCCGAGACTTCCTTGAAGGACCGCTCGCCATTCTTGATTTGTTCGTCGAGAATCTCACGTCTCTTGGATCCGCAACCGTGAGCGTCGAAGAGGATGTGGCCAGTGTCTTGCATGAAGATCGTGCCATCAAAGTCTGGTGTATGGTGTTAGTGGTATCCTTTATAAACGGAGCACGCTTAAGACCAAGGGGGCTGGTCAGAGAGAAGCAGGCCAAAGTTTGGCGTTGTGTGATTCCATAGACGTACCTGAGAAGCAGATGACCTTTCTCTTCTTGGGCTCCTCAGGAATAATGGCCTTGACCTGAGGCACCGGGGGCGTGATGGCAATTGGCATGATGTGGGTGATATGGTATCTCAGATGGATCGGATGAGTACTAGTTCTTCGAAAGAAAGGTATTTCTATCAAACAGAACGACGAAGTAGCGTATTCTTAAGAAATCACTTGGTGTTATGGGAACTACGGGATGCTCTAAGGGGAGACGGCGGATGGACCACACTTATATAGACTGAGTGCTTGATAACTCTAGGCCCAAGTGCTCTTGGCACTTGCCCATGGGGCACTGCCAGAAAATTCCTCGACGTGACGATGGCCATAATCGGGACTAGGCGTCGTTCTCGTCTAATCGACAAGCTCGTGGGTTGCGGGGCCTTCTGGTAATCCTGCATGTGCAGCCGGAGCAGAGAGCCCAGGGGCCCGCCGAAATTTGAAAACAGCCACACATGCACTGGCATGGGGGTCGGCAGAAAACTACTATCTGCATCCGTCTCTAGTGACCCAATCGCACCTGGGCGAGATAATCCACCGTCTGCAGCAGGGAGAGGATTATGGGCCCACTCGGACCTCTGACTGTACTTGCCTTACATACATGACGAAACCTACGGCATGTGTAATCATGGGAGGCTTGCGGGATGGACGGCTCTGCGGGCCAACATGGGCGCTGGGCACAACACGCGAGATTTGTGGTTTACGGGAGGTGTGTTTCCCACTTAATTTTCCATCTGATAGATGACTGGGTCCGGGTTCGGCAACGGCTTGCGGCTCCCACGTCGGAGGCGCGCAGCATGTACCATAGTACCGTAGTAAGTAGCCGCTTGTTGAGTCGCCCCCCTATGGGGCTCCCAACCAGTCTCTCCACGTTCCAGACCCTCTCCAGCGCCTGGACTCCTATGGATGTGAAGATCACAGCACCCAAAGGTGAAAAGATCTTCAGAATCTATGCGGCTCTCAGGATCGTTATTTCCTCTACGGGAAGGCAGCCCAGCGAGGCCAGCACTTTGATACGATGGACTGAGATGGGCAACGTTGCAACCTGGCAGGGTGTCAGAACGGCTCTGCTCGTTCGGCGCGAATTAGAGTTACGGAGCACTCGGGTTGGTTAGCACGAGATAATGACCTGATCTATTTTTTCTTCGCTTTCATTCTTCCTGTCGTCTCATCAGCCATCGTCAAGTCACGAAGCGTGGAGCCTGGCATGTGTGTGCGTTGGTTCGTCGGGAGCAGACGCCTGGGGAGGATGCGAGGGCCTATGATGTCATCAGCCTGGTTTCCAATTTTTTGCGTCAGACAAATCCACAATCCCACGATTCGTCGGCTCGGGGCTATCTGTTCATGTCGGTGCGATGGGACCATGGCCAAGGGCACATCACATTTCGGGTGCCGGGGTTCCTTAGTGAAGTGAAGCGGCCTCTAGCGCAGGAGCCAATCCCGTCGTCCAATGTAATTGGGATGTTGGTCTCTGTGAACCATTGGATCCTTCCCCGTGGGAGAGTGAGAGCGGTGAGGGGCAGAGAGGGGCACAGAGGGGCCTTGCAGGTAGTTTTACACTTGCCCGATGGAGGGGTATCGTGTATGGTGTATCGTCCTCCACGCGCCTATTGTCACGATCCCACTTTTCCGTACCCAGAATAATGTCTGTAGCCCAGCAACTCATGTGAACGTTGATGAGAGATCGATCGATACGTCTATAAGGAGGCCCAAATTTACTTGTGGAATCTGACGTTCTTGTTGACTTCATAGAGTGAAGCCTCCTTACTCGAACACGGAATGTGATTTTCAGTACCCCCCGTCTCATCATGATATGATATCGGATACAGAACAGACGGACAGCAAGGACACACAGCACAGCCCTGACTCTGACTGCACATGTGCTTGCCCGACTCTGGTCTGGTGTGTGAGCCCCACTCTCGGGCAAGGCCCCTTATCACTGTAGCAAACGAATTCACAAACTAGCGCCGTGTGTTCGTGTTGCACTCCTGCAGTCACATCGTCATTGCGCGTCAAAGGCATGATACAGTCCTTGGTCCTCCAAACGCCGACTGATGCACTCACGATGCTGACATCCACGTCCCCATGGGGTGCAGTGACGTCTTTCTGCTGACCGCTGGACACGGACCAGGACCCTGGAGACCCTGCGCCGATGAAGTAGCAGCAAGATGTCCACGGCAATCATATGGCCAGTCTGCCGTATTTGGACAGCAGATAGCGAGCCATCATGCATGTACATACGTGCTCACATCTGGCTGATAACAGGGTCTATCATCACCCAACTGGCATATGTTCCTTCGCTGACCGGAAGCGACAGATGTAAGACCGTTACGTCAACAACAAATCATACATCATTCATGACGATCGGTTCGGGAGATTCGTCACATATTGCTGTAATTGACTGGTTTGGTATAGTTCCTTTTTTCTTCACTGACCAACGCATGTCTATCTCTATGCTGCGAGAACCATGCCTGCTTCTGTCATTACCGTCATATCGTTGCACCCCCTCTGCGCTCAGACTTATGCCGACACTTTGGGGCTGTACTTGGCCGCAGCCTTGTCGAAAAGAGCACTCTTCTCTTCCAGATCGGTCAGGAAAGGATGCGACGGGGCAGCTTTCTGGAGGGCTCTGTTGGGTACAGATGTTAGCATGCAAATTGAACATACAGGTCTGGAGGGCACTCACGCCTTGAGGTCCGTCGGGTCTTTTCCGATAACGACAGTGAGCACCAGGAGGTTGGCAATAGCCTCTGCATACTCGGGCTCCTTCTGAATGGCCAGCTCGAGCGCACTCTGGGCCTCCTCGACTCGTCCCAGGTGAAGCTCGCAGACTGCTTGTGAAACCAGGGATAACGTGGACGACGTTGCCGGCGCTTGTGCTAACTCCTCGAAGACGTAGAAAGACTGCTGGTATTTATCACCGCCCTGTGCCATTGTCAGTCACATTCGTAGTCCCCCAAGGCGCTCGCGAGAAACCTACCACTCTTACGCCCACCCAAGACTCTGCCAGATTGACCAAGAGGCTGTCCTGGCCCCAGCTCCGCGCCGCCCTGACTTCCTTCAGCGCAAGATCTGTCCGGTTCTGCTCGAGGTGAATCTGTGTGATCAAGGCGACCGCATCAACTGTCCCAATGTCAGCATTCCCTAGTCCAGGCCCTACGGCAAGAACAGGATAGACCCACGGTTGCCGGAATGTTGTGATAACAGTGCCAGCGCCTCCTCGCTCCTGCCAGCTGCCTGCAGGACTGTGCCTCCCATGACCTGCACCGCAGCGTTGTCGCCCGCCGAGCTCGCGAGCTCCTCGATCGTCTTGACCGCCTCATCGGTCTTGCCCAGGCTGAACTGAGCCAGCGCACCGACGGCGGCTAGCTCCGGTTCCGACTCGCCCTGGACGTCTGCGATCACATCATCGGCCTGGCCCAGGGCGATGCGAGCGCGGTGGGCGAGGACGCGGGCTGGCAGGGCATTCTCGGCTGAGAAGGCGGAGGTGTCGAAATCGACGACTTCCTGGTACTGGCCCTGGTGGAAGTGGTTGTGGATGTTGACGAGCTCGCCCTCGGCGCTGTAGGGGTCCATCTCGACTGCGCTGTGGTCGAATTGGCCTGGTCGGGTGTTCTGTAGCGGGCTTCAAGCTTTCGTAGATGGTGTTGGAGGCGCTGGAGATCTGTCAGGAGCGGAAGGTCCCGCCAGGTGGCAGCCGACAAGGCCCAGCTCCAGGTCCAGCTCCAGGTCAAGCTTGACTGGTCCGTGCGTCACTCCTATATCCACCTCACATTTGGAACTTCTGCTTAACTGTCTTTTCCAAAATGCTCACTGTCAGGTCTCGGGCGGCCCTGTGACTCAGCTTGCTGGATGCCTCCCATTCTTGTTGCATGCATCAACCATTCCTTTCTCTGCCATAGCATGGTCGTGCTGAATCACCACCGTCCGTGATGCCAAATACACAGCAATGGACAGGTATATTTAGGACTTACTCAGCAGCATGCTCTCAACACTACAGTACATGACATTTTCAAAGACTTGATACAGAATTGATCGTCAGCTTCATGCATTTCACAAGAGATTACTAAAGCTATGCAGGAAGCATTTACTAGATTCCATGAGAGAGCACAGTGCTATGGACATGCCAATTTTCTTGCATCCAACTTCAGATGAAGTGTAGTATCTTGCAAGTCATACCCTTTCCGTAATCCGATGAAGAGCAAAGAGTGGAGATTTGTTCCAGTTTCCCTACCGAAATTCCAGTTGCGTATAATCCGACAATTTCCAGAAATCAGCCCAATCGAGACCTCGTACGCCTTCTCAATCCGCCTTTCCGGCACCCTCTTCGGCCACCTCCTTGGTCAAGTCTGGAGTCTGTAGGGTGATGTCCTCCTGAGTGTGGCCTTGGGTCACGTCAGGGGCCTGGCTCACCGCATCGTCCGCATCTGCCTCTCCGCCGTCGTCCGACTGTGCGGGTATGAGGTCGACGTACTCGTTTGCGTAGCCAGCGTCAGCAGGTCGCTTTCGCTCCAACTTCTCGACCTCCTCCATGTATGCATCAATCTCCATGAGGACTTGGGGAATTAGTACTTTGGGGACGCCTTCTTGGTTGGCGGGGAATGTGATTCCCCGGACATCTTCCCCGAGATAGATACAGCCCTTCTCTTCCATGGAGGGCGTGTAGTGCTTCTTGGAGGGCTCCCATACCCAGACTGGGAACTCTTCATCAATCCAGCGGTCAGTAACTCGCTTGTCGTCCGTTTTCTTGATTTGCTTCTGTTGCTCTTTGCCGATGCGGTCAAGAACACTTGCCATGCTCTCGAACTTCTCCTCTGGCTCCTTCGGACCCTCGCGCTGTGTGGGCTCAGCTCCGGATGTCAACTTGCGCAGTGTCTTCGCGATCTCATTATCCCGAGTCTTCTGATCGATTGCCTTCTGCTGGGCTTCCTTGACCATGGTCGCGGTGACCTTGTGGCCACGACTGGAAGCGGAGACACCTGCATAGATAGAATCGTCAGTGATGAGAAGCGCCTGACGAACATTCTTCTAGAACGGCTTCGCAGCCTCCTTGTTGACTTGGTAGAGCGGCATTAGCGGGTCTGAGGAATCTCTGGCACCGCTCTGCGCGTGGGGCTTGATTGAGGCTCCTCCTTCCCCTTCAACGGGCTTAAAGAAGGGTTCGAAGAGTCTGTCGCGACTGAAGTATCCACCGTCAGGGAGGTTCTGCATCAACGTCGGCAAACCCTGGCTCGCGAGTAGCTTCTGGTGACGTTCAACTCCCGAATGAAAGTCGGCTTTCTGCGGAGTCATTCTTCCAGTGACAAAGTCTTTGGGAGAAATTGGCTTCTCATAACCGATGATAATGTCTTGCTCTGCGGGACCCTCATCATCACCACTGTGCTCCTTGGAGACACGTGAGACTGCTTGCACATGATGCTTCCAGCCCGAAGGATGAGGCGAAGTCGATGAAGCGCCGTCAGAAACGGCACTGTCAGAGTGTGCTCTCGGAAGCTCGTCGTCCTTGGGCAAAGCATCGTAGGGGACATGCTCCAATTCGTCTGGACTGGTGAGAACCCAGTCTTTAACATGAAGATACTTGGCCTCGATGCTTCATGACAATTAGAGATCATCATTTCTCATCAACAGCATATGTCTTTTCAAATAACAGAAGGAATAAACCAATGGGACTAGATGGAATTCTGGAAGCCGCATACCTGGGAGGAGAAGGGAGCTTGGGGTTTCTCAAGTCACAACGTGGTCCTTCGAAGTAGCCAGCAGAGCTTGATGCCGGTTGATTCGGAGTAACTGGAGCTCCTGGAATTTCTTGAGTGGAGGGATGCTGATCTGCGGATTTATCACGCTTCGGGAGATCCTTGGTGACTATCTTTGTCTCCTTCTCGGGCCCTTTACCAGTGCGGCCAACCGCGTTTCCGCCGCCACGCATCTGCACCTTGGTGGGCTGTGCCTGTTCGTCGCTGTATACCGAAGAGGAAGACATGGCTGCCGTATGGTGACGTGAGAAGTGGTAGAACTTGCGGTACTTCTCAAGATAAAAGGGGTCGAAGTCTGCTGAGTCGTAACTGAAGAGGGACTTGACGGACTTTTTGGGCTTTGGGCTCAGAGGACTTTTCTCTTGCCCCGTGTCGTGATTCTGCAGCAATTTTTGCACAGTAAATTGCTTCTGGTGTTGGAAGTATCTGGGGTACCTTTCAAGGTAAAACGGATCGTGGTCTGCCGAGTCCTCCGAAGACAGGGTCGGTCTGGAGTGTTGACGTGACATGATTTGATTGTGGTCCCATGTCGACCGGGAAAATAAATCTCTGCGTCGCAGCCTAGCTGGATGCGTGCGGTGAAGTGAAAACAACATATGCTCGGCGATGTCATCGCCGTTCGCACTTGACGATGGCCTCACTTTGGTGTCGCGGGGCGACCAACGCTTTGACTTCCGCGGCGACCTAACGCAGTAGACGCGCTTTGCTGAGATGAAGATACCCCAAAATTAAACATCCAAGATTGTAAGCAATGATGGGGTGAAAAGCCGTTGGGCGCTGTGACGTAGTGTGGTAACCGGGGTAAAGGAGTTCATTCGTCGACGGACAGAATGATGTTGGTGAGAAACAGGAAGAGTCACGAGGAGTCGTCGACATTGCAAGAAAATGTCGTCTTGTCGAGCTATCATAATGACTTAGTGAATTTTGCTGTGGCTGAATGCACTGTGGTGAGTGATTAAGGATGACTGTCCCATTTATCGATTGTCTTCACGAAGCGCCGTTCCGTAATTCACTCCTCACAGCTCACTCATGCACAAGCCCCAGCTCTTATCAACCACTGAATTTACACTTTTGCGGAAGTGAACGGCTTCGTCGCGTACGCCGACCCCGACTGTTCTGAGGTAACGTTCCCCGTGCCAAAGTATTGTAAACAAGCTGTAACTACCTAGTGATTCAACCTTAGAGCACCAGGGTTAATAGAGGCTCTTGTATGAGCCTTCGTCATTTTCTCTGCGTCATATGCCCCGGCGCATGCTTGCTCTTGGTAAATGAGGTGTCATTGTTGACCAGCTTTGTCTCGTAACCTAGGAAGCATCTCATGATAGATTCAACGTTACGGAACTTACGGGGTTTTCTTACCGTGAACTGAAAACCTCGGAACTGAGCTCGAAGGTCTTTCTCACTCAGCCAATCCACGCATATATCCAGATCGTAGGAAATCAGCCTTGAAGCGCGTACGCCTGGAGCTGTCGAATATGCCTGCTACAGAGAGAATTACTGCAAATGAAGAGGTCAGAAGGACACCCAAGGAGTGGGGATACAAGAAAGTTGGCTACTATGGCCAGGTCATCTTTTATCACCCTGTGAAGTGCCGGGATGGCACAACCAAGCATCCCATCCTTGGTGGCCTTCCGAAAGACTGGGAACTCTGCAACGGAGAGGATGGCTTTTTCTATCGAAACACCAGAACTCAACAAAAGGTGCGGCATAGGACAGTGCTGAAGGACGATACGACCCCTTCTGCACCACCACCGGCGACAGCGCCGGCAGCGCCGATAGCAAAACACTCCACACCACCGACTCCCCAGGAGCCAACACCACAGCCTGCTCCGAAGACACTAGCAGGTCCAGCCCCTTCTTCTAGGCCACCTGTACCTGATACGCCAACAAAGACTCCAACACCACCACCTCCTCCGGGCTATTTGCACGTTAAGTCAGGGCTTCAGATTGAAAGAAATAAGGTCCAGAACACGGCTCTCACTTTGAAGTATCAGAGGGTCAAAACGCTAGATGCTGGGGATGGGCAGATGGGAGGCATGAACGGCGGAGTTTACGCCGTACGCAATAAGGACAACGGCGTGCTGTGTGTTGAGAAAAACTTCAAAACCCACGACCGCGTGCTAGTCAAGCTGGCCTGGAAGGAGATTTATTTTACGAAAAAGGTGGTACATAACACAATAGTGAGTTCATCTCCAACCCCAGTGCTTACTCTCACCACATGAGCAGCAAGAGCTGGCTGTCCTGCTGAAGTTACAAGAGCAACTGAGCTTCATCTACACTAGGTCCACTACCTTGATGGTTTTATCCAAGATAACCCTTTCAAGGCAACACTATACTGTGAGTAGTCCTGCAAGCCTGCCTGAAATTCCCAAAAGCCATATCACTGAACCCCGCCTAAGCCTGCTGCTAGGCCAAAAAGTACATTATGTAACTCATATGGTATATAATAGTAGAGTTCTGTGACTGCGGCTCACTAGAGGACATCATGGTCAATGCTAAAGCGAGGAAGAAGGCCCGGAAGATGGACTGGGATGACTTCATCCCGGAGAGCTTCATCTGGCACGCCTTCCGCTCGCTAGCAGACGCGCTGCATTATCTACAGACGGGCACGAGCGGGCTGTCCCGGGACCTCGAAACCAACGATACGAGCACTTGGAAGCCGATCGTGCACAGGGACATCAAGCCGGCCAACGTGATGCTGCGATCACGCCTGACGCCCGGCTCGACGCGGCCGCTGCACGTGCTACTGACGGACCTGGGCATGAGCGATTACGCGACCGAGACGGCCAAGGGCCCGCCGTGGGACGCCTTCGGCACGCCCGAGTACCACGCGCCGGAGCTGTGCTTCGACCCGGCGCCAGACAGGAAGCGCTCGGGGGTCATGGCGGCGCCGTTCACGCCCAAGGCCGATGTGTGGGCCGTCGCGGCCATAATACATGCGCTGTGCGAGCGAGACTTCCTAGCACACATGGACCGCCGGTGCCAGCCGGTGCGGTCGCTGCGCTGGCTGGGCCGGCGGGCCAAGAAACCCGTGCTGACGCTCAACGACCAGCAGATTTACTCCGACCGTCTCGAGCACTGTATCCTACTGGCGGGCAACCCGGACCCGAGAGAAAGGCTGGATGCGGTCCAGCTGATTCCGCACCTGGAGGAGCAGCACGGTGAATGGTGTGCCGATGACCGCTGGGCTGAACAGGTTGCCGTCGCCGGGAAGCTTCCGGACTGGTCTTACAAAAAGAGCGACTTGTCTTGAGATCTCGTGCAGTATCATGATATTCACGAATAATCGTGGCACATACAGACTCGACTCAAGTATATTGTTGGAGAGGGACAAACGTTCGTAATTCATAATATTCCCTCCTGTACTTTGTATTAGCCACGAAAGGTGGTCTATCTCTTCCAGTAACTGTCTATATGCTCTTTTTATATGACTGTTTCTCATAAATCGTTCACGTCGTACTCTTGATATCACTCCGACGAGAGGCGCTGTAGCTGCCGCGAAAAGCATGCAAGCACGCAGGCCCCTTTTACCCCTTTCTGCTCATCAACCTGCTAAACTTCGCCAGCGTCGAGGCCGTCGTTCCCGCCGTCTTGTGTCGCGACACCGCCATCTTCCAGCCTACCCAGCGCTCTCTCGACTTCCTTTTCCCAGTTGCTCATTCCGACGATGAGCCACTCAAAGATACCAACCAAGTACAAGGCACCACACTGGCCGATCCACAGGCCCTGAAGGCCCCAGCCGTGAAATGCCAACCATATGCCCAAAGGCAGTGCAGCACCTGCGGATAGGCAAAATTAGTGACTTTGCCGTCCACGCCATAGAAGACAGGAAAGCCTGGGGGAAATACTCACCATAGTAGCTGACCAAGTTCACAAGCGCGCCCACCCACTGCCGCCCCATCCCCCTCAAACTTCCACCACAGCTCCCGTTCAAGCCGTCGGCGATCTGGAACAGCGCCACATAAGGCATGACCTTGCTGACCAGCTCCACAACCCTGGGGTCGTCGTTGAACAGGCGGCCGAAGACGTCCTTGCTGGCCATGAGCACCGCGAGGATCAGGGCGCCGAAGACGACGCTCAGCACCGCCGCGCAGTGGGCGGCCCTGCGCGCGTCCGCCGGCCGCTTCGCGCCCAGGAGGTTCCCCAGGCGCGCCGAGGCGGCGACGCCGAGCCCGAACGGGATGGTGTTGATGATCTGGTCGGCCGTCATGATGACGCTCTGGGCGGCGAGCGGGATCTTGCCGAGGCGGCCGGCGGCCAGCGCCACGATCTCAAAGGCCCACCACTCGGTGCCGACGTGGACGAAGCCGAGCAGCGCGAGCCGGGCGAAGGGGACCAGCTGGCGCGGGTTCAGGGCGCGGCGCAGGTCCAGGCCGCCCCAGCACTCGTGCCCGCGCACGCGCGCCGCGTAGAGCACCAGCAGCAGAAACGAGACCCAGTAGGCGATGCCGGTGGCGAGCGGGGCGCCGTTGAGGCCCATGCCGAGGGTGTGGACGAAGAGGTAGTTGAGGGCGGCGCTCAGGGGCGACGTGATGAGCAGGACGTAGGTGCCTGGGCGGTAGACCTCCTGGGCCTGCAGGTACTTCTTCATGCACTCGAACCAGACGTAGCCCAGACCGCCGGGGATGAGGACGCGCAGGAACTGGGACGACTGTACGCAGATGAAGTCCTCCTGGCCGAGGGCGCGGAACAGCGGCTCCGAGAAGAACCACAGCACGGCGACCAGGGCGTACAGGACGCTGAGCACCACGATACCGCGCTGCAGCAGGATGCCCAGGTCGTGCTTGTTCGACGAGCCCGTGAAGCTGCTAGAGGCGAGCGTGTCCAGCGCCGTCGTGCCGCCCAGCGCGATGAGCCAAGCCGTCGCCATGGCGAACATGTAGGAGAAGGCGGCGGTGGCCAGGGCCTCAGGGGACAGCCGGCCTACGATAAGGACGCTCACGGTCTGGAGGCTGTTCTGCAGTGTGTACGCTAGCATCACCGGTATAGATGCTTTCGTGAGGAGCCATATCTCCGACCACCATTGTCCGTACCAGGTGGACGCACTTTGTGACCCTGACGAGGAGTGTTTCGGCAGAAGAGAAGTTGATTCGTCTGGTATGCTCTGGGGCGACGAGGGAGCCAACGTCGTTGAGGATGAATCCGCCATAGCCTTTCCAAGACTCATATAAGGTCACTGAATTAGATACTAAATAATTCTGTAATGTGCCAGTGGGGTCCCGGCCTTGAGGAAGCTTGTTCTATAGGAACTAGTCAAAGTTCAACGATGGTGGTGGGCGCCGTTGAAGGACTTGGTCACTCGACTGAATCAATGTGTTGCAGGAAAGTGGCTACGGTAGCCATATCGATGGGAAAATAGAGAACAGAATACTTCATACAATGAGAGTGACGCATTGTATCACTGAGTCCATGCCTCAGTTGTTTGCCGTACTCAAACCCATCGGAGACCAAGGAAGACCCCACTCGGAGGTTCGCCGTCGACGATTAGTATGGTGGGAGATAAGGAGAGTGCATTTCGTCAACGCGAAAGCAATGGTAAGAATTCAGGACACCAACCAAAGAAGAGGAGTCCTGGCATGAAAAACTGCGGGTAACCACTGCTGAATGGTCTAGAATGTTGAACCCGGAGCCCCAGCCCAGTGGCCCATGAAGTCGAGAATCGGGACTGCCTACAGCTGATTCGCCAATGGCCGTTGACGCGAGTTAAGCATGAGCTTAATCGCTCTGAGTCTGATGCATATGCCGGCGCTAGACATTATCATCATGTACCGGGCAATGAAGAAAGCCCCCAGATAAATACCAGGCGTGTACGCCAGCGGCGGTCAGGTTCTTACTCGACGTTGCGATTGATGAGGTCTACCGAAGAATCAGGTGTAATGGACCCCTCCACGATACTATCTCAGACGTGACAGAACAGCGACGGACTGAATTTGGCTGTACTGCACCCCAGTTGATTTCTGGGTGAAAGATAACAATTGTCTGGAATGTCACTCTTTGCTATCATAGCTAGAGCGTGCGAATTCTTGTTACGCCGTTATGTGTGTCATTAGCTTGGCCGGTGCTGGAATTGGTCGATCTCGGCTGCAGGCAGTCCGCACGTGCAGTATCTCAAGCCAATTGAAGCACCTCAGCCAACTCTCTGGCACGATAGAATCGTTTGTGCGGCCTTGCTTATGGAGCATGTCTTGGACAATAGTTCTACAGCTTTTATGGGGTCAAGGTCCTGCATTTTCCGGAAGACCCAGTACCTAGGTATTATCTCTACAGAACAGTGACGTCACGAAACAAGCAATACAGTTTCACTATTAACCGCACTCAACGCCAAATGGGCCTTGGAACTTATTTGTACCAGCAGAACAAAGAAAGAAAAGCTTCAGTATGCTGTATAGCGACGGAATCCACACACTCTGGTCAAGCGATGCATGCCGCCGTCTTCCATGTGGATTCAGAGTCGAAGCCCGCCGGCTCTCATGATCCAACACGGTTGATTCCCCTGCCCATTCTCGTGACTTGAGAATATGTCTTTTGGTCTCCCTGATCCATCCTGTTCCACGCCTACAAACAATATATAAACCGATAATGAGTCATTAGGTAGTACTGTACACCCGTTCCCTGCACATAATCTTCTTGGGAAAATGCTTCTCTAGAAATGCAAAGCGCCTCACAACGGCTAGTGAGCGCCATTCTGGGCCGTGCCATTCACCAGCCCTGTCTGTGAAGGCGACTGTAAGTTCGCTCCCTCCTGCGTCTGTATATCCATGTTGTGATCCACGGCCTCCTCGGCAAGCTTCTGAGTTTCTTTGGCCCACTGGTCCAACCGGTGTTTCTCGATGTGCTTCTTGAGGTTGTTGTTCTCCCACTGCATGGCTTCGAGAAGCTTCTCGCGGCGGCTCTTGTCCTGTTGCTTGAAGCGCTTGTCGGGTGTTTCCGTATACACACCGAGTGCTTCTGAAGGCAACCATCGTCGGTAGTTAGGTTCCTCAGATGCTTGTTCTGCACACCGTGTTAGTCGGAGATCGAGAATTGTAGGTCTAGGGGTATACTGACGGATTGTATAGAGAGCACAGAAGACTTGGAACAACTCGAGGTTGCTTAAGACTTCCGCGATATCAGAATCAGCCTTCAGCGAAGTGTTGTTGATCTTGGTCCAATCTTCTCGCAAGTAGCACCTCCTCCAGATGAGTCGCTCAGCTTGCTCACGCTCTTGTCCACTAAGACCATTATTCGCAACCTCGATAGCCTGGAAGAACTGATCCGGCATCAGCTGTTTCAGTTCAGGGTCGGGCTGAATCATGGTGAGGAGGTCGATCAATGTGAGAGGATCCAAGGCCTCGTGTCTTAGCAACCGACTTAAACCGTCCTCAAAGATCTCGGACAAGATCTTGTACTTCTTAGGTATCTTCATGGCAAATGCCTCCATCGCAACCGGCAGCTGTGCCGACTCGTCGACTGCGGTCTTGATGATGGGACTGATCTGGCCGTAAAGTTGATCTTGGACTTTGATGATGGCGAGTTGCTTGTCAATTGTCTCTACGCTCGCGTCCGCAACAGCGGCGTTGACAACAGCCTCTTGTATGCTAGTCGAGGCCTTGCTTGACGGTCGCGAAGCTTCAGCCATCCGCGCGAGCTTGCCCAGACTCAACTCAATTTTCCTGTTCCATAACTGCTGTTCACGATTCAGGCCAAGGTCAAGAAGGGTGTTTGCTGCGTGGACGATGTCATCCTCTCCGATTATATCGTTGATCCATGATATCCTGGAGAGCTCCGGCTTAGTGCGAAGGAATGCCGTCTTGTAGAGTCTGTCGCCTTTTGCTTCGAGGAGCGAGTCAACACCGGACCGTGCAATGAGATAATCATAATAAGGGAAGGCAAAGTCCTTGCCATATTTGTCGAGGTAGCCCTGGGTTTGTATCTCTTTGGCATCTTGGAGATCCTGAAGACGTTGTGCTTCGTTGGGTGACAGACCACCCTGCTCAAGGGTGAATTTGAGCTCCTCCTTCTCGCTGATCAGTACTTGTGCCAGAGCTGTCAAGCATTGGTGCTGCTCGGCGAGCTTGTACGCGGCATCCCAATTCTCCGAGGCAGCAAGTGCAATGACCTTCTCATGGCGGTCACTAAGATATGTCTGCTGCCAAGTTTGGCCAGCCTTCTGGTAATTTGAATTCTCGCTGGCAAGTGCCCAACGTGTGAGTTCTTGAAGTGCTGTCAGGTACACTTCAGTCAGATCAGGTAGCAAGGCGCGGGTGCGCTGAACCAAGTTGTGATCAGCATCACCGGCCTGATCAGGGTTGTAGTGTGCCTTGACCCACTCGGTGGACAGTTCGACCATACGTCGAAGGTTGTTGGTCAAGGTCTGTTCACAGGTCCAAGGGGTCGGTAGACCGGCGTAATCATCCGCCAGGATCCCGCTGGCCATCTTCTCATCTTGCAAGGAATACAAAGCGAGATGCCTCCTGCGGAAGTCCAGTGCGTCGCGGATGCTGCCGTTCATAATCTCGACAGCCTCGTAAATGAATCGTGTAATGGTTGACTCATCAGCCTTGGCTCTGGTGTTATACTTGATGACCTCATAAGCCCAAGCAAGGAAAAATTCCATTCGGTGCGCATCATGGATGAACCAGTGACGAAGCGAGTCCACTTCACCCTTGGCCACATTCGGCGGGTTCTTCTCCTCGTTACGTATATAACCGACGATTTCTGCAACCAGATCTTTCTTGGTCTCGTCCGGGCGGGCTTGCATGAATTTCTCATGCTTCGTCCAAACGAAACGAGCGGCCTGCAGTCTCTCAGCTTTCCAAAGCAACTCCCATTTCGTGGCGCGGCTGAGGTTGACTTTCAAGCTTCTAAGGTGAGTAATGAGTTTCTCCAGCGCCTTGACCCGTTCTTGCATGTTGTCCCCCAACTTTGGTGCTAGCGCAGTGAGGTGGGGGCTGTTGGATGTCAAGATATCTTGGCTGAGCTCAAGAGCAGCATCGGCCAGCTCCTGGTCGCTGAAGGGTAGATCCCGCGGTATGTCGAAGACCAAGGGATTCCCTTCCTTGATGCCGAAGAAGACAGCCTGCTCCAGCTTGCTCTTAGCGGTGATTTGCGGCGGCTTCTCACTGGCAAAACGTTCGATATCCGTAGTTGTGACTCGAAGGGTTCCTGCGCCGCGAACGAGGATGGCAACAGCGGGATTCTTTGTCCTAATCCGGTGGGCTCGAACCTCCTCAGATCCTGCGCTCAAAGGCTCTTCACTGCCAGATCCCACAATCTCCAGAGTCGGGTCTGCCCTCAGATCTACAACATCTTCGTACGTTGCAGGCAAGATGTCATTGTCCTCCAATAACTGGGACTCGGGGGAGTCCGGGACCTTTGCAACCGACGCGATAATGACAGCACGTTCGAGGACCACAAACGCAACGACCGCCGGCCTCGGTAAATAGAGCCTCGGTTTGGCAAGGGCGTGGGTGTCCGGAGGAGTTGTGTAGCTTTTGATAGGTCTGACAGCACCAACTGTGACTGGTAGATCTGGCGAGGCGCCGGTTGGCACTAATACCTCTACAAGAAAATACCGACTGACGTTCTTCGTGCTTAAGGACGTTAGAACAAGTAGGTGTTGATAGTCGCCGGATGCTGGAGTCTTGCTTAGTTGACTCATCTCGGAGTGCCTGACATCTAAGTCCTTGGGCACAAAAGCGAAGTCGTGGATTTTGAGCGAGTCAGCCGAAAACCGAGAGCCCGTCTCATGCCGGAAGATAGAATTTATCAGAGTGTCCTTGGCATCGAATTCCGTGAGCAGGTCATGGTGGCCACCGCGGTGGATCTTCCAAGCATGTAGTCTACCCTTGGTTGTAGCAGCAACCACGGTTTGCTCTCCTTGTTTTGATGAACGGTCGGATCTCACAGCAGCTATGTCGCCTTGGATGGAAGAATGAGAAAGCACACTTCGAATACTGCCAAATATCCCACCTGCCGAAGGGCCCAAGGTTGTGCGCAAGAACTGGACTGCAACCTGTGGTCTTCCGTGCGCGTCTCTGACACTCATGTAAGCCATGCGACCACTGCTGAAAGCCAGGATGAAGCCTCCTGCCGACTCAGCACCGACGACCTGAATCACGGTCTCGCTGGACCACATTCCGGATATCGAGTCTTCGACGCCATTCCGTTGTTGTCGAATGAAGTCGAGGGTTGTCGCACTTGATATGGATTCCCAGTAGGTGATCTTGCCACTCGTGGGCATGACGACAACGAGACCGGGCTCCGTAGACGAGGCGGAGGGGGGCACGAGCGAGCCTAAGGGCAAGGGGTCTGTCGAGTGTTTCGAAGGGTACGGCAGTGTGAAGACAAATGATTCGGGCGAGGGCGTCGTCGATGCGTAAGGCCATACGACGGCATGGGTGTGGGTGAGACTGAGCGCGTAGCCCGCCGAGGAGTCGAGGGTGCCATGTTGTCGGCCTAGGCACGGGTTAGCAATCGCGATGTGGGTGAGGGATGCAGGTGCCGTCTCACTCTGTGCATCGGCTCGCAGCCTGTCTGGAAGCGCGGGGAGTTTGCTAACGACGAAAGCGTTGTTGCTCGTCTGCAAGAGAAGAAAATACGCGTCAGTCTTCAACACGTGGGTTGGGCCTGGGGTCCTCGACATACTAATACGACACTGCCGTCGCCCTTGTTGAGGCGCTCGCCCGTCTTTGCCTTTTTGGAGCGGAAGCTGAGCTCCTTCTTGGGGACCTGGGGCGGAGTGTTCTCGACGCCGTCCTGCCTCCGCTCGGTGATGGAGGGCCGGGCGGCCTTGACCTCGTATGTCTCCTGGGCGGGTTCGGCAGTGGCTCCTGGGTTGAGAAAGGTCTGCTCGTTCAACGGGATCCTGGCCCGTTTTGCCTTGGGCTGGCGGACCGACTCGTCAGAGCTCGCAGGGCGCTGACGGCGGCGGCCACGGGTGCTGCTCGCCGGGGTCGAGGCAGCGGCGGGGCCGTTGTTGTTCAGCGAAGAAAACATGGCGGGCCGTGTGCGCGAGCGGGTGGTGGTGGTGGTGAAGAAGCGCGGTACACAGAACGGCGATGGTGGTGCGGGTCGGGGATGGCACGGAGTTTAGATGGGGGTGGAGGACGACGAGCTGTCGGGTCGTCGCGACGACGGGAGTGTAGCGAAAAGGCGGTTACGGATGCGCGAATGCATTCATGAAGGATGTGGCCGCCGCGGGATGATGGAAAAAAGGGCGGGCGGGCGATTGGGTCGCGACGGGGAGGATGGCTCGACGATGTGCTGTCAGTCGGTGTCCCTTGGCTCGCAGGAAAAAAATAACGAGGCCTTCGACAGCTAGGCGGCTGTTATTTTGATTGGGTATCGGGCCTTGTTGACGGCCCTTGGAGGTTTTGCTGCTGCAGCGGGCTGCCGGGCCACGCGGATCCTGGCAATCACCCACTAACAAAAGCTCTCGCGGCCCTGCGGGCCCTGCAGTTTCAAGGCTGTCAGCACCCAGCAGCCCAGCACACTCAGCACCCAGCACGCGGCGCTCCTCAGCAACGCACCGGCGACCGCCTGGGCAGAGGCTGAAGGACCTGGAACGAACTAGGCCGCAACGGGGTTGGCACAGCGTTGAGTGGCTCCCCTAAGGGCTCCCAGGGCCCCACGTGAGGAATTCCGGCAGCTTCGAGCACATCCCTGCCGCCACGGCCAGCGACCCGCTAATAAGAGTGGGCTTTCTTTAGCTGGCTGGCTTTGGCTGGCTTTGGCTGGGGCTGCAAGAGCTGGACGAGCTGGGGAGTTACCGACGATAATGACCTCAACACTGCGCTGGGGGTCGTCCTATCGCATACACTATAACAACGTGTCCTGCGATGTCCAGCCTCGTGGCTGCTATCACTATCACTCGACGGCTATCCCACCATCGGGCGCTCTTTGCTACTCTATTTTGTGGTTCCTCTGCAGAGACGGGAGAGATTCGTGGATTGTGAACCTGGACAAAGTCGGGAGTTTCCCATGTGGTGTCTCTCCCCGGGTCTATATCACAGGTCACAAGCCCATGTGACAGAGCAAGACATACATGAGAGCTCATGAGTGGTTCCTGCATTGGCATAACCACACCACCACCACCACCCGCAGCAAATCAAATGCTAGGATTTCGTCTCCATATCATGTTTCTTTTTGCGTTTCCGCTCGCACGCCAGTTGTAAGTGAGCTATCACAGAGGCTCCTCAACATGAGACGAATCTCAACCTCCTCCTCCGTCACCATCACCGACCCGTTGGTCAAGTATCAGAGCCTTCTGGCCACAGGACTATGTTCTCCGGATCCTGCTCAACATCGCCTCGCCATCCATCTTCAGAAAATCTACCTTCGTCTGAAAGACTACTCGCCGTCCACCGAGTATGCCGCGAGACTAAAAACCATCAAAGATGCGCTAGAAGAGTCTAAGCCGGCGCAGGTTGATGAATCAACTGTGCTCGCCGTCCCCAGCCATCCAATTCGCCGGAACCCTTTCTTTGCTCGCTTCTTTGCGCGCACTGAGCCCAAGGGCAGCCTGGCCCTGACAAAGGTGCTTACGGGGCATGAGGCTGCTATCAACATCAACTCGCCTCAGGGGCTCTTCCTTTCCGGTGAGGTTGGGACAGGCAAGTCTATGTTACTAGACCTTCTGGCAGACGGCCTGCCCACAAAACGCAAGAAGAGATGGCACTTCAACACTTTCATGCTCCATGCGCTTTCTCAGCTCGAGCTGTACCGAAAATCGCATCAACAATTGGGCACCGACAGCCAGCAATACTCGCTTCTCTGGATGGCGAAAGAAATGGTGGAAACATCGCCCATCCTGTTCCTGGACGAATTTCAACTGCCCGACAGAGCAGCAAGCAAGATCTTGAGCAATCTGTTCACAGCATTTTTCCAACTTGGTGGCGTTCTGGTCGCCTCGTCTAACCGAATGCCTGAAGAGCTCGAAAAGGCCACCGGCTTCGAGTACATCCCCCCGGCTCCCGGCGGGATACTTGGCAGGGCCTTGGGACTCTCTCCGAAAAGGGGAAGAGGCGAATTATTCGGTTCTTCAAGCGACTTTGCCTCGTTTCTCGAGGTGCTGAAAGCGAGATGCGAGTTTTGGCAAATGGAGGGTGCTAAAGATTGGCGAAGGCGGGAAGCTGGAGAGGAGAAACCCAGTGCACCGCTCAACTTATCTGGCACACCCATGGAAGCTGACGCAGTAGGTGCCACCAGGGAGACGTTGGATAACGTTGTTCGTTCTGAAGTTGCCGACCAACCTAGCACCACGACAACTCCAATGAATTATCTTCTCCTTCAACCGACAGATCACGACTCTTGGGATAATGCACTCAGAGCTGTTCATTTGTCTGAGAAGTCTACTCATTGGACTCCGTCAAGAATAACCGTCTATGGTCGGACGGTGACTATCCCTCAGCAACATAACGGCGTGGCCTACTGGAAGTTTTCCGACCTCGTATCAAATTATGGGCCGGCGGATTACATAACCATGGCCTCGACCTTTCACACTTTTATTATTGATGGGATTCCGGTTCTTTCCGTATCAAAGAAGAACGAAGCACGGCGACTTATTACTTTGCTTGATGCTCTCTACGAGGCACGCTGCAAACTCATTGTCCGCGCTGAGGTTGGGCCCGATGATCTCTTCTTCCCAGAGACGAAAGTCAGACTTGGCCCTGGTCAAAGGGGAGCTGGAGGGTCAGACAGTATTGACGTCGATGCCATGCTTCCAGAAACTATCGCCGAAGTTTACCAAGATCAAACATCGCCTTTCCGGCCCAATATCTCAACGTACATGGATCCAGTCAATGATCCAGCCAATACGGCTTATGATCCAGATGCCGACTCTGATTTCGGGGTCGAGCAGAAGTCGCCTAGGCTTAAGCCAGACTTCACCAACACGGGCGCTTTCACTGGGGAGGATGAGCGCTTCGCTTACAAGCGTGCCGCAAGTCGGCTCTGGGAATTGTGCGGTGCGCGCTGGCATGCAAGGACTGGTGATTGGTGGTGCCCATTACCCATCGAGTCCAGGCACTGGGAAGGCGGTCTGGCGTCACGGCCTTTGAACAGCCAAACCCTTACCAAACGCCAAGCTAAAGGGGATGTAGCCATGGGAGAGAGTATAGAGCTGGACGAACCTGCTGGGCTACAGAGGCTGAGGGTTGAACACTTCAAGAACACCATCCTGGGTGAAGGACAGTGGCATAGGAAGGATAACGAGAGAGCTGGAGACAGGTTTGCAAGGAGTAAGGGCCAGTCCAATGACGGATTTGAATAATGTCTCCGCGTCTATTTACTCCTTGCCAAGTCATCACATATCACTTGTGTTCCCATCTATTACAACTAACCAGGATAGAGAAATGCTGTTCAACCAGTCTCAGTTAAGGTCAAAGAAATAACAAAGCCCGATTGGTGCATCCAGTTCTGACATGTCGTACAAGAGCACACTTACAGCAAAACATGGTCTAAATAGACTTAAACTAGTACGGAGGCCTCGGTACAAGGTTATCAAAGCTCGAACTGTCAACTAAGCGTCAACTTAGCATACATCCTCTTGCCGCGCGCGTGTGCCGTGAACGGCGTACATTTCAACATCCTACATGGGAGTGTAATTCTTCCTATTGAGCCGTCTTAGGTGCGTATATTAGTTTTGAAAAGACACTGTCGTGATCAGCCCGTAGCCACCATCTCAGCCCTGCATAAAGTGCCTTTGATAGCATATACAGCTTGTTGTGGCTAACCATATTTGCTTCGCTCTCTAAAGACAAGAGAGAAACGTCTCAGGATCAGTTTGCAGTAGTTGACTGCGTCCCTTTTAAAGCCTTACATCCTGGCCCTCGGGTGCTCCATTTTGAGTGGTAACGCCTGAGTCGACAAATTGAAGCCGTGCGCGCCTAGTCGAGATACGACGATCGTATCCACTGAAGATCCATATTCACCTCAGTGGGGTATCTACACAGCGAGGACGCAAACCAAAGGGCTAGAGCACTCTGTTCCGTCAAGCCATGGAAATATGCCTCTATTAGTTTCGAAGATCACGACTTCTCCTGCAATCGATATCAACTAGGAAACTTTCATGATCTTCACGCCGGGGCCTACGTCTCGATGAAGGACATCGTCGTCAACAAAACGTCAAATCAAAGCACACTCAAGAGTTTACAGCACTCTTGCAGGGATACGCGGCCCCCTGGGCTCCCAATGTTACTAGGATTAGGAAAGAAATTCTCTCACGGCGTCAAAGTCTTGTTTGCAATTCAGAACGCATCTCGTATGGCATTGGTGTCTCTGAAACCATGACGCTCCGCCCAATGTCGCCAAGCGCTGCTGGCAACATGCGCCCGCAAGCTTCACAGGACTCCAGCAGCGACAGGCGCGCGTCGATAAACACTTTGGATACCTTCGGGTATACCCGAGAATCAAGTGACGATGACGACTTCGGGAGTGTCATACCAGAATCCGGGACGGCGCTTACCATTGACTCACGCCAACACCCTTATCGCGCCAGTGAGGTTGTGGATCCTGGCAGAGACAGCCCGCCACGGCCGGCGGGTCGCCAGTTGAATCAAAGAAGCACTGCCAAACCTGGTGCCTTACCAGAACCATCAACGATCAAGGGAAATGAAGAGAGCAAATTTGGAGACGTTCCTTCAGCGTTGACTATGGACTTCAGCGATCCTGAAAGTTCGGCGTTTCACCTAGAGAGCCGAAGCAACCGTCCGTCTGCCAGAGACTCTGCCTTGAATCCCACGAAGCAGTTATCACGTACTGTAGGCGAGGGGAACAGCGGTAGCAGCAGTGACGATGGACATCGTGGTGTGGGCGGCGACGAAAGGGTCCGAAAGACCACCGCGGCAGAGATCGAGTCCGCTCGCAAAATTCTTGCGCAGGCTAGGCTGAGTGACTATGAGTCTTTTCAAGGTTCATGGAAGGCATCAGTACGAGGCGATCGTTCTGCATCACCGCCACTCACAAGACAAGTCCGAAGCGGAACCGGCAAAGAGTCTGATAGTGACGATACAGTGCACAGTCTTATGTCGCCAACGCCCAAGACGGTTGAATACCCATCAGAAACACAGCAGCCGCCTTCAGTGTCGAGGAGGCATAGCCATAGCAGTGTAGAAAGTTACCGGTCTCACCCAAGCTCGAAAGCACGATCCCAACATACCACCACTCGAGCTCCCGTGGCAGAGCACTCTCGAAAAATAAAGGAGCCAGAGTTCTTATCGCGGAAAGACCCAATCAGGACTTCCGAGGAGGTTCGTGGAGAGGAAACCTTTCCCTCAAGCAATTTTCATCGGGAGACCAATGATGGTAGTGGCACTACCAGACTTGGGAGCCTCACAACTAGTGTACGGTCACATCGGGCAGCTTCAATGGTGAAGAAGATACTCAGCAACGATGGACACTCCATCTCCCCAAGGCTTCCAGCCGATTTACGGACCAATCTCGGCAACGACTCTTCAAATCGGTTGCCAGACTTTTTCAACTACGAGTTCTTCCAGTTTGTGCTTCGTAATCCGACAACGGCCCATCAACTTCTCAAATTTAGCCAAACGCGTGTCTGCAGCGAAAACATAGAATTTCTGAATAGGGTCAGTCGAATGTGCCACCATGAGCCCGTGCGGCCTGCGTCTGACATGGTACTAACGTGGTTCATATATAGGTCGACGAGTACTACAAAGCATTGGCCGACATTACGAGTGCCTTGAGCGTAATATATAAGGGCTATATCTCTATGCAGTCCACGAACCAGCTCGATGTGCCAGAAGAAATGTCGAGATTAGTGCACAAAGACATCAGATCCCTGACAGGAAAGACACTTCCCGGAATGGAAACATTATTTACGGATATGCAAGAAAGAGTCGAAGAGATAGTATTCACTGACCTATATCCATGGTTCGTTCAACACCAGTTGGCGTTGAGTGCGTCGCAGGCACTCGCTAGTGACCGCCATCGGTACGCTGGTTTGGGTGACTGTTTTTGTCTCACTACTCCTTCGTGAGTTCCAGTATCACGACCATTTTGTGGCTCACAAGGCTAACTATTTGCAGGAAAGCTGATAATCCCATAACGTTTGCTTCTGATGGGTTCGTCAAGGTAACTGGATATGGTCGTCCTGAGATCATTCCTCGGAACTGCAGATTCTTGCAGGGACTTCGAACGGATCGTGTGGCAATCAAGCGATTAAAGCAAGGTATTGATAAATGTCACGAATCGGTCGAGTTAATTTTGAATTACAAGAAGAATGGTGATCCATTTTGGAATCTGCTCTATGTTGGTATGACCCCATCCCCCAAACTATCTCCCTTGTTCTGTTGAATATCAAAATTGACAGAGAACTGAAGCGCCCCTATACGATCAGAATGGAAATCTCGCATTCTTCATTGGTGGCCAGGTTAATTGCTCAACCACGATACATACCAATGCCGACCTCCTGAAAGTCATGTCGTTATCGGCCTCCAACGAGATAGGAGACGAAGAGATCTCTGGGGCGTCGACACAGGTTAATCAGAAGCTGACCACAGCTCCATCTGCTAAGAAAGCTTTCCTAAAAGCATTTGGCGTACGGTCAGAAGAAGCCAGGATTCTACCCGGACCATCAGGAATGGAGCATGAAGTCCTGAACCGCATGGAGGGTCAAAACCTCAACACACAGATGAAGGAGTTCTACACGGCCTACTCCAAGTACCTCGTAATTGAGGCAAACACCTTCATCATACGCTACTACTCCGAAGGCGTCATGGATGCGCTGAATCCGGCGAATAACACGAACACGCCAGCGGGCCAGGATGTGTTCCGCTTCCTCAAGCAGAACGTGGTAAGCAGAACCACACTCTTGAATAAATATCGTTCGCCGAGCTAAACTCCCTCTAGTCAGGCAAAGAGACAGATTACCGGAATAAAGTCCGTACCGCTATCCGCACAGGTACGGCCATCAGTGTGGAGCTCCGGCTGCAGACCAGACGTAGCGCAAGGTTCTGTGGGCACGAGGTCTTTGCCACGCACTGGACTCCGCTGAAGGACGAGAATGCGTCAACACATTGGGTGGTGATTACGTTGGCTTCAAAGACGCAGTGAAGAAGTGATAATTTTCGATTTGTTGATTACCCCGGTGGGATGGGGAACTCAATGGCCAGGTGTTATTTGAAATACGTCGCACAGTTTTCAGCATTGAAATCATATTAGTACAAGTGCAGCATATAATTGTCTAGAGTCAATAGCTATTGGATACTTCAATGATTCATCTGAGCAATGGAATCTTCGGTCCAGCAGTAAAGTCGCAGGCAAATCGAGAGAGTCAAAGATTTCAAGTTTTATAGACACAGATTCAGGAGAGAAAAAGGCTAGACAAGTCTGTCGCCGCTCCATCGAGGGATATGGCTGTACACCACAATCCCGAGAAAGGTGAATTGCCTGGTCACCAGTTTATGCGCACATGAATCTCAGTTGCCCTTGTACTTTTGTGTTTATGCGTATGGATAAATGGTTGAACTTCTACCCAGATACTCAAATGAAAATCGAAGCGCCTGACAGTTTCGTTTGTTCCGGCATGCTCGCTTCTGCTTAAACTACGAACCAATTAACTGATATCAGTTGGGTTAATGAAAATGGATAGATCGCCATCCCGACTGAAACATGCCAACACTGTCTTGAAAGAACAAACTTTAAAGAAGAGGAACCATCGATTTTTGAAGGTTGCTTTTGTGACTTGCTGCCGTGCTGCATACATGTCTTACAGACACGGGATCTCGGGGTTGCTTCCAGATATGTATTGAGCCGTATCTTCCCGTGCTGCATGTCTCGAGGCTCGTATAGCCACAAGCCAACTGACGAATTGCTCAAATGTCGGTGAACGGCTATCACAATGCGTACCACATCATGAATACCAATCAAATTCCAACGCATTGCTGCATTCTTCCCTTCCAGCAGCTCAAGGGAAATACATTCATCGATCACTCTTCTGGAAAGAAGAAAAGAGCCATGATTTTGACTGAGCGTGACAAAGCTTTGTTCGAGACTACCAAACGGCTCTTGGCTCAGGTAGTCAACGAAGGACTTTGCGATGCTACAGTCGAAATATGCCATCTCGGAGAGACACGGCAACTCTGTCTGCACCCACGATCTGGTAGTGAGGATGCCAGCTTGGTGAGGGTGACTTTGAAGCCAGGCATCGTTCTTGCCACGAATGACAACCACGTTATCTCAATTGTTCGACCGGAATACCTACAACCTCCAATAATAGCTCGAAACAAAGATTTGTATGATCGCGACCCTGAGGTGATCCTCGAATGTATGAAGTCTTGGTTTATATTAGATATTAGCGAGAATATTATTAAAGAGATTGGACGAGAATTGCGAAACTGTGCAGATAATCAAGGTACGTCTATAAAATCCATTGTATCGTTTTTATAGTGTTTAACGACACACAGAAAAGTGGCTGCAGATTGCAAGGTCGAGCCCGAAGGTGCTGACCTTGAATGATCCATCGGTGTCCTGGGAGAAGACGTTGATATATGGACACCCAAGTCACCCAGTACGTCCACCAAGCAGCAGCATTGTGTTTCATATCATTCTGATCCTGATAAATGCAGTACCACCGACTGTGCTACGCACAGCCTCCACTGAAACCAGTCCATCCAGAAGATATTACAAGCATGCTTACACCAACTCTTGCTTTCATCTCGGTTCCACGCAAGGATCTGTGTGTCACTGGTCCATTTGTACAAACACTTCAGCCACTACTCAGACGATTGGAGATCCCGGAGACCAGCAGTGACCGAGTAGTCGTACCTTGTCTTGTTCAACAACTACCATCTATCAATCATAGATTCATGGATGTAGACGTACTGAGAATGGTCAATGACTGTGCTGATGCTCAAGTCTCGTTACGAACTCTCACCTTAAGACCAGAGCTGAACTTTGGGTATCACATGAAACTCTCACTGGCATGTCAAATAACCTCTGCTCTGAGAACCATCACACCATGGACTACACAAGGTGGCCGCATGGTCACGGAAATATTGGAGAAGTTTCTACCCGACGACCTGTGGGTATTCAGAGAGGTTGCTGCTGTAACTGGTAGCCAGAGCGACTTTGATGCCGCCAAACATCTATCGTGTATACTGCGAGATAGCTTGGAGAGCCGTGCAGAGGCGAACGGCGAGCGATTAGTGGTTGCTGCGGCTTTAGCCCAGACACCTTACAGTATCGACGTCACATATGCAGAGCTGCTGTTCGGGCTTAATTCATTGATTCAGAAGCAGGAATGGTTTCGAAAGTCTGTTGGTCCTCAGGGAACTTCCTGAGATTCAAGATATGCTGACTAAAACAGTTACATCAAGTGTTTATTTGAACTTGTCCTCCCTCCCCTGGTGAAGTATGGTATCGGTCTGGAAGCTCACGGACAGAACATTGTGGCGCGTATCTGTCAACAGACGAATCGAGTCAAAGGCTTCGCTGTGCGGGACTTTGGTGGCATCAGATTGCATGTTCCGACTTTGGAACGCTTTAGTGTCGATTTCTCGTCATTGCCACCACGAGGGGCGATCCTAACCCACGATATGCATAAAGTTTGGAGCAAGGTACACCATTCACTGCTGCAAAACCACGTCGGCCTGCTTCTGACCGCCCTCGGGCTGGAAAGAGCGACTGGATGGGGTATTACTCTCGAGACACTAGAGCAGGTGTTAGACCCGGACGGAGATATTCATGGAAAGTACTTGTACGAGTATTTCACGCAAGATACGATGCCCTTCAAGTGCTTCTTGAGGATGAGGATGGAAGGCAAATATCGCGACGTAAGTTCCCCTCTCCAAGATACCATCGACGTAGTACTCAACCAATTCTGTCAGTACATTGAGCGACAAGTCCCGAACGTGCTTCTTACTGATTCACCGCGATGGGAGTCCGCAATTGCTGCCTATCAATCTTCTTTACAGTATACGTAGCAACGCAATATTAGGCGTATACACCCACTGCCTGAACTTTCTCAAACTGAAGAGTTGCACCGACAAAAGTTAGCCACGTCAATAATGCCGTTTGAGTACTCACAAATTCTAAGCGCTGGCTGAGCATCAGCGAACAGTGATATATCAAGGGCATCTGCAGCCAGGGGTAGAGCCCTTTAGCCTGTAGTTCTGAGGGAAATTCCACCCAAAGCAATGTAATGAATGGTGTTTGATTTTTCGTTGCTAATTGGTACTTTTTGAGATCTGAATAATGTACCCACGCGTTGTAGTAAAGGAGCCAGTACCTACCAGGCTAGTTGGCTAGAACTGCATGTATCACATTGAGCCAACGTCTTGATCTTCCAAACAAGGGGACCACATGCGTTACTATAGCAGCACTCAGTTTCCTATGATTCGGATTCTTCTCATGAAATTCTTGAATTTCTAGTCCGCCTGCTGACATTTCGTTTTCTTGTACGAAACGCATGAATCGCTATCACATCTGTTGTTGACAGTGATAGAAACGATTCGGAATGGTGGTGGTTCTGCACTTGCCTTCCACGCCAAACAATTGCATCGACATATGGGCTCGAGATGCACAAACGGGGTTATCTAACCATATACGATACGCCAAGTCATCCCCTGCTGGTATGATACGTTCCAATTCGCGACGAGCAACTCTCCATCCTGGCATACCTAACTTCAAGGCACGAACCATTGCAGCGACGTTGCCATGAATCACACTGTGGACATATCGATATACACTCTCCAATGACTCTTCTCTCGTCAGAATCCACGAGGTATCGACTTCTAGTGAGGTGGTCTTGAGGAATGTTTCTCCGTGCACCCGAAATGACCCTAGGTCCCGAACCAAGAACCCGCGAATCTCCCGAGAGACTGGATCTATACGGATGAGCAAGTTTTGCATATGGGCTTGTAGAGCGAAGCCATGCAACATGACAGAAGGCAGAACAGCGCGAAACAGATGGCTGCAGAACTGTCGAAGACGGTCCAACTTGCTCTCAGTCGTCTCGTCTTCCCAAATACTGTGGATGTTCTCCGTCACTGCTGCGCAAACGATGATTTTGTCTCCAGTTATAGCCGCTATGGACTCAGTACTCTGGCGAATAATGCAGCCCAAGTGTTCGCTCGAAGATGCGGCGGCTGCATACTCGCGGATAACTGTCAAGGAGCCACCGAACTGTTCCGCTGATTTCTCAAGAACTTGTAGCACTGGCTCTAATCTGTGACCGATAGTGATGGCCCATGGCCGTATTGTTCGGACAATTGACGTGATTTTGATGGCCAGAGGGACCTTGATACAGAAATCAGCATTGGCGACGGAGATGGTCCGCACCGAGCTCTGTGGTCGACCTGTGATGAACTGGGACAGGACTTTGGCTGTGGGGAAGACCTCCTTTACATTTGGCAGTTGGTACTCGTGGACGGGAAATACTATGTCTCTCTCGTCGGTTCCGTCGATGGGCGCAAGTTGAGAAATGTACTTGTCGTAATTCCCAACAACCGTCATATCCGTTCGAGGAAGTGTTACGAAGTAGATCTGAGCGGTTGTAAAGTCATCCACCATTGGATATCTGCACTTATGCCATGGATGCATCCCATGGCCCTCGATGATCGCCTGTTCCCAGTCGATAATGGGAGACTCAAAAGTTGGTGTCCAATTGCGCAGATACACCCTCTCCAGGTTTTCAACTGAATTTTCGAGTTCTCTACAGACAGTTTTGATCTTGTCATGGCTGAGTTTGGCCCAAGCCCCGTAGATACGCATCAGCTGTGCACCATTCGATACATCAACCTGCTTGTAAGCAATCCGCCCTGATAATTCAGATGCATGAACGGCCTCTTGAAATCGAAGAGGCTGTGGAAGATCAATACAGACTGTGTCGTTAACGAGAGGGTATGACAGTATGATCGAATGATCGGTAACGCTGGATGTCACAAGGCGCTCGTTTATCAAGCAGGCAGCTACCCTTGTGAGTGAAGCATGCTCAGCTCGCTTCCGGTCGAGTAATTTCTCCATGAAGTTGGCCCCGTTATGAAGAGAGCGGGGATGAGGACTCTGTTCGATCAGCTAAGTCGCCTCAGTTGTAGAAATACTTTACTCGATAAGTCATTGCGATTTGGCGACTGATAAACGAGAGCACATAATTATTTCGGGTTCGGTGAAGGACATTATCAACAATGATGCACAGCATTGCTTCTCACAAAGTCTCAGCATGTAATGCTTCAGATTTTGACGCCATCCTGTGACACCCGCTTTAGATATTTCTATCATGCGAGACACGGCCGTCCTTTGAGAAGTGCCAACTTCAACATCACAATCCAGTGATAAGTATGTTTCAACACAGCTTCCAGGCGCCAGTTGTCATTATTTGCAGCTCCGAGTTGCTGCAGCTAACTTGCTTTTCCAGGCAGTAGCCTAACCTACACTACGTTCACCTGCGGCCCCTGAGACACCATTTCAGCTGGCACCAGTACTAATCCCGAACCATTTTCTCAAACAACACTGGGTCGTGCACTAGATAACTACTTAGACAATAGGTCCAGCATGTTACTTTGTGCCACACAGCAGCATTCCAGCTCGCCAGTTCCGTTCCAAAAGTCGGTCAACGTAAAAGGAACTTTCGAGAATGTTGCTTCCGAGATCTCTGGCCCAATGTGAGATTCGTGCGAGGTCTCGGGTCAGATTGTCAGTACCTACAAAATCTGAACTGCACACAACTGCAAACGACACACTGCAGACCTTTTTGCAATTTATATTATGATTCAGAACTCAAACGAACCCCAAGTACTGCCGTTCACCAGGCCAAGCCAGAATTGATTTCCGGCATTTTCATCCAGTGACCAGACATCAGGAAGCACAACGTCCGGCTCGCTGGGCGGTACCAGGCCTCGGGCCACGAGTTGGGTCTGAAACCAAACTTTTATCCATTTGATTTTGTGCACATACTTAATGAACACATCTTCCTTCTCATCATCCGGATTGTCCTTGGGTAAAAATCCACCCTCGATGGGTTCTACTGCCCGGCGCTTCTGTAGAAGGCTGGCGTTATCGAAAGCTGCTATAAGCTCGTCCATGATAGAGACCAGGTCGAGAGTCTGCCGTGCCCCATCTAGATCCCAGCCATCGACGTCGAGGAGCAGTAGCCGCGAGGCCGTGACAGTGACAGTGATCAGTTCGGCTGAACATGTGAATGGGCGATAGAGGAGGTCCGCTGGAGTGGACGACAGCAGGAAGGTGAAGAAAGACTTAACAGCTTGAAGACAGCTGGTAAGATGTTGGGATCTGTGCAGTGCATTTTGCCCAGTGACCGTCGTAGAGAGGCGCGTTGCGGGCTCATATAGTCGGACCAGCACATAGTTGTACTTCATCCAGAAAGTCACTGCGAATTGCAGTTATGAGCGATGAATGTACAGGAGACAAGCGCCTTAAGATGCAAGGCTTGCGGGAAGTATACGAACTCACTATTTTGCACTTGTCCTTGCTCAATATTACCGCAGATCTCATTGATCTGTGTATGGATGGGCTGGATGCCCCTCATCAAGGACTGAACAGGAACACCGCTCTCGCTACCCGCCGGAAACGTTGCTGAAATACGATCCACAACCTGCTGTAGCCTGATCATCCGCACAAGGTAGCTGTCTGGCCAATAGTCGCCAGAATCCGTAACGTACTGCAGACAATACTTCATGTAATCGTTTTGAAGTGAGTTCTGGCGACAGAACTGAGATGAATTGCTGGGATCCCAAGTCAGTGGTTCTAGCATAGCATAACGCTGGTAGAACTAGCGAGCATCACCACTTACACCGATAATACATAATAGCATCCCAGAAAGGCGCGCATCTCTTCGAGCGTGTGGAATTCTTCCGCAACCGTCGTCAAGGCTCTCCCTCTCATCGCCTCATCTACATCGCCGGCACCCACAGCTTGCTTCACCTTCTGTTGGCAGGACGGTGGGAGGCGTGTGATCCCAAGATTATGAGCGAGTCCAACGGCAAGATAAATGAGGTTTGTGATATAACGATCCAAGTAAAAGCTATGGTTTCCCCTGCGTGCCGTTAGAACGAAGTGTTTCGCCAGCTTCCAGGTATCATACCAAGCAATGAATACCAATAACCCCTGGAGAAGATCCAGGTCTCGCTCCTCCAATACTATTATGCGTTGGCCGATGTAGGCACTAATACTTCTTTTCATTTCCTTTCGCTGGGCCAGGGTGACCGGTGCAGCGGCAAGCATAATACTGCGGAAGAGCAATGGGCTCTCATAGCAGAGTTGCTCTGCGAATACGTCCCGTTCGAGCACCACGAATGGGAACTCGGGCATCATTTTCACCTTAAATAGGGCGAGTGCCTGGGAGGCTTGACTCCATGTCAAACCGAAGCCGGGACCAGAGGGTACGTCATGCGCATAGCTTACGCCAATCGGTGGGAAGGACGCCCGTGTGGGCGGTGCTGCAAGGTCTTCAGCGTCGAAGTGCTGTGTGACCGGACCGTAAGCATTTAAGCCGTATGCCTGGAAGGTATTTCTATCCAAATACTCTCCATGTAGTGCGGGCGAAGGAGTTCCGTAGTGTGAGCCTTCGCTTTGGAGTTCGTTTGTCTCATGAAAGGACAAGAAATTGTCAATTGGGGACGGCAAGATTGAGACCATACCATTCTCTCGGTGCTCCGGCGAGGTCCTTTGGCTTCATACCAAGTCAGCCCATGTCAAGTATGTTATTTTCCAAGCTGTATAGCATTGTCAACGCGGCAGTCAATGGGAAAACTGCTGGAAAGCCCGCTATGGGAATGGCTACGCACCTCGAGTGTCTGATCTGTCTTGGCCTTCTCAACACTTTCGTAGTCTGAGGCGTGCATTCGATTTGAACTCGTCGGCATCTTTATATAGGTTAGTAACTCTGACAATTGGACAGGCTGCTGGATTAAACGGTTGAATAATACCGATCACAGCCATCCGCAACATAGTTCTCCGGGAAGTTGCATCGGGCCTTCGCCCTTGAGCAGGGCTGGCAAGCCCGTTGTCTCCGCGGCGGGCTAGACGGCCGGCGTCGTGAGCCTAGCTCTTCTCCCATAACGTGTTTTCAACCCAGGCGAGGAGGGGAATTTTCTGCACGGCAGCGGCGTTGCAAGATAGGCAATAGGTTTATAAGATAACTGTCGACCTGATAGCTTGGTAAGAGCTCATCTAATGCACAACACAGGTGTCTCAGAACCCTGTATATTTCCGCTTGCGCAAACCCCGAACTTTGCGCGCCATACTGTACACGTTCTCACTGCCTGATACGAGTTCCTACTTATGTAAGGCGCAGCGATCATCGAGGAAGCGTCAGCTGCACGGTACCATGCGGTGGAGCTCCGGACCCCAGGGCGAGATGGATGGTATCTCCGGAGGGCTCCGCGAGCAGTGGAGCGGGATCGAAAATACTTGTTTCCGCTGTCTATCAGTGTCTGTCAGCGTGAGGCACATTGCATCCGCAAGTACCTGCTATCGCGACTTAACCCGCTCAGCTTCTCCCTACGATGGTGTCTCTCATTAGTCAGTTATACCTGCTCAGCCTCCAGCAATAGCACCATGATTCTCTGCCTACCGAACTCATTGCGGTCACTTTGTCGGCGTCAGCAATGTTTGAAACGGTACTTTTGGATAGGCCTGCCATAGTATGCAAAAAGCTGACGCATCTCATTGAGCCATATGTTCTATTGTTGCACTACGCTCATTGCTGACCCCTGTCACAGGGGGGCTGAAATGGGACATTCTTGGCAGGGCTTAGATACGACTGCAGCATGCCTTGCCTGGACAACGACGTAGAGGGCGGATTACATGCATGCAGCAGCCGGGAATCTCTCGGTATTTAACGCGCACAGCGTACTGATCAATTCGTCAGCTTCGACCCCAGGGCGGTAAAAAGCGCTTCTTCCCGGCTTCAATGATGGAGATTACTCATCCACGTCCGGGGGCTCGCTACCTGATGCCCTATAAGAGCTGCGATTCCAAGGACCACGCATTACTGCACGGGGTCATTTATTTTCGTCCTAAATTGGCGAGACATCACTAATCGAGACCAAAAAGATTCCAAACCACCTCGGCAGATATAGAACTAGGTTAGTTGCATATACGATGCACACGATGCTGCGACAACTGCGCATTACCACAGAAATGGCCAAAGATAGACAAGGCATAATTCTGGTTTAAGAATGAATGCAAATGGATATCATAACGATCGTAAAAAGCACATAAAGCCCCTAAATCCTAAATATGGAAATGTGCAGACCAAATAGTCCTTCTGTAGAACACCAACACGCCGCCCAATGCAGAGACAATGCTCTGGTATGTAGTTTTGGTTCCATATGGTACATCTTTTCCCGCCGTACAATGCCGAGATCCCCGCGAATCGGATCAGGCGGACCTGTCGGCTGACGGGCCCTGTCAAAAGGGCTCCGTCGGCGAGCTTCGCAGAGATTGCCAAACAGCTCAGACAGAAGGCAACATAAGGGCTTCAAGCTCCACGACGAACTGTTCAGTCGAGTTTGTTCGCACGTTACTTGGACACAGGTAATCGAGTTCGAAGAAACGAAACCATCCGGAGTGCCAAAATTGAGGTCGTCCGTCTTAGTGAGCAATATGCTTGATCGAGTCTCCTCAGAATTGGCTTGGGTACTTCAACTTGCTCGAATCCACCCGAAGCAATGTTCAAGAGTAAGGCAGCCTCGATTCACTTGTGTGACCTGGCTCGGTCTCCTCGACGTCCTTAATCGGGTGCAAGATCATGGGTGGGAGGCAAGGACGGCCGTGGATGTCTTCCCATTCTAGACCGCCTATTCCGGTATCTTCCCAGCCCATCCAGTTGTTGTACAATCTTTGCGGGGGGTTGGCACGATAGTACCAGGTACTTCCGCCATATCGGCCTTCACGTCCCCAGCCCATCGCACTTCCAATACCGCCACTCTCGCCGTTCAACCCACCATTGAACCACTTTGCGAGCCTGTCGCCGGACCAGGCCCGGTCGAAAAACACAGGCATCGGCGCATACACTGCCTTGAAACCGTGTAGCAGCGCTACAGTCTGGGGGGTCATCTCAGAGGAAACATGGTTGCCCTTCAGGTTTTCGACATGCATAATATCCAGAAGGCGCCTAGAGACTCGAGATTGAGTAATGATAGTCGCTCTTCGTGGTAGGTCTTGAGAGTCGTGCGTTGAATCATTGTATCCCCAGACATCAGTGCCACCAATCCATGAGCTGTTGATGGGATTGAAGATAGGAGCAAGGGTGATCAGATCAGCTTCCTCGCCAACACCCCACTTGAAGTCGTCGTCTTCGGGTTTCGAAACGGGAGGCTCAGGTCCGACAGGTTGAATAAAAGGTAGTGTGGGAGGCCCCCATACTGAGCCGTTGACAGCATGGCTCTCGACCTCCTTGCGAAAGTCTGTGTCGTAATCGCCATGGACGGAAGGTATATAGAATCGCTCGTTGCGCTCCCACAAGCCGCGACGAGGTTGCTTCTTCGCAAACGCCACTAACTTCTCCAGAAAATCGTAGTGATGGCCAGTAACCCGCGAGTCGAGTTCCCAGTTCCAAACATAATCAAACTCGGTAAACTCTTGTGCGAACTTCTGTACAGACAACCACTGCGCAACGTGAACGCTGGCTTGCTTAGAGCTCAGCTTCGAATACGTTGACTCTGTTGCGACATCGTTCCACAGGATTGTCATGTCGACAAACTCTTTAGGTACGGACTGGTGAAGCATCCACTCGTACGTCTCCTGGTTTTCCCAAATACCAATGGTATTGTCCTTGACCTGGACAAACAGGAAGACCTGGTATTGTCCGCCCGTACGAAGTGAAAGCTCAGTAACCAAAGATCGGACAATCTGCTTGTCGTTTTCGCTGTATTCCTTCCCTGTGTAAGTGCGGATCAAAAGTGCAGTCCTCGACTCTTTGACCACCTCCGGGCTTCGCTTCTCCTCCGTGCCGAGAAAGCGCCTCCGAAGTAGCGCCTTTTTGCCAGCTTTTTGGCGTACGTGGGTGGTGCTTGGGGTCTCGGACTGTTCATCAGAGGTGCTGTTATCTCGGCTATGCAGAGCATCCAAGTAGGGGTTCGGCGCCCCTTTACTATTGAACCTCGCCTTGTTTTTCTGAACACAGATCTCCTGCAATGAACCCCATTTGACCTGTTCCCAGTCCTCTGGCTTTCTGGTGTGGTTGCCGTTGTGCGAATAGCCATATGGACTGAGTCTAGTCTCCCTCTCGAAGCAGAGGTTTCCATCCATGTTAAGGACTTCGTAGCTACCGAATCCGGGCGCGGGAAATTCATGCGGCGCACCTGCAAAGACCCGGATATCCTCTACTGGTACCCCATCAGGTCCATCACAGGCCGTGAACTCGGCCTTCTTCGTAGCTTTCCATTCCTTGTTGTTGTAGTGGGGATATGGGTCGTAGACAAAGGGCCGGTCGACACTGAAGCCCGTCATCTCGTCCGCTGGCTTCAACACCGCGTCAAACATCTTTTTCCGCGGTGAGGTTTTGTTCACGAGAGTTGCCAAGGTATTGCCGTAGATGGCACCGGCATTTGAAAGCCTGTAAATGACGTTAGAACCAGCACTCCTGCACGGGAGCGGCGCTTTTGGCGGTTGCGCCACTGACTTACCTTCCCAACGCATCACTCTCCAACTCCCATTGCTTACGCACACCATCTTCAAACCGGTCATGTTCCTCGCGCTGTTTTCTCTCCTCTTCTTCAGCAGCAGCGGCGGCAGCGTTAATCGACCCGGAGGCCGGACCCTGCTTCTTCTCGGCATCGCTCGACGTTGAATCTCCCTGCAGCGGCGTTTGCTCCTGTTCTGCGCCCTGCGCAGGCTGCCCAACCTGGGTGTGAGGCGCCGGGCGCTCCGAGGTCTTGTCTTGCGGTCCTATGGCATGGCGGCCGACGCTGGAACCGTGCAGCAGGACCCAGTAAAGAGTTGCTGCAACCAGTGCAAACACGAACAGACTCTTGGGCCGCGTCAAGATTCGGCGAGGCTGAACGGCCAACATGGCTTCCCTCGTGTTTCGCGGCGTGCGAAAGAAGTGGATCTCGGGTGTATCCTATCGCTTCGAGCGCTCGAATACCGTGGCGAATCAGATCGTCCTGGTTGTCGCCATGCGCATCGTGTAACGCGGAGGATCTAATCGCGGCAGGTGGAAATCAGCGACGGTGGATTCGGAGCCGCCAAATAGAGCTGCAGCTCTGTAGAAGGGATGTCGTTAAAAAGGTGTTCGTGAGGGTAAAGGAGCGGACGGGGCTTCTTGCGAAGACGCCAGAAAATGCGGCAGGCCGAATGTTTAATTGCCAAAGCTGGGAGTGTCCATCCACAAAGGCGGGTCGCCTCACTGCAGCGGGGGGCGGGAAGGAGAGACCGAAAGCAAAAAAAAAAAACCGGGTGAAGTGTATGAAGGTAGAGGCGCAGAGACGATTAGAGGTGAGTTTAAAGTCGCGAGGGACGGGCGGGGATGGGCATGGTAATATCGTGACGGTCTTGGCCGCAGCGATCGCCTTCAAAAGTGGGCGGTTTTTAATTTGTAACCCCCTAATCCGACCTGGGTCCCTTACGTTGACAGGTGCTTCCCCCCGACCTTCTGACGTATCGTGCGCATCCGTATGTACTTGTCATATCACATCAGACTCGGTGGGAGGCAAGGAGAAGCACCAGTCCATAGATCCGGCCGTTTCGAGCGCAAACTTGGAAGAGCTTAACTAACCCGTTGTCCTCGAGTCCTCGAGCTCATACGCAGTAGACGCCGCCTTACCATCTCGACGCACCCGGCACCGCACTTCCTTACAGTGTCTTTGTTTGTTCTTGATATTGTATCACTATCTGCCAGACACTCGATTGGGGCCCGAATTATGTGTGCCAAGCTACTGTGGACTGCGCAGTTGTTTGCTTCGCTAATCATGTTTGTGGGATGTTGGACGGAGTCATGAACCAACAACCTGCCAAGGGAGGATGATACGGCGCAGGCGCTGAGTACCAACACAGTCGGATGCAGCACAGGCAGATAACTAGATGTTCAGGGCTGATGTGTAGAGGGGTCATGATTAAGCGCAGTATTGTGGGCCAATCGCCGTGGATTTCATCATCTGGGACTACGAATGAGTCCCCGACAGCAAGACAGATCTCAACAGGACAGGGGTTCCTCGCCCCTGACGCTTGACAAATAGTTGAAAGCTGCAGCGTTCGTGATAACTAGAGACGCGCGAGCTCAATTAGCTGCACAGGCGCACTTATGCACTGAAAGACGCCTATCGATTTCTCACCCCACTTCGACTATCGGATCACTCATGATTCTTTCTTCAGCGGCGCGGCTAGAATTCTTCATCACGGCCTGCTATCTTTCTAGCGCATTGTGGCTTGCACCCAAGGCTCTGTTTGAGCTACTACCCAAACTACCACAGTTAGTTGGCTTCCAAGCCGTTTGATGTTCAGGTAACTCGACTTCGCATCGCAAGGCTCCGGAAATTAAATTGCGTGGATAGGAGCGGGTGTTGGAAGTAGTGGTCGGCCACCTCCCGAAACTTTTCAGGCCAGTGCTCACATGGAGATTTACAGCGATGGTCATGAGCAGCTTCCTTGATGTGACAGCAGATCACCACGTGCCAGATCCCAGGGTTTCATCATCTTGGAAATCCGGGGCGCTGCCAAAGTCAGTGTTTAGGTTTAGATTTGCAGGAGCATCCGTGCTCGGTAAGAACAGGTCTCGAGCTTGCTGATTCGACGCCTGCCGGGTGTAAAGCGTAGCAAGGATGGCGGCACGAAGTGCACGGTTGGACAGCTGAGGTTCGGGGCCAACTCAGCTTGAAAGTGGTCACAGTCTCCCTCAAGCATGGAAAACTGCAGCCAGATCAAGACGACCATTTACTATATCTACGGGGCGTAATGGCCACTTCTCCAAGCATAGTATGCTGCTTTGGCTTGGGGCCCCTGTTTCCAAGCGCCCCAGAAGATACGAGATGGACCGCCATTCAAGTCATTAGTGCTGCCTTTAATTGACCAATTATAGCCACAGTGGATGGGTTTGATCTCTAGTCTTGCGCTGACCCTCGAGTTCCGGGTCTGGGATTGGACATGTTCATTAGCGCCACAGCGTTCACTGCAGTCGTCAACAGAGAATCTCTGTTGGTACCTGCATTCGTGTGACCTTTGACGATCTGATAGGATCAGTTCTGCAAATCACTGACTGCCAAGACCGTCATATACCATGGTCGGCACTCCGCTTTTGGCATGGTTGAACCAGCTCTCTCGACCCCTCATCTTGTGTAACAGCTGTCTCGGGGGTGCATTAGCTAGGGGGTATTATAGCAAAGGGCAGGCTCGATGCATGATTTCAGCTTGACGAAATGCTACTTAAAACGTTTGCTGCTAGAGCGATTCTGCAGTGAGGTTTCGCATAGCCTATGCTCGCTGTAATTCCTGAACAAGTGTATTCAAGAACGTTTTGGGTTCATGATAGGGATTGTGCACTTTGTCAGCCGGATGAGTTTCTGAGCCTGAAATTCGAGTGATTGGGACTATATTATGTATGTGACGCCGCGGATTATCGGTACTATCTCCGATACCTATTGGCTCTAACGGCGTGGGGTTCTCATCAAACGTCGTTGGACTCATCTCGAAAAAGAACAAAGGTGCCCATAAATGACACCAGCCAAGCTTTTATCGCCAGGCGATGCTCAGCATGCGTCAGAAATGCCTGGAGCAGGTTCCAACCTCCCAACCCCTCTGCTCCCGGCACTCCTAGAGTTAAAGGACTGTCATATCCAACACAACTTCCACAGAAGTCTCCATCATAAAAGAGTAGTAATCCAGATGTCGAAGCATATCAAGAGCCCGCATCTAGGGGTATATGTAGAAAAGGAAAGTCTGGGTATATGCAAAACCATGCGAATGCCCAAATGCTAACACACCAACTCCAGGCTCCAACAAGAGATATTCCCGAAGGCAAACAGCGCTGCCATGCTGGTGATTAAAACTTGGTAATTTCAGAAATGTGCTCGAAGTGGACTGTCGCTAAACAAAGGAGAGTCGTGGTATCATGGAGAACAGTCGGGCGACGTAAGGGCTTTCGCCTTATTACATCATGCCTAGCCTCGTCATTCTCTTTTCCATCCGGGGCATCTGGGGCCTCATGCCAGGAGGACCCAGTCGGTTGCCGCTGGGAAGGCCGAGACGACCGTTTGCTGGCGGTCTCAGTCCACCACGACCAGATGACATGGGTGGCATGACCGGCTGCTGTACGCGTCGCCATGCGTCGCGTTCGCAGTAAGCCCTTCCATTAACTTCAAAGTATCCATCTTGGAGAACCTTGCCACAGTCGCCACAACGGAAACATTTTGGATGGTGTTTGTGTGCAGAGTCGTCTTCAAGGTACTGCCCTTCGATTCCAACACCGCAGGTTGTGCAACAGCTGCCATTGAGACGATGGTAGCACTCGGCGTCGTATGGCTGGTCGTCCAGGACGTAGAACGTGGACGAGGTAAAAGGGCTCTGGCACGTCGTGCAGACAAAGCATGCCTTATGATAGCGGCCCGTAAGACGGCCATCGGCTGATGATATTGATTTGCCTGTAATGGGGAGTCTGCAAGCCTTGCAGTTCCCACGAGACCGTCCTGCGGACTGCTGACGGTTGTGCGTCCGCGCCGGCGGATCCCGGCTACGCGCGCCCTGGATTGCAGGGTCTACTCGGTCAGAGTAGTTTTCCATAGCATCTGGCGAAGCGAGCGGGGATCTTGGCCGAGGCCTACTTCCAGGCCTACTTCCACTCTGCACGGCCGGATCGTACCTGAGGTCATCTGGGCGTGCCCGGAGCTCGCTGCTTGGTGCACGTTTTTGTACCGGCGGCTCTGGGCGCCCGGAGAGTACCTCCTTGGGCTTCAAAGAGTCCATTGAAGACTGAAGATCGTTCATCAGAGAATCGAAGTTGGACGTGTCAGATGGCTTCCTTCTAGACCCTGTTGACCGTGCTGGGCTCGAATTTGAGCTTGGCTGGCTCAGCTGTGACGTGCTGTAGCCCGAATTGCTGTAGCCAGAATTGCTCGAGGATTGCGATACCGAAGGAGTATGATAAGGGTTGCCCACTCCGAATTCATCCGCGAGATTAATTGATGGAGCATCCTGAGTAGCTGTAGGCGGCCGTATGAGGCTCTTACGTGGTGGAGGTGGTCGTGAAGTGTCACGCATGCCGAACGACGGTCGCTGTTCCCGGTCCCTAGTCATCGTTGGGCGCTCTGTACTCTCGTTGGTTGGTCTCCGCATCCGATCTTGTCGCACACCAGGTGCCGAGGGAGGTCGGGCAGGCACACTGTCGACTCTGTTCTGGCTCTGCTTTGGGAAAGTCTCTGAGCGTTGATTTGTACCGAACGGTCGTGGTTCAAAGCTCTCTTCCTGCTCGCGTTGTGGCGGCCCGAACCCACCATATCCATTCTTACGAGGTACTCGAGGCGGTGGCATGCTGCCAGGGCTTGATGAGAAAGAAGCTGCTGATGATGACCGCTCGTTCCCATATCCACTCCTAGCCATATCATCCACGATCGAATTTGAGGTTGGCGCATTGTCTGTTTTCGGCGCGAAAGCATTCTTAGCCCCTGCCCTTCGGTTGATCTCAAACGGGCCAGGCGCAATAGTATTCATGCGTTGTAAAAGGGTAGCCGGTTGCTTCTTCGGACTTGAGCTGTAGTTATACATCGGTTCAGGCTCATACGGTTGCGGTTCTTCAAACCCCCCGTAACTACCAGTTCGTCCATTCTGTCCAGGCGATGTCGTACCTGCTATGGCGGGGGAGAAATATTCGTCGCCATTCGTCCCAGACCCTAAGCGGCCAGTGGGTGTCTTCGGTGAAATTGTCCTAGACCCAGTCGAAGCACTTACTGGGGTCAATTCATCAGGTTTGGCGAATGCTTGATCTATACAGCGATAAGCAAGAGACTAAGCACACGCATTATCAGATTCTAACTCACTTGCTGCCGAAGTGTCTACCGTTGGTGGTGGTGCACGGCTTCCGAAGCCCCAAACGGTCTGCTTCAGTGAGGCAAATGCGCCCGTTAACAGATCTGGTGCCGCTGCCGGCGCGGGTTCTATGACATGGTTAACAGAGCTACATGACGCAAACGAAGTATAAGGGGAACATACGGTCTGATATCGCAGCGCCCTTGCAGACATGCTCCCCCATCAGAGATATCTCGACTTCGTTGCCACATTGCGAGCATTTCACAGTCGGCATGAACGCCGACTCACGTGGATATGCCGCCATGCGCTTTGCTTATTCCTTCCCGTCTCCGTTCCTCGCTCTCAGTGATGTTGCTTCAACCATTCAATGCGGTTGAGTGCCTCGATCTTCCGTCGACGCCCTGTTGATTCGGGTTTAGTCGACTGCGGTGGTGGGTGAGAACGTCGGATTGAGCCCTGGTATGACGCTCTGTTGTTGTTGCTGCTGTAAGGTTTTGATGAAAAGAGTAAGGTTCACAACATATGACAAAATCCTCGAAACACGAGACACACGACCCCACTGTATGCAGTAAAGGCCAACGTCACGGGTCAAAGACTTGCCCAAGACCCAACCAAGCAGCTTGTTTTAGAAACAAGGTTCTCGGATCTCGAGTTTTCAGATCTGGGCTGGATGCCGTAGGCGATGTAAGAGAAAGGCGCCACGGGCAGTGCTCGGTCCAGGGTGTACGTTGGACGAGGAGCGATCAATGGCAAGGCGAGGTGACTAAAGAAAGATCGAGTGGTGTAAAGATCGGTGAAGGGGTCTGAAGCTGTTGCGGTGTCTGTCTCGAAACTGTGGAGGGTGTTGATGCACCCCTGTCAGCTCCCCCCTTGTCACAGATTGCACGGACAACCCAAACCGCCTAGGGAGCCCTGTCCCTGCGCTCTCGAGATGCTCGGCTAGAACTGGAAATGGATTAGTTTCAATGGATCAGCTTGCCCTTTCGGATTCCGTGCATCACCTTACCTCGAGCTGAGGGCATAAAGCGGCTTGTGCGGATGCGAGACACTCCGTTGACCTTCGTCTATGGGGATGGGTACCGTAGTGTGATATGGGAGAACAAGCGCAGCGCAGCGCACGTGGAGCAGAGGCAGGTATCACAAAGCACAAAGGTTCGGCATCTGGACGTCAGGACTGCTTCTTGCTCTTGACCTGGTGCAGATGACCTGTTAGAGTGGCGATACTCAGATAGACGAGGCCGATATGAAAGGGGCTTTGCAAGATGCCACGGCAGTCCCTAGCACGATCCCCATAAGCATAGGCAAGCAAGGCAAGGCAAGGCAAGGCAATGCAAGGCAGGTTCCAACATTCCCCTTTGTCTGGCCTTCAATCATGTCGCAAGCTCGCTATCTCGTGGGCCCACCAACCTAGGTAGGTTAATGAGCTGCTGGCTGGCGGAAGCAAATGAGAACAAAGAAACGCCAGTGGTTGTCACGGGCAAAGGCTGCAGGGTGGCTTGCCAGGAATCTCCTACGGTTTCCTGGGCTATCAGGCTACCTGTTGTAAGCTGCTGCAATTGGTTAAGGTTAGGCGGCTTCGGGTACCTTGCAGTCGCTAGCCTGGGCCCACCAGCTACCTAGGTAGCACCGCACCCTGAAGATTACTTAGTTACGTAGCATGGAATTCAATGTTCCTCTCGGTCCCTCTCGCGGCGCCTCTCAGGAACCTGGAGAACTGTTCTGGTGCTCATTTTGGCTGAGTCTTTCCCTTTCAATTCTCCCGGGTTCCCAATTAGACCTCCCATGACCCCATAGGTTCCAGAAGCAGCCGGCATCCACGAGAAGGCCGAGTCAACAATGCCGGCAATCAGCCGCAAAATGAAGGCCGCCTGTTGGTCGGTTTGGAAACGACCTTGCGACCGTCACGGAAAATGAATGGTTGATAAAATGATTAGTGAAATGGCACGTTATTTCTCTGGATCACCAGGAAATACGACCTTTTTGGGCCCAGGGGACTTCGACGTGGGGCCTTCATCACTGGCAAAACGGGGTCCAAGTCTCGGGATCGCCAAGTGGTTCGCTGCCATTGATTCATTTGCTTTCTTTGACGCCGCCGGAACATCACCTACTTGGCGTGCAACAAGACGGACCAGCTGACACCTAGCACTCCCGCGATGAATTCTAGCCGGTGCTATTAGCACCAACACTTTAATAACGCGCGCGTATTGGCCTCGCGAATGTCATCTATCTGACGCGCCGCCCTGAGATTGCATTTAAGATCCGCCGCACAATTCCAGCAAGTCAGACAACCTGAAGCAGCCAGTGACCCGCCCCCGACCGGCCTCTACTATGCCGTCTAGCATCGTCATGGTGCAGCCAGTGACCTCTCTAACAAGCGCCCCTGGCTGCTCTGTTAGGAGGATCCAGTCAACTCCACAGCCTCATTTGGCTTCAGAGAAGCTTGAACGCCTCCTATCAGAAAATTCTTAGGAAGGCTTCTCGATGTGAAGCTAGAATTGTTCGAGACTTCACTCGAGAAGCCACACGGCGTCACTGTCTCGCATGCTCATAGGCCTCAAGAGATTGGAATGGATGCTGGTTGGCGCTTGGCTGTGTGAGAGATGGCATTTGGCGCATTGCCTATTGGCGGCGCTCCGCGGAGCCTCCGTCTTCAGCCGTTTCAGTGCACGTACCAGGCGGGTAGGAGGGTTTGAGAGGGATCTTCAATCGATGCCGAATTCCTTCAGGCCCGCAGGCAACGTCCTCACCCACTTGTCGTCATATTTCCGGGAGGTTGAGGACATTGCGATGTACGTATCATTTGCAGAGAGCTTATGTACGTGATCTGGGGCGATCCTCTCGTCCCCATTTTCTATTCCACGCCAATCTTGGGCTCAGACCATCATGAGGTTCGACAAGCTTGACAAGCAACGCAATGAGGATCTACAATCCGCACAAGCTAGACCGAAGACCCCTTGGTCAACCCCCAGACTCTCCACCATTCTTGACAAATTCCCGAGCGAAGTTCAACGTCTTATCGATTCCCTACGTTTCACATCATCACCGGTTGACCAGGCTGACTTGGCTGAGACTAGAGACTTCAAAGCCTCCCATTGCAGTCTAAATGCACGTGCCTTTGATGAGCCATCGTGGATGTAGGTATGTCACTTTGACCGCCCGTACAATAGTTGCGGACAGCACGCATCACGTGTCACTAGCATTGATATAGCCAATAAGTTCATGGCGAGACGGCGAGATGCTTCAGCACAAACGATGGCAAGCCGCAACAGACCCGAGTTCTGGCCCCGAGGAAAGAAAAAAAGAAAGGAAAAGCCTCGTAGCGGCCCTACACTTTCAGCCTGTCGCGAATTGTATCGTAGCCCGAACTCCCCTCCCACCTCTCGTGGTCTTCTCGGATGATCCAAGTGCTATAAATGCGTCGATTCGAACCATGTCAAGACTATTGGCGCACCCAGTAACCCGAAGTCGCACGACTACAAGCCGGGTTCCCGCTGACCGCCTCCTTGTCGGATCCCGGGGCCCCGCGGTTGATGCCATGGGCCAATCAAACCCCTGACCATCCCACTTGTTCTCGTCTGTCCCTCAGGGTCCAGAATGGCGGGGCATTAGCCACGACAGCACGCACACCCATCTACCTATCTTGAGCTTTCACGAGTACGACTTGGCCGCATTCGGTCTCGTTAGCAACTAAATATCTAGGCAGCATGTGCTTCTACGTGTAACGATTGGCTTCGTGGCTTCTCGAATCCGGTGGTCCAGAAGCAGCAGGTAGATAAGATAGCGTTCCCGTACCGAGCCTTCCGCCATCATCCGCGGTTAATAAATACTTTGTTTACCGCTCGTCTCGCACCTCTCCCGTGTCCTGCTCTTGTTTCTCTTGTTGGTTACAATCATAGTCGCCTAGGAATAGATTTCAACTCGAACACTTGAGCCATCTTATTCTCTAGTCCTATACCATACACACTAGCCAGTCGATCGCACCGGAGGGTTGCGGTCACACCAGTCGCCAAGACGTTTTCCAACCTTCTCAACTCGTACGCTGCGATGCCTTCTCCCTAGAAGCTCCCAGGGCTAACTTGACGACAGCGTCCACAATCCCCACCGAGGAGGTCGCTGCTCTGCCGCCGGTGGTGCAGCGGACTCGCCCTTTTCTCCATAAAGGGTCGCCGAGATTTCTGCATTATACTCCTGAAAGTACGCCAACATACTGCCAAGTAACATGGCGCCTCACGCCGAGGTCGACTCGGCCTCCTCAAACGGGGATGGACATACCAACGGCCACCACCAGGCCACACCTTCTGCTCACGAGGACCTGTTCCAAGTAGAGTCGCCCAACGTCGTCTATACCGACTCTGAGATCCGGTCAAAGTACACATACCGCACCACTAGTGTCACCAAGAATGCCAGCGGCAAGTTCGTGGCCACTCCCAAAGAGACGGTCTACGACTTCAAGGTAGACCGCAAAGTCCCCAAGGTCGGAATGATGCTTGTTGGACTGGGTGGTAACAATGGAACTACTGTGACCGCTGGTATCCTTGCCAACCGCCGAGGTCTAGTCTGGGAGACACGTGAAGGACCCCGAGCTGCCAACTATTATGGTTCAGTGATCATGGGGTCTACTATGAAGCTTGGTACAGAAGCAGAAACCATGAAGGACGTGAACATCCCTTTCCACGATGTTCTGCCCATGGTACACCCGAATGACCTTGTTGTGGGAGGATGGTGAGTTGTCCGTAAAGCTGTTGACCCTCGCCCCTGAACCATACTTGGGCCAAGTGGCCATCACTCCAGAGAACTTCAAACTACACATAGCCCAGAGATGTTGGAGACAACGTTTTTCTTGGTATGCCGCTAATCTGGTCCAATTAGGGATATCTCTGGCATGAACCTTGCTGAGGCCATGGACAGGGCTGCAGTCCTGGAGCCCACTTTGAAGGCCCAAGTCAAGAAAGAGATGGCTCAGATGGTCCCGCTTCCTTCCATCTATTATCCTGACTTCATCGCTGCCAATCAAGAGGACAGGGCCGACAATGTCATCGAGGGAAGCAAAGCTTGCACTGCGCATGTAGAAAAGCTCCGTAGCGACATCAAAGACTTCAAGGCAAAGAATGCCCTTGACAAGGTTGTCGTTCTGTGGACTGCGAACACCGAGAGATACGCCGACATTATCCCCGGCATCAACGACACAGCTGACAACCTCCTCAAGGCTATCGAAGATGGACACGAGGAAGTTTCTCCTTCAACGGTTTTTGCAGTCGCTTGTATCCTGGAAGGCGCACCTTTCATCAATGGTTCACCCCAGAATACTTTCGTGCCTGGCGCGATCCAGCTTGCCGAGAGACACAACGCTTTCATCGGTGGTGACGACTTCAAGTCTGGCCAGACCAAGATGAAGTCGGCTCTGGTGGACTTCCTGATCAATGCTGGTATCAAGCTGACCTCGATCGCTTCATACAACCACCTTGGCAACAATGACGGCAAGAACCTCAGTTCTCAGAAGCAGTTTAGATCCAAGGAGATTTCAAAGTCCAATGTCGTGGACGGTATGGTTGAGGCTAATACGGTCCTGTACAAGAAGGGCGAACACCCCGATCACACCGTTGTCATCAAGTACATGCCTGCTGTTGGCGACAACAAGCGTGCCTTGGACGAGTACTATGCGGAGATTTTCCTTGGCGGCCACCAGACGATCTCGATCTTCAACGTCTGCGAGGACTCTCTACTTGCTTCGCCGCTGATCATCGACTTGGTTGTCGTAGCTGAGATGATGACTCGTATCCAGTGGAAGGCAAGCTCCCGCAATGGTGCCGAGACGAACGAGTACAGAGGCTTCCACAGTGTGCTGAGCATCCTGAGCTACATGCTCAAGGCGCCACTGACACCCCCTGGTACTCCCGTCATCAATGCTCTTGCTAAACAGCGTGGCGCTCTCACCAATATCTTCAGAGCTTGCGTGGGCCTTGAGCCGGAGTCTGATATGACGCTCGAGCACAAGCTGTTTTAATGTGGATCCTCGTGAACCTCAGAACCTAAGCATGCTTCCGCCCTTCAAGTCGTCTGACAATCCTCTTCGTTTCTGTGCTGGCTTTTACGATTCTCAACGGTACCCCATCCTAGGATCACAACATCCAGGACCCCAAAAGCTACACCACTCGTTACTACAATGAATAGACGTGCTGTTCAAAGTTGTCAAAACTCTGTCGGGTGAAATTTCATGTGTGCTGATTCCGTACTTGGCGCTATCGATGCGCTATTAATCACAGAGTAGCCTAGAAATATTCTACTGACATTATCCTCATCCGCCGCTGACATCGTGGATGTGGTGGTGCTAGGCGGTGATAGCTACCTAGGCAGGGATGAGACAAGAATCTCTAAGTATTGGTGGTAAAACCCCCACCCTCTGATATATCGGCACAGACCGTACGACCCTTTATTTTGAAGCTCTGTGATATGATTACTAGCCAATCTTATACTAATACTTCTCCTTCCTAGCTGAACAGTTCCTCTGTCTCTGCTCAACAGTCTACAAGCTACCTTGACGCCGATATCCACTAATTGCAATAGCAGCCTTGCGTGCTCCTCCAGCGGCTCAAAGTGGCCTTTCCTTGTTGTATTTGGCGACATTGTCTTGCTCAACATGAAACTAGTTTTTTTTGACCGTATTGTCGTCGCAACTTATGTCCAGACAACCACGATGTGAAGGAACCCTTCAACCCATTAGACGAAACAATAACAATGAGGTAGAATATCCTCTCATCCCACCCTAGCTTATCGTCTGCGCTTGCCACAATCGGAGGGCCGTAGATATACACCAGTGAACAATCGACGGGCTGTAGATGAGATATCCTACGGACAATCGCCAGTGATAGATAATACAAACCCAGTGAACAATCGAACGCACTTCTATAAAAGTTCGGCCAACGTAGGTGCAACACATACTCACCTCATCACCTGCATCACCACTTGGTGGTTGTCTAGCCGAAAGGCACGCGAGAAGGCAAGGGCCTACCGGGCGCAGGGAGCAACGAGTATCGTCGCGATGTGACTTGTTGCACGCGTGTCACTCAGACGACTATATCTCACTTGCGGGCACAGCTCGGATTTCCCTACTTACATACAGTCATTGTTGTCACTTCCTTCCCTCTTCTTACGTGGACCAGCACTTGAGCCTCCACACAACACTCATTCCCCCAAATACCAAACAAACCCCCCTTCCAACCATCAACCACTGCTCCGATCGTTTGTGGCAGGAAAAAGCAATTATTCTTCAACTACCGGGTAAACTACAAACATCTCCAAGTAAGAACACCCACGTTTCCCCTCTCAGCACCACGCTTGGGCACAACTGACCTGGTGCCACCACCTAGTTTACTGCCGAAAACCATCCATCACCATGGCGCCCGCTAAGTGGACTGAGAAGGCCGAGCGAGACCTCCTTCTCGCCATTCTCTGGAGCAAGGCTGGCAAGCAGCCTAGTGAAATCGGCAAAGGCGTCGCGTGGAGCGACGTTGAAGACAAGATGAGAGCTTGGGGCTATGAAACTGCTACCTCGGGCGGCCTCAGGTAAGTAACGCGCCTTTCCTTGGCTTTCCCCGAGTCGCGGCTTCGATATTTACCTTCCCTGTTTCCATCCATTCTTACCCACTTCACCTACCTAATTGTTTTTCAACTGCATTCCCTGCCCCGTTGCGTCGTTCAGGGAGTTGGTCGCCCATCTATCTCACCCCAACACAGAGCGGGGGTGGGAGTTGGTTGTATTGTCTGAAATACCATGGTTGTTGCCGTGGCAGGCTTGTGCCCTTCCTATCGTTACACTATCAACGCGCTTCCTTTACCAAAATGGTCATGGACGTTGATAACTCTCCTTACACCGCCCTGCTGCACAAAGTCAATACACCCATCCCCTTAATGATCGTGACGACAGACTCTCACCAACGTGACAGTCAGCGCTGGGGCAAACACATCGTGAAGATCTTCGATAGTGCCGCCACTGGCACCGGCGCCGCAGGCAGTAGCAGCAGCAACGCTGCCCAGTCTACCCCCCTGAAGCGAAAGACCAAGGCAGCGGCCGTCCAGAGCGAGGATGGTGAGGATGTAGAGGATGAGGCGACTCCTGCTAAGAAGCCTCGCAAGACCGCTCCGAAGAAGTTGGCTAAGCAGCCCGCCACTGCCGCTGAGGAGGAGCTGGAGCTCGACGGTGAAGGCGAGATATAACCTCCTTCGCCCAATGCAATGCACCTTTTCAACTGCTGAGCGGTCCTGATGTGGTGGAGTTACAGACAGTTGCGATGAAGGGGTTGGAGACAAGAAATTGTGTATCACAAATCAGGGACATCGTTCTGGGCGTCCTGGATCATGACGATTGTGTTCTTGGCTACGGACTTGGTAGACCCTCGCTTTTGAAGTCAATGGACCATGAGTACCACATAACCAAACCTGTCCATGTGATTATGAAAAGATGATAGTACATTGTTTACGCAACCATTTGAAGACTAATATTGCGGTCATAGAACCATGCAGACAGAAGTTCATGGGTGCCACTCATCCGTGGCTTCGCCTGTTATCTCATGAACATATTCAGATCACTCCCCTCCCGAGGTCTCCTCGCCTTCAAGTGCCTCATGATCCATCATTCGCCGGGCTAGCCTAGTGGTTTGTCCAGCAAGTACGGTGTCATGGTAAACAGTGTTAGCGTTCTCTGGCCTCCAGGTCGTCAAGAGAGGGCTCCATTCGCGCCACACAACGCCGGGGCTCTTGAGCCCGGTCTGCTCACGTATTGTAGAGATTATGCAGAAGTCCGAGGTACAGTCTCTTCGAACTTCGAAGTGAGCGCTGCACCAAGCTTGCGAGCCACATCGGGATTGGTCACTTGCAATGTCCACATGCCCCGGCTTGGGCTCTATAAATGTACACCAACCGGTGGTATTCAACCGAACCGTCGTCCAAAAGCCAGGGTGCCGCCAACGGCCTTACCCACGACATACCCGGCATACACACCGCATAATATCGTGATGGGCCACTTCTGCCATTCGCGATCCCAGTCTAGGGGGATCGGGACGGCTCCAAGCCACGCGCCCAAGCAACCTCCAACCAAACCACCAAATGTCTCGTCGAACGGCGCCCGGGCGCCGAGGATCTCTAGCCACGAGTTCTTCGTAACGCCATGGGTGTAGAATAGCGGGAACAAGCCCAGCAGGGAGAGATGAAGAGAGCACAGAAACGTATTCGGGAGGTGGGTCAGGAGCGGCGCGCCGAAGAGCACGAAGATGAGGTGGAGAGCGCAGGCGGAGAAGGTCGAGAGGAAGAGTGCGGCTGTCGTTGTCTGCCATGCTGTTGTCAGACCACATCTATTGACAATGGGGTTGGGGTGCCAGCAGCGTTGTACTTACCACGGCGATGTTCGAGCCAGAGCCCTCGGCCGCTGGCTTCTTCTTCTCACCGGGGCGGGGCTTCTTGGGAGCTTTCGCAGCTTGCGCGCCGGCCGGTGGAAGACATACGATGGCGTAGGCTACTTGCATGGCCAGGACGACGGGCAAGGAGTTCCACATGGTTGCGACTGGGTCCAAGACAAGAGCATTGAACCTGACCAAGAAGAAGGCGACCAGGAGGACAGGGTGGACGTGGCGGGCTGCTTGGGCCTGGGAGGACGAGAGGATAGAAACCGGTTTGGAAGCAGCTTCGTTTTCGACCGATTTTGAAATTTGAGATGGCCCGGCCTTGTCGCCGGGCGCAGACATCGTGACGGGATCCAGTAATGGCATTATGGTGTTGAAGCGAGGATCATGCTAGCTGGCACAGCTGGGTGTTGTCAGGAACAATCCCAGGGGCCACGAAAAACAGCGATAGCGATAGGTGGTGGTGCACCGCGTCACTGGACGGGCGCTAACCGGGGGTCCAAGCCGGGGCGGCACCGCGTCTGGGGAGCTTGAGTGGGAGCCCTGGAGCTTGGGAAGCTTCAGCTCACTACGACACATATATGCTGCGCACCGTTGTCCAATGTTCGTGGTACACCACAAAGAAAAAGAGGTCTCTCAGTTTGCAGTCAGACTTGAGGCTATCATTCCGCATGTTGAGGCTGCGCCAATTGCCACCTATGGCGTGCGGGTCGAATCCTACCTTAGGTAGTCAGGCTCTGGAGGTCGTCCCCCTTGTGCGATGCCCTTGTAAGCCGGTTCCAATATCAACCCAAGACGTACTACTGTATTCTGTCGATAGCCCATGTTACTGTTTGCAAGCTCTTCTGTTCAGCACTCCCAACTCTTAAACCTGCTCTGCAGCCTTAGGGATCAGGTTCCGTAGGGACAAATCGTAGATGACATCCTCCACCTTCTTGACGTGATACTTGACCGCATCAATCCTCTTTCGTACAATGTCATTCTTCAGGTTGAGGAGTTGGAAGCCTGCGAACAGGTCCTTGATGAACTGGCTGATCCGGACTGTGAGGTCGATGTTGCCCATCGTGACAGAGTTCATGGCCAGGCGGCTAAGCTCGTCGGTGAGGTCAGTCAAGGCGAGAATGTACTCCTCAATAGTGATGTGGAAGGCATCACGGTCTTCAAGGTTGACAGGTACTATGTAGAGGCCCAGTCAGTGGACAGCAGTGACAGCGATACAGATGAAGACATACCCTTGAGAATCTCGCCGATCTCTTCGATTCTAAGCAAACGGCCGAGCTCACTGGGCTTCGACTCGCTACTCAGGCCACCGAGCCATGCCGTGATGAGCATCACGTAGATGAGGTTCTGCACGGCGCTTCTCCATCGGAAGTTGTATCTGCTTGCTGTGAGGAGCCGAGCGTTGGTACCAGAAGATCGCTTCCACTTACTTGTAGTACGGGTAGTTGGAAGCAAACTTGTTGAGCTCGCCAATGCTTTCGATCGCAGGCTTGATGCCCTCAGATTCGACCTGGCTCAGAAGTGGCCCGACTGTGTATAGGGTGAGTACTTGTTCTCAACGTCCGTTGTATGATATATCACACTCACGTTTCTGGAGGGGTGTGGCATGGATACGGCTCAGGTGGCCCTGGGCGGTTGATATGTGACGGTTGAACCCAGTGATGATCTGGGTGAGCTTGTCGCCCACTTCGGTCTGCTCCTCGGCATGGGCCTGGAGATATTGAAAGATCTTGGGATCGATCATGGTGTTGGTGTTGTCCGCCATCTCGTCAATCGTCAATGTGTTTGCTAGGGCAGAGTTGTTGCCGGTGTGAGTGTTCACACGAGGCAGTGGGCTGGACAGAGTTTTTACGGCTCTTTTTGCGACCAGATCATGCAGGGAAGCTACTGTTTGTGCTCGAAGACAGTCATATGCACCAGAGGTACGGACGCGCTCATGAACCTTCTATTTCGACAAACGCAGCATGTTTAACTACTCTATTGCAAAAATTTGCTGACCTTGTTCCTCGCGCTCACGGATTTCCAATGATCAAATACTCGTCTCTACGCATCACCACAAATTTAACACACAGCTAGAGCCGTCGTTCAGAATAATACCGTGCTCCGAAGAGCTCTGCAACTGTCGCTCGCCAGTGTTCCCCTGCGTAAGGCTACCATCCACCTCGAGCTGAAAGGCGACCATGGGTAGCGCATCTATGGAGATCTACAACCGTGACCATGCAAGAAACATCTTCCTCGCACCCACGGACAAGCCGTGGATTGCAATGAAAACAAGGTTCGCGTCAGCCTGGCGGTAGTGTAAGGCCAGGGACACTGTGGAAGTGATCATGGGCAAGCCCAGAGGATCACGACCTGGAGGAAAAAATTAGATTAATCAATAGTTCGTTCCATAGAACGATTCCAGAGATTAAACTGAAAAGAACAGATACTACACTTGATCTAAGCCAAAAGGCAAAGAAGAGCTAAAGAGAAAATCAAAATTCAAAGACGGTTCAGGGCGGCCTGCCTTGCCTTAAATATTTGCACGAATCCCAGAATCGGCAGAATTCCCACCGCCCAATACTGCCAGGCGGTAGCCTAGCGGGCGGTCAGTGACGGTGGGGCCAGGCTACAGCAGTGGTGGCGGGCCCAGGTGGTTCCTCTTACCTAGTTAGGTACCAAGGTACACAGCAACTGGAGGGCCTAAGTGAATTCACCAGCATGATGACTGCATTGATTGAATGGTCTGTATATCACAGAATACCAAGCATATTCGATCTGGCGGATATCCCTGGAGCATTCTTGCATCTCCTGTGATAGGATTCAACACGATAAAATAGACAGACGACGTACGATACAACTAAGCGCAGGCAGGTGGACAGTCGTGTAAATTCACAAGAAGCTTGTCCATCCCGATCATTCAATATTCCATGTTGCAATCATCGACCATTTGGCGCACGATCATTGAGGTGTATATAATATTCCATTAGCGCCACTCTGATTTACTGGGGAACCTGCAGCAGCAGCTTGCCGGTCGACTTCCTGCCCTCGAGATCATCGTGCGCCGACTTCGCATCCTCCAATTTGTAATCCGTCGTGTTGGCCAGCTTCACGATGCCTTTCTTCAGCATATCTATGAGCTCTGTAGAATACTGCTCGAATTCCTCTGGCTCGGCAAGATATGCAAACAGGGTCGGGCGGCAAAGCTTCAGATTCTTGCCGCCAGCGAGCCTCATAACATCGACAGGCGGCACAAGACCGCTGGCGTTGCCATATGTGCACACAGTCGCTTTCCTAGCGGCCACCTCAATGTCGATATCAAAGGTAGCCTTTCCGACACCGTCGAAGATCCCGTCACACCCGTGGCCCCCCGTGATCTTCATGATCTCAGACACGATCTTCTCGGGCGGGTCTCGTGAGCTGATGACATAGTTGGCACCGTTCTTCCTTGCTTGTTCCATCTTCTCGGGCGTGCCCGCCGTGCCGATGATCTTTGCACCGACCGAGGAGATCATCTCGCAGAGGATAGATCCCACTCCGCCGGCAGCCGCCGTGACCAGAATCCAGTCGGTGGGCTTGACATGGTGTGCTTCTCGGATCAATGTCAAAGCAGTCAAACCCTGAAGCAGGGAAGCCGCAGCTGTGTGCGTAGTCACACCTTCGGGAAGCGTGATGGCCTTGCTGGCGGCCACGGCTTTGTACTGGGCGTACGCACCGCGTGCCGGGTCCAGGTACCCCACCCGGTCGCCGGGCTTGAAGCTGGACACGGATTCGTGGACTGCGGCGACAATACCACCAGCTTCAGCACCCGTGATCATCGGCAATGGTGCCTTGTATAGACCAGCACGGAAATAGCTATCTGGTGGTTCAGTTCCAAGAAATGATGAAACTTGTGGTTGGGGTAGGCTTACGTATCGATATAGTTGACACCGACCCATTCGTTCTTGACCAGAATCTGGCCATCTGCTAATTCAGGAACTGGAATATCGGTCTTCCATTGCAATACGGAAGAGTCACCGGTTTTCTCGATGAGAATACCTCCCATGGCCTTTGGAACCGAAGCCATTTTGAGACGAGTGCTGTGGAAGCTTCGTTGAGATACGGTGCGGGGCTTCTGTAGGCGGGGATGAATCGGCGCGTAGAGGGGACGATGAACGTGTTGTCGTGTGGTAGAATGTGAGTGTTGTTTGAATAAAATCGCGGGGATGGTTTTATTGCAAGTGTTTATGGATGGAGATGGGCCTTTCATTAACATCATACCGCGCTTTACGGTCTTCCCCGGTGCTGCACCCGAAGACCCTATCTGGAAAGCCGTGTGCAAGTAGCTAGCGATTTATATGGCGGGAGCTGCACATTATCCCCTCGGATTACAAAGCGGATTGGCGTATTAATATCCCGGCGTACCTACTTAACCACTTACAGCAGTGCCTTGACCCCAATGCAATCAACGACCGTGATAATGAGTGTGTATAGAGCTGACTAGGGCCAGGTCTCTGGTAACCTCGCTTGACATCGAAAGAATGTATTCGTCTACATTGCAACCTGGAGCTACGTGAGTCAATCCGCAGCTATGTAGACCCCTGGCAGCGGTCAGGCCACTCTGACGTTGAGCATCCCATAACAGCCACACCATTACAGGACTATAGAAATGTAGGACAATACATGATCCTGGGAGACATGGAGAGCGGGAAGGATTGGGTAGGACAAGACGCTGCATTCTAGGCTTGAATGCCGACATCCTTCAGCTGCAGTGTCACTTCAATGCCGCAACCGCCCTCTGCAGCACTGGGACCTGAGGAGAGGCGCAGCATGGCATCACATCACCAACTCAAAGTGTCCTCTTCTTGTTGATCCTCCTCGTATGTGCGGTTAAGAAGATCAGAGGCGATCGCAGTGATCTTATCCCAATAGAAGCGCGCGTGCGAGATTTGCAATGGGGAGCAGCAGGTTTGCATGAGGTGCCACAACGTCAAATGTTCTAAATTTACCACCAGCCCCAGGGATCGGCCCCCTCGCTGCCCCTCACTAGGGGTCCAGAAAGCTCTCACTAGAAGAGGTGGGCTGCCGCGTTGGAGGGGCGCGGGGCTCACCACGAGCTTCAGCTATGGGATGCGGCCGTCTCCGAAGCTGCAGGTCAGGTTTCCCAGCTGGGAACTTGCCTTCGTCCTAGGACGCAGGACTAGGTTCAATTTAGTCTTTGCCAAACGACATAGAGGCATATAATCACTGAAGAGAAAAAAATTACTTCACGGTACGTATTTCCCGAGCAAGTCAAATCCTTCCCCGGTACAGCCTCGTTGATCTCGTCATCGGGACCTTCCTTGGACATTCGCTTCAGCCAACTTGGTGCCCAACTGCTCGATTCATTCTTAAGCGGTCAGCTTCCTTGGTCTTGCTGACTCTCGCATTCTGAAGTGCCTATTTCTACAACCTGCCACCTGGAATAAAAGCGGCATAATGGCAGCGGACAAGGACCCCATCACCTGTCACATCCTCGACACCACTGCCGGCAAGCCCGCGAAGGGCGTCCGTGTAAAGCTCGAGGGTGGCCACGCGCCTCTCAAGACATTCGAGTCCCAGACCGACGACGACGGCCGTATCAAGTCGTGGCTGCCGTACAGCAGCGAGCACGAGGCTGGCGATGTGCCCATCTACACACTGGAGGAGGTCCTGGGCGAGGTCGACACCACGTCTACCTGGACCCTGCGCTTCTACACCGAGGCATACTTTGGAGAGGGCAATACTTTCTTCCCCGAAGTCGTCGTCACCTTCAGGGTCGCCAAGGGCCAGCATTACCACGTCCCGTTGCTGCTGTCACCGTACAGCTACACCACATACAGGGGAAGCTAGAGAACTCGATGTGCGGATGGGGGATTGAGCGGCAAGGAGAAGATCGTTGGCAAATTTAGCGACAGAGTAACACTCTGGGATGGCTTACGAAGCGTCAGGACACCTCAATGGTATGGCTGACGATTGCGCGATTCGATCGTCGAGTGGTGCTTCCCAATTTAGGAGTGAAGGATCTAGATCAGCCGCAATATCGCAATAGGTACTTGTTGGAAGCCACCTAGACATCTGGCACAAGTGGTTGACAGGCGTCGATATCTTTGAAGGCTGCCACATCGAGGCCCCCTATGCAAATATAATACCATCAGCAGGAAAGCAATGCTTGTGTGTTGAATATCCTTCTCAATGAGATCATTGGGTGACCGGTGATACCGTGCTGTCGCAAATATCAAATTTCGGCGGCTGTGTGATCTTAAGACAGTAAAAGAAAAAAAGGGACAAAACTTAGGGTACATCCTGACCAATCTTCAACGATGGAAGATAACGACGAATCGTCACAATATGTTTGCTGGGCTGTTTTGGAGTGAGCATCTTTCGTGCTGAAACCGCCGAACGATGTTTCAATTGTTGTGTATCTCTCTTCTGATGCATCCCCACGGGTAGTGATATACGCTGCCGTCGAAAATCTAGGCCAACCGTTGTCGAAACGTATGAGTCGATGACATCCGCGCTGTCAAAGCTGGGCGGCGCACCAGACTTGCTCCACGTATCTATTTCGCACAGCGGACAGCATATCATAACGATGGTATCTATTTGGGTAGTTCTTTTTTGGTGATGAAGCATTCCTATTAAACAGATAAACGGTGCTGGTCTAAGGACCATGCCTCAGAGATAGACCGCACCTGGTGGGCAGTATTTCCAAAGAGTCCTTTGAGTTTCATTTCAGCATATGTAAAGAGTGAATATAATATTGAGAGCATAAATTCTTCGTCCGATTTCCACTACAGAACGAACACGACGTACTGGTTGACTGAGACATTAGAACAATATGTCCACACAGAACAATACCCAATTTACCGCTAGTGGTATTGCACGCTTTGCCCAGAATATCGTTGCGTGCATGAGGAAATTCAAGGAAACGCTTTGCTACGGCATAGCTTTCGATATTATTACCGAGTATTTCGACGGACAAAACGATGGAGCGTCTATGCCGCCGGTGGAGCTGGAAGGCATGTCACTCGGTCCAGCAGCTGCTAGGAGAAGTCATCCCAGAGTGCGCGTCACTGCAGGCAAATGAATGTATTTAGTGCGGTGCGGTCTACTGCAAGAAGCAGAACACTTCAAGAGGTTGTCCGTCCTTCTTGAGCAACCACACTGGTCAGTTCAATCTTTGGACTGCGACCGGGTGGATACTGACTGACGTATCAAGACGACTTCAGAAACCCGCGTGCACATCTATTCTTTAGTGGCTCAGATCATGCATGGAATTTGACAAGACAGGATCTGAACATGCTCCGGGAAGACGTTTACGGAGAGACTTCCCATCCCTTTCAAATGGGCGTACTGTGGAAAGGACGTACAGGCTGCAGGCTGTACTAGGGGCAAACATAAGGCGAAACCGTAACGGTGCAAGATGTGCTTGTGAATCGATAATTGAATAGAGAGAAGGACTGCTGAAGTTACCATTCTGCGAGTAGATCAACTTGGTGTTTGATCTGCGAGTGACCCCCCCACAAAGTCTTGCTCGAGACAGTTGTCGACAGTTTTGTATGTAATGTTTGAAGCCCATCTTAGATTTTACCCTATCTAGCGGTGAGAAAGACCGAAACCGACTGTACAGGTTGATTGTGTAGTGGGGTGTGAAAACTCATGAAAACTGCAATCATGTATTGACATGATATAACCCATAAACTCACTTGCCAAGGGGCTGCTTAGAGGACCTCAATGCTACCCCCACCAAAGTGAATCAAGCCTTACAGGGAATGTCACCAACCAAACCATACAGGTATGTAAGTAAACGGCATTTCTCAATGTATCATGTACTTTCTTTCTGATCTTCGCTTATAGGCCTTCCTTGCCGCTACAGGTGTAAGCCGGGATGCAATAGTAGCCGTCACGTGACATCGTGAAGACTGACGTGCACTGTTACAACGCGTTTATGGTGGGGTGCCGAGACCTGGTCACGCGTTAAGTGCGTGAAGTGTTACCCAATCCCGCGTTTTCGCGTCCGTTACCTCGTTTCTGACCAGCCTCCTGGAATGTCTTGGTTCTCATGGGGTATGTAGACTATCAATGACGGTATTAATCACTATAGTGAAAAGCAGACGGAATTCTGCAACACCCACCACGAACCACTAAAAGATGGCCTCTTCTGAAGTGCAGGCCTGGATCCGACGCCTACCAGAGCCGCATAGCGAAGGCCTCTCGCCGCCATCCATTGTGTATCCAGAATCGAGCTACTCGTCCAGGACAACGAGGAAGCTTCAAGATGTCGTCTCGTCCTTACCTTCTCCAACGCCATCGCCCGATATCGACGGCACGTCCTCGACACCCCGTCGCCGCCGCCTAGAGGAAAACGCTGCGACAGTCCGGAAAAGGCCCAGGCATGAAGATCAACGGACTTCAGATCGGCGTGTTATCGCCTTGCCTGCGAAGTCCTCAGCTTCTCCGGGCCGTTCGCGCCCAAAGAGCAGCTCCGCGCGTCGCAGCCGAGGACTCAACGGAGCACGTAGCAACAAGACCACAATCTCGGTGTCGAGCAGCACCATGGCGCAGACAGCAAGTCCACCATGCGAGCCAAGGATGTCAGCATCGAGTATCGAAATCGGACGGGGCACAAGAACGGCTAGGCCATCATCCGCCTTGGAGACGCGTAGTCCTGGCTGGAGTTGGTTGAATCCCATTGATATAAGCAGCATCCCGTCCTCTACCAGCGTCTGGACCTCTTCCTCCTTTGCCCGTCACCGGGCCCCTCAACAACAGCAGCAAAGGGGAGAGAGCCAAGACATGTCTCGGGTTGGCGTTGCGACATCGACGATAACATCAAGTTCGTTGATCTCTAACCCAAGTCCGCTGCCGTCCAGCCCATGTCTGCGACAGCAACGGCAACGCCAAAGACAACCACTGCAAACGCGAGTTGCGAGGCAAGGGCAGCGTCGACCAGAACCTAGAGCATACAGACCAAGGACGGCAACTCTGTCCAGTCCGATGTTGAGTGTTCCAGATGATGATAATGATGCTGCCTTGGGTTGGCCTCAAGAAACAACAGGAGAAGAAGCAAACGTGACACCGCCACCAAATGGCGAAGAAGCAGAAGTGATGCCAGGAAGGATCGTAACCTCGATTGAGGTAGAGCCCTTCCAAGAGGCGCGCCCCAGAGAAGTCGCACAACCGCGACGCCGAGAAGCAAGCGGCGCCAAGCAGCAGCCCATGCTGGCAACAGCGACTACAGACCCCGATCAAGCCCAGCAAGACGGGGAGCATAGAGAGGAACGACCAGATGCGTCGCTGCGGCGGCGACTTACTGGTCAGGGAAGATGCTCCTTCAATGATAAGCATCTCGATCTCCTGTCGTCTGACGATCTCTCTCATCTCCGCCGCAGACTGCGGCACCGGCAGGGACAAAGTGAAATTAGAGAACCCGAACAGGTGGAACACGGCGTTCCAAGTAGTGGACTGCGTACAGCATCGGCCCGGCCGTATACCCCACCGCCCAATTATATCCAGCAGAGCATTGAGACTTCTTCTGTCTCGCTGTCGCTGGGCAATGATAAGCAACAAACCTTGTTCTTCACACCTTCCCTTAATACTCATCTTCAGCCTGTAACTTTTGACGATGCCGATACCAACACAGTCGCTGCCTTATGTTCATGGAACACTGCCGATGGTCGTTGTCAGAGCACGGTCAACAGACAGGGGAGCAGCAGCAACGAAGCTTACACTAACGACACGGATCAAAACAACTTCATCACCTTCATGAACCGCATCTTGTCACTGAGTGTGAACAGAGGAATACTGCCCCAAGAAATGGCCCATGAACTACAAGCCGAGACCCGACACAGGTTGCTTTCACCAGAAGATCAAGACAGCTTCATGCTTGGCCGATCTTCACGTCTTGGATTCCGTCCAAATACTGCCTTCAGGCTCGACGTCGTCGATGATGCCCCTGAGGAGGCCGGTCGGCATCCTTCTGGTCCGTCATCGCTATTGATCAATGCGCGCCATCTTCTGGCCGACTCTGGGCCCCAGGCCGCACTCATGTTCGAGCTTCGCTTTGAATTTGAGTCCCTCCAGGGCATTCTGAGGGCAAGCCGGCAGCTTTTTGGCGCATCGTTGGATGATTTGGGTGGTCGTGGTAACAGCAGTAGTCAATATACTGAGGACTGGGCCGCTAATGTACATTTGCCATTGCTTAATTTGGCTACGAGGTACGCCGCAACATCTGCGGCAAAAGCAAGCAGAAAGGGCAAGGAGGTGGAAGGGTCAAGGAACAAGGTTGGAAGGACAAGTGTGCATGTTTCGAAAAGCGCCATGATGCAGTTGCTTTCTGCCAGTACCGCAAATCAGCGTCGAGGAGAAACCTGCAAGTTGGCAGGGGCTTATGCATGCGTAGTGGCTTCTCAGCCACATAGCAAGTTCGACCGTAAGTTGCGGGATGCATTGGGAGAATTAGATTATGGTTGCCACAAGACGACAGAGCACAGGCGTAGGGTTGATGGCGCGCATCACAGAAGAGCTGGAATCAACCATTCCTCTACGAATCCGACTATTGGCGGCGTTCCGATACGTCGCCTTCCTATTGGCGCAGTCTTCTTAGAACTGCAACCCGGGCGCTGTCATCCACAGTGCCTTCGGTCATCAGGTCCATCGTCACCGTCGTCACCAGCCTCGCGTTGCTGTTTGGACGCCCGCGCTCGACTTGCATTCTGGGCGAGTGCCTGGTATGGTAGGCTAAGTGAGTTCGCCTGCCTCCAGAGGCAGCACCATGACGACGATGCTGCCGCGGCGGCCCAGCTATTGGGTACATCTCCAAGCGGAACAGGGGCAGCGTCTAGAGGAACATTGCCCAAGACACTTGCGAGTAGGCTGATACCTTTGCCTATGGTTGCCATGGACGGTGTGAACTGGTACCTGCTCTTTGTTGTACCAGACGGTTCGAGCCAATTGGCCGGGGATACCAATGATGAACTGACAAAATCTCGAGGTGTGGTGAGTAACCTTTCATAATCTTTATGTTTTCAGATAATCCTTCCCCCCTCTGGAAAGCTTTCAATCGCTAATGCTGCGCCTTTACAGAAACTGACGCAGCCCATGCGTATTGGTTCTACAGACTCCCTGGTAGAGATCTACAAGCTTTTAGCCATCCTGAGGGAGATCGTCAACTGGGTTGGTCGCGATTTCCGATCCTGGTTTGAAGGCCTACTATAAATTCATTTCTGGTGTTGATGGCGGCGCGGCGTCAAGGCACTTTTGAGCATTGGATTGGAATGCTAGTAATTGCATGCTTGGGAACCCCCAGGAACTTATACCACGAGTGTATTATACAATTTCGAGGATTTGGAAATCAAGACATTTCCACAAGTTATAGCTTTGATGAAATTGTGTAGTGATCGCATTGCCGGATAGTCTCCCTTTGGCTATCTTCGATTTCGTCTGCCAATATATTCAATATATTGGGGTTTGTTGGGGTGGATACTGAGCATCTGTCGCAGCACGGACGTGTGGAAACACCAACAGGAGGCATGATACATCTCGAGGCGAGGGGTTTGAGTGATGGGGCAAGTCAGATACTCTGCGAAGAGGGCGTGTCGCGCAGTACCCAAGGCGGAAACCCTTACCCGTGGACACTTAAACGACAGCAACCGCCTGCATTTTCTACATGACCTGTTCATCGCGAAAGCGCATACTCTTTCGTCCATTGTAGTCCGTTGATACCAAAAGCACCGAACACACATCTATGTCCCCTTGCTATGGATCGCTCGCCCAGCGCAGATATTGAAGCCATTCGGCAGCTAGTGGCGAGGTATGCCTTTGCGATTGACAGCCGAGACATCGTGTCGCTCGAGAAAATGTTCATTCCACCAGCAGACGTATCCGAGAATGCGTTCGTCACGCCATGGGTCCCGTCCGAGGGTCAGGCGGCGACCGCTCGGGCCGATTCGGACCCTCACCAGGTTGCCGAGCGATCAACAGCGAGTGAGCAATGGAGGACGGCCCTGGCGTCGTTTGGTCCTAGCTTCCACTTCCTAGGCCAACACATCATCGACATCAAGGGCGACGAGGCCACGGGCATTGCGTATGCAGTTTGTACTCATGCTGTGGAGCCTGGGCCGCGATGGATTACGGTGCAGCTTGTCTATGAAGATGTGTATGCTTTCTGGGACAACAAATGGCTGTTCAAGAAACGAGACATGCACGGTCTCCGAGCCTACGAATCACCGCCTAGCATTGAGAGCTCGGCTGTTCTTCCCTTTGGCCCAGCTCATGATGCACCAGACTGCTGGGCGACATGGCGCGACTTCTGGACAAAAGAGAAGCGGGATGACACTCACGAAAAGCATTCTCAAATTTATTAGGTAAACCCTATTGCATGATCATCATATCATATAATCTAAGATTTGCGACCGTGGAGAGTAATTTTTCTATTCCGCTCCAAGAAATCATTGCATGCAGCAAAAAATAGTAGAGGGAACTTATCGTTGTCTACTCATCCCTGGCAGGTTTCCCTGCAGTACAAAGGGATTGAGGGCTCTGCATTGTGAAAATGGCGTATAGAGGGTCTTGAGTATGTCAAAGGCAAGTCCAATATTCTAAACCACCAATACAGACGCCAACCTTTAAAATAGACCGCGTGTCCATGGTGGGCCGCTGATGAGTGGGCCGAAGTATACGATGCCAAGTCGTGGGTGGCCCGTGTTTGGGCACTGATTGACGTCGTCATGAAACCAAAGGATCACATAGCTGTTCAGAGTATGGCCATTAACCGTGAGTGAATTGAATCATAAATTCGATTGAATCAGTCTGCCATTCCTAGTGGTGGCATGAAGAATGGGGCTGCGATCGTGAATTATGCCTCGTGAGACTGAGCCACGTCACCACAGCCTCCAAGACCATGACGGATACATGTGGCCGACTTAGGGTATGTCTAGGTGTAGTAGCATCCAAGTCTGGGCCATTGCAGAATCCCGATCATCGCCAGAAGTGGATGCCTTCTCCTGCTGCTATTCCTCATCGGAGACAGCTTCAAACATCACGTTCTAATGACATTGTTCGAGGTGTGCAGTGCGAATCGACCCACCTAGTCGAAGGGTGTGCCATGAGACCTGACGCGTGTTCGCTGAGAGATTTTCCTTTACTGTCGGTTGCTCTTCTGGAGTCTTTCCAAATGCATGAATAAGGTTCGTGAAACATGTGGCACACTATAGCTGACTCGCGACGTTGTCCCTGACTAAAAGTTTTGACAGAACCTTCACATGTACCCCGATTTTCCTGTGCCACTGGTGCTCAAGGCTTACAATCCGACTCGTCACTAGATCAATGCGGCTCCCCATCTTGTGTTAGCAGCCGCGACACCGGGACATCGACGTCTCCTGGCAATTGGAGGCGAGGCTAGAAAATGCCGTGGAACTTCGAGAAGCCCCGCCACCTACCAACCGCCATAGGGGCTCGATGTGATGTGGGCTATGATGTCTGACTAGCTTCTAGTTTATGTGATTTTACGGCTAGTCGGAGGCCGTTATAGCGTGGATCTCGTCGCCATGGAAGCTACAAGCGAGTCTAGAAGTAAATGCCGTGGGCTTGCAGAACGGTGAGTGCCATAGGGGATCGGGACTTATCCGAAGCGGCATTGATCTAGTCATTTAGTACCATGCGGGCGTTGAGATCGCAGCCGTTGGGGTGGGACAGGTAGGCGCGTTGTTGCGTATATAAGATCAGTCTGATGCTGATCATTCGGATTGGTATTGGTCTTTCCATCACAAACTCATTACATTCTCTTGACAAGTCTTGACCACAATCACTTCAAACACTCACTCATTGTTTACGAGTCTCTCTTTGGATACCCAAACCACTCTAGACGAGATAGGTTATACCTTCACTGCCTTCATTACAAGAGGACTTTGACTTTCTTTCAAAAACCACACTACTTTTTCACAATGGCTCGCTTCACCAGCATCGCTCTCTCCATGGCCTGCGCCATTGGCTACGTCTTCGCCAGCTCCGGCGACATGACCTACTATGCCCCAGGCCTTGGCTCCTGCGGCGAGACCAGCAACGAGTCTGATGCCGTCGTTGCTCTTGCACCAGGCCAATTCAGCGGCAGCAACCCCTGCGGCAAGAAGATCACCATTACCGCCAAAGGCAAGACTGCTTCTGCTACCGTGGTCGACAAGTGCCCCGGATGCTCTGAGGATTCCATCGATGTCTCGCCAAGCGTCTTCGAGAAGTTGGCTAGCTTGGATGACGGGCGTGTCAAGATTGAGTGGGAATTCTCTTAAACGAAGAGTACTGGGACGGGATAGATGATATTTGTACAAAGATGGAAATAAGGCCAGGAGCCAGAACCTAAGGATTGCAGGACATGACATAGGGTCACCATCGAAAGCCAAGGGCTTGTACATGCGATATGAGCCATGAAACACGTTCGTTACGAATGAACAATATGAACATCTGATAAATATTCAAACAAGCCTTGACCATGCTACGATGAAAAGTCAAACGTGATTAAGCTAGTTCCTTCTTCACTTGATGCTATACGTGTGCTCTTACTACTCGCAGCCCGTGAAATATGCTTTCTCAAGAACAAAACCCTGCCCATAAATCTGCACCTTCCTATATTGTAGAGCTGCGCCAACGCATGTTTTGATATTTCCCGGTGCTCAACTAGTCTTTCCATAGAACACATAGTGGGCTCTGCTGCAGTGACAGCTTGAGAGTTGGAGCTGAAATCATGAATATCTGTCTTGCAGCCTTGAAGGAAGGTCTAGGTTCCTCAAAAACGGAAGCACCATAAAGTTTTGCTGTTTGCTGCCTTGGAGCAGGAACATCGTAATCAGGCACTTGAAGAGGGCGACCACAAATCCGCACTCGCCGGAGTGGATCAATTCGTTCATATCATCAACACTTCTCAAGACACAAGGCCCCAACCCGATCTTTCTATTCAAACATATTGCAGGTAGCAAGCAGAGACCTTGACTTCTATCTCCTGTGACACTCTGCCTAACTGCCACCATCACTGCCCGTTCGGCCTGACGACCATTTTATCTCTTCGCAGCTGCCGGATCTAGACGGAGAGACTGTTGTTTTCACTTAACTCACTTTGATTTGGGGAGCTTGTTTCTCTTTCTGCTTGCGATTAAAAGCCATTCTGAGAGCTCAGTCGATTTTTCCTCGATATTTCATCCTCTCCACATATCATCACGAAAACCACTTCTCGCAATGGCGCAACTTTCTCGATAGGTATGCTTTTGATGCTTGGGGAAAGGTTACAAACACGGCGTGCCTGTCAATCGTCATGGCGAGAGACTGCTAGTCAATGCCTTCTCACTTACGAGCATCGATGATGAGCTCAGCAGAATCCCCATGAACGAACACATGGTTGAAAATCTGGGACCGAAACATAAAAAAAAGTTTCGACGCCGCTCGAGTTCCATGTTACTAGGTGGGTATGTACACCCCACGAAGCACACGGATCCGATTGGCCAAAGAAGCCATCATACGCGTGTACGACTACAAGAAAGCATTGAAGGGCCTCAAGCAAGACCCGCAAGCACTGCGAGTAGTTGCTGTAATGTACAACTGTGCGCCTGAGCAACGACCTTATTCCAACGACGACTACGTTTCTACGCTCTTCGAAAAAGGAAATCTTGGTCCCATCGCGTCTACAGCTACACGATTGAGGAAAAAGAGATACTTTTCTTCAGAGATTTCAGAAGTCCATTCGCCAGTACTTTTGCCACGAGAGCTCAGAGCAGTTTGAGAATGACTAAGGCATGGATCGTGAGACACGAGCAGGATGCGCTCAGCGTTGCAAGTCCTGCTGACAAGGAGCGTGCCAGTGGTCCATCTAAGCCTGGAGTTGAGCAACAGGTGGTAGTGCGAAACAGTGAGGAGCCACTGGAAATGAGCAAAGGTGGCGGCGCGAAAGAAGCAAAGCATGGCCAGTATACCGAGGATATAAATGTCTCAAAGGGGGCCCAGAATCACACCCAGCTAAATGAACGTGATTATAGAAATCAACAGGCCGATGTCATATATATGAATCTTGCTCATGCGAGCGAGGGACACCGAGGGCTCTTGGAGGAACTCAGTAGCTACGTTGATGATACGAAACGAGAAATTCTGCGAAACATACTTTGAGAAACAATTAGATGCCTAGAGTGATGCCATTCTGGTATCATGAACCACATGGCCGAAATCTTCCAGGTGAACCCCCCTGTCCAGACCTGGTGAAGACGGTGGCGACCCCTGAATGCATGGAAGCGAAAATATGCACCAAGCGCGGCTTTGGAGGGGCAGCGTCATACGGACGACACCAGAGCTGTCCAAGATATTCCATCGCCCTCCAGATCCCAGCCAAGCGACTCAGTTCCCTAGTTAGACTGCGACCACATTTCTTCTCTTTCCAGGCCTTGGATTTTCCACTCATAGACAACCTGCAACTGCGCGATTCCCACCCGCCGCCTCTCGTTGGCTAATTCTTGTTCGGCGCCAACAGCTACACCCTCAAAACACACCCCTCCGTCGCCGTAGCCCGCCATGTCCTCCACAGCCATCGTCTCGGGCGACGACGCCCTGGACCCGTCGCTGCAGTCGATCCTGGACCAGAAGTCGCTGCGGTGGATCTTCGTGGGCGGCAAGGGCGGTGTGGGCAAGACGACGACGTCGTGCTCGCTGGCGATCCAGCTCGCCAAGGTGCGGCGCTCGGTGCTGCTCATCTCGACCGACCCGGCGCACAACCTGTCCGACGCCTTCAACCAGAAGTTCGGCAAGGAGGCCCGCCTCGTCGACGGCTTTGACAACCTCAGCGCCATGGAGATCGACCCCAACGGCAGCATCCAGGACCTGATGGCGGGCCAGGCCGGCGAGGACGTCGACGCCATGAGCGGCGGCATGGGCGGCATGATGCAGGATCTCGCTTTCGCTGTAAGTGAAACACCCATGCGCACACGGTCTCTACGTTTAAGTCTTGTAGCAACAATGCTGACTGTGTCGCCGAACAGATTCCCGGTATAGATGAGGCCATGTCCTTCGCTGAGGTCCTCAAGCAGGTCAAGTCCCTCTCCTACGAGACCATCATCTTCGACACGGCGCCGACCGGCCACACATTGCGGTTCCTGCAGTTCCCCTCGGTGCTGGAGAAGGCGCTAGCCAAGATCAGCCAGCTGTCGTCGCAGTACGGGCCCCTGCTGAACGGGTTCCTGGGAGCCAACGGCACGCTGCCCAACGGGCAGAACCTCAACGACATGATGGAGAAGCTCGAGGGCCTGCGGGCGACCATCAGCGAGGTCAACACGCAGTTCAAGGACGAGAACCTGACGACGTTCGTGTGCGTGTGCATCGCCGAGTTCCTGTCCCTGTACGAGACGGAGCGCATGATCCAGGAGCTGGCCAGCTACGGCATCGACACGCACAGCATCGTCGTCAACCAGCTGCTGTTCCCCAAGCAGGGCTCCAGCTGCGACCAGTGCAACGCCCGCCGCAAGATGCAGAAGAAGTACCTCGACCAGATCGAGGAGCTGTACGACGAGTTCAACGTCGTGCGCATGCCCCTGCTTGTCGAGGAGGTCCGTGGCAAGGAGAGGCTGGAGAAGTTCAGCGATATGCTGGTGCACCCTTACGTGCCCCCGGAGTAGAGCGGGCCGTATCCTGTCTGTTTATGTCTGTCTGGAGGGGACGGTTATGGGCGTGGGCGACCTGAAGCGTGGTGCGTTACCATGATAGGGGAAGGCGTTGGGTCTTCTTGTCAGACTACGGTCTTTAGATAGTCACATACAGCACAATTACGAATAAACGAAATCACGTAAAACTCAATATTCAAGGATTCATCACATTTCTTCTTTCGTGTTTATTAAAAGTCATATTCATGCGTTGCCGCTGCTTCTGCGGATCTTCGCTACGTTGGTCTCTATAGACATCAAAACCAAGACAAATGCAGTCCATTCCTTAACCATTTCCGTGCAGTCCACTCTGCTGGTGGAATGAGCTCCTAAAACGCCTTTCCCCAAACTCCTAATCCCCTTTGCGATGCGGTGATTTGCCGGTGACAGATTCGCAATGATGCCTCCCTGGAAAAACACTTCGTTGTAACACTGGTGAAAATCTGAATGGATGGCTGATAATCCTCTGCTCTTCCTGGTGTCAGAGATCGATGCGAGAGGAAGACAACGGGTAGACTATGGCCAATGTTCCAGCCATGTGATGAGAATCAACTCCCGAGGCAAGAGCAGTGCGCACACGCGAGGTGCAACACTCACAATGTTCGGTAGTCGCTCGGCCGGTTGCGCACCCGTTTGTTCTGATGTCTGTTGGGGTTGACCGGCTTGCGGAAGTAGGCATCATCATCATTACTCGGCTGGGTGAAGTTGGGACGGTTAGGGCCCTGCTGGAACCCTCCGCGGTTGGGATTATTATTATTCATGTTGCCCATGCCCATGCCCATGCCCATGTTCCCCATGTTGCCACCGCCGAAGTTTCCTCCGAAGCCGCCGCCCATGTTCGGCGGGAAGCCCATTCCCATCATGGGATTCATGTTCATCATATTCATAGGCATGTTGCCCATCATTGGCATGCCCATGCCCATTCCCATGTTGGGGAATCCACCCATGCCCATCATGGGGTTCATGCCCATCATGCCGGGCATTCCCATCATGCCATTCATCATCATCTGCTGAGAGTCCTGTTGCCCTTGGGCCATTCTCATGGCTTTTGGGCCCTTTGGGATTTCCAGTGGCTCATCAGCCGGTCGCTTTTTTGACATTGGCTCTTCGGGTTTCTTGGGACCATCCCCATTGGCGACAGGGTTGGGCGTGGTTGAAGGCGATGCGGAAGACGCTGGCTGTTTTGGTGCTTCTGCCGGCGGCGACTTGATTGACTCTACGGTCGGCGATGGTGACTTGGTGTCAGCTTTGTTCGTTGTGTCGGCTTTCGTCTCTGCCTGGTCCGGTGTCGAGTCCTCGGGTTTGGTGGAAGGGACATCACCATCTTCCTTAGTTTCAGCGGGCGGGGACTGGGCGTTGACGGGGCTCTTTGACCTCTCCTTCTTGGCCTGCTCCTTCTCCTTGATGTAATCCTGGATCTTAGTAGAAGCCTCCTCGTCGGGCTTGAGATCATCTATGAGTACCCCATCTGTCTGGCAAGCAGGGCAGACAAAGTCACTCTCAATGAGAGCATTCGTGATGCAGTCATTGCAATAAGTCTTGTCACAGCATGGCGTTTTCATGGGATCTATGAGTAGTCTCTTGTCGATTGAGCAAAGCAAGCCCTTCTCCTCGAGCTCCTTGTCCCCATCTGCTGTTGCCTTCTGAGTGGAGGCAGCCGTCTTGGACTTGGCTTGAAACTGTTCCCACGAGGCCTTATCTGGTTCTGCAATGACAAAGTCTCCATCTGCATTCACCATGACACCGGCGGGTGGCTTGATTCCATCTTCACCATCGCCCTGCTGCAGCGCCGACTTGTCTACCGTCTTCAAGAACGAACGAGGAATACCAGTAGTTCGTTTGACCCTAGGCCTGTTGTCGAATTCAGGGTTGTCGTTGGTGGGACACACTTGTATCCAGTGGCCCTTCTGACCGCAGCGGTAACAGATGTAGCCGTTGGGTGGCTCGTGATCGGGCACATTGACGGGTTTCTTGGCCCCAGGCTTATAGACGGGGGCCTGATGAGCCATCTCCTCCTGCTGAGCTGACCATTGATCCGATTGGACCTGGAACATGGCTGCCAATTTCTCCTCCTCCGTCAGAGCATTGCTCATCTGCGTCAGACCTTGGGTAGAGGGCTTTGTCGTTTTGACCGTTGCCTCACGCCGCGAAGAGTTTTTGGCACTGTTGGGCATCTTTCCCGAGACGTATCTAGCGGCACGGCCTGCACCCGGTTTTGCGGGTGGAAGTCGGCGTGCGATGACTGTAGTCGAGCGGGGGATGATAGCGAGGTCATCTTCGTATTCTTCAAGATTGTCAGTCACGCTGGTTGGAGAATGAGTGGCGCCCGACTTACCTTCGCTTCCATCTTCGGCGTAGATAGCAAGGTCGAAATCAGTGCCATCACCAAGGCCGCTCAGCTTGATAATGTCACGCTTTAGCTCGAACACTGAGATACCTGTCCCGTCGAACTCGACCCGCGAGGGCTCCTTCTGCGACTTGAACTTGTAGAACACTGAGGAAGTCATTGTGAATAGAGGGGCAATGTGAAACTGGTGGGGAGGATAGGAAGACCGAGCAGGCGGCGTGTCCTGACGATCCCGTTGAGATGGATCTCAAAGAACAAAGTAGACGATGTGCTTGTGTCAAGACTACCAGATGTGAGGCGCAGGGATGCCAGTGCAGAGATCTGATGTTGACGGAATCCGGATTTCGTTCTGAGTGGGGAGGTGATGTAGATGTTTGCGAGTCGGGGTTTGCGTGTTTGCGCTGCTTTTTTTGCTTTGCGGTTTCTCTCTCTCTATGGTGGTGACTGTGCTGTCCCAATTTCTTTCAAGTGACCAACTGGCAAAGTGATGGACGGGAATCAATTTTCTGATTGTAGATTGAAAGAACAATAGAGGCCCGCAGTCCTCAGATAAGGAAAAAAACGAAAAGCAGCAAATGTGATGTACAAAGCCAAAGGCAAGACTTGGCCACCGAATCAACAGTTGTGATTGAAAGGTAGAACAATCTCCCTCCTAGTCCCAAGCACACCACTCCAAGAATACCGATCTCAACTTCTTGTTAGCCTTGTCTCCTCTCCAGCCTACCCTACGAGAGAAATGAGATGGGCGCGGAAGAAACGGTCACGATGGTGTTGTGCCGACAGTCATCGCTCAGTGGTAGTGTTGCGTGCGACACACGATTCACGGCCCAGCAGAGCTAGCACGCTGGCGGTTCACGAGGACGGAGGATACTGTGATCACACGGAACGCGGAAACGAAGCGACGGGATCGGTGAACGTCGCGCTGATGGCGATGATGAGGGCGAGGTCGTAGGGCGATGGAGAAGCGTCGTGGAAGGTGATGAGGAGATGAGATGTGGCGGGATGGGGGAAGCGGCGCGGGACGAGAAGGAAATGCGCAGAAGGAGCAGATTCTGCGCTAGTCCAGGCCCGTCATCTGATCACGTGCTGGCTCTCAAAACCTTCTCATTCTCGCTGCCTGAGCTAGGCCCCGAGATCGCAGGCAGAAGCGACATCTGACGAACTCTCCGTTGCAGCTGCTGGCAGCTGGCGCCATTGAATGAACTCACTTGCACTTTATTACCTTTCCAGACACTAAAGCCTAATACACTTTAAGTGCTTGACACCTGCAAGCAGAGCATTCTCCAGATGTATTGGTAAGAAGTATGTCTGCAGGATACCATTAAGTCTATGTGATACCTTTTCCCACTCTACCGTGAGTCTACTTCCAAAACGCCGAAAAGCAACGAGAACGCTTGCAATTGTGATGTAACCAACGCAGATGATGAAACGCGCATCTCATTCGAGCGCAAATGCCGACCAACCGGATCTGACTCCCAAATGTTTACCAGGCTCCAATCAACCTTCACTAGAATAGAAGCAATGCTGCCAATCCGGCCAATCCGAATGCAAACGAACGGAGGCCGCTAAAGTCGTACTTTGCCGCTGCGCTTGTCGTTCCGCAACAGCTCCTGCTGTATGTGACGTTGTTCAAGTTCGCTGCAGCTTCGAAGACCGATCCGGGATAACTGCCAACACTATAGTAGTCGACATTCAGAAAATTCGGTGCTCTGCCCCACGTCTTCAAGCAGTTCTCGCCTGCTAGACCCAAACTGCCTGTTCCGTTGACCGCGTTGGTCACATTAAGCTCTCCGCGAGCGGGCACCAGCATGGACGTTCCGAGCAGAGACAACTCGACATTCAAGTTGTGATTGGTAAGGTACAGGCGGTTTTTGGCGTCGTCATCGGACAAGTCCGGAGGCCGCTGGACTGTACAGGGGAAGTTGTTGTCAATAGGGTCGAATGGAGTTTCCCACATTTGTGAGAACTCATCCAGAAGCCAAGGGTACTCGGTCTGGTTGGCCATGTAATCCAAGAACATGACCACTCGTTTGCCGCTGAGAATCATCTCGGCTAGGGTTGGCCAGTCATTCAACGTCATTGGCACCAAGGGGGGCGTGTAGACATAGTCCAAAATGCCAGTGGACTCGATGTATGGCACATAAAGCGATGGGACAGAGCTATTTAGTAGTTAGCTCTGCAATACCGACATTGAATTGTTAATATTAGCTCGGAAAGGTGAGCACCTACTAGTTCCCGTTGCCTAGAAGGATCGTCACAACATCGTACGGGTGGCTGGCTACCCAGTTCTTCACAGTTGTCAGCCAGTCCGTAATAGGGCCAGCATCCAGGATATCGCAGCTGGTATGGCAGAAGTGTGGTTGTGAAGCATTAGTCGGCCACTGGATCTGGGCTTGGATGAAACGGACGCCATCATTGAGCTGATAAGTAACGTCGTACTGCTGGTTTGCCGCCAGGTTATTCGGGGTGATGAAGGGAGAGTTGTGGCAAGCCACCTCAGTGATGTTGCTGTACTTGCGGTTGCAAAACTCCGGATAGTTGTTGCACGGTCTTGTGTTTGTGACAGTTGGGGTCGCCATTGTGGTTGTGGAAAAGTTGCCAGTGGCCGTTGATGTAAGCGATCCGGTAAGGTAGGTTCTGGTATCCGACGATGTCGAAACCCTTGATTGTGAAAAGTTACCGCTAACGAGCGAGGAGGCAACATCTGACATTGTACCCAAATCCTGAGTCTCTTGCGAAGCAAATGACAGGTACGTCCCTGTTGGAGTTTCAACCTCCGTGACGGAAGCTGTGCCTGTCTCCGTTGTTCTCGGGTCGTCGACCGTGATCTGCCCGAGAGCCCCAGCGCAGGCCATAAGCAGGCCTAGCACCCGGATCGCCATCTTGTGGTGTATGGCCGTGTGTGTACTTGAGAAGGATGCCGCAAATACTGGTACAAGAAAGCGTACTACAAACAACACATCCTCTACCGAGAAAAGTGCAGATGGCAGAGGTTGAAAAATGACTTGTAGGCGACGTCAGAAGCTACGGCTTTGAGCTAGTAGTTGGTACCGTGGGACTGCCAAGGGTGTCCAAGCAGAGACGCCAATGACCCCGAGATGTCCGGGATATATTCAATGCGTGCTTTCGTTGATTGACAGAAACGAGTGATGAGGAATTTACTGATCTGAGACTCGCTGGGCAAGGCCGTCATGAAAACGGGCCAGACAGGGTCCTCACAGGGTGGTGGGCGATGGGCAGATGGGATGAATGGGTACTCCAGGGTACTTCTCATTACTGCCCAGGGATTTGCTACATCAAGATTTCGGCACGGCGATTGGCAGCGCTATTTGGGTTGCCGTGGACCCGGCAGCAGCTACGCGTCCCAGCATTAGGGGCTGGACTGGTCGGCACCGGCACTGGTCAAGGCCTGAAGGGTCGACTATTACCTCCCACCTGAGAGCTATGACGTCTTTCCGCCGAGCGTTGCTGTTAGTGTTGCGTGCTGTGGAGCGATTGGCGGACGGCTAAGTCTTTCTTTCATGCATATCTCGCGGCTAGCCGTTGATCTGAATCAGTGTGCCGACGAACATCATTACCTTCAGTTGTTTCACGAAGAAAAGTCTGTCTGCCAGGATCTCAAAGCCGCCTAGTCCCCTGTGGAAAGTCGGAAGTTGGGAAGGTCTGAACCAGACACTGGAGCATGTTGCATGGGGACGTTTGACAAAAGCTTAAAGACGGGCTGAGTCCGCCAAGTAAGCGCCGGAATGCCGGGTCAAGCCTAAAAAGCTGCCGTAGTCCAGCGCAGGATTGCGGTTCCGAGTTCCCTGACACCAACCAACTCCTCATCGGAGCTGGGCGATACGATGCCCACAGGGGCACCCGGGGCACCCCCTACCGCCCTGCTTTGGCGAATTCAGTCGAATGTCAGTTTCGTTGCCGCTCAACAGCTCTAGATGGGCAGAAGGCCCACGCAATCAGGCCGTAACCAGGCTGCAGGTGCTGCTCCGCCACTGCACGGAGCAAATGGCGGGACACCGTCCAGGGCCTCGGGGACTCTAGCTAGAGGCTAAATCTCAAATACGGGTCCTGCAGCAACGAACGGACGGATACATAGGAGTACTTCTGGCCAAGGCCCACGTCACTGCCTGCAGGCTCAGTACCACAGTAGATTGAGACCCTGGTGATCCTGATCTCGTCTCTGGATCGTCCGTTTTGGAGATCTCGAGGGGCATGGGATGTTTTCTTTCAGCAAACAAAACTAGTCTCTCTCACCTCAAGTACCCCGGCCTACCAATCCAACCCACGAGCAGGCTCAAGTCAGCTGCGGCCTCACCAGTCTCGTCGACTCGAGCAGCAACTACTCATGGCACTTCCAGGATTCCGCAAGAGACGTGCTGCTGCGTCTCCGGGCGCAGACGACGTTAAAGATGGCCCTCTGCCGCAAGATCAGCTCGACATAAAGAGAAGAACGAAAACGCGGCGAAATGCCATCATCACATCCTGTTTCTGTTACTTGGTAGCAGTGGTATTCCTCATTCTTGTGAGTCTCATTTTGTGAAAGTCTGGGAGCCACCCCTAATTAGTCGATCAGGTCGAAGTAGGCAATACCAACGGTTCACGTGTGCGAGGCGACATCTACTTCTTCAGATTGGATCTGGCAGATATCATGCCCTCTTCAGTATCCGGGTTGAGCAGCTTGACTTTGACAAACTCAATTGCGAGGACTCTGGGGTTACATGATTTCTATCAAATTGGTCTGTGGAACTTTTGCGAGGGATACGAAGATGAGTAAGATCAACGTTTCCGGATACATTTCAAATCAACCACGCTGACTGGCTATACAGAGGAATTACCAGTTGTTCAACGCCTACGAACCTTTGGTGGTTCAATCCTGTCGAGATCCTGCAGAGTGAACTTCTTGCGGGTGCATCAATTGCCTTGCCCAGCGAGGTCAACACTGTGTTGACCATTCTTCGTATTGCCTCACAAGTGATGTTCGGTTTCTTCCTAGCAGGCCTAGTCTTGAACTTTGTCCTTATGCTGCTCGCCCCGATCGTACTCTATTCACGGTGGTGGAGTTTACCGTTCTCTCTCTTCTCATTCCTTGCGGCTTTGATGGTGATAGCTGCCGCTTGCGTGGCCACAGTCATGGCGCTGGTATTCAAGTATGCCTTGACATCGCAGACCGAGCTCAACATCGTGGTTGTCATTGGTACCAAGATGTTTGCCTTCATGTGGATCGCCGCCGGCTTCACACTTTTGGCATTCCTCATCCACGCGGGCATGGGTTGCTGCTGTACATCCCGCCGCGATATCCGCACTGGAAGGAAGGGAGGAAGGAATATGGCAGCATCGCCGAGCACTTCTGAGAAGCCGAGCCGTGGTTACAACCTACCCACATTTGGAAGGAAAACTGTTGCTTCTTCAGCTTAAAGGTCTTGAACGCAGAAGTTTAATTCCAGCTTGCGACTGGTATTCTTCTAAGCACGTATAATTGAAATTCAATGGAATCAAATGGGAACCGACAGATCGGTATTTGTACCAAGTATTGGGACAGGAGTAATGATATAGACATGGAGGGGAGTTCTTTAGAGGATATAGCATAAAATGGCAGTTAGTTTGGTTAAATCGAGCGTTAGCCTTCTTGATAGTTAAAAGGAGCCAACATATTCTGGCCGTACTTCGTTAATCATGCTCAAGAAAAGCAACTGACCCATTGTAAGACTCAGAAGAGTCACCACAGGTTGTTCCTCGGGTAAGATTCACGACGTAGAATCCCCACCGCCCCCATTTGTCACAATTCCGCCAACATTCCAGCTTCGCAACCTTGTCGAAGAGGTTTGCCCCTTCCTCCTCTTCTCAACGGAAACCTAGAGCTTACTGGTCACGAGTGGTGGGAGACAGCGTGGCTAGCACTACGTCCTTTTCTCTTTCAAGATATTCCTCAAACGTAGTCAATCGGATGCCATACTTGTCCTGAAGGGCTTGTCCGTCCAATTCGAGGAATTGCCGATTCGCCCACAGTTGAAACCTCTGCACGCCGACCTTCTTGGCCGCCTCGACAACCTCCTCTGGAGTCCGCTTCCTAGCCTTGACCTCCCGGCCGCTGGCCTTACTGAGAGCCTTCGCCGTATCTTCAGGCGTCAGGTTCTGGCAGCCAAGCTCGATCTCGTGGCCTCCGAATTTCTCGGGGTCCAGCAGGGCTGCAGCAGCGAACTTGCCAATGTCGTCCACGTCGATGTGAGCAATCGCAACGCCCTCGTTCAGCGAGTGCATAAGTTCGCCCTTCTCCCTCATACCGGGATAGTAAAGATCCGTTTCAGGTAGGAGATAGTTGGTGTGAAACCAACCCGGGCGGAGGATCGTCCACGACTTCAGCGATGGCTGCCGTACCTCCGACTCGACAGCAGCCTTGGACTCGTAGTACACGGCTAAGCCCTCCTTCTTGTTTTCTTCGTCGTCCCACTTCTCTCGGTCGCCGGTCCAGAAAGCAGTCGATACTACAACAGTCTCGACGCCGGCCTCGATGCTCGCTTGCACAACCACGCGAGCCTGGCGCACCTCCGCCTCCTTGTTAAAAGGAAGCGGCACAAGGAATAGACCCTTGCACCCCTTGGCTGCTTCGCGAAAAACGTCGTAGTTCTCATTGTCCCCTTGGAAAAGAACCACGCCCTGCTTCTTGAGGGCTTGGGCCGTGTCCTTCTCCGGGTCTCGAACGACCGCATGGACCTTTGCGCCAGCCGCGAGAAGATGCTTCACAGTTGCCGCACCCTGCTTGCCCGTTGCGCATGTTACGAGATAAGTGGCCATTGTACTTTATACCTAAGTGTGGTGTAGTAGTGATAGCTATATGTTTTCTGTCAAAAAAGTTGTAGTGAATCTTTACCAGGTAATATCACTCTGCTTGATTTGTAATACCGTCCAGCGCCTGTGCCACACGCTGGCGTGTATACAAGCGAGGCATTAGTATTGGCTGCAATTGCTGGGCTCATGGCTGCAGGTTCGAATGTCTGTCAGCCCAGGTGAAGACAGCTCCGCCGGCGCTTTACGTTTTCGCTATGACCAACCCCTTTAATACCACGAGGCAATAAATTCCGAAGGCAGCTCGCGACAGCGCGAAGCGTATCCGTTTGCCGGAAAACGAGTATTCAGCTGCATTTTGCTCCAAATTCTGTGTTTATAACCTTTTCGCCGCTTGCAACCTTGTTCCTTTAGATGGGACGGGATGGAACCATAGCTGGCACAACTGTCCTATCCCCAGCAATATTATAGCTCGCCCGATCCTGACCCGATACCGGGCTAGCTCCGACTCCCCCGCGTCCCACCCCGAGATTCCATATAAGCGGGCTGATTTCGTGACTTGAGAAGGAAGAACGTCATTTGAAAAGCACCTTAGATCCTTTCGCTATCGACGCTCCTTGGAGAATCATTAAAACCACCGAAGCCATCTTCTCACTTCATCATCTCAATAACTATACAACACCATCGAGCTGCCCGCCCCAAGATGACCAATACAAGCGGCTCAACGGCAACGGGACCCCTGATCTCGGGCATAGCTCACGTGAACCTCTCGATCCCCGTAGGAACACTGGACCACGCCAAGTTCTTCTACGGGCAGACGTTGGGTCTGACGCCGCGCGCCGTACCGGTCGCCCAGGTCGACTCGCTGGCATGGTTCGACATCGCCGACTCGGGGCAGCAGGTGCACATCTCATACCAGAAGCACGACCAAGACACGACGGTGCCGAACTCGAGTCGCCATCCGTGCTTCCGTCTCGGCTCGCCCGAGGCGCTGGTCGCGCTGCAGAAACGCATCCTCGCACACCACCAGGAAGGCGGCAAGGCCGCGCCGATGCACTGCGACGAAGTCGGCGAGAGCTCCGGGGAGAAGACGGCTGAGTATCCGACGAGATTCTTTGCCAGGGATTACTCGGGGAATCGCCTGGAGTTCTCGCTTTAGTTTGGGGCCAGCGCGGGAAAGGGGGAAGGTGCTGCATTCGCCGAGGTTTAATTCCTGTTATGTGACTATTTTGTGGCGGAGTGTTTTATCTCGCCAATTGGGAACTCTTTGTGAGCCAGTGAAGGTGGAGATCACAAGTGTGCATACTGCTGGTTATCGGGGTGATTGTCAGTATATCACGGGGTGCGGCTTGATGGTACTCAGCGCGGACGGCTGTCAAGTTCAGACTGAAAATTCCGTTGCTATTTATATTATGCCAGATCATAACTCATTCCATCGTCAGAGCTCCAGCCCATAAGCTGCAATTGCGGTCCCTGCCCAGATCCGCTTCTTTTCGTCGTCCGTCAGAGAGGCCATGTAGCAGAGTCTCTCGACCAGCTTCTGCCACTTGCCCCAGGCACCGTCAACCCCCACAGTGCACACAGGCCAGTCGCTTGCGAACATGATACGCGAGGGCCCGAAGGCCGCGAGCACAACACTCAGCCACGGGCTAACTGCCTCGAAGATCTCTTCTGGGGATCTCTTCTTAAGTGAGTCGCTCATCTCAGGGAAGCCGCCCGAGAGCTTCATGTAGACGTTGTCGGCCTTACTGAGTGTGAACATAGCTGTCCGCCATGCAATGTAGGACGTGTCAGTGAGGACGTTGTAGACGGTGAGATCGGGCTTGCACATGTGGTCTAGTAAATCGTAAGCAGTATTTCAGAATGGCAAGGCACAGGGCTCTTACTGATGATAAAGACGACCTTCTCGTTGTCTGGGACTCCCTCATGTGCCCGATCGATCATTTCGACAGTCTCCTCCAACTGAATTCTGCCGCGTTCATGTTGGTTGACGCCCAGGTCGAAAACCAAGCCCTTGCGTCCAAGAAGCTTCAAACTCTCGATGAAATTATCAGTCAGGCCCGTCCCATCGGGCTTGTCCTGCAAGAGGTATCTGAAGCCCCTGACCTTCTTCCAGCTGTCTCCGGCTTCCTTCTGCGCTAGCTCGATGTACTTCTCCATGGCCGCAGGTCCGCTCGGCAGAGGGGCCCAGGGAATGTAGGCCGCACATAAACTCGCATCTTCCTTGGTGTGGCCTTCGCCGTCCTTGGGCTGGCCAAGAGCAATGCGCTTCAACCACGAAACTTCCTCGAGTGGATACTTCCAGCCGCTGCCATCCTTGACCCCGGCTTCTAGGTCATTCTTGCGGTCTGTCTCCAGGAAGACGAAGCCCTTTACAGGGTTTGGGGACGACGAGAAAGCAGCTTTGTATTCCTCAAGAGAGTGTTGTTTGGCCAGGGGACTGTCCGGGGTACACCAAGCCAGCGTCTCAAGCTCTGACTTGGGGTAAAGGTGGATATGAGCGTCGATGATAGGGATATCTGAAGCCATGTTCAACGGTCGAATCCGGTACAATACGATGCCCCGTGTGGTGGTCGTTGTAATTGTAACAACGTTATATGTCGAGGTCTGTCTGCTGCGATTTCTTCAGAGCTGATACTGTTGTTGAAGCCTTCAGCTGTGTTGAAACTCTAGCTCAGGAGAGAGCTCCAGGTTCAGGAGCAGTCGAATACCCCGCTACTTGCTGTTGTCCACCGCCCCACCGAATTGGACGTCGATCATTGCACCGAATACCGACAACTCAGGAGGCTACTGGAGGGTTAGGGGATGGTTTGGTGGACAACTCACTAAAACTTCTTTTCCTTGCATAAAATCCCCGTCGGGTATTTGCTTCACAAGCTGTCCTAATTCAATGCATACCAGGGGGTACGTGATGAGGACGGTCTCGCGCCACTTCGCAACCACAGATAAAGTTCTGATTACCAACACTTCACTCTCTACAACAGCCTTCGGGAATTTGCCTAACCTGGACTTCTTACCGGCTTTTGGTAAACCTGATCTTGCAGCAAGCTGACCGTACAGGGTGCAGTGAACATAGGCATGTTAAAGTCAGCGTGTATGCCGTCAGCTACCGGACGGCAAGGTACGGTATCTTGCACTTGCAGATTCGCGCTCTGTGCAAAGGAGCGCCTGCATCTGTAATATGGTAGAATGAGTGAACGAGGATGGTCTTACGTAGCCTCACAACGTTGGCTTGTCGAATCTTAAGAAATCCCGATTACCAGCCGGACAGAGTCTGACCAGTCTTCATCAACCCGATTTGAGCAGCCATCATACGGCTTTCATTCTCAGCTTCTAGGGAAGGCAAAGATGAATGGTGACGAAATGAGATATTGCAAGACTAAACCACATGCTTTGTGCTGCGCCAGCTACGAAGGACAGGTGCGGGTCACTTTAGTTCAATGTTTGCATCGAGTTCTTGATGATGAGGACAGATAAAGTCCAGTATAGATTCAAAAGTCATCTAAATACTAGTTAATCTGATCATCCTATCCCCTGTTCTTCATCACGGTGGCAGGCTCAGACCTTCCATCAGCCAGTCTAAGACCACATATTGATATCCCCAGCAGCCGCCCTCACGACGGCTTGCTGTGTTTTGTTTCTGGAGCAGGTCGAGAATAGTTGTTCGTCCGGAGACGAATCTCGTGCTCTAGACAATTGTCAGGGGAAAAGTAGACAATCGCACGACCGCAGAAGGTGTCCACGGTCGTGGGGGCCGTAGCATCGACCCAGTGGGCGGCACGCGAGGGCGCGAGCACAAGACCGGCTTGAGCTCGCCCGCGTGGATGCAATGGAGCAACAAGACGAGCAGCAGTGCAGCAAGGGTGTGCACGCATCTGGCTGCTCGGGAATGAATGTAAACGGCCTTCTCTTCTACTGTTTCTGGCCTGTCGGCATAATTAATTATCGGCTTGACGGGAACCCCCCGGTCAGGCAGGTCTTCACGCTCGCACAACCATGCCGTTGCGGCGGGCGCTGTGCGAGTAGTACTCCTCCTCGGACTCGTCGCCACTGGAGCAGCTCTCGGAATCGCTGTAGCCACATCGGGCACCACCGCAGTCGATCTTGACACGGTCGCCCTTGCGGGTGATGCCGTATCGCTCGCAGGTGCAGTTGCTGCAGTCGGAGCTGGGAGTGCTGTAGCCGGAGAGCGATGAGCTTGGCGAGGAGCTGTCGGAGCGGTAGGACAGGCTGGAGCCGCTGGAAGAGACGGGCGAGCTGGAGAAGTCGTTGATGTACTCCTCCTCGAAGCCAGTGCTGCCGAAGCGGGCGGTGAGCTCGTCGATGGTGCCCTCGTCGCAGTAGTCAGCATCGAGGATGTGACGGGTAGCATGGGGAGAAATTGGCTTTGGTGCCTTGATCTGCGATGTGGAGAGAGGACGGCCCTTGGGGATGTCGACGGCGAGGGAGCCACGCTTCGACGATCTGTGCTTGGAGTCCTTTGACGAGGAGTGCTTCGACGAGCTCTTGCTGGAGCTGTGAGACTTGGAAGACTTGGAAGACTTGTCCTTGGGGACGTCAAGAATGTTCAATTCTCGGCCGGTAGTGGGCTCGACGGTCGAAGCCTCACTGGGGTTGTGCGAGACATGGTACCCATCGATGATGTAGTAGTACCAGTAGCGCTGACCAGCCTCGAGATTGCCCTGAAATCTGAAGGTGCCCTTCCACGAACCGGACTTGGAGGAAGACTTGTCCTTGGAGAGCGGGAGTTGGCCGACGTAGTTGTCCCAGGAACCAAGCAAATGGACGGACTTGACGCCAGAAGAAACGCGAAGAGAGAAGGAGAGCTGAACGGTCGACATTCTGAATGATTGATGTTGCTGTTGCAAATTGACGTTTCTTGGAGTAATTCAAGGGCTTGATGAGCAAGAAAAGCTAGGATTTGGTTTTTATTAGGAGGGTATTCGTTGGTGATTAGGGAGTATAGTTGACCGGCAACTAGTATGCAATTTTGGATTTTTTGGTATAGGTTGAAAATTAAGATGTGAGTAGAGCGCAGCTCTATCGATCACAGGGAAACAGAAAAGGGGGAAGAGAGAAAAAACGAAAAACCAGCTTTTGAGGATTGAATGCTTGCTGGAGAAGAAGAGAAGAAGAGACGGAAATGAGAGGGCGGGTTGGCTATTATTATAATCATGGGGGCCAACAAGTGAGGCCACAGAGGCCCGTTACTAGACCGTGGCCATGACCATTCAGGACGTCGCCGGCAGTCATCCGCAGACTAGGCAGAGTCTGTAGAGGTCCACATGGGGGAGCAGGCTTCTCTTTGGTCAATGATGCATATCAACCCATGGCAATATCACTTGAGCACATGTTCCCAGTCCGAGAAGGCGTTCGGTGCAGCACAAGACTGCGGTCTTGCATGCCCGGCGGCTAAGCACATTGGGTGACCCAGGAAACCATGGCGACCTCTGTGCGATGGCTGAGCAAAAAATAGAAAATCACAGAGCATTGGCGGGGGAGTCTGGCCAGCTAGACCTAAACAGGATGCGCAGGCGTCTATAGCCCAGCGCTTATTGGCTCAAGAGAAGCGGCCAGCAACCAATACCAGTCTTTCGTCAACTCGCCTATCATCTATCACACGCGGTTGACGAGTACTCGGCCAATGATGGCGCAGCATGTCTTGTTGATGGCTGCAGTGGACTGCATGCACAGATCTGCATCTCAACTTTGAAGAGGGGCATACGTTGGTTCGGCAATCCGACAGGACAGCTCTGGCAGGAAGAGCGACCAGACATGGCAACACAGCCAGCCAGCATGATAATACGACCAGGGAGCTTCCTGGCATTCATGTACGAAGTGCATATCGTACGCATTTGCATGTATGCAGGCTGTCATGTGGAACTCATTGTCATTGACTGAGCGGTCCAATGTGCTTGATCAACGATGAACTGTAGATCGGGCGAGTCAGGAGGCAGCAAAGCTGTGATGCTGCAGAAACCATGAACAGCCAGACCGACATCCTGCGTAAAACCTGGCAGAGATCAAAATGTGGCGCCGACATTTGCTTCACTTGATGGGCATTACGTGCCGGGAAGTCTTCGCGAAATAGTACAGACGCCGTACCTTGAAGTGCCCGGGGCTGTTGCGGCGCATGGTCAGATTCTAGACTATGATAGTCGTAAAGCAGAAGCTTCGGTTCGGGTCCCTTAGGAGGTCACGGCCTTCTAGAAGTCAATGGCACAAACTATCGTCCCAACTATTCTATGCTTGTTTGATAGGTACTCGATTGAAGGGCGTCTTGGCTTGTCTGCCTTGGCCTGCCTGCCCCGGTGCCAAGTTTGCGTGCTAAGTCGCCGGGCGTTGATTTCGGCGGAATGAGGTGAGATGGGCTGCGTCGGCTTCATGCATGCAATTCACTAGCCTCGGCGGGTATGTAGCGTCAGTCACACAACGGACGTACGGTCCTTTCACAATCATGATCCCACTGGCGAAGGCTGGATCGTCTGGGGCGTGCAGCGCAAATATTGGAAGCGTGCCAATGCCGAAAAGTTGTTCTAGAATGGCTGTGCTGAGTGACGACGCTGTGAGCTTGTACATTTGTTCGGTTACTTCCCAGTAGAATGGAAACTGAACACTGGCAGGACTGGTACTGGAAAATGTGCTAATCTTCAAGTCACATGACTGATAAGTTTAGGCAGTGTCTGCCTAAGCCTGCGTTACCAGCCGGCGTGAACCTGCGGAGAGCGCAGCCGCTTCTTGTGATAACTGGAAATCATAGTCATCAGCTCACAACAACCACCGCGTCGCAACGCGCTTACAGAACATCTGCCTGGACAATCGACCAGCTCCTTAAGTTTGACTCAAGACTCGACCATTACTTGACCACCATCTTGTTTTGGTCCTGATCCTACCGGTCAATCTTCCAAGGTAGTTCTCCCGAACTGCTCAACTTGGAACAAGGTCTAGTCCTCGAAAGTTCGGCAACGTGAATCTTGTGTAAGTGCCCATGCGGATCTCACTGCAACCTTCCCTCCCCCTAACGCGTCATTCGGCGCCTAGGTGTCACCAATGTCCTATGAGTCTTCAAGTTGACACTCCAACTCGGCTCCCATGGTTTTTCCACCTCAAGCTTGCTTGCATATATCGAAATTCTTCAGCGGCTATCCTGCATGCTGACCAGCTCGGCAGGGTAACTCTCCACCTAGGCTCTCAAGGATGGGCGCAGCGCAAGACACTGTCGATGACAAGCTCGTCAGCGCGGTGACTGAGTATGTCAAGCAGTATATGGCTCTCTACGATGGGTCACATGATTTCAATCACATACAGAGAGTCCTAGGACTTGCAAAGCACATCTACGCCCAATCTCCCGCATCGTCAGGTCTTGATCTTCAGACCGTCATACTCAGTGCTCTCCTCCATGACGTTGGAGACAAGAAGTACTTAAAGCCAGATGAAGATGCTTCTACCTTAGTCTATAAGCTTCTTCTGTCATATGGTGCTGATGAGCAACTTGCACAGAAAGTTCAGACAATTTGCCTCGGTGTCAGCTACTCCAGCGAGATCAAGGATCCAGCTCGGGTGCAGAATCTCATCAAGGAACATCCGGAGCTTGCCATTGTCCAAGATGCTGATCGTCTAGACGCCATTGGCGGAGTCGGCATCGGAAGATGCTTTACCTTTGGGGGTGCTCGAACTGAGCGGTCCATGGACGAGACGGTCAAGCATTTCGATGACAAGTTGGTGCGGCTAGTGGGAATGATGAAGACTGAAGTTGGACGGCAATTAGCACAGGAGAGGACGGAAAGGCTGCTTCTCTTCCAGAAGTGGTGGGATGAAGAAACCGCCTTCGCGGCGACTGCATCTGCACCAGCATAGTCTCATACTCAGATGCCTCTCCGGCCTCACCAATAGACATAGATGGCAAATGAGAGAATGGACACAATTCCAGTCGTCTTCTCAACAAGGCCGCGCCTAGAATCCCCAGCCCGCCTATACTGAATCAACGTACAGAACCGTGGATAATTGATAGCATGTTTCAGATAATCATATACTGTACGGCAGACTTTCCTCGAGGCTTTGAGCATTTGTAAGGCTATCGACTGTCTTGTCCAACCTCTGACAGCTTGTGCCCCGACTCAATCTATTTGCTTGGCTGCTGACCAGGGTACACCGGAGTAAGCTGATTTCGGTGTAACCGCACTTTTGGCGCAGCCTTGGCAAGATGTGTTATGTCCTCGAAGCCATAGCCGTAAACCTAGTATTTCCAACGATACTCCTGGGATCTATGATGTTTTCTGCAAGTTCTTTTCGGCCTTGAGATTATATTTGCCCCAAGGTCCTTAATCGACGGACGTAATAAAGAGAAGTTGGTGCTCTCGCTGATTTTCTGACCGACCCGGTCGGCTGCTGCGGCGTAGACCGTATCCGTCAGGCCCGTGTAACGACCCTTGCAGCTGCATGCATGTAATACTGAAGCCACTGTTGGCCATGTTCTGGATTGCGGACCGATGCACAGAATGGCAGCCCGAGAGGGTCTCTCTCATCGCTGACGCTGATCTCAGGCTATTCTGCCTCTTCACATCTCTCTCTCTTGTTTGGATCGCAAGTCGCGCCTTCTTGCACCCTGATGCGCTTCTGGCTGGTACCGCCAAAAGCTGCTCGGCGGTCCTAAAATCCCTCGATTATAGTCTTCGCCCATGACCAAGGCTCTTTTAAAGTCGCGAGGCTAGTCGGTCTTACGAGGCCCGAACCGTGTTCGCCATGTTGCTGCGCTCGCTCTCCAGGAGATGCACGCTGCTCATTCTCTCTAACCTGTCGCTAGCGATTGCCGACGATCAGATTGAGAACACCCCAGATGCTGCGATCGAGGACGTCGCTGTACTACCCGATGGCTTCAGCCCCCGTTATTACCTAGGCGCCTCGCCAGCGCGCCAATTTGTGAAGCGACAGCATGTAGCGTCTTGCGAGTCCGGAGAGCATAATTGCTTGGATCTTGGTCCGTTGGGAGCGGGAAAATGCTGCCCGAATAGTATGTACTGCTATTTCCAGCCTGACTGGGAGGTGGGCTGTTGCGGGCAAGGCGAAGCCTGCGACCCAAAATGTACCCAGACAACGAGCTACTACTATCGGTGGAACATCACGAACACTATAACTTCCTTTTCTACGCTACCTAGCTCCACGGGCACGGTACCAAAAGTCATCCCAACTTTGATCACATCCACAGCGGAGGCGTGTAAACCCCGGAAATGTAGCTTAACTGCCTTTCTATGTCCATCACAACTGGGAGGTAACTGCTGCGACAATGGTCAAGTATGTGCAACAAACGGATGCCAGGTAGCAGTATCTTCAACGCCAACGCTGGTGCCCACGCGCGGGTGTGGCGGGACTCCCAACGCATTCTCTTGTTCCATCGGCGGAGGCTGCTGCCAGACCGGGCAGGTCTGCACCGAGTCCAACAACCAAAACGTTTGCTCAGGCGAGGCCTCGATCCCAACACCATCGGGGGCCACCATATCCTCAGACAACTCGCTCTCGCAGAGCTCCAAGGCGGGCATCGGCGCGGGCGTGGCCATCGGCGCAGCGCTCGTCATCGGGGCCGTGACATGGTTCTGCATCCGCCGGCGGCGCACGGAGCGGCGGCGACGCTCGGCCGCGTACGCGCGGAGCCAGCAGGGCCCCACGCCGGGCGCGGACACGACGGTGGTGGGCTCCATGTCCGAGGTCAGCGGGCCGACGCGGGGCCAGCGCATCCACCCGAGCGGGCTGGTCTACGACTACTTCGGGCCGCAGGCGACGGAGGGCCCCTACACGCAGCAGGAGGGCACGCCGCACGAGACGCCCGGCCTGGCCGAGCGCGGCGTGCCGCTGCAGCCCCACGGGCCCGGCGACATCGTGGTCCCGGTCGAGATGGGCCCCGGCGCCGAGTCCGGCATGACGGCCGCGGCGACGACCCGGCGGGGCGCCGCCCTTGCCCGCGGCGCCAGCACCCGCTCCGCGGCCACCGTCGGCTCGGCGTCGACGCGCAACCGCGACCAGCAGCAGGACACGCTGTACGAGCTGGACGCCGGGTTCGGCAGCCCGTCGCCCCTGAGCCAGGACGAGGCGAGGCAGGCGGCGCAGTCGCCGGAGGAGCCCATCTCGCCGGGCTATGGCACGTTGGACGTGGACCATTATAGGGATACTCATTAATTTCATAATCGTAGTCAGAAGGGAGTGGAAGAAAGGGGGTGGTGATGAAGGTGAGGAAATGTACGTATGAATGCATGGACCGCAACGTTGTCACGATATTTTATACACACACTCTCTGTCTCTAGCATAGCATGATCAATGGTATATATTACGCCTATCTCTGAAACATGTACAATTGACAAATGAGGCCAAACGATGATGGCGTGAAGGATGTCGAGATCCTGACCCAGAAAGCATTCTTTTCGCCTGCCGTCTATGAATGTATTACGCATATCCAGTCGAACGCCCGAACCCCTGATGGCAAACATCCTCGAATCCAATGAGTTTGTGTCCTTATGCTATGCTATGCGCTGTAATGCAATGTAGCACAAGAACGCCTTACGAAAAGGAAAAAAGATCCAAATTTTGAAGTACGGGCTTGTAAGCGGTAGCCCTTGGTGATGGTGGGTTTCGACCCTATGTGGGAGCTAATCCGCACGAGTCCTGAAACGATGCCTTTCGGCGTGAATAGTGTTTTCGCGAGTATCTCTTGACGGTCTCAAATCAAGAGACTGCACCTCCAAACAGAGTGTTTCCCTGCAGGTCGCGAACAAGGTCGTCGACGCTGTTCAGGTGACGGGCGAGCATGTGTTGCTTCTCCTCCTGGCTGCGCGTGTGTATGCTGTCGCTGTCGGATCGTGCCCTGCCGCCTCCCTCACCGCCGCTACCGTTGCCCGAGAATGCCTTGGCCAGCTTGCTAGGGCTGCGCTGCAGCAGCGCGGGCATCGAATCCGTGGCCGATGCCGATGGGATCGACGGGACCTCTGGCATCAGGTAGAAGTATAGGAATTCGACGCACTTCTTCTTGACGTCACGGCTGGTGCCGCGCGAGCGGAAGAGAGACGAGATGGTGAGTAAACCGTCCAGGCGCTCGAAGGTTCGTGTGTTTTGTGGCGTGTCGATCAGGGCGACAACGAGGGTCAGGAGGGTGGCTCCCATGATGGCAGGGCAGAAGTCGGGTTCTAATAGATCGAGGAGGAGCTGTTATTCCGTGTGTTAGCCTATGCAGCGTTTGCAAGGGAAATCTGCCGTCTACTCACGTTCATGTACATCTCCCTCGAGAACAGGATCTTGCTCGGCGGGTGAAGCAGCAGGGTACCCTGGATCAGATCTAGTGCGCTCAGAATCAACAGGTCGTTCTGGCCGTCATTGCCCTTTGCGAGTAAGCGATCCAAAGCGTTGACCAGGCGCAGCGCCACGTTCCACTCGAAGCCCTCCTGCAATTTGAAGAACTGCTCGAAGGCCGGATCCTCCGAGATCTCGGCCAGGTTCTTTGGCGACGTAGGCGACCGCGGGGGCCCATCGTCGTCGAACAGCAACCCACCTCCGCCTGGGTCGCGATCATCGTCCTTCTTGGAGAGACAGATGGTTGCCAGAAGACCCTCGACCTGGCGCAGACCCTTGCGGATCTTTGCGCCGTCGTAGGACGAGAGGTGGTCGAAGGCTACCGAGAGCAGGTTCTCCATTGTGATGTGTGGTGGTGTTTAGTGTTTTGTTTGTTGGGTTTTCGGGCTGATATGGTACAGTACGCGACACACACTAGTCCGGTGTAAGTCGCGGCGCGCAAGAAGGAGTGACGGCAAGACTCGGATTCAGAACGGCTGCGACTCGACTCGAATGGCTGATGATAATGCTGACAGAACGCCGAAGGGAATGCTGCCCGGTTTCAAGAATAATACAAGTGGATGAAGAAGAGAATGTTGGGCTGGGGGCGCATCGATTAGGGTTCCCGTGAGAACACGGCAAGGCGAGGGATGGGCAAGCAGAGCAGACCCGCCGATGTATATCTCGGACTGCCCGAAATGGCTGCTGTGTTTCCTGTGTACATGGTAACGTGAGGTGATGCCCAACGACAACGGCGGACCCTTGTGACGTTGGGGGTGGTGTGTGCGCCGGTTGACGGGGCAACCAACGGTGGTTTGTTTGCCTCACAGCACCTACCTAGGTACCTAGGCAGTCGCTGGGGAAGCTCAGACACCAATAACAGACAGCCGGGTAAGCTATAACTAGTAACTTACCGTACTGGGCATAAGTAGCTGCGGTAGCGATACAGCCTGCTGGGAACGGCGGGCTTTTGTTCCCGGGACCGCTGAAACGCGGGGTGAGCCTCAGTTTCCCCGGGCTCTGCAGGTGCCAAGACGTGTTGCGTATAGCCATTTGCTGTGCGCCCAAGGACCAGGTGTACGAGAGTAGACACCCAGCTGGTAGAGTAAGTCACGTACCTCACATAGGCTGGCATGGAGGGAGACTTGTATTGCTTGTTGAAGGCCCAAATAGAGCGTACGTTGGTCTCCGTGAGGGACTGGGACGTTCAGCAGGGCTGCAATATGGGGAAGCTGTGATTTAGCTGTCCATGGTGCCTGGCCTCCCTTGTCAACTGAGCACGACCTATCGCGTAAGTCTATCCCTAACTAGCGACTGGGTTTTGCCTATTCAATCAAATTCATCATCGCAGATGTGTTTTCAGACGCAGCACCTGCAGCTACCGTTCGCAGACTCGCTTGTATGCTCTTGAGAATGCAGAAGATGGCATTCGCTTAGGCACTTGATATGCTCAACGGCGCCTACCTGGATAGTCAGCTAAGGGATAGAGCTCCATATGTGGCAGCCGAATGAATCATGATGGCATCCCGGAAGCGACGGCTTCGGAGAGAGCCCCGTCCTGGGGGGCCCTCGCTAACTGGCTGACGGGCACTATCGAGGCTCGGTATCAACCATTCAATCACATGGAGGGAGCTAATTGAGTTACTTAAGGCACAGGCGCTGGGCGGCAGCCGCTATGACGTCCGCTAAGCCAGCACGCTGCAGCTCTGCATGACAATCCGTCAGGGAGCTGCAGATGGACCGCAGAACCCTTCACCCGATGCAGTTAATCAGGGGCTCGGAACCATTGACGAGCAATGGCTCAAAACGACGACGATACGAGTATGAAGATATAGAGAGAGATATATATATATGCCGTAGGTTCGCGGCCTCCCTCCCATGTGCCTCGCAGTCGTACCCGATCCTTGGCCGTCGGGATTTCACGACATTGGATGTGCTTCCAGAAGAGAAGCCGGCCGCCGACGACCTAGCCACGTTACCAACTACATACCCGTGGACCCAAGGCACCTAGTTAAACCTCTCCGGTATTGGTAGAAGTCGCTAACTGCTTAGGTGCTTGGTGGTTGACAAACGGCTTTGCTTGCCCTGCTCCGAGCCCCACCATCGCTCACCAAGCTTGCATGCAAAGCTGTCCGTCAGTGTCATCAACCTCCAGCTACTGCCTAGAATCCGCACTGCCTCGTCTTGCGCGTCAACGATTCGTCTCCGCCAGACGGGACTCGTATACCTCGCACATCTCGGCCTGGGTATAGATACCGAGGTCCTGCAAGAGGAGCCAGAGCCAGAGCCAGTGTGTAGTTACATCCAAGCCAGAAAGCCCTTTGTCCCACCTACCAAGTTCGAGGGCGCTGCAGACATACGCCACCGTCCTGCAGGACACCCGCCCGCCGACCCCACTGGAGCTGCCACAGCTCGAAGCTCCCATCGCCCGTCCTCCCCTCCTCCCCTCCTCCCGCCGTGTTGCATTGGATTGCGGCCCAGGCGAGACCTTGAGCACGGCCAGCGCAGCCAGCTCAGTCGTATAAAGCCGCGGCTGCCTGCATGATCCAGACGAGGCTCCCTGGAAAGGTGCCTACCATCGACGAGATGCTCTCCTCGGACACGACTGCTCATCCTCCCCCCTCCCTACCCTTCCAGTCGCCAAACGCCATCCCGCCGAGGACCTCCTCCACCGGCCACGCCATTCCACACCCGCCCTCCAAGTCAGTCTTGCGACCGCTGCCCGAGTCCAACTGGCTAGGCGGGCCCAGGCACCATCGCCACACCTCCTCGACCACCTCGGCCTCTGGCGGCAAGATCCAGCCCTTCACTGCCATCATGTCGCCCTCGGGTCCTCCCCCCGACCCGTCCCGCTACGCCACCGAGGATCTGAACTTCATTGCCAGGAGGACGTGGACGGACCAGAAGGAGAAGATCATATGGGGACCCTACGACTACGTGACCAGCCAGCCGGGCAAGGATTTCCGGACCCAGCTGATCGCCGCCTTCAACACCTGGCTCGAGGTGCCCCAGGACAGCATCGAGGTCATCACAAAGGTCGTCGGCATGCTGCACAATGCTTCGTTGCTGGTCGACGACGTTGAGGACAATTCCACTCTGCGCCGCGGACTGCCCGTGGCGCACAGCATTTTCGGGACTGCCCAGACCATCAACTCGGCCAATTACATCTACTTTGCCGCTTTACAAGAGCTGCAGAAGCTCAAGAACCCAAAGGCTGTCAGCATCTACATGGAGGAGCTGATCAACCTGCACCGAGGACAGGGTATGGATCTGTTCTGGAGAGATACCCTGACGTGCCCGACCGAGGAAGACTACCTTGAAATGGTTGGCAACAAGACCGGGGGCCTTTTCCGTCTTGGCATCAAGCTCATGCAGGCCGAATCGCGCTCGCTGATAGACTGCATTGAGCTTGTGAACCTGATGGGCCTGGTCTTCCAGATCCGAGACGACTACATGAACCTCTCGTCGGTCGAGTACAGCAATAACAAGGGCTTGTGCGAGGATCTTACCGAGGGCAAGTTCTCGTTCCCGGTCATTCACAGCATCCGGTCCGACCCGTCCAATCTGCAACTCATCAACATCCTGAAACAGAAGCCGACCGATGATGAGGTCAAGCGCTATGCCGTCAAGTACATGGAGAGCACCGGTAGCTTTGACTACACGCGCCAGGTCCTCGCGGTGCTCATCGAGAGGGCCCGGAAGACGGCCGAGGAGATTGACGAGGGCAAGGGGAAGAACCACGGGATCCACAAGATCTTGGACAAGATGGTCATCACATAATCATTGCCACATCACATGGTGCCGCTTCATTTAACATGAAAGGCGTTGGCACTGGGGCACTGCGTCCGAGGGGGCGCTCAAAAGGGGTAATGTTCTGGGAGGTCTGGATGGCAAGGCGCAGGGTGTTTGATTTCGTGTTGTACTTGGATACCCTCTTTTCTCCTCAATTTTGTAGCATGGCCAAAGGAATTTGACACCTTGTGATATGATGCTATGTATATTCAGTAGTCAAACATATGTGATTGGCCAACGAGAAGAGTGAGCTAACGTGATACCAATTGTGTAGGTAGTCAAACATAGCGACTAGACTACGATCTAGACGTGCGTAGGGGGCATTTGGCATCATGCATTGAATCCCTTTCCCTGGGGATATTTGCCACCTGCACGTTCTAATCAACAATATAGCACATTGAGAATGTAGCCTTTCCCCATGCTGCAGCCCATGACCACCGACGGTAGGTCTATTCTGTTCGCCACATAAGCATCACCAGCGATCAGCCCTCTAGAGCTCGTAAGCTCCTTATGTGTCTGAAGTAACAGGCCACCTCTGATATGACATAGAGGTCTGGTTTCAATGATTTCCAGAGGATCTCGGACGCCCAGATCGCCAGGCAGGCGATGGCAAGCTGCAAGAGAAGCTGGGCATGTTCCTTTGCCGGTCTGGCGAATCGGATCAACGAGAAGTCTTTGGCGGCCCAGACCACGACTGTGATGCAGTAGGCTTCACGTGCGCCGGGGAGAATGGTGTCGAGAGTGAACAGGATATTTTCCAGAACGGAGAGTGTTCTAAAACCGCTGATGATAAGGCAATATCCCTACATCTTCCGTATTCAAGCAGGTCTGCCAAAAGTGCGCCGAGAATTGCAAACCGAGTGTATTGGGAGTGATAGTGAGAATATAGAGCTTGTGCTCTGAGGGGCTTTATATACACTCTGCCAGGCGAGCTACCATAGACAAAGGGTATCCCAGACTTGACAGCAGATGAGACAGAAGCTGGGCACTCCAACCAACATTGGCATGAGCTGTGACCGTGTGCCTTGCTGAAAGCTCTAGAAGACACCATCCCGAAACTAGTAGAGTTTCTCTCCCAATCATGATATGGCACTTCGCTGAGAAGACAGGGCCGTCCTTTGTGTTTGCGAAGTGTCAAACCTCAGGTCTCTAGTGACCAGAAGTTCTGTTTGAGATTGTGTCTCAAAGTGCAGCATAATCCCATGATATTTTCATAAGAAGAAGGAATATGTCACACATACTCTTTAGTGAGGAGTTGTCATATAGAAGTGCTGAGCTAGTTCTACTACATGGAACAAACACATTCTTTTTATTCATTGATGCTACGCCCTATATAAATGCACCGCTTCTAACTTCCCAACACCTTGGAAATTGGCAGGCATTTTCAATTAGACACTCCCAAGCTAGCTCCACTCACGACACTAATTCACCTTCTGGGGTAGCGAAACATCGAAGCATCAAATATTGACTTTCTTCCATCAGTTACAGTATTGGTCGACTTCGGGAGGAAATACACCGTCGAAATGCTCTCTGGAATATGGACCACCACCTTCCAAGTCCTTTTCTTTAGTTCTTGGCTCATATGGCTGTTCCACGAGATCAGGCTGCTGTATGAAGAGAGCCCTGCAGAAGAGCACTTTGCACTCGTGTTTAGATTCATCGTGTACAGCATGTTGTATCTGACCATGAAGTTCGTGCTGGAACTGGAAGTGCAAATGGTGGTCAAGAGCCGCGGAGGTCCATGAATATTGCTGAAGATGCACTGGACATCTGCTGGTGTCAGCATGCTGGCGGAAGAAAAGAGATTGGCGATGTCTATATTCTTCAACACGGCCTGCCAGTATCTGTTTCATCGTAATCTGATAAGTCACAAGTCTTGGAACCGATCGGCGGGATGCAGCTGTTGAAACCGTGCATCCATCCATCCTTTTCAGTCGCCCAAAGAGCCTTTGAGCAGTTGAACACACCAATATCCATTTCAATACAAAAATAGACCTTGTTTCACACAATCACCATCTATATAAGCTCCTAAACTGCAACCATGTGCTTTGCCGAGCTCGTCCCCGGTATAGCCACCGTCTTCGCTGCCGTAGCATCCTTTGTCGCCTGTCATTACCGGATTAGAGAAGAGTACAACGTGTGTAGAGCCAACTCGTTGCTCCTGAACCTGTCCAACTTACGGTCACGCTATTGAACCACTTCACGATTCGGCTTCTCGTGCAGCTCGTATGACCGTAAGTGATTTGTCCCCGGGTGACTAGCTGTGCATGGTTCTGTTGGCTCTGGCAGCTTCTTGGTGCAGGCGCTACTGTTTTTTGGCATGGGTTCGGCTTGCCTGTAGGATACTTGGAATATGTCGAAGCCGAATCTTGGGGTCGGCGGCTTTAGGCGCGAGGCCTGAATTATTGGAGTCTAGCTAGGGTAATGGGATGACATGGAGTGGTTTCGTGGATCAATATCATGGGACACTTACTAGTATCATTACTGCAGTTTGGGTAAAAGAAGTAAGGATAGGATACATGGAGTTAGGAGATAACAACTCATGATTCTTGAGTCGCGCCCAGGTTCTTCCTTTTCACCAGCCTCACCCATCGCCTCCGGCGCCATTCTCCTCTCCTCCCTTCGTAGTCCTCGCCCTCCTCCCAACTTGGCTTCGAACGTGAAGCCTTCGTTTTGCCCTTTGTAGGCGTCTGTTGTTTACTTTCCTCAACTACGCCCACCTTGTCCTCAGGCTCGTAGTATATGTCGTAGACCCATCTCTCACCTTCGGTCTCCACCTCGACCCCCGTGATGATGCGATCTTCCACCCACTCCCTGCTCCAAAGATCTAGAGCCCACTTCTTCTCGCTCCATTCCCAGCCCTGAGGTGGTTGTACGTCTTCGAAAAACCTTGCTCCCACTGGCCGGTCGCCAGATATCCTCGCAGCTGACATGGGATCGTGTGGCGAGGCGCTGAACATCCACGGCTCCCACTCACCTTCGGGATCCGAGAGCCGCTGTAGCTCAAATATTTCTACCTCACGAGTTTCGGGTGCACTGTCAAGTATAACATCACCCTCAACCCAATTTTCCATCCAACTCCGCGCCTTCTCTCCGTTCTGTTTCATGTGCGTCTCATTGGCGGCCTCGATCTGTTTCTGGACCAAAGGATGACCCATTACGGTCACTGCCCACCCTGCGACCAAGAAAATGAACCGCCAAGGCAATATGTTGGCAGCGATGCTCATGAACAGGCACCCGATGAACACGAATACGAATATAGCACTGCTCAATGCCTCGTTACTGAAGTTCACTCTTGGAACTACGAGTGTTACGACACCGTCGTGAAGCTGGCTGAAATCCTCCATGCAGTTCTGAAGGTCCCGCATATTGCGAAAGAAGTCATGGCTGAGCTCCTTGACGGGTTTCACGGTCCTTGCTGGCGCTAAAGGTGGCCCATGGGGTGAGTAGCCGATGGCCTGCTCGCTAGACAGACTGAACGGTGCGGCCGGGTGCCGGGCAACAAAGTTTGGTATCATGACGCCGAAGAGCAAGATGGCCAAGGGCAAGAGCGGGAGGAGATACGGGTCCAGACAGACGAAAGTGTATATAGCCAGGAAGGACAGAGTGTGGGTAGGGTGCTTCCATGAGAGCAGGCGGATGGCGCGGGCCTGAAAGACGAAGACGACGCCGATGCGGCTGTTGAACCGGCGGAAGTTGTATGACATGGTGGGAAGGCTGAAGTTGGGCTTTGAGGAGCCGGGAGCGCTTGCGCCGCCCTTGGGAGGCGCGTCCGGAGGTGCTTCGCTTCCGTCATCCTGAAGAACCTGGGTCAGGAGCTTCTCCACCAGCTTGTCCTGGATGGAGGCCTTGTCTCTGAAGGCCGAGAGGCGGTCCCGGATGCCGCGCCGCCTAGGCGCTGGCGATTCTACATCTGAGTGATCCGAGTCGTGGTTCGTCGGCGCCTGAGAGGCGGAAGCGGACCCAGAGCTCGAAGCGGTCCCATCTAGGCGCACGGTTGGTATTGGATCATCTCGGTTGACGAAGACGTCGGCGCCGTACTCGTCCATCTCGTCGACTTGGATTCCTCTGCCTGATGACGTAGCGCGTGGCCAGTGACACAACACGGGCTTTGAGATAAAGAGCTCAAGGCTACATAGTCATCATGTCATAACTCGAGCGCAAATAGTAGGCCGGATGTACCGGATTCGAGGTGATACGAAAGCGCCTGATGAGGTGTGTATGAGATGAAGCAGGATGGACGAAGGTCGCCAGACGCAACATCGTCACATGCCATGACAGCCTGCCAGAACTGCCGCCTGGGTCCCCACTGGAACCCGGGCGGGCGTCACTCGCGGAGCCGTCTGGCGGGGTTGACAGCGCTAAAGGGACACCCCTGCAAACCGCAGTCAGAGGCTTGTCTAACACTGCAGCTCAGTAACGTCAATCCAAAAATTTTGAGATCGCTCCCCAGGTACAGCACAGTGCAGCAGCTTCAACATCCCGCCAGAACGCGCCACCATCTCTCGGCGCGACAGCGACAGCCCGCAATGCCGATCACGATACATCCCCCGAGCGTTGCTCAGGAGCCAACTCGCAGTCTGTACCAAGATGGTTCTCAGTCCGACTCCGACTCGGACGGCGGCGTCGACTTGGACGGTGACGTCTCCATGGGCCGCCCCACCAAGCGGGCGAGAAGGGACGAGGCCATCGTGACGCCCGGCGAAGTTATTACTGAGGACCCCCAATGGATGCGGTAAGCCATACCCTCGCCCACTCAGGTCTTTGCTGCCTGTTCTGTCTTCTGATCCCGCCCTATAGTGGTCACGGCACATACACCATTCCCGAACCACCGCAGATCATATCGTCAGTCGCCGGTACCCTGTCCAAAACCAACAAGCTCCTCTCTGTCCGTCCCTTGCGCGCGCGGTACACACCTGAGATCGGTGACCTGGTGGTGGGACGTATTGTGGAGGTGCAAGCCCGTCGCTGGCGGGTGGACGTCGGCGCAGCACTGCTGGCACAGCTGCCCCTGTCCGCCATCAACCTTCCCGGCGGTATCCAACGCCGTAGAACCGAGACCGACGAGCTGCAGATCCGCACATTCTTCAGCGAGGGCGAACTCCTGGTGGCAGAAGTGCAGCAATTGTACAACGACGGTGCAGCGGTGCTGCATACGCGAAGTTTGAAGTACGGCAAGTTACGGAACGGCGTCTTCATGGCAGTCACTGGCACGGGTGGTGGCGGTGGTGTAGTCAGGGCCCGGCGTCAAGCATTCACGCTGGACATTTCAAGCTCGGGGGCAGAGGGTGGTGAGAAGATCGATGTCATCCTGGGCGTCAACGGTTACATTTGGATCAGCAAGCATATAGAAGGCGAGGGTGCTGCCGCCGAGTCCAGCGGTCCAGGCATCACAAGGATCGAGGAGAGCGTGGGCTTGAACGTCTACTCGAGCCAAAACGACTCGATACCCCTGGACACAATGCGTGAGATAGCACGGACACGAGGGGTGATCACGGCTCTGGTTGAGAACGGCCTGAGGGTGGACGAGGAGATGGTCACCAAGGGCTATCAAGAGGCCGTAGAGATGGCCAGAGGCGAAGGAGAGGGGGACGATTCTCTATGGCTAGGAGGGGAGAAGGGCAAGCGGCTGGCTGACGCATTGGTTGGGCGATGAATATAGAGGAAAACAATTGATGATACCATGCCTGTGTTTGGCACCCCCACTTTCATAAGTCTTGAGCCATTTCGGACTGTCATATAAAAAAATAAAAAAAGGCCCTTTGACATCTCATGGTGGCAGAAAGGAAGTTTTGACACTGCAACACAATATTTGCTTTGCCCGGTTCAAACAGCTGATCACTGCAAGGACATGACTCCAACCTCAGGCCGTCAAGAAGGAATACAGAGTCGGTAATCGCCACAACTGTATTAGTTAGTGTCTGCACTTTTTGGCGTCAACTATTATGTGCCGTAGTTTTAAGCACAATTTGTTGCCTTGTAAACCAGAGATACTGAGGTTGCAGGTGTATATGCTTTTGTTGGGGTTATTCGTCGATCAAGCAAACTGCCCACCGCCAGCTGACGACCGATATGCAACAAAGCGTCACTACCCGGACCCCTGCCATCATCGAATATCAGACAAACCATCTCATCTGAAAAAGCCATTTCTCCGTGGCTATCGACGAAATTCATCAGAACTCATCCGGCACACAGTCAAGATGATAACAAGGGCTCGAATACGGCAGCTGCCCGTCTCGCGGCTCATCAGACCGTCTCCAAAGACACCCCAGCCCCAACTGCGGCCGTGGCGACAGCAACGCCCCTTCCACTATGACCCTCATGCCAATATCTACAAGCCGCCCTTTCGCAGCCGGTTAAAAGACATGGCCATCGGAGCAGGTGTCGTCGTGGGTGCTGTGGGTGGTTACGTGTCCCTGAAGCTGTACGGGCTGTACGGCGCGCGGGACCAGCTCACGGACGAGCTCAAGGTCGAGCTGGAGAACCTGCGGTCCTATAACCAGGACACCGCGGCCGGCTTCGCCGAGGCCCGCGCCCAGGGCGACCACCACCGCCTGCGGCAGCTGACGTTCGAGCTCGCGCACCACGTGCACTCGGACGACAAGAAGGGCCACCTCCCGCACTACATCGCCGAGGTCGGCCCGCTGCAGGGCCTGCCGTACGACGACCCCATGAGCGGCCAGGAGCTCGTCCCGTCCGAGGACACGCTCGTGTTCCTCCAGAAGGACCCCGTGGACGACCTCATCCTCGGCTGCCACGTCAGCGTCAACCTGGACGCCGAGGAGGTGTACCGCGGCATGGCGGACCCCGCGCCCGAGCCCGGCGCCGACAAGCTGGGGGAGCTGCTGCGGCGCGTGACCGACCAGGTGCAGATGTGGCGGCGGCAGGGGCGGCTGCTCGAAAGTGACAGGGGCGAGGTCGAGCTCGAGGTCATCCTGCTCCTCCGGGACAAGGTGTGGGTGTTTGACTACGCGGGTGGGCACTATGACGCGGTTGAGGGCCCCAGCAGCATCTTGGGTGACCCCGATGCCATGATGGAGGTGGAGAGAATACTGGAGAACCTCGAGGGCAAGAAGAAGAAGAACAAGAAGCCGGGCGAGGGTTTGTGATGATGTGCTAGGGGAATGTACAGCGCAGCTTAGCGTATAGACAACGGTTTCAGCAACGGTTTCAGCAACGGTGGTAACACGTGGTGGGAAAAGACGAGCCGCGTGGGAGGTGTATAATTATTGTACGATCTCGGGACCATATTCTACAGGAAGACTCATACCCCAACCCCCGGGAGCATTCGCCGAATACTCAATCGCGATAATCTGGCCGTCTCTTCCGAGGGCGTAACCTCATAGACCAAGGTTCCGAAGGAATATATACAGTTCGGACCCCATCGGTGGATATTCCGGTGTTCCCACGCCCCGTTTTTCGTTTCTTACTCGTGGTAGTATAATTGTGCCCAAGGGCGCTAACCGCACTAGCTGATGGTCCATGGCAAGCTGCACATCCTGCTACCTGGTCACCGCTGGCCTGATTTCTCTGCTCATCTGAATTAGATTCTACGGCCGTTGCTATATGGGCCGTGTCTGCGGCAAGTCTGGTGGCATCGCCAGGCTCCTGGTGGAATCGGGTCGGGACCTCGGGTGTATCTACACATGCCGTGATTGCCGCGACTGACAATGGCACTGGAGCATGACGACGTAGGTCCTCCTCCTCAACAGGCACCTCGGGAGCTACAGGAGGCTGGTATGGCGAGATATAATGACGCTGCAAACATGGAAGATCTAAGTGCACTGGTTCGGCTTCCCTTAAACGCCATCTCGTCAGCCCTGGGAACGCATCCGACGCAGGCGAGGCCGCAACCGTGACCCCTGACAACGGCGAAACCGTAGAGTCTGACAGTCCGGCAGATGTTGGCAGGCTCGTGAATGGGTTTTCCACGTCTCCAGGCTGCCACTGTTTAAAAGCAACCCCCAAAGGATATAAGACAGGTGCCGGTGTCCTAGCGGACATGGGGATCACCACCGCTCCGGGCGGGTGACCCCTGTTTCGCTGACGGAGCCGGCTGTGCTCATACAGTTTCCCCCTTCCCTCTGTCACCTGGACCCACGTGTTGAGCTCACCGGCAGAGCCGTTCCAGGATCCCCGTGCATTGTCACTCCATCCTATCATACATAACGACCATAGGGCCATCAGCAAGGGCATCTTGCGGACGTCTTGCTGATTGTGGTCTCTGGGAAATACCGCGTATTTTACACTCAGTAAGGGAGAACTGTTCAACTGAGCACCAACGCCAAAGGCCAGCATAGTCGCCCCTGCTGGCGTCATCACGAAGGCGTACGGCGTCTTCTTATACCAGCACACCGTCCCGACCTGGCGAAGCGTCCATTCGATCCTCTCATCGAGTCGTCCTCCCTCATCGAATTTACCTAGTAGATGGAGCGGGAATTCATCGACTGACCTGTCTATGCCTATGACGACGGGTTGGCACTGGCCGTCGTGTTTCTCGTCGGAGTGTTCGTAGTCCAATAGCACCCAGTCATAGCTCAAGGAACAGATGGGAGACAAGTCGTCATTCTTTGCTTCTTCGCTATGCCCAGGTGTATAGGAAAGGGCACCCCAGATCGGATCGGCCGGATCGTGAGTCCGCTGCATCAAGGCATGGTACAAGGCAAAATTGAGCTGGTTCCCCAGCGCTTCAAATCTACGGGGCTGCCTGACATTGCGCGAGCGTCCGTCTCCCACTTCGAGGAGACTCGCCGGCCAGTAGTCATGCCAGAAGCTCGCACTCAGGTCCAAGACCCCGTCGAGGAGTTCCTTCAGCGCCACGCGGATTACGGGGTAGTTGAAGTTCCTCCAACGCGTGACGTGGTCGTGGTGGTTCGGATGGAGTGAAAGCCATGCTGTGTCTCTCAAACCCGTCCGGCGCGCATCGTCGCTCTTTGTCTCAGCAGATATATTGGGGATAGGCTCCCTGAGTAAGTCGATGAGCCCATAAGGTCGCGTTGGCCTTACGGAGGGCCATGACATGATGCTAAAGTTGTTCGAGGCTTCTGCCAGGCTGCAGAGGATGGCACCAGCCTAGCCTCGGGGAACTTGATAAAGTGAATCATGCTTTCTTTGTTATCACTCACGTGGTTTGAATTTGGCCCGAAGACGGTCCTGCGAAGGAGCGTTGGTTGTGAGAAAAGTGTTGCTCATTCTTTGTTCACCGGGGCCTGCTTGGTCGGGAGCACCATCATTTTCAACAACTTATATACCAACGGCGAAAATGCAAGACAAGTGACCTCGTCGTGCCATACAGCTATTCTCAGGACAGAACCCTGATCTGATGCGCAGTTGTGACGTGTATCAAGGACTCACCCAACTTGCACCTGATACATTCCTTGCCGAAGTAAGTCGCGGTTCCCGACACGCGAACATCGAGTTCTTTGCTAAATTCTCCCGTTTCTGATCTAGGGGTGTCTACCTCAAGCATACCAATATTGAGAAACATCTTCAAAGTCAACTTAGAACCAAAATTTTACTCCACAGCTATGCCTCACCATATATACGCATACGAGCATTCCCCTTACTACTTCCACCGGCAGGCGAATGAGAACATTCCCTGGAGGGTCATCAATGGTTACGTAGCAGCGAGAAGCGCATCGTTTCTGGAAAAATGGTCTCCCCAACCGCGAGTGGCCACACCCGGGAATACTTTGGCACATGGACGACAAGATACTGCTAGGTTACGTGACCGAACGGAAGCGCGTGAATATGAGCGATTGCTCAACTTGAATCGCAGCATGATCTAGGCGGTACATTTGCAGAAGCATTGGAAATACCTCTGAAAGGCTTGCCGAGAAAGAAAATGCTTCTAAAGTTTGGGTTGACAGGACTCAACGTCTTGTTGGATAGGAGACCAACAGGAGACAAGCAAATAGGCATGCAAATAGAATCAATTGTTGCTTTCGACTGTATGCGCAATCGCCGAGCTGTGGTATCTCTAAAGGAAATGACTGACGACCAAGAATAGGAAGAAACATCATCCAGACGACCAGACCCGCCATGCTAGATATCCCTCTATAGACATAAGAAAAGGAAATGGAAAGAAGGTGACCGCGCCCAGGAAGAACCCTCCGCCGGCTGCGACATGTGATTGCACGATGGATGAGATCGGTTCATTGGTACGCTGCAGCGAGTTAGCCTAACTTAGATACCCGCAGCTCGGTTGAGTACATGCAATTGGGGCAGTGTTGGCTTGGGATGGGGTTATGGGGGGTGGTACCTCGATGAGCCCGCTCGGCCGCGGATCCCGGAAGCAGACCACGCCTACTGTAGGAACAGCTCGCTTATGGCTTAGGGGCCAAGACGCAAGGTCAATGCAGGATTGATCAAAATTAAGCATTACCGGGACTAGGCTCTGCTGCTTCATAGGGAAATGCATAGAGAGCGTTGGGGGAGTATCATATCGTACAAATGTAACGAGTCATTAAGCTCATGCTTGAGCACCTAACCACCGCGATTTCAAGTTAAACTTGTTCACAGCTAGATATCCGGTCGCCAACACCAGAAGCCATCGGAATAACGCACCTTTGGCCGAAGGGCCACCTAGTCCGAAGACCAACCACACCCAGTAGCCGGGTCCTGTAATCTTCTTGCCGTCGCGGTCGAAGTCGGGCTTCTGGCTGTTCATCCACTGGTACTGCTTGAGCTCAGACTGGCTGAACGGCATGTAGCGCACGCTCAGCAGCTTGTCCATCCAGCCGGGAGTCTCGGTAACCGTGCGACGGTGCGAGAAGGTGTCGAAAGAAGCCTTGCCACGGTATGCGCCAGTGCCAGACGTGCCTACACCGCCGAAGGGCATGTTCACGATGGCGCCGTGCATGTAAGCGTCGTTGATGGAAGCACCGCCTGACGTCATGGTGCCGAGAACTGCAAATAGTGTTAGAACATGCCCAGAAGATAGTAACCATAAAGACTGGAAATAAATCAAAACTTACCCTTGTCGTTCTCAGCCTTTCGGCCGAAGGTCATGAGGGAGAGGGGGGTCGGGTCGATCTCCTGAGCAACGTTGAGAGCGCTGTCAAGGCTGTCATACGGCAGAATAGACCAGATGGGTCCGAAGGATTCTTCCTGAACCATGGAGTCATCGGCTGAGTCCACAAGCACTGCTGTCGGTGCGATGAAGAGGTCATCTCTGTCTGTCTCGCCTCCCATGACGATCTTGCCCTTGGTGTTGTCCAGCATCTTCTTCATGCGGTCAAAGTGCTGCTGGTTCACCACGCGAGCGAAATCGGGGCTGGCCTTGGCGCCATTGGGGAAGAACTCCTTGTAAGTCGCGTCGAGGACCCTGATGAAGTCATCCAGGATCTCCCTATCGACATGGACAGTGTTCGCGGACATGCAAATCTGCCCAGCGTTGACGGTCTTTCCCCACAGCAGTCTGCGAGCAGTGAGGGGCAAGTCGGCGTATTTCGACACGAAGGCAGGGTTCTTGCCGCCCAGTTCCAAGGTGACGGGGGTAAGAGTCTCAGCTGCCTTCTTGGAGATGATCTTGGCCACGTTCACGCCTCCGGTGTAGAAGATCTTCTCCCACTTCTCGTTGAGCAGAGCAGTGGTCTCCGGGACGTATCCGTTGACAACAGTGTAGGCCTCCGGGTCCAGGTACTTCTCGACGAGCTCCTTCAGGACGACCGCGGTCGCAGGTGCGCCTTCGGAGGGCTTCAGAACCGCGGGGCAGCCGGCGGCAATGGCGCCGATGAGAGGGCATACATTCAAGTTGACCGGGAAGTTGTAGGTGCCGATGATCAGCACGGCGCCCAGGGGCTCCTTGCGGATACGGGGGTTCAGCATCGAGTACTGCAGGGCAACATCCTCGGGCTTCTCGTCGGCGGCCCACTTCTCGAGGTGCTGGAGGGTGTAGAGGCAGTCCTGGATGGCCCAGCCAACCTCCATCATGTGGGACTCATGAGCCGACTTGTTCAGGTCCTGCTTCATGGACTCAACAAACTTGTCGGTCAGGTCCAGAAGGCCCCAGTACAGCTTGCGCAGCTGGACTAGTCTGTACTGGACATCCTTGGTCTTCTGGGACTTGAAGGTGCTGCGGTGGAGAGCAGCGATCTTGGGGATCTCGTCCAGAGGGGTGGCCTCGAACGGCGCAATCTTGATGTTATGGGTGGTCTTGTGCGCCATCTTGCCAGATACGATGCCCGGCACCGTGGTTCGTCCTACGACTTGAGCTTGTGGAGGCGGGGTGTGATGTCGGATGAGCTCAACACGCAATGAGTGGGCAGAGGTTGTGCAGGCGATCAGGGAGGAGGGACAGTAGGGAGTAGCTGAAGCGAGAAGAAAATCGAACGGCGAAAGGCAATAAGATGTATGCGAAGATCCAGGAGCTAAACGGCAAATATCTCGACCCCGGCTGCCGCAGCTATCCTTGCAACCTGCTGTAGCAAGCGGTTCCCGAAGAGAGCGTATCACCGAATTCGACGGACGACGCCTCCGGAGCTTGACCGCAAATGGGTTTCAGGGTCGTTAGTGGGGTTGACTGGCGTCTGGACTTTGGGCCTAGCAACGTGGAGCCTAGGATGGCGAAAAAAATTGGCCTACGGATGGCTGACGTTGGCCAACTTCTTGATTGATTGCAGTGTCAGTCGGCCGAATAGGCGTCCAGCCATTTCAGAGCGGCCTCCTCGCATTCGGCTCACAAGTGACCTGTCTGTCATTATCGTCATTGACATCCGCAAAGCTGGGACCTAGGCAGATGTCGTGCAGTACCTACTACCTGGCCTACCACACTACTTTGTTTGGAGGTGCTTCAGGGATGGAGCCGAGGCATCTCATCGACTCCGCATGTCAAGAGATGCATGCATGAAGCAGGGGATGGTGGACGATCGCAAATGATGATTGGCGAATGAGAAGTTCCACTAGACCATCGACCAGCCCAAAGCCAGTCGCATGTGCTTTTCGGAAACCAATGCTCGTTGGTCATAGTCCGACAGGTCGGCTTCGTCAAGGACGACACAAACAGCTGCAAAAGCCCCTCGAGTCGAATGTCATCTGAAGGTAGTTGATTGAGGCCCTGGGAATCCCACCTTGGCCCGCTAAGCGTCGGGGGCGTCGCACAGATGAAGCGCCGGACCGTTGAGGTAGAAGCTTAGCGCTAGCTAACGTCTATTTCCATAGGTGCCTCTCGGCCTCTTCCAGATTATCAGGATGTTCTACACGGCCTCATCTCCGTCCGCAGCTCTACGTATCCGATTTTTCTTTTTTTGGAAGTACGAGGCAGGCAGTCTAGCCCTGTCTGATGAGGTGTATGTGATCTGTGATCGGTGATCTGAGAAGGGAGATTCAAGGGATGATGCGCATATCGTGCGGCCCAGCGGTGATTGGCAATAACGGATGCTCGCTGCCAGAGACTGCCCACCCAGCTGGAGGTGTTTGACTGTGGTCGAGAGGCCCCAGATGCCGAGGGCCACTTAGCTACGGGCCGTTTCAGTAGTTGCCCCATAGTCGCATGATTTCAACTTGACCAAGTGTGCTTGTATCAAGCCTAACAGCACATGGGGTATATGTAACTACTTAAGGCATTAAGTAAGCAGACGGTTCGGTTACATAATCGATCACCAAGCGGTCGGGCGGTAGATCGTCGGTAAAAAGCCCCGAGGCAGCTTGGGGCCCTGGGGGGCAGGCAAGTCGAGCACAGGCCATGTCGAAGCCCTATCGCTGCCGGCGGGGACCCAGTCTGCGCCCTGGGGGGGGGCCCTCGATACACCGAAAAGTTCGCATCAAATTGTGGCTCGACTTTTTCCTCTCGACCACCCTCCACGACCAGCCAAGATCCATCCCTCGACCACCACCCGAACGACCTACGCAGGATAACCATTTCTTTGCGCCCTTCACAACCCCCATCAGTAGCAATGGCTCCCACTACCGTACGTATATGACACCGCTTTGCTGTTGGCCCAGTCTACCGGCGCTGCGGAATGGGCGTAGTCCCCCCTCCGCAGCCCGCGAGATCATGGCGTGATGCAGTAGGCTAAGGTCAATTTGTGTTTGCAGAAGACCGGCCCCAAGGGCAAGCAGGGCAAGACCACCAAGAAGTTCATCATCAACGCCCAGCAGCCCGCCAGCGACAAGATCTTCGACACCGCTGCCTTCGAGAAGTTCCTCCAGGACAAGATCAAGGTCGAGGGCCGCGTCGGCAACCTCGGTGACAACATCAAGATCTCCCAGGTTGGCGAGGGCAAGATCGAGATCATCGCCCACAACGAGCTGTCCGGCCGCTACCTCAAGTACCTGTACGTGGGACCCCGGTCCTAGTTTTTGTCGCCAGAGGACGTGATGCTGACATGTGCAACACCAACAGGACCAAGAAGTTCCTCAAGAAGATGCAGCTCCGTGACTGGCTCCGTGTCGTCTCCACCAGCAAGGGCGTTTACGAGCTCAAGTTCTTCAACGTCGTTAACGACGACGCTGAGGACGATGACGAGTAAGCGGGTCGATTCCGTAGAGATACCAGGACGGGGAGTTGCATTTAGGGTGCTCAGGGTCTGTATACCACAGGGAAGGGAAAAGGAAAAGTTCGGCAACCGTATAGAGCCGTGCCCTTTACTGGGCATTCCATTGCAATGATACATGCTTGCTATGGACCATCATCCGTTCACTCCGGCCCTGTTAAATATGTGACTTGTATGCATCATGTGCACTTCGTAATCAAGTTCTTTACATTGTGGATTGAATGGCAGCCCGTGTGGCCAAGCATATATTCACTTGACGAACCCTGTCAGTTCCCTAGGATCTGCCCAAAAGCACTGGTTTGCTACCCATTTGTGTTCAACATGTATCCCACTTGACTAGGCCCATGCTACACAAAGACGCCGGAGTATGCCGGCTTCCACCTTGGCTAGCTAGTCCTCCGGCTCCACGGCCTACCGGCTCTAGTATACTCGAGCCCGCGCCTCTCGACCAAGTCGAGCAGGCGCTCCAGCTCGCACCTGTCCTCCCGCAGCCTCAGATCCAACGGGCCCGCGTGCCGCCGCTCCAGCGCCGGCCGGCCGGCCGCACCGTCCCAGCCGTAGAGCTCGAACCGGGCCCCGATGGCCACGGCGCACAGCATGCGGCGGCCCGGCGCCACGTTGGCCGCCATGTGCCGCGCGAGCGACTCCCGCGCCGTGCGCCATCCGACGGCCGTGTCGGCGAGGCTCGACCAGTACTGCAGCGTGAGGATGCGCGGCTCGGCGCCGGCGTGCGGGCCCGAGGTCCTTCCGCTTGCCGTTGTCGAGGCCGAGGACGTTGGGCCTAGACTCAACTCACCGAAACCGGCCTCCAAATCATCGTCCAAGTCAACCCGGGAGCCCTTTCTTGACAAGCTCCGAGAAGAAGTCCGCTCTGAAAACCGCCGCGCGGCCGGCTCCTCTTGCGCCGGACTAGCATGCATGGCGGAGAACGACGGGAACATGTCCATGTCTATATCCTGCGCAGGCGCAGGAGCAATCCACCTCAGCTCCAGCACGCAGGCATCGTTGAGGCTGCCATCCCGACACGCGACGATGTATTCACTGGGCGCAAACCAGGAGTACAAGATAGAGTTCCACAGCGTCTGCACCGGCGCCCGGGTGCTCGACCGAGCAGCTAGGGTGACAGTGGCCACGAAGGCTTGGTTCTGAGGGCTGAAGACGCGCCCGTCGAGCGCGCGGTACTGCTCTTCTCTGACGGATGGAAGCCGAGGCGGAGAAGGGGGTGAGAACCGGGCGCTCGACCTGCGCCTGACCTTGAGACAGGTCTTAGGGCTAATGGATGTGCCATTGCTGGCGGGACTCGCGGTAAGAGGCTCAAATTTGGGGGTAGAGGGGGGAGTGGCCGGAAGGAGGAATGTCTCGCTGTCGACGCTGATACGGCGTTTCAGCAGTGGTTCCGTCGAAACCTTTCCCGCAAGTTTCTGTATTTGCGATTGTTGCTCAAAGTAAGACGCGTGAGAAGCCATGTTTTCAGGAAAATGGACAGTCTTGCCGTTCGTCTGGAGGATAGTCTTTTCCATGCGTATTTGAATCTGTCCGTCAATGCATGCTGAAACCCGAAAACAACACCATAGAGACAATCAAGACAGAAAAATCTTAAGAAATGGCTTGTGTCAGACGGCGTGGTATCTTGGTGGCGGTAGAGAACTCCGGCTGGGTCTTCTTGCACGTTGATTCCGAGCCTCGCGGCATCGTCGGAGTTTTCCACTGCAGATTTATTGGAATGGAGAATGACGCAGCCATCGCGCAGTTCCTGAATCTGTCTGCTGGATGTCTTGGGGCAGTGCTCCAGCCGGTTGTACTGGGATCGCTTGACTTGTCCATCAAGATATGCAGTCGCCTCGTTTACGATACCAGGGTCACCCATGCTCCTCCGCCAATCCCTCACCAGTTCGTGAGAAAATCTCCACGATGAGGGTTGTTAGCTTCGTCTGACATTATCGCAAGGGCAAAAGTTGATCATTGTTCGTTCTTCACCGTTGGCGCGGACGGAAAGTCTGAAAATGGGCGAAGAGAGCCTGACGAGGGGTTTTGGTACATGTCACGGGGTACTCGGATTGGCAAGCGTCGCCATCGAGCTTATGAAAGTCAGAAGTCAAAGATGCTCCTTCATGCACGGATATGTACCAGGGAACATCGAGTGATTGTAGGGAGGTTCCAAACTGATATTCTTCGCGTGAACGGTTGTGTCGCTCCTATGTACCGGCCAGCAGGAAGTTTACCATTTCCGATTTTTTAGCCAATGGCTCTTCTCAATCAATCTCAACATCAATGTCAAGATCCAGAGATCCAATCACATCATCATCCATAAGCGGTCGATGAATCTGTGGTATTCCCTTCTTGTCGGTACCGTTAGAGTTCTGCAGTTTGGCCAGATGTGCAGGCAGAGAGGTCTTGGCACCAAGCTTGGGCGTTCCATTGGCAGGCGTCGAGGCGCCGCTGCCGTTCAGGGGCGTCGACTTGCGGTCAATGGTTGGCGGCGCATTGACATCAAGCATGAACTTGGGTTGCGTTCGTAGCCTGCGGGACGTATCCTCAGAAACCTCCTCGCCTCGTGCGACACGGGCTTCGATCTCTCGCGCCTTGGCCTTTTCCTTGAGTTGTGCTTTGCGCACAGCCTCGGCGTTGCGACGTCGGTTCTCGATGTTGAGCTGCGCAAGACGGTCCTGCTGTGCACTCGGCGCGGCGGCCTTCTTGGCTGGTGATAAGCTGGTCTTCCAGGCAAGACGCGGTGTCTCCATAGTATCCAGCTGGTCTTGCACTTCCGAAGCCTTGGCATCGTCGCCACGCGCCTTCGCTTCCTCAAGTGCCTGCATCAAACGGTTGCGCTCCGAAGGCGCATACTTTTGACGTAGGCCTCGTTCTCGCTTTAGCTTCTCGTCCAGTTCCTGGTCAGTCCAGGAACGATTGCGTAGAGTGTTGATATCATCGATCTTTGCGACTAGATTCGGTCTTTTGGGAAAAATCAGTCCCTCGTGCTGCAGTGTTGCTTTGTAGCGGTTGAATTCGGACTAAGAATGTTAGAATGTGTGAACTTGGTGGACCAAGAGAAACTTTACATACCTCAGTGAAAGCTCCATCAGAACAAGCCACGAAAGGCCATTCTCGTTCAGCCTTGCCGTGTGCAGCAACCAGGTACTGGTCTGTGACAAAGGTCTGGCCGTTTGCCTTCTCCATAGCGTATGGTTTACCAGTCGAGAAGCCTGAAGATCAGCAGTTAGCTATGCTGCCAAATACTGGTTGCGCCGATGGAACATACGCTTGATAACTGCCATCCGGTATTGGTTCATACCGTCTCCAGCCCTCGGATCGGGACCAATAGATATGCGGGTATAACAGCCTGTGATGGCTTGCTCAAAGCCCGGGAAGAAACATATCTGAGCAAAGCGACTTCGGCCAAGTCGCACACGTTCGATATCCCGGAGTTCCGCAAGAGGAATTTCCTTGACCTCGGGGGTACGTGACTTGGACGCACGCTTTCGTGACTCACCCCACTCAACATCGCTGTCTGCGTCGAGATCACGGTCTGGGCTGTCGTGAGAGAGGGCGGTCGATTTCTTATTGCGCTCGCTGTCCTCGGCGCGACGGCGTGCGCGATCGGACTTCTCAGCACGAGCGCGCTTCAGCGACTCGATACCAGAACTGGTCTCGCCCACCTTGGAGCCGCCAATCTTTGTTCGTTGTCGGGAGGTCTTGCGCTGCGTCTCCTCGAGGTCTGCGTCGTTGGCCTTGCGCTTCTTGTTGTCACCAGCGCTGACTAGCTGGCGAAGAAGGCGGTTTTGCCGCTGTCGCTCAATTTCTTGTGCGCGCTCGGCCAAGATCGATTCACGCTCAACCTCACGCATGCTCATGATATCCGCCTTCTCCCGAGCGCTCTCAAACATGCCCTCGTAAGGGTATTTGTCCTCGTCATCGAAGACAGCACCGTTGGCGTTGTTGGCAGCGGGGGAGCCGGCCTCGGAGTCGCTCTCGTCCATCGGGGCAGAGTCTTGTGATGCTTGCGACTCAGCATCAGAGCTGGATGTGAAGGCCATGGTTAGTAGAGGACATTAGAACTCGGATGGCTCGGGTGAAGGATATGCGCAGAACGAATAGAGCGATGATGTTTGACTTTGTTTGAAGCCGGGCGCAAACGTGTTTAGGTGAATAGGCAAGTAAGGCGCAAACGACCGGTCGATGGATTGATGGGGTAATGCGTCAGGCGGGCGAAGTGAGAGGTAGCAACGCCGCGCCACCTGAGCAACCCAGAAGGAGGGACTTCTCACTTACGCTTCACCTTCCTCCTCATCCGAGTCATCTTGCTTCCGGGCCGTGGTCTTTTTTGCTGGTGCAGATTTCTTTGTCTTTTTCCGTGATTGCGATTCGGAGTCGGAGCCCGACTGGCTGATGTTCATCTCCTGCTCCGAGGCCTCATCTTCGGACTCGTCGCCTCCAACGAGCTCGAGGAATGCATCGTCGAGATCGGCCATCTTGTTGTTGATTGATTACAGGGTCTTGCTGTGAAGGGAAAGGGGGACCGGGGGTATGTGAGTGGCAATTGCAGCTCAGCCGGCGTGATTGTCCCAAGACGAGGTATCGAATGTAGACACTTGGTTAGAACGCGCACATGTGGCAAGCAAAGGTATGGAGGACGGCTTGATAAAGAAGATAGATCGCAGGGCGTCGATTGCTGGCGAAACAAGGGGAGAGCCGTCAATTCGAGGCTGCACGGCGTCAGAGGAAGAGAAAAAAAAGTGCAAGGAAACATGCGAGTCTCGAAATCTGGGGAGCTCAGCCTCATGACTGGTCGTTGGTGGGCGGCCGTCATTGGTGGTTTACCTACCACGGGATGGGCGATGCAGGGGCCCCCGTCGGGGCGGTGTCTCTATTATCCGCCCTCGCTGTCCCCGGGGCCCTGCCTGCCCAGCCATGCCTAGGTACCCGCCTAAGGTACCGGTACTAGTTAAGGTCCGTAGCTCAGGCAAGACTGCGTGTCGACAATCCAGCTTATCAGCTTATCGGCTACGGCTTGTTATCCCTGTCCTTTGTATGCATCATGGACACCCGAGTTGACGGGTGGGCCATCTGTAAGTTATTGGATGGCCTGATGGCTCGATGGCGGCACTACGATTTTGAAGCTGCCGCGAGTTGATCTCCCACGAAAGGCGTTCAACCACGTTCAACCAGTACAAACATGTCTTCCACCCGGAGTCTAATGCGCTTTATGCGCAGGAGCGGCCAATTGCCCGTACACGACTTTCTAGCTCCCGCCCTCTTCGCACCCAACCGGCGTTGTCTTTCATCAACAGCCCAGAAGGGCGCGGCTCAAGCGCAAGATGCCTCTGCCAACTCGAATGCGCAGAAACCTAAGCGCAAGCCCCTGACAAAGGAGCAACGCGAGTTCCTGTCCTCGGCGGTAAGTTCCTTACGTTCCGGGCCCTCGCGTTGATCTCCTGTCGCTCATACGTCTCTCACGTAGCTGCGCGTTAACCAAGCCGGCGAGCTCGCCGCCACCCTCATCTACACAGCCCAGACGCCGCCCATGGTGAACGCGCACCCGCACCTCCGGCCCCTCATGCGGCACATGTACGAGCAGGAGGCCGGCCACCTGGACACCTTCAACTCGCTCATCGCCAAGCACCGCGTGCGGCCCACGGCCCTGTACCCCGTGTGGTCGGTCCTGGCGACCGGGCTCGGCTGGGGCACCGCCGTGCTAGGCCGCGAGGCCGCCATGGCCTGCACCGAGGCCGTGGAGACCGAGATCGGGACGCACTACAACGAGCAGATCCGGACCCTGCTCGAGATGTTCCAGCAGTGGGAGGCCGAGGGGTATGAGGTCGGGGACGAGCTGAGAGAGCTAGTCGGCACGCTGAGGCGCATACGGGACGAAGAGCTCGAGCACCTGGACCACGCTGTCGAGCACGATGCGAGGAAGGCCGAGCCGCACTGGCTGCTGACCGGGGTCATCAGGGCCGGTTGCAGAGGCGCTATATGGGCCAGTGAGCGCATTTAACGGTCGCATGGAGATACAGAATGTAACAACATGTACAATTACCCTGTGGCATACGATGCCATTGCATCAACGTATCAGTGAAGTCAGAGGACAATTTTTTTTCTTTCCTGTTCTAGCGAAAAAGTGGCATCAGCCTTTGTACTGCTAATCAGGCTTAGAAAATCAACTGAAAATATGTCGTATTAAATCCCGGGATAGAATAGCCGTCAGCTTCAAATGTACGTTCCACTTAGTCGAATTTACTGAATATGACTCTGAAACCAAGGGTCTGGGTTCGGTCCATTGGCTGCCCTAGATCGTGCGCAGGGTTGTATCAATGCTGAGATATATCTCGCGAAATCAATGCATATCATTACTTAACCCGTGGTTTTGGATTACTTCCACATTATACTAGTACTTGGATGTTTCCAAACAGACAAGACTACCCTCTCAAAGTCTATGTACCACTTTCTAGAATATCTCCACCACGTCGTAATGACGATGCCCCCCCAACGTGAATGGTATCCATAAACCCAATGTCCTTAACGCCCATGTCTCATAAGCTGATGTGTTCAACACATACATCATCACCTCTCGAAGGAGATTCCAGATTACTACCACACCGGTCTAATCCTGACTCAGAGTCCTCGAATATTCTCTTTCCAGGATTTAGGTATTTTGTCAGGTCCAAAGTTCGAAGAGGTTCTTAGACGCCGATTTGGGACATGTTGGGTCCTCGGCGGACGGAACCACCGCTGCCTCGGAAGGCCTTAAAGGCGAAGAACATGGTGGCCGCGAAGCAGGCAAACAGGAACCACAGGAAGACGTCGCTAGCTTGAAGCTGGCGGCATTGCTTCGTGTCATTCGGCGAACCGAAGGCGATGTAGTCGCTAGCTCTTCCGCTCTGTAGATGGTGAATTAGCTCGTGTCCTAGGTAAGCCGGGTAGATATTCTGCAACTTACTAAGTCAGCGCAGTTGACGGCAGTCAGCTTGGCAGCCAACACCACGGCGGCGATGAAGGTGAAGAGAACTGCGAGGGCATCGAGCGCGAGGAGCACGATGGGGGAGGCGATGGCGGTGACGAAGGACGAGATCAAGCCGTAGAGCGAGGCGATCCAAGACAGTACTGCCACGAACATGGCAAAGTTGATGGCCGACTTGGCCGAGCCCGCGGCGCCGCCATAGCTGGCGATGGCGTTGCCGATGAGCGCAGTGATGAGCAGCGTCCACAGAAGCTGGACGATCCTCAGAACGTTGTTGATAAAGTTGAACTCCATTGCGACAATGGTGAGGTTCTCGGTCGGCTTTCGTGGGTAACTCGGCTACTCTTGAGGATTTCGCGAGGTGTCAAAGCTGGAGAGTAGGGACGTAAACGGTGGAGCTTGGGGATGCGTTGGTGGAGATGGAGATCTTGCTGGTGTGGATGGGACTTGAGAGAATGCGATTGTGTGTTGTTGATATTGTGGACTCGACGGATCGGGGGCACAAGAGCAATAAAGGGAAGATCGCTGCTCCAGTGGTGTGATTCTGGCCTGCTGTTTAATTTGCGCGTGAGCAACTCAAACTTTGGTTCGTTGCTGCCCTCTATGTATGCCCGTTTCCGTGTCAATCGATGATGCTGGGTGACGCCCTGGCGCGATCGGCAGCAGCGGCCAATAGCGGGTCCTTTATGACGTTTAGTGGCACGCTGTCGCTATGCAGAATGATGTGCAGTGGGAAAAAAAGCTCTTTGGGCATCTAATGATCCACTCAAGGTTCACAATCGGCTTGAAACATTCTACGCCCGAACCCACGGAGCAATAAAGGCGGGTGATGGGATTCTTATACCATCTACAACAGAGAGTCCTCGAGGGCCGTAAAAACAGCCAAGTAGGACCTTGCGGGAATGTACTGCGTAGAGTTCTGTTCCTGGCGTTCACGTTGCTGCACAGGACCCTGGTGCGATGCTGTTGACCAGCCAGTGTGGAGGGGCGATGCGGTCATCCCTGTCCGCTAGGGATCTGGGGGATGTGCCCTTGATTGGATGGCACTGTTCTGATCTTGGCCCGGCAACCCACAGAACCCTGCACCGGCCTGTCGAGTCCCCGGCAGATGCAGCCACAAGCCGCGCCCGTGCTTCACGAGCCGCCAGTGCGCAAGAAGGGTCTCAAGGGTCGTCATGATTTTGGTCAAATGAGGCCGTCGAATTGTCGTCGACTTGAGACACTAAGCCACCCAGATTGCGCCTTCACGTCACAACCTACCCGAGCATTCAGAACGATTCGACTTAGTACACCTCGTAACACGCCTACTCATTTAAGCTCGTCGTGGCGTGTGCGCATGTCTTTGCAAGTCGACGCGTAGTTTACATCTGCGCGTCTTCCTTTTTGCGCGTCATAGAGTAACAGCAGATGCTGATACGATATCACAAACGACATAGTTCTCTAAAATAATATACGTCTGTTTAATTTAGTGTGAATAGGTGTGCTCACTCCGGACGTGCCCGATATCACATACACAACGTAGAGTTCTATACCTTGCAGTGCCCTTCGATGCAGTAAAGGTCTATATGAATGGAGTACCATTCTTACAAGCGAGAACTAAAACAGACGGCAGGTCATCGAAAAAAATCACCCATGTTCCCCTTGAGACAGCCTGCCTTCAAAGCTGGCTATAACCTGTCCTTTCTGGTAAACACGTAGTAGGTCAATAATCCGAGGCCTTCTGCAGCAACCGCTGTAATTGATTATGTACGCCTCTTGAGAGATAGAGAGTTCAAATCGACGAAAGCAGTAACGTTTTCGTGTGAGAGGACAGGGTAAAATCCGCAAACAACGCAAAGAACCTTTAAGTTCAGGTAATGTTACCAAGTGATCACATGATCCGGGCCAACAGCCTCATAATGAGGTATAATGACAGCATGGCAGGTTCCCAATGTGCTGCTCAAATGCCAGAGTCAACCCACAGCAGTGTAATCGAGGCTGAATTTGACACCACACCCAGAGGAGAAAACTTTAGGAGATAGCCCATCTGATTGCATATGTTTGCGAAGTACGATACGCCAGTACAGCACGTATACGTCGAATTCGATTTGTGATGTGTGAAGCCCAATACTACTAATGAGGCCTGCCTGATTTATCCCATGTGGCCATTCTATATACGATACACCACAGCGTGGTGTGAGCCTGGGCCTCAGCCAGGGTTCAGATATCGAAACCCTGTTATGAAGCCAAACCCTCCATATCGGGCTTATTGGCCACTACGTGTAGCACTGCAAGAGATAGCCGCACGACATGACGCCTCTCATGAGAGCTTTGTCGGTGGTTGAGTGGTGATTGTCCCATTCCGTCACTAACCCTAAACCTGCGAAGGCCCTACTCCGCTTGGATTACCGCAGTCCCGAGTGTATGTCTTCATGAGACCCCGAGCCAAGCCGGAAGCCACACCAGGCTGCCTTCCATCGTTGGATGGCTTCAAGTTCGGCATCCAACGGGCGGGTTACGGCATCTCAGGGCAGTTCCCCTCCCAGGACACTCCCCCAATACCCCACAGCTTCATGTAGTCTCGTCGATGCTGTCGCGCCCTGATTGTCAATTCCGTTCTGTCTCTCGTTCTCCCAGATGGACCGTGATATCGCCGCTTTCTCACATGAAGAGCCGGTAGATGCCCATCCAAGCCAGGCCCAGGCTCGTGGCGACGATGCCCGTCTTGCGGCTGCGGACGCCGAAGAGGCTCTTGCTCGCGATGATCTTGGCGCGCTGCTGCTCGATCTGCGACATGCCGGAGAAGTAGCTGTAGGCGCCGAGGGCGAGAAAGGCGCCGCCTCCTGTGGGGACAGAGGCAGTCTCTGGTCAGCCTGCAAACTGCAATTGGGAGGTTCTACGGTCGATTGCACCAGTGGGCAAGGGGAACGAGGGAGCTATGGGCAGGGGGAAGAAACCAAAGCTAGAACGTACCGATCACCCGGCACGAACCACAGTCGTCGGCGCCGTCGGCCTTGAGCAGGTCATTCAGCTTCTCGGGCTTGTCGAGCTTGTAGGCCGTATCGGTGTCGCGGGCCATCGTGGACAAGATGCGCGGCTCCGGCGCAAAGACTCGAAACGAGTGTGAAGGTTGGTGATACTAAAGTTGATCGTTCCGAAAGGGCCCAGCTTTTTTCTCTACTTCGACTCACCCGTCTCCACATTCAATTGGTCGAGACTGCGCTAGCCTAGTTAGGCAATGAGCTCTGGGGTCAGGTACAAATCCTGTCTCAAGGCGACGGACACTTGTCGCCCATTGCTTTGGGCTTTTAACCCGAGGGACTTTCGATGGAATGTAGAAGATTCGCTATTATGCCATGTATAAGTTTTCTGGGTCTATAACTTAAAGTTGCCGCTTGAGAGGGCTTTGGCCGCTTTGGCCTTGTTACCCTCGGCATCCACAACCTCTCCCTTCTTGTTGATGACCTTAACACCGGCCTTCTTGAGGTCACTGATGGTCTGCTTCTGTGCCTGGGCCTTGCCAGACAGCTTCTTGTCACCGAGCCCGCCAGCCTTGCGTATTCTCTCCTTGTTCCTCCTGCGTCTCCTCGTCTTGTCTTCTCGGCTGAGCTCTTGTCTAGCGACCGGCAGACCACTCTTGCCGACCACCTCGCCCTTGTCTGCCGTGTCCTTCCCGGCCTTGTAAACCTCTTGGGGCGCCAATGTGTTGTCACCACCGCTGACGCCCTGCGCGGTAGCAGGTTGCGCATCTTCCATGCTGACAGTTGCAACATCTGCGACCACTGTGAGATTGGGAGCTGCAGGCTTCGGCTTGTAGTGCCAGCTGCTGAGTGCATCAAGGCTGGCACTGAGCTCTTTCCACATCTGCTCAATCTCCTTCTCCTCTTTGCGAAGCTTCTCATCCGCCTTGCTGACATAGGCGTCGGGGTTGGTGTTCTTGACGTGTTCCTCCTCGTAGAGCTCGGCAAGACTCTGCTTGTTCTTGGTGTCATCCAGCTCGATCAGACCTCTCCGTGTTTCGGCGGGGCCATCGGTATCAGGTCGCCGTCTTACAACCTCGTCGAACTCTTGTGCTAGGATGCGACGCTTGATCATGTCCTCGATGCTCTCGCTCACCTCGGCGGTGATTACCGGGACAGGCTTGCCGACATGCTCAAAGTCGAGATGCTCTTCGAGCAGCGAATGCTTGGGTCGCTCAGATGCTGCGGCCTCACCGGTCAAGGTCCACTTCTTTTGGGCCACGTTTTCGGCTTCTAGTTTGCGGATCTCCTCGGCCAGCTTGGCCTGCCTTCTCTCGTGAGCAGATCTTCGAGACTTGGGGTCACCGGCGGACACGTCAGACAGAGCGTCGTCGGAATCTTCGTGCTCAGACTCGTCTTCGAACAAATCCCTGCGCACATCCTCCATCGCACGGTCTATGTCCTTATCATCGGGCTGCGTAGCGCGGGGCTGCCTTGGTTTCCGTGGCTTGCCGTTCTTTGAGCCCTTCTTCGGAGGTGGCGCGAAGAAGTCCTTGTAGAAGAGGTCGTTGGCATTGAGGTCCATGCCTCCATCTGCGTCATCCTCATCCCCGTCTTCGTCCATGTCGCTATCGCCTTCAGGGGCATCAAGGTCCATATCGCCGAATGTGGGGCCTCCTTCTTCCTCATCATCGTCCTCCTCCTCGCCAGCCAGCTCTTCCTCGTCCTCGTCATCCATGTCTTTAGATCGCTTGCCATTGACCGCAGCACCGGCCTCCATGGGGTTTGTGTGCCAGTTGATCTCGTCATCATCGCTTGCGACATCCGTGTTGGGGTCGGCCTTGGCATCTTGGTTCTCGAAATACTGGCTTTGCTTGTTGAAGGCATCAATGTCAAAGAAGCCATCATTGAGGCCGTTCGGGTCCTCCACAAACTCTTCCGACGCCTCGTCACTGTCGCCTTCCCCATCCTCCTCGTCGAACATGCTGGCGTCTCCCTCGAGACCTGCCTCGGCGTCGTCGTCGTCATCCTCTTCCTCGATGTCTTCTTCGCCGTCATCTTCCATTGACGAGAGGTCGTCTTCCTCGGCCTCGTCGTCAATGAGACCGCTCATGTCCTCGGCTGACAGATCTTGATCTTCATCATCCTCGTCGTCTTCGTCTCCTTCGGGCACGGACCCAAGCCCTTCCTCATCAGACTCGAGGTCGTCTTCGTCCCCGTCAATGCCATTGAACTCGACTTGCTTGCTCTCTTCCAGGTCGTCCAGTGCGTCCTGTGAATCCTGGAGGGCACTGGCGATGATGCGCCTCGCCTGCTGCCAGACCTGGCCGCTCTCGAAACCGTCCACATGTAGTTTCCTGATCTTCAGAACGTCGGCCTTCTCAGCCGGGCCGTCTGCCCTTTTCCGCTTCTTATTGGCCTCCTTCTGTCGCTGCTGCTGCTCATCGCTTAGTTGGCCAGCATATGCGTCAAGAGTCGACTTGGCAAGCTGGAGAGAGGCGTTGGAGACAGAGGCGGTGGGCTGCAGGAAGCCATGGCGGTTGCCCGACTTGATGGCTTCGAAGAGGGCCAGCATGTCGGCGGCACCGGAGGCCTTGGTAGGGTCGGCGAAGGCAGAGAGGAAGCTCATGCCGGGAGCATGGGTGAGAGTATGCGAGGACGAGGACGAGATGCTGCCGTTAGTCCCTGCCATGACTCTGACACAAAGCCTGCAGAACGCGCGGGTTGAGTACAGGGACTTGAGGCGCTGTCTCTGGCGTTGAAACAGTTGCTTTGAAAAATAAAATGCGAACTCGAGTCCGATAAGATAGAAAAGTTTCTAGAGCCCCGCCAGCGGAAAGGGTTGGGCGCTGATTGGGCAGGCCGGTCCACTAGCCACAGTTCTGGGGGCGCCTGCGCCATCGGTGGTCCAGCGCGGAATTAGGTACCTAGGTACGGTATGGAATGCAGCGAGGCCTGTAGGCTGGCCGCCCGGCCGCCGTAGTGACCTCAATCACAGCTGGAGCCCTGGAGCTGCCCCTCCATTGGATCCTATCCACCCCCAAGGCGGGCGCCGCCGGACAGCTGCTTCATTGTCCTGACGGCGATGGTCTCAACAACGCGACCACCATGACGGGCGTGATCGAGGCGCTGCACATCTATGATGAGCACAAGTGAGTCCCAGGAGACGCGCGCAGTGCAGCGCAATGCGATGCAGTGGTGCTAACAGCCAACAGCCGCGCCATCCTCTCGCATACCTACAGCTCCCGCCCGCTCTCGGCCGCTCACCTGCTGCCGCTCTACCTCGACCACCCGCCACCACGCCCAAACTTGATCTATCTGCCCAACACCAACCCTCCAACCCTCGTCTTCAGCCTCACCCACAATAACCTGCTGTACCTGGCCACCTCGTCTGCCGAGATCGAGCCGCTGCTGGTCCTCGAGTTCCTTCACCGCATCATCGATGCCCTCGAGGAGTTTCTCGGCGCCCCTGTCCTCGCCCACAAGATCGAGGCCAACTACGATGTCGTGGCCCAGCTGCTGACCGAGATGTGCGATGCTGGCACCGTCAGCACCACAGAGCCCAACGCGCTGCGAGATGTCGTCGAGGTTGAGGGCATCTTGGGCAAGCTGCTTGGCAGTCTCAGTCTACCAGGCAAGCCAGCCTTGACGCCAAGTCTCAGCAGCCCGAGCACGCCGTCATTGCTGGCACAAAATGCCCCGGCGTTGCCCTGGAGGCGAGCTAACGTGCGGCATACCTCCAACGAATTGTATGCCGATCTGGTCGAGACATTGACCGTCACGTTGGCCCCTTCGGGCCGGCCTATTGCAGCCTTTGCGAACGGTACCATTGCCTTTACGTCAAAGGTGTCCGGGGTTCCTGATATAACCATGAGCCTGACCGGGCCGTCGGGAAAGCATAATCTGGGAAGCGTCATGGAGCTGCCAGTCTTTCACCCTTGTGTGCGACTGAACCGATGGCGGGACAGCCCAGGCGACCTCAGCTTTATTCCACCCGATGGGCGCTTCATTCTGGCTGGTTACGAAGTAGACTTGCTTCCTTTTACTAACGGAAAGAGCGGAAACCTCGGTGCAAACAACCTGAAACTTCCCGTGGGCATTGAAGTCAAGACAGGCCTGGGACCTACAGGCTCCGATTTCGATGTGAGACTCAACGTCAACAGGATTCCCGGAACCACAAGCTCGTTCGGCCCATCCAGTCGCGGCGGGTCATCTGGAGGCAGGGCCTTCGGTGGGCCGCACACGGGCACGGCTGCGTCTCCTTCACTTCACGACGTCATCGTCACGGTGCCGCTGCCCTCAGACGTTAGGAATCTCTCCGATGTACGGCCAAGCAAGGGTGACGCCACCTACAACCCAGGGGACAAGGCTTTGGAATGGCATATCCCACGGAAAGAACTTTCTTCCGGGGCCTCATATTTCAGTCTCAAAGCAACTGTTCTAGGAGCCTTCACGGATGACAACGAGGACGACGATCCGACGGGGTTTGGCTTCGGCAAGGACTATTCGTATGATGAACCATACCAGAGTACCCCTGAACCTAAAGCAGTGCAGACCAAAGACACGGAAGACGAGAAAGACGCGAAGAAGGCTGCACAGAATAAGATTCTGATGCCCAGCTCTGCGTCGGTCAGTTTCTCCGTCAAGGGATGGGTGCCAAGTGGAGTGAAGATCGAGAGCATCGTGGTGGACACAAAGAGGAGTCGGGGTCTCGGCGAGGGGGTGAAGCCATACAAAGGCGTCAAGTATTTGACCATCAGCAAAGGCGGCGTTGAGATACGGTGTTAGGTTAGACCCGGGGCATTTGGAGTATCACTGCATGGCCGGCGTTGGGGCGGTGAAATATAAAAACAAGAGACATCTTTATTACATCACGACCCTGAGGCAATGATCTTGTGTCGCTCGCATCCCTCGAACAGAGAGTAGCAATATTGACGGAACGGTGTTCACTGTAGAGCGAGGTTTTACGTCTGGCCAGTGGCAGGCCATTCGCCGGCCGGTCAAGCCTCCCACGTTGACAAAGTTCAAGTTGCTTAGACCGGCTTTGTGTGTTTGTAGACCGCCCTACTGGCTACTACAGTGTATCGTCAACCGGACATTTTCACGAAAGCATTCTTACTTTCTACTCCAGTAGTGGATTACTGACCTAGCGAGAGGGCGGTCTCTTATATTGGGATAAACAAATGTGATGGGAGAGCGGAGGGCGAATTAAATCACCCCATAAGTTTAGCAGTTGCGGGGCATTGTAGCTAACAAAAGGACCAACTCTTCGGTAACTGAGGCGAGGCATACCTGGCATACTAGGCGAGCGTGAATGTGAAACACTGGCCTTGTATTACTGTTGCAGAAACTATAGCGTCTTTGGAAACATTTACGTATGTAGGTACAACATACGCGGCATGTACGTAGCGAATATATGCACAACCATCTGCACAATGAGCAGCTAGCTAGCCTAAACCCACTGTTTGACATCCATACCCGACTAGCTTAGAGCTCGGCTCTGGGGCGGGAACGTGGGGTATACCGTACGGGGTCTAGGCGGGACGATTCGGGTCTCATTGTACCGCTCACAGCCACCTCTTCCGCCGCTCGGCACCCGACAATTCCAACTGCTCGCCTGAGTAAATGACGCTTACCGAAGCCTAGGAGATACATCCGGCCAGTCCAATGACATCTGCGACACGCCGCCGCAGCTGCGCACGGCGATGAGCGTCCTCGCCTCCACACTGCGCCGACGCGCAGCTACCTGCCGCAATGGTCTGCCATCGACGGCGGCTTGGAGCTGCGGACCCCGAGACGGCGCGCGCATAGCTCCCCAGCAGCTCTCTTCTCACGGAACGGGTCGCCGCCATGTGTCGGACACGGCGGGCAAGAAAACCAAGGCGAAGACGGCCATCTTCTTTCCAGGTTCGTGAAGCCACCGAGCTCCCTACATTGCCGTCGCCGCCCCTGGACAGGGCCGGAAGCTAACCGCACATGCGTTGCAACAGGTCAGGGTGTCCAGAAAGTAGGCATGATCACGCCTTGGTTCGAGGCGTTCCCGCGTTCGGCCCAGGCCATCATGGACGAGATCGACGAGCTCATGGGCTACAAACTCTCGTCCATCATCCGCGACGGGCCCTCGAGCGTGCTGACCGCAACCGCTAACGCCCAGCCCGCCATCATGGCCACGAGTATTCTCATCCTCCGCATCCTGGAACGTGAATTTGACTTCAAGCTCACCGACCGCATCGACGTCTCTCTCGGCCACTCGCTTGGCGAGTTCGCCGCCCTCGTCGCCGCCGGGATCCTGGCCTTTGAGGACGCCCTATACATATGCCGTCGGCGCGCCGAGGCCATGGCCGAGGCCACCCAGATGGCAAAGGACCAGTGGGGCGGCGACTACGGCATGGTAGCCGTGGTCACGGAGCCCGAGTACCTCTCCTCGCTTATCGAGGCCATTGACGACTTTGTCGGCTATCGCTCGACGGGGGCCAGGAGCGACCATGCGGAGGATATACAGCCCATCGACCAGGTGCTCATTGCGAATGTGAACAGCAAGAACCAGATCGTGCTTAGCGGCAACATCGAGAAGATTAAAGAGCTCGTCGCCCATGTGCGCCAGTTCCTCGGTCACGACCCCAGGGCCGTCCGGCTCAATAGCGACAGCCCGTTCCACAGCCCCATCATGCGGCCCGCCGTCGGGGTGATCCGCGAGCTGCTCGCAGGGAAGAGCCGGGCCCGGGGCAGAGAAGGCGAGGATATGGTCAAGTTCCCGGCGGATTTGATGTGCATCAGCAACGTCAGCGCGAGGCCGTTTCAGAGCACAGAGGACGTCAAGGATTTGCTGGCGCGGCAGTGCCTGGAGACGGTGCAGTGGTGGGAGAGCATCAAGTATCTGGATCAAGAGCAGAAGGTCAGGCGGTGGCTCGGCATCGGGCCGGGCAAGGTGGGGAGGAACCTCGTGGGCAAGGAGGTCGGCATGAGAGGGATGGACAGGGTCAAAGGCGGCGGCGTGTGGGCTATTACTGATCCCGACGAGATCGAGGATGTGCTGAGAGGGCTAGAGAAAACGGAGTGTCTAGATGATGAGGATGAATAGGCCTGTGGCTATTTGGCGCACTGCTCAGTGGCTTCAAGCAGAGCAGCCACGTTGGCTGTAAGAGTGGCAGCAGATTCAACATTGTAACGGGATAAGCCGCGGGATAGACAGGCGCTACTCGACACGCACAATACCTTCCAGAGCCGTTCGGCCTCCATTTGCCGGAAATGACACCTGAAAATTTCACTGGAAAGTTCCAAGAATGCAGTAGAACAAGTGCTCGCTGGTTGAAAGTTGCGCCGAGGTACGGGGCTCTCGAGGCCGCCTCCGGGTCCAGTCCAGGACCGGGATAGTGGGGCTGCCTGGCAAAGCTCCGAGCTCCAACCGTCGGGGCCAGCTCTCCAGCCCGGATGTCGAACCTCTCCAGCTGCACACACGCCACCGCCAGACCACCAGCATGGCCACATCAATACCCTCGATCGCCTGCCTGGGCGTGATAGGTCGTCACGTACGTCTCTGCCCTGGCTCGACGCCGTCCCCCCTCCATCCCGCGACTCATCCTCAGCCACCGACCACCCACACCCCTTAAGCGAAGCTAACACCGTCCTGCGCGCCCACAGAACAACCCTCTGCACACGACCATCCTCCCGACGACGACCGACCCCAAGACCGGGGCGCCGGCCCCGCTGCGCACACCGCTGCAGTTCTCGCTGCTGCTGTCCAGCACGCTCGACGTCTTCGCCAGCCGCGCCCGCCACGCCTCGGCCTCGGGCACCCTGCTGTCGGGCGACTTCGGCCTGCTGCACGCCGTCGACGACCGCCTGGCCGCCTACGGCTGGGAGACCAACACGGGCGTCAAGTTCGTCGTCGTCGTCGACATGCGCGGCCGCACCCTGGACCGCACCGGCGGCAGCACGGCGTCCTCCTCCAAGAGCGCCGCCGCCGCTGCCGCCGCCGCCGCGAGCGCCACCGGCGTCGGCCTCCGGGAGGGCGAGCTCAAGGTCGTCTTCCGCGCCATGCAGACCGCCTACGTCCGCCTGCTGCAGAACCCGTTCTACGACCCCGACGAGGCCGCCGCCGGCGCCGCCGGTGCCGCTGCCCTGGGCAAGCGCATCACGAGCCGCAAGTTCGCCGAGGAGATGAGGCGCATCGGCGAGGTTTGGGTCCCCGGCAGCGTGAACGCCCTTTAACAGATAGCGCGGGCTTGCGCTGTGTTTCGAAGACCGCAGGGGGCTGGATTGCAGGGACGAGGGGGGAGGACTAGGCGAGAAAGTGGCCAAGTAGGGAATGATTAGTGATGAGTGAGCATTTGGCATGGCGTTATACGGAAGGGCATCGTTCCGTCTATGGCGTTGGGAATAAATTCGGCCTCTGGAGTCAAAGTCAAAGACAGCAGCCACCTGGTGAAAGTGGCCCGGCGAGATCTGTATTTGAGGATTGCATATTAAACATTGTTTAAAACGCTTTGTGGTCTCATGCGAAGAACCGCGATCTACTTTTCAATCGTGCAGCCATTTATTTGCTCGTGCCAACGATAGTCACACAGTCGAGTCGCCGAGCAAGTACAAACTACGATGGATATGCCAGCAGGTAGATTCGTCCAGATAATCGTAACCAGCTCTGTCGAGAGATTCTGATGCTGTATCAAAATCGGCATGTAATAGTGGTTGAAGAGCATTCAGGGGTTTCAGTCAGCAGCTGGGGGCTATCAGATACATACTTTGCTTCTATTGGGTATCTCTGAAGGTGTTCTCCGTAGGGTAGACCTCTGGTAGGGAGTCAGCCCAGAATTGGGGCAGACTATCAGTGAAGAAATCTCGGAAACGTCGTGTAATCAGTCACCTGCGGTCAGAACAAGGCAGGATGTCACTCGAGGTGATCAGGTGAGAAAGTACACGCGATCTGTGATGATTTCTATTTGACCCCTTTCAATTGAAATTAAGATAGAGGCCGATCAAAACAATCCTGGTTACAGCCATGGGAGCGACCGAAATACAAAGAGCATCCCTTGGGATGCTCGGTGACTGGACGTGAGCACGGCTGCAGAAGTTTGTTGTCCCACATAGATATACATGAACGTTCCAGTCAAAGGCTCTGTGATGTGACATGGCCATAAACTTGAAGAGTATCCGTGCTATCGCTGAAGTAACAATCGAAGGTCGCCTCGATATGCATGGTACGGGGCCGCTCTCTCGTTGCATGCTTGACTTGCCCTCGAGGCAGAAGTCGAAGTGATAGAGACTGACGAGACGCCGATTGCAGAAATATTGAACAGGCCACGCTCAAGGCTCTGTCAGTCATCCAACACAAGCCAGTGCTACCGCGTTCCGGTATGAGTAACTACAGAGCATTCCTTGTTAGGTACATCATGTGTGCTCTTTTCTCGCTATAGATGATCGAAATGGGCCACAAGCTGTTTAAACATGGTGCCCAACCTTGATATGATTGAATGTATCATGGACTTCGAAAAGATGTCATATCTCCCTCATTTGACTCTGCTGCCGGGTTCCTGACTCACCGTGACAGTACTGATTGATCAGTGTCGCATGAGGCACTGGCTGTAGTAGCAAATAATTCCATGCTTCACAAAAAAGTAGGCTATGTATCGAAGGTTCCCCGAAACAGGCGTTCAGACAGCGGTTATTTCCCCCTTTCCGCATGCCATGGAGATTCAGACATGACCTCTACATCATCGGCAGGAGGGTTGCGTGCTGCACAACAATTACAGTTATGCGCCGCAGGTCGTCGAGGAACGCCGAGCGATGTTGGGCTTCTATAAGGCCATGTTACATAAGGTGGCGGTCTTCTAACGATGTGTTTCTACTCACTGCCATTGCCAGTTGCCCATTGGGATGAATACATCTATGATTTCAGTAACACTGTAGTGGCTGAGGCGATCGAATAGGCACGAGCTATGCTTGTTCCTAGATGGCGACTGACAAGTGGTCCAATATCTTATACTCATCTTGGAAAGAACCAGGCCACTCTACAAAACACATGAAGAACATGGACTCAATTATCAGCTCTGACTCTACCCATCAACAACAGTAAAGCAATGATTTACCGTGTCGAGGATCTCCTGCCTCGAGTGCACTAACATCTTCTCTCTCAATTTCCAGTGTGCCTTGTCACATGCCTCCTGGATAAGTGTTCATCCGCCTGGTGGGTGCCAAGGCACGACGAGGCTTGAGCGGCGAGCATAGACAGCGACACGCAATTCCGCCCGGCCGGCTCTCGTACCACCGGAACAGCCGTCTACGTGATCCGTCGTCCCCCCGGTGGGTGAAGAGAGTTTTTGGCGATCTTGCTGCGCGGTACTTTTCGCAACAGGTCTAACATCCACCTCGTCGCAACCCGCCGCCCCCGAAAACTTTATATGACAGAGACAGCGGCAACGCAAGATGCGACGCCTTCCGGCTGTCGGGCATCAAGAAAACTTACGATGGCCAGAGGCTCTCCATGTCCTCGCATACAGGGGCGGGGCTCCGCCGGTCGGAACGCGTCAGATGCGGTGATCCGCCGGGTATGTCCTTCGTCGCTGTCAGCGATGCTGGACCGAAATATGTGCATGTGCGTAGTGAGTGATTAGATTTCTCCAAGACTCAATCGGGATGGACTCTCCGACATGTTGTAACCGTACAATCTACACGGAAGCCCAAAGCATTTTAGGTTTGGCTGTCTCCGTGACCATTGGCGCCAGATCTTCAGTTTCGGCAATATATGTTTACTGATCACGTTGTTTATCTCTTGGTCTACCGTAGTAATTGCCTATGAGATGACAATCCCACTGCTCACTCGCCTGAAGAGAGAGACTAACGTTAGTCACGAGCTTTGATGTGCAAAGTTTCATGGCTGTTTTCGTCAGGTTCCAATGGTGAGAGTCCAATACTCTCGCAATCAGCGCAACTGACCCGGCGCTATTCGCGGCAGTCACAATTTTTCTCCTCCTTGTCCCATTTCCTCTCTTCTCTTTCAGTCATGCTAAACTCGACAGTTTCTGTTACGTTTCAAGAGAAATAATGGGTACATATGTTCCAATGACAAGGGAAAGGAGCCTCATGACTTATAGGGGCTGCAAACAAGCCTTGTGGTTCTCGCTCCGGCGTTTCCCCGTCATCGGAACCTTGTACTACTTCTGCTCCATGACATATCTAAGGACAAAACCCTGGTCTTATGTAACGTGTTAGTCGACCTGACTTACAGTTCTGCCCAGGGCACATGACGCAAGACCTATTTCTGTAATCCGTGTCATGTTGAGCTGGATCTTGGAATGCCATTCTCCCACGCTTTTGCCAGGATACGAACGTCTGGGCCCACTCGGAGTCGGACTACTTGCGACAGACTCTTTGCAGCATGGCATCGGCATCGAAGCCGTGAAAATAACGTTTAATTGCGACCCAATATCTGTCAAACCTTATTGTTCCGAGTAGCGGTTGGGATGTGTAGCACTGACTCGTCGATTACCAGACTGATGGGCCTGGGGTTTTACTAGAGAAAGGCCGTAACAGGAATGGCTAAGCGGGAGGATCATAGTTAGTAGTGTCGACCTAGAAACTCTAGGTCTTCTAGAAGCCTTCTGGAAACGCCAGAGCCAGCCACTATGTACATAGTATGTGAACGACTCACTCGTGGTCTAGCGGTTTTCCCATTGTGTCAAGGACAAGTGTGTCAAGTCAAGAACGTCTGGTTCCTGGATCGGTGGATCGATCAAACATGGCAAACGACCAAGCGCTGCGTACTAGGATCGGGGGAGCACTTCCAGTCAGGTGACCCTTGTTCCTTTGCGTGATGGTTGCCATTCCTCTCAGGTGCTGATAAATATAGTTTGCAGGCTATGCAATACTGCCACAGATATGATGTCGTTCGGGACCGAAACCCACCGTGAGATAGTCTTCCGTTGACCGCCAAGATCACGATCTGGCGAAACCATTCAGTGGAAATTTGGGCTTTGGGTACCTCGTGGTTCTCAGTAGCCTCTTTAGAGAGAGGGCCGAGCCCATCACGCGCGACAAACAGAACCAAACGCCTGACTCGGGGCCTTGCGGCCGCTTCGGCGAGAGGGACGAACTGTTTGGCGTCGGGTTTTGGCGTAGGGGCTGGGTTGCTTGGGCCCCCCACGCGGCTTTGCACAGCAGACAAAGGTGGCAGCTGAAAGCCTGCGATGTACTCCATAGATTGGGGGTTGATGGATGGTGATGAAGTTGCGTACCGCGTGTGACGTGGCGTATGTATAATTTGTTGGCGACATGTACGTACTCAGACGGGCTTGAGGCTAACGACGAAGCCAACGGGTGCTTGGAAACGACTTATCGAAAATACAGTTTACTGCAGAGCATGGCTGAACCTTGATGTCTTATGCGGTAGCTGTTAATTATTCTCTTTCTGGTCTCGGATTTGGTTGCAACACAGCTAGCTTTTCCGAAGCTGAAGTCTAGTGGGACATGAGAATTACAAAGGCTATTCATTGTATTACAATTTTCTGGCAATACTAGACGGCTTGGCGTCGAGGTATAGTAACCCCTAGATCAACTGGGGAAAGCAGTGCAAGGGTCATTAGTGGAATTGAATTGTGATTATTGGCACAGTACAGCATGTCCATGGGGACATGCCATCGCAGCTGTGGCTGGCTACTCGTAATGGATCTCTGCCTCGGCTGCTATCTGCACTTCCTGGGGCCCCCTCCTGAGAGCCTCGGCATACATAGTACGCCAGAGGGCCTTGAAGCTACGAGATGCACGAATCAACGGAAGGTGAAGCGCGGTGTTGCGGCTCGTCAGGGAAATGAGATGCTGCATGCGTAAGTGTGTCGAAAGGTGTGCTCAAGAGGCTAGGCTGGGGATGGGTTTCCATCACCAGCCGCAACGACGGTATGATGAGAGCGCCACCTCAAGCCTACGAGCCACGAGCCACACGTGTGGATGGTGTTTCAACTTCCCCGGATGCAATCAATGCAAGCAACCAAGCAGGCAGGCTGGCTGGCTGGCCGGCTGCCAGAGGCCGCATATGGTGGTTGGGGTACCTGAGCTCTCAACTTCAGATGGAATTTCAGGGTCCTGTCTGCCGGTCGTCCAACTGTCTCCAGGCCCAAAGGGGCGATTTGGTTGGCGCAGGCGCAGGCGTTGGAGCTGGAGCTTGAGCTTGGGGCAGCCCGGGGCGCAATTGGGGAAAGCGCAAATCGGCACCGGCGAAGTTGCATCACCGTGCAGCTCCACCCAGTCCTGCCCGTAGCTCCAAAATTTCATGGTCTTTCGCGATTGGAATCACACCCGACGCCTTGCGACGGTGGCAACGACGACGACAACGACAGCGACAGCGATAGCGACAGCGACAACTCCGGCCTGAGCTACCCATCACGGCATCCCGCATCTGTTGAGAAGCTTGATACTCGCAGCGTCACCCCGTCCGAGCCTTGACACAGCCGCCACGTGCCACCCTGCCCGGATCCTCCCGTCGTCATCAAAGCTTGCCGACCCGTGCTATCCGATAGAGACCACATCTTGTCGAGCTTCGCACGTGGCGAGCCCATCAATACCACGAATATATAGGCACAATACACGCTTTGGACATGATCAGGGCATCGGTACGAGAGTATGTTGCGCTCCTCGGAGTCCGATCCGGCCCTGGTTCGTCGCAGGCCATCAGCAGCATCTGGGCCAGGAGCTTCTCTTCACAACCCCAGTTCCTAGCCAGGACTGCTGCTCCGAGACGCATGCTATCATCTTCTACCCGGCCGCATATCACAACCCCCGCTACTAAGTTCCGGCCGTCGCCTTGGCGATCATCACGGCGCAACTTTCATAACTCCTCGAGACGACGTGACACTAAGAATACCACCGACGGTGCATCAAGTAATGGTTCGTCAAGCAAAGTTCAAGAGCCCCAGGGCCTTTCTGCTAGGCTGAAGAAGCTCTCGAGAGAATATGGCTGGACTGCCGTGGGGGTCTATCTGGCGTTGAGTGTCTTGGATTTTCCGTTCTGCTTCCTACTGGTCCGAGTTGTAGGCACCGACAGAATAGGTGAGCAGCAACTGCATGATTGGGGTTTTTTTTTTCTGGCCAGAAGTACTGACGTCAGTAGGGGAAATCGAGCACTACATCACTTCGAATGTCAAAAAGTTGATCCCACAGCGCCTCAAGGACAGGTGGCACGAATATCAGAAGGCACTCAAGCAAGCCGAGAAGGAGAACCTGGGAAATGACGAGATTAGCGAACACGTCGAAATGGCCGGCTGGGGAGTGCAGGAGGCAGAAGAAAGAAACAAGGCTGAAGCTAGTAAGTGTGTGCTCAATGATACTCCACCGCCCTGACACTAACCCGAGCTCTCAGGTCTTGGAACGCAGCTGGCGCTCGCCTACGCTATCCACAAAAGTTTCATCTTCATTCGGGTTCCTTTGACTGCCGCTGTGCTGCCAAAGGTTGTGAAGGTGCTCCGGTCTTGGGGATGGAAGATCGGGAAGAAGAAGGCCAGCAAGGCCAAGCCCTGAGTCATGTAGACTTCTTGACCGGCAGCTGTTTTGTATAGGCGACATCGAACTCCGCCACCCCATGCGGGCATCCCTGTCTCGAGTTCACTTCAAGGTGTGATTTTGTATAGGCTTGTACGATTTTCTTGTTTGCTGTATGTACACTTAGACTCTCTGCTCATGCACTGTAACTTACATAGTTGAGCATGTAAAATTCGAAAACACCAGGACTCCATGGGAATGAATCGTCGTGAGCCCTGCCGCCTTTGAACAGACCCATCACATCACTGATGCAGCTAGACCCTGCAAAGAGCAAATAACAGGCAAAGCGTGTGTGTGGGGAGGTTGTCCGAGAGCAAGAAACATCGTGATCGACCCGCAAATTGCAGCCAGCGGGCCAGCATACTTTTTCGTTTCTTCCTCGTCGGGTTTCGTATTCCGGCTCAGTGGAGGCTCGATCTTCTTGTCTCCAAATGGACAAGCAGGGTCATGGGATCTGTGAAGGCGACTTTACCAGCAACAATCAAGTTCCAGGTCCTGACAGCTCCGCGTGCTTGGCAATTATGCTTATTCCAGAACCAGATGCATCGGGTGTGGTGGTAAAGATCCAACGAGTGCGGCAGGGAGCGATTGAATTGATAGGCTATAGCTAATCCGCACGCTGAAGCTCGCCCCTGATAAGCCGCCGGTAATAAGCACAAAAGTGATGGATACGACCGTGACGGTCCTGCGCTGCATATGCGCCGGAGAATTCCAGCACCTCCCCCAGGACCCCATATACACGGGTCACTATTGTGGGTTGAAGATCAGGGCCCCAGCAGCCCAGGGTTCAAAAGCTCCGTTCGCTCAATGATCGCCCCTGCAACGGCTAGAACGGCCCTGAGGCAGACATGGGTTGAGAAACGGGAGTCAAGGGGATGGGCAGGCAGTTTTCGGACGTATCTCCAAATGCGGAAGTGTGCCTCAACTTCAACCTTTCGCTATGTGGGAACTTCACGATGCTCCCCGTGAATCGCATTTCTCACACACCTTTTAAGGTTTCTGTCCTCCGTGTCTCATTATTTCCACCCATGCGCCCTCGGAGAGTGACAGCAGCGACCTGCTTTCCCAGCCTTTCCCAGGGGGGACTCGCTGGCGATCCTCTACGGTGCTCGAGTTCCGATCGTCCCTAACCCATGAAGGTTTGCAATCCGCCACCCATTCGCTTAACGAAACTCTGCGGCCACTTTCCGGGGACTATTGGCTACCTTGGCATTTGTCGGTATCGTCTTCCCCTTGCTTCCCAGGCTTTTGTTTGCCCAGGAGCCCCAGCTAGCATGTATGCAGCTACTGAGATGAGATGCGCTTATTCAGAAAGACCACGCAGCGGCTGAGCCCTCCCAGTCCCTTGGGTGGAAAACTGGGGCTGGTGGCGCAGCTCGACCCGAATTGGTTCCCAAACGGGCTGTTCGAGAAATCTTATCACGACAGAACTCAGGAACCGCCACGAGGTTCTGGGCCATTACGCAGTGCAATCCAGGGGCGTCCTTCACCTGCTTCGAGGTGCATCCCGGGACGATTCTGGACCCGTCCGTTCCCAAGTTCCATGACTAGAAAACTGATGCTTCTAGCGCCTCCATTAATGCACGTCCTTGATCTGATGACAGTAAGCCTGACGACCATGTGGAAGCCACAATTTCAATAAACTTTGCACTGAAACCCCAGCGGTGACGAAGAGCAATTTGGGGGTCCTGGGGACGCCTTCAGGGCCCCCCCGGAAACAAGACTGAACTATACGGCAAGGCTCCCGACGTTAGGGAGCAGTCTGCCGATTTGATTGACATGTATTCACCCGGGTTGGAATGCGCTGGCTTGTGACGCCCGTCCGGCAGAGGCGCAACGTCCAGATGTCATCTACGGCTTCAGATTGGAGGCCGCCTGTCGCATAGCAAGCAAGGGTCTCCGAATATGGTTTAAGCAAGACCAGACGAACGTTTGACGTGCTTTTAGTCGTGGGCATCCCGTGCTCCCGGGCTTTGCTTGCGATCGCACACACGTCGCTGCAAAGGCCGATCAACCTGAGACACCGTCCATCGGCGCTATCTCAAGGCTGAAGACGATGGACGAACCTTAACGACCCTAGCCTACGCCAGACCTAGCGAGCAGCTGACAACACATCGCTCACGATATGTAGAATCGAAGTATCGCAGAAAGGCTAAAAAAAAAAATGCGGGCGGCTAAGCGACCCTTCAAATGCCATGACCACAGAGGCATTCTTACCACGGATTGGCATCGTCGTCGGGTTGTCCCATCTCGTCTGAAGTGATCGTCTCCCATCGGCGTTATACTATTGCAGCCCCATCTGTGTCAGTTATACGCCCGGCGAAAGACCGTGGACCGCGTCCGTGCCTCTACGGGGTCCCTAGTCTTTGCTCGACATCGAGCAGGCGGTGTGAGGTGCCTGGAAAAGAGTCCGAAAGACAGAAGCAGATTGTTATGGGAAACCTAGAAATGACTCGCATTCCCCAGTTGTGCAGCGACGTCAGTGGTTCAAGAATAGTGCCGAAGTGTGTAAAGGCGTAGCCTGCGACCGCGTCCACGGTTTCGGGTTACTAAGACTTGGACACGAGGCCGGCCAATGAGATTTGACTTGCGCCCACGACCGGTTCCCAGGCGGACGGAAGCCGAAGTACCTGGCAGGATTCAAGTAATCAAGTCGCCTACCTTGGCTAACAGGAAGGTTTCCCAGTATTGGACTTGACAAGAGTTTCTAGAGGGGTGCTCGTAATTTCAACTAGTCGAATCTTATACCGACATAACCAACAGTAGTCGCCCAGCTAGTCCTCGTGTCGTCGTCCCAAGGGGATCACTTACAGTTTCCGGTCGGGTCGGTCAGCTGGTGAAGCGCAGAGCCAGATCAATAAACTATGTTCGCGGATCGTACTATGTACAGATGTACAAGGCAGTGCCGGCGGTCGGAAGCACGGGGTGGGCTCTGTGTTTTTAACCCAGCTCACAGCGTCATCTGCGGCCTGCTGTGTAATATTTACGTACGTACATTGGCGAAATTGCCCTTGACCCTCTTTCCGCAGACGAACAGATCGTCGGGGCGCGCAGCGAGGGAGTGAGGGAGTGAGTGACATGCGATGTAACTAAGCTGGACCCCTAAGAGCGACGTGCCATCCCACATCCACATCCAGCCTACTCTACTAGTCATTGCATCAGTTCCCGTTAGACATGCTTTCGAGCCTGGCCTGGGAAGGGTACGTACTCTGGCTAGGGTCATGGCTATGAGTGGAGCAGTACCTGCGAGTCCAGATGCCTGGGCCGTGTACCGAAGACCTCTAGTCGGGACGCCTAGCCATGGTACGAATCAGGGAAAAGCTCCGTGCCTTTTTTTGCCCCGCGATAGACTGACTTGCAACCTGCAACATGCCACGGGGGGCTCAAGGGACGGGACCACAATAGAAACTTTTCTGACTTTTGGCCACGATCTGGCACGTACACAAGCAAGCCCGGCCGTGTGCGTCTGACAGAGCACACACAGCACAGGTACAGTACAAGCCGTCCCCTCCCTTCGCCAGCTAGTGAGAATCCGTCCGGGCTACATACTCCGCCCTAGTCGCCGGTAATTGATGGGGTGTGATGGTCTTGTAGTCGCCTTTGTAGAACACCCTGCATGTATTAAAGACCACTGGTGATCCCGCCCATCAGGATCAACCTCACCTTGTCACCCTGCAATAGCACCTGCTCACTACCCACGTTTGACGAACGCAAATAGCTGAGCATTGCCTGTTATTGGAGACCACTCGTTACCTTTTTGTCGCAACCAAACTTTTACCGCACCTTGTCTCGCAGATTCCTGCCCAGACAAGTAATATCTGGCCCGCCAAACACTCGACCCTTACAACTACTACTGCCACCCGCTACTAGTACTTAGAACAACTACGACTACTACTGCTGCTGCTGCTGCTGCTACTTTTATATATACCACAGAGACCAACCCTCCCACGGTCCCCTTTCCCAAATGACGATGCTTCTGGTCAACCCTCACGAGCTGCAGTCCTCCTCATACTACATGAACTACCGGTTGCCCACGCCGTCCTCGGCACCGTCCGTCATGAGCATCCTCAACATGGCGTCGCAGCACCACGAACACCACCCGGCGGCCAGCCCGTCGTCAGCCTCGGACAACGAGGTCGCGCAGGCGCTGGAGATCGCCCGCGAGAGCCCCGACGGCGCCAAGGACCCGTTCGTGAGCAACATCCTGGAGACGGCGCTCGCCCAGATCTGGGCCAACGTGCAGGCACACCCGGACTCGTACATCATGTCGCGGGACGAGTTTGCCGTCTTCAACTACTTCCAGCACCGGTTCGAGGGAAACAAGGTCGCCATCGCCGCCAGGAAGCGGTACTGGGACAACGCGACTGGCGTCTAAGGGCAATACTTCGGACCTTCTCCGGTGGCGCCTGGACGCGGGATTGGTGTGACAGCCAGTCCGCTGTTTGAGGCCTCGTTGCAGGGCTGCTCCCGATCGAACGAGATCGTGCAGCCTTAGCCCACCGGTGCATACGGCATGCGGTTGCTTGCGGTGCACGGAGGTGCATTTGCTTTTTTAATTATCTGTTTTCGACGCAACGAAGAGGCTTGGAGCTAGCCCGTTCTCCCTCCCTCTCAACCCCGCCATCGAGCGAAGGGATCCGACCGTCCGATCCGACAAATTGAATCCCCCCAAGGGTTCAATGCAGCTTGCCCGCGCGCACGGCTGCTCGGGTCTCAGACCATCTTCCTGTGGCTTCCGCCGCGGAACTCCCCCCCTTGCCCTTGACCTAGACCTTGACCTTGACCCTTGGTTGCTTGGGGGGGCGTGGGAGGAGAGGGACAAACCGAGGCCGCATGTCGCATGATCAGTGCCTTGGTCCTGCAACCCTCTTTGCACTCCACTCCGTGTTAGAAACATCCCTTGATTGAGCCACCTGCATTGTTTCGTCAGCAGCATCGGGATTTGGAGTTGGGCTGATATCCATTTTTGTGGCGTTTTCTTGCCTTGGGGCTTACGGCGCTTATTGCGATAGTCTGGCCTTTCTGCATTGCATTGACGTTATCGGGATACCACACTGGCTTCCGTCACGCCTCGGCACCGCGGTCAGGATCGCGGGATATGATCGACGAATAGCACCGGACAATGGGACATCACGGCGACTCGACCAAGCCTGCGACATCTGCTGCGCGGATGACTCGCGCTGGTGGCTCTCGCCACGGCTATCACGTTCAGGGCCGGCCGCGTCGGCTGAGCCCGTGGCTTTCGGTGGTGCTGGTCTTGCTTGGCTTGCAAGTCATCTCAGCTTCGGCCTCTAGAGACGTCTTGCAATGCTTGCAGGTCGCGCAGCCAGTGCTGTCTCCAACCGGGGTCACCCTGGGGTCGACAGCCAGCGACGGCGCGACCACCGCCGACACAGCTTCCGGCTCAGGCCGGCGGGCACCCTGCGATGTGTTGATAATGGATCACGTTTTCGCGTTCAGTTACGGGAGGCCGTTCATTGGTGGGTGACGGGAGCGACGATGAGATCTAATATAGAGCGATCTCTGACTTTTTTGATAGGCAATTATACCCCACCTAGCTGCGAATTCAACCGAGTTATAATGAACCTCACTGTTGTCTCTCAGGGTCGTCAGTTTGACAGACTCGCTGTGATGTATCTTGGTGACACTGAAATATGGCGAACCTCTACTGCAGAACCCACCTCGCCCCCTGGTATCCGGTGGACCTATATGAAGGACATGACCCAGTACTTATCCTTATGGAAGTCTAAACAGACCGTTATATTTGATTTGGGCAATCTCGTTAACGAGAAATATACTGGCTCCTTCAATGCAACGCTCACGGCAACATTCTTTCCCAGCTCGGCCAGAACGGACACGGCTGCGCCAGCCGATCTTATCATCCCAATATCCGCGAGGAAGGGGGCCTTCAAATCACCCAGCGCGTTTGTGCTACCGACGGATAACGCTACGAACACCGTCGCGCTGCCTCAAAACGCTAATCGTGCTGTGTTCTCTATTTCTGCTTGCGGTCAGGCCTCTGAAGAGTTTTGGTGGAGCAACGTTCCGGACTCAGATGTCTACACCTTCAACCGGACTGCGGGTGCATTGCCAGGTCATTCCCCTTTTCGAGAGGTACAGGTTCTCATTGATGGCCAACTAGCCGGTGTCTGGTGGCCCTACCCGGTGATATTCACTGGGGGTGTGGTGCCTAGCCTCCACCGTCCCATTGTCGGACTTGAAGCCTTCGACTTGTATGAGCATGAGATCGACATTAGTCCTTGGTTACCTATCCTATGTGATGGAACAGAGCATACTTTCACGATAGTGGTGGCCGGACTACAGAACGGGAAGAACGGCAGTCTCGCACTTGCACATCCTGTGAGTGACAACTGGGTTGTTACTGGGAAAGTGTTCGTATGGCTGGACGACAAGGGGTCAATCACGACCGGCGAGCGACCATTGATTGATTTTACTGGCCCGACGATTACACTTTCCCGAGCAGTCACGCAGAACTCAACAGGCTTCAATGAGACACTGGATTTCTCTGTCAAAGTTCAAAGACAGATCTCCATCAAAGCAACCATCAACTCGCAAGGCAAGACTGGAGAAGCTTCTTGGGCGCAAACATTAGCGTATACCAACGTGGCTCAGGTGACCAACTTTGGCTCCAATCAAATCAACCGGTTCCTCATCAAAGGACTCGATACTGCCACCGGCCCAAGTACCTTCTATCGGGCTGACTACAGCTATCCACTGTTTTGCGATTCGCGCGACACAGTTGATGCAGTACATGGCAACCGAACGCTTAACGCTCACTTGGCACAAGGACTAGAGCTGCAAGTCCAAGGCAACTCTGTCTTCCCTGACGGCTTGGAAGCTTTTGCAAACTCTGCCAGGGCTGAGGTTCCCAACTTTAGCGGATCTCTTCTGAATACATCCCGCGATGGAACAGCTTGGTTTTTCCTGACGGGCGACGGCGGAAATAGTTCCGGCTATGGATCAACGGCCCAAGTTTTCTACTTTGGAGGATTTCCACAAGGTGGCTCCCGCGGTAGCACCCCTGACGTCGTTGAACTATACTCCAGAAACGTGACAGCCGTTAATGGCACAATTGTACACGATTCGGAGAGAGCAGCTGGCGTTGGTTCGATCGACTTCACCGCCCTGTCAAGCCAGGAGAGCGCCACGGGTGGGTCGCAAGCCCTTTTCGCGCAGGCGCCACTCGAGGGAACAGGCCCAAGGGTATTCATGCATCCTAGCGAGGTGATGAATGAGGACACCAGCAGAGAGGCGTTTGCGGTAGGACTTCAGCATCCGATGGTTCATAGATGAAACGCATCTACTTTAGATTATCTACCTAGGCAATGAGTAATGTTACTAGCCAAATCGGTGGTGTCTACCCGAGCTGATTGCTGCTCGTGCTCGACGACCAGGGTGACGATGATATTCACGGCGGAAGCACGGCATCAGGTCAACCGCCCCTGCGTCGGAACGGACGCAGTAGCTGGTGATCTCGTGCGATCGCGTCCCGTTGGGCTGCATCCGTTATCGAGATCGGGTCCCAATAGTCCCTGTGAGCTGCCGGGGCGCCTTCTGGGGTCCAGGCAAGGGTGACACAGCCCTCTTCACAGTACTTTCGGTAGCAGGACCCGCAGGCCTGAAGGGGGATTGTATAGTACGTACGACTTACAATAAACGCTCTGGCGTGGTGCTAACCGATCATGCGAGAAAATCACTACATCAAACTTAGAGTAGTTTACGCTCCAATGTCATTCCCGGACAAGTCGCGTGGCTTTACTAGAAACAGCATCGCCGAAGAACCCGTCGTATCTGAGTTCAGTCCGCGTCTCTTGGCAATTAGCTTATGTCCCTTGCTTGGGATTGGGGCCACGCCAGCCTGCACATCTTTCTTATACTCTGGATCTAGCGCGAATCCACACTACGTACCCCCTTCGGCAGGAAAGCGGGGGCTCCTCAGAATCCCATGCCGACAAACGTATTACTGTAGTATTATTACAGTACCATAATGCCCATAATTCCGCGATCCTCAGGTGCTAGCAACTACCCAATGTAGTATTTGTTCATGGGTCAGACACAAAGAACCGAATCCCGTCGCGCGATACCGGGATTAGTTGCTCGACGTATTGCCGGATTCAGGATTTTACGACCGTGAAAGTCCAGCATCACTGGTCATTAGCTGCGGATGTCTTCTTCATACATGGGTTACGAGCATGACTCGTAATGCAGTTCAAAGCGTCCTTATCGTGACTCAGCAGTGACAGAGCCGTTGTGACTGGGAATTTGGCTTGTTCCTGGCAACCCTAGAGATTTGTATTCGCGAAACATTTTCTTATCTTTTCTCAACGCACACTTGACTGACGCTGTAGCGTAAGGGTGACTCCCCATAGCCACTAGTGGCTGTCAGGTCGACTGGAAGGCGTCACAGTTGAGAACAACGCGGCCTTGGAACTAGCAGTCTAAAGGTCCTCTCACGCGTGTTCTTCCGACTCACTAGAAAACTTCCTTTCTAGCTAGAAAATTTCCAGAATTCGCGTCTCTTGAGTGAAAGCCCCTGAAACAGACACACCGGCTGTCATGATCGATAGTCCGGAGATAGAGTTCGGGCGACCAGAACTCAGTTTCCAAAGAACCACTTCACGTAGATTCTACTATGTACCTCGACAGAAGTGGACAAGGGCCCAGCGTTAAGGGCTGGTAGCCTGGGCTTGACTCTCATTAGCCAGTGTACGAAGGAGGTATTTCCCAAACGGGTAGACGCGCGGGCTGCTTCCTTGCGGCTCCCCAAACTCTAATCGAGCTCCCTGGCATGCTGGCCTGCAGCCCAGACGTTCCCCCATGCTCCCCCATTCGGATCATGACGTGTGCCAGGTCCCTTCCGGAAAATGCGCTTGGCGCGGATGTCGCCGGCTGTAAGAAAGATACCGAAGTGTCTCCGTTCACGCCAACGGTGTGTCTGCCATGTTTGAGGTCCGACATCCGTACAGGTAACCTGATATATACGCCATGCTATGAAGTGTTGTACAGAGCTGTTTATCCGAGCGGAATAACGTTTGCATTGAGACAATAGCCGACGACATGCTTGTCGTATCGACGGGAATATACTTTTCAATTTTCATGGATGCGACGATTGCATCCTGTTGCGGATGTAATAAACAGGATGGATGGCAGCTGCGCCGCATGTTCGCACCAACGGACCGATATAGAGTTTCCGTGTCTTCATCACGAGCCACACTCGGACCTGGAGCCAAGTTGGCTGATCAGTATAGACTTCAAGTAACACTACTGAGCAGAGTTTCACGGCAACTCCGGCTCATGTATCAGGTGCCGTTGGATGATCCTAGGCGACAGATTTGGCATATAGTCCGACAGACTTTTTGATGCACACAAGCGAAGAAGTTTGTTTGCACGCAATCTTGGAGTTTTATTTCATTGCCGCTTACGTGTCTGCCGTTGATCTATCCGTTGATCTATAAGTGCTGACCAATCCTGGCTTCAACAGATCGAGATTCGTACCGTTGTGCCAATGCTTGACTGGAAGCTTCAGGGGCGTCATTATAACTAGCTTTCACGGCATTTGTCAAGCAAACCCCGTACGGTGTTTAGTCTTCGGAGGGATATCCGCTCGTACGCCGGGTAGAAAGTTGGCGCTTGAAGTCCAACGACACCCCTCAGGATGGGCTGGTTGTCCAGGACTGCCTCTGCGACTTTCTATCAATAGGATCCTCCACTTTCCGTCGGGTCAGAAGATCTTGTGACCGTCACGAGAAGCTAGAAGGTTACTGCTTTGTTGCATGCCGATTCCTTCTATCGGCTTAGCTATCACAAAACACTGAAGACCTAAGCACCAAGTCGTCTCGTTGCACAGCAAGTACTGTGGTTGCTGTATTGATCTTCTGGTATCCTTGAATATTGTATTCAAAATCTGTGCAACAAAAGCCATATCCATTCTGGCGCACATCCAAACTCCAGGCTCCAAACTCCAGGTACCGAACCAAAATGCTAATATCTAACTTCATAGCGCTGTGCTTGCCATTATGCAGCACCGTCGTCGGGGAGGCCGTTGTTCTCGGCTTTCTTTAAGAAGCCCTTGCTGTCTGCCTGTCCGATAGCCTTGTACCAGATGTTAGCCATCTTCTGATAACCCTTATCCACAGGATGAATGCCATCAGGAGCAAGATCCGATGGCAGCGGCCCGTCGAGCCCCTGCATGTCAGCAAAGATGATCGGCTTGCCCGCCTTTTGCAGAGTCGACACTAGACTTTGGTACTGGCTGTTGATTTGAACGCCACGTTCTTGCGCGCCGCTCTCTGCGTTTCGGATGAGACCTGACAAGACAACAGTGGCCTGGGGCGACTGAGTGTAGATGTCTGTGATCATACTTTGCATCCTTTCCCCAGCCTTAGGGATGTCGATATTCCGGATGGCATCGTTTGTGCCCAGGTTAATCAAAACCAGGTTGGGCTTATACTTGGGTGTGTCGGCATTCGACTTGGTGTGAACTTCGTCAATGATGAAGCCCGGCCACCCAGAGTTGTCGTTATCCTTCATGGTTCCGTTGGGATTGCTGCCGACCATGTTTACAGCGTTTCCCATGTCAACAATATGCTGCCTGAGGTCCTGACGGTACCCATTCCCATCACTGGAGGCCACACCATGGGTGATGGATGCACCCAGTGGCATTATCCGCAGGGGAATACCGCCAGCAAACGAGAAAGCCTTCACGTTATACCTCTGAGCATTTGGGTGCAAGTCCCTCCCTGTACGGGGTTAGCAGAGTGCTTGTAGACGTGATTGGGTTCTATACTCACCCAGTACAGGCGAGCATGCGCACGCAATCGCGCACAAGACGACCGAAAGTCTCTGGCCCAGCATGGTGATACTCTGTAGGTGATGTTGAGAGATGTGTCTGTCTACTCGATGAGATACATTCACTTAGTAGCGGCGCTGTTGTGGGTGCGGCAGATGTGTTCTTATATCATTCCTACTGAAGAAACAGAAGAAGTCATTCCGTAAAGCAACGCGACTCGACCGCAATGCTTCCTTCTCAGTGTCTTACATGCACAGGCACGCGCCTTCTCTCCGCCTTGTGGGTTAGCATCCTCTTTGAGAGTCGTCTATCCCTGCCCCGGTGCGGCTAGGCACCGCCTTTCAGGGCCCCCCTTGTCACCTGCGTGAGCCGGCTAAAGTTATCATAGCCATCAATTACTATGAACTGACTGCGCCGACTGTGGTATTGATCCCTCTTTGCGTGAATAAACTGGATCTCGTCTGGGCCTCGAAGAGACCAGGCGCGTTTCGATTTTCAGCTCCGTGCGCCGTTGTCGATCTTTTGCCTGTGGGGGGGTTTTCTAATAGGGATCCACGCTGTCTGGCCTTGTGCTAATCGTAAGCTAGACTTTCCTGGGCTTTGGCAGCAGCATTAGCCTCAGGGATCCCACACATTTGGGACTTCGAGACTCTTTCAAAACCTCTCAGGTGGACAATACATCTCCCCTGCTCACTGGCGAGATCGTAGCAAACTGCGCCTGATGGGCTCAAAACACTCTGTGCTAGTCCCAAATCGTAAGGCCCCATGGCTAATTCCCCGCGTGCTTGCACCCGGATATCAGGTGCGGTTATAGCCCAGAACCCACGAGGCAAAATGCAAAGTCCGGCTTCTGGCATTAGGCATCGCAACCTCGAGGACAACAGTCTCTACCGGCAGGATGCATGGGACCAAAAAAAGATCCCACTTGAGTCCCTCATGTCGCTGTCACGAGAGTTTCAGTATCTGGAGAATGCGACCGTGATGTCTCCAAACTCGTCTGGTTTCAATACAAGCTTTGACATCGTGCAGGTTTCATCCAGACTCTGACCCATGCACCCATGCGCAAACGGAGAACGCCTCGGCACGACTTGACTTGTAAACGACTGATTATTCTTGGGAGTTCGAGTAAGGATGGGGAATGAATTGAGTCGCGAATACCCAAGTATGACTAGCATTAGATTTTGCTTAGCTCCTAGCGTTGACAATATAGCTCCTTGTGTTACTATGAAATCTGTCAGACTACCCGCAGCAGCTCTGCAACCCACATCCCGCACGTCTAGCTACTCCAGATCTAGAACTCCGTCGGACGCGGTAAATTTAGTAGTGCGCCTCCGCTCAACATGACTTGGGCCAATATCCTCATTATTTACGAGTTACTGATGTTTGGCCGTTTTGCGATATGCAGACTTTGTAAGCTAATTGCCATTAGGCTGCTTGATTCGGCTAGCTAAAGAAGGCCGATGGGCCCTGTCAAGGTTCGGAACAAACCTTAATCAGTCTGGGACGCGCACCCAAAATAGTTCGTGATGGCTTCAAGTCCTACGGCGTATAATCCACTGATGAGGCTAAAGTCAATGCCTGCCGGGTCTCGTATGCGCATAGCCTACCAGTACTTCTTCTGGTGGCCCGCAATGGCGCCTCGTTCTATTTCTAAGCATGTGATAATCCCGTAGGATTACTCTCATTTCCGAGACTTTTATCCTGGAGCAACATCACTGTGTATTTCGCCCACATCTTAAACAATTTTATTGTACACAACATATGCTTGAGCCTACTTGGAAGGCTTAAGGTTCGAGTCAGAACCCGGCGCTGCCGTTGCGATGCAGGGTTTGTATCCGCCTCAAATGGCACAACTAGACGAAGTACTCGTTCTATCTAAACGAGTCTTCAAGTAAAGAACTCTGAACTGTGCTGCCTAGAGGGTTCAAAGAACAACTAAGAGTTCTTGGTGGCGTCGAACCTAGTTTTCTCCGATCCATTTCCTGCTTCCTTCCACGTTACGAAATGCTCCCTCGGGCTTTCGATCTCATTCATGTACGTCAGCATAGCCCCATCTTTGTAGAGCTTGAGGGTACCGTTGAATTCGTATAGAGTGCACGCAGCCCTCAATTGCTGCAAAGCCGACTTCCTTTCATGCGATTGGGAGGTGACCAAGCCGTAGATTCCTCTCGCGAGGCGAATGCATTCATCCTCAAAATTAAGAAAGTTATGGGTTGAGTCAGGCCAGTCTTCTGGGTCGGCATATATCACGACCCCGTCGCGTATCTCCATCAGCAGCTCGTATGCCTCCTCGAGACGATTCTGACGGTACAACACCACGGAGAGTGTCACTTTGCCCAGCAATGCTTGAAGTTTGCAACCCTGACGCCACAGTAGCTCTATTGCGTCTCTTTGCTGTTGCTCCGCCATCTTCCCCTTGAAAGACGCCAGTAAGCGTCCATATTTTCGAAGAAGTCCGGCAAATAAGTGCTGCTTCCGGTCCAGCTCAGAAGTCTCTGGTAAAGCATTTCTGTGGGGCATCAAGGCTTCCCAAGTGATCTTTCGGGTAGCCATTGTCCCAAATCGACTTACGCTGGCGACGTACCACTCGATGCGGCCGATATGGCAACGCTTAAGTGATGCCGCCGCCGCAGCATACGTCAGTATATGCTGTGCTACTTCGACCGGTGGAGCTAGGTCAGCAAGATACACATAACTATGTTTAGTCAGTGACAGAAGTCTTGACATCAGCGATGCAACCGTATATAAGAGATGCCGCGATGCGAACGATAAGAAAAGGGCTATACACAAGAGCAAAGTAGGACCAGGCTCCTGCACGCATGTAATGAATCGTTCGAAGTATTCGTGAAGAAGCTCGAACGCGCTTTGCACTTTGCCTACACTAAGAAGGGCATTTGCGTCGCCTATCTCTCGTCCCCATTGCGCCGTTTTCCCGCAGGTGAAAAGTGTCTCAGACTCCATGTCCAGACGCAGAAGTCCACTCTCGCAAGAGGACTCGACAAATTGATACGAGATCTTTATAATATCGTTAGGAAATCTTATTGAGTCTGGTGACATGATGATTCGTGGAAGCGTGGGGTCCCTTAGAGGCCTTGATGACCGCAGCTTTTGTTTCAACGGGCATCCGCTACGACTTTCCACCGCACCGACGGCTCCAGGAGACCCTCCAGCTTGGCGATAATGTGCGGACAGCCTTGCCTGCCGTTCATCATCTCGAATAACCGTGTGTTGACGCATATTCACTTTGCCCCAGCCCCCATCCTTTCGGCGAGCAGCACCGACTTTCTTCGCGTGGACTCGAATCAGTTTGCGAGCACAGTTTGACTTCTGAAGACTGTCTGGGCCAGAGGGCACCTATTGAAGGTCTCCCGCTTGAGAGTCTGCCATTCTGCCGCAGTCTCACGCTGCTTATGAACCGCGCGAGAGGCCGACAGGCGGCTTCTGTGCTAAAATCGCTGGGGATATACGCCAGTAGAAGATTATCAGTCTCGCAGCCCCTTGGTTTAATTACCAAACGAGAAAATGCGCCTTGTATGCACGTATGTCGTTCAAAACAAGCCAGCAGGCGATTGAATAGAGGCGTGTTTCGTAAGGCAAGGTGTCCGCAGGTTTTACAATGTAGCACTCAAGAGTGAAAACACCACCAGCACCATGCACATGTCGTATGTATCACTACTACAGTACCATCCATTGTCCTGGGACTGGCCGCCAGATCTAAGATGGCTCAAACGAGAGCTCACAGACCATCATCCATTTATAGAAGCACGAAGCATTGACCATAGTTTATTCGTATGAGAATACCGGTAATAGCAACTGTAAAAAGGAGCGGCAGCAGCAGCAACGGGTCAAGCGAACGATTCCATTCGGTTGATTGGACACCTGCTGCGGCTTGGTCCGTGAGCTCCCGTTCGAGTTTCCTGAGATTGGCGGCAGTGGTATGTATGCACGGTAGTTCGACAGGAAGGTTGGTTCCACACTGGCTTGAATCCAATGATTGATCTGAAGTGTGCCTTCCATCGAGTTTCCTTCCTTTATTGCCTTGGAAGGATGCCTTCCCTAGGTAGAAGGTTCAGTCTTCCACGTAGCACCGCTAGCAGCGCTATCAACTTTCAGTCAATGACCTGTATGGCGATCTGAAATTTGGGTGCCATCATGCATCGCTACCAAAGCCTTGTCTGAAAGCAAGTTCTGGCTTGCTATTTCTTTGGTTATTTGACCTTCAGTCTTCTCGAGACATTCTGTCAGCCATTCTCCTCTGAAACAAAGGCTCTGCTGGCAACTCATAATAGCGAATCCTGAATCCTGCAAGGAGGAACACGGGCGACACGAAGACAGTGTAGGTTTAGGGAAAGTCGTATGATTCTCGCCGAGTAGGCTTATGAATTCGGAACGCAAGGCAAATGTCTCGTGCGGAAAATGCGCGAAAGGACTGTAGAAAAGAGGTATTAGATTCCTCCCGATGCTACATTTTCGCCACTACCAGTGAGCGTAGGCTTGGTAATGGCAGTAATGAATCATGAAGTAGTTTTTTGACACACATGACGGAGTGTCAGCCATAGCGCTTGAAACCGTCATCTCCGTTACAACCCCCTCACAAAATCTGCCAATTACTTAGGTAGTTGACTGGCCGCTGATATCAGGTCCATAGGCGTAAGCGGGGTGTTTCCCAATAGGCTTATAGAAGTCTACGACCAGGCGAACTGTTATCGGATGTCTGAGCTCGTGTTTTGTGCTTAGGAGGCGGTGGTCGAGCGAGTGGGACAACTCCTGCGTCCAACGGCTTGAATGCCATCGGAATTGCATAGCATGCTGTACCGACTACTTCCGACCAACTACGCAGTCATTGTCGAAGAGTCGCTGCTACATGGCCTCTACAAAAATGCTGCATCAATGGTCAGGTGGCAAGTGGAGTATGAAGGCACAGAGCGTTCCGCATTCCTGTTTGTCATTACTCTCTGTCTTCTCCAACGGAGCGATGAAGTGTTTGTATATTGGAGTTTGGAGTCAATGGAAGGTACCAGAGGCCGCTAATCAGCCCCCATTACTATAGATGTGAAGTCACTTCCTTAAATGACAAATGTGGATAATAGACTAGCGCTGCAAAACTTAGTTGCGGATATACTGGTTCATCAAATCACTTTCACTACACATCGTAATCATTCATTATAAGCATTATTGCGTGTCTCACATCGTATTTCTGCACATGCGTGAAATCTTGTTTACCATACGGTGCTCTGGAGATTGCTGCAAAGGCCCTGTTGCTATTAGATCCTCCGTTCCTGAGCCACCGTAAAGTATGCATTGTTTTTCTGGATCATCGTAGCACTAGGAGTATCCCTTCACCTGATACCTTGAACTAACGTACTCCTTCAGTTATAAAGTCTCACCTTGATTCCAAGTGTGAGTGATTCAGTCTGCCATGAGGAAATCACAAGAATAGGCATCTCTGACCATAGCCTTTACCGTGAGTGTGTTATTGACGCGAGGGTCTCCTTGGTCTCCTGCGCGTGCCTGGGCCACCGAATGGTGCTACAGGTCGATAGAGTTTGGGACTCTCATTTACCGGCCTCATAACTTTTTCTGGAGCCGGAACTGTCCCTTGTGCAATACCCTTGTCACGAGAAGACTCAGCTTCCACTGACTTCTGCTTCAATGGATATGACGACGGTGCAACAGGGCCAGAGTTGACTACCCGCGAAATACTCAGGTTGCGGCCTTGCATCAGTTGAGAAGTCTCATTCTTAGGATCTTCATCTGCTATATCAAATTTTGGTTGCAGGCCTGGAGGCCATTCACCCCACTCTTCAGAAAATGCGGTACCAGTATCACGGATTCGCCACCCAGACTGCCTCCGGAGTGGTGACGGACCCGGCCTAGTGACTGACAGTGTTGGTCCAGTTAACTGTATTTCGGATGGCATTGGCCGTATCTTGATCGGCTTCACGTGCTCCTCGGTCGCATCATCATCTGAGTGGTTCCTGCTAAGGTCGGGCTGAATGTTTCTTCTATGAACAGGCTGTATTGGTATGATACGTTCAGGGGTAGTACCAGGTGGTGGACGATCCGGTGGGTTTGGCCTGCGCCTACTCGATCCTGGAGAGTGACCCGGCCCTTCATCATGCCCCTCGTCTTTTTGACGTTCGAGTTCCTCTTTAACTGCTCTGATCACAGCCTTCTCAATTCTGTGTATACCTTCCGTGAATGCGTTGGGGTGTTCGAGAGCTGTATCCCGAGATCCAAGGCGGAATTTCTGCTTGATTGCTTCTAGCTCCTTCTTTGCTTGTATTGCCGCCCGCCGCTCGATTTTCAGGTTCTGCGTCAACATTTTCCTGAGGTCTTGTTAGTACCTAGCTACTGGAGTGGCGATAGTTCATTACATACACCTTCGCTTCATTAATTTCATTCTTCATCTTTTCGCCATGGAGCAGGAATAGCGTTGCGACAAGATTCGCACCATGTGTGGTGGCGCTCATCAGGGCCCTCAGCTCTGCAATGTCTGGTTTCCTTAGCACCCATAGAAGCTGAGTCCATAGGGCCTTGACACTACTATTCCCACTGTCATAGATACGAGTGAAGGTCTCCACGAACTTCCAGATGCGCTCTTGGACGAGGGCACATTGACCCTCAATAGTCTTGACCAACTTCTGTCGTGATATCTTCTTCTGATCTACCAAGCCCTTATCCGTGTCCTCAACTGTTTCAGAAAAATGAGTTAAAAGAGTTGTAAAAGCCGTGGTTTCCATGAAGAAATCTTTCACCTCCTTCGGAGCTGCGCGGACACCTCGAATGTAGTAATTTACCTCCGATGTCAGCTTGATCAAACCCCCCGCGATTTGGGAAATCGCGGAAAGCCCTGATACAACCTCCATCAAGAGTTCAAACAGGGGTTGGTTGGCGAATGAGTAGCTTTGCCACTTGATTCTCGTTGCTCAAGGGGTTTTATGAACTGTTACTTCGTTGCATGATAGCCCTGCTCAGATCCATAATGGAAACTGGTAGAATGTTCCCAAGTGATATACAGAGCCTTGCCGCTACTTTGAAGACAAGTGGGTGACTTGTGAGCTAACTCTATTGGATGACCATTCCATCATAACAAAGAGCCGAACATGGGATTAGTCCCTTCCAGGTGATTGTGCAGATGCCTTGCGGGGAATAATGCATTCGTCATTGGCCACCATAGATTGTTCTGCATCCCGCCAAGGTCACAGCCTTCCGCTTCATGCACATCAATCCTCAACTATGGCGGACCGGTTCGCTGGCGCCTTCTGGCAACTACTGCGGTAGAGAAGCAGACCACACTGATATGAGTCTCGGATGGGCTGTTCAGCTTACAGCCACTTTAAGGGCCCGCACATGAATAATTTCCAGCTAGCAAACACGCAGTCTTATTTCATTTTGCCAATAGAACACGTTCAATGAATTTCAATATTCGATCTATCTTTTCTTAATTGTAGCATTGGAAGTTAGTAATCATATCAAGGTATGTAGATGCCAGCCCGGTTCCCTCGCTACGATGTATTATACTCTACCTGTGTTTGCTTGGTCCGCGACCAAGATCGTGTTGAAACCTGTAGGCTTTGACCACAAGCTTTCTTGCGGCAACGTAGGTCAGTGCACGAAGAATGAATGATGACGAGACTTGAACAAGTGGACAGGTGATAATGTTGGGGCCTTTAATGTGATAAATCTGGGCGTATGTCACTGCAGTACGAACACATATTCGCCCTTGACATGCTTGGCCACCGGATCTTGGGCCTTCATGGCACTGGAAGGAGGGACGTGCTTGCGGCGGTTAGCGTGAATGTTCTCGGCACTGGCGAAGTATTGACGTCGCGGGTATAGTGCTACATATGGTGCACGCCATGCCGAGCTCGATGTCGTCTGCGATGATGCCGCTGGGGTTGAGACGGCGCTGAAAAATCCAGAACACAGCGAAAAGCTGATGGCGATAAAGTCTTAGATCGGTGCAATGGAATTCACAACGATGGCTATCGTCCGACTCGGAGGTTTGATGCTGGGGATGGTTGAAAAGCTCTTACGTGTTGGCGAAGGCATCTAGGCTGAACTGGAAGCAAGTGTTGGCCAACGCGTGGAGGACACCGTCATCGTGTTCCTCCTCGGCTTAATCATCATCATCGTTCTGAGTGAGATCAATGACAGGCGGCGTGGCATGTACGTCGCCTTCCAGGGGTTTCTGGATACTCTGAGAGTGGCCAACTGCGGCCAGTCGCCGAATGGATCACCGGCCTCGAAATGCTTGATGCCAGGGACGATGTTTAGGAAGTCGCCCGCTTGGTTGTAGTGGGATCCTTCCGCAAAAACGGGGTCACCAAAGAGCACGTCGTGATCCTCTTTCGTGAAGGTTATGCCCGAATTTAGGTTGGTCGCCAAGCTGGGAATCTCACCCCAGTCGGACGTCTGGCCTCGTGCGCTGTGGAACAATACCATCTGCTCCTCGTCAAACGGAACCAACTTATCGGCTCATGATACGACCTGTGGGTGTTCCAACACGTTGGCCGCAAATGGGAACCCGGCCTGGATTTCCGTCAAGTCATCAACAGAGATGTTGCCGGCGCAAAGGTACTCGTTCGATAGACACCAATGAGGAGCGGCGCAGCGTTCACGCAACAAGCAAGGCCCATCATGCACCTGACAACGCTCGGGACTTTTCGAGATGTCGCCGTCCACACGTCTCAATGCCGCGTCCGCTTCGCGGAAGCACGCTTCTCGGCCCACGTTGATGCTCAGCCGCTCCAGCCCGATGTGAAACGAACTCTTGCACCAGGCATGGCCGCATAAATGCGAGAAGGTGATCTTGTTATCCACTCTCAACCACCCTGACAACTCCTCCTTGTCCTTCTAGGGCCAGAAGTTTGCATAGATGGCGAAGGGTTTCTTGTGGGCATCGCAGCCGCTCACCCTGCGGCCATAGTAACGGCCTCCGCCCCTTGAATTGCTGCCGCCGTCCAACCATCCTTAAAGCGTTTGATGCATAGAAGAAAGTGGCGCCCAGGAAAGCCCCAGCGGGAGGCCAGCGACGCAAGCGCCTACTTCTTCACAATAGCTCTGGTACGCCGGGCGGTATTTTACGAAATTCTTGAGATCCGCCGCGACCCAGGAAGCCTGGTCGGCGTGTCCGCGTTTGCACTTCTCTTCGCGGATGTAGCCGCCGGCTTCATCAGACTCGTCAGATTCATTGAGTAGCTCGTCGAGCTCGTCAAACTTGTCAGGCTTATCAAGCTCGTCATTGCTGCCTAGTGGTCCGGCGGGCTGGCCACGAACGTCGTGCTCCGTGTTGTCAACTTTCCGCGGGGAAGGCTGTGGGGCAGATGGAGACGGCGAGAGCTCGCCAACCTCGCGACATAAGAAGGAGTGCCAGCTGGCTGTGCATTGGAGGGAAGGCCAGGCAGCGGCCCTGTCGCACCCGAGGCTGGTGCAAACGCCGAAATCACACCGGTTTGAGGCGCAACAGGGAAAGCCGGCGAGGCAGCGGCGGCAGGGGGAGGCGCGTGGAATTGAAAAGGCACAGACGGCGGAAGCAGCGCCGAATTAGGGAGACTCCTGTCTAGGGCTGCATCTTGGGTGATCATATGAGCCAAGGCACTCTCATACTTGGCGACCTGATCGGTAAGCCTACGGCCAAGACGATGGAGGCTGGCGTCAAGCCGAGAGAAGGATTGGGCACGGATGGCTCGATCGCGGTCGCGCTGAACAAGCTGCCTCTGATGTTGTAAGCTCAAGATATTTCCACGCCTGGCTTCAGCACTCTCTATCTGGTGGCGGCGATTATGGATGTTAGTATTAATGGCGCCGAATCTCAGGAAAACTGACCTCGCTAGGATGCCTGACGTAAATGACATCCACGGGTGCGCCGGATGGCGACGGGAGCGACCTGGCGATGGCGTCAATCTCGGGAGCCACGGCAGGACCGTGTGGCTGGCAAGAGGCGGCCGGGCGAGGAGACGAGTTGATAGTAGTAGATAAAGCAGCATGGAGGACCGTTGAAAGACCGGGTGGCGGGCAGTTAACCGAATGACTCGGCCCGGCCGAAGCACAACGGGCTGGGGGGCTCTAAGCCGGCAGCGGGATTGAGGCCTCCGGTCTCGCTGACATTAGGCGTGCTGTGGCCTATGGCGGAGGAGACGTAGATGTGGGGGCCGCCGGGAGGCTGATTCTGGCTCGGCACGGCGGAGGGGTGTTGGCCGGGATGAGCAGCTTTGGGATGAGCGGCCGGATGAGTATATAGACCGCCGGGAACCTGCGCCGGCCTCGCCCGTACATTAATAGCGGCCGGGGGGAGGAAGGTGGCGGGGGACTGGTTGAGTCCTGGATGAGTGTTGACCCTAGCGGCGTGGTCGAATCCGGTGGCATAATGTGCGGCACTGTCGAATCCGGCGGACATGATGGGAGCCTGTGTGAGCCGCGTGAGCGTATGGGTCGGCAGAAGGCTGGCTGGCTCCGGAAGGAAAGCATTGCCCGACATGATCGCCGAACGAGCCGGGAGGCTGATAGACGCCAGCCTGGGGGTGAACACCGGTGGCAGATGACGGCCGGAGGGAATGGCTGCCAGATCGGGCACGGCGGCGGAGTAGAGCCTAGCGGTTGAGGTTTCAGCGGTTGAGTGACGGCCGACGGCGAAGCCAGAACCGCCGGGGTGACAAGTCGTTGCTACTGGTAGGTTAGCGCCAGGTTCAATTCTGTTATAGTAAAGCTGTTCCCAACGCGGCGTTGGCCAGGGCAGGGCGACAGGGACGGCCTACAGGTGTTACTGAATACATCTCCTGACTGGGCGGAACGAGCAAGCTGTGAAGGCCTCGCCGGTAAATTACCTGTAGAGCTGAAATGGCGCTCTTCAAGCTGGCCAGCAGGCTGCGGCGGCGCAACACGGGTCAGGGCTGGTAGAAGACTAGTTCAGGTTCAGCGCGGCGGCAGGGCGTCAACCGGCATGAGTATTAGGGCCGGCGGGAGAGTGGTTGAGGCCGACCAGGGTGCGAGAGAGTGAGTTCATTCCGTTCCCGCTAACAAGCTGCTTGCGGTTCTTCTAGGGCCAGAAGTGAGCATAGAGGGGAAAACGTTTTAGTAAACTACGTAAGTCCATAGATATGCGTGACAGTCGTATAGTCCACTATGGACGCTAAGCAAATATAGTCACCGCGGCTCCACTTCTGTGCTCCAGCGTTCATGGTGTTGGTTTTCTGTATTACTAAGGCTCACGGAGTTAAGGATTTCGCATTAGGCAGCTCGCTTTTTCGCATACATGACACTCAGCCACATGAGTTTGGCTATTTCCGTCTCACCACCATCAGCCAGATGTACGTACGGGGCCGTCTCTCTGAGATCAAGTATTTGAAGAGTTCACAAGACCGGATATAGACTTCGTTGAGTCTTCCGCAACACGCATCTAAAAGGGCATCGTACATCCAATAGCATTATGTCAATCGATCTCACTGACCAAGTTCCTGCCACGGTGGCACTGTTCCCCTCGTTTCACATTTGTAACGCGTTTTACAAAGCTATTAACCACCAACCCATCGGCGTGCATGTACTCATTCCGAAGGATAGACCAAGCGGCAAGCGTCCGCTGCTGGTCAGAATCCACGGCGGCGCTTTCTCTGAAGGCTCCAGTGACACCTGGCTTCGACCATGGTAAGCACCGAACTCCCATCGAGTAGCTAGAGAGTGACACCGTACCCGAGGATCATCGAATTGGCGTTGAAGCATAAGGCCATCCTAGTGATGCCAGATTACCGCTTGAGACCCGAGGCAGAGTTTGCCGACCTCATCGAGGATATGCGCGACTTCTGGACGTGGGTCGGCACCTCGCTCCCGCAGCTTCCAGGGATTGAGGTCGATGTGAACAACCTCGCCATCGTTGGGGAAAGCGCAGGCGGCACCCTGACGGCGCAGACTGCGCTGCTGGGGATGATCAACCCCATCAGGGTGATCCTGATGCAATACCCGGCACTGGACATCGAGGGCCACCTCAAGTGGCTGGAATCCCTCCCGGAAGACCAGAAAGTCAGCGAGGCAGTGCTCGACCAGCACCTGGCGGGTAGCATTTCAGGCCATATCTTCACCCGCGTGCCCAATGGGTGGAGGATGAACCTCGCCTTCAGCATGATGCACAACGGACGTTTCGCGGATATGGCTAAACAGCCGTACCTGGACCCAATGAAGAGCCTCGAGTCAGCGCCGAAGATGCCCCCGGTTTTCTTGTTCCACGGGCGGCAAGACACGTTAGTCAAGGTCGAAGGATCGGAGACCTGGGCTAAGAAACTGAGGGAATTACAACCAGACGTCCCGCTGCACTTCGTCATCAGAGACGGAGAGCATTCCCTCGACGAGGACGATAGGCTGACGACGCCATGGTTGCAGGAACCGATTGAGTTTGTTGAGCGGTTTTGGCCACATCGTGATGGGGATATCTAGGTATTGAAGCAACAACTGGAACCCGGATCACTATTTGCAGCTCTTCATTTAAACATTCACATGGTGCAGTCACAAAGAGAGTGAAACGTGGTGAGTCCAAGGGGACTGGCCCCAATTCGTCTAAACTTCCCAACTCGTCTGGTCAGCTCTATCTCCCAGAGCCCACCAGTGAGTCTGGGGGATGACTGCAGAAGAAGCTAAGTATTGTACAAGAAATATGTAACATTGATCCAAAATGCTACAAGCCCCCAAGGAAAATCTTTTTCGCCAATGTCCAGGTCCCATACCCTATATTGCCGTACCAAAGGAGTGTCGTGAAAAATGGAAGGTCATAACAGATGCTGAGAGGTTATGATGGTGGTCTCGTCGTCTTCACCACAATCTACTGCAGATCAACAGCCAACTCTCGGTTCGACGAACCGGACGAGGGCTTTGGAAAAAGAGTGCTTATGAGAAGCTGCCGCCTAGTTCCAGCGACGCTTGTAGGTGACAGCGGCCGGGCAGTTGGACACAGTGACAGTCTGAGCCGCAGGGCAAACGACACCGCTGCCTCCCGCAGTAACTGTGACGGTCTGAGTTGTTGCAACGTGACCGCTGGCCGTCACAGTGATGGTCTCAGCGGATCCGCCGTTACCTCCTGCCGTGACAGTGATTGTGGACCCAGCGCCAACAGTAACAGTGGGAACGTCAACGGCAGAAGCCGAGGCAGTGATGTAGACAGTGGAGGCCTCAACGGCGCCAGGAGCTGTAACGTATACAGTCGATGCCTCGGCGGCAGGGGCAGAAGCAGTGACATAGATGGTGGAAGGCTCGGCGGGGGCAAGCACCGGAGCACTCTGAGTGACGGGCGAGTTGGAGGCGGTCATTGTGACGGTGGAGTACTGGCCGTTGTTACCGGCGGGAACAGTCAACACAACAGTCTGAGGGCCCCCAGGAGATCCGGAACCAGCAGCAGGAGGAGCAGAGAAAGTAACAGTGTTGGTCAAGACGCTCGAAGTTGAGCCACCACCGACAGTCAAAGTCACAACCGAGACGATGGGAGTTGCAACGTGGGTGACACTGGCGGTAGGGATAATAGTCATGGAGCTGGTGAGAACCTGGCTGCCCATAGTGACTGTGACAACAGTCGCAACCGGAACACCACCAGAGTGCGTGGCAGAAGCAGTGACTGCGTCGTTAGAGCTGGTAGACTTGCCATCCTCGCCGCCGGAACCAGTAGGGAATGAACCAGTGCCGCCACCGACTCCAGTCTCAGTAGGGAATGGGAAGGCGGTAGCAGCGCCGGAGCTTGCGGTGACAGTCAAAGTGACGACAGATCCGCCGGCGTTGGTGTGGGTGAGGATAGCAGAGCTGCTGACAATGCTTTCAATGACGGACGAGTGAATGGAGCTAGCCTCAGAGACTGGGCAGACAGTGGTGGTAACATCGATGATGCTAGTGGCCAGGACAGTCGTGATAGCTCCGGAAGGAAGAGTTGCCAGAGCGCTGGACAGCTCAGCAGTGTTGCTGGCAGCAGGGCAGTTGGTGACAGTAGGGGCACAGGAGATGATGGTCTGGATCGAGGTAACACCGATGGTCAAGGTGGTGACGCCTCCAGCACCGGCAGTAGCGGTCGAGTTAGCGAACGGAGGGGCGATAGTGGTGTGGTTAGCGAAAGGGGCCGAAGCAGTGGCCGGAGAGTTGGAGCTGGCGCTCGCACCACCGGTGCCGGTGACCAACGGAGGCGCAACCGGGAACGAAGAGGTGGCAACGGCAGAGAACGAGGAGCTGGACGCAATAGAAGCAATCGACTCGGAAGAGCTGAGACCAGAAGCTGATGCCGGGGAGTTGGAGCTCGCGGACTGAGCAGCGGAAGACTGAGGAGGAGTAGTGCCGTTGGTAGAAGGCTGGAGGACAGGGTAGCTGGTTCCAGCGGCAGGGTTCTCAGCGACTGCGGTGGAACTGGCACCTGAGATGGCGGACGAAGCTGACACTGCGTCGGTAGAACTGGCGCTCACAGCAATGGAAGAGCCACCGACAGGGGGCTGAACCGGGTAGTCGGTTCCATTCGAAGGGCTGACAACAACGGGAGTATCGGTCTCTTCGGGCGGACAGTCGTCCTCGGTGCTGCTGGCCTCGGGGAGGGCTGAGGAGGATACAGAGGGGGCAACGACAGTGCTGCTGCTGCTGTTGCTGTACTGGACCGCCCGGCCATTCACCTGTCTGGCGTGGATGTGTCTCAAGTTGACTGCGGTTGCCTCCGAGGAGAGCAAGAAGATGGCGGCGACGACGCCGGATGCTGAAAAGCGCATGGTGAAGAGAAAGTGTGGGCTGAAAGTGTGGTTGAAGAGAAAGAATGACGAAACGAATGGGGCGACCGGGCACCGAAGAGAGAGAAATGTCAGCTGGCTGAACACACGAAAGAAGGTGGTGAAGACGAGGTGATGAACCAGATGTAAGTTACATCGAGAGGGAATGAGTGCTCTCTTAATACTCCCCTCCTCTGGCGTTGTTCCAAGCCGGTACTGCACCGCCTTGGCACGTATACACCGCCGAGGAGGAGGCTCTCGCCCTGAAAGCATATGACATCCATCCTTGTCTTTCCTCTATCTCCGAAAGTTTTCAATAGAGTTGCGTTAAGTTGTTGCACCATCTCCCAGGCTTAGTGTCGACGGTGGTCCCTAGCGGGCTATAGTCCGGAGGCCTGGAGCATGTAGGGGCCACTAAGGAGATTTCCATAATCCTTGCAGCAGATCCTTGAACCTCCAACGGATAGGATCTGCGCCTCACCTGGCGACCAGGTTCTGCTTTACATGGGGATGACGACTTTGGGTCTAGAGCGTCACACGTATACACAATTACCAGAAAGTGACTCCCGGCAGTAATTGGATGAACTGATCACTGTATTCGTCAGCGGCATTTCATTGCTCTCATCATGCTTGGGACCAAAACAACCATGCCACCGTACCGGGCATTTATTGCGGCTCTGCGGTGTGCTGCATCGGTCAACGACCATCTGCCATCGAGCGAGACGGCGTCGCAGAGGCGATGCCGTTACAGAGGCGCACCGTTGCTGGAGATCGCGAACTAGACAAACCCGTACCTGGTATGGAGGATCAACTGCCGACGTGCAGGGGAAGCTACCAAGTTGTGACGTCGCTGACGCTCTTCACGAGCCGCCGACGGCGCCGACCCAACAACGCTGGGCTCTCCAGATGGTCCAGCGCGGGTTGCGTGCCCCTGCCAAGGCTGCCCCTGGACCAGGACTTCGGGAGTGTGGTTGCAGCGTCTTTCGCCCGATATGCTCAGACGAGGAGAGGTCGGGCTGAACTGTCGAGCGACTCCAGTCCCTGGAAATAAGGGAGGATCGCCTGTGGGCAAGGATTCATATGATCATTCATGCACTCGATCTCCTTAAGCCGTGGTCCAGGAACCCGTCGAAGCTGGGGCCAACCGGGAAGACCCATCGGGAGGGCGGCGGCCAATGGGCACGCTTAGCGAATGTACCCCCTTTCCGCTTTGGGCGTCCTGAAGCTGCAGCCCCGATCGCCGCCCCTGGCCATTCAAAAACCCCCCTTTGCGTCGACGCTGATGGTTTCAAGATCTCGACTTCCCCTTCAGCGTCTCCTAACCACAGCACACGCCGAGGGGAGCGCGTCGCTATCGAATGCCCGCCTGCTTTTTCTGCGGGGTAAGACTGGAGTGGGACAGACCCTGGAAGCGATCATTCATCTGGTACAAGTGGCTGAGTCGCTGGATGCTACCACACTCCATCGTCACCCCTCGTGCGGATCAAGATTCTAGATCGGTGAGAACCCATTCGAAGAGGGGCGCCTTCACCGTTGACTGCCGCACTACAGGGCTTAGGGCGCTTCACTCTTTTTGGCCATCGTGGACGGTCTGTAAGTCAGCGTTTGGGAATCAAGCTGCGGAGACATCAACATGTCATCACCATCGTCAAGTGTTGATGCTGCCTCGGGGCATCTACCGCTCACAGGTATCAATGAAGATCGGCAAGACAAGCATGGTACCTGTCGCACGATGCCAGGTTGCCCAATCACGGACCACGACCCCTTTGCTGCACCTCGGAGGGACACTCTTTAAGCTTAAAAGTTGACGTCTGTGTCAGTTGGGCTTCAGGCTTCAGGAGGAGGCTGAGCACTTCCAGTAGGAGGCGAAGTGCTTCACGATTGCCTTCCCAGACCGGACATTGCTTTCGCTGTCTACTATAGAATGCTCCTTATGCTATATGCTTCTCTCTCTCATATTGAAAGCCGAAAAAGCCCGAGATATAGGCCACCCTCGCATCTGCATGAGATTGCAGAGAGAATTTTTCGGAATGCGATACCACACGGGCTATGGGTTCACCATAGAGAGAAAACGCGGTCCGATCACGATGCACATATGATTTATTTGCTCAACTTCGTTGTCTGGTGTTGAAATAGTGGACTGAATACAGGAATAGAGAGTGGACAAGACGACAACAACTATCATCATGGTATAACCCTGCAGTCGATGCAAACAGTGACTCCAATTAGTGTCTCCTACCAAATCCTGTCAATTCGGGTACAGTCTGTGCCTAGCAATAGCCTCTTCCACCTCTGAGGCTTGGGAGCCCACGGGCGAGATCGTGTCTGGGTGTCACTCTCCGCCATCGACAGGTGCGGATGACGTTAGCCAATCTATCTGGTTCACGGCGGACATCGAATAGTGGTTGTATGACAACTCCACCCATACTTGGGATGAACTGACTATTAACTCTAGATTCTGGTGTGAGGTTGTTGCGCATCGCTAACACCGGAAATTACAAATGTTTCAAAACCTAATATGTGGGTCCCACAGTGCTCCGGTCCTGTTTCGTTTATACCCAACGTTCCCCAGTGTTTAAACAAAGAAACGAACGACCACATTCAATATCCGATGTCAATGCTTCAGTGGGGATTGCAACTGCAGTAGGTGTCAGATTTGGTAGGATTGCCACCGAATCTTCCACCGCATGAATGTTCGGGTTCTGGGTCAGGTCAATGCGTGAGGTCGACTGCATCATATAGTGACGTGGACGGGGAAGTATCCGTATTGGCGACGCGGCTTGTTGTTCTGTCAGTCGAGACCTACGGACGATAACAGAATTGGGAGCTCCTATTTTCACCACTCCTGTGGCGCGACGATTGACGCCCAACATTGATGAGGCCTGGTACTGCTGTACTGAGCGCTGCCTCGTGTTTTGACCGCGCGGGTTGCGCAGAATGGCTTGGTCTGTATATCCGATCCATGACGAAGTGTCTCACCTGAGTTGTGTGCGGCTCACACCACGGCCAGTGTGTAACCACGGCGGGCCGGTTCAGCCTCTCGGTTCGGGATTTGTTACCTTTTGGCGCTGTCGTGTTACCTGCTTTCAAGTGCGAGCTGATGAGAGAAATAGTATCCAGCACCCACCGCTGCGCATATCCGATCAGATCTGGACCGCATCGTTCCGAGAATGGGTTAGCGTGGCAGAGCAAGGCTATGACAGAAGAGAACTGGCTGCTCGAAAATCCACGTGGTAGGGGAGCACGAGATGCTTCAAACCAGACACCACGCCGAACATGTCATCTCGGCGTTAGCCTTCATGTTGTCAGGTACGCTCGAGACCATCGACCTTGTCCCCCTTTCTCGTTGCTATTTGCTCGTTACCTGTGAAAGATGACAACAACAGAGCCACGAGGTCCTAAGTCATGCAGCGGCCTGCGTTTAGGAGACATATGCTCGTACGTCGTTCGTGACCTCCGAGCAGGGAGTAGTCAGCCCAGAGTCGCGGAGGGATTGGGCGATTGTGTGGGCATGGTATTGCCCATGTCTGAACTGACGTAGGTACCGGCGCAGCCGACCAGTGTCGAACGATAGCGAACTTCACGATACCTGATTCCCGCGCAACCCGCAAATCCTAGGCCTCGCGTGATCAAAAGCACACATGCTGAAGTCTGGAGTACCACAAGTCTGACAGACATGGGTATCCGGCAACTTTCGGGTAAGGCTTCGCGACCCAGTGGCTGCTCCAGGCCTTCGGAGGCAGACAGCTGGCTCACGACGAGTGGTCGCGCGACAGTCTAAGCAAGGCATGCGACCATGGAGTGAAAAATGGTGCAGATCACCCTGCAAGTCATCACCGCTCAAGCGGCATGGGTAAGGTAGGACTCAGGTGGGAATGCGGGGAAGGGAAGGTCTGTCCACGGGTGTCTGTGGGGAGATCGTGGAGTAGCGCCGGCACTTTCAGCGCCTTGCTGCCAGTCCAGTCATCAGAACATATCGTCGTGGTGCTGCCCCGGCCTGCTGGTCAGCCACGCTGTGCAACCAGGCTTCCTTTGACACATCAAAGAATGGTCGGAGAAAACCCCAGAATGCAACGCTAGAGTCCCATGATCTTGCAGAGGCTCGACATGTTTGGTACTGGCCTTCCTTTCTCGGAAGTCATCGTCGCATTCCCTGAGCCCAGCTCGCAGCCTGACCAGTTGCGCTGCTAGGAGCTGAAAAGGTCCGTCCTCACATCCTCACATGAGATTCGACGAGATCAGCAATTTGCGGAATTTGGAGACCAGATCTCCTGCTCCACTACTCCGCAGCAAGGAGCTGGTCACATTGTTTCCCCGCGTTGCAATGTTCTTCTGCATGTTGGACAACTTAGGGAGAGAACTCTAGACGTAGGTAGGGAGAGCCGCGCAGTACATACTGGTGTAGATTGGACCACGTCTTTTGGGCACAGTTGTCAGATATCTCCAGGACGCCCAGAGCTTGGCAACAACGGTTGGCGTGCTGCAACTCATCACGCAACGACTGTCCACCTATTGACTGGACTTCCCGGGCGTTGTTTCTAGGTGGACGGTAGTATTGCTTCAGGCTTTCATATTCTGCGATTGACTACGGTATGCTTTGATGAAGGCCAGGTGCGGCCAGAGCGCGGAAAGCCATCATGCCCCAGCTAGAACGCTGGTCAACATGGATGTGCTTTGGCACCAGAGATACCTGGGTAGGTAACCTTGAGTTTGTTGCGCTACATGAGCAACCAAAGCAAGCCTGGGCCGAAGAAAGGCTCCAGAAGTATGGCGTCCGGGAGAGGCTTGCGAGGCTTGCAGCACCCGTACTATGTACTCCTCTGCACCTGGAGCGTGGCACGCGTGGGTACGGGCTGTTCTCATGGTGACATCGCAAACTACAAGCCAACTCCAGCGCCTAGAAGCGCTGTCTTATTACGTACATGACTAAAATCGCTTCATTGATCAGCGCACAGTCATATACCACGAGGTCAGTTGGGCTCTTGGCAGCTGCAAGTTCAGCCTAGCAGCACCGCATGTGCATACAAGTCTGCGGTGAAGTCAGTCGTCTTTGGGCACGGAAGAAAACCGAGTCAGGCATACCTCGGCTGTGCGCATGTCTATCGCTATATCGATGACGAGCTGGCTCAACGCGAGGACCTCTAAGCGGGTGACGGTTTGTCTGTCTGGTGCCGGTTCCGGGTTTGGTGGAATACTTGCATCTTCGGTAGTGATCAAGACACTGTCCCCTCACGAGAAGAGTAACGTTTCTGGAGCAGACTAGGATTCCCCATGTCTTGGATGGCGGCATGTGGAGGACCCTAGGGAATTAGCTGCCAAGAAGTATAGCACGCCCACAAGCCACAACCGGAAATCCTTCGGCAGCGAGGGAGGACCAACTAACAGTAGCCAATGTCTGACGGCAGGCCAATTTTGCAGCGTCGTTCTTTGTCATCATAGGCGGTGTCAGCACTAGCTGTTATCCATTCCTACAACTCCATGTCCCACAAGTCGCCCCTGAATCGACGTCTCAGAGGCTTTCCAGAGCAAGAAGGGAAACAGGTTGCCCGCTGTGCCTGTGCAGAAGGGATCGAAAAGGAATGGCTCAAAGTCGGGATCGGGAGATTTGGAAGGGAATTTCATCTGCTGGATTCCATGCAGTATGCCGCCGTGTGAACGAAGCATTTGACTTGCATGAGCAATGCTGAAACGGGCTCGCAAGCGTGCTGTGATTGCACGACACCATGTTGTGGCTGGGCCAGTCAATGGACGTTTTCTTGTCCCGCTGGGAACCTGCAGCGTGGCGCCGCCCACTAAGTTAAAGCTAATCCCCTATGCTTATCCTGATCCCGACCAAACACGGGCCTGGGGCCCGGGAGTCCAGGGGCACGGACAACGCATGGCCAAGGGGCCCAGTCCCGGCCAGCTTCCAGGTTGTTGATGCCAGGGCTTGGTAATGCTTGATTGTTTTTCCTGTTGCGCGTGTCATTCCTTGGACAGTATCTTGCAAGATTCCCTGCCAAAATACGACACGGCTGTGCTTGTCGGCAGAGCTGCTAACGCAGAAAAACAAGAGCGTCTCTAGCCCCTGTTGATATCTCCCCAAATTCGAGGGCCGCAGACGCGGAACCTGTCAACATGCACATGACGTCGGCACACGCACTCTTGGGGTTGTCGATCCCATTTCTCTTTTTCTCCGAACGATTCTGTCTACCGCTACCGAGACTATTTCATTGGCCGCGTTGGCGCTTCGTTCACTACTCACTCCCATTAGAATACTAAGGCTCGCTCACCCCAGATTCGGTGCTCGTTAGTGCCGTCGATCCTGGACTGCATTCCATCTTCACCCCCGGCCGGGCATAGCCTTGCTCAACTTGACGTGTCATGCAGTCTCCAGAGATGGAGCCCTTCGGAATCGATGTATCTTACAACTGTGTGGATAGGCCTCCCTGATGCCTGATACAGGGTACAACAGTCGCGGGTGGAGCCAGTATGTTAACGTACCCCAATATTCCTTCCTGACAACTGCGTCGACGGTGTTCCCTCGTGACCTGCGGATGTCTTGCCGCATCAGACCTACATCTCTTAGCATTGCTTGTCCATCGGAATAGTCAGAAAACAAGCACCCTGACCGCTTTTCAAGCTGTTGCCTACCCTCTCCTAGTCGTGCTTGGCTGCCCTCAAGCTGCCTACCTTTTACGTTGTTCACTCGGGCCCATGGCCACCTGAACCAATCACGACAGACATCTCTGCCCAAGTTCTTTCGTGCCCCAGACTCTTGGCTTGTGGCTCACCCGAACCTCCACATGAAAGTACCTTACCTAAGTTGGCTCTCGAACGCTCCTCGGCACTATTCCAGGTCACCCATGGAATGACCGCATGAGCCCTCAGATGCCCCCCCGTCGCGAACAAGCGTTCGTCCCGTGCGAGGTGGGCCGAAGTCAAGGGGCAGAGCACGCGGTGCACTTGACGAATAGGAGTATTGAGCACGGATTCCACAGGCTTGTGATGCTTCTACTCCCACCGCTGAGGGCAACGAACCCACCTGGCTAGTGCCTTGTTCAACATCCTGGAAAGGCGGGTTGCCAAAGTCGCCCGCATCCCTTGAACCCATCTGATCCCACTGACGGTGCCACCCTTTCCAGGGTCCGTATACATTGGACTAGTGTGTCTTCCTAGCTTATTTACTCGAATTTCATTCATATAATATGCTCTCGCCCCGGGGCTCTGTCTGGCCAACTCTTGCCGTTTCCTCCCTCAACCCCCTATCGAGCAAAGATAGGCATACTTAATATTCATTGGTCCTCCGAGAAGCTTTCCGTGCCGAACTATATGACCTCCTAATCATGAGGCTCAGCACTTCAGTGGCAGCCCTTTTAGGGTTTTCTGCCGAGTTGGCAAGTGCCGTATCTACATTCTCCCCAGCAAGACCGCCGTCATTACCTCTGGCCGTCAAGTCTCCTTACCTCAACTCCTGGTTAAGTGCCGGAAGTGATGGAGGTAATGGGGGTTACCTCGCTGGTGAATGGGCAACCTTCTGGAAGTAGGTCCTGATACTAGCCCCTAACCCACTTGCTCTTACTGACTTTCATCCAGTCAGCAGATCACTGGATGGGTCGGCCTCATTCGCGTAGATGGTGTTGCGTACACTTGGATGGGTGCTCCTAAAGACTGGCCACAAGTGGTTGACCAAACGGAATTCTCCTATACATCCACGAGAAGCACATTTGTCTCTACCGTGGGGGGCAAAGTTGGCCTAAACGTTACTTTCATGTCACCAGTCACACCAAATGACCTGAGAAGGCAGTCTTTGCCTTTCACCTATTTGGATGTTGCGGTGCAGTCCATCGATGGCGCCACACACGACGTCGAAGTATATGCCGATGTTTCCGGAGGTAAGTAACCCTGAATTTCACCAACAGTGATATCTGCCAAGGTACTAAACTTCGACAGAATGGGCGTCTGGTGACCCCACTGCGCTCATTAACTGGGATTTTGGAACTTCCAACGGAGTCGCATACCACACTTTCGCAAGACAAGATCAGCAGGAGTTCGCGGAGGTCAACCAACAAGCTAGTTGGGGCACCTGGTACTGGTCCTCAGCCGAAGGCGATGTTGTAAGTTTCCCCAGCAAACGTTGGGCTAACATCTCGATTAACCTAATCTTGCAGGTTACTTACCAAAGTGGTATTGATGTTGATGTGCGGAACAACTTCATCCAGAATGGGGCTCTTGCAAATGCCAAAGACAGCAACTTCCGGGCCGTCAATGACAACTGGTGAGTTCGACGGTATCCGTTACCCGGAAAGAGAACTGATGGGTTTCTAGGCCAGTATTTGCTTTTGCCAAAGGTTTCGGCTCCGTCGGATCATCAAGCGTCTCCACCCTCTACTCCCTTGGATTGACCCAGGATAACGCTATTTCGTTCCTCGGCGAGGGTAGTGGCATGACCACCGTCCCTTCGTTGTGGAAGAGCTACTTCTCCAACGGTCTTGATGCTGTAAGTACTGTTCAGCATCATGATAGTGACGTCACCAACTAATGGTACTAGATGACTTTCTTCTACAACGACTTCGGCGAGGCATCTAGTCTTGCTACTGAGCTCGATAACAAGGTTGCTTCTGACTCATTGGCAGCGGCTGGCCAGAACTACTTGACTATTACCAGTCTAAGTGTTCGTCAAACATTCGGAGCTCTGCAGTTCACTGGAACCGACTCGGCACCTCTGGTCTTCCTCAAGGAGATCAGCTCAAACAGTGATATCCAGACCGTCGATGTGATCTACCCGGCGATCCCTCTGATCTTATACTCAAACCCAAAGCTGCTGGCCTATCTTCTTGATCCCCTTTTCCAGAACCAGGAGAACGGGCACTACCCTAATACTAATGCTATCCACGATCTTGGAACTTTCCCCATCGCAAAGGGCTACCCTGACGGCTCCGACGAGCCCATGCCCCTGGAGGAGTGCGGTAACATGATCATCATGACCCTGGCATACGCCCAACGTGCCAGCGACACGGCATACCTGGCGACACACTACCCCATCCTGAAGCAGTGGGCAGGCTATCTCGTGGACGAGGCCCTCATTCCAGCCAACCAACTCTCCACCGACGACTTTGCCGGGACTCTCGCGAACCAGACCAACCTGGCCCTCAAGGGCATCATCGGGCTGCGGGCCATGTCTGAGATCGCCAAGTTGACGGGCAACGCGGACGACGAAAAGACGTACGGCGACACGGCGACATCGTACATCGCGCAATGGCAGGGCCTGGGCATCAACCAAGACGCGAGCCCGCCGCACACGACGCTGTCGTACGGCGACGGGGCGTCGCACGGGCTGCTGTACAACCTGTACGCCAACAGCCTGCTGGGTTTCGGCGATTTCGTGCCGCGCGCCGTCTACGACATGCAGAGCACCTTCTACCCGACGGTGGCGCTCGAGTACGGCGTCCCGCTCGACACGCGCCACACGCAGACCAAGTCCGACTGGGAGATGTTCGCCGCCGCCATCGCCAGCGCCGACACCCGCGACATCTTCATCCAGAAGCTCGCCAACTGGATCAACGTCACCCCGACCAACCGCCCCCTGACCGACCTGTACGATGCCGCCAGCGGCGACTACCCGGGTCTGCAGTTCACGGCGCGCCCTGTTGTCGGAGGTCACTTTGCGCTGCTGGCGCTGCCATGATGAGAAAGACTTGTCCTTGTTTCTTGTACCTGTTTTGTTCGCTTCGTCATCTCTCGTTCTGCTCAGGCATTTGCATGAAAGCGTTCTTGTTGAAGTTTTGTGTTCTGTTTCCTATAATGTCTATTCTTATTATTACTCTTTCTGTACATAATTTTTATTGATACCCCCGTCGTCCTTGTTTCGGTTCGGGGCGATGCGGCTTTCTGATGTGTGCGTCCTTGCAACTCCGTTTATTATGGAAGAGTTGGGATTATTATGGAAGAGTTGGGATTATCCGGGTTCTACGTAAGGGACAAAGAAACATGCATGGGAACGGTCGTTTTGCATATCCAGGGATCTTGGGAAACAAATAACGGGCATGGGAAATGTGCATCCGGTTACTCTGGAGTTGGCGCGGAAAGGGGGAGAGGCAGGGAGAGAGGCCAAGCATTGGTTCTATCCATGAGACTGGCCATGAGCAGGAAAACAACGAGGGAAAGACAGACGCTGGGCACACAAGACAGCGAGCGGACTCATGGCCTCTATGGCGCAGTCGGGTCTGAGATGGGGAATGCTTTATAAATGCTCACTCGGTCGCTCAATGATACCAACACATATAAACACGAGAACGAGAATGCTTGACGCTATGCCGTTTCCTCTCTTTGCGTGACCGGTCCACATATATTAGGCGCTATAAGGTAACTACTCTTCATTCACCTCTGTAGAGGCCGGCTGGCCCAATGGTAGGGCGTCAGATTTCGGTCACACCGAATTCAAAATACTCTGAAAGTTGTGGGTTCGAATCCTTCGTCGGTCGTTTACTTTTTTTGTATCTGCTGGTGGATGGGTTGTGGGAGATACACCGTTGACAAGTTGGATGAATGAGTTTTGCACCAGTTGTGGAAGACCTGGTGTATCCACAACCGGTAGCCAGATAGGGGTCTCGTCCCTTTTTGTGCAGGATCCACTTGTCAATTTGAACTTAATTCCCCCCATGAACGATGCACAAGACGCTCATCAAGTCTCTATGAAACTAGCGCCTGGTATGCATCCTCTAAGCCGAACCGGTCCTGACCCCCTGTTTCCCAATTCGCCTGACCTGACGATGCTAACGGAAAAGTCCCAGAACGCCAATGATTTCGAACGAAAGAACCTAAACTACTTCAAACTCGCCACTAGTCCCCTCGAATTCAGCAATGGCCCCGGCCAAGCTTTTGGCATCGCCAAAGTACCGGAGCCTATAAGTGCCGGGCTCGGCCCAGTCTTCCGTTTCCCACGTGATGGTAACCTCACTAGTTGCGAGCAGCTCGCTGGTGCGGCGCCAACGGAACACGAGGTGCCAGTCGCGATCGTCACGGACCGGCAGCCATTGTTTTGGGGTTAGGCTTTCCTCTATAGTCGAAGTGGATCGGGAATTGTCACTCGCAGTCTGCTCGTCCTGTTCCCGGCCTTTCCGCAGAAGCTCCTGACTCGCTCCAGAATGAGTGGCTGGCGTCGGGGAACTGTTGGTTACGAGCTTCTCCACTACCGCGTAGCTGGACTCCTGACGCAGGTTATTCCGCGGGTTCGCGCCCACGAAGACCGCTGAGACGTGCTCGCCTCGGCGGACGACACTTTCCACATCTGTGACAACATCACCAAAACTTTTGAAAAGGGGAGGTCTATCGTAGACCACACCCGGGATGAAATTGAGGCTGCGGTTACTATTGTCCGGCGGACTTGGTCCGGGAGGCGCTTTCCTATTGGAAGACGCACTCAGGTATGGCATAAGTGAAAGTGTAACGTTGATGTAGGCGGCCAATGTATGTGGGCCGTACAGTGTGCTTGCGCCTTCGTATCGTTGTATCCTTGAAGTGAAACGTAAGCGTATACTCCCGGAATAATTGCCAGGGGTAGATGTGCCATGTGGGAAAATGCTGGGGAAGCCGGGGTCAGGTTAAGAGGGTTGAGAGAGCTGCGTCGGAGCAGCGGCCGAAGAAAACTGGAGCAAATTTTGATCACCCACTAGCAACCGGCATCCCGGGAGTATAGAAGAATGCACGTGTGATGGGACTCTGCAGGCGTAATAAAAGAGGTACGATCAACTTACTCGTATTCTTCTTCCGTGGCGATATAGTGCGTGTAGCTGTTCGCAGGCCCACCAAGTACGACAACGGGAGACTCGGATGACATCTCGTTGAGGAAGAGGGTGCTGATCTCGTTGCTGACGGCGTTCTTCCATCTCCTTCCAGCCATGGTCGTTGCCTCGCCTGGACTAACAATTATAACCAGCTGTCCGACACGGAAGACCTGGATGTCAACCACGTTGGGTGTCCAAAGATATGGCGAAGTCATTTCGCCAACATCAAGAAGAATAGGCTTGGGAAAGTGGCATTGCTTTTGCTCCTTTGAAGGCGCTTTCAAGAGCCCAGAGACGACCTGCCATACTGGCGAGGTAGTATTTGGGCCGCCGTCGTGTTGTGTAAAGTCAAATGCCCCAGGGCCGTCAGAGGTGCCAGCTGCAAATGAGTATCCCAGCGCGGCGGGGCAGGTCTCAACTTCTGTTCCATTGGGGAGTTGAAAGGTGAAATGCGACATGTTGTGAAAGTTGTGAAAGGACTTGACGAAACGTCCACGGATCGGAGACAGTTTGTCGGCTCGATCGTATAACATCCTCGCGGGCTCAAACTGGCGTTTGCCGATTTCAAAGCAGGATGATGCGCCCTCGTCGTTCGCACGGAAGAAGGGCCCTCGAGCATGACACTTCTGTGTCTTCCCATCGCTGCAGGTGCTATTCTCAAAGCTGCACATCTGCCCAGTGCCATCTTCACACCAAGCTCCGAGCACGTTGGGGCTCGTGTCACCAACATTAGCCTGTGAGAACCCAGCAACGAAGTTCCCGTCAGCATTCTTGTCGTCCTTGGTACTTTCTTCAAACAGGTAGGCTGCGACACCCTTGTTATCGCCCGAGATCAGTGTGTTGTTTCCAAGGACCGAAGTACCATGGGTCGCAAACCAAGTCAGCACGCCGAGGTTCAGGCCATCAGACGCCCGTGAAAACTTGAGCAGGGTCAAGTCCTTCTCCACAGACCCATCGTCCTCAGCACTGACGTTGTAGCGTGCTCGCTCTTTCTCGGGATTATTCAGATACGCAAAGAGACTGCGGTTGATGTTGGCGCCAAAGGCTTTGGTTGACCCGACGCTTAGATATCCGGGGGCAAGACTTTCATGCGCTCTGCGGATAGACAGTAAAGCACCATCTACGATGGCCTCGTAACTCTGCTTATCAAAACCTTTACTGGTGATCTGGGGTAATAGGTAGTTCAGCCAGGCACCGGGCCCAGAGTGAGAATGTGTCCCGGTGACGGCCAAGTTGTGGTGGCCATAGTCGGCAAAGTCCGGACCCAGCTTCTGCAGGCCAGACAAGATGCCATAGCGCACAGCCGTATCTCCCGACTGCGTGTCCAGCACGAGGTAGACGAATCTGTCCGATGGCCTGTCTGGATCACCAACGATGAATGCTCGCGAATAGAGCCGCTGACGTAGACCGGTGCCAATCTGGTTGGGGTCGGCATATCCCATAAGATTAATCTCGACGCAAGGGCCTGTGATGTCGGCCTTTCCAACACCCAAGAGATACAGATCCCCCCGATGTCCCTCCCCCGTTAGGCTGTGCTGTCCGGCACCCGCTTTCTCCCCGGTGTTCCCGGTGCTGCCGCGGATCCCAGCCCACGGCGTCCACTTTTGGGTGAACACACTGGGCAGCAGAACAACAAGGATCAAGACGGGCAGGATGAGAACCATAATCGCCAGACAGGCTGCCCTTCTCTTTGGTTCCTCGATGGCCTCCTCCGTCCTCCTCCTCCGCTGGTACCAGATGCCGCGGAAGCAATCTCGGAGAGGACGAGAAGGGCCGGCCTTCTCGGCATGCATTGTGTGTCGCATTGCAGCGGTTTGGTGTATCCGAGAAGATGACACCACGCGACAAGGTCCGGTGTGAATGATGTAGATAAATAAATAAATGCAGCTCGGCGTCGTGCAACAAGGCTGCCAAGAGCAAAGTATCGGACTGCCGGCTGGGCCGGCTCACCTCCGTCAGTGCAGACACGGGCCGACCATGGATGATGATGTGTCAGCGGGAGATCGATGAACTATGTAATCACTCTTCCCATCGGCAACCTGATGCAGAAAAATAAAACCGCCAGCAGTGACACGCCAAAGCTGCAGTTGGTGGTTGTTTGTCTTTGCACTGGCTTACACGGGCACGCTGCGCCATGCAGCGAGGAAGGCGACTGCCGCCTCCCTAGTATCATGTTTCGTCATCGGCAGCCACCAGGAACCACACTGAACGCGAACGCCCCATCCCTGCCACAGCCGCAAAGCTTAACTGGAGTGCCGCCCTTGCTATCGGCGCCAGCTGTGCACAGCTGACAGGATCTGATAACGATAAGCTGAGCTTGGCCCAGGGAAATTCAACCATGTCGCGACGACGAGCTTGAGCGAGGCATGCGATAGCGATGTCGTGACGCCTTGCCATTATCCCCCACACTCGCGCATCGCCCCGTGCAAGCTTCTTCCTGTCACAGCCCGATCTGCGCTTAAGCCCGGCAGAAATCTAGAGAACACTCACCATGTCAATCCGCACCGCAGTCCACGAATCCTTGCCCTGTAAGCTTCCCTCCGCGTGTAGAACTAGACAGCCACTGACACATCGCCGTCCCCAGACATCGACACGGAACCGACGCCTGAGCAGCGCGCCGCCGCCGAGGCCCTGATCGCGGCCGAGCTGTCGACGATCGACACGTCGGACGAGCCGTCGGGCCTGCCGGCGCTGCGCGAGCCCAGCCTCAGCCCGCTGGCGGCGCAGGAGCAGGAGCGCGTGGCGGCCAAGCAGCCGCTGGCGGCGATCGACCTGTCGCGGTACGAGGACCTGGACGAGCCGGCGGCGGGGGCGCCGGCCGAGGAGTGGCAGCGGGCGCTGGCGTGGGCCTACACCATGTCGACGTACCTCGAGGGCCGGCACGCGCACCTGGCGCTGCTGGAGCGCTTCGGCAAGAACGCCTGGCTCGTGGGCAACTGGCAGGCCGAGGCGCAGCTCGCGGGCCTCGAGCGCGAGCTCGCCGACGTCAAGCGCCAGATCGAGCTTGTCAACCACGCCCGCCGCCGCGCCCAGGAGGCCGTCGGCGGCGAGCTGCAGGGCCTCGAGGACACGTGGAAGCGGGGCGTCGGCAGGGTGCTGGAGACGGAGATCGCGGTCGAGGGACTGCGGAAAGACGTGCTGGAGAGGCGGCGGGCGGTGGGCGATGGTGGCGACTGAAACAGTGTGAACGCCAATACCCAGGAGTGGTATCTCTTCTTTGGCTGCCCCCCAAGGACGGGGAGGGCTCCCCTAACCTGGCCATGGAAAGCGGCATTGCGATCCGTTTGGAACGACTACATATGACGACAGCTGTGGTCGCCCCGGATCCGTTCATGGCAAGCGATTGAGCCGCCACGACTCAGTGATGATCTGCAAAAAAATATATAGACCGCCGCCATCGCGTCTAGGCAACATCACACAGCCCAGCACCCCCTGAGTAGCCGGCCGCATGGCCAAGAGTACGAATGCGATGCGGAATGTGATATTATTTCACGGTCACAAAAGGTTCAGCTACAAACAGAGGGAAATCATGGATAGGGTGTGACTTCATAGTCCTGATACTGTGACTAAACACGGTTGTCTGAATAATGGATAAGGGATAACTAGAAGTTGTAATGTGTCAAGAAACGAGGGTTATCCGCAAACGCCTTTCTTGACCCAATTTCCGTAATTCATACTCTCAATCCAATGGATATGTTATTCCGCACCCCAAATTATGTATGTGTATCGTGCCGTGACCGCTTCAGGCCTCCTCGTCGCATGGGCATGCTAGGCTCTGGGGTACACGTCATCATCGACACCTGGGAGTGCTTCCTCGCTTTTCTCACGAGCTCTATGCATGCAAAGGATCTACATCCTCCACCCCTGACTTGATGTACTCGGTTCTCCTCATGATCCCCTCGACGGGTCCCAGCAACCTCGCAAACGCGCTCTTCCCAAGTGTGGCCACCTTGACCTCAGTGCTACTGACGACACTCGCGGCCCGAGGTGCGTCGTTCAGTAAAGCCAGCTCGCCGAAGAAATCTCCCTTCTTGTAATGCTTGACTTGGTGACGCTGGCCCTCCTTCTCGAGGTAGGCGTGGCACTCGCCATCTTCCAGGAGGAAAAAAGACGTGCCAACATCGCCCTGCTTGATAATGGTATGCCCGGCAGGGAATTTCAGTGTCTCGAGAGCGTCTGCGATCTTGGATCGCTCGTACGCTGTCAAACTGGAGAGAAGCGGCACCTCTTCGAGGAAGTTCTCATACATCCGTCTGCGGGCAAAGGTTGACTCCATCAGGATGCGGCGGAAGGTGACCCGGTCGAGAGCCCACAGTGTGCATCCAGACTCGGCAGAGACGACGGTGGCCGCGCGAGGGGCATTGTACATGAGGGCCAACTCGCCAAACGAACCGCCGGCATTGATGGTTCCCACATGCTGACCGAGTCCATCCGCTCCAGGTTGCACCGCTCCGCCTGCGTTTACATACACATTAAAGGTGCCCTTCTCGACAACATAGAAGTAGTCTCCAGCGTCACCTTGAGAAATAACCTGCATAATAGTCAGCCATCATGTAATGTTCCGTCACTGGGGGCTCATTTGCGCCCACCTTGATATCTTTAGCAGGAATCGACTTTTCTACCAAGGCGCCGAGGATTTGAGAGCTTTGCTCATCGTCCAGGTGGCTGAACAGGAAGTTGCCCTCGATGGACTTCTTCAGCCTGGCAAGCTGGTCAGGCGTCTTGGGTATGTGTGGGGGAGACCAGTTGTCGTTTGCATCGGCATTGGGCTTTAGCGACTCGGCCGACACCGACGTGCGGCGACCGAAGTTGTACTGAGGAGGATATGAATCGGGGTTGGGGGGGCTCCTTAACGAAGAGGGCGGCCCATCTGTCGAGCCATCGCCCCCGAAGGGTCCACGGAACCCACCGGCAGAGGGATTCGAGAAGCCAAAGGATGGGGTCGTGGGGGAAGCAATGGTGTCCGTTTCGTCCTCCTCAACCACGTTCAGCAAAGCACCGCCGCCCTCGGTCTTCTTGCCGTCGCCGCCGAACGGGTTGGAGTTGGCCGCGAAAGGGCTCGTGAAGGCCGATCCCGACATGATGTTGGGCTCAGGGGTGGTTGCTGTCCCGGAGAGGTATTGTGCACGTTCGGCCGCGAGTCGTCGGGCAAAGTGGTCGCAGCAGAATTGGAGTACGTCGGCCGGTCTCTCTGATCGAATTCGATTCTCTAGAGCCTGAATCTCGTCACGGTAAGCCAGGGGTAAAGACATGGCGGGCTGCTCCTGTGTACAGAGGGATGGCATGCTGGACACGGGGTTTGAGGCAGCGCCGAGCATCAAAGTGACTACTCGGCCAGGAAGGGAAGAAGTCGGGGTTCAAATAGGGATGCGACGAAATGACGGAAACAATGCCTCTCGATGCTATGGAGAAAGACAGGCAACTGACAGGGCTGGAGTGGATTACGTTACTGACGTATCGGCGGTGCTGGTCTGTGAGGGCCTGGTCGGGGATCCTCAGCTGCAGCTGGGGTGTGTACGTTTTATGACACACAGCAAACAGACGGCGGGCTAGCCCAGACCCAGCTCTTCAGCCACGGGCGTGGATGTACTGTAGAGGCCGGGTGTGACGGAGAAGGTGCGCCAGACGATGCAGGCAGAGACAGCTGGAGAAGGACAAGGCTGGGGCTCGACAGGAGAAAGGAGCCAGACGAGATCCAATGCAGGTGAGGGTTCGGACGGGTCAATGGGATCGGTGGGTGGTTGCACTAGGGCGGGAGGGAGAATAAAGGGAAGAGAAGGCTTCCAGAAGAATGCCAAAGGAAGCCGTGCTGGCCGGACTCCCAAGGGGTAAAAGTAGAGTGCGTACAGGCTTTTTTGGAAACAATGGCGGTGCCAATGAAATGCCACAGATGAAAGAAGCACGGTGAGAGGCCAGGATCAGAGGCGGGAGAGGATGGGAAGCGGCAGATGCCCAGCCTGGGTCGAGATGGAGGTGCGTCACTTACTCCGCAAATGGACGAACTTTGGCACGAGATAGCTGCGTTTAATCCGGAGGGCGCAGACTGATTCGTGCTACCGACTGTGGACACACAAAGAGACAGGTGCCCGCAGGTCGCAGCGACAGCAGGATTGCAAACGCGCAGGATAGAGACAGAGAGGATCCGAAGGCGGTGGTAGGTAGTATTGGATTGTATGGATGGGTATGCAGAAGTCTTGATGAGGGGTAGGTAAGTGAGGTAGACAGCAGACGGCGAGGAGATGGTGGAATTCTTGGGATGGGGGTCCCCTAATGCGGAAGGCTACTGCTACTGCGACTGCGACTGCTGCTGCTACTGCTGTTGCTACCGGACCTAACGTTAGGTAGGTAACCAAGGCGGAAGGGACCAAGGTCTCTCTCGTTCGGAAGATGTTCGACCTCAAAACCCGCTGCCGGCGACTGACGAACCTGTGGCAGGCAGGGCTTGCCACAGCCTACTTCAGCACCATCGTGGGATCTTCCTGTTTGCCTCACAACTCGATTGGATGCCGCCCTGCTAGGATGCATCCCCCGTGGCAAGAATGACGAACGAGGCCCCCCAGTGAGGTGTACAAAAAAAGCATCTAGCTGGAGGTAACTGAGGTAGGGGGACAGGAAAACACCTAGGAACGGGCTCTAAAAGGTGGGGTAATCGCCTGCCCTAGCAGGCCGTGTGGTCAGAGCTCCCTTCTACAAGCCTTCTGGAATTCTTCGGCCGCGTTTTCGAATGGCTGTCCGGGACTGTACCTAGGTAGCGCTGCGGCACTGCAGACCCCCAGCGTCATATCCCTGAGGCGAGGCAAGGCTGCTCGTGCTCGCCTGTCCGTGGACGACCTTCAGGCACCCGCCCAGCCGCCCCAGGTGCGCATCTGAGGTGGTTCCTCCAGCAGTGACGGGACGTGTCGCCTCTCGCAGATTGCCCAGCTTGCCAGGCAGCCCGGGGGTAGCTCGGGGGGAGCTCTTCAATCACGTTCCAAAATTAGGCAATTAGCGATGGCCTCACCGACTTGCTAAGCATAACATAACGGGGCCAGGGCGTCCATGGGCCTGCAGATCTTTCGCCGCCTCCGCCAGCCGCTGGTCCAAGCTCCCTCGGCATGCTGCAAGTGCTCTTTCGACGAACCCTGACCTTGACCCCCTTGACCCCTTACCTCTTCCCGAAGTCGCTAAAACGAAAGCTTTGTCCATGCCTTGAACAGAGCGCCAGCCGCACATTCCGGGGGGTTGCAGCTGGTGATCATTGGATAAGCAACTAAGAGAACATCACGCAGCGGCAGCCATGATGGGAACAGATACCAGCCGCAACCTTTGCCGGAGAGAGAAAAAGTGACTTGTGAAACGACGTCACGGTCTCCAGGTACGTCTCAATCTTCTTTGCTTACGTTCGCATTTCTATCGACGTAGGGAAGCTTACACTGGCCCGGTTATATTTCGTCCTGTCAATGTTATAAGCATGTGCATTGGTCGCCCGTGGCTGCGGATTGTCAGCTTATCACTGACGACTCCACATTTGAGTTACCCGAGTTGTAAGATTGAGACAGCAATAAACTGAAAAAGTACCTCAGTTGTATCTGTAACGAAGTTATACGTGCTAGACATGGCTAGTTAGTGTGCTAATATGCCTCTGTACCCGCCTTTGCAATGATAATGATTATCCTAAAGTCTGATTTAAGCGCCACGAAACGATCTATTCCTTGTGTACGTACGTAAGTACGCGCTCTATCCTACAGCAGAACATTAGCCATTGCCCGCCAAACATTCGTTGTCACAATTGACTAATTTCCTATGTGGCGATCCATGTTGTCACATGATGATCCAAACAGCTCATATTTAGGCGATAGATAAACTATTCTTGTGGAAGCTTTCGTGTACATTGTGCGGCATCTGAGTGCCTACAAGATGGCCAGACGATGTGATATGAGGTTCGAATTATCGTTAGCAACGAAACGTCAAGCGGAGGCACAACTCCCATACAACTCCTAGCGCTCGCGCAAGCTTGAAGACTGACTTTTGATAGGCAACGTTATCCAGAGAAAGCAGCCCTGCTCGTGGACTGCATAAGGCCAATCTTAGAGGTACGTATTCTGTAAATCACAGTCGAACGAATCTCCATTGATGTGATTAACAGAGAGTCCTAAATAAGGAGCCCTTCCTCCATGACTTCTGCAGGGCTCTTACACAGACTGGGCGTCAACTCCCCCAGACGTCAGTAGGCCTTCTATCAGAAGCAAAGGTCCAAGGGGCAATCGATAGGATACACCTCCCTCTGCTTATATCCTTGGAAAAAAAAATTTGGTTGCGGGACAGGCGCCCAACTCAACAGTTCCCCTTTCTAGAAACCGTGGTCTTCTAGGGTTCACAGCGATCCCTCCACTGCCCAGCTCTCACCAAGGCTGCGATTCTGTCATACACTATTTGCTGTTCTTCGCTGAGTATCAGAGCCGGTTTATCGGTAGATTTGTGGTATTATTTGTGCCACGAAGATGTTTCGGGAGGATTCACACTTGGGTCGTATATGATAGCGGCCGTCGCGATGATATTCGCAGTCCCGAGTTATCAGCACCGCAAGTCATGTCGGTGCCGGGACAAGCTGTCAAGAGGCCACCGATATGATCAACATGTTAACAAGACGTGACGATTAGCTACTTAGTACACTGGAATTGATAAAGCGAAATTAAAAGAACTGCCGATTTCAAATTGACTATAATACTTTCTCTCATTCGTTCACGGAAAGACGGAAACTGTTTGCTAACCAACTGTAGGAAGTAAACTACAACTGAACGTTCGGAACAGAACCCACAAGATCCCAAACTCCTCACTTCATCAATCCGTCTAAGTCACCCGATGTGTCCCACTCGTACGTCGTCGGCAATATTGGCGTCGAATCCGGAGTCTGACAGGTAATGTCCCTGGACTGTCGGTCGACATAGCAGGTGTAAGAGAAGAATCTACTCCCCTCCCCCTTGAACACAATGCTGTGTATGACGAGATTAGCCACCATTGAAACCCATCACTATATGTTCCCAGACGCAAAATAAAGTTGTACTCACGGGTGCTCCGGGTCCTTGTCATCGCAGTACCAGCTCTGCCGGATGGCAAAGTACCCCGTCTTGAGATCAAACTGCCACTGGCAATCCAGAACCGTGGGGACACTCTTGCCCACGTTGTCGACGCAGTCGAACCAGCGGTCAGGGTCGCTCCCGGACAGCAGCGGCGTCATGCCCACGTCCGAGTGCGCGGCTGCCGCGAAGCCGCCGAGCACCATATTCTGCAGGTTGAAGGACACGAGCGTCTCGGTCGTGTTGGGAAACAAGGGGCTTCCCCAGAACGGGGTCAAGGTCGACCATGGGATGCGCCACTTGGGAGAGAGAACGGATCCGATGGTGCAGCTGTAGCCGCTAGGCGCCGGCTCTACGAACTCCGTGGAGGATAAATTGGTCTTGTTGGTTATGAACCCGGGCATGTGAAGCGTGCTCCCGATTGTGCAGGTCTGTGTGCAATTCCATCCCGTCGAGTTGGAGATCGGACATGTGGTGTCCGAACCCGGGCTTGTCGATGATGAGCTGTTAGTCCAGGCGCAGGAGAATGGCACGTCGATGCGACCCTCGCCGATGAACTTGGCACTATTCACATCAAATTCGTCAGTCTCAAGCGTACCGGGCTTTTTGAATATCCGTATACAATATTGCAGAACAACACCTGTAGGAGAGACTCACGGAGATGCATCCCTGTCGGCATTGCACCACCACGGCTGGCTGATCGCAAACTGGCGCGTCACAGGGTTCAGTTTGATCTTCGAAGCAATCTGGTACTTTGGGAAAGCCTCTCGCTCGATCAAATCACACCCCCACCACCTTTCATGATCTTCGCTCCCGATGATGTTCAGCTCTTCGCCTTGCCCGGAGCAGGATATTGTGACCCCATTGGCATTGTTCTTGAAGACGGCATCTACGGTTCCCACATTGCGATTATTCCGGAAAGTCTCGCGCCAGAGGAGATAAGTGACTTCCCACGAGGGCGATTCAGAATTCTGCAGACAGCCTGGATAGTTGACTCCCTTCGGCGCCACGTTGGGAGTGAACTCGATAGGCTCGGTCAGGGATCCTTTGATGACTGTGTGGGCTGCACTGCACGAGCCGGCTTGCTGGCAGTTCAGTTTCAGAGTCGCGTTACCAAACGCATTAAAAGTTATCCTGTCATTTTTCAGTCCTATATATTTGGCATATAAGGTTTCATACATACGGCTCTGCGTAGTTCTTTATGCTACACTGCCATGTCTGGTTGACACGGAGTTGTTGTGTCTGCTCATTAAATAGTGCCTGTGTGGAATTATCGCATGTCACCCAATGTTCTGAGCTCGAATCACGGCGTTCAAATGAGCATCTACTAGACTGGTTATTGGCGTGATTCCGCAGCGAGAACTCGACATGCTCGCTGCTGTATGTTAATACATCAACATCCCAGTTGGGGTAGCTGAACGAAAGACCGATGCACGGCGTTTCGTTCCACGGCGGCGAGTCACTTGCATTCGCAGGAACTGGTCCCGGAGAAATTATCTCTGGAATTTTCGTATTCCAGTATGGTGTGGTGTATTCGCCGCTGAACGAAGTGGTCTTCTTGTCTGGTATATTGCAGTGAGTACGTGTCGCGGACCCATCCGTGTTATCACACTCCAACGCATTGGCGTAGCTCCAGGTTCCTAAGGAGTAGAAAGGGTGACTTTTTCTGGCAATTAGTCGTCAAGCCCGCTTGTTTCAAGAGTAAATGGCCTATGTATACGCACGGAAATGACTTGTTTGCCTGGTCGCATATCCACATCTGATCGATATCCACGGCGCGATCCTTGAAGATGTGGCGAAACAGTGTCCTTGGACCAGTCATATCGTCTGAAGGGCCGCAGTCGCTCCATTCTCCACTGTCTGGATCTTGTAGGTAGGGGGTAGCACAAGAGAATGAGTTGTTGTTGGCTGTATCTTGCACCTGGAAGGCGGTGAGGCTCAAGGGGTTTGTCAAAGTACCGCTCAATGTTTCATTGAATTGGAATCCAGAAATATGATACACTGGCTTCACAAAAGAAGAGTCAATGCACGGACTAGAAGTTTCGCTCCTCTTAAGAAGATCACGCTTCGCCAACGATGTCCTTCTCTGGGATTGGCTGTCGGTCACATCTGAAAGTCGCACAGGCCAAGCAGGGTCGCGAACATCCCTGATATATCTTATTATTTACATATTAGAGAGCCTGTCTAGACAAGAGGTGGAATTGCGAACCTATTTTGATGAGAGGTCGCATCGTGGGCTCGCGCGTAGATAATCACACTTATCCAGGTGAAGCTCAAGTATATCAGGGGAAGCATTCTCGACAAAACCGTACGATTTGTTCGATATTTAAAATGCCCTTCCTCGATGGAAGCTGTCAAGGATCAGATATAAACCTGAAAAGGATAGAGGAGCTAGATGAGAACCGAGCTTCAACGAATCTTGAGCAAGTTATTAGTGTCGCTGTAATGAAATCTGCAGCCCGCGGAATATCTCCCCCTGTCCATAGGCGCATAGCCGAGAACGCGGGAAAATACCAGTGTAACACAAAATCCTTTCATTGAAGTATTATATTAAGCCAATCATCTTACGATCTATAATTGGAAATGACCGCCTGAGTATGTACGCAGTTGGGCGGCACGATTTGGTGGGACCTGCCTGACTAGTATAGTCTTTCCTGCAGGTCTTCATGCTGCAGTGCTCGTATCAGCAGCAGAATCTCGACCATATCGAGATTGGTTTCTGGGAGCGATTCCTGAAACGATTTAGAGGACATGACTGCACCTGCATCACTGCACATGCATACTTGCAAGGAATTTGCTCAGGCATCGGCCATCTCTATGAAGAGCCCGATGATTGGAGGAACCATTCACCCATGCAGACCCGTTCACGGACAGGGTTACAACTGCTGTACAATCCTGTACGATCCACCACGATGGATAGGAATGTTGGATGTCTTGAAATCAATGGTCTTGAAATTATGCAATTCGGTTGGCCTCTGCCAACCATGGATATCTCTATTGTATTGTTTGCCTGTTGAAGGTTCAGTAGCCCCTTTTGTCCAAAATTCCCACACCGGCCAGGAACTGGTATCGCAACGCCTCAGCTTTAAGACGCTCTTTGCTCTTCCCTCAATTGCTGCTCTTCCTCCAAGATCTCCCTCTGTCTTGCGGCAGCTTCTATGTTGGCCTTGGCACCCTTCTTTCGCTGTCGCTCCTCGTAGAGGTCTCGGCTCTTCATGATGCGCTGGACGATGGTGCCAGCATTTACTTCGTGAAATGCGTGCATGGGGACTTCTTGGAAAATGCCCATTTCTTTTGGACCAGTGTAGGGGTCATATGACAATGGCATAAACGAGGTCGGGCCGTGATACACGGCATCAGGAGTACCCCATGGTGAGCTTGCCAAGTATGTCTTGGACGGCGAGAAAGGAGCACCGAAGACAACTGCGTTGACATACTTTGCAAAGTTAGTTGGCAGAAGACAAAGGCAACAGAGCAACAACTTACCCTACATTGGAGGACGCAAAGGCCTCTCTCGAAAATGTTCATGATTGGATAGTTGATTCCTTTCCAATGGTTGATGACCTCGTCATCGTGCACACCGGCAACCACAAAGACCGGGCCATAGTCGCCGCCCTTACCCTTGCGCTCGTCGACAGCTTGTTGGTCATACCAACCGTCTTTGCGGGCAAGCTTCTCTTCGGCCTCGACAACCAACCGCAAGAATTCGATATGGCCACTGGAGAATAGATCGAAGCCTCCGTCTACGTAAACAACCCGTTGACCAGGTCTGGGACCCGGTCCCTTCAGATGCGAAGAGAACGTGCCCTTCTCCTCTTCGGTATCCTGAGTCTTGGCGGCGTCTGATGCAGACCAGAACCAGACGTCGGCTCCGGGGGCAGTTCCCGTCTCATCGGTGGCATACTGCCTGATGCGTTCGGACATGGCTTGCCCCACAGCTTTCTTCTCATCGTCCGTCCCATTGCCCTCTTGACCAGCCAGGGTTTTCTTTAAGGACTTGATGAAGTGAGTCCTCGTGCAGAGTAACATGCGCCCAACCAGGTCAGTGGTTGAGATGCTGGGGGTCCTCTTGACAACCTTGAACCTTCCTGCCGCCTTGACGAAACGGTAGCAATCCTCTCCACTGCTGTCACTCGTAATATCATCACCGTGCACGACATATTTGCAGCCAAAGTGGCTGATGAAGTCCAGCTGCGTGACGTATGGAGCGTGAGCAACGGATCTGGTGACCCAGCGGCATGCATCTACGGCGGCGAGCCTTGGGTGAGGATCAGCACTCGGACCGCGGGGGGAGGAAAAGGAGAAGCGAGCAGAGCTATGCGCACCGTTCTTGCAGGGTCATGACAGTCGGCCCCTTGTTCTCGAGAATAGACTCATCCGAATGTACCCCCACGTAGAGCTCCGTGCCGAGCTGGCGGGCCTGGAGCATGGCGCCTGCATGGCCGTGGTGGAAGAAGTCCCAGCAGCCGTCTACCCATATTCTTCCCTCCAAAACCTCAGGGGCAGGGGGACCGGATAGGACCTCCTCTTCTGACGACATGGTTTGGATGGTTTTTTTTGTCGGAACGCCAGTTTGTTTGAGCCAGATGATTCGACTTGACGAGGCTCAGGCAGTTCAACAGCAATGTCCCCAGAGAGATGGAAAGGGAGAGGTCCTGGACTGACCGACTTTATTTAGGCGTCGTCGTTGGCATAGTGTTGGAGGGACTTGGTCCACACTGTCAGGGACCTTCCAGCCTGGGCAGCTCGCACAGTCCGTCCCGTGTCGCACACAGTTGAAGGACCCCTCAGTGGGGAACACTGCCGTATCTGGAGAACCGACTATCGACCCCACCATCTCCAATGGCTTCATCGCCGTGTCATGGGACGTTAACCAGAGATAACAGTATAGACGTTCGTATTGGATCATAACCAGGGCTATACCTGACCGACCCCTCACCGGCCACCACTACCACCTCCTCCTCCTCCTCGACACCACAGAAAACCCATCATGTCACCAGAAATCAAGCAGAGCGGCCCGTACGGCGGCCTCGACCCGGGGCAGCTCGAGGCTTTCTGGCGCGACGGCTACCTGATCATTCCGGATGCGCTGCCGCCGACCACCACACAGGCGCTGCTGGACGAGACGCACTCGATGCTGGACGACTTCTCGCTCGCCGACCACCCCATGACCAAGTTCAGCACCGGCGAGAAGTCGGACCACGTCGGCGACGACTACTTCCTAAGCTCGGGCGACAAGATCCGCTTCTTCTTCGAGGAGGACGCCTTCTCGGACACCGGCGAGCTGACCAAGCCTAAGGCCCGCGCCATCAACAAGATCGGCCACTACCTGCACGCCCTCAGCCCGCCCTTCGCCTCGCTGCTCGACCCGGCCCTCAACCCGGACTTACTCGGCGCTGGCACCACGGGTGGCTCGGTCGAGGCCGGACGCAAGGAGTCGCACCCGGCCGCCGTGGCGAGGGCGCTGGGGTTCAGGGACCCAAGGGTGCTGCAGAGCATGGTGATCTGCAAGCAGCCAGAGATCGGGGGAGCCGTGCCGCCGCACCAGGACAGCACCTTCCTGTACACGGACCCGCCGAGCGCCGTCGGGTTCTGGTACGCGCTGGAGGACGCGACAGTGGAGAACGGATGCCTCAGCTTTCTCCCGGGGAGTCACCGCTGGGCGCCCGTGAAGCAGCGGTTCGTCAGGGCGGAGGAAGGAAATGGAACGACGTTTATTGACACGGACGGGCCAAGGTTCCCCAATGAGAGCGAGTACGGTCAGAAATCGAATGGCGCGGCTGATGAGGACGGGGCGTACAAGATGGGCGAGGTCAAGGCCGGCTCGTTGGTATTGATACATGGAAACTTGCTTCACAAGAGCGAGAAGAACCTCAGCCAGAAGGGGCGCATAATCTATACCTTTCACGTCATCGAGGGGGAGGGTGCGAACTATGACAAGAGGAACTGGTTGCAGCCGCCGAGCGAGGGGTTCACCAAATTGTATAGGGAATGATCTGGTCAGCCTTCTGAAACAATCCAAAGCTGTATGAATCATACGAGATACGAGATCATAGACTTCGTGAATGAAAGCGAATAGAGCGTTGGGAACTGCACCCGTAACTCTTGGCACCCAGTTCTCCTTACAAAACTTGAATGCACTTTAGAGCTTTCTGCTTAGATAAGAGAAGCGTTTCAAGGGCCAGACAGAGCGAACTAACGATATTATAGCCATCATTCTAATATTTTTCAATACTTGAATTTGTGTTCTGAAGCTAAGCGAATTGTCTAAGAGCCATTTCCCTCCCCCAGTATCACCACACTTCTGTCCCACCGCAGACTTGTCAAGTACTAACTTATGGACTTGCGGAATATCAAAGCTACTCTCCCTACTCTGGACCGGCCCTGGATTATCAACATGCAGTAGTGTTTGTGATCCCAAACCTGAGTATTTCCTGCACCGTTCCTAGACCGAACGATTCCCAACACGCTGAAAGGCAAACCTCCAAGCCCACCAATGTGCTGTGCTAGGACGGTCTCAGCCCCTCGTTGTCAGATGTTGCTGAGTTATTTGAAATGCAGTGGCGCTTCAATCCACATCGGGCGTTTGATGTTGTGGATATCGTGTTTCCATTGCACCAGGCGAAGCTTTGGCAGCAAGCCGGTGTCGTTCCATCTCTCGGCGAACCTTGCAGCCTGATTTACGGCACTGCACCAGTCCGAGAACTCGTTGAAGGCAGTCGGATGGATGACAGAGGTGAGCAGATGCCAGGTGACCCCCGCGCATTTTGGGTTGTACTTGAGTTTCGGTGAGGGCTCCATGTAATCCAAGTCATCTGGCTCGCCGTCCCGGACAAAGTAGCCGGATCTGTGCCACGCGGCACCCCAAGGTTCGACACCGACTAGGATGAGGCACTCTTCAACACGGCTGTGCGGCGACATCAGGTTCCCCATTAGCAAGAGTGCGTCTTTGTGGTCGACCGTCGACCTGCCTTCTTCCACCAGTGACGGCATGGCCTCGAAGGCCTCGGTGAGGTCTATCAGAGGTACCATAACCCTTTTCATGTTCATGTATGGAGTCCAACAGATGTCATACGGTCCCGTCGAGGCTGCGCTCTTGCTGAACCTGCGGCATTTATCCTCCCTCGGGTTGGTCAGGAACCCCTGGAGCAGCATGATGTCGCGGTTGCCATGGATGCAGTACGTGTCACACCCTGTGGCTAGACTTCTGTAGTGGTCAACTGGGAGAGTCAGGTCGACATAGGCATTTCTCCACGATTTCCAAGGCCATTTTGGGTTATCGACCGGCGGAGCTGTCAACAGAAAGTTGTAGAGTTCATTCTTAAATAAATGACCGTAGAAAAGTGCGTTGTGACATAGTACTTCGAGTGTCGTCGGTGTTAGCTTTCTGTTGTCCAGGCGGTGATCTCGTACGAGGTGCAGGAAATTGGACTCGCTGGTCACATTGATCACCAAGAATCGACTACGACCCGGTTGGTTGCACAATAGACAATTCTCCACCCCTCCCGTGCCTGCCTGGTCTGAAGAGGCTTGGGCCATTCGATATGTTGAGTACAAGAATAGAATGGCAAATGGCACTAGCTGAACATCAAAGCCAAATATAACGGATGGGCGTATCAGATGGAGACGTCGATATAGACCAAAAGTTGTATGTACGGCTTGAGAGTTGTCACGCCGTCGAGAAGGATGGAAAGTCGCCCATATCTTTGGTGAGTCAACAAGAAAGTGTGTCCTGAGTGCGGGTGACGGTGTCTGACCTCTTCTGTAAGGCAGTTCCAGGCAAGTGCCGCAAAGGGCGACGCCTAGTCACTGGTCTTGTGGAAGCCATGATGTACCGGCGACTAACACAGCATCTGCTCAAACCCAGTTGATAGGAAGCAGCAAACAGGGCGAGTTGACGTTCATATAGATCAGGTCAAATTGAAATGAATGCACCTATGACCCCAGACGAGTATCACTCTCACACCTCCCACCGGATTTCAGAGCCAAGACTGCTGTCTTGAACTCCTACCTAGGTACTTACTGAACAATAATATATTCCATTTCATCGATACAGTAATAATGAACCCATTTGCGCTGGCACTGCCTTATTGTTTAAAGAAGCCAACCCATGGGCCTACGATGATTTTGACTTGTGCAGCTTTCTTCGATTTGACACTTCTAGCCCATTTTCCTTGTCGACTTTGTTGGGAGAAGCTTTCTTCGATGCTGGCTTGTATTCTTGGCTATCCAAGCGGGGTGGTCACTTTGATTCAGTCTGGTCGAGATATTTGGAGTTTACCTCAAGTATTGCAGTGCACGTTCTCTTATAGCTTTTCAAAGTATGAGGATCAAGCCTATCCATATGTAATTAGTTATCCTATTGTCAAGCTGGCTAAAGACTCCGATTGCTCTGCAGGAGCCTCTTCAAGTTGCTCAACGATAGCTGCCTTCTCTTTGCCAAGGGAACAATGCTTTCCGTGCTCAATCAACTTCTCATCCTCTACTACATGCTCCTCCATGATGCCATGTGCCCTATCATCCCCGGGTGGCGTTACTATAATCTTGGGAACCACGGGATCAGTTGCGATGTTTACCGCCGGTTTGAACGGTGAAAATAGCGTGAGGGGCGGCGCAAACCGGGAACTGGACATCTCCTCTGGGCCTGGAAGTCCATCGTGCATCATGTCCTCGGTCCATTCGTCACCACCCACTTTATCTGTGTTCGATCCTACGTCTGCCGTGCGTAGAGTATCATTCTGTTCTGAGCATGCTGCTTTTGCAAGATTCCGCGCCGTGCGCCGCAGCTCCTCCTCGCGCGAGATCTTCCAGAATATGTCAGGGTCGAGGTGCGCCCTGCTCTCAATCATCGCCGCCGCCGTCTCCGGGTAGCCGTCCGGGAACCAAGGGCTCAGGGCTCTGCTGTATACGGGCTTGGGACCCTATCCTGGCGCGAAGAAGTGCGCGAGCTCCGGGCTTGCGAGCGGGCTGTCATTCGGCGGTCCTATCTTCACTTTCACCTTCACTTGTACCCTGACTTTCTTCGCCTCTGGTTCAGAACCTCCATTCGAGGTGCGCCTCTTTGGACTCGACTGTCTCCAGGGTGGCTTTTTCTCGGCCTGGGACTCCCAACTGCGGGTCTCAGCTCTTACCAACTGCGGGAGTAGTGTCTCTGGTGTACCAGACAACGAACCGTGCCCATCTGTAGAGGAAGAACGATTTGGCGGGGAAGACATGATGAAAATTGGGCGAAGAAGTATGCTGGTCCAAGATATGCCTAGCAATAGAGAGACTAATGGGACAGTAGCTTGCATGCTGAGACCGAGATGTGCGTGCTGCAAGGAGTAAGATACATGAGCTCAGAGACTAGGGTAGCACTACGACGACGTATAAAGACGTGGTGTTGCCAGCTCCGAAAGTTTCACTGATGCTTTCCCAGACTTTCCGGCTCTTCAAATGAGCTCTGGTAGGTGCTGACTCTGATAATCAGCCAAATGGACGGATAATCCAGCACCAGGCAGGAGCTACTTCATCACATCATCGTAGCTTCGATCTGTGCTACGCGCTGGGTTATAACATATCCGCTGTGGTTGCACACCATAATCGTCAATGCCTGTAAGACTCCAATAGATCGTTCCTGAAAAGTGATACTCTGAGTGGAACAGGAGTTTCATTGGGGCAGGAAATTACCCCATTGTCTCCTTGCGCTTAGTCCATCAGCTCCTATATTGTGAAGTAAGAGCGTTCTAACTGCGACTGATAGAACAAGCAGATAGTTATTGGTCTGTTTGGTCTAGACATTCAGGTATAGGTCACTGGGACTACCAGCATGGACAGAACTTGCAGCGAACAATCACACCTTAAAGCAAGTCAAAAGAAAATCGTTCAGGGTACACGCTTTCATTGGCAATGAATTTCCATATTCACCTATGGCCTATGTAAACACACTCGGAGAGCTGCAGCCCGAGTCATTATCCACGTAGTCGTTGTGGCGAGCGTAGCTTTATGCGTCAACTACAGACCTGAACACCGGGACGAGGTCCTCGCCACTTTCTGTAAGCCGAATCCTGTGAAGCCCTGAGAATATGAGGGAAAACAATGAACCGAGGCCACAGTCTGAATGTGGTGCCAGAACAAGGTTGCTGCTTTATACTGCCTCCCGCGTAGGCTTTCCTTTTTTTGGTTTGTCTGGTTCTGCGATTCTTGACAAGTGATGAAAGTAATAGGAGTACAGTGAGACAATAGGTATTGTCACGGATCAGTATGGTAGATCGTGCTCAGTCATGCGTGGCCACTGGCGCTGGCCAACCTGAATCCCATTCCTGGTCATAGGTCCATGATCTGCGCCATTGGTGTGCTTTCCGCGCTGCTCCTAGCGTTGGTAAGGGTGGAAACCACGGTTCCCGCCTCTTCCACCTCCACGGTAGTTGGCACCAGGCTTTCCAGCGTTCTTGGGACCAGTCGGGGCATTGGCTGGGGGCGCCGAGGCCGGGTCTGAAGGAGTCGGGCTCTGGTGACCTCCGCCTCTATTCCGGTTGAACCCGCCCCGTCCACTTTGGTTGAAGTTGGGCTGAGGGACATCATCATACATGCCCTCCCACGAGGTCGGGTCGCTACCGACACTGCTGCCTCCACCGCCACTGCCGCCGCCGCCGCCGCCTCCTCCCATACCATAACCACCGCCGCCGTGGAAGCCGCCACCACGGCCACCTCGTCTACCGCCGCGACCGAAACCTCCCTGCTGACCACCATAACCCTGTTGCTGGTCCTGACCTTGGCCACCGCCCTGAGCCATCTGATTGCCCATTTGGTTGCCCATCTGGTTCATCTGGTTCTGCATTTGCTGCATCATGGCTGGGTTCATGCCTGCCATGGGGTTGTTCTGGCCGCCCTGGCCGCCTTGTTGGGCCATCTGAGCCATCTGCATTTGCATCATTTGCTGCATCATAGCCGGGTTCATGTTACCACCCATCATTCCCATGCCCATGCCGCGGTTCATGGCCATTTGCTGCTGCATCATACCCATGTATTGTTGCATCCGCTGCATGTACTGAGCCATGACCTGAGGCGTCATGCCGCCCGGGTTCATCTGGCCGGCCATCTGAGTTTGGTTGCTGCTCTGTTCTTCGGCACCGCCTTTTCTGAATTTTCCTCGGCGCGCGGCATCTTCCTCTTCGCGCATGTTGCCTCTGGGTTGCGCCTTCTTGACCTCGATAGGCTTGCCGTTGATCTGAAGAACTTGGCCAGGAATGGTGCAGTTGTCGACTCCCGCTTCACTCTCAAAAGTGACGAAGCCAAAGCCTCGGGGTCTACCAGTGTCCTTATCCATCATAAGCGTCGCATCAACGACGCGGCCGAACTGAGCAAAGTAGTCCTTGAACTCCGCCTCAGTAGTGTCTTGACTAACGCCGCCGACAAAGATTTTGCTCGTCTTCTCTTGCTCATCCCTAGGAATTGCTCGCTTGGGGTCAATCTGATCGCAGCATGTTAATTCCGTGGGAAAATTAAATTGCAGTCTGGCGTAATGGCGACTTACGATTTTGCCATCTAAGAAATGCTCCTTCACCATCACAATGTTGACACATTTGGGGTCCTTGAAAGTGAGGAAACCAAACCCTCGCGATCGACCGGTGGCTCCGTCACGCATAACAGTGCATTCCGTAACCTCGCCAAACTGGGTGAAATAATCACGGAGGGACTCTATTCCAACGAGTTAGTTGCAAATAAGGAATGTCGGGCAATAGATCCTAGCTTACGGTCTGTCGTTTCCCAGTTGAGACCACCAATAAACATTTTTCTATATTGAACGAACTGTTAGTGGATCAAATCTCATGAGCAAACACGCGCAAAAAGTGCAGTCTGGCAGTAATCATTCATGATTCCGGCATGCAACTGAAAGCCAAGGAGGTATGCAAACACGCCCGGTTTGTCAGGCCCGGCTTGCCAAGCAGACTGCTCGAAAAGCTGGACCACCAATCCTCGCGGCGCGTGCAAAAGTTATGTCTTCTGCGCACAATACAACGCCGCCTCCGCATACTGTGTGCTTCGAAACCTGAGAGAGGGGTGCGCAGTCCAGAGCCCTTCATAAAGTGGGATCTTATTGCCTCCTGGGTGTGGGTCGTAATCCTCCGGGAGCATCTCGTACGTTGGCGTGGCCAGAACTCCAAAGCCAGGCCAGGGCCAGGACCAGGTCAAAAGCTTTTCAAGGAATGTTGACTCTGGGTGAACCAGTAGGAATGGTTCGCAGCGTAGCGCAGCGCGGGCAGGCAAGCAAGCCACAGACAGCAGTTTTCAAGTGTGAAAAGCTAGTGCAGCTAACGTGATTGCCATAAAAGTTGTCGAATTTTTTCATGTCTCGTCTTCTTGCTATCGTCAAGCTAGGTCTTTCTTGGCCTCGAGCGCTATTCGCTGCCAATCTTGTACAGCCGGCCACCAGAGGGAGTGACATCTCATGGTGCTTATATGAGCCTATCTCTGACGAATTGGCTATGGAGGGCAGTAGAGTGCTTTGTACTGACTATGGTCGATGCCTGTCTCCTGAAGTTTCATTCAGGCAGCTGTACCGACGAGGTTTCTTTTGCCTCGAGCGCGCTCCCTTCTCTTGCACCTGCGAGGGACTGCTTTGAATACGGACCAGTCGTGTTGATCATGGTTACGGCTGATAATGGGACCATCTGGTGAATCCACCACACCATCTTCCCAGGCGAAGAGTGCTAGTAGACATGCCTCTCTCAAGTCTAGTCCTTCTTGCGATGTGCGGACCCCTTCCAGTACCGAAGCGAACTCTCACCCAGAACTCATAGACATTGGGCCACCATCACGTCCAAGCAGCACGATCCTCGCGGCACCACAGTGTCTCGTGTTGCCTTGACTCAGGCGTTCTGGCCATAACCCAAATAGGTCTGCAAACCTACCGTTTCACAAGAATACATGATGGACAAAAGAGTGTAGAAAAATCTAGACTTACCCATCCTCCTTGGCACTGGGACCACCTCTTGCGGCGTGGAAACTAGGCGTTTCGGCCTCCTCCTGTTGGTGGACAGGGGCGGCAGCATGAGCCGAGCCGTTGCCCAGGTTGAAGTCGACGTCATCGTCATCGTCGTAGGCCTCCTCGTTCTCGTGGTAGTCTCCGCCGTAACCGTTCTCGTCACCAGCGGATGCGGCGTGACCATCGGACGGACCGTCGGCTGGGGCTGCGACGGGCGACGGGTCTACAGCGGCTGGCTGCTGCTCCTTTACGGGCGCGGACGGCGGGGCAGGAGCGGCCGAGGCATCATTATCGTCGTAGCTGTAGCAGGTCAGCATGATGTGGTGAATCGCGGAGCCGCAGCCAAGCGCAGTCACAAGCGCCATCTGCTGTCCGGTGACGAGCTGGCATTGAGTAGTCAGGACTCACAGGTCGGCGAAGAGATCATCCTCGAAGTTCTCGTCGGCCATTGTGCCAGAGGTTGCTGACGGCGTTGATGTTGCTGCAATGAAGACGCGACTCGTCGGTAGTCGCGGAGCTATTCGGACACGTCCGGGCGGCGAGGAGATCTGCGAAGCTCAGCGCGTCCCGGGTGCGCTGAAAATCGCAAACGAGAAATGAGGCTGTGTGGATTAGTGTGGGAAGAGAAAGGCTGTGTTGCGAGATGGTGTCGGCGAGAATGGAGAAACAATGCTGGGCTGATGTCGTCGCGGGGAGTGACTTTTTTGGCTTTGGGCAGGTTCGGTTCAGGTCCCAGTTAAATCAGGATGCCACCTGGGAGGGAAAGCTGGAAGGGCCTGTGCTCGACTAATGGCGCAGCCTCTGATTGGCTAGAGCGCACTAATTCAGTGTCTAGGCAGGTGGCCACAGTGAACTGCAGTAAGTTAGATTGTGTTGTGGTAGCTTGCTTGGGTCGGCTGGTCGGCGGTCGGCAGTCGCTGGTTGGCTGGGGACTGGGGAGGGGAGCCGGGGACAGGGGGACGACGCCAGCCTTGTGAGCCAGGACCACGAGCTCCCGAGGTCACTCCTAAGGAAGCTAATAAATTAAGCTGCCCAGGTGGACAGGTGGACAGGTGGACAGGCGGACGGCCAGCTGCAAGTCTGTGCCCCAAGGAGGTGCCGGGAGGTCGGCGCGTCTTACTGGGCATGTACAGGAAAGTAGTCAAAGGGAGATTGATAAACTGAATGGCCAACGCCGCAGGCTGCCTGCCCCAAGATGCAACTGTGTGAAAAAGCAGAGCGGAGACACCGCAATCTCAGCTCTACGTCTACTTATCTCTTAAAGGACACTTTGCCAAATGGCTGATGATTCACTGTGAAACCCGGCAAACGGCACTCGAGAAGACATGTACGTGGGGCTGCTGTCAGTGAGCGAGCTACGTGACTGGAAGCGGACTGGAGGGGTGCCAATTGGCTCCCCCACCCGCGTGTTTCGCTGCCACAGGTGGTTTTGTGATGGGGGGCCAAGGGGCGCTGGATGGGTGCTGATGGGCAGATCACGGCACTCCCACGATGCGTTCGCCTCTGGGTATACTAGGACCTCTCACGATACCTGTTAGCCTGGCCATATCTGCGAAACAGGACCCCCGTTGAGAGCCTTTGGAGTTCTTCTGCAACAGGCAGTCATTAAACAAGCACCCTGCGAGCTTGTGGTCTGAATTGGCTACGCGACTTTACCTTTACCTGAGCGGGGTCCCGGTCCCCTGGCCTCGAACTGTCCGGGTGGCTCATGTGCCTGCAGGTGTCCACGGGTAACTTGGGTACCTAAGCCTTAAAGGCGCTGTAGGAAGGTCCACGGGCAGCTCGCACTGCTGGACCTAGGGGCAGCAAGTGGGCCGTACATGACTGCCGCCGTCCTGATCTCAGACATCAGCTCAACAGGCGGGGAGACCTCACAACAATCATGTAATTGCGAGACATCTGTCCAGCACCCTGCTCACCATGTTCTCTTCCTCGGGCAGCGGCAAGAAGCCGCCCCAGCAGGTAAGCCGCCCTGCCTCCTCTCAAAGCTGTCCGTACTTGACCGCCATGCTCACGATACTGATGACGTACACAGGAAATGGTTCAAGTTGGTATGTGTTCAACGCTCGTCCAGACCGTTCTCCAGACGCCTGTACTCTCACCTCGCTGTGGCGCCCTTTGAACATCTGCTAACCTGAATTATTGCCGCGCTCGCAGACCGGTCCGAGTACGCACCCACTTCTTCCTTGTTCTCTGCACATGGGTCGCTAAAGTCAAGTAAACAGGTCGGCTTCGCCTTTCTGGAGGGTTCAGCGCGAGGGCACACCCAAGAAGACCAGCCGCGATCCGAATCTCGTGGTCGGCGCTTCCTACTCGCACGCCGACATGCTCAAGTTCGACTCCCTGTGCGTTCAGCCTTGGCCCCAGCCCGCCCAAGATTCTCGAGACTGATGTTAGACGTAGCAACGTATCTGGCAGCTCGTCGCGGCCCAGGACACCTCCCTCGTCGTCTTCCCACCGAGCACGGACAAGCGATGTCAGCTCTCCCCCGCCGCAGAAGCATACCGGATCGTCGTCGCCACCGCTTAAATCCTACATCAGCTTCCTGTCCAACACGAATCAGGACTGGAATGCGGACGACCCCGAGGGCGAGGACGTTTACGGATACGAAGATGACGACGGCGACGACTTCGGATTGCCGAGCCTGTCCAACATGAAGAGGAAAACACGGCGCATGGCTGCTGCTCAGGATCAGGATAAGAGCGGTTCCGACCCAACGTTGGGTCTCCCCTCTCGACGTTATTCAGATAGTGCCGACATAGCGATCGAGAGGCCCATGCCGGCTTATCCCATGCCCAAGAAAAGCGAAGGGAAAATACTCCGGCCCCAGTACAAGGACATCTTGAGAGGTATGCTCTTCTGAGCCATGGGGAAGAACGCTGCTAATTGCGGCTCAGATCCGGCCAACGCTCTTCATCTCATCAACCACCCTGCCATTCCAGCCAATGCGACCCCGAAGGAAGTCGATGCCAGTAACTCACGTGTCACGAGGATTAACAAGTTCAAAAAGATACTGCAGGCAACTAACATCTCGCTCCCCGACCTTCGAGCACTGGCGTGGGGAGGCGTGCCCGAAGAAGTCCGCGCCATGACATGGCAGTTGCTGCTGAGCTACCTACCTACGAGCAGTGAGAGGCGAGTCGCAACCCTGGAAAGGAAGCGGAAGGAGTATTTGGATGGTGTAAAGCAAGCCTTCGAACGCAGCGGCAATGCACCGGCTGCAGGGGGCCGGTCTCGAGGTCTGGACGAAGCCATCTGGCACCAGATCAGTATTGACGTCCCCCGGACCAACCCTCACATTGAGTTGTATGGCTATGAAGCCACCCAACGATCGCTCGAACGTATCCTATACCTTTGGGCCATTCGCCACCCAGCCAGTGGATATGTTCAAGGTATCAATGACTTGGTCTCTCCCTTCTGGCAAGTCTTCCTGGGCACCTACATCACCGATAGTAACATAGAGAGCGGCATGGACCCTGGGCAGCTTCCCAGGACCGTCCTGGATGCAGTAGAAGCTGACTCATTCTGGTGCCTTACCAAGCTTCTGGACGGCATCCAGGATCACTACATCGTTGCACAGCCAGGAATTCAGCGGCAGGTGGCTGCTCTGCGCGATCTCACGGCCAGGATCGATTCGGACCTAGCTAAACACCTTGAGAATGAACATGTCGAGTTCATTCAGTTTAGCTTCAGGTGGATGAACTGCCTCTTGATGCGAGAGATCAGCGTCAACAACACCATCCGAATGTGGGATACGTACCTGGTATGTCACTTGACCGCATTTGCAGAATGAAAATGTGCTGATCGCCTTTTAGGCAGAGGAGCAGGGCTTCTCTGAGTTCCACCTCTATGTATGCGCCGCGTTTCTTGTCAAGTGGTCTTCTAAGCTCTTGAAGATGGACTTTCAGGAAATCATGATGTTTCTTCAAGCTTTGCCGACCCGCGACTGGACTGAGAAAGACATTGAGCTGCTGCTCAGCGAGGCATACATATGGCAGAGTCTCTTCAAAAACTCGTCGGCACACCTACGAGGAGGCCCAAGTCGGGCCCCATCTGGCAGCCTCCAGCTTTAGCCACAGCCGGCAATTCAACAGACTTCGCCTCAAGTTTCGATGTCGCTGTGTGCCACAATCACCTGCACACTCTGCGCGTAACTGTCACTGCCACTTCCAAGACCACCTACGCCGTTGAAAAGGATGTCATGATGTGGTTTCCCTCCCTACAAGATGGCCCATTGGAGCAAGCTGAAGGAGCACGAAGTAGGCTTGCCATTGTCGTCCAAAATGGAAGTACAGTGCTTGTCACAAATGCCAAGCCACATTTGGTGGATTGGCTTTCCTCAGCAAGAGCGAGTTCAAATGGACAGTGGTTCACAAATTACATGCAACTGGCCGAACCTGGTTGCAGTGGCAGGGGCTGATTTTATAATACGCTCAACTCAGGCAGCTTATAGGTCGACACAAGGATCACGGTTCCGGCAATCCATCCACAGCGTACCAAACGAGCCGTCATTCAGTGGCGGCTGGCCCTCAGGACTGACCGAATTGCAAAACTTGCTTCAACAATCGCGTTGTGGCTGTTCTCTTGTTGGGACTCCCACACATCAATCAACGGCGCCGATTAAGGTATTCGCCGTCAGAACCCGAACGGTTTACATGAGATGCTACTGTCACGGGAGCTGAAAGATATCGCCATAGCCAACGTTGGCTGTGGCAATGCCCCGAGGGCTGTGCCTTTCGTCGATAAGCATCATCGGTAGCGGCCCCACCTCATACCGCGCGGGGAGAGTACAACATCGCGAACTGGGAACCCATATGGGAGAATATAGAAGAGAAGGTACAAGGCACCGAAGAGGCGTCCACTAGGCTGTGGACGTCGTAGCATCCTGCGCAAATCGAGATCTTGGATGAAGAGATCTAGATTGGCAACGTCGGCAAGGCCGGCAGAAGAGGAAAGCAGCAGTGCAGGTACCCCTCCATGGCCTCCATGTCCTCCCATCTGCTGCATCCCACGACGCAGGTTATATATCTCCTGTAGCTAGGCGATTTTGCAGCACCTAGGTAGCCATTCACAATCAAGCTGACCGAGTCTGATAAGAAACGGATACGGCCAAAGACCGTGACCATATCGTCATGCGGCTCCTGTCGATTGGGGCAGGTGGAAAGAGCCGCATATCCTCGGCTTATTTGGCGTCTTCTCCAATTCCGCCCCGAACGACAATCGCCGCTCCTGACCGGGAGAGTTCCACGGACCCAGGCTCGGCGGAGTCGCCCTAATAGTACAGTAGTAAGCTAAGAGCCAGCAGCCTACAGTAGGACCTCAAAACGTGTGCGCGCTGGCTACCCAGCCAAAGCCATTGGCGAGGACGCGCATACAGAAGGGCGTCGTGGCAGCGATCTCGGATGCTCACCCGGCCCCCTACATACCAATCAACGGATACCTATCAGCGACGTGCTTTGACGCATGGCACCGAACCCCAGGTGAGGCCGTTCCTGACAGGGGCCGCAGGGCGTGGGAAGGCGTTGCTGCTTCTCCACGACGCCGTCGACAGTCAAGGTTTTTCCAACTCCTGACCCACATGTAGCCGGCAGAGGCTCGCCCACCTGACCTCGACGTTTCGGGCTTGACATCGAGGTGCGTCCGCTTGAAGCCGAGATGTCTAGTGTGCTCGAGCCCACCAAAGCCCGCGCGCCGCCCAGCTCTGTCCTGTGCGCCCTTGCCCCCCGGCCCAGCCGTCCTGATAACCAGGAGGACCGAAGACGGGGATCCACCCTGACAGCGAACCCCCCTCTGTCCACGGGTCCAGGCTGGGGCAACGGCTCCCAAGGATCTGGGTCCGAGACGCTGGATGGGCGCACCTGATAGGCCACGGCCGGCCATGCTTCGCCGCTTGAGGAAGTCTTCCAGGGATCCGTCCAGCAGATTCTGCATACGGGGGCGTCGTGCACCGACTATGCATGCACGGAGACGTCTCTTGATTCTTTTTTATCTGAGACCCGAGCTTTGCCTGGTCCTGGGTCGGATTCAATTGGTCAATGAGTCACTTGAATTGTCCCCATTGAGTTGCTGCATCTGCCACTTATTAGAGCACGCCCGTGACTTCTACCCTTTTGCCGTCACAGTCCCTCCGTTATACTTTCCGCCCGGCTTTGGTGACACACGCCTTCCACTTCCATTGTCCTCTCGTAGCCGATTCTTGTTACATTGTGACCCTCGAGGTAGTTTAAGCCGTTGCAACTCTATTTGTTGTTTGTCTCAGGTCCCATCTCAGAGCAAAATTCCCCCATAAGCTCTGGTGTAGTCGAACTACATTCCAACCCTCCACATCACAAACAGCTGTCCCATCACAACGACCAACACAAACGATGGCACCCTCCGCTGTTCCCATGAATGGCCAGGCCAACGCTTCCGATGTCGACCTCACTGCCACTGCCATTGAGCACAAGATGGAGGAGAACGGCGCTACAAATGGCCACAAGGCCACTTACCAGGAATTAGACGCCTCCAAGCTGACATACACTTTCACCAAGTCGCCGCAAAAGGTGCCGGCGGCCGGTGTCATTAGCTTCGAGAACTCATCCATCTGTACGGATCACATGCTCACTGCCACCTGGTCTCAGAAGAATGGCTGGGCAACCCCCGAACTCAAGCCCTACGGGCCCTTCTCCATCATGCCCACTGCTTCCGTCCTGCACTACGCCACCGAGTGCTTCGAGGGTCTGAAGGCCTACCGCGGCTACGATGGCAAGCTGCGTCTGTTCCGCCCCGACTGCAACGCCCAGCGTCTGCTCATGTCGTCGGTCCGCATCTCGCTGCCCTCCTTCCCGCCGGGCGAGGTCGAGAAGCTCATCAGCGCCTTCATGGCTGTCGACGGCCCCAAGTGGCTGCCTCGCGAGCGCCCAGGATCCTTCATCTACCTGCGTCCCACGCTCATCGGCACACAGTCCCAGCTCGGCGTCCAGGCCCCGGCCGAGGCCATGATGTTCATCATCGCCAGCTACATGGCCGAGATGGACTCGCCCCCCGGCGGCATGAAGCTGCACACCAGCCCCGCGGACATGGTTCGCGCCTGGGCCGGCGGTTTCGGCTACGCCAAGGTCGGCGCCAACTACGGCCCCTCGCTTCTGGCCACCTCGGAGGCGCGCGCTCGTGGCTTCGGCCAGATCCTCTGGCTGTACGGCGAGCAGGGCTTCTGCACCGAGGCCGGCGCCAGCAACTTCTTCGTCGTGTGGAAGAACAAGGAGACGGGCCGCACCGAGCTCGTCACGGCCCCGCTGGGCGACAAGATCATCCTTGACGGTGTCACGCGCCGCAGCGTGCTGCAGCTCGTGCGCGAGAGATGCGCCGACGAGGTCGAGGTTGTCGAAAGGCAGTACACCATCGATGAGGTGATCGAGGCGCACGAGGAGGGCCGCATTGTCGAGTCGTTTGCCAGTGGTACCGCGGTACGTCACACCCAGTCACTTGCTCACCAACCCCCATAATCCTCGGAAGACTTTGTATACTTGATCAAGAAAACCGTCCATGTGCTAATGAATGTATCTGCAGTACTTTGTCTGTCCCATCTCCCTGATCCACCACCGCGGAAAGGACGTTGCCATCCCCATGGGCAAGAAGAACGACGGCGGCGAGCTGACCACCAAGGTCAAGACCTGGCTCAAGGACATCATGTACGGCCGCGAGGACCACCCGTGGGCCGTCGTCGTGCCGGAGGAGCAGTAAACAATCGGACCCAGATCGATTGCTAGAGGGCGACAGTCTCCCAAAGGAAGTGACGGTCACAGCAGAACGGGTAGTCGTGTGTGCGGACACAAACAAAAGAAGTCACGAGCTGCGCTTGGTAAGAAAAAGTTGAGCTTGCATTACCGAAAAGTCGAGTTGGGGTTTGCGGTGTGTGGGACGACACGCATCATCTGTGGTCGTCCACCTCGAATTATGATTGGGTTTTCACTCCTCCGATCATGACCTCCATAGGTCGCAGGAAGTCGGGTTGACGAGAATGCGATGGTCTCGCACACCTCGAGACACATTACACAGGCGTTTTATGGCGTTCGTTGCATTGCTACAGGGAGAACTAGACGGGGAGTTCAAAGGGTGAGCCCGGTGACTCTTGGAGCCGTGCGACAATGGTCGCAGTGGTCGCGCAGATCGAGCGGGAAGTCCTAAGGTTGGGCTTCCGATCCATAGAAACCTGCCGTTGTGTAGCTTAGCGAGAATGATGGTACGCAGCGAATGATAGACACTTTGAACTTTACTGCAGCCACCCAATAGTGCAATGATTGCAAGTCAAGGACAACCATTTAGCACAATTTAGTCGAATGCTCTTTCAGCCCCTGCCTGTCTAGGAGGCTCGAGATTCAACTCGTACAGGGTCATATTTAATTGCAGTCAAGCTTACACTGACAGGTGCACTGTTCCCACTGTGTCGAGGCCCTCATGAGGCGATATCAAGCCATGCTGGCAAAGGTCCCGAAACTGCAAGTCCTAGATATGACTGATCCGTACTCTTGAGTTTTCAGTGAAAACCCACTGTGCAACTCCTCAAAATTGACCCATAGACTGTGAACCCTCCTAGTAATTATCCCGTCATTGATGATTGTCAAGCCAACACAAAACAACTCAGGCACAAAAATGAGTATTCGAGCTCCCAGCTAGCAGTGATAACACACCAACAGTGGTGCTCTCCGAGGTGTTTTACAACCCAGGGGGCAAGAATGGATTTACAATCTTCCTGGCCTCGTGTTCAATCCTCCTGAGAAACTCCTGCTCCTGCGTTAGTACTTTCGCCAGACGATTTCTTCCCCAAGCAACGATGAGTAGTAATGGCAGTCCCTACCTTTTCGTAGCGCTTGTATTCACCAACCCTTTCAGCCTGAAGAGCCTCCATATCCTCACTCAACTCGTCCACAGCAGCACTGTGCTCCTGGTCCAGAAGTTTGAGAGCCTCGGCAGGGCCATCCACCTCAGTCGTTTCTCCGGGACGGTCAACATGTGGCAATGGACCGACCAGCTCCTTTCTAATGCCCTCGATCTCAAGATGAGCGGTCTCCTAGTCCGCCCAAAGTCGCTCGAGCTCGGTCTCTGCAGTAGCTACATGGGCCTCGAACTCAGATACCGCGACAGACATGTCGACAACCTCGCTGCGTTCTCGACCTCCTGGCGACAAGACGATGTGGTTCGCCTTGGCCTCCCGAACCGGTGAGACCAGTTCACCATACGAAGCGGAAAGCCGCGCAATTGCAAGCTGGTTGGTCTTAATCTCCGCAACAACCTCAGTGGTTAGCTCCGTTTGAACTGCCTCGAGCTGGTTCATTGCGTTGGAGTGCAGGGCGATACGTAGCTTGGAGTAGTCGCCTGAGCTTTACATTAGCGCCGTGCTCTGCTGGCTTGTTCCAAGATTTGAACTGGTAATTCATGAGATAGACACGCCTCATCGGCAGTGCTAGGCGAGAACCTCCTCCACGAGGACTTACGTTGAAGATCATGTATCACCGGCGGTGGGTCAGGAGAACTGGAGCGTTGGTGGCGGCGTCGAACGCGATTGTCGGCGCCATATGGCCCCTCATTGTCTGGACGAGACGTTCTAAATGGATTGAAGGGCGCAAAATGTGTGTGATTCCGGCGAGCGGGTGAGCGCGAACGATCTCGTTGGGCCTTCTGCACCGTTTCTGCGTCGTCGTCAAAGTTGAAGCGCTGCTTGAATGATTTCTGTGTTCGTAACATGCGGTTTGGGGAGGCGTCAGACATCTGCTTGTCCTGCTTGGGTGACAACATCTTGGGCAGTTCTCAGTGCATCCAGAATGCCTAGAGGGGAAAGTTGCATCCCAGTTGACTCGCGGTGCAAGAGGTGTCCCGGTGCTGAGGAGGTTCGACAGAAAAAACCAGACAGGGTAGGAGGGAAGACGTCGGGCGTAGGCTTGGGAGTTTGGATGATAAGCCGCTCGAGTTCCACTTGGAAGTTGGTGTTGCAGTTTGCAGTCCTCGGAAACCTTCTCCTTGCACCGGAAGGTAACGGGCCCCTCCTTCTAGGTAGACAGACGCCTTTGCTTGAGGAAGGCACGACCCTAAGAGCGTGACGATTCCTACCGCAGATATACTTACCGAGGAAGTCTTGTTGCCAACAGAGCTACATAGGGACCTAGGTACCTTAGATAATCACACCTTCTCGGACTACCTATATTTCTAGGTGGATACCATTTCTGAGTAGACGGTCAGCTACATATCACGGGGCCACCGGGAATAGTTATAGGAGCAAACGTCCGTGTAGATATTTCATCGTTGTTTCAATCAGATCTAATGTATGCTATTGGCTCCCTGAAGTATCACCATGACGCCTTCTAACGATGCAGTACCCAGCAAATGATTTCCAACCATTTCCATATGCAGTTCTCACCCACCCGTATATCATACGCATTTCACATTGGCATGTCCACTTCTATATCATGACGCCCAGCAGGAGATAGCCGAGAACCATGGCGGCCACCATTTCCCAGCTACCCAGCAGGGACCCTCGCCCACAGCCCGCACTCGGGAACTCCTTCTGCACTGTCGCGGTGGCCGTGCTGGTGCTGAGTGTACAGCTCGCTGTCCCGCACGCATATCCGCTCGGGCAGCAGCCTGCGATCGGGCCTGCGTCGGTTCCACACAGATACCAGCCACCCGCGCATGTCGACGTTGGCCCCGCGTCTGAGCTGGGTACCTCCGTGGCCGGTACAACCAGTGTCACGCCGTTGGACGTAATCGTCGTCGACGAGACCGGAGGGCACGACGTCGTGATGCAGTCCCGTCCCGTGCGACAGCAGCCGGACCCCGCCCGGGCCAGGCAGGCGTAGAAACCTGTCGGACAGTAATCGCCCGTCGCGGTGCTCGTCGTGTCAGATCCGCTCGTCGGCCGAAACGGCGGCAATCCGGTCTCTGTGCCCGTACCAGTCCCGGTTGCCGTGCTCGTGGCTGTCAAGGTGCCAGCGGTCGTGGTCGCCACCGCCGTGCTCGTCGTCGTTTGCACAGAGGGGCTCACGGTCACTACTGTGGTCACCACGATCGTTGTCGCCGATGGACCTGTTATCACACTTGATGATGTCGTGGTCATGGTAATGACCGAGACCGAGCTAGCCACGCACCCAATCTGCGCACATTTGAATCCCGGGATGCAGCAGCCGCCGCCTACGTTTGCCGGACATGCCGTATTCCCTGTCCCACATGTGCCCACGCTGCCGCCGCAGTTCTGTCCCTCCGGACAGCAGCCCACATTCCCGGCGTCTGGCGCATTCTCCACCTCGAAGCACGTCTCGCCCGTCGCGCAGCAGTAGTCGGGCTTCCCTATGGACTCGCAGCTGTTTGTATTCGTCGGGCATGACCACTCTCGGCCTTGTAAGCGATGTAGGGCCTCCTTCGCGCGCCGCCATAGCGGCCCATTGTCCCGCAGTTCTTGTGAGCTTCCGTCAAAATGTATGCCGAAAGGCGGCCGGAAAGCTAGCGTTGCGGTCGAGTTGGTGGAGAGCAGCAGCTCTTCTTCCGGCGTGAGCAGTCCGCGTGGTAGCAGAGAGGATTGCGCGGCGGCGTATTCGGGGGAAAATCCGAGGTGGTGAGGCATGATCTTCTCGCCTTCGTCGAGGGACATCTTCTTGATCGCGGTCGGTAGCTGCTGCGCTTGGAGTTGCGTTGCGACCAGCATTAGCAGCGACGCCGGGAGGCCCAATAAGCCCGGCGAGAGCTGCATCGTGGATCGACTGCGAGGCTCAAACTACAGTAGTATTCAATTGGTCATACGAAAGATCGGCTTCTGATGGTTGCAATCCAACGGTAGAGCTGGTCTATGAGCCTTTCGGCACGGCCAACACTGGGGCCTGCCACGTCAAAGGTGGGCAATTGCGCCCTTGGGCTTCGCGTTGTCGGGACTCGGTGAAGCCCAACGACCGACCTGGAGATAGAGACAATGATCGGTGGTCCGAAGTTCTGGAGCGCTAAATAGCGAAAGGTTCAGGACCGTTGAGGTTCTTGTAAGATCTGGATGCGAGACGAAAGCTTCTCGGCGCCAGACCAAGCTCTCCGTGAGCTAGAAATGGGCGGCAGCAGAAGCTCGTAATTGAGTGGCTGGGAGTTGGTGCTTGAGCGACGTCAGCGACACCCGATCCCACGAACAGACCAACATACGTAAGTCGGTGTACGGTCCTATCGCATGGGCATCCACATTCGAATGGGTCTTTTGTTCCTCACTTTGTGGGCGAAACAGTGAAGTATTCAACATCAGCTTACAGTCATTCTCACAAAGCTCAACTTGCTTTGCGCCAATGAAGTGCCAGACAAGCTACCCGAACAGGTAATGTTCTGGAAAGGAGACCCCTGCATGGATTAGTGGGTTAAGTATGCGGCACAAACTCCCGGAACGGGCAAATTTTTCAGTGCTTTTCTGCACAACGGCACGAGTATTAACAATAATTGGTGTAAGTGTGCAAGACATATGGTCTGACGAGCAATTGCGAGGCTTATCGATGAGTATACCCTCCAGTATGCATCTCGATGGGCTTCATGGTCTTGATAAGCGGTAAACAGCACTGGGCACTCATGCAACATTGTAAAACAAACGAATGAGCTGATATTTATATATGTATAAAACATGTCATGTACATGAGGTCATAATCCCACAACGCCATCCTATCCTCCAATATCCCATGTGCAGCCTCCAAGGTATTACACCATTATCCATCCCTCCTGGAAGCTAAGCAACCCACCACCGGCTGAGTCATGTTGATGCTCAGTGATTCACCGTCGTGTCATGAAGCGGCCCGGAAGAGCCAAAAGCCGAAATTTCCCATTCTATCGTGGTCGAGGTTTATAGGAAGTAGGCAGCAGCGGCACCCAGGATTGCTAGGACTCCGCTCGCGCTCTTCACGGCAGCACCGCCAGTGGACGGCACCGACGACTCGGATGTGCCTTGAGCTCCTGCAGAGCCCGAGGCACCACTGTTACCCGCAGACTTGCTGGCGCTGGCGCTCGCGCTGGCCGAGCCACCGGCACTGCCAGTGGCGCCGCTGGTGTAGGTACCATTGTACGAGGCGCCTGCACCGCTGCCGGAGCCGGAGCCGCCGCTTCCGACGGCGGTGCTCAAGGTCGAGCTCCCAGAGCCGCTACCGAAGCCGTAGTTGCTGCCGGTGGCAACGTAGGTGCTTGTGTACGAGGCGCCGGTGATGGTGTAGGTGCCGCCCGAGGTGAACGACGAGGCCCCCTTGCCGCCTGCTGCTGAACCAGTGGCGGAGCCCGTCGCCGCTGCAGCAGATCCGCCCTTTGCGGAGCCGGAGACGCTGGCAGAACCAGAGCCAGAGCCTGACCCGGACCCGGACCCGGACCCGGAGCCACTGCTTCCGGAGGCGGACGCGCTCGCAGAAGTGCTAGTAGCAGTGCATCCCTGGTCGGTGCCTAGTGTGAAGGTGTTTCCGCCAGCGTTGACAACGCACTAGATAGTATTTGTCAGTCGATAAGGCCATAGTTTGCTTCCCAAAAGTGCATATCTTACGTTCGTAACCGAGGCGCTGTTCGTGAACTGCGAGTTTGTGAAGGTCTGGGCAGAAACGGCGGCGGCAAGAGCGAGAGGAATGAAGGTCTTCATTTTGCTGGATTTGCGAGTTCGTTCTTCGTCAAAAGAAAGCAAGTCTTGGTGAAAAGAATGATTTTGTCGAAAAGGACCGGTTGCTGTGAAGACCTGTCTTGGTTGATTGTGTCGTGGTGATGAGGAACAGAAAACTCGAACGGGGCGGAGTGCTCTCCAAGACTTATAGTCAGTTTGTGGCGACCGAACTCACTATGGCACACAAACGACAGCATGGCTGCCAGAGCATCAACCTCCGCGCGGAAAACCTTAAGGGGGTCGTCTTACGCACTCAACTCTGCTACTACCGCCTTTGCCTACAATGCTCCATGGCGCAGGTCATCACTAGAGGAGCGACAAGGTTAGCTGACGCACCATCAGAACCCTTCAAAGTCACCACAGCTACGGTTATGATCTGCCAAGATGGGTAAGGAACGTGCTCTGGTGTCGTGGATATCCCTAGGAAGGTCCCTTGAGCTTAACTGTCCAGTGCTACTTACCAGGAGCCGTAAGCTCGGACAACGCTAGGAAGGCTGATGTCTGGTGTGTGGACATGGATACCTGTGTGTCTCGGCCAATGCCACTAAAGAGCAAACCAGAAGTCCAACGGCTTTGGGAAGCAGGCGCCACTAGACAGACGAACCTTTCCTTGGTTCCTTTGACATGAGGCTTGGTCTCCTGTGTTACAGATCTCAGTTACGCTCAAATCTCAACGTGGTCTGCCAAGGCCTGGAGAATATGTAATTTTAACTCCGTGCTCTGCGGGTGAAAGCAACTGGTCTGATCTGTGAGACATGCCTCCCAAAAAAAACCCCTACGGCTCTTCCGAAGGAGCAAATATAAGGATAATCCTCCATACTCGTCCGTTTCAAGATGAGCAACCACAGGTTGAGCAACGAAGCGCAATTACCTGAGCTCTCCCAGGGCGGGACTGACGAATCCATCGTACCAGAGCGGCTTGCGAATGCACCGGCTAAGCACCCAGATCTTGCATTGCAGACGCCCAATCTGTACCTGCAGATACGAAACCATGGACTTGGTGACTGCAAGTGGTTGAGCAGCATGGTGCGCATCCTCAATATGCAGCTTCGTGCTATTGCTTCACGGAATGCGCAGGTCGGAGGCAGGTACAGGCCCTCTATGCAGCACTCGCACGTAATAGGCTTGGGGTGTGCCTTTGAATCTAGAGACAGCAGAGACTCGTGCCCTTGGAAAGTTATCCAGATGAATCAACGTCATCTACGGCATCACTGGACACGGTCGGTCGGAGCAATTGCTGACGACGTCGGGAGATTGTCAGTTTGCCATGGTCGTCGCGGCTGGGTTAAGGTTATGCGTCTTCGACATTTTGACTTTTACCTTAAATCTTTGTCTCGGTCCCGGTTCTCCACATCAGGCCATGTCACCTAGCCCTACAGACCATTCATTACCCAAGTAGGTATGGAGGGTAGCTGCACTGCACTTAAGGCGAGATACAAGGCTCTTGCGGATCTTGCATTATGGCTGATCTTGCGCAGGAGACGAAAGTTTATCTACTTTATATGCAGATGCTACTCATCTCTCCCCGCGGTTGAATAACTTCATTCGCTGGACGGATGCTACTTTTCGGGCCCTTCATGTAGCCGAGAGAGCCAATGGGTTTTCATGTGTGGTATAGGCTGTACGAAGTACACGACTTCTCCAATTCAAGTTGTCATATCACCTACCTTGACCCTTCATTTCCACCATTCTCAGATCAGCTCAATGCATAGCACGTTTCAAGGACCACCGCGCATTTGTCAAATACAGTGTAGCTGTGTAAATCCGGCCTCAACACCTCAGACTTGTTGTACACGCGAGCAGGAGCACAATGAATCCTCACGACTGCGGCGTTGAAGAGTGTGTCATAGTCCGTGTTCATTAGTCGTGCCGCTCTTATTTCCAGACCATCGTCTCACGACCTTTGGATGACGAATCCCAAGCCAGGACGGAGTGTCAAGCCCTATATTGATTCGAACTGGGCTCTGAGACACCTTCGCTTTGTACTCAGACGCGAAATTCGAAAATTACGCAGACATTCAATAACTATGCGGCAAGCCGACTCGTGTCTGGCGCCGTCGCATTACTACCAGCTCTCGGGTTATCGTTAGCAAAGTTGTTTAACTGTCAACTATTGTTTGACTCGAAGGTCGTCTCACTGTAGAAATATGGACCGGGTCACAAAGTGACAAATGCGCAAGATAGTATACGACTTGCGCAAAATCCGGACAATGACAGCTCGCCAGATACCAGTCTATCAAAGATTATACCATCGATTCAAGTGAAGAGGGAGTAGTTAGTCAGAAGCGAAACCAGCCTGAACGACTGTCAGTTTGTCATATCAGGAGATCCAGCAACGACGGTGCAAAGATGAGATGATATAGGTACAGACAGCAACGGGAAGCCTAGGGTTGATATTACCACTATATCAACAGGTTCAGGGTAGGAGTTTGTAGATGGATTCTCCAACACTTTCCCACTGTATTCTTTATATAAGCTTCAAAGTAACGCAAAGATACCTTATTGAGCATGGATATTACTGTGCTCGTTGACGCAGTGCCCTCACTGCGATCGGGGTGCCATAGAATAGAATAGCATAAGTACACCTCACATGAGTCTCTATTAGACTGCGCCTGGACGGTGAAGACGGCACGAACCCTTTTCTGGCGCAAAAAGTGTCTATAGGAGTTCAGAGCAGTAAGCATTTTCTCTTCATTAACCCTGCTATTCTCGCATTAGTGTGGTGACAGAAGTTGCGATCCTTACGGGCCTCAGTAGTTATCCCCTGGTATGACCAAATGAGGCTGGGAGCAAATCCGACTAAAGGTGCCTACCGATCGAACATTGGTATTCCAACTCTCAACTGTCTTGAAGTGGATCACGTATCAGGCGGCTGGCGGAGGAATATCTTTCTTGACATGAACCTTCCGTTCATCCCGACCTCAATCCAGCGCACGGGCGGGTCGCGGAATGATGCGACATTTACATCGTTCACGATTTATTGTAGTTATTCTTCAAATCTGCAGAATCTGCCCAGGTGAGAAAACTACATTATTAAGATTACCTTCTGCTATTCTTCTAGTGTTGTGACCGGTAGGTTGTAGCCAAGCCAAACCAGGGGACATTGTCCCTAAGGGCTTTCTTCTGGCGTCCAAGGCATTTCAATTTAGATCATAACTTGCTGCGGCAACAATTTAATTGGAAATGGAAGTCTTATTTAACACAAGACCTCGAGATGTATGGGCTACACAGCTAGTTATACATTATTATAACGAGCAAGTAATTTATGCCAGTAGTCTTTAGGCTAGCGTCCCCTCTGCAACCAGCCTGGGGAAACGTGGGGTTTGTCCTCAGGGGTTCACTGATTGCCGTAGTGGTGTGCGCTACAACCGTTTTTGGATGTGCCGAGGTTGGTTGTGGTGCTCCGCAGATTATGAATGTTTAACTTCGATTGGGGTACTACATCACGTCTCTCGTGGTTTGGACGTTTTTTCAAGGTGCGATTTGTATATACTGGACAACACGTAGCAACAGTGATTTCATTCAGGATCGGCCAAAGGAGCAAGGTTAATCTTATTACCCGTGTGAAACAGTCATTTCTCGACTGGTAGGTTCACATGTCAGCCAGAGCATACTATGGCGTGACAGCACCGATTCATCTGTTAGAATGCTAATTTATCAATCTCAGAGCGCTGTCACCAAGACAAGAAGCCCTGTTTCCAGGAACGTATTGTTTTCAACCATGGCATCGTCCAATCTGCCTATCATTCTCTACCACTATGTGTTCTCACCTTACGCGCGCCGCATAGTCTGGTATCTCACCCTACGTAACATCCCCTACTCGCAATGCGTAAGTAACATGAAGCGGAGATACTATACCTCTGTCACATTCCGGTGCTAACATGTCTTGCCAGATGCAACCCCCGGTCCTCCCTCGGCCTGACCTCGCGGCCCTGGGGATATCGTACCGGCGCATCCCGCTGATGAGCATCGGGCGCGATGTCTACGCGGACACGCGGCTGATCCTGCAGAAGCTCGAGGAGCTCTACCCTCCCAGCTCGGAGCATCCGTCGATCTCGGCGTCGAGCGGCGACGGCGCTGCGCTGGAGCGTCTGCTCTCTCACTTCATCATCGACGGCGGCATCTTCATGCGGGCTGCCTCTCTCATGCCCCCCGATCTGCCCGTGTTCAAGGACCCCAGGTTCGTCAAGGACCGGGCCGAGCTCACAGGCGCGCCGCCTGGCGGCCCCTCGCCTTTCTCGCCGAAAGCCCTGCAGGCCAGGAGACCAGAGTCGCTGAGCGAGATCCGCGACGCGGTGGCGCTGCTCGAGAGCACGCTGCTGGCGGACGGGCGGGAGTGGATCCTGAAGACGTCCGGGCCGAGCCTGGGTGATATCGAGGCAGTCTGGCCGTTCCACTGGCTTACAACGATGCCTGGGGCGCTGCCGGCGGATGCGATTGGGCCGGCGAAGTTCCCAAAGGTTTTCGCCTGGATCAAGAGGTTCTCGAAAGCTGTAGAGGCTCGGCTGGGCGAAGTCGGCAAGCCGACCACGCTCAAGGGGGACGAGGCGGCGAAGGCAGTCGTTGGATCCGACTTTGCGGAGCACGACGAGCAGGTGGACGCCAGCGAACTCTACGCCACGGCCAATGGGTTCAGAAAGGGGGATACTGTCAGGGTCTGGCCGACGGACTCTGGGTCTTCGCACAAAGACGTTGGGAAACTGGTGGCCCTGACATCGAAGCAGATTGTGATAGAGACGCAAGGGACGGCGGGAAGCGTAAGGCTACATGCGCCTCGCCATGGATTCAGGCTGGGCAAGGCTGACCAAAGCAACCTATAAAGACGGTGTACTGTAGCAGCTATTCGGCGATTTGCCAATACGAGCTAACTTGATATGTCTATCTCGATATTTAGTACTGGTCAAGGAAGTATATTATATCCATAACCCCAAGCCAATTTTGCTTTGTTCGTACCGACATATTCGGGAGGAAACTGACTGGACCTCACGGACTAAGCACTAATCTCGTCAAGTTGCGATACAAGGTCTGTATATCCGTTCCTATGTCTCTAAGCGAAAGTTACCTGCCTATGTATTATGGGCATGGAATACCACCCAGGCCACCTGTGTCTACATAGCAAAGATGGTCTTCGAAGTCACATCAGAGTTTTCGCGAGCAGCACACGCTCATCTGCTCAGTATTCACCATGGACCCTGGGAAAAATAGAGAGCAGGCATCGCGGTTCGATTTAGACGTTCCTTGTGGGTGGGCCTCGACCGAAAGCCCGCAATTGTGATTGGTCGAAAGGCCCCCTGACGGGCTCAATAATGAGGGCCGCTACGGAGCACCTACCTATTCGGTCGGTCAGTTCGGGTATTTTGGCCGATATGACCTGATGACGACAACGTGTCCATCGTCCAGCCCTGTGTCGAATTGGGCGCGCCGCTCGAGCTGCTTCCCGAATGCGTCGCACCATTTTGTGGTTGATGAATTGATTGCAACCCTACGAACGACCTCTAGAGCCGCCAGGGAGACAATTGCCTCTGGTTGACCTCGTGCTCGTACATACATATTGTAAGTTAGTTGCGCGTGCCTGGGTCCATCTTCGCTAGGGTCGTGTGTCCCTGTCGCGCTAGACAAAAGCCACTAGACGTATTGATGCAAGGCGTGGAAGCAATTTCTGCGGGGATGGCATGCATCCCGTGCGTCATAGCCCCGAGCTGGCAAAACGTTGAATTTTTTTGTCGCAGCCGCTTCGTTCAGCCGCCGGCGGACCACACTCGAAAGGGCCAGTTGGACATCGTCTTGGGGCGTCTGTACCGTAGTCGGCTTCTTGTCAGGGGAACGACGTGCATGGGAATACGAGAATAGAAGCAGGAGAAAGAGGCTTTGCATTGATGATCTCGAATCCCTCGGGAGAGTTCTGCGATCTGGGAACCGATTCTGCGATTCTCAGGTAAACGGATGGGGACAGTTCCCACAGCTAGAGGCGCACTGGGTGGCTACTTGGGCCTGATGGAGGACAAAGAATGACGTAAGTCTGTCGATACCATCCCCCGGCACCTTGACATTGAAAAATTTCTGGCTCAGCGGAAGTATGATTTGATTGGTGAACCCTCGGCCAGACTCAATTCTAGACCGCGAGGATAGGAGATAAGGTCCGCGAGAATCATGATCAGTGAGAGACGCGTCGCACTGTTTGCGAAAGCGATTTCTTTGGTGCTGGCCTGAGCCTTCATAGATCATCGTGAGGATTGACTGTGTAGGTCTTCTACAGCGTCGTTATATGGTGTGCCTCCGAGGCGCTGACGAGCCACGCACTTCGCGATTTGTCAGACACGGACATTTTGAACGAAGACCAGCGGCGGCTGGTCATTCGATGAAGTTTTCGCCACCTGGGCATTGTGACCTTGCGACCAGTGGACGAATCGATGGTGATTGCCATATAGCGACTAGCGCTGGCAAAAGAAAGACAACCTTGTCGCTTGGAAGTAATAAGGAAATAAGCAGCCTTTCCAGGTCGGGCAAGCGACTCCACGAATTCTGGTGCGGCTAACATTTCATCTACCGTGAATTGTCCGCGTCTGGTGGGTGCATTTCTAAGCAACCCAAAGGCTAGAGAAAAAACGACGTTCTGTCCACACAGTAATCCGTTCGATAGTGGACACTGCTGTAGATTCGCAACGATTATTAAGCTCCCAGGTTAAAGCTGCACATGCATGGGACAGAGCCAAAAGGTAATACGGAATTCTGACAGAATAGAGCAGCACGATCAAGGCTTGAATTCCGACTTTGCACACCCCAAACCTCGGTCCGTTTCTACTTTGTCCTAGGCCTCGTCCTAGGTAGTGATTGTTGGCTGCGAACGGAGTTGACTCCTTTGACTTGTACGAGCAAGCGCGAGCGGACAGAGCTCCGGGACAGATACACAGAATAGACTAGACTGGATACCCAGGCGTGTCGAGCAGGCAAATAGTCGAGCGCTGTTTTGTTGTCGGGGTCTATCAAGCAAAGCGCCGCGTCGTCTACAACAGTTAGTAATGACCTTGGTCCGTTTCAAGAGACGGTCGGCCTTACTTGACGGCCAAACGGCAACACAAAGGGACGGGAGGCCAGACAATGGGAATGGGACCCTTTCAGTTCGTTCATTCGTTCACTCGTTCACTCGTTCACTCGTTTGAGCGAGGTGGTGGGGATGGAGGATGGATGGGATCATGATCCGGGCGAGCCAGCGAAGGGGCCAAGGCGCACTGTGCCGATACCTCGATCACGCCTTGGGCCCCCGTCAGACGCCAGGCCATTGGCCGCTTTGGAACGCTGCAGCCGTCTGGCCCGCGTGGGCTAGCGTGCCTGCTCCCTGACCACTCGTGGGCCCCCAGGCCCCAAGCAATTGTCGGGGGCTTTCACGTCTGCTGTGCCTGCCTCCTCGCCCAAATTCCACCCCTTATGTCACTTCTTCCCTCATGACCTCATCGTCCAGCCCTTCAACCCTTTGCAACCTTGGGACCACCACCGCACCGCACAGCACAGCACAACGCCTGCGTCGCCCGCCCGCCCGCCCATGAGTTGAGCGGCATCGAATCGAGGAAAACGTCGTCACCGGTTGACCAGATATCTCGTTGCTTTCCACCGCCGTCCCCTGCGCCCTGTCGTGCCGTGCCCAGCGCGCCGCCCGTACAGCCCAGAGCCCAGAGGTGGTTTGCCGCTGCCCGCCGCCCGCTGCCCGCTGCTAGCAGACTACCTCCAACACTCGTTACATCATTTCTCCTCCCCCCGACCCGACACTGCACTCAAAATACTGGTCAACACCCACAAGTCCCAACGTCGTCATCATGGCACCCACCGAGCCCAAGCCATCAGACAACCCGTCACCAGGTGAGTTCGCTGTTTTTGTTTCCGATCGTCCTGCCCGCCATCATCGTGGCTCCCTCTGCGCTCCAATCTCTTTGTTCGTGACCGTCGCCTTGTGCCCTGTCTGTCGGCCCTGCTGTGCTCGAGTGACCGAAGCTGCGTGCGCCTGGTTGCACGTCGTCACGTCGCCGTATGCAGAGGGGACATTGCCAACGTCGATCACCTTGTACTATTCCCATCGAGACATAATAACAAACGTGGCACGCCGTCGCTAACCAAGCTCGTCGTCTGCCACAGCTGCCAACGGTGACAAGAAGGCCGACAGTTCAATCAAGACCGAAGGCGCAAGTAATGCTGAGCCTGGCCAACCGCTGGCTCCCCCTCCTAAGCCCGGCGAGAACGGCGGCGACTACTTTTCCAGCAAACTCAGCCTCGAACCCAATCCCTTTGAGGAGTCATTCGGAAACGGAGGCACTGTCGAAACACCCGGCGGAACCAAGTTGCCCAGCGTGGCGGCCTTAACGTCACCGTCGTCCTTGCTACCTGGTAACGGGAACACCCCGTTCAACTGGGGTGGCGGGTCTCTTAGGACGGGACCACTCAGCCCAGCAATGCTTTCAGGACCGGCCAACGACTACTTTGGCGACACGTCTCACACCCTTCGCGGAGGCTTCACACCGAATGAGAGTTCCCTCCGGACGGGTTTGACTCCTGGCGGCAGTGGATCCATGTTCCCTGCCCCGAGTCCCAACTCACAGGCACTCTTCAACTCACTAGCAAGCGGCGGTGCCACTCCGGGTACTCTGGACTTCCAGCGCACCGCTCTTAACGCCGCGGCCAAGGCCAATCGTAGCCAGAGCCAGCAGCCTGTTACCTCCCAACCCCAGGAAGCCGCCAACGGCGTCGCCATCAAGGCCGAGGCAAAGCCGGTCTCGGGCGCCTTCGATCCCCACGATAACGACGCGGCGAACGGGCTGTTCATGCTGGCACAAGGAGCTCAGCAAAGTCAACAGAGGAACGGCGCTGCACCTGCCAATCAACAATACCCTGTTGGTGGCAACCAGCCTGTGCATGCGCACCCCGCCCCGGCCAACCCTGCCAATACTTCACCTCAAATGAACGGGAACGGCTCGTCTGCTGGTGCTCCGTCTGTCCGAGGAGTCAGTGAAGCCGCTAGCGGCGCATCAGAAGATATGGAACAGGCCCGTCCGGCCCGAGCAAAGGGCAAGCGAGGCTCTACCGGTGCTGCTTCTAATGGCCGACGGAAGGCCGACGAAGCCCCAGCCAAACAACCCCCGAGCAAGAAGGCTAAGACGGCAGTTGCTGCGCCACCCTCCTTCAACGGAGATGAGGACCACACCTCGGATGAGGACGACAAGGACGAGGACGAGGATGGCAAGCCGAAATCTAAGATGACAGACGAGGAGAAGCGCAAGAACTTTTTGGAACGCAATCGGTGAGTCCCAAGGTGTTGCCCATCGTGTGTGGAATATGTGCTAATCATTGATGATAGTGTTGCCGCCCTGAAATGTCGCCAACGCAAGAAGCAGTGGCTTGCCAATTTGCAAAATAAAGTTGAAATATTTAGCAGTGAGAACGATGCTTTGACAGCTCAGATCTCGCAACTTCGAGAGGAGGTCGTCAACTTGAAGACGTTACTACTCGCACACAAGGATTGCCCCGTCACTCAACAGCAAGGCCTACATGGTGCATTTATGCAACAAGCTATGGAAACATATAATCCTCAGATGAACCCGTACGGAATGGCTGCTCCGCCCATGGGAAACCAGCCAGTGATGGCAGGCCAAGCGCCCCGACGTTATTCGTAGGAGAACCACGTCGACGCTAGCCTGGCCGAGCCAGAGATGTTACCTGAACCGTGAGTGGACGAGGCATCTCCACTGGCCACTACACGACATCGTTCAGCTTCATCTGCAGACGCCCTGTTAAGTGCGTTGTGCTTGCTACTTTTTGAGTCATGGCTTGACCGTTCAATTATCTTTTATCAACTTAAATCTCTCATGGCGGGGGAGGATGTCTCCCTGCGCCTGTAACAACATTCTTGACCTGACGAGGACGACTGGATGGCGTTTGGACTCTTGATGGTTGTGAGGCAGTAACGCAGGGTTACCGAGATGCTCGGGCCGCTCGTGTTTGTTCATGAGGGGGCCATTGGGCCTCACCCTGTGCGTCTCGGCTGGGCATATACATCAAAAATGGTGTTTGGGGATGTGATTACATGGTTGCTTTGCGGCGTTGGTGGGAGTCTGGGGAAACAGGAACGTTTTGATTGTCAAATACGTTAACTGTTCGCGACATGTCTTTGCTCTTTATATCCGAATATAGTGCTTTAGTGTGCAGCGCAGAGCCTCCATATACGATCGGCTCACGCTTACGAGACTAGTGGAACATACACCGACTTGAAACTGACTTGTGTTCTTCAATTGTATGCACCCAGGACAGTGCCTCAGCTTGACGATAGTTGGTCTCCCCTATTGGACCAGCAACATTAGACGAGGGCGGAAACAAGGCCCAGCCGTTCGGGCTGGATGTAAAGCATGCCAAGCAAACCCGTCCAACTTTTAGTGTCCTCCACAGTCCAGCAGGTGACGTCAATCCACTCGTTTGTCCAACTGGCAAAGCACACGAATAACAAGTTCCCACGAGGTTGACGATTGAAAGCGCACGACTCCGTCATTCGTGAGTTCCCCTGGGTGATCCACCCCCCAAGTTAAGCTGGCCCACTGTTGCGGTAACCTAACGACTGATTCATCAACAACGTCGGCTTGGGGCGCCTCGCCTTCTCACCGCTGTATACCATCTTCCTTACCTATCCTTCCTTTCCAAATAATAAACAAGTGAGAATTATCAAAATGGCAGATCTCGTTGGAAAGTTGACCGCCTCTGGAGGCACCGAATCCGCAGGTAAGGCAGCATAGGTCTCTCACAAAGCCCTTGCGCAGCTCCACCCATGTTTGCCCGGCCGCTGATACTCGAGCAGGATTCCTGAACGATATCATCGAGCAGCTATGGCCCAATATCAACGTTGCAGGCTGCAAGATGGTCAAGGACATCGTCGAGCCCATGTTTGCTTCCATGCTCCCGGGCCCTCTGGCTACACTCAAGTTCGTCAAGCTCGACCTTGGCAATGTTCCCATGCGGGTTTCTAAGGTGGATGTCCACAAGGCCGATAACGACGGGATCAAGCTTGACATGGACGTGACCTGGGAGGGGAAGAGCGACATTGAACTGGATGGCAAGATGGTTCCCAAACTGGTACGCCCTTGCCGAGAAGAAAATATATTCGACTTGGGCATTGCTAACTGGCCGGTAGGGCATCGAGCATGTCCATTTGAAGGGCAGACTGTCCATTCTGCTTGCTCCTTTGACAAATGTCATTCCCTTGGTACGCTGTCCTACTTGGTCCATCCCCGCTTGATTTGATACTGACGGGAGGGAATAAGATTGGGGCTGCGCAAGTTGCTTTCATCAACCCGCCGGAGCTCAAGCTCGACTTCACCAACGCAGCCAACGTCGCAGACTGGGCTCTTGTGGACAAGGCCGTCCGCAAGGTCATCCTCAACATCATCGCCTCCATGGCTGTTCTCCCCAACCGCTATCTCGTCAAGCTGGACGGCAACAACGACTACTTCAAAACGTACTTGCCCCCCCTGGGCGCACTGCGCTTAACTGTTGAGAGAGCTGTTGGCATCAGTGGCCCGAAGAAGAGCGGTGCCAAGAGATTGTTGGCCAAGATCGTCAAGGATGTTCCCGACTGTTACTGCAAAGTCAACGTCGGCGCTGAGGAGGAATGGCGCACCTCGGTCAAGAAGAACGACAAAGATCCAGAATGGAACGAGACCCACGACTTTCTGGTGGCGGACTACGAGCAGCGGATTTTCCTCGATGTCCAGGACGACGATCTCGGCGGCGACGACGATATTGGCATCGCCACAACCTCAGTCAAGGACATCTTATTGAACAACGGCTCGCAGGAGTTAGCACTCACCCACAAGGGCGAGCCCACGGACGCCAAGATTGTCGTCCACGCCAAGTTCTACAACTTTGTCGAGGACGCTGGTGTGATTACATCTACCCAGAGTGAGAGCGAGGGCCAGATTGTCGGCCTTGCCACGGTGCTCATCGCCAGCGCCCTCGGGCTGCAGGGCCAGCGCGACGAGCTCAACCCCAGCATCAAGTTCACGTGGGGCGCCAAGGAGTACCGCACCGCGGCCAAGTCCTACAGCCCCGGAACGGACATCTACAACCCTTCCTTCGACCAGGCCTTTAGGATCCCGGTGACGGCGGACCTGCTCGCCAGCCCCGGAAACTTCAAGATCTCGCTGATGAACAAGACCGACGAGACCGGGTCGGTCGAGATCCCTTTCCAGGACGTCCTCCAAGCTCCTGGTCTGGTCAAGGAGGAGAGCTTCGACGTCGGCTCGGGCGCGACGGTCCGGGCGAGGATCTCGCTCCGGGGCTTGCAGGCGAGCACCTAAGTATTGCTTCTACGCGAGTCTTCCACTGTCGGAGCTGGTTGCAAACGATGTATACGATTTAATGAAATGTTTCTCTCCGTGCCCTTGATTCTTCGTTTGCAGTGTTGAGTTTCCATACGTGGTTGAGTTCTTTCTCGATGCGGCGTAGCTCGAGTCTTTGATGCGCCTGGCCCTTCACTATTGCCAGCCAGTCTTCTCTTCCAGTGTCACAGCAGATGGTAGAGGCTGGCAGGATGCATCAACTTGATCCGCTCTCCTGGAGCATCGTCGTAAATTTCAACCAGCATGAGAATAATGTAAACGGAAATGATTCAATAAAAGGCTGGAGTTGAGCCATGTTGCTGTGAAGGTAGTATAGTACCTGTTAAAACGTGAAAATCAAGTAAGCATTACATTGGATGCATTCTTTCAAGCCGGCTATATAACTAGTAGTCTGGCGTTAACGGATAATTAAAGGCTAGGTTATGCCGATCTTCTGGCTATATACCAGGTGCAGGTGTGCTTTGCAATGCAGAGCAAGAAAGAGAGTTTGGTTCCATTGGAGAGTGGCAGCACTGGGCACTCTGGGTGCTGGGGTTGGACGTTGGAGGGACTGGACGGTGGATCCGTGCGCGTCGGCCAAAAGAGGCTTAGCGCGACGGCTGCCCACCTCAATCAATGTTTATCGTGGGAAGGCGCATCGACCATCGCGCCTCAATCACGAGCCTCACATCAGCCAGACAGCTACGCCAGACGAAGGGATACGGTGCATCGATATTCGCTCGCGACAGCACGATCAACTAGAAGGGACGGGAATTCGGGACGGGCCGACGATACCCAATTGACGCGACTGCCGGTCCGCCTACGCGCTTTGTTGTTGGAGCAGAAGAGGAAGCCGGGGGACGGACGACATCACGATTGACCGAGCCGCGCAACAAGGCGCATCAACCATTCGCAACTTTCAAGCCGATGCCTGCAACGACTAGCCATCCATGACGACTCTTGTGCAGATACGCCAGCCGCTATCAGTCCTGAGCATGAGCAATCAGCCCAAGCGGCGCCGAAGCGAGCGCCTTGCCGGTACGTCTTGCCCAGTAGTCCCTCCGCCATGTTCTGCGAAACAGTTGCGCTGCAGCAGGGAGGACACTGCAAACTCTGGCCTGCCAGTGGAAATACTGATCATGCCCTTCTCCACAGCCTACGATGATTCAGACGGCGACTTCCATTTTACGCGGGGCACCAAGCGGGTAAAGACGACGCAGCCCGAGCCCATACCAGAGGACGAAGTCGCGTCTATTCCAGCGCCAGCCCCGAGGAAAGCTGGCAGGCCGCCGAAATCAAGCAAACCGCGCGAGGCGCCAGCCGAAGAGCCGCAGCCTGCCTCGCGAAGGAGGACGTCGACGCGGAAATCAAGCCAGGTAGCTGTGCATCAAGATGAACCAGCTCCGGCGCCACCGCCGCCCCAGAGAACGACGCGCCGGCGGCGGCGTTCTTCTTCGGAAAACCCGGAAGAAGCCAAGGAGAACGTAAAGGAGAAGGCGAAGGAGGTAGAGAGGCCACGCGCAAAACCGAAAGCTACAAATGGCGCATCCAAAAGCCGACATATCGACAAGGACATATCCCCCGATCTTTCGCCGCGGCCAGCGATATCTACTCCCTCAGCCTTGGAAGTGGGAAAAACGCGTGGCAAGGCAGCAAAAGCGGCGGATTCTAAGAAGATCGCATTGCCGTTCAGTGATACGCCCATCATAAATCGCAACAAGGAGATGCGCCGGAAGACGGGTGGGCGTCGAAGTAGTCTAGGCATGCGCGGACGGAGGGCAAGCTCCTTGATCGATAATGGACACAGTGCGATACCTCACCGCGAAGTTGACCCAGGCCAGTTTTACAAGCATATCGAGGCCGAGGGTCTTAGCGAACCTCGTCGCATGAAACAACTCCTGACATGGTGTGGCGAACGCGCATTGAGTGAAAAGCCGCCATTGGGGAGCTTGAATTCAAATGCTATACTTGGAGGTAAGACGATCCCCGCACCTGGCGAACGTGTAACTGAGCTCCAGATGGACCATTGGGCTTTTTGAGGCACAGGCACTGACATATCTTCCAATAGCTCGAGCGATTCAAGATCAGCTCTTGAAAGATTTCAGCTCGAAATCAGAGTTCTCAGATTGGTTTGCCAGAGAAGATGTCCCCAGGCCACCAGCAATCGAGAAACCAAATCCTAGAAATATCGAGCATGAGGAGAAGATCGCTGAGTTGGAAGAGAGGATAAAACGGTAAGCTTCAACCTACCCATATCAGTGAGGTGGCGCGGAGATTCTGACGCATGTGCAGCTTGAAAATGGAAAAGAAAACATGGCTATCCCTCAAACAAGCGCCTCCAAGCCTTCCGCCACTATTTGCCGATTCGGACTCGGCATCAACAGAACAGCAATTACCGGATTCCTCCCTCCTGGAGTCAGAGGAGGCTGGAATGCTTGCTACCTTGACGAGCTCATCCGTTAGCTTCGCCACCCTCAGGACGCAGGCACAAGCACGAATACAGGACCTACAAAGGTCATTAGAGTTCAAGGTGGATCATTTGGCGGATAGCGTCCACAAAGTTGAGCAGCGTCTCACCACCGCTGGTCGCGAGGCCGATCGTGTATTAGCTCTGAGCGCAGCGCGGCTGAAAGAGCGTGAAGAGAGGGAGAAGAAGAGCGCAGGCACCAAAGATATGCCTGTTATGGAGGTGCTCAGGAGTCTGGGGAGGATATTACCCGAAGGAGAAGACGCGGGATGATTATATGCAGACACGGACAGGCGCATGTCTATACCGCCATGGGAGTACGGATGATAAAGGCTGGACAGCTGTATGCATTGCTTGGAAGCCTTTTTTTGCTTGCTTTGGACCTGGAAGATACCACACGTTTTGCCCATTTAGGAACTTTCGGAGGGACGAATTAAGGGAGCCAAGAGGCAAAGGGAGAGGGAGAGACATCAGGTGTGGCTACCGCTTGGCACGCACTGCACAAGGCAGAGCAGCACGGACCGAAACCTGTGAACGAGATATGACCCAAATGAGGATGTGCTGTAGTCGTAGAATGTTAATCGAACGATTCCTGCTCGCCGGACATCTTACTGCTCATTAGCACTATCGAGTTGCCAAGATTTATAGGCATGTGAATGATACTGAGGTTGAGGAAGGTCACCTGGAAACGATGAAAACCTAGGTACCAACTATCGAGACCATTGACTGATTCTAAGCCTGTTTCAACAGATACAGCCCCGTGGGGGAAAGCATACGCGGTGGTGCCGTATGCAAGGGTTGGGAGCTCCTTCTCCAAGCTCACTACGATCTACCTTCCCTCGCGACTCAACCCAGAAGCGAGTAGCTGTGACTGACTGCAGTATGTAAACTCTTGGATCCAGTTCACCCAGATGTCCCTAATAGTGATACATGGCTTGGAACCATTGGCACAATAGCAGTATGGTAGTTCCCAGCCTAGACCCGGTCGACGAGGCCAGCCTACGTAATTTCGCCTCTGACGATGCCCTCCTCGAACAGCTCAAGGATACAGTGGAACGGCTGTCCAAGAGGCACAACTGCGCGAGAGGAGAGGTCCTGATAGCCGCGCAGGGAGGACACCGCGTCAGCCGCGGTCTTCTGCACGTCGCGATGCAAAACGGGATGCGAGGTAGTGTCTCCGTCTATAGTATTTCCTGAGCCGAAACACTCGCTGAGCTGACGCCTCGGGCTTGGCCCCGATCAGAAACTGCCAGATACTTGACTCACAGAAGTCACTTCCCATACAACGACATGATGGACGCCTTCCTCGACCTGCGGAACGTAGACGGCTGTACGGCGCTGATGCGGGCCGCGAGGAGCCCAGACCCTACCATGCTCGACATCTTGCTCCAGGCGCCGATCGACCTGGATGTCCAGGACCGGAGGCTTGGGTGGACGGCCCTCATGTACGCCGTTGAGGAGCTCCGAGAGTTCAACGTTGCCCTGCTGCTGCTTGCCGGCGCCGCGGTTCATATCAGAGACCACCAGGGTTTCGGTGCTGCCAGGCACATAAGACAGGATGGGTCGGGGGCCGGCAGACGGATCAAGGAACTCATGGGGTGGGCTGTCTATGGGAACCACCGACGCGTGTCTCGAAGATTGAGGCAGCTAAGGCGAATATGAGGTCAAGGTATGGTAATGGAGGCAAGGCGAATACGAGGCCTGCTGTTTTCTGTCTAAAGAGGGAGAGCGGGCAGTGCGACATCATGTTGACTGAGGTATATGCCTTTTTTCTGTTTTGTGTATCAAACTGCACGTCTAGTCTGTTGTATCGTTTGTTTGGTATTGTCTAGGGAAGCGATCAAAAGAGCACTTCGACTTCCACCCAATTTCTTGATATATGAGTGAGGAATGATACCGTCAAGTTACAATATAATGATGAGCGAACTAGGAATAGATTTTGCTGTTTGATAGCACAAAAGAGTTTCAAGCCTCAGTTCAGTCAACGTCGAAGTACCTCGTAACTTGTGTTTGCTGTGAGATAGCGCTGCTAGCATGAATATAATTTCGCACCCCGGAAAGAAAGGGTATTATCAAGTAGTACCCCAGGTTGCAGCGTATAACCCTGTAAGGGGAGACACAGCGCAAGTCCACCTTGCAACAGCCGCCAATTATTCTATGAATCTACAGCGCCATCAGATGAGGGAGTTGTGCCTCGTTGTGCCCAGTTCCTAAATCATTTACAGGCGATGATAAAAGACGGGAGGCAACAGCTAACCTAGTGATACAGCTAATGAGCTTTCAGCTGTGGCAGCCCTACTGGGCACCAGATCTAGAATTACAGTTCAATGCCCGGAGCGGGGTTCGTTGTCTAAAGTAGCCCATGTGGGGCAGTCGTTGAAGAGAAAGTCTGAGAGGCACATGATGCAGCAATCCATAGCCAAGCAAGTCGAAGAGAGCAGTGCACATCTGCGACGGGCATAACAAGAGCTATGCTCTGGGATGCATGATGCATGCTGTGCAGAACGGAACATTCATGTCGAACCCGGGTTTTGTCAGAAGCAGAGTGATTGGCTGGCAATAAGGGACCCCTTGTCCAGCGACACGTGAAGTCCGCCTGCAGCACAGCACGGCGCAATTTCCCTTATGACGAAGCCAATCAAATAACAATATTTGGGGTCCGAGTTCGAGAGTCGCGATCGCGTCGGCGGTGCCTACCAATTTGCCGGGAGTCACCCGTACCCGTCGCCGTCGCTTTATTGACAAGTGACCACCAAAAAAACAACGAGACCCCGTCACCAGGGACAACTCTCAGTGACGAGACCTGCATTCCACACCCTTTCGCACGACTTGTATACCTGGGGGGACTCTGGTCATCCCAACTGGCCCCAGCTGAGCGCATTTCGAGAGTCGTCGGCGGCCAGTCCGCCGGGCCCCAGAAACAGAGTTTGAAAGCTACCTACCCATCCGCCCTCAACCCCGACCGCGACCGGCCACCGACAACCGACGCTGTCTTGCCCTGGTGAATCGCAACCTGAGGCAAGAGATCAGGACGGTTCCCGCGTAGAAAGGGGGCATGAACAACTGGAGCGAAGCGGCGTTTCGACGTGCAGGGACGTGCTAGAAGCTGATCTGGGCCGGACCCCGTGTTGGAAGCCTCTACGACGACCGAGACGAGATACTGGTCGACGACCTTCGCATCCGACGCATCGCCTCAAGTCGCATGCCCATTTGTTATCCAGAACCACCAACATATTAGCGTAGGAGGCGAGGAGCACCTGCTCTCGAGCTGTCGCAATCATGGCTCCCGGCGGCGGCGGTAATATCAAGGTGGTGGTGAGATGTCGGCCGTTCAACAGCAGAGAGATCGACCGAGGGTCAAAATGTATCGTGGAGATGAAAGGAAACCAGACCGTCTTGACGCCACCACCGGACGCTGCGAGCGCAGGTGGTAAAGGTGGCAAGGACACAGCTCAGAAGGCTTTCGCATTCGATAGGTCATACTGGTCTTTCAACAAGGAGGATCCGAACTATGCCGGCCAGGAGAACCTGCACGACGACCTCGGAAAGCCCCTTTTGGACAATGCATTCGGAGGCTACAACAACTGTATCTTTGCCTACGGTCAGACTGGTTCGGGAAAGTCGTACTCCATGATGGGATACGGCAAGGAGCACGGAATCATCCCCAAAATTTGCCAGGACATGTTCCAACGCATCACGCAGCTGCAAGAAGACAAGACCCTGAAATGCACCGTCGAGGTCTCGTATCTCGAAATCTACAACGAACGAGTGCGAGATCTTCTGAACCCTTCCACCAAAGGAAACCTGAAGGTTCGAGAACATCCTTCAACTGGTCCATACGTCGAGGACTTGGCAAAGTTGGTCGTTACTAGTTTCCAGGACATTGAACACCTGATGGACGAGGGTAACAAGGCCAGAACGGTGGCCGCCACAAACATGAACGAAACGTCCAGTCGAAGTCACGCCGTTTTCACCCTGATGCTCACCCAGAAGAAGTTTGACACCGAGACCAAGATGGAGATGGAAAAGCAGGCCAAGATCAGTCTGGTAGATCTGGCTGGTTCGGAGCGAGCAACGTCTACTGGTGCCACCGGTGCTCGTCTCAAGGAAGGAGCCGAAATCAACAGGTCACTATCTACTCTAGGTCGTGTCATCGCCGCATTGGCAGATTTGTCCACTGGCAAGAAGAAGAAAGGGGCTGGCGGCCAAGTTCCGTACCGAGATAGTGTTCTAACGTGGTTGCTCAAAGACTCACTCGGAGGAAACAGTATGACTGCAATGATAGCAGCAATCAGCCCTGCCGATATCAACTACGACGAGACCCTCAGTACCCTTCGCTATGCTGACTCGGCTAAGCGAATCAAGAACCACGCTGTCGTCAACGAAGATGCCAATGCTCGCATGATCAGAGAGCTCAAGGAGGAGCTGGCTTTGCTGAGGAGCAAGTTGGGTGGCGGCGGCGGAGGTGCCGGCGGAAGCGGGATTGTCGTGCCCCCTGAAGAGGTGTACGCCGAAGGAACACCCCTTGAGCAGCAGATTGTCAGCATCACATCGGCAGACGGCACGGTGAAGAAAGTGTCCAAAGCTGAGATTGCTGAACAACTAAGCCAGAGCGAGAAGCTACTGACAGATCTCAACCAGACCTGGGAAGAGAAGTTGCTCAAGACGGAAGAGATCCACAAGGAACGTGAGGCTGCACTCGAAGAGCTCGGCATCAGTATCGAGAAAGGAAACGTTGGTCTTCACATGCCCAAGAAGATGCCACATTTGGTGAACCTGTCAGACGATCCGCTGCTAGCGGAATGTCTTGTGTATAACATCAAGCCAGGCACCACGACAGTCGGTAACGTCGAGTCAAATGCAGAGAACCAAGCAAACATTAGACTCAACGGAACTCGTATCTTGCATGAGCACTGCTCGTTCGAGTACGCCGCCGATGGTACTGTTACAGTTGTCCCCAATGAAGGGGCTGCAGTCATGGTCAACGGACAACGGATTAGCGAACCCAGTCGACTTCACTCTGGATATCGTATCATCCTAGGCGATTTCCATATTTTCAGATTCAACCATCCGATGGAGGCCAAAGCAGAACGTGATGAAAACCGCCAAACTCTTCTACGTCAATCTGTGACAGCGAGCCAGCTGGGTCTGGACCGCAACTCCCCCACTCCCACCACCCCATCAAGACCAGGGCACGAGCGGACATTCAGCAAAGCTGGATCGGAGTTTGGCGACAGTCGACCCGAATCACCGGCTCCAGCCCGTGATAAGGATTCAGACTGGTCTTTAGCTAGACGTGAGGCCGCTGGGGCGATCTTGGGTCAAACCGAGCAAACTCTTGCCAAGCTGACGGATGACGAACTGAATGCGCTGTTTGAGGATGTACAGCGCGTGAGGGCTGAGCGTGTCTATGGTAAAGAAGGCGATGAGGATATGGATTCAGTGACATCATACCCCATTCGAGAAAAGTACATGTCAACGGGTACAATCGACAACTTCTCCCTAGACACAGCTCTTACGATGCCGTCCACTCCCAAGGCCGGCGAGGTAGATGATCGCCTCAGGGAAATCCGGGAAACCATGCAGACACAACTCGAAAAGCAGAAAGAGGAGTACCAAGATCAGCTCAAGAGTGCCGAGGCGGCTAATGTTGAGGTTGAGGAGATCAAGAAAGAGAAGATCAAGATGGAAGAAACCTTGGTCCAGCTCAAAGCTGAAATGCAAAAGCAACTAGAAGTCCAAAAGCAGGAATTCCAGGCGAAGATAGAAAAGCTCGACCCCCTCAAGAGACCGAAACCTAAGGCGCGGCTGTCTGAGGAAGATATCAAGAGGGCGAAGAAAGCAATTAAGCAGTGGAGGAGCCGACATTATGTCCAGATGGCCGAAAACGTTTTACAGCACGCCGCCACGCTGAAGGAAGCCCAAATCATGAGTGAGGAGCTAGGTGAAAACGTTGTCTTCCAATTCACCGTGGTGGACGCAGGACATGCAGTATGCTCAACCTACGACATGGTGCTGAATGACGTGTCCAATGAAGGCGACGACATCGCCCTCGAGGAAGCTCAGAAGCCTTGTGTTGGTGTTCGAGTTATCGATTACAAGCACACCGTGGTCCATCTTTGGAGTCTGGACAAACTGCACGACAGAGTTCGACAGATGCGACAGATGCACCAGTACCTCGACCAACCGGAATACAGCCAACATTTCAAGCTCGACAACCCGTTTGTTGAACCTTGTATGCCGGAGTACTCCCTCGTCGGTGAGGTGGACGTCCCTCTTCGGGCCGTGTTCGATAGTCGGGTACAAGACTTTACTCTCGATGTATTATCGCCGCATACCTCGCATGCCATTGGTATAATCAAGCTTTCACTGGAACCGTCGAGTGCTCGCGCGCCTTCCAGTACCCTGAAGTACAATGTGGTCATGCATGACATGGTCGGCTTTGCTGAGCGAGAAGGAACTGACGTCCACGCTCAGCTCTTTATTCCCGGGGTTTCGGAAGATGGCATTACAACGACCCAAATGATCAAGGACTTCGACGAGGGCCCCATCCGGTTTGACAGTGTTCATAGTATGAGCGTTCCGCTGTTCGGCTCACAAGACGTGAATCTTCGAGTAGCTCTGTTCGCCAAAGTCTCAACGATGCATCTCGACAAGCTCCTCAGCTGGGACGAGATGCGTGACTCCGCACCGGGTTCCGAGAACAAGTCGAAGAAGGATGCTAGGATCAACGAGTCACACTTCTTCACCGAAGAGAAACATGATCTTCTCGCCCGAGTTCAGATTCTTGAGCTTTCAGAGAATGGAGAGTACGTCCCAGTCGAGGTCACACAGATAAACGAACTTGACAGTGGCACGTTCCAACTCCATCAAGGACTACAGCGACGAATAGCTATCAACTTGACACATAGCTCGGGCGATGCTTTACCCTGGGACGATATCAGCTCAGTACGTGTGGGGCGCATTCAGCTGGTTGATAATGCCGGCAAAACCCCTGATATGGGGCAGCCGACGCCAGACATTCCCTTGAGGCTTAGCTTGAAGCCAACTTTCCGTCAAAACGCCAATGGTACTCGCAGTGTCACTATCAGTGGACAGTGGGACTCCAGTTTGCACAACTCTCTTCTGCTAGATCGGGTAACTGCCGACAAGTACAAGGTGCAACTGAGGCTGTCTTGGGACATTAGCTCAGACAAGCTTGCAGAACCTATGAAGTTCTCCACTACAATGTTTTGCCAGATCTTGGGAAGATCGTTTATACGACAAGCATCAATGCTCTCAGCGCTTTGGCAAAACGTTCGAATAGTTCACTCATCCAGCATCATGTATACCCTCAACATGCGCCCAGCACCTATCAAGAGAGTTGGCGATCTGTGGAGGATCAATAGCATGCATGACTATGTCAAGGGCGAAGAGAATCTCAATAACTGGGCGCCTCGGGGCGTATCTCTCATTGGCGATTTCATTGCTGCTCAGAAGAAAAGGCGACGTATCGCAGAGATCGGCGGTGCTCAACTCTTCCTCAAAAAGATTGGGTTACCTGAATCGAAGAACAAGCCTGCGGAAGAGGATCACCATTCTGATTCGGACTTCTCTCCGGTACCTAAAGGCCACGATGATGATGACGACTCTATTCACGCCCTTTTGAATGATACACCGCAGACCTCCCGCCCCTCGACGCCTAAGCCAGAAGACGGTGAGACAAACGGCAATGCTGACAGCCAAGAAGAGAATCAAGAAGAGTCAAAGTCTGAGCCTACTGAGCCTGCTGAGACTGATGCCAAACCTGAAATCACGGAAGCACCTCCGGAACCCGAGTACAACGAGCACGAATCACGCATCCTTGATAAATGCCTGAAGTTATGGACAAGGCATCCAGACCCTGTCATCAAAATTCTAAGGCCAGAGAATACCGCGCCGCCGGCTGATGGTGTTGCACCTGAGACTAGCACTCCTCCAGAGCTCATAACGACAATTGTTCGTGTACCCAAGAATCCTAAGGTTTTGAAGGGTGGATACCTACTCGTACCCAACAATGACTCAAGTAAATGGGTCAAAAGGTTCGTCGAGTTGCGGAGGCCATACCTTCACATCCATAACGCAACGGATGGTGATGAAGTTGCCATCGTCAGCTTGCGCAACTCAAGGGTGGACAGCCAGCCAGAAATCCTTGCCCTTTTCAATGGTCACGACCCACATGACGACGATGAGGGTTCAGTGAGCGGAGACTTCCGACCCGGCCATCGGCGAACGTCCTCGGGACGTATAGTCTCTTCACTGTGGAACGGCACAGGCGGCAGTTCTGCTGGGCCTGGTCTTGGCGGCTTGAGCGAGCGCTTGCAAGCAGGCGTTTTTGCCGTCTATGGAACAGACAATACGTGGTTGTTTGCAGCTCGCAATGAACGCGAGAAGCTTGACTGGATCTTCCGGATTGATCAGAGCTATTTCTCGGGCAGTGGCAGTGCGAGCGGTAGTGGCGCCGTCAGCCCTCAGCGCGCAGATTACGCATATGGTGATGACTATTGATTTTGGCATTCGCGGTACTAATAAGAAGTCATGGATCTATACGATTCCCCTTAGTTTGGTATGAGGTCACGACACACTTTCTTGTCATAATGCGGGCATATATCCCTGGGCATAGGACCAACGTCCCACTCCGTACTGGAGTTTTCTTTTCTTTTGTCTAACAACGGCCTGTATCATAACGGCCACTCTTCCTGCGCGGAAATTCAGGCTTCACTTAGAATATACCCCCGTCGAGACTGGAGGAGGCTAAAGAGGATGCAATCAAATATAGACGAAAGGAAATCACTGAGCTTTAGATTACGTATTAATGCTATTGGAAGAAAAGGAGGCGTGAGATGCACCCAAGACACGGTCCACTGGCAACGGCATTGGCACGCGACACCCTCTGCCGTTGATGCGTCTCTGATCATGAGTAAATTATGTATGCATGCGACACACTAGACTGAAAAGAATGCTTCCGCTCGCTTTAGAAACCAGGCAAGGCCGTTTTCTAAATTGGTACCTGTAGAAAAACTTTGAGAGGGTCGGCGTTGCTGTACAGGTCTTATTCGGTCCGTGGAACTTTCCGGCGTAGCCGCGATTTACAGTTCGCCGTTGCTGCCGTCGCCAAAGCTCACTAACGCAAGTTCGGCAGCATTGTGCGAAAAGAGTTCAGCCTCACGCAGGATCAGCTACTCACGATGTCCCGATCTGTAAGCCGGCCGGTGTGTAGGACTTGCTCGGTACTGCGCCACGGCCTGGCTTGATGGACCATATACTCGGCCTGCCATCTATTACTAGCATATTTTCACCTCAAGCCACTGATCTAGTCGGTGCGACTGATGTCCATCCCCGAGGGGGTTCTATTGGTAAGGGAAACATAGAGAGTGCAGGTCTATTTTAGGAATCAGCAACTCGCAACTCCACGGAAGCCACCGAGCTAGATCAGTAGTGTAAGTAAGCTCAGCCTTACCAACAGGCTGTATTGTAGTATACAGCTGGGTGCATGTTCGGAGCTGGATATGCACTGGTTTTGATGCAACGTCACACATGTCGGTACACGTCTAGCGGGAAAATAAGCTCCCGGGGTAAGCTGAGACATACTGCGCTCTTCTGGTTGGCTCCCCAGAAAGAGGCATACAGACAAAGGACCAGCCTGGTCAGTCGAGCATGCGCAAAGGCTTCGTACGATGAGCGGGCGTCCGGCATCCCATGAAAACAGCTCATATTGAGGCTTACACCGCCTCCACGAGTCAACGCCATGTACAATGCTTCGAGGCCGCCTAGGCCGCCCTCGAGTCGCACGAGATGTTCATGAGAGAAGAAATAGGAGTATATAAAGGGTATGATATCTTGGGTCACTGGGGATTTCGTTTCGTATCATCAGCAGCATCTTCATCTACATATTCAAAGACAACGCCTCATCTTCTCTCTTCCATCTTCCTTTTAAGCTCCAAGACATTCGCTCCTCTGTCTTATACGCCATATACTCACTCGACTTACAAGAGATACCTACCCACTAAATTCCAAAATGTACTCCAGCACCTTGAGCCTGACCGCCTTTCTGGCCGCCGCTGGCCTCAGCGCGGCGACGCCTATCGTGAACAGCCGAGCGGTGTGCCTAGAACAGGCACCGGCCTCGATCGGGTTTCCGATCAACTTCAGCATCACACCAACCAACTCGCCTCTCGTGTCGTTCAACGTGCCGCCAAACAGCGTTGGCCCTTGCAGCCTGGTGGCCAAGTTCCCGGCCGGGTACCCGATCACATCGTCGGGCAGCAACCTCGTCAATGTCATCGCCGTCGGCGGGCCCGCCCCGGGCGCCCTCGTCGGCTCCGTGCGCTTCGCCAGCTCGCCCGACCAGCGCACCTTCACCACCATCAACAGCTTCGCCTGCCGCCCCTACATGGAGTTCCGCCTCGAGATCTCCCGGGACCAAGCCAACCCCGGCTCCGTCGCCTTCCAGGAGGTCCAGGGCGCGGGTCTATTCCTTGACATTGGTGACAACTGCTAGATTCAAGGTGAAGATGGGTGGAGGATGGTCTAATGTTGGAGGACTGGTCGACTTGCTAGACAGTGCTTATTCTTGATTTATATTAATTCTTCTTGGTTTTCCACTCTTGTGCATAGCGAGGTCAAATAGGCTGGAACATGGCAATGTTGGTCTAGCAGTGAAATGGGTGTTCGTTGATATGCAATCACTCTCTCGAGGTATATCAATACAAAGCACTATCTATATAAATGATCGCTATCAATAATCTTTGTGAGGACTGTTGTTAACACATACGAAGTTAACTTGGCTTATCTTTATTCAATATGGCAGATGGTACCGTTCTGCAGAATTGTATGACAAAATAGCTCGCGTCGCCTTCTATCAAAATTTGGACCGCGTGCCCTATTTGTAATTTTGTCATCTTCATTGATAATGGAAATGATTGATATGATGTATATATATGTATGTTGAACTGGAGTGGTGCTCCAGGACAGTGCTGTCCCAGAACGTCCACAGCAGCCAAAGTAGTTTTCAACGTCTCTCCCGACGAATCCAACGTACTTTGTCTAATGGGACCTGACTGATCAAAGTAATGATTCCTCCTATAACGTGCACGATGAGGGTTGTCGGTCGCCAGAACGCAGGGTCCAATTATGGGGGTGAAAGGAGCGTTGTCTTATTGGAATCCACACGCGGCAAAGATAGCTATATAGGAAATAAAACGCAAAGCCACACCACGCCACAGGGCAAGCCACACCACACGAGCTCAAAGTATGTATGTATATGACTTGGCAGGTGTCTTCGTACAAATATATATCCGCATGATGTAGCCTGCTATAATGTTAGTGGCCGGTGTAGAAATGGGCAGATACTTAGAGGGATCAATTTCTGGACTTGGAGCGTATTCTGTAAATTTGTTTCATATTTTATGGACTTATTCTCACAGAGACTCTTGTCCTGTGGTGTCGATTCCGTTGACTGGTGTTGAGTGTTTGACTCTGCGATCCACCAATCACGGCTTGGCTCGGACCGACCTGGCGTAACCCACTTATCCGCAGCATGTCCCGCCCGACGGCCACCCTTTGCAATAACAACTTCGTGTTTCCCAACCCCGTGACTCAAAGAACGTGGACATGACATCGCCAGAAGTTCAGGATAATGGAGAGCGGCGACCGCTTCTTGGTGAGCAGGATCACGGCCATGACTCTGAAAATGACGCACAAGCAACAGACGTAGAGCCCCGCGGCACTTTCTCCCGTAACCTCGGTGCACGGGAGGCATTCGCAATTGTCATCAGCATCGTGATCGGAAGTGGTATCTTCACGTCGCCTGGGTCAATTGACACAAATGTGCCATCGCCGGGTGTGGCACTGCTCATATGGCTCGTCGGAGGGATATTGGCCTGGACCGGTGCGAGCACCATGGCTGAGTTGGGAACTGCGATCCCTGGTGAAGGTGGGCATGCTACCTTGATGATGGCCCAAGCTACAGACTAACGCAGACTATAGGCGGTGTCCAACCGTACCTCCAATACATCTATGGCGACGTCTTTGGATTCCTCGCCGCGTGGACTTGGGTCGTTGCGGTGATGCCAGCAACGCTTGCTATACTCAGCATCGTTTTTGTGGAGAGCATATTCTCGGCGATTGGCGTCACGGACCAAGCTGACTCTGTTGAGCACAAGCTACTCTCCATTCTGATCCTGGTCGTCATGAATGTTGCCAACTCCATCAGCACCAAAGCCAGCACGCGGCTGAACAATTTCTTCGTCTTCACCAAGTTCGTCAGCATTGCTGGGATCGTCATAGCTGGGGTCGTAGTTGTAGCTCTCCAATTGGCAGACCCCGATAGAGATATAGGCGGCAGGGATTGGTTCAAGAAGTCATGGTTTGCTTACCGCACTACCGTCAATCCTGACGGGGACAAAACTGAATGGGAGAAACTCTCTCAATGGGAGCTACTTGGGCACTACTCGGCCGCATTGTATGGAGCCTTATGGGCATATTCCGGATGGGATAAGGCGATATACATCTCGGCCGAGCTCTCCAAACCAGCGCGTCAGCTGCCATTGGCCATCAACACCGCCGTGCCGACCATCGTCCTGTGCTTTCTCGCTGCCAATGCTGGGTACTACATCCTCCTTCCGTGGAACGTTGTGTCGACAACAGACAGTGTTGCAGTGGTAAGATCGGTCTTTTCTTTAACACACGTGGGCCACAAATGCTAATTACTACATTGCCAGACCGCGATAACGCGCCTCCTTGGCCCTGTTGTCGGTGTTGTTGCTGCTATTCTGATCTGCTTGGTGGTGGCAGGATCACTCCTTGGTAACTCGTTTGTCGCAGGCCGTATGGCGGTGGCTGCTGCCAACAAAGACTGGCTGCCACGTTTCTTCGCCATCGTTGGTCGGGTTGGCTTTGGATCCAACCAGGACTCTTCGTCGGAAGGCAACAGCGATGCCGCTAGATCTCCCAACCGTTCGGAATCAGATGCGCCTCTGAACGCCATACTACTATCGACTATTCTTTCTGCACTCTACATCTTGCTCGGAAGCTTCCGTCACCTGTTGACTTTCAACGGATTGGGCGAATACTCGTTTTTCTTCCTAACAGTCGTAGGTGCTGTTGTGCTTCGTTTCCGGGAACCCAAGCTGAAACGGCCCTATCGGCCTTTCCTCCTGGTTCCATTGGTATTTGCAGCCGTGAGCGGGTTTGTTGTTGTCAGGGGTGCCATCTTCGCTCCGAGACTAGCTCTTGTTCTGGTTGTGGTTTGGGCACTTGGACTCGGTTTCTATCAAATTAGGAAGTATCTGGGACAGAGTGCTGCGTGAGAGGCTTCAATAAGTGGACTTGGATCCTTTCATACTGCGCAGGTAATGTTTAGATAAGTACAGACCTGGATGTGCCCTTAATTGACCCCCAAGCCGGCAGTTGATTTTATTACATTAGCTTTCATAGATGATGTCAACATTTAGATTACAATATATCTTGCAATCTCTCATCTTTTGAACACAAATTACCACAAGGGATCTTCAACACAATTTTGTCGATTTCTAGAACTTCAGCGTGAAGGCTCGGCCGATAAGAGGCAGGCGAAGGAAACTTCCTCGAACCTGAGGCATCGCCACTGGAAAACATACTTCACCATTCCGTCACAACTCTCCTCCAATCTCTGCGATTCGCGTTTCCCTTTCATTGTTCCGTCGGCTTATGTGTGGTAGAATTGAGGAATTATGTGCCGCTACGCTCTCCCCCCAGAGCCGACACTGCGACGGAGCCTCGTGAACCTGGTAATCGGGAAAGCTGCTGCCTTGGGCCTGTCCAGCGTGACTCCCTCGAGGGAACGAGCTCGCAAGCTGAGAGGATGGGACTTGTTTGGCGAATCCCCGATCCGGTTCAGCGAGGCGGATGTTGATGGCTTTTCTGGCTCTGAACATCATAAAAATGCCAGCAACTAGTGCGCCGAGCCCTGTTCCTCCAAGTGATACACCAACGCCTAATCCTATCGTGTTTTCCCTACTCATAGATCCTATGCCAGCACAGCTTGAGGCGCTAGCAGCTGTTGTGCCCGTCATACCTGTCGCCGTCGCTGTCGCCGTTGCTGATGCGAAGTTCCATCCAATTAACTAGAAATTCGAGGGCAGTCAGTCAGATGGGAGCGAAGTCGGATCACCCCACTTATTTGAACTCCGTAAACTACCGTCGACTCTGTCAAAGTCGTCGTGGTTATTGTCCATTTACCCTCCGGATTGGTCGTTACCCAAGTCAACGCTTGTCCCGCTAAGACTTGTGAAACGCATTCTTCTGTGTGACCGACATCAAGAAATTGACGAATGGCGTAGCCACTATATACGGGAGTCAACTTCCCCATATGTCGAGTCAAGGCAAGCCAATATGATTGGACTCACGATGGACAACATGCCACAAGTATACTTGACGCATCCACAGCACTTTGGCCGGCTGTGGTGTAAGCTTTAGGACATGAGATTGGCCCTATACTGAGAACTGTCTCTGTGTTGCGGCCTAGCCTCTCAGGCCGCCACCAGGTTGTCATGGCCTTTTGGTAAACACGTTACACCTTTGTCGACGAAGAGTCCGTAGCCGGGATCCCACGTAACAATCGTGTGATCCACAGTCTGCCACCTGGAACTTGCACAGTCCACTGGGCTGGCGAACTCCGTGACGAGCGGTATCCCTTGCCAGTCCAGCGCGGAATGTCTTAGACGTCTAATTGGGGATCTTGCCTCAATTTTCGCTGTGCAGATCATCTGCGACCAAGAAGTCATGGGCGATTTGTTTCAGCGGACAGCCCTACCAACCACCAAACGAGTGCCAAACCAGTGCTGCTGATTGGTGATGCCCATGATGCAGAATGGTGATGCTGGGCGAGGTCTGGGATTATCCTTGCGTGTGGCGCGATGCGTCCCGCAGACAGCCAAACCGAGCAGAGCAGCAACAAATGGATGCTGTCAATGAGCGCGTTGCACATGGATGAGGCTCCATTCTGAATCAGATTTGTAGAATCGCAAGTTTCTTTAATGTGAAGGACTTCTTGAAGTAGAAGATGGATAGTATGGAGACTAATCGCAAAAAGACGCCAACAGGGTGGAGCCTGGCTTATCTTTGAGATGGCCTATGCGTTAGCCAGGCGGCCCAAAGGACTCGGAACAGGATAATGGATGGGCTCAGGGCTATCTACAAAGCCAACCACTCTTCGTACGCAAGTCGCATGCTAGATATATCTCGTGGCTGCAACAACGAGAAATTACCGAAAGGTCAAGGCAGCATATAAGGGCAACTTGAATTGTCGGCGTCGAGATTCGTCCATGTTGCGGACTTATCAGGTTTGATACCAATCGGCTACATTACAGTATAGGGTCCTCAGCTTCTAACGAATTCAGTACCAAGCTGCACATACGCATTCAATCGTGCCGGTCGATGGAAGTTGATAAGAGCTACGAGAAGATTGCTTCATCGAGGAAGCCTGCTATCGACCTAAGAGCCACCCGAGAAGTCTGCCAGCTTTATCGGATGTGCCGATCGCATCTTCCACTACTACTACTGATAACGATGAACACCAGGCCAGATGCCCTCAGTGAGTCGCACCTTGCTGGCCTGGGGAACCCAAGCTCCGAAATCAAGCCAATCTGTCTGCCACCTTCAGTTTGAATTGGAAGTGCACCTGTCGGAGGCGAGGGTGGAACGGTAGACAGAAGCCGATGTCCATCCCGGCAGTGCGTCTGTCTTCTCTGATTGGACGGTCTAGGTATCTGCTATCTCCCCAGACATGGAGGGCCTGAAGTAGATCCTCACTAGGGTGTTTTGATAACGTTGGATCTCAAGGGCTCTGTATCTATCTACATTTTGTGCTCTCCATATCCTCGCATAGCTCCGATCTTGCCATGTGCCTTGGTATTTGACCCAGGCTGTTGGGTTATCAATTAGTGCGGAAGATGTGGCACGTCCCAAGTCCTCTGCGATATCTGGGGTGTACAGGCTCCTATATATTCCGCCTCGTGTAACCCCGGCGACCTGCATGCGCAGGAGCTCGAATATTACCCCCCATCTCCAAGCTGCATTGCCATAACTTTACCTTGTGCCTCTTGGGCACTTGACGACGCTTCAAAATGGCCGCCGCGAACGAAACCAAGAACGAGAAGCTTGACATCAGCCCGGCTGCGCCGGGCAGTGACGGCGCAGAGGCAGCTTCGATGAAGGAAGCTGAACTGGAGAGCCATGAGGTCTTCCTGAAGACGGAAGACGGCGTTGACTTCCGAAACGTGAGCTGGCCTCGTGCAACGATAATTTTCCTCAAGATCATCTTTGCAACTGGCGTTCTTTCGATCCCTACAGCCATGTATACTTTGGGTGCCCTTGGAGGAGCCTTGTCCGTGGTAGGATGGTCGTTCATGAACACATGTAAGCAGGTTGGCCTCGTGGTAGCAGTCATAGGCTAATATAGATTTAAGACACAGCCGTGATTCAGGGCAACTTCAAGACCAGGCACCCCGAATGTCACTGTAAGAAACCTCGAAAGCAACGAAGAAACCTACATTAATGAGAAATTAGCCTTGGCCGATATGGGATACACGGTCGGAGGAGCGTGGTTCCGGGAAGTCATCGGAATACTATATCTGGTCGCCTATATCCTCTGTACGGGAAGCGGCATCGTCGGTTTGTCTGTGGCATTCAATGCCCTGTCGGACCACGCAGCCTGTACCGTCTGGTGGGGTTTCCTCTCCTTTGTTATCATCACAGCCGCTGCCTCGATTCGAACGCTGCGAAACATTGGATGGCTCACCTGGGTCGGCTTCTTCTCCATTTTCATCGCCATCTTGGTCGTAGTCATCGGGGTAACGACATTGGACCGGCCAGCTGCCGCGCCTCAAGAGGGTGACTTCGAGCTGGGATACCATGTGATCGCTTACCCGACGTTCGCGGCGGGCATGACTGCTACTGCGACAATTTTCGTCTCAACAGCTGGCACCTCTGCTTTCCTTCCTGTCATCTCAGGTAAGTCCTTGATTCAACACTTCTTTTACGATCTCGGCGTCAGGGGGGTGAATAAACCTGAGGTGCGCTTGGGGGTCACCACGATCGATAGACAGTGGCTCAATGGACGAACCTAAAGTATAGAGACTAACAAGCAATCCTGCAGAGATGAGAAACCCCCGGGAATACAAGAAAGCGTTGTATATCTGTATGTCGCTGGTCCTCGCCATGTACCTGTCCTTCTCCTTGGTTGTCTACAGATGGTGCGGTGGTTGGGTGACAAACCCATCTCTGGGTAGCGCTGGCGGCACGATCAAGAAGGTGTCCTACGGCATCGCGCTGATCGGGCTGGCTGTAAGCGGTTGTCTTTACCAGCACGTCGCAGCAAAGTATCTGTTCGTGCGTATCCTGAGAGGCACCAAGCACCTTCAGTCAAACACAGTCACGCACTGGGTGACTTGGCTTGGTTGCACAATCAGCCTTGGCGTGGTCGCGTTCATTTTGGCAGAGGCGATTGCAATCTTCAATTACCTCATTGCTTTAACGGGAGCCGTCTGCTTTGCGCCGATGGCCATCACGATTCCAGGCATCTTGTGGCTGCACGACTTCTCGGAGTATAGGCGAGGCAGTGCCTGGCAGAAGGCTCAGTACTACTTCCATTGGTTCCTGGTGCTTCTCGGAGCCTTCATTTGTGTTGGCGGAACGTAAGTTTTTGGCGCATTATGGAACCCGCACCTAAAGATATTGACACTGACATTTCTCATATAGTTACTCAACCATTCTATCAATTAAAAACGCTTACGATTCGGGTGTGATTGGCTCTGCCTTCAGCTGTGCAGATAATTCTGCCACGACTCATTAATTTTGACTCAGCAGAGCAATTTGGGGCGGATTGAGTTTTATAACGATACTAGGTGTGGATGCTGCGATACCAACAGTGTGAGGAGTTAGACTTTGTTTTTGATAGGTACAGGCACGGCGTCTTTCTTTAGCACGTGTCAATGAATACCAGAATAGCAATTGAGCCACCGGCTCCATGGTCTTGGTGTGTCTCTTTTACATTGATCGACTAGTATTTATAGGAATGTACCTGCATGCTTGTGCATTCAATTAAGGTTCCCAAGTATCACGACATTGTGGATCGCTGGTGTTATGCCTTCAATGCGCGATAATAGCAGTGAAACACCATGTATCTTCTGGCCAGTTGGTCAAGTGTATTGTTGGCTTTCAACCACGTTCCTCAAGCGCGCCTAGGAGTGGGCTGGCAAGCGGCTGTCGACCCAGATACAGCCAACCGACCCTAACATCGTACATTGTAGACTTCAATCCCACCATTCATAGTGGAGCTGTAATTGTAGTTCGTGCAACTCCAGGCTAATCCAGACATTTAGCACATGACGAGTGCCGGCGCTGCCACCCCATACGGGCTTGAATATTACTAGCTGCATGTGCTGACAGGGGCAGCTCGTTCTCGAAACACCGCCATCGTCAGCGGCAACCTGCGATAACCTCCAGATCTACCCACGTTTTGGTTCACTTTCTCGCATGTTACCCGCAACCCTACACCGGGGTCTTGGCGCGCTACCGGAGGCGCCAATGCATGATCGTTGCATTGCAAAGGGACCTTAGACGGCCGGCTTCCTCATCGTTCGACAACGTGATCACCTTCCACAGCCCCAGTGGGTGATAGAGTTGCTTCGCCCGAGAGCTTCCCTGCTTGTTCGGCTGTCAACCGGGGTCGACAAGATGGCTTTGCCGCGTCTTTCATGCGCTTGGCCACTACATTCAAGGCTCGCGGCCCCGGTCGGTGTGGAGAAGACCCCTGCTTCCCACTACCATCGAGTATCCAATTCTGGGAAATGGGATCTGCGTTGCGCTTTGCTGCGTTGCGCTCTGAGCGCCGGGCGACAAGCATGTGCTGCAGACTCATAAATATGTGAGGACCCTCTCTCGTCGAAGATCTGCTGCAAGTGCTGGGCTCGTCATACCTGTATCTGATTGTCCATAACGTCCCGTCGGCAACTTCGATCGTCAAGATGCGCATTAGCCATATCGCCGGCTTCCTCTCGGCGGCTTTGGGTGTGACTGCCGCCCCGCTACAGCCCCGTGCTGTCATTAACCACGATGCCGTCGTTGGTTTCGCCCAGGCGGTCCCTAGCGGCTCTCTCGGCAGTGCCCTGCTCAAGTATAAACCGTGGTTGAAGGTTGTGAACGGCTGTGTACCATTCCCGGCTGTTGACGCCGCCGGCAACACAGGGTAAGCTTACGACTTCTTGGGAAAGATAATGTGATTAATCTTTGATGATAGGGGCGGTTTGGCTACCAGTGGAGGTTCGAGTGATGGGTGCAGTTCTAGCACTGGCCAGGTCTACGCCCGTGGCGCACAATACGGCAACTACTATGCGCTTATGTATTCTTGGTAAGGGTGTCTTCACACAGTGAATATGATTCTTGACTGACCTCATGTACAGGTACATGCCCAAGGATTCGCCGTCCAGTGGCCTTGGCCACCGCCATGATTGGGAGGGTATCGTCGTGTGGATCGATAACCTTACGTCACAGACCATCAAAGGTCTGGCCACTTCTGCACACGGCGACTTCGACGTTATCACGAGCAACTTCCCACTCGACGGCAGCCGCCCCAAGATTCGGTACTTCAGCAACTGGCCCGTCAACCATCAGCTTGGCACCACCAGCACCAAGGGCGGCGAGCAGCCTTTGATTGCGTGGGAGAGTTTGACTGATGCTGCTCGGACAGCTCTATCAAATACCGATTTTGGCGATGCCACTGTGCCGTTCAAAGACTCGACGTTTAACAGTAACTTGGCAAAGGCTGCTATTGCGTAAACGCTGGTGATTCGATGCATAGTAAAGGTATCGGCTGTAGCGATACAACTTACATTAGCGAGTTCAGGTCACGGGATGAGATTGAATAAATACCCATTGATTTAGCGTAACATTCAAGTAACAGAACTCCATCAACGCACTTGCGAAAACACTCTCCATAACAAAGGCCGCTGTTATCCACGTACTAGAGAGTCCGTTGATTCTAGGAATCTCTCTATATAAGACCAGATACTCCAAATCACCCTCACATACGACCATAACTATTAGATGACTCGGGATCTCATCGGTTGTCCTAAAGATAAACTTGAGACAGGACTTGTCTGTGGGCAGGCAGACAGGACTTGACCAATTAGCATGTTGTAAGGTTGAGGCTGATTCGCTGTGCTAGTACAGGACGAGTTTACTTGTAGACCATTTTGCACCCGTCTGCCTTGGAGCAAGGCGCACTATGAGGTCTCCGTTTGCGCGACACAGTTGTTCGATCTCATATCACTCTGTCAGTATATTCAGCACGGCATATAAAAAACCACCAACAAGCGTGCTGCGCCTCAAAGTACCCTTTTTCAGGCACACTGCAGCGAACGCCTCGCCTCCACAAAGGAAGCAGTTCGTCCTTTCCATGCAGTTGCTAGACTGCTCCATAATTTGAAGACTTTAACCTACCAACAGCCCAATGATTACATCCCAGCATCGGAGGCGGGCCACCGCAATAACAACGCCCATTCTCCATTACGCCTAGGGCAGGAGACTTCATGTTGTATCATTCATTCCAATGGAGTCCGTCGCGATTAAACGCACACGTCATGAAGATTCAAGCGACAACGCTCGTGGTGCCTCAGACTCTAAGCGCACCAAGTCTGAGTCCCCAATAGATATAGTGCGTGCCGAGGAAAGGCGAAGAATCGAAGCGACCTATGCCGACCTCCCTCTACTACCCCGGAGGGTTCCAGAACCCGATTTCTTAATGAACGGACAAGAAATCTACAATAAAGACGATGCGTCGCTTCAGTTCTATCCAGCTTGCGCTGAGGGGGAGCTGGATAAGATGCGCAGCTTTGTTGGACACTCACGGCCGCCTCATTCAGACCTGCAGTACGGTTTGGAGAAGGCAGCACATGGGTTCCAAGCCGAGATTATACAATACCTCATGCAAGAGCGAAATGTCAAACTTCACACCCGGGTTTTTGAAACGAAATGCAAAATGGCACCTTCGCCGGAAAGCATATTTACGGGCGGCAATCCACATTATTAGAACTTCTCAAAGCTTTTGCCGATCACGGGTGGCATCCCAACCAGATCCTGATTCCTGGAGGGCAAAGAGTTGCATTGCATTACGTGCGCTGTGTAAAAGATAAATCGATACTGCGATTCCTTCTCGAGCATGGGACGGATCCAAAGGTTGCTCGCAATGCGTATCCGTCCGCCTTATTTCACCTTTTCCCGGCTCAGGCCCCAGCGTAGCGTAAATCTGGAGATGTGCCAAACATGGCGGTTACTGAAGCACTGCCTGAGGCCATGGATCTCTTGCTTTCGCACGGAGCCAGACTCGACTATGGAAAACCACTGCATTCCCTTGTAAACCGTCATCCCACAGAAAAGCGGACAGGCAAGACACCTGTCGACCAGGCTCGCTATCGAATGGCAGAACACTCACTTAGTCTCGGAGATGATATCAATGGGCTGAGGTGGGCTGAGGGACTTGTAGGTCGATATTGGTGTCTTCTTCCCATCCGATCCGCCGGAGGAAAGCCGTACATGATGGGATAAGCGGCTAACTTTTCTCGCCCTCGTAGATCCGAGATTGTCATAAATACAGTTTCATTTGCATTGGTGGGGTTTACACAGCTACACCACTGTCCCATACAGTGGGTTGTCAAGACTGGGCCTTTGTTGAGTGGCTGTTGGAAAATGGAGCAGATCCTGAGGCCTCTGATCGCAGAGCATTCCAAATTGAAAATGCGTTTTACTATTCCCAGCTTCATGGTGGGGCAGACATGACGGATGTGGAACGCCTACCTGAGTTGACTGACAAGGTAAGAAGAGGAAGGCAGATAACGCTCGAGGACACCATGTACCCGAAGAGTAAGGGGTGTGTACATATTACGTCTTACTGAGTAAACTTCCACATTGTGCCTCACCAAAGATGCAGCCTTCTGATGTGCTTCTCTCTACAAATGCACGAGTCCTCTTTCTCTGACTCCCTCTTCGGTCGACTTGTGTGACGCAAGTTCCCGTATCTGAATCATGATTCGAAGCCGCCGTGTTTCGATCGTACGAGATACACTTAAATCGTTTCTCTTTGCGTGACAACGCATGTTCTTGCCGCTGTCCGACAAACGCGCATACGCGGATGACGGAGTAACCAGCGCTAGTTCGTGAGACATGAGCGGAAGCGGCTCGAATGGATTGACCATTGCTACGCTCCTCTTTTTCCCATTCGCCTTGGGAGGTTTGGTTGGTTTGGCATCGCGAGAAGTGTATCGTTGCCATCGCTTCTCAGCGTCTATGAAGCGCTTTTTCACCCTCGGATAGCCACTCCACCACTCTTTCATGATGATCTCGTGAGGCATGACGCCGAGGCTCGAAACATCCAGGTTGGGGAGCAATAGGCCGATTTCCCTCATTATAGCGCCATTCAGCTGACGGAAAACCGTTCCATGCCACTCGTTCGCCATGATAGCTTTCTTGTAAGTCCGCGAATCGTAGTCCGCAAAGGAGTCGAGGAATGCATGGACCATCTCGTGTACAAGTGTCAGGAGCATCTCGTCGTACGTGAGGTGCTGACCCTCGCACTTCTTGAAGATGATAATTTCCCGGGTTTCGGCGTTATATCTACCCAGGTCTATGCCTCTTGAGCAGCTGACATGCCGTTTTCCACGGGCTTTCACTGCTCTAGTTTTGTGAGAGGAGCGCATGTGTACACCAGGAGATGCTGTTCGAGGCACCTCGATATCGATCCATTCACCTTCAAGCTCTGTGAAAACTTGGTCGCGCTTGAGTTTGGGCTGTTCCTCCATGATCAATATCTTGCTGATCGGACAATTAACCGGGGGTTTGTAACCACAGCAGACACGACGCCGTGTAGGCCTAAACAAGAAACCCGAAAAGAACAGAACATCTAATGCTGTAGCATATCGTGACATCAAATGTTCGAGTACGAGGTTGCGTTGCCCGGAGCGAAGTTTGAGCAATGTGTGTTGGGCACAAAGTTGATCGGGGCTAAGACAGTCGCGATACTTCGAATGAAACGTGCGCAGCAGAATGTAAAGTAAAAATTCGGCCTCAAACACGTGCTCTGGGGGCTTGAGTGACGGGTCCATCGGCCGCGTGGAATCATTGCGAGGACCATTGTACGCGCACATGTTTGATGCTCTTACTGAGAAGAAGGTACGTTTGCTTCGAAGAAGAACAAAGGAGGACGCAGGTTCGTGCAGTTGGTATGATGATTTTTATATAAGTCCTTTTCCGTACAGAGGAGTAGGAATGAAATAGAAAGAATTTTCTAGTCTGATAGTCCTTCCACGCCTTGCGACCAAATCAAAGCTTAATTCTAAATACTACAGAGTTGATTTGCATGGAACTTGCTTGAGCCAAATAGTAATAAGCTTTTTTTACGGTCTCGGCAATCAAGACTTACATCCACCGTAGTTCGCTACTTCAGTTGACGTGTGGGGGACGGAGATCTTTGCATCACGTTAAGCTCTGGGTTCCGTTAACCCACAGCCTCAGTTGACCAAGGGGGTCGTGGTGCGTCGCCTCACATCTGCAAGGCCGGAAAGGAGTCTCAGCAACTGATATTCCCCTAGTCTATCAACTGAATTTCTGATTTACCAACCACCCCATGACAGTCCTCTATCCTGCGAGTTTCTGCGTGCTTGTGAATTCCCAGTCATTCCGCAACGCAAACGGATAAGATTCTTGGGCTAGAAGGTGGTCGCGGCCAACAGCGATGAACTCAATAGCGAAACAGGCGCTCTTCTCCTTCTTCAGGAATGTCTTTGTGGTTTTCCATGACAACTCGAAGACCTCTACGAACTCAGCAGCCTGTTGAGGAGTATCGGATCTCACAACCACCGCAATCGTCGGCACCAGGTCTCCATTCTTCTCAAGTCGTCGGATCACCAGTATGGGTCGCGATTCATGGTTGATAACTCTGAAGGGTTGTTCAGCCTCTGGCGTAGACAGAGCTTTTTCCAAAAGCTTTTTTGCCGTCTCAAAGTTCTGTTGCTTCACTTCCTGCCCCACATTCATGTCGGTTGGTACCCAGTCTTTCAAAGGTGGGCAGGACAGAGCACCGCGTCGTGCACCGGCATTGCCGTATTCGAATTGAATGTCCGGAACATTGACTTGCTGCGCTTTGTCTTTGATGGAATCAAGCATTGTGCTGTAGTATAGAGCTCCACGGCGTCGAAGCTCTGCGGTCTTCGTAGTGGTCAGCCTTGAAAGCGAAAATTAAGAATCTGTCTTACTAGCAGTAGTGTAATGCTATTTGTCGATACTAGTCGAACAGATATGTTTGTTCCTAGCAGTCGTGGAGTGTAAATTCGTCATGACTACAGTAGTGGAATTGGACATCCTTATATTCAATATGTGGTGGTCTGTGACCAACTGTCTAACAAGTCCGGTCTCTTTGTCTTTTGAGGGAGGGGAATGATCCTCAGTTATATTTGGCCCAACATCACCAGCATTCCTTCTCTTTGTTGGACCCCTGGTCTGACGAACCCTGAGACCCTGTGATGGCGGGTACCTGGTCACGCGGCTCAAGAGCACAGAATTCGCGTGACTTGCGAACACCGGAAGGCTTGGCCAGGCAGTTGTCCCCTCGAGGGCTGGCGCCCCACATTGTATACTCAAATCTCTAGTCTAACTGCAGCGTAGCATCAGGCGCATCGTACAGTCTCACCCAATAGGCGCATGACGGGGCTCAGCTAGGACATGGGTGTGGTGAACGTGCTGGATTGTCTTCAAGACAGGGTAGAGGACTTGCAGAAGAGCGTGCATAGCTGAATGCGAACACGCCCGCGTCATCCATTTCGTTTTTGGCAGAGGCGAGGTACAGCTAGACCCAGCAGCTTGGGTCAGCCGTTTGCGATGCCCATGTGCTGTGCCGTTCAGCTTATTGCTGACCCAGCGTGATTGCTGACGGATCATAGTGCGACTCTGCTGGAAGACATTCCTTCGCATAAATCCTACCGCCAAGAACGCTCTCATTCTCGCAATCGTTGGCCTCGCCGGTGGCTGGGTCCCGATGACGAAGCGGCTTCGCGTTCGCTCCATCCTACTACCATGGCTCTCAGTTGGCGCATCTACTTCTTGGCCGCCTCAAGACGGAGACTACCATATTGGCCCGTTAAGCAAGCAATCTAGTCGTGTGGGTCGAGGAACAATTTCCCAAAAGGGACTTTGCATGTACACAGGCCGCACGCGAGCAGCGTGTTCCCGTCATGCAGACATCACCTCAGCGACCTGCAGATTATCAACTTGTTATGAATGAGGATGCGCTCTACTTACATGAAGTGTGTGTTGACCGGCTCGGCTAGGCTATTCATTGCTGCTTGCACGCCTGGTTGTTGAAACCAACTTACCAAGTTAATTTATGGAAAGTGATGGATACACCAACGGAGATACGGGACATTACTTGCTCTACGGCCCATGAAAAACATTCTTGGCCTGTTTGACTGATGAAGCAGATTGCGACGTATGCTGCCACTTGTGGCAGCAGGGCCCGGATAAACGCTTTTTGATCTGGTGGTCATTTCTCGAGCCCTCGACCGCTAGCCACATTCATTTCCTACAATGAGATATAGTTACATCTCATAATGTCTCTCTTGCATGATCTCAAGGTATTTGCCTTACTTATTGGAAAGATGACAAGAGAGCTCCGCCAATGCCGATTGGTCAGCAATACGGCAGTCAGCATTGCAGACCAAATGGTAACTTGATAGCTTTGGCCGTCCGTGGCTAAGTTTTTGGAAAAAGGAGGGTTTGTTCCGGTCTACTGTGGTATTAGTATGGACCAGCTATGACTACACTAGCTCAGAGCCAGGCCCCTAATTCTCAAACAAGGCGCAATTCCATGACTATGGTCTCAAAATATGTCATAAGTAATAAACGCTCAGGATATGATAGAGAGTTTTTGCCTCAAGAACAGGGTTGGCACAGAGCGGGCATAAACCTGTAAATGCACTGCATTCCAACATGCTCCAGGGTTTCAGCTGTGGAGTAAATGAAGCAAGGGATTCCGACAAGTTAGAGAGATTTATCACTTCAATTTTCTGAGCACTGCGCGGTATGGTCTGTTGGTTTCAGAGCAGCATTCCTTTGTTGCTCCATACCCACCCAGCTGACGGTATCAGTCTCCAAGTGCATATCGTTTCCCAGCGCGTAGCGTGGCCTGGACGAGCTGCAGAAGGAGCAAACTAGACCTGAAGATACACAGGCAGCAGAACCCCGTGACCGTTCGCCTCACGTTACATTCAAGGTTCAGATCTCAGTTTAATATAATATTATTTGGGAGCTCTTGGAGCTTTCAAATTTGCTTGCTTGTAAGCCTTTGATGCTGCCGCATCTTACTACTGGCTGGCTCGAGAACGATGTGCAATCACCCGTTACCTGATTCCACAAACTATCTGAGTTGGGTTATACCTTTTTCTGTAGATGATATTGAGTAACCGGTGCATGCCCTGTGCATCAAATTGACAGGTTCTTCAGCATGACCTACCTATTGATGAACATAGACAGGGTACTTTTTGCTAACTCTCGGTAAAACACTTCGTAGATGATTTCATTGGCAGCTATAAGTACATGGAAGAGAAGAGCGAAAAGGCTGGGAAGAAATGGTTTTATTAGGGTTTGTCGACTTTTTCTCTTATACTCTACATCATGAGGTCGATGGCATATATCACACCGTGATCCACGCTTTTCCTTGCCGCCGAATGTCATGCATTCCTGCGCCAGCACCATCATGAAGATGTCATAAACATGCCCGAGGGGAAGACCCGCTGAAACAAAAATGTTACAGGTCCTCATTCTCCGTTATACCACATTAGAGATTTTACCCCAATTTTGTTTCGTCCTGCGCCTGTTGCCCTCTCAAACTCGCGGTGAATCGTATGCAAGCTGGTCCCCTAGACCCTCTGGTAAAACAACAGGTAGGCGACCTTGTTGTCCGCCTTGTTGTCCTTGACTGGTTTGGGGGCAGGGACAGCAGGGTTTGGGCTTCCGTTCACCACGCTGCTCCATTTCTTGGCGCCGCCGGCTGGTGCGCTCACCTTGTTCCAACCTTCTTCTTCACCGGCATCGTCGTCGCCAATGCCTTCGAATCTGTTACCAGATCCGCCCACAATGGCCTCCTTCTTGTTTTCGGATCGAGCGTGCTTGTTGGCGTCCTCCTCGGCGCCGCCTTCGGCAACATCCTCACTGCGTACCCGGCGGATCACAGTGTCATCCAAACGAATCCACTCACGTCCATCTTGGCGACGGACATCAGCCGTGTAATGACCTCCACTGGCGTTCTTGCCATGGTGATACACAGAAGCGATCAATCGATACTTGGGTGGGTTGCCATTCTCAAATAGGGTGCTCCTCTTCTGGCGCGAGATGACTTCGGCAGGAATCTCCAGCTCCAAGGGGTAACCAATCTTCTTCCAAATCTTGACAGTGCCGCCCTTGGCGTCGAACTGGAAGCGCTTGAGGTGGAGGATCAGGACCGGAGGAAGTGATTCGATAAAGACTTGCTTATGAGCAACAGCATCAGGGCCTCTGGGCGAGCCAAAGTCTCCCTGCAATCTCTCAGCTCTAGTTAGATTCTTCAATGCGTCCACAATGTTTCGCACGTTCGGCGAATCGATATCGAGTTGTAGGGGCTGATAGGGCTCAAGTGTCACGGAGTCCTTGAGAGCCGTGACACGGAGCTCGGAGCGCAGCTGACCACCAAAGATCTTGGTAATAGGAGACGACGTAATGGGGTGGCCGGAAGAACGCGTGACAGCGGCACGCTGCTTCCTGCCAACCTCAAGCCAGGCACTGCTATCGCTCGTGTCGGTAGGTGAGTTGGCGGCAGGAGTGGTAACAGAAGAGTTTCCAGCTGTGCTGCCACTTGACGCGTCAGGAAGATGCCGCATAACCCGTGTGCACTCATCATGGAGGGCTTCTAGGAGGAACCCAAGGAACTCTTCAGCATCTTGTTGATGGCCATGCTTCAATACTTGTCAGCACACAATGGCTCCAAGGGTTTTCAACATGGGCGCTTACTCTCATGCTTGCGAATCGGGGAAGCTTCCTTATGGCTTCATATACAAACTCGGGCGTGAATGGCTCACCATACTGCTCTAGCTCCTCGGTCTTCAATCGGCGCCTCAGTTGATCTACGGACACTGCCGAGTCGATCACCTTGTACTCGCGCATAAACATAATCCTGCCTTCTCGTTAGAGCCGCTCTCTCACATATTTCAACCAGGTAGGGAAGCGGCTTACATGGCATCAATTAAGGGCGTTTCACTGTTGAAACTGTGAGCTGCCTTCTTGCTGACCTGATCCAAGAAGTCATAAAAGGGTATGCAGAAGATTAGAACTTGAAGGACCTAGGTGCAACGTGTTAGTCAACGTCTTATAATTGCGTCGAGTCGTGATGCGGAAGAAAGGGCACCTACTGAATTCATATAACACATGTTCCCAGTGTTGATCAAACCTCTGGGCTCGAGAAATGCAAGTTTCGAGTTGCCAACGGTGAATGCGCGGAGAGCCTCGGCTTGCGAGCTGGCGTTGGACTTGGAAAAGCTTCCCGCCACACCGCTACCTGCCTCTCCGGTAGCACCGTCAGCAGCACTTGACCCGTTGGCAGCAGACGCAGAGGCGGAATTGCGGGCAGCCCCAGCAGGGGCTGATGTTTTGCTTGCAAGCAGACTCGCCCACGATTTCGGCGCCGCCCTGACAGGTACTGCGGCTGGCTCATCCTTGACGTCCGCAACAGCATCAGGCACAACTGGCTGGCCGTTCAGAGCTGAATCAGGCGTTGAACTTGGCTGCGTCTGCTTCTGGTCGATGGCTGGCTGCTCCACACTAGACACGGTTTTTGCGTCCTTGGGGCTGCTCTTGGGAAGGATAGGAACAATAGGGACGGCCGGTGCGGCAGCTTTCGACGCGGACTTGGAGGACTGCGTGGGGGTGATGCTCGCTGCTATCGAAGCCTGGGTTGTGTGCGTCGAGACTGGAGTGGTGGGCGAAGTGGATTGGGCGCCCTCTGAAGGTAGATCCTGGGTGGAAGGCGTTTCTGGCCGCTCGAGAGTCTCGGTGGATGCGGATAGAGGTTGCGCGGGGACAGGCTCCTTGAGCGTAGGGGTCTTGGGAGCTGTGGGCTCGGCTTCCGTCTCTGCACTGGGTTCGGGCAAGGTTTCTATGCCGGCCTGCTGGTTGGCTGGTAGCTGTACGCCCTCGGTCTCGCTGGCCATTATTCTCCTTCTCCTGCGGGATCTGGCGGCTTTGACGGGGAACGGAAGGTCGGGGTGCGAAAGCCATGGCAACTGCAGAGAGCGTTAGTATATCAGGGAACAAACAGACTTGTCTGCGCGTGGGGTGACTCACCGGGGGCCGGAACGGTGCGCTCGCTTGTACAACATCATGCTCTGGTTGAGGAGGCGGTACGGACTCCTGGCTCTGGGGTGTCGGAGGGGTCAGGGGCGCCTGTATCGCTTGCGACGAATGCGTCGAGGACGGCGTCTGGGGAATCGGCAGCGGCGGCGGCGGCTGAGCCATGTGGTAGGGCGGAGGTGTCGAGATGGCGGGCGAGGGCTGCTGAGGAGGCGGTCTCGAGTAGGGCTGGGGCGGATGTGACATGGTCGACGAGACAATTGAAGGATACTGCTGCTGGTGCATAGCCGGGGGCGAGCGGGCAGCATAGGCGTTGTACTGCATGTAGGGGTTGCCGGGCATGGAGGCGGCCGGGTAGTGAGGCGGGGCCTGGGGGTAGTAGGCGCTGGCGTAGGGGTTCATATGGCTGTTCTGGTAGTATATGGGCTGGTTGTGGTTGTGGTGGCCGTACGAGTGCTGCTGGTGAGCATATTGTGGCCGCCTACGCGGGCCGTTGGCTGTGTGCGGTCCTGGGCCGGGGCCCATATCACCGGGACCTCTCCCTCCCATTCCCATCCCCCCTACACCTCCAGGCATGGGCTGCCCAGCCGGCAGATGAGGATTCATCTTGCCGGCTTGGGGTCTGCGAAGCAGCGGCGACCTGCCCACTGCTTCTGCGAGCTCGGGGACGGTGACGCGCGCGCTCCCGGGCCTCGTCTGCGCGACAAGGGCGTGGCACGAGGCTGAAATTGCGAGGCGCCTCCCGGGGGTGCTGGCAAGCTCCGGCAGCTCGAGTTGCGGCTGCTGCTGCGGCTCGTCGGTAAGGAGGAGCAAGGAAACGTCGGGCGGCAAGTCGCGCCTTGCTGCGTTGGCTTGTTTGTTGGGTTTGTTTGTGGGTGGCTACGTGGAGGACGAGGACGGGGGACAGGGACGTCTGCCTCGAGATCGATCTATCTCCGAATGCGCTTGGGTGCGGCGGGTCCGGAAAAAGAGAAAGGCGCAAACAACCCGAGGTGTGCAGACGCGAAGCCAAGGAAAAAAAAAAACCCTCTGCAGAGGCGCAAGACAAGACAGAATAAGCAGGGCAAGGGAGCGTGACGAAAATGCAGAGAAGCAGCTCGGGGGTCACGACGATGCTGGCACTTCACGCGTCGCCGGCAGCTGGTGGTCGAGATGGGCACCGGCGCGTTTCGCTGGGGGTGGGAAGAGTGAATCTATCGCAGCGTCGTGGATTCGGTTCGCCTTCTTGGATTTTCCAAAGTTTTCGGCTCCAACCAACTGCCAGCCAGCCAATCCGCCAATTCTGGCCAAAGGGGGGCCCGCCCTCGGTGGAATTGGGACCTATGGGGGCCTATGGGGGTCTATGGGGCCTATGGGGCACCCGGCCGGCGAGTCCCAACTCGAGCTAGCGCCTTCGCGGCAACGCCCGGGCCAAACAGCGGCTGCGCTCAAGGGCCCATCACTCTGTGGGATGGGCGCCAGTGGAGACTCCCTTGACTGCCTGGGCATCCCGGACACGGAGCACACTGGATGCGAGGAGCATTTCAAAGCAGAGCTCAATGCAATGCACGTGATGCCAGATGATTTCTTGGTAGGACCACGTAGTAATATGTCCTTCGTGTCATGAGGACGGGCTGGATAGAGCGCATCAATTATGCACGACAGGCTGTCACGTATAGATTCGGGCAGAAATGTAGCCACGATCGATATCCCAGGGCTTTCGTCAACTCAACTCCATTCCATCAAGAGCAGAGCAGGGTTTGTGCATGCATATATAGTTTTTCGGTTTCAAGTTATTCGTAGTCTATACTATATTCTTCATTCGTCTCGGTCTTACTGCAGATATACACACCAAAAGTAAAGCGACCTTTCTTCTTGGGTCATCCACAAAAAGCCCTCGCCTTCCTCTGTACAGTTCTAGCGGTCCGTAGTTGCAAGTCTCAGGGGTCTTCGTCTCTGAACAGCCAGCGTCCTTTCTGGAGGGCCTCCGCGTGCCGACGTTCGACTTCCTCGCGCTCCCGTCGACTTGCTTCTTCTCTGTCCGCCTGGTCCTCCTGCGTACTCGGGAATCCCATCCTGTCGTAACCAGGAGGCTCCGGCATGCCCCCATATCGCTCACGATGCCTGCCGTGCTTGTTTGAAAGGTCCTTGATCTTAGCCTCAACCCACAGGTCCTTCTTCTCCTGCGGTGTCATATACCCAAGTCTTCCTGCGTCTTCGCCAAGGTAGTCCTCCAGAAGGGAGGACATCGCTATGTCGCCCGTCGTGTCGAGTGCCGCAAGAGCCATGGGACGGAATATCTTGCCGCAGCATTCTTCTCTCGCACAGCCAGGCAGACAGGATCGGTCTTTGCCGCGGACCACCTCGGTAAACGCGTAGTCATGCCCGTCATTGTATTTGGGGTTGACCTTGAAGTCCGTACGGCTGAGGCTCCATACTGGACGGTCTCGTAGACCTCTACCCCGATTTGGTTTGGCAGACTGCTTAGGGGCATCCAGAGTCGTCAGATTTGCTTGAATCGCCGAAGGAGTGCGTTTTGAGGAGTTTGCTACAGGCGTCTCGGGGGGTTTCAAGGCTTCGCTGACTTTGCTTTTCTGCACTTTCTTGAGCCACGGGAACCCCCTCTTCTCGGGCATCGAGATGCTGAATGGATGGCCGCTAGGGGTGTCTTGCGGACGCGCGCCGGACGGAACGGCAATAGCACTTCGCTCGGGCGTAGCCGCGTTGAGGAGATTTTCGAGACGGCCAGACTTGGCTGATTGATGGCCAAGCGACTGCGAGTTCTCGTCCCCGTCTTCCGCAAGGCTCGCTATGCCTTGGCATAGGCCTAGGGACGGAACCACTCTTTTGGATTTTGCATTCCTTGCCATGGGCTTGGGGAGCGGCGTCTGCATATCAAGTGGGTAGAGCGCCGATGATCGTCTAGGTAGATCATCGTGATCGATTCCTTCCGTGGCATCGTCGGGGAATACGGTAGCACGCCATTGTGCCGCAGCTCGTTCACGTTCCTGCACTTGGGCACTCATAGAGCCATGTGCTGAGAACGCGTCCGGGGTGGCCTCCTTTCCCGAGATTGACGCCGCCTTTTGAGAGACTGAACGAATCGTCCTGGCTTTCCTTGGCGTCACCAATCTCTCTTCGGCATTATCGAAGTCAATACTCTCATGGGGCACAAATGGATATTGTTCGTCAGCAACTACAGGATCGGAGCCCGGCTCTCTCTTGATCCTTGTTGCAACTGGCGCATAAGTGGGTTGATTATCGTTCCGTCTTCTTTTGCGAACAGGACGTTCCGAAATAATCACAGGGCTGTCCGACGAAGGCTCATTACTGGGCAGTCGGTGAGCTGTCTCGCCGCTCGCTTCAGGCCATGGTGGAAGAGACGGCACCCGCTCCGTATCTGCACCACTGAGAACTGAGGACTCGCGCTTAGCATCGTTCAGATGCTCTGGTGGCCATAGTGTTGCGGCATGAGCAAAATGAAGCGGGTCCTGTCGTAATGTGGTTGCAGGAACGCCTCGGCCATCACCCGCCACGGAGTTGGCTTCGGACGCGAACGACGAGTTCGTGGCAGCATCGTTATGTCCTATACTAGCCCGAAGACTCTGCAGCTCTTCCTTAAGCTTATCGATCTTCTTCTTCCGTGTATGTACCTGCCCCTCCAGCGTCTGGGCGTGTTTCATCCAGTTCTCGTAAGCCTTCGTTTTCTCCCTACATTGAGCTTTGAGCTGCTCGTTAACTTCCACGCTGTCGGAAAATTGTTTGCGGAGCTTGGTATATTTCTCTTCTAATCTCGAGTATGCCGTGATCAGATCGGGGTGACTAAGGGTGTCGACATCTAAATGGTCATCATGCTTGCTTGATGCTCGGAAACTCCGCGGCGTATTAGCAGACAGAGATGCCAAAGGCGTCCTGACCCCTTGCGCATTCTTGCTTGGAGTCTGCTGCCTCTGTTGGTTATTCTTCCTCAGTTGAGCAAGCTGCTCCTTGAGATCCTTGTTCTGCTGCTCCAGTCGATCCACATTGGCTACTTGGGCCTTGAGAACCTTGAATTCAGCATCGAATTTCACCTTCTTGAGTGTTTCCGCGTGGATGGCTGCTTTTCAATGAATGCCGTCCTTTGCAACAGGACAGGCCCCAGGGGGTGGACTTACCATCCTGATACTCCTCTTCCATCCGACCCCACGCGTCGCTCAACGCCTCAAAAAGCGCAGGCTTCCCATTGTCTCTCATCCATGACTCCATGCTGAGGAGCCTTGCATCCCACAGGTCAGGTTGCCTGAGGGTATCGAGATGAAGCCTGAGATTAAGTTTCGTTGTGAGCCTGGAATCCGGGACGCGTCTTGGGAGCGCTTGACGCGAAGTGGGGCACCGCCTGTTAACCCCAGGTCTGTGGGCCCGTAGTCTACCATAGCTCCAGGTGCATGCATATGGTCTGTCAGTCCACCTTCTGGCCTGAATACTTCCGTTTTGATAAATATAAGTGAGAGCTTTGGAGTTATTCATGGCGATTGGACACTGAATGGATCCCCAGCTTCTTGGGAAGATCATGTGCCCCGCTGCCCTGGAGCGATACATACTTAGCAGCTCTGAACAAGTACCGCTTCTTCAAACGCGAGACGGGCCCGGACGGGTCGGCAGCAGGTCTTTGCTTTTCCGAATATAGGTGAAGACCCCAAGGTAGGCGCCAGAAACCTTTACCTATGTCCACGGGTTCAGCCTCATCCCGAGGCCGTGTAACGATCTACCGTCGTGTGAAGTTACATTACCCTCCTGTATACTTGCCCGCAGGACGAATCAGGTGCACACCTATTTGCGCCACCTGGCAGGGTCGACTTGGACTGCCCCTCCAGTTCGAGATCTCTGAGGGTTACATTCGTGAAGCTGAGAACCGTGTAAAACATTGCAGACGCGCAGTAGAGTTACATTGTGAAGCTCTTGGGTGGCAGGATAACCTGAATCTGCCGTCAACCGCTGTCCAAAAATTTTGACCAGTGTGTTGCCAAGCAGACACATTGTTGCTTGGAAACGCAGAGTTACGCGAACATTCAGCACGTCCTGCGTGATCTATAAGTTGATTGTACTCGGTGTTACTCGAAGTGTATTTCAGTCGCGGACACAACACAGCCAGGAAAGCCAGGCACGGAATGTATCTGAAGAGATCGTCCTGTAGAAGAGATCGTTTGTTACCTAGAGAATCAGGTATCTAGTTAGATTGGCCAAGTCTTGGGCCATCGTGATCGAGCATGGATTTCTCGGATGCTTTCCCCGTTGCAGACCCCCACAATAAGCCAGTCCGCGCCTAGGCCGGCTCTGGAAGGAATTCGGCCCGCCGCTTAAGAGCCTGATGACAGCCCATGACTGAGAAATGACGGTGGTGGCAAGGTAGGTTAAATGGTCGCGAAGAATATTATAACCACCACCTTCGTGAATCGTTGAGAAACGTTTAGTAAGTGAAAAGACGATTGTCTGTTAGCCAACGCGGTATGTAATGTGTGCCTCATTGAGCGTAGCGATGTGCCGAATTATGTCGTGTCTGGCGAGGGGTAATGAGAGCCCTGTGCATTCGGTATCTGCCATCCAAACAGTAGATCAAGCCGTCCCAGACGTTTCGTGTTGATTGGGTGTCCGTTGGGGGGTTCAGCCAGGCCAACAAGCATTGCAGACTATCTGATGCTTGACTGACGAACATATTATAGACGAGCAAAACGCCCAAAAGGTGGTTGGAGAAATATTTGCTTTTGCCTGCCTAGGCACTCCTGGCTCAGAATGGCGCGTTCGCCCTTTGCTGTCAGTCGATACCGGTAGCATCGCCTAACAGATTTCACAAGTGGTCAGATGCCATTCAACGTACTGCGATCCAGTGGAGCTTCGCAGAGTCATCAAGTCTCTACGCCGTGCTTGGTAGCGGAGTTGTAGAGCGCCTCCGCCGATACTGACCGCATATGGCAATGCACCCGTCCTTGCGTGTAAAAGTGCCCCTAATCTTACCGTCATGACAAGTGATGCGAAGGTTTCGACGGCGCTGTTGGAACTCGTCTTTGCAGGCTGTCAGATTCGAGGTTACTCTTGGATACGGTACAGGCCACATGGTCCGTAAATTCAGAAATTCTCGAGGTCTGTCTCTGTGATGATGATGTACGTAGTCGATACGCAGCGGCCATGTGGACGCTTGGAAGCTGTGAAACAGCGCCGATCCACGTGTCTATTCACATCCCTATATATCCATCAGACGGAGGGACTACAGAATTGTTAGATGCCCCTTGCCCCCGGAAGATCAGCGTGGCAGTCCGTGGGATCTTTTGTTTGCTTGGTGCCGACGGGTTGAAACGGGCGACGGGCAGAGAGACAGGGCTGAGATGCACGTGCCATCCAATGCGAGGCACACGGAAAATTTAGCGGGCTCTGATCGATCATTCGGCAATGGAGGCGGCGGCCAGGCGTCGGCGGCGGCTTGGGCGCATCACCCAAGCCCACCCACAATCGCTTTGACCCCAACGGGCATGGCCTTGTATTGGGCAAGGCAGAAAAAAAAAAATTGCCTTGGGAAGTCGACCTCCGTCACATAGCAGGGGGAAAATTCCCATACCGCCCTTTCTCAAAACTTTGTGTGGACGCGCTGGCGGATCTCTTCCCTTCACCTTTCCACATCACCAAAGAAAAAAAAAAAGTTGAGCGTCGTCCCCGAGGTTGCGTTCATCTTCTTCTCCCGTGAGGCTTTCTTCGTCCCTTTGCACGAAGACACATAACTCACACACATCCCATATCCAGCACAATCACAAGCTTTGATTCCTCTCTGGTAAGTGTCGCCCGATGCCCACGCCCACGCCCATGCCCACGCTCACGCTCGCCCACCCCTCCAAAAACCCCACATCCCACCTTGTCCAGGCGCAGGCGCAGGTACGGGCGAACCCCACCATTATCGACAACCTCAAAAACGGCCAACCGTTGTCGTCTTTGGTGGTTGGTGTCGATGCGCCGTCTGGTGCGCGCTCGCCCTCGCCCTCGCGCCCAGGCCTGTGCTTGACGTCGTCATTACCCTTCCAGCCCTCCCATCCTCTGCCGAGCCTGCCTCCAGGCTGCCCGCCCCCCACGGCGTCGCAACGCCTTTCATTATACTCACTGCACAACATAACATCCGTGTGACCATCGTACGCCTGCCCTTGACTGACTTCCTCCAAGTAATCCCAAGTCAACCGTCCCGTCTCGACATCATGGATTTCACCCAGCAAACTCGTGCCTGCTTCACTTGTAAGTTTTCTTGCGCCACGTTGCATGCTGTTTCTCGTCGGCGATGCTAACAGGTAGCAGGCGGCCAGACCACCCACCAGGTAAGACCGAACACGACGGCTCACGTATATACAATTCCTGGTGTCCGTGACCACTGACCGTTTTTCACTAGGCTCGCGACTGCCCCCAGCGTGGTGCCTCGAAGTGGTGAGTGACACGCCTTGATCGCGACAATCGTCCGTCCTCTTTGTACTGACTCTCCTCCAGCTACAACTGCGGTAACGAGGGCCACATGTCCCGTGACTGCCCCGAGGGCCCCAAGGACAACAAGGCCTGCTACCGGTGCGGTCAGCCTGGTCACATCAGCCGTGACTGCCCCAGCAGCGGTGCTGCCGGTGGTGGCGGCCAGGGTGGTTCCCAGGACTGCTACAAGGTTCGTCGCACCCATCTTATCAACACGCAACCTTGAGACAACCATGCTGATGCTCTCTCCTTGCTCTCTAGTGTGGAAAGATCGGCCACATTGCCCGCAACTGCCCCGAGTCTGGTGGCTTCGGCGGCGGCTACGGTGGTGGCGGTGGCGGCTACAACGGCGGCGGCGGTGCCGGTGGTGCCGGCCGCACTTGCTACTCGTGCGGTGGCTACGGCCACATGTCTCGCGACTGTGTCCAGGGCTCCAAGTGCTACAACTGCGGTCAGACTGGCCACTTCTCGCGCGACTGCCCCAAGGAGTCTACCTCTGGTGGCGACAAGATGTGCTACAAGTGCCAGCAGACTGGCCACATCCAGAGCCAGTGCCCCAACGTCTAAGCGTTAGGCAGGTGATGGCGAGCTCGGTATGAGAGTTTGGATTCCCCGGCGCGGGGAAGGTTGTCGGAGGTCGTATCGTGAGGTCGTATCGTCGTTGACTGGTCTCGTCCTTGGTTTCCTTTGTTCATCTGAATGACCCATACGATGATGCATGGCGTTCTTACTCGCAAAAATCCGGAAAAGCTCTTGTCTTGGAGTTCAGGTTTCGGCTGGCTTTGCATGGATACAAAAAAAAACTTCCTCCATGGTCCCCTCATAGCATCACCTGGTTTTTCTAGAAAATGCGGATTGAATGATGCAGGCAAAAAATGCGGCTGGGGTGTGATGATACTGGTCTAGAACAGTGATTGCTCGAGTTACTTCCGTAACTGATGTACCCTGAACCTGAAACCTGCTGTCTAGTGCATTTCATGATGTCCTCACAAAAGCTGCAAATTGTGACGTCGTGATGTATGTGCCTGTGAAAAGAACCAATAGTTTAGTAATGTCACTTGTCTCGCTGTCTATCTCCAGATGGCCCAGAGTCTTTGTCTTCGTTGCAACGCCGAACACCAAACTCAAAAGGCAACCACTCTTCCCCAGGCATACGTTCTCTCTCTCGTCCGCCCGCCCGCCCATACTGACCTGTCTTTCTTTTTCACCACCTGTTCTCCGGCTTGTGCGCGCCCCTGGAGAGAAGCTGTGACAGAACGAAGTGGCTCACGTCCTCGTCCTGCCAGTACGACATGTGAGATGCGATGGTGTTGAGGGGGTTGATATCGAGTACGCTCCTGTGATGGGGTTTCCCGACGGTCAGCGAAAAGGATCATTCACTCCAGACATACAAGGGACTTGACTTGAGACAACAACCAGGAAGAACGATGAGAGGAAATAGAAGAAAAAGAGGCAACCCACTCCTGGATACTGTAGTCGACCCGCCCGTTGTGGTTCAGCGCCCGCACCTTCATCTCCTCGCGGCGGAGCTTCTGCGCCTTGGCCTCCTCGGCCGCCCAGGCGTCGCCCAGCGCTTTGCCCTCGTCGGCGCGGCTGGCGGCCTCGACGCGTTTCTTTTGGAACTGGCTGAAGAGCGTCTCGAGGTCGTCGTCGATGAGCGTGGCGCTCTCGGCGCTCTCGTCAGTGCTCAAGCCTGGCACGGGCGACAGCGAAGACGTACGGCGCGCCAGGGCCTTCTTGCGCGCCTCGGTTTGCTTGGACTGGGCCGTCGTGTCGGCTATGACGTTGCCGCCCGTGATATTGGTACCGGCGCCGGCGACTTGCGGGACTGGGGCGGCGTTGGTGGAGTCGGCGTTCAGTTTCGCGACGTCCTCATTCGTGAGGCCGAGGCTGCGGTGCAGGAGGGAGTTGGCAATGCCGCCGGAGATGCTCGACCACAGGCCGCTGACGCTCTGGCCGACCTTCACTCCGATACCCGAGAGACCCTGCGGCGCGGACATGCTAAACATGCCTTTCTTGGTGTAGGGGAGAAGCTGTGGCTTCAAGGTTGACATGGCCGGCGATATAAGAGGCTCCATCCGATAGGAGATAGGATCGGACGGGTGGAAGATGTTGAACAGCTGGGCCACCTTGGGCGATGATACGGAGAAGGGGAGGCCGGTGATCGCGGACGTGCGTTCCAGTGGGTCTGCTGTCATGAACGGGTCGTCCATATACTCTGGGTTCAGAGGACTCTCTGAGGGCCTGGCGTTCGGTAAGTGTCGCGCTCCGATTGTCCGCCCCTTAAGCATCTGGAATAGCCCGACAGGCGAACCGAGGCAGTAAAAGTCCTCCGCTTCGAAATCAAAGGCGAGATTCCGAGGATCATGGCGCGGCTCTTCCTGTCGCCCACTGGACGGCGGCCAGAAGCGTAGAGGGTTTCGCAGCTGCTCGGTACGCTGCGGCTTCTCCTTTTGGCGACATAGTATGTCAAACATGATGGCGCTGCCTAGCGAATGGCCCATGATGTGGACCTTGCCCTTGAACTCCGGGTTCCGCTCCATGAAGAGCCTGTAGATCCGGTTCGACTCCTTCAGCACGATCTCTGAGATCTGCTCCCTATATGCAGACTGGTATAGGAGGACGTCCAGAGCAAGATCACTTATCAACGAGCGAGCGAAGGCAACACCTTCTATGGTGATGTTTTCAAGAGTAGGATCTGCAGATTGGTTAGAAGACAGGCGTGGCGAATCCATGTCATGGGGGAAGAGTGACTAACATTCATCCTCTTCATCGAATGTTGTTCCGAGGTCGTGTTCACCTTTCTTCTCCCGGCGCTTTGGAAAGTCGAGCAGGTGGCGCCAACAGACTGGCAAAACTTGTACTCTACAGTTTCCAGGCCCTTCTCCAGACTCCGAATTCAGAGCTCGAAGATCATCCGAGTGAGAGTATACGCCTTTCAGTGTTTTCCTCAATTGGTTGACATCATGCACAAAGTTGATACTTTCCATGCTATCTTTTGGGTCAGTCCTCTGCATAAGTCAAAAGAGATCAACAGCTCAACTTACCGAAGACTCAATAATTGGCCAATCCCGTGGGTCACAAGGACGAGATGCTCGATGTCTCGACCCTGCGCCTCGCCAGCTTGGATATTGTAGTCGTCCTCAATCTCTTGTTCCTCTCGCTTCCTGATCTGCTCTTCAGCCCTCTCTGGATTCTCTGCGGTTTCAATGTAATCCGAGATCTGTCTCTTGAGAGGCGCTTCCTGCTCCTCTGGCTCATCCTCGTCTCGAATATCGGCTTTCGCATCGGCACGGGATAAAGGTGGAGCAGATCGACGTTTCAAAGCTTTGGCTCGCTTCTCCTCGCTAGAAGGCTGTTGTTGAGGTAAAGTGGCGGTTGTTGGTGTTACTGGCCGCTTCTCCTCCTTGGCTTTTCCAGGTTCCGAATAGCCTCGTACCAGTTTTACACCGCTCATGTATCCTCCACCGGAGAATCTCTGATATACTGTCGACGTCACCCAAGAGAGCACGCTGTCTGTCGAAAGCCAGGCTGTGGTCGAGTCTTGGTAAGTTGCTATGGAGTTCATGTAAGTACCGAACAGCCTGTAAGTTTGGGGTTGATGCTGAGCAAGAGTCGGTGTTTGAGTAGGCTTGGTCTTGGCCAAGTCACTGGCTTGTGCCAAAGCCGTCGCCTTGAGGTTCTCTTTTGAGGCTTTCGGAGTGATATCTTGCTTGGCGGCGGAATTACTGCGAGATCTAGTCTCAGGATACGTCCACTAGATACGGCATCAGCCTTTGTACGTGACTAAAAGGTGTTTAAAATGTGTCGATGGCCGAGCCTGCTCGAGGATGCAGTCGGCTATCCATGACTTACTGGCTTAGTTTTCAGATAGCCCTCTTCAAGCTGGGAAGCAAGGTTCTCTTCACACGGGCGTAAAGTCGAGCCCTCTTGGTAGAACCAACTGCCTCTTCTCACGTCATAGATCGGTCCAAGCCAATATACTGGAGCAAGCTCACGTTGCTCGATGTCGACGTCGAAGAGAAAGTCCTCATTGACGGGGACTTTGACACTCTGTCGCTGGCTATCAGCATCCCCATCGAGGCTGGAGTTGGGGTTGCTGCCGCCAGACGCTGAGCGCAAGCGCAGAGAGTTGGATCGCGCATGCCTGATTGCTGCACCCTTTCCACGGCCCTCCTCGAGCTCTTCCAGCAGTTTTTGATACGCCGCCTCGATAGATCGCGAGTCATTGTTGGAAAAAGCGACAAACTTTTTCGGGGCGATGGCTGGTTTGGCATCTTCCTTTTCCTTCTTGCCTCTGAGAAACTGCGGTTTTCTTTTCGGAACCTGCAGGAAGTACAATCAGCAGTTATCCAATGTGCACATTTAGAAATGAGGGCCGCAACCTTACATCGGCGGCATGGAACCACTTGACATTGAGTGGAGGACAGTCAGGCGGGTACTTCCTAAAGCTTTGGCCGTACAGCGTTGTAATGGCATGGTCGTCGGCCTTCTTGGAAGACTCGGGCATTGGTTTCGGGGGAGGCGGCATCTCTTTCTGTTTAGACTTCTCCTTGTCTTCCCTGGGGCCTGGGGTGCTGCTGCGACTGATGGTCCACGGGTTGACAGACTCAACGGCGGTGGCAAAATAAGACTTCTCGGGCTTCTTTTCCGTCTTCTTGTCGTCCAAGCCCTCCGCCTTCTTTCCCGGAGCTGGAGCCATGTTTCCGGAACGGCCGAAGGGCCATATATCCTTGGGCGCAAACCAGATGTGGCGCGACTGGGTTCGAAAGGGAGATTTTGTTGCGCACCTGAAGCTTGCTTGCAACAGAGCGATCGCCGGGGAAGCCAACGTGTTCGTAGGTTTGTAGATCGCACTGCGGTCGGGTCACGGTGTTGCAGGTTTCACAAGGCTGGGCGGAATGGAGCGGACTGTTTCTGCTATAGCAAGATGTTGCGTCAGCGGATTAGGCTCGAGCCCGGCCAGCTCAGGGAGGAAGAGGCTGTGCTAGGTCCTCCAGTGGCAAGGAGAAACAAGGGGAGAGGAATGAAGGCGAGACCAGGAGTTGGCGTTCCAGTGTCGGGAAGACTGGGCAGGAGTGGACGACCCGATGATGAATTCCGAGTCTCAGACCAGAGAGACAAAGCAGCGGGACCGGACAGCATGGCAGTTCACATGCCCAGCATTGGATGCACTGTCGAGCCCCACCACAGCTCCAGCGGAAAGCTATGACGCCTTGCGGGCGGCTCAACTGCACTAAGGTGCCTGGAAGACGCGCCAGGGGTCCGGTGACCATGGGTGCCACGGGTTGCCATCGTGGGGGGCCGGTGACCCAATTTTTAGGCTTTGACAACGGAAACGAAGCCCGGGGCCATATTTGAAGATGAGATGAGATGAAATGAAATACAGACAATTTACCGAGTAAACGGCACCTACCTGCTCGTTCTTTCATGACCGACTCATCACTTCAGACGCGAGAAAAGTGATGCCCCAGTATAAGCCGAGTATCTTTTATCAGGCCGTGTTCGACGAGGGTCTCTTGACGGTCCGACCCCAATGCTTCCTTACTACCTAGGTAAGGCCAGGTTTGTACCGCAACGTGTGTATATGCCTCGAATGCGGCTGGAGGCCGAGAGACGGAGCAGATTGATGACCTATTTACCACCACTTGTCGTGTCAGTATGTCTGATCTTACAGAAGATTGAGGGACACCATCCGAGCCCGAAGCAGTGACACAGCTTACTGTTTTCTTGAGGCAGGCCCATTATAGCCAAGCCCCGGTTTGGCATCGTCCGCAATTGGTGTTTTGACTGGACGTTGTGGTTCACAGTCGGGCCTTGAGGAAAGAGAGAGCATCATCTAAGGGATACTCTGTATTGAGGAACTCAAATTTGAAAGAAGTCCATGGTTCTGTGGGCAAGCTGTAACTGAATTGTTGCCCTATGCCAGCAAGGTTGGGGATGGGGCCCCAAGCGTCCGTGTAGTGGGAACAAGCAACCCTTGTGGCAACCCTTCTGGCCACATCACGACATCGTCTGTCGCTTCCTTTAGAGTGGGGAAAGAGGCTATCCATTCGCGCGCAACTGGCTTCCAGGTTGAAGTGACAAGCGTCTGGCCCTATGTGTTTTAGATACTGCGAATCAAATTGGTGCGTTGCACCCCCGTATGGCAGATGTCTATTATGCTCAACTTCCAAGGCAGCTTATTATCGTGGGACTGAAGGGTCAACATGAATTTGTTGCTCATGGCAGATCTTGGTGAATGGAAGAATGGTTCGTGGACCGACTCCTCATGGCAGAATGCACTTATTACTCAGTTCAAGGCACTACCGCTTGGTGTCTGACGCGCCTCTGAACGATTAAATTCCTATACTCTTGGCAAGGCGCCCCGATCCCACTCAGCTTCCTAATAGCATATAGCAGTTACCACGCATTATTACGAAGGGGGCTGCCACTGACGCCATGTTCCTAACATATGATGTTCCAGCAGTCTATGGTCACCGTGTTCCTCGAACCAAGGCGCCTCACCCGCTGTTGGGGCCCTGAACGCCGTGATGGGCAGTACCAGCACATCCCCCACCAGCTTAGGCGTCGCCAACCCGCTCAGATCGTCCTGGCTCGTGATGTTCGGGTCTGTCTCAAAGAGGTATTCCCAGAGGATCTCTGTCCATGCCAGCGGTCCGGTGGCGTTAAGGACTTGTATGTTGTCTGGGCGGACCATGTCCAATGTCGTGTTCTGCGATTGCGACAGATAACGCAGGCCTTCCATGGCCCGTCGAACCATCCGCCTCAATACCGGGTGTCCTGGAGCCGCGGCGATCGCCCACTGCCCGAAGCGGACCTTGTACGCGGCCGTAGGGTCAGGCGTGATGGCGTCGTCATGCTCCGGCGCGCACAGGAGCCGGACTTGGGGCCGCAGTTCCGGGGGAACCCACTGGTCCAGGGGGATCAAGGGACGGGTGTCCACGTCGCCGTAGTATCCGCCTTGCGCGGCGAGCACGAGGTAGCGAAGGAAGTCGGACTTGAGGGCCGGGTTCGTCAGCTGCTGGAAGACATCCAGCTCCTCCGAGTTGTGGCCGTAGTGCACCGCAACCAGAGCCGAGCCCCCGGTTGTGCTGAGGAAGGTGTAAGTGTATCCTGGGGCATTTCGAATCCAATCCCCTACGAAAGATACTTCCCGGTCTGTGATGGTGTCGCCTATGGGAAATAATATGTGCCAGAGTTTCCGCGGGATCAATGATTCACCCGGGTCGTAAGGGGTCGGGGATGGTGTAGGATAGTGAGCCTGTGTTTGTACCCCAACCGTCTCCAATGGGTTTTGCACCTCGCGATGCTTCTGTGAGAGCTCCGACGACGTAATGGTATTCGCCATAGACCACGAGATGCTGCTGGAACTTTCGTCATCATGGGCAAGAGACACCAGCCAGATGAGCACGAGAGCCAGAAGCCCAAGGCCATACCGTTGATTTGGCACTCCTTGTACTCCCATCGTGAGGCTCAAAGTTCATGCCCTTGTCATGTCGACGAAGGAAAACTAGCCAGATAGCTTCATACTTAAGAAAGAGCCATCGGCATCACAACCAGTGCATGACTACAGGTCCTGCTGGTAGAATAAGACACATGTCTCTCTAGTAGAGGTACCAAATTTCGCGTTCTCCATCCTTGCCAAACATTGTCCCTGGACGAGCCGCGAGCGGTGTCAAGTAATTTACATGGTAAGGGGAAAGGACGGCGCTGCAGGACCCAGTTTGACAGTGTCTATACTCAACGTTGGCATGATTTCTACGTAGTATCGGCATTTACCTTTGCCACTCGGGAGTCATAAAGACGCTCAGATAGATGCAACCGTGGCAATTCTTGCCTTGTTCTGTGTTGAGCTTTACATATTAGGGGCCAAGAGTTACTCAACGTGTGACATTCTAGTCCATGCAAATATGACAAGCAATTTTCCAACCGCGGCCGAGTACTACAATCTAAATGAGGGAGAGAAGTGATTCGCTCATCAAATCCCAAAGGCTACTGTGATGCCGAGTTGCCACCACCTGGACTGCCTGCGCTATGAAGCAATGGCTTACTTATACTGAGATGTCACCATGGTGCTCGGCATTGCCTCTAGGTAGCCACGCTGGACGAGACTCCTTGAAGATAAAGTCTTGACATCGAGGAACAAACTCCCCGAGGCCGCCGACCCTCGAGACTATGGCCATCTCCTCATACAGCCTCGTGATATTGTATCACGGCAAAATCCTCTGCGAGATCTTAATGGACAGGTTGAGAATTAATGATATGTAGTTATCGCTTGTTAATCCCACGTGCTACTTTTCATCTCATCTATAAGCTGCCCTCGGCCCCGGTACCGTGGGCTATGAGCCCAATTCCGTCCTGGTATCTACCCTAGTCCTCTGACCGCCCCGTCGACAGTGTATTCGGTGACGCCCCATTCCAAATCGTTGCATACCAGTCATATCTCCTTCCCAGTTTCCAGCACTCCAAAGACTCGCGCCAGCCGCCTAGAACGAAACGAAACATCCAGCCATAGACTCCCAGATCACGGCCATATTCTCCGAGCTCATCACTTTCAAATCTTTCTCTCTCTGTCTCTCTCTATCCTAGCTCTAAATAAAACCAACCGCTGGCTCGAAAAAGAAGTTGCTCTTTCCTCTCTCCTCCCTCTTGAAAACCACGCACACAGCTCGTCAGCCGTTGTGAAATGCGGCCGCGCCCCCTTCTCAGAAGATCTGCTCGACGCCCTGGAACCCGCGCTCCCTGCTCTCCCAGTAGCCGTCCTTGCCGCCCTTGATGCGCCAGACCTCCTCGCCGCCGCCGTCGTCGTCGCCACCGGCGACCTTGACGAACCAGCGGGGCTTCCACTGCTCGCCGCGCTCCTCCATGTCCCGGCGGCGCGCCCGCTGCGCCTCCTCGAGGCGCACCTTTTCGCCCTCCGCCTCGTCCAGCTGGCCCTGTTCCGCGAAGCGCTGGTCCGGCCGCAGCCGCGCGTCCGTGGGCGGGAGCCGGCCCTCCTCGATCTGCGTCACCTCGTTCAGGCTCGCGGCAAACGTGGTCATCCCGTATGTGTTAGGCGCATTGGGTACCAGATCGCCGACCTTCCACAGCTCGCGTCCGGTCTTGCCATGCTCCACGACCCGCAAAGCGCCAGTCCATGTCCCGGTGAGGGCCAGGCCAGTGTTGCTGCCGTCAGGGTTCAGGGTGTCGATATGAACGTCCTCACTACGGCCTCCGAACATGCCCTTGGAGCGGAACTCAACATTGGCGCGAGCACCAGTGCTGTCGTTTGCTACGACCATGGACCCGACAGGCTCCAGGTATTTCTCACCCATGACGACATTGCGCAGAAACATGGTGGCGTGCGTCCAAGAGTAGTACTCGTCAGTGCCGTCGGGCAGACGCAAGGCAATGCGGACCTTGCCCTCAGTGGTGAGCTCGGCGCTCTTGCCCCAGAACTTCTGCGTAGGTGCCGGGCTTTGCGCAAAGGACCAGTGAGCGGCGTCCGCCTGCATGGCTAAGCGGACCGGACGATGGCAGACCTTCTCCACAACCAGTCGGAAACCACCAGGGAACTCGGCGTCTGTTCGCAACAGTTCAAACGTTTCGCCCAGAAGCGGGTTGAAGGGCTTGCGTATTGCACGCTCTTTCCCACGGCTGGCACTGAACTGAGAGACAGCGAAGGCAGCGACGTAGAGCATACGCTCTTTGGGTGTCTTCTGTTTTGTCGCATCATCAAGCAACTGGGCGTATTCAAGTTGCTCAGAGACACGCTGTAGCATAGATATGGGCTCGTTCGCGGATACAGGCATTGAGATTGTACTCAAATCCTTGCCAACGTTCTTTCGGACGAACGCAATGAGTGATGGCGGGAGGACCTTGGCAGGCGGAATGGTCTGGCGGCGTTCGACGCCAATATCAACAGGAAGGGGTGCCAGAGATTTTGGTTTTGGTGGAAATAGTGCCGCTGCACCCTTGGCATCCAGGCCATCCTTCTCTTCCTCGACAGAGGACACGGAAGAAGACGAGTGGATGGATGCTTCGTCAGCTTCGTCGGCTTCAGAACCTTGCGAATCTTCCTCGCTGCGACGGTCGATCATCACAACCTGGTTGTCCGCGTCGCCGCCTTCAGCATCGAAGAACTCTTCAGAGGCGGTAGACTCCAAACTCATCCGTGATCCTGTAGCAGATCCAGGCATCGGGGTTCGCCTCCGCTTGCTCTTGGCAACAACCGTCGTGAAACCCGCAATCACCGAATCGAGATCATTCAGCAGTGCGGTGCAGTGATCTTGAATGCTTTTCTCCGCCTGGCTTGGCCCCTTTGATCCCGCTTTTGAGTCGTGTCCGTTGGATGTGACGGTGACCGCAGAGCCAGGCGACGGTACCGCCAGAGCCGAAGAAAGTGCAGGCTGGAAGACCTGCGGACTGAGAGGCGCGGCACTGGACTTGCGCCTCCAGAACGAGCGCCGTTCCTGTTGCGGGGGGAAGTAACCATCGCCTTCTTCTGGGCCGCTTGGTGTTGCGGGTGAGAGATACGAGCTGGACGGACGAGTGTATTGCTTCTGAGCCGCCATGTCCTTGACCAGGCGCCTGAGAGCATCCCTCGTGCCAACAACGCGGCTCACCAATGACTCAACCTGCTGCCATTCCCTGTCCTCCTCCTGCTGCGTGTTCGGAACGCGCGGGACGGTTTGGGTGTCCACCTTGAGCGTGTCTCTCCGAGCAAGGGTACCCTCCGGTATAGGTTCGGGTTCGATGCCACGAGCGATGCGACTAGCTCGCTCGAGAGCCTTGGCCCATTCCTTGAACTCCTTGACATTGGCCGCCCGCAAATGCCACACCTCGGCGCCAGAGTCGATGTTGATCTCCCTACGTCGTTCATCCGCGGCAATGGCAGCCAGGCTCAGGGGAATGGCGCCCCGTAGGGCGGAGGAGTTGCGGTTGTAGTAGTATGATAGCGTGCAGGACGAGTAATCCAGCGAGAAGAACCTGCGAGCAAAACCTTGACCCTTCTTTCTCCGCCTCTTGAGCAGAGTGCCCGTATGATAGGATGAGGACGCGCCGCCGCCCTCGCTGCGCCCTGCGATGGACTGGGCCCTGTTCTTGTGACTCTGCAGACTGTCGACGGACTCGGATGCTGTGGCGCCCAGTCGCGGGCTCGGTTTCCCTAGGCTCGTCTTGCTCGCCGTGGCGTTGGGCGCGGCCATCATGTTCGGTAGGTGGTGGGCTCCTTGGGGCGGCTGGTCGGTCGGGAAGGTCAGGAGGACGAAGGTGGCCGTCTTTCCGGTGGTCTTGGAGAAGGTGTTGTCGAAGACCAAACCAAACATGCCGCCTTGGCCGGACAGCACGTCGTAGGTGCCCATGGAGACCTTGCCGGCCTCACACTTGCCGTGCCAATTCATCAGCATGAAACCCTTGCTACTCAGCTGGTCCTGCGCGGTGCTGGCATCGCGCTTCGAGAATTTGCCGCCGGTTTTCGCATTGTTGTTGCTGCCGCCATCGAGGTTCTCGAACGACTTGTTCAGCTCGTCGACGCTGGTCGCGGTGTGCAGGGCGGTGGCGCCGGAGCCGGGATGCTTCACGATGCCAAAGTTGATCGACTTCTTGTGCGGCTGCACGCTCCACGAGATGCTGTGGCCATCTTCGACTTTGACCCAGCGCACGATGTAGGACTGTCACGAGTGGCGCCCATGTCAGCTCTCCATGTTTTGCCAATTTCCAAGCACGTCGCAAACGTGTCGGGTCTGCTGGAGTCTGACGGGAGTCTCCTGGAGGCTCATCTGCCTGCGCGTACCACGTACCTTGCTATGAATCTCGAGCTGCTCGATTCCCGCCATGGTACCGACTTATATCGTCCAGGGACGCTCGGGCAGGGCGTCACATGCAGTTGGGCTACGGGGTGTTTGTGTTCAGAGCTGTTGCAGCAGCAAATCCATGGCTCGGGTCGCGATATCAGAGAAAATATTCAGTGAGGATAAATTGGGGGGTCGGGCACAATCTGGATGCCTGGAAACTTATGGATCAAGCCAAGCTGGAGAAAGCGTCACAATTCCAACTTCTTAAGTTATCCACGGTGGTGTACTTCTGGCTGAGTCGAGGTGACGGGGGGTTGGACGTCAATCATCGTTTCGCTTAAATTGATGAGCGGCCAGGGGCCTTCAAGTGCCCCCAGGGGGGCCTGGAGGGGGCTCTCCCAAGTTCCCAGTAGCTCGGGGGGCCGCAGGAGCCGTCCCTTAGGACCACCCAGTTGGGGCCATGTGGCTCGTACATCAGCGCACTATTTTAATCTAGCGCATGCGTATGCGTGTGCCGTCCACGCGCCCGCCAGCGCCAGGGCTGTCGACGGCATTGTTTACATCGTCATACAACCTAGTTAAGCAGGATCTCACTCAGCTTGAGCCGAGCCTCACAAGGCTCGGGCTGACGCCGCAGCACGTCTACCCTGCCATGGCTTGGCTTTGCTCCAAGATAAATATATCCTTCTTCGTCCATACGAGAACTTGCATGTTTTACCCACCATGGTCGTAAGTGAGACCTCGTTGGGATTCCAAGATTCAAACCATGCGGGCCCACAGGTCTCGCACCGAGGCCGAGAGCTCGCAATCTAGTCTCAGTTGATAGCTTCCATCGTATCCGAGGAAGAAAATTCGGCTTTCTCGGATAGCGGGGTGATTGGACTCACCCCGTTTTCACCATGGATCATTCTCGATCGAACTTGTATGTCAGCAAAGCAAATCGAGAGCGACCTCGCAGCTTTCAATCAGGTCGGGGTCCATCGTACATGTTTGGATACGAGTGTAACTTGGTTCACAGCCCTGAAAGAGTCGTCGGCTACAGGAACAAGACGGTGGCGGGTTTGCGGTTTTTGGTGTCTCAAATCAACCATTCAGTCTGTCTGATACTGAGTAATATCTAATTTACAAAACAGGCCTTCTTGGCTCAGACTCCCGGCAGCCAGATCAATGGAATGCTTTTCATCGCCAGGCACCGTTACGGATCGTGCCATGGCCCCCCCTATGCAGTGCACAAATTCGCGCGTAGGCTCCGGCCTTCCGCATATCTCTAGCATTATAATTCAAACAACGGGTACAGGACGGGCAGGGTCGTGATCCTATCTCCTTGCCATCTGCTGTGCCGTTTGTGCTCTGTTGAGCTCGCTCTGGTATCGGAGCTTGAAACCATTGGTGAGGGCTCTCATATCTGGGTAGGGACTCTTCAGCATCTCGTAGGCATTGGGCATGATCTTGATCGGCCACTTGAAGATCTGGGACTGCTTATTGGTCTTGAAGGCCAGTGTGAAGTATCCCGGGTGCTTCGAGTCGATGCAGATCGTGTAGACGGCAGCCTTAGGGTTGGCGTCCGTGTAGGCTGTCAGCCACTTCTCTGTTGCTGCTGTTAGTGACCGTGATAAGTTGACAACCGCCGTAAGGGGGGATACATACCAATATCTGTGAGACTACCTTTCCGGAACTTGTCGTGGCCGACAAGCTGGTCGACTTTTCGGGCCATGGCCTTGACGTGCTCAACGATGAGTTCATCGAGATCAGAGTAGGTGTATTTGCCGCCTACGCGTAGCACCTTACCCACAGAGAACTCCGAGTCCTTCTGGAGTTCGAGGACATCGATGTGCTGGAAGACACCATCGGCCACCTTCCAGGTGACGGCAAGGTGGTCATTACCCTTGGAGGACGGGCGGATGACTACATCGCCTGTAGCCTGGGAGGCAAGATACTGCTCTGCCTCGAAAGCGCTGAATGGCTTGAACATGGGGTGTTTGATGACCCTCTGAACTCGGCCGGTGACCTTGTCCTTCTCCCGGAGGTCCTCCTTGTCTTTGGCTTCTTGCTTGGAGTCCCATGTACCCGGGTCGTGATCGTAGTGTTTTCTCAACGGACGGCGCACGGCGTCTTCGCGCAATGACAACTTCGCGTTGAATTCTTTGCGGTTGAGTTCGAGGATCTTAGCCTGTACGGTCTGACCCGGGCGAATGATCTCCTTTATTGATACGTTGGTGCGATGGCTGACTTCCATGGCGTCCACGCGGCCTTCAATGCCACAGTCAAGCTTTACGATGACAATCTCATCCCTGACCATACGCACATTTACGGAGACAACCATACCTTCCGACAGCGAGTCCTTTGTCTCTCCGGTAAACATGGTAAATATTTTCTCAGTAGGAACGGCGCTCAACGCTCTTCGTAGTTCCTCGTACGGAGCTTGCAATTCGGCGCGGATCGTTTCAAGCGTAGCACGCTTTCGCTGGCTGTACTTTGATTCAAGTTGCTCCGCGTACTCCTCAAGGATGAGCTCGTTTACTTTGTCCTGTTCATCCTCCTTGAAGAGTTTGCGCACAATGGCACCAGGCCCGTTCTCGTCAGTCTCGGCCTTGACGTCTTCCTCATCAAGCTCCAGAGCGTCGGCAGCCATTTTACGGCCCAACTCGTAATCCTCGGGATGTACTCGAGTGTTGTCGAGCGGCTCAGAGGTTGAGTTGGATGGGTCATATTCCATATAGAGGAAACTGGCGCAGTTCATCCAGACGTTCGGGCCCACAACTTGTAACTTGTTGTTGTCGGGATCGCCAACGAGCTCGTCTCTAGAGTTGACGGCACCTCCGTTGACGTTGATGGCCTTGATAACGGCCGTGGCCTTGCGAGGCCCTAGACCAGCGACGTAGGGCAGTAGGTTGGCGGTGTATGAATCCCCAACAGCCTCATTGATGTCCACGCCACAAAGATTGACCATGTCAACCATCGCCGTTTCCAAATACTTGAGAAGTTTGTCTTGAGGCAGCAAGTTCTGGCACTGATGGAATATGAGGGACACGATGTCCTTGCCCAGTGTAGCATACTCCTTCATGGGGTTTTGCAAATAGCGTGCAAGGCCTACGCAGTACCGTGTGACCGAATGGAGGCTCGAATGTTCTGCGATTGCGCGGGGGCTGTCTTTGTACAGCCGGGCGACCTCATCGTTGACAACAATCACATCCAGCAGTTCGGTTCGGTAGTCGCCAGATTCCGGGTCTTCGAAGTCGGGCCCCATCAAGGCCTTGTCAGCCACAAGACTCTGAACGTCGCGGATGAGCCTCTGGGTGTCGGCAGAGAAACCGCTGATGGCGATGACATCTGGTTTTCTGCGTTCCACAATCTCCACAAAAGCATCCCGTTGGGTCTCATCACGAGCAAGGTTGCCGAACCTGCCTTGCTCTACAACACGGCCGTCTTCCTCCACCCACGCCCAGAATATGGGATCTCGCGCAGCGTCGCCCATGCCATTCGATAGAGCCAGTACCCGGGGTGTGGTTCCCAGAACCATGCCTTTCGGTTTGTAGGGTGCCTGGTCCAACCTGGATGAGTATTCCTCCCGGCATACCTTCAGCAGCTCTTCTTGACAGGCGGTCCTGATGGTTTCCTTCACGCCCCTGGCGATGAGCTTTTCGAGTTTGAAGAATGCGGCATCCAACACTTTCTGACGCTCCTCGTTCCAAGAATCGGCGGCCGAGCTGTAGTTGTCCGACTTGAACTCCGCATCCATTTGTTCACGGAACCTGCGCTCATTTTGAAGACGTAGCTGAACTTCAACGAGCCCTTCCTCCTCGGCCCGCATCATCTTGAGGAATATTTCTGGACGTGGCGCGAAATCGTGGATAGTTTGGTTGATTAGGTACTTGATTTCGTAGTACGGGTGCGACTCGTCTATCCTTCGAAGACCCTTGTCTGTCCGGTGACAACTGAACTCGCCATTCTGGTAGAAGTGTGTCCGGAAAAGCTTGCGCATTCTGGGGTTAATAAAGAGCTCCTCGGCAAACATCTGACGAGCTTGCTGGATGACAGAATCACCCGTGAGGGCATCAGCGTCCGTCAGGGAATCTGCCAAGTCCAAGGGAGCTTTGTCATCATCGTCCACAGGAGCCTTCTTCTCGCCTTTCTGGGCTAATAGATTTTGAGCGAGACGATCGGGAGTGATGCCATAAGCCTGGACGAACTGATACACCTTGCTGTTCCTAGTCCGCTCCCAAAGCGATGTCTTGGTGCCAGGGCGCTTCGTCTCCTTGGAGACTCCATTTATGGCAGCGATGTCTTTCAGCTGAGCGGAGTACTGGAAGTTGAGGTAGTCCTGGAGGTCTTGCAACTCCTCCATGTTCTCCGCTTCGGGGATGAGAGCATCCAAGGTCTCATCCTGGATGCCGGCAGCTTCTCTCAAATTATCCCGCGCCTTTTCGAGACCATTTCGTCGCTCGACAAAGGCACGGAACTTGATGTCGAGCTCCAAGATCCTCCATAAGTCGTCTTGCGTAAGAAGCTTCTCGGCGCTAACGATGGTTTCTGGAGCTTCTGGGTCATGCGCGTGCTCGGGATTAGGCCTTTTCTCGGCGTGGATCAAGTAGTCCTTCCGGTGCTGAAAGACATAGGGAACTTCAAGCATCTCGACAACAAAGTACTCCAAAACTTTGCCAATGGCCTTTTGGAATGGACCTTTGAGGTCGTCGTCCAACCCTTTCTTGGGCCAGATAAGCTTCGTGATCCACTGGGCCTCCTCCTTGAACTGCTCGCTCGTGATTTGCAACGATTTGAAGGGCTTTCGGTCAAGCTGGAAGCGCTCGGGTTCGTCGGTGTTGCGAATAATGTTGTCCTCGTCCGTCAGCAGTTTCTCTTGCAGCTGCGACGGTTCGAAGACGTCCTTGAGCTCTATGTTGGTGTCCTCGTACTTGCTCTCTTCCTCTTCCTCTTCTAGTTGGAGAGCCCAGTCGTAGTCCTCTCCGTTACCGAAGATGGCTTCCATGTCGTCGACAACTTCTTGGTCAAGGCCAGTGCGGTCCAGAATACTTCCAGCGAGGCCCCGGTCGCGTGGCCGGGCCACCTCAGCCTCTTCGATCTGGCGGATACGCTCTTCTTCATCCTGGGGGTCGTCGTCTTCGATAAAGTCGCCCATCTCGTCATCCAGGCGACCGAGGCGGCTTGGACGGCTGTAAGCCCTCTCGTCGACTTCTTCCTCATCGGAGAACATGTCGTCGAGGCCGTGGCGATCGGCTCCGCGGTCCTCTTCGCCTCGGTGGCCCATGCGCAGCCGTTTCATCTTCTTCTGCCACGCCACCAATGTGAGCGAATGTCGAATGATGCATCGATGAAAGGAATCTTACCTTCTCCGGCTGCTGTGGCTCTCCGAGTGTCTCTCCGATCAGGTCGAGATCTTCCTCGTCGAGCTGAGCCTCCTCCTCCCGTTCCTGGCGTCGCTTACGCTTCCGGCGCTTTCGCGCCTCGGTCGAGTCTTCTGCGTCGTCTTCTTCCTCATCCTCGTCGACGATGAAACCTTCGCGGACCTGGCGACAATGTCAGTGTGACTTCCAGGCAAGAAGACCGGGGCACGCTCACCTTAGCCGCCTCCTCTTCATCATCGTCGTCTTCCTCCTCCTCGCTGGAGTCATCGACGTGGCCATTGCGCGCGCGCTCTCGTGCGCGAGCTTCGCCAGTCTCGTCATCGTACGACTCCTCGTCCGAGCTGCCCTCGGAGGCCTCGCCCATCACGAGGTCCCTCATGGAGTTAGACATGGCGGCGGTGTTGGCAGGGTGAGGGCGGGCTAAAGTTAGGATGGGGTTTGTCGTCGGTTGCACTTGTGCCCTCCAGTGATCGGTCGATGGCTGACGAGCAAAAACGGAGATGAAAATGTGAGCTGGCGAAGACGAGACTGCCAGTCGCACCTCAGCCCACGATGGAAACAGAAGAAGAAAAGGACAAGGCAGCAGCAGCGGCAGACGGGGCAACTGCGGTGATGCTGAGGGTGAAGATAGTGGACCAAGGCGAGGTAACGGCTCGTTGCTTGCGCCGGAGCTGGAAAAATGTACCGCGTCGTTCTGGGCGCCGTAGCCTCGCGAGTCGAGGGTGCCCAGTGATTGGTCGCAGGGATAGCAGAATGGTCAAAGCGCCCACCACAGCTCTCGGCTGAGAAGAGGTAATCGATAACCTGGAACTTGACGATGGAAGGCTGAGACTCTGAAGCTTGACACTTCAGTTATTCGCACCTGTTGGACAGTAAACTCATGTCAAGAGTACGCCAACCCTATCGTGCATTGGGGTTGTCTTTTCTTGCACGCCCGTGGTTGTGAAAATATCTGCCGGCAGTACTTGCCTCCAGCGGTCTTGGTGCTTACCTGTCTAGTTATCGCACTTTCCAAAGCACCAGTCACACAAAAGGGGCCCCAGCCCGTCTCGTCTGTATTGGACTGTGATCGATTTTGCTCATAGTCACTCTTTTTGAGACTTCGTGATTGCATACCTAGCGCGCCTACCTGCGGCAACGTCACCTACAACTCTCGGCCACCGCTCGCCTCATCCGGCTGGTCAAATGCGACGTTTTCAACCGATGGCAATATCTCATAATGGCACTAGTGCCTGTATGCGTTGCATTACTAGTTACTGGCTACTCCATGGCGAAAGAAATCATAGTCTACCTTGGTAGGTACGTCTCAGGCGCAGGTATACTGTCGAAGTGGGAACTCTCGTGGTTGGTGTATCTCTCCCCCACGGTTATCTCACTAAAGAGGCATATCTGGAGACAGAGTAGACTCACCGGGGGCGTTGCGGAAGTGAACCGCCTGCATTTCTCGTACACGGTCCTGAGTGTATCTGATTATTCCATAAATGAACATCTTGATCAACGAGCCAGACCTGCCACGCAAGGCGCTGTTTGCGTGGATAGATACTGGGAGAGCGCGAGAGTGTGAGTGAGAGAGTTGCCAACTTCTAACTACATATTCCATGAAGGCCTCCAGGGACCCCTGACGGTCAAGCATGGCCAATCAGGAGCGGTTGCTCGACATGAGACACAGGGCTCGTTTGCAATACAGACCAGTGCCTCGAGGAGAAGCGCCCTTTGGCTTGACCAGTGCACTGAAACCCAGCCTAATTGGTGAGAGGACTATGCCTCTCGAGCCGTAGAAGCTCGAATTCGGCAGTGCCCCATCGACTTGAAGTGCGGTCCAGACTGAGAGGTGCATTAGCTCCCGTGGGATAGAGCGCTACACCGGCCCCTCAGCCTCCAGAAAATCACTCTGGCACTCTGGTGATCCATGACCCATGTAAATGGAGAGAAGAAGGGGGGCCGCCGCCAACCAGCATGCACCGGGACTCGGAATCCCCAGTAATCGGAAACTCCACGATCATCCTATGTATCTTGTTCACTCAAGGTGCAAAAGGGGTGCCCACCCCTGAATGATAAATTTTCCCTTGTATCACAGGACCCAAACAAGCTCTTGACTGCACCATGGCGGCATGGCCCCCGTTGCGAGTCCAGTCGTCTGATCTTGGCCAAGCTCGCAACACCCTTTTCGCAAACCCTTGTCTTGGGGGCGCTTCCACTGCCCCGCGCTCCGTCTGTGTCTATCTTTCTCTCTGTGTCTGTCTGTCTGGTGTTTAGTTGGGGCGGCCACCGGGGCCCATCATGTCACGGCTGTAGACGCTTCGACTCTCGAGGTTTCATATCTCACAGGATCCGGCACCTCGCCATCCAGGTTCGGGAGGAGGATTTGGGTGCGAATCTCTAACTAGTGTCTTCGTCATCTGGCTCGCTGCGACCTGTCATGTGTAGTATCCCCGCCGACGCAGACAATCTTTGTGTGTTTGCATGGCTAGCTGCAGCTCATCCAATAGTCGGAACCACCAGCGACTGTGCCATCGGCCTGTGAGGACCCATTGGAATTTGGAACCCGACCAGTCGACCTGGCGACTAACAAGTTAGACTGCCCGCCACCATAGAAAGCGACGTCGCTTCTGACAAGTGAACTCGTATTCTGGACCTCCAAGCCCGGGCCTTGCCTTCATACACTCTGTACACAAAGAAACGGGCACCGGAGAATTACTGTAGCAGGCATCACTCGCCCGTCTCCTGCTGCTGTATGTAGGTATTCTTCAACTGCTGCCGGCCCCGGGTACGTGAGCACACAGGTACATACATACATACATATAGACATACATACATACATGCGTCTACGGAACCCCTCCATCCAACGTGCAGCAACATCTCTCTTGCAGGAACTCTGAACCAGACTTTACCAAGATTTGGGGGCCCCCCCCCTTTCTTTGAAGATACGTCCCGTCTGGGTGGCAAGCCGATTTGGTCTGCCCATCCCACGCTACAGGGCAGTGGAACATTTAAGGGTTCCAGTGGGACACCCGGCCTAGTTAGCAGACCCAGGCAGGCCTGCTACTGTTTCTAGGAATTAAGAATCCCACCTGGGCAGCCGGTCTAAGTTAGGTCCCACTCCTCGGCCCTTGCGCAGCCCACCTGCACCCGCCGTGCTGGCCGACTGGCGCTCATTCATTCATCCATTCATTCACTCGTTGCATTGCTGATACCCGTGGACCTCAACCAACTCAACTGCTCGCACTGCTCTTGGCCCGGTGCATCACAGCAGCTCGAGCAGGACGACAGCCCCCTTAACGGCAACGTACTCACAGATCGTCGCCCAGTTGCGATCCACAGGACTTTTGTCGGCCGCATCTCGAATTCCCTCCTGATCCACGGCCCCTGCCGTTGGCGACTTTGGGTTGCGAGGGGCACCATCGCCTGCGTTGTATTGAACCGCTCAGGGCCGCGCCCAACCCACACCTGATCACCGGAACGTGGGATTGACGGGCCCCCCTTGCCTGCGTATATATACGGCGGAGGCTCTGGCTCTGGCTCTTGCTTCTTGCCATTTCTACCGAAGCCGGCCCCGTCTTGCGCATCGGCTCCCTTCGAGCCCATTCATCGTCCCGCCCACGCCGCCGCCATGGCCGACCCATTTGCCCCGCGCTCTATGAAGCGCAAGAACGTCAAGGGTCTGGCGCTCACACCCGCCGCACCCAAGGCGCCGCCGACTGCGAGCACGAACAGCCGCGACCAGGGCGCCAGCTGGGGCACTGGAGGCTCGAAACACGAGGACGGCGGCGATGCTCAGCTGGAGATCGGCATCGAGTTCAACCTGGACCTGAGACAGGAGGACCTGGAGATAATAAAGGAGCTGGGCTCGGGCAATGGAGGAACCGTGAGCAAGATCAAGCATCTCCCCACGGGAACTACCATGGCCCGCAAGGTATGTCTTACTCTGCTTCCTGACAACCGGTCCAGCAGCTAAGCAAAGACAATGGCTAGGTCATCCACGTCGAGGCGAAAAAGGAGATGCGGAAACGCATCGTGCGCGAGCTCCAGATCATGCACAGCTGCAACTCCAACTACATTGTAACGTTTTACGGCGCATTCCTCAACGAGCATAATGATGTTATCATGTGCATGGAGTACATGGATGTTGGGTAAGTCGGATCAGAGCAGCATCCTGCGCAGTCCCGAGACGTTTCTGACCGGGCGACCACAGATCCCTTGACCGAGTCTCCCGCGTCTTTGGGCCCATCCGAGTCGATGTGCTGGGCAAGATTGCAGAGGCTACGCTCGGCGGTTTGACCTATCTATACTCGAAACACCACATCATGCACCGTGACATCAAGCCCTCAAACATCTTGGTGAACTCACGAGGATACATCAAACTATGCGACTTTGGTGTGTCGGGAGAGTTGATCAACTCGATCGCAGACACGTTCGTCGGCACCTCGACCTACATGGCTCCCGAACGAATCCAGGGCGAGAAGTACACGGTCAAGTCGGACGTCTGGAGTTTCGGCCTGAGTATTATGGAAATGGCCATCGGCAAATTCCCGTTTGCCGCCAGCGAGCAGCTCTCTGATGGGGATGGTGCGCCTGCTGGTATCCTGGATCTGCTACAACAAATTGTCCACGAGCCTGCACCCAGGCTGCCGAAGAGCGACGCCTTTCCCGCTATCTTGGAGGATATGATTCAGAAGTGCCTTTCAAAGATACCCGACGAGCGCCCGACGCCCCAAGAGCTCTTTGTAAGTAATTATGCTCTAATGAAATGGTGTCAGACAGGCTAACATCATGCAGGACCGCGATCCTTTCGTGCAGGCGGCGAAGCGGACGCCTGTTGATCTCAGAGCTTGGGCTGTTGGCCTTATGGAGAGGGACAATCGCAAGTCTCATTTGGCACCCCAATTGTCACCCGCGACGCAGGACCTGCTCAGGTCGAGTGATTCGCCAACAAACCACGGTGAGCACGGTCCAGCCTTCACCCCCACGTCAGGCGAAATACCCATTGCGGGCATGTCTGGTATGACCATCTCCTCTCCAAGAGATCAGGCACACAACCGGTCACCCACCAGGAATGGCATTGGAAGTATTGGACGAGCCGCGGGTTCCAGTGTCCACCCCGGACTGGGACAGAGGTCGGCCACGTCAGGGTCCGTACCTAAGATCGGGACCCCTGACTTGTCGCATCCAGCCAGTGCAAGTGCAAACCAGGCCACTTTCTCCATGCCCGGTCGGGCCGCCCCTCCAGGTGGACCTCTACCTCCCCCACCACCTAGAAAGGAGACGCCTGACGAGCTGAGGAGAGAAAACCGCCGGCAGGCTACCTTTGGCCCTCCTTCTAATGGATACGGCCACGCGGGCTACTAGGAGCGCATGCATGGCGAAGCCAGCCCTGTTTGTTTTGGTCACATCAGCGTTTCCTCCACCCCATCTTGATCTGCGTGTATGCATGAAGAGACTTCACCATGTCCAGCATTGTTTGGCGTATATCCTTGGTATGGTGACACCTCCTACCATCCTAGTCTTTGGAGGGGCCGGTCTCACCTGGCGACATTCACATGAGACACCGTCCCCGGCCGTGAAGCAGGAACCGTTCTGTGGTGTGAAGAGGTAGTAAGACATGGGTCGACGAGGGATTCATGTTGAGCGGTGAATATAGCTTCCGGGTTCGTTCCCTGTTTGTGGGTAGTGTGCAGCTTTGGCAAGGCGGAGTCATCATCATAAAAGGAGATGGAACAATCCGACTTGTTTAGACACTTCCTCCTCAAAAGTAGTACTGGGTCGAGGTTCTATATACTACGTGTCCGTCCACCAATCTATTGACCCGAGCCATGCCCAGCAGACTCCGCTGCTGTTCCACTGCCTCTATATTGGATTCCTGAGACACTGTCCGAGATGTGCCTGGTGATGGGTGGCATGGATACTTGCCCGCTCAAGGGCAAGCCGCCGTCCTGTAGACCTATGGTCATGGACATCCCTTGACGTGGGGAGCCGCTTGATTTTGCACGCGCAACACAGGCTACGGCATTTCCCGACCAATGAACCCGTCCTCCAAGATCACGGCCAGGTCATCCAACCGCTTGATCACCAGATCCGTATGCTCGTGCTCGGCCAGGTGCTCGTTCGCCGGGTTTACCAGCAACACCGTCGCGGCACCGGCCCTCCGCCCCGCCGTCATGTCGTCGATGCTGTCGCCAACCATGATCAGGCCCCTGGCATCGCCAATCACCTCGTCGTCGTCCTGCGCCGCCTCGCCGACGGGCCGGCTCAGCCCCCAGCTGCGCGCGATGAACAGGATGCCGGCCGGGTCCGGCTTGGGCGGGCGGAAGTCGCGCGTCACGATGGGCGCGAAGACGGAGCCCGGCAGGAAGCGCGTCAGCAGGTGCGTCACGGGCCCGTCAAAGTTGCGCGTGCAGATGCCCTTGCGCACGCCGCGCTCATCCAGGTACCGCATCAGGTCCGTGAGGCCCGGCTGGGCTATTTGTCTGTGGGTTTCTGTCAGGTCGGGGTCGATGCGGCGGAGTGATATAGGGTTTTGTTGAGATGATAGCTCTCAATCTCGTGGAGCAAGGAATACTCACTTGGCCATCTCCCGGCGCTCGATGGCCCGGATCGACTCCATGGCCTCTTCTTGCTTCGAGGCCGGGGTGAGGGAGTAGATGTGGTCCAGGATGTCGATGGACTTGGGTATGCCCAGAACGGAGCGCATCTCGGTGAACATGTGGTTTTGGGGCTCGCTGTGTTCATCCATCATACTGCGTTAGTGATATGGTAGTCTCGTCTATGCAGGCTCATAAAAAAGGGGATTTCATGATATGAAAACTCGACTTGAGGGTTTTGGTTTATAAAGATCATGTACGTCACTGCTTGGGGATGAAATCGAATTCGAGGAACAGGGGTTAGATCATAGCTCTGAGTGCCTACTTACCATAAGGTCCCATCTACATCAAAGACTACGCCCTTCAGCTGAGGCACACCGGTCGTCTGGGCAGCGCCATGCTTGAGGGGAGCAAACTGCCGTCGACTTGCCTGCGCCATCGAGTGTAAGAGCCGGCGCATGAAAAAAAGAGATGGAAACAGAGGCTACAGTCTACGAAGTAGATTCGGGGTAGAATACGTATGCACTGGGAACATATGTGGACAAGCAGCCCCGGGAGATGAGACTGTGTATTCCACGATCTGAGAGCGTCTCATTAAGCTCTGCCCTCTCCCGCTGGATCATGGAGCGCCGAACGGGGCGCCGAGTTAAGCAGCGGGACTTCGAGTCACCCTATTAGTATGCAAGTGGCCCGTGCACCCGGTCCGTCTCGGCCGCCAGCTGCTGAGCCACGGGACGGAGCTGTGGACAAGCTGTCATCCATGTCATCCATGTCGTCCATAGCCCCGAACTGAGCTGCGAGCGGGAGGTGGCCGTGATACAGTCCAAGTCTTGAACGTGACACATCACAATACCAGAAGCACCTCTGCTCCCAATTCCAGCACACAGACTTTGGAACCCCTACGCGACCCCGTATCTGCAGTCATCTTCCCCATATACACCAGACAATCGCAGCACAATGGCCGACGACGAGAAGACCAAGGCCGAGAAGCTCGCGGCGGCCAAGAAGAGGGTGAGCAACGCACCGCATCGAGACGGACCCAGCTGTGTCTCGTAGATCAGTGACTGACTGACACAATTCGTGACCCACAGGTCGAGGAGATGAAGAAGAAGAACAAGAAGAAGGCGGGCGGCGCCGCCAAGAAGGAGAAGGAGGAGCCCAAGCCAGACGAGGCCGAGGCCACTGAGGCCGTTGCAGAGGCGGCCGACGAGAAGGAGAAGACCGAGGCCGCCGAGGAGCCCTCGGAGCAGCCGACGTCGCCCAAGCAGACGCCCTCGCAGCAGTCCAAGATGCGCTCCGCCTCCTTCCGCGCTGGCTCCATCTCTGGCGGAGGGCCGCTGTCGCCTTCGGCCGAGGGCGAGACAGCCGCCGACATATACCGCAAGCAGGTCGCCCGCATCGAGGATTTGGAAAAGGAGAACAAGCGACTGGCCAAGGAGGCTGCCGACTCCGAGAAGCGGTGGCAGAAGGCCGAGGACGAGCTGGGAGAGCTGAAGGATTCAGAAGGCAAGACAGCTGGAGGAAACGACGAGGTAGAGAAGCTGGTATGCTATCCTTAATCTTCTCCCACCGAAACTAGCGTGGCGCATATTCTAACGCATCTGCACTCTGCAGCAAGCTGAAATCGCCGCCCTCCAGCGCCAAAACACACAACTCCAGTCCGCTGCTGCCTCTCGTCGCAGTCATGGCTCCTCGCCGTCTATCTCCACAACATCACCGCCCGCCGCCGAGCTCCAGGCCCAGCTGGCCTCCAAGTCAGCCACCATCGAGAACATGGAGCTCGAGCTCTCGCGCCTGCGCGCCCAAGCCGAACGTCGCGCCAGCGAGGGTGGCAGTGACAAGGAGCAGATCAACGCCCTCGAGGAGAAGCTCGCCCGCGCCGAGCAGGCCGCCACTAAATCGACCCGCGAGCTGCAGGACCTGAAGCGCAACCTCGAGCGCACCACCGAGAAGGCCGTCAAAGAAGGCAGCAGCCGCACCAGCGCCGAGACCAAGGTCCGGTCTCTGGAGCAGGAGCTCGAGACGCTCAAGTCCGAGAAGGAGGAGCTCCAGAAGAAGCACGAAGCCCTGGAGAAGAAGGTCGCCGCCCTAGGCAATCTGCACAAGGAGAACGACTCGCGGACGCAGGCGCTTCGGCGCGAGAAGGAGGCGGCCGAGAAGGAGGTCCTCGAGTCCAAGAACAAAATCGAGCGCATCGAGGCCGAGAACGCCCGGCTGCGCAAGAAGGACGCCGCCGAGGGCGGCGGTGACGACGACGACGTGGACGCGCTCGAAGACGAGGGCCGCGCCCGCCTCGAGAAGAAGGTCCGCGACCTCGAGGCCGAGATCTACGATCTGCGCCGCGGCATCTGGCACCAGCGCCGCCGGGACATGGAGGCCGGCGCCGAGGACGAGACGAGCGCCAGCCCCGGCGGCGGCTTCACCAACATCGACCTCTCGGGCCCGCTGTCCCCGAGCTCGGCCCGCAAGCAGTCCCAGCAGCAGAAGGGCTTTGGCGACTACTTCGCCTCGGGCCTCAACGCGCTGACGGGAGCTGCCCAGCCGCAGACGCAGGGCCCGCATGCCCACGCCCATGAGGACGACGGGCTCCTCGAGGACGACGACATGGACTTTGACGAGGACGCATTCCGCCGCGCGCAGGAGGAGGATGCCAAGCGGCGCATCGAGCGCATCAAGGAGATCAAGCGCGGCCTCAAGAACTGGGAGGGCTGGAGGCTGGACCTCGTCGACTCCCGGCGCGGCGGCGGGTACGGCGTCGGCGAGGTGTTCGATATTTGAGCGTGCGCCGGTTATTTTGGGTTTTCTGGACCGATACGGCACTCTAACAAGGGAATGATTGGGGGGATTGGCACCGTGCGGTAGGGAGGTTTCGGTCCGTCCGCAGGCGGCTTGGAAAGTGGTCTCTGGAATGGATTATGCGGATAGAATATTGTACGAATAAGGACATTTTACACAAGACAAAATGAAAACCTACTGGATTTGCAGTATTTCACCGAGACTTATGCCTTCCCCTGTCGATCACATACCAAGCTGCTATATTGCACGAACCAGAGAGTTTCTGCACCATGACCCGGGCTAAGACTGTTCAATGATCCCTCCGTGTATTTGATATTAAAAATGGCTAGTAATATACTTGGGTACGAAAGAACGCCTTCTGCCGAGAGAAGAGGTGAGACACAAGGTACGCTATCTATATACAAGACCTCTTAGAACTCTTCCGTCTAAGGGAAAACGGGTCGGGTTGAATGAAACAACAACGAAAGGCAAATATAGCCGCGAGGGCGGCTTCTAGAAAAGAGACCGTCCAACTCCTGATTTTTTAGGTGCAAAACGCCTGTGATGTGGTGTATAGCATGATACCGAACTCCATTTAGGTATGCAGGGCAAAGCGCTTGGCTAGCTTCGTTTGAAATGGTTGCTCTTGTTGGGGCCTGGTGGTGTTCGTACGGACAGACAAAGAAGACAGGGGTTCTGTGTTTGGGGCAACAGACAACTCGGGCCTTGGAGGGAGAAGGGGAGACACGTTCAGTCGCTGCGAGACAGTTAGCATACTCGTGTTTATTCTGGAATACTGGCGCTTGGCTTGGGTAGGACTTACTAAATCTCCTTGGGCGCCAGCAGGTCCGCCTGATAGAGCCAGTGGTTATCCTTCTCCTCACTCTCGAGCCAGTCATAGGGGAACTGCACCAGGTGGCCCTGGATCATGCCGCACAACTCTTCCGCCTGCTCGCGGCTGAGCACGTCGTATGGGAACACAGGGCCCCGACGGCTGCCCTTAGTAGTAGCACGGCGGCGGCGGCGTGTCGAGCCCATGCCAGAGTTCGGCGCCGCGTAGATGCTAGAGGTACAAGGCCCGCCGCCTTGAGACGACGTCGGCTTATCTGTGGACGAGAACGTCGTGCGCCGTTCGCGGCTGTTCTGAGTATGAGAACCTGCCGCAGCCAGAGGCTCCAGGTGGCCCTCGGTCTGAGGCTGATCAAAGGCTGGGAAAGGCTGCACAGGTGAAGGGGCCTCGGGGGCGTGGCTATTCGCCTTCTCGTTCTCCGTATTGAGACTCAGGGTGGGCTTCTTGGGCTCCTCCTGGCGATCGTGCTCACCGTGGGCTGCTTTTTCATTCATAGTGTCCTCGTTGGAGATCACAAACTTTGGGTTTGTGTCGGGCTTGAGATGTTCCTTGGCCGCGTTGGCCTTTTCTGAGGCGTTCGCGAGATCTTGGGCGGCCGGGGGCACAGCAACGCCAGCGCCGGCACCACCCTGATGACTTATCTGGGACTTGACTTCTGCCTCTTCATCGCTCTTTTTACGACCTGACATGCTCTCCTGGAAGCGATTTGCATAATCGTCAAAGTCGTGATATTCCTTCCAAGTGAGGACCTCACTGTCTGGCATGCAGCGGAAGATACGACGGTACAACTTTGTATTGTTGTCGGCGACTCTGCACCAGACGTCATCCCAGAAGGATGGATTGACGGGATCTCGCATAACATCGAAACCGATAATGGCAGGCCTGATGTCTGCTGCCAGAGGGTTCAGCTGCTCATGAGTGGGGTTTCCACTGGCGTCGCGGTGCAGAGGTGGACCTCCGATATCAGTGTCATCGGTCAATGGCAATTGCGGGAGTTGCGTTAGATGCGTCAGTCCCATCTCGGCTGTAGTCCGACGGACCATCATTGGTGGAGGTGGCAATTTGACGTCGACCTTGGTGCCATCAGATGACAAACCTGACAGGCCGTCCCTGACGGCTTTGAGTGCTGAAAGACTCGAGTCACGCTTTCGCTGGGCCACACTCGTCCGTCGCGTGGGAGATTTTCCACTAGATGAAGACGAAGACGAGGACGTGTAGCCGTGGTCATGAGTCTTAGCTTCGTTGTTATAACTGTGGCCGTGTGAATGGCGCAGCCCAGCGCTCGAGTTCCTGGCTGCTGAACTAGGAAACTCGTCGGTATCATAGATCCGGCTCATCTCTGCCTCATACTCCTCATCGGTGCCTGCGGAGGCTGTTCTCTCTTGTTCGGTGATCTCGTCAACATTAAGTCCGAGATGTTCTCTCATCAGTCGCATGCGAAGCGAATGGGCAAAGTGACCGACAAGGTAAGGCTTGCCTGCCATGGTGGAATCCACCATCTTGGTGTCGCGAACAATAGCAGCACATTCAGAGTCTCGGCTGCCTAGCATCGATCGCTCGTTGATATTTGCGGATCCAATAAGCACAATTCGATCATCAACAATGATGGTCTTTGCGTGGATATACAGCTGCTCCGTGACGAGACTATCGTTCGCCAGTTTGCCCCATTGCCTCAGACTGAAGAAGGAAATGTATTCCTCGGGGTCAATGCCAGCGGCCTGAAGACGACCAAAGATGGAGTGAGGGCCCCGACAAATACTGCGGTACTGAAACTGCATAATCAGCCGCACACTGCTCCCAGAATCCTGGTCAACGGTATTCTGGAAGCCGGGCACGAGGGGGATCATGATACAGCAACGCCAGTCCTCGTTCTTTTCATGTGCTCGAATAATTCGCTTAACCAAAGCATCGCCGATACGGTTCACCACTTTGGTATTGAGTGTCTCAGTGCTTGTGATGAAGAACTGGTTCTCCATGTACACAAAGTGCTCTGACTGCTCTATGAGATTAACATAGGCCGTCTGGATGCTGTGTTCTGTCACATCTTTGGGGAAACCCAGGGACCAGTCGCCAGCTGAGCGCAGTATCTGTACTTCGCAGGTCCCTGTGAGGCCCAGGTTCTCCAAATCGGCTTGGTTGGCGTCCGGTGGTGGCAGCAGGAAAGGCATGGGCCGGGTCGGCTTTCGCTCTCTTCGGAGGTAGTTCCACCGCTGAATGAAATGGCGCGTAAGATCTCTCGCTGGCTGGCCGACAACCTGCATCGAGATATCGTGCCATGGCATACGTGGAACCTTGCTTCTATCGTACATCTCCTCATACGGCTCATTAAGCCTGAAAAAGTCAAGAACACGTGGATTGGAGTAATCCTTGCCGGGCCATAGCTGGCAATGTTCCGTATCTTTGGGCGTCTCTCCGTCTGGTTCGTAGCCGGTTGGCCGGTCATCCGTTAGGTAATGCTGCGGACTGTCCCAACGACCAAAGCAGAGATCAATACCACCAACGAATGCTACGTCGTGGTCGACGATACAAATCTTCTCGTGATGTGCATAGAAGAACTGGTTCTTCTTGAACTGATTCGGCGATCTTTGGACCATGATATTGGGGTGCAAGTTGTGCAAAGCATACTTCGTATACTCGGAGTCAATGGGAATAGCTTGTTCGACATTCCTGTAAATAATCACGAAGACCTTCACCCCTTCTTGAGCCTTTCTTTGGAGGAGTCGATCCAACCGCCACTTCTGACTGATAGCTGCAGGGCGTCTCATGTAAAGCTCCGGGCTCAGCCACCAGTCATGGATGTAAATAACATCCTGGGCCATGCTGATAGCACGCGACACGTTCCACATGTAATCGCGACCATCGACCAACCACTGGGCGAAGGCACCGCTCCTCACAGGGGCGAAACTGTCGAAACGATGCTTCTGGTGCCATTCGGTTTGCTTCAACATCTCTTTGACTGAAAGCTCGAACTGCTGCATGATCCTCTCTTTTCTTGAGTAGAGCTTGATCTTTCGTTCGGAGGTGTAGATCTTCAACGTATGATGTTTTCCTGATGACGCTGTTTCCTCTTGAGCATGATCATCGTCGGCAACGGCCTTGCCCTTCCCTTTGCTAGCGTCCGAGTCTCCAATTGCCATCGCTCCAAGCTGCTTAAGTTTGTTGGTCTTGGATACAATTCGGAAGCTGGGGTCAACCAAATAGACGTCGTATATGTTCATAGTCGAGGGCGATTCGGCGACAACGATGTAGTTTTGCCGGACTAGGAACCACTTGCGGGAGTGCCGAGCAATGACCTTTGAGGGCGTGAGCACACGCCGGAAGTCTACACCTGCCGACGACTGGATGTGCAAGAAACATTCCTTGCCATGGTACGATCCCTCTGCGGCAAGACGTACGCCGAGAGCGGAGAGTTCGAGGAACCGGCAGAGACGATTGGCATCAGCTCGAAACATGAGCCAATGTATCATTTCTTTGAGATACTTCTCAAGCTTGTTTCTCTGCCTCTCCACGAACTTGCGTCTCATGATCGCTGCCTCCATTGCTGCCTTCTGAGGATTCAAATTCGACCCTTCGGGAAGTTCGCCGAGCCCAGAAGATTGACGTCTGATGCCTAACAGGTTGATGCGGGACTTCTTCCGCCTAGCGGTCCCGGGTCTATCCATCTCGCTTGCGGTACCCTCGGCAGCAGTCATCTCACCAGCGGTCGCTTCGGCCACCGCTTCGTCGATCCGACCGTCAGCGCCTTTATCTTCGTCTTCCGAGTCTGCCAGCCCAAGACCTCTCACACTTCTGAGATATGGAAAGGCCGTCCTTGGGAAATGAGGCTGCTTGGGTTTGTTTTTGGGGTTTACCGAGGTTTGGAGGGGATTCTTGTCTCCAAGTGACAACCTGTAGCGTGTATGGAGCTCAGCAATCTCGTACACCGAGCGTTCAATAGTCCATGTCATGCGACTTGGTCCACTGCCATATTCCAACGCAATTGTGAATATCGAATGTCTCTCGCTGTGGCCCTTTTCCTTCTCCCCCTTGTCCGGCTGGCTGTTGATAATCTTCAGCTTCAGCTGCTCGAGGAGCACTGGGATACGTTTGTACCCGTGCTCATCTCTTTGCAGCATGCTGGCGAGGATGACTACCGCGGGTGTCACGGCACGAAGCTCGGCCATAAGTTCCGCAGACTTGTAATAGTCGAATTGCTCATTCTTCCTTTTCCCACTCAGCATCTTGAAAGTGCTTTTCACCTGCTTCCATCGTTGCACCCCAAAGGTAGTTGCTCTGTCGGCGCCGAACAAAGGACGTTTCGGAGTTGCCACGCCATCAATGTCGGAGCCTCCGCCGAACATGTCAGATATACGGCGTCTGTGGCCAGGCATTCTTGGCTGAGAACTTTCGCCGTCTTGATCCTGCTCCTGCCTCGTGTGGCTGATCCAAGAGTTACCGCGGCTCCACCCCCGGCGGGTACCGACCAACTGATCACGACCCTCGCCTTCTGAGAGACCGGCGCGATGCTCGGACGCGTCAGGCATTGTGGACCGACGAGCCAAGGTACGAAAGCGGCCCTCCATGGCAGGCGAGTCGAACTCGTCGCCGATCCTAGGTGTGTTTTGAGCAGATCGGATATCCAGGTTCTTGAGCCGGCGGCGCATCCTTTTCCTTTTGTTCGGCTTCGCAGCTTGCCGGGCCGCGCCCTCATCTCCACTTTCCTCCACATCGGCGTCGCTACCTTCTTCGTGGGTAATGGTGGGTATGCGGTGAGAGCGCGACATGACTGGAGAGCTGCTCGTCGACGCTTGAGGAGTGTCGGAAGTAGCAAAAGGCCGCGGGGTTTGCGAGGGCCCGGCAGCAGTCAAGGCCTTCAGTTTTGACATTAGTCTTTCTCCACGAGACCGCCCTGACGGGTCCGCATCCCAAGAATCATGCCTTGTGTGCGAGTGTATGGAGGGCGGGTCCAGAACTGTGTCTGCCCTCGCGAACTGAACGCTTCGCCGGCCCGGAGCGGGGGAGGCACCATCAAGCGATGGCGAGATATCACCGTTCCCGGAGCTTCGGGCAAAGAAGTGTCTTCTCGGAGATGTGGGAATCGCTGAGGGCGGCAGGCCTGGGGAGCCGTTGCGGGAGCCGTTGCCGGAACCCGAGACTGGCGATAGGTCTGCATGCGGCAGTCCCCCATTCAGATAGTCATATGCCTCGTGAGATTCTTCCACTGGGGTCTCGGACAGGCCACCATTGGGACTGAGGAAATCGCTTGTATGCGTCCTGGTAGGCGCTGCTGGACCGCTCAAGGCACGTATGAAGGTCGGCCGATCGATGGCTCGCGAGGGAGTCGGACTCGTGGCGTCTTGATCCTTCGTCCTGGGCGACGGCGAATCATGGCGATCCGGCCCCGACATGGTGGTCTATGTGCGGATTGTACAACCCAAGCCTCTCGGATCGCAGCCACCAATGTCTCGCCTCGGTAAGGGGGAAAAGTTTCGCAGGTTCACGTCTGTCTGGGTTTCCACTGTGGCTGCACACGCATGTTGGCAAGAAGCTGGACCAACTTTTCGGATGAAACGGGTGAGCTGCAGGTCGAGAGCTCGGCCGCACAGGAGCGGTGACACGGTCTCGCGCGTGAGGATGCTGGGTCTCGTTCAACCTTCGAAGCTGGCAGCCCTGAAGCTCTCAGAAGGAAGCCCTGGGGCTGGCCTGAAGTTACGACTTCACAGCCGATCGTGTCGACGCAATTGAGCGCTCGTGGCGCAGGCGTTGCGACAGCTGTACGGTCACATGCAAGGTTCGCGAGCTCTACCTATCCGTACAGGGCAGCACGTGGGCTGGCAATGGAGTGATGGTGGGCAGCTCGAGAAACGGTTAAGGTATTCGGACAATTCCCAGCCTGGCGTGACATCCCCTTTCCAGGAATCCCACGTTTAGGTCATGGGCGAACCGCGTCGTTGGCTTTCGGGCGCTGGGATCAGCGGGCAGGCCCACTGAAAGCTACCGCCCCTGAGCCAATTAGGTCTTGTCTTCCCTCCACCGGGGCTCCCCCCAGTGCGGCAGGGCCCCCAGATGCAGGATGACCTGGAGGCTCAATGGCAGACGGGGGTCAAGTCAATGACACCCGTGTTGCCGTGGACCTGGCTCCGAAAGAGGCCGCCATAATCTACAACGGCTGGTAGTAGCGGAGCCGCTACCACTGCTAAGTTCGCTACTGTGTAACTTGCTACATGTGGGAAGGCATTCACTCGAACACTTCGCTCAGCAGCTGGACCGGCTGACACGCGTAGCGAAATTGCACCATGAGCTGGCGCCGTCTGCTAGCGTGTGCAGGCCCAGCCAGCTAGCTTGCTGTCAGCGGTTCGTATGGCAGCTCCGTCATTCGCCCTAACAGCAACTTACATGGACGAGGAGACCGCCTTGCGTCAGAGTCCAGAGAGACTGAACAGGTTCCGCTCCGACAGCATGGGCATGGGACACATTCAGCTTGAAGAGGAACAAACCTCGATGGCTAAGATGCGAGTGGCTCCATCATGATCATGTGTCGATGCTAGGGGCTAGCTGCCTTGGCGTGTCCAGAAAGAGCTGAAGTACATACGATGTACGGGTAGTTTGGTTCCGTTCAGTCTACCACAGTTTTCCAGTATTACCAATTAAAAAGGGTCATAGAGAGTGGTGCCAGCAGGCTGGATCTCAGGCAGTGGTTTATGTGACACAGAGCAGATAGGTACGTGACGAGACAAATTATGCCCCATCTATATATAATGCATCGTGGCCCCCGAGTCTGTCCCTGCTAGCAAACCCTGCAATTATCCTCCAGGCCTGTACTATATCGTGTCACTGGTGCGAGCGAGGGTAATCCTTACGAGCGTAAATTAGGCAACCCGTTCCTTTTTGGGATCGCTTGCTTCTAGAAACGGTCTTGACATTCGCGCCTCACCCGCTCGTGCTACTCGGAGAAGGGAACATCCATATAGCATCATGTCTAGAAGCCGTTGTAAGCTCTAGGCCGGTGGGGACTGCTGCCCGTCATCGGCAACATGGCAACCTACTCGTGCCGGCAGAACCAAACGATACCGAGAATAGTCCAATCGGCCGAGTCTAGTGGCTAGCTCTGTTGCATCCCCCAGATAGACCAGCACGATCAGGCCAAAGCGCTGGTAGAGGCGCCGCGTCCTTGGGACCGATCTCTGCATGATACGATATCGCGAATCCATTTCCAGAGATAGCGGCGGGGTTCGTGCCATCGTCAACGTGTCAGACAGAGCAATGCAGGTGGAGAGGCACAGGGATCTGGCTTGCTACGCCATATCGAGATGCAACGCCTGTGGGCTCGAGGGCGAGGCTCCCCTGTTCCCACCAGCCTATCCTGAAAGAGAACCGTCATTTCCGGGGTCACCAACTCTATCGCAGAGGGGTGTTTTCAGCTCTCTTCGCGCTCAGCCAGTCTTGACTCTGCGTGTGCCGATAACTTAGTTATTCTCGACATGTCCCCCTTCGCCCGGGGCCGCCTTCTGCTCTGTCCCACATCGATCCAGCAATGAACCGCATGCCGCAGGCCTCGGATGTCACGACGAAAGGATAGATATACGATGGGTGGTACATGAAACCTTGGGAACGAACTCACGCGCTGCAATCTACGAACATATCAACCAACGATGAAGCGAATGGCATCTGCCAAATCAAGTGGGCCTTCCTCCTCCGGAAGCATGACGTCGAGGAGTAGAGGCGGGACGGAGACTAGCAATGACAGCGTTGTGTCTTCCAGAGCCGCCTCCGTCGCCGAGAGCTCGTGGTCCACGACCAGTAGAGTCACATCCAGCACGGAGACCGACGCATCACCAACCGATCCGCCAAAGGAGCTGTGGTTCAAGACCCTGAACCCTTATGCGCCGGTCACAGTTGTGATGCTGCATCTGTTGTTCAGTTCGCATCTCGAATGGGCTCATGTATGGCCCAAGTTGACGGAGTATCACCTGCTCATCCCGGATATGCCCCATCACTCGCGATCACGATCTATCAAGCCGTTCTCCTTCGCTCTCGCGGCAGACCTCATTGCAGACATGATCCGCAAGCATGCCCATGGCGGCCGTGCTCATCTGGTCGGGATCTCCACGGGCGGTTTCGTTTGTCAGGAACTGGTGCGACGACACCCAGATGTGGCCATCAGCGTCTTCGCATCTGGCTGCAGTCCTCTGCGCGATTTCTGGCTCAACATGTCCAAGCGCCCAAAATTAATTCACCTTGGCCTGCTGGCTATGTTGCACACGCCCAACAACATGTTTCTGAAGGTATCGGGTTGGAGTCCCGAGCTGCAAAACAACGACTTGGTGAAAGAGGTCAAGCGCAATACCACTTCTCGCTTGTCCGAAAGAGGGAATTCAGACACGGCAGCCTTCCAGCAGGAAGCCGTGCAAGAGGTCGCGACAAAAGGTGTCAGGATATGCCTCGTAGCCGGGGGCAAGCAAGACGATTTCGAAGGGACAAGAAATACCGGAAGAGATTATAGGACGCTGGGTACGGGCGAAGCACAGCAATCGCGGGCTTATATCGTGCGGGAGGCCATTCATGCATGGAATCTGCAGTACCCTGAGTTATACGCCAAAGGTATCCAGGCATGGATAGAGAAGTGGCAGATGCCACCAGAGTTCGAGTTGCTTGAGTAGCGCAGAAACGCCAATAACGAAGTAATACGTGGGTGGCAGGATACGATTAATAGCACAGCATCAGCATGGCGCGGAGGATATACCCGACCGTAATAGGGAAAGGCGATCGAAAGCCTGGATGGAGTTATGATGGATGTATTTTGACTGGGACCACTCATTTTCGAATCTCTACGTAGTAATACAGACTGGACCCGACGAGTACCGACAGATCAGATTGGGTTGCATGCATAGAAACCGACCAGTCAGATCGGTGCGGTATTTGAAGGACCCACCAATGCACATTGATAACGCACGATTTCGTACTGCAGGGGTTGGGAAACCTGGGGCAGGGAGTTGCCTGTCCTGTCGAAGTCGCGTGTGGAGGTCACTTGATATTCTCTTTCAGCCTAGACATAGAAGCGTATCCTGGTTTCCTATGTTTTCCTAACTCTTTCTCCGACGAAGGCTAGTATACTTGATATAGCGTCATTCCAAGTCGTGCAAGTAATAGAATTTCGCTTGTATATGAAAAGTACAAGTCATGTGTATTCCGCACGGCACAGGAATGATACAACACTACACTGATCTGAAGAGAACGCTAGTCGTACTGATGTTGCTTGAACTATACTTACATCGGTTCTACTCAGTATCTGACCGCCTTCTTGTGCGGCTCCACACGTGAAGATGAAAAGGGCAAAGTAATAAATGATATGTTCTCAGCTTCGAACTTGATCCTTTAAGCCCATACCTTTTGATCCCCATTGTTCTCTATTCTGAGAACATACTCAAGCTAGGTATTCATTATGCTGAAGTAAAGGTTGTCGTAGGTTATCATACCCAAGGGAGATGCAAATTGCTGATTCATACCAATTTCAGGAGTCGTTTTAGATTTGATATGTTCCGCATCAGAAATAGAAATTATGGATCCTGCCTCTACTTGCAGAGCAAGATTTGTTCCTGATAGCTTTCGCACCATCATGCAATTCGTATCAGCAAGCGCATCTTTGATGTGACGGGTCAGTCCTACTAGGAAACGTTCATGCAAAACTAACCCAGCACAATTCTTCTTGACTTTTCACAAGCTTATCCGCTGCACCTAACTTGAAGGAGAAAGACTGCGATAGTGTGTGAACGATGAAGTGCACCTCATTCTCTGGCAGCCAGACGCAGATTTGGCCCTTGGTATAGGGCCTGACTGCTTGTTTGAACTTCGTCAGAATATGATTAGAGATTTGCTTTTCTCTATCCGTTCAGACTGGCCTCTAGAGACTACTTTCCTCTCCTGTTTTTGTTTTGTTTTGTTTTTCTAGTTGACTACCGAGAGTTGCATATGGTCATATCGCGGAGAATCTGGGCAACGCTACTGATTGCGTCTTCGCAATAAGACCCTTCCCACAGGGCGTCTACCTGCGGGTAGATCCGTAGGGCACGAGTGTTCAGCGAACAGACTATCGACGTTATACGGACCGACCCGAAGCAAAAGCGTTTACCGCACTGGTTGCTCTATATCGTCCCGAGCGATGCTCGCCTCTGAGCAGGGGTTGCAGAACTTCAGAAAATGTTCAAACAGAATCAATTTAGGTATCAAAATAATCCGAATCTAGGAAAGAGGGCAGTATCAGCTCCCAAATCTTGCGGGCCGAATTTATATCAAGTAGTTCAACTGTTGATGCAGAGGCCGGACGTCAGCGAAATCTCTGATCAGAAATCCCGCTCAGACATTTTATCTTTTACAAAATCGGGAAAATCAACTTGTTTCAGAGCACATTGAGATATCGTAGCCGAAATTTCTTGCCGAGATGTTGTGATTCCATCATGGTCCAGAAGCAACCGTGCTCCTCCAGTCCTCGCCTAACATGCCGGCATCCGTTCAATCGGACGACAACGCTTTTTCAAAATTTCGTATCATGAAATGTCCGTTCCAAATTGAGCTGAGTTATGGTTCGGACAATTTTAGGTTTCATTGGGGCTTGAGGCTTTCGGGCCCGAGATTAAGTTACCAGACGATCGGTGAAGGCCGACGCTCGCTTGAGCGCCACAAGCTAGCAAGCCGTCAAGAATAGCTCTTTGGACGCCTGCAAACACTGGCGCGAGTTTAGTGTTCCTTCCTAAAGATAATTGACTACAGCTCCACAGCCTTGCTCCTGGTTCGACTTAGGGACCATGTACGATCATCAGCCTCAGCCTTGACTGTGTGTCTGTTTCAAGCCGAAACAACTATAGGTGAGGCATGGGCTTGTGAAGAGCATGGAGTGTTCTAGACTCCGATTTTGCAAAACGTAAAGAGTCCTTGTTTTTGCTACACATTGTAAATCTGCGATGGCTCTGGTTTGGTTAGATGCCCGCTGAAATATGTATTGTGCCGACGGACTGGTACGTGTATGAGTGGGTGAGTATCAGAAGCGTAAGCGCTCTCCAATGACATACTATCACACTCATTGTAGCGGAACTCCAGAGGGAGATCGGTTCTTCTTGACATTGGGACAATGAACTGATGTTCATAAGCAGCTCAGGTTTTGGTTTTATTTGGTCTATATTGAAAATCTAGACAGCTCTATGTCTGCATGATGCTGTTCAGGGGTACCTCCCAATACCAACTAGCGATCGCCATGGCTCCAATGCTCATCGTGAGAGCCATCAAGAAGTTAACATCGTTGTTGTCCAACAAATCCAGGCCACTCTCGGCAATCCGTGTTGGCTTGTTATCGCCGAAGTGAGACGTACGATGTTTGTCGTTGGGGCTGTACGGGTTCTGGGCCGAATCCCCCCCTTTAGCAACGGAGGACGTGGCAGCTAGTTCAACGGCACGCTTGCCTTCGCCATTCAAGACCGTTGCTTTGATATCCGCAGATTTCTTGAAGTGTTCCCTAGAATTCGGGTTTCCATCTGTCGATACGAGGACACGGAGGCCACCTTCGCCTTCGACGATCTTCCCCGACCTTACGTCACGAACACTTCTTTGCAGCCAGCCTCCCAAGAAACTGTCGAGAAGCGATCCCAATGCCCCCCAGGTCACCAGGCCCCAAGCAAGTGTACCCTTCTGGCTTACAGTCCAAGCTTCTCCTCCCGCCAGCTTACCCTTCGTTAGATCGCTGCACAGAGGTAAAAACAGAAGAGAAGTAGTGACGATGACCATGCTTCCGAAGAACCCAGCGACGAGGCCCCAAAGAGTAACTCCGCCATTGGTACCTGGAGGCACCTTCCTCAGATTCAGGGAGGTGATCAAGCGAGGGCTGCTTTTTGACAAGATACCCAGCTCAGAGCTGAAGGTATCCGCACAGACGGCGGCGTAGTTTGCAATAATACCGATGACCAAGATGTCACCGTTACCCCACGAATAGCAGAAGCTCCCTTGGGGCAACTCCCCCGAGACTATTGCGTTCCGCCTAAGTCTCAACTGGTAAGCATGGAGCAACGTGAGGACGGAGGCGACAAGAGAGTTTGCCAGGACTTGAACGTGGGTCCGGGGACCTTCGCCGCCAGAACTGCCTTGAGAGTGGAGGGTTAGAGAAGCCTTGACATCCTTCTTGATCTTGGTAACGCGGGTGCCGGCAAGGAAGAAAACGCAAAGTAGGACGAAAGGGAGATTCCAGGGATGGACAGCATGAGCTGTCGCCGTGAGAGCGGCGACGACGATGCCGAGCGGCGTGAGTGAGTTGTGAGAATAAGCGCGGTAGACTAGCGCAAGCGTCGCAGGGACGGCAATGATGGCTTTCATGTTTGCAGGCGAGAGCAGGAAGACGACGTTGTCCTTCTACTCCAAATCTCACCACTCCTTGTATCTGGGAGCTGGATGGTTGCTGACATCACTGCCGTCTCCATCATATGCACCAGCAGATCCGGAGCAGATCCAAGGCGATTAGGTAAGGTGCAGCCTATCGGACCGGATGCTGGAAAATGGTTCATCCGGAGCACCATGGCGGTTCCAGATGGTGCGCCGATTGCAGGGACCACGGGGCAGGGCATGGGCAGGGGGTGAAGGGGCCTTGCCAGAACACATAAACTAACTATATTATAGGCCTTCGGGCCGTGCCAGGTGCTCTAAATCCTACCCTGACTCGTCTCAGGACTCAGATCAGTTCAGGGTCCCGTTGTGTAACGACTTCGGAAGAATTTGCTCCTACTCTGCGACTGTTTCCACGAAAAAGTGGCATGTAACACATGTTGCATGACTTGTCACTTTTTGAGGTTGACAGGCCGGCCACTTCAGATACGAAGCAAGCGAACACTTATGAATCAAGCGCCATTCCGGCAACAGGCTCTCTTCACATCAAGTGTTCGATTAAGCTTCGTCTAAGATCAACCCGAGCCACAACATTACCGCATCATGCCGTCTTGCATGGCCGATACATACTCTGATGTTTTCGTTGTCTGTTGGCCGAGATTGGACATTACGTGCTTCCTCGACCTAATGCAGACCGTGAGCCCTTCGCTTATTAGCAGACGACAACAGCAGCACTATTGACTGTTAGTTACCTGTTATGTGCGGCTACCGTTACGTATCGGCCATGTAGACGCAACCTTATAGCTCGCCATGAGACAGAATGGATGCGTGTCACGACGGCAACCGTAAAAGAAATTTCAGACTGGAATTTTGGCGAGGCCCATTACCCTAATCAAAAGATAATCACTGGGTCGAGTTCGAGTTCCTATCTTCCTAGATGACATTCTTCTTGCGAACGATCAACCAGATGATGATGCCTAGATTTGGAACTAAACATGCTATCGTCTGTCGGCCTGTATCGACCGTTGTAACAAACATACTAGAATCGGGAGCCTGGATTTTTTAGGGGTTTCATTCGGCATGCCAACGCTTGATGGCAATCAGCTCTTACTTCACAAGATTAGAAACAGGTCGTCTCAAGATCATATGACGCTGGCCAGAGCGTCGGACACTGTAAGCACTGTAAACAATTCCCATTGGATATGCGCTCCCATAAACCAACCACGACGCTGGTAGTTAATTTACTGCTTGGCGTTCGCCGCAAGTCGCACAGGCCCAGAGTGTCGGGCTGTCGGGCATGATGATCCCTGCACCACACCACTTTAGCATGCGCCGATCTTCAGCCCACCGCACCACTTGGGGGAAAACATCCAAGTCCAGTCAAGGAAACCCCCGGACCACCGAAAAGCCATGTGTGCCTGACCTTCTTGACATGATTAATGACAGGAAATTGTATTGGGAATATGGGCATGACGGTGAGCCCTGCCTACGGATGAGAACTTGCAGCAGCGTCATTGTGGATACCACATTGATGATGATGATAGGGGGCTTTACTCGGGACCGAAATAACTAATACCGCCAATGCTTCAATTGCCGACTCCTTGGGTGATGATGGGCCACCCTCTATGACTTGTCACCGTACCATCAGATTTCACCACATGACTTTGAGAAAAGCTGTGGCCCTCCGCGGGTAGTAATGCGGCTCGCTGGTCTGGACTGATCACGGTCCCTTCGTTACGAGCTCAAGTATCCCCATGCTTTACAGATTCAACAACCGCCAAGCAATCTTCATGGCCTTAGAATTACTGAAGACTTTTAGAATCTTCCACAGCCACATATCAGCACTGACGAAACTCAATGGGTTGGGCGGCTGCTAATTCTTGATCAATGCACTAGCGCCCCTCAGATTCTCACTCTGACATGATCCCAACTGAAGGTAACGTTCAAGCCTCAAAGTCTGCAGCACGCTGGCCGTGACGCCAAAAGCCTCACGGTGCGAGCGCGCGCCTTGACTAATGCTGCTTGTGTGCAACGACAAAGCTCGAATGTAGATCACGAAGCTTCGGTGTTTCCTTTGCTCAGGTGGCTTCTGCGCCCTTTCAGACTATGCTCTCTGGCCGTTGCCATCTTGCCTCTTTCGGGGAGGATCGTGCCATCTGGCCAATCAGTCGGCGCCGCCGTCACCACCACCCATCCCTTCTAGGTTCCTAGACCATCAATTCCGGGCCAAGAACCGGATGGAGTTGTCCAATACGTTTCTTTTCAACCCACCTTCGGGGACGAGCGACCATCTTTGCCACACGTGGAAAGCGCCCTGAGAATTCGTCTGATCCGTGGGAATGGGTCTTTGCTATCTGCTCTTGCACAAGCCCGGTAGAAAAACGTCCCAAAGGCTTCAAGAGCTTGGTACCTCGGACTTCCGGTAGGTAGCCATGGTATGCCTAGACCACGATCCACACTGGCATACTCGGTTGTGCTTATGCCCTGTCCTACCTCAGCCACTACCCTCCTCGCCTTGCCTGATCAGGAAGAACACAAGCTTCGATGAGGGCTGTGGGACAGAATGGCGACATAGCGGCTGCGGCAGTACCACGTCCATGTTACCCCGGGCCGCGCAGTAAGCGAGCGCTCTCTTCGATGCTGGCGATCACGCCCATTATAAACCGCTCCTGAATCCCATCTACTTGCTGCTGATCATCAGAATCATCCTCATCAGCCTTCCTCTCACCCCATTGGCCAGAACAATCCTCCTCGGCCCCTATTGTCGAGAAAGCATTGCTTGCTTCAGTGTACTTCATATATTTGGAGCCATGTACAAGAGTACACTCCCTACCTTGGCCCTGCTGGCCCAGGCTGCGGGCACCTGGGCGTCGACTGTAACCTATGAATGGGATGTCACCTGGGTGAATGCATCACCTGATGGCTTCGAAAGACCCGTTATCGGCATCAACGGCGAGTGGCCGTGTCCACCCATCAAGGCCAACGTTGGCGATACCATCTTGATCAACATGACAAACAGCCTGGGAAACCAGACTACCGGTCTTCACTTCCACGGAATCAACCAGATCAACACGAACTTCATGGATGGTGCTTCTATGGTCAACCAGTGCCCAGTATTGCCGGGTTCTTCCATGACATATGAATTCGTTGCCGATGCTCCTGGCACATTCTGGTACCACTCGCACAACATGGGTCAATATCCTGACGGACTTCGCGGGCCTCTTATCATCTACGACCCCAATGACCCATATGGCAATGACTATGAGAACGAGGTCATCCTCACTGTTTCTGACTGGTACCACAATCAGACCATTCCGCTTGTGCAGCAACTGCTCTCACCAGACAACGCCCAGTTCCGACCGCCAATCCCAGACACCCTCATTGTCAATGAAGGTAGCGACTTCAACATCCAGCTTGACGTTGGCAAGACCTATCGTGTGAGGATCATTAGCTTCGCTGCATTGGCTTCCTTCATGGTCCACTTCGGGGGGCACTCAATGGAAGTAATCACCATCGATGCTTCGTACGTACAGAAGCAGGAAGTTGACCAGCTGCGAGTTACTCCTGCTCAGCGGTATGACGTGCTCATCACTGGCAGCGAGAGTGACCATGGGCAAAACTTCCCTTTCCTTGTAGCCATGGACGTGAACAGGGATTTCGAGGCGACTGGCACAACCCCTCCAGTTTCCTGGAACTTCAATGCGACAGGCTATCTCATCACTGACCCCAACCTGCCCACCGACAGCGTTGACGTCGTTCAGACTTTCCAGCCATATGACGAGAGTCTTTTTGTTTCGTATGATTTGCAGCCAGCTCTGGGTCCTGTTACCAAGACTTGGGTGTTGGACTTCAACTTCTGCAGAGATGAGAATGGCTACTCCCGGTAGGTGACAACATCTGAAAAATCTGTAGGAAATGATACTAACTTGGTTTCTAGCGCTTGCTTCAACAACCAGACGTACATCGGCCAGAAGACGCCTGCGTTGTATTCGGCGGCCACCCTGGGTGATAAGAACTCGGACCCGACTGCGTACGGCGGAGTGTTGCCTTTCATCGTTAATTACGGCGATATTGTTGAGCTTGTTGTCAACAACCTGGATGGCGCTATCCATCCATTCCACTTGCACGGTCACCAGATCCAGGTTGTCGAGCGCCCTCACACTGGTGCTGGCGTGTGGACCGGTTCTAACGTCCCATCCAACCCCATTCCGTCCAAGAGAGACGTAGTCTCAGTCAATGGCAACTCCCATGCGGTCCTTCGCTTCGTCGCCGATAACCCTGGCGTCTTCTTGTTCCACTGCCACATCGAATGGCATGTTGAGATGGGTCTTACTGCGACTTTGATCGAGGCCCCCGAGAAACTTCACGGGTATCCCATCCCTCAGGAGATGATTGATTCCTGCCAATCTCAAGGCATTCCCGTATCCGGAAACGCTGCCGGCAACAGCAATGCTGACGATACCGCTGGATTCGTCACCATCCCTCCAACCACCTACTATGGTGCAACATATCCCTCCCCCAACGGAGGATCAGCCTAGAGATCTGTTTAGAAGATGTAATTGTGTTCTGATAAGGGCATAGGATGTGGTTGACCAGCAGTTAGTTGTTTCCCGTTACCAAGCACGATATGGCGTTGAGCATTGGCAGCGAGTGTGAGTCTGCTATGCATGGTGTTGGGCCTACAAGGGGTCGGTGTGTTCGTTCTTGTTGTAAAGTTCACTTCTCATGGGGGATATCTCTCTGTAACTAGAAATTCGTGGGCCAGTTTGTGGCAACTTTGTAACATTTAAGGTGCTGGATGTATACTCTGAGGTTCTTAGGGGACAGGTCTTGGTTCGACTAGATACAGGATAATTAATAGGCATTACATGGAAACCTCAAGACTGGCCAGTGATGTTTTGCAGGAACTACGGAAATGCACATGCTGCAATACCCGAGATCTTGCCTTCCAACATTGAGTTCCGCAGAAGGGCTGGGGTTTGATGGTAGCCCAGGGTAGCCAATGGTAAGTGCAGCTTTCCGAACAAGCAGGGTCTCCCATATAAAACATACTTGTCGGAGATTTTGTAATGTCTATGTGATTGGCAAAGTCTAGGTTAACCGAGTAGCTGTTTCACACCGGATCGCCTCACCCGAGGCTCTCACATGCCAATCTCGAGGGGCATGCAGCGATCAACCATGCAGATGGTAATGTGATCTTGAAGCCTGCAAGTTCTAACGTACGTGTCGGATTATCGTTCGCCGAGAAACGGTAATTCTGTCCCAAGGCGGGAGCTTGAACCAGTCAAAGTAGAGGTTCGCACGGGAAGGCACCTGGAGGGTCCATGCAACGGTCAACGATGCTTTTGGCTTGTCATATATAGAATCAGGCGGAAGAGCTGAACCGGAGAATTCATACCCCCTCCCCCATGGGTCTTCTTTGGTAGATATGATATTGCAAGTTCGCGATACAAGACTGACTACGGTACACTCTTTCACTTGAGTACAGAAAAGTTCTTGTCTTACCCCATGTTGTGATCAATAGAGGTAAGTCCCTAACAGATTTCGGGAGGCCCAAACATGTGCTTCATTGCGACTGGGAGATGACATTATGTGCTCAATTCAACAACACTGTATTGATATAGTTTGAGACCTGCATTCAAAGACCCTTGGTACCTACGCAGTAGTCCAACGAGAGCGAAACGAAGCAAAACCTCATGTGTCACACTAGATACCGGCATGGAGTCGGGAGTCAGAACTCCGCCTAAGCTATAAGGTGATCCTGCCTATACTTAGGCACCATGCGAAAACCTAGCCATTTCTACACAAATCCATATCACGGATTTGTTTGCCTGATGGAAATAAAACTACCGAGAGGAAACGTAGATTGAGTTATTCAACTAGTCATGAGAACTTGAGAATCATACGCGTGATGATTGACTTCATGAGTCGTCTCTAAATCATGCGGACGGAAGTTAGTCTGACCCCGCGGGGGTGCCTAGCAGGCTGAACGGCGAGCAGAGTGCATGGTTCCCTGGAGATGCCGGTCAGGGTGCTCATGGAATAGCAGTCTGTCAGCCTTAGGCACTCAAGCCTTGCCGGCCTCAGCTCGTAACTAGCTAGATCCAGTAATGCACACCCGCATCGGATGTCCGGTTGACATATCGGCTTGGTTGGCTGTGATTGGCACGCACCACGCCTAGTTCCGTGCCTTCCTCAGCCTACCAAAACGTGAACTAAAGTCTCGGATGCCTGGCAGATACGGACGTGCCGTCTTGGTAAGCTAGGTAAATCGAAACAGATAGTATAGAGGTTGAAAGAGGACATCTTGATCTCGTTACAGTTAGCAATCATTGGAAGCTGAAGACCGGGGCGAATAGATTCGGGGTTGGAGTACAAGACGCCACTTACGGTTAGATTCTGTTCGTAGCATGCTGCCTGGTAAGCTTAGTATCCTAGTCCTAGACGACGGGACAGGGAAGCAGAGGCACGATTAGAATAGCGGGATACGCAGATGCAGGAGTCCATCATTGATATCTGCTGTTCGCCAGGCATAGGGGCCAATATTGACGTTGAACTTTCAATGCGTGAAAGGTAACGTTGTTGGTGTCTAAGGTTAGTGGCACCGAGTACGTCGGGTACCTAGGCCGCTCACAGTCTCTGCTAAGCTTTCACGCCAGGAGGCATGGGGCCCTCAACAGACAGCGGAATGATCTTTTGTTGGCACCCGACGTTAAGTGAGCGCTACGAAGACTAAATCAATTGTCCAAGAACATCCGTGCCAACTTGTGAGCTTGTGGGGAGGACAGAGTGGAAAACTGAGCGTATCTTTAGCTTACGCTGGGTGGACTGCTTGTCTATCATCCGCCAGGGAGGCGGCTTACTGTGAACAGGATGCACTGGCAACCCCGAGGCCAACAGCTTAGGCCTGACTGCGCGCGGTCGAACATTTTCTCCATTTCCGCCCCATACATCTTGCTACTATTGTAACAGCCAGATGGTCCGTCTCGGATACCTGTGAGATGCAATATAGCGTAGGAGATTTTGATGTTCTCAACCAGCCACCAGCCTGTCCATCCATGCTGGTATTTCTTATCGCAGAGTCGCAGACCCTACCACGTTGCCGCGACTATGACATCAGTACGAGTTTTCCTGCAGTAGATTGCATACTCAGCGGTTCAACTACTCGGCAAAGCGACCTTCCGCAAGACACGGCAAGGAGCCAGGGCCCAAATACGAAGAACCTCAACCTTGGGTCAGTATAAAGCTGTGACATTGATGCGAGAAGACACAAACATTCCGTTTCAATGGCTAATGAAACGGTCTCTTACTCTTGTGCGAGCAGAGTCTGACGAGGATGCCATGAGACACCCGCCAGGAGCATAGGTAGAACATAGCTCTGGCACGTTTCCGCCTCAACCAAGCCGAGTCAGTCTTCTGACTGAACCATGCGCATCCATGATCACGATGAAGATCCGTCACATGTACTGAGCAATGGTACAAGTCTGTGTGTTTACAGCCTATGGCCCTGCCTCGAGATGAGATCCGAGGGAGGTAGCCTTATCAAAGTTGTTACCTTGACCCCCTCCCAACCTTGGTTCCGTCTGTGGCTTGAATGCCGCCCCGCTGGTGGGCGGCGGCGGCGAGGGACCCAGGAACCACTTCGTCCAAATCTGTGGAACTGCACTATACTAACAAGACCAGACCACAATTCGGCATGAGCGATGGCCTTCCGACAATACCATTCCAATTCGCACCTACAGATTCGAGATCGCAATGTATATCTGAGCTGGGGAAGACAGAGAGATCCACCCAGCCGGGCAGGAGCTTAACTCTTTCTGGAGCCCGCGCGGGATGTTTTGGCACAAGGGTTCGGACTCAGCGCCAGGGCCCGAGGCTCGTCCCCCCAGCCCACATGCTGCCGCTTACACATTGTTGCCATCTGCAGTGGCAGAACGAGCATTGCGGCTAGCTTCACCTTAATTGTTCTTTATTCAATGCTCCCTGCGCCGGGGTGGGGCGTCAGTGAATACGGGTGCATCTCGTTCCCGCGTCGTTCCGTGGGTGCACTGTGCTGCGGCCCTTCGCGGAGTTCCCCAACGGCGTACGGCCCACTACGGTCGAGGCGCTGGCAGGAATCAAGCAGGATCAGCACAGAAAGCCCGTCCATTATTTTCCGTGCGTAGTTTCAGGTCGGCTATGTTGCTGGTGTCAGATTAACTCGTACGATGGGCGCCAGCGGCGTGGCCTGGAGGGCGGTCCCAGCCTAGGATCACTGCATTGTCTATTCTCCGTGGATAACATGTTTCCTGCCGCCAATGCGGTACAACGATGAGTCCAGACGCCCGACCCAGCTTTGCAGGGCTCTGATCCACTGTCTGATACGTGCATCCAAGACGTCACGGTCCGGACAACGCTTCTTACGGCATGAGGGCCAGGGCCAAGCTTCAGGTGGCAGCCCTATGACTGGAACTTACTGTCCCAAAATGGAAGGATGGCGATTATCATTCGTGAGGCTTCGGTCGCCGAGCGGTACCAGGCCCGGACTACTGCACCGGTAGTGAAGTCGAAGGAAGGGATATGGCCCATAGGGGTGTAGGTTCACCCTTGCCGTCGGTACACCCCCAAGGTTTCCAATCTACACTTTGCGGCTAGAGTGTTATGATGAGATACCTTACAGGGAGACACTAGCGTCTGTTATATTTGGCTCAAGCTGCTAGATCCGAGCTGCAGCATATTAGATATATAACTGAGGGACCGCTTCCCCGGCTTAGTATGCAGGAGATCACTTCACACACAAACACACCATCTACACCATGGCGGACCAGATGGCATTTCTCCTTTTTGGAGACCAGTCCCTCGACACACACGGCTTTTTGGCCGACTTCTTCAGACTAGGAAACCCGAGCGTTCTATCGAAGGCATTTCTCCAACATGCCGGCGACGCATTGCGAGGAGAGATCGATCAATTACCGCGACTAGAACGGAAGAAGATCCCGATTTTCAGAACACTGCAGCAACTCAACGAGAGATATCACTCCCAGGCTATTAAGAGCCCGGGTATTGACAGTGCTTTGTTGTGTATAGCACAGCTAGCCCACTATATCGAGTATGTTTGTGGTCATTGGGTTGCTCTCACGTTATTGGTCGAATTGGTAACTAACACAAACTAGTCGATCCGAGAAGGAACACGAAGATGTTACGAAATCCGAGAACACATACCTTTCCGGTCTCTGTACCGGATTGTTCGCAGCGACTGCGATTGCCTCGAGCCCATCGCTGTCTTCGCTCGTGCCTATTGCCGTTCAAGTCGTCTTGATGGCATACAGAGTTGGTTCCCACGTGGCCTCCCTCGCAGAACGGCTGAGCCCTTCGATTGAGAAATCTGAGAGCTGGACATACGTTGTCCCTGGAGCCAAAGAAGCTGAGGCCAAATCAATTCTCGCCGAATTCCACAAGTCAGAGGTACGCCCTGTGCACCAGCAAACATTCAAATACCTTACTAATGCACCAATAGGGAATCTCGCAGGCCGCCCAGGCCTATGTCAGTGCTGTGTCCGCCAGCAATATCGCGGTTTCTGGCACTCCAGCCACGTTGAAGTCTCTTTTCAGCAAGAACTTGTTTGACTCGAGACCAACGGCCATTCCTGTGTACGGGCCATACCATGCCGCCCACCTTCACTCGTCAGCTGATTTGGAGAAAATCCTCCGACTGAACGACGAAGTCGTCAGTGCTGCTCTTGCGGACTCGAAGCCACGAAGCGAGATCATGTCTTGCGTGACTGGCACCGCCTTCACAGAGACCGACACCAAGTCGCTTCTCAAGGCTATTGTTCACGAGATTTTGAACGAGCCACTCTTGTTCCACAAAGCACTGAAGGGCAGTCTGAAGAATGCGCAACAGTTTCAAGGATCTAGAGTCCTTGTCATCCCATATGGACCTACACAGGCTGCAAGCACGCTGGCCAATCTGCTCAAGGCACAGACAAAGCTGGATGTCGTGCTTCGATCACCACCTCAGGTGTCGCAGGCGAGCAGTGTCTCAAGCATCGGAAACCATGGTTCGTCTGGAAACTGCAAGCTTGCCATCGTCGGCATGGCAGGCCGATTTCCCGATGCTGCCAGCCACGAAAAGCTCTGGGAGCTTCTCGAGAAGGGCATTGATGCTCATCGGGTTGTGCCGGCAGACCGTTTCCCGGCAGAGACTCATGTCGACCCTACTGGTAAGGCGATAAACACCAGTCACACACCTTACGGTTGCTGGATTGAGAACCCTGGTCTGTTCGACCCCAGGTTCTTCAACATGTCTCCGCGTGAAGCTTTCCAGACCGACCCCATGCAGCGCATGGCTTTGACCACTGCATATGAGGCTCTCGAGATGTCTGGGTACGTGCCCAACCGGACGCCGTCGACCAGATTAGATCGCATCGGAACGTTCTACGGTCAGACTTCCGATGATTGGCGTGAGATTAACGCCGCCCAGGAGGTGGACACTTACTACATCACCGGTGGTGTCCGCGCCTTTGGCCCTGGTCGCATCAACTACCACTTCGGTTTCAGCGGTCCTAGTTTGAACATCGATACTGCCTGCTCCTCTAGTGCGGCTGCTCTACAAGTTGCTTGTACGTCACTGCGAGCAAAGGAGTGCGATACTGCCATCGTCGGTGGTCTGTCGTGCATGACCAACTCGGATATTTTCTCCGGTTTGAGTCGTGGCCAGTTCCTTTCGAAGAAGGGAAACTGCAATACTTTCGACAATGATGCCGATGGCTACTGCCGTGCCGATGCTTGCGCGTCAGTCATTGTCAAGCGTCTTGATGATGCCTTGGCGGACAAGGACAGAATCCTCGCTGTTGTGCTTGGCACTCAGACAAACCACTCAGCGGATGCGATTTCCATCACTCATCCCCACGGACCTACTCAGTCTATCCTATCCTCCTCCATTCTGGATGAAGCTGGAGTTGACCCATTGGATGTCGATTATGTCGAGATGCACGGTACTGGCACCCAGGCTGGTGACGGGACTGAGATGGTGTCTGTGACTAATGTATTTGCCCCGGCAAACCGCCACAGGCCGGCTGATCGTCCTCTCTACCTGGGAGCGGTCAAGTCAAACATTGGACACGGTGAGGCGGCATCTGGTATCACTGCCCTGTCCAAGGTGCTCTTGATGATGCAGAAGAATGCGATCCCACCACATGTGGGAATCAAGGGCGAGATGAACAAGACATTCCCCAAGGATTTGGGTGACAGAGGTGTGAACATTGCATTCCACCAGACTCCTTTCCAGCGCAAGGACGGAAAGCCTCGCCGAATTTTCGTGAACAACTTCAGTGCCGCAGGTGGCAACACTGGCATTCTCCTCGAAGATGGCCCTCGCTACAAGCCAGCAGCTGCAGACCCCCGCAGTGTCCACGTTGTTACCATTACTGCAAAGTCAAAGTCCGCAATGATTCGTAACGCCGAGAACCTCGTGCAATGGATGGAGAAGAACCCTTCGACTCCCCTGTGCGATGTGGCATACACCACGACTGCCCGCAAGATCCAGCACTACTGGCGTATGAACGTTGCTGCAAGCGACCTCTTCGAGGCTGCTCAGGCCATCAAGGAACGCCTCAAGTCTAACTTCGTTCCTGTTTCACCCGAGCAACCCAAGGTTGCTTTTATGTTTACCGGCCAAGGGTCTCACTATGCCGGCCTTGGGAAGGAGCTTTATGCCCACTACGAAATCTTCAGGACAGCCATCAATGAGTACGACCAACTCGCCCAGATCCATGGCTTCCCGTCATTCTTGCCTCTCATTGATGGTAGCGAGCCTGAGGTCCAAAAGCTGTCTCCAGTCGTTGTTCAGCTCGGCCTTTGCTCCTTCGAGATGGCTCTGGCCAAGCTCTGGGCTGCATGGGGTATCCAGCCTGGTGTTGTTCTTGGACACAGCCTCGGCGAGTATGCAGCGCTCAATGTTGCTGGGGTCCTTTCAGCAAGTGATACCATATATCTTGTTGGTGCGCGTGCTCAGCTCCTGGTTGAGAAATGTACTGCTGGTACCCACGCAATGTTGGCTGTCCAAGGTTCTGTCGAGACTGTTACGGAGGCTCTGGGTGCTCGTGCCACCACCACCAACGTCGCTTGCATCAACGGCCCACGTGAGACTGTTCTTAGCGGTACTTCTCACGAGGTTGCTGAGATTGCCGAACAACTCGGCGGAGCCGGTTTCAAGTGCACTCAGCTCAAGGTTCCGTTTGCCTTCCATTCCGCTCAGGTCGAGCCCATTCTCGATGAGTTCGAGGATTTGGCCCGCTCTGTCAGGTTTGAAACTCCCAAAGTCCCAATCATTTCGCCGCTTCTTGGAAAGCTTGTTGATGGTGAGCCCATTAACCCTGCGTATCTCCGTAACCATGCCCGCGAAGCTGTCAACTTTTTGGGTGGCTTGGTGTCGGCACAGCAGGCTGGAATTATTGACGAGAAGACCGTGTGGCTTGAAGTTGGCCCTCATCCTGTTTGCGCGAACATGGTCAAGGCTGCCTTTGGTGCTACCACTATTGCTGTACCATCACTCCGCCGCAACGAGGCCACTTACAAGACCCTCAGTGCCAGTCTCTGCACTCTCCACTCTGCTGGTATGAACCTTGACTGGAACGAGTTTCACCGCGACTTTGATGCTTCAGTCCGTCTGTTGGATCTTCCAAGCTATGCCTTCGACTTCAAGAACTACTGGCTTCAGTACTCTGGCGACTGGTGTCTCACCAAGAACAGAGGTGCTCTTCCCGCTCCTACCAAGGCAATTGAGGCTCCTAAGCCCAAGTTGTCCACCACTACTGTCCAGAAGATCACCAAGGAAGAAGTCAAGGGCAATGTTGCAGTCATCGAAACTGAGTCCGAAATGACTCGTGAGGATTTGCGAAAGGTTTGCTCAGGTCATCTTGTCAACGGTACCGCTTTGACACCATCTTCACTATACGGCGATATGGCTATCACGGCTTGTGAGTACGCTTACAAGCTCCTGCGTCCTGACACGGAGAACATTGGCTGCAATGTGAGCCACATGGAGGTTCCCAAGACATTGATCTTCGACACCAAGGCCAAGAGCCAGATCCTCCGCATGTCAGTCAAGGCCGATGCTGCTCAAGGCCACGCTGATGTAGCCTGGACCACTGGCGAAGGTGCTCAGAAGACAGAGCATGCCAATTGCAAGGTCTACTTCGGAAACAACGAAGAATGGCTCGGGGAGTTCGAGCGTGTCAGCTACCTCATCAAGTCACGCGTGGAAGCCCTCAAGGCTGCTGAACAGCGGGGCGATGCTTCCAAGATTGGACGTGGCCTTGCGTACAAGCTCTTCGCCGCTCTCGTTGACTACGATCGCCGGTATCGTGGCATGGAGTCTGTCATTCTCGACAGTGAAACTTGCGAGGCAACTGCCAAGGTTAACTTCCAGACCAGCCCCGAGGATGGTACCTTCCACACTGCTCCATACTGGATTGATAGTGTCTGCCACATCTCTGGCTTCATTTTGAACGGTTCCGATGCCATCGACTCCCGTGAACAGGTCTTTATCTCGCACGGTTGGGGCTCGATGCGATTTGCCGAGCGTCTATCTGCGGACAAGACTTACCAGACCTACATTCGCATGCAAAACGTAAAGGGAAGCAAGATGATGTCTGGAGATGCCTACATCTTTGATGGCGACAAACTCATCGGTCTCGCGGGAGACGTTCGCTTCCAAGCCATCCCGCGCAAGGTCCTCAACATCGTCCTCCCTCCCCAGGGTGCCGCCGCCGCCGCTGCTCCAGCTCGTGCTGCTGCTCCTGCTGCCAAGCCGGCTGCAAAGGCTACCCCGAAGGAGAAGAAGCAAGTGACGTCGGCGAACCTTCCTGTCGTCAACAAGAAGCTCGCAAAGAACTCGGTTGTGACACAGGTCATGGACATTATTGCCAAGGAGACGGGTGTTAGCCACGATGAGCTGGCGGACAACATCGCTTTCTCTGATCTCGGTGTTGACTCGCTCATGGGTCTCACCATTAGCGGCCGCCTGCGTGAGGAGCTTGAGCTTAACATTGACTCGCATGCTTTCAACGACCATGCTACTGTCGGTGCTTTCAAGACTTTCTTGGCACAATTTGAAACTGCTGGCGCTGTTGGCGTTGAAGAGTCAACAGATTCTAGTGGTTCTTCTGACACCGCTGATATGGAGTCGGATTCTGATGTCACTACTCCGCCTGATGAGAGCGAGAAGGGTTCCGTCAAGGGTGATGCTCCGGCTGAAGGTAATGTGAGCGAGCTTCAGGATATTGTGCGCTCAACCATCAGCGCCGAGATGGGTGTTGAGGTTGAGGAAATTATCGCTGCTCCTGACTTGGCTGCACTTGGCATGGACTCCCTCATGAGCTTGTCGATCCTCGGTATTCTCCGTGAAAAGACTGGACTCAGCATTCCTTCGGATCTCCTGGGCCATAACCCCTCGCTGAAGGACATTGAGCGTGCCCTGGGTATTGAAGATAAGCCAAAGCGTGCCCCTGCTGCTCCGAAGCCAGCGGCAAAGCAGTCTAAGCCAGAACCCAAGACTCAGGCTGTCGCTAAGGTTGAGTCTGGATTTGTCGATAACTACCCTCACCGCAAGGCAACCTCTGTCCTTCTACAGGGAAACCACCGTACTGCTACCAAGCAGTTGTTCATGATTCCTGACGGCAGTGGCAGCGCTACATCCTACACTGAGATCACGGAAGTTGGCCCTGATGTCGCGGTCTGGGGCTTATTCTCGCCTTTCATGAAGACTCCAGAGGAGTATAAGTGCGGTGTCTATGGCATGGCCACCAAGTTCATCACGGAAATGAAGCGTCGCCAGCCCACTGGACCTTACGCTGTTGCAGGATGGAGTGCTGGTGGTGTTATCGCCTACGAGATCGTGAATCAGTTGACCAAGGCCAACGAGGAGGTTTCCAACCTGATCATCATCGATGCTCCTTGCCCCATCACCATCGAACCTCTCCCTGCTGGCCTCCATGCTTGGTTCGCCTCAATTGGGCTCCTTGGTGAGGGAGACTCTGCGGAGGCCAAGAAGATTCCTGAGTGGCTCTTGCCACACTTTGCTGCTTCGGTCACTGCTTTGTCCAACTACACTGCTGAGCCCATCCCCGCCGACAAGTGTCCCAAGGTCACCGTCATCTGGTGCGAGGATGGAGTGTGCCACCTTCCCACGGATCCTCGTCCTGACCCTTACCCTACTGGCCACGCTCTTTTCCTTCTCGACAACCGAGATGACTTTGGCCCTAACCGCTGGGACGAGTACCTTGATGTCAACAAGATGAGTTTCCACCACATGCCTGGAAACCACTTCTCTATGATGCATGGTGATTATGCCAAAATGCTGGGTGGTTTCATGAAGAGCGGCATGTCTTCATAATTCCCACTTCGGACCTAGTTTCCTTTGTCACTCACGATTGTATGTATAAGATATGCTAAGACGCTCGTTTCTATTTCTATAATCTTTTTCCTTGGGTTTGCGAGGGCAGTATCGGGATTATTTCTCTTGGGTGGTCTTTGGGCAAAACATAATGCATATGAATGTTGTATATAGATCTTGCCTCAGTTTGGCAATTTGGTTAGAATGATTCGGAAGTTTTTAGACTCCACGGAGAAATCCAAAACGACCTTTATAAATACCAGTTCAGTTAGATGGTGGCTACTCTTCATAATCAGGTCGATACTTGGTCGATTGTGTGATATGAAAACCCACACTTTAGAGCAACGGCCCATACGATGTTTGATATCTTCAGCGCTCACGGATCTCAGCGCCATAAGCAATCCTTCTATTATTACTACGACCATCCAAGAATCGAATTACATTCCATGGCTGTGTGTCGCAAGTCGAGCTTCCACGACGTATTGTAAGCCAGATAAACCGGTCATAAAAAGCATAATAGATGGATGCAACATGTGACCATCCTCATGACTCCGGGGACACAAGAATTCTGTGCAAGCAAGTGAGCTAATGTACATAGATAATCACAAAGGCTGAATATCCGATACGACACCATTATACGGCTCCCAATTCTCTTTTCTACACTGAATCAACTGGCTCAAAGTTGGTATACATGTAGGTAAACCGTTCGAGACTGGTAGGTCGAAGAGTAAATCATGCATTCTGAAGTTCCCGTACCTCATCTATCATATCTTCGTATATACCTAAGCCTGTTTCTATTGAAGACTCCACTGTCACGGTAGCAACCATCATCATCACTTCCATTTCGGATAGCCTAACGCATGAGGAGGACGAGAGGTCACGTTTGCATTAGGAAAGGCTAGTTTTCGGGTGGCTGCATGTATACGCACAGACTGTAGGATTGTACGTGACACTGCGGGTTTGGCACGAGTGAGAGAACCCACGTTTCGATCATAAAGCTTGTAGAGGAGGGAGGTGGGGTTGGTTTGGGTGTGGAAGCATGCGGGAAGGGCGTTCGTAGTACAAGCATCAACGCCTCCAACGGCTTAGTACATGGCACAATCGAACTGCTCCTCGAATTTCTTGGCTAACGCGCGTTCGTCCTATGATAGATGCATTCGAGACCTGGAAAATTGTTTCTGAAACGTAAGAGGCGAACACTGAAGCTTTGTGGCTCTTTAAGCTCAATATCTGTGCGGCGTTTAGTCTCTTCGGAACACTCGTCGACGTCAACACACACCAATGAGAAAGTGAATATTGCGTTGGCCATCCGCTACTATTTCCCGGGTGAGCATCTGCCAAAAATTCATCCTCGTTTCAAGAGGGTCGAGGCTATTCGAAAACTAATGCTTGGGGCATATGGTGCTGTTGAGGTGGGCTCATACCTAGTTTGCTCTCACTACGACTGCCTGGCATCTCAACCAGGAGGCTCGAAGCACTCTAGGCAATAATAGCTGATAGGACCGACGCAGCTCACCTTTTGGGCCTCACTCGTAAGTAACACATCGATGAATGTCGAGCGACATTTGTTGGGCTGTTTTCGAATAGCCTCATCAATAATATGCAACATCATCGTTCTTTGGCTCCGAGTGTACGTGTCTACCGTATGGCAGTGTTATCTCCGGACAAGCTGCCATGCACCGAATATTCTAACCTACCTACCAATATCAGCTTTGGCCTGACACAGTCACAGCATTCACGTTCTCTGGCTGCATATTCAAGCGTCTTGTGTCGTACGATAATTGCGTGGCGTGTTCCTCTACATAAGTGCATAACGCGTTGAACAAATCCCGCGACTTTGGGACCAACCTTGCCAGCAACACTAAGTCAGTAAGACTAGGCCAAGATGACTTTCCTGTCTAGGGAAATTTTAAGGTAGAGACCAATTCTTTGCTCGATAGCTACTGCAGAGGTACCGCAAGTCCGCGTCTAAGTTCGTAGCCTGTGAAAGCGCTTTTCGCTTTTGATTCAAAAGACGCCCAACTTGGGACGACACCACTCCGAGGAACCAAGCCAAGACCATCAGAGACTCGCAGCATGCTTATGCACTTCGAACTCTTTTCTCAATACGAAAGACCACCCGCGCGTAGTTTCTAGCGCGATCTGTTGCAGTATGAACCTGAGAGATAACGGGATCGTTTCAAGCAACCGAGAGTGGCTTGTTCAGAGGAAGAAATGAGTTTGCATACGTGTACATCGCCAGCTCCAGCAGAAGTCACATCGGAATGAACCGAAGTTACTCGACTTGCAACGGAAATTTTCTTCGCGTGATTATGGAAACGCACCCGAGAAACATAAAGTGGATCAGTAAAGATAATTTAACCTGAAGTATGTTGGCTGTCTTCAGTGAATCTATCAACAGTTCTTTGTTTGGTGTAGAAGGGAGGCTGATATCTTCATGGCCCCTGGAATGGAAGCACACGTGACACCACCCCTCCGTGTCTCGTTATCAGTGAGGTAGTTGGCAAGATTCATCTCAATTCGGCTCGATTAAGAAGCCGCCGCCGCTGAGCCAAAACTATCTCATGGCCAGTCAATGACCTTCCAAGAGCACATTGTTGTTGAGAATGCCGCTCACATTAACACACGGTATAGATAAGCTGCATAACCTACAGACACCGTATAAATCTATTTTGCAGATCAAGTAGTAGCCAAAACAACAGGGAGCTGTTGATTGCTACTCTGCTTTGTTTGAACCAAATCAGCTGCGGTTTTCAGCTGTTCGGAGATATATACACCGCGGTTTTGTTTCTGGAAAGATGCCAATAAGAATAGTGGAGGCAGCCCATCAGAACAGTCTTGGCTCAAAATTTATTTGTCAGCCTTTGGTGTAAAAGACGCCCAAAGTGGCTGAAGTTCATGTTGAACAGTAAGGATACAGAAGTTGAACGCTTGGCAATTGCCTCTGGAGGCACTTATAAGATATTGTGGGGTTTCGACTTGAGATGCTCCTAAGGGGTAATCGTTGGATTGATCTAGTAGAGAGTGTAAGAGAATACTGGAATGGGTGTTGGGTCTGCCTGATTGTACTTTAATATGAAAACATTTTTCTATATCTACAGTCGAAAACGCTGGATATCCATGCGGGCTCATGTCTGCTCTGATTGGGAATGAGTCCCAAGATTGCGACGTCCTACATCACCAGTAAACTGTAATGTGCACAAGGTCTCGCAAACCGACGATCTCGCCCGGCCTCCATTCCGTAAACTGTATGAAGATAACTACGAAAAATATTCTGCCAACAGCAACACAGCCCTTGTATTGCCGCGTTCTTCAAGTTGACTGCACATTTTGCGCAATCGCCTGTCTGATGCACAGTACGTATATGTAGGTCTGAAGTTGACTAACCAAGAGTGATTGCCAGGACTCTCAGTGCGGGCAGGCATAGCTATGTCTAAGGTCCTTCCGAAATCGTTGGTCACATGATATGAGGCGACTGTCCTTTGCCGGGATCAGGCACGGCTCCATTCAATTTTCTACCGAATGATCCCTCATAATGCTGGGAGCCTATGTGCATGCCACGTCACCGACGTGTTTGGCGGAGAGTCGTGGGTCGGGCAAGTCGCGTGTAAAGCGGAATGAGGTCTCCCTGGAGGCGTCGGGAATAAATACGATGGGATTTCAGCTCGAGCAGATGTGCTGATCACTTCCCTGGATGATCGAGCCCTACTCAGAATCAAGACGCCTATACTCCGTGGATCCACAGGTAGGGGCAGCGGGCTGGAATTGGAGGCGGTTCAGCTTCCCCCCTCCCCCACTTTGGAGTCCCTGGCGAACCGGTTCTACCTAGCTTTTGGGCAGCATGTAGTTGAGGGGGGTTTAGTGCCATGCCTTGCAGGTATGTGCATAACTAGGGTCACCGGGGCAAATAGCAATGAATGCGTCGACAGAAAGTGGCGGCGGTCGTCGACTTGTTCACTTTATGTGCCAATCGGACCTTGGGTGTGCAGTCACAGCATACAAAAAGTCTGTGATGCTCGATTTGTTTGCATTCGGCTAGCTTTATTCGGACCGCGGCTGAAGGCCACCTGATCTCAGAGGCGCAAGACTCCGCGAGGCCGAAGTACCTGCAACCTGGATGAAGCCCACCCGTACCCCCAGAGACTCCGAGGCTAACAGGTTTTGTTTGTAGGAGACGCTGCGAGGGCTTCCAAGACGCGACCTTCGGACTCGAGAGTGATCTACGTGAAGCTATTGGGTGGCTGTAGCTGCTGATAGCAAGTCGGCACTTGATCAATTGGCTAACCTTTTCACAATTGGCTTGACACCCAAGACGAGCACCGTCATTCATCTGGATACCATTCTGTGTGAAAGAATGCAGTCTTGGAGGGCGAAGATAAGCGACATGCTGACGTGACACTTGGGCGGAAAGCCCCTGTACATGCCCGAAGACCCTGGCTTCAATGGACGGTCGTGTATCTGACAACACCTTTTGGAGCCAAGGAAGGCAGATTATTGGAAGAACTCCGATAGGGCTGATGAAACGTTGAAGGCGTAGCCTGTTGATGTAGGATAACTAGGAATCGAATGATGTCGTCAGACATAAAGACCAAGAGCGCGCGAGACGACGAACTCAGCATCATCTTTAGGACAATGACCGCAGCTTATGATTTTCGTTAATGTCCGTATTAAGTATTACGAGGAACATCGACTGGCTGCTCCAAATCTAGTGCTCACAAGAGATTGGGCCGCATTTAGTCACCATAAATGAGCTAAATTAACGTGGTGGCCCTTTAGCGGCCATGATTTCGGATCCGCGTGGGAATCCATCCGCGTTGATGTCCCAAATGGAGAGTAGGCAGCTAACCACTTTGTCCGCAGCTCCTAGACCTGAATCTTGGCCAACTTTGGCTTGGACTCCGAGCAAGTCCGGGCTGCCATGTGCGAGCACTGGAAGTCTCAAATAGTACTGCTGTTTTGTCGTTGATACGTCGCATTTCGTCACCACTAAGGATCGTTTTCGAGACACTAACCTTGACAGAAAGGGAAGCATCCGCACCCACCCTCGGGTCCGAGAGAGCAAGGCAAGCGATGCGGCCAAAGCATCTACCAAAAGCGTATTGCAGCAAGATAGGGATATCCATAATGCAGATACGTTGTGCACGACGACCGGGGTGCAAAAAGTGGGCACACGGATCCTAGGTACATTATACAGTCTCTCACTCGGAGAAATTCTATAACCCCAGCTGCCCAAGTCTTGAACGCACAAGCATTCTCATTCCAGGCTGACCCTTGGACCCTTGCTCCGATCTCAACTGGTAGCCAGGCTTCATCCCGTATCGCGGCTCTGCATCCTCATCTAGGCCGCTCTCCGCATCATACATATTTTCTGTACTTTGGGGAGCTTCACTACCTCTCCGCTGCTCTCCCTTACACGTTGACCAAGTAGCGCGACCCATCTGCAGTGCCCGCAACTTAATAGTGCTTCTCAAGCCCTGCTACTGGCGTCCTGAGTCGGCACCTATTCTTCTCATAATCTCATTCGACGGTGGTGATACAGGCCGCCATCTCACATGGCAGGATCGCAAGTCTCCACCCACGCACCACCAGAGACCATGTCGACCGTAAGCACTGAGTTCGTAAGGACGGGCACCTCACAAAAATCATTCCTTGGACCGGTCCTCAGCCTCTTTCCGATACTACATGTCCAGGCACACCATATATTTTGGCACCAAGCTGGTACCGGTGCCACATACGTACCTGCTGCATTTTCAAAGCTTGTAACCTGAAGGCTTGGTGGCTTTTGGCGCCGTTTTTCCTAGTGGAGCACTCTTGTCAAAGCTCGGCAGCTCTGCCGTGAGTAGAACATGCTGATCCTGCCATGTTTTCCCGTTTGGCGCCCTCATTGCCTCGACGGCTTGCCTACGAGCCTCTAATTCGTCAAAGCACCCTGTGGTGTGCTTTCCTTCTCTAAGGGAACCCTGTGAATTCATAATCTGCCACTTTCCCGGACTAGATATTGTCTTGATAACTGTGGTTCGCCAGCTAGTCACTACTATTTCTGTTTGAGTTAATCCCTCTTCTATGCCTGGGAGGGATTTGGGAGTTTCTTCACTTCCGGTCAGCATCTATTTCCGAAGAACTCTACCCACCTCAACACAGCCCTCATTTTCATAATTTTGGATAATTTAACGTTGGATGACACATATCGTCCCGCAGCCATGATTCTAGGAATGGTCTGTTCTCGTCCTGTTCGTGTGTGTATCCTGGCATAAGGCACAATAAGCTCTGCGCTACATCCCCTGCCACGGAATCCTACTTATACACAGACTCTCACCATATATTACACGCTTTCTGCCCACTCTCTCGTTTCTTTTCACCCGCTTCTAGGTCAGCTCTGTAGACCTGCAAGAGCTGTGGGGTTTCACTGCGCATCATCTCTACCGATGTCATCCTCGACCAAATCTCGTCAACCTCGACTCAGAGCATCTTGCGATGGATGCTTCCTGGCAAAGGTCAAGTGTTCCAAAGCCAGACCTATATGCTCCCGATGCCTTGCCTGCGGAATTGAATGCCGGTACTCGCCCTCAAGCCGAGCCGGTAAGCCAAAGCCAGACAGCAACGGCTCAATGCAAGCCAACAACAATCAGGAGAACCCGGAACTGAACCACATCGTGGAGGATAAGAGCATGTCGTTTGCTCAACATGTTCCCCCTTCTGATCATCTTTTCAGAGTCGAAACAGGCTGGACTACACCTCCCAGCAGCGTCGGCGATTCAATAAGCCGAAACCCTTCGATATCCACTGGTTTGGCCCTGCTTGGGGTTGATGACAGGACTATGTCTGAGAATCATATGCCTGCACCGCCAGAGATGTTCGCCACGACAATCCCTTGGACTCCACCAAACGACCCCTCCTGCACCCCATATGGCGATGCCGTCTCGGCGTCTCCAATGCCTGGATCACATATGCGCTCACAGTCCTTTGACTTGTCCATGTCTACACCTATGGTATGGACCGATCCAACAGGCCCTGACATGCCAGCATATAGCCAGATGCCGACTCCTGCAAGTATGGCGTCAAATTACTTTCCTAGTCCAACTGCAACACCAATGGTACGACCTGCCGCGTCACGCAATAAGTCTTCACCATCGATTCATGCCGGTTCGTGCACTTGCTTCACGGTCTGTTTGCAGTCTCTCCAGGCCTTGCACAACGCTTCCTCCCCGGCAGTCCCTCCATTCGACTTGGTTCTGTCTCTCAACCGCAAGGCAGTTGAAGGCTGTGCTGCCATGCTGGCATGCACCAAGTGTATGAGCCGATCGGGAACCCACACTGCCGCAATGTTGCTGGCAACAGTAATGGGGAAGATTACGTCATTCTACAAGCATGCAACGCATTCACACTTCGAGCATGATCCTATTGGCATGAGCCAGATTAACCCAGGAGGTGCTCTGGGAGTCAGCTTTGGTGCTTATCAACTCAATGGCGAAGATGGAAGATGGCTTGAACTTGAAATCCTTGCCAGAGAACTACGAAAGCTGGAAGAATTGTACGCTCGATTTCGTGAAGTTTGCGCGGACCTGTCCGACGACCCTGAAGTTAGTAGGGCTATGATAGGATACCTGGGACAAAACCTCGGGACAACACTTGAGGTTGTCAGTCACAGAAAAGGCGATATGGTTTTCGCCTGAAATTGGAGCATACTCAGATCCCCTCTGGTATGTATGAGCATACTGAGGCGTTAGCATGATTTGGATTTGCGGCGCCTTCAACCGGCTGATTGTCGATTATCGAGACCTTGGTGGTTGATTCTGACATCAGACTTCCAAAGTCAAGATATACGACACCTTCTGTTTTTCCGTTATCGGTCTTGTTCGTCACGAGACGTCGAAGTTTAGGCAGGGTCTTCTACAAGCACGCATCGAACTCAGACGAAGTCGGTATAAATATGCGACCCTAGACGGGCCGAAACAGGGTATGAGTGGTTTCAATGAGGAATAACAACATTGCTCTCTCATGAGAGCAAAGGTCACAAGGCTTGGTGCCTAGGTTCTGGCATCATGAGGCTTTCAAGTGTTCATACATTATTTTCTTCGCCTCGACCAGCTTGCTTATGGTTATGCTCACGACGATATACGATCTACGATGTCTTAGGAGTTTGGGCATAGGATAGATGCTAAACTTAATGAATATATTTCTTGTACAACATAATTTCCCAATGATAGCACATGAATGGCGGGCTGTCGACGTTGAAATGAACTACTATGAAGTTTGGCTTGGGGGCTGGTGCTGGGGGGCATGTCTACACCTCATCCTCCACACCGGATTCCTGTGTGGTTCTTGCTGCACATTGGGAACTCATCTATCACAAGGGTAACCAGTGGCAAGTGACGACTTCAAAGGGACATGTGACTACCTACATGATGCAGAGTTGAAGGCGCCTGATTTCTTAAGCCGCGAATGGCGTGTATCGACATAGAATCGGGATCGCGAGGCTCGGAGGCCAGGTGACGAGGTTCATCCTTGCTCAGTCATAACAAGGGTTACTATTTTGGTATAGAGGCTTAGAAAAGCTCTAGTGTTTTAGGGGATACCCCGGCTGGCACATGAGCACATGGGAGATAGCGTTAACCCAGAGCCCAGCCTCAAGGAATCTCCCACATCTACGTTTATCGCTGCAACCCTATAACCTTATCTCACGAACTATGCTATTCCTGAGGCATTTGAAGACCCGCTCTTACTAATGCTGGCTGCTGTTTGTCATCATCATTTTCCTCATTCGGTTGTCCTAAAAACCTTGTTGGAATAGTGAAGATTATATATACGATTCCCAAACTGGGATCTTGATGCCACGTCTAGAGTTAAGATTTTTGCCGATTTCCGAAGTCGCGCTCCATTTACAGGGTTAAGCCCGTCGGAGAAGCTTGCCAAGGCCAGCAGCCTTTGCAATAAAGTACATAATCCGGAGTGTTGCCCATCCTATTGGCATTAGACTGCTCTGTTCATAACTCGAAGAGAAATACATCTAGTGTTCCGTGGTCTGTGGCGGTATCAACACATTTGGAACGACACATTGCCACGTGTAGGCAAGCTTCGGGTGCTTTTCTTCTAATTCTAGATGGCTAAAAGCAAAAGTTTGCCGGGTGAGTCCACGCCAACAGGGGCGCTGAGACGCCACGCTGATTGCCTTCATTTAATTCCGTGTGGCCACAAGTCCCCTGCTGAATCGTGAGGAAATTTTGTGGATCTCCTCGTGTTGACTAGACATGCTTTCCTTTGAATATGTATGTCTCTCTTCTTGCGCTTCTTTATGCATACGGTATCGCAGCGGGGATCTTTTTGCTGCAAGCGTTGGCCCTTGAAATCTGCCATATCTACAGGGATCCCCATTTCATTCTAGCTTTGTAGTTATATACCACCACTTCCGGATCATTAATCATGAAAACACGGTTGAGTCCAGAGGGAAGCTAATGACCCGAAATGGCATCTGTCTTCTAGCGCTTTGATCTGCTCAACTAACGGTTATCTGATACGTATCATGTCCTCAGCATACGATGATACAATACAGTATTTCCTTAGCCCTGGGATAAAACTCCAAGGTTCTGTGCTAGAGATACATCTAGTTACTGACGCTGGACCTATTTAGTCAAACTAGTGATGATATGCATGAGCCTGAGCCAAGGCTAACTGGATCTACCCCTGCTTCTGGAGCGTTGTTGATTGAGGTAAGACATTTTTGATCAGTTGCTGGCTGGATAATTCAATGCTCAACAACTATTTCGAACCCCATGGTCACGATTTGGGTGGTCACTTTGGCCCTGTTGGTATTGTCATGTCTCAGAACCCTTCACCGCTTCCCGGCTGCATACGGGCCGCTTCCGATATCTTAATCCTCGTATCAAGGGCAAACCAGGAAATGGAGGCTTGGGTGCTTCCTCTGATCATTCCATGATAGGATACTCTAGCCGCGAAACGCAGTCATCAATGCAAGTCCATAACCGGTGTCGTTGATTTGGAAGCTGCCAAGATCATGTAAGACATTGACCCCTCACTGGCTGGTGACCAATCTTCCTCTATCGCAGCTGCATACGACTCATGACAAAGTACTGATGAACTTGCAGCCAGTCGGAGGTTTTATTCAATCTTTTCCCGTTTGCTTCATTTTTACTTACATACATCCTTAACACCTTTGCGCCACACATGCAGGACAATATTCATAAGATGGCCCACGTGGTAGGCCGCATATTGCGGCGCCGCTGTATGATGAGGCAGCCGGTGCTCCAAGAAGATTCGGCTTAGAGGACAAACTTGACAGCTTTTCCATCAAACCTTTAGTATAGCCCTTCAGCTCTGGCCATGCACCGATACAATGTAGCAGCATTGCACTCAACGTCAGCGATCAATGACCAAAGGAAGAACAGCGCGCGACAAGTCATTAGCCATTGTTCATAGAGGTAGTAAATACTCAGTGATGTAGAGTCATTAATCAGATGGCTACAGCGGTAATCAGTGGTTGCAGATTGAGGTTTGGGGGAAAGCGTTATTCGTAAGGTTGGCATAAGCAAACATTTTTGAACTCGAAGTCACCTGCCCTACGAAGACGTTTATTCCGCTTGGTTAGAGTAGAAGACGAGAATTCATCAGCTATAGAGATAAGGTTACACGTGAGAAGTGACTGAAGACAGTAGGTTGTCGCTTACCAAAGAGCGACCGAGTGCGCACAGTAGCAGAACTTGTTCAATTGATCACTAGGCTTTTTCATTTTCAAGTGGCACACTCTATTCTCAGCTATCCAGATACTTAATTCCACACGACGCCAGATACCATGCTGAGTTGAATGCATTACTAACATTTGATTGCCAAGTCTGTGATGTGCCCTGATATGTTACTTGTGTAGGCCGGTAGAACAACGTTATATCTTTCTGTGTCGCTATCGACGACTCATTTATACACCGCCACCACTGCAGCGCAAGACCTGGCCTGTGAAGCTGTTAGAAGTTGCGTACCAATATCTCAACAAATCAAGCCAATGCTTACCGTTGATCCATTCTCCCTCGTTGCTGACTAGACAGTACACGATCTTGCCGATGTCGGCAGGTGTACCAACTCTGTTCAGAGGGCACATCTTAGCAAGACCATCCTTGATCTTGTTAATGTCCATATCCTTGTGGCCGCCTGGGACGTAGTGCCAGCTGTTCTCATCGAACATGTCGGTCTGGATACCACCAGGGGCGATGGCGTTGCAGGTAATGTTCTTCTTGCCACAGTCAACGGCGAAGGAGCGGGTGAAACCTTCAATGGCGGCCTTGGAGCCGGCATAGAGGGCGTGGTTGGGAATACCCGTCATTTGGGCAGCGATTGAAGAGGTGAGGACTATACGCCCTCCGTTGCTGCAGTGCTTCAGGGCATTCTGTGCGACGAAGAACTGGCCTCGGCAGTTGAGGTTGAAAACCTGGTCGAAGAGCTCAGGGGTGACCTCAGTCTCTTCACACCAAACCTCCATGCCGGAGTTGGAGATGACAAAGTCAATGTGTCCGAAATGTGCGAGAGCCTTCTGGAAGAGACCAGCGACTTGATCCGGCTTGGAGACATCGGCCTGGATGGCGATGGACTTGCTGCCGAACTTTCCGAGCTCCCGAACGACCTCGTCAGCAGCACTGGAACTTCGTGCATAGTTGACAACAATGGAAGCACCTCGCTTGCCCAGCTCCAAGGCAATGCCCCTGCCAATACCGCGACCGGCACCAGTGATCAGGGCGATCTTGCCAGCCAGTGGCTTGACCTGGTTGCTCTGGGCATCCATGCTGGATGAAGAAAGATCGTGAATGGCTGAGGGAGACATGGCTTATCAAGATGAGTAAGACTACCTTCCAGTATTTTAAATTGAAGGTCTCAATATCACGTCTCACGGCGAAAGATGATGAGGATGGAGAATGCTTGTATTGTGGTGATGTATCTCTGAACAACGTTTCTTTTATAAGTCCCAATGGCTTAACCCTTGGGGTTCCGGATGATGGGCATCAAGGTTGGGGAAAAGTCACGGAGCCCTGACGGACGCGAGGAACGGAACGCCGCTGTTAGCGCCAGGGGCCAGACGCCGCGGAGGGCCCGAGTAAGTGTCCTAACAGCTCACGGGCCCCCGAGGCGCTGGACGGGCGCGACAATGGCGAAACCCCTATCACATGTTGGGTCAATACAACAGCTGGCACCTAAGAACAAGCTTCAAGAAAAGTCTGCTCCTTATTGAAGCTTCCGAAAAGCGCGTACCTGGTCGACCTTGGCCCAGGTCCTCGACCAGCGTAGGAGTGCACCAAGACCGTGAAGGCCGGGAGGGAAATGTGGAGACCTGCCCTTTTTGGCAGCTAGAGGTACAAATGATTGGCTGTCATGATCTCAATTGCTTTCTCCTTGGTTTCTGCCCGCTGACGGCAGCTGGCAGGACCTTTGCCCCAGCGGACCTCCGGTATCATCTGTGTCTTGGCCTCTGTTGAATGTTTCACGGCAGCATGGGTGTTGGCAGGTGCTCGCCAACAGTGGCCGGCGAACTCTTCCTGGGCAGTGGCACATTGACAGCAACAGTCTCAAAAGCTGGAGATCTCTCCATGCATCTCAGCCATCGTGACGAGTCAAAATGTTGACCACTCAGCGCCTATCTGGCGGAATGTCGTCGTTTCGCGGCTTATATTCGGCCGTAGAATGCGTTTTGTGAGAAGCGTAGAGCAAAGGGTACTAGACATGGAAATGAGATCAGCCTGTTATAATTGCCGATGACAGACCACTAGCCGTTATATCTTGATGTGCATTCATCGACGAGGCTCCCTCATGCCGGCCTGGGACGATATGTCCAGACTACAGATGTGCAGCTGTCTGCGTCGCTCTGTTGGTAAGAACGTCCCATGCGCACCGTATACGTATAGACGTGGAATGAATACTGCTGCAGGCAACAAACTATTCAAACCCCGCCTGGCGTTGATGCCCTTTCAGGCACTTTTCGTTAAATAAATCTCGAACAATCACACCATATCACGTATTCATGCGGAATCATCCCTACAAGCACATACAATGCTCTGTAGGTAGGGAGGCAAAGTGATGCTCATGATTCAATGTCTGTGCCATATGCTCCATCTGTTGTTGGTGACTATGATGTCAGTTCTGTCGAATAGATTTTTATGTGCCACTTACTGTATCATCAGAAGACGGAGCCGTTTGGAAGCCCGTGGAGAAGCAGTTTGGACCCTGGATGTAATATTGGAGCAGGGTAGCATTCCTTCGTGATGTGGGAGTGAGGCGTAAGCTGTCGGTTGTGTAGATGACCGACCTGATGTGCTTGTCATCATGTGCCTAGCCGTAAGAGACGACGGCTGTACAACTTGGCGATGGGCACCAGGAAGGCGCATTTGTGCCAACAGTGGCTCCGCGGAGCCGATGGCTGCATAAGTCATCCGCTATATTCTGACAAATACCATATGCCTCTGCGACAAAATCGCATGCCACATCCTTCGACCGGACCATGCGGGTTGGATTGAGATTGATACGCAGGAAGCAAGCCACTCGCCGCCACATCGTCGACTATTCACCGGTTGCCATATATGGCCCAACACTCAGAAGCCACCAGCCACGTGCTCTTTGTATAGACCCCAAAATGCTGAGCGGGAACTGCTGGAACCGACCAGCCAAGTTATATAGACCCCAACCCGCTAGCTAGCCGCTTTCAGCCTTGCCGCCATCGGATCATGCTCTGATTTGCCAACACGCATCCCGGGAGGCTGAGCTCTGGCGTGCAGAGGCGAGCCCAGTCTTCCGCAGCCCCCAGCTACCCCCCATGCTCCGCTCAACGGGGATTGGCGGGGTGGTGTAGGGCGGCGACAACGGTCGGCCGCAAGCGCTCCGACCCCCTGTAGCCAAGAGCTTAATCGCTCTGCGACCCCCCTGCGTGCTCCATCACCAGAGTGTACTACTCACCATCGCCCCGATGAAAAACCCAATTTATTTATGGCGAACTGTATCTTTGAGGATCTCATCCTTTGCGCCGGGTCTGCGAATGAGTAAGCCTGTCAAAACTCAGACAAGCAATCACACAACGGCCCGGGATCCCGCGATGCATATTCTTGGACCCCATGCGGGCGAAAATCGTCGGGCTTCGCCCAGTCATGCAGTGGAAATGCCACAAACGTTTCTGAGTTCTCAGTACATGCAGATCCAGAATCCCGCTCAGGGCCAGATGGCTTGCCATATATCTGCAAGAAGGTGGCGCCCGCGAGGAACGCCTACGCGGTTGGTGATTGTAGCGATGACTATTTCAATCTAGGCCTTGCAGTGGATGTGTTGCTCCGTGTCAGATTCGTATGCTGTTGCCACACAGCTGACCGGGATTATAGGCTTCACTTTTCCACCCACACACAGTGTCAAGGTCGTAAAACCAGGTTAACGATCGTGGCTTTGGGTAGGATGGTCCAAGAACCAAAGACGCGGGGAAAGCAAGTACAGTGGTTTCCAACGTGCGCAGGATCCTGAATGCGGCAGAAGGATCGTAAGATTGAACGTCGCCGCACAAGACAGGAGGCCCACGCCAGATCGTATAGGTTAGTTCTTTTGGGGAGAGAAGGCGGGGGGTGTGGTTCAGGACCCAGATGTCGCTAACTATACCGCGGTGAGAACTTTGATTGTTGTATGCCGGATATCAACGCGTGGCCTAGGCATAGACAAAAGCTTGTCAAAGGGGTATGAATAAACTTACGGAAAGGTGTATCTCCATCGAACAGTTTTTAGCGAACAGCCGCTATCTGTCTTCATCGGGTGCCTATGTTGGGGTCTATAGATCGACGCAAGGGAACAGAGTCGGCAATCATCGATGGAACATCTGGCCAACTTCCGACTTTGAGCTTGGTCTTTATCAAGTTGCTGATAATAGCAGGGTTCCTAGTGATATGTTCTAAGTATTTTTGTACATGGGTAGCAACGCAACATCCGCCCAGAGGGAACCGAGTCTCCGGTATGAACACCTCCAAAATCTTGTCACAATGACAAGGATCCTCGTGGTCCAAGAAAAGCAGAAAGCTTTGGGTGGTGACCAACCGGATGCTCGGTACATTGTCCGCTTGTCGTTAATGTCAGATCCATTACTCCGCCCACTCTATCTTACTAAGAGCTCGAACCTGGTCACTTCTAGTGACCCCTGTAAGTTCCACCCCGGAACGCCAATCACGAATTACACCTCAAAACTGCTGTGTCCGGCAAGGAGACTGCGTGCCTGGCCTGCCTATTACCCTTGAAATCCCTGTATGTACTATGTCATGTCGTCGTGAAAGTTGGAAAAGGAAGTTGAAAGAAGAAGAGAAATGTGTCTGGCCACACCGGCTGTGCCGTTTACACCGTTACTGGCCCACATCCATCGACGCTCCAGTTGCTCCCTAGGGCGGCAAGCTTGCGCTTGATTCCGTCGCTGAGTCTACAGCTCACACCATCTTCAATAACCTTGACCGCATAGCGAAGAACCTCGGCAGGCTGATCTAGGTTCGCAGTGGTGCTTTCACTCGGAGTGAGGACAGGGATGCCGTCTCCGTTCCAAATGTAAGCGATCACGGCCGCATCTTCCGGTGTTACCTGATCGATAGCCACAGGGCCACCTGAATCATCTCGTTTTTGGAAATTGGGATCAAGTCGCGAGATGCTGTCGGTCCATAGAATGAGGATCGCTCGGTAAATCGCAGTGCTCCACCATGTGGGGCGTCGGTCGCCCGGCATGCTGCGGACGAGGCGTAGAACTTGGCCAGAGTGGAATATGGACTCTTCTCGCTGGTAAATACACCTCTTATGACGAAGTGAAAGCTCCCAGTAAGACCCATCAAAATCTTCGCGTCGCGCGAGACGTTCGATTTCGGGAAAATTCGTGACAGCGTTCAGTGAGATTAGGTGGTAGAGAACCAGGTTTGTCTTGCTGACGGCGCAGCCTGGATTTGCCTTGTAGTATGTGATCGATAGTTCGTACCACTTCTGTAATAGTGCTTGAACTTCCTCCAGCCGCAGCATTGTGGAGGCCTTCGTCACCGTCCTGGAGGTTGTGCGGCGCGTGCTAAGCACATCTGAGAAGCACGACAACATCTGTCTCAAATGGCAGAGGAGAGATTGTAGTGGGTGTAAGAGTAGGCGAAGCTGATGTGGAGACAGATTCCCTTGTCTTCGCGACAAATTGTCATGCAGGAAATCTTGGAAGAGATCGCACAGCGATGGCGTGATTGATGGAGTGGTGAGAAGTTGGGGGTTTACGTTGGATGTACACCCATAGATGGATTGCACTGCGGCAAGCCACTGCTCAGCGTTTGCTGACATCCAAAGCAATTCAGGTCCCGGGAGAGGAGCGCAGAGTTCGCTAATGGAAAGCATTGGAGCGGTGTCATGAAATAAGCTGAGTTCCTGGTCCACCATAACCCAGTTGTACACAAGCCTGCGATACGTTAGCATAGCCATGAAAAGTTGAACATGAGAGCTTACCTGTTCTGCGTTTCTCGATGTAGCCACGCTCTCCATTGTAATTCAGTGCTGGTCGAAGCTTGTAAAGAAGGAATCATTGAAGGTTGAGAGTCAAGCATGCCAGCATGTTTCAACATCTGGGATAATGGTCAGTTGGGCCAGCCTTGCGTTTTCTCGTGCAGCTGCACTTACAGAGAGATACATGCCACGCTGCCCCATGGCTATATCCATCAACCACTTGTCTCCGCTCCATGCCCCCAACAAGGTGAAGAGGAGAGCTGATCGGAGAGCCGTCGGGTCTGCAGACATCTCAATGTCCTTCTCGATAATATCAAAAAGGGAGATGCGACAAGTTTCGATTAGACCTGCTGATAAAGCCCGAGCTTCAGCTGTGGGGACTGCGGAAGCTCCTTGAGCAATCATCAGCAGTACAAGAAGCGTAGTTGCTTGGTTGTTCTGGAGCATCTCATTGGGGTCGACGCAGCCTGTCGAAACGAGGGAATAGAAGAAAGTCAGGCTTCTGACGTAACTTCTCAAGAAAAACTCCAGAATTTTGGATGGGGGAAGGACAAGGAAGGTTAACATGCCAGGGCTGTTGTAAGTTGACTTATTGAAGCCATTAACACCGCCGCGGTGTATCTCCAAAGCCTTGTGAAGAAAAGTCTGTGTAATTGCGAGCATTCGATCGCGGGTGCGGGAGCTCATAGGAACAACAGAGGCGAGATCTGCAGCATCCCAATCCACCTGCTCCAAATACTTCTCCAGGGCACTCCACGTGCCTTCGTGCTTCGACTTCTGCTCCAGGCATTCTAGATGTACGATAGCGGTTCGGGGGCATGTGCCTGAATAGACCGAGGGGTTGCACCGAGCCAGTGGCCACGCAGCCTCAGCGGCGATAACCACCTCGAATTCGGGTATTTCAGCCGAGCTTGCGACGCCAGTATCAAGAGGCTTGACGGACGTGTCAAAGTCATTGCTCGACATGATGCTAGTGCTCCTTGTATGGATCGAGCCTCTTGAAGAACTCATGTGCTCTGAATTCGACGAAGAGATATCGCTCAGTTCTGCGAACGCAGGCATTGGAACATCTGTGCGAGCCATGGGGATGGTGGTAGAGTAAACGTCCAGGTCAAGAGGATAATCAGACCACACAAGCATGTCCTGATAGTTTGGCTCCGGAGCAATGAATTCGCTTCCAAGTTGCATGAAATCGTCAAGACCGTCAGTTTGCACATGCGGAGACGCGAATCCACCCGGGCTCAAATGGGAGTTGACTGGCGAGTTCTTCTTTGAGTTGTCGTGATGCTGCATCTTCAGGTCGATGGTCAAGTCGGCCTCCGGAGAGAGCGAATGCTTCGCAGGAGACCCTTGTCTTGCAACGCTCGCATCAATGTCCATGAGTACTGGATTCATGGTGGCCACCGGTGAGCCTTGCTGTGCTAATGTGATGGGTTCTTGACTACCCAATGCTGCACTGCACTGCGCAGCTTGGGCCGCTTGAGCAGCTCGTAGAGCAGCCTTGGAAGACCGCCTGGCATACCGTGCTGCACAAGGCAGTCCTTTGTCTTTACATCTTGCACAGGGCACTCCTTTATCGCAGCCAGTCTTTGCCTGTGCGCAGTTGAGGCAGGCGATTGGTGTTTTCCCCGCGACCGTCGGAATACCTCCTGTCGGCGGCTCTAAAGGGTGAGCTTCGTGATAAGTCGAGTAGTGTCGCTGAAGAAGATCCCTGTACCTGTGTTAGTGGAGCTGATGTGGCCATTTCTCGATAGTATTTACTTACCTTCTTGCAAACGCCAACTGGCAGGCGCTACAGCGGTGTGGCTTAACATTTGTATCTGTTTGTGTGAGTATACGATGTCCCGAGTTCCGTGGATAGTACTTACGACTCGGGATGTGCCTCTCCAAATGTTCCTTCCTGGTGAAGCTCCTCCCACAATAGGTACAGTAAATCATGGTGTTTGGTTTTTGTCTTATTGCTTCGTCAATGAATCGTGAACCACAAGCGAATGTCGTCTTTGCCAGGTGATATATAAGACCAGCGGCATCAGTTGGTAGATTCGTAGCCTTGCAACCGTGCCGCTATAACCCTCGAGGCGGCGTTGTTTCTACTTTGCCGATATGGGCGTCTGTTAATTCGTCAAGTCGGTGAGGATGGAGGAGAAGGGTAGATGTCAAGTGATCTAGAACGGAATGGACACGAGAAAGAACTGGACTGGCATCCAGATGCAGACGAGGAATAGGATTAGCCTAGGTAAGATAGAAACGAATGAGACCCGATGGGAAGGAATACAATATACACGTAAGACATGGGACATGCGTGGAGGCCAGAAGCATCCCGTAATATGCTTTCTAAATATGAACAATGGCTACTGATATCAGGGTCATCAACCAGCAAAGGCGGTTGTGGAAGGCTTTACCATGTGGGCCAAGGCGGTGCCGGTAGCTTCATCTTCTCAGCACGGTGGGCGCCATGTATGTGGACTCGGGATGACGAGAAACCCAAGTTCCGAGGGAGGTATTCGAGACAGGGCCTGGCAGATCTGCCCAAGGCGATTCAGACTGTTCGGCCGCCAGAAGAGTACCTGCTCAGGTACAAGCAGCACCCTAGGACTGGGCCCCCTGTCGAGGTGATGGCGGGGGCGCTGGCCCATGGCCGGGGAGGTAATTTGACCAAATTGTCAAAACATAGACTCGCACAGGATGAGCTGTAGGAGAACCTTGAAGTGATGGCCAACGAGGTCTCCTGAGGAGGGGGGGCCCCGGCTCCAAGATCCCGGGCTGTGGAAACGACAGTTGGAAGAAGAAACGGGAAGATGGGGCCAGGACGTGCGGTTGGTAGTTTCCCACCAAGCCATCCGTGCATACTCGCCTAGCGATCCGAGGGAGCGACCAGGCCAGGGGATTCGAGGACCCAGGTTGCCAGGCATGCCGCATGCCAGGTAGCCATGAGATACTTGCTTCATCCACGTTGGCAGCGCTGATTCACACGTACATGCATGTCGGCCGGCCGTCTGACGGGACAGTCGTCATCCCCAGCCAAGGCCGGGCCCTTTGGTGAGATTGAACCGCTTATTGGGGAGCAATAGGCTGCCAAGGCGCAGTAAACCGAGTACCGCGGCGGCCAAACCGAAGACTGGTCCATCAGCTGGCAGAGTATTTAGTCTCGGCCTCTCCTGGCAAGCCAAAGTTACCTCCAGAGGCTGTCTTTTACTATGGTAGATCCCAGGGAAGCTTGTTGTGCCTGGGCTGACAGCGGAACGAGATTCGGCGCAGAGAGAATGGCGACCTGGATGGAGGGGCGCCTGGCAGCCGTGGCGGGCCCTGGGTTGCTGGGTGCTGGGTGCTGGGTGCTGGGGTGGATCAACTGGGGGGCACAAGCCTGCAGCTAGGGAACGCGCCCCAAGGCGTAAAGCTGCAAGGTTCGGTGATCAATCAAACGGTAAACGATCTGCGGCTCTAGCGCGCCGCGGCCGGGATTTGACGATGCTCTATTTCAAGCCAATCTGGTCCACGGCGCTGGAGACTTCAGCTAGCTGTCCATAGTCAAGGTGGTGGGATGTTCGAGTTGTCCTCGTCGAGCCATAACAAGACAACCAGAAATCAAGAGCATCGGTTGCGCCGGGGTTTGTCGCGGCGCTCACCCCAAGCCGCTCACACCTTCAAGCTCACACCGAGGGAGAGACACACACGTTCTTCAGCGGGCGAGTCTCATACACAATTACCTACGTACATACAGACGCACAAATACGTAGCCCTCCAGCTCGGCCCTTGTCGCCCTTGGCGATACCGTGGAAACCTACATATCTTCACGGTGGCAACTTGCTGCGACTGGGTTGGACCCCTATGATACAGTAGATCATAGATAACCTATGTGGGCCCAGCAGAACCCTCACGGGCGTGATGGTTTCGCAGCACGGAGAGAGTCTCGAAGAGATTGGAGATCTCGTCGACGAGGTTTTGGCTGTCACGGCGTGGCTTGTGCTCCTAAGCACTCGAGTTAGCACACCCACCAGCTTGTGTAAGTAGCTTCATCACCCAGAACAAACCAGGCTAGGAACGAACCGAGCTAGCCAACTAGCTCGACAGAAATTCTCCGAGCCCAGGGAGGAGATGCTATAATTCCGACAAATGCGTTCTTCTGGGTCGTGCACTCCGAACCCCTGAGGTAGGCCCAAGTCTAAAGTAGGGCCCGGCAATGGCTGTTTAGCGGGAGCGGATCGAGTAGCCGCCGGTGTCGCTTGATCGTATCAAGCACATTCGACACTCACCGTCGAATGGCCTTTGCGCTCTCGTATCTGCTGTTTAGTTTGCTGCTGCAACTATATGGTCGTGCGCGCACATGCCGATCGTGTCGAAGTTCGGATTGCTTCAAACCACCACGCCCGTAGCAGGCGCCGCTTGAATTCGTGCGACAAAGATCTCGTTCGTGTTCTTCGCCAAGATTCCCCTTATCGTCTATTGGAAACTGCAAGGCCTGAAGTTACTCGTTTCAGTGTTCGCCGTGAATCACTAGGGTCCAGAGAGCGATGTATTGGTCCTGTCTAGGCGTTCCCTGCCAACAGTCGCTGGTATAGTCATTGATTGAACCGAGTATTCCTGTAGATCCTTGTCGCGATCTGCACGGCACGATCAGCGGGGCCCGGGAAGCTGGGTGCTAGGGCTGTAAGGGTCCTATCCTTGTTTTCGAGATTGCCGGATGCGGAAGCCAAGGCACCAAATACCTGATCTGCCGTACAAGGTTGACTGAAATAACATTTGAGACTGTGTGGCCTGGAAAAATGCAATGAGAGAACTCAGTTTCTTCTTCAGGTTCATGTCATGGGTGGCCGTATGTTAACAAGATGAACCTACATGCGGTATAAAAGCTGAGCGATAATTTTATGGCCATTCTTGTCAAAATATTCATAATCCATTATATAGAATGACATTTGGCCAATGCAACTTCTGAGCTGCCACCGACAACTTTGAGTCATCGGAAAGCTTTGCAACATTCTTTTCTGTTGCTTGCGATTTTACTGCAGTCTAGCCTAGTCGAAATGACACATCCTCAAGACGACAATCATTGCCTAAGCTGTAGGAGAGAAAGTACCATTGCGGCTGAACTGTCAAGTCTGCAAGCCTTTGAGATAGATCATCCGAAACACCATTCACTTATACAACACTTAAACCAGACCAGAGTCGGACACCTTAATTCTAACCGTAATTGGGTTTGCAGCCGTGAAGATTAACAAGATAAGGAATGCAGCACTCCCCTGGGTGACAGCTGTAAAGACGACGCAATATGATGAAGAAGATCAATCAATTGGCTCTATATCGATGGGATGTAGGGCATCTGTGTTTCATCCCAACTATCTGGGCTTATCTCGCCATAGGTACTTCGTACGGTAGCCTATCTAAAATATCAGCACCTTGTCAGTTTGATGCCGAGCCGACGTACGCAGATTGCGACCTATTTGCCAATGAAATCAATGAGACCAATGACGAATCCACTCTTGGACTCGACCACGTCGTAATCAGTCACATCTTATACCCCGGGATCATCAAGTGGCTTGAGAACACGAGTCGCCGAGGCAGGATCGTCGTCTACCTGAGGATTTCAACTGCTCGGGTGTTTCGCCCGAGGCGGCCGGTGTCTAAGCCATTTAGATCCTAACGTGTATCTCGAGTAATACGAAGACCCTTGTCCCTGCAGCTGCCGCACAATTGACCCTGTCCCGTCTATTCGTACATAAAGGGCCTTCTTGCCAAGTCGGGAATAAGATCGACGTCACTTTTTGAGTTGTCATTCGCATACTATTGACACTACTGCCTCGACCGCTGCCCAGCCAATGCAGCGGGAAGTTCTTCTTTCGGGCAGCAGACGTCATCTATCTGCATTATTATAAGCCACTGCAGTGTACTTCTCGTAAATGTATGTAAACACCACGAAGCGCATTCAGTAGTCAAAAGATCCAAACACCAATTGCATCGCGCGGCAGCACCAGCTGTCTGCTGTAGGCTATCATGCAGTGGGGACACTGCCATGGTGCAATGCCATGGTGCAAATTTGTTTACACGACCGAGCGCTAGCTCTCAGGTTTGTCACTTAGGCGCATGCAAACGTTTCTTCTGTCTGTGTGCTACGCGGTCCTACCACGCAGTAATTTTACCTAGCTTTAGCCTCATAATCAGAGCATTCTGTTTACCGCAAGTCCTCAGGGCACTTCTCGATCCGGAGATTGAGCGAACCGAATTCCTGGGCCGACTCGCTCGACGATCAGCTCTCAGGCGGCCTATCATTTGAAGCCAAGCGTCAGCCGAAGCCTCACCACTGCCATCCACGGTAAGATGCGTAAGATTCTCATGCTGCTCTCGGCACTGGCAGGGACACTGCAGGCTACCAGACCGGGGTGGTTCTCCGCACAAAAATAGTCGCCGTCTCCACGAGCGGGAGCGTTGCACATATCCGACGGCGATGCGGTGTGACTCCAGCTGCCGAGGAAGCCGGGTATAACTCCACGTTTCTCTGCAGCCTCTGTCACACATTGCTTCGGTCTCGAATTCAAGATAAGCTTGTAATACGCCCGGTTCATGCATCTCTTGTGGCGCGTTGCCCGCTGAGTCTCAGGTGGCTCAGGTGGCGCGACGACAGGATGGTGCTATCATTGGCTCGGCGGGATATGCGCGTCACCAACATGTTACCTGCATCGTGACAATAGATCGGGACAAGCCTGACCGACGACGAAAGAGAATCCTTCGGGGCGAGAGATATCGCCGACAAATGATTTGAGAGGTCGTTTCTGAAGTGTGGATACACCGTTGTGCGCAAGATGTGAGGTGTTTATGATATACCGTCATACGCCAGTAACGTCTGAAGCCCAATCAAATCCCTTGTTTGGATACCGGTGAGGTTCACAGATTGCTGATAGCGGATGTGGCTCTGTTCCCCTTTGTGGTGAGCCTTTTCTGAGTAGATGAATATGACTTGAGTTGATGTAGGCCTGTACGACGCACAATGCTTTTAATTGCTCCATGTTGCCAATAAAGGGAGCCGGCAAGGCGTAAACGATAAACATAACCCCTATGCAATGTCTAGAATTTGAAGTTTCTTGCTTTCCGATTATAAACCACATTGTAACTATGATTAGTGAATTCCATCGCTCAAAGAGGGGTTTCTTTCCTCCCCGTAAAATTGAATGTCGCTTACATCTAATACCGCTCGGTGCCTAGAATTATTTTTGGCACACCGGGTGTCTCTGCGTAAACCGGACTCCCTCGGATGTCACTGCGGACCCCCAACTTCACCGTGCGGCTCGGTGACCTGACGGTCAGGGAGGCACAAGATGTTGGCGTTAATCCGCGAGACCTGATGGGGCCATTTGAGTCATTGAATCTAACCAAGTGTGTAGTACATTGCTTATCAATAGAGAATGGCCGCTGACAGCGAAAAGAGTGGTACGTTGAGCGTCAGCTTGCAGTGGTACAATGGGCGTTTCTGCGATGGATCAAAGGACGTATCCCCCGGGGGGCCGCTCTCGGAATCGCTAGAGCGAGACTGTCTGGATCTTAGCAGCGCCGATCTTGTGAACGGGTCATAGTCACCGAGACATCTGTTTGCTAGAGACTGCTTCGGAAGATGACAGCTTGGTTCGGACCCGTTTAAGAGCCGCATGGCTTTGTCCAAGCTGGGTCGGGCTATCCCAACGTCTTGGTTGTAATGCAGAGCAGATCTTGGCCAGTAGAAGGCAGATGGAAAGCTTGTTGGGGGCTTATGTTGACGAACTGTATGTCTTAAACAGTAAATGAGTTAGTTGAGACACACGTTCCCGCCCATTGACTGCATGCACACCTACTGGAATGCAGCGACCTATACGAAAGAGAACATGTTTGAGTGAATCCTGACCCCACGGACTTTCAACTGTTTGATGTAAAGGCAATCTGCTAGGCCAAGAATTTTTCGATGTCCGACCCGTTCGGTCCTTGAGTACCTTGCATGAAACACGGACAGTCACTGATCTATCTATGCTTGATAGATTTATGTACGAATAATGATATTATCCAAGCTAGCCAACTCCCAAAGGCTGGTTGGGAAGCAGGGTATATAGGATTTTGTTTAGCATCCTGTGGTCCTTCAAACGTTACAGTCAAACATACGATAATCCAACTATCATCCGTGACACCCCCTCAAGGCGCCATATTCGAGGCGTTCCTACTTCTCATGCTGCTTGGGGAGGATTGCATACTCCGGCATACGGACGACTCCATGTCCGCTCCTTCGGCATGCTTCTGGGGTATTCGTACCATGTCTTGTCTTATGCCCTTACCAGCCTACCGCCGGGCATGCTATTGTGACACTGGGGAATTGTGGCGCTTGCGAGCTACATGGAATAAATGAATGAGGAGTGAAATAACCCTTGTTGTGATGACAGCATTACGACGGACTAGTTCATCACTTCTCGGTTCGTGATCGTTGCCCGCAGAGGGTGGGAGAGTCATGAACCAGTTGGGGGCATTAGTAGTCTATGCGGGTTCATATCTGAAACAAAGACAAGCGAGAGAGTGCCCCGTTGCAACGAATAATAGTCCGTCTAATACTAGACTGTCTCCGCCATGAGTGATCACCGGGCATACAGTATGTGACCACCGACGTCGTCCCATGGAAACAGGGGTTCTAGCAGGCGCCCGAGCAGAGATGTATTAGTCCTTCGTAAGTGTAACGAAAGTCAATTTTGGTATTCACAGCAGTTCCCCTTGCATCTGGCGCTATATCACATCACGCGTTACTACATTTGTACTTGATCTACCATAAGGTCAGTGGCGTAGATATGTGTTGGGAACTACGCCGCCTAAGAAATAAGCATGGAGCTCCGTGGTGATGTCCGGAAGGAACCAAGGGACTTATGTATATTAGTCCCGCCGACATTCTATCCAATACTGCATGTCGGACTCCACAGAGTTTCTCGTTCCGAACCTTACCAGACAACCCGAGAACTTGGAGACTTTGGCAACAGATGGTCTTCTCTCAAATCACCAGGTCACTATGTTCACTGGAATAACTCTATAAGATCAACCAATGAAGATATGTGCCCACTCGAGGAGAGCAGTGTTTAGGCAGACGAAGCATGGCAATCAACTATCAACAAGGGAATATGGCAACAAATTTGGTGTCTCACATCGAAGCTTCGACCCACATACAGTTGGAAAGGAAGTAGGCTGGGGGATGAGCATTGACCTCGGGTTTCGAATTGACTGATTGGTGAATACTTGGTCGACCTGTCATTGGCAGTCGGTAATCGGTTATCGGGACGAATGGGCTATTGCGATGAACGACGAGGAAGCATGGACTATTACAAGAGGTGGACTATTGCAAGAGGTGGACATCACAAGTGGGCTATCTATAAGGGCTGGGGCTATGCAAGAGAGCCACTCAACGGACAACGGACAACAAACACGATTCGCGACATACAGCACAATGGTAGCATAGAGATGACCAGGCGAGGAAGGACGCTTCCCAAGTGGCCGACGACAGAAACCAAGAGGGTAAGGCAGCTCGGCAGGTCAGCAACTCCCACACATGACGTTCGAGGTCCACCACCAGTACGCGAAGACAGCAAGAAATCAATAAGGCGGCGAATCCATGAACAGTGCGAGCATGGGGAGTTCACCACGGTCTCGACAGTCGAGGGCAGGACCTCTCGTACGCATTGGCCCTGGGAGTCACTAGTCGCATGCGCCAATCATCACATGCTCCCCCGTCGACAAAGGACGAAATACCCTCTACAGAAAATTTCAGTTTCTCCCGCAGGATCCATTGTAGCTTTTGCTCCAGGGCATCTTACGTATTGTGTCAAGGACAGAGATGTCACGGTGAGTTCGAACCAGGTATCGGTCCCCTGGAGGCCTTGTTTGGTCAACATAGGCCAAGGTCGGCACGGCTGCCACAGTTTATGGGCCTGTTGAAAGTAAGTCGAGTGACATGCGAAGCTCGACAACACCGCCATGGCGAGTCTCGCCCTCCTGTTACTAATTTGCCTGAGCTAAGAAAGCCAATGCCACAGATCAACCGTCGTGCTCAGAGTATGCGTACTATAGCTTTACTCTAACCTATCGCAACTACACAAACGGACTTGAAGCTTACACCTCCCGCTCGTATCGAAGATAGCGCGACCCTGGGGCATCGATAGTCTGCCGTCACTCGCTACATGTAACCTCCACAAGAAACCGGAAGATGAAATTTTCTAATGGCGGTGTTGTCCCTGCAGCTCAGAAAGGCCACTTTTCTTCAAGAATATAGTCTTTCATGGGAGTCCTTGGCCCCATAACCCATGCCTGCTAATTTTTTTTTAATTCAAATCAGATGTTATGGGCTTAGGATCCACTTTGGATATCATGACTCGGGATGCCTCATCATTCGCCAATCGCAACTCAAGGAGTTGGTTCATTGGCGAAACACTCTGGTGTAGCTATGACAGTAGCCTTCGGCAAATCACAGCTGGAGGAACTCTCAACCATCCGATACGTCGCAGTTACATGGGCAGCAGAAGATCGCTTTGATTGCAAATCTAGGGCACATCATCCATAATCGTATCTCTACAATCATTCTACAGAAGCCTCAAAACAGCTATCGAGCCAGGGCCACCGGAACTTAATTCCTCATGACCGGTATCTTCAGTTTGCCAGCTCGTCACACCATGAACGCCAAGCCACCTTGTAAATGCAAATACCCCTCTGTGATTACGCCAGACGATGTCCTCCGCTTTGCTCTCTCGTCTTCCAACCACGTACTGTTTCATCTCCTTCGCTTCATATCCCTGCGGATGCGGGCATCTTCGGCCCAGGCATCCTCAAACGCAGTAGGCAGTTGCCGCAGATGCTCATCTCCCAAGCCTAACTTACGTACAACCTGGAACGCGCCTGTACCGACCGTCATGGTCTGGCCCATGATGATCTTCTCAGAGACACCCTCAATCTTGTCGCCCTTCATACCGGCTGCGGCCTCGAAAAGATGATCCGGAGTCTTCTCGAAAGAGGCCAGTTGAAGTACGGAGTCGCGCATCTTCGAAAGACCGAAACGTGTGATACCAAGGACCTCGCCCTTGTATGTCATGACATCAGCGAGCAGTTCCATGTGTCGAGGATCGATGCCCATGTCACCCATCACGTCGCCGATTTCTTTGGCGATTGTTGTGCGTGCAGCTTCGATGCCCAGAACCTCCTTACACTCCATGACGTTGTTCGAGATGGTCTTTGTGCCAATCACACCTTCGGTGTTCATGCACTGCCGTAATCCGTAACCTTCCACCAACACCGTATGAGTCATGTCGTCGCCGGTCTGGATAATGGCACGCATGGCCTCGGGGTATCCAGAAACTGGCACGGCGGGCAGTACTCGCTTAAGGTGGCTGACCCGGGTGAGCAAGTCGGCCGCGATCTCAGTCGTGGCGACCTTGCTTCGTACAGAACGACTCTTGGACTCATCCGGCAGGCTGACTGAGATCTCAATGGTGCCATCAGACGGGTAGACGCGCATGTCTCCTTCCAGGATCTTGAGCTTCTTGGCCTTAACAATGGCATCCCGCACATTGTAGAGGCCAATGCCAAGGTTCATGGCCTCCAAAGCTTCCATGTCAATGGCAAGTGTGATATATACTCGGCTGTCCTCCCACTCATCTTCAATATAGCGTAGGATATCCTCAATGAACGTCTTCTCAATACGTCCTCTGACAACACGAGCAACTTCTATTTGCCTCTTGTTCTCCAGGGGACATGTGATGACGGGAGTACTGATCGTTTTCGAAGCGTTGATGATTTCCTTGATACGTGGCACACCTTGTGTGATACTCATACCGGCAACACCAGCAAAATGGAAAGTCTTGAGAGTCATCTGGGTACCAGGTTCACCAATGGACTGAGCCCCGACGGCTCCGACGGCATGACCAGGTTCGACGTGGGCCTTCTTGAACTTTTCCAAGCAGAGCGTGATGAAGTAAATAAGGGTGCGTTTGGACACCTTGGCCACCCTCTCACTGTGCGATCTTCCAGGGTTGCTCTTTTCTTTCTTGTCGATAGCCGCCGGGGTCACGTTCGGCTTCTCAAAGTATTCTGGGAGGCCAAAAGTTGTGCGGATCTTTGCTAAGCGCGTTGCTAGCCTGATGACGTACGATTCAATTGTCCTGAGAAAGTGTCGACTACCTTCATGTTCATCAATTCCGTAGTCAGTCTGATCATCGTAGGCAAGAGACTCCCCACCAAGGAGGCCACGGCGCCGATAGCGGTCTCGTTCCTTGGCAAGTAGTGCGTCACATATGTCCAAGATCTCGAAGGGCAGGAGAGCTCGCTCCTTGTTGTCCCAGGTCATGTTTTCAGAGTGTGACCAGGTGCGCTCAAAGTTGACAGGTACTGCGGAACCCTCCATATCGACAGGGTCCAGCTTGTCTGCACCAAACTGAAACTGAACAATGCTGCCGCCGGAAGTTCGAACGGTGTCGTCGTATTGCGTAGAAAGGTCCTCCAGCGACTTCATGAGACGTCTGGACATGTATCCGGTTTCAGCAGTCTTGACTGCAGTATCGACCAAACCTTCACGTCCAGACATGGCGTGCATCAGGAACTCCGTAGGCACGAGCCCTGTGTAGAAACTGTTTGCCACGAAACCCTTTGCCGCGGGCTGGCGAGCAAGCTTGTGGAAGTGAGGCAGTGTTCGATCTTGGAACCCATCAGCGACACGTGAGCCACCGATAATCTGCTGTCCGACGAGGGCAACCATCTGTGCGACGTTGATATTCGAACCCTTGGACCCAGACGTAGCCATGATCCAGGGGGCATTCTTGGTACTGAGCGTCTGAATACAATACGCTCCAGCTGCCTGACGGACGTGACTGAGGGTTCCGGAAATCGAGTTCTCCAAAGTCTCCTCCATAGAACAACCTGCCGCCTTTTGCAGGGTCTTGTCGTTGTACGAGGCAATGAGATCATCTGTCTTTTTGACAGCCTCCTTGACGAGATTCTGCTTCTCTGCGGTCAAGGAAGCCGTTGGATAGACGTCACCGATTCCAATAGAGAAACCCTGATTGGTGAGCATTCTGGCACAAAGCTTCGCAAGCCTGTTCATGGCGATGACAGCTTCGTCGGGACCAAAATCTCTCATGATCACGTAGAAAATAGAGTCCTTCTTGCCGTCTCCTACTGTTGATTTGTCCATTCTACCGCACATGACCTCGGAGTTGCGCACGACAAGCCATCCGTCCTTGGGACACATGTCTGGCGCTCTAGTCCGCTCCCTCGGATCCGGAGAATTCTTGTTGGGGGGCTCATACTCTCGGCACTTTGCGTCGAGGTTCACCTTGACAGGTGACTTCTTGTTTGGTCTCATGAGGATGCTGAAGACTTGCTTCCCCGTCCACATGCGCTGGGGCTTCAAGATGGCTGGGGCCGGCAGGTCCAAAGGCGTGAGACCGTCCATCATGTGCATACAAATGTATGTAAAAGTTTTTCGATCAAAGAACTGGTCCTTGCCGCTCAAAAGGTAGGCGGCCGTGATGAAATCCTGCGTGGCAGCGATAATGGGCACGCCGTTCTTCGGGGTTGCCAGGTTGTTCTTGACACCCATCAGATGGATCGCCTCAGCTCGAGCTTCTTCGGTCTGGGGAACGTGCAAGTTCATCTCGTCGCCATCAAAATCAGCGTTGTATGGATTGCACACACACTCGTTCAGGCGGAATGTCCTCCAAGGTCGGATCTTGGCCAAGTGACTCATGATACTGAGCTTGTGGAGGGATGGCTGACGGTTGAAGAGGACAATGTCGTTGTCTTCAAGGTGACGCTCAACAACATCGCCATACCGCAGCTTCTTGGCAACCTCGGCCCTGTCTCCATACTTGAGACCCTGCTTGTATGATCCATCTCCATCGAGCTTGATGACGGCATGAGCGCCGGGGTATATGCTAGGTCCATTCTGCACGCACTTCCTCAGCTTGTCGATGTTTTCCCGCTGCACCCTCTCGGGGTATGTGAGGTTCATGGCCACGAGGATGGGCACAGCGACCTGGTCGATGCCCAAGTTGGGATCAGGCGAAATGACAGTTCGGCCGGAAAAGTCAACACGCTTTCCTGACAGATTACCACGGAAGCGGCCCTGCTTTCCCTTCAACCGCTGACAGAAGCCCCGCATGCTCTTAACGATACCGGTATTGGTCAGACCGGGGACGTCACTGTTGACGTAGACGGCAATGTGGAGCTGGAGATAGTCCCACTGCTCCATGATGGTCTGAAGGCTGGCGCCTTTCTGCAGAGCTCCTCTTATGACGCTGCAGATGAAGACGATTTGGCCCAGGGTGGTGGTGAGATCGTCCTCGTTGCTTGCTCCGTCCTGGGCAACCGAGGGACGAATGCAGACCGGGGGGGCAGGGACGAACTGCCAGAGAAACATCTCGGGGCGGCCCTCGGCGGGGTCGAGACCCAGCAGCTCGCAGTCGGTAGCACTGATCTGCTTGAAGAGCTTCAGGACGCGCAGGGGGTTGAGATCCTCCATGGCCTTGCGGACATGCTTCTCCAGGTCCGTGTTGTGCTTCTTGGCCTCGGTAAAGGAGTTGTCAAAGTCGAGCTTGGCCTGGGGGGCTATCTTCTTGGCCGAGGTGGACTTGTTGAAGGCGACAAACTTGTCGTGGACAAGCTTGAGAGGGCCGGCCTTGCGGATCTGGCCGTTGGTGGCCCCGCAGTATGGGCACAGCTTGGTCTTCCTGCACTGTTCGTTGATCCTCTTGAGCAGGGCCTGGCGGTTCATGTTGTCGGAGGGCTTCCGGAGCTGTCGCAGGTAGGAGCGGCGGTCGGTCTCGGCCAGCAGGACGCGGGAGCAGTCCTTGCAGATCTCCTGCAGGACCTTCATGGTGAACCGGATGTAGCCGATGTGGAAGACGGGGAGCGGCAGGCGGATGTGTCCAAAGTGGCCGGGACAGTCCTGCAATGGCTGGTCGCAGGTGACGCATCGCACGCCCTTGCCAGAGATGCCGAGGCGCTTGTCCAACACACCGTGCTTCACGGGCTCACGGCCATGCTCGAGGTCGTACATGGTGCGATCCGAGACCTCGACGACGGCCTGGTTGACAATGTCCTGGTTGGACTGGACGCCGAACTTGATCTGGCGGAAGCGCTTGGGGATCTTGTCGACGACCTGGTGCTTGACGGGCGGCACGGCACTGGTGCCCTTGGCCGTCTCGGTCATGGTGGCCATGGCGGAGGTGTGGTGGGCGGCCGTCGCAGCCGTCGCAGCCGTCGCAGCCGGGTTGACGAGGAGACTTGGCGAATGCTAGGGATGTATCTTGCAACAATGCAAGTGTCTGTCGCGTTGCGTCCCCCTCACTCGAAAGTCGTGCTAGCTCGACTGGGGAATCTTCATCTCCTGCGACGCGGAGGGCGGGGCAGTGGCAGCGATGGCGAGCGTCGGGACAGAGCCAGAGGCAGAGGCAGAGGCAGAAGGAGAGTCGGCGGGCGTGTCGCTCACAGAGGTGGGGATTGCCTGGGTATCTGGATGGGCTGTGCCGCGTGTGAGTCTCTCGGGCGAGGCGACGTCGAACTGATGAGCTTGGAGACAAATAATTTTTGTCGCAGCAGAAAATGGAGTCATTCGTACCCCACCGAGCTATCGACCGCCCGCCCGGCGAAGCTGCAAGTGCGCAGCGCGGGGCAGAGGAGCACGTACTGCATTGGATGTAGCTAAGGTACGTACCTACGCAACCAGAGACAGGCCAGCCCCCAAGTGAACCTCTACTGTGGTAGGTACCCACTGCAACGTGGATTTGGATCGTAGTCAAGTACCGGGTGCCAGTAGAGGAGAGGGGTGCTGGGTGCACCGGTAAATCAGCCAGTTGGAGAAGTGCCCACGTGATTCTCGTGTCTGCCTGTCTGCCTGTCTGCCCGCCCAGGCACCCTGTGGCCCGTGTGGGGGCCCCCCGTCGCGTCTCCTCAACTAGGGTGCACTTGGGAATCGCGTCTGGCCTGGCCTCTGGCTTGCACGCACCGTCTATCCCGTCGCTTCATTCACCCACAGCAATAATCGCAATCTGCAACCTGCAATCTAGCAGCGCCGCTCTTCGGCAGCCCTCGTGTCGTGCGAGGACAACAAGTAGGAACCTGGTCCTCGCTTCAGAGCCTCTCGATGGTTGGGATCTAACCCGGCCCTCACCATGCCCGCGTATGTTTGCATTGTCCTCCCCAGTCCGCCCTCGTCCACTGACGTATCATGCATGTCAACAGCCCCGGCGCTCAGCACAACACCGTCGCCAACCCTTTCGAGGAGGCAAAGCCACGCGTTTCCGAGTACACTGCTGCCGAGATCGCCACCTTGCAGTCGCGCCTCGAGAAGCAGCTCGGCCCGGAGTACATCTCGGCACGCAGCGGCCCCTCGGGCCAGAAGGTCCACTACATCGCCGCCGAGAAGTGCATTGCCCTGGCAAACGAGGTCTTCGGCTTCAACGGCTGGTCATCCAGCATCCAGAACATCCAGGTCGACTTTGTCGACGAGAACCCCCAGACCCTCAAGATCTCCCTCGGCCTGTCCGTCATCATCCGTGTCACCCTGCGCGACGGCACCTATCACGAAGACATTGGCTACGGCCACATCGAGAACTGCAAGGGCAAGGCCGCCGCCTTTGAGAAGGCCAAGAAGGAAGGCACCACGGATGCCCTGAAGAGGGCCTTGAGGAACTTTGGCAATGTCTTGGGCAACTGCATCTACGACAAGGACTACCTGCAGAAGGTGACCAAGATCAAGGTCGCCCCCACAAGGTTCGACGAGATCAACCTGCACCGCCATTCCGACTATGCTCCCAAGGAGCCCGAGGTCAAGGTGGAGGCCAGGGCCGCGGCCGCCAAGAACGCGGCGCCTTCTCTCGTGCCGAATGGTGGGTTGGATTCCGATGATTTTGATTGGGCGGACGCTGATCTGTTGGGTGTATAGATACTACCGACCCTCTAGATGATGACTTTGGCGATTTTGACATGGCAGACTTTGGCGTGACTGAAGATGGCCACCCCGACGAGGTGGCCTTGCCAGCTTCACATGGCGTAGCAAGACCCCAGCCCGAGAAGCCGCAGGCCCTGCCCTCTGCCCGTCCAAGTGACTCCAGTAAACCCTCAACCAGCAGTGTGCCTGGTCCCTCCAAGCAGATGCAACCTCCTGCCAGAGCGCCCATGACCAGGAGTGGCTCGGGTGCCCAACCGCCTCCCAGGCACCCGCCCCAGACACCCAACCAGGCCACCAGCACCCGGCCAACAGCGCCGAACCAGGGCCGTCCTACACCCGCTCAGGTCTCGGCAGCGCAGCAGGCAGCGGCCAGCAACAACAACACCAGTACGCCGCCTCCAGCGAACGGGAACGGGGAGGTTCCTGCTGGGCCCGTCGCTTTCTTCTCTGCTCGCTCGGTGAGATCACTGCCCGAGAACGCCCCGCCCGGAGCACCCATTCTCCCACAGAACGGTGGCAAGCTTTTCGACCCCAAGCTGGACAGCCCCTCGATTCGAAAGACGCCGGGCATTGATCATGGGAGCACAAAACCTGTAAGCAGGGAAGGGCGACATGTCGAACCCATCAAGCGCGACGAGGACGCAGCCCCGCAAAGCAGCGGCACTCCTACTGCACTTGGCCGACCCAGCTTGGGCAATGTGGTCAATCCATCGCAGAATCAGATGCGGCAGATTGGCGCACCCGGCGGCAACCGGGGCCAGTATCGGCCGCTAACCGTCAAGCGGCCCGCACCTGGAGGAGGAGACGCGCCGGCCCGTCCGCCACTAAATGAGGTTTCATCCAACGGGAACGTTGGCGCCGCAGCAACTGTTGCAGATGCCAAACGCCAGAAGACGGGTTGAGAGGAGACGTGATAGATGCGTAAAAGAAGACCGAAATTTCGGGCTGTAGGGTTTTCTCCATTGCGAGGCGTTAGGAGTAGTCTCATTTGTTATGCTTGGCGTTGGGATGCTGGTGTTCTTTCTTTGGTAGTATAGCTGAAGGGCTCTTGCAGGATGTTCGCAAGGAATGGCTGAGATATACTGTACAGGACAGAGCTGTATGACTACGTGATATATCATGAGGGTCGTCGGCCTTGCAACTGTCCACCACCAATTGATTCTCGATTCAAGGATTTAGACCAGAGTTTCCGAACTACAAGCCAGACGATCACACTTCTGGTTCTTTACCGTAAACGCCTCTAGTGAGCATTCTGGAACGTGAATTTTTTTTCCCTCCCAGCCGCTTCGACAGAGCTTCGAACAGTAGCAATCCGGTGTTCCAGGAGCAAATCGGCCAGCAACGTGCGAGCCATGGTGTGAACTGGATGGCGCACTGCTTTACCAAACGGCTCGTCACTGATACCACATTACAGCGGTGTGAAATAGGAGGGCCATGTACAGAGACCAGTCGACTCGACCTGCCAGTGCCCTGCAGTCTTCTGTATCAGCAAGAACCAACCAGTGCGGCTGTTCATTCAAGAGTAGGCGTGAACATGAATTTCCTTGGTGACTGACAGATAAGAAACCGAGCTGGGTTCACAGAGACGTTCATAGCAGGCATGTAATCTAAAGCTGACTCTGGCTGGAGCATGCTCCCATACAGCAGCATGTAACAGAAATATGAATTTCACATATGCCATTCGAGTTTAAGCTTTGTACCCTGCGCGCTCTAGTAATAACGACCATCATGTGTGAAAGCGGCTGTTGGCATTGGGGAGGGTTCCTCTTAGTCTTAAAGAAACGCAAGGCAGCAGGGAGTAAAGCATTCCAGGGAGACAGGTCTCGGTAAGAGAAAGTACTCATAATTCTCGTACTACTAACAAAAGTCAACCACCGGGTATATAAACTCAACTCCATGACCGACGACCCTGGCCCTGCGTCTGGGGACTAATTAGAGACGGATCCTGGACCATCGGTAACCTGTTTCCATGAATACAGACAAGACTCTGTCTCCCTAGTCACCTCCTTCTCAGGAAGAATTCTCATCGTACCAAAACCAAGACGCCCCATAATCGCGGTGTCCTCCAGAGAGCGTGTACAATGGACAGTGACAGACAGTCTGAGACGACTTTGGATGCCGACGGCACAGTGACGTCTTGTCTCCGGGATGCGACTACTTGTTTGTAGCTGTCGTCGGCGGTGGTGGCGCCGTGTCCCATGGCGGCCCGGCTTACACAAGCCCAGGCGTGTTTCTTCAAGTGCTTGTGCATTTGCATGCAACAAACTCATCGCGTCGAAAAGCGAACCAAATCTCCCCAATGAGAGCTTTTATGCCACCTTACTTAGCGACTGCTCCATTTCCAGCTGGAATTACTTGTCGAGCGTGACATGGGCGGCGAGCTCGGTGCCAGGCTGGCGTCGCTGCGGTCACTGTCCATGGATCGCTTCTCTGGCGACGGAGACCTCCGCAGGTAGGCGGAAGGAGCACTGGGCTCAACTGCAACGCCCTGGGGCTGTCGCGACTGCTGCCAGGAAGTGTAGATCTGCTTGCACAGATGTGTCGAAATTGTGTGAGAGGGAGACATGTTTGTGAGGTTTGAAGAGTTCAAACTCTCCTTGGTTCCAAGGCCGTGTTGTGTTCGTCTTTGTGATTGCTGCTTTCTTGTTACAGGCAGGCGGCTAGCGGCGGTCGCGTGATGTCTGACTTGTAAGTCGGATGTGGGGGGGATGATGGCACGTTCTGGGTAAATATATACGCGGAAGCTGTTCACTCGAGGACGGAGGGCAGAGGGATCGTCCGCAGGCGCAGGGAAGAGTTGTGCGAGGCTACGAGAGAAAAGAGGATTATTGACTTCAGACGGCAGCGAACAAAATAAAAGTCGAAAGCGTGGCCACAAAGGTTGTTACGATCTGGAGTTCCAAGAAAGGAGCTAGTGAAACAATGGGATGGGAACGGGGGAGGCCTGACGACTTTATTGCAGGCTCCGTCGAGTGACCCCGTACCTACCGGATCCGTCGCTCGTGGGCTGAGCTGACAATCATTTGGGAGAATCGTACGGTACCAGATTCCAGAATAGTAGGTACCTGGCCGAGCCGTGTTGGACACAGCGTAACCCGAAGTCCAGAGTCCTGCCAGCTCGACAGGAGAATGGCCTGATCTTCGGCGGGCATTTTAGAGCGGCCGGAGGGTGGGGAGCGGATGAGTCGTGCTGGGGCCAATGAGACGCCGCAGAATTCTGATTATCTCGTCTCTGGCTGTCCCGTGTCGCCCAAAATGGCATCCGCAAGCTGCGCCAGTGGTTCGATGTTACTGGAGCTCCGCCCTACATAAAGCCTTTAGCAACCACCTGGGCACCCTGCTTGCCTGCCAGCCAACACACAAGGCCTACTCCGCCGCCCATCTGGCCACGCAAGAAGGGATTGCGATTACGTGCTCCCTAACTAGCCACTGTAGCAAAGAAGGGTGCCCATCGTTTGCAGATCATGCAAAGCACGTGTGATTTTCTCATAGCAGGGGTTTCCGAAAATTGACATTTCACCATTTCATTCGTACATGGCACAAGCAGCAGCTGCGCAAGGTACCTAGCTGGCTTCGAGGCTGTCCCAGATCGACAAGGCCAAGGAGCTGCCCGTCCAGAATCTGGGGAACAGCCCTGTCGGCAGGACCTCCCGTGTGACTTGACCGTCTGCAAGCCCCAAACTGACTATACGGTCGGTTCGGTACGGAGCGGATGTGTTCGGAGGAGCACCGACGGTTTTCCACGGCAGGCAACCAGAGAGTAGGCAGAACGTTCCGCCGCCCGAAAGGTACGAGTGTCCCGAAACGTCATGCTGCATCCGTATAGAATCCGACAAGTTTTCTTATTGGATAGATTGTATTCTTAGGACATGCCCATTTGGTCCTTTGCATCGCAAGCCACGCCAGTGTGTCGGTCTGTTTTGCGGCCCAACGTCTAGTCTAGTAAGTCGCCCCGTGGACCACAAAGTAACTCCCCTCTCGCCTATTGGTTTGAAGCCACGGGTGATCCCCATCAACTCTTCAAGCCCTGTACAACTCATTTTGGTTGCACATCTATTTGGTCATGTTTAGCGAGCCCAGAGCGGTGCTTCGACTAGGCATTGCTGTAAGTTGCAAGTCAAGGCCGCGGAGAGATAACGGTCAATAGCTGCGGGCGCAACACAGTATACCTGATTATGTTGGGTCACAAGCGATGCGGTTTCAAGGTATCATCATATCAAATACATGACTGGCACAGTTTCTCAGCCCACACGGTAGTGACCAGGATGGTGCCACGCGAAGTCAAGAGCCGCATGCAGGTTACGCCAGACCCTGCAGCTGCAACAGGGACAGCTTACTACATATCAAACATTGATAAGAACACCCGAACCACATTCCATGCCATTGTGGTGGACTCCAGACATCCCGCTGAATCTTACAAGTTGAGGTTCTGGACTGTCATGTAGATCTGATGTATATTTGCTTAATGTCTTATGATGAGCAACATTATGCCCTGCAGTTATCGACGGTGAGACTCCGTGCCAGATTGTCCATGAAGTGCGAGTGGAATGAAGCAGGGGAATAGTCAACAGTACTCATAGGCCATGGTACTCATATAAGTCGTGGCTCCAATCTGTCATGTATAGCGTCTGCTTACCATGTGTAGTGCCAACTCACCAACAGCAAGCATTATATACCGAGGTCTTCATTGCAATCGTTCCTACATAGGTTACTATGATTACATTTTCTTCCTATCATGACGGCCCACCCACGCTACTTGACTTTTTTTTCCAAGATGACCTCAGCAGTCCACCCGCCTTTAGCCCCTGCGCGCACTACCGTACGGCCCCGGGATGTGCTCCGCGGCCCGGGTCCTCCAGCTCGGCCAGCACGTAAGGCTGCCACTGCGACTCCATCTCGCCGGGCGGGCGGTCCGAGGCGAGCTCGTGGCGCTTGACGGTCTCGACCTCCGGCTCCTTTGGAGTTGTGGCCCCGTCCGCCGCCAACTCCGCCGCCCCCGCCTGTCGTCGTCGGCGGCGGCGAACCGTCCACACCACGGCGGCCACGATCCCGATCCCCACCAGCGCCGCCGCGACCGCAATGCCAGCCTTGGCGCCGGTGGATAGCCCGGTGCTGGACGTTGATGCGGCCTCTGCGCCTGCGGTAGCTGAGACAGTAGGCCCGGTCGTCACGCCGGAGGCTGGGGTCGAGACGACCGAGGAGACGGTCGTCGGCGTGGAAGTCGCGGTTGGGGTGCTACTAGAAGCGGAGGAGCTTGCGCTCAGGCTGAACGTCTTCTGGTCCGCTTCTGCCTTCACGTAGCTGAACTCGGGGCTGGTGGCGCCCTGGCTCGTGCCGTCCTCCTGAACTTGCCCGGGGAGCAGGTTGAACCAGCAGGTCGTGCCGGTGTATTGCGTGTTCGACTGCAGCTTGACGGGGACCGCCGTCTTGCCCAGCACGTCGCTGGGGCTGTAGTAGACGATCTCTATTATCGTGTCAATCGAGTGTCGGGTCCTGCGGCCACTGTGGCTCACGCCGGGTCTACTGTCCCCCGCTCCAGTTCACTCACCTTGGCGGTTCCCGCTCGCGTCTCGGCACCACAGGTACAGCCACGGCGTGTCGTAGTCCGTGGCGTACGCGACGTCGACCGTGTCCAGGTAGTTGAACGTCAGGTTGGCCGCGTCCGGGTATAGGATCTTGTTGTTGCCGTCGTCGCTAGCGGCCTGCGCAGCGCCGGCGGACAGCAGCAGGGCAGCCAGCACTGTCGCGAGACCGCGTTCAACACGCGGCCGAGACATGGCCATCCGGCTCTGAGACGCGCACGAAGCCACGAGACAAACGGAGGGTTGGAAAGAGCAAGAAAACGCGGAGGTGTGTCTCATGTGCCAGCTTTATCAGAGAAACCCCTCAATATATTCTCGCTTCAGACACACACCCCGGCACAAACCAGTGACGGCCCCCAAGGACCCCATCAAACCCCTGCCAAATCCTCATCGTGGAAAGTTGCGGAGGCAGCGGGTTGTGGGCCACGATCCAGGTTCCATCGGATCAGATTATCATGGTACAGGATGCTTATACCTAGGCTATGCCGGGGGTGCGGCCCCGTGAAAGGTGGCAGTCACGTATGAATGTGGACAAGTCGCTCTATAGTTGATTGCACTGTACCATGCAGCTTACTGGGAAATTCGATCATTTACAAGGAAGCAGGGATCGTTGTACCACGAAGGATTCCGCCCAGCCGGGGCCAAGGGCCCCTCAGAGCCATGGATCGAACGATAGACAGACCAAGAGAAAACTGAAATGCGCCGGCATAGTGCTCCTACATGCTTGCTTCAAAGTATAATTTGACGAGAGCCGGTGTTAAATAGTCAAATGGCCGAATGCGCCTTATACGCTCACTTCTCAAAGTGTCTGCTTATCGCGAAAATAGCCAATGTTGGGTCATTAACGGTCTACACTCCTTGGCGCCAGATCTAATGCAAAACTCATCTACAGATCTATAGGTATCTCATATTAGACTCCCCGCTTTTACCGCGTGATATATACTTGACAACATCCGTGTCGACGCGTTCAGTCCTCCTCTTATGCCGCGATGGGGCTTCCCGCGAACTGGGTCTTGATCCCGACCAGTCTCTTCACGGTTAGCCATAGTTCGAACGCCTCCAGCTTCAGTTCCACCCTGAGGAACCCTAACCATGCAGCTGTGAGTCTGAGGGCATTACCAGGCCACCACAGTCCGCCTTCCCTGCCTCGAATCTCCTCCACCTGCTCCCTGAACACCGTCTTCGCACAGTACCTCGCCAGGATCATGAAGTTACGCATGGGGCCCTGGCGAGTATGTAGGTTTTCGTCCAGGCTTCTCGTCAGATCGTTGGTCTTCAGGATCAGGAGAATAATCCGAGGCACCTGGCCAAGCATCTGTACGAGGTCCGAAAGCAGACCCTCCTGTAGAGCATTGCCCATCGTCTTCTTCTCGTCGTCGGAGCGAGACTGCATGATCGAGGACGAGACAACAGTGTAGTCGCGGCCCGTGATGGCGCTGGCGAACAACGGGAACTGCTCCTCGGTGATACCAGCGACCTCGTGCGAATACTTCTTCATGCGGCCCATGTCGCCGTCAATCACGGCCAACCACATCTTGGCATAGCTGCGCTGCAGCGACTCGGGGATCTCGCGGTATAGACCATGGTCGTAAATGATAATCTCAAAGTTGGCGCCGCCAGGCCGTCTGCGCTCTGTCTTGCGGATGGCCAGGTTGCCACCATGAGGGTCGCAGTGCAGGGGGGCGTTCTTGCCAAAGATCATCTCGTTGAATATGTGAGCGAGGGTCGCCGAAACCTCATCGCGGTCAATATGGCTGGCATCAAGGTAATCAAGATCGTCAAGACGGTGGCCCGACTCGTTGGCCATGACTAGGATTCGCTTCTTGGCCCATATCACCTCGGGGACCAGCAAAGGCAGATCGGGGATCTGGGCAAAGTGCTGTTTCGTCTTGATAGCGTTTGCGGCCTCGAGTTGAAAGTCCAATTCTTGTGGCAGCGATACCTCCATCTCGGACGACAGCCATTCGAGGTCATATTCCGGGAACCAGCGCTTGAGTGTCGAAAAAGTGAACTTGGTGAGCGCCAGATCCAGGGGTGCCCACTGTGCCAGCGTCGGGTGTTGTACTTTGACTGCAACCTTCTGCCCGTTTTCCTTTATTGTTGCCATGTGCACCTGGGCCAGGGAAGCGGCGCCCAGGGGCTTCTCCGAGAAAAAGGAGAAGTAGTCTGTCAGCTCCTCACCCGTATCGTTTCGGAACATCTGCTCGATCGACTCGTAGGAGGAGACAGGGCATTTATCCTGCAGCGGAATGAAGGTGCTGGTCCACTCGTAAGGCAGCAGGTATGTCATGGCACTCTAGTGACGGGTCAGCGGGTGGCCGTGTGCGCGTGCTCCTTCAGCGGTGTAGGGACGTACCAGGTGCTGGCCGAGCTTGATGAAGATGCCGCCGTTCTTCTCCAAGACCTTCAGCGTCCTCACGGCGCATCGCTTGTGGCAGCCTCGCAGGATGTTGTCCTGTTCCTCGGGATCTTGGAGAGAGTCTCGTTGGTTCAGGGTCGTCCGATAACTGTGGGTGGTATGAGCCCCTCGATCTTGGTTGCGCCACGTGTGACCTGCCAGGGGAAACTCACTCGTTGATGCATATGAATAACGTGGTAGCAACTCTACTTGCGCGCTCCGTGGCTTCGTAGCCATGTTTGATATCATCGGTGAATGCGAGAGCGCCGGCGCCGGCGGCACCGGTTGCAGCAGCCGTGAGGACTATCCGCCTGGACCTCGGGGGCGGTGTCTGTCCCGAATGGTTCGAAGAGCGGGTGCCAAAGCTCCTCTGGAAGGGTCGGTACGAGCTCTTTGCGCGGGCGGTCAATTGGCTGCGGCAGCTCGAGCAAGTCCATGGGACGCTGCTACTGCTGGTCGCCTGGGTCGCCAGCCGGCTTAGGGGGTTAAGCCAGGTAATCTTCATGACGAGGGCGTCATGGGCACGTCGGCCGCAAACGTGGGAATGGTGAGGGATAAGAGCCTAGTTAGAGTGGCAACATGGACGAACTGTGTGGCATCATCCGAAGGCAACACGCGGGCGGACAGATCAGAGAGACAGACAGTCGATCATGTGGTTCTCAGCAGAAGCACCCGAACGAAAGTGGAACCGCGGCCGGTGCTGGGTCGTGCCAGAAGCTTTCCGTTGGGGGTGGAGATACCGCCAGAAAATCTCCAGCGGGCTGGACGGTCGTTGGTCGCCCGGGTTCCTGGGCCTTTTTTTTTTTTTTTTTTTTCTTCCCCTTCCCTCCTGTTCCCCCTTCGGCGCAGCAGCCAGAGGATCCCAGGACCAGACAGGGCCTTGCGGTAATCCCCGGGGCCTCGGCGTCATAAGCGTCATTTTCGACCCAATTCAACCCGCGATCAGCAGGGCCCCTGTAGGCCTGTACGTAGTTGGCATAGGGGGGTATTCTGCGGGATGCAGGGCGGCCGACAGGGGGCCCAGGGTTTTTGCTGTGGCTTGGCTTGGACAATTAACGCAGCTCCATCTCTTTACGCGTTCCACCGGCCCTCTGGCGCGTCGAGCTTGTCCGACTTGAAAGCAGGTCCGGTCCGCACGCCACCTGGCCCATAACACAAAGCAAAGACAACCACCACCAGACGACGCCCTGTATAGATATATTACTTGGTTTGCAAGCGGTACAGCGTCTGCTATATCGTAAGAGAACAGAAGCCCGAGGTCGCGACACGATGCTTCTCACAATGTCATCCACCTCTCTGCCCGTCTTCAACTTCGACTTCACCTCGACGCCCTCGACCTCGCACCACCCACACCAACACCGGCCCGCCGTGTCCTCGCCTCTCTCCAGCAGCTCGCCCATCCGCGTATCGCAGTCCTCGCCACCGCTTTCGCCGCGCGACCCCAACACCCTGGCTCCCCGGCGCGACTTCAACTCGTCCCCCATCCAGCCGTCCTCGTCGGCCGCCTCGAGCAAGCTGTTCAAGTTCGCCGGCCGCGACGCCAAGAAGAACCCCCTGAGGCAGAGCCGCGAGACCGCCCAGGAGAGCAAGCGCAGGCTGTTCCTGAAGGGCGTGAGGCAGCGCGCCGACGACAAGGCCTGGGAGCGCAGGGGTGGCGATCAGGAGGTAAGTTGCAGACGCGCGTGAAGACCGTTCGCGCCGAGTTTCGTGCTAATTTGTTGATGCGCCGGCCAGGTCTTGAAGCTCGAATGGTCTGCCCTCGACCGCAGGCGGCGGCAACTGAAGGACTCGGACATCGACGGGTTCGTGTTTGAGGACGAGCTGGAGGATATCCCGGAGATGCCGGGTGCCTACGTCCAGGATGAGCCTATGGACCACGACATGATGGTCGACTCGCATGCGCAGGACGAGGAGGCAGAGCTGGAGGCCATGCTCTCCGCCTTCGAGTCACAATCATCGAGGCCTCCCGTGCGGCCAGACTCGCCGTCGCTGTCCGACGAGGACGACTACGACAGCTTGTTCATGGACTTCTTGACGCAGCAGGACGAGCCGCGGAATGGTCAGGATATTGTTTTGTCGGGGCAGATGGACATGTCATGATCTCTGTTGCGTGCTAGTTTTGTCTTGCTTTTCGATACCCGTCGCGGTTCTGGTCTGGAGTTTAGGGCGTTGGTAGGGTTATGGGGTCACCTCGCTCATCTTCTCATGAGAGGGCTGCTAGTCTATTGAGGCGTTCTATCTGGTAGGGTACGGAATTTGCACGTATAAATACTCGGCATAATGTTTGGTATCAGAATCGAACCCATTTCGCGAGAAATCGAAGCATCACATCGTTATTTGTATTCTTGCCCGCCTCATTGCGGCGCGCAGTTGTCATCCGGCCCGTCCAGAACCTCTTTCGCCGAAGGCATGTCGCCGACCAAGTCCGGCGGCGGCGAGCCTGCTGCTTGCATCTGCGGACTGGGTTAGCATACCACACCGACCCTCCATCCCGCCTGGTGCTCCGGCGTGGGGGGGAGAGAGCACTCACCTTCTGCATCCGGTCCACGATGTACTCGCGGTCCGCCACGTTCTCGTCCCTGTACGTGGGCTCTTCGAACTTGGCCACCATCTCGCTGACGAGCCGCCTCTGCTCCTCGTACCGGTCGCGGTCCTCCTTCTTCAGGCCCTCGCCGTTCTTCTCGAACCAGCCGGGGAACTTGTCGTTCAGCTCGCGCATCGGCTCGTACAGGATCTCCTTGTTGGTCAGCTGCTCCATCATGCCCATCAGCATCTTGGAGAAGTCCTCCTCCGACCCGTCCGCCGCCCCCGGCATGTCCTTCATCGCCTTCATCATCTCGGCCAGGAAGTCGTCCTCCGAGCCCTCGGCCGCCGCGGCCGCCGTCGCCTGGTCGCCCGACTCCTGCATCCGCGCCATGGTGCGCTTGATCGTCTCCTGGAACGAGGCGTTGGCGCTCAGGTCCGCGGCAACCTGCTCGGCCGACCTGGTGTTGGGCTTGGCGGTCGAGGACGAGGCTGAGGGATCGGGTGCTGCCTCGGAGCCCAGCGCAGCAGCGGCGCCGAGCTCCTTGAATATCGACTCGAACTGCGCTTGCATATCCGGCTATCGTCATCTCTGTCAGTGTCTGCCCACTTGCCCGACTTCCCCAACCCCGAGTGTGTGTGAAGTCGCGCCGGGTGTCAGGTGAAGGCTTACGTTCTTATCCAAATCCCCCATCAGCTCTGCCATGCCCGCCTGCAACTGCCGCTGGAACTCTTCCTCGGAGAAGTCATCCGGGTCGATCACGGGCACGTCGGTCGTTAACGTGGGTATCGTAGGGCCTTTCTTGGCTGCGTCTGAGGATGCCGCGGCTTTCGCTTCTGGCGTCGCCGATGCTGGTGCCGGTGCCGGTGCCGGTGCCGCTGCTGGTGCTGTCGCTGCTTTCTTGGGATCTATCTTCACTGCAGAGAACTCGTCGAGCATATCATCCAAGTCATCGAGGTCGTCCTCATCCGGGTCGGGCGCATCATCCAGAGCCGGCGCGGGCGCGGGCGCGGGCGCTTTCACATGCTGGTCCGTGGCTGCGACATCGGGTTTATCGCTACCCGAGGGGCCGGTGGCACTTGTAGACATGGTGGGAAGTAATCGATGGCAGGCTAGGTGCTTGCGACAATACTGTGCCGGTGCTCAAAGTGCTTTTATGGGAAGTTGAGGGCAGACAAGGAGACGTTTGGTTGACCCGGGAAGAAGCTTGGGTCGGAGAAGGGGCGCGGCAGGTGAACTGCAGATCGCGGGGTGCATGCATGCATGAGTGAACAGCTTTCCACCTTTCCCGAGGTTTGTGTCACTGTGGGGTTGGGCTGTGGCGCACGAGTTGTGGCACTTACACGCGCTACAGGTCGACTATATTCACCCACAGCGCGTGCATGTCGACTATACGTTCACCATCAGTGGGGCCACCCTTAGCGTCGTTCTCTAATCTCAGTTGTTCCCAGAAGTCTCCAAGCATGTCCGCCTGGAGAATCTTCCGCTGTGCACAAAGACATTCCAGACTGTGTCAATGGAATACGTCTGGTAGGACAATTGTCGGAACGTAAACAGCACACCGTCGACGAGAACGCGCTTTGTTGCGCCTATGAAGGACCTCAGCCTCCATGTCCCTACGGAGCTGTGGGAGATGGGGAAATTCAACCCTCGAAGGCCTATTAGCAATGCCATTGGTACGACACCCTAGAGATGTTAGCCAACCAGCAGTGCGCGTCGATGAATGTGGCCCAGGTTACGACTTGATTCGTAGTGTAATCTACGGCTGAAAAGAAAGCTGGGATATAGTTGGATATATGCTATGATATACGCCTTGAACTGCGTTAGATGCGTATTACGATTGAGAGTGAGTCGGGATATGATTTCAATACGGCTTCACTCCTCGAAAATATAGCTTCATACATGGTTTTCATATACATGCCGAACAAATCCACGCCGGATCGCAAATGTTTTTGCTTCATTAGGCGTTATACTCTCCGAAGACGTTTTTTTTTTTTCCCCCCTTTCTTCGTGCAAGTCTAAATAACCCCAAGGCTGCAAACGCGGAACCGTGATTCCCATTTGAGGACCGAACCGTGTTTGAATACGGACAATACGCTAGCCACAGCACGACTTTTTCTTCCACTCCCCTTCCTTCGCCTCAATCGCCGGAACATTTTGTCTCTCTTTTCCATATCAGTCGTTATATGGTCCCGTTCATTCTCTTCACATCAGTCACTGTAGGTACGACGACGGTACACGACTTCTCCTGCCATCATCTCGTCGAGTGACAGTTTTCCTCCTCTCCGCATTACTATCACAGAATCGCCCTCGTCGAACCGTCGACATCCTTCGTCGCGCCATTGGTTTTCTTCGTCGAGGGACGGCTTTTCCTCTCCATCACGATTTTGCGCCGCAGTCACGTTCCGATTCTTCATATGATGGCGCCCGCCGTGGAGCGCCAGAACTTGGCATCTGGCAACGCCAACCCCATCATTATCATCAACGACCTCACCATTGTAAACACGGAGGGCGACAAGCACTTCGTATTCCATGCAAACTTGCATAAAGAGCATGATCACACTCTCTGCCACTGTAAGTTCCAAAAGCGTTTCTTAAGATGACCAGAGGCTTCACAACACCCACCGTGGGTGATTTTCGTCCTTGCCCAGGTTGCATTGGCGACCTGCAAACAGAGGTGAAAATTATACGGATGGCGGGGTATTGTGAAGCTTTGGTAAGCCGTCTTATTCGGATTGGCTGTTGTTACCTGGGTTGCACTGGCGACTTCTAGAGAAAAGGCAAATTATATGGATGACAGCGTCCTTATAACCTTCACGCCCGATAAAACTAAGCAGCTTTCATCTGAATTATACGGATGATATATAGCTCCGAAAAAGCTGGGCGTCCTGTTTGATAAGCTTACTACTACTTATCCACCGGTACAGCTTGCGTCAACAACTTAAGTGGACGCAACCAAGCTGTTATTTGACTTGCACGAACTGTGCGGGAATATTTTTCTTATTCCCCTATTTAGATTCGGCGAACTAACCATCTTTCAATCCTAGACCTGGGCCTCCGAAATCGTGCCGCTCTTCGCCGTCTCCGCGTCAGCTCGCCAGTCTTATTCTACGTGGACTATTTCCACTTCCTTACAGACGCGAGTTCGAACTATCTGCAAGAGTCCGCTGTCACCGATGTCTTCCGCCTCTTTCTCGCCCTGGGACCCGAGGAATTCGGCAAGCTTCCTCATTCCGAGCACGACATGGCCCGTGCATATCTCCGTCAAGACGGCACCCTCGACGGGAACGCTACCTTTGAGACCAAGGTTCACCATCTGGCCTCGTTCCTAGTCATGGTAGTCCATGACATGACGCAACTGTCGGGCAGCGATGACGCTATCAAGTCTTGCCTCGCCGCCTTCAATGGCTACCCTAGAGCATTTGAGGACTCCGCTGCGGCGCCGGCCACTGTGGCCCCCTTTGTTCTCCCGGAGGTGTCATGGCATAAGGCCATGGCGCCAAAGCTCATCCCATGCCATAATAAGCGTGAGCACGCGTTTGAAGGCTATCAACGCGCTTACGTGTTGGTGCGCCATGCTGCGTATCATCTTCGCCCAACGGGTTACAAACTCGGAATTGGCCGTCCGTTGTTTCGAAAGAACGAAAAGAAAGGCGCCACAAAAGACGACGATAATAACGACAAGATCCAGCAAGAAGAGGTTGAGAACGGCAACACTGAATTCGGGTTCAATCTTGATAAGGAGGCTATCAGACGCCGCCTTACCAGAACTATCATGCAGGATAGACACCTGTTACCAGAAGTCCTCAATTGCTTCATGAAGCCGACGTTCATGATGACCGTTACTGAGTGCAAGAATCTAGGTCTCACTCAACCATCGACACCGGGTCTCCCTAACGAGTGGGACGACTGTCGAGGACTTACTCGCTCTGATCCCGAGAACCCCGAGGAATATTTGATCGACGAGTATTACCATGATGCGAAAGACGCATCCGACGTGGAATTTGACTTTGGCGAAGAAGATTTCGACATGGCCGTCAACCCCGAGGCCTTTAGTGGCGAATCGATCATGGATCCGGAGATGTTGCAGGGCTGATTCATGGGTTGACTGGAAGATCGATCATGAGACGCGAAGAACTGGAGTGATTGAAGAAACTGTTCCTAATATATACGCAAACCGCGCGCCTGAATTGCGGCAGATGCGTTATGGGGGATCATCCCAAATTTGCGTTTGAAGACGGCATCCTGAACCGCACGAATGTGGCTCACTGGACTTGGTATTACGGTTTGATGGACTTGCGTTGCATTTCAAGGGTTGAGGCTTCACCTTGATTGTTTTCTTTTCTTTTTCTTCGCGCTGCTTTAATAGGGAATGGCAATTGTTCACGACGATGGTATTGCGCGATGAAGTCTGGCAAGCACCGAAAGCCTCTGCTAGCATACGATAAATAAATCGTCGACCTATTAAAATAATTTTAAGGCACAAGAAATTTCTTCCGAATACTTTTGATATCGTTGAAATTGAGTTCGGATTCCGTTTCCTCATCTGACGAAGAACCCGAACTAAACATGCTCCCGAACAGCCTACTTTTGGAATTACCCAACACACAATTGGGCTTCATACACTGCGGCTTAAGAACCGAACATGTGTCATTCTTCGCCCCAAGCCGTGATTTCTTCGTCATGACAAGAAGCAGAATGAGCTGTGATTAAAAGTGGCTTTTCTCTCTTATTAAAATTCGAGATTAGGGTCCAATCTCGAGATTAGTACTGGCGTTCGCTCGTTCAACTGCAGACCCCTCACATACGAAAGCTTTTCAGGGTGATACATGAACCCCATCTCGAATCGTCTAGGAGTTTTGACATCGTAGGGTCCTACTCACCAATGGAAGGACGTTATATATACGGACAACACTCAATCTAGCAGATGAATGAGGGTCGGGCGGCAGGATGAACGCTCTTATAAATAGATGCCAATAAAAGGGCCTTGCATGCGATATTGGCATAAAACATTTGCGTCGCAGCCACTGATTTACATTGGACCTGACACCACGTGCTTTAACAAAGGTGCATAAGCGTCACCTGTTAGGATGTCCAGTGGCACAGCAGACCAGGACTTGTATTAGTGGGCTGTCCTATATTACTGTGTCGTGATGTGTTAGCGTGGTTGACGGCATGTTCTCGTGCGATGGCTGGACTGTGCCCGCGGGGACGATGAAAATTGTAATAGGTGGTTCGCTCCGTGTTCGGAAGTTCCAGTAAGAGTCTCCCAACAATATCGATCCAACGACTACAAGTGGCTTAGCAGTTATGGGTGTGTAGTAGTAGTACAATCTCGGTATACAGGTTATAGCTTTGTTAGATTTACCCGTATCGGTGCACAGTAAGAATGGTGCTTAAAAACAACACGAAACTATCCTTCAGCTGTAATATAAGCGCAACCATTATTCACATCCACTACTTATCGAGGCGTTGGGTATAGAAATCCCAACTACATTGCAGATCTTGTCCGTTGGTGCAGCTTCACAAATTCTGACTCACTTCGGCTTGGCCAACGTTTGTACAGAGACTTCAACTATTGCCCATGTCATTCTGAACTACGTATAGACCACACGAGTTACGTTACAGTTATTCAAGAGGCCTTGTTCACTTCGGCTAAAGTACCAACTCAAAGTTGCCCCGAAACTGTGTTGATACGATTTGGTCACAGCGCCTGTATATGCTAGAGTGCAGATGTGCGAGAGCGGTGGCAAACGAAACGACGTGTGGCCATGTCAATATGAAAGGAGCGGGAAAGGAAAAGAGAGCTATAATCTAAACTATCTGCCTGAGTCCGTTTATGCTCAACCAAGCCCAAAGGGGGCACCCAAGAGTTGCTGTGTCTAGCTTGGTCGGCGATCCCCGACCGTCGTTGACCGCCGGCCAAGCGCATTTGCCCGGGCGTAATACGGTCAGACAGCAGTCTAGAAGCTCGCCAGTCGAGTACTTTGGTTTCCGGGCAAAATCTTCTTTATTGTGGCTTGCGGTGAACAGGAACATATATGGGCAAGAAGCGAGACGACCAAGAACAGTTCGGACATATGCAGTGTGCCCGGCGGGCAAGGGGGCCAGCGTTTTTGGGGGCCGCCGTCCGCTAAAGGCCGAACTCCAGGTGCTCGCGCCATGCCGATTTGCGGGGATCCAGCCGACCCACTTGACTTGACGCCCTTCCGGCGTAGTCACAGACCGGGAACTATGAGAACTTGAGACTACTTCTCCTCAATCGCCCCAGCTCGCCCACAGAACCATCTGGAGCTTGCAACCTCCATTCTGATTCACCCTTCTCGCTCTTACTCACATACACTTCCTGGGAATCTATTTACGAAGTATTACCCAGGGCCTCAGGAAGCATTCCTGAGCCAAGGCAACAAAGATGCCTTTCACCACTGAGGAGTGGGACGAAATATCCCAGACCCTCCCCAAGGCTGAGGATCCTTTCATTTTGAAATACATCGAAGGTCGCGATGCTTTGGTTTCCCAGGAGAGCAAACAGAGAAGCGGTGAGTCTGACCTCCCGACTCAGACACCGAGTCCCCCACTAAACAAGTTCCAGATGCCTCATTCCGCCAGAATCTATCACCCATAGCCAAAAAGGCGTGTGCCATCGTTGATCGTATCCGCGATGAAGAGAAACGGACCATCTGGACACCTCAGCTCGAGGATACCCTGGCCCAGGAGGCAGAAAACCACATGACCGTTTATCCGGGAATGATGTTCTCGCTCTCGAAAGATCGAATGGAGTCGACCAAACTCTGGAAGATAATCCGTCAGATGCCGAAAGGCGCCTTGCTGCATGCGCACATGGACGCCATGGTTGACTTCAACTTCTTGATAGATTTGTTGCTCAAGGAGCCTGGGATCCACATCATGGCAGACAGGCCCTTGTCGTCGCCGAGTGCTTTGGCGAACACCAAGACCACTTTCCGTTTCCGCAAGACGGCCTTGACCGAGGGAAATGTGTGGACGGATGACTACAAGCCCGGTACCCTGATTCTTCTTACACAGGCCGCTGATGCTTTCCCTGATGGCGGGCGCGATGGATTCAAGAAGTGGTTGTACTCGAGATGCACACTCTCCCGCACGGATGCAGTCGCACAGCATCACGGCGTCGATGAGATATGGCGCAAGTTCTACGCCTGTTTCCGGACCGTGGACTCCATAATTCACTACGAGCCAATCTTCAGGAAATTCCTGAGAAGGCTGGTATCCCAGCTCAAGGCAGATGGCGTCAACTATGTCGAGCTCCGCTTCTCCTGGCAGCTGGATTACTATCGACAAGATAGAGAAGAGCCCGAGCAAGACTACACGGCCATGATGGATACAATCGACGAGGAGGTCAAGGCCTTCCAGGCTACCCCTGAAGGCAAAGGCTTCTGGGGTGTCCGAATGATTTGGGCTACGATTCGATTCAACCCAACCCGTCACATCATCCAGGATATGGACAACTGTATCACCACTAAGATAACACACCCTCACCTGATTGCAGGCTACGATTTGGTCGGCCAGGAGGATCTGGGTCGCCCACTTAAGGATGTCCTTCCCGAGCTTTTCTGGTTCCGCAAGCAGTGCGCCGAGGAAGGAGTCACAATCCCCTTCTTCTTCCACGCTGGAGAATGCCTTGGCTCGGGGAGTGAGACTGACCACAACCTCTACGACGCGATCTTGCTCGGCACTCGCCGCATTGGTCACGGCTACAGCCTGTACAAGCACCCTCTGCTTATCGACCTTGTCAAGGACAAGAAGATCTTGATTGAGAGCTGCCCTATCAGCAACGAGGTGCTGCGTCTCTGTGGATCAGTCATGAGCCACCCTCTACCGGCTCTCCTTGCCAGGGGTGTGCATTGCTCACTCTGCAACGACGATCCGGCAATGCTCGGACAAGATACCGCTGGCAGCACGCACGACTTCTGGCAGTCATTGCAGGGCTGGGAGAATCTTGGCCTGGCGGGACTGGGATCATTGGCTGAGAACAGCGTGCGTTGGGCTGCATTCGAGGACCAAGCTGCAGAGCAGTGGAGCAAGGATGTCAAAGAGGCTACTGTCGGCAGTGGGCTCAAGGCACAGCGACTCAAGGAGTGGGCCGTCGAGTGGGAGAAGTTCTGCTTGTGGATTGTGACAGAGTTCGGCGAAGAGTAATAGGGGTACGCATATCGATGGGCGTCAGAGTCTGATTCCTGCCCACCGACGACCGAAAAGGGTAGTCTGACCGCAGGAGTCAGCCGGGCTAGATTTTTCATCGCTCGAAACAAATCAATTGTTTCATTGTTCAACCAAATGGGCTACTCGTTCGGCAACGAAGGACGGTCCTGTGAGTGGTCTTCCTTGGATCAGCATCGGCCATATTCAACTTGGCCAGTGAGGCGTTTGGAGTGAGCTAGTCAAGACGAGGCGTTTTCTAAGAGGTTTACAGAGTTCAACCTGCCAGGCAGAAATGGGATATAGTTTTGAATTGTGGGCAGCCAAATAGGCAGACAGGCGCGAGAGCAGGCAGAAAGGCTCTTCTGCAGGAGGACCACAAAAGTGAGAGAGGCTTTCAACAGTAGACGCGCCATCATGCAAGGTTATAGTTAGGCAACTGACACAGAAACGGTGGACGGGCATATCCGTATGTACTTCAACAAGGCATTTGAGGCTCCCAGGATAATTACGGACCAATTGAAAAATTTCCAACCCGAAAAAAGTTATATCCAGCAATTTTCTAGAAAAACATGCCCCGTACAGACCCGTGGGGCGCGGACTACGCGTGATTTACAAGGCGCGCACGCAGCCAGTGGCAAATTCCGCCAATAGGGGGGAGTATAACCCGTACCCTCGGTGAAGTCACCCACACAAGGTGGGTCGGAGGATATGCGGCCCCTCGCTTGGGGGAGCTTCATTTCCAATCATTGACAACCCGAGGACCGGGAATTGTAACCGAAGACTTTGGGTTCAAATAAATGATAGGGTCCTCTTTACGCGCCCATCCCCTCTGGGCGGCCCCTTGAGCTCACGTGTCTGTGTTTGGCTATTGCCCAGGCCATTTCGAAGCGTCTTCCATGCTACAGAATATTGGGAAGCGATCGTTAATGATGATTTAATTGAATCTTGAAGGTTTGCCGTCATCACCCGGCGAAAAGTGATGAGAGAGCTTGCGGGTCAATGCAAGTAAGCAGTCGTCAACCCCCAGATATGGTACGCTAATTGCTGATTGCATGTGAATGCTGGCCCTTCTAACGTCTTTTTCCAAGGGCTTTAAGAAATAGAGCGATGTATCCTCCGGTCCCGCCGTCGTGTTTCGAGCTTCCAATAAAAGGTTCTGTGGTCGAGGGAAGGAAAGGAATCGTGCATAGGGCATCCGTTCGTCTCGCCAGCAACGGAGGGTGTAGGAAAGAATAAAAGCTATTCAATAATACAGACGTGATACGGCAAGGGTGCGAAATGTAAATTGAAGCTATCCAGCTCATCCTAGCCGAGCCGAAACGTCTTGAAGCCAAGGCCGTAGTCCAATCGGCTGAAAATCAACCATGTCGTTCAAGTTCGGATCGCTGAAGGAGTAGCGACCATTGGCGGTCTGGAGCAGATGAAGCATCTGGTACCACTTGGTCCAGTCCTGCGTCTCTTCGTAGTAGCGCAGCCAGTCGACGATTTCTTGATAAGGACGAGAGATGACCTCAAATTGGACTGCATGCTGTAAGCTATTGTATTGTAATGACAACGAGAGTAATTACCTCCTGTGACTTCTTGGCATATTTCAGCAAGTCTTGTGGTCGTCACCTGGGCGCCACGCATCTTGAACTCTCTAGGCCAGTTGCTAATTCCGAGATCGATGGCAGCGGCCACGAAGCGTGCTACATCATAGACAGAAGTCATGGTGACATGCACAGACCTCCCCTGAGAATTAGTCTGGGGGATTTCCGCTACACAACGGTTGAGGTCAAGCATATAGTCTCCTGGGTTTTGGATACGAGAACCCGCCCCCATGTTGTATGACGCCAGGCCTTGCGGCGCGAAACGCTCGTAGAATATTCCGCAAGAGAAGACGGTGAACCGCATCTGTCGAGACCTTGATGAGGCGCAGTTACGAAGAAATTCCAATGCGCTGGATGAGCCTCGATCAAGAGGGTCATTAGCAGGACGGTGACTGAGAGCACCTTCGAACTCGGATGGAACGAAGTGTCGAACGTGGGCCCGGCGTGCCGCGTCGATCAGATTGTATTGCTCTGTGTCCGAGATGGTCGATATCACAAGGTCTACACCCTGAAGAGTGAAACGGAGGTCGTCCACGTCGCTATAGTCAACAACAGCAACTTGGCAGTCGTATTCCTCGAATTCAGGATGGTGCTGGGGGACCATAAGCTCAGATAGTATTTGCACTCAGAGGGGAACTCTTACTCTCGTGGAAAGGACAATAATGGCATGGGCACTCTGAGCAAGCTGCTGGGCGAGGATATTGGCGAAACCTCCGCCGCCAGCAATGGCTATTCGCATCATGGCTGTGGTTGCTTTGGTCGGCATTTTGGAGACGGAGTCGGGAGGACAATGACAATTTAAACTTGTTCCTGAGAGGATGATGACGACTTGAGTCTCGAATGTAACTACTCCATCAAGTGCCCTGCCGTCCAAGATCTGGAGCGAATCCCCGAGTGAAATATGCTTCGGCCTTTCTTTTCGGAGTACGTCGTGTGAGTCAATCCCTTGGAGGAGTTCTCGATGGCATATGTTTCATTGAGGACCCGGGATGTCACACTTGGGCGTATAGCGGCTCCACGCGGGGACGTTGCACAAGAAGGAACGGGTGGCTTCACGGAACTGACCACCGATGCCATGGGATTTCTATCCTGTAACTTGTTCTTCGGGTGAAGGTAGAAGTATGTAGATGTAACGACGGAGCCGGCACTAGCATGTCTTGGGGATGACCTCAAAGCGGTGGACCCAAGTATTCGTGATTCAAATCCGTGGCCTAAGGGGATAACCGATGACACACCAAAGGACCGTTATCCTGCTCTAAAAGCATTTCCCTGTGTACCCGGCACTCTGGGTCCTGGTCCATGCAAAACTGTAAACCAAATGTGGTGCAGGGGTGGTGGGTTCACTTCTCTAGATCCTAGCTCCTGAGAAGCTGAATGGCTGTTTCACGATGACTGGTGATATCCCGTGGCACTCTAAAGAGGGACTGGGGTATGCTGCCTGATTCTTGATGCGATTCACAAGGATTTTGCAAATAAAACCATGTCGCGACGTCGGCGTCGTCCGGAACGGATAAGTGATAGTCAAAGAATGGATGAAGAGGATTACCAAGAGTTGCAAGACCCTGCATGTTTGGCAGCACCCAGACCCGCGAACCAAGAAATAAATACATCCCATGAATATGTGTAAAGCTACGTATGTTGCGTGGGTGATAGAATGGACTGAGGCTACCATAGGGCGTCGACGGCATCCAACATAGGTCGACAGTTGTCAGCCCACACTGCATTACGATTAGTGAGGAACAAAGCACAGTTGAGGAACACCGGAATAGAGGAAACCAAAACTCAAAGTCTGCAGCCTTAAGATCGCATATTGAATCCATATCAGGCAGAGTCCCAGTACCCACGCCGTTACCCGAACAGGAGGAGGATGACGGCTGGTATCTGTAAGCGATTGCCGGCGAGCCAGACGGGAACGGTCAGCCAAAGTAGGACGGCATGAAACTCAAAAAAGCACTCTAGTCGATCCGTGTACTTTCGATATCGCGAAGGTACCGTTACATAACCGAGATTGCCCAGATAGGTGCCCCGGGGGCCACAAGAGATGGTGGGAAACATTGCTTGTAATCTCTCACCGAAAGGCCCATATTCTTAGGCAAGGTCCGGCGCTAGTGTGCGCAGTCGGTATAATGAGCAACAACAATGGCACGCAAACACCCAGAATATATTGGGAGGTACAAGGATCGACATCGTGCCATGGAGCCAGGTGTGGAAGCAGGCTGCGTCCGGGGCTCACCCCAAGATGAGACAAGCCATTGGGAGCCTTGGATTGGTGAAAAAGCCATGCTTGAGGTGCATGAGGAAATAGGCTCCTCCGTGGGCTCTGAAGCCAAGCGGCTGGAGCCTGCAATCGGGATCTTTGCGACTGCACTCCAGACACCGCGCCGGGCATGTTGTAAGTCTGTTGGGGGCGGAAAATGATAGGGCGTGTTCGAGTGAGGTTATCCCAAGTGGGCAGCGACTCCACAAACAGGGCGGACACCGGGGACCTCCACAAGCCGCACTGGGGCGCTAACCGCTGCAGGTGATGAAGCTACCCAGGACGCCCAGGGGTACCACCACTGAACCACTGTACCACTCACTGGGGTCACCTGACGCTTCGTACAAGGCTCAATCAGAGCCTCCGAATCGCCACCCCTTTTTGCCTCGCTCGGCGCTCTTTTTCGGGACGGACGTGCTCCACAGCAACAGAACGCGTCGAGACCGCCCGTCCCAACGGTTCTACCAGAGGGGGAGGTTACGGCTCCAACTTCCTTGAGTCACACCAAACATTCTTGCATATGCCGGGGACCTTGTGAGGCTCAAATTTAGATCACCACCTGGGCATGCTCGGCCATCGGCGGGGTGCGGGAAACATGTGCTCCAAATTCCCAGGATACTGGCGGTTTGAGACTCTGAATCTCGCATCATCTGGGCATATCATGTGTATGGCATCTCTCCTTTGTAAACAGTTGATTCGTTTGTGAGAAAGTCGAACAAGGTCACCGCTTCACTGACCCCGGCGAGGAACTCCCATTCGACAGCGAAAGCGGCCGGGCGACGGCAATTTGGGCCCAGAACCCCGGGCATCCTGACGTTTGGTAGAAGAAAAGCTGCACTATAAACAAGCAGGGGTAGGATAATGGGCCCACCCCTTCTAGAATTCCGAAGGAATGCCATGCAGTAAGCAGTTCTGCATCGGCGGGAAGGATTCAACGGCCATTTGCCTCATTGCGAATTCTGACAGGTCCCAGCTTTCGGTCCATCCTTGAACCTGGCCCTGGTATTGCACGCACCATGACCTATAAATGACCTGCAGCAAGCCTCCCTCTCCCAGTTCTGGCGGTTCCTTGGAAGTAAAGAAAATACAGAACGCCTTGCTGTCCCAACTAAGAAGGTCAAACTTGCGCCGCCCGCAATGATTGGCTCACAAATTATGAATTTGACAGCCAATCAGAAAATTATACTCACACCTCAGTCAACCACAGGATGCGTCCAAGAGTTAGATCGGGGTGAGATCCTTCCGGCCAAGCAGCATATTTCCATTCGACAGCTTGTAGGTGGCTGGTAAGTCTCGCCCACCATATCATCATGACCGTTTCGTTCCTTATCCAGGCTACTGGGGACGCTATGAAGCCCCAACTGTGATGTCGAAGGAAATCTCACCGAACTTAATACAGACTGATCTGAGAAATTTCAAGCGGCATCGGATAATCGTTCCGAGTAGGTGGCATATTACTACCAACTGTAGTCGAACTTCCTAACCAAAGTTGACCCGAGACAAAACTGAAAGAAACCTATCAAATTGCAATCTGACATGAACTACTAGAAGCAATCTTCAAGTCGTAATCCAGGTGTGAAAAATCCCCTCGTAGTGACTCCGCCGTGTGTAGTTTTCGTGTAATGTACACGCTAGATCTTGATATCAGATTTTGCCAGTACTGGCTCATTTCCCGATATCACACCGGGAATGTGACGTCCTAATCCTTGGGATCTGATAATACCGATTCAGAGGAGGCGAAGCAAAATTTCATCGTCCAACTCTAATGAACGACGTGTCCGAGCTGAGGGCGCAGATAGAAGAAGGCCCGGCGGCATTGAAGTGACGGAAGGTCGAAATCCCAAAACTATGAGCCTCCGCGCTGGACTAGCAACATCTGGGTTTCATCCGGTACTCTCTTGAAACTGTCAAGGCTATTTTTGCCGTGAGAAGGGCCGAGAGGCCTGGGGATCAAGTACAAGGATGCAGACATAATCTGGCACTCACCGACCATGGTGCACTGAGATAGTGACTTTGCATCTCTCTACCAACACATAAAGCTGGTGAGCTGCGTAATCCTACTACGTAGCACTGGTTTGATGCAGCATCGGCCACCGCTATCCGAGCGAGTGGTAATCCACTAGATCGTCCAAAAGATCCCCGCCGTTGCTGACCACATGGTGATGCATGCAGCGCTACTTAAACCCCAGCCCCGACACCTCGGGCGCGGGAGCTGTATTCGGGAGCTCTGCCGGCAGAGTTCTGTTGTCATGGCATGGCTGGCAACCGAAATCACACTGGAGCCAGCCCCCTGACTATTACAACAGCTTCTCAAATGCCTCACACATCATGAACCGGGATGGAACGGTATTCTGACCTACTCAGAGTTCAACATGGAGTGTCGCTGGTCGCAGAACTCCCCCCTGCTTTGGAGGCTCCTTCGACTATTTCTTGACGGTCAACCCTTACCTGTCCCTCCGTCAGGCCATGTACTTGGAAATACATCTCACAGAGTCACCTGTACAAAGCCAGGGTTGTCCTGGTATTCCATTCTGCTCATCCTCCATACCCCTTGTGTACATTCCAATACTTGCCTCGTACAATCACTCAACCACGTCTCCCAAGCCCCTGGTTTTCACTTCAAGATGTGTCTCTGCGTACGCTACGTTGCATCTAGCACCCGGCGAAGGAACACTGGGGCGCAGCTGATGCCAATACTACCGACTTGACCGAACGCTATGTGGATCATTCAAGATGGATGTCATGGAATAGTATGGTGTGATCAAGTCAAAGCATGGGAAAAAAAGGGGGCACGCACAACCATTGTCTCTGGGCTTTTTGAGCTTTCTTCCCTTCCGAGAGCCTGAAGTTGGAAAGGGATTCTGGTAATGGAAAATTGAAGGACAATTGAACGGTACCGTTCGTAGGCCATCGAGCGACATGCCAAGGAGAGCTCACCCAAAGGCGTGCAGGGCCATCTCAAGCCTGAGACTTGCTACTTAATGTCAAATCTGTAGCTAAATTAGGCCCCCACCAACAACTATGCCCGGATTCTGCCTCCTATTTTCACTTGGCAACCTCTGGCATGGCTTTGATTACTCACATCTCTGCTTTGAATCTATATTGTAGAGCACAGAAGATCCTGTAATAGTGATCGGTACTGCTAGAGCATTTCTAGTTTGTCAAGTCTCCGGTGTGAAGCACAATGTACTGGCAATTAGATCACCACAGCCACTTATGGAAGTTTCGGTAGTTTCAAGACCATGAATGTGGACAAAGACAGAGTCTCGTTCCCAAGTCAATTTCGAGTTGTGATATGTGCTCGTTCCCCGAATTGGGGCACCAACATTTTACATTCTTTGGTATCGAATCGTTTGATGTCAGAGCTTGCAGCACGCCGCGAGCATACCTGGACGTTCTTGTCCTTGCCTCGACACGTTTTCCTCCGGGTGGAGTGAAAGTTGTTACAGAATCGGGGGTTTCTGACCCCATAATATACAAATCAGATGCTACCGTGACATCATGCGAAGTGACCGTGGTTTCCCTCCATTGTCACGATAATACTCTCAAACGCCTAGCGAAAAACAAATCGGTGCTGCTCAAGTTGCCACAAACCCAATTTTGCATCGATATAGATCAGGGATCAAACACGATGCTGCCATTTCCCATCTTCTTAGTGCTGACTCCATTCGATGGTGTTGAGGTCAATGCCCTCCTGGACGAGTTCCCACAGTGGACTCAGTTCACGAAGGAAAGTGACACGCTCTTGGACAGCCTTCAGGACGTAATCGACCTCAGCCTCAGTTGTGAAGCGGCCAATGCCAAATCGGATACTGCTGTGAGCACTCTCATCACTGTTACCCAGAGCTCTGAGGACATAGCTAGGTTCTAGCGATGCCGACGTGCAAGCACTGCCAGACGAGAGGGCGATATCCTTCAGTGCCATGAGCAGGGATTCACCTTCGACATAGGCGAATGACACGTTGACGCATCCAGGATAGAAATGGTCAGGGGCACCATTTTGGGTGGTGTGCTCCAGCGATAGGAGACCTTTCAATAACCTATCGGAAAGGTACTTGATTCGCTTCGAATCATACTGATTATCGCAAGTTAGCAACTGGACAGCACGACCGTAGTCCAAAAGAAAACTCGTGTAAATGCAACGTAAATCAGACGCGTGTGCTGCTTCTCAACAGACAGATTCCGGTCAAGGAATTCAGCAAGCCATGCATGTTTGAGCGGTTCATCAGATAGTGGGGAGGGCAAAGTGGAAGATTCAGGGTGATAAAAAAATAACGCAACTGACCGGAAGCTCTTCCTGCGCAATACGACATGCTTCACCAAAACCGACGACGAGAGGTGGAGCGAGTGTTCCACTTCGTAGTCCACGTTCCTGGCCTCCACCGCTGATGATGGGGTCCAACCTGACCCTCGGGCGTCTGCGAACGTAACAAGCACCGATACCCTTGGGGCCATAGATCTTGTGTGACGATATGGACATGAGGTCAATGTTCATGGCGTTGACGTCCATGGGGATTTTCCCTACGGCCTGGGCGGCGTCTGTGTGGAAGAAGACCTTCTTGGATCTGCAGAGCTTGCCAATCTCCTCAAGGGGTTGGATGACTCCAATCTCGTTGTTGACAGCCATGATGCTGACGATGGCAGTTTCCGGTCGAATAGCAGCCTCGAGTTCTTGGAGGTTGATCAGGCCGTCGTTCTGGACAGGGAGGTATGTGACTTCAAAGCCCTCATCTTGGAGGTGGCGACAACTATCGAGGACACACTTGTGCTCAGTTTGGCTCGTCACAATGTGCTTCTTCTTGCCGGACCTTCCAAAGAAGCGGGCCACACCCTTGATGCTCATGTTATTGCTCTCGGTGGCACCGCTTGTGAAGATGATCTCCTTTGGGTCGGCTCCGATGAGCTTGGCGACGTTTTCTCTCGCCTCTTCGACAGCCTTCTCGGTTTCCCAGCCGTAGGCGTGAGTCCGCGAGTGCGGGTTGCCGTAGACGCCCATGAAGTAGGGGAGCATGGCATCCAGAACTCGCGGATCGACGGGCGTGGTGGCCTGCATGTCAAGGTATATGGGCCGTTGGCCTTCCTCGAGGACGGTGGCCTCTTTCAAGACCTCGGCCATGGGACTGACGGTGGCATTCGCCGGCGTCGCGGACCCGGGCATGACCAGCTCGCCCTTGTCGTTCATGAAATCCTTCTTGTCCAGCTTGATGGCCGTGTCGATATTGACCTGGGCACTCTGCTGCTTTGTCTCGGACACATAGCCTCTCCGGGAAGCTCTGGTGGGAGCTGCAGCGGCGACCCGCGACAGAGCGGGAGCTACCCGCGCAGATGTGGAAGAAATGGACTGCCTCAGGCCGAGGCGGGACGCCTGCCTTAACGCAGACGAAGCTGCGTTGGCCATGATAGCTTGGAGGGTGCAGTATTAAAAGGTGATACAGCAAGAAAGGGAGAGGGAGTGCGAAGGGGGAGAAGGGAAGGCCAGTGACACGTCGAGCGTGATGGCAATTTTAGTACGTAGAGTTTGGTTGGTGTTGGATGGGGATCTGATAAATCACCACTCTCGCAGAAAAAAAAGGCGGATCCGAGCTCCTGACAGCCGATGACCGCTTGGGGGCGGACCGGCCTCGGCGATAAGCTCCAGAGGATACAGTACATACAGTACCTAGGTACTCTCAGTTGGCTGGATCCTGGAAGCTCGCCGCCGCCGGAAGCCGGATTAAGCTTGGGCCGAGCATAAAGCTCAGGATGTATGCAGACTGCCTGAATTCTGCATAACTCGGTGCATACCTCCAAAGCAGTTTAGCATTTTCGATAGTGAGTGGATATGACGTAAGCCCGCCCCTCTGACGCTGGGGTCGCTGGGGGGCACGAAAAGAAAGAAAGGCCTCCGGCACTCTCGGCATTTGTGCTAGCGAGCAGCTTCATTGCAATGCTGCCTTGTTGGTTGGGCAGTACGGAGTACGCTGCTTGGAATGGAGGATAGTGCTTTGCCGTCCAAGCAGGTGCCTTGGAAATTGGCGTCTACGGTGTTTGGCGGCCACTACAAGTTCATGACTGGGCCGTCCATACCTATGTATACCCGATGTACAGACGTCATGAGGTAGAGCGAGAGAGGACCGACTCCTAATGCAACCTCTCTCCATCACAGTCAGCCTTGATCGCCAAACACAAACCGTTCAGCTCCCCCAGCTGAACGTGCCCGACCAGCTTATTAGTTAGCCGGTATCCTACCATAGTAAACTCTGGCAGCTCTACTTCAGATCGCCCCGGGCCGCCACCGTTTCTGTCTGCAAAGCCCCGCTAGGACGGGCTTCGTCACAAGCCCGAGGAGCGGCTTGCATGTGTGTGTGCAGCACTGCCACGAGAACTTCGTCACCATAGGAAAGCCGGCTCGCCCACTAACTAACTAAACTCAAGATCCTTTTCCACCTGACGGGGACCCCGTCTGACATTCTGCCTGCTGCTCGACTTCACAAACCATCCAGGCATAATCGCATCTTTTCCGCATTGACTCCGTCCTCCTGCTCTGCTCCCCTTGCAGCCGGCCATATTCTTAATTCTAGTGGTGCAAGCGCTGCATCTGGCGAACGGCCCAGCTCCGTCATTTCTCGACCCAGATTATATACCCCACCATCACCACTGATCGCCGTCGTACTGTCCTGGCCGCCTCCAATCCCGCCCCCTCAACCAGCAAGCCGAGATGAGCTTTCGCGGCTTCTCCAAGAGCGTGTCTCGAGTAAGTGACCCCTCAGAACCATGCGCCCGGCTGGGCGGCAGGAGCAGGAGCGCATGCGCTGACCCGCGATCTCTGCGCGCAGGCACCGCAGCAGTTCAAGGCCAAGTTCAACCTCGGCGAGCACACGAAAGACCCCGTCTACATCGATGCCGAGCGGCGCTTCACCGAGCTGCAAACCGAGACCAAGCGCCTGCACGATGAGTCCAAAAAGTACTTCGACGCCATCAATGGCATGCTCAGCCACCAGATCGAGTTCAGCAAGGCCATGAGCGAGATCTACAAGCCCATCTCCGGCCGCATGTCGGATCCCGATTCCCTCGTTGTCCACGGCAACCCCGAGGGCATCCGCGCCTGCGAGGAGTACGAGGCCGTCGTCAAAGACCTGCAGGAGGCCCTGAAGCCCGAGCTGGAGATGATCGACCAGCGCGTCATCGGGCCCGCCAACGAGCTGCTCGATGTGATCAAGGCCATCCAGAAGACGGCCTTGAAGCGTGACCACAAGCAGCTCGACTACGACCGGCACCGTGCCAACCTCAAGAAGCTGCAGGACAAGAAGGAGAAGACTGCCAAGGACGAAAAGGCCATCTGGAAGGCCGAGGGCGAGGTCGAGAACGCCACCCAGGAATTCAACTACTTCAACGACCTGCTGAAGGAAGAGCTGCCCAAGCTGTTCAGGCTCGAGCGGGAGTTCATCCAGCCCCTGTTCCAGTCCTTCTACTACATGCAGCTGAACATCTTCTACACCCTGCACGAGAAGATGCAGCACTGCGATATCGGCTACTTCGACCTCACATTAGAACTCCAAGAGGGGTTTGAGTTGAAGCGCGGCGAAATCCAGGAGCAGGCCGAAAAGTTGTCTATTGTCAAATTCAAGACCACCGGCCAAAGAAGACCGCCCAAGTACGGTAAACCCGCTGGCCTCCTTGAGGGCGGGAAACGGCCGGCCGCCATCACGGCAGGTCCTTCGTCGTCCTCGGCATCGACCACGCCCCAAATCACATACGGCGAAAGCGAAGACGCCGAGCAAGCCCCTCCTCCACCGTACTCGACAGCTTCGAAGCCCTCTCTAGCCTCGCCCATGTCACCGCCCCTGAAGAGCCCGACATCACCCGGACTCGCTGCGGCGGCTGCAGCCAAGTCGAAACCTCCTCCCCCGAAGCCCAAGCCCAGCCGTCTCAGCGCAACACCCGCAGGGGCCGAGACCGTGACCGCACTGTACGATTACTCGGCCCAGGCGGAAGGCGACTTGAGCTTCCGGGCCGGTGATATAATCACAATCATCACCAGAACGAACAACGAAAACGAGTGGTGGACTGGAAAGGTCAACGGAAAGCAGGGACAATTCCCAGGTAAGCTCAACCAGGCCTCTCCTCTGACGATGGTCGGCTCACAGAAGACAGGCAATTATGTCAAGCTAGGCTAGAAGCCCACGTTCCGCAAATTCCGAACCCACGCGCGGCCTCAGTCTTGGTCGTAAGGCCCGATACCCAAATTTATTGCATGGAGTTGTTTGAGATCTTGGCGGTTGGCGGATTGGTTACTCTTTTACTGGAAATGATCCAAGAGGCCGGTCTATGGGATTAGACACAAACATAGGATACTCCCCGTGGCGATGGCCACGGCGCAACAGCAGTATCAAACCCCTGCATATAGAAATAAATGAATCGTAATAAGAATAACAAGCGTATCTCGCGTTGCTGGTGCTAGCACGGTCAGATTGTAAAGTGGTATTGAGGAATTCTGTACCACAGGATATGCCATGCCCCCAACAGTCCACGCATGAGGTTTACTTTCAACATTGGATCGTTGAGTATGCGCTCGGTATGCGCGACTTCCGGCCATATAAGCTCTCTCATTATTCTTCAGTACGGCAGGCATGGTTTCTGAGGTTCTACGCCTCTTCTGCTCACTAAATCCCGGCACTAGCATTTTGACAGTAACTATCCATGGAAGCACAGGCACAAGATTCCTGTCCGCGGCACCAATATCTTCTTGTAAATAGAATGATACGGACGTCAACTCGGGCTCCGTAGTGATTCCTCATTCCTGTTGCCCAATCCTTCACGATATGTCCAGTCCGACATCTTGCATCTGCTAAGAAAACTTGTTCCCACCCACTGGGCTAAGATGACGCAACACCGTATATATCTTGGGTTTACTTGGGTATGGTCTTGAAATATCGATCCAGGATGACCAACCCTTTGATTTTACAGTCGTTCAACGGCACCCCATGCTGGAGCCCCTTAAGGACCAGCAAATCTATTAATTATTGTTCTCCCACGTTTAGTCAAATCTTCAGCGGTTGAACTCGGCAATCGGTCTCGTGACGACAAGCAATACAGCAGTCATAACATAAGCCAGTTCAACATCTGTGCCCTCGTGCCGCAGCTCGGTGGTGAACCGGGATGTAGCATTATCTTTAGTTTCAGGAGTATATCACACTCCCGCATCTACGATAGATCACCAGTCACTCCAATCCTGCTGGTCCCCAACGTTGAGGACGATCCCATTTACTTGAAAGAATCTTCTACTAGGCTTTTCAGTCTTGGCAATGCTGTGAAGACTCTTACTTGGCTGGCGGCTCTCCTGATGTTCTGCAGACAGATCAAACGTGGTACAGGAGGATTGTACAGGAGGATACCTACTCCGTACCTCGACGCAAGAAAAGAGTGGGTCTCTCCAATCTAACTTTAACTCCGAGGCACGTTGTCGGGTTGTCAAGGTTGTCTGCCGCTGCTTGGGACGGCCACGGACAAGGGTGCGAGAGGGACGGGCCAGCTCCAGCCCATCCAGCCACTGGGCTCCCAGATATTGGGGGGGCCCCTCCCCACACTGTCGCAATCGGCCAATTCCCGTAAGCGACGCCAGCCTCGAGAATTGGCTCGAGCTCCCCCGGACATGGCAACGGCATCGGCTCCTGGGTGGAGGAGGAGGAGAGGGAGGAGGAGGGAAACGAGAAGCGCGCGAGGAAAAAGGAAGGGCGAGGTGGCGGCCATAATTTCGTACCACGCTGCGCGCATTCTGGCCTCCTTCCTCCTCCATCCCTGCCGCTTTTTGGCTTTGGCGAGCACAGCGCTCCCGCCATGGCGCCCCGTCATTGGCCAGAGCCCGTGACAACCTCCTGTTTACCTGTAACCTCATCTCAACCTCGAGCTCACCCATCTCCCATCTCGCCCTCACTGCTGTTTCATCGACACTTGTGCTTAGCTGCTTGAATTTTGCCTAGTTGTGGTCGCCAGCGTCTCGCGATCGCGTTGAGCTCGTTGAACATCTGTAATTCCTGCTCCCTTTGCGTCCTTCGTCTCGCACCATGGCTCCCGAGCTCCGTAAGCGCAAAGCTCCGCCGCCGGCGCCTGAGCCGCCCGCAAAGAAGTCTTCCAAGGTCTCCAAGGCCGTGAGCAAGGTCAAGGAGGCCGTCACGGGCAAGCCTGCCAAATCTGAAGCGTCCAATGGCGCCGCCAAGACCACACCTCCCGCCGTTGGTGACACCATCACCCTCGATGGCTTCGGCGGCGAAATCGAAACCAACGATGGCACGAAGACCACGTTGAAGGCTCTCGTGGATGAGAGCAAGTCTGGAGTCGTCCTTTTCACCTACCCAAAGGCCTCCACTCCTGGCTGTACGTATTTATCTGTCTATGCAATAACTCCCATGTGCTATAAGCATATAGCGCCTGGCGGTGATACCAAGATCTGACTCCATATATCAAGGCACGAATCAGGTCTGCCTGTTCCGTGACAGCTACGAGCCACTCACCGCTGGCGGTCTTGCCATATATGGTCTGTCTAAGGACTCTACCAAGGCCAACACGACCTTCAAGACCAAGCAAAACTTGCCGTATGCCTTGCTGTGCGACCCGGATGCCACTTTGATCGGTGCCATCGGTCTAAAGAAGGCACCCAGTGGCACCCAGCGTGGCGTATTCGCAGTGGACAAGACTGGCAAGGTCTTGATTTCTGAACCGGGTGGTCCGGCTGCTACGGTGAACGCTGTCAAGGCTCTGGTTGAGGGTGGTGCTGGAGCCTCTGAGACCAAGGAGGAACCTGTCGTGGACAAGCCGGCTGAGGAGGCCGAGCCTGTCAATGGCGATACGATTACTGAGAAGAAGCCTGAGGAGGCGGTTAAGGAACCTGCTGACTGATATGCTGCGTGAAAGCAACTGCTCTTTGAGCCATCTCTTGTACAATTGGCCTACCAGATCTGACGTCGGCGAGTAGCTCGAAAGCGTGGGTGCCAATACGGGATAGTGGCAGAGATATGTAGAACCAAATGCGAGAATTGATGCAATTTGTATGTAAGCCATGCCAAACGTCCCATTGAGGTGATCCATGGTTGGGATGCGGCCACTGCTTCTCTCTGCCTCGCAACAGCAGATTGGACCACCGAAGATGCAGGGTCCGCGACTGATGGATGCTACAGACACCTGTCTTGTCCAGCCGTGTCATTGTACAGCGACCGAGGTGTGATCTACATGTACATATGTACATAGACAAGCTCGACTCGGACAGTGATATCCATGATATGTGCGCATCTGTGTTTGGATGCTCGCTTCTGGCCAAAACTGGGGCCCTGGATTTCATTCGCTTCGATGCCAGACAGGCCACGGCCCACCAGCGTCCCGGCCAATCAGCGCCGCCTTATTCGCAACGCACGGACCCCGGTCGAATCTCAACCCGTCATTTGAAGCCCGCAAGCCTATGGGCCAAACCGACGACGCCCTCGACTAAGAGCTTCAGCAGCAACTCGAACACCAGCCATTGAGTCGCCCGCACACAGCCATGGCGTCCAAACTCAGCCCGCTGCTCCTCCGAGTGGCCGCCCGGTCGGCCCCCCGAGCTCCCCGAGCTGCCCGGCCTCACATGCGCGCCTTCACGGCCGGACCTGCCAGGAGAAGTGATACCCTGTCCGTGGTAAGTCCATGCCGTCCACGCTCCGCCGCGGGACGGATGCCACGGCCTCGCCTATCGAGGTCTGATGGCGAGTGTCCCAATTGACCGCGAGCCTGCCTTGGCGTGGGCAGCGCGGTCTCTTGGGGAGCCGTCCGCCCGAGACGACTTGCCACCACACACAACAGCTAATCATGCTCGCCCGCAGCACCGCGACACCCCCGACAACAACGAGAGCATCCCCTTCAAGTTCACGCCTCAGAACGAGAAGATCATCGCCGAGATCATCAAGCGCTACCCCCCGCAGTACAAGAAGGCGGCCGTTATGCCCGTGCTGGACCTTGGCCAGCGCCAGCACGGCTTCACCTCGATCAGCGTCATGAACGAGGTCGCCCGCATCCTGGAGATGCCCCCGAGCCGTGTCTACGAGGTCGCCTCCTTCTACACCATGTACAACCGGACGCCCGTTGGCAAGTTCCACGTCCAGACCTGCACCACGGTAAGCTTCTCCGTCATACCCTCTGGCACTATGCCCCCGCGGTATACGAGGGACAAGACAAGGACACTGGCCAACACAGTCCTGGTCTCATCACTGTATTTTTTTTTTCATTCATAGAGCATGGAGACTAACCAGAGAACCTCTTACTACAGACTCCCTGCCAACTCGGCGGCTGCGGCAGCGATGCCATCGTCAAGACGATCAAGGAGGAACTGGGCATCAAGCAGGGCGAGACAACGCCCGACGGCCTCTTCACCTTCATCGAGGTCGAGTGCCTGGGCGCCTGCGTCAACGCCCCCATGGTCCAGATCAACGACGACTACTACGAGGACCTGACCCCCGAGACCACCAAGCAGCTGCTCTCGGCCCTCAAGGCCAACGCCAACGTCCCTGCCCCCGGCCCGCTGAGCGGCCGCCAGACGTGCGAGCACAGCGAAGGCCTGACCAACTTGACTAGCGAGCCGTGGGGAGTCGAGACCACGAGGTCTGACCTGTAAAAGTTGTGTGGGAAACGAGAGGAGCAGATTCAAGAAGAAGAAAGTCGGAGGGTAGAGAAAGGCCTAGACGCATGGGGACTTGTACATAACAGAGAGGAAAACGTGTATTGATTGACCCAGACAGACGCTCAAGCTGGAAGCCATTTCCTTTATCGTGCCAATCTCGTGTTAGCCGCCCAGGGACATGACCTGGCCAGCCAGGTCTTCAAGGAGACGGCGGTCATAGCAACGTGTGGTGCTGGGCTGCCAATGAGGGGAACCGTTAGTATACCCAACAAGCTTACGAGAGTTTCGCTTTGGTTTTATCATTCAACGGTATCAATCAGTTCGCATTGCAACTACCTAAGCCGTAAACTCCTAAACAAATCCCAAGTATCCGCTCATTGTGGTGCGGACATGTCAAACTCAAAATGCCAGTTGCTTCAACTATGATCATTCACCCCAACAGCCAACCGGGCCAACCTCGCCGGAGCACGACCCTCTCTTCTCCCCTTGCCCCCCTTCCTCCTTCATGCAAGTCTGAGCACCCACCCGTCGCCAAGCCTCCTGTTCTCCTGGTCGATGCCGCCGAACAGCACGACGCCGCCCTCCTCGTAGTCGCCGGCGCTGCTGCTGGCGAACCAGCCGCGGGCGCCGGGCCCCGCGACGTCGGCGTCCACCTCGTCGTCGTAAGGGCCCGTGGCCAGCCGCGTCCACTTGCCCTCGCCCGTCTTGCGGCCCACGGCCTGCAGCATGGCGTCCGTGAAGCTGGCGGGCGTCATGCCCACCGGCGGCACCTGGAACGCCCACGCGTCGCTCCAGAATGTGCCCGCCGCCTCGTGTCCGCCGCCGCTGGGCGTCTGCTCGCCCAGCACCACGACCAGGTACTCGCGGCCGCCGCCCGCCAGCACCAGGTGCATGCCCGTCACCGAGCGGGCGCCGGGCCACTCCTCAGCGACCAGGCTGCCCTTCTCGCTGGCCTGCTCAGAGCTCGTGGCCGGGGCCAGGGTTGTCCAGTCGCCGCGGGCAAAGACGCCGACCTCGCCCCTGCTCACGCGGTCGTCGAACTGGTCGAGGCCTAGGTCCAGGACGTCCAGCTGGCCGCCAATCTCGGCGGTTCCATCGTAACCTCCGAAGCGGTACAGCCTGCTCTTGGCCAGGGCGAGAGCCGGGCCGCCACGCGGAGCGCCGGGGGCCGTGGGGAGCTGCTTCCATATGCGGCTCCGCACGTCGAACGCGAAGACGTCGTTGGTCCGGGAGCCATCGGCGAGGCAGCCGCCGTGGATGATGAAGGTGCCGAAGCCCGACTCCTCCTCGTCGGTCGCAGTGGCGGCAACGCTGCCGGCGATGGGCCGCTGCGGGATACCGACCTCGGCGCTGTCGCCCTCAGCCCACTCTTTCCAGGACTCGGTGCGCCGCACGGGCTTGATGGCAAAGTCGCGCGGCTTCTCGGTGGCCACGGCTGCGAAGTAGGAGCGCGGCGGCGGGATCAAGCTGTCCTTGGACGGGTCCAGGTACGACCAGGTGTGTGTCTTGGTCTCGAAGATCCAGACGCGGCCGGCCTCGTCGAGCGTCTCTGCAGCGGCCGTCCGCCCGCCGAAGAGGAAGATGCGCGTCCCGATCACGGCGGTTGCATGGCCGACTCTCGGGGAGGGCACGTCGGCCGAGCTAGGGCTTGTGCTGCTCTCGGCGGACTTGCCCTTGTCTGCGGATTCTGGCTCGGTCACCGCGGGCGGCGATGACAAGGGGACCTCGTCCAGAGGCTCTGTGGGCTCGGTCGGCGTGGCCAGGTCGCCCTCCTCGGGGATAGGTGCTGTCTCGGCGAGCTGGGTCTTGGTCGACGCCTTGGCCTTGACGCTGTAGTAGTCGGCGGGAGCGCCGCTGATGGGCAGGTTGATAATGTGCATGTCGTTGTCGACGGGTTGGCGAGGCTCGACCTCGCCGCCAAAGACGTAGGCCGAGCCGGCCACGACATTGAGCGAGTGGGACGAGCGAGGCAGGGGCGGGATCGAGATGTGCTGCCATGTGGCCTTCATCGAGGGCCCGGAGGAGGACTTGGTGAAGCTCGGGAAAGAGAAGTTGGGCATCTGCACCTTGGATGCGGACGGCATGTTCTTGGAAGCCGAGTCCATCAGATCCGTGGTACGGCGCTTGAGCTTTGCGAACGAGTCCATGATGGCGCGGACGTTGTGTAAGACCCCTCGCGCTTTTTCCGAGACTGCAATTGGTTCAGGAGACAAAAATCCTCACAGAACAGCTTGAGCAGTACGATGTGTGAGGCTGCCTTTGCTCTTTTGTTTTGCTGGAGCTGAAGCTGGAGCTGAAGCTGACGTCCCGCGCAGGTGACGTAAGACCGGGGTGATGAGGGGACGAAGCTACGGGATGGGGTCGGGTCACTTATCAAAATAGCACACGGGGGGATGCAGCGTCTGGTGGGACGGGTGACGGGATGAATACGAGGACACGCCAACAGTCAATCGGTGTTCTACGGTAGGATGGATGGAGGCGGGTTTGGGAATCCTGCCTGGGAAACAACCTTGAAGGAGCTGCGATCGCTCCAGCAACTCGAAGCTTGCTGTCCATCCCTACGTTGGATCCCTATCCACTATCCACTATCCACTCTTCACGAGCTTCAGTCCTCAGATCAGAGCTGGAATAGCGGGGTCGCCAGTTACAGCCACCCTCCATTCCAGGGACCTCGATAGCGCTAAACCTTGGAGTCGCCCACTAATGTAACCCCTGCTACAGATCCCCTGTTTCAGTCCAAGCTCGAGCTCTGTTTTAGCAGCTTGGGGGAACTCCATTCTTGGGGTAGCCAACAACGGATTCAAACCTTCGATAAAGTGTATACACGGGCGTCAAGGGCGTCAAGTCGTACCCTTTGCCTCTGTCAAATAACGTCCCGAACAATGATCAGAATGTTCGGAAGCGACACACAAGCACTGGTGCCGGCAGGTGTAGAGGAAAAATTGTTGGGTTTACATTCGAATTCTCTCATGTTGCGTAGCTATGTAACTATCTGGGGACCCAGATTGCAAGCCACGCCGGGGCTCGTATCTCGGAAGATGAGCACTCCAGTTATCCACTGATCCGCAAACTATACGATTATCGCATCATCGTATCATGCTTATTGCAAGTACAAAGTTGCAAACATGACTTTGCCTTACAATACCTTCTTCTCGCCATCAGAGCCTGGGCCGCTGTCTTGAGCCACCACCTCATGATCCTCGTTCTCGTGGTGGTAGAGTGGCTCAAGCTTTGCGTTACGCTGGAAAAGGACCCATCGCTTGAACCAGTACGGAAGAGCATGGCCGAGCTGGTATTGGGCAAACTTTCGGATGGGAACGGCGAAGACGTAGTCAAGTTCTTCCAAAGTCCGCTGTTTTGTTTCTGCAGATCAAGGGAAGCGGATTAGAGGATGCGCATGGATAGACGGCGGAAGAGGGTAGGGTTAATTCAATACTTACCGGGCACCAGGAAGAATATCATGATGAACGCCACGACGTTGAACCCAGCATAACAGCCAAATGCTCCAACGGTTCCGGCCTCCTCTAGTAGGAAGGGGAACGTCATTCCAAGCACAGCTGCCCAGAACAGACAAGTGGCGACAGCGAAACCCATGCCGACCTCACGGTGTGACAGAGGATAGACCTCGGCCGAGTATGTGAAAGGAACAGGACCTTCACCAGGGGAGTAGAATGCTGGGGTGGTGTTAGCTCATACCTGTCGAGTGTATGGTGGAAAGTCATCTATACTGACCAGCGAACAAGAAAACGAAGAGAGCTACCAAGGCTGTTCGCGCCGTGCTCTCCCTGTCTAATAAAGTACACAGACCAGCTGCTAGCAGGGTCCAGGTCTACGAGCCATGTTAGTTGTCGCTCTCTCCAGTGTGAGATCTCTTCGACTTACCATCTGGGGAAATGTGAAGAGAAGCAGGGATCGGCGTCCAAACTGTTGGCGGTTAGCACAGCCAACTTGGCAGCTATGTATCAACCAAGACTTACGGTATCAATGGTCCAGAAAGCAGGGAAGGCAAAGAGGAAGTTTGTGAGTCCAAATCCAAATGAGAAGATCAAGGCCTTGAAGTCATCGTATCCGGCCTCTTGGAAGATAGTAGTCGAGTAGAAGGCGATGATGTTGATACCACACATCTGCTGGGCAATCATGACTGTGAAAGCAGCCACGTTTGCTCGTCGCACGCGAGGGATGGTGAAGAGCTCGCCAAATCGCTGCGCGTATGTGCTGTTCTTAGTGAGTTGCATCTCAATGGTAAGCTGTGCATGGATATAGTAGATGTCCCGAGCGACCTGGAGTGGGTTGTGGCGGAGCAGGTTCATACTCCTCCAGGCCTTTGCATATCGATTCTTCTTCATCAACCATCTCGGAGATTCTGGGCAGAGGTAGATGAGGCAGAGGAGAGGGACGGCGGGGATGAAGGGGGCGCCGAGCATCAGTCGCCAGTTATGAGGCGCATTGTACAGTGCCAGGTTGATTGCCGTGCCGAGGAAGATACCGAAAGCAGTCCACATTTCTATATTGTCTCAACGTCAGCAATCACATCGCAGGAATCTCGTGACTACAATAACTTACGCCAAGACATGACCAGAGCACCACGAATAGCGGCAGGGGCATTCTCAGCAGCATAGATAGGCACTGCGACTCATTAGTATCTGGATTTATCGGAGCAGTCAGATTTCAGACCGCTTACCTGTTGAAGCTTTGATACCCATGCCTATACCCATCAACAAACGGTTAATGAGCTGCTGTTCCCAGTTGTTGCTAAAGGCGGAACCAATGACAGGCCAGATACAGAAGTGAGCTGAGATGAAGATAACACCACGACGACCAAACCAGTTGTTCACAGGATCTGAGCACCAGCAACCAATGAAGGCGCTACCGATATAGGGTCCTGCGTTCACCAGCCCGAGAATCTTGGGACTTTGATTAGCTTTCAACCGTAGCGTATTGTGTGTTCATGAGGGTAGTAACTCACTATGCGCGATCGAACGTCTTTGCCAGCGATGCCGTACTCCTGTGGGAAGAAAATGTTTGCGCCATTGGAGCCCGTCTGGTCCCATCCTTGCACGGCGGCGCCAATCGAGCACGTCGCGATGGTTAGGAAGAGTCTCCAGGGCATGCGCCACTTGTGTTCGACCTCGAACCGGAGCGCCGCCTTCTCGACCTCGTCGAGGGCCTCGGGCCCGTCGATGTTCTCGGCGTTCGCAGGGTCCTGGGCGACGAGGGCACCCTTGCGCAGGAGCGGGATGTACTCCACGAGGTCTTTCTCGTGAGCGAAGGCCTCGACATCTTTCATAAGCTGTTCTCGAGGGATGCCCTTCAGAGGGTTCTTGATCCTATAGCGGAGAAGTTCGTTTAGGAGACGGCTATACTTGCTAGCAACATGGTGTCCAACTCACTTGGCTTCAAGATTAGTGTTCAGATCCACGTGCTGAGCTGCTGGTACGCCGTTTTCGAGGTGATCGCCTTCTACGCCCTTAGGTGTACTACGAAGATATGAGCCACCAACATTCTCTTGGCGCATAGAGACTATGGTACTTACGGGCTGCCAGCCGCCAGGTCTTTCTGGTCGGCCATGGTGAGGACCGGATCAGAGTTGCCGTGATGTGCGTAGTATGTCCGCCTATTGGTGCTTGGAAGAGGACCAGGGAGACGGCAGATGAGGTTCTGGTGACTGGTGGCGTGGGAGTACGGGCACCAGCAAAGGCTTGTTCACAGTATATACCCAATTGCCCAGAGTCGGCGCAAAAGTGGAAAGAGATCAAATTCCTGCCCAGGACCGATTCCAAGGAGGGCGCGTCTTATAGCTACAAGTCCCCATGTAACACCGTCCTACCATTCAGCAACACGGCGTCCTGTGCCGTACAATGATCCATGATCCACCCCCGCCATCCCCATGGTCTTGGTCTTGGACAGCCCTCGGGCGGTGAAATTTGCCCATACCTTTCCCATGGGGTCACGCATGGGTTCACCAGAGGGTGGGACCGACCATAACTCGATTCGTGTTGCGCCCAAAGCGCCCAGAGCACAGCGGTGCTCCTGAGTCCTGAAATGTGCAGATCCATCCTAGGCACGGCTCCCTGTCCGACGGACTAAGACCGACTGATCGAGCTTGCTAGCAGGATCTCTGCGCCGGCCTGGGGCAGTTTCATGCCGTCAACGGTCGGGAAACGCCATCGCCAAGTGTGAAGGCTGTCTCGGCAGTCTTGGTAAACGCTGGCGTCGAATGCTATCCCGCCATCTCCACTTGCTAGTTTTCTTGGCTGTGGGACGCGCACCGGGGGATACTGCCAACAGTAATTTGCAATTGGCCTCGCGACTGGTACACCGGGCGACGCTTTGCGCTTCCTCTGGTCACGTTGGGGCAGCTTTTTCAGGTTGGATTTCGATCAACAGCAGTAGCAGCAGCAGCAGCATCGTGGGACAGGAACGCACGCCGCGTCGCCGTCTTACAGTTGCGGCCCGGGGCCGTACTTTGCGGCTCTGCGGGGAGGCGTCCGTGATTGATCGGCCGACGAATACTTGGACGCGCAACCGGCGCTGGTTCCTCCTCCGCAAACCACACGGCCCACAGCCACATAATTGTGAACTGCCCATGCGGGGATTTTGGGGAAGTGGGAACGTCTGCCCTTAGTCAACAGACGAGCGTTCCAGTGCTTGTCAACTTGTCAGGCCATCATCTGGCAACCCCAAACTTGGCGAGTCTTATTCATGGCCATTAAGCCTAGGGCCGACCCCATCCAGTTCAATGATCGCGCCTTGGTCCTGCGGTCCAAGGGCTCGGCAGCCCCGCAACTGACGTCAGCGTCATCCATGGCGATGATGGTAGCGACAGGTTTGTCAACCTTCGAGAGGTTTTCGCCTCGTGCGAGATGTCGGAATGCAATTCAACCGCTCGTGAACCGAACGACTGGCAGCCACTTAGATCATGCCGTGGCCCCAAGGATCAATCATGTGGATCATACCAGCATACACAATCCGCCGTTTCGGTACCGTTCAGCATCCCGATGCTACTCCAAGGAAGCGTCAAGTTTGGTAAGGGTTTACGAAGGCGTTCCTGGCGCCCACCGCCAATGTCACATTCGTTTTCGATATGTCTAGTAATGAGTTCAAATTCCTGATTTGTGACCCAGTTTGGTAGAATTGACGTTGATATATGCATCCAAAAGGAGACATTGTGTGCTGAAGCTGAAATGCCCTCTCATTCCCTAGCGCAACTGAAACTATTGTATAGTCTGTATGTGATAGATCTGCCCATATTAACGATTCAACAGGGTAGTGTGTCGGAAATCATAATGTCGTGCCCAAAGCTCCTTACAAATGAACAACTTATACACACAACATGCAATAGTTAACCGGCTTGCCAGATGAAACCCACAATGCCACAAAAACACCTTGCTCACCCCATGTCCAGCCTGACAAATCCAGAAACCTGATTGGTATGATATATTCGCATCGAAACTCGTCTTAGCGACGTTCACACATGTGGCCGCCGTCACACTGAAGGCTACTCGGGCCTCTTCCTAGTCTTTGGTCGCGGCGGAGGCGGCGGCGAAGGCATGCCTCTCGGCCTGACACGGGAGCCCATTGGCATCCAAACCGGCTCGGGCACAATGTGTGGCATAGGTGGTCCGGGCCCAGCACCGCGTCCGCGACCACGCCCACGCCCGACAGGGGCGGCTAGTGGCGGAGCATGCGGCATAGGCGGCGGCGGAGGAGGAGGATGCACGGAGCCAATGGGCGGGGACATGGGCCACATGTGCATGCGCACGTACATGCCCGGCACAACCAGGTCTTCCCACAGCTCCGGCAGGATAATCGGCCCCAGGAGGGGTTGGTTTGTGCCGTTGGGCCCACCTTGCGCCGCCGAAGGTGACGGTGAGCCGGCGGCAGGTGGGGATGGCACCGGCGGAGGTGCGGTCGAGGACGAAGCCCCAGAAGCCGACGAGCCCGGGGCGAGAGCCGAAGCCGGCACTATCGTCACAGGCTGCCCTTTGTTGCCAAAGCACGGTCCCGACGTGGTTGCGCTGGGCTCGGCACTCGTGGCGTAGGGATCTTCAAAGGTGACGCCGGTCTCCGCCGTCAGGTCGTAGTGCCCGGCTTGGACATGAGGACCCAGTATGTTGACGTGGAGAAAAGCGGCTTTTATTAGACGCTCCATACCCTAATGTTACCAGTCAGTATGGGACGGAAAGATGTATGGACTATACCGGAGGAGCTGCGCAGACAATAGGACACGCTGACGATGTGGTCAGCCTCACGTGCAAAGCTCCTATTGCACTGACGACACAGGCACAACCATCCACGAGCACTTGCTTGAATAAACGATGTCCTCGAAGGACCCATACTGACAACTATGAAAGGGGCAGCCTTTACCTCCCAAGTTCGGACCCTCTCCCAGGGGAAGACATAGTGCCTACCGACCGCATCCTGGAACCTGATCGGCAGCTTGACCGGTGGTCTCTCCGGGGAACGATTCCAGCCAGGCTCCCCGGGCTTCAGGGGTTTATAGTCTGGCAAATGGGTGTCCATGTTGTTGTCACCGGGGATCGTGTGACCTGCAGCCTCGTCTCGCTCAAAGTGGACCGCCTTTTGCTTTTGGGTCTCCTTTCCCTTTGACCGAGAACTGCTCGAGCCGCTGCCACCCGCGGTCAACAGGGGCTCTGGGTCCCCTGGTCCTGGTTCCGTATCTCTGGAACCATCGAAAAGCACTTCTTCACTATTCCCCGACGCAGGCGCCAGCCCTGTGGTCCGGGAAGCATGGTCAGAGTCTTCATCTCCAACCGGACCCAGATCGCTGGATTCGGCAATTGTTGCAGAAATGTCCGACGCGAGCTGAAAACTTTCGATTCCTTCGACCAGGTTGCCCGGGGTCAACTCGGGATGTTGTGTAGCAAACACGCCATGATGGTTGTCCAGCTCGGCGACTGGGGCCGCAGCGCTGCTCGTCTGAGGAAGTTGACCCGAGTCTGCGGCAGAACCATTGGTTGCGCCTGGCGGCAAACTGAAAATAGCCTCAGAAGCGTGTAAGTCTGTCGACGATGTCGAGCCGCCGGGAGGAGCAGATCTCGCGTCTGTTGGGTCGGCCATAGTCGGCCCACCGTCCGTGCCTCCTCCTTGTTTCAGCTCTCAGCCCAAGTACCCGGCACCTCGAAGTAAGATCTATAGGGCCGAAACCGACTAGTTCCAAAGCGAGCAGATCTGGGAGGGGGAGACAACGTCATAGGAGCCACGGGCGTTGCGTCGCAGAAACATGCGCAGAGGGTGGCTCAGTGGGGGAAGGGCGTCCTGGATGTCGGGCAGTGCTTCAAGAGTTTCCGTGAACTAAGCTTGGAATTGGGGAATGACAGAGGTTGCGCGAGCAGGTAACATGGCCGTCCCGTCGTGACTGGCTGCGCTGGCATTTTGGCGACCTTCCCAGAATAGCGGGGAGATCTAGGACCAATAGCCGCGATGTTCTATACTGATTGGACGCCAAGAGAATCGACTCCGGTGGCTTGGGGGCCGGAGTGCGTGAAACAGGCGTTCCGCTCTCGCAGCCGCCCGCGCACGTACAAGGCGCAGCAGACGCTCGCGATCGCATCCCGCATCACTAGTCCTGTCAATGGGCTGGCACAGCCATCTACTTCCTAGTGGTGGCAGGGCTGCAGATTCAATGGTGCTAGTATCCGAAGCCGTGGTCCCTGCGGCACAATGCCATTATTACTACATACAAGCTTGGCGTTGAAAATCGATCTCCAAGCCGGTATACAGATATTTCTATCACGATTAGATGGGTTGACCGGAAAGCCCCTGTGTGTGCCTGAGAGGGCGCCAACAAGACAGACAAATGAAGTCACCACTAGCATTCGAAAACTTAATCCGAGCCCTTCGGTGAATGAATACGACCAGCCTAACATTATTAGCATCATCCATATGCAAGTTTCATGTAAGTTGAACGCCTTCTTAGCAGCTTGTGCGCAACGCAATAGATTCGCATGTGGTGACGCCTTAGGGTCACTCGACGAGTGTAGAGCAGCGAGCCAGAAGAGCGATAGTACAGCGGATCTTGATCGAAAATATCATCTGTCCTCAAAAGGCATATTATACTGTGATTATAATATAATGAATTGGAACAGAGGCTCAACGTAATGAATATGGGGTATGTGGATATCATCAAGTCGTAACAGCAAGACACCAATACTTCCAAATCCTGTGCTGTGGAAATTCATCCAAACAGCCCACCCAATAATAATGACCTTTGCGTTTCCATTGTCGTTCCAGCGAAAGGAAATAGTCCGCTTGTGACCAACGTGTACATGCCCAGCATACAGAGTCGCCATCAGAATGTTTTGTCTTTCCAATAACGTCTGAAACCAAATGTGCGACCATGTGGCGTATTAACAGAATGAATAGAAAGGTGATTGAAGGGGAGGGAAAACCTTAATCGTCAACCTCTTCACCAGGGGCATCCTCTTCGCTGTAGTTGCTTGCTTGAGCCTTGCCATTCTTCTCAGGTTTCAGGGGATTGTTCAGTCTCCAATTTCCCACTCCGTCGCCCACGATAACTGCGACGTCAGGACGGCAAGCCCAGGTCGTCAGCGTTGGGTCGCTGTCGCCACCGAAGACGATGGGGTCCTCGGTTCCATTTGCTGCCTTTTCAAGGTGCTTGGCGACATGTTCCATACGTTCGTCCCAAGCCATTGGCCCATTGAAGACGAATTGGCAGCCCACGGCCGGGCATTCCATGTAGTCAGGAAGCTTACAGCGTAGTTTGTGTGCCTGCTCTTGAAGACTGCGGATACGCTCCTCCCATTCTGGTACAGTCTTCCTTTGCTTGACCTGTTTCTTGATGACAGGCGGAATGTGCATCCTTCGCAGGTGTTGAGTGTAGAGGTCTTTGCGGTTGAAGATAGCGCCATTCGGCAGTGAGTGTGTGCAAGTGACTGGCAAAGAATAGGGTCCAGATCTCCGGGACGCCCCCGTTGCTTTAGTTGGCGCGTCGGGCGAGTTGGATAACTTCGCACATGCGTCTTGCTGACATAACCAGTAGTGAAGGAGAAGATGCTGTGACGCGACATGGCGTTTCCATTCATTCTTACTGGCAAAAGTCGAGTCGCAGCCAGCGAAGCTGAAGGTACAGACAAATGGGCGGGTGTGTTGTTGTTTAATGTGTTTTTGTAGCCCACATTCGTCTTTAAAGTGGATGTCTGGGCATTGCTCACAAGGAAAGCTGCCCTTTCCAGGTAGCTTGGGGATTGACTGTTGCTTTGTGACAGGGGAGTCTTCGGCTTTGGTTTTCTTTCTCTGCGTTGAAGATTGCGTTTGTGACGGCCGTTTGCGACCTTTGGGTTGGCGACTCGTGCTCGAGCCTGCTCGCTTGCGTGTGCCCTTCGGCTTGTAGTCTCCATCGTTGTCGTTGTCGCAATCGCCAGTCTGAAAATTCTTTTCATAGAAACCATCGTCGTCTGACTCAAGTGGAGCTTGGGGATAAGTCTCGACTTGGTCAACCACAGACACGCAGATCTCGTCTTTGATTCTTTGAGATGATTCCACCGGGCTCATTTGCCTGGGCAACTGGTTTTGTGAGGACTGATAGTAAGCATTGATCTCGTAGTTGCTGTCGTTGAACATGCTAAACCCTGGAGGAAGAAAATCGGTGCTTTTCTCGTCTTCAAAGCTCTGGGAAGGCTCTTGGTAGAAGTTGACCTCCTCGGGCTTGACTATGCCGCTCAACTGCCAGGCTTGGTGTTCATTTGAGCCCCAAGTATCGCAGTGAGCTCCAAGTTGGGGCACCAGTGTGTCGTCCTGTGGCGTGGAAGGGGTATTGTCTACGCCATAGTCACTGCCACCCAATGGGCTCAAAGCGCTGCTACAAGTAGATGATAGATTGTCAGATGGTGAGTTTTGCCTAAAAGTCGCTGATGGAATCGTCGCAATCCCGTCGAGGATTTTGATGCTGCCTGCGGTGAAGACTGCTTCAGGACTTGGATGTTGGATGTAAGAGAGTGTTCCTTGAGCATGGGGTGTTGATGATCGTGGCATCTGAAGCGGGTTCCAGGGGCTCAGACAGCGAAGCGCATGCTGGCTTTCTAGTTCTGGGTCAACGATTTGGTTGTTGACGCTGTCCATGACTGTATTGCCCATTTGCCATGGGGACGACGTGGGGTCTGGGTAGTGGTAAGGTATGTACGCCATACTCGCACTTTTGCCTTTGATATAGATGTGAAGTGCCGCAATGAGTTTGGCCTCGGGGTCAAGTTGAATTTGCTGTTAATAGACCAGAGTAGAATGGAAATGGGTAGCTATGGGCGGTTGTAAGTGCGCTGTGGTGCTGTTGCTCGCGTCTTGTTTGCCGAGTTGCGACGCAGACCTTAGAGTCTGGTCAAGGAATTGTGTCCGAGAACGATGGCCCCTGAAGTGAACCGCCAATACTCGGGAATGAGGAACGGCGGGATTAAGTACAGCATCCAAATGGGTGTAAGTGGGAAGCTCCAAAGACGACTAGTCTTTCAAGAACTAAGGATGGATACAATAGGTATTATGAGGCGGAGCAACAAGTTCGAAGCACTGGTTTCCAAGAGACTCAGATGACTCGAGAAACCTTGCACTTAACTACTTTTACCAACACCGGATTAGTGATAGATGGTCGCTCAGGGTGCTCTACTCTTCGAACAGGAGGGAAAGTGACCCACGCAGAGCCGCAACAAGTACTTTGTACCACCCCCCTTCCAGACAATGGGCTGATCATTGGCCGAGTCGTTTTGCTTTTTCCCCTACCCCTTCTACTTGAACGCCAGGCGCTTCGCCAGGCGCCATGGTGCATGACACCCCTGGTGCTGACAGCGCATCCTTTCTGAGTGGGTATCTGTGTGTTGGACTTATGCAGTGCCCTGCACAATTAAGTAGTAGGGATCGATGCCATGTTACCGAGTCCCAGAATGTGCATGGTCCGCGAACCACAGCCATGGACGTGCCTATCAATCCATGCCTGAAAAATCTCTTCGTACTTTGAAATGTCTGTGGATCAGTGAGAGCTGCAGGAGGTACCGTATTTGGCTTTGGCAGCATGATCACTATTCCAGATGGTTAATCTCCACTTGGATAAACCTGGAAGCCACGGCAAAGAGCGCAGGATGTAGAAAAACCGCTTGACAAATGCAGTGAAAGGTGGCTGGACCGGACTCGGGACGTGAGGCAGACGGCGGGCACAATTGCTCTGAACCTAGCCTAGGCAGAAAGCCTGCCTAGACTTATGATCGGGTTTCTGCAACGTGTCGGCGATAATGGGCATTCCCCGTGATCCCCCGATGGATCACGACACCTGAGTCCCAATCCAAGCCTAGTATGCAATCTCTATCGAGGCCATCTCGGCACATTCTGTGCGGTGCCTGCGTGTCATTCTTGCCGCGAGCTTGCGCGCCCGGTCTGGGCGGAGAAAGCACGTCAATGGATCGAGGGTCGGCCTCGGACCAATGGCAGAAGCCCGCTGGGATCGTTCTTGTCTCTGGTCGGAATCCAATCCTCTGGGCCGTGTTCCCCGCCGCCCGCAGTGGGTAGATTGGGTTGCTTCCAGGTTGTTCGTGGGCAGATTGGAATCATGAGGGCATGAAACAAGTGGAAGTATAGTAGCCCGCGGGACCTGGAAGTTCTTCGCATAGTTCGAGTTCGACATGGGAAATGCTTGCAACGGATCCTGGGATCTGCGCGGGACTTTTGGCACTCTACAGCTTCACTGCATTCCCCGTCGACACTAAGCCCATCAACCTGGACCTGGACTCCACGCCCAGATAGCGTGATAGGAAGGGGAAAAAATACAGCCCCCACCCCATTGCCCATCACGTTACCCCGGCTCGCCCCCGGGCTGTCGTCCTGGTCGTGTTCGAAGCCTTTCCCAAGACGGTGCAGCTGAAGCCATCGGCGGCTACCTCTGCTAAATTGGAGAAAGGACGCTGCGCTGATCACTGCTACTCCTGCACAGGCCCAGCACGTCGCAATCACGTTGGGTCCAGGGCCTTCGGAGCTGCCGTCTGTGGTTCCCATTCCCCCATTCCACACATCCTCCTAAGACCCGACCAGCGCATTCATCCCATCGAAGATAATGAACCATTCCATGGATGTGGGGGACTTCGGCCGCAATCCACGGTACCATACCCTTTGGGAATATGAGGTCGTGCTATTCCCACAGCCCGGATCAGCGCTAAGCCCACTTACGGCGGGGCGTCTGCCCGCGGGTTCTTCCAGATCGCTAGCGACGTGCCTAGCGGCGACACTACTATGGCACACTATCTATCGGGGGACTATCTGTGGCGCTCACCGAACGACCCGACCTCAGGCATCCAGTACGTACTACAGTACTTGGATACCTCGAGGTCCAGTAGGTGGCAGGTGGGTAACCCAAGGTGGGCAAGCAAGCCGCCAAGCCAAGGCAGCTAGAGGCTCGTTGTGAGGCCCGTTTTGAGGCCCCTCGGGCACCCACTCCACCACCTCCCCGGCTGCGACCTATAGTCACTATGCCTCGTTGATAGGCCCGCAAAGGCGGTGACTCCAACTGCAACCTACTGGATGAGTTACCTTCGTGTCTATCGCATAGCTCGATTTGCATACTCCGTGCGCCCATCACACTATCCGCTACGTCGCCTACAACGTCGCGTCACGTACATAGTACGTACGCATGTAATGCCCCTACCGGACTTGCCTCTCTGCCTCTTTCTTCCCGCCCGTGGCTCCAATCGAGGCCAAGAAGCCAGGACGATTGGGGGCCCAAAATTAGTTAACCACCCTTCCGCCGTACTTTTGTCTCCCGGCGTACTCCAGCCAATGGCCCCCAAAGTGCACTTTGGCCAAACCCACCTCAGCATGCTTCCCTAGTCCTTGGCTGGAAACGAGGTTCCGGAGGAATCATTGTCAGTCTCGAGGTGGAGGATCCGTGACACGCGAGAATTTCAGCGTCACATCCTCATCCCGGGACAGCTTTGAGGAAACAAACAAAAAGTACTGTCCTTTCGAAAAGTCCCCCCCTGGGAAAACACGTGGTAATGTGGCTGCAGTGGGTGAAAGGACTCTGCATCATTTGCTCCGCTTCCTTCTGTCAGCATTCCAGAAGAAGATGTATGAAAAGGAGCCGCAATCCAACACAGCCTCAGGCCTGAACAAATGCCGACCCAAAGATTGAGCAGTTACCTAAGGTAGATATGCATGGCTTCGTCATCGGGGCCTGTTTCGTAGAATTACCCATGTTACGCCATTCGGGACCGCCTGACTATATTGGCTGTGCCGTCGGCTATAGGCGTCCGCAGGATGCCACAGGCAGGTCCTCGCGATCTCGATAGGCGCAGAGGCGCATGGAAGTTTACCTAATCAAATCAACCAGAGCAGATCTTTACACGATGCGCTGTGGTCAAGCTTTCGGAATTGATTGGTACCCTATCAGAATGCAGCTCTCGTCGGTTGCCCTTGTGCTTACGGCATCATGGCCACGAACATGGAATGCAAATATAGCAGCTCAGACATAGCCGATAGGCCGGTCATGACCCAACGTTACTAATGAAGAACCACACCGCTACGTAACCCGCAACGCCAAAACATTCCCGGGGTATCCTCAAATGCAATTGCTGCAAAGAACGTGCTGACATGAGCCGCTTATGCACTGCACGTTGAACCTGCGGGTGTTACCCTCACCGCATTGGCACTAACATCAGGTCAGACTGCTGGGAAAATCAGAGGCTCTGCGATATGCATGCTTACACATTTCGTGACTGTGCCATCGTTTTTTGTTCGTTTTGCGTGCCGAACGTCTCCAGCACTGTCGGCTTTCCGTTTGACCCCAGTGCTATGGCCACCGTGCCTAGGAACGCCGATGCTGGTCATCGCCCTTCTCGAGATAGAAGCCAATGAACCCTCTGGAAGGTCACCATTTTCGGAGTCAGAAGTAGAAGCATCAATGGCTGGAGGCGCATCTGGATCCACGTTCTTCCAGTCGTCTATCTGCTTCAGAGACATGCCGTTGCGCCCGGCTAAGTGGTCATCGATGTGGTTGAATCGCTCGGTCCAGGCATGGAGTCCTTTCTGTTTGATCCTAATAATATCTTGACAGAACCCGCACCAGAACCTTGACTCGCAATTTCTTCCCACGCGACAATCTTCCAGCTTTTTCTCGACGTCTTCAGTCGTGAGTTGATGATTGTTTGTCAAATGCTGTCTGAACAGCTCTCGTCGATGACTGACCTTGCCGCAAGGTTCAGCCGTTGTTGTTTGAGACATGTTTACATCGCATTTCCAGATGTCCAGGAGAAAATGCTGGCTGTTTTCATGTCGCTTCCAGTCATTCTTGCTACCAAAGCGTTTGTTACAGCCATGAAAAGTACACCCGTACGGCTTCTCATGACGTTTCATATGCTTCCTGTGGCTTGTCAGTGGCACTCACTAGATCACCCGTAAGCCTTTCACTCACTTTAACTCACAGCGCCGAGCAAAGGTCTTCGGACATTCGGAGCATGAGTTTTGCGTATTTTGCGCATCTTGAATAGCGTTTGCGGGGCCTTCCGTTCTCTTATCCTCCGTAGCAAGAGCTATTTCTTTCTTGTAACCAAGTTCTTCGAGCACGCCACGGCTCTGCAGAGTCTCGAGGACTTGTTTGATCTTATCCGGATCCTTCAAGTCAATGATAAGAGACGAAACATCAGCGGCGGAGGGCACTGGGGCCCCTTTCCCGTCTGACAGAGGCTTCCTGTCACCGGCCAGCGGCGATTGCGAATCTAGCATTTGATTACTGTTGACAGGTGACGGGTCTAGGGAGCCTCCATACACCGTAGTTGCGTTGTCCTTGGAAAGAGAAGGTAGCTTGTGAGCCACGGAGTGTTGGCTCAAATCTCTCGGTGATACATATCGTTGATCGCAAAACGCGTCCAATCCCGAATCTGGGAAGGATGAGATGGTGTTATCGCGCTCCGATGATGGACTACCTTCAGCTGAGTCTGTTATACCGACTTTAGTTCTCGAGATCACATCAGCTTGCGGGTTCAGGCTTCGGGCTCCTTCCACTGGATGACTGGCCATTTGCCTGTTTGTAGCCGCATCTGGTGATATATCAATGACCGAGCTTGCGTTGGCACCTTGAGACCAATATCCTTGAGAGAAATGGTTCTGCATTCCCGGGCTGAGCTGATAGTTGTATTCCACATGTGTCGGTTGCATCCCGACGAGGTCCGTTAGGACATCCTGTTGGGGGGGTGGTTGCCTACAGCCGTTAGTCTTCTAGCGAATGCTAAATATATCAGTTCAGGGGACATACTGGAAGACGTATTTTTCTAGGTCATCATCTCCAACCTCCTGTCGATGGACACGTTTGATATGTGCCCTGAAGTTATCCGCCCTTGGCCATACTTTGTCCTTGTTTCGGCAGGCACCGTGGGTACAGCGATAACGATTCCCCGTGGCAGACTCGGCAGGATGTACACTCCTTTTGTGGCGGTCAAGGTCATTGCTCGTGCTGAACCCTTCGCGTCGGTTGCATCCGGGTACATCACAAACGTGCGGCTTGGTATGCCTTTGCTTGTGTTTTCTGTGCAGGATTTTCTGTTATTGATCTGGCCAAGCTACGCTCTTGTCGAGATTACTTACTTGAGCTCAGAGTTAGTCTTCAGCTTCTTCTGGCATGTCTCACAGGTCAGCTCCTTCCCTTCTGACGGGGCTGCGCGGGATAGAGCAGGCTGCTGCCCTTGTGCCTGAGGCCACTGCCTTGGATCCAGATTGAAGCTTGCTTGGAACTGAAGATCCGAGAACTGTCCAGCCAGGCTCTGAGTGTCCTGACTCTGATCCATGCCATCATCACGGCAGACAGAAGCTGTAGCAATGCTTGGTTTCGCGCCATGACTCCCATACCCGGAGTCTGAGGGCATAGCCCCGGGAGGAAGAGTGTCGCATTCCGACGGCGATATGCTCTCACGATACGTTCCGGAGAAGACAAATCCATTTCCCCTGCTTGCGGCGTTGAACCGGGAGGACGACTGCTCTCCTGGTGGCGCGATGCCCTTCGGAATCCATGGTCCATCATTATTCGTATACCATTGTTCCAAAGGATTAGGGTCCACAGGACGGACTTGGCGGTCATAAGGGCCCACCAACGTCCGGTTGGATGTGAACGGATTCGTGAGAAGGCTCGTGCTCATATCCTGCATTCCGATGAGGTCTTGCGAGCGGGCAAACATGGCAAGTTCGACAGGCCTTGAGGAACTCTCCATTGCATTGCCATCACGATTTCCCGGCGAATACGGCAAGTGATCAGCCATTAGAGAGCAATGTGAGCAAGGTGTTGGATGACACGCAGTCCGCCGGAGCCCACGGAGGCGACAAGTAGAAATGCACCGGCAGAGCTGATGAACCTCGGTCGCAACCAGATCCTACTCCGTGAAGCTGGTACTAATGTTCCGATGAGTAGGGAAGGCGGCGAGGGTTGCCGGGGGATTAGCAATGAAGCGCACGTATGCGAAAGGCGCCTTTCGATAGCTAAGCACCATGCAAGTTAGCCATGACGTCGACTTGCTAGTTATCGAGACTCATTTGCGCGCAGCGGTTCGAGGTTCATTGGGGCCGGGCAACACGGTGATCTATGTGGAAGAGAAGGTAGCGAGGGGAGGCTTGGGCTCTGGGGGTAGGGAGAGCTGCGAGTGACAATTGAGAGGCGGACTGACAATTGAACGAGGGGTTAGCAGCGCCCGCGGGGGGGCGCACAACGTCTCGAGTCTCTTGGTGCTTGCTTGGATCTATCTAGTCAAGAGGTGCTCATTGATTCATTGGCTTGAAAATGATGATTACTGGGCGGGACGAGCGGCGTGGACGGTTGAGAGGGGGCGGGTGCTGGTACAGAAAAGTCTCGGGGGGCGTTTAGGTCAGCATTGGCTAGACTTGCACCCGTTTGCCGTCGTTGCATTCGCCGACAACGCAATTGCGATGGACTGGTGCGCAGCTCGGTGTCGGCGTCGAATGGCGAGACGACAAGCAAACGACACAGCAGCAGATGGCGTGTCCCTCTAGATTAGCCGAGCTGCGTGGCAGTGCGATTTGCGTCGCGGTTGTGGATGGAGGGAGAGGACAGGCACCAGAGATGGTGACGGCAATGCTCGCGACGAGAACAGGACACCGCGGCGGCAGCGTGGTAATAAGGCAACCACCGTGGATGCGAGGAGAGAGTGAGGCGGACAGAGAATTGCACCCAATCCAATCCGAGACATTTGATTCACTCACGTCGGTCATGCAATCGACTCGTTTTTTCCTCGGTGACTGGTGTGGTACCGCTCAATCGGCTGCCTGGTGGCGGCGTTTTTGGTGAGCAACACACCAATGAAATGCTGGCAACTGGGCACCGAGCCTCGTTGGCATCTCTGCAGCAGTCGGAGCTTGCGGACGCAGCACGGGCTGCTCTATAGCCGGGCGACGTGCGTTGGCCTCCTACAAATCCTGGAAGTCCACGGCCTGATTCAAGAATCTCCGATCCCAAGGGCTCCATGTCCCTGGTAGAAGCCCGATCCACCAAGTCAACGAACGGCATTCGCCCGTCCCTATAATGGACGGCGCAGTCGACCGCCGACGCGGGGAACATGCTTACGCAAGCAAACCTGGCTTGCACCTTTCCATTGCAATTCGGGCCACAACGGTTTCTCTGGGTCTCATGCTGTCCGACCTTCCGTGACGGCCATTTCCTTCACGGGCCAGACCGGGCTCTTCGGTTTGAAAACGCTGTTGCCGGCAGATGATACTGTAGGATCGTTATTAACCGTACACCAAGATACTGCTTTTGGTTGCTGACAGCGAAAATCGACGTCGAAGTTACACATAGGGCACGTCTTGTACTTCGAAAGTACTGCTAAGCTTTGTCAGGAGGTCCTCAGGCAGCGTCATCAGGCCATAATTAGATTAATTGTTGGTATAAAGTTCTAAACAGCGTGACCTGCCATTGAATGCTACAACACTCCTCCAACCACAGTCCATATCTTGTGTTGAATTGGCGATAGGGGCCATCTTGAGGCATCTTTCCGATCATCACTGGATGAGTGCCTGCATTCGGAGAGAAATCATTGGCAGCAGTATCATTGTAATGCCACCGAAATGGGCAAATCAGCTTCTTTCCACCACTATAAGCGGAAGATGTAATGCTCCCTGGCGTACCATTTCAATTCTGGTCAATTAGGTTCTGGAATGTAGACCTGTGCGATTAGGTGTTCATACCCACGATGAAAGCTAACACGATCCTGATCACATGACATGGACAGCTCATGAAGACTTGGTCGCCCTTATGCCGGTAATTACGTGCTGGACCTGGATGGTTGAACTACAGGCTCTAGACTCATGTGCGTCCTGAGAGAGCCATCAGGTGAAGTAGTCTAGATCGTGGACAGGCATATCGGAGGAACCATGTCTGGGCACAAATCATCGCTGCCCCTCCTTGTGCCCTCAAGCACGACAGTGATGTGACATGATCCAACAGTCTATATGCTATTTGCCGCTCCCTACTGGCCACGGTTTCGTCTATGGCTAGCTACACTTGATTGTCTTCGTGATTTCTCCACGGAGAGTTTCATGCAAGCAGCCCCGTCTCGTTGCACGCAAAGAAGTAGTCAATAATGCAATGTGCTAGAGAACTGCGTGGCTTTTGAGCTCAGCTCTACCAATCGTCAAAAGTCTGTCTCTCACGTCTTCTCGCAGTCACATCTCATATTTGTGCCATGTTGCCATCCTATGCCAAGACTAGATGCGTGTTTGCTTCTGTCATATTCCCTTGACGGCCCGCGCCGCGTAGTGGGTCTAACAGTCAGGAAACCTACTTCACTAGGGAACAACAATTGCCGAGCAAGGGCCATACCGGGTAACCGGGTTTGTTCCCCAGGAATGTTCAGATCAATGACTCTGGAAAGGCTTGGGCAAGAACCCGCATGATGCACGCGACTTATCATCTATCAAAGTCTCTTCCGTCGTCTCATGATCATATAATGAGATGACGATAATGGAAAATAACCTGACTGCAATGTGTGGCAGGGCAAGTTTGGGGAGTGGGAAAATACTTGTATGTCTCCAGCTCCCGACTTCAGGACCCAGCATTCGTCGCCATGAGCGTGGCCCCCACAAGGAAGGCGGGAGCACCAATGGCCTTATGAAACTTCAGGTCTAAGAGTATGCACAGCGATATGCGGCTCAAGCAAGTGGCAAGGGCCGGACCCTGGACTGTTGTTTGGTCCGTCTATCACACCACGACTCTTCGATGACGGCTTGCGAGGGTTATTGCCTGTTATGTGATGTATCAGTTTGCGAGGTCTGCGTAGAGTGACTTGGACATGGTGCCAAAGCCTGGAGACATCATGGCTGATGTAATATGGCACTCCACAAGAATGTGCATATCCGCTGGTCGTCGCTCCATCGTGTTCAACATTGCATTTGCATCTCAACGTGGCATTTACTACGACCTGCAGCATGGAGATATTAAAGCATAACCCGCGGCGGCTCCGCGAAAGGGGGTTGTTCTGCGGTAGAGCCTGGAAAACCAGACTATATAAGAAATGGCCTGGCTCGAGGTATCAACAGACCAATGAATACAAAGGCTTATCAGCAAATCTAGTCAGTCTGTTTCTGGCGTGATATAGGTGAGCTTCATTACTTCGGTCATGTTCGTCCATTCCTGATATACCGCAGTGGACTGCTCTAGGAGCATATCTTAGAGACCTAAAATTCGGCACGTCCACGAAGAACATTTTCCCAGCCCATCATGTGCGACTGGGAAGAATTTCTATTCGAATGTGGCCACTCTACAGTCAGGCTGAAGTCCTACTGTCACTTCGCCCGGAATGACCCGAACCACCAGTGCCTGGGGGTTAAGGTCCTGCGAGACTCGTGGAAGCAAGATGGCCAGCTTTGCGAGTCGTGTATCTCTGACGGCTACCGTTTCGACGCAGCAAGCAGAATGATTTGGCGTCTTGCAGGGAACACGTATCAAAATCAACGCATACAAGGACGGGGCCGCAGACGCTAGAGGTAATATTTATGCCAACGAGCCCTTTGCCAACCTTATAGCTGATGAGCGTCGTACAGCATCGTATGGTGGTTATAGAGTGACATAGTGCAGGTCTTGGCAGGTGTTTCCACCCTTGAAAAGTAAGGTTTCCTGTTAGAATGGTGCATCGGTTGGGCCCGGTAGTGTCGTCGGGTTGTCAAGTATGGGGTTTGACGAGTCTATTACCACCGATTCATGTTGTTATTGATGATCGTGGTGCTAAAGGAACGGTGGTATTACAAAGCGTATAGAAGCCTGTATTCCAATTTTGCAGTGCACTGTTGCACAGAAAGGACAACATAGTTGATTATGCGATCAAGTAACACGGCTTGTTTTGCCCCATCTTCGAGAGAGAAGGTTTCCCGGATCGAACGCCACTGTGCTTCGAGCAACCTCAGCACGTTTTTGACATGTACCGTGTGTTTCTATTTCTTGATTGCGGCGCGTAGAAGGCTGTTTCATGGAGATAGAAATATGCGATCGAGTGCCACCATCCTGGGCATCGCGTGGCCACGGTGTCACAACACCCTCTAAGAACCATTCGGCTCCAAGAAAGCTTCTTCATGTAATCGGAACCGGTGCCTACCCGTATTGTGACCTGTTTGCGGCGGCTCCCGGTGGCTTTTGTCATAACGCCTGGTCTTTGTAAGTCGATCGAGGCCATAGTTGCAACCCTTGAATTACGAGGCTTACTCTGCTTCATCCAATCTCTTCAAATAAATTACATCGGAATAGCTGAGTTACGGAACATCGCCCTTCAACTGATGTAGGACGGCTGGTTTCACGTATTAGTGCCGAAAAGGAGCTGCATTGGCTGGCTGTCTTCTATAGTACCACCTCTAATCTGGGCCCCACGATATGAAATGTCGTGAGGCGTGTACCAAATCTGGAAGTGAATAGACGTAGCTAGTGAGAAATTTCAAGGATTCTGTCAAACGTATTAGTCCACTGGAGCGAGGTACCATGAATTGGGAGGAAAATGGGAGCTGCTATCATGTCCTGCTTTACCTTGGTAGCATATTATTAGCCATGACGAAGGAGCTAATCGGAGTTGAATATAGACTGACTTCCAGTTGTGTTCTCTAAGGTCGGGTTAGGGTCATGGGCGGTCTGACCTTTCATTGAGTATGGCAGCTTCGTTTTAAGCTTGAAGTAACACATCAGGGGCTTTAAGTAAACCCGCCATGTGGACTGCGGTATATCATCAGTATTCGTGGATGGTTTCAAATCATGCAAAATGGCTTACTGCCTCCGGAATGTGGAAGCCCAAGTGTAACGGTTTGGTTAGGCTGTCTGCAAACTCTACCTCTACCATGTTACCTCCACGCCACAGACACAAGTCTGCTGCGTCTGGAATAGAACAAGCTTGTACAACTGATGAGCCCCCTTGCGTCAACGAATACCATCCAGATCCGCGCGTTCACGACGTTGCCGGGCTTTAGTGAGCCAAGATCATCCAAAAACTCTAATCTTCCAAATTGGTTGCACCCTCAACGATTCCGACCACATTATACCTCTTGGAGAAGAATGTGTTCCAGTCGTTCAGAGTGGATTTCTCCTTTTCATCCAGATCCTTCCACTCTGGAAGGACATCCTCCGGCTTAGTCGACGTCTTGGCTAGAGCTCTTGAGGCGTCCTTGCCGGCGAAAACTACAAGTTTGTTAGCAAACATATTTCGATATCACGTTGTGAAACAAAAGGGCGATGCTTCAATAGAGAGAAGCCGCACAGCCATTCCTGCCCAAAGAGATGATATGGGTGCAAGGACTCTGGTAATCTCAGGCCTGCAGTCCTCCCAGAGTGCCATGGCAGCCCAACAATTCGGGGCAAGACTCACCGTGGTAGGAGCCCCCGGGTTGGTACATCTTGTTGCCCGTCACATCATATACCTTGCCCTGCAAAAGTTCGTCAGCATTTCAGACCCAGAGGCGTCACGCTGGCCTTCGGGCTTTGCCGCTGGCTGTCCGACATGACACGGGGCGGTGTGCGCTCAAGGACTGAATACCTTAATGGCAACATAGCACTTCTTTCCTTCCGTTCCTTTGGAGAGTTGTCAGTCAAACGAACATGCATGCATGGAACAACAAACATCCGCGGACAGTCTGTCGCGATTGGCGAATCTCTGGTTCGGATCGTTCCGTCGACAAATGCGCGCGACTCCCGCGGCGTCATGGATCACAACTGGAAAGAGGTTCTTACCATCCGCGTTGGAGAGTTCCTCACGAGACAGAGGGTCACTCTTGGGAGGGTCCAGGTTCACCGGGACTTTGGGCTCGAACTTGCCAGCCATGACGACTAAGCGTGGGGTGAGGATCGGTGTGGGCAAAGGATTGACGACCTTGCGGCGCACCCCGCAAATCACAACGAGAGACTCGTGGACGCTGAGAGAATGGAGCAGGATGTCGAAGCTGCTAATCACCAGACGATCTGCCAGTCAAGACGCGTATATGGCGGAAGGCTCAATGGGATGCAAAGCCGAAGCAGAAAGGGTTTGGTTTCCAATTTCGCCCAGAATCCAAGTCAACCTGCTTCGAAATGCTTGGGGTTCGAGACAAGGTGATGGGGATGCATTCCAGTGGGGCAGCCCAAGCCGAGGCTAGGGGTCCTCTTAGTGGCTCCTTGCGTGCTCCCTCAGGTAACTTGTGCGATCGAGCAACTACTGTAGCTACCTACTCGAACATCCGTAGGTTATCTAGTACATGAATCGGGCTCCAGGTAGACTGCATGTATGAAAAGAAAAATTGAAAAGAGCAGCCCATATCATCAAGTTTCACGTCGAGTCCTCTGATTGACCCATCTCTCTATATTCGGGTTCGTCGCTGGAGGCGTAGATGTGGTGGATTTTACGCCCGCTGCTGGGCAACCTCGCCAGGGTCCAAGCTCCCTCCTGGTAGCTACGGCGCAGAAATAACGGGTCGCGGATCACAAATCGTCATTCCCGCCCACTTCACTCAGGATCGTCGACATCGAATTGCCAAGTCCAACGCAGCCCGGGCTTTGAGATGTTTCCCTCGCAATAGCTCAATCGCTCCAGCATCCAGCCAGCCGTAATGTCTGCGATGCGCCTCTACGCGGCCCGGCCGCTGAGCGGCATCTGGGCATCCCATGCCGGGCGCCCGGCCCTCGCCCCGGCATCTCGATTCTGTCGGGCCAATACACGCAGTCCAAGTCTGGATCGACTTGCAGAGACCATCGTCCTCGCCAGATTCCAGCAGAGGCGACTTCAATCAACCTCAGGAGGAAGCAAGCGTCCGCCCGAGTTCTCGCAGCCTCCCAAGCCGTCGCTAAAGCTTCTGTTCCAAGCTCTGCGCCAGAGCTTGAGTCTTCGCCCTTTAGTTGGCGCTTTTCGCGGACAAAGCTTCCGCAAGCTGTATAGACAGAGTCCAGAGGAACTCGTCATCGCCATTGTCCTGTATGTGCTCTACGTTCCAACAAGATGAGCTCAAGCGACTTGAAACTGACCTTGGCGCTTTGCTAGCTTGTCAGGTATCTCCGTCATAGTTGTCTATGTGGCCTACACATATTTCAACTACTTTCAAGCCGAGCAGTTCACCAGATTCCCCCCCGATGTTGCGAAATCTATGCGGCGCGCCTTGTACTATAGCAACTACAGCCTAGACCCGAAGTTGGCCCTCAAATACTACAAGATGGCACTGGAGCAATGCGATCGAAACGGTATAGACCCATTCTCAGACGGGGTGCTGGGCATCAAAATCCAGTTGGCTGCGTGGCTAGAAAAGCTCGGAAGCTACCAAAACTCCATTGACGTGCTGGAGGTCTTGCTTCGCGATTGCCAGACATGGGTCGACAAAATGGAGCAGACTGCGCGAAGTGGTCTCATTGACAAAGCTGGTAATCTCATCGAGGCACCCAAGCCGCCGCAGAAGAAAGAAGAGTCTTCGGATGCCGAAGAGGAAGTCCCTGAAAATCTCTGGGCCAAGCGCACAAGAGTTCTGGGCAAAATGGTTGGAATCAGCGTAAAATTGGGAGAGCTCTATGCCGACGAGCACGTTCTCAAAAGTGATGCCGCCGGGGAGCGTCTGGTCTGGGCCGTCGAAACTGTACTGAAAGAGCTCCAGCGCCGACAGACCGAGGGGGTCAAGGAAGGAGAAGGTGACTGGATGTCACCGGAGCAGATTGGCGGTGCGCTTGAAGGTAAGATTGACTCTCGAGCTCGCGCGGGCTTTTTTTTCTTGATTCACTACTAACGCAACTGCATAGCTTTGGCAAATCACTACGAATCGAAATCCCAGCACTACCTGGCGGCACCTCTTTACCTTCAAGCGCTGACTTTGTCTCCTCCCAAGAGCTGCCACACTGCTGTCTTGAGTAAGTCAAAACACTGCCAATCCGTCTATACACCATTGTGTCAATTCTAGGTGGCTAACGCTTCGAAGTGAACAACTTGGCAATATCATTAGCTCAGCAACCAGTCGCTGTACCGGGAGGCATGGGCGTGGCGGATTCAAAAGATCAAGTCCAGCCTACAAGGGCATCACTTCTTGCAAGTGCTCGATCTTGGGCACTTCAAGCTCACGCAACGGGGTCCAAGGTCACCGGGGACGACCGGACTGAAGAATGTGACGAAGCCTGTGCTGTTGCTCTGTGCAACCTCGGAGAGATTGCAGCCATGTCTGGTGATATGGAAGAGGCGAAGTCTAAGTTCAAGCAGAGTTTGTCACTGAGCAGGCGCATAGGATTCGCCCCGGGTGTCACTCAAGCTGAAGATGGACTGGCAGCCGCCTCGATCAAGATCCCGCCGAGATCATCCTGAACCAGGTAGAGCCGATCTGCAATGGCAACACATTTCGCCGATAAGGTCTGTGTGGGTCACAGCTCCTACTGTCCGACTTGCAGCTAGGGCGGGGTCCTTAATGAATACGGGGAGTTTCAAGGATCTGGGAAAGTACAGATATGTACACTTGCTATTCTCCATTAGATCACTCAGGGGCCATGCAAGGTGAATTAGCGCCTGATCTCAAGCCGCGGTTTAGACCCAGAGCAGCCTGGTTGGAATTACGGCATCAGTAGTGTAAGAGGGTACTTCTGTAATGGTCAGCAAGCTTCATGTAGTCTGACTTGCCCATAGCTTTCTATGCTGGAAAGTTCCGAGCAGAAAGAACACGGGCGGCTGATTATAGCTCTCATTGGACAAAGTAGAGAGCACGGCTGTTGTATACTATCTTGTAATAGAAGGATCACAAGCTTGGAATTCTGTAGCTCTCCTTGAAAATGCTTAAAGACATGAGATGGCAGTGTAAAGCCTTTCTCTTTGTGCTTCGGAAAAGAAGAGACACCAGCGCTGTAAGAGCCAAGTCGCTTAGCACAATCTTCAACTAAGCCTATTCGTCGCGGAATGTGACCAACGATCGATCGGCTAGGATCGGGTTGGCCTGACATTTATTTGCACTTGACTCTTCATGTCCAAGTGTCAGTACATTCCTTTTATGCGACATAAGGCATGGACAACGATATTCACAACCGCACCGGTCATGCACAAAGGGTCCACTCGTACGAGGCTGGGCCTCGGATCACTCCAAGGGCACTGAGTACAACTCTGGCTTTGGGTTGAAACGTGGCTACATGTTGCCGAAGCATGACTTACATGAAGAAACGCGGGAGTCTGGCTATTCCAGTGATAAGAGCAGCGGTCAGCAGAGTGTCAGCAAGAGTACCGTTCAAGTGTCAGGCGGATCCTAGAATCGATACTCCGCTCCTCAGTCCCCTGTTTGTATGCGCCATGATACTCATGCCTGCTGTTAGAACCGACTAACTCCAGTGGAAACTACTGCCCACGCACAGGCTACCTATCTGCCCAGATGGCCGACGCCGGTACCCGTTCGCGGGAGTGCGGGCAGGTCCCTGCAAGTCTGATGGCTATCTGCAAGAGAGGGGTATACAGGCCCAATGGCTTACATACGCGACAAGCGAGCATGTTATCACGAACTCGACATCTGGCGCAGTCGACCTGTATCCCCAGGTATCGAAAGCAGGATCTCCGGTCAGGGCCAATGACAATCCCCGCCGGCGGGGAATGGCGGAAAGATGCCCGCTTGCCCGAGCTTTCCACACGGGGGCCCTGTCTTGAGTGGAGAAGGCAATGCTATCGCTGTTCCTCAGGATGCTCTGTTCTGCTGGGCATTCGTCCGGGCGATAGGGCTGTGTGAAAGTATTCAGGTGCATCTGTAGGACAGAGATTGGGGCGGAAATTGGCCGGGGATAGACTGCCTCGTGGCCTGGTCACCTGGTGTACGTGCCGTTGAACTGCCTATATACGCTGCGCGCATTCAAGAGCAACGCCGTGGCCAATTCGCGGTGTACCACAATCTGGGCTTGGGCGTCGGCAATGATCGTTTCGACTTCCGGGGTGTGAACTGGGGTTGAAGTCCCTGCATACGCGGGACTATTCGTGCTATTTCGAATAGATGTTGTTGGGCACCCAAGCGTGCCTATCTGCACACTACCCTGCTCGTACTATGTAGATGAGTCCATGATGCCTACCAGGCCTAACGAATGTTGGAATATCGCAATTATAGACCGCACAATGAAGCTGGTAAACCGCCGGGATTCTGACTGCATTGAAACGCTTCTAGGACCCTGTGGTACCCAGCGAATTCGGCGAGGTTGCCTAGGTGTCTACACGCAAGATGTACGGCGCAGTTGAGGAAGGATCAGTGCCCTAACGCTTGACACGCACATACGATCATCACCACCGCAGTCTTCGTATGGCAACTAGCCCTTAACTCGATGCCTGACTGTTACTGATCCTGGGACACTGCCTGATAGGGCTGAAAAGAGAAGCATGCGAGATTGAATGCGATGTGTGCCACAAGGTCTATCGGTGGACAATCCTTCGGCGCGGCATACATCCCAATTTGGTGATTTGTTCGGTGCACACGGTTTCAGCAGCAGTATCCCCGTATGAACAGACCATCCAGTAGGATTCATTCCTTTTCCTACCAATCAATCCACAGTGTTCCAAGGTCTTGGCAAGCTTCGGTTCTATAACGCGCCGCACCCCGACATTCAAGATACTCCAGGGTCCCGTCTCCAGAGTATCAGGACATCCATAAGCCACCGCATGGCCATTGGTGGCTTCTCTCATGCTGATTCTGGAAGAAAGCGCTGGGCACAGTTGGTAAGAGCATTGTGAAGGTCCTCGTGGCTGGCTTTTCGGGTCATGATTGCCGACTGGCAGGGCTGAAGCGAGGAATAGCAGGGGAATACTTTGTTCTGGGATTGGATTCCAACTTCGGTGACAAAGGCAGGGGGAATTCTGTATCATATGCAATGTACTTTTAAGTGCTTGTGGGGCATCACTACACGCCCAGGATCCTGGTATTCGATCTGAGTTCCTGTCTTGACTGGCAGCTCGGGGATGGGAAAATGCGAGCGCGATGGATAAGTTATCACGATATGATTGATTTCGTTCATGCCGTTCAGCAACCCCGACATAAATAACCAAGTCAACCTTGTCGCCTCTGTGAGATCTTCCCGCAATTGTTGGTTCTTTCGGGGTATGCACGAATGAGAGAGATGAAAGGAGAGCTAGGTGGTGTACTCATTAAGACACACCCCACGTGCTGTATATGTGTAGTCGTAACAAACTATGTAGGTTGCAGAACATCTATGTGTTGGTTGCCCCAGATGGGCAACCCGTAAAAGGGCCTAGGAGGCTACGATGGCTCGAGAGTTGCAGATCAGTAAACCACGATTTACAACTCCTGATATGACACTGTACTCACAGGTACCCAAATAAGTATCTACATAGGTAGGTCGTCATTATGAGCCTGTCAGAACAGGTGAATTGCAGTAGGCGCATGTGGACCGGATGTACCTCTGGCACAAAGACGCAGGTCACGGAGATGCTCAAGAAACTGCACTTGAACCAAAAGCTGTGCATCTGTTAAGCGGTTGTATAGTCTTTTGGCAGTGCCGAGTAAGCACTTTCGTCGAATAGGCCTTCATTTACCTGAACAGGCGCCTGTCAACTACTACGCGGCTAAGATCCGTGGCAAGTTAGGTAGTGACCTGTAAATATCCCAGGGCTGAACTCAGCCAGTTACTTGTTCATCGGTGCTGCTCAATGGGTCAGCAATTCGCAGACAGAGCGGGGTGGGTGGAGCTCATATTTGGAAGACTTATAGGTCAAGAAGGACTTAGGATTGGGGGTGGCCCACTGGCAAGTAAATACCGTCCATAGCACCCATCCGATGGATGGGTGGACGTTATCAGGTCAGACGGGAACAAGGCCTTGACGCAGAACCCTAATGAAGGGGCAAAACGACGTTTGACAACTTAATTTCTCACCGTGCCTCGCGCGGAAGAAAACCCAATCGAGGCCCAATTGCAGATTGACGTCACCCAGGTTGTTATGCGTGAGGGGATTCACCGAGTTCCAGGCCTTGACCGACCCCTGACGGCGGAGCTATGTACAGTACAACATGTACTTTGGCGACCCATAGTCCACGCGTATACGAGTTTGCATCGAGCTGGCTATAGAACATGATCAGCTCTACCACTCCAGTTGACGTGCACAGCACCGCCTCGACGTCATTCGCGGCACATCGCAGCGTTCTGGAACCTCCCAAGTTCGTTCCATCAAATGGACAGCACAAGCGAGTTGCTCATAGTCCTGCCACTAGTTTGGCACGCCGACCGAGAGCCTCCCGACCCCCCACTTGGTCGGTGATTCGCTGCGATCGCTCTCGGACCTTCAGCTAACTCAAAAGTATCGCCAGACCCAAGACGCTGGCTCACACCACCATAGCACTTGCACCAGCCTTCTATTAGTGCTGGAGCAGCAGAGGAGCGCCCCAATGCTTCTTTTCATCTAAGTCTGAGACTAAAATCAATCTAGCTGCTGGCCGGCAGCCGGCCCTAAAGGATTGCTCATCATTCTCGCCTTAGCGGCGGAATGTGTAGCCGGCCGTGCGTTGTGACAGCAGACGCAGAAGTCAATCCTGGAAAGCATAGTTCTGCCAGTGTTGAGGCTATCCAGATACTTGATGCGGCGGCGGGCTCAGTCTTGCCCACAGATCCGTCTCGCGGCGCACATTGCCTATATGAACCCTAAGGATGGCTGCAGCGCACGTGGCTTGTCAGCGCTTTGTATTGCATGAAAATGCAGCAATGGTGCCTTCAGAGTTCGGCCAGAGGCGAACGTGGGCATAACCTCGATGCCGTGTCTCATCTGAACATTGGTGCATGTCAGAACCTCGTGGGCATGTCAGGGCCGCTGCATATTTCGTGGGATTGGGAACAAGAAGTTTTGCCAGCACACAGCACTTACAACCAACCAGCTGCTTTATCTACGCTGATGTACCTATGTAAGCAGGGTGCAAAAAGGCGTCCACTGAGATACTTTGCAAGCGGCGAGCGTGTTCGGAGGAATTAGGAATCAACCTTTGGCTGAGCCGAGCCTTTACCCGTGTTTTCAACACGCACCAGTTTAGCAGCCAAAGATGTCATCTACCATAGTAAAACCACCTATGCTTTTACAACGCTATCGAATATACTCCATGCAGTCCACTTCTCCACTACGAAGCAGCGATTCATGACTCGTGTACACCTAACCCAGACGCGCTCTACCTTTCTAGCAGCCGGCGAATGATCTAACAGTACTTTCTTTACTACTCATTCTGTCTGAGATGCCCCCGTCCCCCGAAAAGACACAGAGACTTGAGATCTACAATGGCTAGCTAAGCTAGGCAACCCGGCAGATTCGGCGTCTCATTGGCGGCAGCTACAACCCCAAGATGGGGCTTGAGACCCTGAGGCGATCCCTGTTTCTGCTGTTGAAAATAGAATGGGAACTGTTGCAGGAGTTAACCGCATCTGCTCAACAGTCGAACCGTATCTTTGGCAGTAAGGAGGCAACCTCTTCAATAGAGAGCAAGCAAATTCAGACGTAGCTAATGACAGCTCGGATAAGCATCAAGTTGAGCCGCAGCCGAAAGCAACTCTTACCAGAAAACGGTGAGTAACGGTGATGCGCTAGATGGGAAACAATCTGCGAACTGTGATGCACATACTGGCCGGGCCGCGAGGCTCCAACCAGAGATATCGGATGAGTTCGACAAAACAATCCCTCGAGAATGACACATATTCTTGCATGTCGAAAGTAACTTGTTACCTTGCATTTTGACACACGCAGAGTAGGAGGTTATGCCAGCGGCTTTTCGTCAGGACCGCGTTATACTTTTCGCAGCACTCTAGTCCCCGGCTCCTTGCCAGCTTCCTCTGACGCATGTGATTGTGTAAGGACGAGCAAGGCGATATTCTCAACGAATAGCCTCAGTGGCATGGATTATGCAGAGAGTCCAGAGAGACTCGGTTCTGTTCCAGGTTCCAGAGGAACAGCAGTCCTTCTTCGGGTTTCATTTTACAGTAGGTATCTCTCCTCGTTCCGCCTGGACCCGCCCTCCCGCGCCCCGCCTGGTGGCGTCCCCTTCCCTACATTTAGCAGAGTGGCCCGCACATAAGCATCACCCAGCCAAGTTAAGCCATCTCGCTGCCCGCAATGCGACCAGTACGCGAAGGTCCAATCCCAGGTCTTGGATCCTGGAGATCAAGGCCTGAGGAATAGCAGGACTGGCCCCATGGGGGCTGAATCCGGTTAGACGCCGGCTGGTCAAACCCACCGCGGAACCAAGATACCTACAGGTACATTTAGCTTTTCTGCACGTTAAGAGCTCGGTACAATGCCTGCAAGCTAACGGCGCGTCAAGACAGGGGGGTGGTCTCGTAGGGTCTGCACATCATTGCCAAAGTGAAGTTTGGCTAGGAATTTCGGAATGTAGGTGTAAGTAGGAAGGATATAACATCCAGGCCTCTCCTCCACTCAGGGCCATGTTTTACTTCTGTCATATGCCGATCAACCACGAACGCCATCCATCTACGATCTATCCAATCTGAACTCTGATTTTGAGGCCATATTTACTCTAGATCCAAACAGAGTACTTATTATTATCAGTTACCTGCGTTCAATATTATCTCACTATGGACGATTACGACGTCCTCCTCGACTTGCCGTCTACCTCCACATCCATTTCATACATGTATGGCGGTACAGAATCACAAATAGACACATCTGCTTCTACAAGCCCGATGCAGTCGCCAGTAAGAACGAAAATGCTCACTCTAAACCGACATTTTCTAACGACTCTTCCTAGTACGAGATACCTTACCATGATGCGGAGCACAGCTTCGAGCAATTCGATGGTTCGGGAGACTCGAACCAATCGGAGCAACCTCAGCAACCCCCAGCAAAGCCCAAACGGAAACGAGAGAACCGTTATAAGAATGCGCCGCCGTCCGTTCTGTCTGTGAGTCAATAGAACCATTTGGGAAAATTTCCCCTCAAATTTCTTGAAACTGAGCTCCGCTAACTTGACACCTGCTAGCGCCGAAGAGCTCAAAATCGTGCCTCCCAAAGAGCCTACAGAGAAAGAAAAGACCAACGCATCAAAGACCTTGAGATTCTGCTCGGGGAAGCACAGCAAAAAAACGACGTCCTGAGCCAGGCTTATACGGCACTACAGACGGAGTATCTGAAGCTGAAGAACGAGCAGGACTTGGCAACAGCCCAGTACCACGCCGTCGACTTAAACTTCGACCCCACCATGGGGACTGCAGCCCCCGTTGACAGAGTTGACATGGATATGTACTTGTGTAACGACACGTCCGTCTACACCATGTGAGTGGCCAGGCGGAGGCTGCAGATGGAGCGGAGTTTCTTCTTTCAATCGCACACACCACATATGGCATTTCGACGGCAACATAACTGGGCATAGAGGCGCAATACGGAAAATTCCCAGGGCTCATGGGCAAGGCTGGCATTGGATGATTCCATCTGGCGTTCGGGGTCCGGTCGGACACTTGACTTAGGTAATAGTGAGGCTCAAGGACGGAACGATGCGATGAGGCGCGTCTATTAGCTATATCATCCTGGGACCGGGGACGAAGATGAAGATACGTTACTAGATCCGTAAATCTAGCCTATGGGTTATCCCCTACTGTGGACGACTTCTATTCGTGGCATATTATAGACTGTCAATCACAAATGAAAGAATTACTAGTCAGTATATAACACACGCAGTGATTATGCCCGTATGAGCATTGGATGAAGAACCACACGCTCGCTTCGATTCTTTCCGTTCGGGTCTGAATACCTGGCGGAAGAGTACACAGTTTACCCGTTGTAGGGAAAGCATATCGAACACGGAGACGATACACAATTAAGGGCAATAACAACTGTTTGCGTCACTGATCCTGCGATGAATAACTCCTGACTGGGAAGACCTGCCACATTACGGTGTATTGAATGCCGCTTTTAGCCTGCCATAACTCTCCATAATTACCACCACAGCCCATCGGACAGCTTTAATCACAATGGTTTATCTCTGTATCTACGTCGATGAAATCCGAAGGCCGAGCCGTCAAAAGCCAGGCCAAATCTACTTACGCCTGAAGATTCCCAAAGAGACGGAAGCGCCGACCGCGATGCATCCGCTAAACAATAACCTTGGGAAGTTCAGATGATCATACCCCTCACGTTGAGGTCAAACTCTACGATGTGACCGATAGCAACCCATGCGATTGGCTTGAACGTACCTCACCCGATCCCCTCACGTAGAATCATCTCAAGCTCAAGCGAGCATTCAGCCTATCTTTCCTAAGCTGAATCTAGCGATCCCAATTTCAACTCATCCAAGACGATTGAGAAGGCACATCATCAGATCTCGAGGTGGGGGAACACCACAAAACCTTCGTGGTACCGTACCCGGTCATTTTAACTTCATCATCATCGGCTGAAGGCGACTAACCCATTTATGCGTGGATTCGGTTTGCGGGAAGTGGCGCCGCCGTTCGTCGACCTGCCGTAGTCCCTCTTAAGCTATTATGTTTTGCACTTCGTAGGCAAGGCTGTAGGGCGAGGATCATTTAAGGCTGCGATGCACCACACCCGCATGGTGGCCTTGGCCTAGATAAGGTAAACTCCGGGCGTGACATCGGCAGTAGTAGACTCAGTGAGCCGTTAGCCGATGCTTTGATAGGTCCCCTCAAAATCTCAACAACCTTATCTCTCCCTCCTCCTGGATATTCGGCTCGTCGTTTCTCCAAGACACCCATTGTCGCGTCGATCCGACGATCCAGCATATAGAGAGGCGAGAGGACTCAGCATCTCGAAATTATTCAGGTATTAGCAACGATTTAGGCCGGGAAATCAAGGCTGGTGACCGTAGAGGTATGCGGCACATTGCTTGGCACAATATACGGTCCCCCTTGCTGAATCATATCGTAAGTTGTCTCTTGCATATATGAGAGCATCACTCTCTGGAGGAAGAAACCCAACAAGATCAGGTTGCTATCACTAATATTGGCCATTCAATCGGAGAAAATGTGGCGGTTGGCTTATGTCGTGATGTTTAGTGGTTAAAGCAACCTAAAGAGAGCTGGTGGGCTATGCTTCACTAATCTTGCATAAATCGAGGGATACTAACACCAAACAGTGTTGGCAAATAGAGATGTTGCATGGGATTTCATCATTCAATGTCGACATGATGCCGCAGGAGGGAAGTTTGAAGTCTTATCATCTTCTTAGAACGACAGGGGACGGCATGACATCAACATTGTAAGAAGCAACCGCGGATAGAAGCTACTCTAAGAATTATGCTGATCCCGGAGCCCTTCCAGATTGTTAATCACATAGCACTTTTAGCGAGATTTGGAGGATTTCCTTAGGAGCGACGGTAAATGAGCTGTGCCGTGCCTCGGCGCACGTTTCAGCGACGTTGCCTCGATATGAAATGACTGCCTGTCCTCTGCACCTCAAGCTGGCCTGTGCCGTCACTCTCTGTTTCCTCAAATGCTATACCTGTTGTCCAATCCTCAACCTTTCGCATGCTTACCACTACTCAGTCGTCGAAAGGTGATTCGATTCTCGTTTATATATTGTTTGAGATGGCGACCTGGGATTGCCCACAATGCTTTACCAGTCACCAAAAAATTGTCGGCATTGTTCTTAGAGGTTTCATATGGCCAGCCTGAGAAACAATGTCTGAGTCTCTAGTAGCTGCAAGGAGAATGATCAAGAGTGCCGAGCATTACGAACCGACTCGCTGGCTGGTTACGGCTTCATTGAACATGCCGGGGACCCGTCTATTCTCTCCGCAACCCACGAAATGAGGTGAACAGTGTCCTCTGCCCTACCCATCACATTGGCTCTTGCAAGCAACATGCTAGTGTGGCGGTTGATTGGAATCTCCCCTCCCATCGCGAGAGAGCATGACAAAATCTGCTTTGCTATAAGATTCCAAAGAAGTACATGCTGAACTAGCAAGATGACTTTCGTCCAATAGTACTAAGACCGGTTGCCAAGCACGCCGTCTGGGCTCCCCCCTCCACAGCGGATCTCGTTTTGGAATCATGCATTCCAAGGTACAACAATGATTACAAGTAGAGACATGATTTGAGTAGCCTCCTTGCGCAATAATTTGGTGCCTCTTGACTGCGATAATTTCTGATAACAGACCGTGCTTCAGATCTAAGAATCTAACCATATAGTCGGTCTTAGCTGCGTTCGACTTCCTGTTGCAATGTTCGCCGAGTTACAACCAACACTTTCCAAGGACTCCCAGCGCTTGGTGACAGCTGTCGGTAAACCCGACATGCATCCACTCAAAAGGCTTACTATCAACATCACATAGGTACCAAATTCTGATCAGTTCTAAGCGTAAGTAATAGGAGTTTCCGCTGCAATGTAGACTGTGGACATAGTGCATCAGAGAATGGCAACTCCTGACCGACCACAGCTAGATGGCCACGGTCATTTTAGACTATTAATAGGGTTGTGGACCTGGATTGCTAAGCAGTAAGATTGTCGCTGGAGCTTCCTCTTTGAGTCACAGTCAGTCGATCCTGGCCTGAGCACGTTGGAGCTGCATGCAAGCTCCCGAGATCTCGATAGAGACCGCTGATCCTAACTATTACAGTGGTAGATTTACGTGCGGCTCTGCGATGATTCACATACTTGATTCCTATACTTGCATTGATAGTTTCGTTTTACTTATGACCCCCCCAACTTCAAGGTTAGCTTGATGAAGTTCTCGTATCTCAAAAGGGAAACTTGTGCGCCACCTCAGTAACCCGTTGGCGCTCGGATACACTTGAGGAAACGCCGCGGACAGGCCCGCAACGCCACTGACAGAGTGAGGACCCCTAATTTCAACGTCGCCGCGGTTTAGTGACAAGGCTTGGCAAGCATGGCGACAACATCGTGAAATCATGGAGCCAAAAGGGGACTAAGCAAGAGAAGGGCAAGGAAAACGAAAAGGTCAACACAGTTTGAATCCTGGGGCGAAAGCAAGGCCCATGATAAATATCCAGTATTCCTGTCAACAATTAACCGCGCGACCCCAGACCAATGATAACAAGCGGCGCAGGAAAGCCAGGCCCTGGGGGGATGTCCGACTTTCCATATTGTCTTCCTGCAATGCAACCGATCCTTCTCGTCTACTCGATCCTTGCAGGCACGTCGAGCCCCTGGCGGGCCTGGCCAATGGACTGCAACTAGGATTGCTGTCGAACGGACCCGAATCCGAATTGGGCAACCTCCTGCCAGGGGACGACCTGGTCTTCCACACGTCTTAAATCTTACCCGCATCGTCGACGACTCCATCCCCAGGCTCCAATCCGCTCACCCCTGCTGCCACCTGCGTGCAATAAATTAGACTGCCCAGAATGGATCGGTCTATTCGTCTAGATCATGAGAAGACCGCCACTTATGATCTGATGGGAGGGTACACGACCTCTTGGGGCCAATGAGAAGTATCGGTGTGCGTCTCCGGACCCTAGGTCGGGAAGCTTCAATCAGAGGCGGTGCCGCACACCTGCAGACGCCCCAGCTCACTAAGGATTGGCCTGACGAGGTGACAGAGGCATCCCCAATGACACGGGCCAGAGCATCTGCTGTGATAAAGTCGCCCGCTTGCCGGTGTAGGTCTTGGCCTCCTTTCTCTCTGTCACGCCTCTCTGCTTGAGCCAAGCCAACTTTATAGCTGAGTGTATACTCATAATCTGACGTACCGCACGTCATCCTCTCTTTTATACTATAGCGTCATTCATTCATTCATAATACTATAGCCATAGCCATGGCTCCTTCGCTCGCTAAATCAGTCGGCATAGTTGCCGCAGCCTATGCAACCAGCACCTCTGCTCTGAAATCGTACCACCAAGCAGAGGTTTACGACTCTACTAATTTCTTGGAGAAGTTTGGTTTCTTCGAGGCAAGTTCCCTCGAGATTGAAAACCATACCTAAGATGAGCCTGGCGTCTGACATGTTGAACAGAGTCAACTTGGCACCGGCGATATTAACGATGTCGACCCAACCGGAGGTTATGTTCAGTACCAAGATTCCGTCAAGGCGCAGGAGCTTGGCCTAGTGTCCATCGAAAACGACCAAGTGTACATTGGACCTGAGACAAAGCAGACTTACAATCCGTTCGGGTATGGTCGTAAGAGTGTGAGACTTGAGAGTGTGCAGACGTACAACCACGGTCTGTTCATCGCAGATTTTGCGCATCTGCCCAAGCCAACCTGCGGAGCGTGGCCCTCCTTGTAAGTCGAGTCACAGATATATATGACAGTGTTGTGCAGTTATTGATGTCGTCACTCTAGCTGGATGTTCGGCGAGCCATGGCCTACCAAGGGCGAGATCGACATCATGGAGAACTGGAACGATCTCGACTTCAACCGCTTCACTGCTCACGTAGCCAGCCCCGATCAGATTGGAACCTGCACTGTCAGGTCGGCCGACATGCTTGCTTCCACTGCGATCGACTCCGTTAACTGCTACGACCACGCTCCGGGCCAGTGGGACTTCCAGGGATGCAGCGCGAGTGACCATGGAGCGCCATTTGGTTCCGCAGAAGGAGGTGTATATGCTCTCGAGTGGACTAGCAGTGCTCTCAACGTCTGGAGTTGGCCTCATCTCCTGGCACCGCTTGACATCGCTTTGGGAAAGCCACTGCCCTCGACTTGGGGTCTCCCTAGATTCTCGATTCAGAACTGCGACATCGAGAAGGCGTTCTCGGACATGAGATTTGTCTTGAACATCGATTTCTGTGCCGTAGCAGGTCAAGATGCCCAGTGGGGTGCCAGCTGCAAAGCCAGCACCGGCTACGATACGTGTACCAAGTACGTTGCCGAGAACGGTGATCACTTCTCGTCATCGTACTTCAAGCTCTCTAGTATCAAGATCTTCAACCAGCAGGAGGAGGATGTGACTTCAAGCACAAGCAGCTCTGTGGCGAGCTCGACATCCTCTTCGCTTGCTACGAGCAGCTCTACCATCTCGACAACCACTGAAGTCACTTCCACTACCAGCTCAACCACAAGCTCGACGCTCATTTCTTCTTCGACGACCTCCGAAATTTCCAGCTCTGCAACTGTGTCCTCAACAAAGGGTCCGGAAACTGTTAGCTCGGCTACCGTTGATACCTCTTCTTCCTCTGTCTCAGAGTCCGTTTCGAGCTCGTACAGTGCTAGCTCTACCGACTCCGCATCGATTCCTTCAATAACCGAGAGTGCTACCATCAGCAGCAGCGGCTCTGCACAACCCACAGTATCTTCCACGGCCTCCTCATCTATCTCTGATGATGACGATAACTGCACAGACGACGAGAGCTCAACTTCTTACGAGGTTTCGTCGACGTACGGTGTTTCGACTACCAGTAGCGCCTCTTCCATACTATCTTCGTCTGGCTACCCTGTCTACCCAACTGGCCCATCGGTCACATACCCCGGAACTGCTAGCGCCACAAGATCCAGCAGCCAGGGCGCCTCCGAGTCGACCACTTCCCCAGTCGAGTACACCACCTCCACGGTCTACACCACCCGCGTTCAGACTGTGACTTCTTGCGCCCCCACGGTTACCAACTGTCCCGCGAACGGAGAAGTGGTTGTCACGGAGGTCATCCCCTTGTACACCACGGTCTGCCCAATCGGGTCAACGCAGCCAACCACGGTCCCCGAAGCTCCTGCGAACGGCTACTCCACTTCCACCCAGTACATCACGAGCATCTACACCATCACCGCTTGTGCGGCAACCGTGACGAACTGTCCTGTTGGCTCCGTGACAACTAACATCAAGACGGCCTTCACTAGCTACCCGGTCGCGGGCAGCCCCAGCGCCAAGGGCTCCGGCTCCGGCTCCCCCGCCAGCGACGAGAGCACGACTACGACGACATCGACGCTGCGCCTGCCGACCACCGTCTACGTCAAGGCGTCTTCTTCGTCCGTTTCTTCTTCGCCTAGCGCGCCCGCCTCGTCCAGTGAATCCGTCGTCTACGTGACCCAGACGGCGACCGTCGTGCCCGTGATCACCGGCAGCGGCTCCAAGTACAACGCCACGCTTTCGACTTCTGCCTCTCCCAAGGGCACCGGCACCAGCTCGGTTCCGGGCAAGGGCGCAGGAGGAGGCAGTGTCGTTGTCAGCGGTGCTATCAAGTCCAGCGGTGCTGTGAGCATGATCCTCCTGGGCCTGGGAGGTGCCGCGCTTCTCACATTGTAGACAGAGACCAAAGGTTGAGATACAAGGTATTCTATGTATAGTTAATAATCCAATATCTTTGACTCAAAAGCTTGATTACGCCGCTTGGCCTGAAATGTTCTGCAAAATTGTCGAGCCATGAACGACGCAGATCAATTACTGTAATTGCCTTGTTCTCCACCCACGTTCCGATTATACAGCAAGATAAATAATTCAAAATCTGAATAATTCGTTTTTGGGGATCTGGATGAGCAGGCCTCCACATGTCATTCGCGATTACTAGGAGAGATAAAGTGGTTGTCAAATCATGAATTAGTGTAGTTAGTCTCTCTAGGACTACGGGAATGAGTTACAAAGCCACGCCTCCCTGGCGGGTTTAGTGCAAATAGCCATATCAAAACTGGCGCAATCAACAAATCGATCTCAAGTACTGTGGTGAACCATTGCCAAACGCCACAGTCTATTCGCGCCTTTTGGCTGCCCTGGTACTTCTCTGAACTTCTCCGCTGGCGCTGAGACTGCGTTTCTTGCTGCTCTTTTTGCGCTTCTGGACCCTCTTCGCCTGTGCAGCCGCCTTCTTGGACGCCTCAGCCTCTTGCTGCAGTCGAAGGATCTCTTCATCAAACAAGAGTTTGAGGCGATCCCAGGCGTTGACCCAACCTCTCCACGCAGGCAAATTTTCGTGGTGCCAATCATCGAGCAGTCCATATATGACGTCGGTGATATTCTTCGGCGTGGGCAGGTCGCTGATTTCCTCCAGTGACTTGGAGGCGCCTTCAATCATGAGTTTTCTTGTGAAGCTCTGGTAGAAGTTCAAGATCCTCCATCTTCCGGAATCTGATAGAGTCGCATGAATAGGCTCCCAGGACGCAGGGATATCTTCGTCGTGCTCCACTTCGCATTCAATGTTCGATCCGCTCCATCTGACATTGCGGATAAAGAAGTGATCATACGTCAGAATACCTTCGGCGTCATACTTATGTTGTTCTCTTTTGATGACGCCCCATTCATTGACTGTAGCTTTCAGCTTGGAGCGGCCTCGTGTTCGGCCTGAGACCGCGCCAGACGTGCTTTTCTGAAGGTCTTGCTCAATACGATCCTCACCAGGAAAGTCGATCCGTGCGGCAATGTAGGCGGCTTGCAGCTGGGCATCAGAGAAAAGCGATGGAAGCCCCTCCATGCCCATAGTGTCCATAAATCGCTGTCGATGCGAAGTGAGTCTTTCCTTGATTTTCTTGATCAGGCCGACCACAGCCTGTTGATGGTACCAGGCTTCAGGATCCGAATCGTCAGGGCGCTCTGTCTCCAAAAGATCCAGCTTGAAATCCCTTGCATTTGGATCGCTATTCAAAGGACCGCTATTGAAAGAATCGCTCATAGACGTGAGCCGAATCCTTCCAAGCGGAAAGTTCAAAACCTGGGTATAATCGTCGGAGGAACAGATGTCCTCCAAGCACCTCTTGAGATTGTCCATGACACGTTGCTGCTGAGACATCCCTGGGGACCAGTAACTGGCGCCAATGTCAATCTGAAACCAAAGTCCCTGAAGGTCCTTGCATTGACTCAGCATCACGCAAATGTGTTTCTCCTGCTTACTATGGTAGGTGAAGAATGTGTTGTGGCCGTTGTCCCAGTTGAAGCTGAGGGTGATGTTGCGGAGCATTTCTCTTCGCTTGGGCGTGATCGAGACGAGAAATGCGACCAAGTCGTTGCATTTCCTAAACCCGATATTGTTCATTCGATAGAAGACCGGGAAATTCTCGAGTTCGTGGTAGATTTGGCGGCATGTTTGTGCAAGTGACACAACTGTGAAAGGTTTTTGACGACAGTGTTGACGGTCTTGATGGCTAGATCTGACATGCCCAGCATCCGACAACGACCAACGAAATTTGTTGGAGTGTTTCTGTACCTGCCACGCGTATATGGGACCCTTGAGAGCCACAGCATCCTCGTAGATTGCCAATCTAATCTGTTGATGCTCGGTTCAGTTGGGATTCTAATTATTCAAAGGTCTGCTGGGAGAGCATGGGGAAACGGGGTGGGAGGAGAACGGTTGCGATCACCGGGTTAAGATGTGAGAAGATGTGAGATGTAAGGTGAATTACATCAGGGAGTAGAAGAACGTACCTCGAGGGGAATACGGAGGAACGCGGTTCCTGCATTGCGAACGGTTTGCACAGCGTTGAGATGGGCCGCTTCATCGAGCGGCATCAAAGGCGCCATGGTTGACGTCGTTCTCTGCGCGTGAAGCTGCGTAGATATGCTGCAGGTGACGCGCAGGTAGAGAAAGAGAAGATGTAGGCAATGGTGATGAACGGGATGAAAATCAGCGGATCAAGGCCCCAGGAGAAGGTCTGAAGCTGAGATGTGATAGGAAGTGGACGAGACAATGTGATGATGGCGATGGATGGGAAGAGTGTGGTGGGACGAGAGCCCCGAGGGTTCGCCGCAAGCTGGGGCGCGATAGGTATCGGACGAGATCCAGGTTGCACCAAGTGAAGGATGAGTTTTCGGTGTCTTGCAAATTTGGTAAACGGAAAATGTGTAGCCGGAGGAAGGCGCGCTCTTCAGACCTCGCGCACGTTATCAGCCAGTTCAAGGTTGGAGTCGTGCGGGTTGATGCTCCTCCTACCTTGCGCCTGGTGATAAATGGGCGGCTGAAATACCTGAAAAGTGCCCTCTCACTTTGAGCACACTCAATGAAAGGCCAAGCTAGACTTGTCTCACCTCGAGGTATGTGAGGTGAGAGAAAGACTCCTGATGCAGCGGTGGCTTAGTTGAAGAAAGTCGTGGAAAAGTGGTTCCTTGTGGTCGCTTGGGGTCACGACGCGTCAAGGAACAATCCCAATCAGGCAGTGGGCGGAGACCGGGTTGCCAGAGTGTCGATTACCTCTTCTATTCACCTCTGCTAAGTATCATATGTGGTCGCGGCCGGCCGTTTGCAAACGTCGACCAAAGCCCTGCATCGCTCTAAGTGCGACCTTGCGATCACACTGGTGCCATCCAGATTATCGACTCGAGGAGATCTGACACAAATCCCAGCCCCCACCATACTGTCATTGTGAATTATTTATTTTCCTATCGCGATGTGCTACCTTAGACCAAGATTCGGTATTGCTTGGAATTCGACGTGTTCCAGAGGTACAAAGTGGCGTCTAATGTCGGGCCTCTGTCATTGATCTTAGCAATAAGCACCATACGGCACGACAACCTGTATTTTTCGATACCCCATATCCATGCCGATAATAGTTGAGTGAGCCGTCAGGAGAGTGACATGGTGAATCAGGACCGAGAAAACTAACATACAGCGCGGTACATAACCGCCAGCATGTTTTCCGATAGCCGTCAAAGTCGTTGCCTTGCACAACCCCAAAGCTCAAAATCCGACCCGGACCGAGACCTGACTGATGTCAGCGTGCGATAGAGAGCTGCTTTGCCGCTCTGGCGCCTTGATTCGTGAATTCCAACGCTGATGGTCTCAACCCTAAGCTCTGTAGCTGTTTCGTGACTTGTGCGAGGCCCCATTCCACAGCCTTCCGAGAAAGCGAGACCGCATGCAGCTGTTTTGTAGGGGAACGTTTCGTTCTGTTGACTGATATATCCTCAAGGCCAATATTGCTCACCGGGCCTAGGCCCATAAGGTGCATTGACTGGAATCGTTGCTTGACCCAGCACCTGGCCGACAGACCAAGATTGTGGTGCTGCCAATAATCGACTCTATGGCCAAGACGCCGTGGCACCTGTGCAGAGTGGCGGATTTGAAAAATCTAAATCAGCAGCTACTAGGTAGGTACTGGCCATACACGCCGCAAAGCGAGGGCCTTCCAGGTTCGATGTCCCAGTCTTCGACTATTTTACCTGGGTCGTGGTTGCCTTGGCCTATGAAGATAGACTGCCCGACTTGCGTCACGTACCTCGGTGACTTGGGTTCCTGACTTGGTGGGAACATAATCCGGGACGTCTATCTGCCTGTCTGCCTCTTCTATACCTGGGCTGACGAGGAGAAAACCCTAGAAATCACCTATACAACCATATACTCGCCCGGCAGCTACTAGCTAGCAGTTTATTTGAAGCTTTACTCAACCATCTACCGTCCCATCTTATCCCCGACTCATCGCCAAACAAGCTCCTACAAGCTCTGATCGAACCACAGAATGAACTGGACAGAAGGGAACTTGGCCCGTCACTCTCGGGGCCACGCGAAAAACGAAGTGCTGAAGCGTCAGAAGCAACATTTCGCCAACGCCCGCAATAGGCTCCTGAACGGAAATGTCAAACAGAGCCCCGTGAAGATTTCTTTTCTCAGTCCAGACTATGTACACCATCTACGAAAGGAGCCAGAATATGCGTTATCTCCATCGACCCATCTTCGTTCTCCTGCGCTGCCATCGACTGATGTAGGGGGCCATAGCCGGAGCACAAAACAGTCGTTTGATCCACAGGCTGATGACGCAGAAGAAACTGCCAGTATTGCAGTATGCCTGAATACCAATCCCTTTTCCGGTGCCAGAAAGCGTTCTGCACTCGACGCCAAAGCGGATCAAGAGAATCCCAGGGTTTACGACAAGAGACGGAAGCTCCTCAGAAAGCCTGACTGGGCAGGCTTGGAGTTCCAACAGCCGATAGAGCTTGTATTTTCTGGCAACAAACAAGCGTCGGGTGGGCGCCCTTGGAGAATGATAGAACAACCAAGCCATGGAGCTCGCTTGAATCTGGTGCAGCCTATGAGAACAAGAGAAATTGGCCAGGAGGAGCTCGGAGTATCTCCACCAGCTTTGACACAAGCTGGGCCTGCGAATATGAAAATTCAGATCGGAAGCCAGGAAAAAGATCCGAGAAGGACTTCAACTTCACCATTGTCACCACCTACGTTGAGCCCCAATCGTTTGCAAGCGCATCAAATTGGTCGTGCTCCGCAGGGCCGAGTGACAGACGCCAGCTATATGGAAGCTTGCACAAGCAGTACCTCTTCGTCAATGGATTACTTTCAGACCAGAAGCATGGAGGCTCGAAAAGGACGTAATGAAACCAGCCGATACTCTAGGGAGTTTCCAGTATATTCTCGCCAAGAGCTGCATTGCGCAGCGCCTGTACATGTCGCACATGCATCGTCTGAGATCCACGAGCCAACGCCGTGTCGAGCTACTAGATCAAAGATCCTCCAGTGGTCTCCATCCATGAGGTCTGACGGTAGTGGGAGCATCCATGTTGAAGTCGGACGCCAAAAACGAAGACCTCCCTCCGAGATCGCCGAGAACGCGAGGTGGATGGAACGTGTTCTCGCATCTTGCGAGAACGACATCATCCCCCTAACACGAGGCTCGTCTCTTCTAAATAGTCCTATGTTTAGACCGAATATTAGTCCTGGAATCAGTGAATTGCCAACTCAACCGGACACAATGGCTTTCGAAACGAGCGAGGCCAGTATGATGCGTTCGTCGTCCAGTCTACCGATGCAACGGACCAGCAACATTAGCCACCCGCAAGAGAACGAAGACAAGTCTTACCGGATCGCTTCATACCAAGAAACTAACCCAAATTTGCACAGTGGGTTTGTCACAAATGGAAGTTGTGCCTCCTCAGCTGACGCATCATGCTTCAGCCACGGGCAAAGAACCGAAGAACCCGGCAAGGAATCAGTTTCTGAATGCAGTATGGATGCCCATCGATCGAACACCAAACTTTCGAAGACACACATTATAGCAAAAGAATCTACTGAAGCCTATTCGCAACTTGAAAAATGGAGACACAGAACTGAAGAAGATGACAACGATGCTTGGAAGAGGCTCATTTTCGGTTCAAGTACCGACGACGTAACTGATCAGGTTTTCAAAGAGGCTGTAAATTTAACAGCCAGGGAGTTGCAACCATCTAGCTCGGTGATAAGCACCGAAGAATTCCTTTCGCCTTCGTATGAGGGCGAGGAGCAAATGGCTGAGGACCCGCCGTCAACTCTCGGAGATAGCACACCAAGGTTGACTAGTGTTGATAGGACTTCTGGATGTGTTGAATTTTCTGATACTATCAGTGCAAGCTGCCAGGCGGCCGACGGCTCAGTCTCATCGGGGGATGTGCAAATGGAGTTACCCAAAACATTGGCGGGTGGGCGAGAGATGGGTGCTTCTGTCATCGGAACGGCCAATGACTCTGATTCTTTGCCTTCGTCAGCATTGAGGAGCGCAGAGAGGGAACACAGAAGCATTTCACCGCAACTACACTCCAATCAAGCGACAAAGGCAGACTCTGATAATACAGACACAATCGCTGACCGCTCTTCATCTATATTCACTTTGCCGAGCCTTTTCGTGGGAAAACTTGCTCACCCGGGAGCAGAGTCCTTATTGATGCCGCTGCCGCCACTGAAAGCACCGCCATTGTGTAACAGAAGCGGTAAGGCTCGAGGAAGAGGTAGTCGCAAGAGGAGACCGCACGAGGGACGAACTGACATCAGAGCTTTACCCGACTTTGATGGGGACCCAATTGAGGAGTCTTGAGATTATGAACAAGCTTGTTCTAGTTGATTGACAGGGGCAAAAACCCCTTACATAGTTCGATGCTCTACCATATGAGGCTGAAGCTGTTGCTCATGTATAACAGCTAGCTGGAGATTAGTTTTGTGTTTATAGCAAGTCAAGTTACAGTCGAGCTAGTACGAGAGCCGCGTTACTGAACAGGGTGGCAGGCCATGGTACTAAATATCCTTGCAAAATTACTGACGAGATTAGTAGATTGTTAAACCATAGATATAATGAATGGGGTTTGTGTTGTCATCTACATTATGCATGTGAATGTACAAGTTGAGTTAGCTACCATTCACTGAGTTGTTCAATGGGATCTCATTGATGCGTACCTGCATTAGATCACATGAGGACCCACTTACACGGTCTCTCTTGCTTACCGCGTTAGCCCTTTTGCCAACACTGCACTTCTTTCCTCTCAGATGAACACTCCAGGCTTCACATTATAGCTCTCCCCGTTGCAATTTGTGCATTTGATAGCTCGCCCAGCACCTCACACTGAAGACCGTCGAGGAACGGCCGGCGATGCCACCGGCGCATCTCATCATAGTCTGCTGCCATGGGATCTGGCTGGGCGGCCCGCAGAACGGCTTGGACGAGAGCGAGTGGCTCATAGCACCCTTTCAAGCTGGAGAAACACCGACATTTATTGAGCATATCAAGGCTGGGCTTCGAGCCTTAAGCGGAGACGAGGATGGGATTCTGATGTTCTCGGGGTAAGGATGCTTATTTCCTATTCAGTTTGCGCAACGAGATCAAGAGGACGGCGAAATGCTAGATGCTATCGGGGGCTGCTGCGCTTCGATACTCTGGCGTTTGTCCTATTGACTACTGCTCTATGGAAATACGAGAGGCGGGCTTGGAGGGTTCAGCTCGATATATCATGCGCTACATTTACATCACCCCAGGAGATCTACCATGTCGTGAGCTGACATATCAATCAGGGGTCCAACACGAAAAGAAACACAGATCAGCGAAGCGAGCAGCTACGCCAACTTGGCAGCGGCCAATTCCTATTTCGGGATCCTGACCCAGCCCTCAGAATCGGAACGCGTAGTCGAGGAGACGCGGGCCCTGGACTCGTACTACAACGTGCTGTTCTCGCTCACCAAATTCTGGGAAGACTACGGCGCCTGGCCGCAGCGGGTCACCATCGTCAGCCACGCCTTCAAGCGGGAGCGTCTGGTGGACTGTCACTGTGGTGCCATCGGGTACCCGCTCGACCGCGTGGACTTCATCGGGGTCGACCCGCCGGGCATGCTGGACGGGAGCAACGAGGCGGCGATCAAGGGCGTTGTGCAGGCGGTGACGGAGTGGAAGGAGGATCCCCACGGAACTGGTGTGAGCCTGGCTGCCAAGCGAAGCAAGAGGAACCCATGGGGGATCGCACAGGGGCTTTTCTCGGCCGGGGAGGTTAGGGAGCGCAGTGGTGTTCAAACCAAGCTGCTCGATGGTATAGAAGTGCTTGACCCGACGGCGAAGCAACCGTGGTCTACATGACCGGCCCCGATTGGAAAGGATAGTTGAAATACATCCCGCGTCAACTCATATCTTGGCAGAGGCTGCGGACTTTCCCTTATCGGCTCCATCGACCACGTCGACAATGAACCGCACGGCATCCTGCATCATGCGAGGGCTGAACTCGTGGCCAGCCTCAGGGTAGATAATGTCCTCAACTGAGACGCCGCCGTCCTCATACCATGTTTCCACAGCGGCTTTGAAGAAATTGAGGAAGGGCTCCCCCTTGGCATAAGGAACAAGCTTGTCTTTGCCTCCAGAAAGAAGCTGAAACTTCTTGCCCCGTATCCTCGGGTCCAGGATGGATCTCAACCTCGCTTTCTCCTCGTCTGATGGTTGCTGGGGTGCGATCTGACCAGTCCCAAACAGTATGCCCTTGGGGTCGTACTTCTTGCACGCACCCACCAGCGCCAGCGGGAAGTCTCTGCTCCCCAGGAAGCCGGCCCCGTTGTCCGCCACCGAGAACGTGTCGCGCTTCGACAACCGTGCCCGATCCGTCATCAGGGTCATGTAGTCGGGACACCCAATGACAACGACGCCCGCCGTGACCCGTGGCTCGGCGAACAAGGTCTGCCACACGCTGTGGCCGCCGAGGCTCACGCCGAGGGCCAGGTGCTGGTCGATGGCGCGCAGCTTGCCGCCGTCGGCAGCAAAGTCGCCGTTGCCAAAGATATACCCCTCAAGTGCATCCAGCAGCAGCGACGTGTCCACAACCATGGCATTGACCGTGCCGAACATGTCCTGCGCGTGTGTGGGGTTGCCCTGGCGCCAGGCCTGGTTGTTCAGATCGTTGATCTTGCGGGAGCCGTGGTTGCGCTGGTCGAAGGCCACGGCGATCAGGCCGCGGGTCGAGGACGCCGAGGTCCGGTGCCAGGCGCTGAGGGCCAGGGAGGCAGTCGGTGCCATGTCTTCCTTCATCCGAAGCCGTCCGTGGTGCAGCCAGAGACAGGAGACGGCCTTCGCCGCAGGCGAAAGCTCCTTCAGGCCGTATACATCGACGGGGAGCCCGGCGATGGAGATTGTCGTCTTGGAGACTTCGGGGATCGGGCCGGGAGGGGTCACCATCGGGTTCGGGGTCGACATCTTGGTGGTCAGGCGTGAGTGAAGGCGGGAGCGTAGATTTTAGACAATTGGTTCTAGGACAGCAACTTTTCCCCTGAACTAGGCACATGGAATATCTGGTAAAGACAAGCGTATATATATTTTGTTTTGGGAATCAGGGTCGAGTCGGGGTGCCTCGGTTTGCGCCGTGGGGTTTATAGCAAGCTGCGGGGTCCTGTGGTGGGGCGGGACCTGGTTGCGGTAGCCAGCTGGATATGGAAAGGCAGACTGATCCGTCTAATTTCTGTAGACGTGAATACCCAGAAGATGATTCAGTTAAAATAGCGCTGCAAATCTTGTGAACTTGAACTATGGTATCCTAACAATCTAGAGTGATTGATGGAGCTGAGTGCTTGGCTTGGGATTGCTTTTGTGGTCGATCTGCATTTATACTCGTGACTGACCAATAACAGGCTATCAACAACTCTGACATATGTATGCATGTTGGGATCAATATACCCGACGTCAATGCTGCTGAGGTCGGTGCCAGCTGAGTTTCGCCGGTGGGTTTCATTGCAAATGTCTAATAGTATAACCCTTTCCGGGGGGAAAACTGGTGTTCATATACCCAAACCCTGCTTGTGAAACCTGACTGTGGTTGTCCTCAGTACTAGGTTATTGAGGTGGCATCTGAGTCTCCAGACCCAAGGCTGCATGTTTAGAAACCAGTGCAAGGATCTCCAAGTATATCGCACCAAGGGATAAGAACATCGTGCAGTACGAAGCAGCTTAGAAGGATAGCCGACCCATCCTTACTGCTGTATAAGGAGCAGTGGTGCACAGGATGTGTTGCGCACCGAGTGTGTTGTGCCAAATTGAGGTTCACTTGGCGAACCAATAGTGCCATGTTGAGGTCATTGACAAAGGCCAGGAGGGCACTTACCGCACCAGCATTCGTAAGGCGCGAGTGCACAATCCTCCGATGGCCATGCCGGCACCAGACTAGAGCTCAACAGGGGATCAAGTGCGATATCGTAGCCACCAGCACCGCCATCGACACCCTACGTGACTTCGACATACGGCAGTTTCTCAAAGCGGGCTATGCTGTCTCTCGCAATAACCTCAAGACATCAGAAACCAGGTATAAACTACCAGCGATGACAAGTGGCCCGTTATTTGCTACCTTTGTGGCCCATTGGAGAGCACCAAGAAGGTCTGATCGACTATCATACCGAGTCTTGGCATTGGTGGCTTCGAGAATGGTGGCAGAACTCATTGGTTTTACCCATGGCATGCCATCGACTGGGCCAAACTCGACAGCAGCCACCGAATCGTCTTGTTGGATGAGCAGCTTCATGATGTCGCCAAGATCCTTCCCCTGCGAGGCGGCGAGGACCCAGGTCACGGATTTGGGTAGATCGCCTGCACGGAAGTGTCTATTGACATAGCTCGCCAGTACCTCAGCTGATTGTGGGTTATGGGCACCGTCCAAGAGGATATCGCCTTGTCGACCCGTCAGAGCACTGATATCCAGTAATTGGAGTCGCCCAGGCCAATTAATGTTCCTCACTGCTGGGACGAGGATATCCAGGGGCTTGATGTTTTGAGGGAAAGCGAGACGAAACGCCTCATGGGCGACGGCAAGATTTTGGGCCTGGTGTGGCTCAATGGTGTCTCCCAACAACCTAGCGAGCTCATTCGACTCGGGGGAGGCATTTGTAACACTAGTACCGACATCCCGACTATGTTTCTGAAAAGTGCCAAGTACGGATTTTGGGTTGCTGGCATCGACCACACACGGGACCCCCTGACGCATGATGCCTGCTTTCTGCAACGCTATCTCTTCAATAGTATCTCCCAGCAGGAACTGGTGGTCTAATCCAATCTTGGAGATGACGGTAACGGATTTCTCTTGTAGCACGTTAGTCGCATCCAGCCTTCCACCGAGCCCGACTTCCACGACGCCAACTTGGACCTTCTCGGCCTCGAAGATCTCGAACGCAGTGGCTGTGAGCAGCTCAAACTCTGTAGCACCGACATGCCAGTCCTCATTCCGTTGCTTGACGAGGTCCTCAAAATGGCGGAACCTGGTTTCAGGGATTGCGCTGTCGTTGATGGAGATACAGTCCCAGCGGTCGATGAGGTGTGGCGAGGTGAACTTTCCACATGTGACATTGTTGGCCCGCAGCAGGGCAGTCAAGTATGCGCATATGGAGCCCTTGCCATTGGTGCCGGCGACGTGGATAGCCTTCCAGGTCTGTGGTGTTTTATGCAGGAGCTTCTGGATCCTGGCCAGGCCGAGCTCGATCATCTTGTGTGGATGACGAGTTGCGATTGCACGGCTTGGCAGGGGCAGCAGGTCCGGGATAGCACACTAGTCGAGGCTTCTGAACGGTAAACAAACAAGCATTGATGTTCTGTGCTGTCCGGTGTCATTACAGACCATGGGCGGGCAGAGCGGAGACTGCTGGTAGGGGGGACAAAAAGGAAGAAAATGAGTCACGGGGAACTAGTATCGTGGAGTTTGCTCGTTGGAAATGTTGCACCCCGGCAACAGTATCGACATCTCTCAGCCCATCATTCTGGCCCGAGTTGGGGGCAGGCTGACATTGCCGGGATCCAAGCTCGGGCCATCCGTCGCGGCCAATCAGACGGGACGTAGTCTCTAAACCATGGCGATAGAGAGACGATAAGGGGCGACCTTGGCTTCGTCTCTGTTGCCAAGGCCCTGGCAAGGCCAACTACCGGCTCCAAGGCACATGAGGCAGTCATGGCAGGACGACCGAGGCGTGTCCACGGGTATACGACAGGTCCAGCGCTAACATTCCGCTAGCAGGCGTCCTGAAACAGGGATTGCAAGCGATTCGCGATTCGCGAAGGACGACAGCCAGATTGACACACACACAGAGCACCGCTCAGCGCAATCGTCAGCCCGTCCAGTTTTTTTCCCTCCTCCTCCACAACAAACCAGGCCATCCCCCACGAGGCGACAGCTTGGTCCGTCTACCTTAGTCTCGCGACCACCATTGATTGATAACTATCAACCACGGCGCACCGCGCATCTTCGAAAGCCGCCCATCGCCCTTCACTTTCTTTCCATTCTTCTTGCATGTCCTTCTGATCGCCTTTATCTGTCGTTTATCCCGCCCGTCTCCACCCGCGGCGCTCTGCCAGCTCCCACCCCGTCCCCGGCCTTCTCTGCCAGCGTCCCGCCTCGTCCCTCCGTCGCTCCGTCGCTCCGTTGCTACGCGCACGCACCCGCCGTCGTCCAGATGGGCCTCCCGTAAGTTGATCCGGCGCGTCGACGCGCTTTGCTATGCTGTCTACCCCCTTCGATCGCACCAAACCACGAGCCGGCCTGCACATCAATCCGACGATATGTCAATCCTGTGCGAAGCTTACGCGGGTCCCGTCCCCGCCCATCGTTCATCCCGTCCCATTCCACCAGCACATGGCCAGGACCACCCGCAGGAGCAACATACTGACATGGCCCATCCAGACTCTTTCAAGCCCCTGTCGAGTCCGACATTGTGTTGAAATCAGCCACCAAACCCCAGGCAGACTCGACGCATGCGCGCTCGCCCATCCGTCGCGCTGAACGCCGTCGGCAGCTCAATGAGACGCGACAGCACCGACTGCAGTTATTAGCCGCTCTGCAGGGTGGTCCCCCGCCCGAGTCTCGCCCGCGAGCTGCAGAGAATCCGCCCCCTGCCAATGATGCTTCGGCGCGACCTGATCGATGGAACTTCGAGTCTGAGTTGGATGACTTGAACGACATTCTGCGCGCCGAAGACCGCGCTGCCAGACGTGATGCGCTCCGCTCGGCATCTGCGCTTCCTGGTCCCGATACTATGATTGGGGAGGAGAGTTATCTGCGAGCTGATCGAGCCATCGACCGCGACTGGACTGCCGGCATGCAGCCCAGCAGTAGAGAGCCAAGCTCGCGTCGTTTTGTAAGTAGTCGCTCCCACGCACTCGCATCCTACCTCTAGTCATATCCCGCCCGAGAGAAACCATGGCTGACTTGACGAAGCGGGATTTGCCGTACGTTCCTGGCCGGTTGCGACCTCCCGTCATAAGGCGCCAAGGCAGTTTCGAGTCGGCGCCTCCCAACCGCTCGCCCAGGACTCGCAACCCGGATCCCGGCGAATATCTCAACGAGTATCGCCAGCGCCGAAATGTGCAGGACGGAATCACTCGGTCCAGACCTCACCGCGTTCGCCGTTATGTCCGATACATGGATGGCCTGGGAGACCGAGATCGCAGCTTGAGCCCAGAAAACGAGAACATATGGGAAAATCTGCAGTCGACCATGACGCCTGACCCGCAGCCGCCCAGTGTCGGTTCCTCCTTTTCTTCTACGACTGTATCTACTGTTGCTTCTCAGGGGACAATCAGCTCCGCCAACACATCCATCACAAATCCGGCTGAGGAAGTCGACCCGCCATGCGAACCGGCGGGCGAGAACGTGGACAGTGACGAAGACGGGGATCTTACCCTCGAGGAGATCCGAGCCGCATCGTCCCAGCGTCGCCTTCCGAGAAGCGCGCGCCGTTCATATGCAGATGTCGCTGCTGACGCACTCCCCTCGGCTGACGAGGACGGGATCGAGGGTCTAGAGTTATCAGACATGCAACGCCTAGTGCAAAGATTGGCTGCCCGGCAGGACATTCCGGATCAGTGGTGGGCCGCTGTCGGACTGAGCCGGTCGATGACCATGGATGAGCCCAATTGATGGTTTTTATTTTATTTTTATCTCGGTTTTGCGTGAGGCGTCTTGAGGTTTTGGTATAGGGCAACTAATGAGTGCATTCTGGTTTTGGCGCAGGCGTTCGGAAAAGCCACGATATGGGCACTATACACCGGGTCTCCGGTTTAACGTGGGGGTTTCTGATTTGACGTCATACGCATGGCTTTGCTGTATATTACTGTATCTTGGTACGTGCCACATGTTACGAAGATGCGTTTCGACGTGTCTATACGTTGCGACTAGCTGAAGGAGGAAGCGATGGAGTCCGGAGTGCGAGAGACATGTTGGCATCAGTGGACCAGATTTAATTGACTGAGACTCAGGGTTTCAAGAGCCCAATGAACGAAGAACGTAGTCCATCACTTGAAAACTCGAGTTGCCCGTCCATCATTCAGACTATATCTGTTTTTCTCTGCTTGAACTAGTCGAGCATCGTTGCACTCGCCCATCACGCCATGGCACGTTCGAGGGTTAGTATCCATTTTGTAGCTGGGAGTACGAGAATAGGAAGAGTCTGTTGTTGAACTTCCCAGACCTGGCTGGATGAACGTGGCTCTGCTTCTCTGAACCCCGACATGCAGCTATGCCTACCGCATGAGAGTGACAGTCGGGTGAGACTGGCAAGCGAATTTCTACCGGGCTGGGTGTTGCGACCCCAGATATCCATATCCGTATATGGAGACGGGAGGACAAGATACCATTCTGAATGCAACATGGAACGTGCAGTAGCTCGTTACGCTTACCGGATAAGCTGTCCACTGGGATCGCGTGCCTGGCTTGTTATACATTACAGGCATTACAGGGCCCGGGGAAGCTACCTCGGTACCTTGGCCCGGCAGCCACGCACAAAGCATGATTGGGCACCACGAGCGTTGGCATGGACGGTCGAGCGTTTGCATGATGGTGATGTGAGGGATGTGTGCGTCGAGCGCATTGAGACGCGTTGGGGACTCCATGGATGGAGGGAATTGAATGCAGATGCAGGCCCGGGCAGCATCGCATCACCCCGCGATTTTCCAAGCGCAAGCTGGAAACGTGAAACAAGCCCACGGGCGAAACAGGCACAAAGTCCTAGGGGAGCCCGGGCTGTACACACGACACACGACACCATGACACGGCACGGCAAGCTACTCTGGTGTCTGCTGTGTAATTTTTGTTTTACTTGATTTTTTTTTTCTTTCCCCCAGTCCTGTCTCGCATTTCTCCCCGCCGACCCAGTTGCCGTGGGCAAAGGCTCTGAACTCAATCGCGCGACGAATTTAGATCGGAATGATCCTCACGCCGACTCGGTTCTGCGAGGCGTTCCAATTTCGGGCGCTCATTTCCAGGGCAGAGGGATCTTGCCTGAAGCATCGCCGTCTCTGACTCTCGGGGGCCTGCTGGGGCCTGCTGGGGCCTGCTGAGCCCGTCATCCCCCCCACATTAGCTGGCTCTTGCACCGGGCATCGTCGTCCACTTTGAGACCTGAACCAGCTAAGGCAAGCCCAAACAAATAGTTAGGCGCCGCGGCCAGCGCTCGACGGCCAACCCAGCAAAAAACATATTGCCCTGCCGACCTGCGCAGCTCGCCCTGTGACATCAGATGTGAACACGATCAGAATCCCAAGGAAATAGGCCACCGCCACCGCCAGAGCGAGAGGCAGACGAAGCGCAGAGACGACGACGAGACGAAGCTGGAATGAGCGACCTGATCGGATGCAACCCGCGGCCAACAACACGACGCCCCCTCCCCCACTTCGTCACGACGCCCGCTATACCCAGGCCCGTAGCTCGAGACAGGCCCTATCGGATCCGAGTCGGCGACGACGACCGCCCGTCCAACACCACGACTGCCGCCCATGGCGCCCACCTCGGGCCACTCGTCGAACCCCTCGACGTCGTCCGCTGGCGAGCGCCAACACCGCCCCAGCACCAGCAATGGCAAGCCCGCCGTCGTAGCAGCCCGCCACGACAGGACCCCGGGGACGCCGAGGAAGGAGAGCAACGCGCGCGAGAGAGCTGTGCAGGACCCGGGCTTGAAAGACTACGTATGTGCTCACGAGGAAGAGAGACACCGCTGCTCCCCCTCCTCTGGGGGGAGGCATGTGAGGCTCGAACGTCAGGCTGATGTGCAAGTTATAGCGGCTTGGAGAATGCCTGGGCAAAGGCGCCTTCGGTTCTGTCTACAAGGCAATCCATTGGGGCACGGGCGAGGCCGTGGCTGTGAAGCAGATCAAGATTGTCAACTTGCCAAAGAGCGAATTGCGTATGATCGAGGTGCGCTGTCCTGTGCTGCTTATAATCTGCTTCGGAGTACTGACATCTTGCAGGCTGAAATTGACTTGTTGAAGAACTTGCACGTGAGCACAATCCTTCACAAGCAAAAACGAGTTGAAAGAGGGTTCAAAAGGCTAACATCACCTCTAGCACGACAACATTGTCAAGTACATAGGTTTTGTCAAGTCGGTGGACTGTTTAAACATCATCCTAGAGTATGTACCCCCAACACGCCTGTTTTCACATGTGAGATTCGCCCTTGGCTCACAAACCACAGATATTGCGAGAATGGCTCCTTACATTCCATCTGCAAGGCATACGGCAAGTTTCCGGAGAACCTGGTCGGCGTCTACATGACACAAGTGCTGCAAGGCCTGCAATACTTGCACGACCAGGGTGTCATCCATAGGGACATCAAGGGCGCCAACATTCTGACTACTAAAGACGGAAAGGTCAAACTGGCCGACTTTGGTGTGTCGACAAGTACCCTGGCCGGTCCTGACAAGGAGAACCAAGTGGTCGGAACTCCTTACTGGATGGCCCCGGAGATCATCGAACTGTCTGGTGCAACGCCCGCCTCCGATATCTGGAGCTTGGGATGCACTGTAATCGAATTACTCCAAGGAAAACCACCGTACCACCATCTACAGGCTATGCCAGCACTTTTCGCCATTGTCAATGATGACCATCCCCCCTTGCCGGAAGGAGTGTCCTCGGTATGTAACCCCCCTTTCTTGATGCATCAACTGCATACTCGAAGTCATGCTCATCCTGCTGCAGGCTGCTCGCGATTTCTTGATACAATGTTTTCAAAAGGACCCCAATCTGCGTGTGTCTGCGAGGAAGCTGTTGAAGCACAACTGGATAGTGGGCTGTCGGAGGAGCGATGCACCCGTAGCGAAAGCACCTGGCGATTTCGACCAGACCGTGGAGAAGGTGAAGGAATGGAACAAGGCCTTGACTTCGGATTCAGATCTACGAGCTTCCTTTGGATCCGATCAGGGTGGCCTTCCATACAACCGCCAGGCGTCTCGTTACACAGCTCCGGAACAGACAAAGCTTACCACGCCGGCCAAGGGCCCCTTGTCATTAGCAAAGCCCAGATTGACGGCAGAAGACTACAGATCTACAGAGCTAGATGGTAAGTGCCTGGAACAGTTTAAGCGTCTTTCAAAGATTCCAAGAACCTCCTCCGTGTTCCTTCATATACTAACAAACGTTTAGATGATGACAACTGGGATGCGGATTTCGCGACGGCGATTTCACCCACTGCGCTAAAGCTTCCTCACATCAAGCCGCAAGACCACTTTGGTGGCATGCTTTCAGCAGATCGCATCAAGCAGTTTGCATTTACCGCGTCCTCTCGAGATGTGTCTACCAATTGGGACGATAGCGTGGACGGCGAGCTGATGACCATGAAAAACCATGCCATACACGAAGAAGACCCTCAAGACAAAACCATCCGCCCTAATTGGAGATTCCCCTCGGAGCCTGAAAAGCAGGTCGATCCCCGGCAACAGGCAAGGAAAAAGTCCACGTCATCGTCATCGTCCAGGAAACGTGCTGCTAGTGGCCACCAGAAACAAAAGTCTGATGGCAAGAATATGGGAGGAAAGTTCGCACTTCCGTCACGGCCAGACTTGGCGTTCAAGGAACACTCTGTAGAAGATTATTCCGACCTGTTTGGCGATGATGACGACCAGTCAGACTTCGCTTTCAGCCAAAGATTAGGTCAGATGAAAAAGGTATGTCTGCTCACGGTTAAAAACTGCTGCGATGTTGTCCATCTGACTTTTCAATCAGCCCGATGCGCCTCAACTATTCCATCCATCAGATCTAACCACGCTCCCCCGCTCAACACAAGAGCCCGGGCGTGGGAGCTTGCGAAGACAAACGTCTTCAAGACCCTCTGTGTTACCAGATCGGCCCATGCAAAGGACGAGGTCAGCGATTGAAATCCAAAAGTTTGCGGAAGACGAAGGCGACGAGGACTTTTCGGATGTCTTTGGCCCAGGCGACGACATTACCGAAAAAGACGAGAGCGACCGCGGATCCGAGTCTGGAGGCCCCATGGTGCTCTCTAAGCTCTCCAATAACTCATGGCTTGGTGATGAAGAAGACGAGGACGACCCATTCGCGTTTATGGACCCTGGTTGGGATGAGATGGATCTGGAGGCGAATATTGCCCGTGATCGGCACGCACGACTCGCAGAAAAGGTCGAAGAGATTGTCAGATCCATCAAGATGATAGAAGGTGAAGACAGGTTGGCGGAGCTTTCGGAAGATATGGTAAGTGTTTTTCCTGCTTTGAATAACAGCAGTGGAACGTCGCCCGGCTTACACGTACCAGCTGGCCCTTCTTTGGGAGCATGCCGAAGTCAAGGACCTCATCATCAGCGCACATGGCCTCCTTCCATTACTCGAACTACTGGAGCCATGTACAGTCAAAAGCCGACAGCACATGATTCTGCAACTCCTAAAAGTTGTCAACACGGTTAGTCACCGCTCTTGCCTACCAGTTGACCAGCAGAGACTGACGCGGAACAGATTATTTTGGATGATGTCGAACTTCAGGAAAACCTCTGCTTCGTAGGTGGCATACCGATTATTACCAAGTTTGCAGCACGGCAATATTCCAATGAAATCCGGCTAGAGGCAGCTGCTTTTGTACGGCAGATGTACACCACATCCACCTTAACCCTCCAAATGTTCGTCAGCGCTGGAGGTCTTAACGTCCTTGTCGAATTCTTGGACGAGGACTACGATAACTCTCGAGATCTGGTCTTGATTGGCGTAAACGGTATCTGGAATGTCTTCGAATTACAGGGCCCAACGCCTAAAAATGACTTCTGCCGGATATTCGCAAGGAGCAAAATTCTCGACCCCTTAGCGCTAGTGTTGCATAGGGTTCTAGACGATGATGAGGAAGAGGAGGAGTTGACAGAGCTTATCGAAGGCCGCATCGTTAACATTTTCTACCTGTTCTCCCAAGCTGAGAATTACGTCAAGGAGATGGTAACAGATCGACAGGTTCTGAAAAGTGAGTAGCAACGCAGAGTACTGTCCCTTGCTGCGCTTGGGCATGCTAACTTCATTCTTAGGTGTTCTCAAGGACCTTCGACGGATGACTCCAGCACATCAGATTACGATGCTGAAGTTTATCAAAAACCTGTCGATGTTGTCCACAACCCTCGATGTGCTTCACTCGGCCGATGCTATCGATCTGCTTATCGAGCTCCTGAGCGGCAACATGAAGAAGGGGCATCCACACTTCCGTGAGATCTCGAATCAAGTCCTCAACACTATGTTCAACCTGTGTCGATTAAGCAAAGATCGCCAGGAATACGCCGCAGTCAATGGTATCATCCCCTTATTGATGAAGATTATGAAGACCGACAGACCGCCGAAGGAATTCGCGCTACCAATCCTCTGCGACATGGCTCACTCGGGTAGCAAGGGCCGACGATTCTTGTGGCAGAACAAGGGACTCGACTTCTACATTTCACTGCTTGCAGATCAGTATTGGCAAGTTACTGCCCTCGATGCCATCTTTGCCTGGTAAGTCCTCATTGAGTACTTTTGTCCAATCGTCGTGGTTAACCCGTACTAGGTTACAAGAAGAGACAGCTAAAGTGGAGGGACATCTGATCAATGGCAATTTCCCAAGTGCCATCGTGGCTTGTTTCACTACACAGAAGATTAACGCTTTTGATCCGAACCTTGTCGAACCACTCCTCAAAATCGTTCGTCTCAGTCCCGATTTATCTTCATCTCTAGCAAAGCCCGAGATGTTTTCGGGCGTGGCGCAAAAGCTTGGCCACAAGAAGGCCGTCATACGGTTGAACCTCCTTCGTCTTGTGCGGAATATCCTGGATGCTCGTGAGGCCGATTATTTCAGCAACCCTAGAGACAGACAACTACGACTGTTGCTCGAAGCAGTCCAGACTCTTGCTGAGAAGGACTCGGCAGTATTGGTTCGCAACTTGGCGTCCGAGCTTGTCAGATCACATATCAACAGTGATCCCGACAACGTCATACCACCTTTACCAGCCATGCCTGCTTCATCCTCTTCGGCCGGATCGAGCAGGAATCGGTCGGGACCTAGGCGTATCTATACACCACCCTCTCTACACTCGTCGGTTTCGACACCTATCACACCGACATCGGCTCATCGCCCCTCTCAAGCTGCATATATCGAGGTCGCTGCCAGTCCTAAACGTCGCTCCGCTGTTCCTCATGACCTCGACTATAGACCTCGCAGTCGTGATGGCGGTAACATCCCAATCTCCTCGCTTCCACGGCGTGTCAGCACCGATCAAGGAACCAACATCTCTGTCGCGGGCAAAAGTAGATTGCCCCGTAACTCTGGAGCCTTCCATCCTTCTTCGAGCGAATCCTCTGGTCGAAGCCAAAGTGTGCTGAGCAACAAGGAGAACCAGTTGTCTAGCAGTACGTCGAGATATTCTCAGTCAGGTTCGAGTGCGGCCGGCAGTGGATATGCTGCGCACTCGCGGGAGAGCTCCAGCGGGAAATCAAGGCGGACGCGTGCGCCGAGTGAGAGTAGCTCGAGAAAATGGACTCCCTCGGGGATGTAACGTTTCCGAGTTGAAGGGGTGTTTTTCCTTGTGAATGAGTAATTGGACCGGAAAGGGCGGTAATGGGAAATGAGATAGTATATGGGCCATGAGCAGAAACGAGTAGATGAGCTATGTTGTGTATTATGGGAGTGCCTAGCTCTGCGTGCTTATTCGTTTTCAGCATTGCCCAACATAGGTAGCTAGGCAAGGGTCCGGAGCGTTTGGCGGTAGATAAAAATGACGCATGGCAGGAGTTGTGGAATCACGAATGATAAATACTCTGAATATTACGCATTCTTAATACCTGAGATATCCAACAATGATATGTTGATGTGGGCTGATGCTCGTGTAACTCAGGATGGGACCGACGAACCGAATCATCCCGGCAATTGCCCAAGCTGTGAAGAAAGCAGACAGCATGGCATTGTATATGTGTCAACTCCTGAAATCAAATTAATTGCCAGAGCTAAGTGTCAAGAGCTCCTGATTCTATTCTTATTGACAAGGCTAGGGAGAGAAACTCTCCTGTCAAAGGACCAAACGTTCGGAGACTTATGTTTGGGTACCCGCGACTACCACGGAGCAAATATCAGGCCTTCTTGGCGTGGGATCCGGCCACCTCCTTCGCACTACGCTTCGCACTACGCTTCGTTAGCAAACTTAGGTCTGATTGACTGTTCAGGCATCCTATTGCCATACGACATCCCCCCTTTGGCTCTGCCGTTGCTCTTCACGCCTATAGCTTGAAGATGTGACATTTGGGCCGGCGGCTGAATTTCAATGCCGTGTCAGCACATTCTCAGCCGTTTTATAGTGCCCGTTCCTCATGCTGAATTCAAGTACTCATAATCACGAAGTCTATTAGATATAGAAGTTTCACACACACAACGCCAATCAAGTCCCAAGACAACCTCTCCCTTCATACTCTCCACCGAAGTCGCTCATTCATTCATACTTACGACATAATGGGTCGCACAGGCACAATCCTTCTCACCGGTGCCAACGGTGGATTAGGTAGTGCAATCGTTTCTGCTATTCTCTCCGATTCTCACATAGCGCAAGCTCACCATGGGTTGTACGCCGTTCGCAGCATCGACAGTGCGAGCAGCGTCCGGGCGGTACTTCAGACTTCCAATGGCGAGGGTCATGCACACGATCTTGTTCCACTGGACCTCGCAAGCCTTTCCAATGTGCACTCAACCGCGGAGCAGATCAATCGTAGAGTAGCAGCCGGCGAGATCCCGCCGATTCGTGCCCTGATTCTCAATGCTGGCTGGCAAGAGTACACGACGCATACGCTGACTAACGATGGCTTTGACATGGCATTCCAGGTGAACTATCTGGGCCACTTCCTGCTGACACTGCTCCTGCTACAGAGCCTGGATAAGGAGCATGGGAGAATCGTGGTGCTGGGAAGCTGGTCACATGAGTAAGCGAAATCACCGCTCCTTGATACTTTGGCGTTTCCAGCATTGTCCTATACTGATGAGATGACGAGTACAGCACCGCAGATCCAAGGAACGCCACTGGTCCCCAGGGTAAAGTATACACCCGAGATGGGTACAAGACGATCTTCACAAGCGACCCCTGGAACGGGGAGGACATGGCCAGAGGGAAGTGGAGCTCCGCAGAGAAGCACCCGGGCGACATCGAGGCCGGGTTCCGGAGGTACGGGGCCTCGAAGCTATGCGAGGTTATGATGATGTGCGTGAGAAGTTCCGCGTCCTCCCACCCTTCTCATTACGAGACTCACTGTGCTCACGTTGTATCTAGGCGTGAGTTCTCGCGGCGGGTCGAGTCCGACCAGTCTCTCTCTCGCGTGGCTGTCCTGGGCGTGGACCCGGGCGCGATGCCATCCAGCCTGGGCTCGCGCGGGACCTTAACGCTGAGGATGATCTTCAAGCTCGTCATGCCGCTGCTGAATCCCATCGCGAGCGCCCTGCAGCCCAACGGCATGCTCCGCACCACCAAGAAGTCGGCTGGCGACGTGATCAGGGCGTGTTTTGATTCCGAGACTCTGGGCGACAGGCCGAACGGCGTCTACCTAGATGGCTCCCAAGTAGGCGACGTCGGAGCCGAGGCCAAGGATCGGGAGAAGTGCGAGAGGTTGTGGAGGGCGAGTCTGGTGTGGGCTGGGGTGAAGGAGGGGGACACGGTGTTGGGAGACTGGAGGTAAATTATACTTTAGCTCTTCCAGTCAAGTTCTTGCTTTCTTCCACGAAATGGCCATAGTCCCCCATGCGCAATTACCCCTGGAGTTGGTGTTTTTGAGAGTTGCTGGATCGGTCTGGGGTTATTGGCAAGTTTCTTGGATTTGTGACAAAGGATCATTGTATACCTTTGCGCAGATCAATCGGCTAGAGAGAATGTGCAATATACTCAAGTATGTAACCGAAACGACAGAGTCTGTTTGGTTGTCTTCGTATATCTAGTAAGACCGGGCGCTGCGCCGGCCGGCCGGCTGCAGGTGCCGCGCTGTCGGATATTCCTTAGCTGAGTCTAGTAGATAAGCCTCATTTGTAAGCATCCCACCTCAACCTCGTCAGCAGCGCTACCTCCTGCGCCTATTTGGTGTGTAACGCACCTGTAATTTGATACGACTGTCTTCAGTGGATTCTATTAGTGATCAAAAAAGCAGTTCCCATGAAACTTGATCTGCTCGAGTTTGGTTGTCTTCCAGAAACCCTAACAGTTCGTCTCGCTTGAGTCTCGATCTGGGATCCCTCTCGCGAAGTCGTCTTCAAAATGGAGACGAGCTCTCGTCGTAAGGTACAGTGTATAAAGCCAGCCCGGTTTCGTAAATGAGCAGCTAACGTCGGCGCAGGCGTGTGAGTAATATACGATCGCAGCCCCAGCGACAAGACGAACTACTTTTAATGATGAAAATTACCAGGCGATACATGCTACTCCAAGAAAATCAAGTGTGATCTGGTGAAACCTGTCTGCTCCAACTGCCAGCTATACAAAGTAAAATGTACCACTACTATCGTACGAAGACGGGCCATGCCTCCCAAGGAGAAGCCAATGAACCCCCCGAACCAGACAGCTCACGTCGAGTAAGTCCCTGTCCTTGTCAAATGTATTGAGTCTGACACCATACCAAGATTAGCAAACCAAGACAGCCTTGAAGCACGCCTTGCCAGAATTGAGTCTAAATTGGATTCCCTTGGCGCCTCCAATGCACTGTCTCTGGCAAGTTTGCTTGACAAACCGTCCAGTGCGGACGACAGCAGCCCGCCATTGCTCAGTTCTAGCGGAACAGTCTCAGAAGGCCTGACTCCGGAGACTCTCGATAACTCAGATCCCTTCAATATTTTTCCCTTGAATGAGGTGCTTCCTGTCATCGATGCGTACTTCGCAAATTTCAATAGTGTCCTTCCGCTGTTCCACCAACCCTCGTTCATGACATTACTTCAAGAGTTCTACTCCAACTCGACGCAGAAGTCGAGAGTCGCCTGGGGAATCATTAACTGCGTCCTCGCAATGGGCTTTCGATTGACTTCCAGAGACGCAGATCCTGGTAAGTATCGATGTTCGCGTTTGTCACTAGTTGCATTGTTTCTTGACCCCATAGGCATAGCTATAGTGGCACGTCAAGCACTTAACAAGCACTTATCAAACCAACTATCGCCTCTCCAGGAAAGCATCACTGACATATTATAGTGCAGCATGATTTTTCCGAGAGACGAAGTCAGGAATGCGTCGCCAATGCGCAGAAGGCGCTTGATGACTTTATAGTCCGGGATGAAGACACGTTAGGTGTCCAGGGAATGCTGGCCCTCGTCCTCTTGTACCATGCGAGCCCTCATCATAGACCAGCTTCGGTCTTAATCAGCACCGCCGTTCGTCTGGCTCACCGACTACAACTACACACGAGGTCTTCTCATGCTCATTTTACACCAGATCAAGCTAAGCAAAGAGATAATATCTTCTGGATTTGTTACACCCTGGACAAGGTAAGGTAACTTAGCGTATAATATTGTGATGAATCACTGACTTTCGACAGGAAATTAGCGTCAAGGCCAAGATACCATCAGTTCAGTTAGACATCGATGTCGACATAGATCTTCCTGGATCTTCGCCGCTGGATAATGACGGTGTATTGCGTAGTGTTGATGGCTTATCAAACTTTAACTACTTCAGGTCCCGAGTGAGACTGGCGTATCTTCAAGGGAAGATTTATGATAGCCTCTACAGCTTCCGGTCCAAGAAGCTGTCTCCTGACGAACGAAAGCAGCGCGTGGTCCAGCTCGACAAAATGCTTGATGAATGGCGCCAAACGATCCCTACCCCTTTACAGTTCGAGCATATGGCGCAGACACTTGATAAACATGCAATCGTTCATATGACAACTCTCCAGCACCACTACCTGCTATGCTTAGTATGCATTCATGGTATTTACTCCGTTGATAGCGAGTGGGTGAAGGCCATTGGTGAATTCGGTCGGAGGACACTAGAGAAAATGGACAACAACACGGAAATATGTATGAAACACATGCAACCACCGCTGCCGTCAGCGTGGGCTCGGTGTGTGGCGGCAAGTAGGGGTAGCGTTCGTCTTTTTCTATCCGGGCCACAGAGTGGATGCAGCGTTTGGTGAGCTTATCCTTCGCCCGTTATCTGGAAAGGGTGCTGACCTACGATGTAATGCAGGCTGAACATCTGGGCGTTGTTTTCCGGCGTCATTATTCTTCTTGCCAACTGCCAATATTACCCAAGGAACGATTTCGTATTACAAGATCAGAAGCTAGCCAAGGACGGTATCAAAATCATTACGCTTACCTTCAAGGTCAGGCAGGACTACGATAAGCTGGAGCAGTGCCTCTGTGTCCTGCGCGGTCTAGAGGCAGTCGCAGAAAAGACAATCGACTGGTACCAGTCGCATCCAGACGAGATACCGTATCCACCTTACAGTGCAGACAGTACCTATCAGCCGATGGTTACTAGCGACCCAGACAACAGCAGTCTTATCTCCAACTATGTAAGTACTTAAGCCCGATCTACAGAATCATTGGCTTGGCTAGAGTCTCATGCTGACCCGTAATTCAGGCTGCGACAACTCAAATTTCAGACATCCTGCCCTCGTGGCCAGATGATCAGAATATCGATTCATTCGATCTTGGTCTTGTGGCCCTTGATCCATTCAATGAGGTGGCAGGTACCTCACCGTTCCAGTTCTGAGGAGTGAGAAGAAGTACTTAGACTTCATCATTCATTGATCATCAATCTGGACGGACCAGGGTCCATTCTGGTCGAAATTCGACTGTCATACGCTTTTGAGCATTTATTGGTTGGAGGTCGCCAAAGTAGTTGGTTATCTTTGATGTAGTTCGATTCTGGATTAATGTGTTGACTTGAGGCGATCCTAGTGAGACTGATATGGATTCTAGTTATCTCTTGGGGGAATGAAATGGTAGTGTCATTGTCTCTATTTGCGGAGTTTCAACCACTGAAAGAGTGAAAGATGCCATCCACAATGCCTTCAGGTCTAATTAAGCATGGTCAGGGACACCTCTTTCAGCACAATACTTTCTAACCTCTTTTCTAAGACCATCTCTCTGCCTCTCAACCAAATCCATGATATCGTCACACTCAGCCCCGAGGTTTCCGGTCTTACCTCCGAAGCTGTCGTAGATTTCCACCATGTCCTCCATAACGGCTTGCAATTGGTTGGGCAGCCATGTCACGATGGGCGACCCCCCAGTAGCGGTCGGGTGGCTTGTCTGTTATTTTGTTAGTTTACACTACGCGCAGGAATACACCGGAATACGACGTCGAAAGGAGCGAACTTACCTGCTTAAGAATGTATTCACGCGCAAAGCACCAGTGTCTCCATCTGAAGTCCCTGACTTGGTTCACGATCTTGAGCCAGAGTCTTCGCGACTCCAGGACGGGCTCTCTGTCTTCGTCAGTGGCATTAGACGCTAAAGCGAACTCCCGCACGCCACGATCGATGCTCTCCTCCTTGACCCACTCCAGGAACTGTCGGTGATCACCAGGTCGATAAGACCTGAAGTCCTTCAGGATCTCAGTCAAGGGCGTATCTGGCATACCGATCTGGCAGAAGTTGTCCATCAGCGGGATCATTGAGTCGTTGGCACCGCTCTCGCCGCGGAAGTGCTGAGGCGAACCGTCGCCGACGCCTTCATAAATGACGCCGTTGGGGAACATGGACTGCGAGGTAATACCAAAGATGAAAGTGCGGAAAGAAGTATAGGACCGAGGCTTGGAGACAGACCACATGGTCTCTATCACAGTGTTGACTTGGCGAAGTGCAGTCAGGATCTCCTGCAACCCGCTGTTGAACACACGACGATCTGGGCTAGGTTCCGAGATTGTGCGAAGACAGGTTGTGACTCCCGAAATGAGGGGGCCCGAATGCTTGACCATAGCCACGTGAGTGAGCACAAAGCCTGCTTCGGATGATGAAGGGTCCAAACCGTGCTCGAAGGCTCGGATAAGGCGCAGGTTAGAGTATTCAAGACCTAGTGCCGGGTCCACGAGGCGGTAGTTGAACAGAGCGTATGACCCAGCATACTCCATGAAGGGCTTGAAGCCACACCTGGATGATAATATTTGTTAGGGTGGGAATCATTCTGGAAATGCGTAATATTGAAATAGTAACAGTTGTGAGCCCTATTCCTCAGCATGCCAACGCTGGGCGGGCCAATGGTCTGTTTCGGAGGTATATAGGTGCAAGCAATGGAATGACCTTTAACAAAAAAAGATAAGAACTCACAGTTCAGCGCATCGGGCAATAGGTCGTGCCAACTGCACGGGCAACACCTCTCGCGCAAGACCGTAGCCCTCCCCTTTGACAAACTTCATGTGACAAGGTTCGAGAAGATAGGCCGAAGCCAGGAAGGAGTAGTCTCTATATAGGGCATTGACCAAAGGCAGGTTGTCCTTATACTTCTCGACCTGGTCCGTTAGGTCGGATAGCTCATCATGGACAGCATCTCCAAGGGCACCGCTGGCAAGAAGGCCCGGGGCTCCGGACAAGGTCTTGACTGGCATGCGTGTGAGCAGGGACTCAACCACATCGAACTCAGAGGGTAGGTCGACGATTGGTTCCATGCGAGGTAGGAAACCCCGCGTGGTTGAAACCATGAAGGCGGGAAGAGAAACATCGTCCGGCCTCGTGTCCGTTAGGACTTCGAGATCACGTTTCACTTGGGAGGCTTCTTGGGTTGCCATGTTGAAGGTAGAGTTGATGATTGTTGAAGTAATGGACAAGTGACTGATAGATGGGCTGTCAGGAGCTCTGTGTTGCACTTGCACACTGTAATTTTTGGCTCCTGTGCTGGTGGTTTCGGCCTGCGCACTGGAATTTTGTGAGCCAAAAATCACTCCTCCGCCGACCGGTCGCTTCAGTCGCTAATATACATCGTGGCCGGAATCATTCCGGCCACTGCACACTGACCGGCCTCGCACTCGTGACGTATTATCTTTCGCACCGGCAGTAGCTCTGCATTTCTGTTTGTCAACCTCAACAAAATAGCCAACCATAGATGCGCAGCCGTCTTATCACTTCCTGCACCTGCTGGCCTCCCGCCGTGATGCCATTCAGATGCGCTCGATACGGGGTCTCGATATGAAGGATATCAGTAAAGTGCAGCGAAGGAATGGGAGCTTGCATAAACAGACTTACGGGCAAAAACTCTGAAACGAAATACAAGCACACTTTTTAAGACGACGGAATGACCTAAGAGTCCATGTTCTGACGTTTTATTAAAGCCACCGTGATTCCAGAGGGGGGTCAGATGATGCTTTCCGGTGCGGCTGCCGAGCGATGGTTGAGTAATAGAATGCGACTACTCCACTTTCATCCGGCCATGGCCGACCGTGGCCGGAACAAATTCCGGCCACACCAATGTCGGCGGCCTGGTAAACTTTGCCAAGTCTGGAAAACGAACCCGTCCGGTTCGTGTTGGCCAGTTGCATTTAGATGAGCAGTTTGCGGCTGTTTTATCCCTCAATGCCAGAACAGTCCAACAATCTGAACAAAACTTGATGCAGCACACAGTTCGGATTATAGTTGCATCCACGCGATGTTGGGATCGCTCTCCGGCACAGGATACTAGGCCAACGCATATTGCAGATAGCCACGGCCTAAGCCATATCATGGGGGCCTGAATGACCTGAAGCCTAGAATCAATTACCAACTTCAGGTCCACAAATGCGCCGTTTCCAAATGCCGGAGAACCATTCAGGCCAGTACGACAGATGCCACTTCCTCTTTCTGGTTGGTGTGACAATTCAAGCACCGTGCACAATTTGTCACATCGGAGACCAGCATCATTTCACATAGGCCGGGCTTAGACTTATTTTTTCTTGCATTCTGTTCTATATCGGACGGCTCGCATTCTGCTGAGCCACTCTAATGAATCTGAGAGCCACGGTTCTAACTTGCTCTTCTCCACTCAGGGATGAGATTTAGGGTGAGGTCCTGACAGCGCTATCTCACCGCAATCGTACAACATATTCGGAGGCTCCTTACGAGCTCTTCGGCTTCGACCAGCCCTTGGGACCAAACCAAGTTCCTTTCACAAAGCTGTTCCAGTAGACAAGGGGCTAGAGTCCGATATTAGTTGTGGCCAAGCCTATCGTCACACGACGAGGAAGAGAGTTGCAACTTACGAAGAAATCCTTCTTCAAGTGATAGAAAGCCCGTCTCGGCTTCTCCTGGCCACCAAAGACACCGGCAAAGGTCTCTTTGGGCACGCCGCCGTACTTGAACTCGCAGAGCATGAGCTCGTTGTGGCCCGTGAGCAGCGGGCAGCTGGCGTAGCCGTCGTAGGAAGCCTTGCCCTGCTCGCCACGCATGGCTGCGACGAGGTTGCTGATTAAGACAGGGGCCTGAGAGGAGATGGCGGCCGCCGTCTTGCTGTTGGGCAAGCTGGAGGCGTCGCCCAGGGAGAAAACGTTGGAGTATTTGGTGTGCTGGGTGGTGGACTTGTCGACGTCAACCCAACCGGCGGCGTCGGCTGTTTCGAAGACATGCACAGTCAGCGATCAGATTACATTGGGCAGGTATATCTTCCGTAACACCATCAAGAGGTATAGACGTACCCAAAGGTGACTTTGCGATCCAATCCCATGGCTTCTGAGGCGGCACTACGTGCAGGAAACCGTACTCTCGTTGCACTTCTTTGCCCTCGTCCGCGAGGTTCTTGAATGTGGCGACCTTGTTCTTGGCGTCAACGCTGACCAGGTTGTGCTGGAAGAGACCATCCACGCCACGCTCCTGGCGGAGCTGCTCAAGCGCCTGAGAGTACTTGGGCACGGCGAACATAGCTATATGATCATGTTAGCGAAATCGCATTACCTCGCAATGAACACGCCATTGGTGGTGCAGGATGGTAAGCGGAACTCACCTGGTGCGCCGGTTGCGAAAGTAGGACGGATCTGATCCCTAATTCCGTCACGCTTCCACTGGCTCAGGGCCATCCACATGATCTTCTGCGGGGCGCCAGCACACTTGATGATGCCGGCGGGCTGAGTAAAGAGGGCCTCGCCCTCCTTGAACGCCTGGACGTTCCTCCAGACCTGCTCGACCGTCTTGTCCGAGTAGATGGACGAGACGAGGCTGGCAGGGTCCTGCAAGGCATCCTGCAGGCCAGCGATGCCGGAAAAGTTGGTCTCGAGTCCCGGGGCCACGACCAGGTAGTCGTAGGTGATGTCCACGCCCTCGGCGGTCTTGACCGCGTTGTTCTCCGGGTCAAATGACGACACCCGCAGCGGGTAGTGCTGCGTGCCGGCGGGGATGACGGCGTCTAGCTGCCGGCTCATGTCCTTCAGGGGCTTGAGGCCGGAGCCGACAAGCGTCCATCCGGGCTGTGGTGGGCGGCGGTCAGCCGGTCCGTGGGCTGGGAGTTGATGGGGAGGTCAAGGTGAAGCATACCTGGTAGTGATGCGTGGCAGCGGGGTCCAGAATGGCAATATCGGTCTTCTCGGAGCCCCTGGCCCGGAGCAGCTGGGCAGCGACTGTGACACCTCCCGTCCCGGCGCCGACAACCACGACTTGATGATGGGCTCCGGCCGGAATCGAGGTTGCATAGCCCCGGGCGGAGACAGGGAGCGCCTTGCGAGCAAGCCCCGCCAACCGCGCAGAACTTCGTACTGCACTCGACATTATGCTGATTTACTTCCCCCGATTCTTCCTATCCTTTAACGATCGGCAGGCCTTTCTCGAAAAAAATCCACGTGCAGATAGATGTCTGTCTTGTGGGAAGCTTATTCAAGGTTAGTAAGCTCGAACGAATCTTCAGTTTTTGTGGGGCGTATGCCCCGCTAAGAATGGCGTGATAGTATACCATCCCTTGGCTTGCATACAAAGCGTTGCTATACCATGTCCAAGTACCATGTCTGAGCAACGCAATGCACTTTTCCGGGTTGGATTGGAACCCGCCAGGGTAGCAATAGCGTGCATGTTATTTTAATTTGGCCGAGAAGACTCGAGGCGCAGCGGAATATTATTGTCGCATTGTCGTGAGAGGCCCACGGGCCGAGTCAGGCTTTGTGTAAAGCCAATGGGGAGCTGGACTTGCCATTGCGGAATCAGACGAGTCAATGGTGAAGTCTGCAATATTGCTCACGGTGGTAAGCACGCAATATGCTGTGCACGGCAAGATGAATGAGTATTCGTTCGAACATCCAACCTTAATTGGCATGCCGAGGGTCATCGGCAATTGAAATCTGCAGGAAACACTATGCAAGATGGTTGTGAACACAGAGACGGCCTACGAGTGGGCTAGTGGCATAGTTAGTGAACAAACGGCTTCTTCTTCGCTTGGCCGACTCCTTTGCCTGCGGCAAGCCCCTGAAACTTTCCCGCCGGTGCGCCACACCAGATTGAGCTGGGTCTTAGTCATATATTGAACATGGCTAAAGGTCCAGAGCCGTTTACGCTCCACAGCGTCCTGTGTTGGACTAGTCTAGGTACTGCGGGCGCGTTGCTTTGATGAAGATTTCAGGGTCTTAGCATACATAGTAGTAGGCAGCTTCGTTGGGCTCCCTTTGCCTTAGGGTCACCTCTGAACGCGCAGTGGAAACGTGCGGAGGGGTCAACGGGGCATTCAGTTATTATGATGTACGACTCGAACGAGGCTCCTGCCGTCTACGGAAGCCTACATATAGAACCGTGGTCGTCTGGCGTACAGGTTTCCCGATTCGACGTGTGCGCTGCACGACAGTGGCGATCCCTCTGGAGGGTCGGGGTTTGATTCCTAGGGCCCGGTTTCGAGCGCCATTGAGATGACTTCAAAAATAGTACCATGTAGTCATGTTCGTACTCAGGAATGGGGTCGGAGGGAGATCCGAGTCGGGTTTCGGATACTAATTATTTTTCTCTCTTCGGTATGTTCCGCAGACGTGTTCCGTAACCCCCAGCTATACCTTAGTTGTTGGCTGAGTGGAGAGGGACTGCAGCCCGACGGAGTCATGGGGTTCTTTGTGAGATGGGTGGTAACCCTAGCGGGGTAGAAGAAATGAGTTTGTGCCATTTTCAGCGACATATAGTTTCCCAGAGAGTCCTGAGATCGCAGCTAGTCCGGTTTGCCTGCTCCTCTGTATACTCCCTGTGATCGTGTTCAGGTGAGGTCGGCTGCGGGCCGCCGCAGGCCGTCGGCAATGGGACCGAACTTCGGTGACCTGAGCTGTCCGCTGTCCGATGTGGATCGATTACTATACAATGGCGAGAAGCCTACAAAGTGTACTCCATCGAGCCGGGGAACCAGGGTGTCGCACCCGCCGTTGGAATAAGGTCGATGTCTGCACTTCGCTTCCAGGTTCACGAGTATAAGGGCGTAGGAGTGTCACATTCCGCACTCGCCTAATTCAGTAGCTACGCACGCGACTCTGGGAGGGAGGGATAATACACAGTATATGCGCACCGGTGGACACAGGTAAGGTTTCTGCAGATAAGCGCCCCAGGGTAGGCAGGACCCGGATGCCGATTGGGTCAATTGGCAAGTATCGCATCGGTGAAAGAACAGTTTCTGTGGTGTTCAGCCGAGAGATAGCGTACACCACAAGCTTTAAGTTGCAGGCTGTGAGTCGATACAGTACTGGCAAGACCAACAGCTTCAAGACTTTTGCAAGTCACTGACCCACCTTGCATGGGGAACTGGCCTCACGATAAGATATATGAACGTCGTTTACGGGCTGTGATTCCGTAGCTGGAGGAGCATCCCCTGTGAGCCGACTGGTGCCGCTCTCAGCCCTGGATTTGGGGCCCCCTCCTAGTTGGGCCCCATCCGCCTACATGAAGTACATAGTAGCCCCGTAACCCACCTCAAGGGGCCCTGGAAGCTGGAGGCTGGAGGCTGGGCCAGATCTCCAGTTAGACAGTGGGCCGAGAGCAGGTAAACACATGGGTGTCTGAGTGGCGTTGTAACTCGTAATAGGCTAAGTGATCCTCTGCAAGTACCAGGGAAAAGCGCCGAGAAGGGCAATGGAATAGACAAAGAGGCCAACCAGTCGATAGCCTTGGATGAGGATGTGTTATTTGTTGGAGAGTGTATGCAGAGTAATCAGCACTTGGCAGCCGCTCAGAGTATCGTGGGAGAATGGGCTTGGCGGATACCACTGGGAAACTGGGAGAGGCTCGCTCGTTATCGTATGCAAGGTAGCTGGGGTTGCATCGCAGGGATGCCGATGCATGTGCTACCACAAGACGGTCCTCCAGTTGACTGAAGCTTCTCGGTCGTTGGGCAGACAACCTTGCACGGCCGCAAGCAGCAGTGCGCTTGTGCTCCTCCCAACAACGGTGCAGCGCCATCAACTGTCGTGCCGGCACATGAGAACTAGATTTTAACTAGGCCACTGTACGCTCAGGCTCTGACTTTAGCGGCGACCCAAGTTTTTCTCCCTCTCTTGCGGCGTCCCGATTCCTCGCGAGAGACTGCAGTACGAGAGACCCTCACAAGACGCTTGCTCGCATTAGAGTTTCGCTTCGCCTCCTCTGCTTCACCAAGATAATTTCCCTTCCGAGTTCCCTTTAGGCTTGGTTGGTAAGTCGTCCGGCAGTTGGCGCACGCGACACACCACCGAAAGCGGCACTACCAAAGACCTTACCTTGGGAGGTAGACGTCGGTGTCCGCGGTCTACTGGAACTACCTACCTGCCTGCATTGCCTTGCGCGCTGCACGACAAGGCCAGCTTCAGGGCTATCCGATCGAGTCGGTTGGCGTGACGCTCCACAACGCAATAGGGTTTATGCTAGTCGGGCCTGCACGTGGGAAAACAACCACAAGCGCTGATCTCAGCACCTTTACCAGGCTAACCAATTGCCAGCCATTGGGAGACGATTGGGAGAGGGATTGAGCTTTTCCATCAAAGCTTCTTCGGGCGGTCGGCTGAGTGATCGGAGATCGCAGACTGCAGGCGGCTTGTCACTGCTGTCTTTTCGGTGGTTGTTCTGCAGACTGCAGTCAAGTGCAGTGCAAGGGCGCGTCCGCTACCATAACTTAGCACAGTCCACAGCAGTGCGTTAGGCAGGCCAAGCAGGCAAGGTGGTGCCAGTGTGCCACAGACCCATCCCTAGCCCGTCCCAAGCTTCTCCCGATCGAGAAGACTGCCCAATCGCCGCCCCATAGCTGGGACGTCATCACCATCGCGGCGGGCCACGGCGGGACTTGCATCCCCACGGGCGATAACTAACCAAGATAGCCCGGGCTGGGCCTGACTTGGCAGGCAGGTTGGCTGGCTGGCTGGCTGGCTGGCTGCATGCTGCACTCTCTCTGCGATTGCCGGTACCTGGGTATTACTGACGACGACCCCATCACGTACTACCCAAGTGGCATACATACATACATAACTACTTACACGCCCGGAATCCCGCCCCGTCTCCTAGCTCGGCCGTCCCGTTTCTTTGTTCAAGCCACCGCCTCTGCAGACAAGTTTCAGATACCTACGTCCTGCCAAGTTATATCGACACCTGCGCTGCCAATTGGCCCCGTCCCACATTCCCGCGGGCGTCTCAAGAGAGCCGGAGCCCTCGCGCGTCAGTGATCCCCTCTGCCCACGCCAGGAATGCATTGCGCCGCCCGAGCATGAAATACGGCGACTACTTCGAGGCCGAATCCGTGCCGCGATGGAGCCTCCACAACATCGACTACAACTCGCTCAAGCACCTGATCAGGCTGCACACCACTAAAGGCCAGGCCACGGCCATTGCCATCCCCGGCCAGGTCGACCACGCCCTCGAGCGCTTCGAGAACGACTTCTACCAGGAGCTCTGCCGCCAGCACGACCGTGTCGGCCTCTTCGTCGCCAGCAAGGCCGACGAGATCTCGCGCCGCCTCAAGGGCACCTCGGGGCTCATCAACACCCTCATCCTACGATGTGCCGGCGGTCGGGGCGTCACCCCCAAGAGGCAGCGCCGCTTCCTCAAGTACCAGCAAGATGTAGTCGAGTGTGGCGATGATATCAGGGACCTGCAGCGCTTCGTTCGCGCCCAGGTCGAGGCATTCAGGAAGATTATGAAGAAGTATAAGGTTCGTTGACCACCCGCCGCTAAGCCCTGCCCTCCACCACCATGACAACCTTGGGCCCAACTTTGAGCTAACAATGATGTCTGGCGCAGAAATGGACCGGCTCCACGACGTTGACGGCCAGGTTCACCGACAACGTGCTCTGCAACTACAAGAGCTTCACGAAGCGCGACTTCCACCCGCTTCAATTGCAGTACCGCGACATCCTGACGACGATACAAGCCGCTTCGCCCGGCATTGCCTCGCCCGTCGAACGGCCCGGGTCGAGTGACGCAATGCCCGACGCCCAACCCCGCGGCTCCCGGAGGAGCAGCCTCCAGCATAGCCGGCTCTCCTCCCAGACGCGGCAATCGAGACACATCCAGGTCCAGGAGCCGGCGCCGCAGGGGTGGAACGAGTACGACAACGGCAGCGAGGCCGGCGACGAGTACTACATCGAACTGGACCCCGACGACTCCGGCGCTTTCCCCGGCCTGGAGACCATGAAGAACGTGCTGGGCGCCCCCGTGAGGTCCATCCGGGGCCTCTTCTCCCGCTCGTCCGGCAAGGATGCCGAGCGCCAGCCCCTGATGAACGGGTCCCAAGGGATGGACTACTTCAGCGCACGGCCGTCGACACAGGCGACCGACACGGAGGCGACCGAGGACGAGGACGCCTCGTCGGCCGAGTTCCCCGTCTACGGGTTCGCGGCACACTACGCCGCCCTGCCGAGCATCGAGGAGCAGCGCGTGGAGCGGTTCAAGGAGACGGTGCTCCACCGCAGCATCGTGCTGTCCTACGTCGGCGCCATCATCCTCACCGTGATCGCGGGCGTGCTGGTGGCCACGGGTCGCCACCGGCTGCGTCTCGAGGTCGACGCCGGCGTCATCCTGGCCGTCGTCGCGAGCCTGTTCGCGGGGTGCATGGGCCTGGGTGCCATGCTGTACCGCCAGGACTCGCTCAGCTTCCTGTACCAGGCCGCCGTGTGGATGACCTTTGTGGCCGTCTGTCTGCTCAACGGGATGCTGCTTATCCTTGTGGTCGGCAGCAACGGATTAACTCCCTAGCTCGCCCGGATATCGAGCAATGAAAGTTGGGGTTGGGGTTGGTGGGGGAATTCAACAAGGCTTGGGCTGACCGCACTGGGCGCACAAAGATGCTGACGACCTTTCGTGGGACGAAGGTCGTCAAACGGTATATAACACCATCGGGATCATAGGGCTGGCTTGTGTATATGTGTATATGCCTTCGACATGGGGGAGTTGTTCCTTTTGTACATACTGGGGGTTCCGTCGGCAAACCTGGGGAACGGCAGGGACAAGCGAGGGTTCAAGCTTTGCCCACCCCATCAAAAGTCCTGCTATGGGCTGTTTAGCGAGAGTGTTTGTAGATTCAGGATTTCCTGCACCGGCTACGGTATCGACGTAATGAATAGATAGCGATGACTTGTCTGACCTCATGTTGTACCGCGTTGGACGGAATAGGTGCTCTCTTGTGTACTCCTCTTCCCACATTCGTACAGGTGACAAAAATTTTGTTTGATGCAACCAGCATATACTGTTTGTGGCTTGCGAAACTGCCGAATCGATATTATGTACATAGGTTATCGAAATGTCTTTGGGCACCGTGTATTCTACCAGCTTCGTCCAATAGGTAAGATATGAGAAGGACGAAGCCTAGGAAATCGCAAGAACACAACATCAGATCGCAGGACATATCATGACATGAACCTTGTATGTAAAATTTTTAGGTTTACTGCATCATACAATCCTTCATTTTCAGAATACCAACTCCGCAGATTGCCCGTGGGTATCGCAAGGACTAGACCGGTCCCCCCAATGCTGATTGACTCCTTGACCCAAGACGGGTTTTCCTACCCAATTAAATCCCCATATCGTACAGTCCACGAGACTTTAGAAAGCCTCCGATACACTTCCCAAGTATATACTGCGTAAAGACTGGATGGTCTCCATCGTGAATCATAGCAGTCAATAACTGCGTGGTCAACAACGTCGAGACTGTCGGCCCATAATGTTTCCTCTCAGATACGCCTCAATATGCGGTGACTCGGCGGTGGTAGTGCTCTGGTAGAGTGCCATCTCTGTTGCATTGCCGAGAGGGAGGAGAAAAAGCCTCAGTGTGCGAGTTCTCCAAACTTTCAGGGTAGCCTCCCGATCAGGCCGGAGCCAACGCGTCACAAGGGTGTGTTGTTTTTATCCAACGAAAGTGCTGCCGGGCCCGAGCGAGGGGGTCGTACATCCTACGTAGACAGCCTTGAAATCCCGTTCCGTCATGTATTGACTACTTGGCGCTCTTCATTCATCAACGTCTGCCTTTTACCGACTTAGGTCCATTGGCCCACTGGTGAGAATCGAAATCGACGCAAGCGTTTCGGGTTTGATGAATTCATTCCGGTCCAATCCCGCAACTTCTTGCAGTTGACGCATCATCTTTTCTGTTGTTGAAAGGTCGGTTAGTTGCCGTATAGGCCTTCAAAATATCAAAAAACTTCCTTCAACTTACCTGCAATTCCCCAACGGTAGCTAAAGAACCTCAAGCTCTCGAATTTATCAACCATAGCCTCCTGGCAGTGATCCCACTCTTCTGGAAATATTCGGCGTAAGCTTGCGTACGTTTTTACGACGAGGTAGCATGTCGGTGCGGCGGGGGCAACAATATATTTCAAGGCTACCCCCTCCTCTCCCCGCTTGATATCGGCATTGACCTTGCAGCTGATATCCGTGGACAGTTGAGCTGCAAATCGTAAGGCAGCCAGTGCCATGCTCAGGTCTGCATCCTGCTTAATCTCCGCTGCAGACTTTGTTTCCAGCACAGGGAGATATGGAAGGTAGAGGCTGAAAAGTGCGCTGAGAGATAAGTTAGCCAAATGGGACCTTTTGCTAGCCCTCGGCAAACCACCACGTCAGCCCCGAAAGCGTCGACTTACGAGCAACACATTGCAAAGCAGTCTAGTGTAACCTGCCAATTGGCAACATCATCCTGTAATAACGTCATGGTGGCTCGTCGGATTTCGGCATCGAGACTCGAAAATGAGTTGACAGGTGGGAGATAGCCTGGTCTCGTTCGTACGTAGTGCTCATGTCTAAGAGCCCTGTGCAGCAGGCTTGCGACCTTGGCAGATAGTTGGAACGACTCCATTTGTCTTGTGTTGAGTTCGACACTGATGGGCAGCCGTTGGCGTGGAGGTGGCGGTGGCTCGCAGATATACTTGACATCGAATCGCCCCGGATGACCAACAACCCGAGAGCAATTCGATGCTGTAACCGATCCTGGCAGGAGGGTCGTCAATTCCGGGCTCTCCAGTACAAAAGGTAGATTTTTGGACACTTCGTCTCGGTGGATGAACCTGGTTGATGCGGTTAGCACATGTCAAACAGCCATCCAGAAAGCTCAACCGCTCAAAGACTGCCAGTTGGCGAATCCGTGGCGATACCAGGGGTGGGTAACATACTGGTCCAGGATGAATAGACTCCACCACAAGCCGCCTTTCTGCTCCTCTTCCATGGTGAGCTCGCCCTTCAAATCGGCCGCGCCTTCCCCATCCATCTGCCCTGGCTTCACTTCGAGAACCCTCGCCGCACCTGCAGCTTCACTAAGGGTTCGGTACGCCAACAAGGAGTCTCCGTGGCCATATTCATACAAGGCTAGCAATGCGCCGCACTGTACCAGTTCGATCCTTGGAAGAGGACTGTCGAGGAGTGCGAGTGCAACAACGCGCTTGACGAAGTGGTAAAGTTCGTCAAACATGGGGCGCTCCCCGTTTTTGGTATACCGATGTCGTGTCACCATGTGCATTGTGACAATGAGTAGCGCAAACTCTCTGCTCATCTGCGGCTCCGACATGGACCCCAGTGCCGTAACGGTTTGGCTTGGCGTAACTGACTTTTCGGAAGGTGAGTTCGTCAGAGGTGGTGAGTATACCTGAGTTACTTGAGACTGAGGAGAGTCCACTGCCGCCGTGAGTGCAGCCAGCTGTTGCTCGAATAGATTCCGATGAACCACTGCGTACCAGGAATGGACATAATCGAAATAACCCCGGACAGCATCCGACCAATCCAGCTTCTCGCCCATCTGGGCATCCGTCGGTATCAAGGACAGGATCTGAGAGGCCGTGATGTCTTCGAGCGGATCCACGCCCCTCAGAGAAACATCATTTGTGAGTCCATGCGGTTGAAATATGACCACCGGGGCGCCGTTTCCCCCTGGGTTTACGCCCACCGAGTCGGCCAAGTAAACACACTTTGCATTTAATCTGATACACGATCAGCTGAGGCTCTCTCTCTCTCTCTCTCTCTCTCTCTCAACGATGACGCCGCGCTGGGAATCTGCCTACATCCATGTTCCCCTCTGGTGAACACTGGCTGGCTCTCAAACGGTAGCGGCCCCGAGGAGACGGCACGTGCAGGAAGGACATGGCGCCAAAGGCGATTGAACTCTGCTTACCTGGTACATCTCGTACAGTAGGGCAGCGTCTTGTCGCATTTCCTCTTTGACGACCGGCACTTCTCGCAGGCGCGATGTGCGAGGTCGCCGTTGTTAGCATGTTCGGATTCGTACGAGGCCTCCATCCTGTCGCGCTGGTGGGGTGAATGCCCCTGTCCGAGGACCGACGAGGTATCTGATAAGGGCGACAGACCGGTCGTCACCAGAGGCCTCGAGGCCTTCATCATGGGGACGGGGACGGGGGCGGGATCTGGGGATCTCTTGGCTGAGCGCAGGAGCGAAGCAATTCCAGGTTGTGTCCGACAACAAGAGATCCGCAACGAGGCCCGGAGGCGAGATGAAGCACACTCGGTCGGCGTTGAAGTAGGCTTTGCGCTGCAAGAATAGGCGGCGCGGCGTGGGTGAGGATTAGCCTCACGCTAGCTGTGAGGTGATGCCGGTGGGCCCGAGCTGAGCTGTCACAATGTGGAAACCGGGTGGAAACCGGGCAGAATTGGTCTAGATCCCCAGGTGATTGCTTTTGAGGGACAACGAGGATGAGAGTCGAGGTGGTGTTGAATCCAGCAGATAGATGCGAGGCTTCAGCCCCTCGAGCTCAGCTGCTCGTAGTGGGAGGCCCACGGCTGGCGCGCACTTGTATCAGCCTTCCCGCCCAGGGTTGAGACACGATGTGCCAGGCACGATACTTTGCGTGTGGAGCCACGCAGAGAGCGCCAGAGAGGGATTGGACCTGTCGACTCTCGAGTCTCGGCAGTGCCAATGGAACCACGACAAAGACTAGTTGGGCGGATTAGTGATGGCACGGGAGTCGAGCCCTGGCGATTGTGCGGCAGTGATTTGATGGCGTCGACTAACTGTGGCATGGAGTACGGATACGCAGGTGCAGATACAAAATGGGGGGGAAGTGGGGCTTGCCAGGCCCCGGCAGATCGATGCATGAATCCCTCCAAGGGCAAGCTTGCAGTGACGTTAAATCTACGCAACCTGGGATATGTGTACACTCGAATCGGATGGCGCTCAGGGTTTATAGGGGATAGCAGTGACCTAGCTGACCGGGTATCGGACATGATCCCACGGTCGGCCTACGTCCGTAGCCAAGTTCCGTACGGGGAACATATTGTTTGTCGTTCAACCTATGGCCCGGATTGATCTGATATTCTTCCTACCTTGCCTGGGGGCGTCCGCTGTGACCATGCAGCCGTTATCTGATGGCTGCAAAGTTCCCAAACCCACAAAATCCCAAGAAGATGCAGCTACCTAGGTGTGATTCAGCACGTAGACCAGCAACGAGACACTCCGGTCATGGAAATAACAGGCTACCGTGCCTTCATTCCCGCCGCCGATCTTCTTGCGCACCGGTAACTACAAAATAACATCGAGGCTAGTGGTCGTTGTCGGACTGGCTGTTGTCAAGCTGTGATGCACTCACTTCAGGGTAGGTGGGCAGGTAGGGTAGCCTGGAACCCCTGACGTTCCCCTGACGTTCAATCCTCCCTCCCTCCCAACCCTAAACCTGATGCCGAAACATGTGCATTAGAGCGGACTCACGAAAAGCACCTGGGGAATGACAGCCCTCCCTACCCACGTACTCCTCGGGGGCGGAGTCAGAGCCGACAGCCCTCGATTGGATGGATGTAAGTCGTTTGACTTTATCCTTTGGTTCGACTCACCTGGCTTGGGCCGGTACTGTCGAGTGCTGGGGCCGGCAACCACCGCGCACTCAGTGACTCCAGGCCAAACATTGCAACGCCAGGACTCTTGGACATTGTCTGACAATGAGCAAGATGACCCGACTGCCAGACTGCAGATACACTCAAGCTTCCTGTAGGTCGCAAACTAGTAGTTATATTTGGATATTAAAGTTCGGGATCATGCCACATCGGCAGTGCTGCACCATCTTAACTGAGTACGCGCGAGTCAGCATAGAGTCAGGAGACATCTGTTCAGGAACACCATGCAAAAGGCTGAATATCGTATCATCGTCTGCGATCAACTCATCACTGTCTACCAGCTGTCATAGCGTTGACGTCTATTGAGATTCTCAAACCGGTTTCGCCGGGAGTACTTTCCGGCATCTTTCTCATTATTAGATGAGTAATCACTCATCATCATCATCATCATCGTCCTATCATCATTCCGCATTAAGAAGTTCTAATTTCCCTAAACCTGTACGCCACTGAACACCATGGCGCCTACGCTCTGAGACGCATGGGGTGATATGCAAAGCTTCACGTTGCTTATCCGGCTACCCGCAGCGCTATATTCCTTTTCGGTCCTGTTCCCCGGATGCAAGACGCCTTAAAAGGTCAAGGTGCCCTGCAACGGCAGGTTCCGGCTGCTTCCACCGACGTTGATATCGTACGTCCCGTTCTGCAAGAGCCATTTCTGTGCAACGACATCCCAGACACTCAGATCACGTCTGTTGAGGTCAAATGTGACCGTGGTCGACTGCGTGGCGTTGATGAATGGCTTGTCGAAGCCACGGAGCTGTCTGACCGGCGCTCCCGGGATACCGACGTATAGTTGAGCAACTTCTGCGCCATCGACTTCACCGACGTTCTGGACTCTCGCGGTCACGGTGGCGAGCACATCCCATAGGTCAGACTGGCCGCCCTCGACAATGTCTCCGACGGGGTAGCTCGACGTGCCCGCCCCTTCCCGTTTGGTGATCTCGAGGCTTGAGTAGTTGAAGGTGGTGTAGGACAAGCCAAACCCGAACTCGTACCGAGGCGTAATATTCTTGGCGTCGAAGTGCCGGTAGTCAATGTATGCGCCCTCTGTGAAGTTGGACTGTGGAAACTTCACGAATATCCCTTCTGCCGGCGAGGGCTTCAGGAGGGCTTCATAGTCAGACTCATTATGAGCTACTGTGTAAGGCAGCTTCCCAGAAGGATTCGAGTCTCCGTAGAGAAGTGCCGCCAGAGCTCGGCCAGAGTCTTGCCCAGGAAGATGAGCGAAGATGACGGCCGTGACATTGGGATGATCAACAAACTGATCGACCAGGCGAACACCGGCATTGTGGAAGACAACGATTGTGTTATTGCAGCGATCGGCAACATGCTTGATAAGCCCGTCTGTAAAGTCATCGTGGGTGCCCGGTCGATCGTAGCCTTCCGACGCAAACGCGTTGACCAGGACTATACAGGCTTCGGACGCTGCATTGACGTAGGGCTCCGGACTGAAGAAATCCCAGAACAAGGCTGTCGAATCTTCGTATGCCCGAGAAGAGATGGCATCGAAAGGCGAGCTGATGAAAGCTGGCGTCACGGCACCACTACCACCACCACAGATGATCGTGCCGTCTGGGGCAATCTGCGGTATGTCTTCCAATGAGTCGAGATCGAAGGCACCGGTGATATAGCGACCGAGAAACGCTGATTCACCACCGAACATCCAGGCTGATGTTCCACCAGTGGCATTGTAGTTCCACTGATCGGGGTTCCTCGCGGAATAGCCAAACAATGACATGATCTTGGGTTTCTGCAACGGAAGTGCCGAGCGGATATTTTTGACGAGGACATGGCCTTCGACAGCACCATCAAAGAGAATCTGCTTGGACGACTCGTTCCTGGCGTCCACGATGGCGTGTGGTTTCGTAAGATCCTGCGGCATTCCTACACCAGGATCGGGAAAGCCTCGGTCTTGTCCCATCTGATACCAAGTCGCTACAATTCTTGTAACCATGTCGTCCAACCTTGACTCTGAGACGGAACCATTCTTCACAGCTGTGATCAGGTTATCGCCCCATAACTCTGCAGCGTTGGGCTGCACCATGTCCATTCCTGCATTGGCTGAAGCAACACCTGCGTGAAGCGCGCCCCAGTCAGATACGACGAACCCCTGGAAACCAAGTTCCGTTTTCAGAAGACCGTTCTGAGTTTTGCTGTTGGCACAGCCATAAGAGTTGTTCACACGGTTATAGCTGCACATGATGTTGCCACTGCCGGCTTTCACAGCGTCCTGGAATGGCCTTGAATGCATGAAGCTTAGCAGTCATCTCAGTATTGGAAGCACAGGACAAGACTTACCATAGGTACACCTCGTGCATGGTCTTGTCGTCGATATTGCTGGAAACTGCCTCAATGCCATTGGCAGGCACGCGGTTGGTCTCCTGTTCGTTGCCGATAAAATGCTTCGTGCTCGTGATGACTCCGACGGACTGGATGCCCAGTATTGTCTCAGAAGCCAAAGCCCCAGTCAAATAGGGGTCGGCGGCGAAGCCCTCCCAGTTCCTGCCGCCCCTCACGACCCTACCCACCGGCCCTACTACGGGGCCAAGCGCAACGTTGACGCCCTTGGTCCTGAACTCACCTCCCATGCCGATGCCTCTTTGCCGGGTTAGATTCTTGTTCCAGCTTGCGCCTACATGGATCCCACTAGGCCAGCCACTGACAAAGTCTGTCGCGCGAAGGCCTTGCCCGGCATCCATAAGGCACATTCCCGTGAAGTTGAGCCGTGGTACGGCGGGAATGTTGCCAGCACAGCCAGTGTTGGCACCCGCACCAGTGGTCAGACTGACCTTTTCTTCGATGGTCATATTCTGCACCAACGCCGAGGCTTTGTTGTAAGACTCGGTCCATGTACCGGTGCCAGACATGGTAGCTGATTTGTCGTCAATTACAATCCAAGTGAAGATAATCGCTGTTACCTACGTGAAGGATATACGGCCTCAGACTGGCCATAGAAATAGGTATCGTCGGCGATAGCTCCTGCGGTGCTTCCGCTGTCTCCATCACCGCCGTTGGACACTTCACTTCCTCTGTTTCGTAGAGCCAGTAGGCCCAATAGACCAAGCAGCGGAAGTAAGAGGATGAATATCAACAGGGCTTTGCCTCGCTTCTTCTGGAGTATGGGGAAGCGCTGCTGGAGTCGAGAGAACCAGCCCGTATCGTGGGCGGCCGCACCAGGATCCCTCTTCATAGCTGCTGTTTCTCGTGTATGCGACATGAGCGCATCACTGGCTTTGCTGCTCGGTTCATGGTTCCGCGCGAAACCGTCTCTCTCCATCGCGGCTCGCCGGGGCTGGGAGGGCGGAATACCAAGCTTCAAGTACGCGACGGTGAAATGCACAACGCGCTCTTGCAGAACGGCCGTGTAATCGTACTTCAATATTCTGTTTGCGCACAGATAGTTCGAACTAGAAGTCTGACAATCGGGGAAGCCACGGAAAACTGAAAACCACTTAGTTTCTGCAGAACCACCCATACTCTGGAGGGAGCAGAAACCAGTGTCAACAACATCATGATCGCTGTTTACCCCTGTCTTGCCGTTGCCCCGGCTGAAACTATCCCTGCCGGGCTGCCCAATAGCGTCGATCAAGCTGGAGACTGCCCCAAATCCTCCGAGACCGTGTCTTGACCCCAAGCCGTTGGCAGGGAGCTCGTCATTGGTCAATTCCATGACATGAGAGCCCCAGGCTTCCGGTACCACAGTACTCCAGCTTGCGGACAAAGTGTGGGGAGATCCACTACAGACGGGCATGAAGAATGGGTGCCCTACGTCCGAATAATGTACATATGTAGCCTGGAGACAGTCAGACGGATGACTTGGTCTCTCCATCACGGGGTTGGATTTATCACGACCACACATTTTCTACTTGTGTGATATTGCAGACAATCCATCGAAACGGTAGTTGAAGTGACCCATCCTACTAACTCGTGTCTTTCGGGGAGGTCATCAACGTCTGCGGTAGGCGAAAAGGGAGTCAACGCTTATGTGTGAACAGTCACTTGCGGCATACGAATGCCTAGCAGAGAGGGATAGAATCTCGATCAGCTTCCCGACCATTCTCTTTTCTTTTTTGGGTTTTGTGTTCAGCTATGTTTTCACCCATCTGCATACTTCGTATGATACGTATGGCTAACAGAGATGAGTTAGTACAACGTATTCACATCACTCTTTCGTCCCAAGATTAATCTTTCTGTCAGAAGGCGGCCCGAGAGAAGTAGCATTTGATCCGTTTAATTTTATTAACCACATGTGGCTCTATAAGATCATATGCCATCGCCCACGTCATTCGTCGTCGCGTTTGCTTAGGGCAAAGAAACGTTTGGAGGTATCGATCGTCAAAATGATAAAAATAAATGATAAAAAAATCAAGAGAGCCGCCCGAAAAAGTGAGAATATCGCTCCCGCTAGATATGCACATCGAGTCGACAGCCGTTCGTTAAATCTGCCCCCGGGCCGAGGCGACAGGTCGGGAGATTCATGTGTAACCCGTGAAGTAAGTTGAGTAGTCGTGAAGAGTGCAGCATTTGATATCCAAAGCCACAGTAAGCCAAGGCTGGAGGCCCATGTCCACACCGGGACACGCTTCTATGATGTAGGTTGTGTTGAGCGGGTGTCGGCGTGGTTGATTCGCACGTGAGATATGCGTATTTCGCGATAGTCGATAGTTCGAGACCAGCACTCAGGTGCCGAAGCGCGCGCTATATTCTATGCAAAGTCTCAGCCTTGGCTTTTGCTATGTGTTGCATCCACAAGGCACGTTAAGTTGGGCGGCTCCACGAGGACCGAAGGATCCAAGAAGCAAGAAGAGCATCTTCAATCGCTGGTGGGCGAGAAGTACCGGAGCTTGTGTTTACAGATGCAAACACAGGAAGAAACAGAGCCGAAGCTCGGTCTGAGGTCTGGAGACTGACTCACAAGATGAGCTGCTTCAGGTTGCGCTGGATGATCATGTCCTGCACCGAGCCCATGGTGATCTTCAGCAAGTTTGTATCGGTAGCGTTGGTGAAGTGGCCGTAGATCTCCTTCTCGGGGTTCCTGTTAAGAGCCCTGAACTTGTCCATGAAATATTTACTGGCTTGCTTCCAATCATCCGGCGGGCCTTGGTAGTCGACAAAGCCGTGGTTCGTGATCGGGCTCGACGACAGCTTCTCCTTGAAAAGATCCATCTTGTTGAGGAAGAGGATCAAGGCGGACTTGGTAAACCAGTGCGAATTCGCGATCGATTCCCACAGCATCAACGCCTCGTTCATTTGGTTCTATAGATCCTCGAGTCAGTTCTGGCCGTGAAACAGTGCCAGGCTCACTTACACCGTCCTTGTCTTCGACTAAACACTGATCATAACCACTGATGGCAACGAGGAACAGCAGGCAGTTAACATTCTCAAAGCAATGTATCCACTTCTTGCGTTCGGAGCGCTGGCCACCGACGTCGAACATCCGATATGTAAGCTGGCCCAGGTCGAAAATGGTCTCAGTAATACCGGTCGTCCGTAATCGCGAGCGCAGCAAGTCTTGATCGTTTGGCACATAGCCCTTGGCCCATAATCGGTCGAGATCGTCGCAAAAGCTACGGGCAAGTTTGTCAGCTGCGGGAAAAGCGGAAAAAAAAAAACAGGTTCAATCGCAAACTTACTATGACAAGTTGTCGTGCAGCGCGTATTCGTTGCCCTTCATGACAGCCTGCTGAACGCCGGAATCCACCCACAATGATTTGATTGGCTCGAGATAGTCGTCGGGGAGGTTGTCGTTCGGCGAGATCTCTTGGTCAGCGAGAACAAGAGCTTGGTTCTTCTGTTGTAGAGACAAATGGTTAGTTACTTGGGCTGAATGCTGATCGCGCACACAATTGGCCGTGCCAGTGCGCGTAGACTAAACATTCATGAGACTTCTTACCTCGTTGTCGGGATTCTGGAAACGAATTCCTTGATCGGTCATGACATCAAACAGGAGACGCATCGACTGTACAACATTGTTAAACACCACCGGCTTCCATTCAAGCCTCTCGTTCTTGCTGAATCCTTGTGCGTATATCAACTTCATCTGCTTCAGGACGGTTGACTTCCCCGATTCACCGGCACCTGTGCGACAAGCCCAATGTTAGACACAGCGTTTTGCGCCACGGTTTGAGTGAGACAGGATCCTGCCGCGGAGGGAGAGCTACGTACCCAGCAGAAGCAGCTTGACTTCCCTCGCCATTCGCTTCTCATCTTGGCGAATGATCTTGTCAAGCTCGCGAGACTTGTTGGCACCCTCCTCGTCTGTTTTCCTGCTTCCGAAACACATGTTGGCGGCAGCGACTCCAGCGGCAGTTGCTTCTGGGCCTCGCCAAAGTAGTGGCCGAGGGTCTGTCGTGCGCTGGCGGCGCGGGGTGTCGGCTGGCTTTGTTTTGCTCTGCTCTGAACAAAGCTGTTGAGCTCGTGTCGTGATACAGGCCCGGAGCTCTATCACCTTTCACCGACGACACAGTAGGCTACTGAGCTTTAGGGAGGGAGTGCGCCTTACAGCAAGGTGGAGATAAGAGGTAGCTGGGAACGACGCTGGATGTCGCTTCAGGTCGAATCGAGCTACGTGCCCCTTTCGCCCCAAACTAACGAATTGTCTCTCCAACTTAGTGTTTCGCAGTCACCAGTAGATCAGACTAATGCCGAGCTTATTATGGATTGCGCGATTGAGGTCGGAACCAGCAACAGCAAGCATTAACGAAGGAGCAGAATCAGATGGAGAAGGCCAATACGGTCTCAGCTGCTGCTTTATTATGCAAGCGGCAGTTTTGGTGTCTCAGGTTGGAATAAAATTGGCTTGTATGCTGCGGAAAAAGAGTGGCACGAAAAAAGACTAAGTGTCGAAAAAAAGAGGAGTGTCGACGATGAGGCCAAACGTCGCAGGGTCACCCGCGGACGCTGGAGTATTAAGGGGAACTCGCTTTAAAAACAGACCCCCGACATGTATCTCTGGTAGCTAAAAGTAGCGATCTGGAATATGCATGCTACATGACAACATGCGTCCACACCCATGAATTGGTTGCTTCTCGGGGCACCACACGAATCGATTTGCGCATACGAGCGGTAGCGATCAGCCATCCTGTCGCCTGATCCAGCGTGCGCACAAACGCATGGGCCGGGTCTGCTGGGGGCCTACAAGTCCTCAAGTGGTCAGTGATGCACAAAGCGTCATGCCTGCGAAGGAAAATTGCCTTGGGCGAGCGCAAAATACCTGTCCGGGGTGCCATGAGGTTAGGGGGGGGACCTGAGGCCGTTTTGGCCGTTGAACGCTGATGAGACATGTGCAGCAGAGCAGCTAGCAGGCAGGACAGTCGAATCAGCGCTGCGAAACGAGATCAAAAGTGGGTGAAAGAACCCTTACTCGTTAGCTGCTTTTTTGCTCTTCAGGGGAGCCGGAAAACCCAACACACCTAACCTCGAGGCTACAGGGGTCGCTAGACCAAAAGTTGCTTTCCTACCATGCTCCTTTCGAGTGTGGCACCCTTTTTCCTGCACGATGTTTGTTGCAATCTCATGACCTAGTCGGGCAGCAGCTTTGACTTCGGTCAGACTAGCAGAACTACTTAAGTAACTAGCTGATTCATTCCACTCCCGCGTAGTCTCTGGTTAATCATGGATTAGTAATTCGAGTCTATTGGGTTTGGTTACGGTACTTATGTGCAGATGCTAACTATCTATGTTCACAGAAACCGAGGCGATATCAGGTTGAGTATGGGAGGAAAACAACAGGCCCCTCGGGCGGCTCTAAGAAGCAGTTTCCCACACTGGTCATTTGGATAAATTTCCGTAGATGCTACCTAGCTCTCACGTTAGTGCCGTCCCCCCATGTGTTCTGTATGCAAGCTGCACACGCGGGTTGGGTGCGGATTGGTAGGATTTTGGGAAGTTCGTGCTGTCCCTTGGCCCACGAGCTGCGCGGATGGATCCGGCTCTCCCCCTGCCCGGGAGGGCTGTTTCCATCTCTGTGTAAGCTGCTAAGGAATCCGACTGAACCAGGACCCTGGAGCACAACGCCGACGTCCCGCTGGAAACTGGGGCGAGCCAGGAGGGGGCAAACGGCTAAACCTCTGCAGACTTTTGGAGTTACCAATATTGGGGCTATATTTCTTCAATGTCTGCTTGCTGGTGTACTTCCCTGCTTTGTGTATGCCTCTGCGTTTCGAATGGATGGTCGCGATGGCGATATGGCGATGCAACGATGCAACCCAAAAGTCTCGAGTTTGGTCGTTAAAACAACTCGCACGAGTCAGCCGTTGCGAACGGCTGTCTCTTCCCGCGAGTGGATCTGGAGCAAACCGATGGAAGAGCATGCTTGGCCTCCAGGCTTGGTGTGGCGGAGTGTTTGACCGGCTGCTGACTGGGGGCACAGGCTGCGAGACCTACTGGCCACTCACGACCACAGGCAGACGGGTTGTGTAGTACAATTCTTACATACCTGATTCGTAGGCAGACCTGATAGAAGCAAATATGTACGATAAAGCCCATGCTGACCACATCACTAACTCCCTGCTTCATACGCCCCCGGCAGTGATCGACTTGCAGCGGCCTCATGACAGCCAACCTCTCTACAGGCAGCCGGGAGGGCATCCTGGGCGTCCTGGGCGTGGTTCTCTGGGCCTACGACGACGGTGTTGTGTTGTAGTCCGCTGCAGCCTGCGTCTACACCAGATCAGACACGAGGCATGACTAGAACCGCCGAATCTTTGCACATGCTTCAAGCTGCAGACGTGTGGCGTGTTTGGATATCGTTCGTATTATTATCATGCCTCCCCTCTGATGTTTGATGTCGAAAAAGTCTACGAACGGTTGAATTCATTGACCTAATGAAGGAGGAGCAAGGGTCGTCGGCTGTTTCAGCCATTGCTGGGGCTTTCCCAATTAGGGCCTTGGTTACAACGGGGAGATCAGCCTTGCTCGCAGGCTGCGTCTTCGCACGAGGCACGGGGTGGCAGCTTGCCTGCACCGTGCCTAGTATTTCGTTAAGATTCGAGAGTTGTCCACAATGTAACCAATTTCTGCAAGAAACAACTTGTGTGCCTGGAGGATCAAGGCAGTGATGAATCATCCAGCGCGGCACGCACCGCATAGCATTTGCCGGCCAGTCCATTTACCGACCTGCATAACTGCGGCAAGGAGGCGTCCACGCTCGCTCAACACTCTTAACATACAGGTGCAGGAGGCCAGAAGGTCGCCAACGGTATCGATTTACGGGCTTCATGGGGGCAGATGCCATGATTGGGTAAATGCCCACTCCGTGGCCAGGCCTAGAGCCGTTCTCGACGATGGAGTACTTCGTACCCCAGCAGTGCAATCGAAAACGTCGAGGGCCTTTTTCTGCTGGTGCATGTCGTGCCTCAATTAAGATTTCTCGCCTAAGTCATTTGGGGCTACCACCCGCACAATACCGTGGACTGGACTGGGCTGGGCTAGGCACTGATGCCTCCTCCTCCAACGTGACGTGCCGTTGGGCTAGTCAAGCGGACCGTTCCTGGGAAACGATCTAAGACGCATATAATCGTAGAACCACGTGCGTACCGGCGCCTTGACAGCACTGCGGCTCCTCCGATGTCCTCCAATGAAGGGTGACGGAGACGACGGAACTTGGCTTTGGGTCCGTGTATCGAATCACGGACGCCGTGCTGAACGGTTCGGGCGCTAGTGAAGAGAGCCTTCCCGATCAGTTCTTCAGCAATCGGTGGGGGTTCCGGGTTTGCTGAGCCATCGGCTTGATCGGGGATTGCAATGCACGCCCGCCGTATCGGGGAATGAGTCTGACCGTCACGGGAGGCTACCGACAGGTATGAGACAAGTTGGATATCTTCGAGTTCGTAACCGCGCGGCTGTATAACAAACGTATGGTGCGCGACTGTGATGCGGTCGTCTTGTATTCGCCCATTATTATCTAAGCTTTGGCGCCCAACGCCGGCTGGTTGCGGCTATTTCGTCTCCAGCAAAAAATTTTCAGGGCAGAGCGCAAACTCTTGGATAATCGGGCAGCACCAAACGATCCACAATACTCGGGGCAGCAATTGTGCTTTTCTCAACATCGCATCTGCAAAGCAGAAACCCTCAAACAGACAATCCTTCTCGAAAACGTCCTTGAATAACCTTGCCAAGATGTCCGAAATCACTCACCCGACCATTAAGGGTACGTTGTTCCAATGTTTCGACAATACCACGCATCCCGACTTTCACATGCCTACCCCGCGCTAAAGTGGGATGGGTTTTCCCAAGGACGACTTGTTTGAAGGTCACGATCTGCTACATGATTTGATCTGAGACCATTCCCTTTGCCTTGTCGTGACTAGCATCTTATTCAACACTTTTGATTTTTTGTGAGAGATGGGCAATTGGGCTAACAGATCGCAGATGGCTGGTTCAGGGAGATCTCTGAAATGTGGGCAGGTAAGTCACGAGTAGACCATCAATATCATGACTGATAGGACTGATTAGCCACACAGGTCAGGCCATGACCCTGAAGGTCAAGAAGGTTCTGCACCACGAGAAGAGCAAGTACCAGGACGTCTTGATCTTCGAGTCGGAGAAGCACGGCCACGTCCTGGTGCTGGACAACGTCATCCAGTGCACCGAGCGTGATGAGTTCTCCTACCAGGAGATGATCACCAACTTGGCCATGATGTCGCACCCCAACCCCAAGAAGGTCTTGGTCATTGGTGGTGGTGACGGTGGTGTCCTCCGCGAGGTTGTCAAGCACGAGTGCGTCGAGGAGGCCATTCTCTGCGACATCGACGAGGTGAGCTCCAGCCACCCGGCATATTTTGAGCTTCATGTGCTAAGATTGAGTGCAGGCCGTCATCCGTCTCTCCAAAGAGTACCTGCCCGTCATGGCTGAGGGCTTCAAGCACCCCAAGACCAAGGTGCACGTCGGTGACGGATTCAAGTTCTTGGATGACTACAAGAACTGCTTCGATGTCATCATTACTGACTCGTCTGACCCCGAGGGCCCTGCTGAGAGCCTGTTCCAGAAGCCTTACTTCCAGCTCCTGCACGATGCTCTCCGCGATGGCGGTGTCATCACTACTCAGGGTTTGTTGCTCTCATGCATCCACGCTTTTGTTCAAGTTACTGATACCATGTCACAGCTGAGAGCCAGTGGCTGCACCTGCCCCTGATCCAGCAGGTCAAGAAGGACTGCGCTGCCGTCTTCCCCGTTGCTGAGTACGGCTTCACTACTATCCCCACCTACCCCTCGGGCCAGATCGGCTTCATGGTCTGCTGCAAGGAGGCCGGTCGCGATGTCACCAAGCCCCTGAGGAAGTGGACCCCTGAGGAGGAGGTCAAGCTGTGCAGATACTACAACTCCAAGGTTCACGAGGCCGCCTTTGTCCTGCCGACCTTTGCTGCCGAAGCCCTGAAGAAATAGGCTGCTCTCCCAAGGAAAATAAATACCAAAAACATGAAGTTGACGATCAACGACTGGACGATATTTTGTAGAGAAAAGACAAAAGGGGCCATAGGGGAATATTGGAAGCACTGCTGAACTCAGAGCAACAGCGTGATGCTGGTGCCAGCCAGTGGTCGATTTGAAGCTAGACATGAAGAAATCAACACTACTTGTATTCAATGACATCTAAGGTTGAAGTCAAAGCCATGAAGAAACATGCGCGCCTTATATGACTGCCTTTTGAATGTAGGAGACCAGGCTCTAGGCGCATAACATAGTGAGTAGTATGACAATCGGTACACCCTGTCGGACGTGGTCTTATCAACTCCGACAAGGAAGGCCAATCCGCTGATTGCATCATTGTTCCCACCCCGCAGTCCGCCCCGCCAATGCGTCGGCCTTAGCATAGGAGGGCCTATCCGGAGCCCCTCAAGAGCTACCAATTTTCCCGATCTCGCTTCCATTCGCCGACCGGCCCCGACGATATGCGGTCGCCATGAGGCCATTTCTAAAGACCTTGAGAGTCTTCACCAGGTCTTTCCCATCCTCTTCGCCAATTTCCTGTCTCGCACCCCTGGCCCGCACCATGGCGACATCTACTGGACCGGTGCTCAAGCAGCCCGTGAAGCTGGCCTGCATCCAGCTCGCCAGCGGCGCCGATAAGGCCGAGAACCTGGCGCATGCGAGGGAAAAGGTCCTAGAGGCTGCCCAGGGCGGCGCGAAGATCATTGTCCTTCCGGAGTGTTTTAATTCGCCTTATGGGTGTGATTACTTTCCCTCCTACGCAGAGACTCTGCTCCCAAGCCCGCCTTCCAAGGAGCAGTCGCCCTCCTACCATGCGCTCTCCGAGATGGCCGCCGAGACGAAAACGTACCTCGTTGGCGGCTCGATACCAGAGGCGGACCCAAGCCCCGATTCAAAGAAGTACTACAACACCTCGCTGATCTTTGGCCCGGACGGCAAGCTCCTTGCTAGTCACCGGAAGGTCCACCTGTTCGACATCGACATCCCGGGGAAGATCACCTTCCGCGAGAGCGATGTGCTATCACCTGGCAACAAGGTGACGCTGGTCGAGCTCCCGGACTACGGCAAGATTGCCATTGCCATCTGCTACGACATCCGGTTCCCGGAGTTGGCTACCATTGCGGCGCGCAAGGGCTGTTTTGCCCTCATATACCCAGGCGCTTTTAACACGACGACTGGTCCGCTGCACTGGGCTCTGCAGGCCCAGGCCCGCGCGATGGACAACCAGATCTACGTCGCCATGTGCAGCCCCGCGCGGGACGTCAACGCCTCGTATCACGCCTGGGGCCACAGCCTGATCGCAGACCCCATGGCCAAGATCCTCGTCGAGACGGACGAGAAGGAGAGTACCGTCAGCTGGGAGCTCGACGGGGCGAAGATCGAGGAGACGCGAAAGAATATACCTCTTGTCGGCCAGAGAAGATTCGATGTCTACCCCGACGTGAGTGCGGGTAAGGTCCGGTTTGACGAGCCGGATGTGCCCAAATAGATCAATATAATTTATTCATGAGATCATTCGAACTCTCTGACCTATGCAAGCGTACATCGCTGCACATGTTTATTGTGGTTGAAGTTTTTAAGAAGTGATTGGACGCAAGGGCTTTAGGCATGGTTTTAAGTGACTTTGCAACGATTGGTACTCATTCATGAGGTCCCTGGGTCTGCCTTCTATAGTGAATCTAACCATAGCAAACCTGAGAGACGAACCTCGAAATACTCCGGTCATTGGCGGATGTAGAAGAAGTTCCTCTTGCCCCTTTTAGTCTTCCTCTGTCTTTCTGAATAGCTTTTCTTCGCCCAAAGCCGTAATCCCTCAATGGATCGCTGTCTTACTGGTGCAGCTGGGCTGGCAGTACACGGCTATGTATCCATTGATTAAGATAGCGTATAGTCATACAGGCTGGAATCCTGATTTTGTCCAGGGCTGGGCGGTCCAGGTTCAGCTCAGCTGCTGTTCACCAGTCGCAGCCCTTTCCTACGAGCTCTGCTAGTCGTTCCAGGTACTTCTTGTCAACTTCGTCGAACCCGTTAAGCTCTGCGCAGTCTACGTCGATGATGGCGACCAGCTTGGAAATTGCCCCTTCCTGAACCGTGATCGGGACGACGACTTCGCTCCTGCTGTCACCGTCACAAGCAATATGGCCAGGGAACTGATCTACATCTGCGACAAGTTGGGTTGTCTGGCTCGAGGCAGCAGCGCCACATACCCCTCGGCCAAAGGCAATGCTCTGGCAAGCGACTTTTCCTTGGAAGGGACCCAGGATGAGTTGCTGCTTGGGGCTGGCCTTCGGGTCTAGTGTGTAGAAGCCTGTACTGCGGATGAGAACCCAGGGGGCATGATAGTTGTTGGGGATAAGTATTGATTACCTGCCCAGTTTACTTGGTTGCTCGGAGCTGGCAACGACTTATAGGCATGCCACAGCAACGAAGCGACATTTGCCGTGTTGCTTCTGAAAGTCAGCATTGGGCATTTGTGAGCATAAGGCTACTGGCAGACGTACCAGACCTACATCATACCCAAACGTCAGTGCCAAGCACATTCTACTATATACACGAGGTGCGGCTTACCCAGTTTCTCTGTTCATAAAGTAGACCTTCGGCCTGAGCGAGCACCTGCTCATAGGCCTCTGCCTTTGTGACGCCTTGGGCAAAATTTGACGCGTCTGCGTGGACCTAGTGAGAAAATCTGTTGAGCGACTTTGGCCTTTGAGGGACACACAGAGGTAAAACTAAAGATGCTTCAGCCTACCATCTTTGAACTCGGGAAGTTAAACCAAGCTTATACTATTGACTGCCTAATAGCCACTGATAGAGGGAAAAACAGGGCTTAGGTGTGGCCTCGTCCAACAGTCGAAAAGGTATAGAAGCAGCGGATCTGTGTGCCAAGACCCAATAGGCGAAGAATTCTGCCCCCCAACAGCACGCCATTAGCGGCTGCCCCACTACAGGCCACCGAACCCTTGCTTTGGCATCTTATCGTGTGGTGTCACGCACTGCACTGTACTGTAGTGTCCGTCCGGATAACGCATCCTATCTTTGTGGCGTATGAGTGTCTAGTGTCAAGTGCGCTTACGACCGGGAGAAAGGGGGGGGGGGGGAGGAAACATGATAAATTTACATACGTCTGACATCTGCCCCCATGTCAGCTGCTGGACGATCCAACGTTCTTGTTTGTGGTCACTAACCGATCATGTCTGCGCCCGGATTCTGCCCCGACTGCTTCACGGGGACATTGAGGGGCGACGCCGTACTCACTGGCACTGTAGAGCAGATTCACGGCCTCCCAGTCTATGTTGCAAGACCGGGAGGCGGCGTCGAGCCGAAAGGTCTAGTTGTGATCATCTCAGATGGCTTTGGCTGGGAGCTGAAAAACACACGAGCGCTGGCCGATAACTACGCCAAGCGAGCCGAGCTTTTGGTATATCTACCAGACTTCATGAATGGTAAATCTTATTCAATTGACTCTTGCAATTCTGTCTAACTTACCCCGAGGCTGCGCGCCTGATGTACGCCTCTTATCGGCAGGAGATGGTCTCATGGGCCCATCACCTAGCTGGTTTACGACTCTGGTCATGAAGCCATACTGGGCGTTGCGACTCTCGGTCGCCATCATACCATGGTTGTTCTGGACGCGCGAAAGTGCAACAAGACCCCGTCTCACCAAGTTCTTCCAGGATCTCCGATCGAACCCTGCTCCTTTCGAGACCCAACGCCTCAAGATAGGCGTGGCTGGTTTCTGCTGGGGTGGCAACCATACCATCTTTCTCGCCAGGGATGAACCTCATACCCGAGTATCGTCTTCGGGCTCGGGAGAGACGCTGCCTCTCGTTGATTGCGGCTTCACGGCGCACCCTTCGTTCGTCACCGTCCCAAAGGATATCGAGGGGATCCGGCGTCCCATAAGTATTGCCAACGGCCCAGATGACCAGTTTTTGGGCCGTGAAAACATGGCGGTGTTGAAGCGAATCCTGGAGGCGAAGGAGGACAACGCCCACGAAGTCGTGGTGTACGATGGTGCCAAACACGGCTTCGCCATCAGAGGAGATCCAAATGATCCGAAACAAGCCGAGCTCGGTGCACAGGCCGAAAACCAAGCGGTCAACTGGTTCAAGAAGCAGTTGCACTGATGGCTCCTCTGTGATCGAGTCTGCGGTTCTTTTTGTGGCATTATCCTTGGTACCACTTCTTGGTTCGAATTTGGTTGTTTCCCTTGTTGATCAAGTAAGTCTATTGAGCAGTTTGATCTATAGACCACATATGGTCCTTCTAGCTAAATATACCTCTTGTGGAAAAAAATAAAATAAAAAATCGTCCACAGCTGCATATCTCTCATTTTTCGACGCCCTGTGCTCACACCGGCAGGAATACCTTGGCATAGCGACAATTCTATAAATAGAAGTCTACCTAGTGCCAACGCCCAACGACCGGGACCGACCATCTGGGTGCACGTTGAAAGTAAACGTCTGCAATGCTTCTTCACGACCATCGATAACAGACTGCGGCGTTGATCATTTGCTCTATTGAGATCAAGCGCGCCCCACTGGTCCTCATAGGCAACTGCAAGGGGGTATAACGCAGTTAGTCCGCTCCGCTCACAATCCACAGACCTGAGCTGATCTCAGCCTAGGTGTTGCACACCACGGCCGAGTTGGAACTTCTTCGCGACTGAAACGAGGTCGACAAGCGTCGCTCGCTACTTCACTTTCTCAACTGCAGAAGACATGATGGGTTGAGTCCACACTACCAATTCAAGTTCACAAGACGCGATGCACCTCGTCGCTCTTGTAACGGCATTGCTCACTGCATCTGCAACAGCGCAACACATTGGGGAACAGCGCGCATCTAAAGCCAAAGGTCTCCGAGGAGATCTACTTGCGCGCGATGGCTGCTCGGGTCCTGCAGTAGGCCGTCCTACCACTTGGTGGCGAGCTGCAATCCAACACAATGGATCAACGCCTACCGCCGGAGATACTACTTACCAATACTACCGTACGGTCATCCAGTATGGCGCGGATAACACAGGCGCGGAAGACTCATCCGAGGCGTTCAACAAGGCCATCAACGGTCCGTCTGTTCTGGAAATGTTATTGGTTTGTGAACTAACAATAGTCTTGAAGCATGGAATCGGACTGGAAATACTGTCACGACGATGCCAGCCTACATCTATGTGCCACCAGGCAAATACAGGATCAAGGCATCAGTGCAGATGCTCGTTTCAACCTATCTGATTGGAGATCCGATAAATATGTCAGTCATGAAAATATATCGTCATACTGTGAATCGATCTGACTGACGAATGCTAGACCTACACTGATAGCAGACCCGGAGCTACAGGAAGACCCAGTCATTCATGGATATGATTCACACCAAGGAGATGGCTCCGCGACGAAGAATTTCTACATGGCTGTAAGAAACTTAATTGTTGACACAGCAGAAATCGCGAAGGCAACGCAGGCTGTTGCAATTGATTGGTCGGTATCTCAAGGGTGTTCGATGAATAATGTGCATATTACGATGCCAGATGGTTCGAGCCACAAGGGCATAACCATGAGTGACGGTGGCTCAGGGGTCATCATTGCCGATTGCGTACGTATAATCTCTTGCGCCATTTGCAAGAGATCAGCTAACCCGAGACAGACATTCAAAGGAGGAGCGGTAGGAATTCAGCTCAGAAACCAGCAATACAACTTCAAAGGCCTCACGTTCGATGGGTGTGGCATCGGCATCAACATCACATCAGTGTGGGTCGCTACCTTCCAGGATATCACTTTCGCCAACTGCGACTATGGGATCAACACAAGCACTGCCGTTGGTGCTATTTCAGTCGTGGATTCCTCCGTGAGTAACTGCGACGCAGGTGTTCATGCCTTTGTCTCTGGAGGCGGGCAAGGCTCTCTCACGCTGGAGAACTTCCACTCTGACAGTGGTACGGTTGCCGTCAAGTCTCTTGGTGGTGATGTTTTACTTCAGGACTCGGTCCCAGCTGGTCAGAGTTGGATTATGGGCAATGTGAATCCCGGAGGTCGCCAAAATGGCAAGTCTCATCAGGTCAATAGACCAGCATCGCTGCTTTCGAACGATAAGTACTTCACTACAGCTGCGCCCCAGTATGAGAGCTACGATATAAGCGAAGTCAGAAGTTTGATGGGGGACCCTGAATACCCTGTCTATGGCGATAGTAAGTCTGCAAGAAACATGCTCGAAACTACAAGCTTACCAAAGCTAGATGCGCATAATGATGGACCCAACATCAACGCAGTATTGAGAAAATATGCGGGTTGCAAGATCATCTTTGTCCCTCAAGGAATTTACGTCACCGAGGAGACTATTCACATCCCGTCAGGAACTCGCTTGGTTGGAGAACAACTTAGTACTTTCACGGGGAACGGTTCAGCATTCTTGAACCCCGACAGGCCAACGCCCATTTTCGAGATCGGAAATCCTGGCGACAAGGGATCGGTGCAGATCTCTGACATCCTTGTCGAGGTGTCTGATGTATTGCCAGGAGCTATCTTGATGCAGGTAAATATGGCCGGCAACAGTGCTGGAGATGTGGCTGTCTGGAACACCGTCCTCCGGGTCGGAGGCTCACGACACACGCGTATAAGTACCGACTGTACAGAGCCGGATACCTCAACTTGCAAAGCTGCGTTCGCATTGCTGCATGTCACTAGCACTGCATCATTGTATGCTGAGAACCTCTGGGGCTGGGTGGCCGATCACGGGCTTGATGGGCCTGAGGCGCAAAATATCGCGGTAGGCCGGGGAGCACTGATTGAGAGCACACAACCTACCTGGCTTGTCGGGTCTTCGTTCGAACATTGCACTTTGTATCAGTATTCTTTAAATAAGGCGTCCAATGTCTATATTGGACTCCAGCAGACGGAAGCTCCTTACTGGCAAGGACAAAATCAGCCGAACTACGCTCCCGCACCATGGACGTAAGTGCCTCATTCCCCAGGGAATCTAACTATGTCCGAGGCTAACATCAGGTTGCCAGACCCAATACCACGTATGGTGATCCGACATTCGCCAATTGCGCCGACCAAGGTGCCTCGGGGAACGGTCAGTGTTACCGGGCCTGGGGCCATCACGCCGTGGACAGCAGCAATGTAATCGTCCACGGGTCGGCGCTCTGGGTTTTCTTCAACGGCATGAACAACAACAAATGGCAAGGTGCCGACTGCAAAGACTATGGCTACATATGCGAGGTCAACATGATATATCTGAGCGGTGCAAAATCAACCTTCATGTACTCACTCAGCAGCAAGTCCACAGCAAATCTTTTATATGACGCTACTGACGGAGACGTGGACTTGACGACACAAGAAGACAACCAAGGCGGCTGGGGCGCTGTACTTGCTGCATACCTCAGGAATTCGGGCGTGGAAGCAGATAGGTGAGGACAACCCTGTTTCATTCGAGCATCCCCCCTTCCGAAACCGTTGTGAGTAAACTGACACCAAATTCTACATCTAGTTCCGAGGAGTCGCTAGCAGTCGTGAGCGCCTTGCCTTCTCTTGCACTAGTTATGTCTTCAACACTCTTTATGGTCCTGGGACTTTGTTGAACCGAAGCTCCCAAGAAAGTGAAAGGGTGATCCGCACAAAAGTTTTCTGAATTTCACATCGGAGCTTACGCGACTATGCCACAATTTCTATTCATGTAAGCTAGGTATGGAATTAGAGATGATAGATATCGGATGATAGACCCCTAATGCGGGCAATCGAGCCTCTATACCTTTGTCCAAGTATTTCATGGGGATGCTTCCAATAGCCGGCTGTGATTATGGTCATAAGGTCTGGTGAATTAAAGGAATTAGCAGGAAATATGTAATTCATTCTTTGCAAGACCCCCGGGGGTAGCTACGGCAAAGCTATCTAACTTGAATCACGTTACTATATATATGATTTTTTCTGGCGTCGAAGGTAAATGGATAACGAGCCAAGTCCTTGTACTTTATTCACACATGATGAAATTGAGGCTCTCTACTTGCTCCCAATCCAGGGCTGCTATCGGGAAGAACTCAGTGTTCACTTCGTGAAAACACCCAACACGTGGGGAACGGAGTGGTGCCACGGCTCGTCCGCAGGTTGGCCGACGTCAATCTTGGCCCAAGGACCAGCCTCTCTGAGGTATTGCTCGGTCGGGCGGCATAACTGGCATCCGCCAAGGAACTGCGGCCAGAACAGGTTGACGAAAGCTGCGACACAGGCATCAGCGACTGATCTTGAAATCCTATACAGAGAAGAAGGAAGGGGATAAATTCATGAATGACGACGTACCCTGATATGCGCGCATGCCCCAGTTCACGTCAGTTCGGACGTGTTCGTAGACGTACCAGCGGCCGCCCTTTTTCAGATACCCGTACAGCTCGCGGAGGTTGTGCTGCGGGTCGGGGATGCTGCACAGGCACAGGATCGACACGATGCAGTCGACGCTCTCCTTCTCGACCCGGCCGTCCCACTTGGCCGAGGGCTGGCCCAGCGCCTCGATGCCGACGGGCACGATCTCGTACACGCCATCGAGGCCGGCCTCGGCGATCTTGCGGCGCAGGCTGGCGTGCTGCCCCGGGTTAGGCTCTACGCCGTAGACGCGCGTGACCTTCTTCCGGGCGCCGCCCGACGCCGCCTTGCTGCCGTCTCCCGCCGCAGCAGCGGGCTTGAGGTGGCGGTCCGAGAAGATGTCGACCCAGAACCCGCTGCCGGCGCCCGTCTCAATGCAGACGCCGCCGATGCCGGGTCCCGTGGGCGCGGCGACGACCTGGCCACCACTGGTGCGGCCCTCGAGCAGGGGAATCACTCGCGCCTCGGCGCTCATCTTGACATTGGGGCCGGCCCAGCCCCAGAAGTGGCCGAACCAGGCGTCTTGCAACGCCGAGGGCGAGAGGAGCACGCGAAAGTTGCGGTCTCTGAGGAGTGAGACAACGGTATGAGGTAGCCACTAGGTACGGCGTTAAGTCAGCATCATTGTGGGCATTCTAATCTTGATTGACACTCATAAAAAAAGAGTAACAAGAATACAGTCAAACATTTATTGCGTGTGTCCTGCTTTTGCTTCATTGACCATAGCTTAGGAGAAGCAAGTACATGGGGCAATGAGGACGTCCCGCTGGTTTTATGGTTGGGAACTTGAAGAACAGAGACGGACTGAAGATACTGACAGATGCGGACAAGGCCATGAAGTGCCAAGGATCAATCAAACTCCAAAATAGTTCACTCATAGAGGCCATGATGGAGGACATTGTTCATCCAATAGTGGGAATCAAGCGACGACGAGAGTGAGTCAAAGTCGAGAGAAGAGGGTGAGATATAATGAAGATCGAGGGTCTGTTGCAAGAAAACGCAATGCCTTGAGAATAGGGTCTTATTAAAGACGAAATACTCAGAGGGGAGGGTGCCAGTTGGGGAAAGCACCAATATTACTCCGTATAAAACAAGTGAAAGGCGTGGGCCCCGTTTTATCGTCTCGAGTAGGGCGATATATTGGGAGGGGAAGAGAACACGGAGCGCTTGAGGTATCGGCGGGTGAGGGCGTCCGGTCTTATATGGGATCAGGATTGGGATGGCAGAATGCAGCTGTGCCCCTGGTCTGATATCCGGCCAGGGCAGGTCGTAGACTTGGACAATGGATGGCAGCGAGAGAGAGAGGCGGGTGTTGGCAAGGGTAGTGGTGATTTACTAATCTGATTGGATTTCTGCGTCGAGTATGGGGTGCGGCTAAGAAAGTAGTACGGGACCCACACCATCTAGGGTTGGTAGTCCCGGCGAGCAACCTCGCCCGCTATTTGTCTGTAAGCCGGACGAGAACTGTGTCGTAGCTGTTATCTGACTGCGAGTGGCTGAGGGTGGGACATAAACATGTTCGAGAGCCAAGAAGGTCGATACTTGGTGTCTTGATTATATTTGGTCTATGTTGCACGGATGGTCTATAATTCGTCCTTCTTTTCCTGTCCTTGGTCGGATATCGGAGCATCTGGCCGTCCACTGTCCTTGTGCAAATCAACCCCAATCTTACCCCTCCACTTCTGCCAGATGGACCAGAACTCCTTCTCCATTCCACTCTCCATCTGATCCGGAAGAACAACCACGTACTCCACGTAAAGCTTGCCGAACTGGGTCTTGTGGTAGACCGAGTCGCCATCCTCGTCCCAAATGGGCATGCCTTCGTTTTCGACAGCCTCGACATGGCCAGGCTGTACAACTTCACCGCGCTTGCGGCTCAGGCGCACGACGTGTCCGTCCATGTGCGTGAGGTTGCGAGTCCAATCACCCATCCAAGCCTCCCGGAGGGACAAGACCTCACGCCAGAACAGATCGTTGCCTTTCCGGCGGAAGAAGATGCCATCCACATGTTCGGGGTTGTCGTTCTCCATATCGGGCTCCTTCTCGACCAGAGTCACGATCAGATCGCCGGCGATGTAGTCTGGGCTGGCATCGGCCTCGTTCTCGTAGACAATCTTGGAGTCCCGCGCAGCGCCGCGATCAACCTTGAGAGACACCAGAGTAGGCTTTCGGACAACCCTGTTGCCACTACAAGCCGGGCACTTGTGCTTGATAGTCTTGCCACGCCCCCCACAGGCGTCACACTGTGTCTGTACCTGCTGGAACATGCCAGGGGCCAGCTGGTGCTTGATGATGCGCACACCGTGGCCGCCACAATGGCCACAAGTGTCCACATGCCCGTCCGCAGAACCGGTGCCGTCACACTCCTCGCAGATCTGTTGCTTTTCCCACTGGAACTCGGTCTCGCGGCCGTTGTAGAAGTCGCGCAGGGAGATGCCGACCTTGATCTCGAGGTTGTGACCGCGCGGCTGGCCCCTCTGGTAGTGGCCACCTCCGCCGAAGAAGCGGCTGAACAGATCGAAGGGGTCGTGGTGCTGGCCACCGCCCTGCTGCCTCTGCTTCAAGCCCTCGTGTCCATACTGGTCGTAGATCTTGCGCGACTCGGGGTCGCTAAGGGCCTCGTAGGCCTCGGAGACTTCGACAAACTTGCCCTGGGCGGTATCGTCGCCACTGAGGACTGGTTAGCGCAATGCGCAGTTCGCGGAGGCGAGATGGTGGCGTGGCACTCACGGGTTCTTGTCAGGGTGAAACTTCTTGCTGAGCTGGCGATAAGCCGACTTGATCTGCTTGTCATTGGCGTTCTTGTCGATACCGAGGACCTGGTTTGGGGGTTTACTGTTAGACCAGCGTTGCAAGACAAGCACGGATGAATTGCATACCTTGTAGTAGTCTTCGGCACAGAGGACAAGCTGGAGCACGGCGAACAGCAGCAGCCAGGCTGCGCTCTGCAAGAGCATCTTGGTTGCACCGACGAGGGACGCGGGCCAGGTGATCGCCAACGGTCAATGTGCCAACCAGAGCGATGGACGAAGAAGTGAGATCAAGATACGTCCCTTGGCGACAAGTGTGGGCGAGCTGGGTGAAGCGTTGGTGCCAACGTGGTTTTATCGAAGAGGTACGGAGCCTACGCTTCTCTGGGATTGGGACGTGGACCCCTGGAAAGTTGACAAAGTTGACACGCTGGAACGTGTTAAAACGCCGCCCGCCGGCCAGGGAACTTTTTGCTGATAAGATAGGGGAGGAGCTTAATTGACGTCTACTGGATGTATGTAAGTCAGCGGCCGACGAAGCTTCTCATTGGCCAAACTTCCCTTTGACTTGAATGGATCCGGAAGAGTGGCCACCGTGGAGTCGGCGTCCAATTGGTGAGTGAGAGGAGTGGGTGACTGCTTCGGGGTGCACCTGCGCGTGCGAGAAGCTTTACAAGCAGTTTTCATTCATGGTCAAGTCCCTCTCTACAATGTCGGTACACTCCCACCGGCATGAGTTATAGTCTTCGCCTCGTGCAAAAGCCAGTCATGGCCTGAACAGCACTGGCGCCAGCGTAACATCGCTGACGGGTACCTGCCAGCGTAGCTTAGAGGAAGAACAGCTCTGGACGCAACAGCACGAGCGGATTTCTTCGATATATCCACACGAAGACCTCTTATAGCAATCTTCGCCCTCTAGCAGGGAAACCCAATTAGACAGCCTGCCGCGAACCTTCGCGGCTTTGATCCCGAGTGTGTAAGTCTGCTTGGGTACGGGCCGCTAGCATCGTCCACCTCGGACGGCGCCCCACTTTTCTGCCTGGCCCAAGTCCGATTGATTTCATACAGGCAGGAGAGCCGGAAGCTGTTGTCCTTCCATCACTACCTGGCCGTCTCAGTCCACGACGCGCACCGAACATGAGCGGCAAGCGGTATGCCTTCGTTCCCATGGAGGATGAGGAGGTTGGGCCTCAGAAAGTCGAGAAGAAGTCCAAGAGCAAGCATCGCGACCGCGACCGCGACCACGATAGAGATAGGGACAGAGACCGGGACAGAGGCTCGTCCCGCCGCCACCAGCAATCCAGGCACAGTCGCAGTCGCAGTCGCAGTCGCTCGCCGCGCGAGTCGCGCAGCAGCAAGTCCAAGTCCTATCGCACCAAAGAACGGACCAACGATGACTTTGACGACCGCTGGGGCGACCAGGAGCCCTCCGACGACGAGGCCGCCGCCGACGATGAACCCGAATTCCAGGAATCCGCGTCGAAGCGAGTCAAGCTCAGCCATGATGACCAACAAGACGACGCAGACCTCTCGGACTCGGCACGCGACAGAAAGGAGGCCGACGACTTCGCCAAACGTCTGAAGGCGCGCGACGAAGAGAAGACCAAGAAGCTTGTCGAGGACCGGTCCTCCGGCAAGGCGGGCAGGGCACAAGACGAGCGCCGCCGCCTGGCCGATGACGAGGCTGCAAGACGGGCTGCCATGCCTGACCTGCGCGAGCGATCGAGACAGGACTACCTCAAGAAGCGAGAGGCCGAACGGCTGGCCTTGCTGCGCAAGCAGGTCGCCGAAGAGACTGCCGAGCTGCGCAGCGGGGTGCGCCTTAGCGAGAAGGAGAAGGCCGAGTTCGCCAAGAACCGTGAGATTCTCCGTCTGGCCGAGGAGCGGCTGCGCATCGACGACCACCGCGATGGCTACTACATGCCCGAGGACTACATCACGGAGAAGGGCAAGATTGACAAGAAGAAGAAGGAGGACGCGCTGTACAAACGGTATGTCGAGAAGGACGAGTACGGCCAGGAGAAGTTTGTCACAGAACACGAGGAATGGGAGAGGGAGCAGGCCCAGAAGGCCAAGGCACAGATCAACCGGGCCGAGAGAGAGTACGAGGGAGACTATGAACTGGTCCTGGATGAAGAGCAGTACATCAACTGGAACCTCGACGCAACGCTCGCTGGCGAGGGCAAGCAGCTGACCAAGGAGCAACGCTTCTTGGAAGCACAAATCGATGCCGCAGAGAAGGCTGCCCTGTCGATCCAGGAGACCCGGAAGAGTCTGCCCATATATGCCTACAGGGACGAGTTCATCCAAGCTATCAACGAGTATCAGATCCTCGTAATTGTGGGAGAAACCGGCAGTGGTAAAACGACACAGCTGCCTCAGTATCTACACGAGGCTGGCTTTACCAAGAACGGGCAGAAAGTCGGGTGTACACAACCACGAAGAGTGGCGGCGATGAGCGTTGCTGCCCGTGTGGCTGATGAGATGGGCGTCAAGGTTGGTAACGAGGTGGGCTACTCCATCCGTTTCGAGGACAACACGAGCGACAAGACTATTCTGAAGTACATGACGGATGGTATGTTGCTGAGAGAGTTCATGACGGAGCCTGACTTGCAAGGCTATTCGGCACTGATGATTGACGAGGCTCACGAGCGGACTGTCCACACGGATATCCTCCTGGCCTTGATCAAGGATCTTTCCCGCGAGCGGCCGGACTTGAAGCTCCTCATCTCTTCGGCTACCATGAACGCGGAGAAGTTCGCCAAGTACTTTGACGACGCTCCCATTTTCAATATTCCTGGCCGCAGATATCCCGTGGACATCTACTACACACCAGCACCCGAGGCCAATTACCTGGCTGCGGCTATCACTACCGTGTTCCAGATCCACAGCACTCAAGGCAAAGGAGACATCCTCGTCTTCCTTACTGGACAGGACGAGATTGATGCTGCAGAACAGGAGCTGACCGAAACCGCCCGAAAGCTGGGGAATCGCGTTAAGGAGCTGATTGTTTGTCCCATTTACGCCAACTTGCCCTCTGATCTACAAGCCAAAATCTTCGAGCCTACCCCGCCTGGGGCTCGAAAGGTAGTCCTGGCGACAAACATTGCAGAGACAAGTTTGACAATCGATGGCATTGTGTACGTCATCGACCCTGGATATGTCAAGGAAAACGTCTTCAACCCTGCAACGGGCATGTCAAACCTCGTTGTCGTGCCATGCTCCAGGGCCTCCGCCAACCAACGAAGCGGAAGAGCCGGTCGTGTGGGCCCTGGAAAGTGCTTCAGGCTATACACCAAATATGCCTACATGAGTGAGATGGACGAGTCCACTACCCCGGAGATTCAGCGAACCAACTTGAACAGTATCGTGCTGATGCTCAAGTCTCTGGGTATCAATAACCTGCTCGACTTTGAGTTCATGGATCCCCCACCGACGGAATCACTGATCGGCGCTCTGAACCAGCTGTTTGCTTTGCAGGCTCTTAACCACAAGGGTGAACTCACAAAGGTTGGCAGGCAGATGGCCGAGTTCCCAACAGACCCAATGTTAGCCAAGGCTGTTCTTGCTGCCGACAAACTCGGATGTGTCGAAGAGATACTCTCGATTGTGTCCATGTTGAGCGAGGCATCTGCTCTTTTCTTCCGGCCGAAAGACAAGAAGATCCACGCCGACAGCGCTCGAAATAGGTTCACTGTAAAAGAAGGCGGTGATCATCTCACCCTCCTCAACATCTGGAATCAATGGGTCGACAGCGATTTCTCTCCTGTCTGGTCACGTGAGAACTTCCTGCAACAGAGATCGCTTACGCGAGCCCGCGATATCAGAGATCAACTGGCAAAGCTCTGTGAGCGCGTCGAAGTTTCTCCATCCACCTGTGGCGCCTCCAACATCGACCCGATCAAGAAAGCCCTGACCGCGGGCTTCTTCCCGAACGCGGCCCGTCTTCAAAGAAGTGGCGACTCTTACCGCACCGTCAAGAACAACACTACCGTCTTTATCCACCCGAGCTCTGTCCTGATGGGCTCTGACCCGCCGGAGAAAATGGTCATCTACTTTGAGCTCGTGCAGACGACCAAGGAGTACATGCGGTCTTGCCTCCCCATCAAGCCGGCATGGCTGTCAGAAGTCGCACCTCACTTCCACAAGAAGGGTGATATTGAGAATTTGGAAGAGCGCAAGATGCCGAAGCAGCGCCGATAGACTGTGTTGCATATTTTGGATAGCCTGGACATACCGGTAGTAAATGTTATCAATCTGCCTAATCAAGATACAATGAGATTCACGACCCGCATGCAATGTTATGTGCCGATTGGTCCATGGGAAAAGCCGTGTAAAGTCTACCTAGGCGCCGAAGGAGTTCAATGGATATACTGAAGACCGAGTGAGTGCACCTCACCCGACGCTTGAAACCATTCTGCCTAGCCCCTACGACAAGCAATGATCAACGGTCACATAAATCCGAGGTCAAGATTTCGTCGGTAGGGTCGGCAGCTCAGTGTTACATCAGTAGATCGAGATCTTACAAACTTTCTTCACCAGGAGCAAAACCACGATGGTGTTTTCTTCGTAGATCGGGCGTCGAGTGTGGTGTGGTGCCATGCGACGTGGTGGTGGGGGATGATGTCAACCGAGCCGCGCCCCCAGCGTTCTTCGCCTTTGGCGGCACGGCCTCTCGCGCCTTGCGCATGTTCGTGTCGAATCAAACCACTATAATTCTTGGACATGCATGTTGCAGACGCTGACGCAGACCTTGATTGGCGCCGGCCACCAGGTCGTTTTAGCGTACGACGGCACCACATCACCCTTTCGCCGTCTTGCCTGGGCGTTCAAGTCTTAGCGGATTGAGAAGGTCATGTTCACGCAGCCTTACAGGAAGGTTGGGGTGCAGATCCGGGGCCAAGGACACAGGGGCTGTTTATAGGGAAATTACCGGTGCAAGCCGAACTGATACTCACGGCAACTTTTTCAAGGCTAGACTGTTCCCAGTTGCCAGACGCTTTGAACCTGAACTCTATTCTTACTCACGGGTCGCCTTTAGACTCGGGCGCGCAAAGCCACTGCTGTCGTGTTTCCCCAGCCACCTGGTGACTCCATTTCTTCGCTCCGCCGTTGCATCCGAGTCTCGAAGACACAGGAGGCAGTAGCCGCAAGGCCGCCAGTATTCTGCTCTGGCGCGCTGGTTGTAGAGGGCACACCGCAGGCTCTTGCTGCACCGACTCGGAGCTACAGCTCATGCCGCTTTTGCACAGCCTTGGTCCCCCCAACTCTCAATTACCTACAGCTCCTAGTTGTGAGCAGCAGCAGCAGCGCCCCAGGTCTGCCTGTGGCATCCGTAGGAAATCCATATATGTAGTTACACTCTACTTTGCGAGGACGCCGGTAGTTGGGCTGGCATTGCCTTGGCACTGGGGATCTCCCTAGGCACTTTGACGTGGCCTAGCGCGCCCCGCACTTACCGTTTCAGTGTCTGCGGCCCTCCTGACTGGCTGGGCCGGACCCCTGCAACTCTCTTGGATTGCCAGACTGTCCTTGATTTCCACTCCCTGATCAGTTGGTCCCCTGTGGGATGACCTCATACGACCAACGACGCGACTGGCGAACACTGCTGGGGGTTTGATGAAAGATGCATCCAGCCACGCCGGCTTGCGCGCGCATGGACTCCGTTGGGAAGCCCTGCATACGACAATCTTGTTGCAAGCCGCGTAAGGGCCTGGTTTCTTCTTTGTACTGGTAACGCGGGCTGCCTTTAGCAACCAGTCACCCTGAGGGCCGTCGTCAGCAGGTTCTGGAATCCTGACGGGGCGTTGCGCCGGTTCCAAGGTATCAGTTACCACTAACAACTAACACACCCCAGACCGCCTGTTACAAGCCTAGGGGGTACCGTAGATGCAAACGGCCAGATTGTGATGTGTGTGCGAGAACCGACCGGGCTCCGTGCCTTGCTTTGGTTGGGAATCAAATCCGTGGGCGTCATCGTCACGGGTGATTCGCAACCTGTAACCTCCGCGAGAATAAATACTGGCAGTCCTGCCGCCTTCACTCACCTTTCGATTTGGGAACCATCGTACAGTTTTCTACTTCCACGGCCAGCAACCTTTTGAATCCTCCTCCACCACCACCACTACCACCACCAAACAAACAACACACAACCACAGGTGCCTATCCTTAGGTTACTACCGCCACCATGATCTTGACTGATCTTTTCGCCATGATCCTCCGCATCGCGGAGCTGGTGTTTGCCGCCATCGTGGCCGGCGTCAACGGCGCCTACCTGCACGCCGTGCAGAACTCGGACAGCTGGGACCAGGCACGCTTCATCTACACCGAGGTCGTGGCCGGCCTCGCCATCTTCCTGGCCTTCATCTGGGTTCTTCCCTTCTCTGGGTCGTTTGTCCACTGGCCCGTCGACATCTTCATCTCCATCTGCTGGTTCGTCGCCTTCGGCCTCATCGTTAACCTTCTTGACGGCTCCTGCGGCAACGCCTTTGATTGGAACAACATCGCCATCCGCCGTGGGGACCAGTGCGGCAAGTTCAAGGCCACCATCGCCTTCTCCTTCCTGTCGGCCATCTGCTGGCTCGTCTCTGCCATCATTGGCATAATCTGGGTCCGCGACCACGAGCGCCGCCAGTACCGCCGCCGCACCTGGGGCCGCTCCCGCGTCTAAATGCAGCTCGCCGGCTGCCACTAGCACGCATGTACGAACTATCGCCTGGTCATCTGGTACCGTGTATACTTCACTTCTTCACCTGGCACCGCTCGTCAATGCCTCGGTGCCTGTCGATTGAACCAAAGCAAGGCTGAACCTTGGTGTGAGGATCCTCGATGGATGGCTTGTATTTGTTGGAATGAGGACGACTTATGATGATGGGAGTTTAAGGATACCTACTGTTTTACTGTTTGCGCTTCTTCTTGAGCGAAGGCTTCTTGTCTACGCTCGCACCGCATGAAGATTGATACCCTCCCTCTACTTATTACCCTTAATGATACGACTTTGCTTCCCACTACGAAATTGTTTTGCTGCAATACTTCTCTCTTTGTCGTGAAGATGAATTATACAAGACTCGTTGGGCTGACTAGTGGGCTATAAGTCATCACTTGTAAAACCCTGTTTTTAAGTCGTTCCGCGCAAATCTAGGCAGCGATAGGAGAATCTATGGCGGTATTTCAAAAATAAAATTTTCTCCCGCCATCCTTCGATAGATCTGTACGTCAATGAGCCGCGAGGATGACCATCATAGTGCCACTAGGTCAAGGTGGAAAACGTGTCGCGCATGAGACGCCTGTGTCCGTATGACAGCCCCTTAACACCCGAATGCATCTGGATACTCGGAAGAACAGCCTTCTTCGAAATTCAAGGCGGATGAATTAGAGTTCCTTTACAAGGCATGGCTTATACGATCTCAACCGCGAGATTTGCCTTTAACAAACCTTGCCGTGGTCAACGTGACCACCATGATGCCATATCCCCCAAGCATGGCGGCAGCAAAAGCATAGCTTGACTTGTGCCTGAATAGACTTCGAAGAGAAAAAAAACCCCCCAAACTAGTCCAGCGGCTACAGCTCATTGCCTTGACGTATGGAAGTCCACCTGACCCGACAAGAAGTCATGCAGCATTTTCCCCGAGAGCTTATACTCCATGCTATGTTCGAAGGCGCGGACCCTTCCGACTTAATCGATTCCGACGCCTGCAACCTGCTTGCAGATAGGCTAGCTTTAGCCATCGAATCTTGACTTCTTCCAAGTTTCTTGCGGGCTGAGAAAAGTTTTTGGGTTCACGACAGCATCAAGGAAGCCCCGGGTGCACGTTGAGGGCGGTCAAGAGGTTTGTATGCAAACTAAGGCACGGGAGCCCGAACCTTTGGTGTTCAAAGGACCACTACCCTTGTCAGGCCGTCTGACGAGATGCAAGAGGCTCTTCTCGTGCCGCCATGCCGTGGCGCCGACAGGGCCATTTTGCCTGGGCCTTGTTTTCAGCTGGTTTGCTGGCAGCCGGGGAGCTTGGGGAGCTCCCGCCCCCTGACATTGCTCGCTTACGTTTCAACTGTGGCTAATGACGGCATGCCTAGCTGCGGTACGTACCGGAGACGCTTCCCTTGTGATCGCTTGCAGTAGTACCAACTCCTAGATCCAATGTGCTGCTAGGCGACAAAAATATACGACAGCAATCCTGACGATCTGCATCTAGTGGTGGCCTGGATTGATTGCAGAACTTGTCCGTCGTATCACGTTTTTCTGTGGAAGAGGGCTTGGTATGCCCAAGACTGGGCAGTGATGACCGCATCAGCGGGGTCTGGAGGAAAGGTGACGCCACAGATGCCACCGCGCCACAGCGGGAGACAAGGTTGGTGCTCCCCTCCCCCACCTTTTAGCACCCCATAGCTCGTCATGCGCCACATCATCTTCTCAGAGCTCTTTGCCATTTCCGGAAGCGTAGAGCTAAGACCGGGCCTGGACGGGTAGCCGGCAAGGGGCTAAGGTTGATCGACCATACATTAGCAGAGAGGGGCATCTGGTGCCGCAGCGTCATCCCAGCTCCCCCCACCAGGGCAGCTCTAGAACAACCGTCTTTGGCCGTCTGCCTTGTTTGGGAGAGCACACACGCAGCACACGTGCGTACCTGATCGATGATCTCCAGCACTGTCAAGGTTATCCATGAGTCTAGGCTCTCGTTTGCTCCAGAATTTGGAACCCGCTCCGTCACCCTTTCTCTAGTTTGCCATGTCTTGGATAATCAGCCCTAAACGTCACTGCCCTCAGGATTATCCCCAAGAGCTCATCTCATTTACACAATGACGCGACTTGCATATTTTGCGGATACTCTCCAGGTACCAAGCCGGACTTTGTCATGTCTGGGCCAGCTGGCCCTGGCTGGGGCAACTGCGATGGATCAGATCTCGCAGGCACTGCCGAGAAACCCTACACTTCTGGGCCCGCTGGCCGAACGGGAGCAGACGTCGAGTCGCAGAATGCTCGCTACCTAGATGCATAGGTATGCCATGACTGAACCGAAGCCTCAAGATACGGTAGGTGGACAACGATAAAATAGATCTATGCTAAAGACAGCACCGTTTGGCAGGTACTTGCTTTTATTCCCCGTAGCCTTTCCCCCTCCGCCCCTCACCGACGCATTTGGCCCGAAGCTTGGGGTCTCGTTGCGCTTCTTGAAACCTGGAGTCTCAGAAGAGACAAGCCCGCAATTCTAGCCTGTCCGCCGCTTCGGAAAGTTGCTCCTGCGCAGTAGCTTGTTTGGCTTGCAGCCAGTCACAAGCGGGCCCCACGGTCCGGAGCTAACGTGCCGAGTGGTTTCCAGTTGCACGGTGTCGACGCTTTAGGAAAGCATGGACATGGGTGCCACTGTACTATGTACGTACCTCCACTGCGGACGCCATCATGACGACACAACATCTGAGAGAATCACGAACAAACCGCCTGGTTACGCAGTTTGTACCTGCGTACCCATTGATGCACGATCTTGCGTGATGGGAAAACTTGGTCTGGTCAAGAGCAACCCAGCGGCCTTCCTGCCAGGCCTGCCTCGTCCTGCCTCTGGATCAAGTACTTAAGGCGTCCCGGCATCCCACGAATTCAGCATCATTCTATCATCATCTTCAACTCTCACACAACAATCACATCCACTATCTCAAGACATCTAGTCTCCTACAGCTCTTCACACTTCATCCACACAATCAATATTTATCAAAACCTCCACCAACATGTCTGGAATTGTCAACAAGGTCAAGAACGCCATGCACTCGGATAAGTCCTCGCACGAGGCTCCCGAGGGCACTCACGGCACCCACAACTCCCGCGTTGCCAACGCTGCCGATCCCCGTATCGACTCGGACAGAGACCACCGCGCCGCCCCTACCACCGGCCACTCTGCCTTCACTGAGGGTACCCACTCCCGCCCCCATGAGGGTGTTGGTGCCACCGGTGGCTACAACACCGCCGAGGGTGTTCACGGAACCCACAACTCTCGCGTAGCCAACGCTGCCGACCCCCGCATTGACTCCGACCGTGACCACAGAGGTGCTCCCGGTTCCACCATTGGCGGTACTCACAGCACTCACACCGGCACTCACGGTACCAGCGGTCTCGGCTCGACCGGCACCCACGGTGTAGGATCTACTGGTACCCACGGTACTTCCGCCTTCGGCTCGTCTGGCGCACCTGAGGGCACTCACGGAACACACAACTCTCGCGTTGCCAACGCCGCCGACCCCCGATTTGACTCGGACCGCGATCACCGAGCGGCACCAGGCTCAGGTTTGGGAAGCAGCGGTGCTCACTCAGGCACTCACGGCACTCACGGTACCGCTGGTCACCTTGCCGCTGCCCACGATGGTCCGGCGCCCAACACGGCTGGCCCTCACAAGAGCGACATGCTCAACAAGGTTGATCCCCGCGTCGACTCCAACCTCGACGGTTCTAAGACCGTTGGTGGTGACAAGACCCACGCCGGAGCTGGCTACTAAGCAGTTGAAAAGATGCTGTTCAGGAAGGCTGCAGCTCATGAGGAATGCAGCAGTAACTCGTGTTTAATGATACCACAGAATGAGGAAGGGGGGCTACTACGAATTGTATAAATAGCATAGCATGAATTGATGACTTCATTTACATGACCAACATTACCTTGGAATTATACATGCCATGTGTTGAATGTTAAAAATTTGCAGAAGAAACTTGGAGACTGGCGCAATTAGAGATCACCTGCAAGATGAAGAAATGTTCGCTACATCCGGTGCATTTCTTTATGAGGTCCGCAATTTGGAGGTGTGTAGGAACTATTTCTTGTGAGATGATGCCAATATGTATGGAGTTTCTTCGCCTGTAATTCTCTTGATGTGTGGCTTCGCAGAGCCTCAGATGGTAAATGTTACGGCAGGCTTTGCCAAGACGGCTGGATTTCCGAGGGGATTCAGTTGTCCTCCAGGTCACATGCCAAGCATGCCCGGGAGTGGGTGGCCTGACCTGGGGTTCTGGGGTAGCTAAACTCTAAGGGGAGCTAGAGTGGCATTCGACGGTTGGGGTTGTGATGGAGCGGAAAGATTCCGACGCCCATGTTCTACTCCAATCGTCAATAGTGTGCTAAGTGTAGTGAGAGTGCCGCGGCAAGTGGGGCTAGCTCTCCCATATACCTTGGGAGCTTGACTACACGGCTGATGATGGTCTGCAAATGATGGCAAGATGCTGACCCAATCTGCTATCTTCCCCACGACCGACTGCTATAGTAAGGCGGCCACCAAGTTGATTGGAATCGGCTCTCCGGCTACACGCTTGCTCTTCACTTCCATATAGGCAAGGGTTTTATTACTTGCTTAGGGATAAGTACCGAGACCATGGAACCGTCAAGTGCAACTAAGGGTTTCTTCCAGAAGCTGCCGACTCTGGGAAATCAGTTCCTCGAAGATGACACTGTTCAAAGGGTCTTGAAACGTAAGTACTACCTTTCGTCGTGGCTGTGGAATGCGAAGATGCAGTCGGATGGTACGCGGTGCTGATGTCCCAGGTCAGTGTTCGTACCGCAGGACATTCTCAGCAAGGAAGCAACGGAGATCGAGCAGCTCTGTGAGGATGCGCTCGACCCGGTGGTTTTAGACTGGGTTTCCGACGCGGAGAGAAATCAACCATACGTCAGCGGTGGCGGCAAGAATGCCTTTGGCCAGCCCAATAGTTCCAAACTTGTTCTGTCCGAGGGCTGGAGGCAGCTTCAAAACCTCGGTTTCGAAAAAGGGTACGTCCAGGTACTTGCAACAGATTATAGTCAATCTGCCATTATATACTAAGATCCCTGGCAGGCTCTCTGCTCAAGGGTACGAACCGGGGCTAGAACAGTATACTCGCATCGTTCAATATATGCGACTGGTGCTCTGGGAAGGGTCAAGCGCGAATACATACTGTCCGCAGGCGATGCAGGACGGCGCCAGCCGGCTTCTGCAGCGGCAGTTATCCAAAGATGGACTCAACCCTACCGATCGCAAGGTATTCCAAAACGCATTCGACCATCTCGTCTCGCGTGATCCCAAAAACGCATGGACGAGCGGACAATGGATGACAGAGCGTCCTGGCGGAAGCGATGTTTCGCAATCCGAGACGGTCGCCACCTACGCTCCTCTGTCCCCGGACTCGCCTCTGTGCGACCCTGCGGAAGGCATCCCTCTGGGGCCTTGGAGCATCTCAGGCTTCAAGTGGTTTTCTAGTGCCACCGACAGCAATATGGCGATCTTGCTGGCCAAGACACCCCGAGGACTCAGCGCTTTCTACGCTCCGATGCGGCGGCACAACCCATCATTGGTCACGTCTGCCACTGGCAAGAGTGGAGGCGGCTGGGAGCTCAACGGCGTCAGCATCTCGCGCCTCAAGAACAAGATGGGCACCAAGTCGCTGCCCACGGCCGAGCTCGAGCTCGACGGCATGCGCGGGTGGCTCATCGGCGAAGAGGGCACGGGAATCCGGGAGATCTCGACCATCCTCACCATCACTCGCGTCCGCACCTCGGTCGGCGGTCTCGGGTATCTCAGCCGGAGCCTGGCTGTTGCGAGGGCTTTTGCCAAGGTGCGCGAGGTCGGCGCGGGCAGGGGCGCACGTATCAAGCTCAGCGACAACCCGTTACACATGAAGACGCTGAGCGACGTGACGGTCGAGTACCATGGCCTGATGCTGTTCGCGTTCTACAGCGCGTACGTCATGGGCATGGAAGAGCACCCGTCATCGAAGATGCCGCCACCTTCTTCGGCGATTGCGCGGATCACGCCGTCTCGGGAATTGGTGAGCCCCCTGTTGCGGGTCCTCACCCCTATCTTGAAGGCCTACTGCTCGAAACAGTGCATTACGCAGATCTATACGTGCATGGAGAGCCTGGGCGGGGTCGGGTACCTCGAGAACTCGGAGACCGAATACCTGAACATCGCGCGGCTGTTCCGAGATGCCTGTGTGCTCAGTATATGGGAGGGCACGACGGATGTGCTGAGTACCGATCTGATTAGGGCGTTGAAACATCCGCGGGAGGGCCCTGCGAGTATGAAGGCGCTAGACCAGCTGATATGCGCGGCAGTACAGGGACGAAACGAGAAGATTATCAAAGCCTGGGAGGCAGTCAAACACGAAGTTGAAAGAACATCGCAGGCCGATTTACTTAATCGAGCAAGAGAGATACTGTGGAGAATCTCTGAAGTGCTGATCGGAGGACTCCATGAGGTTGACTCTTGTACTGGTGATGATCCACGGAGTCGGGAGATATGCCACAGGTATATTTTGAAGAAAGACCTCAGTGGCCACCCTGTTGTCGAGAGAAATTCGAAGGACGAACTGGCAGCATGTCAGGCCATTGTCTTCGGGGGCAGAGGAAAGACAACAGAGTGGGCTTCCAAGCTTTGAAAGGGCACACTTCATTCAGTCTTTACTGAATGTATATTGATTGTATCTACAGCTTCTCAATTTATTATATTACAGCAGCATCCGTGCTGGTTGAACGTGAACTATCACGTTATCCGTTTATTGAAAGTCAACCGAAGCAGTGGCAAGTCTGGGTCATGAGCATTGCACAACCCATGCACCTACGCCGTCCACGAACTCTGGCGATGATCCAACGCCAGCTTGCTGAAACTCCAATGCAAAATTCCTCACACTACTGGCAAGCCAGGTGATCTTCCGCTCGCCATATCCGGCGGACGCAGTACCACATTCGAATGTACCGAAAACCTTCTTATCCCCAGGATGAACCTGATGAAGGGCAGAGTTGTTCCAGGTGGTGCGTCCGTCATCGCTTACAAGTGAGAAGACCATGCCCGAGTTGGAGAGCGTCTCCTGCTCGGAGCCACTGAAGTGGAAACAGGGGTATCCAGACGGAAGGTCGGAGCAGAAAGGGAGTCGAAACTGAAGTGCGCAGAGTTGTGTAGTCTTTGTAGCAAATGATCGGGGAATCGTATATTGGAATATTGTACTGTTGACAGGGGTGATGGAGGCATCCAAAGACGTATCATGGATGCCATCAGGGGCGTTATCTTGGGGAAACCCTAGTTTCCGAGGTGCGATTGACGGTGCAGACGACGCTACAGAGCAAGCCTGAGAAGAATTGGATGGATTCGAACTTGAAGGTGGCTCCGGGGCTGAAGTAGACTTGGTAGTGGAAGAAGCATCAGTGGTTCTCGTAGAAGCCTGTCCGATTGAGCTATCACTGGCACCCGATCCGTATTGGATAATAGGAACCTTCGAGCCAGTTTCGGTAGGAACTGTGAGCTCTGTAGTGGGCAATGCAGTCGTCGACCCCGTTACAGGTGAACCTCCCTGTGCTGCGCACTCCGCCGTCTGATTAGTCAAAGCCAGCGTGATCTCCACGCAGCCCGTAGTGTCGTTTTTCCATAGCGGAAAGAGACTGTAGACATCCTGATTGGTCGACCCGATAGGACAGGCAAAGAAAGTCCCTGGTGTTTCATCGTAGAGGAGCTTTGTTTTCCCATCGCTGCCCGCAGACAGCATGAAGAAGGTGGTGCTGAGAGCGCCTTGGTAGCATTGGAACTCGTAATTGGGAGCTCGCATGAAGCAGTTATTGCCTATGGCATCTTTGAGGGTCCCATTTGATGGATTAAGGCAGAAACCACCTTGCTGAAAAGAGCCTCCGAGAAGGATACGTCCGGTGTGGTTCTCTTCAACTGTCTCATTCACTGAGCCGACCGATTCCAAGTGGAAACAGCAGCCTTGAGATTCCTGCCTCTCACAAACAGCTGCAGCCGTTACTGTTCCAGAGAACAGAATCGTCACCAATGAGGGCCTCATTTTGATAGAACTTGGATATTGCAGTGTAATGTATGCGTTCGATAATGGAGGACGCGTCTTCCAGTTCACAGTCTGTTTTTGAACTGGAAGCCTCTTCCCTTCGTCAGAAGAAGGAAGCCAGGATCACCAGTATGACGATAAGCCTGCTGGAATTCTGCGGTAATGTCTCAAGTGTAAGCGTTTGTTCCCCGCTGTGACGCAAGAAATTCAGGACGATAAATCGTGTGCAGAAAAGTGAGACACGATACAGGTTTGAGGGTGGTTTGGCGAGATGATGATAATCCACGAGGCAACTGATCGAGATTGGTACTACGGGCGAGGGGCACAAGAGAAGGCACATTCGGTTGCGGCAATGTTTGAATAGGATACACTTGCTTTATTTATGTGTCAAATATGCTGGATGTTTCTCTTGGAATCTAAAGGCTGAAGTCGAGTGCTCCAAGAAGGCGCAGTGGCTTAGGCGTTGTACAAGACTCGCCAACCACTCGCAGCCAGCGAATAGAATGGCTGGCACACGTTTGGCAAACGGTATTTCAGCAAACCCACCACGAAACATGAAACACGTCTAGAATTGAGCCCAGGGAAGAATGGCCTGAATGGGCTCCAGCGGGCGAGATTGTGAATCCCGCAAGCTGCTTCCTGCGCAGTGATTGGTGCCGTGTTTGAGCCCCTGACATCAGCCTGAACCGCCGAACCGGAACAATCTTGACCAGATAGTATGACAGAAAACCATGCGGAGAACCCTGACCCATAGCTAAACGCCAAAACACGGACTGGGTGATCTCTTGAGTGCTGCGGTGGTGATGTAAATTTCACAGACTGCTTCCGCGCGCCCTTGGGCACTGGGGTGAAGAGACCACCGTGCCTGGGCTGGGCCTTTGCCGCCACGGCTGGCCAGCTCCTAATGCCGCGCTGAGTCTAGAAGCATGGAGAGCATTTCTGGTGCAGTGAAAGGTGGAAGAAGCAGCCATTCCCACGTGGGAAGAGCGTCCAGTCGGTTTGCACTGCAAGTAACTCACCGCTCCCCGTGTGACAGAGAGGGAAATTGGTCCGTCCTGCTGTCGCTTCTGGCGCGCACTGCAGCCACTGTGGCCGCCGAAGTCTACGGCCTTCTCACTAAAAACCGGTGGCTGAACAGCGCCCTGGATAGGTGGGCTTGGCAGCACTCTCCCGTTGGGCTGCCTCTGGAGTTTGAAGACATTCTTGAATGGCAGCTTGGCTTGAAAATGGGACAGGCAAGGCAAACCACATCGCAAACCAGTGTCCAAAACCTAATCTGGCATATAGAATGGAACTATACTCTTGGATCCGGACCACATCAAATGCATTTATGTCATTCGGCTGGCCATGAAGGGGTTGTTGCATCACGTTGCTCACCCGTGATTTCAAAAAGAAGCTTTGAATGTACTGCTTCTCTATTCAAGTTCGAAAAGCACTCAATGTGGCTAGAACGAGTCAAATAAGAACCGAGACAATCTAGAAACTGAGTGGCCGCCGCCAAGATACCTACTCCATCTTCACAGAACTTCTTGCACAGAGTTAGCAAAGAAGGCAACAGTTGTAGTCGCTGAAACCCAAGCCCCGGTGATCATCATTACTGAGACTACCCATGACGAGCGCTAATCGTGTTGAATAACTGCAACGCCTCGCTCCTGACTTCATCGACGATCTCGGCGGCCGGCTTGGGCGCCTTGACAAGGCCGACCCCCGTGCCACTGAAAAGGGGGTTAGCAAACTGCACAATAGTGTAACGTGGAACTACGTACGCAAACGTGACGAGACGTGACTCGTCACCTTGTTGTTTTGCCTCATTGAAGGAAGCTGCGACGTTTTCGACAGAATTGCCGTGCTCCAGGTCGACGATACCCTGATGAGTGATGGCTCTGGCGGTATATGTGCGGGACCACGTTGGATACCCCTGGATAGCATCGTGATGCGAGGACCTGGTCAGCGTTTTCAGTGTGTTGTTCACTTTGCATATTGCATTCGGGGATCATACGCCGTCGTTGCTACGCCTCCATCTTGGGCTGCCAGAACGGCTTTGCGCGCATAGGGGGCTGTATCCGTCTCTGGCGAAGTGATGAACTGTGACCAGGCTTAGTACTCAACCTATCCACAAACAACACTGCTAGACGAGTTGGTCACTTACTCTGGTTCCCATGGTCACAGCATCGGCGCCGAGTGCCAACGCAGCAGCTACGCCTCTCCCATCGACAATCCCTCCCGCTGCCACAACGGCGACCTGACGGTCCTTGAACTCTCTCCTCAACATGTCAACAATCTCGGGAAGTAGTGTCATGAGACTAGCCGCCTTGGCCCAGAGGTGACCCCCAGCATCAGCCCCTTGCGCTACGACCGCATCGGCGCCAGCACGAACAACTTGCCTTGCTGCATCTACGCTGCCGACCTGCACACAGATTTTCAAGCCCCAACTCCCGCCAACCGAGTGGAGCAACGAGATCAGCTCTCCATAGAGCGGCTCTGACGGGTCAGACCCGAATAGCCACACAAGGGCAGGTTTGTGCTTTGTAATGATGGGCACAGAGTTGTTGTGAAATAACTCAGTCGATCCGAGCAGCGTGATGAACCCGATGCCCACGGGCAGTGCGATATTGGACGAACTACCATGGCCGAGAAGTTCCCGTGCAATGGTCAACTGTTCATCCAAGGCCGCGAGATGAGGCGACTCTGCGCTTGGGTCTAAGCCGGCTGCCAGCAGACCTTGATAATGCCACTTCTTTCAGCAGATTTCTTACCACCGCGTTCATTTTTCTCAGGTCAGACATTTGAAACTTACCAAGACCTCCAGCTTTGGTTACTTCTGCGGCAAGGCGGCCGTTGGCCACCGTAAACATCGGCGCGCTCATAATGAGCGGCGACCGAGTTGAGGGGAACCATTTTTTCAACAGAGAATTAGCCATTATTAGCTCTCCCGGAATTATACCAAAATTCATATCAAAACTACAGAATCAATTCATGAACGGCCTGGTCAAAGAAGTTCTATGGCATGTGGCACTTCTATAAGTGTTCCGGTGGGTACTGCTTACATGTGCGGAGATGCTGTCTCCGCACATAATTTCCCAAGTACTAGCGTATCTGCAGTCATCCTGCCGAATTCTTACACTCCAATACGCCGCAGTACCAAGAACCCGGTGTATTGAGACCACGAACGACACGGAAGAAACTATTGGCAGGAATCTATGTCCATTGGTGCTCGAAACCCTGTCCCAACGAAGCGGGCCGGATGTCCACTCCACATGCTGGTGACACTTCAGGGAGCAAATAGTCATACTAGGATTTGTCACTAGCATACCTCAAATAAAGTCGAAACCTAAACTCCAGATCAAGCATCGCCATGGGTATCATCCGTTGCCAGCCAGTGCCTTCACAATTCATCCGTTTCATCGTCATCCGAGAGCCATATCAAAGCCGAGGATTTGGGGTTCAAAATGGTTGTCAGCTCTTCCCTCTTCACTTGAACGCTGCTGTCGAAGACCTCATCCCGACTTGTTGGTTGCGCATCCCCTTGCGGCACCATCAGAGTTCTCTCTTCTTCCTCCTTTACTGACTTCAGAGGAGTATCCCCCTTAATCTCGTCTTTGGTTTCATCAATGACTTCATCTTTGATATTGTGCTTGACCTCAGCTTTGAGCCTGTCTGCGTGCTCTGACTTCACTAGGCCTGACTCCTTCAGCCGTTCAAGTCTTTTCTTGTAGAATAAGTCCAACGTGTTCCTTCGTTGCTCCTGGGTCATGCCCTCGACAGCCAACGCGAACTCGGTGGCACTTGGAAAGCCGAATGTTTGCGCCATAGTGCAGAACTGTCGCTCCATGACATCGTCTGGTGGGTTATACTGGAAGCTCGAGGAGACCTCCAAACCTGCCTCGAAGCCATCAATGTTCTGGCTATCGAGGAAGATGGCGCGGCCTGTCGCATCCACGTTTTGACTGGCCTCAAGTTCTGCTTGACGCGAGATGCGATCCTCGACCTTGGAGGAACCAACGACTTCGGAGTTCTCGTGCGTGTACTCCACCCCCGCCGATGCGAGAATGGCTTGTACAACATCGCTCTTTCGTTTCTGAGACGGTTTCTTGCCTGAGCTTGTTGCCTTGTCATCGTTAGTGAGAATTTCTGCCAACTGGCCGAGCCCACCATCTCCATTATCAACGTCTTTCTCTCTTTTGATCAAACCACTCTGGGATGCATCCTCCACAGCCTTCTCCATATCCACATCCATAAGGCTCACTCCAGCTCGAGCTTCGGCAATGTTGGTCTTGTTGACGATGTCCCTCAGCATGACCTGGTCGGCATGGAAAGTGAACAGATTGTTAATCCCGAAGATCTCGCCTTTCCGACCGGCTTCGTTTTGAACTCCTTTGAAGTATCGTCGTTCGTTCGAGGCAGTATACCCGATGTTGGCTTGCTGTTGCTTGTATATCTGTCTCGCGTAGGTAATCTCCTCGATGGTCCCCGCAGAGATCAAGCGGTAAACCTCGACATCTCGGACCTGGCCAATACGATAAGCACGGTCTTGTGCTTGGAGATCGTAAGACGGATTCCAATGAGGGTCCATAATTACGACTTTGTTGGCCGATGTGATGTTAAGACCAACACCGCCCGCCTTTGTAGAAATCAGGAACACAAATTGATTGGGATCTGAGTTGAAGTCGTCTACAGTGTTTTGCCGCTCTTCATACGATAAAGATCCGTCAAGATAGCTAACATTGTAGCTGGTATTGTTGAACAGGTGCTGGAGAATCCTCAATAGCCTGACACTGTGAGAAAAGACCAGAACTTTGTCCCCGTTCGAATGCCAGTACTTGAGCAGCTTCTTGAGAACCGCCCATTTGCCACAGAATTCGGGGTTGGCCAGGTTGAGCAAAGAATCGCGTTGACTATAGAGCTCCTTCCACCTGTTAGGCATAGCGGCTTTTAGATACCGGATGTCCCGGTGATGCTTCTCGGCTGTCTCTGAATGCGACGGGATCAGCAATGTGAGATGGCTTGACAGTTTCTGCAGTGACATGACTAGAGGGAAAACGAGCGCTTTCCACGATTCCCCTTCGTCAGTCTCTGTGTAGCAGCACCATCCACTTTTCTTCCGAGAACCGCAATCGCAATAATCGTATGCTGTCTTCACGAGCTGGGCCAACGGACTTTTCAGGAAGGTCTCATAGGCTTCGCGCTGTAGCTCGGACAGGGGACAGAATACAACTCTGTCACTCTTTTTGGGTAACTGGTGGGCAATCAGGCTCTTCATTCGCCGCAGGAAGAATTGTGGTAGGAGGTTCTCCACCAGCTTTTTGGCGGTTCTTCTTGCCTTGCTGAGCTGCTGAAATGTAGCCTCGTGTGATTGACCGATTGTCAATGGCTTACTGATCGTGTGTGTCCACTCCGACTTTGTTCCAAATAACCCGGGGTTGGTCCAGTTCAGTAATGTCCACAGTTCTTCATATTTGTTCTGTATCGCAGTGCCTGTCAAACCGATGCGACACAAGGCGTTGACGTCATTCATGGCTCTCGTCACTTCTGCCGAGATGTCCTTGAGACAGTGACACTCGTCAGCAACTACAACATCCCAGGCGACCCGATTTACGGCGTCACAATTGTTTTTGTATGTCGTGTAGGTGGTGATCATGATTTCAAGCCTGCCGGCCCTTGCGGTGCCCAGGACGTCGTCTTTGTTCGCTCCGTGGTAGAGGTCAGTGACCCACCAGCCCCATCGGTCCAGCTCTTGTTTCCAGTTCTGAGTCAAGGATCCTGGGCACACGATGAGCACTTTTGGATACCAATGACCACTGGTGTTGCGGAGCTTTCTCATTCTCTTTGCGTCTCGCTGATCCCCAGTTTTGCCAAACATAGCCGTAAGGAACGCTGCCACTTGCACGGTCTTCCCCAGACCCATATCATCTCCTAGTACACCACCTTCCTGGTAGACGAAGAGACGGTGGAGGAATCTGACACCTTCGACTTGGTAGTCACGAAGATACTGCGCAATCGACGCAGGTATCACACCTGCCGACTGTTCAAGGAAAATATCCCTGTGTGGGCGGCTTGGCTTTATCCCGCTTCTTTCATCAAACTGGGGTTTCTCATGGAGTGCTCCTGAACTTTCATCTTCAGAGAACTCGATGTCTTCGTAGGTTGGGGGAAGCACCAGTCCGGCGACACGCAGTCTCTCGACGCGGGCATTGAATTGTCTGCGACGCGCCTGCAGGTAGCCAGGAAGAGCGTGTTCTAGTGAGTCTTCGTCTCCTGAGGACAAACCATCGGCGCGCTTCTTTTTTGCGGCAGCTTTTGCAATTTTGTGTTTGGGCGCAGACGAGGATGCCTTTGCACCAGCTTTGCCCTTCCCTTTACGTTCGGCCGCGATGTCGCTCTTCTTGCGCTTTCTGAAAGCGTCCAGCGTTGGCTCGTCTGAGTCGTCTGTCCATTCGACTTTCTCCTCATCAAAAGGGCCGAGCTTCCGTTTCCTCGAGATGGCACCATGACTCCGCGATGCGGATGCTCCCACGTCTTGCTCGGAGGCCGTGGACTCATCGGCATCTGCGACGTGGATAACACTTGGTCTGGGAGGCATCTTGCACCCTGGACGCAGCAACAGCCCACTCACTGGGCATGTTACTACATGTGAGGTGGGGGTCGGGAGGATGATAAGATGCCAATAGCCAACCTCAGCCAATAAAGTGGACAAAGAGCTTCTATGGCAGGCGCGCCACCGTGAGGTATCCGCGACGCGAGGTCACGTGATTATCACTTTGCTGCCTAGGTTGCTCCAACGCATACCTATGTACTTCCAACAGATCGTGACTCTACGAGAAAGTCAGACAGCATCCCATCTTTTCAACAGATTACCCTTCAAGTCGACTTTTGCACCTGCAAATATCCCGAAAAGCGCAGTCCTGCGTTTTCTAGCCAGAACGTCTTGCAATTCTCCAGAGTCACCACCTCTGTGTTGTAACTCTTGTCCCAGGCTCTACGGCTGTGGCGTCAGGAGCCATACTTACCATTATCGCATTACGCTTTCTCAACTGCTCTGGAATTACTTCTACAATTATCTGCCGTGCAATTAGCCGCAACCAATCCATAGAGCCATCTGGCCCTCATAATGCTCGAAGACCTAGCACCAGAACTCGTCTTCCATGTGATACACGCCGTGGACGGCCCTCAGGACCTCCTGTCTTTGCTCAAGGCGTCGCCACGATGCTATAAAGTCTTCGTCAGATGGCGCCAGAGCATTTTGTCTTCGGTTATCAAGAATGCCCTCCTGCCCTAAGCTCTGCATCATGCACTAGCGCTCTTCCATATCCCCCCTCCTGGCTCAGACTCGAACTTCCCAGCACTTGCGGATCTCATGGCGTTCTTAGATATTTACTTCGAGGAAGGCGCATTTACATTTCCCAACGATTTATTCATGATAAAGTCTCTGTGTCGTTTATTGTTACGAGTTAATCGATATGTCGACGATTACTTTGAGAAAGCAAAAGAAGCCCTTAACCTTCCTAGTGATGCGGCAGCCAAGTCACTTCCTTTGTCTCCCATGGAACGTACCAGAATGCAGAGGGCGTTCTTGCGGTTCGAACTCTACTGCCAAATCTGCCCTGTTGATCGTTGGTGTTATGGGTTATCACTCTCTAAAGCTGATGTTCAGTTTGAGCATTTCTTAGCCGCATGGCTCCGTGGGAGGTCGAGGAACTCAGCTCCATCCACCAGGTTCTGACAAGTATTGTTAGGAAACATATAGCTGATATGGAGGAACAGCTTATAGACATGATTTTATCATCCCCAGGCATCAAGATTCCCGATGGTTTCGACCAAAATGCAGATCACAAACGGGAAACATGAGAAACACGAATTACAGAAGGAGGCGTCATACTTTGTGCTTCTCCTATCTCGTACGCAGAACCTTCGTCAGCTGAGGGATCCGATCTCAAACAATCAGACAGTGTAACCCACATGTCCGTATTGCAATTGAAACTGTAGAACTTATAAGGTTAGAGATGTTCTCGGACATTGGCACACAAACATCCTTGGAGTCCATCAGCTATGTCACGTCCCTTGGGTTAGATTTCTTTGAACAATTGAGGAGCGCCGACTTTCAAGAACGCAATAATCTCACCCGGCGAAAGACCCCTCTATTCCGACATTTTCTCTCCGAAGCATTGGATTATGCTCCGATGACTTCTACCAAGACTGATTTGCGCCAGTTGATAACGGACGACGCATCTCACCCCAATTTGGGTTGGACACTCTACAACTCTTCACCCCTAGATTGCTACCTAAAGATAAACCGTGACGGCATTATGAAATGTCCTCTACGAGAGCGAGGATATGTTTTCTGGGACTCAAAGAGGATCGCTAACCCATATGTGGATAAGGCACTCCAACTGGCTCGGAACATGAATGAGAAGCAAGTGGACGCTATTTACGGCCCCGAAGCTCATAGGAGTGTCGAGAGCAGGCTTCGGGGCGTCCGCATGCCGCAGGAAGTGTTGGATATGGCGATGGAAAATTTTGGATCTTTATGAACTGGATTTTGTAGATATGGACTCTGATGATCAGTTACATAGGTGGTTAAGGCAGTTAGAGTTCTGATATATTCGTCATTTCTCCTAGTTTGACACTGATTCGGACGTTACCGCAACGTTCCCTTTCTCTCAAGATGGCTTGGACAGAGACTCTAATAGTGGGTTATCCGTTTGTGAACGTCGACCCAGATACCGAATCATCATGCTTCCGAACACTTACGAAACACGGAAGATATGCATCGCATTAAAGTGTAGGTGACAACAGGGAAGTATTGCAAACTGTATGGACAAAGCAGAATAATAGGATGTATATGCACGACAGAAGTGCAGCTGCCATGGTATTTCAAGGGCAATAACCGTTACAGCAGTCAAGTGCCCCCGTAATATGCTGGAATGCCTTGCACCTCGGTGACTCTGATGGAGAAAGTCCATAGCAAGAAATAGCCAATAGGATGCCTAAATTAGGGCTATATTTTCGAAACATATTTGATCACGCCCTTACAAGGCAGCGGGGTCTTTCTCTTTGTTTCAGCACCCATGATACGAGCTGACCAACAGACCACGAAAACACAAATTCAGTCTTATTTTATCGCAGCCTGCTTGAGCAAGAACCAAAGCCATATGTTCATCATTATTCTCTTTCAGTGATCGAGCTGGCTTTACAGCAGTAAGTTCGGGCGAATAGAACTGCGCGGTGACAACCTCTTTGTCCCGCATATGCACACCCCAACCCTTATTCGCCTATATAAGCAGGCACAGTCTTCGAGGATGTCCGGCTCCAGTGATGAACAGAACTACCTGCACCCAAAATGACGGATCGAGACACCACATTCAACTTTGTCTACCACATTGAGCGCACTAACTGGCTCTTCCCCCACCTCGTGTCGGTCGACGACGCCCTCATGGTGTGGCACCCCGAGACGGGCTGCTCCGCCGCGGTCGAAATCGCGCCGGCGCATGTCAACCGGCCCCTCATCATCGACGCCAAGCACAACCCGGAACGCTGCACCTGCAGCGATTACCTGGTGGCATGCGCTCGATCCATGGAACGGCGGTCCGCAGCGCGCAGCCCGGAGGACCGGGCGAACTATCGAGCGCTGCGCCGCCTCCGGCACAGCGTCGTGGCCAATATCGTCATGGACCACCTCTCGGCTGCCGAGCAGCGCCGTGCAGGCTCGCGGGCGTGGTTCCTGCGGGGTGCCGGCCGGTGGAGCGACGCCATCTCGTACATGCTCAAAATGAAGGAGGAGATGGGCTTGCCTTTCCCACTGAGCCAAGCGGTATTCCGGGTGGATATCGAGGTGGTGGACAGCAGCGGTAGGTTCTTTCGTCCCCGAGGGATTCCCGTCGTTCGGGCGCAGGACATACTAACGACGCTGCAGATATCAGTGACCGATGTAGAAATCATCCTCCTCTCAAGATTAGCAGCTCAAGTTTTTGCTGTCATCAGTGTCCACCTCTTCGCCGATGCTGAATCTAGCACGGAGGCACATCAAGGCTAGGATGATTCTACCTCGCCGTATGTGTCTGGTTGGTTTTCTGAAGGGCAGGGATACCGGTACTATCGATTGCACGTCATCGCATGGGTCGTATAGGCTATAGACGAACAGTTCTATGAGCCTACTCGGCGATCTCTTGAGCAGACGCAAGTATAATAGACTCGGGTCGGTTTTAGGTTCTGATCATTGAAATACACACTAGCCGTCCTAAGTTTATATGCAGCGTAAGTATTGCCCCCATGAACTCCTCTTGGTATGATATCGCTGCACTAATCGATGCTTCTGCAAACAATGGAAAGCAGAGTAAAAGCAAAATTCCAGATCTTGCCAATCGACCTTGTACCTTGGTCCATTCTTCAACAGTCTATGCTAAAGATAGGTATCGCTATGCTCTCCCCGTTCCCAGAATGTTTTTGTTGTCCCGCCCGATGCATACTGCTAGGGATTGGCCTTGGTATTGCGCTAGAGTTTACCTACCCATAGCAGCCCCGGAACTGTTTCACTGTACTATCGGTCTATGGATGACCGGCAGTGGCTTTCAGGCTCAGTAATTGACTTGGAACTTGAAGAACAGTGGATCGCCCCACGCGTCGATAGCCGTCTGACGACTTTCTGCGGTCCAGATAATGCTCGGATGATGCCACACTGAATCCACCTGTCCTGTATATCGTATGTGAATAACCGTCGCTAATCGCGGACTCGTTTTCGCAATGACCTCGTCAAAGCTGAGGAATGCCTGGTGAAGCTAGTGCAAGATCCTGTGATACCACGAGAACACGAAAAGTCGAAGGTCTTTCGTGTTTGTTGCTCCTCAGATTATGTTGGCAACTGCTTGGATATGCCTCGCCGAACTTTACTATCAGTGAAGCTTGAGAATCTCGTGGAAGTGGTGGCTTTGTGGACAATTGCCACTTTGAATGGGTTCTCCAGGCAGCGACATTCCGTTGCCGCGCTCTCCAAACTACGACTTCTTAATCCATGACTGCTCGAGCTCCGAGTGCATTTTTTCTGCGGCTAGAGGTTGGCCTAGCCGGCTGTAATGTTCCTCGAGCTGCAACATCGCTCTCGTCGTTCGCGAATTCTCCACCCCTAGCCTCTTTCGTCGTGCTTGGTACGTTTCGAGGTAATAAGGTGTCGCCTCCTCTAGTTTCCCAAGGCCAACTAATGTACTGCCCCTGACAAGCAGCCACTGTTCGTATTGCTCCGGGAACTGGGTTGCACCGCCGCGCTCTAGCCAGCTGCCAATCTCTTCGGTGACTTGGTATGCTTCGGGAAACCTCTTGCGTTCTACCAAATATATTGCGAAGTAGATCTTGACTTCGTATAGATGTCGAATGATTTCGTCATGGTCAGCCGCCTTTGTCGTTTTGCCACGTTTTCCAGCTATCGAGTTTTCGATCTCCCGAATCGTCCTTTCAAATATCGTCACGGCAGACTGTTCTGATATAGCGCCCCATTTCTGCTGCAACTTGGCATACGTGGGATACATAGCCGTGCGCCAACGATTGGCCGGGTGGCTATGATTCACAATCACATGAAAGTAGGCTCCTAGTACAGCCCCGATCACTTGCTGTATTTGTACCGGCCCTAGGGTTTGCATCTGGGCCCAGAACCGACTCAGTGGATGTGACTCTCCAAACTTGATGGCGACCAGGCGAGCAACATAGCGCAAGAGCGTGGCGGCCATCTCCGGTCCAACCTCCATGAGGCCCACAATGTGACCTAGTGTCAGCGGGATGAGTGACGGAGTTGCTTGATCCAAAACCGCCGAGTATTGATCGAAAGACTTATGCACCATGGCAAAGTTGGTAGGCGAGTTACGATCTTTCAGTAGATTCCTCGTAGCAAGGGACAATCCGTTGTACCAGCTGTCTGTCTTATCAGCGTCAAAATCGAAAGTTAGACCCGAAAGATCCCATTTTGTCTCCTCGAACTGGTGAACTGCAAAGTCGTGGACAGCCATCAGGCCAGCCTCTGTTATCCGAAGCGTATCTGGAGGCTCCACACGACCCGACAGAGGCGACAGCGCTGACACCGGGGACGCCACCGTCACCGGCGGCGACAAGATGGCCCCGTTCCGAGTGGACACGAGGACTTTGGTGGTAGTCTCGGGCCGGGACGCAACCCTGTTGAGCCGCTTCTGCCATTTCTTGGAGCCCATGCTGCGACCCCGGATGACGAGCGGCTGCTTGACGACGCCCGACTGGGCCAGGCCCATGATCTGCTTGGCGTCACTAGATTTGAGGTTCTTGACGAGGCCCCAGGATTTGAGGCGGCTCTTGTACATCTTGTCCCTGGACGGATAACTCAGCACATGTGGCGATGTGTCCACGTCAATCAAGGGATGCACCTACGTGGCGTGGAAGTCATGCTCCTGGCTCATGATGTCCTGGACCTCCTTGAGCGAGTGGTCATCGTCCCACCAGAGCCGCGAAATCGTCTCCTTGTTGGCCTCCCAGTCTTCGGGGGAGGCCCACGCTTTGCCGGCGGGTGCGGGCGTCATGGTGGCAGCGGGAGCTCATGACACGGTTCCCATGTTGCAAGGACTATCAGCAGAGTCCTACCGGGCTTCGGATACAGGCATGCGATGCTGACAGCGTGCGCCGACTCCAGACTGGCTTGTGGACTCGTGTCTCCAGGTGCTCGCGACGGCTTTTGATTGAGATTCTGTTGGCCAGCACGGCATATTCGAGGTGAAGTGGCAGATTTGGCCAAGTGCTTGTTACGTCGGCCCACGTGAAGCGAAAGCGGCCGGGCGGGACCCTGGTCAGAATAGGCCACCCGTTTATCTCGCTTTCTCCTGAGCTGGGGCGGCTGGACTGGGCGACCGGCACGGAACGGTACTTGACTTGACAGCTCAGACAGGGATGCTAACTACTGTGGTAGCCCTGGAAGTCACTTGCGTTTGGGGGGCATCGTGCCCCATTAATAATCTACATATACCCCAGGCATGCATCCCTCCTGGTTGCTGGTCTAAACTCACAGTAACAGCACACGCAGCAACCCCCCGGATCTTGCATTGGTATACCTCAAGCTGCAGCACACGAGGGAGCAACAATCGGCAAATCGTGCTTCGCTGTGCTGCACTCCGCTGCACCTGCACGGCTTTCGCCACCCCCGGAGGAGCAGGGCCGCCGGGTGAGATTCCCTTCCGTGTTCCCTTTGCCCTCGCGGGGGTTGCAAAAGGGAGCACAAAAAGAAGCAAGCAAACTGGGATGCCGGCCAAGCTAGCGGCAGATGGGAGTTGAGGAAGGGGGGCACTGTAGCAATCAATTACCAACCGAGGCCTACTTTGCGATGCACAATATCGCCGTACCTGTGGAGCTACTGCACTACCTTGCCTACTGCATTTCACAACCTTTCATAATTGTCAAGTAGGCCCGAGGGCACGTGTGTGGTGGTTAATCAATCGCTGCATGTACAATACGTTGTTGTCCATGCAGCCGATGTTTCAGTCCGCCATCGTTCACACCCTACCAGATGTGTGCGACTGCGACGACGCTTTGCAAGTACCACGGGAGCAGTCGTCCTGTGACGCACTTTTCTTGCATCAGACGTACGGAAGGAATCTCATCTTAGGCACTCTGCCCCATAGATGAGCGCCTAAGAAGCTTACCTGGCGCTGCCGCTGCAAGTGTCCTGCTGTCATCATCGTGCAGTGGCCCCCAACCGCTCCGTCGGGCTCTCCGCGCCATCGTGGGCGGGATCCTGCCTACTATATAAATAGCACAACCGGGGATGCACTAACTCTCCCACGAGGCATGGCTGCTCAGCCCTTGGTTAATGAGTGGCTTGTTTGCATCCTCGAAAAGTCTTCCCGAATCCTCCTGATCCGAGGGGCCGAGTCGCGTTTTGTTGACTTGCTGTTTCTCCTGTGACGGTATAGAGTTGCCGTTGACGCTAACTTGGAGTGCGACATGGATCAAGCATGATCTGATACTTCAGCAACCTGGTCTAGCGTCCGTCGGAAGTCGGCTGAAGACTACTAGACTACTGTTGCGGGAGCTATGATAGTTAGGAACTCAATCACAATGTGACAATGGCGAAAGAAAGCAGGGCCAATCAATGTCTACATTCCTCGGAAGGAGCAATTCCCTAGCTCGATTATCCCGGGCGTGCTCCCATCTCCGCGCCATGTTTCCTCTCGACTGGATACAAGAACTAGGCTACCAAATCAGCCTCTGGCCTGCTTTGCGTAAAAGAATCTCTTCATTGCTTCCATGCGGGCGCTGTTGAGAAGTACCCAAAGAAAGCGTCGTCCAGCGTCACGACGTGCCGCGTCATAGAGGCTGTCACGGGCACTCTGCTCGGGAACGCCGCCATCACCCTGCTGAGCCACGCTTGGTGCAACGCGGCCAGCTCCCCCGTGAGAAAAGGAACCGAGCAAACCGATGCAGATGTCGTTCGCCTTGTCGTCGAAGGGGTTGAGACCGTCCCGGAACACTGGGACCTCGGGGTCTGGAAGAAGAAGACCGATCACTTCTTTGGTGTTCTGTGCCGAGCCATGGGCCTCCATGACGCCACGGCGCCCTTCGATCTCGGGCGTGGCCTGGATGACGGCCGCGTACGCCATCTTGAACGTGTGAGTTTCCGCCAGCGTCTTCTGTAGCTTGCCCACAGTCTCCCGGAGACGGAGAACCTCCTCCTCGAGTTCGCAATTCTCGTCAATCAAGGCGTTGTTCTCGGAAATCATGTCTTGATGCAACTTGGTGTTGCCCTCGACTGGCTCGGCGGTGTCTACCATCTGCTTCTCGTTCTCATTGATCGTATTGGTAGGCTGTGACTGCAGCTCGCATGTCTTGTCATCTTGGTCCGACGAGGCCGGGTCCGGGACGGAGCTCGGGTCAGCAGCAGCAGCGACATGGTTGGTCGTGTCGTGCGAGGAGTTCTACGGTACGCTCAGATTAGTATCCCGTACCGACTGAATAACGACCACCGACCGTTCCAGGCATGAGCATGAGCGCTCCCATATGCACGTCGCGGACGGCAAATAGTCGTAAGAATTTACTCACAGTGGGCACAAGTCGGTCTGTGGTGGCGGCATCTATCGCCATCGCATCATGAGTAGCTTTCATCTCGTTCATCATGGTGTTGAGAGTTGTCCTGGTGAAGGTTGTTGCAGTGTTAGAGATGAGTTGACTTCTGATCTCACAAGAGAGCCCTGATATTTGGTGAGGATTGAAGCAAAAGTGATCTTCAGAGAATTTAACTGGCCAAAAGAAATGGTGGCCTGGGGTTAGGACGCAGAGAATATTCACATTGTTTGCCGTCGAAAAAGACAGGACAATCAAGACGCCGTTGCCTAGCCAGCCGAGCATACTCCTACAACATTGAACGAAAGATTCACCTGCCATAGCAGGCATTTCACAATGTGGTCTGATCTTGTCCATTGCAATGTATTCTCGCAAACTCCCCTAGTAGTAGTCAATTGCTGTGACCAAATGCTGCACTCTATCTGCACATATACTCAAGACTGCCGCTCATTACAGTCCAGAGGTGCTCCAAATCTTAACAGCAGCGTCACCACCCGTGCTGGCCACCCTGTCCCCAGAAAGCCAAGCCACCGCGTTTACGCCGTCCTTGTGAGCGTTGAGGGCCTTGACACGACTGCCAGGCTTGGCAAGACTCCATACGAAGACATTGGTGTCAAGCGCACCGCTCACAGCATGCGTGCCCGCCTCATTCCACGAGATGCTAGTAACCCTCGCGGTGTGGGCGGACCAACGATCGGTAGCAATCGACAGGTCCGAAGTCTTGTAAGCGAAGATCTTGCCAGAAGAATTGCCCGCTGCCAGGTGCGAACCATCCCGCGAGAACGCCACCGCCGAGATCTGAGCAGTGCTGTTCTTGGCCTCGCAGCATTGCGCAAGGTTGCTGGAAGAGTCTGCCTTGTAGACTCGCACTGCGTTGTTGCTAAGGCCGACGGCCACCAGAGATCCATGGGCGGCGATGGAAGTGGGTTGGGCATCAGAGATGTCGAGCTTGCCCGCCAATGAGCCCTTGGTGTAGATTTCGATCCCCGATGCGGTAGCTACGTAAGTCTTGCCCTCTGTAGAGGCAACGCCCTTCGGCTGTGCTGACAGCTTGATCGACTCGCCGGCAAATGTGTTGGCCGACTCGTCAATGATTCGAAGAGTGTCGTCCCAACCAACACTGTATCCACTGCCAGAACTCGAGGCAATTTGGCTGACTTGGTTCGTGTGGCTCTGGCCATCAACAACGGCACCAACACCCGACGAAATATCCCAGTTCAGCACTCTGCCCTCAAAGCTTCCGGTCCACAGCTTTGACCCCTTGCCCTCGGAATCGGCACCCATGGCGGTGATGCTCTTGTTGTGTCCCTGAACCACCTTGACGGGTTCGGGCTTGCCCTCGTGGAAGTACGTCAGATCACCATCCAGGTTCAAGCTGATAATCAGCCCATCGGATCGTCCATGCGGCCACACCACACCCACTTGCTGGTCGGGGATGCTCACGCCGCCGCCCAGCTTCCAGGTCTGGGTCGACTTGCCGGCCTCGACGTCCCACACCTTGACGGTCTGATCCGCGCTGGCAGTCACCAGCTTCTTGCTGTCCTTGGCCCAGCTGACGGCAAAGATGCTGCCCGTGTGCTCGCCCTCTCCGAAGCTCTTGGTCGGCTCGCCCGTCTTGCCGTCGTATAGCTGGATCTTCTTGTCTGCGCCGACCGTGACCAGGTGGTTTCCGTCGGGGGAGAATGCAGCCCCAAACACAAAACCCTTGTGCACACCGCTGTGCTTGCTGTTGAACTTGAACGGTGCGCCGTGCAAGAAGCACATGGCCATGTCATCACTGACGGTGGCAGCCCGCAGCGGCCTCATGCCCCGGATGGCGACCGCATTGATGACCTTGCTGTGGCCGCTGACCTCACCCACGCTGTTGCCGCTGTCGGCGGTTATGCAGTGACCGAAGCGCTCGCGGCCGTCTCCAACAGCGATGATGCGCTGGGAATCGCCGTCCCAGGCAATGTCGTTGATGCGGCCGGAGATGATGTGGTATTCGCCCTTGGTGTTGACGGCCTCGACGGCGTCCCAGACGCGGACCGTGCCGGCAACATCACCGGAGGCTACATAGAACCCGGACGGGCTGAACCTGGCTACGGTCGTGTTGGTCGTGTGGCCGGTGTACTGCTTGCACTCGGCGGGGTTGTCGATGGAGCGGAGGAAGATGGATTTGCCAGACTGGCCGGCGTTGGAGTCAGCGAGTCGAAACAAGAACCTATCATCCCAGCAGGGGCCTCTGCAAGGCACACAGATGCTCATGCCCGGGACCGACTTACGGCATATGCTATCCTCTCGCCCTTGGGGTCGGTGGACAGCTGGGTAGGCTGGCCCCGCGATGTTGCGGGGTTGGCGGCGAGGATCTTCTCAATTGCGATGGACATTTTGGCTCGCGGTCAAGATTGTTGATGTCTTCAGCTACCCCTAGATCCCGTCGAGTCGGATTCGGTCTCAAATAGCAGCGCAGAGAACGGGTGCCTGGTTGATCGTCGAGCTCAGATGTTGGTTACCTAGGAGCGAGCTTATGTTTACACATGGAGGGGCCCCCTGGTACCCCCCTGGCTGCCAGCGGCGGATTGGCTTCTAGCGACTGCGGGGCATTATTTCGGCGCCTGATCTCATAGCGGGTTTGCGACACCCGCCGTTTGGGGTCTTTATGCTAAAAAAGGGGGGTTACTGGCTAGTCACAACCCTGCTGCTATGGATGGTATGCTTGATATATATCCAAGTAGACTACCTAATGTACCCACTGAGCTGTAGGAGACAATGATCTGCTAACTTCAGTAAGTACAGATTGGAGGACAACTGCTTGAGAGGGGTAAAGCTGAATTGACACGCAATCTACAAACCATAAACACCGAGGAGAACACCACACAATCGCAGGAACATCACATCGTAAGAAATTAGACTATTTGCAAGCTTATAGGCAACTACGCCTGGGGTATCTTCCGTTCGCAACAAAACGCCAAAAGCAACCGTGTTTGTGTCCATATGATCCGTAGAATCCTTGATAGCGGGCATAGAGAGCAGCCAATGTGGTGTGGTATGTGAGAGTGGTTTGTTCAGGCCTTAACCTTGTGTAGTAGTTCATTATGCCATGCAGGTCGTTGTCGTTCTTGAGCTCACAGCTTGCTCACTGTTTCCCCGTTGCCGTGGTTGACCATGACTTATGAGAGTCCAGGCTTGAGGGCAGCGGTAAAGTATGAGTCCTCTACCTTAGCTGGCTTTGTCGTTGTTGCCTTCCGCGAGTTGCTGCTCGAGCTTCTTCTTGGCGTACCAATTCTGGCGCCATTCTTGGTACATGTTATTTTTCTTTTCTGACCAGTGTCCACTGAGGAAGTCATGACGGGGGTCTCCATCTGAGAAGGGCTGACCGCCCACCATGTCGTTCCACATCTGCTGTTCGAGGGGCAATGTTGACTTTTCAGCTGCGGTCAGCGGCTCCTTGCGATTATTCGGGAAAATAGAACCAATGATATCGCCCAAGTGACGATATACCGAATTCTCGGGTGGTTTGGGAGGCCAGTTCGTGGGCTGGAAAGTTTCCATCTGCTCCACGTCCTCATGCAGTTTGCTAGATAACATGAGTATAAGAACTGGCACAGAAGTGTATCTCGGGCTCAGGCTTACCCAAGATGTCCATGAACCAGGTAGCCTTGTCTGGCGAGCTCCTCGGCGAGCTCAAGCTGATGGTTGTCCATAAGAGAGGTGTTGGGAACGACGATGACTCTAGCATCAACGTTGAGAGACTCCAGGATGGTGCCGGCACCTAATAACACAGGTTAGCCACGGTGGATTGCACATGCAACAAGGCAAGACTCGCCTGCATGAGCCATGATAATGCCCCTGCCTCGCGTCTCGCCATCTCGTCTACCATCGCTAGGGGTGCACTTCAAGTAGTAGGGTTTGATATTATCGGTGTAAGAAAATCCTTCGATGGCGATCCAGTGGCTATCAAAGCCCTTCTGAGGCCGGATCTCCTCAAAGTACTCCAGGTCAGGGCCACATTGGATGATGAGTCGGTTGAACTTGAGAGCCTCTAAGACGTGAAGGAACGGCTCAGAGAGAACTTCTTGAATGAGGGTCTTGAAGGAAGCAATGCTGCCAATGGTGACGAACATGGTTCGGCCCGGCTGGCGGTATCGAGGTACCGCAGCCGCGATAGCAGGGTCGGCCATGATGCGAGCGTCACCGTCGTCGTCAGAATTGGCGTAGGGGGTTTCAAGAGACGAGATGGACGGAGGCTCTGTATTTGGGTTGGTGATGGCGCCAGAGAAGAAGGACTTGATGTTCTTGTAGTATTCGTCGTCTTCGGACGCCGGGGGACTGACAGGCTCAGATTGCTTTGCCTGGGAGGGACGGGTTAGATGGACGTAGTTGGCTGCAGAACATGGCCATGACCCTGGTTGGTCCAAAGACTGTGAGGGCAACTTGGGCAGGTACGCTCAGTGATACATCTGGCGCTGGACAGAAATCCCAAACATCGCATGCGAATCAAGGTACATGAATAACTGCTGGGTGCTAAGTGTCACTCACCATCTCGAGGGCCAATGCAATGCCTGGATCGGGAGGCTGTGGCGGTGCAGTTCTGGATTGCGGGAGACTTCACGGTAACAAATGGGGGAGATGGGGCGGTGCAGAGGTCCGACCTTGGGCCCGCCTGGAGTCTAGCGAGAAACTCTGGGCAAATCAGATGCCTGGGCGATCAATTGCTGGGTCCGCGTCTTGCTCTAGCCCGGTCGCGGAATTACTCCCTACCCGTCGAAATTTGTCTGGTCGCCGAAGCTGCGATATTGCCCAGCAAGCACATTGCGAGCTCAGTGTTGGACTCTCTGGAACGACCTCGAGTCCCCGAGCCATTGAATACGCCATGGTCGCCGCCGTACAGTCGCTGAGGCTGTGTGCGCGGGCCTGCAGACAGCCCTCAGCTTCGCGGCGGATAGCATCGACGTTCGCGACCCCCAGGCGCACCTTCTCCTCGACGCGGGCATGGCGCGCAGACGCCCCCAAGAGACCTGAAGGCGAAGCCGCCGAGGGCGCAGCCGCTGTCCCGCAGTCCACAGAGCCCCAGGCCTCTCACCAGTACCGAGGCAGATCCGACAAGGTCAGCCTGGAGCTTCAGGAGGGATTGAGCGAGGCAGAGAAGGCGACATATCGAGAGCTGCTGGAGTACGCCGATGCCCACAATCTCAGCACCCAAAAGCAGCGCAAACCTACCGAGCAGCAGATGGAGGAGGCATCAGACAAGATCGAGGAGCAATTCTTCGGACCCAATCTGTCGCCCGAACAGCGCGAGGCCATGCGGGAGCTCGATCAAGAGCTCCGGGCCTTCGACGATCCCATCTATCAGGCCAACAGGCAGATCCGGGTGCACAGGCAGTCGTTCTGGGGTGAAGAAGAGGAGGACCCTGACATGATCACCGAGGATATCGATGACGACGAGTTCGGCGAGGACGACATCATGAGCATGGCGCACGGAAAGCTCGAGGAACACCGCGAGTTCAGAGAATACGCTCGCATTGCAGCCTGGCAGATGCCACTGCTCTCAAGTCCGTCCCCAGGCGCACCGCTTTCACATTACCGATAACACTATACTGACTCTCCCCGCTTCACAGAACTTGCGCGACCCTTCGAACCCCCTTCCGCCCAGGAGCCTCTGCGCTTCCGATACACGACGTACATGGGCGAGAACCACCCGGCACAGAGCAAGGTGGTGGTTGAGTTCTCGCCGCGCGATCTTGGGCTCAATGACAAGCAACAGTTGAAGCTCAAGAAGCTGCTCGGCCCTCGGTGGAACCCCGAGACGGATATTGCCAAGATGAGCTGCGAGCAGTTCGACCACCAGGCACAGAACAAGCGCTACCTCGGCGACCTTGTGAACAAGCTGATCGCTCAAGCCAAGGTAAGGGTTTTGCAGCTTGTCCTATCCCGGTATTCGTGCTGACGTGTGGTGCGCCCAGGACCCCAAAGACACGTTCGAGGACATTCCCTTGGACACACGACACCACCCGAAGCAGAAGAAGGTCAAGTTCCCCGTAGAGTGGCGCTTGACCACGGAGCGCATGCAGGCGATTGAGGACACCCGGCAAAAGTCGCTCTTGCTGGATCAGACCAGGACCGAGGCGGGATCGCTCGTGGACGGCTCCGAAATTCTGGACAAGCACTTCAACAAGCCGGAGTTGGTGGAAATACCCGCTGCCAATGACCGCAGACTGCCCAACATCTCCCCGTCGAGGCCAATCCCGCGACAACGGCGCTTCTAAAGGCCAAAGAGGACTTGTATCATAAAAAAAAGGCACGGGCGGTTGTATCCACGCCATGTACAAATGTAATATACTGTAGAGCACACAGCCATGTACTGCACAGGTTAGATACACTAGACAGCAATATGTGAAGCTCGTGCAGGTTTCTTCTGCCATGATTCGGATGGTTTTGTAAGGATGCAGTCAACGTAGAGCTATTCCCTGTTGTATTACATGTTCACAATTGCCAAGAACGGACGGTTTTGTAGGGGGTATCGAGTATCATCATCATTACGGCCGCCTATCGCATGTAATGCTATGGTACAATCCGAGAAAGAGACGGCTCCTTTCTCTACCACCTAACGCATATACCTGGGGGAATTCCTTGTGAACAAATAATCAAATAAACCGAGAGCCGACGCAGTCGAAGCTCAGATAGACCCGGTCCCAACCAACCCCCCCGGCTCCCTTCTCAAAAGGACCCAACGTCCATGCTAGTGGAACAAAGGAAAAGTCTCGTGCAGAATTGGTATTAGGTGAGCGTTGCACGTGTGGCCGACAATACGAGTGGCTGGGCTAGCTGCTCGCTAAGCCCCACCTCACTGCGCATGATCTGCCCTGTCTGCCGAGTGGGTACTGGGCTCGAATGCCGATGGCCAAGATGCGACGTCAGAAAAACAGATGTGCTGTTCTGTCTACTGGCGAGTGACGCACGCACGCACGCTTGCGGAAAACTCCTGGTAGATTTGTTGCGGTGAGGCTTCGCTTAGTACTTCAGAATGATGTACCTGGGAGGGATGTTAGCATATGATCTTCCTCTCTAGCTCCAGCAGGAGACGAGATTGGGGAAAAGAGAAGGCAGACGTACAGAGCGTGGATGATACCGGGAATGTAACCCAGAATGCACAGCACAATGTTGATGCACAGGTCGGCACCGCATCCCCTCTCCAAGAAGACACCCAGAGGCGGCAGGATGACGGCCAGGATGATCTTGAAGATGTCGCTTCCGGTGAAAGGCATGTTGGCGGTGGTGTTGTCTGGTGATTGTGATTGTTTGTGATGTGACGGTACGTTGGTGTCAAGCAGTTGCAAGTAGTCGCAAGAAATTCGACGTCTGTGGTAGTAGTAGAAGTAGTTGGTGGGAACTGTAATGTCGCAGGCAGCGGTTGGAGGGGGGAAGTAGCTTTGGTTAAATAGCAGCAGAATATGTGATCGATCGGGCTCGAGACGGACGGGGAAGTACAAGCTGTGGGCAGCTCAAAAGCGAACCATGATGCATTCACAGCAGCAAGCCAAGGACCAAGGAAAACGGCGGCCGGCCAACCAACCACAGGGACTGCGTCATACACGACTGCGTCACAGGCAAAGTCAGGCGGTCCAGGAGCAGCACCCCCCAAGCTCCAATGCAATTTCCAGGATTTCTGGTCCAGCCGCTGCAGCATCTGCCATAGCATGGCGCTTTTTCGAGGATAACCGGCAGCCTCCCTGGTCCTGGACAGCTTGAGTTAGAGTGGCTAGAGTGCTGAGTAGGTCGCGTCCGCAGCTGCAGAACCGCCCCATGGTTAAGCTTGTTCCCACTTCTTTCACGAGCTTGTTCACGTCAAATCATCCTTGTCGCCCGTCAACCATGATCTACTGTAAAGCCGCCCTGTACCGACCGTTGTCTGGCGGGCAATCTGAGCCCCAGGAACACATGCTGTGCCCGTTCCAGCCCGTTCAACCCCGACGCGAACGGCATCTCATTTCACTCTCCAGGCTTGTGGTGGGCCATGGGTGCTGGCTACCAGCTCCCAGACCTTGGTCAACGGTAGCGGCTTTGCCATTCTCCCGGGTGCGTGCCGAACTCCGGACCATGCGACACTCGCCAATGAGGCCATCAGGGCCATCGCATTTCTGAGCACGGCCTGGCAGGCCGGGCAGCCGTTCTGCCACAATCTACGTCACCTGCCCTCCAAGAGCCGTCTTCCCTACAGCTTGACGTCACCGTTTGTGGCGTCGTGGCGCCCCGGTCCTCATCGCCTTGTGGCGTCGCTTCACGGAAGGCCGTGATTCGTCAGTCGAGTTTCGCCTGTGTCTCGAGCTCCGCAAGAACGCGTGGTCGATCTGAGTTCTCGACTGCTGCGCCATTGGGTTGCAGCCGAACTGAATCTGAGAATCTCTAGATCTCCCACAAATCCTTGCGCTGCTGGCGCCAAGAGATCATGGTTTCGTAACACTGTGGCGCATCACAGGCCTGATAGAGACAACGCTGTGTGACCGCCGTAACTACCGTATAATCCCATTCCGAATGGGAATGCTTGGCAAATAAGTTCCTTAATTAGAACCATCTCCCCATACTCTTTAGTCGGGACCAATGATGGTTTCTTATGTGCTGCAAGTGGAGATGCTGAGAATGTTCTCCAATTATCATAGTACATTCCAACGTTAGGCGGGCGGCTGACCGTTACAATCATCGTCTCATCCTCCAGCCAACCAACTCCTGCGGATGAAGGCCTGTCAAAGCCGTAAACTCCCGTGCAAGTGCACAATTTTTGGAGGTGAGTTCATTCAATAGTGACCGTCTCCCCCTAACTTACCTTTTCATCGCTGGCATTGAAAATCCTTGCTGAAGGATCATTAAGAGCTTCTTAGTGTCTGAAGTGGAAACACCACGACAGTACGTTGGACGGGATCGTACGGCACTAAGAACCAGGGAGGTACTCAGTGGTGTTGGCTGGCTTGGGCATCATTCCACTGACCAGAGGTATCCGAGCTTGTGAGATCGCCGTATGGTGGCCGAATAGGGCAGCAATAATTCAAATTATGCCCTCTTAGAGTATCGGCCGCACAGGATCATCAAATAGTTGGGCCGGCAAGCGTTGCTCGTAGTGGGGCCCATTTCCTCCAACACGGCACTCATTCCCAACTTCGACAATTGGGATACTACAAGGGGGCAAAGAGAACCCCGGGTAAGTCCATTCGAAGTCCATTCCGTCGATGCGCTGGTGCCAGGGAGTACCGCGGTACCGTCAGTCAGGACCAGGCAGTCGCTGATATGTTTGCCATCGTGCGGAGCACCTAGCGATTGAGTATCCGTACGGCCCCGGTAAGAAAACAGTCAGAGTTAGCAGGTCGGACTGAACTCATTTCAGATGGCTCATAGTTTGATCAAGTCGATCAGCCCGACATTGTGTGCTGTCAGCTTGACAAGGAACTCATCAAATACGATAGACTTGAGAGCCATTGAAAACCATTCAACTCCGCGATCAACAGAGATACCTGTGTAAATGGCCACTGCTAGGAAACTTATATAGTCTTCGACCTGGTCACTTTGGAGGACAAGCAATGCTGGAGGTTCTGCTTAGTATAGTCATTAATTTGTGAATTCTAGGTAAGTAAGCGAGTGGGAAGAGCCGCAAGGGTGGCTCTCGTGATTCCACCAGTGGATAAAGATTGGCAGACGTCGTGCCCTTTCTTGAGGTTCAATTCATTCAAATCGTTAGAAACCGGCCAGAAAATCTGGCGGGTACAAACCAAAACTCCACGCTGAAGCCCCCTTTTCCTTTGCCAGAATCCGAAAAATAAGGGACGCATGCTAGTCCTTAGGGGTTGCCCCCTTCTGCTGCATGTTTACCATCTCTTCTAGGTCTCGTCTTGTTTAACTCCACATATCACGGTTTATGATTTCGTATCCTGCTGAAGAAACCACTTCGCCTCCGTGGAGAATCGCCTTTGTGGTCGAACTGTGAGGACGAAGGGCTCGCCGGGGCGTTGTTGCCTCTGAGAGACGCGACGGCGCGATCTATACTATCAGAGTCGTCTTTTGACGGCCTGGCGGCCTCGTCCTCGGCAGAAAGTGGCCTCCCATCGTTCAGGTCAACGGCACTGTCAATGGTTTCCAAAGCCTCTTTCGAGTTGAGGTACTCTTGCTCCATCTCGGTGGTGATAAAGCCATGGCTGGTCGTCCGCTTGTACTTGTGGTGCAGAAACGATTTACGATGCCGATGCAGAGCTCTGGCTGGATCCACGTCCTCGGCACTGATGCAGGCGTCTGGTGATGTGTTCGCTTCCGGATGTCTCCATGTCGTCGTGCGTGGCAGCTCTGGAAAGCCAGTATCGTAGTCCCGGCTCGCTGGGCGGCGACTGCTCGTAGTTGTAGATGTAGACATGGTGGATATAGAGTCAGATGTGAGAGATCTGTCTATCCTCTTAGCCTTGGCAAAGAGAAAAGGTGACATTTTAAATGATTGTGTTGTAAGAAAAACAACGGCGAGGCCGAGGCGAGGCCGAAGCGGTTAAGCTCCGCGTCTTACTCGGGGCAGTGTCCGCAAGGTTTCCACAACGGAAGCCAGGCAGGAGAATGAACAGACTCAAAGGATGGACAAATGTCTTGCGCGGCCCGAAACTTTGGCTACTCGACAGGAATGGATAGGAGCTGCGCGGGTTTCCGGGGAATAAGTATGTGAGACGTAGGTGAAGCAAGATGCGAAGTGTGGTGAGCGCGGTGTGAGAGAGGTGCAATGACTCTTGATCCACTAGGACCACCCTTGGAGAACTACCGCCACGGCACTTTATATCCTGAACCTGAAAGCCTAGACCCCGTCTTGATACAATAGACAAAACAACACAAAGAACCGCAGGGAATTGTTGTGAATGAAGATTGTCTGGGCCGCCTGGCCAGGCTGCGCCCCGAGCTGACGAATGGGTGGCAGAGATCGACTATTGACGAAGGAGGCCTGCTCACCTGAAGACCCAATTTCACGCCAAGAGCTGGGGGCTTTGGGTTGCTTGGATTTCGATGTTCTCCAGGGCCCACAGGGGTCCGGCTTGGCAGCCAACCGCGCGCTAGGACGGTCGGTAGAATATGGGGATCCGTCTGGAATTCGATGTCGGAACGCGGCACGCAAGCGTTTATCGCAACTTGGGTGAACCTGGCTCCGGTGGTGAGCCCTATTTCGGTGGGGATGACTGGGAGGTGCCGCCGAGCCGATCTGCTGAGCGATTTCTCCTCCTTCTGGTGTTGCAGATTTCCACCTGGGTCGTAAGATGCAAGTCGGTGAGGAGATCTGATCTGGCCCGGGGAGGTCGAGCAGAGTATATGTACGCCGTAAAAGCAGGGCCTGTAGGAGAGCGAGAGAGAGAGACGGGTGCCCCGGGTGAGCTATGGGATTATGCGTGCAGCTGCGTGCCTTAGCGCTAGGCAGTGACTGGATTATCGTAGATGCCGACTAAAGTACTTATGCATAAGCTGTCGGAACTAGGTAGGCAGGCGAGCAGGCAAGTGGACAAGTGAGAGAAGGGCAATTCTTATTCTCGTTGAAGAGGCGACGGAGAGGGAAAAGGCCTCCTGCCCCCTCGACCCTTTTCTCTCTTCTTTTGAGTTATACAGCGGGAGATGACATGACGAAGGCTTGAGCTAGCGTGGCAACTAGCAGTTCCGATTTATCCAGGCACGACGGGGACGGCAGCCACCTCGCAAACCATCGTCAAACTGGCCGCACGGCTGTTCTGGCCACCGCGGCGGAAGAAGCCGACGAGTGCGCGGCATCCTCACTGGCTGTGCCGTACTCAGTATTCCCTGCTGCTCCATGAATGGTAGGCTGGCGGGCTGGCACGGGGTGTCCTGAACGGCATTCGGCACCCTTAGTCTCCATTGCGCCCTTGCCGTCACTTGCACACCAGAGCCGAATATCCAGTACTTGCAAGTCGCTACTTTTGCGTTGAACTGCATGTCTCACGGCGAGCGGGCGTGATTGAGAATGTGACGCAATTGGTTGGCTGGGGAGTCACTGATGACAGACACCGCCCGTAGGTGCCGTGGTGCCAGGTGGACGGCTGGTTGGATTCTGCAAGCATCGAAACCCCCCGCCCCTCGCACGTCTGATCCTCCATCCTCCAAAAGCCACGTCGGACCTAGGGGCGCCGATTTGTTGAGCTCGGCGTTTAGATCACTGTAGTGCGATGCGACGATGCGCTCTTCCCCATGTCGGTCCCCATGGGATTTCAACGTCCCATGTAGTTCCGCTTTCAGTAATGGCCTGAGACCCATCCGGTGTTCTGACTCTAGCGTCACTGCTCCATAAAAGTGCCATATGCTACGCTGAGCCCTCAAACGTGGCTATACACTGTCTCATGGGTCAGCATTGTGGCAACTGACAATGGCAGGCATCAACAGGAACGCACAGCATCCATTCAACTTGCTATGGAAGACGAAGATGCATTTCTGCCGTATTCAGCACAATTCAGAGAACCGACTTCATTTCTACCAGAGATAGTTCCACTTTTTCCTTTGTCTATTTGTAGTTTCCTCTGGCCTATCATGAGACAACGTAGAAATGCCAAGGCACGCTTTGAACCAGACCCACAACTCTCCTATTCGACTAACGGTCAACTAATATAGACGTCTCAGTGACGGACTAGTTCTATGGCTTAAACATAGTAGGGTCCTCTAATGGCCCGGGTTGATTAAGGTGGCTTTCTGGGCATTCATACATGAGACGGTCGACTTACCGCAAGCCTGAGCAGTAGTGTTACTGGTAAGAATGGCTGCTCTCTGCGTTTGGCGTCCTGGAGGCATCGACTACCAAACGACTTAAATCTGTCTTGGTGTAAATGAAACCAAATAATGGGAGCTTCGCAGGTACAATCAAGGAAGGCAACTTCTGATTTGTATATTATCTACGAGACCCTGACGACACGACCAAACTACACATCATCAGGCGTCATTCCAATCTTTAGAACCTCCCGTTTTCGAAGGGCTCGCCCGTTTATACCTCCACCACCAAGATTCAAAACCATAAGCCAAGGTCACTCCTCCGCTGTGGTATATTCTTTGCCAACTCAGCAGACTTTTCCCGCTCCAATAACATTCTTAGCCTCCAGAAGTCATCCTTATGCGGATCCCAATTTCCAGCTAGCCTGCGGCAGAGTCGCTCTGGCAGGTCCTGTGCCCTCAGCATTTCGGTGTTGAGACGCTTCACCAAATACCATAACCGTTCGAATTGGATCATGGTGTCGTAATGATCGATTATCAAGCGCCGTCGGTGTTTCTTTTTACATATCGTGTCTTCCTTCGTCTCTCTGTCACAGGATGTCGCTTTTGACTTTTTCTGTCTGTACTTGTGCAGCATGGACTTGAGACTCGTCTCGGCCCAGTCCAGCTCTTTCACTTGATTCCGTATCTTCCTGGTCTTGGCCAGCCGCCAGGTCACTGGAAGCAAGACACAGGCTCCGATCCATGCCTGTGGTTGCAGCCCCTCGGGGTGATCAAATACCCACGCAATCTCGGCTTTGCTGAACAAAGGTGCATCGTCGTAGATAAGATCGTCGTTTTTCGGGACATCTTTAGCCCTCAGGAACGACTCGAGGCCGCAGCCTGCATTGTATTTCTCCGTCAAGGCATCGTATTCGATCCTTTCTTCCGCGACGAGCCTTGTCCGAAGTTTCAGCGGATGAGCTCTCAGCCATGGTTCATTCTCAAAGATATCCACCATCTGTGAGTGGTTCGTGTTCCATTGTGCAAGAAACTCGTTGCATCTCCCGCAACCCCCGAACGCCGGCTTCAACACATTCTTAACATACATAGGTGTGACTTTCCGGTCGCCCTTCCAAGTATGCAGACAGCCGAACGAGATGACGCCGGCTGTCTTAAAACACGTAGGGCATTTACCCCTTCGTGCATCATGCTGGGTAGGATTGCTACTACGGTTCCACCAGGCGTCGAGGCACTCAGGATGGTAATAATGCATAAGTCGGCCACAAGGGTCGACTGTATTGCACAGAGGGCTCTGTTCCCAGCAGATTGGGCACTCAACCTGTGTAAATCGGTGATCTTCAAGTACGCCGAGGCCTTGAATATGTGTATCCTCGGGTGGTTTTTGCGCTGCCGGTTTCTTAGAGCTACCTATGGCTGTACTGGATTGTGCCGCACCCATAATTAGAGTCGTAAATGTATGCTTATGGCTTTGAACTAATGATCGCCTGTCCAGACTGCCAAGAAGGAGGTGTAGGAATTGTTGTGGATCTGACGCTCTTCCAGAAGCACCCAAGAGTTTGAAAAAGTCAGTACAAAGAATTGAAAGACAATAGCTCATAGGCTGAGTTCCTTTAAGTATTCTCACTCATCGAATCTCCGAAGTGCAGTTTCTACACCAAATCCTGGTGAAACTATGTGCTCCCTTATACTAACGCAGCAGTAAACAAAGTTTCCTAGCAAGCGATGGTTACCGACTCACCAGAAACTCTATTTTCGGTACCTTAAAGGTCTATTTCATCACTCTCAACAGATCAACCGAAAGCTGCCAAAGCTGCTCCCCCCAAAAGACCATATCATACACAAGAAAAGAATCCCGTATCGGTCAGACTTAGGACATATGATTCAACCCGAAGAGGTCGAATGCATAGATTAGCTGGCTTCTGCACCTAGTAATGGCATTCCATTGAGGCCCCTGACCTGCAGAGTAGATACGCAATACTTGAAATAGTGCCTTCCTTTAAAACAGCTCAGGTCTGCATTAAAACTTGTCTCATGGTGATACCATCTTATCAGATGTCATTCTATTCTTTGATATACACGAAATGTTTATATTTGAATAGAAACAGCATTGAAGTTAACATGCCCCGAACTCGGACACGATCCCGAAATTGCAGGCCCAGTAGTCGATTTTCCACCAACCGTGACAGTAACGTCTCCGGTCTTGCCGGCGAAGCTGACTGTGTAGAAGCTCGCCTTGCCCTTGGTGCTGCTTGCCTTGACCGTCTGACTCGCACCGCCGATGCTGACTGTGATGTCGGCCCCGGGCGAGTTGGATAAGGCGATGACGCTGATCACATCGTCGGTGCCGTCTGCTGCCGAAGCGCTGCCTCCCTGGCCCCAGACTGTGCCTCCGTCGCCGCAGACCGACTTAGAAGTCGTGCGGTACCATGCCATCGCGCCCTCGGACGGGAGGGCTACATCGGTGTTGCCAGCCTTGTATGCGGCGATGAAGTAAGGCAGGACGAATCGGAAGGCCGTATGATCGAAGCCGTTGACGTATCCTTCGGCACCGCTTACAATTTGGGCGGTAACAGGGTTGTTGATGTAGCTAGACTCGCCGTAGTCGTTCCCTGTGCATCGTTAGCCAAATGCACTTGAGGTACGCAAATAGGTGATACCACTCAGGAGGACGTTGACTCACAGGTGATGATCTCGATGTAATCTGGCAGGATATCCAGAGCCTGCGTCCAACGGTTGAACCACAATGTGTCACTGGTGGAGTACCAGTTCTTGTTGTACTGAGGAAGGTCTGCGCCAAGTCAACATCTACTCTAGCTGGGGGTGTAGAAGGAGATGTCCCATACCAGTGTAAAAGTAAGGGCTCACTCCCATCATGTAAGCCTTGTTACCCAATGCCGACTTGTACTGAGTATCTCCATCTGTCGAGAGCGTCTTTGAGTTGGAGTACGGCCACGCACCCCAATTGACTGGAGTGGAACACTCGTCAGCGAACGTCTTCCGTATTATTTTTTGTAGCCGCCTTGGAGCTTAGCCAGAGCAATGTCAAGTGGACTTACAAGCACCGTCAATCAGTGAAGCCTTGGCCCCGACACCCGAGGGTCCTAAACTGGACCAGTCTGGGACCAAGAAGATGCCGCCCGTTGCTGAACGAACGGTCGCCCAGTTGCCCGCCCAGTCAGGGCCCTCGAAGGTACTGACAAGAGGGAGGTTGTTGACCTTGAACTGGGCCGCATTCCCCTTGAACTGGTTGATCAGGCTGTTGACCTGGTCCGTCGTCCACGACGAGGCAGCCATGTCGAAGCTCAGGAAGAGGCTGAACCCGGCACTGCTGGCCGCATCGTATGCGAGTAGCAGCTGCACGCCGTTCCAGCTGTCTGCGGACCCGACGTTCAGCGCGAACCCATCGATACCCGCGCTCTTGGCATCGGAGATGTCCTTTTCCCATTGTGACGAGGCTTGCCCAGAGGTCAGGCCGACCATATAGTGGGCAAAGACCTTGCGGCCGCCGTCGGCTCGCTTGGAGGGGTTGACCAAGCCAGCTACTTGCGTAGCGGCCAGCAAAATGGAGGTCACCAGCTTCGGAAGCATTCTGAGTTGCTTGTCGAGAATAAGGGGGCTCAGACACCACAGTAACTTGAGGCTGGACGGTGACGTGGGTTAAATACACAACTTGCGTATCACCCCTCTTCAGCTTCAAGCTACGCTAGTGACCAGGATGGGCCTGCTGGTATCACCTTAGGGAATACAACGTGGATTTGGTCGGAGTACTCGGGCGGGAGAACGGCTTGGGGTTTTCCAATATAGTCGACCTTTTGCAATTAACGGAACCGAGAATGAGCGCGCGGACTAGGATGCTGTGAGGCTTAGCGGGCACTAGTACACTTGTGTGCCCAGAACTGCCAGGGTCTGACCAGCCATTGTGCTGCCGTGCCGCAGACAAGCATTGCATTCTCCAGCACTTCAGGCGAATCTCGAATGAGCACTGACATCATTACAGGGGATCCGCTGGTAGACTCCAGTTTCCTCGGCACTAAAGACTGCTACAGAACGGTGAAGGATTAGCGAAGGAATCGATTGCATACTAATGTGGTTACATTTTAATCTGTAATCAGGACCACGCTTGTCACTCAGGAGCCCACTAAAGGTTATAAATAGATTGGGCTAGTTTGGCCATAGGCTTGTTTCCGTTCGACCTATAATCAGCTGATGAAACGAAGGCAATTGGCATTACATAGTTTATTTGCGCATACAGGTAACGTTATACGTGAGGGCATGTCTACCGCATGCCAATGTCTAGATATGGCATCAACGAGGAGATGCGACAGTCAGACCCTTGTTAAACAATGACAACCAGGGGAACCTAGTCACTCTAGTATAGCGATGAAGAATTAGGAATATTCCATACCTATGTATGTTGAAACATCGTGTGGTGTCTCTTCAATTAATTGTACTCACCTGTACGTTGTGACTTATACAAAAAGTTTCTCGTAGCTGACCATGCCCAATCCGCGACCCCTTGTAATAGAAATGTATACTGACGTAGGTCGAAGTTCTCGGTAACAACTCTTGTATTTTCCAGGACGCTAACTTCCGGTGATCCATTCCTCATCCCACTGTCGCGCACACGTAGCGTGATGCGAAGAACGCAACGTTGCAACTGTATTGTTCAAGAAGTGGTAATATGTCTGGTATTGGTAGTAGACTGCTGGGTGCCACAACTCCGAAAGCAACTAAGGACACGTCGGAGACCCTCTCTAAACCGCTGTCCCTTGCCGTCTCACGATACCCAGGCCGGTGTCATTCTAGCCCTCTGCCCTTGTTCTTGAGGGAGTGTTGCCTCGACCAACAGATCGTCTAGCTACTTCACCCTTGCACCCTGCAGTACCATTTACGGCTAAGCTGGTATTTTGAGTAGCGTATCACGAGACAGTCTCGTAGTTTGGACGCTACTATGAGACGAATAATTACCCATGCGCTGGTTCGTGGGACCAAGTTGGATCCAGAGGACATCAGGTGATGAGGGAAGTGTTGCCACGAATTTTCCTGATATAATGCCATGCCGAGTGGCTTGTCTCAAGCTAGGAGGTACAGGGATATTTTGCAGATGAATCTTTCCGGATCTGATTAGCGGAGTATCCATTGCTTGAGTACATGCAACATAGCATGGCCTGGCTTGTGACTAGGAGAACTTGTTAAGCAACGGTGAAGGATGTCGTGGAGGATATACAGCAATGATGTAACGGAAGATCCTCCGAGCCCAATTTTTCGACGCGCTACCACATTTCCATACAGGTAACCAGTATCGAAAATACTGAGAAGTAGCAGGAGTGCATTGCGCCACAGCACATATCATGGAATACTATTCTTTGGCGAATACATAGCTCGCTCGCCTTACGCCTACCCCTATGCACTCGATAACACGCTCTCGTCTCTTTACGTCGTCTGTCAGATCCAGACACGTACTATGCCACCTGCAAGAGGTACCATCCAGCCCCCAACGTATATCTACAAGGATGGACCCCCAAAGATATGTGCTGCTATTATGAAGGACTGTCCACTTTGCCCCAAAGAGGGGTGTAGCAAGTGGCCGAGCAGGACCGAGCTCCCTGGTCGAATACTACCCACCTCTAATGGAGCATAATCATGCCGCCATTAGCACAGACGACCTGTCCCGTACACCAGGCGGCGTCCTGGCCGCACAGCATGGCCACGATGCCGGCGACCTCGTCGACGTAGCCGGGGCGGCCGCCGCTGGTCTTTGCGTCCTCGACGAGCTCGGGGGCGTCGACACCCTCGCGGGCGCGCATGAGGGGCGCGTGCTCGATCCAGCCGCGGATCTCGCGCTTGAACTCGTCCGTGTTCTTGGCGTACATCTCGCCGAGCACGGGGCCCGGGTTGACGGCGTTGACGGTGGCGCGCTCGCTCAGCTCGCGGGCCCAGGTGCGCGTCATGGCCTCGAGCGCGGCCTTGGTGCCGCCGTAGACGGACTGCTCGATGAAGCCCGCCGACGACGACACGGACGACAGGTTCACGATGCGGCCGGAGCGGTCCCGCGGCAGGTACGGCTCGGCGGCCTGGGTCAGCAGCAGCGGGCCCAGCACGTTGACCTTGTAGGAGAAGTCGAAGTCGTCCACTGTTACTTTCGTCAGCGGGTTGTTGGCAGCGACGCCGGCGTTGTTGACGAGGATGTCAATCTGCAGCTTCCCGTCCGGACCGGCAAACGCATCCTTGGTCGCCGCGATCAGTTGACTCGGGCCTTGTGGCGTGCCGAGGTCAGCGCTGACTGTGATGGTCTTGATCTTGTGTTCGGCTTGCAGCTTCTGGGAAAGCGACTCGGCCAGGGATTGGGAGGATGGCGATGTGTATGCCAGGACCAAGTTGGCGCCGTATGAGCCTAGCTTCGTGGCTATCGCCGTGCCAATGCCTACGCCATGTCAGCCAGGCATCTTCACGTTACGCCATGGCTGGATAATACCTCGCGATGCACCTGTCACTATAGCCAGCTTCCCAGCAAGTAGGCGGCTCATTGTGCCGGCTGTGTGTGAGGGGTGAGTGTGTGCCGTGATGTGTAAGTGAGAAGCGCCGGTTCTGGAGGACCCGTCGCTATAGTGGCTATACACAAATTGGCGTACGGTTTGGAAGCACAAGGGGTGGGAAAGGAGAGAATTTGGTTCTTATATGAAGATGGATACTGTGTAGGCCGGGTTTCAAGTCGATTTATACAACACACATAATTCCTCCAATCCCGAAGCGCTTCCGATATGCGCCTGTAACAGTTCGACGATACTCTTACACCGAGCTGCCGACAGGGGACCTCAGAAAGAGCTTTGATATTGCGGTAATGACATGATGGAGCTCTGATCAACTTGCCCCGCCGGCGACAGTCGACCCCACAGCACCGGGCGGCTGATTGATACTTTCGCCCTCCTTTGGTGCGTACCGTGAAGCTTGCATTCATGAGCTCATTCAGGTACCGGTAGATCACAGGCCCAGACGGTCCCCTGTTCCTGAGCTGCAACCTTGGAAGCTCCCGAGGTCGTTGGGTCAGCATCGGATGCATGCGTCGCATGTCCACAGCCCTGAAGGTGACTGGGCGAGTGGGCGACTGGGACAGGACGGACGCCTGAGAGGCTGGAATGCCACCGGCTAGCGGGCATGAGGACCACTGAAGCCCCCGGGAGCCGAGCGAGCTTTGGTGGGGGTTTTGACTCTCTCGGGGTTTTACAGTCCGACAGCTCCAGCGCGCACCCACCCAGGCCACCGTAAGCGTGCAGTGGCTTGAGCCCTGGCGGCATGCTCCAATTATCTCTGAGCCGCACCTGTCGGAGACCAGTCACGACGACCTCCAACGAAAGCAGCCCAGCGAGCCCCAGCCCAGCTCAAGCCTGTCCGCCCGCCCAAACCCCCGAGTTCCATCTCTGCTACCGCTTGCGACTTTGCGCCTCAGACCACACGACGACAAGGGCCGCCGCCGCCGCCGCCGCCGTCACCATGGATATCCGCCTGCTCCGCTCCAGCGACATCCCGCTGATCCAGCATGCCAACCTCGAGAACCTGCCCGAGAACTACTTCATGAAGTACTACCTGTACCACGCCCTGTCCTGGCCCCAGCTGTCCTTTGTCGCCGTCGACGTCAGCCGCCCCAAGAAGACCCCCTACGACTACCCCAAGATCGTCGGCTATGTCCTGGCCAAGATGGAGGAGGAGCCCACCGACGGCGTCCAGCACGGCCACATCACCAGCTTGTCCGTCATGCGGACGCACCGCCGCTTGGGCATTGCTGAGAAGCTGATGAGGCAGAGTCGTACGTTTCTTGTTCTTTTCTTTGCAACCTGAACCCTGAAAGCTGGAGGGGGGGTGTAACCTGGGAGGAAACACGACGAACAGAGAAAAAAAGTAAGCTAACATGTGTGTCTGCCCGTCCTAGAACTCGCCATGGTCGAGACCTTTGGCGCCCACTACGTCTCGCTGCACGTGCGCGTCAGCAACAAGGCCGCCATCCACCTGTACAGCGTGACGCTGGGCTTCGACCGCGAGAAGACCGAGGCCAAGTACTACGCCGACGGCGAGGACGCCTACTGCATGAAGCTGGACCTGTCGGCCATCCGCGACCAGATCCAGGAGGCCCGCCAGGCCGGCCCGGACGCCGAGCCCGAGGACGAGGGCGAGCCCGTCGGCGACGTCGGCAAGGCCGGCGACGAGGGCAAGCAGGGCCAGGACCTCGCCGCCCGCCCCAAGGAGCAGAAGCGCAAGGTCAAGGTCGGCCGCGCCCTCGGCGTCGCCGGCCTGGTCGAGAAGGACGAGAGCAGCGCTGGCGGTGCCGCCAAGAACCCCTAGGGTGGGTGTCATGCGCACGACAGGCCCCGCGATGCCGTCAACGGCGCCCGCGGGAGAGAGGCGGCCGCCTCAGCTCAGCTCTGGCACGAGCGTCTGCTGGTTGTCGAGCGGGAGCGGGCCTTGGACAAGGAGAACAACAGGCTGTAGGACGCCATGCGGGCGGGCTGTACTATGGATTTGGTCATGGCATGAAAAACCGGCGTCATGGTTGGGAGGGGGGAAAAACTCATTACGCTGCATTAGAAAGTCATTTTGTCCTTGTGCCTGAGCATAGACAATGTGGACACGGAGAAGAAATTCAGGGGCACGAGTGTAGAGTTCGTGCAGAACCAAAGGCGTCGTATACGTTGGCTTGGTTTGATAGCTACGACGATTAGAAATGCATAGATACCACACACGCATGAGCATGAGCATGGACGGGAACGCCTGGGTTGACGGCTGTATTTAAATCACGCTGGTAGATCATCACTCATATCGTAGCAAGCCCCCTATTCCCTTCCGTCCTCAACCTCACTCAAGTAGTGCTATCAACACACCCTCACGCATACTTGGCAGAGTCCCTCTCACTCTCGGCGGCAAACTCGCCATCCGCCTCGATCCTCAGCCGCTCGACCTGCGCACTTAGCGCGTCGATCTCGCCCTCCAACGTCTCGGCGTCCAGCTGCGCCTGGCTCGGCCCGCTCTTCTTGGCGTCGCCCAGCCCGGCCTGCGCAGCCGCGATGCCCTCGGCCTGGACCTCCTGCTGCAACGCCTGCAGGGTAACCCGCTTGGTGTGGATCTGCGCCTCCAGCTGCTCCGCGGCCTGGTACTTGGCCGCCGAACCCTGTTGAGTCTCCCGAGCCTGCTGCCCCTGACCGGAGCCGGTGCCGGAGCCAGAGGGCCCGGCCGGCTCGCCGCCCCATGCCCGGGCGTGCGCCGCGTTGGCGTGTTTCCACGCCTCGGCCCGCACCTCGGCAGCCGATGCCCAGGCGGCCGCCCTCAGGGCTGCGGCACCCTCCCTACGGCGGCTGGACTCCCCGCGGGAGCGGGCGGCCTGTTCCTGTGCCTGGGCGTGCGCTGCTTCCCGCTTCCTCGCAGCCTCCTCGAGGGCGATGTCACGCTTCCGTGCTGCGTCTTCCCTCGCTCTAGCCGCCTGTGCCAGCGCGGCCTCGCGCTTCATGGCCGCCTCCTCCCTGTCTCTGGCAGCCTGAGCAAAGGCCGCCTCCCGCTTCCTGGCGGCCTCCTCGAGTGCGAGCTCGCGTGTCAGGGCCGCCTGTTCCCTCGCCTTGGCCGCCTGTTCTAGGGCGGCCTCGCGCGTCCGCGCGGCGTCAGCCCGCGCCGGTGCACCTACGGCTTGCTCGTAGGCGGCGGCGTAGGCGTTTTTGTTGCGTCGCCCGGAGCCGAAGCCGCTGAAGGGGCCAAAGTGGCTGCCGCGTCCGTTGCCAAACCCGCCGAAGAACCCAGGCATCCCTGAACGGCCAGGGCCGAAGAATGCGTCTGGGCCGTGGCCCGGCATCGGCGGAACGGGTGGTACGGGTGCCATGACCGGCATGGGGGGGACGGGGGGAATATGGGGCATGCCAGGGACCGGCACGGGGCCATGCGACGGCGCGAACGATGACTGAGGAAAATCACCCCCGTTCTGTTGCTGTCTCTCGCCTTCCCTTTCAGCACGCCCCATCTCCCGCCTTTGTCGCCGGCCCTCTTTCCGCTCCGCGCGGCTCCTGCTGCGCCTGGCTCTGCGCTGCGCCCTCCTCTCGGCCTTCCTCTCCTTCTTGGCGGCCCGGAGCGTCGCCCTCTGCGTCTTCTTGAGGCTCTTGAACTGTTCGAGTAGCACCTTGATCTCTTCCTTGTCGACTTTGGTTATGCCGGCAGCGGGCTTCGGCAGGGACTTGGCGGCCTTGATCTCGGCTCTCACTCTCTTCACGTCGGCCTTGCTGACAGGCTGGTCAGGATGGCTCAGCCAGGCTTGAACGGACGTCCTCGCCACGGGGATCTGCGAATCCCGCAGATCGTCCCAGTCGGGCAGCGAGCCGACGGAAGAGACAGTCGAGTCGGAGGAGGAAGATGAGGTCGTGCTACAGCTGCTCGATCTGGATCGATGCTTGCCACCACCCCGTCCGCCGTGGCGATGATCATGGATGTCGTGTCGCCCGCCTCCACGGCCGCGGCCATGGTCGTGGCACTCTCTTCCGTGACCGCGGCCGTGGCCACCGTGGAAGCTGTCATTCACGTCCCGGCCATGCCAGCGGACGCCTCGGCTGTCAACCTCAAAAGCATTGCCAATGGCCACACGATCCCCATCGATCGAGATCGGCCCTACTTGCAAGCCGCGGTCATGAATGTTCATCCCGAACCTGTTGCCGAACAGGCCACGCCACCCACCTCGCTGTTCAGGCTGTTGGCCGGCCATAGGCGCATCTCGGCTGGCATTGCTATCGAATGTGCTGTTCCACTCACCGGGCATCCTAGCCTTTGGCTCGGCGGCGGAGTCACTGGTGAGCTTGATCGTTGCTCCTCTGGGAGCAAAGAAGCCTACGTTCCACTCGCGCACAGTATCCTCAAACCGCCTTCGCTGGCTGGAAGTTCGGAGCTGGTCGAGTTGCGCCTCCGTGGCAGCGCGCGTGGAAGCGGTGGACCGCGCATCATCCTCGGCCTGAAGCTTGCGGTCGATAATAGCAGCGTTGGTCTTCTCGGCATAGTCAGGGATCAAGTAGTTGATAAAAGTCCTCCAGTCTCCTAGGGTGACATCCCGCGCAGATGCCCAGTTTGGGTATGGGAAATCCCCTGGCGACGGGTCATCGGAGACTCTAATTTCATGAACTACGTTTGCTGTATTTCCTGGTGGCCCCGATATGGGTCGGGAGTCAAAGTAGACTTGCGCAGATGCTGTGGTTTGGACGTCGTCGGTGCTGGCAAAGTCGTAATGCGAATCCCGTGGCGTGTCCGGCGGGGTGTAGATGATGTTGCTGTGCGAGGACGATGCAGCAATGGACGCATTGTCGGCATGGTTGTTGGAGCCACTGCTTGTCAATGGCGTGTTGCCCGGCGTAGAGTAGATATCTGTTTCCGAGTACGGCGGAGGTGGAGCATCAGGGTGCTCCATCGTGACAATCCTGGGGGCGAGCGATGCAAATCTTCAAGGTTTAACTTCCGGTAGCAACTGTATGGTCATCTACGGGGAAAGAAATTAGAATTCTCGATTCACAGCGCACTCGAGAGAATTGCGATGGGTTGTCGTCGGAGTCGACGGTGAGGGAATAGTAAGGCAATCCTTCGGATGACATTCGCATTCATAGTAATCCTTCAAATGGCTGCCTAGCCCGGCGGGCTGTCAATCGTTCTATTGATACGCCTAGCTCTCTAAGCTCCCAGCCCTGCCAGCCAATGGGCCACGGCCCGCAGCTAGGGACGGTCGCAGCGGCGAAGGATCCATGGAGAGCAGCTGGGGGACACTGGTTTTACGTAGGGCTACGGGCTGGGCGAGCTCGGCTCGTAGACCGAATGCGAATTGTACTGACGTGCAGGCTCAGCCCCTCCAACCACGACGCCAGGCACCTTTCACCCCACCTTCTTGGGCTTGTGCCGCTTGCGAAGCTCATGCACGGGGGACCCTTGCGCTGACGCGGCCTCCAGTACACCACATCTTACAGGCAGCATGGAAATGAGTCAACATTCAACTCCAACACACGTGAGGAATCCCAAGGCGAAGGCGGGCGTCGGGTCTGCCTGGAACTGCTCAGAGATGGGTCGGCAATGTCCGAGGTCAGCGCATACCATGAAGGCGTACAGACAACCCCTCGCTCATCACACAAGCTCGACGAGCACCGGCGTCTGGGGTGGCCTGTCTTCTTCGCACGCCTGCCACTCCATGTTTGTGTGTCATCCCGTAAGCCTGGGCCCATGTTAATGAAGAGCTTGCCGCGTCGGGCTTGCGCCGGGAAGATCGTCGGGAGATAAGATGCGGTTCTCTATTTGCGAATCTTTCCATATAGGTCCAGTGATACCTCGGCATCCTTGTAGTGGTCGGTGATGATAGAATGGAGATGGTCCCGGGAATGCGCTCCAAGGTTTGTAATGTAAGTGTCGATAAGCTCGGCGGGGACATATTCCGAGACGGCGTTCTTGACTCGGACGTTGTTGACCATGGCTCCATCGGAGAAGTTGACATATCTCGAGGGATCACCCCACTCGGTCGCGAGATCTTGGTTCGCTTGGGTGTCAGGGCTCAGCTTGTAGACGCCGCCGAGCACGATGACGGTCCGCCCCGAGGCGCGAGCAGCACGCGCAACTGCTGCCGCTCCCGCATCAACCGTGATGCCGCCCGTAGCCGTAATGGCGCGCGCACTCAGGATAACCTTGTTGACCCGGGTCATGTATGCCATGAGACCCGTGTTCATGACGTTGATCAAGGTCGAGCCATTCGCTGCCAGTGACTTGCGCAGTATGGCATACGGATCTTCGGCGGTGACTGTGGCCGGGTCCGTCACCACCAACACGGTGAACCTCCGCTTCGATCGCGTGAGGAATCTCTGAACCGTCCTCGACGGCTTGTGAACCAGGACGTAGTCTCCCGGGTGAATTACGATATCCGAGTACCCGCACAGCTGGTCGTCCACCTGCTTGATCTCGTCCATGATTTCCTCAATGCCATCTAGAACCTCGGAGCGGAGCGCAGAGGCATTGGTGGCCAAGCCGTGCGCCAACGGGGTGGAAGCTCCAGAGCTTGCTGCAGGCGTTCCATCCAGCAAGAAGGACGGGGCGACGTCTGGATCGGCCAGGATGTTGAACATGGATTGGGTGCGGGTCAGGGACCCCAGGGCGCTGGCCATGGTGGGCCGAATGGGCTTTCCTGGGGGGCTGTCGAGCTTCAAGGGCGCCGAGTGCGGCGGTTCGGGGAGGACGTCGGAGCTGCCATCGTTATTGGCGTCGTTGCGGTCTTCTTGCGCCTCGTCGCGGATCAGGCCCAGGATTCTTCGCACCACGTTGCCAATGGTCAACTCGCGCGGCGAAGCGGCGACCAGCTTCCGGCCCACGGTCTGGACGCGCTCGAGGAGCTGGTTGACGTCGGACCACTTGTCACGGGCGACGACCTGGAGAAGGATGTGGGCGGTGGCGAGCGCACAGGACTCGGAGCCCTGGATCTGCCGTCGCTTGAGGAGGCTGGGGTTGGGGAGGAATCGTCAGCTTGAACATGGCCTCGGACGTGGGTGACCAGCAACTGCTTACGAGACGAGATAGTCGATGGATGCATCCACCGGTCGGCCTTTGAGAGAGTCGAGGAACTTGTCCATCGTGGGCGCAAAACCCCCCTTGGGTGGCGCCATGGCTAGGGAAGGCTGCTCGAGGAGCCTGGATGAAACGAGGGTAGGTGGTGGGCCCGAGGTCGCTTCTAGTAGCTCGAATTGTCGTGAGATCCGAGACGGATGAGTCAAGGACGGGTGACGATGCGGACTGCGATTGCTCGCCAAAAGATTCGTTCAAGATCAGTGTGAACGGACCAGAAGATAAACGATAGTCTTCAGATAGTCGAGCGACGGGCCAGGTGGGCAGGATGCAGGCGGGACACACGATGGTTGCGTGAGGAAACGAGGGTTTGCTGGCGAGAATGTGAAATCTCAAATTGTGTTCCAATGCGCGTGTGAGTCAAAAGTTCGTCGATTGTCGGATTGTCGGATTGTCGATTGTGGCAGGCCCGATCTGGCTGCGGGGTGGTTTTCCGTCTACAGCAATACTTGCAGGTAGCAGGCATTGGGGCCCGCTGTATTCTCGTGCTCTCCCACCTGGACGCTTCCAAAACCCCCCCGACAGTCACCGAGAATCCTTCTATCCAGCACATAAATTGGCAATTGGCATGTGGCATGTGGCATACGGCATCTGTTGGTGCAGCAGCCCCCCCCCCGGTCGCCTGGTCGTTTGCGAGGCTCTTCTTAGGCCCGGTGACGCCTGCTGGGGTCGCTACGAGTTAGACAGAGTCGAACCCCAGTTTGCCAGCAGGTCCGAGCCCCCCGGAAAGCCCCCAGCCCAGAGCGAGAGCCAGACCCAGGGCAGAGGCTCTCCGGGTGCAGGCAGCTGAGTTATTAACTAGTGGCTTGTGAGAGGATGCAGGTGATTGTGGAAACCGTGGCATTGAACTGCCGCCCGTTACATAGAACTGCTCTACTGCAATTACCTTTGTTAGCCTCTACCAGATCTGTCTGGCCTGCCAGTCAGTTCAGGCCAGTTGTGTCCAAATCTAGGGAGCTAAGGACCCCAGGGGGGCCCCCTTTTGGTGCTGCGCTTGGAAACTCTCGAGATAAGCTCATGCGTCGCCCTGTACATATTGTAGAAAGTCCGACGGCAATAGGATCAGATGCACTGAAATCTCGTTCGGCTTGGACCTCGGACTGCGCGCCCGGGAGTAGAAGACCTGGTCACCACGCGGCTGAACTGTAGGTACCAGATCGTCCCGTGAATCTCGGAGGATCTTCACTGTCGATGCGCACCACCCATCCCTCCAAGTCAGTTAGCTGGGTACGAACGGTAGTTAGCTAGGTCGTTTTTTTCCTCCCAAACTCCCGGCCGAGGCTGGAATAGGTCAACCCCAACTCGGACCCCATCACTCTTTGCACCACATCGTCAGATTCTCGACCCGACAAGACACACAGCGACGTGCGACGGGCACGACTCCCCACGCCGGACTCTGGTTGCCAGCATTGCGACGTCCGTCCGGATGCAATATTGACCAGTCCGCTGGCCTTGGCGACAGCTATCCATCCTTGATGGCTGCGGCGCCCGCTGCCAGAAGATGAACTCCCTCAACATAATCTCGGCCCGGGTCTCGCCCTCTGCCTCCCCGGCCCCGTCGCGATCCAACTCCCTGAGCCATGTCGGCCTGGCCGCCTCGTCGGACGAGAAGAAACCCGCCGACGGCAGGTCAAGAGACGACCCCCACGGCCGTCTGACAGTCGAGCCCGACGACTACATGTACGAAGAACGCGACGACGACGACGACGACGACGTCGACAACTACCACGACGAGAAGACGCCTCTCCTGAGCACCGACGACTCCAAGGACGCAAATCTGCGCGCACAGTCTTGGCACGTGTTGCCCAGTCGCCTGGTGAACAACCTGATCAACTCGCTACGCTGGGTGCTGTCTACCATTGCTGCTCCGGGAGTATACCTAATCGCCTGTCTCTACGACGAACAAGGCAATTTTGCCCCATTGCGTGAGCTCCGGGGCTTGTTCGGATATAGGGACGACACAAGGGAAATCGGCGCCCTTCACCACGATAACGCCCCCGGGGGTGAGCGGCCCCATACCCCTTCGCGACAGCACAGCCAGAGCGCGAGGGGCAAGCTCGCGAGTACAGCTACGATGCGGCCAGTCTTCTCCTCGGGATCCTCGTCCTCCGGACTCTCCTCGGAATCAGAATCTGATATGGCTACGGCCAGTGATGCGAACCGTCGCAACTCCGGATCCTCCGGCCGTCATTCGCGCTCCAAGTCCACCGAAGAGATTGCGCCCGCCAGGCGGTCCATCAGGATAAAACTCCACAGCGACGACGCCCTACGGCAAAGGAAACACAAGAAAGCAATGTCCGCCAGCGCCAGGGCGGGGAGTGGCGACGCCTCCGCCGACCTGTCGGCGCAGCTCAAGTCGCCCACCTCTCCCGTCGGCGCTCTGACCAAGTATCCCAAGACTCCTGCTCCTCCACGACCCTTGATCCCGCAGCGGCAGCCGTCGTACGTGCCCTACGAGAATCCGGACCCCGCGCACCTCAAGACCTTGATCCTGGACCTGGACGAGACCCTGATCCACAGCATGTCCAAGGGCGGCCGGATGGGCTCAGGACACATGGTCGAAGTGCGGCTGAACACGACGTACGTGGGAGCGGGAGGTCACCAGACTCTGGGCCCCCAGCATCCCATCCTGTACTACGTGCATAAACGGCCGCACTGCGACGAGTTTCTCCGCAAGGTCAGTACTGAGCTTGTAGCAGGACAAACGCTGCCGAGGTGCCAGACGCTGATTATAGTCACCCTGACCTAGATTTCCAAGTGGTTCAACCTCGTGATTTTCACGGCCTCGGTCCAGGAGTACGCCGACCCGGTCATCGACTGGCTGGAGTCGGAGAGGAAATACTTCACTGCGAGATACTATCGACAGCACTGCACCTTTCGCCACGGGGCGTTTATCAAAGATCTTAGTTCGATAGAGCCAGACCTGAGCAAGGTGATGATTCTAGACAACAGCCCGCTCAGCTATATGTTCCATCAAGGTAAGGGGAATCCCAGGGCCGTCGCGAGAGAACGAATGCTCATCACGTCTTCTTCTTACAGATAATGCCATTCCCATACAGGGCTGGATCAATGACCCAACGGATAATGACTTATTACATCTGGTACCATTATTAGAGGGGTTGCAGTACGTGTCGGATGTCAGAGCTCTACTTGCATTACGGGGAGGGGAAGACGGCTCGCATATATGAGGGTTTTCGAATAATTGTGTCGTGGCTACGGAGAGTGCAGAGACCGGAGGCCTTTCGGCTTCCCGTCGCCTTTCTCTCTTCCCACCACTTCTCTCTCTCTCTCGGGACAGCATTGTGGAGTTTCAAGTGTATATGTTTTATCCAAAGGCGGGCGACATGGGTTTGGTCTTTCTAGTATTCACATGGGAGCGCTAGAGCAAGCATAGCTGCATGCATAGTCGAAGCGCTGTTTTATGATTAATAGAAGCGCGGCCTCATGGCGAGTCCCGATCTAGACTAACGTTCCGTTACCTGGAAGTGCGAGAGAATTTCTTGGTGGCTGGCTGGGCTCTACGTTACCAGGCGACACCGTCATGGGCTGTGACCAAGTTTATTTTCTCAGGGGGGGTTTGTCAATGTCAAGAGGCCCCGTCGCAGTTCCAGTCCCACTTCCCCGCAAATTGCGACAGGAGCCGCACTGATTGATCGCCGCAAAAGTGGGCTGTCAAAATGGTGCAAAACTGTTGAAGTCACGATGACGGTGTGTATAGCAGAGCCGGGGTTGGAATCAACACAGCACGGACGAGAATTTCGCTCCTTGTGCTACGCAGATGTTTATACTCAGAGTCGATTATGTGCAAGTCAAGATGCTGGGCACGTTTTTAGCACCTAAGGGCAAATAGGCGCTACCACAGTTGCCGTTACCACCAGAAAATACGCCATGAAAACTTCCCTTGCATGGCATCATCTGCCAAAGTGGGTAAGCCCAGGAGAGGCTGCTCCTAGCGAGAGAAGGAAAAAGGCCCAGAAAAAAACCCAGAGCTGTGACAGGGCCCGGCTCTGGCCGTTTGGGGCCAGTCAGCTGCACACTGGGCAGAATGGGCACACCAGCACCTGGTCCAATCCCACTCCCGTGGTCGCTCCCATTCGTTCTCCCAAGGGAAATCTCCAAGCACCAGAAACAGCCCCCTCTCTGCTGCCCTCTAATCTGGCGAGGAGTCCAGCCCAGCCAATTAGCTGACACGCCCAGAGCTTTTTCGAGTCGAGAGCCAGAAAGAAGTTCTGGGCCGTTCTCTGCTCCCGTACTAGCTCTGGCGGACCCAGAGGACGAGCTTGGTAGTCGATTACGTCATTTCTGCGCTCGCCCACGCCAGAGCTTCTTCAGCTTTCCCATGCTGCCATTGAATCACGATGAGAGATCGAGAGGGAGCACGCGGAAGAAGGTGGGCAAGGGGACAAGCTCCGTTGCCCCGTCACGTAGTACGTAGCTAGCACTGCAGTTGCTTGTACCTACATGCGGGCATGGGCAACTTTGTCCGCGCTAGACGGGGCTCTCCATCTCAACAGGCTCCGGATCATTGTTCCTGCCGGTCTGTCGTCATTGCAGGTCGTCCAAGTCTTGCTGTCTAGTTCCAGTAGTTCGTCTGAGACAAGGCACAGTCAAGGCCCCCCCGAGGACAAATAAAAGCTGGCAGCCTCCTCCAAACTGCTTCTGTCTATTGACTTTTCCATCACTCTACACGTCTTCCGCAAATCAACTGAACCAATTCTTCCCCATCAAACCAACCAAACAAACCAACCATCATGTCTCTGCACTGTAAGGACCCTCTCTCTCACATAGCCGTACACTATTTCCCCAGAGGTTGGGGACGCTTGCCAGCTTGCTACATGGTCTGGCATTTGGTCATGCAGCAGCAGCGTCGTTGTCACCCTCTCTGTGGCCCTTCAGCTCCCGATATCTTTTACGAGGGACGTTCATACTGACTCTGTGATCATCAGACCTTCCCCCCGTCAAGCCCTCGGCCATTGCCCTGGGAACCATCTTCAACCACTCCATTGAGCTGGCTGGTAAGTTTTAACCCCTCTCGACAAACGCGTGTGTCAATTGGAGCATCTCACTAACCTCGGGCCTCGCACAGTCCTGACCCCTCTCTTCGGCCAGACCTACAACCGCGCCAAGATCGCCAACACCAAGGAGGAGTTCATCCGCTCCAAGGAGGCCACCGGCGCCGCCGTCGCCTGGGGCACGTCCCTGGTCGGCTCGGCCCTGCAGTCGTACGGAGTCGGCGCCCTGATCAACGCCACCGGCACCCTGAGCTACAAGGGCGCCGCCTACCTGGGCGCCCTCATCTTCGCCGCCACCTCGGCCCCGACCTACCTGGCCCAGATCTTCACCGAGAAGCGGCCTACGGACACGGTCGCCGTCGGCGCCCTCGCCAAGCTGTTCGAGACGGTCGGCCTGGCCACCTTCCTGACCTGGTGGGGCACCAGGACCAACCCCTTCGAGTAAACTCGTCCTCGCTTAGCATGAATTAGGAGTTTTTGAAAGGGGGAAACTGGGAAACTGGACTTTATGTGACATTAGTTTCATTAACGCGATGACGACTCGGATGAGACGAGGTTGAAAGGTGGTCAATACACCGCTTGTAGTAGTAGTAATACACTCACCAAACAAATGCAAGCCTTGGGAGGAATTCGAGACTCTGTGATACGTACCTGAATTATAGCTGTGGCGTCAAGTTCAAGTCTGATATCCAGCATAAGTGTACATCGGATATGATTGCGCGGGAGTTGTCCAGGTCTTGGTCGTTGAATCACCCAAAAATTTGAATCTCGTGCGTTGGGCCGGTGGGCCAGGTTAGTATGCAATCGATCACACGGCAGAAACAGCTGCATCCTCATGTCATCTTGCAAACACGCCTTTTATTCCCTACAAAATGTGTTGACATTTTCCTGAACGCCTAAGGCCAACCCAATGACCATGATCCGTAATGTGAAAATCGTTCGCGCCACGAGTACATCAGAGCTGCGGTGTACCTCCATCCTCTGTGTGCTGCCCCGGGTCTATGGAGCATAATATTGGTATCGCCCGTTCAGACAACCTCAAGGCCTTGGAGTGTGATTCCAGAGGTCGACGATGATGACTAACCTCAAAGCTTCCCCAGAAGTGCAGTCCCCATCGGCATCAATGACCAAGGACTCTCAGGGACGCACATGCCTCCGCAGCTGATAAACCATCCCTACACTTCCCAGTCGCAGAAGTTTGCCCGTTCCTTACGTGAACTTGAGCTGCTTGGCCTCCTTCTGCACCAGCTTGACCAGGTCCTTGTACGTCTCGGCAAACTCCTCGTCGCCGGCCTCGGCCTCGGCGTCCTTCTTGCCGGCCCGCTTCTCGGTGACCATGACGACGCTGGTGGGCCGCTTGGTGGCGCCCGCGGCGCCCAGCTCGGCGCGCGAGGTCACAAAGATGTAGGGCACGTTGACGTCCTCGCACAGCACGGGGATGTGGCTGATGACGTCCATGGGCGAGATGTCGCCGGCCAGGACAACGACACCGGGGAACGCCTGGTTCTGGGGGCCCGCGGGCGTCGACTTGCGGAGAGACTTGACGACCTCCTTCACACCGCGCTTCAGGGTCTTGTTCTTGGCAGCTGCAGTGACATATGTGCGTCAGTAATTGTTTTGGTGCGACTTTCTCCGTGTCTCCAGGGAAGGGGGAGCGACGGAAACAATGGAGACAACGGGGTGGGTTTTCTTCCGACTCACCTTTGCGCACCGACTTCAGGATCTTCTTGGTGCCCTTGTCGTCGGCCAGGGGACGCGCGAAGGGTACCAGGGCACCGACGACGGGCTTGACGACCTTGCCCTCACCCTCCTCGTCGTCGACCTCGATCTCGGTGACCTCGGGGGCCTTCTCGAGCGAGGCGGCGGCGTCAGACTGCAGCTTCTCGTCGAGGGCGGCGTTCAGCACGGCCGACTTGAGCTTGTCCTTCTTCTCCTTCTTCTCCTTCTTGTCCTTGGAGACCTTGGCGACACCGTCGGCCTCGGAGCGCTTCTTGTCCTTCTTGTCCTTCTTCTCCTTCTTCTCGGGTTTGGTGGCGCCCATCCTGACGGTTGTGCGTGTGCGTTCTAAAGGTGCTGCTTTTCTTGGCTGCCCGACGAATGAGATAGGATCTTGGGGGGTGTCGGCGGCACGGAGGGAACGAGGTCGTCGAAAAAAAGAAGTGAGTGGTCGTCGCCTGTGTTCTCTCTCACATAGAGCGCCGATAGGCAAGCAACCTCGAAATTTTTTGGTCAATTGAGAATTTCTGCGGGGAGGCATCGGCCAATGGGAAGCTCCGTTCTGGTGGGGCCTTTTGGCTGGGGAGCGTTGGTGGATGAATCGAGTCCAGTGGCTCAGTTAGCTTGAATTGCAACCACCGGCCACCCACAGCCGCAGCCTCGAGGCAATCGACTCTCAAAGCACAATTGCCTGAATTGCGGCTCTGCTGCAAAACCTGCGATGTTGCGAATAATAAAAGCCAAAGAGAAAGAGAGAGTTCCCCCCCTACGGCTGTCGCGTCTGTTCAGAGCTACTTAATTATCAATGTATTAAAAATGATAAATTGGAAAGGTTTAATGTCCTATACGCCTATTAAAACAGTAGGGCTGTACGGAGTAGTCCCTGCGCGCTATCGACTCCAGGTCCGCGGTTGCAGCTCTCGAGTAGAGCTTTACTTGTGTCCTTGGCCATCCGGTTGCCGATCTTTGTACGCGTTGTAGCAGACAGGCTTTCCTCTGCGATGGGTCCTCTAACCTCCAGGTAAAAGAATGTGTTGTTGCGCTGTAAGTTGACCTTAACGCCGACTTCCGAGCCATGAGACCCGGCAGGGGTTGACTTTCTGTTTCATCGACGAAAATAAAACTGGCGGACTGCAAAAACCCATGCGCTTTTTCAGCTGCTCTTCAACGGCGTAGGTCTCGATAAGCTTTTTGGCATCTCATCTCTCGCCTCGGCGTTCCTCTACCAAGCATCCGGCGCTGTTCATGATCGCCTGTTCAACTAGTATACCCAATTTGAGGAGTGCAACGCACGGTACCGGGCTTCCTTTTTGCGACCTCAATTGCCGCAGTAACATGTTTCGTCAAAAACATTTGCACTTGGTCCTACAAGACTGTTTATGATGCAAGTAATTTTTGGATCCGATGACATTTCAATCCAAGGCCTGAAAGCCGCTGTCACGCACCCTGGTTGCATCGTGGGCATGAATGTTGAGGTTCCTAAGCCACCGCGCTGAGAGATGTTTCCCTCACTTTCGTGGATTCCAGCCTATGAACTTGAAGCGAGATTCAGCTCTATGGTTCATATTCCCGTGATTGGCAGTGCACCGGCGCATTGCTGATCTATTTACATGAAGGCTGGTTGCTACCGCGCCGGCGAGCTCTTCCGTGCAGAGTGCTCATTATACGTGGCTAGTCAGGGGTAGCTCTTAAGCTTGTTTTAACATCAACGCCTGCCATTTGAGCCTCAACTGGACACACACAAGCAAGCGATATTGCCCCAGGCTTGTGAGCCAATGACCCCAAGTGCTTGAATTGAGGCTGCTGATTTGGCCGTACTCCCGACATGTGCATCAACAAGCGCCAGAGACCCGATAGGATCTCTAGGCATGAACTTGACATGGATCTTGTAACAGGTCTCCTTGAATGATCTACCCACCAGAATTGACCCCCATGCCACTTCAATCAAGCACAACGCCAAGCCGATAGCCATGAGCTTAGCTTTCTCTGACACCTTGCGAGCATTTCCTTGTCGCGTTCACGAGCTCGACCCTGGGAGATCCCATGTTCGGTTCAGCCTGGCCGTCTGCGGATAGCCGGATCGGAGTTTGACAGATCATGTATGAAACAGGGCCCTCATGTAAATGTTACTTGAGCAAAGCTGCCAGCATCATGAGGCTCATATGTCATTCTGTCGTTTCTTTCTCAACCTCACCTCTATTCTTGTGCCATATCTCGCCGGTTCGAACCTCCTGCCAAGCGCTAGAGCTCCTGTCAGTCAAACTGGCTTTGCTCTGAAACCACAGCGCTCCTTTCTCAGTCTTTCTCTTCTCGTCATTCCTTCTACTCTTTGTGGCTCTCTGTCATTCACTATGAAGTTTTCTGCGGTTGCGGCTGTGGCAGGTGCCATTCTTTCCTATGATGGGCGCGTTGCTGCTTCTCCTTTAAAGATAGAGGTATTTGAGATTTCGACGCTGGGCGGCATGACCTTCAAGATCCACCAGGCGCCAAACAAGGCCTTTTCAGGCCTTCGCAAGGGCCCGTTGGCTATTGCGCGAGCTTACACGAAATTTGGACTTACATTTCCGGACGATTTGTCCTCCGTAATAGAACAACTGCTAGAGGAGCTTGGACTACTGAAGGGTAACAAGGGCAACAGTACGGCCGTTGCTGGCCAAGGTACGCAGGATGACTGAGCATTGATTATGTACGCGCTGACCTGTCCTATAGGTGAGGTGGCAGCAATTCCCGAGATGTTCGATTCCGAATATCTCTGCCCTGTTCAAATAGGTACACCGCCGCAAACGTTGAATCTGGACTTCGATACAGGTTCGTCCGACTTATGGGTGTTTTCGTCGCTTACACCATCCAATCAAGTGAACGGACAGGCGATTTACAACGTGGCCGCCAGTTCGACGGCCCAGCAGATGATGGGAGCATCGTGGTCTATCAGATACGGCGACGGCAGCGCCTCAAATGGCGTCGTGTTCACCGACACTGTGTCTGTTGGCGGCATCACGGTCCAGAACCAGGCAGTCGAGGCCGCCCGCAACGTGTCGTCTGCTTTCACTCAGAGAGCAAGCACCGATGGGCTGCTCGGCCTGGCGTTCAGCGACCTGAATACTGTCAGTCCTACACCGCAGAAAACCTTCTTCGATAATGCCATGAACAATCTGGCGTCCCCCTTGTTCACGGCCAACTTGAAGAAGGCAGAAGGTGGGTGGAAAATTCGAATTCGGGCTGTAAGAATAGTTAGCTGACGTTTGACCAAGCTGGAAACTACAACTTCGGTTTTATTGACCCCACGGAACACACCGGCGACATCTCGTTCGTCCCAGTCAATGCCTCGTCTGGGTTCTGGCAGTTCACGGCCGCAGGGTACAAGGTCGGCAACTCGCAAGCCGTCTCGCTTCCCCACGTTGCAATCGCCGACACGGGTACTACTTTGCTGTTCGTTCCCGAGCAGATCGCCGCGGCCTACTACTCCCAAGTCCGCGGTGCGGTGAACGACGTCACCGGGGCTGGCGGGTATACCTACCCCTGTTCGGCCACGCTCCCCGACTTTACGGCCATCATTGGTGACTATCAAGCGCTGGTGCCCGGCGATATCATCCCTTTCGCACCCGTCGACGGAAACACCTTTGATACCGCCACTACCTGTTTTGGCGGCCTGCAAGCCACCCCGGCCGGTCTGCCGTTTGCCATTTACGGGGATATCTTCCTGAAGTCACAATTTGTGGTTTTCCACGGCGGTAACAAGCAACTTGGTTTTGCCGCCAAACCACTATAAATGAGACACAGCTTGTTGTATGTGAAAGTTGGGAGGCGGGTGGGGGCTTACTCTGGACGAAAGACTACGAAAGGAGTTTAATTGTTCTTTTTAATGGGTTCTGAATATGTTCACCGAACATACAGTTGGATTTGCTGTGGCTCAGACGTCACTACATTGCACATAGGCTACTTGGGTAGACTTTCGCGGATTAGTAGTTATCTTCCTTAGATACTAAAGAATAAAGAAACTGCAATCATGGGCACCACCAATTGGGAATACCGTCCGCTACCACCGGAGTGTGCTGGGAATATTCGATAGCCATGCGTGGCCAGCGACAATTCCTCAAATGTATTGCGGCTTGACTGTGTACTCGAGTAGGTCTCTTTGTCCCACAGCCAGCACCAAACGCATCATCTTAATATCCCCGGTAGAGATTTTGGTAGTTGTTCACATCTGGGTCACTCATGGGTAATGGCTAGAATATGGGTTGTGGATGTTTTACGTGAAACCCGTATAGAAAAGGGTTTCTTGAGTTGGAACAAAAATTTGGGATCCCTGCACTGACTGAGACATCTGACAACTATGACTTATTGGTTTGGTATCCTTTCTCAGATCCTATTTCAAAGCACCTGGTCGAGCATAGCGAAAGGTCGAGTTAAAGTAGACCGTTAGGAGTTGATTAGTTTCACAGGGGCTTCCAAATTATTCACTTCTTCAGCCCAAAGAACTCCGTGCTGAGCCTACACTTTGGATTGCTATTTCAGCGGCTTTGTTCGTTCGTATGAAGACGCTCCTGATATCCCATTTGCCCTGCGCCTTCTGACACAGATATTCAGGAGCATACGCTACGGTAAAGGTAACTCTGGGACTACATCAGCATTCCCTAAGTTTGCAGCTGACGAATGAGTAACGGGGAACTCACTCTGCTCCTGTGATATCGATAACATTGACATCACATGCCGGGCAACGACCAATCTCTGTAGCTGTCGGGCAGAATGCTCCCTGAGCGATGACTGTAATCATCACGTCCTTCACCCCGCGACCCAGAAGTTCGGGAGCAATGAGCGGCAACGTATTTTCTTTAGCCTTCTCTCCAGCGTGGCCAGACAGAATGGCTGCTTCTAACTCGTTGAGAAACAGCTGGGTGATATGCTGGCATGCGAATTTTGCTATAGGCGAGGCCGGTGCCGTATCCAAAGAAAAACCGATGCTCGCTTGCCGGTAATTTCGATTAATGTCTCGACTACATCCTAAAGCAATTTTCATCACGTTACCTAGTGAGCGGCGCTCCAATGCGGCCTGATCCCGATTGTTTGCTCTTTACTCTATTCACTTGAGCCCACCTGATTGTCTGTTTGCCGAGCAACCAAGCCCCAGGTGGTACCTTAAATTATATTAGGTGCCCATATTCTCGTCAGCTGAGGGAGCGTGGACATATGAACAGATTGGATTGTTGGCTCATTAGTCGAGCTGTAAGGTTCCCAAACTCCCGATGAAGGCTGACACGCCGAGTAAGCGTACACTCCCAGTAACGGCCCTCCATGGACTAAGGTGACTGCAGCACCCCTCCTACGGACATGCCCAGTGCTACGGCTAGAAAAGTGGTTCGAACCTAACAGCTCCCCCTTTTTTTTTTGGTCTTTTTTCTTTTTGGGCGGAGAGGGTTTAGTTCAGATTCCAAAATCCTCTGTGAGCTTTCACATTGCCGTTGCCCCCTAGCGTACCGAGGCATACATTCTCACCAGATTGGTTATTAACTTTCACAAAGCAAATACTTGAGCGCGTTCCCGGCACTGTGATAATGACGCTCGTATCGACGCCGTTTCCAGTCAGTTCTTGATGCAATGCTCATCATATCAGTCACCACCGGCTGCCTCAATCATCCTCACCTGGATGCTTACTTTTGGGTCATCCTTATCGCCAACTACCTCGGAGGCTACCGGATGCTCGGTGACAGCTGTTGCTGCTAGATGACTACCACCCGCAGCCAGTTTTGGCTGACGAGGCTTCGTGTGACAGGTCCGATGCGTTGCAATTGCTGAATTGACCCCTTTACCCCTTAAGGCTTCTAAATACTCCGCAGTTAGGATACTCTCTCCCCCTAGGACACGCAAGGCGATTTGAGATCATGGTCAGGTCGATATCCAATCCTCCAATGACGGCAATGGTCTTCGAAGCCATTAAATAATGTAATGAAGACTATTCACATGCGTGGTCGGGATACACTGAGGTGAGGGCGGAACTCCACGATTCGAAAGCGAGTGTGTTCCGACAGCCCAGCTTTTACGAGCTACGACTTCTACTTGCTTAAATATCATCATTGCATTGGAATATAGACATTCAGTTACCTAAAGCCCGCTTCGCGACACAATTTCAGCCCCAATTGCCGACGACTGGCAGTTGTCGTTCTTCGTATTCTAACAAGACGGGCTACTTTCACATGACCCTGTACTTATTTACGGAGTAAAGGATTATTTACAACGCACATACACGGCTAGTTTCGGCTTCCGCCTCCGAAGCCAGCGAAGACGGCCCGGGTTTAACATTAACATTGCAGTGATTTATTCCTCCCTCTGTAGAAAATCCGAGGAGAATCATACCCCGAAGTGAAATCTCATGCTGTCATCATCAGTAGAGCGAAGATGTAAGGCCCGGTCTCCGAGGCCGGATCCGACGGGTTGCCCCACTGCACGGCCAGCTCTCGGCCGTTGCTAACGCCGCAGGATCGCCTGGTGGCCAGACAATAAGGCAATCTGACCACCTGAACGCAAATGTGTTGAAAGTTAACTTGTCAGATAATCGTATGATGTAAGTGCGATACCTTGAATTGGTATAAGACAACGAAACTTCCCAACTCGGAAGCCGGCCGTCGGTCGAGTAACACCACCGTAAGAGCATGTCCATAACCAAGATGTCCGGCGTCTCACTACAGCAAATTCTTGACCAGCTCAAGGCAGGTCCTGTAACAAAGAACAAATATGCAATCACTGGCCTAGCCCTCGCTGGCGGTATCCCATTGCTCTCCTATGCAATCTCCAGCTATCGCGGCTGGCGGGCGCTGGGGAGGGGCGGTCTTCCACCTAACATCTTCGGCTGGCTGATCAACGTGGCCTTGCGCCCACTCTCGCGGTCCGACACGCGCGCCCCGGCTCCCTACACGCTGGAGTCCCTGGAGGCAGTATGGGGCCCGGCGGGTCGGCAGTCTTTCTTCGAGGGAAAGCTGCCGCCGGCTCGGTCTGGCGCCCGGCCCGAGGTGCCCACGTACGTTGCGCCGCAGCGCCAGACGACCGAGCAGGGGGCCCCGGCGATGCTCGAGCGCATGGAGCGGTACCTGGCGGCGCTGACGGCGGCGAACCCGAGCCTGTTCCAGTCGCGGCCGTCGAGGCTCGAGGGCCCGTACCACGATGCCGTGTGGCTGGCGGACGGCGTGGCAGTCCCGGCGTTCCTGAAAGGCACCAAGGGCGAGATCATGCACCCGCACGACGATGGCAGCACGCATGCTGTGCTTAGCCTCTGGGATGCCTCGCGGGCCATCGAGCTCGGGTGGGCGGAGCGGCATAAGCTCAGTGGCGCGGTCGGTGGTGCCATTCCCTGGGGATACGTCTTCATCTACGCACCGAGGAACGAGGACGAGTTTGACTCGTGGAAAAGCTTTATCCTGGCGGCGGCGCGATTCAACGCGGCGTCTGTTGGTAGTACCTCTGTTCAGGCGCCGGACTTGTAGGAGCCATGATTCAATGCAGTGCCCAAGAAGTGAATAGGAAAATCGGTGGGGGGAGTTTTTGGCTCTTGAGCTTCGGCGTAAGAGATATATCTTTGGCAGGATTGTTCTTGTATATAAATCAGTTTTCTGTAGGAAATAGCCCTTGCTGGAACTACCAGACTTTTTCTAGATTGTATCGCTCACACAAGTGCTGCTTTTGTAGCAGACTATCGGGGTCATTTGCGTTGTCGTAGTACGTATAGTCACGAATCTGGACAATGTTCAGATAGCCTTCTTCTGCAACTGCTGTATACCGCACATACAAATATAGAAGTTTCCCAGAATCACTTCAGAGACAGAAAATCATTTTTTTCAAAGTAAAACAAACTCCTAAGATATGCACAATCTTTCTGAGGAACTTCGTGAGTCCTGCGCGCGCATAATTGGAAAAACCTTGTAACCAATAACATCCAAGTCTACCTCTTCGGAGACTCCTGAACTTTTCTATTTCTTCTCCCCAAAGCAAATCGCACGCAGCTTGTCCTTCTCACCGCTCTCCTCGCACATACCCCTAAAGATACCGTTCCCGCCATCCAGCTCCCACAGCTCCTTGGGCGTGCCAAACTCGGCCACCTTGCCGTCGCTCAGCACCAGGATGCGGTCGAAATCAGCAATGGTGCTCAGACGGTGCGCGATGACGAGCAGTGTGCTGTCGCCGAACTCCTCGCGGATGGACCGTTGAATCAGCGTGTCCGTGGTCATGTCGACGGCGCTAGTGGCCTCGTCCAGCACCATCACTTTGGGCCTGGACACAATGGCACGCGCCAGGCAGAGAAGCTGCCGCTGGCCCTGGGACAGATTCAGGCCACCCTCCGAGATGGTCGACGACAGGTCGCGGAAGACATTGGTGTTCTTCTTGGTGACAGAGCCGTTCTCGGTAGCCGACTCTGGAGTCGGTGTACTCGGCGACGTATCGTTCTCTGAAACCAGATGCACACGTTGAAGGCAATCGAAAAGCTCGGCATCGGTGTGGTCGTCGAATGGATCCAGGTTGGATCGCACAGTGCCGGAGAAGAGGACTGGGTCTTGCGGGATGATGGCAAGACGAGAGCGAAGGTCGTGCAGTTTGATCTTGGAGATGTCGAAACCATCGACAAAGATCGATCCCGACCGAGCTTCCAGGAAACGGAAAAGGGCCAGCGTCAGGGAAGACTTGCCGGCTCCGGTGCGACCCACAACTCCTACCCGCTCATTGCGCTTTACGCTGAAGTTCAACCCCTTGAGGACTGGCGGAAGATCTGCAGCGTATCCAACAACTAGGTCATTGACCTCCAATCGTCCTTCAGTTGGCCAGGCCGCGGGAGGGCTTTCTCCCTCCAGGTTCTCGGTCGGAAGCTCACTGTACTCCACCACACGTTCGGCAGCGTTCATTTCCAACTCAATGTTAGCATAGTGACGAATGGTCCACCTATAAGCAATTGTTAGCTTTCGGGCGCTTTGCATGGAGGAGTTCAGTACTCACGTCACAGTCCCCGAGAAATCTAGCGCGAAGGTCAAGGCGAATCCAGCAAGTGCGGAATCCATGTTGGGTGCGAGAAGGACAAGAATGGCAACGAAACTAGCGAAGAAGGACCCAACAACCGACATGCGCCAGCCCATCCATCTGTTGAAAAGCCACATGTGCCATGTCGTGACCGTCCAGTCATCTAGCTTGGTGTACATTCTGTCAACGTAGGTTTGGGCCTTGTCGAACCCGCGGATCGTGGTGACACCGCTCAGTGCAGACCCGAACTGCTCGAAGACCGGCGACTTGGCAGTGCTCTCCAGTCGCTTTGCCGGTCGGGCTCCGTGGAGGTAGCGCGTGGCGTAGTAGACGCTGATGAGCAGAAGAACGAATGCCAGCGCCAGGATGGTCGGCGAGACGAACAAGCCAGCGACAATGACTCCGATAAGGTTCAAGAAGGAGGCGGCACCGAAGCCAAGCGAATAGGCGAGGCGTGTGTCAACACTGTGAAAGTCGCCCGTGAACCGATTCAGGACTCTGCCTACCGGTACTGTATCGAGCCATCGTAGAGGGGCGCGCAGAATGACAAAATTCAGTTTGGCGAAGAGCGTTCTCGAGGCCTTGATGGATCCGCTGAAGATGTAGTAGTATCGAAGAGTTCCAAGCAAAGCACTACCGACTGCTAGGAGAATGTAGATGCCGAGGTAAAAGCCCAGACCGTGTTCCTCGGTTTGGACCAGAGGTTGCATAATCTTGTGGGGGGACATTTGCTGCAGTGTGAGCGAGTATGCGTATGCTTGCTTTTGGGTATGAAGCTGCATCCTCTCTTCCTCGTAGGTCCCTGTCCATATCTTTAACCACCAGGACCTACCCAGGGTTAGGCCTTGGACGACCACATAGAAAGCGACAACGCTCGACCAGAAGAACCAGCCTCCGCTAGCTTGCAAGTAGGTAGCATAGACGTGTTTCTTGATAGCACCCTGTTCGCGAGACTCCTCCTCAACAAACTTCCGCGCCTGCAGAGCTTTCGAGGGTACTTTGGTCAAAGGCTCTCCAACTTGTTCATCTTCGGTCTGCGACGTCTGCTCAGAATTGACTGCAGTCGCATCTTCATCAGGCTGGATATCCATCTCAGCTTGTTCATGGCTCTTAATCTGCTCGAGCGCCCCAGCTTCCTCCAGCTCTGACAGCAACCCAGCATTCAGGACGGTGCCATTGCCAAGTTCCACCAGGTACTTGGTCTTGGGTTCACAAAGTGCAACGTGATGAGTGACCAAGATCCGAGTTCTTCCCGTGCACAATTCGCCGTTCAAGCACTTTTCGAAGATATGGCGGCCGACGTGAGCGTCGACGGCACTGAAAATGTCGTCCAGGACCAATATACCGGCTCTCGAGTATATGGCTCGGGCAAGTGTGATTCGCCATTTCTGGCCACCACTTAGGTTGATGCCGTTTGCTCCAATTTCAGTTCTCTCGCCATCCGTGAACATCTCGATGTCCTTCTTCAGAGCGCAGACTTCAATGGTCTTGTGATACCGTTCTTCGTCGTACGGGAGACCAAATAGAATGTTATCCTTTACCGTAGCATTTTCAATCCACGGGATCTGCGCGACGAATGCGATCGCGCCAGGGATGATCCAGTTGCCCTTATTAGCGTTGGAGTCGTGTCTTTGGCTCAACGGAGGCGCCCGCGGAACAGCGATCGACCCAGACAAGATGTCGACTTCACCCAAGATAGCAGCAAGCATCAAGCTCTTACCAGCTCCCGTCTTACCCGAAATGACAGACAATTCGCCCTTGGGAAATGTAACGTTAACATCGCGGAGAATGAACTTGTCGGGATCTTCATCCTTGTCGTCGGCAGGCCAGGCGATAGTGGCCCCGTCGAAGGTAACTTCGTCGGACTCCTTTGTATACTTGATAATCTCGGCTCCGAGCAAGTATTCTTCGATTCGCTTAATGGAGACCCATGCGTCGAGCAAATCGGTGGTAAGTTCGGGGATGACAGAGAGTGTAACCTCAAGGGCTCTGAAAACACCCAGACTGACGAAAGCTACAGAAGGAGCCAACTCATCGTGCACAAGGGCGTAGACAGCCAGAGATACGGCTGAAAGCATGATAGGGCTTGTAACCCAACATCCGATCAGCATCACGTCGTTGATAAAGACGTCCCACACACAGCCAAGCTCCTTCTCTCGGACACCCCCGATCTTGTTCTCCCATTGCGGTTCAAGGGCGGAAAACTTGATTTGTCGAATACCCTGCAGTGCCTCCGAGACCACCTCCATCTTCTCGTCCCTGACCTTCATCAGGCGATCTTGCGCCGCCGAATACCTTTTACTAAAAAATATGTTGACGGGCATGATGGCGAGCATGGTAGAAAAGCCGGCTACGAGAGCCTTCCAACCGAGGAGATCCAGCAAGAAAGCCAAGGACACAATCAGCTTGAACAGACTCCCAGGGAAGTAGAAGTTGAAGCCACAGAAATCCGATACGCGCTTGGCGTCGACACCGATCAAGTTGACGACGGATTGCTTGCTCTTCTTGAGTTGCTCCTCGTCATCCTCAGTTTCCTCAACCTGGGGAGCATCACCGGTGGGGACTGAGCCTGACGGTGCTGCGGTGAGGGGGTCAGTAGACTCTGTGGGCTTCTCTTTCTTCTTGCCTGCTCCCTTCACATCCTTGCGCCTGAGGGATTTCTTGAATATCAAAGATGACAACTGCGCTCGGAGAGGGACGCATAGCTCAGCCCACGACATCCAAAATACATATGATTCGACCCAGGACTGGGCAATGATGGCCACAGCAATCCACACTACCCACATCCAGGCATCATAACCCAGGGGCTCTTTGCGGTCTCGATACGCTCGATCTTCGAGGAGCTTGAGGAGGTGAAGAACACACCATTGTGGCGCAAAGTTGAGAATTGCGGACAAGAGTGTGACAAACCATTGCAGTGCGAATTTGGCCTTGTGAGCCAGAATAATCGAGACCCAGAGCGGACCTTGGAAGTTGCGGCTCTCCCAGTACAACGTTGTCTCCCTTGCTCGGCTGTAGTGATCTGGCCTCGGGAGGTCTTTCAAGTCGAGGTTGTTGCGCTTGGCGGCAAGCTTGAGTACGTTTGTTGGCCAACTCCAGTTGAAGTGGCTCCAGGCAGATTCGGTGTAATATCTATCGACCAGTTTGCCCTCATGAAAGACATCAGGCCGTCGTGGAATCTGCAGACTAGAGAATGCCAATGCGACGAGGGTTACTATTTCCACAACCCGCATCGCAAAGATGGCAGGGTCATGCTTGATTAGGTGCTCTGCAATTGTGTCATCTTGAACGGCGAGAACAACCACTAAGAGAACACACGAAAGCGCTGTATGGAGGCCCAGGTCGTGGGAGGCCCGAGACTTTCGGTTAGATGCGATGCTGATAGCCTGGAAAGTGAGGAGTGCCTAGATAGTTGGTTAGCAGATGAATCTTGTTTGAAGCAGAGAAGTGTGCTCACCCAGGCCCCTACGCTCAGCCAATTCTCGAGGAAGATTCCATTTGATTCACCCAAGGTCGAGAGCACGCCGAGAGCAATGGACAGGCCCAAGCCGATCAGCGAAAACAATAAGATGAAGGCCTTGGGTACTTTGGCGCTATAAGCTGCGACAGCCTCCGGCGTGCTTTTCCCATCCTCGTCCTCATAGACGTCCGACTTTGAGTCTTTACTCCGTAGCTGCGATCCCAGAGAGAATGCGGCCGGGAGAGACGACAATCCAATCAAGCCCAGTCCGGCAATGGAGGTTGCCAGTATAATGGTCTTGTCCGACATGTTTGGCTTTTCGTCTGGGCTTTGCGCCTTAGGAACAAGAGAGCCAGAGCTGAGAAGCTTTGTTAAGCTTTTAGTCGGACGGTCTCGTTGGTACCCGCTATTGCGCAAGCGCTTGGCGAAGGAGCACTTTCGCGCTGGTCACTGGTGACCGTGGAAAAGAGTTTACAGTATCTCAGTCCAGCTCGATTTGATGTCGCGGTCCACAGGGAGGAATATACAGAATGCTGGATGGGTCAGAGGGCTTCCGCTTGGGGTCGGCCTTGTACACAAAAATTTTCTGCCACAGGCAGCAATCGGAGGCGGCGATGACACTCCACTGTGTCCCGAGAAGCTGGGGAATGAGTGCATGCGGCGACAAGCTACAGTTCTAGCTAGTTTGGAGTCTTACGCCGCTTGACTCATTTGTAACCGGCGGACGGGGCTTCGGGGGTAAGCTATCGGATAGCAACTACTGGGCAGGCCCAGGGTCTCCGATTCGTCAGCATACTTTGTCAATGTCTGCACATACGAACGGAAAGGTGGAGCGGCGCTCTTCCCAAGTTGGTGGTGCTTGGTTGCAGCCAGGGGCGAAGTGGAGGGTCGAATGGGGAGGCTCTCGTCAAGCAAATCATCGGTGAAGCATGGGGATCGGCTGGACTGCAGATGGGGGCCAGGTAGACCAACCGCACTATTGTACATAGGATAGATACCAAGATCTCGCACAGGTCCGGAGTCTGCCCGTGGGGCCATGTGGTGTGGAATAACTCCGGCGATGCTTGATCTTCTCGAGGCGATCATCGAGAGTCATCTGGCAATGCTCTACTGATGACACAAAGCGCTTCATAGCAAGTATTGGTGATGAATACAGCACCACCGCATTGCTGGACGTACAGTAGGATGCAGATGCCAACTCTCGGGTACACAGGGACTGCATGAGCCAATGTGATCTAATGCTAGGATTAGAAGGTGCGATAGGATCCAGCCTGCTAGCCTATAATAGCGGTGCGCTTGGTTGCGGGAGCTTATTTCAATTACTTACTTAGCGCAACAGACGCGAGGCATCTGATAGGCAGGTTATAGGGCGTTGAAAAGGCCTCTGCATTTCGCTGGCCCATCGGTGAGGTGCATTCAATTGCCGCTGCCAGTGCAGAAACTCGCCTTCCCGTCTGACTACCAACATACATACATGCATACTTTCAATCTTCCGAGATGCACAAAGGGCTGGTGACTATATAACTATACCCGGGCATATCTGAGACTTGGTGGCTGTCGGTTCCGACAGGCTCATTTGTATACCCTGGGAGACTTGGTAGGGAGTATACGAAAGGTACTTTAACTTCCCTGGTACGTAATGCAAGAGAGCGAGCCTGTTTGCCAGCCACAGACATCCAGACAAGTCACCATGATCGGGCCCTTGAATCGTCATATGGACGGGTTGTACCAATTTCATCATTGCTGTCTCACCATGACACAGATACACGACGGGTGTCGACGTGACTCACGAGATGGCGGGGCGATTGCTGCGGGCTGGTGTTTGTTGCAGCCCTTAGCAGGATGGTGGAGCGATTGTATGCAAGTGCAATATGCTGCGAGTGAGCCTGCATGTTGATGGGCGTAAGCATGGCGGGGTGTTTCATTCGCCAATTCCAAAAGTGCCAGCCTACCTCAGTTGGGCAGGGGGACCTTTTTTTTTTTTTTTTCTTCTGGGGCAACCCGTTCGTATGTACACATCGTGACCCGCACTCTGCACATGAGCAAGATTGGGTCTTGAGCTTAATCCATATGGCTGGAAGCGGAAGTCATGCACTTTGCCAGGAACTTGGCTTCTCTTTATCTGTGGATATACCAGAGATTGACGACTACTATATTGTTGTGGAATGCCAATGCCAAGCAGGGCGCAAGGCGGAGGGCGGGATAGAGACCAGACCAGACCACGTTGAGAATTGGCAATGGCGACCTATAGCGACTTCACAAGTTAAACGAGTCATCTCTATATTTCCCAACAATGGCGAGTGCTGAGGTCTAGTCACAATGAGTCATTGTGTCGAGGGTAATCTGCGGCACCTGTGGTGAGTCCTGTACAATCTGTCCATCGGACTAGTATGGGACAAGCGTCCAGCCAATCATGGTAATTAAGCGACGTTATGCTACGTTCTGGCAGCTCGACACCTTATTTGCTGGGCAGTTTGGAACGGCTCGGAAACCCAGCAGTAGGTCACACCGCTTCCCGCGGATCGAGGACGGATCTGGTCAGTGGTCTCCCTGGCTGCTGGTGCTTGGATGCGACGCCTAAGCCCAGCCATCCGCTCCCTGAACCTCGAACGCATTGGGACACTTCGGGCAGCCGAGACCGGCACACGCTGAGAAGGTTGACACCTAGGTAAGTTTTGGGGGCTCCAAGCGTGACAGCCATAAGCTGACCTGATGCTTTGGGCTGTTTTGGAGTTGCACAAGAATTCTTGAGGCGGCGTCCGTGCCCACGCTGGCTGGGCAGGGCCGTTGAGACGTGCCACAGAAACCTTGCCAAGAGGAGCTCGGGGGACGAAGGCCTGGCTGCCGCAAAATTAATCTTGATACATAACGGCAAGGAGCTTGAAACTTTGTTACTGGTTTAGTGCCCAAAGCCCGGGCAGGCAGAGTTCCCGCATTGTCACCCTGACGAGAACTGTGAGCGATCAGAATACCTATGCTATGTGGTTACCAACGAATATCATGTGAAGGGGGCGTTTGGGAGCATGGCGCCGCTGAGGCTCCTTCGTTCAGTTCCTTGCCCGGCTCAAGCGTTTCCGGCCACCAGCCAAGGCATTTTGTTTTTTTTGTGTTTTTGAGGGGTGGCTGCGGTTGCAGCCAGGACAGGAACGCGTAACTACAACTTCTGGGCCCGCCTAGCTAGCATGCTGAGTGAGAGCTGAAAAGCCTTGTCCCCTGGGTTGGATTGACCAGGTCGACGGTGAGAGGGTGAGAGTGGGACAGCGAAGTTAAGACTGCTCGTGATTGGGACTGGGCTCTGGAAGCCGTGCCGGCGGTGTCTGATTGGCCATTGGCGGCCACGACAAGACACGTCCGCGGGTCAAACGCGACGGGTAGCCCCAAGGTCGTGTGGAGACGGGGATCAATTTAACGGACCAGAGCACGGCTGGGAATTGAATGTGCTTGCTGATGAGAGCCGCGATCAACAATTTTCCCTGCCCGCGATTCGGATCAGAAACTCTGCAACTCCTCACTCCTTCTTCTGCCTCCTCCGCGACAGGTCTTTCACAAAGACGACTCCCGTCGGAAGCTTGTGACGGCCCGGGGCCGCGTACACCATAACTCCAGCTTTGGACACCACAGAAGCCAAGTACAGTAGCCTACTTAAGTAGGTAGGCAGGCTCGAGCTTGATCCCCAAGCTTCCCCACCAACGGCGCGGCGGAAAGTACTGGACCTGGACTGAACGAACGCAATACAATTGATGAGCAGTCAACTCTAAAATCAGCTCCTGGCCAGCACCCACGAAACGCTCTCAGGCTCCGGCTCAAGGCACAACCTAACCTCGACTCTCCCTCAGCCAGATAAGGGCATCTATAAACCCTCAGCCAAGGCCCACGCCGCCGAGGGTGCCTGTGTGGCACGACATCTTTCTCTCCTGTGCTTATCCCCAACCACACACGCTCACACGCTCACACGCCCACACGCTCTGCGTCCGCATGAGGTCGACGTCGTACACGTGAACCATCAGCCACCCAGCTCCCACATCTCCCCCCGTGGGCGAGCCTCGTCGAGAGAGAGCAAGCAGCCTTGCATGCAACGACCCCCAATCGCATGATAAGCCTGCTGGACTCCCGTCTGCGGATACGAGACATCTCGACAACTACTACGATTACTGTTATCGACCCACCGTCCCCTATGCCTGCCGGGCACGCGTCACGATGAAGAGCACACCACTGATCATCAACTGGCACGACTCCACCAGCCCCGTCTACTCGGCACATTTCGAGCCTCACGGCAAGGGCCGCCTGGCTACCGGTGGTGGTGACAACAATGTCCGAGTATGGCCAAGTCTCCCCGAGGTCCATTGAAGGAGCTGTCCCCAAGCTGACATGGTTTTAGATATGGAAGGTAGAGGGCGAGGGAGAGGACCGTAAAGTGGACTACCTCTCGACTCTTAGCAAACATACCCAGGCCGTCAATGTTGTGCGATGGGCTCCCAAGGGTGAGTTCCAGCTGGCAACCATCGCTGAGATCGTTGGCTCCAATCAGCTGTATCTTTCTTTCCAAGCAGCCAAGGCATTGCTGACCTTCTTCTTCCTCCTCCTAGGTGAAGTCCTCGCATCCGGCGGCGACGATGGCAATGTCATCCTCTGGGTCCCAGCCGACAGCAACCATACCACGTTGGGCAACGAGGATCTGGGCGACAAGGAGACATGGCGGGCGAAACACATGTGTCGGTCATCAGGCGCAGAAATTTACGATCTGGCTTGGTCTCCCGACGCCACGTACTTTATAATCGGCAGCATGGACAACGTTGCCCGTATCTATAATGCAGGCACTGGGTCCTTGGTCCGCCAGATCGCCGAGCACAGTCACTACGTCCAGGGCGTCGCCTGGGACCCGCTGAACGAGTACATTGCTACACAGTCTTCCGATCGCTCAGTTCACATATACTCGCTGAAGACCAAGGATGGCCAATACACCCTTGACAGACACGACGAGAAGACCACCAAGATTGCCAGCCACGCCAAAATGGATCTCCCGGCGCGGCGCATCTCTTCGAGCAGTCCTGCGCCGCCAGACTTGGGCCACCGAGCTCTGCTAGCTTCCACCGAGGCCACAGGCGCTGCCGTCGGCTCGCCCGTACCATCAGCTCCTGGGACGCCAACCTCAGGTCCGCTACCTATGAACCCACCAAGTGTTGTAAGCCACAGCAGACGATCGTCCTTCTCGTCCAGAAGATCCGTCTCACCGGCGCCGTCCCTGCCATTACCAGCGGTCATGCCCATGGAACCATCGCCCAAACCCAACATGGGCGTCAAGAACGCGAATCTCTACGCCAACGAGACACTGACGTCCTTCTTCCGGCGCTTAACCTTCACGCCGGACGGCAGTCTGCTGATGACGCCGGCTGGCCAATATCAGATTCAGCACTCGACCGAAGGCTCGCGAAATACCTATGAGGTGATCAACACCGTCTACATATACACACGGGGCGGCATCAACAAGCCACCGATGGCGCATTTGCCCGGCCACAAGAAGCCGTCGATCGCCGTCAAGTGTTCCCCTGTCATCTACACCCTCAGACAGTCCCCGCCCACCACGACACACATCACAATCGATACCTCCTCGGCCGAGGAACCTATCGCACCCCTCCCGGAGCCTATATCTAAGCCGTCGCCTGCACCCTCTGTAATGGATCCGCCGCCGCCACCACCAGCGTCTACGACCGCCCCCGAGGGGGACAAGGCAAGCACGCCATCTAAACCTTCGAATGTCGAGACAGGAGCGGCGGCGCCTGGTCCAAAGCCAACGTTCGCGTTGCCATACCGGATGATATATGCCGTTGCAACTCAAGACACAGTCCTGCTCTACGATACTCAGCAAATGACGCCCATATGCGTAGTCAGTAACTTGCATCTTACGACCTTTACTGACCTTGCTTGGTGTGTACTCCCTGATCAGATTCCTGTGGTGTCATGTGGCTAACAGATACAGGTCGAGTGATGGCCTGACCCTCTTGATATCATCGTTCGATGGCTTTTGTTCTACCATCTCCTTCAGCCCGGGTGAGCTGGGACAGGTGTACACCGGTGAGCTCTCGACTGCCAAACAGCCCTCGTCTGCTGCTACGGGAACATCATCAAACCAACCAACACCCACGCCAACACCAACATCGTTCGCGCCTCCTTCTCCGTTCCATGGCGCTGTGCACCAGCACCGTAACTCCACAAGCTCGTTCACGGCTCCATCGCCTCCTGCCACGACGACGGCCTCGTTCGTCAGCCTGCGGCCGTCATCTCCGGCGCGTTCCAACAGCACTTCTTCCGTCGCAACCCAGGCTTCGGCAGCCGTCATGACGAACCCTCCTCTTATCGGGGGCACGGTTCCCAGCATTGCTGCCGCTAACTCTGGCAAGGTTACGGGAGTGCCCATCACAACGCCGCCGGAGACCCCCAGGAGCGGCAACGCGGTGGCTGCTGGTGTGAAGCGAGAGGCCAGCGAGAGCGAGAAGGACGAGGCATCCACAAACAACCAGCAGCCGAAGAAGCGCCGCATAGCACCGACGCTCGTCAGCGAGCCCAAAACATGACGAACTGTCCGATGGTTACTACCCCCAATTCGATATTAAAAAGTCTTGTTCTTCAGAAGGTGTCGAAGAAGGGTGGAGAAAGAGTCATGTTCACCACATACGGAATGCATTATACAGGCGTTTGGGTGTTGGCTGGAATTGTTGAACCTAGCTCTGGGAGAGCCATTATGTGTACATCCAGTCCTACATATCCCGGGTCTTGTATTCCAAAATTGCCCATGTTGAGGGTGCCGTTCGGCCGGGACACGTTCCGTATTGAACCAAGCCAGCCCCGATGAACAGGGGATGGCAAACAAGTGGGGGTAAAGGACCCCCGCAGGATCGTTCGTTTCTTCTGTATTTGTATGCTATTCTGCCGATTCGCGCATAGCATATCATGGCACAGCTCGGGAGTTGGGACAAGGAGTAGGGATACCTTGGTTTGAAATTCCATTACACTACAAGGCATATTGTGTTTCACGCGTAACCGCGTCCGGACTAGGAATAGCTCGCTACCGTGATTCCGGATCAGAGGCAGAACAAGTTCTCGGGAGCCAATACGGCTCGGCTCATAGAAGAAGAGTGCTGTTGGCAGGAGCATTCAGCAAGATAGGGTTTCCGAAAAACATGGCTTTTATTTCAGTATTTACGTATCCTCGTTCCCTCAAGCTCATCCGGTTCCTGATCCAGACGCCCTAATTGCCGTCCTCCTTTCTCGTAAGTGACGACGTCGATGGCATCCATGTAGGTCAAGGACCTCTACTTTGAGAGGCCACCACACTGCGTCATCGCCTATTATTTCCGACGGCCGGAGGTATGTCAGGACAGTCTCTCCACGGGCCACTCACCGCTCACTTGTACCTCGTTTTTGTTGTAGAGACGGATCTGTGTACCTGACAACCAACCCATTCGGTGTCTTACATACCGTGAGGTTGACCTGCGGTCGGATGTAATTGTACGGCGGGCGAAATAGAGAGCGACAATAAATGACACTTGGTCTATCGTATGCCGCATGCTGCACATTTGTACTGATGGTTGTGTGCATGGTGAATGCAACGGACACAATATGGTGCAAGGCCAGCCTTCAGACACGGAAGCGGTGACAAACTTCTCGTCACGTCCCCGGGCGGGAAGCACATCCGCTTCGTTGCTTTCCCAACAGTGATGACTTTAGTAGGAGGTGAACAAGAAGCGATATAGGTGCGTGTCATGTCAAAACTAACAGAGTGGAAATAGCGGTTAGCTGTCCCAAAGAATTCTGTATCTGTACTGTTGAGCCAGATCTTGTGGAACACCTTCCCTGACAAACTCATGTCAAGGCATAAGAAGATCGCGTGGTGACCCGACCAAACAACCACCAGTGCTGTGCTTGGATTATTTCCAACCTGTGCCTCTGAAAAGAACGCCTTAACGCCTCTGCATGAACTTTCAGAGGCGGATTCCAATCGTGCTAGATAGCTGGTGAAACAGAGAATGAAAGAGAGGCTTGCTTCATCGCAAAAGATTTGAACCAAAATAAAGAGAGAGGTTTGGCCCCCCCTTTGTGCTCCTATAGATCCTGTATAGTGAGCGTTCGTCAAGCGCACGGCTTCGAGCTCCTGATGGACCCTCATGGAGATTTGTACAGTTCAGTGGTGGACTTTGCTGGCGGTAACATAATACGCAATGATGGCTGCCACCAGTGATGCGTAGATGACGCACTCAATGACGAATACCGTCTTGATAATCTTCCTCTGCTTTCTCGTCAATCGACTAACCTCGCCGTGGGTGAACCACACCAAAGAACTGTCGAAGTTGCCATTGATGACGAGCAGTGCGAAGAAAGGCAGGATGCACAAGGAAAGCATGACATAGAAGAATAGTCGCCTTCTGGTCTTGGCTTGGTATGAGATGAAGTCGTCTTCCGTATGCCGTGTAGCTTCTGGATCCGGGTGCATGGTGCTACCACGCGTGCGACTGAAGACCATCGGCCGGAGACGCTTGTCCAACGGCAACAGGCGGCCACGAGGCTCACTGTGAGTCCTTTTCTGTCTCCTTCCAAGTAGATAATACTTGGATGCTGCAGGTGTCTTAGTATTCACATGCGCGGGCGTTGGTGGAGTGTCAGTAAGAAGGTAATACTCACTCGATCTGGGGGTATCTGTGTATTAATCAGTGCCTGACACGAGATATTTGAGGGACAAGTTACATACCGTCACCTTGAAAGGCTCTCCACGGGGGCGGGGTGAATGTCGAAGAGAGACCAGAACCTTTCCTGACATGTCCATCACGCAGGTATGCCGCTGAAGGACGAGGGGGGAGTGGAGTCAGACTTGGCTGCGTGCCAGATTCACTGCGTGCACGATTGTATCTGACTGTCGAATCTTCAGTCTCATCAGTCTCGCCGCTCTCTCTTCTCTGCTTCTGTAACACTTGAGCCTCCGCAAGGTCAAGCAGCCGGAATGAGAACTTAGATCCTGCTGAAACAGGCCCATCTTGGTAGATGATCGGCGTCATCGGTGTAGGCTTGTCGTCATAATCATCCATGGCAGGTCGATTGTGTTGTGACATCCTGGGGAAAACTAATCTGGTCGGGCGGCGTGAATGGCGTCGTGTATGTTTGTGCTGATGCGTCTCATTATCTTTGTGCGGCACATAGTCCCCTCCACCGGTGCATGACACGCCTCCTTCATTGAGCAGCCCAGTCGAGTTGATTGAAGCCATGGATGAGGACTCTATAACTTCTCGAGTTCCGCAAACTGCCTGGTTACTATCGACAACTCCAGCATACGTAGACGTCGAATCTCGAAACTCATATTTCGAGCGTGTGTTCTTGTCTGGTTTATAGGTGAAGTAGCTGCTTGCGTCTGCTCTCTTGTAATCACGGCGAACGAAGGGGTTGAACAGGCCTTCTTGTGACTCTGTAGGCTTGCGGTAGTTAGAGTTGAAACGAGAGGTGTTTTGACCGAAACCGTTGAAGCGGGATGCGTTCGGTCGTGGGAGGAGAACTTTCTGGTCTCTTCCCTTCAGGCTGTGCATCTCATAGCTGTTGGCAAGTGATTCTGCTGAGGGATGCTGCAGAATGTGGTCTCTAGAACCAAACGCTCCTGGGAAATGTGTCATGTACCCATCGTCAGAGTAATCTGCAAGGCTGCTTCCAGTGGCCTTGATGCCTTGCGCAAACGGTCCATTGTGCGGGACAGTGTCTAAACCAGCATCACTGGTCGCCTCGGTTACCCAGTCGCCCTCGGTAGCATGATCGCGTGACAAGGTGTTGGTGTTTCCATTGTCACGTTCCACCATAAGACCAAATGTGGTACTGTCTTGCGCATCGTTTGTTTCGTCCTCAACCTTGGGCTCAGGACTTTTGCTGATGACAATCTTGATACCACTACCAATTTCCGCATCACCATGCAGCGCGCGGAACGCAACAGGGTCAAAGAAGTTACCTCCAAGCTGACCATGGTCTACAGTGGATTGATGAATTTCCGACTGTGACCGAGCTTCATTATTTGGGCCTGCACGTACAGTGGCTTCATCAACAGTTGGATCGATGCCTTCGGGAGGTGGGTTGAAACGACTTAGGCGCCTAAGGGCGCGGCTCACTTCTCGTTCCTTGCCGAGCCGTCTGATGCGTCGGTAATGCTCGTTGTCATACTTGAAGGGGTCATCATTCGAGTCGGTTGAGATATCACCTGTTATTGACGACTCCACATCAGTGAGGAACGGGTTCTGTCGAAGCTGATTCGCTCGGTGGTGCTCCCTATTTGATGGAATCCGCAGCGGTTGGGGCACCAGGCTGTGACTGTGCCTGCTGGAGCCTTGCTTGTCTCCACAAGTGTCAAGATCCTTCAACCAGTCTGCATCCGACGCTTGTGTGCTTGCGCGGCTGGAGACTCGAGGAGAAGGGCTGAGCTGGGCTGTTGTTGAAAGTCGGCACCGGTCTGCGTCCAGATCACCTGCCCATACGAACCTAGGAGCTTCTAGCAACGCCTCAGCAACTGAGCCGACGTTCGCGGCCTCAGCATCAGTCTCTGATACCCTCAGTTGAGGTGGGAAGCTTGTATCGCGTTGCGGTTTCTTTTGGTGTTTAGAAGGCACCCTGTTCTCTTCTCCGCGGAAGCCGACCCGAGTGGCAGCGCCTTGTTGTCGATCAGGCGGCTCGAAGGTGTATGCCAGTTCTGAACTTCCGAGACTGGACGATCGGCGATCACCTTCAGTAGTCGCATACTGCTCAACAATACGCTCAACGGTACTCTTGGACGTGTCAACCGGAGGGAGATCTGTGTCTTCATCACGGCATTGCTTGTTGCCCTCCTCGATAAGGCCTGCAACCTTGACAGGATTCTGCTTGGCCAGATGCTTCACAATGCTGCGGCGGTCGGTCAACGATCTCCCCGCCATGTTCCTCGATGGATGAGGTGAAACAAAGTCCGAAGCATAGCGACGTAAGGTGCCATGGGCAGCCAGGGTATCAAGGCCGTCCGGGGATGTAGCGCTAGAGATCTCGTGCAGAGGGATCTCGACATTTGCCTGGCTCCCGTCGGAAGCGTTGCGGAAAGGGTTGTTAGGCGCAAGCCGAGAAGTGATCTTGCGATGCGCCTCATCCAGGTTGGGAAAGAGCGGACCACGGGGTGTAATGCTTCGCTTGGGTATGGGAGGCGGCAGATCTGGAGACGGGGTTCTTGGTCTCTCCACTACGAAGGGAAAGAGGTCGCCCTCCTCGCGGGCTTGCTTCGATGTCATCTTTCCTAGTCGGTCTGCCACCAGGATCCTGCGGCTGGATTGAGCAGTAACGCTTTTCTTTTGCGCACCGCCGAGGTTGAGATGTGGCTCTGTGGTGTGTCCAGCTACGACTTCAAGACGGCGCCTTCTGTCAGTATTCATCCGGAAACGAGAGGCATTGACGAGTCCGTGAGAAGAAGGGTGTGGCTTCGCTTACCTCACTTATTCTGATTCTGAACGCTGGCTGATAGGGCGGAGGGAACAATCTCAGTGAGTGAACAGGCGCGCCTTGTGATTTGCGTTGTTGACTTTGTAGGCAATGAGACCACAACGGTTAGGTTGAGGAAAGGAAAGTACGACGCTGAGAAGAGGCGAAATCCCCCACCTCCACGGCCAATAATTTGGGCGTGATTTTCTGGTGGTGAGGATGCAAAAACTTATGTTCAGCTGATGGTCTTGACGTCGCCGATGCGATAGCCTCAACGTCGACAAACGGTGCTGCGCAAGAGGGTTCGGTTTGCAACAGCGGTGGCGGCGACGATGGCGACGACGATGATGATGCTGTGAAACCTCGTCTCAAAGAGGTTTAGTGACGACCAAAAGCAGGTGAATGGAAAATAATTTCATCGGAGTGGTGTTGCGCATTTGGTTTCGGTGTTCACGTTTTTGGTCTGATTACTCCATTTCACCTTTGCGGGTCACCTGGCCGTGAGCTTCTAGAGGGGGGGCCAGATAACCAAACAAAACAGGCAAGCAGCTCATCTGTAGCCCATCACAGATCTCGGGCTGGTTATTTGCAAGTGAATCTTCCTTCAGTCTCATTCAACTGCCCCAAAAGGCACCCCAAGGAGTCTACGAGGGCCTAATGCAACTCGTGATGCTCGCCCATCGCCATGCACGAAGAACCTATTACAGGTACTTGTTACATATCATATGCAAGCTCATGGTGTGTCATAATCACCATTGATACGAGTCCTTCGTGCAGCTATTCTAAACATGTCCTGATACTCCAGAGTACGTGACAACCTCCTGCATTATCAGATCCGATACCAAGGTACAAAATTATTCATCCCAACCCCCTGCCCAGGGCAGAGTTCAGCCCAAGTATTGGGAAATGAGGTGAATCATGGCTGTTGGTTGATATGAGCTGTGACGCACGCCCACTTCTGTTCGAAGGTCTCCAGTGCGAGCAATGGGTGACTGAATGATGTTGAAGAGAGGCATTGTTAACCACAGCCCCTTGTCGGTGGGATAACTTCTATTTCTTCTATTTGCTGACTGTAGATGGCATAGTGCACCCGTCAAGTCAGGTTCGTGTAGTCTTCGAAGCCGAAGCTTCAACGCCTCCTCAAGAGTGGTGGTACATGAATCATTTACAGCCTATTCATGAAAAACGGGAAGACTTGGCAGTCGAGAGTGCATCCGATTAGGAACCGTGACAAAAGAGAATACTCGGCTCTAGACTCGGCTTACGAAGCCGTCACTGACTCTGGAGAAGGGATAAATCCTACCCTTTGAAATCCAGGCCTTTGCCACTTCGTCCTAGATACCAGGTTTTCTTTATGGTGAACAAGGTACAAAACATCATGTGCCAAAAGTGTCATGAACAACCGCCTCTGCGAATGATTGATGTTAATATCGGCCTCAAAAGAGCGTTTCTGTTCCTCTTCGTACCACTCCGCGAGCTTCTTCCAACCAGATGCATCACATTACCCCCCTGCTACTCACCCTGGTCATCGCCGGCACAGCCCTTGATGTGAGCCTTCGGACCGCTGAGGACAAAAGCGGCTCGTCTGATCCCATCGACTATGGTGTGGCACGCATGCGTGAGCGCGGCAGCGGCCCAGCCGAGAATCTCATATTGCCCATTGATGCCAACCACGTCCCCGTCCAACTGCCGCACAAGTGAGAAGAACCGGAGGTTGCACATAAGACTCAGCATAGCGAGGAATACGGTAAGCTTGAACCAAGTCGCATATGAGGACTATTCATTCACGTGGTCACACTAACAGCTCGATAGCTATGCTCTGAAAGATATGTTTGAGCAAGGGTAACCGGTATTATGTAGCCACATCTGGGTTGCCACGCTATGGATTATGGGGTTCTAGCCGTTGGGTCCGTTTTGGTTTGCGCCATTGCCATGCTGTGACAACTAGGCTGTTGGGAAGAGGAGAAGCATAACCTGGTCATATGCGACTTGGTTCAAGGCTCCGCAGGCTGAGAAACCGAATCGCCGTTTTGACGTGGGTCTAGTATACTGGCATGGGGTTGACGATATCGTGTAGTTTGAGACATGGGATATTAAGTATCATGGATCGTCGGCATAAGATTGCACTCGATAAACCAAAAATGCGCGCACCCGAAGATGTCGGTGGCTTTTGTGCGGTAATTGTCTTTGTGCAATACATAGTACATTCATTCGATCCAGAACAGTCAAGTGCAGAGTCTTGCTTCCCGACCTCTGTTTAGCAAGACCAATGGCAGCGTGCCTATTTGGTGCTATTAACCGGATCTGTTGGAGTTGCCCCAATGTTGCTAACTCGGTATTCGTGTTGTTAATTATTTAGGATGAATTTGATTCGCAAGCCAATGCACCCGAGCTACGTGCTGAGCAGGTCCACCGACGGGATTTCGGGGTGCCGATGCCAGCGCTGCTTTGCGCTTAGATATATGAGTAAGCCTGGCTTGCGTTGCTGAATCCGCTAGTTCTATACCGAGAGAATCTACATATAGTAATGTGGAGCGTACAGGTCCCTGGTATGAGAAGTTGCCGTCCATGTTGTAATTTATGACTGTGCAGGGGCAAAGAAACGATACTCGGGACGGCCGCTTGATTAGAACCTTCGATTCAAATTGGAAACCCCAAATGAGAAGAGGAGAGTACGGGGGGTTTCTTATCATAGGATGGCTTGGGATGGGCCATGGCAAGATGGTTCCGATTGTCTCAACCCCGCTTCTCATTAATTAAGTTCAGCTGAATTGCGAAACTCGTGGTTTGGTGCACATCGCGCTCGAGGAATTGTTAAGGTCGAGAAAAGTTCGCTAATCACGGTAGGGGCTTACGTGCTGGAAATAGGTGTTGGAGCTTGTAGTCTTGGCACGCCCGTCTCGTATCGCTAACTGCTCCCCGAGGGCACCGTGAGGATTGCTCAGGGTGCGGAACGCTGCATGAACCATGGATCAGCGTCGGATTGAGCCCTGGCGAAAATTTGATCCACCTTGCAATGGGTCTTCCAATGCCGTTGCTCGAAGCTGTCGGATCGGACTGCATTGGGATTCTGGGCAGATGGAGGCCTGCGATTGGCGTCGCGCCGTCCGCACCGCAGCCTTGCCGGCCATGGACCTTTATCAGGCACACACGAGGAGTGCGTTGCGCACTTGGACTTGGGTATGCACGCAAGGCACGGCACTTTCGGGCTCTAAGTGAACCCTTCGCAATCCTTTGGGCAATCCACCAAGGGGCACCCTCGCGGCGTTACCTCGCCTGACGTTGATTAGAATTCTAGCATGTTCAGTACGTGCCTAGTCGGCTACCCAGGCATCGCCAGCAGTATTCCAGGGTCCCGGAAAGAGTTCCCCTGAGACTAAAATAGGTAACTGCAGAGACTTTTCTCCCATGACTCGAAGGGTGTTGAAAGTGTAACAGCGAGCCCCGGTCAGCAATCAGACTACGTTGGTAGACTCCCGCCTCGCCCTCCCGCATCCCTGCCCGGCGGCCGTGTCACCCTGGCTTGGGCTCGCTCCAGCGCCCCGGAGCACCCAGCTCAGCGTTGGCACTGTACGGGCAGGGCCTGGCAGGGCCTGGCAGACTGGGTGGGCTCGGGCCTGCGCGCTGGAAAAGGGTGGAAAAGGAGCGGCGCTACACCGGGAACGGCCTAACGCATCACGTGAGAGCGTATCGAACCCGCGTAAATTGGTTGCGTTATGTGGGGCCCCCGTCGCGTCACCCAACGACATATCGCCAGCCGAAGCGTGTTTGCCTGAGAGAAAAAAAGCATGGACGCCCGTTCGAGCATGGGTGCCGCAGTACATAAGGACGGGCTGGCCCATCACCTTTCTCGTTTGCAATCACCCGCATCTCCCCGGCAACCCAGGTAGGCAGAATCATCTCATTTTGCGTCGTCTTTCCCATCGTTTTCCACGTCGCATACCACCATCATCGTCGTCGCACCGACTCCATCCCAACCGGCCCAAGCTATTTCGACAGCCCGATCCACCGTGCAAGACGGCGACTTCGATTGACTCGGTCGGGTTTCAACTCTCAACGGGCCGCGTTCCAGTCTCACAGCCAACATGTTCAGCCGACGATTCGAGCCTCCGCCATCCTCGAGCAAGAGTTTTTCCAAGGGTCACAAAGTCAGCAAGTCCAGTTCGTCATTCAGCAAGAGCCATGCCGGCGTCGCAAAAAGTCGTCATGAATCCTCTCGTCGACGCCCAAGCACAGCCGCCGCCCAGGACCCCTCTACTCCGTCAAGGTAAGTGATCGCAGATGTTCACATGTTGCCCCTTTGCATCATCTTTCGAACGCATCGCTGATCCTTCTCGCCGACACAGCACCTTGACTCCATCCATCATAACCCTCATCGTCGGCACAGAACAACGTGTCTTCGCTGCGCACGAAGATGTCTTGGGCGTCTCGCCTTGGTTTCAATCGACCCTGTCGTCAATGTTCATGGACACCGACTCCGCTGCCAACAAGCGCATCCATCTTCCCGACGAAGAACCCGAGATCTTCAGCTCAATCCTGGAGTACATGTACAAAGGCGACTACTATCCCCGCTTGATTCACAATAAGAAGCGGAACTCGTGGGAGATTGAGCAGCCCGACGAGGGTCGCAACGCCTTGGAAGCCACCATCTACCATCATGCCACCGATGGCGATATCCTCAAGGACACGGTCATCTACTGTGCTGCCGAGAAGTTTGGGCTCGACGAGCTCAAGCGGGTCGCTTTGCGCAAGCAGGGTCTCCGTAAGTATTCATCATCTGACACCAGATTGACGCGATTCTGACCCTGCACCACAGAGTCTGGCATCCAGTGCAGCACCATATTGGCATCGGCTCGCTACGCCTACAACCACACGCCCGATACGGACTCGAAGCTGCGAGCTCACTATCTCGCCCTCATCATCCGGAGCCGGAGCACTTTCAAGCGAAGCGGCACAATGCAACTCGAGATGTTGAACGGCGGCACCCAGCTGTTCTTTGACCTGTTCGTTGCCCTCTGCAACCACGTAGATGACATCTCAAGTGCCCAGTAAGTCGCCATAACCCCCTCTATCACCGTTGAACATTTCGATTAATAGCCTTTTAGAAGCACACCTCGCAGCAATCGCCACTTCTTCTAGGCATATCACGTCGCCAGCCGATGAAGACGCTCCTCACTCTTTTCTCTTCAATGTCTCATCTCCTCCATCCTCATGGCCTCTCTCACGAGGCCACCCGGCCTTACGATGCTTGTTGTTTTCTCTTTTTTCTTTCCTCTCAAGATCTGATGTTTTCACGGCTGGGACTTAAGATAATGACACAAATACCACATCATGGCGAAGGGGGCGTTCACGGAGGGATCTTTGCATTTTATCATTTGGGCTGCTTGTTTTGTCTCTCATCCAGCGGTCTCTTGTATCATTATTAATCTTGACGGGGTGTCATGTTACGGCCTGGAGTCTGTACGGTTTTCCTTCTGTGCGCCGGGGTGTTTGTTTTCCGACAGCGTGTCTTGAGGGTGATGCCAAGGCATCTGTTTTTCAGGGTCTGCTCAATTTCCTTGTATGGGGCTTATGGTGGCCCAGACGGGCTTTTTTTTACGACGGCAACTTGCACGGTGGAAAAAGTTGATGGGTGCTCTCAGCGAGAGCGTGGATGCACAACCAGGGGCAAGCTAGACTGCAAGGCTCGGAGGACTCATTCCGGAGAATCTGTATCATTATACTTCGTACGATCGCTGCGGCAGTACCTTTTTTTCCGCCTTGGCCTGTTTATTTTAGAGCAGCCAGACCAAGGTGTTTTCACAGATACATCAGAAATCTAGATTCTATGTACATATTCACTTGCCCGTTTCCGTCTTATTTCAGATCAAACTCGAATATGACCGGCTCCAAACAGTGCCAGATGAGAACAAAAAGAAAGCCCGACAAGCTCGTATACTTTGGCAAAACGAACCTCGAAACGCCCCCCGTAGCTAATAAAAGCAAAGGGAAATTTTTTTGCCTCCCCCTTTCTCCCTGCTCTGCTCGCTTGCCAGCATCGCGAAACCTAGCGTCCGCGCCGAGCAAAACGAGACCAGAGGAACAATCGGGAACCCGCTCCCCAGTCCGCGACCCGACTTGCCTCGGGACTCCCTTGATTCGCCCAGGCGACAGGTTCTGTCCATGGTCCCCCGGCCGCTCGCCCCGGCACGACACATCCTTGTCTCCCGGGACCCCTACCCAGGGAGTTAAAGTGGTTGCAGATTGGCGTGACCCACCCTCCCTGACACCCGCCCCGTGGCCCGTGTGTAGGTTGGTGTGAGTCATAGTGCACACAGTACGCAGCTCGGAACATGGTGAACAGTGAACGTCGCCCATGCAGCTAGGGGTCTTACATAGTCCATCTTCTTGACTGGGGTTCAATCGAAGTTTTCTCGAATGACAGGCTTGACAGGCTGTTGCGTCGGAGTACTTCACCGGAATACTAAGGATCGCGTAGCGCTGATAATCTCGGAAGACGAGCGCAATTGAAAATTTTCCATCTCAACGCAGCAGATAGACTGTTCTCTAAATTGCGTTTCTTGAGAAAGGAGGTAGTCAGTCTTTGGCGGGCGGTCCTAGGGTGGTTGCAAAAATACTTCGGAACTCTAGTCACAATTGGTGTAGACGTCGATGGTACCAGGGTACATGGAGAATGCACTTCAATTGACTGTCAAGTCTCACCGAAAGCAAAGATCGCGCTTGCATCATACCGAATGCACTCTCTGATTCGATCCCTGGGCCGCACAATGCAGCTGTGCGGCAGACCTTGGGGGCTGTATAGTATCTGACTTCCCCACGCCCACGCCCTCTACATGCTTGCTCACTGCTCTGTTGAGGAAGAGGAGCTGACCAATGCGACGAGTGAATCCGTTCCGCCCCAATTACTCCGGTGAAATATCGCTTCGCTTGCACTCAACGGCTGAGGATCACCAGCCTAAGCTGCTGACTCACACGCCTGTTCCAGGGAATGCGCCGTTCTTGCTCAAGACTACAATGCCGCGCTCGTGCGCGATGTAACCCTTCATGAGATTCTGCAGCGCATATTTGGTCAGCATGTAAGGATAAAGAACGAGGCTACGGCAGATGCAGCATGCGTGCAAGCCTAGTCCTCAGCTGCCTGAGGCACCGACTAGGCAGAAGAGGTGTCCGAGACGAAGAGGCAACTATAAAATGACGACGACTTGACACGAGACACAAAGCCAAAGGTGCCCCTTCGAGAATTCGGCCCGCAGGCGACTTCCAAGGGACACAGCCGGGTGACTCAACCAAGGCAACCCTTCGGCGATATAAGAAAGATGCGACGTACCTTGTAGATCATATTAGCCAATAGGCACTCGACCTCATCGGCGTCCAACTCCTCGCCGCCGCTCAGCTTCATAGCCGCTGAAAACTCAGCAACTGGCACTCTGGTCCTGCGCACGGGGGCCTCTCCCTCTTTGGCTTCGGCGAACCCCCCCGCAAGAAAGACCTTGCGTAGCAGGTTCCGCAGTGCGATGTCACGCCCCCGCTCGAGCGTCAAGTAGATTCGTCGTTTGACAAACTCATCTTCGCCATCGGTGAGTGCTTGGTCGAAAGCACGCAAGTCGCCTTCCTTGATGGCGACGGCTAGTTTGAGAAACAGTTTCTGTAGTCGTGGGAATGGTTCTAATAATTTTGCGCTCGGAAGAGTATGCGTAGTCAACAGGTGGCACGGAATCAGATAGGTCAGGATGAGCCTACGATATGTCAGTGATCAAGTCTGGCCATGCAAGGCGTTTGTTGGAATCATTAGACATACTCGAGATTCCGGGTGGCGTCCCTGTGGCACATCTGCCATGCCAATGTCAGGTGTTTCTCGGCCTGATATAAGTTAGCCAAAGAGAACAAGAGAAAGTTGATCCGCAGTATAACTACCTCTACGTAGTTCTCTTCAAGGAAGGCGAGGACTCCTTCGTAATACTTGAACGTCACCCGTTGTGATTTGGGAAAGCTGTCAAAGTCGGGCATGTCACCCCGCCCAGCGGACAAGACCTTCAGTACGTTTTTTGACAAAGACGCCGAATTCAGCTTGAAGTATGTCTTGAATAGAAGGTTGATTGCATAGTAAATGCCCCATTTCCGCGACTCTGCTAAAGGTGCCCTATCGTGGTGTTAGTAGAAACTCACAGTCTGGACTGTTCCGTGGTGGCTTACCTGTCGCTCAAACAAGTGTTGAAGATACGGTTGAGCTGTCTGGCACAGTCCTCTAACGATTTATGCTTCTCCGTCTCGGGATCAAAGTCGTCCTGAAAGTTGGTGACGGCATCGTCAGCACCGCCATTGGCGGACCGCTCTGCGTCTGCGCGTATGGCATACAGTCTCATATATCGACCAGCAACATACAGACAAGGAATGGTCCAGTTCTCAAAGTCATGATTGGTGTAGCCGCGGATAATCTGCGATGTGAATTCTTTCCATGCCTCATACACCTTTGTCCAGGAAGACTGCAAGAGTGTCAGTCGTCAGATAGCAGGAGCCGACCAAGTAGATGGCCTAGTGGGGGAGCCTTGACTTGGCAAGATCCTTAAGCCGCCAGTTATTGTGAGTAGACTGACCTTGGCACCATCTTTCCTGCGACCTTCCACGGCCAAGATTTCACCCAGAGCCTTCCAATAGGTGAAGTAGATCTCCTGCCAACCTTCGCCCTCCTCACGGGACATCCTCAGCTGTGCTGACTTGTCGCGGACGAAGAGGAACTTCAAATCGTCCTTGATAGACTGAGGCCCGCCGCTGTTCCATATTGCCAGCAGCCTGTCCGGCGACTCTGTCAGATCTGGGGTTAGTGTTTTGGCCAGGTCATTGCCTCGCTCTGCAGCATAGGCGGCCCTAAACTCTTTGATGAGGGCATCCATTTTTGACGAGAGGGCGGCGTGAAGCGGCGGTCAATGACTGAGCCCGGTGGCCGTCGCCGAAGTGATGGCTTGGCAAATCAAGGGCGCAAATTGTTCTCGGGCTTCAAATAGGACTGGGCTCTCATTCTTGCTGCTCACAGTATCATGAATGGCCTCTGCAATAGACTGGCGTGAGATGTCCCTTCCTGTTGAGTGTTGTCCAACGCGGCAGTTGATTGGCTGGTGGCTGGCCTGCAGTCCGCTATGGCGGGCAGAGGTTGCATGCGCCACACGCAGCTTGCCCGTTTGCCGAGTGCCACAGATCCCCCATCGAGCGCCACACCACGAGCCCCATAACGCCGCCAAATCAGGCCTAGTCCGCATTTTCCCACGCTTTGCCCGCCAGCCCGCACAATTGTGGCCCTTGCGCGACCCGAAAACCCTACGCACAAAATTTCGATTTCAGCTTTCCAGTCAGTCAGTCAGTCGTCAGTTGTTCCGCCAGAAGCCAGCCCTCAACTCCGGAAAAAGTTCGACAACTAACCACGACACACATCACAGGTCACAGTAGGTTCACCGCCGCTGCTCGTTCTTGCGAAGACGTTACTGACAATTGAGAAGATGGGTAAGCACATTTTTTCTCTCACCGTGTCGCGTTGGTTGGAACGGATCGCGGGCCAGGCGCTGGAGGAGGACGAATTTTCTCGCACGACGACATCCACATGCAACGACGGCCTCAAACACTCGGCACCAGGCAGAACGCAGAGGCACTCTTGGACAGATGCGTGGACAAGAGGTTCGACATGCCGGAGTAGCCTCCGATGATCTCTCAACGCGGCCATCAAATTTTGATCACAAGAGACCAGACCAATTCTCTGCCGACGAGCATCTGGGCATGGCGAGCATCGACCGCAGGTCACCCCCGACGACAGAAGCGACAAGTTTTCAACTTCAGGGACGACCCTGGCAACTGGGTTATCGCATTCGAGATGGACCAACGGAACGCGCAGTGGACGAGAGACTCAGATGCTAACACATCCTTCTTGCAGGTCGTCTTCAGGAGTACCAGGTCATCGGGCGCCTCCTCCCCAACGAGGCTAACCCCACCCCCAAGCTCTACCGCATGCGCATCTTCGCCGTGAACGATGTCGTTGCCAAGTCGCGCTTCTGGTACTTCCTGGCCAAGCTCAAGAAGGTCAAGAAGGCCAACGGCGAGATCGTCTCCCTGAACAAGATCCACGAGAAGCACCCCCTCAAGGTCAAGAACTTCGGCATCTGGATCCGCTACGACTCGCGCTCCGGTACTCACAACATGTACAAGGAGTACCGTGAGATGTCGAGGGCCGACGCCGTCGAGTCCCTGTACCAGGACATGGCTGCCCGCCACCGTGCCCGCTTCGGCTCCATCCACGTACGTTTTTTCCTCATCCATCCACGCGAAAGCCGCACGCGGGACGCATTGCTGACATCTCCCTGTAGATCCTCCGCGTTGTCGAGCTCGAGAAGTCCGACGATGTCAAGCGCCCCTACATCAAGCAGCTCATCACCAAGGACCTCAAGTTCCCTCTGCCCCACCGTGTGCCCAGACTCTCCACCAAGAAGATCTTCAGCGCTACCCGACCTTCCACTTTCGCATAAAAGGGGTTCTAGTGTGTGTTGCAGGGGAAACAATGGGAATGAAATGCAGGTGGTTCTGGTCTCTGCTGGTGTTCTAAAGGTTCATGCGGAATTGTCTTTACGCTAGCATACGCTCTCGGTATAGAGCTGAATCCATACCATCAATACGGTTCACGACATAAATCGCCCTTGTTCCGCTTGAACCACCATGATCCTGGCTGATATGGATATGCGCTCGAGAACCAGCAAACGTCCTCGAGCACAACGTCCCCGGTGCCAGATAGTAGAGTGGGGCTTTTCGACCACAATGTGATGTATCACTGCTGTCCAGATTGGCTCGAAAAGAGCTGGATGGTTATAATACAGGTGCTTCCACATCGTTTACTTTGCCCATTCCAAGCCATACGTGATATGCCCACAACACCCAAGCAATACTTTCATACAATTCCTAAATGTACAAGAGTGGAGTGGTATTACTATTTAGTTATCCTCGCTTGAGCCTGTCCTAGACCCTGCATCCGCATATGTATCATTCAAGAAATCGTTCCAAACACCCCAGTTCATGGGTTCTGCCGGCGTCTCCATCGGCATGTCGAAGCTCAAGTCCGGCCATCCCGTCGCCGTGTCGCTGAAGAGGTTCGAAGGGGATAACATAGGGCCTTGCAGGTTCATTGGGTTGTCACCCGTCCCAAACGCCGATGCGGTGGCATTGTCCAACAGGACGCCGCCGGCATCCAGGCCACTTGTGTCCATAGCCATGCTGGGGACTTGCTGCGCCTGTGGCCCGAGATCCATACCCAGGCCGATACCGAGAACACCGTCTCCGGCAACCATGTCCAGTCTCTGCATGGCGTCGTCTGTCTTCCGTCGGCTCTGCTCCTCCTCGCGCAGTGCCTCGGCCCTGGCCGCCTTGGCCTTCTTGTACAGCTTGCGTATGGGCCGCCACAGCGCCCCCCGCTTGCTGTCGGCGACCGTCAGGCCCCATTTCGGGTACACGATCTCGACGGCCTTCCACGCCCGCTCGGCCAGAGGCCCCGTCGTCTGCGTGCACAGCTCGGCCAGGGCCACGGCCAGTGGGTGCCATTGCACGTAAGTGGCGCCCCACCAACCGAACCGTGTCGCGAACACGCTGTGGTGGTGCTTGTGCTCGTGCAGCTCCATGATGCTGACGGCCGTCTGCAGGATGGCCTCGCTCGACACCTTGGGGAAGCGCCGTGCCGGCCCGCCGGCGCTGGGCGGGTGGATCGGGTACTGCATGACCAGCCAGAGCTTTAGGTTGATCAGCCGCACGAGGCCGGCCGCCAGCGACGACTCGTAGTGCGTCGGGTCGCAGCTCTTGACGAACGTGGACTCGAGCGTCTGTGCCTTGGCGATGACCTCCTCCTCCGTCTGCTGCGGCGTCGACGAGGCGAAGCGGGCCTGCGCGTGCGTCACCCACAGGAAGATGCTAGACGAGTGCGCCGTGCAGAGCGAGAAGGTCATGTCCGTCGGCCCCGCGCGCTCGGTTAGAGGCCCCGCGCTGTCGGGACCGAAGTCGCGGTCGTTCAGGTTCAGGGGGAACCGGGTGTTGAAGAGCTCCGAGTCGATCATAGCTTGCGTGCCTCGGTCTTCCGCGGCGCGGACGTCCAGGACCACGACTTGCCACCATAGCCGTCGCCGCATCTCGGCCTCGAAAGGAGGATACTGTTCGCCGTCACCATCCCGATGTAGGCTGTGGGCTTGGGAGAGCCGTAATAACAAGGCCGTCAACACCCAGGTAGCCCTGGTGTCATTGTGGACACGGAGACAGGCGACGTAGATGACTAGGGCTTGGAGGCACTCCAAATCGTTGCTATTCAGATAATCTGCAGCCGCGAGACTGCGCTCGACGTCGAGCTGGTAGGACTTGAAGAGTGACATTTGGTCTTGGCCGAATTGGGATACACATTCTGATGGCGAAAGACAGGTGATAGCAGCGAAGTAGATTGCAAACTGGAGGGCCTCTTGCGCCGCACTGAGTCTCGAGGTGTCCGCGTTGATCATCTCCAGTGCACTGGGGCGGTGCAAGATCTTGACGATAGGGTCGACTCGGGAAAAGAACGTTTCGGTCATGTATTGTATGAGACGGCTTGGCGGATGTACGAGCGGTATTGCAGACTCAGGGGACGTATAGCCAGCTAACAGCCCTTGCGTCGCAGTCGTTTGCTGCTTGTGCGTGGACGCAGTGTCTGGACTGGCAGAGTCCACGTCCTCATCCGAGTCCGAATCTGACGTCTGTGCCAGCGCCTGCTTCAGGCCCTCGACCTCGCCAGCTAGGTTAGACCAGAACGCGCTGCTGATATACCGGGAAGGGTGTATCTCATCCTTGACCTCGTGGTTCTCAACCGTGTGAGATGTGCCGGGAGATGAATCCGTGTTCTCAGACGCGCTGGGTCCTGCCTGCGGCCCCTCTTTGCCCTCTGCCCGCAGCTTGAGCTCCGTGAGGCCTTTCAGCTCCGCCACGTCAATATCCTTCAGGGTTGCCAGACTGACATTTCCCACGATTGACTCGAGCCGACTTATACGGTTGAGCAGCTCTGAGTTCCTGGTCTTCCGGGGTCGTTGCATCCGCTTCCTCTCCGGAAACACGCACTCGGCCCCAGACCGGGAGCAAGGCGAACACGGGTGGACTCGGTCGCATTTTATCTTCCTTGACCGACATACAGTGCATGATAGCTTGTACTTTGTCGTTTGACCTGTGGCGTCCGGCGGGCTGGTGCCTGGCCTGGATTCTGGTGTTGTCTCGTCCATGACGACAACAAACCTCCACCGGCCCCTCCAGGGTTGCTACCGGGAGCAGTGTTCCAACGCGGTGGCCTCGTGCCGAGGACGAATTTGGCAGGCCGTATAGCTTTGTGGCAATTAGGCACACGTCTCACAGGCTTACATAAGGTCTGCAATTCGTGCATGCGGAATGCATTTCGTGCGGCTCAGCGGACAGGAGATCGGGTGCACAGTTACGCCTCCGGGAAATTGTGGAGACAGGCCCGAATCCTTCCCACGTCTGTCCCGCAGGTGCCTGCTTGCGGCTCATCCCACCGTCCATACAATACACCTCTTATGCTACGAAGCTGGGCCAATACTTATCCACTGTAGCTTTGGCATCGACCGAGTGCACTTCCATAGACTGACACAACTCTTACGTGCTCGCTCAAAGGATCTGGCGCGATAGCTGCCAACACAGTTCGGGGGGTCGCGGCTCTCGATGTGGCACCTGCGGCCAGCTGTGATAGAAATCCTGGGACCACGTCTAAAGGATAGCATGTAGCTTAGCGACTTGGGTGATATAGAGGCATCCCCTGCGGTGTATTCGACCTCTTTGATTCTATAGTAGGCTATGGCTATATACCCTGTGGTCTCCCTGCCACTTCTCAGTCGCTCGGCATGCAGTCTAGGCTCAAGGTCCGGCTGGCGGTGGATCCGATGAGTCCGGTACGCCTAAGACAGTCTCGACAATGTACTGGTCAACGGCTTCATCAGTCTCCCAGCCCGGCACACCCGAAGGGAAAGGGAACATCGTTTCAGCGTCCATATTGTGCCTGGAAAGGCAGATGTCCAGTGCTTCTTTCAGTGTGGGACATCTCGAAAGATACCCGTCGTCGGTGACAGACATACATCGGCAGATAAGATTTCGAAGAACCGGGTCCAGGTGCCTATCGTCAACCCAGTCATCGTGCGCCCTGGTAAGCATCATGGTAAGGCTCGGCCCATCAAACATATGGCGGATTCTTCTGCGAGGGATCCAACTACAACCAGGGTTTAGATCTGTTTGTATACAGGCAAGCGTCTCCAGAACCTGCCAAGTAGCACATTTAAGCATCAGCCTCTTATCAAAATACTCCAACATAGCAGGTGGACTCACGGCGGCCATATAAAACAGATTCCACTGAACACCCGGCCCGTCCGGATAGTGTGCCGACGCCGGGTCTTGCGAGAAATCAGTTCGACCGAAATCGATGAGCTGCAGGCGCTCAGAGTTAGTAGCACCTCTCAATACCCGCGACACCCAGCGCGTGCCGGATACTCCCTGCTTACCTTTAGTAATGGGTTCTGCCCATGCTCATTATCCCCTGGCACGAGATCTGCTAGTAGCATGTTCGGGGGTTTCAGCGAATTATGCTCGAGAGTAGACGGGTTTTTACCGGGCGGGATTCTCTCGCGCTTCCCATTCTTCATATCCTCGTAGTAAGCCAGCCCTATACACATCCTCACCACTGCGAAAGAGGAGGCCTCGTTCAGCATCAAATACTCAATCTCACCAAATGCAAAGTTTCTGACGGGACCCACGTACTGCACAGCATCATTTGCCATAATAACCTGCTAGGGACTCGGCCTCCCTTTCTGACCATTCTCTCCCGAAGATGGTCGAGATCCCCCAACGGCAAATACTCAAGTATGAAGGCCGGTATTTGGAGAGCAGAGCCACTCCCGCTGTCGCTATCGTCCTGACCCCCCGCACCCTCCATGGAAATGTCCTTGCCTTCGCCGTCATCTTTGTCATCTCCAAGAGTCATTATCGAAATGTCTGTTATCAAGCTGTCGTCGACCGGATCGTTTCTTGCCGCAGGATCAGCTGTCTTTCCATCATCCTTGCCATCCGAGCCAGAATCGCTCGCAGCATTATTCGGTCGCACGTTCAAGGCCTCGATGAAGTGCTCACTGCCCCCAAAGTAGCCAAGCCATTTGACCTCGTTTCTCAGATGCGCGTCACTGTCCTCCTTGTTAGGCAAAATCCCTAGGGAGTACTTGACGATCAACTTTCGCTTCTCGACAGACGTGTTTGGGTCGAACTCCGAGAAGAGCCCAGTGCCGCCATGGTTACCTTCGGTACCACCGACTGGTCGAAGGTATTTGAAATTATATTCCCTCGTGAAGAACGCCGTTATGTCGTCTTTGATCTTTCGTATCCTCCTTCTTTCCATCACGTTCGCAAGGAGGTCTGCTTGCCTTCTTCGCGCCAAAGCCGCCGCCCTCTGGTTTCTCCTCATCTTGAGTGTTGAAGATCTCGAAAATAGTATCGAATTGTCAAAAGCCAGCCTTGAATGCAGATGACTAGGTTGAATTAAACTAAAGACTACTTTTCAACTGCAGCCTTTGTTTCAAGGAACGTTTCCTTTCCGGAGTCTATCATCAGTCATGTCGGACCATCAACAAAGGAACAAAGGACTTCCAGTGGTCTCCCCGATGCAGAGAAACTGCGAAGTAAGACAAATAATCTTCTTTTTATTGTTCGGGACTCGAGAAATTCGACAGTTATTCCCGGGCGGATAGCCGCTAAGACAACAAAATCATGACTCGATGCAAGCGACATACTCTACCAGCCAGTTGATCGAAGCGCTCAGTTAGCATATCTCAACATAAATTATATTAATATTTGATGTCAGCCACTGCTTCATCCACCCAGAATTTATTTCGTCATCCATAACCTATGCAATTCATGCGGTGGGGAGCCAGGAGCGTAATCTGGCCACCCACCAGCGGCCCCTTGACTCGCCTGCCTCTTCATACTCCACGTCCTGCCCTTGCGCACCGTGGCCGTGCCCGCGGCCCACAGGAGGCTGGCTATAGTCTCGATCCACAGGAACAGGGCCAGCACCTGGCCGAAGCCCCAGCGGGAGTCCTCGAAATCGGGGCCCATGATAGTCTTGAGGTCGCCGCGGCAGTCACGCAGCCGCGCGAAGAGCCAGAGGAAGAGCGCGTCTATCGCCAAGAACAGCACGGCGAGGCTGAACACCACGGCCCGGACCATGGCCCTCGGTAAGGTTCGCCCCTGCCGCCGCCGCAGGTGCGACACGTAGACGACGGTGCAGGATCCCGCCAGGACCACGCAGCTCGCGAACCACACGTAGCCGATCCACTCGCTGGGCGGATGGACTGCGGCGTACGCCTGGCACATATCAGCGAGCTTGGGGTACAGCCGGCGGAAGCTGAGCGCGCTGGGCGGCTTGAAGAGCCGGTAGCTGGCGGCGGTGAAGTTGAAGACGGCGACGCCGGCGAAGAGCAGGAGCTTGGCCGGCGCGAGCGGCCAGGTGTAGTCCTCGTCCGCACAGATCAGCGGCTCAAGCAGCTTGATGATGACGGGCGTCGACGAGAGGGCGAGCATGCCGGTCGAGCAGAAGACGACCAGATAGCTCACGTAGACGAGCTCGTAGCCCGAGTCGACGACGCTGGACGTCGTGCGCACGAGTGAGGCCAGCAGCACCGAGAGATTGAAGAGGGCGTAGGTCTTGAAGAAGACTTCGTAGAAGTGCACCAGGGCCTTACGACGCTTGTCCAGGGACCAGACGTAGAGGACGATGAAGGGCATCTGAAATAACAGCGTGAACACGGTTTGGATGATGTAGGACGTGTATGCCTGTCCCTTGTGAGCTATGGGCTACCATGAAACAACCTTGATACTCAATAGACTCACCCCAATTCCGGACAAGTCCGGATTCCCTTCTCCCCATGCAATACTACAGACATCAGGGCATTGGGCGGCGACATCTGCTCCAGATATTGGGTGATCGCCGAGGAGGTTGAGCAGTTCGACGTAGTCGACAGGACAGGTGATGTTCACAGAAGCATTTGCCATGTTGTGCCACTGTACTTGAACTGGTGTTGCTGCTGATGGGGTTTGGTGATGTTCGGCAGCGTAGCGACTTGTATCTCCTTTATACGTGTTCGGTGTGGGAAGGCATGCTAGGCCCTGTTCCTGTGTCAAAACGGCCAATTGAGTCACTTTCTGATCAACGACCAGGGGACAACTCACTGCATTAAATGTTTGGTTACAACTTCAGCAGTGTCTCGACGCAAGCTGACATAATTCGAAGAGAATTGCCAACCAAAGGCTGGCCAGATAAGTAACCTGGCTACTCAGATTTCTAAGAATACACCCGCAAGTATAAGCCGCGCTCGGCAGCTGAACGAAGAGTTGGGGGGCGCAGGGGGGGCTGGCATGATTCTCGCGTGAGTCGATGCCGAGATTGCGGCTGAAATATGCACTGCTGGGTTCTGATGTTGCATGTATACACACCAATTGGTTACGCTGACCTTGGCATCTCAACGTTGATTGGCCGAGTTTTACGACGGTATAGACACCAAACTATTGTGCTGCCCGGAAATAAAACGCTTCCGTGAATGGCGCCGTGAATCCGATCAGGGCGCGATCATAACACAAATCTGTACAAGTTAGTAAAAGGCTCTTGACCTAAAAATCAGACTCACGGTTTACAACAGTATCCAAAGTAGTACTACGAGGTATACATCGTATCATGACCCACACTTTCGTGGATATCTCCCCCAGACTCTTGCTACAAAGTGACCTCGCTCCCTTTCAACGCTCGGAATGTCCGAAGTCTCATTAAGCCGACCCCCCTTCGTCAGGAAACTGATCAGCGAGGTCCTCAACAGCCCACCCCCTAAGAATTCGCGCCAGATTCAAGCGAACACTCAGCCGGACGTACGGGGACCCAACCGTCCGGACGTATCCTCCGCCCTGGCCGAGGATGTCTGAGCTGCCGCCTTGCGCGTGGTAATGATTGACGATGGGCGGCTGGACCGTGAGGCACAGCGGCCGGTTGCCCGTCTCGTCTTCTCCGTTCCCAGCGTGGTCTCCTGCCGGTCCGGCGCCCGTCTCAGAAGACTCTGTCCCGTCGTCGCACCAGTCCCCGAGCGCCAGGTCCCATTGCTTCGTGAAGGCGGCAGGTCCGAATTGCTGCTGCAGCCTCTTCGCCCCCCGGCGGCTTACAGCGTACGCGAGCGTGCAGACCGTACCGCTCGACGCATGCACCACACGCGTATGCGGGGGGTAGAGCTCTCCTAGCGGGTCGTTGAGTGCAAAGGGGTGTGGCTTGAGGTGCCTCGGCGCCGGCACCGTGGTATCGTCGGGAATGGAGATGCGGCGCTGGGACTGATGCGAGCTAGGGAACTCGGTGCCGCAGTGGCCGAGCCAGAGGACGTCCCAGCCCGAACCATACGGAGATCGGTTTTTATCCGCAACTGGAAAGAAGGGTATGGGGGTGGTGACCCGATCAGCAACCTCTTGCGCAGTTTCCTTATGCCCCTGAGACCAGGCTGACGGTTCAGTACGGCTCAGCCATGCCCTGACTGCCGTGCTGAAGGACCGCATCTGGCTCTTCAGCCTCACGTCCCAGTCAATATCATCCTCCATGATGAGGGCACTCTCTAGACCTTGGTCGACTATCGCCTGGATCGCGTTCATGTGGGCTCTCCACGATCCCCTGGCCCCAGCAGCTTGCCTGGAAGGTGCACCATCATCTTCAGCCGTCTTCGAGACGCCCATAGTTTCATCTATGCCGTCGAGCCACGTAAAGTTCAAGTTGCTTACAGCACCCGCCAGAGCCATGGCATCGCGGCGGTCTGTTCTTGACGGACGGTTGATGACGAAAATCCTGGAAAACTGAATTCGTTGTCAGCGACGGGTGCAGTGCGCTAGTATAGATCACTTTATACCCCTAATGTACTATTTGCAGTATCAGGTAACGTCGAGTGTGGCCAAAAGCGCTGGATGGAGCCGAACCGAACTTCCCGGAAGTAGTAATACCAGAGAACGACGACAGAACACAAAGCCATTATTCGGCTGCCTCTGAATGGCGGCATGGCATCGTGTACGTGAGGCACCCACAGAATTCGGCGCGTAACACAGGTGCATCAGGACCAGATTGATGGTGGAAATGTGCAATAGGCCATCTCGGGTTTGCAACAGGCGTGCGCAGGTGTTGTGCGGGTAATGGGAGCGGCTAAACTATAGGAGGCTCCGGAAGACTTCCCAAAGTAGCCTCGCATGATGATGCAGCCCACCGACCGTCTCCAACACGTATCTGCCCTTCGTGTCACGTCATCACAGAAACCTTACTAGCAACATCATCCCAAAATCCTCAAGGATGCGAGAGAGCAACGCACATGAAGACAAGGTACACAGTGAACATGAAGAGGAGCTAGCGAAACGGATTGTATTGGTACACAGGATACGAAGTACTTCCGCTGGCGGGATGATCTCAGCGACAGTCTGAAGTGATGGCAACGCCTCCCAAGTCAAAAGTACGAATCGCACCGACTCAATAATTATGCTGCCCATGTCTTTTGGGCGTTGTCTCGCCCCTTGATTTCACATAGTCTCCAATGCTTCCCTGTTTTTGGTGATTTTGATTTGCTGTAGAGATGATTCTACCAGCTGCTCGCGGAGCAAAATGCTCGGCATATTTCGAGATATCACCGAGTGTTTCCTCATTCCGTTCTGGAACAGTCCTTTTCTTTTCTCAATCCTAGGACATACCATTGAGATCACATCTGTACTCTTTGAAGATGCGAAGGTACGGCCAAAATGGCGGGGTACTATGGCTAGACATAGAGTAGCCAGTGGCCAGGGAGAAGACTTGGTGTCAGGCCATTTGACGGGCGTCGCTGTGATGAGGGGGTGTTACAAGGTGTGAGAATGGCCGCGACCATTGCCATGGATACCTCGGACGAGCAGAGACCTAGCGAGACCCGCGTTGGGATCGACTTGCGGGCGAGGACCCTATTCTCCCCGTTGTCGCTTGGCGCCATGGGGGTTCTGTTGCCAATCATTGCCGCCTGCTTGGTTGCCAAAGAAGTTCGGGTTGAACTGTGGTTGCATGCCGTTGAAGTCTGGAAGAAGGTCAGAGAGAGTACAGTAGAACAGCAATACAGTCATGGGAATGGCGGAAGACATATGAGCAGGCACTGCTTGTCATGCCTGATTGCAGACAAGAGAGTTGAGACTTACTAGGCATTCCACCACCCATCATGCCCATGCCCATGTTGCCGGGCATTCCACCCATGGGCATACCCATATTTCCCATGTTGCCCATCATGTTGTTCATGCCACCTCCACGGCCACCTCGCATGCCGGGACCGCCACGCATCATGCCACCACCGCGGTTGTTATATCCAGCGTTGAAACCACCGCCCATGGACGGGTTAAATCCTCCGCCCATGTTGTTGTTATAGCCCATGTTGCCACCACCGAAGTTCGGGTTGAAGCCGCCGCCGCCGCCGCCGCCGCCGCGGGGACCGTTGTTGAAGTTGCCACGACCGCGGAAGTTGCTGTTGTAACTACCACGGTTATTATAACCACCAGCGACTGAGCCTCCTCGAGCGCCTTGATCCTTGTTGCCTCTAGCGGGGGCGTCTTTGGGCAAAGTCTTGAAAGGGTTGTTGTGTGGACTTGAGTAGACTACGGTTGCCTTCTTAACACCGGCGATAGGCTCGCTGATGTCAATCTGGTGTTTTGTCGCAGTGGCGGCCTGGACTGAGCTGAAGTCGAGATAAGCTTGACTATGGAGGGTTAGTGAGTGTGACACGGTCGGATCGCTATACGCAGGCAAGTCACGTGTCTAGTGGCTATCGCTACCCAAGACTAAATGCATGATCTGACGGTGGGAAGAGACTTACCCCTTGCTCTTGCCGTTCACCTTGTGCTCGCTAAACGTGATATCCTTCAGCTCGTCTTCGCAGCCAGCCTGGACGACCCATTTGCGGATGTCATCGTCCGTGTTCCACCAGTTCAGCTCGGAGATCATGAGGCAATTGGTGGCACCAGGATCCACGGGACGATCGTCGGATCCTTCCTTGCGTTTGACGCCTTGGTGAGGCTGCTGTGACACCGACCGTGACCTGCCAGCGTCGTCTTGGCTTGTGTCCATCCCGTGTCCATCCTGGTTCTCACCATCATAGTCATCTTGACGGTGTGCCTGCGCGTGGGTTGAGTTATTTGAGCCGTTAGCTACAGTAATCGCTGTGTTGCTCTCATAGGATTGGGCATTAGCATCCTGGTTGGCGGCGTCGTTGTGAGCCTCATTCTCGGCCGAGCCGTAGATGTCGATCTCGAAATCCTCTTCGGCCATTGTTGGAGATGAAGGGGACGAGCGTGGATCGAGTGTGACAAATATGGGGAAGAAATAGGCGTGAAGAAGCCTCTGGGATGCACGGAGCGGACCGTGGACAGGACTTCTGCGAGTTAACAGGGAGTAAACTGTTTGTCACTTGTGGTGCCGGAGGATGCTGCTCGCCTGGTGTTTCCGGTGAGTTCCACTGAATTCAGGGGCGCGACGGACACGGACACGGATACGGGGCCCAAGGGCCGGACCAGTCTCTGTCCGGGGAAGTTGATCCAAGCTGCCCTCACCTGATGCCTCTTTTCCAGTGCCACTTCAGCCCAGCTACCTATTCAAGGCAACGACCTGGCGGGATTCTGTGGGTGGCTTCCTTGACGTAGACAACTACCGGGTTAGGACTTCAAGTCGCAGACAGAGGGAGGGCCGTAGAGCCAAGATGGTGTGTATTCTGTGAGTAGATACAGGAGGTCCCTGTGGGTCTTCCATCCCGTGATATCAGTGAACCAGCACATAAATACATGCGAAACCAGAGGAAGAAGGGGTGAGACGGAGGCATGACGAAGAGCATAGTCGAGGAAAGAAAAAGAAGCAAGAGTAGCGCAAACAGCAGGGACAAGCAGCAGCTCTAGCAAGTAGTAGTAATACGTACACTCCAGAAAAACGAGGTTTCGAGAAGATAAGCTGGTGAGACGAACAAGCTCGTCTTACAACACCAAAATGATTCTTTGAGTGGCCCTTTGGAAGGGACGGAGAGAACAAGATGTCCAGAAGCTCAAACAGTAGGCCGTCCGTCACGACCAAGACGAAGCTCTGTGCTTGCAATCTTGCGGCGAAGGATAACGGGGGTACAGAGGTAGAACAAATGAGAAGCTCTTCCAGGAGGAACAATGCAACAGGACCCGACGCTCTTGATTCCGGATATGCCTCCCAATCCAAGAATATGATCGATCGATCGAGGGTGGCGTGGTCCGGTTCGGTCTGGTCTGGTGGCAGGTCAATACTAGGACACAGGTGGTAGCTCCGACAGAGGGTAATCGTGCGGTCGTTTGTCCAGGTCGGCGGGCGACGAGATCGGAGGAGAGGCTGCGTCGGGACGAGGATAGCTACAGTACAGTAGAGACGAACAGCTTTGCTTCATGCGAGAGGTGCTGTTCAGGAGAGAGTGCGGGCTGGTCGATAGATGACAGTCGACCGAACAAGAAACGGTCAAGCGTTGGTAGATGGAAGGGAAAAGGGTGCCCAAGACAGCAAGCAGAACAAGCAAGCCTGACGCAGGTAGAGAGACTGAGGTTCTGGTTCACCACGCGAGAAGCTCGAGCCTCACCAACCCAAGACAAGCCAGACGCCAGCCAGCCAGCCAGTCAACCAGTCCACCAGTCCACCAGTCCACCAGTCCACCAGTCCATCAGTGGATGGGATTGGATGGGATGGGTCGTGGCCCGCCCGCAGGCCCCCTTGCCCGGGGCTTGGGGTAGCTCTCAGACACCCGACGGCGGGGCCCGCTTGAAAGGGATCCCCTAAAGCTCGCTTCCAGGGCCCAAGCGACGGAAGACGGCGCTAAGTAAATCCCTAACCTAGCCCAGCTGCCCTTTCACTACCTAAGGTCGGGTGCAGCCCAGCTAGCCCAGCCAGCCAAACCGACGGCTTAACCCCGGACTGCCAGCCAGCTGGGAGGCTTTCCCGCAGGGCCCCCTGCAGCTGCGGCCAATGCGCCACTTGTCAACAGAAGCGCCCAGAGCCGGGTCCCAGCTTTCCATTGCCAGCCAGCGCAGCGCAAGAGACCGAGACCCCTGGAGAATTTTAGTGTGAGGCAATCTGGCCGCATCGATCAGACGGGGGCTCCATTTCCCATAAGGTAACGAACGGGGAGAAGACAGGACCGACCTTCAGTCAGTCAATCCACGCGACAGCCCATTCACCACCACCACCACCACCACCAGCTCTCCCTTTCTCTCCCCCCCCCACGACACGCAACTGGGCAAATTCCTTCGATCGTCATCCATCTCGAGCACCCCCCCAGCTACAGACACACAGACACATCGCCACCATGTCCGACCAAGTGCAAGAGATCCTCGACCTGCCCAAGGACTTTGTCCGCGAGGGCACTCTGTTCATGAACCGCTGCACCAAGCCCGACTCCAAGGAGTTTGTCAAGATCTGCCAGGCCGTCGGCGTCGGTTTCCTGATCATGGGGTGAGTGCCGTCCCTCTCTCTCTCTCTCCAAAGCCCGTCAATGGGTTCTCCCTTGACGTGGTTCTCTGGTCGCTGGCCAAGCTTGCTAACTGACCTGCTTTCCCCCCTTACAGTGCCGTTGGCTACATTGTCAAGTTGATCCACATACCCGTCAACAACATCCTCGTTGGTGGCGCATAGTCCTCTTCAATGCGATCTCGGGGGCGCGCCTTTTTCTGCGGGAGCTGGGTTTCTTTTCGGGGGGGCAGGGGTTGCGAGGCTCCCAGGCTGGAATAATAGCCGTGGCTGTTCGACGCCCACTGCTGGGAGGAAAGGGGGGAGTTTCTGGCTGCATCGCTGGCGAGGATACCTTCGCCGCAGCCATGGGAGCGGAGGGGAGATGATGATGCAGTAATTCTGGGGACGCTCTACCTGCGCGGCCAGACGCGTGCGGTCAGTTCTGTCGCATCAGGAAGCATTTGCAGACTCGATATCGGCATGCATTTCATCAGTCATGGCCCATTGCCGTAGCATTTATGCTTTATGTACAAAATATGAACCCATAATGGAACACCAAACATGAGCACTGTGCTGGGAACTTCAGCTTCTCGCGATCCCTGGCTCTGGCCTCTTCTCTGGAGGACACCTCTGGAAGGGTACTGGTTGCATTGGCCTCGGCAAATGAAGTCCCAATATACATCACCACCATGACCACGGCCACGTGCCACATGCCACGAGCTTCGCACTTCGCACTTCGCACTTCGCACTTCGCACTTCCCGCTCAAGGGAAAAAGTCGCCATCCGAGCTGTCCTCTTCTTCGTCGTCCTCGTCCCCTTCCTCTTCCGACTGTGCAGACTCGGACTCGGACTCGGACGTTTCAGCATCGACCGGGCGCATCTTGTCGTAGTACCCGCTGCCCATCCTCGGCTCCCCTTCGTCCTTGGAGCTCTCGTTGAACGAATGCACAGTAACGGTACCAAGCGCGCTGTCCCACCCGTTGAGCGAGGATGCTAGCATGGCATGTCAGTACCCAGGGGGCCCCGGGGGGATCGTTCTCATGACAAGTGACAAAAAGGTAGACTTACCAGCGATGAATGGCGCATTGGGATGCCAACTTGCGTCTCGGACACAGGCCGACCAGTTGTGGAAGTTCTTGTTCCGAAAATACGGCCTCCACCTATGCGGCAATGCCTTGGCGTTCTTGCTCGTCTTCTGCACATCGATCTTGCCGGCCAGCGTGGCGTCCATGTTGTAGACCCAGACCTTGCCGTCGTGGCTGCCGCTGTACACGTAGCGCGAATCCGTGCTGCCCGGTGGGCTGAAGTGGCAGCGGATGAGCGTCCGGAGCACCTTGTGGCCGCGGAACGTCACCACCGAGTTGTCGTTCGGGTGTGGGAACCAGTTCGCGTCGTTGTACGACTCCCAGCGGTAGTCAAAGTCCGACTGCCGCGTGTGCCGACGCGGGTCCAGCTCGTTGAAGCGCGCCGTCGTGTGCATCATCTTCAGGTCCCACAGCTTCATGCTCTGGTCCTTGCCGTTGGACAGGATGTAGCGCCCGTCGCCCTTGCTGTCGATATAGGTGAGACCCTCGATGTGGCCTACGAACGCACCTGCTTCACGCCCGTCACCCATGGAGCGCCGGTCCCAAACCTTGATGGTTGCATCGTCGGAGCCCGAGTACAGGATGTGCGGGGACGACTTGTCGGCGAAGCATACAGCATTGACATGGTCGTCGTGGCCCCTGACATTGTGCAAGACGCGGCGCGACTCGATGTCGTACACAACGATCGAGTTCGAGTTGGTCCCGGCCACCAATTCTTTTCCGTCTCCGGAAAACCGGATAGACCAGATGCCAAATGCGCTCCTATGGTGCCAAGCCTGTCGGGGTCCAGGGGCACTATCGCCGGCTAGGTTCAGCATGTACGGATCACCCGTGTCATTCGGGTCTGTCGGCGCCAAGCAGACATTGCTCTCGATAGAAGTATAGGCGAGCCACTTGTTGTCCGGGCTCAGGGACGCATCCGTCAACGTCCAGGAGCCGCCAGGAAACACCACCGTCTTGTAATGTCTCCAGTTGTACGGGTTAGACGTGTCGTACATCCGCACTCTAAAGTCCTTCACACAAGAGTAGAAAAAATTGCCGTCGTCAGAGAACTGGCCCGAGTAGACAGGCTCGTCGTAATGAATGATCATCTCGGCGTCCGTGGTCGGAATGGTAGACTGTGCCATCAGCCCCTGGTTCAGCCGCCGGTCGATGCTGTTTCCTATCCCCATCTCTCGGTCGAATATCCTCTGGGCGATGCGCTTCTTAGATCGGAGACGACTCCGGGAGTCGGTTGCACCAAAGACACCCGAGTCCATCAACCCCCTGCCCTCTTCGCTGGGAACCTTGGGAAACCGGTTCGGGTCCAGGTCCCGCCTGCTTCCGCGGTTGTACCCCGCGGTTTCTTCATCGTCGTCGTCGAACAGCAGATGGCCCAGGTTTGAGCGCCTCAGGTAGGCAAGAATCTGGCGCTGAGACAGGGCGGCAGCCCTCCGGCTCTGCATGAACTGGATGATCCTGTGCTGCAGCGCCTCGCGTGCTGCTTCTACCTCTTCCTGCGCGTCCCCCTCGGGCTGTTCGAGCTCTATCACGACCTCTCCTTGCGGGGCATCTGCTAAATATCAGCGCCGTCAAAGCTTGGTTTCGGGGCATGGCCTGCAAGTACCGAAGAACTCAATCTCCTCGTCCTCCTCAATTATATCGCCCATCATGCCATCGTCGTCCAGACCCTCGTCGTCGTCCTCTGGTTCGAAATCGGCATCGTCCTCGTCGAACACGTCCTCGGCATCTACGAAGAGCTCGACAGGGTCATCGTCGTGGCTGTCGAACCCAGAATAGGAGGCGCTCATGGTAGGCGGAAGCCACGGTTCGTTATCGCCTTTGTAAGCCGGGTGGGTTCGCCGGAGCTCGGATAGCTGTGGTCGCGAGCCTGAGACGCTCCGATGGCAAGCTTACTGTCGTACCTATGCTGATCTGGGAAGCTCTGAGCACTACACATGAGCTTCAGGGGATATGGATTCCTTCGCTTCGGCAACGAGATCAGCTGGCTGGAAGCTCTCAATCATCGGATGATACATGACGACACCAAGCGGTCGGCTGTCTTTATGCGTTTGGCGGGGTATGTATCATGGCTTATCGGAGCTGTCAGAGGTCCGGGGACGGCGTTATGCGGACTTAAGTCTCACGCCAGCGCATCCGGCATGCAAAAACCAGTGGGTCGTCCTCATGAGGAAAGAGAGTGCCTGACCCCGACAACTTGGCGCCCACAGCAAGGCCATACTCAACCTACCTGCGGAGTATAGCTCTAAGTTATGTCTCACTGATCACACCCGGGTAGTAGTATAACCATATAGATCCCATGTTTGCATTTTCGTTATGTAGCATTTGCGGGCTGTGTCTGACATACAGTTCCCCCACCAGCCGGGAGGAAGTGTCGTTGCGGCAGAGGAGCACCTCGAGCTGGATGGCTTCGCTGTCCTGCATGTGTCAACGAACGGAGTCGAGGTCAGCAGCGGGTGCTGCGTCATCGACGAGAGAAGAAGCATTCTTGAACTCAAAAGCTGGGTTGCACAGGCAACACCTATTCGACAGATCGGCGGCGGACGAGGCACAGCTTCACATTTGTCCATTGAAATGACGGCGGCCCCTTGGCCCCCTTCCGCTGGGGACTAATCAGACGCGACTAGACCCACGCAGCTTGTAAACTAACAGCAAGCCCTACGCCGCCAGCTAGCATGCGGCCGTCTGAATCCTTCCTAATTCCAGGCAATGAAATCGTGCCAACGGCGCTGATCCGTGGCTCGAAAAGGCCACTGGCCGGTCTAGTCAACCCAGCGAGGCGGGAACGAGTTTACGCCAGTGCATAGCGCTGACGGCACGTTTCGAAAGCTTGTCTCCTGAGCCCAGCCGCTTCCACCAGATGCATGTTGGCCCAATATACATAGATTGACCTAGCCAGCCGCGTTTCCCAAGCTCAGTTCCTCAGTATCGCTATTCCCAACCCCGTACCCAGCTTTCGTAAGCTGAAGCGCAGAACCCAATGGATCCGAGCGCATCAATTGGTCTTGCAGCATCCTGCGCCGACCTCGTAGGAGCCGCAGGGTCATCGTCTGTTAAGCTAAACCACTTTTTACGCATATATCGTGAACCGCCAGAAGAGCTGCGGCTTCTGCAGGCCCGGGCCGCATCCGTCAAGCAGACTCTCGACAGACTCTTGGCACTGCTAGACCGTGACCAACCTGCCTTTCAACATCCCCACGATGTAGAGGCTCTGGAGCTCCACCTCAATGCCATCTCATTCCTCGTCAAGAACATCCAAGACCGCTCTGCCAAGTTGGAGCAGGCCAGGTCAACTCCGTTCCCCAACTGGAGCTCTGTGGTTCACCTGTGGGGAAATGAGGACATTAGAGAGGCTGAGGCGCGCCTTGGCCGGCAACTGGCTGCCCTGACAGTGTATCTGGACGTGTCGAGGCCTGACGACGAAGCGCAACAGCTGGTTCAGATTAAGGATGCAAACCAGAGAGCTTGCCTTCTGGCAGCGTGGGACGATACCGCAACGTATCTACCGATTCCCGAGAGCCCAAGCGAGAATGCGTCCTCCCCCAGCACCAGTCTACCGCCCAACTACCAAGCGACGTCAAATAGCAGCGTAGGGCTGACGGCACAGAACAGCATCCCCAGCTCTGAACAGGCATACAGGCGCCCTCAATCCTCCATCAGTGCCGTGAGCTCGTCAACGTCTTCACCAATCGCCACATCAATGGGCCAAACAAGTCTGGCACCTCCGCCCAAGGATCATCATTGGAGTCAAACTCTGAGAAACCAGGGCATATTCATGCCGTCGGCAAGGAGACTGAAGTCAATGGCCATGCTACAAAAGCCACCCTCGCCGTACCCAATACGGGACATGGTGGGCCAAGGAGACGACCTCCACCTTGCCGAGTTCAAGTCAAGAGTTTCAGAGTATGCTCAAGGCATCTCCCCAGTTTGGGAACTCACAGCTGTGCCGAAGAAGAAAAAGAAGGAGATGAAGCAAAGATATCGGAACCGATTCACCCGGAGTCCTTCCGATGATCTGTCGCCGGACAAGTTGCAGTCCCAATTCAAGATCATTGAGAAGGGACTTTGGGATGCCATCTTACATAAGGAGAACAAAGGGGTTCATGATATTATGAACCACAGATTCAGCGACAATCTGGTGGTAGAGAAGCGCGACCGGATCACAGCTCTCCATCTGGCTGCGTCTCTTGGTGTTTGCAACATTGTCCAGACCCTTGTGACATATGGTGCAAACCCGAACTATGCAGATCGTTACGGCGCCACGCCATTGCATTATGCAGCCGATTTTGGCTGTGCGAGCTGTATCGATATACTCGTCTCCGCGGGTGCCAAGGTGGACCTGGAGGCGCCAAAGACCGCTGTCAAGACGCCGTTATTCTATGCTGCCAAGAGAGGCAATCTGGATGCAGCCAACACTCTGCTCAACCTGGGTGCCCACATATACACGTTGGCAGCGGGTCCCCGGGACACCATTCTCTACGCCGCAATAGAGTCCGGAAATTTGCAACTGTGCAAGATGCTTCTCCACAACGGCGCCAACCCCCAGGAGAGTTTTGACGTCTTGTGGTTGGCGACTTCGACGTCAAAGGAAATACTGGCACACTTAGTTAGCGTCGGAGCTGATCCCAACTTGAGGGACGCAGACCAGCAAACCATCTTGCATAAATATCTACTCAAGAGTGATCCTGAAATGGTTGCATTTTTGCTGAAGCTCGGAGCCAAACCTGGAATGGCTGCAGAAGACTTAGGACGTATGACGCTGCACCTCGCCCTGGACAAAGGCGGCTCTCCCGACGCGCCTGCTCTCTTGAAGGCGCTTCTCGAGGGAGGCGATGACCCCAACCAAGGCGATACCTGGGGGCAGACACCCCTCCACTGCGCCGTCCTATGGGGCCGCGCCGATGCCGCGGAGCTACTTTGCAAGCACGGTGCCGACATCTACATGCGGGACAAGAAGAACAGCAGCCCGTGGTCCGAGACGAACCTGCCGGGTTACGAGAAACGGACGGGGACCAACAGCTTCTCGGACTTCCCGGGCACAAAGGCGGTCATCGACAGATGGCACCAGGGGCAATCGACCAAGGCACCCCTGATCCCCGAGGCGGACAGCCGCCAGAAGAGCATCAGGCGTACGGAGCTGCACAGCGAATCGAAACCAGTGAGCGAGCTCGACTCCCAGAAGGTCAAACCAGCGCTGGCTGAGCTCTCCGGTGCGCCGAGGCCGGCGCAGGAATTGGATGCGGAACCGATGGTCCGGAGGAAGCCAGTTGTGGCAGAATTGCCCTCATAGCAGTCGAAAGTGATTTCATTGTAAACTAGCCATCTAGGAGGGAGTTATGAGAAAGTTCTTAATGGAAAGGGGTTTAGGGTTAATAATTCTATGGATGATACCAGAGGGCAGCAGCATTAAATAGCGGTGGCAATGAAAACTACCAGGATACCCAATTGAGTCAAGTCGCATGATATCACCGCCGGCTTACGTTTATTCGTGAATGTTTGATTCGTCTATAGTTGCATGTTCGTGCTTGATGCCACATAGGTAACTCGTTCTAGCCTAAGCCATTCCTTTGCGTGAATAGACATCTGATCTAACACTGGTTTGCTAATTTTCTTGTCTCGCAGGGGTTGATTTATGGGCAAGTTGAATATCCCGCTATGCGGCTTACAACTCAGACTTCTTCTCCTCTCCCAACGCTGGTAATCTGCTGCCCAAGAACGCCTCGACCTCGTCGAGCTCCTCCAAGCACGCAGAGTGGCCCATACCCCTATACAACAGTCAGCACTGGTCACGTCTCGTAACATGAAGAAAGAATGAAAGGGAGCAGAGGCACTTACGGGTACTCCTTCCAGGTGACCTGGAAGCCGGTCTTGGTGAGGATCTGGGAGCTCTCCTTGCCAAAGGCGGTGGGCACGATGGGGTCGGCGGAGCCGTGGCACATGAGGATGGGCGTCTTCTCGTTGACGTTGCCCTCGCTCAGGAACTCGGGCAGGCGGCTGTCGAGCGGCAGGTACGACGACAGGCCGACGATGCCGCCGATCTTGACCTTGCCCGTCAGGCCCGTGAACAGCGCCATGGCGCCGCCCTGCGAGAACCCGCCCAGCACGATGCGCTCCGCCGGGATCCCCGCGTCGATCTCGGACTGGATCAGCCCCGACAGATACGCCCGGCTGACCAGCAGGCCCGCCTCGTCCTGCTGCCGCCGCAGGTCGTTGGTGGAGCCGCCGAGGGCGACCTGGGGAGGGAGGGGTTGTTTAGTACGATGGCGACAAGGGTTCGTTCTGGAGGGGTGGTTTGAATATCACTTACGATGTCGTACCATCCTGGCATCCTCATGCCGCCGTTCTACACGGCGTGTCAGTTTGCGCCCCCTTTCCAGACGGGAACAGACATGGTGTCTGTCTGACGACTTACGCATGTGATGGGGATTTGAGGTGCATGCGGCAGGATGAACTTGACCTCATCCAGCCTCGAGCGGCGGCGCCAGTTCTGAACCGCATCTGCCCAGCCGGCCCCAGTATCACCCAGTCCGTGGACGAAGATGACGGTGGCCGTGTGCAGCTTGGTTGCGGGAAACAGCAACGGCGGCAGTCGCTTGAGGGCGCTCATGGTGGAGGGGTCCGTTCTGATGTCCTGTTTGGGGTTCAGGTTCGGCTGGTAACCAGCAGCGAGAAAGCAGCACAGAAGGAGCGTCGACAGAGTAAAGATGAACCGGACTGAGGCCTCGGTCATTCACACGTACAGTACGGTTCGCTATGCCCAGGCCGGTGGTGGACGCCGAGATGCAGTGTTTGAGTTCCGGCCTCTAGTGGCGGCAGTGGGGCCACAGTAGCCCCTCTATTCCGGGGGACAGGCCTTAGCACTTCGGCTAACTGCATATCCCCTGTGTCGGGACCGCGCGGAACCTCGGAGATTCTTCTAGGAGAAGCAAACCAATCAGACGATAGCCGCATTGCGTGCTGACAGAGCCTTGGTAATCATCAATTTGTCGCTGAACAAGCCGTGAATCTATTGCGCGCTAGCGACCGTTTCAGCGTGGTTACAAAAAGTTACAGCGCCTTTACACAAGCTTTTCCCCCAGATTTCCAGTGGCCTATATGAACCCCCCCTGAAAGCTATATGGCAATACGCGCCTCCTTCAGGTCGCTGCTCATTGCTTCTTTGGGCATCCTTGGACTATCACTGCTCTTGTCTTCTCCGATTGCCAACGAGTTCATGTCATCCTGGGCGTACAAGCCAGTCTCCAAGTTCATTGCAGCATTTCACTCGGCTCGAAAGTCACCCACAGACGCCATGTCGGCAAAGGCACCGGTTTATTTCTTCAGCCATGGCGGCGTCAGTACCCAATGTCCCGTAACAACCGTTGACAAATCTTGACTAATACGATATATTAGCCCAATGTGATGTATGAGACTAAGCACCCGGTGTTCCCAGTGTTGCAGAAAATCGGGAAGGAAATTACTCAAAAAGTCAAGCCAAAGGCTATCGTGGTCTTCTCAGGCCACTGGGAGGGATCTCCCAACACCATAGAGGTCAACACTGCAGAGCATACCGATTTGATTTATGAGTAAGGCACCGGTCAATTTAGCATTGGTGGTTCTGGATCTGATTCAATTTGTAGTTTCTACGGGTTTCCTCCGCATTACTATGAAGCCAAGTATCCGAATAGGGGTAGCCCAGAGTTGGCGAACAAAATCATCGGGCTCCTGACGGATGCCGGCATCAAGACCAAAGCCGTCACACGGGGACTTGACCACGGTGTCTGGTCGGGATTCCACGTGGGTATGTCGTCGATCACTGACCGCCTCCTCTCCCACTTTATGCTGACGGCGCTCCAGCATTCGACCCCAAGGAGAACCCCCTGAACGTTCCCCTGGTCCAGGTTAGTCTGTACCACAGCGAGGACCCGGACCTGCACTACCGGCTCGGCCAGGCGGTGGCCTCGCTGCGCGACGAGAACATCGTCATCATCGGCGCCGGCATGTCTGTCCACAACCTCAGAGACATGTTCAAGACGCGGGGCGATCCGCGGCCGATGCCGTACACGGTGTCGTTCGACGAGGCGCTGAAAGAGGCCACCGAGGTCGCCCCAGCACAGCGCCAGGAGCGCATGGCCGAAGCCGCCCGACGGCCAGATGCCAGACAGGCCCACCCGGTGAGTCTGCCTTGATAATTTGACGTTTCTCGCCTTTGCTAATGCTGAAGCTCCGCAGTGGATGGACCACCTCATGCCAGTATACGTTGCTGCCGGCGCCGCGGGTGAGGACCAAGGGAAGCGGACCTGGACTTTGCACGAAGGCAGCATGGGATGGTCGCAATACCGATTCGGCAACGTCAGTGCCTGAAAAACATCGCTTTGATCTTTTCATTTTAGCGTATAGATTTTATATTGAAGGTAGTTGACCAAGACAACTACCTATTGCATGAGTGGTTCTCTGTGTGCTACAAGATCCGTTTCCAGGAGCATACATGTCATATATTGTGCCTCGCTTCCCTGTAGACTGGGCGAGCCGTGGATTTCCATACCAACTCTGTTCATACGAACTGCTCCGACTGTTATGTCAAATCCGCGGACGATTAGGTACCAGAGTGGTCCGAGAGTTTTGTTCCGATGAATGTCAGACTCCGGCGACTGTCAAGCCTCCTTTTTGTCTTTTTCCACAGGCACTCGCTCTCCCCATACTCTCGAAGGTCCTGTACGATCTCCTAACAATCTTTACAGTTCGCAAATGCAACCAACGTCTCACCACTGTATAATACTCGGGTTATATCTGCCCCCCTCTCACCCAAAGGCTAACAAGCGGTATGTCTCCAGTCTTGGACTCACGATCCAGGTACCTTAATCAGCGGCTCCGCCAGAGGGCCATGAGTGGTTAATGGGATTGAGTAAACAGCGCGTAATAACAGAAAGAAAGTGAACGTTGTCAAGCAACTTGCTGGCGATGTTGGTGGATTGCAGTTGGCGACGACAGGCATGCGCACAGATCACCTAGCGCTTCGAGCGCCGACGACTATCGGGGATGAGGCTTGGGGCTGGAGGTGCTCCACTGCCGCGGCGCCGTCTGGAATGGAATTCCGCCCTGCAACTCCTCGAGATTCGGTTATGGCTTGGTGATTGTCAACTCCAATCGCTGGCGTCGATATTTTGTTTTTCACACTTGCCAACGGCCGGCTCGATTCTTGCAATAACCCTGCCACGACTGGAGACGCTGGCTGAATTCCCCGCTGATACCTCTCACCTCATAATCTCATCGAGGACGAACTCATCTCACCATGGCTTCCATCAGCGCCTCGCCGTTCTCACTGCGCCCTTGGCCGACCGGCGATAAAAAGCCAAAGAATCTAGGCGAATTCATCGCGCGCGTCAATGCCGAACGTGGAGGCTTCCGGAATGTGACCGAGGCCGAGTTGCGCGAGGAGGCTCAGGCCCAGGATGAAGGCCGCCTGACGAGCGCCAACGGCAGCCCCGGTGGTGAGTCCGACTCGGACGACGATGCCGAGGCAGACAAGTCCAAGACCATCATCGAGGCGAGAGAGGAGTTCCTTAGGAATATCGAGATGGCACACCAGTCCGCCATGCACAGCCTCGATTTCGTCTCGTTGCTTCTGTCCAAGGAAACGCCAAATCAAGCCAATACCACCCTGTCGCCGGCACTGCGTGACATGGTGGGATTCGGTGTGCTGGGTGCGTCCAAGCATCAAGAGTCCAACATCACACAGGCTCGCATGCAGGATGACCTGGCTGTCGCCACAGGCTGGAGGCTGATGGGTACGAACAAGATGGTCGATTCGGTCATCGAGGCTGCAGAGCGCCTGGAGAAGGAGATCAGCCTGGAAACCAAGTACTGGGCCGATGTCCTCGCCGTGAGCGACAACGGTTGGACAGTTGCCTCCCTACCGTACGAGTCTCACACCCTCGGCGTGAGGTACGGCTTTGCCGAATCGGCTCCCGAGTACCGGAACAGCAGCATTGCGCCTTTGCGTCGAAGCGACGATGGGACGGCTCAACTTGGCAACACTGCTGGAGCTGGAGGCGCCAAGAGGGTACGAGTCCTGGTCGAACGCGATGGACAGGTAACAGGAAAATCGCGGTTGCCAGGACGAGTGCCGGAGAATGCTCCACTGCAGGACCGCGTCCTCGAGGCACGTAACACCATCTTCGCTGAGGAGTTATGGTATGAGATCAACAAAGAGGCACGCACTCTACTCTCACTAAACGTACGATCCACTGATGCTGGGCTCGTCTACGACGTCGACGCAAAGACTAAGATTACCCTGTCCCTGGAAGACCTGAGCGAACCTGAAGATGGCAATGGCCAACCGGATAGCACCTTGGCAGACACAGCCATCCTCGGGCTGCATTTCCTCCTCATCTTCAACCACCGCATGCAATACTTCAAGCGCACTCAGTCAACTCAGGCAGCAGCCGGCCGAAACAACGCGACACACGGCATCCTGCGTCCCTTGCTTGCTCGCCTCACATACGATTCTTCCTGCAGCGCGCTGACGAGTTTCCTCACCGGGCTGAAAGTCACTTTACACGGGGCAGGGCTGTCGAGCATGGCCTTCACGCAATCGTACGTCCCGCCCGAGGACTCGCTGTCCCATCACCAGCTCAGCCAGCTGTACGTGCAGGCCTGGCGGGCGACTCCGTCCGAATCCCTCATCATCAACCTGGCGCAGCTCCTCGAGCTGACCGTCGAGCTTACTATCACACCCGAGGCGCGATTGACGCTGCGCGGGAAGAGCTTCGCGAGTCCTGTCCTCACAACAATGTTCAGGGTCACACTGCCCGGATCTACTGGCGACAACCAGGCAACCCAGGGCCAGGACCAAGCCCCAGACACACCCAACCCCCTGGAGGAGTCGTACCCACCGTACGGGACAGAGCCTTACCCCAATGTCCACGAGGCCATCTACTATGTTCGCCAGGCCGCGACCCGCGCCATTGTTGCGAAGCTGTCGGACACGGCCTCGGAGCAATTGGAGCGGGAGGATATCGTATGGTCCGAGACAATGACCGGGCCCACCATCACGGCTCGTGATAACAAGGAGCTGCGACTGGAGATCCGGGATACACCAGCGCTCGCTCTGGTGGCCAGCATGAAGTGGATGGAGGGTAAGGACCTGAAGTCGCGACAGGTGACGTGGACCGCCACCTCGCAGAATCAAGAAGCTGTGGAGGAAGTAGTGGTGAACTTCTTTCGTAACTGAAACATCAGCATGCTCAACTAGAAAGGTCGAGTTTGCTACGGTGTTGTTGGAGAGCGATTACAATATGTACTCTGGCTCAGGCCATTATAGAAGTCCCCATCGCCTTCAAGTAAGCACAGATGGACAGAAGCATTAAGAACACTGATAAACGATTAAATCCGTGGATTTATGTCTCCATCTTGCTGTGATGTGATCGAGTTTCTTCCACAATTTATGGCAATCACGTTTCCCATGGCTACTACGGTATTTTTGAGTGATTTGAGTACGTGTTGATTTATTCCAAGCAGTTATAAACGAAAGTACCCCTTAACGCACTCCCGAATAAAGTACAGTGAATGCTATCAAACCATGTGTTCTAAACCATTGGCTCCAGCAAGCCTTTTGGTTCAACCCGACAAGCACCAAAGAAAGAGGGAAAGGGAAAGGAAAATGACAAAAGAAAACGTGCCAAAACTTTCATGACCACCAGTGATCCTGCACAACCGAGGATTACTCAAGTACCTCGGCACCATGCAGCACTATGGTCTGCTCCCGGGCATCGGCGTGCTCGCCGTTCTTCTTCGGCGTCTCTTCACGAGGCTCCTCAGGAGGACTAAGCATCTTGCCATTGGTATACAAACGACGCTTCTTGGTGTCGGAGCACGCATGGTCACCATTCCTGGGGCGCATGGGGAGTGTGTTGTGGAGCAGAACGGGTGCTTTGCGCTTCGGGGAAGTCCGTACGGACTTGGCTTCTGGGCCGTCTTCGGTGTTTCTCTTTGCGTCGACGGTGGTGGGCTTGACCGCCGCCGGTTGGGAGGTCTGGTCAGCGACGAGCTTGGCCTCCTAGGCCTGCTTCGTGGCGGCGGCGGCAGCGTCGCGGAGGAGCTGGCCGCGCTTCTTGGATTTCTTTGAGAACAAGGCCATCTCGACGCAGCGGCTGCTGATGGTGTCTTCGACCCAGTCCATGATCGTCATCCCATCTTCAAACAGATTGTCGTACATATCCTGATCTAGAGACTTTCTCATCTCCTCGTTCAGGCCCAGTGCGTCGAAGAGGGGCGTTGTATCTTGTCCAGGCTCCTCAACGTCACAAACGTCGCAACAGTCCAGCACGTCGATGGCAACGTCCTGGAACTCCCACTCGTTGCAGAAGCCAAAGTAGAACTGAGAGAAGAACTTCTTGGCCAACAGGGCGGCCTTCTTCCGTGAAAACCCTAGGTGCTCGAAACAAGCTATCGAGCCTAGTGCGTAGGGGTACTGCTTGGGCTGCGATGGGCTTTCTCTTGAAGGTCCATCCGTGTCTTCAGACTTCTTCTGGGTGTCGGCCTGGAAGATGATGAAGTCGTCTCCGCTTGGCGATGGCATGAGCTTTCCGGTAGCTCGCAGGTTTGCTTCGTCGTCCGAATCAAGGAGCTGTAATACGGAATGCTTGCCGGCCGCCGCCTGTGGCGGCGTGTTCTCGGAGTCGAGGTACTGGCTGAGCAGATGATTGGGGTATTCGGGCAATATCACGCTGCGAGGCCGCGGCCTGACCGGGACCCGAAGGGGACCTTTCGTCTTTGGACCCTCGTCGGTCTGCATGGTGATGTATTTTGGACGGGTGCTCCGTGGGAGGTAGGGATGCTTCTCCAGAAGTCCAGTGGTCACCCTGGAGCGACGATGGGCGCCTTGGCCGAAGATTGTTACACCAGTGTCGACTTCAGCCATCCTGAATTATTTCTGGCGAAGAGGAGATTTGCTATCTATGGACAGAAGTTGTGGATGAGTTAAAGTTTTTCGTCCAAAGAACTGAAGTGCGTGACAAGCAGATGCCAAAGCTAACGGCAAAGTAGAACTGTTGGATTAGAAGATGGGCTCCAAAGAGACGTCGGATGCAAGAGGATGGATGCACATCGGCTTGGTGATTTATGAGCAGATGATTGCCATCCCAATGGCAGCGACGCCTTCGTGAGAGCCAAGTCAGGAACGATGCTTGTCCGGCATCAAATGGGAGCTGGGAAAGGCGAGAGTGCCAGAAGTGTCGACTGTGGTTGCCGATGCTGGGGGCGCCCTGGCAGTTGGATTCTTGTGTAGACTTGACTTTTGCGTTGCGGAGGAGAGAATTTTGTGAGAAGAAACCGCATTTCTGCCACACGACTTCCGAGAAAACGTGCGCAAGAGGCGGCAGAAGGTCAAGGAGTGGCAGTGCCCCCGTCCCCAGTGGCAGTGGACTTCTGCCTCGTCTGGAGACGGGACCTTCTGAATGTCCACGCCAGCTTTTGCCAGGTCCGGTAGGGGAAGGCTCGGCGGTCAGCGAACCGCTGATTTGCTGTTCCTCCTGGCAGGCGCAGATACTCGGAGTTTCAAACCTTGAGGGCGGGCAGTTGGCGGCAGGAGACTCGGTTGGATGGAGGCCACTGGGTCTGCCAGCAGTTTCGGTGCAAAAACACCGTTGTCACATTCATCACGATCACTGTTGCCGACCACTCCTTACAAGGTGCTGGATTACCAGGTTTATCAAGTCAAAGCTGCAGTGTTTCCTTATCTAGATACTAGAATCTCTCTAGCTGCCATTCAGTAATCATCGCAGATTCTCAGGCAAATCGTCCTGAGCATCTGTCTAGTTACCATTCAGTAAGCACCGCAAGTACTTGAGCAGTCCTTCTCAAGCTGCACGCACACAAAGCCTGTCGTGTGCAAAATCCCCTCTGTGCCTCGTAGTAAATCATGCCTTCTGTTCCCACGCAACGTCGCGCGCTGTTCCTTGCCCTTCCTCGTGGGCGACTGCCAATACCGCATGTGCGCAATGGCGCATTACTCAAGCCGGAGGAGTTCAGGAAACTCTACAACCAGCTCGTGATACTGCTGATGTCAGATTGCACGTGTTTGTGCACAAAATCCAAAGCTAGATCGATCCATGGTCGACGACTCTGGACTCGCAGGCTCGACACCTATCGAGCTGGAACACCGAAGAGGAAGGCAAGGTCTTTGGCGCCAAGTCTGCCGATGGCCTGCGATGCCGATTCATCAAGAGCTGAGTTAACGAGCTCACGCTTCTGGTCCTGGAGAGCAATGATACGATCTTCGACAGTTCCCTTGACCAAGAGTCGGTGGACTTTGACCTCACGCAGCTGGCCGATGCGATGCGCGCGATCAACTGCCTGGTACTCGGTAAAGGGGTTCCAGAACGGGTCCATAATGATGACATGAGACGCGGCTGTCAAGTTGAGACCAGCATTTCCGGCCTTGAGGGATACTAGCATCACCTTGACGTCTGGCTTCTCCATAAAGTCCGACACGGCCTTGTCTCGCCGGGCGGCTTGCATGGAGCCATCGTAGCGGCGGAAGCCAATATCCAGTTGTCGACCCATCTGCACCTCCAATAGGTCCAGAAGCAATGTCCATTGCGAGAAGATGATGGTTTTCTCGCCTGAGGCCTGAATGCTTGCAATAATCTCCATGCACTTGAAAACCTTGGCGGAGTCGAGCCAAATGCTTCGCAAGTACTTCATGTACTTCTCGCGCAACCTGGGCTGGTTCGTGGCTTCCTTTCTCAGCTTTGAAAGGGTCTCAGGCTTGACGGGGCCCTTTTTCTTCATCTTGCCCTCGTCTTTGCCCTTGCCCTTGCCCTTGTCCTTTCTCTTGCCTTTACCCCTGGATTTGGTGTGCTTCACTGGACTGAAGTCTGAGTCTCCATCATCATCCACAATGAACCCGGCTAGGTTTCCGCGCTCGTCGACTTCATCATCATCGCCTTCTTCTTCAGACGAGGTCTCGTCGTCCGAGAAAATTTCATCAAGCTCGCCGTCGCCATCTTGAGCATCGCTTTCTCCTCTCTCAGCCTCAAGCTCGTCCTTCATATACACCTGTTGAAAAATTTCAAAGGTGATGTACTCATCGAGATTGACTGCTTCGCGACATTCAGGACAAGTGGATCTGAAACCCTCCCGGCCATTCTGAATGTTCTGTTCCTCGGCTGTCTGTCGATAACGCACAAGACATTGTGGACATGTGTTGTGGCCACAGACCAAGATGTTCGGGTTCTCGATGAAGTCGTAGCAGATAGGGCACTCGAAAGATCCCACCGAACGCTTGAGACGAATCACGGCGTCCGGTTTGAGTTTGGCGGCCGTCTCCAACATTTTGGCGACCGGTATATCGTTATTAACGAGCTCAAGGTCGGTGATGTGAAGGAATGGGTGACAACAGGCTTGTCGGAGACGGAGCATTAGAACCAGGGCTGCTGTGTAACGTTTGCCTACCAGGCCTTCCTTGAGGAACCTCGAGAACTTGACCTGACTATCTCGCTCCAAGTCGCGATAGTACGACTGTTCATCTTCACTGAATATGATGTGATCAACAATTTCGGTCTTCGGGGGGAGTGTAATAATCGGCTTTCCGTTGATCTCTGTCTGCTTGGTTCGACGAAGCATGATGGCTTTGATGAGAGCTTGTAGCTTTTTCATTCCCGTGTGCTGGTTCAGGCGAGGAGCAGTTTTGACGAGGCTGCCAAATGTCTCGAGCCACCTCTTCGGGTCATTATACGGCTTGATGCGTAGGAAATGGACCAATGACGCAAGTTCGGATACCGAGTTCATCATTGGTGTGCCGGTAAGGCACCATCGGTAATCTGCTCGGATCTTGGCGATGGCTTGGGATCTTTTGGCCTTTGCATTCTTGATTGCCTGAGCCTCATCGAGGATTACGCGATGGAACTTGCTTCTCGGGCCCATCAACGGGAATTCTCGCATGAGGAAATTCTCATCGGCAGGCGAGTTTTTGATGGCCATCTGTTTAGTGTATTTATCGAGCCTCTCTGCCTCCGATCTGATCTTGTCGTAGGTTGTGAGCACGATGTCATATTGTCTCAGGGACTCCCAATTTCTTCGGGAAGCATGAGCGTTGAGAACAGTAAGACCGGGTCGCTCGGTGATTTTGGTCTGGATCTCACGCTCCCATTGCTTCAGCAGAGCGACCGGGGCAACGATGAGAGTTGGCTTTTCAAGTTAGAAAAATTGGTTTACTTCAATACTAGTGCTAGAGGAACTTACACTTGCACTTGTAGCTCCATTGCGAGGTGCTGGGCGGGTTTTGATCAGAGCCAGCGTTGACAGGGTCTTACCCAAGCCCATGTCATCCGCCAGGATGCCGCCTTTCTTGTTGGAGTCGGCCTCCATTCCTTGCATCCACTTCAGCGCTATCTTTTGATGCACGAAGAGAGGGTACTTGAATCCCTCTGGTGTCTCCGCTAGGTCATCTGGATTGGCATCCTCGCTTGAAATGCCAGTAAGTAGGTTGCGAATCTGTTCTTCAGTTGACTTGGCATCAATATAACCGTTCTGGATGTTTTGCAGGCCTTGTATGCGATTCATCATGTGAGATGGCAGGGGATTTCCGAGATGGTCACGGCCCGTCGCGAAGTCATAGTTGTTCGTTCGACCGATAATATCACTGAGCGAACTGCCAACTCTTGACGAACCGTTGACGAGAGTGCCGGGTCGGTGTCCCATGGAGGGATAGGCTTGGCTCGATGGACCGATCCCCAACGACCCAGGAGGGAAGCCCGCAGCGCCTACACCAATGATCTCAAGGTCAGAATCCGGTGTCGGTGAACTTCCATTGTACGCGTTGGAGAAGGCTTCATCGCCAAACAAGTCGAAATCGTCTTCGGTGAGGGTAAGCAGATCCTGTGCCGGAAAGTTGCGCGATGCTTCCTCAAGAGGGTCACTGTCAAAGCTCCCTGGCATTTTAGATCCATGGGAATGTGTTGACTGATAAGAACTGCCCGGGTAGCCAGTCGATCGGAACGGTTCTGGCTTGACATGAGATGGAAGGCCGAAGGCCGATGAGCCACTCGCTGGCTGGCTGGAAGAGCTGGCGGTCGAAGGAAGCTGCGCTTGAGAATAGGAATGGGTGCTCTGAGATGGGCGCTGTTGACCAAATCGAGTCGCCTGGTTGGGAACACTATCAGACTCGTAGTCTGCATCAGTGTTATCCAAACGAGCGGCATATTGTTGCGCAAACCACGCATCTTCTTCCTCTTGCTCCTTTTTCAGCCGCAGTCGATGCATTTCTGCCTCCTGCCGATGCAAATAGGCGGACGAGGTCTCTTCTTCGTCCCCAGTAAGGTCGATAGTGGAAGATGCTTCACCATGGACGCGCAAATCGTCATCAAGGTTGAAGTTGTTCTCGTCCAAACTCGGAGTCGTTCGACGGGACTTGGACTCAGGAAACCAAGGATCCTCGGCATCAAGATGAGAGCTGTACGTGCGCTTTCTGTCGCGCGCTGCAATATCAGTGATATCATTGGGTTCCATATCATTGGAAGAGGAACCACCAAGATAACCATCATCTGTAATTTTCATTAGTCTTCTGTGCTTTGATTTAGTTCCCGTAGATAGCCTGCTTGGTAACACTCACGCTCCAGTCCATATGGATAGCGGAAGGAGGGGGGAGGTGTTTCTGTGAGGTCTGATTTATGAGTCAAGCTCAGATAAACTGATTGAAGACCCACGGATGGGTCGCCGATGTGAAGTATCACTGGGGAAGAAATGGCGGGAGACTTACCTATGATCTGATCCGGGGTCGCCATGGTGGGCAAGCCTGAGTTCACACAGTCAGCAAAGGCGCATCTGGGAGGTCGAGATGGATCATCGAGCTCGACTAGGGCATGGCTTGATTCGCGACTAAGGGAGGCCTCAACTCACTTTGGTTACCGGATCCGTTCATCTTGCGTGATGTCGACCGTCTAGCATCTGATGACCAGGTTAGGATCAGAGACGAGCAGCCAGGTGAGGGACATGTCCAGACGAAGCAGGCAGGGGTATAAAATGAGATGGAATGATCAGGAGTGTTGAACCCAGCACAGTGGAAAAGTTCACACGAATGTACCTCGCTAGGAGACGGCGATCATGACAATGAGTCGTAGAACTCGGGTTGCAGAAGCAACGTGCAGGAGGCCAACGACGATTCCTCCTCACATGAAGGAAGGGCTTTATTGTCGCCCGCGGGATAGCTGGTGCATGGAAATGTGCGATGCGTGCAAGGAGTGTCATGGTTCACCTACCGGCTGTACCGTTCATGCGAGAGGCTGCGTCTTGGGTATGTCCTAGGCTGGCATGAGCAACAGTTGTTGTGACGAGTCTTGCTGAAGTAGGTCTGGGTTGAGGGAAAATTCAAACCCATCCAGCAGGATAATGGTGTTCGTCGAGGCAGGAGAGGAGAGAAAGTGCTGCTGATGTGAAAACGGGGAGTTATCTGTTCCGAGGTCGCCAGGGCAATCCTCAGGCCAAAACTCGGGTCAACGCAGAAGTACCAGGTGAATATAAAGCGGGGTGTAACGCGGACGGAATAGGCATAATGAAAGGAAACAATGGCTATTCAGACACTGAGGCATTCATTGTAGGTCGGCGAATCGAAATAAACAAAAACATGTAAACATGGGTGCCTTACCTCGTTTCGCAGCATGAAGCCTCTTAAGCTTCTTCTTGATGGTCTTGATTCCGGAGTGAATTTCGGCCCTTTGAACGGAGGTGTCCTCAGTCACATCAACAAGAGATTCTAGCAGAGCCTCGTTGAAATGCAGGTCTTCGGTCAGCTCCTCCTCGGTCTCGGACATATCAGCCTCGCCTGAAGCGTGCGGGCGTATGGGCAACCCCTCCGATGCTGAAGCCATGATGGGCGACTGTATCCCCTACAAACAAGGCGACGGTGTTTAGTTCGCGGCTATGCAAACGTCCGGCTGCAGGTATGTGTGGCAAGTATTTCTGTCGGGGCCGTAAGACGTCGAAACAGCAGATGCAGTCTGGGGTACTACAAGGATGGAGAAGGCTGTGATGGGACCCTATCTTACTCTCTACTCTAAGGTATCCCAAGCGGCCTTTAAATGGCCGTCGCGACGCTGGGGCTGCCGCTGCTGGCTCAGATGCGAGATGCAGCTTCGCAGTTCCATGTAGAGCGGCGGACTGGAAACAAAGGAGACAAAGGAGGCAGGCGGAGAAGAGAGAGACAATGCGTAGGGTCGCGGCGCCTTTGTCCCCCGTGAAGCCTTTCGAACGTCGTCCAAGGGGAGAGGAGTATCTGCCCGTGAAAATGCCTCTGATCTAAAGTTGGCAACCGCATGTAAGGGCGAAAAGGCGCCCCCAATAGCGTATCGTCTCCCTGAACACTCTGCCTGCTTCTCGCGGGTGCTTTGAGCAGATGGTGGTCGTCACATTGGACGGGAGCGATGTCTGCGTCGCATACGATCGTATCTTCGGACAAATGCAGAGAAAAAGGCCCTTGTTGATGGTTTCAAGCTCAGGCGACAGCATCCCGTCCTATCCCCGTCCTATCCGCATCTGCCAAGTCGGTCGCGTTGCTGCGCGCGTCATCCCATGCAACCACTTTACCTAATGTGCCACCGGCCCCACCCTAGCAGGCAGGCAGACACACGCTCGACAAGGGACTTTCCGCCTTCTCCTGGCACGAACCAGGCCAGGGCTGGCGAGGGGCATTCCCGCTGTGATCCCTGTCCATCAGGCTTTCCAGAATGTCGGTTCTGATTCTTTAGCTCGACTTGGATCCTGGAGAATGAATCGGATCTCGATACATGGTTGGCCGGTAGTTATTAGCCAATAGCGAAATGCACCGCCATGGATTTTCCAATACAGTTCGCTAACAAGTGCCAGCAAGTGCCAACAAGTATCCAGATGTATAGGCCCCAGATCCTTTTTCTTGAACCTGATTCCAACGAAACTGATTTCGGATTCACAAGTGTATGAGTGTCCCCTACCGCTTCGAAATGTCTTCAATTTCCCAAGAGAGTGAGTTCCTGGTCAACTTTACTGTGCCACTGTGCGTTGCCAACGCGGCGCGTCGCCATGGACGTACCTAGAGGAGAGAGAATGAGTGGCTATTCAGGTGCATCTATCTACCTGGGCAAGCAAGAACCCAACTGCATTAGCGCCTATACCCTTTTCTTATAACGGATACACACTGACAATTCGTCCGACGGTCTTAGGTGCGTGGAGTTAGTAAACGTCTAGGCCAACCTCTCTACGAGGGAAGAGCAAATCTTCGACTATCACGGCTTCAACTAATACCCATTAGAGCTGGTCGACTTTACAAGATGGGACTCAACAACCTCCACGGAATTCCCGTAAACGACGTAACACACGTTAAATATTACCTATACTTCGTCAGATACTACCCACCCGTCCAGCCTCGCTGTTCTTCAAGATTGGCTTCATACTGCCGTGCTGGACCCTCTCCCACAGGCCACCCAAGCCCGTCCTTCTGCCCTTTTCGTCCTCTTTCCTGAACCATTCCTCCGCACTCCTGATCCGCCCCGGGTGGATTTCATCCAACAAAGCGTAGTCCCTCCGTATCACGCCCTCGTTCCCACCCGAGTTCCGCCACAGGTGCCAGAACGCGCCAAAGTTCTGCCGGAAGGTCATAGTCGCCGGGTCCTGCGGGTCCGCGTTGTACGCCGCGGCGCCGTCCGGGGCCACCCACCAGATCTTGTCGAAGAAGGTGTCCGGATCGGTGTCGACGAAGCGCGCAGGCTTGCCCGTGACCTTGGTGAACGCCTCGGCCATCTCCCGGTACGTGATGTGCGCGATGGCAACCTGGAGGTCCAGGCCGTTCGCCCGCTCCGGGTTGTCGAACAGCCACTTGACGTAGTAGCCGCAGTCGTCCAGAGCGATGTGCGGGACCGCGCCGTCGCCCAGGGGTAGGCGCCACGTAAGGACGCCGTCCTCCTCGACGCGCGGTGTCATGGCACTGCGGTCTGCGATCGCCATATCGATGTACGGCCCCGTCGTGAACAGCGCGGCCTTCATGCCATGCCGGGCGGCATTCTCGCGGTTCTGGAACAAGATCCACTCGCCCACCCGGCCCTTGCCATCATAATGGCCGATGCGGTAAGCCGGGTCGTAGCCAGCCAGCTTGTAAGTATACTCCAGGTTGCCGTAGACGAACATGCGGACCCCCTCTTCCAGAGCGAGTTCATAGGTGCGGATTGCCCAGAAGAGCTCCGTCTTCTCGCCGGCGTTGAAGCCATCGATGTTGACGTAGGCTCCCCAAGCACCCTTGAAGAGGGAGCGGAGGCTTTCCTCAGAGGCAAAGGAACCAATGACCGGCTCAACTGGTCCGTACGTCTGTAGTTCCTTGAAGCGTGGAGAGTCGGCGTCGCGTGTTAGTGCTCGGATCGTGTAAGCGCCGGACTGAGCGAGGTCGCGCACTACCGGAATGCCCTGAGCTCCTGTAGCACCGATGACCGCAATGAGGCGAGTTGAAGACATGATAGAAGAGTTTTCAGATGATTTTTTTGCTGGTTAAAATGGATGTGATGCTTGCAAATGGTTTTGGGCGGAAACTCCCTGCTTTATACCGCGCCTGAACCTGCAAGGTATTGATAGTCAGCATTGTAAAGAACTTGCATTTGTAATATTGCTCCTTTGCAAACGTAGTGTATTGTGATTATTCTATCAAGGCAAACTGTTTTCTTGATTTGCGGTTTGTGAATGCGGTGCAATACCAGGGAACGGGCGCAAAAACCGTGATGTTGGCCGAACTGAATATGATCAGTAATCCCCGCGAGTGGCATTCGGCTGTTGTGCCCACCACACACATACTCATGCTTGTGCGACAACTGCTCCGATTCGTAATCAGATACTACCCGACGTAACTTCACATGTCCAAATGAACTATCCCGCATGCGAAAGCGACCCTTGAAGCTCATAGTCTGAAATGCTTTGCAGCTTCAATCCCCTCGGCCATGGTACCGACCCTGGCGTCTATCGCATAGCCCTCGGCCTCCAGCTTCTTGCACTCGGCGTACAGATTTGTCAGCGGCACGGTGAAGACCTCGATGAACTCGCTCTCCTCCAATTGCGGCTTCAGGTTCTGATTCTCGGGCAGGCTCACGTCGATGCTGACGTGGACCATGCGCAGGTTGGTGTTGCAGAAACCAGGGTCTAGCATAGTTCCGATCAGAATTCAACCTCGGATCGCTCGTTTGATTTGAAGAGACTCACCGTTGAACATTACCGGCGTCGTCAGAGTGGCCTTGCCCACATAGCCGGTCTCCTCACGCAACTCGCGAACTAAAAATCTGTCAGTGGGTGCTACTCTGGATGAGACTCCTCGAACCTACCTGCAGCCTCCTCAGCGGTCTCGCCCTCATCGACCAGTCCTGCAGGCACCTCGATTGTGACCTTGTTCACGGGTGGCCGGAACTGCTTCTGCAGAATGATCTCCGGACCTGGACAAGCTCGCCTTCAGTAACCAGCCGAGTATAGTCAGAGGCGAGTGGGATGAATATTCTCACCTGTCTCCTTCTCGAGGACAGCAAAAATGCCCACGCCGTCGATCTCGCCACCCTTGGGGCGCGTGGTTCTCTCTGCTGTTTCCCACGTCTGAGCAGTGCCGTTCGGGTCCTGGTAGTCGATCTTGCGCAGTCGAATCCACCGCGCGTCGTCGTTCGACTACACTCATCGGCATTAGTGACAGGGGTGAGCCAGAGACATAAGACGGGTGTACTTGCCAGGGACTCTGTCGAGAGCACTTTGGCGTCTTTGGCAGCCATGGTTATTTGAGGGGGCAGGAGGAGTGCAGGCTCGGTATCTGGGGTGCTGAGAAATTGATACGGAGTACACAGGTAAGTGAATGTGCCAAAATATGCGAAAAACTACTTCAGAATGTGAACGGGCCAGGGATATTTAGTTGAGTCTGAGGTGGTTAGGCAGACCTGGGCGTCACGATCCGTAGTGGGGTAGCCTCAACCAATGATTGACGTATTACCAAACCAGTGGGAGGAGTAACTAGTCTACGACTCGGCTGGAACAAGCATCTGTCGACCACAGCAGACGGCGAATGCAGCACGACCGTGTCTACCATTCAACAGTGTGGCAAGCCGCCGGGGATCAAGAGGGAAAAGCTACCTATTATCACAGAGCCAGCCAAAATCGATTGAGTCACTCGGAGTACGTAGCTGATCAAACACGGTGGTAGTCATCATTCGTTAAATCTGTATCGCTCACAGTCTAAATACATGCCCGTCTTTCGTCAAATGCTCGTTAACCTCGCTATGTGTCGTGATCATAAGTCGCTGCCATATCAGGTAAATCAAAGAAAACATCCGGAAGTTCCTTGCCTCTAGATTCTCCTGGTCCTGCGTAATGTTTCAACCGCTGGCCGAATATTGCGGAAAGCGTCATATTGGGTCCGACCAAACACACTTTCTTTTCAGATGTCATCCAGACACGCCCTTATCACGGAAAGAATACCGGAACGCCTCCAATGGTTGCCAGTCGGAAATCCAGATACAATGCATGTGGCAAGAGTCTCTTGTCAATGCAAGATCGTGACCTTATACACGGAGACAGGCGTTGCGCCTAGTGGAGGTAGCCACGCACTGGCTTTCGGTCATAGATAACCTCATGTTCAACGATACGTTCATCGTCGTATTTGCTGACAGATCGACGGTGTCTGTGTCGGCGTTCCCAGCGCTCCCTGGCCTCGCGCTCCCACTCGATCTCCCTCGCTCTGTCTCTGCGAGCTCTGCGGATTGAGTCAGACATATTGACAAGCTGCAACACATCCTCCTATCAGATCGTTAGCTACCGTTTGATGAGATATTATTTCAGGGATATGCTCCCAACTTACATATCGCAGGTATTCCATAACGTAGAAGAACCATTCAGTCTCCTCGTACTCATAGCCCAACTCTTGGATAGCCTCGCGGACGACCAGATCCTTTGTGATCTCAGTCCACATTTCCTGCTGCCTCTTCAGTGACCGCTTGCCGTGGTGGCGACCCTTGTCACGGATTTCAATGCGTGTGTCATGCACGTCCTCGACCACGCCTCTATCTCTAGACCTGTCGCGGTGCTTATCGTAGATCTGGACACTCAGTCGATCCCGCTCCGAGACTGGCTCCCGGACTGGCTCGCTGACACTTGTGCTGCTTGTAGTCACAACGGTACCGTCCCGTTCAGGGAGGAATTTGGACCGCCGTACTCCATTGTATCTCTGCCAAGTGACCTCCGCTCCGCCGCCACCGATGCCGTCCATTTTGACACGTTCGGTGCCAGGAGGGACATCCACGATGGTCCAGTCCTTGGTGGCACCGTTCCAAGCCTCGCCCATACGGCCGCGCGAATCGATCTTGGTGGTAATATACTCGCTCTCTTCTCCGTAATCGGGGCGAGGGGGTGCAACAGAGCGCGATCGTCGGTGATCATGTTCAATATCGACATGCAGGTGGTCCCGGTCACTACGAACAATAACCTCGTCGTCGTAGTACGAGGGCCGGCTTGCGGGGTGGCGGGGCCGTTCACGTTCTCTGGGTCGAGAGCGAGAGCGAGTACGCTTGTGAATATCGACTTCGGTCTCATGACGGGAGGTGTAAATGTCGATGTCTGTCTCGCGCTCTCTCGCACGTTCCCGTCTCGGTGGTGGAGGGGGGGATGGTGCCGGGACTCGTTCAACTCCTGGTTGTGGTCAGGCCGGACATCACTAGAGGGTGCTAAGAAAGTGAACTTACCATGGTCGATATCGCGATAGTGAGTGATGACCTCCCGCTCAATCGTAGGGCCGCGGATCACTGGCGGCGGTGGTGGTGGGGGAGGGGGTGAAGGACTGGGTGAAGGAACCCTCGGTCTCTCCCGCTCGATAATCCGAATCTCGCGTTCCCTTTCGGGGGTTGGAGATCTCTCTCGGCGACGCTCGACTATGCGTGTGGTGTCCACACGCATCTCGGGGGAAGGCGAGCGCTCGATGAACCTAGGTCTCCTTTCCATGGGCATTGGGGCCGGAGGGGGATCTCTTTCCCTCCTGAGCGGAGAGACGCTTCGCCGCCGGACGACGATGCGCTCTTGCTCGCGCACAGGACTCGGGCTGCGAGGCCTTCTGCGGTCAATCGTTTCGACCTCACGTGAGCGCAGCACAAGAGGGCCAGCCTCACCACGCCTAGGTTCTTCACGCAGGAATGCCGGAGTACGGGTCTCTCGTTCACGCTCTCGCACGGAAATCTCGGTTTCTTCGTACTCTCTCACAGGAGCCCGTCTGGGGGGGCTGCTGCGACGTTCCTCTCGCCGCTCATATATCTCAACGTCGTCATATTCGCGACGAGGAGGGGGCCCGCGGCGGGGCTCATCACGATAGTACCTGGTCTCGCGCTCCTCGAAGTCGCTTGCGCGACCACCGCCGCCCCTGTACGACATTGTGATCAATGTCTGGACAGAAGGGATCAGGCGGACAAGGTGCGTTCCTCGCTGGCGGCGGAGCGCTAGGGAGCGGTCAGGTGACGGGCGTATGGGATGTGAGGTTCTCACGAGCACTTGGGCGGTTCCCCTCGGTGGTAGCGGGGTAGTTCCAAGGGACGGGAGCGATCAACGCCTAGAATAGCGTCATGCGACCGGGAACTCTAGATACCCGCCGACCAAGCAGACGGTAGCGCGAAGCAGTGCGGACAAACAGACTCGCGAAGGCAAGAGGAACGACTCGCAAAGGTAGAGTCCAGAGGATTAGGAAATCAGACAGTCTACGGCCGGCAGGTCTCGAGGAAGAAGAATGAAGTGCAGGAGACGGAAATAGCAGAATCAAATGGGATCTGATCTGGACACTGGGCAGCTAGGGGAGCAGACTTCGTCATCCTACAGCGGCTTGGACCTGGGTCCTGCTAAGTTAGCCATCTAGCGCGATATAGGGCAGCGACAATTAATAGAGGGGGGGCTGGCCTCCTGGGTGCAAGCAGGGAATCAGCCCTGGTCCTGGGGACCGACCCGGATTGGTCGTCTTCCCAAGTCTGTCACGACGGGACTGTCGCGGCGACGGGAAGCGTTGACAGGCTGCATGGAAGCGAGGAGGAGGCTGTCGAAGCAGGCAGTGCTGGTTCTGGAGGAAGGATGCCTCCTCGCTGCTGATATGAGACGCTGCATCAAGAGGCTGGTCAAGCCCAGTCGGGTGCCTCTCACCATGTGAAGCAGGCGAACCCGTCTCTGGAAGCGCAATTGGCCTTGTGGGTTCCGAGCAGGCTGCTGCGGTGCGGTGCATGATCGGACGCCTCTCTACCTGTGACCCTTCCAATGACCACATGCAGACTTCTGCAGCAGGCTGGCAGGCTGGGCCCATACACCCGTGCGTGCTGGCGTGCTGGTTGGGTATTGGGACCTGCAACTTGCAAGAGGCGACCAGAGTCCAAGTCATAGCCCGCTCCTTTCCTGGATAAGCCAACGCGAGACCTGCATCCAACATGGACCTCTCATGTGCCGAGTGGTCCAACGAGCGCAGAACGACTAGCATCTTGCAGACCGTGGCCCATCGCGGACCCTGCAGACTGTGAACGGTCGTTTCTCGCCAACATCCAAGCTGCTGGGAGATATTGAGGGACAGCTTCGAATACGACAAGCTACTACTAGACTCCGTGGAAATTGCGGGACGGGAACGTCCAGATCCCAATAACTAACTAAAGTGGGTTAACTATTCCTGCCCAAGCGACGCTTGAGGCGGAGGCTAGAAATCAAACTCGCTCCCGCCGAAAGAGGTGTGCATGCATGTGATGGATGCCCTTCTCAGCAAGGCTCGCCCGTTCCCGTCTTACCCAAAACCAAAAGTGATAATCCAGGGGACTCTCCGGTCAGCGCGAAGTAACATGCTCAGGCCAGCAGGCTGGCAGGCAGGTTCCTGATCTGTTTGCAAGGTTGACAGCGGGAGGGCAACATCAGCTTTCTTCGGTGCTGCGATATTACGTCACATCCCAGTTGCTCGCCGGCGTGAAGCCCCACTAAAATCCAACGTGAGGTTTGTCTGAAGTTGATTAACAGGAACAGGACCTGGAAAACCAAGCCTGTCCAAAACTCGACGTCTTCTCGCAGACACGGAGGCTGGGAAACACCACCTGCGGATGTAACTCAAGTCTCAATCCAAACTTGGCCGACCCCGGCAGTTCCCAAGACCCTGCAATGCCTAGAAACCCCGAAGCGGTCGCCACGCTCGGAAGTTTTGCGATGGTTGGACTTCATGAACTGGTTATAGTTGGCATACCATACAGGTTCCAGTCCTGTTCGCCACCAGTCTTTGATCGTGCAATACTCTAGGCTCACAATGACTGACTGGAGGTCTCCTTAATCGTAATCCGACCTAAATATAGTCAAACCACTTTAAGTGACACCTTTGCTGTTGTAGCCGCAGCACGGCACAATGACAGGGGTAGTGACTAAATAAAGAATGATCAATGCTGCTGCCCATGGGTGCTTGGAACGTGTTGCATGATACTGCAGTTGGTCAGAGAAGTGTGGGAAGTGGTTGAAATAGTTACGGTCTGCTGCAGGATTGCCCTATAGTCGGCACAACAAAGCGCGTAGAAGACGTCGTGAGGCAACTCGAGTGATATGCCAACAAGTGAACACCGCTTACATCACCGCGTGGGAACCACACGCAACTGTCACGGATGATGCTAAGCCCGACTCAGCACAAGCAAGTTTCTTCGTCGTCTTCATGTTAAGGTTTTGACGTACGTCTAATGCAACCCCGCCTTTGTCATCGCCTGCTCGAGTACGGAGCACTCAAAGTTGCACTCTGCGTGCCGCTCTGGGAGAGATCGTCCCAGGTTAAGTTACAAGGAACGACGAGTTCCTAGGGTATTATCAGAGGTATTATAGATCTGAGATCGGAAGACTCAGCCAGCCTACTTGTGCTACTGTGGTAGATGTGTACCCCTCTACACCGAGATGCGCTAATGATGCATAAAAACGGACAGTCAAGTCACCGCTTTTAGATCTGCTAACGAGCTTGTCCACAAATTTTGGATTCGGGGAGGGGCCGACCCCACTAAAAAAACGAAGCCATCATGATGAAATAGACAGCACAACCATGCAAACCCTGAGTCTCCCTCGGTACTTCCCTAAAGAGGTTGACAACCTCGGATCTGACCAATCAGACAGGCAAATTTGCTTCGTTCACCTCCGATAGTCTTTACATTTCGACATGGCGCTTACCAATCACCATCTCAGTGCCATTGACAACCGTGTTTCTAGAATGTGTCGGGGGCCCATCTTCATGCATGTTTCCATTCCATAAATCAAGTGCCATCAGCGACGTTGCAAAATCGTATCTCCGTTCAGTTCTCAACTCTTGTGTGTTAGAAATACACGCCCTTCAACTATAACATCGATATGTCTGTTCCAAAGACCTTCAAGGCGGCTGTAGTGCCGGAACCCGGTGCCCAGCACGTCACCAGTGAACGGTCGCTTGGCCCTCTACAGCCAAGTGAGGTCGCTATCAAGATCACAGCCACAGCCATCAACCCGGTGGACTGGAAGATTCGGGACTACAAGGTTTTCATCAAGGACTACCCCGCTGTGCTAGGCTCCGATGCGGCTGGCGAGATTGCTGCTGTAGGGTCAGAGGTCTCGAATTTCGCCGTGGGCGACAGAGTGTTCTTCCAGGGCATCATCGGCAACTATGACGCCTCCACTTTCCAGCAATACTGCAAGATGCCCGCAGCGCTTGTGGCCAAAACCCCCAAGAACATCAGTGATGATGAAGCTGGCGGTGTCAGTTTGGCAACCGTCGCCGTCGTCACCGGGTTCTACGACAAGTCTGGCAGTGGATTGACCCCACCTTGGGAAAAGGGTGGCGAGGAAGCCGGCAAGGGCAAGGCAATCGTCGTGCTGGGCGGAAGCTCGTCGGTGGGCCAGTACGCCATCCAGTTCGCGAGACTCTCCGGTTTCTCGAAGATTATCACCAACTCCAGCGCCGCACACGCGGAGCACCTCAAGAGCCTGGGTGCCCACGTCGTGCTAGATCGATCCACCCAGTCAGAGCCGCAAGACTTCGCGTCCGCCATTGGCGACCTGCCTCTTGCCTTCGTCTACGACGCCATTTCTTCCAAGCCGACTCATGTGCTGGGCGTCAAGATCATCCAGGCCACCAAGACTCAGAACACGCACATTATCGCGGTGCAGCAGTCGGCCGATGCAGAGGTCCAGGAGCTCTGCCAGCAAGAGCCCAAGACGGCTGTTAAGCCCATTATGGGTATGGGAAGCAGCCCTGCTCTCCGATACCTCAGTGAACCCCTGATGAAGCACTTGGGTGGCGAAGATGGATATATTGCCAAGGGTCTCTACAAGCCCAACCGTCCTCTCGTTATCCCTGGTGGTCTTGATGCTATTGAGAAAGCCCTGGCAAAGAACAAGCAAGGTGTTTCCGGCGAGAAGGTCGTCTTCAAGCCGTCCGAGTAATCAGCTTATCTCGGCTTAAGTTGAGGAAACTGAGATGCTGTTCAGATTGCACTCTACCTACGACTCATGGCGTCTCATTACGAGATAAAATTAATAAATGAACAAAATTGCTATCATGTTGCCCGTGTCGTCGGTATCAGTGATGAATTGCTAGTGCTGTGACCGCCCAATTTGCTGAATAATAGAAGACATAATTTACGATTCACCTGTTGGTCCACATATGAGCGTATGGTTGATATACAGAATTATTCGAGTTTTATTCGACGTTGTATTATATTCCCAGTGACGAGCACCATCGTAGAGTAACCGTCTTGATAGTAGCCCTCGAGATCAATAACCTCCACAACTCGTAAAACCTATGCGTTCCTCTCCCTTTCTGCCGAACCACGCTGCCAGGCCAAAGGCTATTACTCGCCCCTGGCAGCCGTCACGTCGAGCCATGTCCTCGAGGGCGTCATAGAGACTGGGGTCTCGAAGGTTAAACTTGGTGACTCCTTGACGCACGCTCGTCAAGTGCAAGTATACACCGTAGTCTTCAAACACGATGCGGCGATGGAACCCGTTTTTCTGAGGGTCGTGTTTTACTGTAATTTCATCACGTTGTGATAGAAGCAATTTCAAGGCTTTGATGCAGTTATTTCTAAGGCGTGGACCAGTGTCTGGCTGGTGTGACATGATTCAAGGGAACAGTATGATGTTGTGCGTTTATTATATTGGAAGGGGCGATACCCCTGAGAATAGCCCATGGGTGTTAGCAACCAGTGCCACTTCTTTATGCTTAATTTTGTGAAAGACAATTGGCGCACAAAGAGCAGGGAATTTGACAAAGCAGCATATGTCAATGGTGAATGAGCATTGAGCATTAATTCAGCCCGAGGTACATCAAGGATGCCTCCTTAATATTAAGAACAAGGCGAGTTATGTTGACAAAGCCTGTAGTAGCCACGACACACCATCCTACAACTTGCCAAGCATTATACTGGACAACTTGGGGTTTGTGCCATATATTGCGTACAGGTTACCACGAAGTCAATAATACAGCTCGGCACTTACTCGTGAGTGGATAATCGCAATTGAACTCCCGATCATGCTTTCCGCCATTTTAGGGGGCGGTGGTTATGATTCAGTCCTTTATTAGGTAAATGTTGACTTTATGAAGCAAGGGCCACAGCAAGTGTGATGAGCGATGTCGCGCTTTGAATGATTGCCTTTCAACCACTTTAATAAACATTTACGAAGTGATTATGAGTACACTGCATCGAAGTCTATAAAACTTTTGTTGTCAAGGCGTACAATATGCCCAGAGACATGCATTTTCTCTACCTGAGAACCAACATCTCTGAAGACCGACCACCGATATCCCAAAGCACACTCACACTGGCATAAAGCAGTAGACATGCCTCGAAAAAAGGTTTCTGCGCTTTCCGAAGGCTTGCTTCTCAACGGGTCACTTTCTTCATCGATACAGACTATCTTTGCGAGTACTCCAGGCCTGAAAATGCTCCAGAAGTTCTTCGCCAGCTGGCTCCGTATCGATCTGAGTACCCTCGTGTTATACATCACCATACTTGGCTATTTCTCAGACGGCTTCTCCGAGCTCGAAAGCATCGCATCCAGATTTTACGGGCTTATTGTGAAGTTTTGGACTTCGTCAGTGTCCCTCGCCGGGGACGAGCCGCTCAACGCTCATGTCTTAGAATGGATACAACGCAAGGTTATACCACAGCAGAAGACTAGGGCACTAGCAGCGGGGACTGCACTCCAAAAGCATTATGAAAGAGACGACACGGGCATGCATGACGAAGAGCCCATCGAATACTTGCCAACTTTTGGAACAACTTGGTTCTTTTTTGAGAAAACTCTTTTCATGGTCCGGCTAGATCCCTTGTCGACCACCACACGAGGCGCTACTCAGGCCAATACATATACAGCCGCGCCGACAGGAAACGAACCACTTCTTATCATGTGCGTAGGCAGATCTACCGAGCCTATTCGACGGTAAGCTGCACATTCTTAGACACGCAGAGAAACTTTCTCGTAGGCTGAGCGGCGGCTCTCCATTGTTTTGTGTCCTTTGTTCCCACTTCAAACTACAACTAATTTGTTAAACAAATAGATTCCTCAAATGTTGTAACTCGTTCGTATCCGACCGCCAAGCGAAGAATGTGAGTATTTATGCTTCCAAGAATGGTGAGATCTGGGACAGCCTCATTTACCGTCCGCATCGTCCGCTTGACACAGTCCACTTTGAGAAAGGCCTGAAGGATGAGGTGGTGGCCGACATCACCAAGTATCTGAAACGCGAAACTAGAGACTTCTACTCTGCCCGAGGTATTCCTTATCGCAGGGGTTATCTCTTTGAGGGACCTCCTGGGACTGGAAAGACTTCTCTCGCATTCGCCATCGCCGGTCATTTCAACTTGCCATTGTGGGTGCTAGATCTTCCCACATTGGCGAACGACGCAAGCCTGGAAGCCCTGTTCGTCAAGTTGTCCCTGAAATGCGTCATCTTGATAGAAGACATTGACGCCGTTGGTCTCAAGCGTGAGCTGAGCCACGTCAAGCAAAAGGACAATGAGCAAAAACGGAAAGGGAAATGCACTTTGGCTGGGCTGTTAAACGTCCTCGATGGTGTTACAGCTCAACAGGGCCGGATTGTGCTAATGACAACGAACTTTATCGAACATCTCGATGAAGCACTAATTCGACCGGGTAGAGTGGACAAGATTTTTCACCTTGGAAAGATCACTCAGGAAACTGCCCGATCCATGTTTATATGCATGTATGCCCGAGAACGACCCGAGGGTACAGAGGTCTCAGCAGAGATACAGAAGCTTGCTTCAGAGTTCAGCAACAAGATACCGGAGAGAGTTTTCTCACCAGCTCAACTTCAAGGCTATCTGCTCGGCTACAGCACATCACCGCAGCTCGCAGTCTACGAGATACAGAAGTGGGTGGAGAACGAAACGGCCATGGCCAAAGCCAAGAAGGAGAAAGAGAAAGCCGCAAAGGCGAAGAGCTCAGACGATGAGGAATCAAAGGATGATTTGGAGAAGAGAGTCAGAGATCTCGAGGCCACCACTGAAGGCTCACTCGGTAAGCTTGATGGTAGAGTGAAGGAGTTGGAGTCTATGATGGAAGTTGTTGAAGACATGAGCGAGGCAACCGGTGAGAAGGAGAATCGTGTTGTAACCGACACTACACAGCCTGCGCAGGGGTCCGCTGACCAAGGCGGCATATCTCGCAAGGAGGAAGATCACGCTTCACTCAATGGCAGCGAAGAAGCATCAGCTTCCAGTAGCGGATCCTCGGATTAGGCCACCCAGTAATGAGCATGTAGTCTTCATTTAAGACAACTGTATGCACCATTTTACGATTGACAGTGAAAGTATCAGTGCGAATCAAAGCCCCACGTTTCTGCCGAATTTTCTTTTAGGGTTTCTATCAAAAAGACTCGCTCTATCAACTCTGCATCCTAGATGTCCTTCATGCTAGGATAACAAGTCCCAAAAGTGGAAGCGCTCTATAAGTGTACGTAGCCATGTTGCCACTACCCCAGGATGGAGCCTGCTGGGCGCCACGGAGGCCTCGTCGTACTGACCTGCGGTTTTGCTTTCAAGGCTTTTGGTAGCTCCGATGTTTTGCTATTGCCGGCCTCGAGCTTGCTTGAAGCGGCAGTTCTCACACCCCTTCTTGATCTTGGTAACGACTGACGAGCAACAGATAAGATAGGCTGCTGAGGGATGCGAAGGGGCGAAAGTATCGGCCTTTTCGGTTTCGATGGCAGCCATTGTGGACCATCAACAGAACTCACAGCATACCGGCGGTGGTAAGAAGCAGATGCCTCACGGTGATGAACCTCCTCCGGGTCATCCGACGTGCTGGCGATCGGGGGCTCGTCGCTCTGCCCGAGTTCCACGGGTGTCATCGCTTGGTCATTGTCTGCTACATCCTGAATGTCTGCGAGAGCAAATGAAGTGAGCTCGCGCTCTTCCGTATCCATGTCTGCGCCTGGTCTCCACCACTTCGGAGGGCTCGACGGAGGGTGAAGATCGAAGAAGTCGGTGATGTAGATCGACCATATAAGATCGACATGAATAAATGACGAGGAATTGACCTCTGCGACCAAATCACGGAGCTTTTTGGCGAAGACAATATCGTCTTTGGAACTGAAAGTGATCGGCCCGGTACCCTCTGCTGCTCTTGATCGCCTAATGCAAAGAGCCACGCCGAGTCCTTCATCAAAGAGGAGAGGAGGAAAAGACGAGCTTCCCTGGAATCGACCTAGATTGAATCCAAAGCTCTTGTCAAGCAGGCCGTCCACTGTTCTCGAAAATGCGCTGTCTATCTCCCAAAGCTCCTCGTCGGTGATCCACGAGGATGACAATGGTGCTCTATGGCCCTCGGCTCTTGATATATGACGTTGCGCGATCGGTGACTGTGAAGCAGTTTCCTGGAAGGATACTCCCTGACCCGACTCATCTGCTGCTGTCGCTGGGCTTATTTGGGCGGACTCCCTCTCACCTTGTATGAATTCGCGAAATGAGTGGGAATCCGATTGCCGACATTGTTGGCCACCGTTAGCATCCATGCTACTACAGCCCAATATTTTCAAATTCGAAAAGATGCAATTGCTCTAATGTTCTGCCGGTAAAGTATTGACATGGGCGCGCTGCACAAACTGAGCTTTCTGTGACACACGTGGGTATGATCGCTCGACTTTAACCGCAGCTGTACCTCCGCAACGCCTGGATCACGACAAGGCATCATTTTCAACTCTATGCCATTGGAAAGATGAAATAGTCACCCAAAAACAAAGACAGACTACGTCGGACTACGAAACATCGACAACAAAGAACAGCCGCCACTCTAGCCTGAGGTGTTGCCTAGGGCCGGGTAGATAAAGCGTGAGACAACACTCGTGGCACCAGAATTATAGCGGTGTATCGGTTTGTTCATGTCTAAGAGGCAGAAATATTGCGTTCTATCTGACGTGTCATTCCCTGCTACTCGCTCTGTGCCATGCCCCTCTCACAGCAGCCCAATATTGTTCTGGGTGTGCCCTAAGATGTCCAACATGCGGTGTGTCCTCAAATCTTTCCAGGTCAACTTGAAATCCTTTCCCTTTTGCCTCTGCCGCATGCTCTTCTACCGCCTCCCAATTGATAATCTCATCGCTCTTGGAGTACAGATACAGACGCGTGGCTGCCTTATCTTCTAGGTCTGGATTGTTGATCGCTTTCGTGCTAAAGACTGCAGGGCTTGAATGACCCAGGGCAAACATGACCCCATGTGTCACGAGTAGAAAGATGATGGCGAACGCCTGCATGATGAATAGGGGCCCTGGGAACCAGGACGCAGCACCAATGGCCATAGCACGTGACCATGGCCCTAGGTTGGCAAAGAAGGATGAGCTTCCTGGTGTAGAGTCGAACACGGACAATGTGTGCACTAAAGGCGAACCCCCAGGGTACCGCTGGCTGTATGCATTGAGAGTGGCTGCGTAATTCACGCCGCCGGTATTGGACATGGCGTGAACAAGGACACGCTCCTCAGCTGACTCGGCTCCTTGCATTGCGTTCAGCACGACTTCCATCCCCTTGGAGCGCTGCTCATGGCTTTTATAGAACATCTTGATCATGGGGCCAAGGACTATAAGAAGCCTGGCATTGGGGAATAGTGCCAGGTATCCTGAGATATACTTGGCGATATGTTTGGGTTGCGCGTCACCCCAAGCGTACAGAAGAATTGTTGTGGGATCAGGTGAGCCTGATATGACTGCCGTATTATTTGTGTCGTCCGCAGGCCGGAGATATACTTGGTCGCTGAGTTTGATAAAGCCGGGGAAGCGGCTCCTGTTCTTGGTATCTGCCATTGAATGGGCGTAGAAAATTGAAAGACTTGCTGAATGCTGTTTTCAGATCGACAAGATGGAAATATGTTCTTGTTCGATCAAAAGCCTCTTATAAGTATGCTGGCATTTGCACGGCGTTTGTCAGACGGCCTTTCTAGATATGCCACTTGTACGTGTGTTAACACTCATACGGCGTTTATCAGGCGGACTTTTCCCACACGGAGATTTTATCACTACGTTGGGAGTTCAGCTAATTACCCAAAGTGTTGAGATCGTGGAAGCCTGGCGGCGACTAGCGCCCCACCTCAACTTACAAGCGAGCTCGACAGGGAAAACATCCTATAAAGGTAATTATAATTTTGGACACAGAATACATGACAGTGCTATTCTTTAAAAAGACGAAAGACGAAAGGATCCAAGAGTTTGCAAATTTCATTATCGTCTAGTCTTGGCAAAGTAAACTTCGGATCACTGCGTATAAGGGCAGACCAAGACAATGGAATTAATTCAACGTTTAGCTGCTCACTAGCCGGACCCGAGGAAACTGGGGTAGGTCGCTTATTACAACTTAAGGGATGGCCGAAATGTTGCACCACTGTTGGCCTGGATCAAGCAGTATAGCATAGGCTGGCTGGCATCGCAGAAAGGTGGGGAGTTAGAGACGTTATGCCACTACTGCAGTATTGAAAGTAGTTGAAACGGAGACAAGTTTCCAGGTGAAGTGGCTGCGAGATTGGACGATGCGCCTCTAATAGAGTATAATACGCATTAGTTCCTTACGGCCAAGGGAGTCTCATCCTTCAGCTTCCTAGGTAAAGCGTTGTTCAGCTCACAGTTGGTACCGTTGATCGAGAGACATCGCGCCATCGCCCCTACGTTCGATGCATCAAGTACCACTCATTACATGGATGTTGTTTTCTTCGCATAAATGCCAGGGTCGATGGTAATCCTGTAGGTTGTTAGGATTATAATACTCGCGTTACTATACGAAGCCGTCCAAGTCTAACCAACCAATCCATATTTGGTAAGTTTCTAGAACAATGGAATAGTCTCGGGCACTGCAACTGGTCCAGATTGCCTCCTCATGCTATTCAGGATGATCGACAAATTCGATGAGGCAGCCTGTGCCTGTGTGTGGCACACGTTACGACTTTTCAGGAAACCCGAGCTCCAAGCCTGCGATCGCCGGTGAGAGGGACGACGCTGCATTGTATGCTACACAATGTGAAGGGATCGGCGGTGCCTCGACATGGCCAGAACCTACTGGGCCGCGCAGCTGCGGACCTTCATGTGGGTTGCACCAAGGCGCATACTGGATAGACCTGTCTGATTGGCAGACAGAGCGAACCGCATGAAATGGAATTATATCTACCGCTTACCGGAGGATGGGTTTATTCCCGAGCTCATCTGACATTCTTGACATCAGGCGACAGTATGCCATGTCATGCCAGGACGCGCTGAGCTCCCTGTCCCGCCAGCTGGGCACAGGGTGTAACGATACCCAGTGGTGCGGCCTCATGTCACTGTCGCCAGGTGCCTTTTCGAATCGGGTTTAAGGCACCTGCAAGTCGACGGGGATGAGAGGCGTATCGTCCCAGAACTAGCAGCTGGCAAACGCAGAGAGCTTGCTTCTCATGCAGCTTCGCGAGGCACGGTGACAAGTCGCAAGTCAGCACGTAGCGCGGTCCTTATTTTAAGTGTGATCCAGGGGCATGGATGAAATGGTTCTAGCAGCACGAGAGCCAAGGAGCAGAGTAGTGCCGGCTTCCGCGCGGGGCAGCCGGGCTTCTATTTTTACTGCTGTTTGCCGCCGAGGCAATCTGGACCAGCGCGGTTAACGAGACGCCGGCTTGGAGGACAACCAGAAAAGAATAAGCATACAAAAGGACTGGCTTCTTTGTGCCTTAGGTTGCCGAAGCACCTACCTTGCGTACCTAGGTAATCAAAAGGGTTTGCAAACTGCGTTCCGAGCTGAACCTCGTTCATGACTCGTCGTACGGATGTAAAACTCTTTGACATGAGCTCTAGTACTGCCGGCATGGCCTTGCCCCGCGCAGCCCCAAGGCTTGGAGGCTGAGAGGCACCCGTGGACGCTGTGACCCACTGGACTCTACCTACAGTAATCCCGCGCAAGGGTAAGATCGAGTACAGTCCACGATGCACCGAGTAGTCAACTTGAGTTATCATATTTTCCGACTGCTTTTTCTCACCCCTTGCGACCTTGCAATAATCCGTGGCAGAAAAGGGAGCATCTGATTTCATGTCGGGATATGGATCACCCATAACTGAGGAGAAATGAGCGGTTTCACCAAGGGAACGGAAGTTGCGGTTCTTAGGTTGCATTGCGACCCGAGGGCAATCCAACCCGAATTGCATGCCGCAGATCATCATGGTGATCAATGCCACTGATTTCCTGTAACAATGCAACTGGTCGGAAATGGCTCTTCTCTGCCCTGAGGGCAGAGCTTAAGGACCATATGCCGGAGGCGGTCCCGTGGTTGGGCTGCAAGTTGTTGATCCGTCGCCCGATGATGGCCCGTCTGTCGTTAGCAGAAGACTTGAAGGCCCGCGCGGCCTACCTAGGTAGACAAATGCATCGATTACCCCTTGTCGGTTAGGCTCTACTTAGGTACATCGTAGTTCACATGGCTGCGGCCAAGAGATTCAAATCAAGCCTATGGGCCCAAAAGGCGTAGTAACCCACCTTCCGAACCTCCAGCAATCACCTGGAATCGTCCAGGACCGCATGACATGAGATCACCGATGCATGTACTCGGTATGCACCAGAGAGCCCGCGGACTTCGCCAGATGCCAACAGCGCTGGCTGTTGAGTCGACTGACACCTGAAGCGTGCCTCAGGGCCCTCTGCCAAAGCTCGGAGCGTCCGTGACCGGCGGTTACAGATCTGCAACTGGATTTTGTAGCTTACAGATCCTGAAGACCTATTCAATGGGGACTAGGCCGGGATAAGAGATGATCAAGGAGCTAGGTACCTAGATATTCGGTGAATAGGACCGGTGCATCTGTCATTCACTCCTCATGCTTGCCGGCTTTGCCTCTCCTTGCCTGTCCGGTTCCGGCTCCTTTGCCCACGGGCAGGACGGGGTACGTACAGAGGAGGAGAACGCTGAGGCCCCAAAAATAAGAATAAGAATGAAAACAAGAATTTGACTGATTGTTCGCCGCCTTGTTCCCCTGGATCGTACCCAATTGCCCAGCTCCCTCGGACTGCGTACTGGACCCTGGAGGTCGTGTTCGGTGCCTTGCCCCCTGCGTGCCCGCTTAGAATGCTAGGTACAAAGGTAGCTAGTGGGGAGGGAGAGTAAGCACTTTACACGAACTGGACGCCCTGGCATTGACATGCCCACCGCCTCGCAAGCCTGACGAGCCTGATCCGCGAACCGACGGGACCGGCACGCATAATCAGGCCAGCGAGTTAAAAATAAGGATATCTAGGTAGCTTATGCAAATTGACGATTTGATGTAACTATGCACCACGCAAGCCAGCAGCCCAAAGCAGCCCAAGCGAGCTCACAAGCAGTCAGCTGGCCAAGCACTCTGCCTGCACCAGCAGGGGGGGCCCCCCTTTCCCCCTTTGAAGCATTGCTCGCTCTACGTTACCGCCTGTTCTGTGGCGGCAACACTCACCTCCAGCTTCACAGCCATCTACGCAATCCAGGGTGGCAGCCCAGCTAAGCATGTAGCTGGCTGACCGACATATTGGAGTGAGGTGCTCGGTGGACCGGCTCGGCTTCAGACTCCAAAGCAAAAGAGCAAGCCAGACAAGAAAGAAACTGGGTTGGCTAGAGTTGCAAGCCCAGCCCAGTAAGCGCACTGCTCACTGTCCATTGTCAACGACGTCGAATCCCAACCCATCAATCGGTTCAAACAAATCAAATCAAATCGATCCGTCCGAATCGCCAAATCCCAAACCCCAAACCTGGACGCAGCTGCCCGCTAGGCACGCTGGTAACTAAGTTAACTCAGGTACTTATTACTTTGCACTGGGACTTTAGCAGACTGTCCTACCCGCATCCACTTGCCCCAAAAAAAATTCCCGGCCAGCCAGCCAAACAGAGCGAGAGAGCCCGAGCCTGAGCCACCTCCAGCCCTCTTCTCCCACCCAGACCACCCTGACCACCCTGACCACCCCTGGCCCTGAGGCGACGACCGGCGGCTTGACTTGACTGGGCCCCAACTCCTCATTCTCCTCCCAGACTCCCGCCCGCCAGCCAGCCAGCCCGCTTGCCCACCAGCCAGACCAGACCTACTTTCCCTCCTCCCCACGCAGCCCTCGCCATTCTTGTCTTGTCTCTCAATCCATCCGCCACAAGAGAGGACACTGCGAGCCGTCCGAATATCTGGTATTCCACGGCCGTCTCTCCTCGTCTTCGACTCTTGTCCATCTTCCCTTGGGTTCTCTCGTACATTCCCACGCCTCTGCGTCTGGAGCGTGTCGCCGGGTAAGTCGCTCTCTCGTCTCTTTCTCTGGCCTCGTTGCCCTGTCGTCGCTCGGGTCCATCCACCGGCCAGGCCATTCACACTCTCCGCCGTGCACATTTCAATGTCTACCTGCGTCCCTCTCTCAGCCCATGACGCCTTCCCCTCCAAACCTAAACTCGTCCACCTAGAATACACCACATCACTCTCACCACGCACAGCATTCACCTGACGTTCAAGTCTGTCTACTGCTGGCTGCGGTAGGCTGCTTACGGTCGTCGAGGCACAGTTCAGACCTCCCCCAAACCTCTGGGGTCCCCTGAGGCTGCCTCGCTGCATTCAGCAATTACTCCACCAACGCCCCGAGCATGACACACCGAGAAAACATCGCAAATCACTCATTTGTCTCGTCATCCACTAACAAATCCAACTCAGAAGCCCTTTCTTTCCCCTCCCGAACAGATTTGTCGACGTCTGCCGCAGCCTGAAAGGATTGCCGCCGAGTCACAACACTTTCACCTTTCGACAACCCCATTCTACAGGCAGCGTCTTTCGCTCCTGTAATCCCCCGTTACGATGACTACAATGGTGAGTTTTGAAAATATACAATCTCTTCTTCCCCGCTGTTGTGCTGGGAGTCCAAGCCAGGCTACGGTAGCTAGGCTTGTGTAGGTGCTCAAGGCTGGCTCCGTACTCCTGCTGCCAACTCGGGCGCCTGACCGGAAGCACTATGCCTAGATCCGCTGGGGGAACAGCACTACGGTTCCTTGCCCGTATGGCAACCATTTCACCGCAGCAGAGGCTAATGTCTTGAACTACAGGATCTCCGTGTCGGCAACAAGTACCGCATCGGCCGGAAGATTGGATCGGGTTCTTTCGGTGATATCTACCTTGGAACTAACATTATCTCCGGTGAGGAGATCGCCATCAAGCTCGAGAGCGTCAAGGCCAAGCACCCTCAGCTTGAGTATGAAGCCCGAGTGTACAAGTCCCTTGCCGGTGGCGTTGGCATTCCCTTCGTCCGCTGGTTCGGCACCGAGTGCGACTACAACGCTATGGTCCTCGACCTCCTCGGCCCCAGTTTGGAGGATCTTTTCAACTTTTGCAACCGCAAGTTCTCGCTGAAGACGGTGCTTCTGCTGGCCGACCAGCTCATCTCACGTATCGAGTACATCCACGCCAAGTCGTTCATCCACCGTGATATCAAGCCCGACAACTTCCTCATGGGCATCGGCAAGCGTGGCAACCAGGTCAACGTTATTGATTTCGGTCTGGCCAAGAAGTACAGGGACCCCAAGACCCACTTCCACATTCCGTACAGAGAGAACAAGAACCTGACTGGAACTGCTCGATACGCATCCATCAACACCCATCTCGGCGTTGGTACGTACCTCGACCTACATTGATCTCTTGTTGTTTCCCCTCGTGCTGACCGCCCCGATCCAGAACAATCCCGCCGCGACGATATGGAGTCTCTGGGCTATGTGATGCTCTACTTCTGCCGTGGCTCTCTGCCCTGGCAGGGTCTCAAGGCTGCTACCAAGAAGCAGAAGTACGACCGTATCATGGAGAAGAAGATGACGACCCCTACCGAAGTCCTCTGCCGTGGCTTCCCTAACGAGTTCGCCATCTACCTGAACTACACCCGGTCTCTCCGTTTCGACGACAAGCCCGACTACAGCTACCTCCGCAAGATCTTCCGCGACCTGTTCGTCCGCGAGGGCTTCCAGTACGACTACGTCTTCGACTGGACTGTGTACAAGTACCAGAAGAACGCCCAGGCCATTGCCCAGGCCGCTGGTCAGCAGGCCGGTGGTGACGAGGACGAGAAGGCCCGTGCCACTCGCACTGCCGCCGCCACCGGTGGCCAAACCACCAAGCAGCCCATCACCTCTCGCAGCCGCAAGGATATCGTCCGCGGCGCCCCTGGCGTTGACACTCCGGACACCAACCGCGCCGTCGGTGGAAGCGATAGGATGTGAGTGTCTCGCCAGCCCAGCCCTGTCCAGCCTCCGAATTCCTTGTAAGGAATCTTTTCTTTCTTTCCTTCGCGTTTAGTGTGCTTCATAACGCTGGCCGAGGGGAATCGCTGACATGTTGGCTGACACTTCAGTTTACGGTAATAGGCTGCGTTCAGCTTCCAAGGGACAGGGCGGCTCAGGATATGCATCTAACCCCTACCGACCGAAATGATCTCGAGCTTGGCAACAAAATTGACATCACGGCGTCGTGTTGAGGCGGACTCCATACGCCCAGCACGGAACCAACCCCCCTCTGAAATCTCGTAGCTGTCTCGTCGAAACCCCGTATTCTGGCATCGGCGTCAAGGAAGAATCCGAAGCACCCTCTCGCCCCCGCGATTGAGTGTTCCACCTGCTCTCCCGACGCTCTCGAGTCATCGACAAGGAGCACGCTACGAGTTCACTCAACTTTCATATCATGTGGATTGCTTTCCTTCCGTTCTGCGATGCATTCTCTTTTGACTCTATATCTGGCTCGGACACCCTGAGCCTCTGGAAGATACCGGGCATGGATTGGCCTCCAATCCTGCCCTGCATCGTCCAAAGGCAACCAGGGATCGTCTGAACGGCATGTCCGGCACTCTGAAACGAGCAGAGTGCGGCTCGTCGGAAGACCGAGTCATTTATAGCGGAAACCAGGTACCAGAATGTTCTACCGACGTTCACTCGACACTGGCGGCAGTCAAAGAGATATCCATCCAGCCCTCGGAGCCACACCTTTTGCAGTGGTTTCTGAAGCTGGTTGGATCATCGTTGCGATGCGTTGGCCTTTCTAAATGTGATTGACACTCTGCTTTTCGTTTCTTTGGTTTCATTTCGCCATGGTATTCAGTATGTCCGGATTCGTATGAGGGAAAGGTTCGGTGGACACAGAGGCTTTCGATGTTTGTTCTCGATGGCACCGAGAACAAGCTCGTTGCCGTACATTCCTTACAAAGGGCTTAGACGCCGTGGTTCTGTCCTCGTTGGCGACGTACTGGGTCTGCGGACTCGGGGCGACGACACGTTGGGGTGATCACTCGGATCAGGGCTGTTCGGGAGCCTCGATATTATCCAGCGCCGAGCCTGCATTTGCACGTGCCAGGCTCGATGGATTGGTAATACCCGACAATCACTCGAAAGGACCCCTGGAACACCCGCACGCCATGCAGGAGTCTCTGGTTTCCTTCGACGTGGAGGGCGGATGGCAAGCATTACAGGGACCGATGACAGCAAGGACACCTAATAACATACACACATCCCACTGAAGGCAGGCAATGATATACACTAGCTAGTTCTCACACACACACACACAAATCAACGTTTTGTTTCCCCATTGCACCCATCCCACCTGGCTGAACAATATGTGCATGTGATGGATGGTATTTCGCTGCCCAGGCTGGCATTTAGAGGAGCAGGCATCAGCCCAGCAGCGCCGGCCCTAAAACAACACTACCGTCACGAGGCTGTATCCTGTTTAGATAGTCGTTACGGGACCTTATCCGAGAGGCTGCCCAGGTCTCCCGCTTGCCTGCTCGAGGGCTATGCACAAAGCGCCCTCTTGACAGCTTAGTCTATCGAGTAGGTAAACTCATCTCATCTGGGTTCGTGTGTGGTTTCTGCCTTGTCATGAGTTCGGTGCCTGCGGTGCCTGCATTGCATGCGCACGCGGGTGACCCCCGCTATTTCCCGTTTCCTCTGCTGGAGAGCGAGCCGGCTCTCTTCAACATCAGCGGCACTGGGCTACTACCTAAGTAGCACTGGGTAGGTAGGAATTCGTACATTCACACTTGAGAGGGGGTGCAGCCACATGCACCCAATGATCAAGAGTTTACGAGGCCACCCAGGATAATCGCTCGAGACTTTTGGTCAGGCGCTGAAGAACCGCTGGGCTCGTGGTAGCAAGACCTGATTGATGATCACACTTCCCTCGGGTTACCTGAATGCGCATCGCATCCGATACAACAGGGGGACTGAACTGCTACGTGCCAAGCTGAAAGCGGTAAGGACCCTGGCTATCAGCTGCCCAGGACCCAGGTGGCCCCGGGATCTTGACCCAGCCAGGCCAGCCAGGCCAGCCCCCAGAGCCCCAGAGCCAGATCTAGCCAGGCCCAAGATGCCCACTGGCCGACGTCACAGCCCCGATCTACAGCCAGTACCGGACGCGCCTAATAAACATAGCCTCCTGACCTCTGCTTCATGAGCGCTGCTCTTATATTCGCCGCCTTTTCTTTTGTTTGACTCCCCGCTCCGGATCGGGGCCTCGACGATCCAAGGCCAAAGGGCTGTCTCCTCCACCATGACGCCTCCCTCGCTGGATCTCTTCTACCTGACGTTCAACGCCGCCAAAGCCTTCATCTCGGTTCCCGTCTTCGGGAAGCACATCTACGATGCCTTCAAGCAAGATGGCGCCGCCTCCCTCCCCGAGCTTGTCGTGCTCTCTCTGCAGGAGATGGCGCCCTTCACGGACGCTTTCAGAGGCGCCTACTTCCTGAACCCCTACTTTGCTTGCTTCGAGTCGGCTGTCAACGTCGCAGCCGCCAAGTTCATCTCGGACGAAGCCCGCGCCCACCGCCACCAAGACACGCCCTACACCCTGGTAAAGACGGGCAATGTTGGCATGACCGGCATCATGCTGTTCGCCAGAGACCCGACCGCCGTGGCCAAGATCCGAACGGCCGAGGTCGGCTTCGGGGCCGGCGAGATGGCGAACAAGGGTGCCGTTGGCCTGCGTTTCCTGTTCAGGAAGCAGGGCAATGAGACCGAGCTCACGCTGGTGAGCACGCACCTCGCCGCCATGGAGTGGAACCTGGAGCGCAGGAACCGCAACTGGGCAAGTGTTGTCAGCGGGCTCGTCTTTGATGACCCGAAGAAGATAGTCAAGGAAGAGCAGAATGCACATACCGGGGGCCGGGGTGAGTCCCAGCCGCTGTTGATCCATCCGACAACAGAGAAGGCTTTGCACGACATCAGCATTTACAAGCCTGGCAGCCATCTTTTCGTCGCCGGGGACTTGAATTATCGCCTGTCCAAAACGTCGCCCCCCTCCGATGCGACCTTCCCAGTCCTCGACCCGGACAGCGAGGACCACTACCCTCGGTTCCTAGCCCGGGACCAGTTGACTGCTGAAAAGGCCGCCGGGAGAACCTTGCATGGGCTCTCCGAGGCTCCTATCCATTTCCCACCGACATATAAGATCGTCCGTGACAAGCGCCCACCCAAGAAGGACATCTCTGGCATTGGACAAGGAGTGGACGAGAACGAAGAAGTCAAGTGGTCATTTGCTGAGCACCGATGGCCTGGGTGGTGCGATCGTGTCCTGTACCTAGACACGCCAGAGGGACTCCGAGACGCACCCAAGATCGACGTCCTTGCGTACAAGTGCCTTCCAGTTGTGCGATCCAGCGATCACAGGGCCGTCTACCTACGCGCGGAGGTCCCAGTCCTGTCGCCCTCGCAGCTGCTACCACCGGAAGGTACGCCTGATACTGACCCGCGCATAACATTACCAGTGGGCATCGAGATCGAGTCTTGGGAACATCGGGCCCAAGTCAAGAAGTTTGAGTACCTCCTTGGATGGAGCATGAAGATCTCCCAGTCGAAGCAAGGCATCATGCTCTTCTTCACGGTGCTTTTGGTCGGACTTGGCGCCTGGTGGTATGGACGATCCTCATAGTGGGAGGGTCTGAAGCACAAAGTGCGCGGCTGGATTGACTGGGCATGGCAGAAGTGAATGACATGCAGCGATGCCTATGGTGGGAGTTCCATGCAGTCGTTTCCGGCCATGGCTTGATTTGTCGTGAAACGGGACGTTGGCATCTATATACCATTGTTCTGGGTGGCAGAACATGACTTCAATGAGCATACGACATTACTGAGCGGGTTATTCACCAGTATCGCACCGCGCTACTGGGTTAGCATTGGACGGCCTTGAGATGGGGTTCACATGTATAAAGGAATGATGACGAAGATGGCTATATGCGTTTTCTCGCGATGGGTATACCCTAGATGCGCTTAGCATGCAGTATGAGAACAAGGATATACTAGAAGAGAGTCAACAATATACGACTTACGACCCCAGCCGGCTTCTGGTGAGAATGGTCTTGATGAACGGATGGGAACTCCCGCTACATTCTGTTTACTGAGATTGCAAATCATTTTTGTCAACCATGAACAGGCCGCCTCTGGTCTTAGGTCCATCTCATTTTCCTAGGGTTCATCGCTAGCACAAAGCGCCTCCACACGTGAAAGCGGCTCCTCCGGAAATGGAAGAGATAATGGCCGTTGGGTTCTTTCCAATCCAGGCACCGCGGTCTTTGTTCATACGGTAATGTTACGTTTACTCTGCCATGCACTACTACAGCTACGCTTCTGACCAAACGCCACGATGCCGACGCTTCAGCCATTTACGACATGGCTCTGCAACAATCTAGGCGCCCGTCCACCATGGACAGGCTCAAGGCCACACTGGATCCGATCCTTACACCTGTACAGGAGAAAATATTCAACGTCCTGAACGAGAATATCCTCCCTCAAGTCCAGGACCGTATCGTCAATCCCGTCCATGCCAACATCATCAACCCAATCCACGACAATGTCCTCCAGCCCCTGGAAAGAAATGTCATATCGCCGATTGAAAACTTCCTCTCACCCCTGGAGCACCTGGCCAACCGCATCGCCGACTTCTCGCTCCTCCCAGGGGCCCCAAAGCCGAGGATCGGCTTCGAGGTGCCCCCCTTTGATCCGGATCAGGACTTCAATTGCACGCAGGCACGCAAACTCTTCGATAAGCTGCGCGACCAGCTTGGCAGCAACATGCCCTTCGACAAGCAGAACGGGGCTCAGGATCCGCTGGGCCAGGCCGCTGCCGGCACCGAGGCTGAGCGTGCAGCCAGGCGCGAGCGCAAGTTCGCCGACTTCGAGAGCGTCCTGACCCACATTGACTTCGACGCTGTCACCACTGTCGCCGAGGACGTCGCCGTCATGGCCGGGCTGGCCTCCAAGTACCGCGGCCCAGCGCGTCTGGGCGCCGCCATCTTCGGTACCCACGTTGTCTGCTACCCGATCATCTGGGACGGTGACGACGCGGCCGGCCCGCAGGTGCAGGGAGGGGAGGACGATCCGGACCGTGCCCGGGGTAAGCAGCGCTGGATCGTCAAGTTCCCGGTCAACGGCGTCGCGGGCCAGTGGACGGAGCGCGACGCCCGCGCGCTGCGCAGCGAGGTCGGTACCATGGCCTGGCTCCGGCGCGAGCTGGGCGTCAGCACCCGGCTCAACGTGCCGCGCGTCTACCACTGGGATGCGTCGACGGGGACGACGACCGGCAACCGCGTCGGGGTCCCCTTCGTCATGATGCAGTTTGTCGATGGCGTCTCGGCCTTCGACGCCTGGTTCACGGCCTGGGAGAAGGGCGGAAACTGGTGGCGGCCTGAGGCGGACGAGGTCCGCAAGGGCATCTTGGCCCACGTGGCGCTCGCCATGAGCGAGCTGGGCCGGTTCGAGTTCGACGCAGCTGGCGCGCTGGAATTCGACGGCCTAGAGGCGCCGTCGAGAGACCCCCGTGGCCGCGAGACCGTCGCCGAAGTCACGGGCATCGGGCCGCTCCGGGTTCTGGACATCGAGGCCATGCTGGACAGATGGCTATGCAAGCTCAGCCCCGATGCCAAGGACGCCTGCGAGCGGACGCCCATCTACACGGAGGTCGGCCCCTGGAAAGGTGAGGACGCCGAGGAGAGGTACTACACGAGCCGGATGGACTGCCACTACGTGGGGGAGGACACGGCCTTTGGCGGGACCTTGGTCCTCCGGAGCTACCTGCGGTGGTTCCACGAGAGCGCGCGCGTGCTGGGCCTGGGGTTCGAGGGCGACCGGGTCGAGAAGGGGGTTGTGGGCGAGGGCGCGCAGCGGCGCTGGGCCACGGTGCCGCGGGCGCCGTTCGTGCTCGCGCACCCGGACCTCAGCCTGCACAACGTCATCGTCGACGCCCGCGGCCGGCTCTGGTTCGTCGGCTGGTCCGGCGTGGCGGCCGTGCCGCGCGCCGTCGGCCACGAGGCCCTGCCGCTGTGGCTCGTCCGCGACTGGAATCCCTTCGTCCACCGCTGGCGCGACACCGACTGGCCGTGGCGCTACCGCGACCGGCCGTGGGCCGTGAACCATAACGGCGCCGGCCCCAGGGCACCCGCCGCCCCCGTGCCCGAGCACAACCGCACCGAGGAGCCGCGCTGGAAGCTGCGCGCCTGGCGCGACTACTACGCCGACTGCATGCGCCAGGCCCGGGCGGCCTGGGGCGCAGCTGAGGCCGAGCAGGAGGCCCGCGAGTGGGATGCCTGGCTGCTGGAGCAGGCCCGAATGGCCGAGGCTGCGGAGCAGGACAGCCTCGAGGCGGCGCGGGCGGACCTGTTTGCGCCTCGGGGGAAAGGCGGAGGGGCGAAGGTCAAGGGTAAGGAGAAGGCGGCGGTGATGGAGGAGAAGGAGGAGGCAAAGAGAGATGACGAGGAGCAGTGGGATGAGCCCCGGGGGCGGCCGCGGTACAGACACGGCGAAGAGCCTCCGCCTGCATCCGCATCACACAAGCCAGAACGGCATGTCTCCTTCGCCGCCGGCACCAAGCCCGAGAGCAGCCAGCCACCGCGGATCGACAGCAGCGGCGACGGCAAGCCCCAGATGAATCGCACGCTCCTGTCCCTGCTGCCGCTGACGCTGGTGACGGCGGCCAACGACCCGCGGTGCCGGCCCATGGCGCTGCAGGAGATCTTCCACCAGGCGGTGCCCGAGGTGGCGCGGTGGGAGAACTTCGAGCTGGCGCGGGCGCGGGAGCGGGCGGGCGAGGGCCGTGAGACGGTGCCACGCCCCTACGAGGTCGAGGACCGGCGCCTGTTCTACCGCATGCTGCTCGACGTCGCAGGCGTGTCCCGGGGCCCGGGACGGCCAGTGGAAGCCCGGCTGGGCGGGTACGGGGATTGAGGCTGAGACTGGGGATCGGTCGGTTCCAGGTTGGATAGTTGCTTTTTGCCCTGGGGTATGTAAGTAGTTACTGCTTGTCACTTGTGAGGGAACTCATTGCAGGAGCAATGGTCATTTGAATAATAATGAATTTATGTCGATAGATCCAGATGGACATTATATGACAGCGAACCTCGTCGACCACGAATGGTTCGCAGATTCATGATATAAGATCCAGGTGCTGTGAGGTCTCCATGGAGAGGCTCGCTATACTTTCAAGGCAAAGCAGCCCCATATCTGCAGAAGAGCGCCCAACTGATGCGCCCCCGTAATAGATCCCCGATGCAGGCATTGTCTTCTGTTCTTTCCTATAATACAAGAGTTCCTTATCCATAATTCATCGAGGATAAATAGATCATAGGCACGTTAGTACAAGTGGAGGGCCCCCCTCTCTTTCGTGGAGCCTTGTATCGGCGGCAAGAGTTGCTGGCGGCCAATTATGAAAATAGTTGCGTCCAACACATACATGGACGTTAGGCTGGAGCGCTAGAAACCCTCAAAGTACTTGTCGTACTTGCTGGCAAGATCGTCAGTGTACGGGTCTCGCTTTCCGTCGTCTTCGGGGTAAACGTCGAAACATTGCGCGTCGCCCGGGAAGCGAACATGTGGTTGAATGGGCGGGCGGATCTGCCGGTGGTACAGAGCCTCCCAGTCGATGTTCTCAAAGAACGGGTGCTGTTTGACGGCGGTAGATCCGCCGCTGATATTGCCCAGCCGGCGGGAACGATCCACCGTACAAAACGAACGAATGATATGCTGAGCGTTGTGGGAAATGGTTGGTTCCGCCGGGAACATGACCGGCTTCTCAACAATTCTGGTAAGATTGTCAGGGAATGCCACACCAAAAGGGGATATGAACAGGGGAGATTGTCCAGCTTACTGTTTATAAATTTCAATGGGATTTTGGTGCCAGAACGGGGGATATCCAGTTAGGAATTCATATATCAGAATACCTAGTGCCCACCAGTCCACAGCCGTGGTATGGCCCTTGTTTTGAATGACCTCAGGGGCGAGGTACTCGGGTGTGCCGCACAGGGTGTAAGTCTCGACGGGCTTGTCGTCTTTGCTGCCCAGGCGTTTGGCAAAGCCAAAGTCGACCAGTTTGACGTGGCCCTGCGCATCTAGGAGCAGGTTCTCGGGTTTGAGGTCTCGGTAAGCGACGCCGCCCTGCTGCTCATGCAGGTACTCGAGGACGAGGACGATCTCGGCGGCGTAGAACTGCGCCCACTCCTCGGCAAACCGCCTGTGCCGCCGCAGATAGCTGAAGAGCTCGCCCCCCGGCACATAGTCCAGAACCATGTATAACGAGTCCTGGTCGGCGAAGGAGGCGATGAGGCGGGTGATGAAGGGGTGGCCCGCGACGTCGGCCAGGATTTCGCGTTCGTGGCGCACATGGTCGATCTGCTTGAGCTTGATGACTTCGGTCTTGCGCAGGATCTTGAGGGCGTAGACCTCCTCGCTGTCTTCGGGCGAATTCGCCGGGCGCACGAGACAGACGCGCGCAAAGGTGCCTTTGGGACGGGGGATTGCGTCTTAGCCAATGCTGCTCTACACGACATAGCCCGGGGTTCGGAGCCTCGCCATCATCACTCACCTGTCCCTAATGTCCGCACGACCCTGAAGTCCTGGGGCTGCAGCCGTGCGTGCTGCACCGGCGGCTGCTGTGTATTGTTGGCCGTGTTCGCGATGTCAGCCAGCCCCGCACTCTCGTGGCCGGCTCCCCCTCCATTGTGCGGTTCCATGTTCGCCGCCGCAGCGTCTGCTGTCCCACCGGCTGCAATGGGCGTTGGCTGCGTTGCGACAGCAGCCATTCCTCTCCTCTCGAGGAACAATTGTCGCTTAGGCCGTGCGTGTAAGTCAGAGTCGTGCCGTATAGAGAACCCCCTTGCTCTCCTTGCGCACAATGCTGGCAGGTCACACTTTTTTTTCCTTCCCTTATTTGGTCTTCCTCCCACGCGCCTCGCAATCTGATGTCAGTTTCAGACGACAGACAAGGCCCCCAGTCCAGGCCGATGACCTCAAAATCAAATCGTCTGTTGGTGGTGGAGCCCCCTCCCGGCGGCGCGTGCCTGGGGCTAATGATGAGAGCGTTTCGGCCGGGGCAACGAAGACGTAACGGCGCATCCACCGCACATGTGCTCGGGGCAGGCGGAGGACTGAGTGGTTTCGAACGGGGGTTTGGTTTTTTCCCTCTCTCTTACATGGGCACACCACTGCATGCACTGCACTGAAATGGAGATGGAAAGATTTTCCCCTTTCGCAAAGTTCCCTTACTAACGTAGCACAGAGGGGGATGATGGTCCGCGGCTTCTAGCGCCCGAGACGATTCCTCTTCGTGATGGGTATCGCGCCGATTCCAACTCAATTGCCGCCCCGGCTTATCGAGGCCTTATGACGTTGCTGCTGCAGAAGACTGCATTTCAGACCTGCCCCTACCGCCAGCAGTGGGCAGCCCTGCTGGCCTGGCTTGCTTGCTTGCTGGTCTTGGGGCCCAGGGCGGCTGAGGTGGGGGCACTCTTCTAGTGCAACCCATTTAATATGACGGGCATGGGCATTCTCCTCGAAATGCCTAATTGGGACGTTACATGCAGTCCCCTCGGCCCTCTCAGTGATTAAGGTATTTTTAGTTAAGCTCTCCGGGCCCCATGTTGCCATGCTCGCCTGCGAACGTGACTTGTGTGGACTTGGATACGCATTTGGGGGGGTCGCATGGATGGGGGCACGACCCCCATGCTACCTGCTGCATCAAAGCTGCATCATCAGGTGGTCATCTATCTTCTGTCCCTGTGCCCCAGACGTGCAGAGACATTGGATGTCCTGAGTTCCGTGGGCGGCAAGGAACGCTCCAAAGCGAACACACAGAGGGCCCTCGTGGGCGTTTTGCTGCATGAATATATATATATATATATATATCCACATCCGCGAAAGGCCGTGATCGCAGGAATCGGAAGCATGGATGGGAATTCGGTCGCCGGATCTCACATGCAAGTCGAGTGCTGGCAACACCCGACTTTTTCCACCTGAGAGCTGATTGCCGGTGACGCTGTGACCCGGCTGAGAGATAGCCGGTTGCTTGACTCGTCAAGAGCCGCCATTACTTAAGTGGATTGCGCTTCGAGATACTTTGACATCCCATTTTTTCCTACTTTCGGGGAGTAGCAATACTGTACGCGTGAGATGAGGCTCTTCGCGCGCTCGAGTCACGCGATCTGGCCTGTGCTATGGGCGCCATCCCACCCTGATGCGACAGTAAAAGGGGCTATCCAGAAAACTGGGTTCCCCCGACCATTTTGCAAAACCCATCGATGAGGTAAGTTGAGATGCGAATGAGACATGCAATCTAAGAGGACCTAGCGCCCAATGGCCGAGCGTAGGTCTGGCTGGCATCTTGTCAAACTCGAGAGACAGCACCGCCGGAAATGATGAATGATTCTGTTCAAGAACGTTGCGCCGCAACCTCTGAGATCCCAGGTCACGCCTCTCTGCGATACTCCCTTGTTTCAGGAGGGTTTGGTTGCTGCGCAGATCCCATCATTCAATGATCACCATTTGATGCTATGAGATCTACTCTGCCCCTACCGGTGGTTCGGTAGAGACACCAGTTGGCCGTCTGCCCAGATGCCGGATGCGGCGATGCGAGTAGTGTACTATAGCTACTTCCTATGTGCCGCGCGAACGCGCCCGGGGAGCAGGCGACATGGTAGCAAGGTACCTAGGTAGGTACTAACTTAGGTGCTTGGGGGGTTGATAACCCGGTTTATGGATACTGTATGTGCTTCCAGGGAGGCTTCAGACTCTCCACGGAACTTGCGCGCTGGGAGGTGCGATGGATGAGGGACTATTCCTTTAGTACTGTCGGGTACGCCCTTTCAAACGTCATGATAGGCCCTCCCACCAAGTCGATTCACTATAACACTGCTTCTGGCTGGTGTTGTGGCATCCGGCAGTTCGGCAGGGCCCTGTCCCCGTCTTTTCAGCACAGGGCTGGGTGCTAAGTTGCTGTAGCCACCCCAAACTTACGGCCCAGAAGGGTAGCCCAGCACGCGCTAGTGAGCTTAAGCCACAGCGGCCCCTGGATCTGTCCTGTCCTGGGCGAGCTTGAGGCTGAGCTGCCCCTTCGCAACCTGCAACCTGGGAACCCCACGACAGGCGCCCCGTCATGCCACTCAGCCGCGCTTCGACGACTTCAGTCCCAACTCCAACTCCAAATCCAAAACCTTTGTCTCGTGCTTCTGCGTGGTAGATCGAGCGCTCTAGACGACTGCAAATCCTGTCCCCCCCCGGCGGCACACCACGGTCGTGTCCCTCTGCACGAACCACCTGTTCCGCGGTCACCAGAGGTCAGGACCCCCCGGCATGCTCTGGCCGATGCCCTTGGACGCCTTCCAAGGTACTTGACCAAACCACCGAAACGACGCCCATCATGTTCGCCTTCTCCAACCTGGTGCAGAAGGCCCAGTCGGCTGCCCAGCAGCTGATGGACCCCATGCAGGGCCTCAACCTGACCAACTCGGACAAGAACCCCTCCAAGGCCACTCTCTTCCAGCACCAGTTCCGCCTGCCCAGCACCCAGACGCCCTTGTACGAGATCCCCGCCGAGCTGACGATTCCGCCCTCAAATGCCACCCAGGGCGACAGAGATCGCGATCGGGGCTGGCACTATGCCGGGAAGCTGCACTTGTCCGAGGCTTACATCTGCTTCTCCACCACCCCTACAAGCTTCATCAGCTCGGCCAGCACCTCTTCTTCGTCGGCCTTCACGGGCCAGACACACGGCGGCGGCCCTGGTGGTAACGGCTTCACATTCCCGCTCTGCGCCATCAGGCGCGTGGAGCGTCTGCACAGCCAGACCTTCCAAGTGAGAGCATCCCTTTTCCCCACCGCCTTGGGTTGTTCTGCGTTACCGGGCCCCCTTCGAAGCTAACTTGTTGCGCAGTTTGCCCTGGCGATTACGACATGGAATGGCATCACCCAAGAGGAGGCCAAGGACAAGGAGAAGAGCCAGCTTAGGGAGCAGCGTATCACAATTCAGTTGGCAGGCAGTCGCCCCGCCTGCGAGAGGTTCTGTGATGGCCTGAAGAGGGGCTTGAGATCCGCCGTCGGCAATGTGGGCAAGCTGAAGAAGGTCGTTGGCGAGTGCTACTCGGAATACTTGCTCCGACCCGAGGACAAGAAGAACGCCAACCCCCCTGATGCCGGTCTAGGCATGGTGTTCCGATACCCCGGTGATCCCAAGAAGCTCCGCGATAGGGCCAAGATGAGGTTATGGGCTGAATATCTGCGTGATAACGGTCGGAATGCGACCTTGATTCGCCAGCCTACCTTCCACAAGCTGATTCGGGTTGGCTTGCCCAACCGCTTGAGAGGCGAAATGTGGGAGTTGACGTCCGGCTCACTGTACCTGAGACTCGAGAACCCTACACTCTACGCCGACACGCTGGCGAAATTCTCAGGGAAGGAGAGCCTGGCCATCGACGAGATCGAGAAGGATCTGAACCGAAGCCTGCCTGAGTATCCTGGATTTCAGACGGAAGATGGCATCGGCCGCCTGCGCCGCGTACTCACTGCTTACAGTTGGGTTAATCCCGACGTCGGCTATTGCCAAGCAATGAACATTGTGGTCGCCGCACTGCTGATTTACATGTCTGAAGCTCAGGCATTCTTCCTGCTCTCCGCTCTCTGTGATCGGCTAGTCCCAGGGTATTACTCAACGACCATGTACGGCACCTTGTTGGACCAGAAAGTCTTCGAGTCCCTCGTCGAAAAGACGATGCCGATACTTTGGGAGCACCTGGTCAAGAGCGATGTCCAACTTTCGGTTGTTTCCCTCCCCTGGTTTCTCTCCCTATACATCAACTCCATGCCCCTGGTCTTCGCATTTCGAGTTCTCGATGTCTTCTTTGTTGAGGGGCCCAAGGTTCTTTTCCAGGTTGGCCTCGCAATCCTACGCATCAATGGCGAGGAGTTGTTAGATGCAACAGACGACGGCGCCTTCATTTCGGTCTTGAAGGGGTATTTTTCGCGTCTGGACGAATCTGCGCATCCCAAGTCGGAGAACCCGAAGCTCCGAGCTATCAATCGATTTCAAGAACTCATGGTAGTCGCCTTCAAGGAGTTTTCGGGCATCACGCATAGCAGCATCCAGGATCTGAGGCTGAAGAATAAGGATGCTGTGCTCAATAATATTGAGAACTTCGCCAAGCGAACTGCCATTCGCAATCTTGGGCCGGACAGTAAATTACTGAGCCCGGACGAGCTTGGTGCTCTGTATGATAGGTTCTATGGAATTTTGTACGAAAGACAACAACGCGACCACATCCTGCAAGAAGAGCAGCTCCGCCGGGCGAAGGCGAGCAGGACCAGAGCTTCTGCAGCCTTTTCCGAGCAGCGGGATCATGGTGTGGAAAAGGGACGTGTTGGTCTCGGTCCCAGTACCAGCGTGATGGACTACGACGCATTCAGGGAATTCCTTGCTGCCATGTCCAAGTGGGCCATCTCCGATGCACCCAAGACGCCTACCAGGGATCAGTTCCCTGAGAAGGACCCTGCATATTTTGGGAGCTTTAGGAAATCCAACAGCAACCTCCTCTCGCCGTGGGGCGGCGGCCCGGAGCCTGCAGATCACGAGTTCATGCAGAGATTGTTCAGACGCTGGGACGTTGATTCAAGCTCGACGTTGACTCTTCAAAATGTCGTCACAGGCCTTGCACAAATCAAAGGCAAACGTGATATCATGGGCACGATTACCTACTTTTTCGAGCTGTACGACGATGACGGAGACGGGAAAGTCGACCGCGAGGGCATCTTACGCATTTCCGAGGCTTTGCTCTTCCTGTCACGGCGTGGTCTGGAAGGATCTCTCAGTGCATCCAGCTCCAGCCCGGCTCTAAATACCCTTGCCGAGGCCGGTGGTCCAGGCAGCCCCCCGATTGGCGGCACGGTCAGCGAGCGCTTCCTCGGCAGTGTCAGTGCCTTCATCCGACGCTGCTTTGAGTATGCTGATCCAGACCACCCTATAAACCAAGACGTCTCCGCGAACAAGGCTCAAGAAACGAAGGATTCAAGCGATAACCAAGCAGCGGATAACAGCGCCTTCGCGATTGGTGATGATGATGATGAGGAGGAGGACGACGACGAGGACGATCTCCTAGCTTTTGACGGGCCCGACGAGGCCTCGACAAAGGCCAAGAAGCACAATCTCCCATCAAACCCACCAGCTAGTGGGAATCCCGGCGCCAGCACAGGGAGCAAAGTTACACGCACTGTCTCAAAGGCGCAATCAGAGAAGGCAAACGCAGCGCTAGACCCTTCCAACCCGTTACATATGACATTGCCGACCTTTAGGATGGTAGTATTGGCCGATGAGCTCCTGGAACAATTCTTCGAATCTTCATTTCCAACTTCGATACATCTCATTGATGGGCTTCCTGCCTCTGCATACCAATCTGTATCGTCTCTGACCACATTCTCGAGCTTCAGCCGCGCGACCGCTCCTCCGATTCCAGTACCCCAGCAGGGCGCCGCTGGTGCGACACGTAGCCTGCGGGGTGTACTAGACAATATCGTTACAGACGCATCGCGAGTTGCGGCAGAGGTCCGTCGCCGTATGGAGGAAGCCCAGCGCGAGCTGGAAAAGAACGCGCTGCCGGGACCGAGGGATGAAGAGGAGGAGGATGACGATGACTTGCACGAACCAAAGTCGTCCGCTGCCGACCCCGAACGGCGCAGCGTGCGATCGTCGGACCGGGACCTTCTGGATGGCGCGGATGCCGAGGCCGGAGCAGCGAAAGGACAGGAAGGGTCAAGGCAATCTTTACTTGACACGCAAGATCCACAAGCGGGCCAATCGAAGACTGCAAGTCAGGGGATTGTGGAATTTGAGGGCTAGAACCTCCGCGTAGACTACGGAGTAGTAGACGGTGAAGGGAGTTAAGGCATTATGGCTGGAACAGGTTCGTGACTTGGGAACGGGACTTGCTTGCTTCGTGCGCAGGGTTGTACAGTATCTACGGCTGCGCTACTGCCAATTTCAATCGGAAAAATCAATATCTGTTATCTCACCCTTGGGGTGGCTGAGACACGTAACTATGTGCAAAGAATTCTGCGAAATGCGATTTTGTCGGCGGGAATCCGAGGGCATCCGAGGCAAGCTGAAATATACCCTTTTCAACTATGAGGCGCAAGTTAATCTACCTAGGCATGTAGCAGTAGTTGCCATCCATCATATGGGCCCTGGAAACTCTTGAGGTGGTTGATACTGCGTCCTGCTCCACGCTGATTTCTTAGACGCCAGTTTCGTTCAGCTACCAAGTTAACTTGTCACGCTGCAAGACACGTTCTAGAACTCCGTGCCGCTTCTCTCGACTCGCCACTTCTAATACGATCTTCCGCATCATTCCAAGGGATGCCGCCGACTAGGCGTCGCTCATTAGCAATGGCATCGCGTGGTGATGAATTTGAGTCAGCGTGGAGAATGCCACTCCAAAACGCGACTGGATCAGACATTCCTCTCGCTCGGGTCGTATTGCCATCCCTTCTCTCCGCTCGGTCTCTCTTCAAATACGGCTGTCTCCTTGAATTACCTGCAACATTTTCCTCTCTATCCGCATCTTGTCGGCAACGTTCCTTCAGATTCTACACGCTCGTTTCAGCCTACTTCGTCACCACTCACTGGGCCTCTTCTCCTTGCTGCATTGATACTCCTGCGGTGTGCAAAGCCCTCGCCTCCCGAGATGGTGTCGCCTTCAACCTTGAGGGCCGCCGCCCTGGTCGGCATCTGGGCATTCATAGTCCGTGTGAATGCTCAGGGATACTTCGTTGAGGACGCCCAGGCTTCCTGTGGTGTGAAGACCTTCAAGTACCTCGGTTGCTATGAAACTGCCAACGACGTGGATCCTTTCTACTTCCAAGCCCAAGGCAACGGTGGCGACCCTTCCAGAGCCTATATTGAATACGTCAATAACGACTTCGTCAATGCGACAACGACCCCCTTCTACTGCACTAGGTTTTGCCGTCACCATGGCTTCAGGTACAGTGGCTTGTGGAAGAACAGCTGCACGTGTGGTTCGTCACTCAACAACGGGGTCAAGAATCTAATACCAGCCACAGACGAGAGCAGATGCAACGAGCCGTGCACTGGCGACCGCCTCGACACTTGTGGGACTTTCAGAGGTGCCAGAATTTACGCCGATGAATCTTTCCAGGCTGAAGTTGACTATGATAATGCTGCACTGCCGAACAACTACGAGAAGCTTGGGTGCTTCTATAACCCTAACCTGCCCGGTGACGCTGCCGTTTTCAAGAAAAATGTAGCGTCATCGAGTCAATGTTTCGCATACTGTGCAGACTTGAAGCTGCCTCTGGCATATATGAGATACGATACGTCCCTTGGCAGCACGCCGTAGGTCCTGCCTGAGAAGAAAATACTCCTTCCCCTCGGCTGACAGACTACAGGGTGGCCTGCAACTGCGGTGCCGACTTTGGAGTCGGTGCGCGAGCCTTCGATGCTAACAGCGATTTATGTAAAAGGACCTGCGCTTCACCCCAAACAAGGTACGTCTCCGAGGTCCCAACATCAGAGCTTTCACGACTTGTCTAATGAAGAAGCAGCGACTGCTCTGGCCAAAACTGTTGTGCTACTGGAAACGAGAATGTCGTCCCAGTCTATGCTGCTCCGCAGTTGATGGGCTGCTATGTTCCCAGAATCCCAGGTATCGCAGCGACCGGTGCCGCCACGCCCGCAACGGATGCCTACAGCTGTTTCGCGACGCCTTCGTCCATCATCAACCGGGCCGCTTTCAGCGTATCATACAACCCTAGTCAAGTTACTCGATCCGCGTCATTCGTGGCTACCGTTACACCAACCGGGAGTGCTGCTCCTTCTGCGCTCTATCAACCCTACGGCTGTTATCCAAATGCCATCCTCGTGTCTCCCTTAACGGTCGCGTCAGGTTCGCTGCCTGGTGGTATTGTCAATGTAGACTCTTGCGTTACATATTGCAGTAACCAGAACAGGGACTGGGTGGCGATGCGTGCCGCGGATTCGGGCCCATCGACATGCATCTGCGCTAATGGCATCAGCACATCCGGCAACCCAGAAACATTCGCCGTGTGCAACAAGCCATGCTCGGGCTCATTGACGCAAAACTGCGGGCCTGACTTCGGCAACGGAGGTTTGATATATGTCAAGCAATCCAACCCGTCGGCCGCTCTTGGTACATGGGCGGTGGCTTACACCCAGACCTACGCCGTCAGGTCAGCCTACAGCTGTACACCCACTAGTGGTATGTATAATGCCCCTTTTCATACACCTCACCAGAAGTCTATACCCTGCTATGGCCCACACAAGTGTAACGTGATGTTCCTTAGTTGAACATTACTCATATGAGACTTCAAATCCAAGCTACCATATGCTGCTACGCAGGGTCTCCTTCGTGAGCCCAGTCCAAACTGGTACGCTGCCCATATGCGCCGCTTCGTTGCTAGGAGGAAGCCCTTGATCATAGGCGCAGTTGCTCTTATGTTCATCTCTCCTTTTTGTCATATCTGGGGGCAGTGCCGTGGCATAGTCAATTTTGGAGACGTCCCTATGTACGGAGTAGTACTGACGGATCGAACTAGGGACTACTACCGTAACCATCAACACCAACACGGTTAACACCAACACAGTGAACACAAACACTGCCACTACCAATACTGTTAACACTAACACGGCTACTACCAACACAGTGAACACCAACACAGTGAACACTAACACCGCCACCATTAATACTATCAACACCAACACAGTTACTACCAACACGGTTAATACCGATACTGTTAACACAAACACTGGCACTGTCAATACGAACACTGTTAACACAAACACTGTTAATACAAACACCGTTAACACGAATACTGTTAATACCAACACTATTAACACGAATACGGCCAACACAAACACTAATACCGTCAACACAAATACAGTCAACACTGTTAACACAAACACAGTCAACACGAATACAGTCAACACTGTTAACACGAATACAATCAACACGAACACTGTCAACACAAACACTATCAACACGAACACTGTCAACACGAACACTATCAACACAAACACGGTCAACACGAACACAGGCAACACGAATACTGTTAACACCAACACTATTAACACGAATACGGCTAACACAAACACTAACACCGTCAACACCAACACTGTCAACACGAATACCGTTAACACTAACACGCAAACGACAAGTCGAACAGCAACAACGAGCACAGGCACGTCTATGACTGGCACGGGCGGCAACACCAACACCGTGACCCAGGTGACCAACACAGGTAATACAAACACTGTCGTGACATCAACAGAAACTACCCCTCCCTCTTTGACTAGCCCAAGCACACAAACTACTACTACAGCTGTCGGCACTGGAGACCAAGGAACCACTACGGCGTCTGGCACGACAACGGGAGTGAATACGGACATAATACAGACTTCCACCGACGACAGACTTACAACTACAACCACAGGAGGTGGGGACAACCAAAGCTCTGGAGCCACGTCCAATACCCTCTCTTCATCAGTATCCAGTTCATCGGTGTCCATAACCTCCTCCGCGCCCACGGCCACGGTCACCGTTACTACCACAGATGTTCAGCCATTCAACGCAATCTTCAATCTGACTGCCGTCCCTGATGATTACGCTGCGGTAGTCGACTTGATCATCTATGACCCCGTTACTAGAGAGCAGTCTACAGTTCCATACGTCGTCGAATACCTAGGCTGTTTCTTGGTTGGCCCTGGGCAAACCCCCTTTACTGGTAACGGGACACTGAGCTTGATCGGTGATGTCGACATTGGGCGTTCCACATCAGCTTGCGCTGGGTTCTGTGCAGGGGCTAAACTGAAATACTCTGCCAACAACAATGGCGACTGCTTCTGTGGCAACACACTGAACAGCGGCCAGCTCACAGATCAGAACCGAAACCTCTGCAATGTGCCCTGCACAGGTGATCCCAACCAAACTTGTGGCGGTGGCACCAGAATTCAGTCAGCCCAGTCAGCCCAGTCGCAAAGTGGTTTCAAGCGGTTCTCGAAACGCGCACCGGGAGATTCCTACGTACAAATCATCCAAGCCGTTGATACGAGGAACGCAACCATTATTGTCCCAAGCAATTCGACGACAACTACTTCGTCTAGCGCTGCCAGTAGGCTTCCCTATATCGGATCACTCATGTATGACATCTCTTACTGACGGGTGAAATAGCGTCCACCCAAACCTCGCAGACCTCTCAGACCTCTCAATCCTCTCAGACTTCTTCTCAGACTTCTCAATCCTCTCAGAATTCTCAGTCCTCCCAGAATTCCCAAACCTCCCCGACTTCCCAGACTACTCAGAATTCTCAGACCTCTCAGTCCTCTCAGACTTCTCAGTCCTCCCAAACCTCCCGAACCTCCTCACAAAATTCACAGACCAGCACTGCGATCATCACAACCACAAACAACTCTACTACTTCGGGTACTTCCCGCACCACAGCCACTGACTTGGCTACAGGTCCATTTGCAAACACAACCATGACTACCAGAAGCACTGGCAGCAGCAGCCAGTCCAGCCAGGTCACGACCAGCTCCCAGTCCGGAAGCCAAGCTGCTACCAGCACTGGTTCAGGTTCGACAACAGTTACGAGCAGCCCCGGCGGCTCCAACAACACAATCAGCTCTGCTCCATCTGGGACGACTACCAGCCGAGGCAGCACTGGATCACCTGAGATATCTACTGGTTCCGGCAGCGCTGGCTCATCTGAGACGGCTACCGGCACAGGCAGTGCCGGGTCAACCGAGACGGCCACCAGCTCAGGCGGTGATGGCTCATCTGCGACGGCTACGGCTACCAGCTCTGATGTCCCCGGCGTCACAGACATCCCCAGTGATGCTTTGGTGCTTGGGGTTATACAAGACCAGGGTGCCGCCACCAACGCCACAAAGCGGGATTTGTCCGTCTTCAAGCGTCAAGCAGCCAGCGGCTTCATCGGTGGCGCCGGGCCCCTGAACCCGTCCTTCTGCAGCGATGCCACTCTGTTCAACCTGACCAACGGGCAGCTGTCCAGCGGCGGCCAGTTCATTGCTACAGACCCGGGCGTCCCCTTCATGCCTTTCCGTGTTGGCACTGGCGGCTCCATCAGCACAACTTTCTCTGTCGTCAGCGGTGTCCTGCACTGGTTCAACGCAGCGTTCAGCGACGGCGAGGCGGGCTTCTGCCAGCTTCCGACTGGATCGTTTGAGATCACCTTTGGGCCTTCGTCTGAGTGGCCTGCTGGGTGCATTCCCGTCTCTATCGTTGCCTACCAGGGTGAGTGTTCCCCCTTTTCAGAATAACTTATGTCATAGTTAGAGATCGTCGCTGACATTTCCATGCTAGCATCTCAATGCGTGGGCGGTGCTATCGTGTCCAGTACACCCATTGGACCTACTTCGACTGGTACCAGCGGCGGCGGCAACGGCAACGGGCCCGCCACCGCCACGGGGTTGCCTCAGTCGCGGAACATCTTCCCCATGGCCGCGTCCCCCACAGGCGAGTTCTGTGTCTTCACCACCCTGTCCTGGGTGTTTGGCCAACCTACCTTCCTGCCCACCGCCTAAGGACACGGGGTAGCCTGTCACTATCGCCGCGGTCTCCCATGACATAGGCCATACCGTCAATGGAGGTTGACAAGAAATCCAGGCCCGGGTATTGAAGGCGGTGTTGAAAGCTTGGGTGGCTGTCGAGCCTTGCGGATATGTCACGGGCCGCGGTAATACGAGCAACGATATGGAACGAACGAAATCACTTTTTCTGGTACTTTTTCATGTATTACTATTCTTATTTGTTTGGTGGGTGGTTTTGGGAGTTGGGCCAGGAGCATAATGGGAAGGACGTATTTTCAGATTGAATGTGTTTAATGGAGCATCTTTGGCCTCTTGAATTCGTGCCCTTTTGTTGTAAGAGATGGCTTTCCTTGCGGATGAATAGCCACGGATTTTCATTGCTGTCCCAGGTATACACTGCCCGTCCAATCAGTAATTCAATTAGTAATTCTGTCAGGGTACTGGTCCAGGTTCACGGAGTCACGGCAGCTTCTTGACATCCTTCAGTTGAACATAAGAATCACGTCATGCTTTGGCTGTAGTTGCTGGTAAAATTTACTCAAGTAGGTCAGGAATTGAAGTCATCCTCGGACAATTGCGCTGTTCTTGAACAATTATAAACCGGCGTAGGTGACGCTGAGCAAGGTTTAAGGCCATGTAATTGAGTTTGCCAGGCTTAGTCTGCCAAGGCAGTGTTGGCGGGTTCAAATTGTTGTTCTATAGCTGACTAAGAGTCCGGTGAAGGCGTAGTAGGGGGCGAGTGATGTACTACATACTAATGATGATACTGTTGGGTAGTGCATGGGAGCTTCATAATCCGAGAAGCTGTCTATAAGCCTGACTACATTGCGCACTCAAAAAGCCCCTAGTTGTTGGCCTAGACGACGGACTGCTTAATCCTTAATACAAGCTCCTGCTAGTGGTTACTCTAAAGGTACATCACCAAGACGGTTTGAAGTGCACCGTTGTGTATTCATCCGGTCGACTGCGGGAAAGGCCAAGTGCTGGTACCAAGGGCTCCATACGATGGCGGGTCGTCGAAACCAAGAATTTGCATGCTCGTTGATCACTCTCGCCCTTCCATATTCTCCCGGGGGGAGAGTCATGATTCTGCAGTAGTAGCCAAAGGTACTAAATGGTCAGCCCAACATGATCGGGACAATGCCAGCCTTCCCATCTGGGGAGTTTTCAACTGCGAGAAACCAGTTTCTTGTCCCAAGGCGCGATCAGCACATCCCGGATGATCTGGCAGACGTCAGAAACCTCTGGTTGTCTGCGACAGCGGCTATATAAAAGCAGCCTCATCTAACGAGCCTCCTGTTTGACCGAGCCGCAGCTGGCTATTTGCCGGCAGGCGGCCAGACACGCGGATTTCATGCAAGGCGGCCGGCCCAGGTTTCGAGTTGAGCCAATGATAGCCGCCAATCATGAGTCTGCCCCCGAAAACTCAAGCTGAGGCGCTGCTGTATGTATGCCATGACTTGTTGTCTCAAAACAGACAATGACTTGGCCAATTGCAGTGGGCGGCTCGGTCCACGCAGCAAGGACGCGCACATAGACACCACAAATCTCTTGGTGGGGGCGGGCTTGGTTGCTTGGCAAAGGAGCAATTGTGCAGGCATTGGCACACCTGCTTGCCATGTTCACGGATCGACGGCAGGGTCAAGTTGGCGCTGCCAGACTGCCAACACATTGGTTGTGCGGTGGAGAGCCATGGGATTCAAAGTTTTCGGATCGGAAAGCAGCAAGAAGCAGCCCAAGGCGGACCAAGAAGAAGATAACCGACATGACCGGGTACCCCGCGTTCGCGAGGTTTGTTTGCATCCTCTGTCGCAAGCCAGCCACCGCCAAAAACCGGTAGATTATATTGCGCAACCTCAACCGGCAACTCGAGCTCAGCGGTTGTGCCACGCCCGAAGCCTGATAGCACCTACCCAAAGTGATCGTCCGCGAGAGCGCTTCAGCTTCAGCCTCGCGCCGAAGTATAATAACTCATCTTTGCGTACTAATAATACAAAATGAGCAGAACCGGGTGGGCCCATGTTCTTTCTCACCGGGGGAGGAAAGCCTCCGAGAAGCAAATCTAGTCTCGTACGGAACTCGCTGCACACAGGCAGGCAGGGTTCTGCTGAGTATAATTAGATACCCATTTTAAAAGAAGAGGTCAAGCAAGGTGAGCGCAAGTGAGGTTGGAGACTTGAGAGGTGTCAAGAACCCCACATCATTCACCGATCATCGTGCAGAACGCCTCATTCGATGCAACCCTGGAACGGCATGGAGACGATAGGGCCAGAAAGTTCCCGATTCGCCAGCTGCAGCGACCAGCTAATTGCCGTCTTGAAACAAGGAAGTTTGGAGGGAGATTTCCCATGTCCACGTTGAGGATTCGTGGCTGGCCCTTGGCTTGGGAAACCTCTGAATGCGGCCAACGGCCTTGATTTTAGCGAAGAATCGAAGCAGGGGACTTTCCCAAAGTGACGTCTATGACGCTTGACGCTCGACGCTGAACCCGTTCGGAGATGGACTGTGGTCCTTCTAAGCTCTATCGAACATCTGTGGGGAATCAGTTCACGCCGGGATGCGACTGGGTAGGCGGCCGTTCCCAGACGGTCCCCACCCAGGTGCGAATGGAATTGAATTTGCACATGGACACGAAGGATCCTTGACCCTGTTTCTCTCCTACAGGAAGAATCTTGCGGTCTTGGTCAGTCAGTCAAGAACGCTGACAAGCGGGCCCAGCCCCTCTGGGGGGACTAGGAGAGCGCCTTGGGTGGCATCGGAGCAATAACGTGCTCTCCTTATCAATATCAGCATCCTCGCGCCTGCGGGTGTACTGTACTGTAACACGCAAGGCCAAGGCAGTGTCTCCTCTGATGTAGCATCCATTGGGGTCCGAGTTCTGAAGCTGCCACGGGATGCAGGAGGCTGTTTGATTCCAGCTCGCAGGGCAGAGCAGGCCCCGACGAAAGATGAACCACGAGACGGTCAAAGTCAATTGATCGACTTAAGTCTTGGGGGGAGCCGCATTGCCGCCGCCGCCCCCTTCCCGTCTGTTCTGCTCTGGCTCGTGCGGGCGGCAGCGAAGGCTGAGCACGCTCTTTGCTTTGTGGAATGGATTCGATCTGCAGCGATAGAGTGCTAGACATACTGTAGTGTTGCAGACTCACAGAACGGCAACGGCGCGCGCGCCCCCTTCGGCGTCTGAAACATCCAGCTCTGCAACCGGGACCCCTAGGCGCGGCACACTTGTCTTGATCTCGTAACCCGCAGGGAGATTGCAGTCTGGGCTGGCCAAATCGACCGCCTCGGCCGTACATACGTACCTATGATGATGCAGCACACATCAAACTGGTCGTCAGATCGAGAGATTGGCCCATCCGAACTTGACCGGCCAGTGGTTCGGGGCGCCGGGGGGCCAGCGACATGTCGCAGCAGGTGGAAATCCGGATTTCTCGTCGTACACGACAGCTAGGAGGAGCTTAAAAAGCACCTTAGCTGTGACCTGGGCCTGGGCGTCTAGCCTGGTACGTGACGCTAGGCCCGGCGCCGGGAAGGCTTGTCCTCCACTTTCTCGAGGCCAGGGATCATGGCAAAGAGGCGCCGGCGATGCACGCCTACTGCGGTACGTGGACGGTACCCAGCGCCGCCCGCCAGCACCACGGCCTGGTTGCTGTAGCGAGCTGCCCGCGCCAGGTAGCCTGGGCGTCACCCCATAGCAGCCCCAAAGATCGTGATCTGAAATGTCCATACCATAGTATGATGGATGCGCACACCAATTGAAGCAGTTACTGTGCATGCCTGCCTACCTACTCCATACCTACCGTGGTACATTCTGTACATAACGACAGCAGAGACCGAGACCGAGACAGGACAGCACCAGCCCACCGCCGCCGGCCTGCCTTTCCACACTGACAGGCCCGAGCCCACCGGCCCTTCATCTGTTTTAAGATCGTGCCTCTGCCCGTTGTTCCATGCTAATCTAGTTACCTGCCTAGCTGTCCTAGCGAGAAGAAGTTGACCTGGCTAAGCTGTTGCGTGGGATTAATCGTCTCCCTCGTCGTCGTCGCCGCCGCCGCCCTAGCTGCAGCCAGCGTCTTGCTCCTCCTCTTCTTTTGCTCAAGAAGGCCCAGCTCCCCTTGCTCCGGCTGTGCTGCACCCAGCTGCTGGCCCGTCCCACCCCCTTCCAACCCCAGACACCTCAATTCATGCTCTGGCGTCGCTGCGGTAGGTAGACTGCAGCTCTTCTCTGCTTCCGCCGTCGATTTCGACCTCCTCATCTATTTGAGGCTCAAGTCGCTTGCTCCCCCTTGAGCCGCTGAGCTCCCGACATGGAACTACTGTTGCTTGCATAGCAATATCCAGCCGCCCCTCCGGCACCCTCCTCACCTGCCCAACATGGGGAATGTAGCCTCCGTCGAGGATCCGGGGCGAGCCCGGAGAACGTCTCATAAGCTGTCGAAACCCCGAACCGCCAACCTCGACGCCGATGGCCTGCTGAGCCCCAATGTCCTGGCCAATCCCCGGCGGCGTTTCTCAACCATGAGGACCATGTCCCTCCCATATGGCACTTCGCCGGCACCGTCTCCCACCTCTGCCCCCTCCGACGACCCCGCCCTAGATGGCCAGATGGAGCTCGGGAAGAGTGAGCAGACTGGTGCGAGACCAAGGTCTCGGTCGATTACACGCTCCGCGGCAGCCCTGTTCCGCTCCAAGTCTTCACAAGCCTCGCAGACGAGATCGAGGCAGGATAGCATGGGAATGCTGACCCCTTCCCCGAGTGCGCGGCCTAGCAGGGCAAATTCCATGATCATTGGTGACTCCGAGTCGTACTATGTCCAGGCGAACCTGAATGGGTATGTCCATGTGTGCCCCCCGTCAGAGTTGCGTGTGTAGCTAACCGCAGGTTGTGTGAAGATGGTACACTGCAGGGTCCCGAAGTTCCGTCAACTATGACCTCAACTCGTACGAAGCGAAGCGGCTTCTCAACCTAGTGGAAGAACAGTCACACGAAGAGAACTCAGTCTTGTCCGAGAGCCGATTCCATGTTGCAGAGACGTGGAAGAGCCCAGGCACAACGCAGTTAGCCGATAACGAACAAGCGGCGCCAGCGGCAGCCGCGGCGATATCCAGAGCTAATTCGGATATCACTCTTTACACTCCAATGAGAAGAAGATCTTTAATGACGCCGGGCGTAGCGACGCGAGCACCAGATGTGCCGCCGTTGCCAAAGAAGTCAAGAGCTAGATTCAGTCTGCCCTCGACTCCTGCCCGCCGAGACTCACTCGAGTCGATGAGTTTTGACATCTTCCCGAGCCCATCTTTTCACACGAACCCGGAGTCCATACCTCGTGTCATTACACCTTGTGAGGAGGATTACCGCCAGACTGGCGCTTTCAAACTAGGCTCTCTCCGGATCATGAATGCTAGCCCTGATGGTAGTCGATCCGAAAGAACCATTGCTTCCCCAAATGCCAAGGGGCGACCTTTGTTTGAGGGCCAGGGCTCTAATTATTTTGAGAGAGACCGTACTGGAAGCAATCCTTTGCAGGCAGCTGGCCCCATTGTGATCGAGTCCCACCAAATCCGCCTCCAAAGCCAGACCCTCTCCATCGCGAACGTCTCCTCACCACAAGCCCTCTATCCCTCAGAGTCCAGCTTGCCCGGCGCCTCACCCAGATCCCCTATATATTTGCCTGAGATACATCTAAGCCCCCTTGCTTTGGAGAAGTCTGAAGCTGAGGCGATGGAGTTGCAAATCACCAGCAAGCACACTGCGGTAGAGGATGACTTATTCGAGGAGGATGATCATCATGAGTATTCCAGAACTGAAGTGTTAGACGTACGCATGGATTTGAGCGCCAAATCTCTACCACCTCGACCTCGTTTGATCTCTGAAGGGCGAAATCCCCGAGATATGCACAGGTCTGACAGTGGTGTTGTTGCAAGCCCCATTGCAGAGTCATCGCACACACTCTTGGCCAAGTCAGATTCTGGCTACAGCTCAAACGTTTCCCTGCGCTCGTTCTCTGGTAAGCCCGTGGTTCCTGAGAAAGATCAGCACGCGAAAAATGAGTCGGAGTCTTCAGTCGGTCCTCCCAAGAGTACTGTCCCAGACTTGGCTTCCGAGACTGTTCCTACACCTGCTGCCGCAGAAAACAAAGACGACACTCCTCCGCCTGTTCCACGGAAAGATTCTCCCATGTGCCATTCCAGACCATCACAGGACTTGACCCCTGCAAACTTGCCAACCTCTCAGCTGCGTGGACCGGCTAGCCTATCTATCAAGTCCAAAGGCCTGTTGTCTCCAACCAAATTCAAGGGAACAGAAGCCTTGGCGCCGCCCGAAAACTCACCACTTAGCCCGACAAGTTCCACAACATCTTCCTCGAATCTTAGTGAAGGGAGCGGGCCTCGGAAGCCGGGAAGGCTTGAGCGATTTCTGAGCAGTGCCCGTAAGCCCCGGGCCGTGAACGCGATGAAATCGTCAGAAAAGGCCGGGAGCTCTCGCCCACAAGATACCGCCGCCAAACCCGACGACCACACAACATTTTTGCCTCTGAGTTTAAGGCGCTTGACACTAAGACCTGAGCCGAGTCATGCGACTTTGGGCACCATCGCCAGCGTTGGCAGTGCTGAGCATCAACATGAGGAGATGGGATCAGCTCCTGTCCTCCCAAATATTGTTGCGACTGGACCCGAGAATGGGAACGAGAGTCAGTCTCACGACGCTGGCACCACACTTCGGTCCATGGGAACGTCGTTGGCACAAACTGCAAATATCGTTATCCCCACACGGAAGCCTATCGTTCGGAAACCAGTGCCAATTCGAGTCTCGACAGAGAAGCAGAATGGGCGGGTAAATCCTGCACAGGTAGCCGGAGCCGCAAGCAAGGGCGAAATGCAATCTCTGCTGTCAGTTCCGGAGCAAACCACCAATACTGCGTCAAGAAGGCACACGATCAGTATTCAGGGACAAGATAAATTTGAGTTGAGATACACGTCACTTGATGCAAGTTTTGGCGTCCGAGAAAATCTGGCCCCAACGTCTCTGCGACCATTCTCACCACCAGAGCACCTAAGGAAAGCGAAGACACCTCCACCTGTGAGCATGAGGACGAGGAATGCTGGGGGCCTGCGGGTTCCCCCACCGCTGAGGGCGCAGTCGACGCCGCCAGGCAACCATCGTCGGCCTAGTGGAACGATCCCTAATCTCCCCCGTAAGGCCAGTCGGGAGAACGTCTTCAGTTTCCCTCCTGCGATCGACCCACGAGCTAGACCATCCCTTTCACGAAACTCGAGCCGCAACAGCGTGCGAAGTTATCCACCCGCGCAGGAATTTTATCAGACCCTCGACATCGGAAGGATGGGCCCGTCTCCTGGCCCTACGCACCGGGGCCGGCCTTTGAGCATTATGTCAAGCAACGGCGAGTACAGAAAGACGAACTGGGAGGTGCAAACTGACCATGACGAATCATCTCGAAGATCGTCTTTCGATCGGAGTCGTCGAAACTCATTGGTAAGCCAGGGGAGTTCGCATGGTATTGGGCTCTCGCGGCCTCCTCAATTGCCACCGAACGGCCTCCATGGTATGCCACAGAATCTTCGACATCGAGCTAGCTATGATGGCCACGGATACCAACCCGTAGCTGATACAGCCGAGAGCTTCCTGAAAGACAATGGCCCCTATCCCTCTATTCAGAAGAACGGCCAGGCGTACGTCACAGACCCGTGGAGCGGCCGACCCATGTCACAGCAATGGGACCAGCAAGGTCGATACCCACCATATGTGCCTCGCGGCCATTCCAGGAACCGGAGCGTGGGATCCCATGGCATAAGTGCTCCTTACCGGGTATTGCACAGCTATAATTCACCGGCATACAAACATGTGCCTATTTGGGGTTAGCCCCTTTCACTATTGCTCACTACAGCATTTCATTCAGTGCTTTTTTTCGGCGGCATGCCGCACACATTGCAGTTTTGGATCCGGTTCTTTTTTGGCATTCAAAGATATCCCGCATGTTTTTGGCGTTCTTAGCATGCTGCAGGTCGATTCATGATTCCAATCATCACATTTGAGCATATCACTTTTACTCCTGTCGCCCACAGCTGGCACTGAAGGATCCTGGCATGGATTCCAAGATGGGAAAGCCCTCGATTGCCTCGGGGCAGGCGTTTTGGGTTGCATGGTTTGCTGAATACATTCGGATGACACAAGGTAACAACAGTCACGATCATTTGGGGGGTTTTCCCATGTCATGAGGCTTAAATCATGGGATACACATACACATGGACATATGAAGGGTGATACTCACTCAGGCGGGAAGGGGACGCAACAATATACCCGATTCAATGCCACAGCGAAGCCTGTCGGCGGTGTGTACTACTGCATAGCACTCATAGCATCTCGAATTGCTTAAGTTCATTTTCAGGGCTCCGTGTCAAGCCATTCCTCGTGTTTGAATGTATGCGCTAGATGAACCATTGCGAAGGCCCTTGCTTGAAGTCACTTGCTTAGTCACCTGTCCAAATGGGGATCGTCTACAAACCGTGCATTCTTCTTCCTGTCTATTGCATCATCATCAGGTTCATGATAAGTTCAGACGATTCTGAACAACATGCATAACTGCTTTGCAACACGCTTGACGTAAGCGGCGCGAAACTCCAGACGATCGCTGCCAAATTGCCGACCGACTAATGTTCAGATCAGCGGCCCCAACCCGAGAAGCGCTGAAACGCCGGCGCGAACTCCAAGAGCCTCCCCCGATGCCCACGATCTCGATATACGTACTTCAGTTTCACAAGCAGCAATGGCACCGAGCAAGCTGGATTGGTTTTCGCGCCGGATCGTGTCGGGGAATACGGGATCTTCTTCAATGGATGGCTACGGCAACCTGGCGCCCGCTTAGACTGCACGGCCGATGATTTCATCACCATCGTGTATAGCGACACGTGCGACGTGAATGGAACGCCATACTTCCTCTGTATGCTGTGTAGTTACTCTACCAGAAAGAAACTCCTAGGAGACGATGAGTGTTCGGAATGATGAGGCTCACGGACCCCAATCCCGATAAACTCTCTAACCATACCGACCGCGCCGTCAACCGTTCTGTGGCCTCCCTTGCGGTTAATGATTTACTGGCATGTGAAGGAGCACAGATCATAGGGTAATCGAACCCACTAGTGACTGGCATCTCTAATAGGCCGCTGCTCAGAAGAAAGGCGAAGTCCTTGGTGTAACATACGGCAAGAGCTTCCCCATGACCTCTCTGTCTCTAGAAATTTATCCATAGCCTAGGTGAACATTTCAGGGCAGAAATTATGCATTCCTTACCGCAAGTATAACGTCACCCGCAGAACCATACTCGTGAAAGCTTTGTATCGGTAGTGATGCGAACAGGCCCACGTCCTCGAAAGGTCTTGCTTATTCACGCCCGTAGGATACAGTCAGGTCCTTATATGCATTAGCAGACTTGACGCTATGGGACGAGCCACAATATCTATCGTCGAGTGAGTAACACCTCTCTAAACACCTCTCTAGGGCCAGCCGTCACGAATTGGGGAGACTCAGGTTTGTCTTGTCAGACTCCAGCACGGCCAGTGACTAGCACCATTGCCTCACTACTCTGCTGCGCTAAACAGTAACTTTGCCTTTGCCGGTCTTGTAGATAAGCTGGAAGCCGCTCTTCACGCTTCTAGGACATTACAGTACATGACTGAAAACGTTTCGTTGTTGAGCTCGAAATCCGACAGCACTATTTGTCAGGAAAGAGCAGTGCGTTCATTGCTCACAGCCCCTTGCCAAAAACGCCATTGCGTGGTCTACAGGTTTCATGCTATCTCGGCGTCCTTTGAGGAGAGTAGACATTCACAGTGAAGAAGGCAGGATGATGCGTGAGCAGCTGTCACCAACCCTGAGCGGGCGGGACATGTCTAATATTCCTCTGATAACTCACACCCTCTCCTCACTGACAGCCCGGCTCTGGACTCTCGATGGCCGACCGGCCGGGCCGGTGCCCAGATCTCTCAGCAGGTTCCCTAGACTCTCTACCAGAGGCGGCAGCGGCTCTGTCCGTACAGGGTAATTGTCCCTAAACACATTCCTGGCGACGTTGAGCACCATGCCCGGATTGGACAGCGACTCGACGCCGGAATGCATGTCACCACTGACGGTTATGCCGGGATTCCCCTTGTCCAACTGCAGGAACGCCCTCGTCTCCCTGCTCTCGTTCCCGTCTACCAAAACATACGTCAGAGGCGCCGGCATCTCAGAGGGATCCTGTCCATGAGTGGAGTTTGAGCATGACAACAGCCCATATATCCACAGCGTCAATGCGGCGAAGTATACAGCGGTGGCATTGAAACCGCGTAAGGAAGCTGGGGGTAGCATTCGTGCGTAACGAATGACCTGGCCGGCGTGCCAGACGGCGTGGCGCGCGTCTCGACTCCGCACCCAGTTTTCCTCCAAGAAGATGGCAGCGTTTCGCGCTTCATCTTCGCCTTGCTTGCCGGCGAAGCGTTGTAGCTCGTCCGGAGAAACATGCAGAATCATCATGAAGAGGTCTGCAACCAATGAAAGTTGTGTTGCTATTTTCGGAGAGCTGTTTACCAAGACGGCAAACTCAGATACGTCGCGATAGAGTTCCTGGTGTTGTGAAGTCAACCACAGACGGTGAGTAAAGGTTGTGTTACGCTGATTGGCAGCAGGGTACCCATGGCGGTAGAACTTGGTTGCTTCCCTGTATGCCGTAATCTGTCCCAAGAAACCGTACAGGATGGCGCTGTAGCACAGCTCAACATCAACGAACTCTTCGAATGTATCAAGTATTGCTGTGCATAGCATCACCTCTGATACCCGAGGAAGCGAAGCCTCTGCGGGAAGTGGCTTCTTTCGAAGATAAATCTCTCGCCATGCCTCAGCAGTCGGTGCCCGCCAGAGATCCCGAGCCGCTGGTACGCTGAAGCACAACTCCGTATATGACATCAAGGGAGCGTGCTGGAAAGTAACCGCTCCTTGCGCATCGTGGAAAAATAAATGTAATACAAGCCTGGAATGTTTTAGTCACGACAGGCAGAGGCACCACCGAGAATTAGGACACACCTTTTGTACGATTCTCGTTGAACGAACTTTCGCCACTTGTTCTCGAGCTCTTCTGGAGAGTCCGATGGTAAAGGGATCAAGTTGGGAGTATCTGCGGGCGCAGACAAAGTCCCCGCTCTTCGCATCATCTACCGGTTGTCAGTCATGGGGGGACATGAATGGACCGCGAGAAACAACTCACAGTGAGCAGCGGCTGGATAAAACTCTCTGATATTTCCATTTTCCTTTTAAAACCACTCCAGATACCGATATCGAGCTGGAGCATGAAAGTTTGAAGATACTGAAGCTCCCTCGTGCGCACGTTGTTCGCTTCAAACTACGAAAGGTCAGCGGTGAGGCACAGAGTAGGCGTTCAGCTTAATCATACCCGATGAGCAAGGCCCATTCGTACCACTTCCTGTACTTTGGTCATGTCAGTCTCACGAACGTGTTGAAGGCGAGGTACGTGGAGACACTTACGGGCAAGGCCGAACTGCCATATTGCAGGCACTGCGATGAATGCCGACCCGCTTGATATCAGAGCTACCAAAAGTTCTGGTATAGCTTGTGATGGATCGAATGAAGCCGAATGAATCCAGCTGTCCGTTTGATAATCGTCATGTATGAAATGTGCTTGTAACATATAGTTGAGCAGATCCAAACTTGGAAACGACGGTACCTTGGAATGGTCTCTGTGTTGACCCAAAACTAGGGCAAATAGTCGATCTCTTATGGCAGGCTCCATTTTCAGGCGGCTCGAGTTCGATGCCATAATCTTTTCGTATGCGGGTGAGTGAGCAATAGTCTTCTCGTTGAACATCAAGCCTTCCTGTTCTCTGCCCAGGGAGTCTCGCGTCTTTGGCTCCCAGAGCCAGGGCGAACGCTTGAAGGCGGCATATCCACGGGTCGGGTCTCTTGCTATATGTCTCGAGGTGGATGTGGTTGACGACTGTGGACTAGGACCCTGAAGCTCTACTTGAGGTATGGTATAACTGTCGAAATTCAGATCCCACGACGAAGTAAAGTCCATATCCTGGAAGAAATTATGAGTTGGATTGAAATAGAACATATCATCTGTGGTATCTTCCATCATCGGATGCGGTGGCACCGTATAGTCCGTGCTGTATGGCATGGCCGACATGCCGTGGTCCATGGCAATAGTAGGCCCCGGCGGAAACTGAACTTTTCGTTCCGAGTATACAGACGATGCAGTATTGGAGTCCATTGTAGCGCCAGACGAGTTCGTTAAGTCGGGGCTATCCGAGGAGGATACAGCCGAGTTCACTGGGGAGACATTAGCTGGGTTCGGCATGACCCAAACACCTCACTGGGGGCGCCCAAGTGACGAATGCCATTCCCAGGCTGGTGGGTAGACGACATACCATCTGATATCCCGTATACCGACGTCCGCTTGGAAGCAGTTTGGCAGTTTAAGCCCTTGGTCTTGCAGCGGCCACAGGGCTTCTGGTCGTCGCACTTTGCCTTTGATGAAGCACAATTCAGGCACGCCTCTGCGGCCCGGTCGCTCCGGCGTATTATTGTTTTCCCCTTTGCGCCATCGTCTCTGTCGTGGGTCGTTTCGTGTCGAGTCAAGAGGTCGCTGGAGGGGAAAGCAAGGTTAGTCGCGAGGCTCCCTTGCATTCATGAGGGAGGGAGTATATTGAGAGGACTGACGCTCGATTGAATCGCTTGGGGCACCTCGAACATTGATAGGGCCGCGCATTCTCGTCTGTTTCAGAATTAGGCTGTGCACATGGGCCGGGGGATCGCCACAGGTCCTCGACGTACGAGATCGCAAATGCCTCGTCAGATGGTCGGCTCTGCAGGCGCGAGGAAAGTCAGCTTCCAGATGTTCGACGGGCACGGCACGGAGGCGCGGCGGGTGCTGACCTCTCGTATACTCTCCGGCAGATGTGGCAGACGTGTGGTGACGACGGGGAGGAGGCGTCGTCGGCCAGCTTGACGCGCTTGGTGCGCTGCTCCTGCGGCGAGGCGCCGCCGAAGATGGAGCCCAGCAACAGGTCGGAGCCGGCAGCGTCGCAGAGGATATCTATACCGTTCTGTTCGGCCATCTCGCCTGATGTCGTTCGACTGTTGTGGTGCGAGATTTCCCTCGCGAGGCCGTCGCTGGAAGTTGTCACGGCCAAGGTTACGGAAGGGGTGGAGGCGGGGGCCGGCAAAAATAAACGGCTCTGGCTCTGGCTCTGGCTCGTCGCCCGTCTGCGTCCAGGTTGCCCTGGGGGAGGAGTGCTGGGGAGCTGGGTCTTCCCCATCCCTTTCCCCAGGTTTTCTCCATACAAGACGGCGCTCACGACGGCCGTGATTGGCCCGGGCCCTGCCCACGGCAAGCACAGCTGGCTGTGGCTGACCTCATTCGCGAATCAGATCTGTGCCCATTGGTCACGGCCCTGCTTAGCTTGAGGGCCCTGCTGGCCTTGACCCGTCAGACAAACGATTAGTCGCGCCAGCTGGGATCTGGGGACGAACTAGCTTTCCAACTGTTCTTCTGTCTGACTTAACTGAGTTAGTCGACATTCGTGCTGCCTAGGTGGAATTCTTCTGGGCCCGCCGAGCCCTCTTTCTATCAATCACCCAAGCCTCTGGCCGCCCGTATCCAAATCCACCATTGGCTCCAAATGGGCAGTCTGGATTCGGGGCTCACCCGCAACTTCGTCAGCCTCACGGAATCGGCGGCAATTTCGCACCCGACGCCCGCCCCGAGGCCTTTCTTTCCCATGGTAGCTGGATATGAGCCGGACACCAACTCCCAACCTCAGTCTCCCTTGACCGCAACACTTCCAGATCAACCACCACCTTTCGAAAAGTGATACACACATGGCACAAGAGAAGCTGGTTCATGTAGAGTGTGATAAAAATTCGAGAACCACCACACAATTCTTAATATGATTGTTTGCCGCGTAATCGGAGCTAAGCCAATCGAGAGGGGCAAGCTTCTATTTTCTTCCCCGACATTATTAATGAAAACGACATATAGTTATCGAATTACTTGTTCTTGGGGAGGATAGGTAGCAGACACGGCCGACTTCTCCCTTTCTAGATATTTTCCAAACGTGGTAGGTTGTGGCACGCCTTTGTGAATCTGCTCCATGTCTGCATATTGCGCCACATTTCTCAACCCTGGCTCTGATGAAAAGTACACCAATAACATTGTAGCCTGTGCTTGAGTCATCTTCTTGTCTGTCATAAAGCTTGCTTCAAGACAACGGCCATCTCCAATAGCCTCGGCAAGATAGCCGAGTGCCTCCCGAACCAGCAAAGTTTCACTGGCAAGACCTATGCGGAGGCCGCGGAGTCGGGCAGCTTCTTGAATGCCGCGATAACGCAGCGTGTGATATTCATGTGGTCCATCAAGGCCCGGCGACCCCCGGCCGTCATGACGCTGGATCAAGAACCTGAAGTAGATTGGTGACTTCGTTATTAAGCTACTTATATGTATTATACTGGGATCAGACGATAGGCACGGCCTAGATCTAATCGTGACCCAGGAGAATTATCAGCCTCGAGCTCTCATTTCAGTATTTGCGCGTAGTTACCAAGCCACTGAGCAGGCCCTGTCCTTTGATAGCTGTGAGGAACTGGTCGCTACCAAAATCAAAATGACTGATGGTATTACGGCAAAATCAAAGTCAAATCTTTGAACCAGCGTCGAGATGACTAGGTAGAGTTCTGCCCACGCGAGACTAGTTGCCATTTTTAGCGTCTTCTGCAACTCGAGGATGACACAGAAGAGAAACTCAAACTTACTGCATCCCTATGCAATCTCTGGTTCCACGCGAAAAGAGCGCGTAGGCCTTCTCCGCCCGTTTCCGTGTTTCGGGATTGATCCACCGCTCCGGATCGAAAGTTTTGGGCTCTGGAAACACTCTCGCGTCCATGTGCATAAGCAAGGTGGTCATACCGACGGGCGTGCTAGCCGGGATCCGCCATTGGTTGTATACTAGTTCTCGATCCGGTGCAACCCGGTGTAGGCGGGTCCCGAGGGCGGGACTCATGCGCATACCCTCCATATCATGGCCGTGAGGTATGGTTGCTGCTCTAGTGCACGGAGCTCAATCTTACGGTCTGGTACCGGAACTTTTGAAGCTACACTTGCTAGTTCTTCCCGAAGTCGTCCGAGAATGGTCGCGTTGCTAAAGATGTGATACATAAGCAAACGAAGGATGCTAGAAGTAGTTTCAATCCCAGCGCCAGATATCATGGTAACGTCGAATATGATGCGACGCAGTGATTTGTCTTCGAGGGGGAGGTTCGACTTGGTTATTTCTTGAACTATCGACGGGGGCGCAGTCTCAGCCCCTGTTGATGCAGCTTTCAAGCGAAAATGAGCTTGTTCCTCACTGGCCTGCACCCGACGGGCTTCCGGTTGGTAACAAGCAACTAGACATAATCGGCCGGACTTGCCCTGGCGTAGCTCATATAAGCAGCTGTGATCGGATCCGCGTTTTTGATGAGGAAGTCCTTGAAAATCGAGTGCATGAAGCGGCCGTACCACGGCATGTGCTTGCTACGGTGCCACATGGGTTCAATGCCTCGGGCGGAGGCAATCATGAAAGAGCCAAAGTCATCCTTTTTCAAGTCCCCAAAATCTTTTCCAAGGACGAAATAGTTGGAAACATCGCGCTGGAAAGCGCTTATGGTGTCACCCAGCGGCAGGCTCCGGCCAGTGCTCGCGAAGTCATTGATACGTCCGCAGAGCCGATCAATCTTGCTCCCAATGAGATCCGGTCGACTCGATATCCTGGCCTTGGAAAAGTGGCTATTGAGTGACGCCCGGCGCGCTTTGTGCTCGAAGTGGTCAGGTGTAAAGATCAGAGCTCCATGCGCATTGTGGCCATTGATAGGCCAGGCATACTTGTCTCAGCGGCCATCATGGCGATAGAGGGTTTTGAAAGAAGTCGGATCACTGAGATATCGCTCCTGCGGGCTGATACGTACAATAGGACCTTTCCAGATTTGGCAATGTGAGTATTTTGAGCTTGTATGACTGTCTACGCAGTGGGGACCACACCATATCTCTCATGCATTCTCGCAATCACAGTGGTGTACTGTCCACCTCTGGCTACGTCATGATAGAACTCATACAGGCGAGTCGCGGCCGCAAGTCGTGGCCCGGGAAACTGGGCGAGCGGATGAAGAAATAAATAGTAGAAAGCCGACGTGGTGAAGCGTGCGATTGCAGCGCAAGCAACCAGTTGCGATGATGGTACAGCCCTTAGCAACTCCATAGTAGCAGACAGACCGGGCAGCTCGGACAACCAACTCGCCTGTTGGAATGAATGTTGAGACTTTCAGGAAAGTCGTGGCGAGGCCGAGCAGGAACAAGGACGCCTGTTTTGAGAAGCCGGGTACAGGACATTTAATGAGAGTGCAATAATGTCAGTCGACTGTAGGAGTCGGTGACATTTCTCTCAGATGAAACAAACTGGATGAGGCCAGAGCAGAGAGAACTGGGCCTGTTGGTGTTACAGTGAGTAGTTGGTTATAATGTTTTGCCAGTGCCGCTGTTGCGCGGCAGGCTGTGCGGGCCTGTTGGCGCTGCATCCCCCCTTGCCGCAAACAATGGCTCATGTTTTCCCTGCCGTGGAAGATGTTGGCTCTCCATTTGCAGATTGCGAGAGACACATGTTGCCTGCCTTTGTCACCTTTGCCTCACATATACACAGATTTCAAATTGATTGGATGGTGGGAAGTCAGCCTCCAGTCTATCATGAGGAGCCATGTTCCTGTAGGACCACTGACTGCTTATGTTGATGCATGACTGCAGACGGGCTTTGGGGGGACGGTAGTACTTGTCGGTTTCCTGACTGCATGAATTCCCAGACAATACGTAGTAGACCATTGAAGACTTCCACTAATCACAGTTCGTCTACATACGCAGAACGCGGTATAGGGCCATTTATGTGCTAGCCTGGCACAACACAAACTTATGCCGTATCTGCATCAATGTTCGGCAACAAGCTAATTGCTAGCAATGAATCCTATCTGCTGCAAGACAAAGGCATCCATTATTTGGAATCCGTTCTGAACCCATTTTGTGTCACGAATTTGCCTCTAGTATAGTCTTTGCGCGAGTTATTGCAACCCTGCCGCAAGGATCCAACAGGCAGTAGTAGCCTTGAAAGCACCAAATAATCACTTGCAAATATAATTATACCATAAAAAACAATAATAATAATAACAGCCAAATAATCAGAAGCCAGCCCTATATGATTATAACCTCAAGACTCACGTGTAGCGCGAAGACTATCGAAATCCAACTTGTTCATCAATGGCGAGGCCAAAGAAAACACTGACTATATCTTAGTAGATTTTATCAGAACATGAAAGTAGTAGAGAGGATTGTATGGATGCTACGATCAACTAAAATCAAGCAGACCGAGATCTACTCTGCCCTCATGACGTTGTAAGCAAAGCCCACATCGCTTAATATCGTATTCCAAACTGGCTTTTCAACGAGCATAACAAGACCTTACTCTGTTGAGGATGATTTCAGGCGTATACAACATGATTCAATCATGATCAGGGGGGTTGTAAGGTTGTATTTGGACGAGCTCCAGGCCCACACCATCCGCAAGCTCTCGCCACTCCGCTTTGGTGCGTTCCACGGTGGTGAAGGCAGCCATCATTGTGAGATCATCGGCAGCTGTTGAGAAATTGATACCGATTGGTGGCACCACTTACCCGTCCACTAGCAGAAAAGAATCCGAGGCCATAGCGGCGGCGATGTTTGTGAAAATTTCTTGGCTTGATGCTCAGGCATCATTTGCGGGACCCTACGCATGAAATAGGATTTTGAGCCTATATAAATCTGTGATAATCTTTATACCCCACAACTCTGATCTTCTGTATAATGTACATCAAGGGCATCTAAGGCCGCAGCTTGGGGGTCATCGCATGTTCCCTTGATCGGCTGCGGTTGAAAAAAAGCACGTACCATGTTTTCTGTTCAAAGGCATTCGCAATGGCAACAGGGAGGCCCTGTAGAATGACACGGTTTAGGATGTCGGGATATTTGTTTCGCTATAACATTCATTTGGTTTGTATTCTCTTGAGGTGATTCGGTGTTTCTATGCGAAACTTCGAGGCAGGGGCCAAATGTTCAATACGCGTTTGTGGATCAAATCTATAGATTAGATGTGATGACGAGGAATCAAATTACCCACTCACAAAATCACGACACTGATGGTCAATACCGTCCCCCAATATTGACATAAAGCGCGCGTTACGGGTCTGTTAGACCTGCTGTTTCCTCGAGAACAGGGTAAACGGCTAGCCATGTGAGGTGGATTTCCCACCGCACTGCCATCCACGTGCTGAACGTCTCAATTCGTACGGGATGTCGCACCATGAACTCGTATGGTGTTTCCGTTGTTTCCCACCCTTCATGAAAGGCTGTCTGTGTTTCATCTGCGGGATTTCTATAACAGGTCTGCTTGAGCGATGAGGCGGTTGCCCGGTATTGCCTATCTACTGTGCCGAAGCTTTCAATTTTGTCAAGACATAACACTTCGTAGTAACAGCGGCGGATCACACTAATGTCCCAAACCAGATACGACAGGCCTTTGACTGAGACTCACCGTAATATTGTTAGCTTGGTAGGTGGCCTCTGAGATCTCCTCCATGACATTGACAGAGCTGCAGTGCGATCGGTGCCTGTCTGCTCTGCGATTTACTGCGCTGTCTTGGGACTCTTCTTGTTGACTGGGTAAATTTAACATCCCGGCCAGAGTTGGCTGTGGAGAGAGCTGGGCAGGATGACCCCACGGCAAAGGTAGCCGTGGAGTCCCGCCAGGCTGTGGAGGGCTTCCCGATCTCACGGGCCAGCAAGCGTGGGGAAGCCTGAGGGGGGCTTGCATTGCAGTCGAGGGCTTGAGCGACATACCCGGGACTTCCGCATTGGTTATAGCTGAGAACATGGGATTCGTTCAGCACACTGCGTGGCGATGAGATTCTCAGCACCGGAACTGGTCAGTGTGGTCTAACAAGCCGCCAAACGCCCCGCACTAGTCTCAAACGGCGGTTGCCCCCCGAGTGCGATCAGAGAATCGTCCACAAGCACGGTGTTATTGTATCAATATTTAACATCAACTGGAAACAGCGAGCCTTTGAAAGTGAGAATCATGTGAATGGCTGGCAGCGAAAGAATTACAGGTCTAAACCTCTAGAAAACCGGACCATGAGAATGAAATGTCGATATCTCTGCCATTGACCTCTCTCCCGACAACGGGCTGGAACCCAAGGTCATGCCTACTGCTCCTGAGAAAAACACCATGCCCTAGACCTGACTCCTATGATGCGAACACTCGCTCAGAACGCCTGTGGGTGTTGTGTGCTTGCCACAAACACCCGTGACTAATCACCAATGAAAGATGCAACTTTTCCTGGAACGCCGTCTGACAAAGACCAAAAGTGCATTATGTGTCCCCAACACACCGGGGAAAGGGCGTGATACTGGTCACTGGAGGTAACCCCAGCAACACAGTAGGCAGAGATACTGGTCAAACCACCGCCCTCGGCCCAACGACCCGGTTACACGTTCGTCGGCAGCTGGACACTCATGGGAACGTCTGAATCACATTGCCGGTGTGCCACAGATGGGGCAAGGGCGACCAGGCAAAACCCATTGCTCTCTGCCCCTAGACGCACACGTCGAGCATCTGACACCGGGTGCCTATAGACTATGGTTAGAGCAGCATAGACTAGATCCCGAGAGTGTACGTACTGATTCATTGACCTGGTGACTATGATGATGGTGCTGGCCCTGGCGTTGGGCTTCGACCTTGGCCTGGACCGAGACAAGGGAGGAGGTAATACACGGCGGTGTCATGGTGTTGGCAAGTGAGGAAGTGGGTGGGGGATGAGAGGGGACTAATATCCCTTAAGGCAGACAGTGAGGAGAGGTTGGTTTGACAAGAACGGAGGACACTGGTCTGCGAGAAAGGAGGATACAGGTGAAGAAGTATGTCTGAAACTGACGATGGTGCAGTGGAGTTCAGCTTGCCATCGTAGGACTATGAGGGCACTAGTCGATACTTATACTTTTCAGAGCCACCGGCACCCTGGGAAGGCGAGAAATGAGGGTCTAGGTACCTGGTGTAGGAGACGAAACGCAGCCCGAAAGTCTCATAAAACTTCCCGCGCCGGTAACGGCTCGTGCCCGTGTGCCTCCGAATCGAGGCAGCGAGACGACGGGAGACATTTGATTGATGCCACTATCCGTTTGAGGCATGAGAGCACTGTGGATGAACCACGTCAAGGGAAAGGCTTCCAGCAGACGGGTGGACCTAGGACGAGGAGCAAAGGCAAGACTGCCGGAAGCAACTGTACGCAACGCAGAGCAGGCTAGGGTCCCAGCAGCAGCAGCAGCAGCGAGGGAAGAGCCCATTATCAGTTTGACGCAGGCCAAACCCAGACTAGAGGAGAGAAGCAGACCAGAAAGCGTCGTTGTTGCGAAAATCCCATGAGAAAGTGGGGTCGGCACGTGGAGCAGCAGCGCACTCGAGGACGCCTTGGCGACGACTGTGATTGAAGACGAGACAAGTCGTGCGCTCCATTGGACTGCGGCCGGGGATCTGATCGGCCAGAGGGGCCAGGGGGCCCCCTTGGTCGAGATAGACCGTCAGAGGGTCAGAGTGCGGTAAAAAAGCAAAAGCAATGTTGTATGTATGGCATTCCATGGTCGTCGGACGTCGGACGTGGTTCATGGTTGTTTGCAAGATCCAATCGAGGGCGATGTAACTAAAGGCTAGCGATCTGCCGGGGTGTTGAAGACCCAGGTTCCTGGGAAGCCAACCGGCCCCTTGTTTGCAAGCTGCATATAAGTTAACTAACTACTGTGGTAGGACCGCTGCTGGGTGCTGGGCGCTGGAGGCCCGTCGCGTAGGTAGGCAGAGCTAGTTACACCTCTGCCCAGGCGTGCAAAGGTACTGACGGATCTATCTGGCGGCCACGTAGCATTCAGCACTCATTCAAGCCTAGGAAGGATTGGGAGCAGCTTGGTGGGCTTGACTCCGTGCTCTGTCGGTCAGTTTTCAGTTGTAACCTGGAAAGGTACCACGCGCCAGTGACCTGTACTTTCCCTTTGCGAGACATATCCGTCGAATTAACCTAAACCACTTCCCAGTTTGCGACCTGTAACTTTTTCTCTCCTCGAGCACCCCATTCAACCCCACCCCGCTAGCATGGAACTGATCGTGGTCCGTGGGAACCCTTGAGTGTACTCTAGTACCGCACCATAACTAACTTAGCCTCCTGTGGGCTGTCGGCCGTAGCTGTCCTGGCTGCTGGGGGCCGTTCGTCGACTAAGATCCGCCAAGTTACGCGGCGAGACGATCTGGCGAGGTATCTCCAAATCAACACTATGGTACTCCCTCGGCCGTACTATGGTATTGCCCTTGGATACAGGCTCATGATCCCGGTCGACAGCGCGAGATCGGTCCTCGGGAGCTGGTTGTTTGCGTTGACTGCCCGCGAAACCGCCTTCGGGACCACTCCACGGTAGACTAACCAGCATCTGTCAATCTGCGGCCGGGAAGGGCCACAAGTGCCGGGCGCAAGAGCGATGGCAGCCCTTCCTGCAGATTCAGCTCTTACTTTTCCCATCTTGTAATTATTGACCAGTCAAATGCGCCTACGACTTGTAAACCTCCGACCGCCCTGCCAGCTTGATGGGAGAGGGGACCTGCAGCTCGGCGGTCCGCCTCCAATTTCATCTGCATTGGTTCGGGTGGAGGTTACTACGTACTGCGTCCTCGTAAGCATGGAATCTGGAATTCAGAAACGTCATCCCGCGATCACCTATTGTTGTCTCAACGGAACCAGCGGCTGATGCGACACCATCCGCACGGAGTGCCGAGGCTGGCCTGATTTGGACAGAGTTATGTTAACTGTGTGAGGCCCATCATCACCAGGATATGCCAATATCAACACCCCGCAGCCTCGAGAAGTTGACACCTCCGCAACTTAGTGCACATGTACCGCCAGGAGTCAGTGCCTCAGAACCCCACATCGGCTTTGTCTCGGACACGTCCCTCGAGGTCCCGGTGAAGCGATATATGATAGAAGGCTCACCACCACTTGTCTCATACGATCGGGGTGAGCACTGGGCGAATCACAAGGGCATGACGTGTTTGTGCATATGGGAGACCACCGTACGAGTACTTTCGTGATGCCTCGAGAAAAAAGAAGAGCGAAGGCAACGACACCCATACCGGGCGCCAAGGGTAGTGCACGGGAACTAAACCGATCGGTTTCGTCCGCGCCGTTTGGCGACTACATCGCTGGCCGGCAACCCATTCTGGCTTTGAGCCCGCATGCAATTCATATAAACGCAACCTTAACTGGATTCCGTCATCCCAACGGGCTCGTGTTTACTATCTGATACACGTCTGATCTTCCATATTCAAAGCAGATAAAGTGAAATGGCAATGAGGTCCTTGCAGCTCATTGAGAACCCCTCCTGACAAAGGCATTCAAACTCTGGATCGAAATGTGACAAGTCGTTTCCCCCCTACTTCTTTATTCCACACCGGTTGAAATAGGGTATGAACAGCTGTTCTCAATTCATCATAGAGTCTCGGACTACTGGTCTCGGCACTAACATTTTCGAAGGGGGAAAAAAAAAAGTCATCCACCAATCTGCTCTGCATGAAAATACGGGCACTATAAACAGACAGTCATCAGAGAGGCTTAGCTGCCAAGATGCCTCTCGAGTCTGTGACTGGCTACTTGATATCACAGGATTAATCCGGGCGAGATAGCCTGCATGAAGGAACTAAGAGACGTTATTCTGTTCCAGCCTGTCCATAGCCCTTAACGTCGGCGTATCGACGACCCGTGGACATGAACCCCAGACAAGGCAACGAGGCGACTGCAGCTATAAAAGTCAAATTCAGTTCGCAGCCTCACCGCTCACTATGGTGCCGGGATCTTGCATCTGCTGCCGGAAGCCCGTTAAGCACTGCATAGATCCCGGTCCATGGACGGGGAGAGAGAAAGCCACGCAGACACTGTGGGAGGCTGCAGCTGGTTGATCCGAATGCTCGGGACAAATCAGAACCGCGGGCGCCTTCCTGCCCAATTTCTCGAACATTGCCTATCTGGACGTCGTGGGGAGGCCATCCTTGTGACGTTGCACCACAACGTGGCTGGAGGGATCTCGGTTGTACCTATCTTAAGTACATCGACTTCTGGTGACCTGAAGCCCTTGGAATAAAGGAGTGGCGTTTTGGTCATGTGTCATCTCCGACGTCGAAGGGACGTGCCGTTCCGGCTGCAGTCAATCTGGCATCCCATCTAGATCACGGCTGCTGGTGGGCGCGGCAGCCGTCTATCAGTATAATCGTCGGAGCAACACCAACATCAGTCCACTTATGGTGTTCTTCATATCTTCCGCAACAACCTATCGAGTTCTCCGATCATCGTGCTTCCAATCAGTTAAGTGAAGGGAATTCGCCAAGCTACCGGCCGATCTGCTTTCAAAGCTTATTACTTCTTCAAACGATCGGCTATGTGGGGTACTTCTTGCTAACAGACCAAGACGCGGAAAATTTCCCATATCTCAGCTCATGCAGGTAACGTGGTTTCTACCTGTCGCCCTGTCGGTACGGAGGCTGACGGTATTTTTGCACCCCCTTTCGATATTGGCCCTCTATCCATACAGTACTTTCATCACCTTTGTTCCCATTTGGAGGGGCAGAACGCCATTCGTTACCGATTGCCGGTGCTGCTAGCGATGGAAACCTGTGCCGAAATGTCTTTCTTTTCCACCTCGCTTGCAAGGCGAGAGAAATAAGGACTACACCATATCTGACGGTCTGATCAGGTCCCGGGAGGAAGATCGCACATCCTTCGATGATACGCTGAAATGTCGGCCGAGGCGATCCTCTTTGCGGACGTTGAAAAGCAACTATACCGCCCACCGAGATTGGCCAATCAGAGTACGATCGCGTCCCCCTCGCAACCTTGTATCTCCCACACCCACCCGGTCCTGGGACGATCAGCCGCTTGTCAACTTGAATGCTGTCTAACCGACGTACCTAATCCATGTCTAGATGCAATTGCGCGGCGTGGTGCCGTGCTATTCACGGAATCCGCAGCGTCCGTCGAACCACGCGGCGGTTGGCACAGGTTGAAGCTCCCCGAGGCAGTCTGGAAAGAACTCGGTCGACTAGCGACTGTACTCACTAGTCTGTCACCAACGCGCGTCAAGATAACAGCAATAGGAATCACGCCTCTCACCGGTCTGCTGTCTTACTATCCCACAACGGCGTACACACCACATGTGGTAGGCAGATAAGCTAGTAACAAATCTCCCTAGGGATCGTGCAAGGTCCGGCGTGACGTCTTCGGCATCCAACCGGGACTCCTCGAGTTTATCGGAATGGCTCCCGAGTCTTCTATAGGTGCGTGCCTAGGCACTTAGTGCAACCAGGCAAGTGTTCACCTAACGTATTAGTTCATCTGTACGTAGATTTCTAATCAGCTCCACGAACCGGCCACATCCATGTCCGCGGCCGTGGGACACGAGGGAAACTCTTTTCTCTACAACGAACGTCGGTTTCCGCGCCAGGCCGTGCAGACCCCTGGTATGTATTCGTCGTATTCTGTTTTTCCTTCTTTCTTCCTCCTTGCCTCTTCTTTTCTTTTTCTTTCTTTTTCGCTAAAACTGTCATCCCCACCCGGGCCCAATGAAACGGGATGGGACACCCGCGTCGTCGGGGAGGCTAATTCGGCGGTGGGACGCAGCGGAGGGACCCCACTCTTTCTATACCCCCTGACCCCTTGTCGTGTAGCTTTTTGCTTTTCTTCGGCGCGTTATGCCTGGACCAGTACTCCGGGTGGTCCATCTTGGGGAGCATCGAAGGGAAGAGTAAAACGCTACAGTACCATTCCGGTTTCAATAAGGTTCAATGGTCAGTGCGTATTCGTGTTATAGTTAAAAAGCATTCCGGGTGGGCGTGTGTCGAAGGAAGAGCAGAGAGAGGGAAGAGTATCGGGAGTATGCTCCGGTAACCCTAGTCGTGCGGTGCATATAAGCAAAGACGCTTATGGCGGACGGACAAATCAGCCCCCCCTGTTGATTCTTCATCGACTGATGCATTCGACAGCGTTGCTTAGCGATGTCTCTGATGATTTGCATATACCAAGCTGAAAATATGTACAGATAAATGCCAGTTCTATAAACCATATTTTGCAGACCGCTCTCGGGGTATCCTGATGTGTAGCCGCCATGCCTCGGCGTCCTGTAACCGTAGTAAAATCAATCAATCCATGCCAAGTCCCCCATGGACAGCTCCCAAGAGTTTCACAACCCAATGACTGGTTGATAAATTCCCATTTCGCCGGTCGCCCGCTTGCCAAAAGTCTGGATGCGCAGAAATGATGAGAAAACAAAATAAACAAAAAGAAGGATCTGCATGTCTCAAACCCAATCAGAGGGCCCTGCAGATGAGTGACAGACGTGGAAGAATGCGAGAAAGCCATGAATAGCCATGCAGGATCCCGCAACCTGCAAGCCGGCCTCCGCCATCGCACGTGCCCATCCGTGATACACCGACAAGAACCTTTGTCTGGTAGAATTAAGGGGCTAGTCTATCACTTAACGACTTCCTGACATGGACAAGCAGGACACCACTCGTCTCGACCCCCTTCGGGCTCATCAGGCGGATAAAGCGATACCCCGACTGGAGACGATCGAGGCGGATACATGCCCAGGCGGCAAACGGATTGCCGATGAAGCCTTTTGCAGCATCTTCGACCTTGAACCTAGGGAGAAGAAATTCGTTAGCTGTTGTACTTCCACAAGTTCTGCAGGGCCTGCAAGGCTGATTATAAAAGCGACGAGCATCCGTTACTCGGAAACGGGTAGCCGCAACGCCAACAGAGCGCCGGTGTAAATCAGCGAGAGCGGTCAGTTAATAAGATAGCTCCCATCGCCTATGGCTCGCTCTTCTGCTGGAACATGTGCGACATCTTGCATATTCGATTATGCTTCTGCCGTATCATACGAGAGGAATAGGAGCCAGGCCCTTCACTAGACGGACCGTTGCGTATGCCAACTCAATTACACCTCGCTTGAAGGGCCACAGCACTTAGGTCAATGGTTGCCAAGACAGGACGTTTGGTGGGTTTCGGACGGTATCTGTAGGGAAGCGATATGACCACCTCACGACCTGACGATGGGCTAACAACGGGGGCAAGGAAACGCGGAAATTTTGCACGTAGAGAAAAGAAGGAGCGAAAATCCTTACCTCACGAAGCTGAGCTGATCCACCACATTCGGAATGTTGAGGAACTCGAATGTGTTCTGTTGGTCTCCGAAGTCCGGATGATCAGATTTGGCCGACGCTGTGTGCTGCTTTTTGTTGACTGTGCCAGTCGAGGCAGGAGCACCGACCCGGTCATCCAGCTTCTCGACATGCAATTCGCACTTGACAAGGGGGCGCAAAGATTTTGCATTGCCACTCCCGCTGCCGGCGTCCTCGGGCAGCGGGATGTGTTGGCCAGCCAGCACGGTGATGCATAGGCTGAGGGTACGATGAGGGATGCTAGTGAGGGATAGCGGCGACACGTCTTCGCTGCGGTAGCCCGGCGGTTTCAACGCCCAACCTTGCTCACCGGCAAACATGGCTTCGTTGAGCATCATGCCCTCATCCCATGACTGCCAATTCATTGCAACCATCTGAACCCCTTTGCGCCAGAAGGGCGACGGGTCCATATTCGAGGAGTCGTAACGCATGCCCTTGGGAAACGCACGCATGAAGAAGTGGCGATTGTGGTGGAAGATCTCCCGGTGCTTGGTCGTGGCAAGGTCCAGGATTCGCTTTTCACTGATGGAAAAGATGTGTGACGGGGTTTTGGCGGCGTGAGATTCGAAATTCTTGAAATGCTCGCTGTGAGTGTAGATGGCCAACGCGGCAAGTTTCTCGCAAATGGGTGTCTTGAGCTTTTTCACGGGGCTTCTCTCGTCTTCCGACCCTGAAACATCGTCGTCCCACGTCGAAGTCGGCGCCAGTGAGGGCATTACCCCAGAAGCGTCTTGCTTGGATGCCTTCTTGACCTTGACCAGGATCTTGTTGAGTAGCTCCTCAAGCCTCGGCTGCCGGGCAGTAGGACAGTCGTCGTTCGGTTTCTCAACCAGCAGTCCAGCCCACTCCTCCTTCATGATCTGCACCATGACTTCCTGCTGTTCGAACCCGCAGTGGACCTCCAGGCTGACGATGACAGGTAGGTTGCTTGTTTGGAACGCGCTTTCGCGGATCGCCTTGCATACGTCTCTAAAGCCGATGGGCGGTGTAAGGGTCCAGCCATGCATGACTATGGGCTCGTGTGTCTGGAATGAGTGTCTGGATCGGGATCTTGAGGGAGCACGGTCTTCTGCCGCCGTGGCGCCCAAAGCGGGAGAGCTCTGGCGCGCGAAGGGCGGAGATGGGAGACCAGTCTGCGTGTAGCTGGGGCTGCGACTGCGGTGCTTCTCTCCCATCATTCGCTTACTTATTGCCTCCTCTACATTCTCTACAAAAGTCGCGGCGGCGCTGTGTAGGCTGCTGCCGGAGAGGTGGCGGCTGTGTTCGGGCTTGGACGGTGCGTTGAGCGTCCTATCCGGGCTGGAGCTCGGCGAGTGCGGAGTGTCCCACACGTCGATCTCGATACAGCGACAGCCTCGCCGTAGCACCTTCCTGTATTCGTCGGCACTGCATCGTGACTTGAGCTGGTTGCCGGTCAGATACGTGTTGTGACTGCTGTTGATGAAGTAGTTGCTGATGGGCTTCGTCAAGTCCTTCGGAGTAGCGTCGGCCGGCTTGACGGCGTCCAGGCCAAACACCATCCACCAAACTTCGAGGAACTGCTCAAAGGTGTAGTTGTCCCGGGGTGACTTGGGTGTAGACTCTCCTTGCTCGCCGGCGAGGAACCTCTCAAACTTGGCAGACGATAGCAAGCTATCTTGTCCCCGCAGGGTGTCAAAGACCTTTCTCAGTCGTTTCTGTATACCGGCACTCAAGTATATGTCTCTTTTCCCGCCGGCGGTGCCGTCTCCCTGAAAGTGCACAACGGTTGGCGATAGGAACTTGGCCAGGTCAACAGCCCGCCGGAGGGCCTGTACGGTTCGGACGCCATTCACGGGATTGAAGGTGAGTTGGCGACGTGGGGGTGGCATGTCTTTGGACTTTGACGGTTTTCGTGTCTGGCCAAAGAGGGCGGGTTAGCAACTGGATCAGATCCCATGATGGCACTTTGCACCCACCCGCGTCGGGTGCTGGGCAGTGCTGGGCCCGGCACGCGAGGTTAGACTTACTGAGAAGCACATGGAGGCTGTATTCTAGGTCCGTGGGGACCTATTGGGATTCCTTATCGGTCCTCGACGTCGAATTCGAGCGGACTCGTCCACGGGAAACCAGCGAACATGGGGGAAGGGGGAGCGAGGGTGGGAGGGCTTGAAACGGAGCTATGGCATGCTGAAAAGTCCTACAGACAGCAGTACATAAGTTATGTATTGCCGGGTGGACAGGAGACACAGCAACGCAAGCAGCGGCGTTGGTCGTAGGGGATTCAGATGCACCGGAGAGCAGTCCAGAGTTTGTACGATACGAGAGAGTGCGAGAGCAGAGGCAGAGATAGAGAAACAGGACGGCCAGGCCAGAGAAGGATGAGCAATCGAGCATGAAGCGATTTAGTAGGTAGCGTAGCAGACGACATGTCAGCAAGCAGGGGGATCGAGGTCAGCTTTCAGGGATAGGCCAGCCTCGCCCCGCGGGCATGGGTGGGCGGAGGCCTTTAGCGTTTGGCACACCCACCAGCCCACTGGCCTGGGTTCTCCTATGTAGTTGATGGTTGCAGCGCGCGCCCCCGGCCCCAGAGACAGCCTTGGAACCTTACCCCCCCCTGGGCCCCCGCTACCCAGGCAGGCGATCGCTATAGGTAGTTGGCGACGTAGGCAAGGACTGTGTAGGGCCCTCGGCGTCCCAAATCAATCGCTTGCAGCGGCGATTGCTTGCTTGTCTGCTTGTACATACGTAGGGCTGCCACGCCCGCTCGGACTTCTGGCGATCGGTCGAGGTCCGGCAAGCTTTCGACGGTTGGCATGAATCCAAGACATGGTTTCTTGCGACGGGCTTGGGGGCAGTAAACCGGGCAGGTCTGTCAATAGTGTCTCATTATCTTTCCGCCCATCTCGGTCCATCTCTCGCTGCCAATGGACTGGGGGCCATGGGCCGGCCGACCCGTATCCGCGGCAAATCTCGAGAGCGAGAAGCGCAGGCAGTGGACTGATGGGTTGGGGGCTGAGTCTCGGTGGCTTTCCGCGCGCTGCTTGCCGGTCTGATTGCTCGCATTCATTTGCAGCTGCAATCTGGAGCGACCAGCGACAGAGGCCATGGGTCCATCCATCCCCCGTCCGTCTGTCCCTTGTCTGTCCTCGTCTGTCCCAGTGAACCAGTCTCCATGTCTGGTGGACTCGTGGGCAAGTGGGCTCCGCTAAACCCCTAATTTGGCCAAGCTACCGCTAATGACCAGGACCGGCTCCATGGGACCTAGCTGCCGTAGTGTACGGGCTCTCGGCTTCTATTTTTGTTTCGATGGGGGAGAAATTCATCAAGGCTGTTCCACGTCGTAGGTGAGTTGTGACCAGCTCTCAATGTCAACGAGCTGCTGCAGACAGAACCGGCCTTGGGCGCATCGAGTACACGTTCGGGCCTCTTGGGTGCGTGGCTCTGTACATGCTCAGGCACCTGCATATGCAGTTATGTTGGCGATATGCAACCTCTCATGTCAAGATATGGCCAGAGGGCGACACGGCCAGGCTGGCTGCAGTGGTCCCAAGATTTTGGGTGAGCTTCCCTGGCGGCGATAAACGGCTCGGTCGCTAAATTAGGCTCGCCCAGCCTTGGGAGGGCGCCGTCATTGGACCGTCTGTACGGAGGCTGTCTCGACTCCCACCTGCAGCACCTGCAGATAAGACAGACACACCAGGAGCATCCAAACGTCATGGCCGAACTTGTGGGGATTCGCCTTGGCGAAGCTGGCTGCTCAGCTCAGGCACTGCCACTGGACACCAAACACTCACCCGCATCGTGCATCCAGCTTCGCCCATTGTCGTTGCTACATAACGCAGGAAGGGTGACATTGGGAACATCTACAGCGGCGACCTCGTGGGCCGTGTCAGCACCGCAGCCGCAAGCAGGCAAGCAGGCAGGCAAGCAAGCACGCTTGGCGCAACCACCATGGCCTCCAAATCGCAAAGGGAGTACGAGACCGAGGTCAAATCCTGGGGGTTCCCCATGTCTTCACGTGGACCGACGGACCGTAAGAGCAGGCCTTTTCAGCCTCCTTCCCGCCCATGCGAGGCTGACAAAGACCGCAGCAATGCCCACTACAGCCCGCACTCACACCATGGGCTCACGACGCACCTCATCCTGAGAGGCCAGCTGACCATCACCTATCCGGCGGATGCTCGCCCGGAGAAGAAGACCTACTCTGTCGGCGATCGCATCGATGTCGAGGCTGGTCGTGTCCACGAGGTCTGGGTTGGACGGGAAGGCTGTACATATGTCATTGGCGAATAGAGATTGCCAGCTCAGTCGCCAACTCGGTCGCCAACTCGGTCGCCAACTCAGTTCTTGTCTCAGTGACATCCATGCTCGCCCAACCATGCGTGTTATTGACTTTGAACTGCCAAGGCAGAGAAGGAGTTATGCGAAAGCCCGCACTAGTATCCCCAGGCGCCCCGTAAGCCAGAGAGCTGAGCAATCTCGGAGTCGCTTACCGTTGAGATCAACACACCGAGTAGAGATAGTCGAGGTTTGCCCACTAAACAGCGGGAAGATGAGGAGAGCAGCGATACGGAAAAGCAAGCGGCGACAATCTCCGGTCTGAATACCAATTACAGAAGCACGATTCCGCTGCGCTGCTTCAGCGACCATCATCTGATTGTAATGACCTTCGTAGCTGCTCGCTACTTGCTACAATGTCTACCATGCATTATTTGGGTTTCAAAGAATGTTCCAGCGAATCATAGCCATCTGTTTCGGATAATGAGCTAAGAAGCATGCAAGAAAAGAGTCTCGCGGTCAAACTATACCCTCCTGAAGTAAGATGACGGTGACCACTACTATAGTGCTCCAAGTCGTCGTCGAATACTTGGAACACCACACCATTGGCAACTTCCTTGCCTTTCGCATACTAGTAAGAAGCAACAGCCGTATCAGATCGTGCACATCGCACTTTCGCATGATGGAACCTGCCTTCGAGAACTCATATTTACACATCCACCTCTGCCAACATGGCTCTCAAGAGCAACTCCATCTAACTCCATTTTGTCAAAGCAGTCACCACATTAGGAACTATTATTCCAAGCATTCAGATTCATCTGGGGAAATCATCAATCACTACCGTTCTGGACTTGTTGCATTCATAGATCACCCATCGTTACGCACCAAATCCCCAGCAAATGTCGTCCTTCTACTACTGCTCCATCCATCGCGTCTGGCACAGCATCTGGCACCTTGGCAATGGCTTCGGGGAAATTGAGGAGCCCATCGTAGGCGAGTGCGCTCTGCTCTTCTACGCGGACCGGACCGAGGCCATCCCTCGTCCCAGCTGCGATCAGGTCGTCTACCCTCCCACCGAACCCCCGTCCGTGCCGGTTCCCCGAGACGGCCGTCCTCAACCATCACCAGGAGACACGGATGCTACAGCTCCCTTTACATCTGAAGGAGGAATAGGAGAGGTACGGCCCGAAGTCGAGGCCGAGCAACCCCAGACCGTCAAGGTCCCCATGGGCCGGCGCCGCACCGACGCCGTGCTGGCCGTGGTCCCGTACGACGCCCCTGCGTACCTGGCGGGCTTCACCTTCCGGCAGGGGGGGCCCGGGCCGCGGCGGCGGCACCAGCGCAACATCCTCTTCTGCCGGTACGAGGACGCCCTCAGCGGCACGGGCCTGCCCGCGGTGCAGCCGACAGCCAACACGCAGCGCGAGATCGAGCACTACCTGGCGCCGCTGGACAAGGCTGCGGGCCGCCACGATGTCCTCGTCCGCCGCGTCCGCGACTGGAGCTGCTGGGCCCAGGGCTTCGAGTTCCTCGAGCAGGAGATCCGCTGGTACCTGGCGCTGGTGTGGGACCTGTGCAACGCGCAGCTGGGGCGCCAGCGGTCGATGCCGCATGGCGGCGGCGGCGGCGGCGGCGGCGGCGACGACCAGCGCTTCGTGCACGTCGTCTAGAAGAGCCGGCGGGAGCTGCGCGAGGTCATGCACACGGTCGAGGACCTCGTCGAGCACTTTGGCCTGGCCCGGACCGTGACCATGCCCGACGTGGACTGGATGAGGCTCGACTTCGGACCGGGGTGTCAGGGGGTGGATACGGGATGAAGTTATCGTCACGGGTACTCGTGTATGTGTATGTGTGTGCAAACTCCGTTTGGGAGCTGGTGTAAGTTGAGCTACCCCTCCTCAAAGAGGCAGCGGTCGTCCTTTTTGTGTCCCGTCAAGGGAAAAGAGGCTTTATGCCGAGGAAGCGGAGTTTCGTGTTTCCGTATTTCCCATGGTTAGGATATAAGCGTTGTCAAGTATAGAGGCGGTGGTTCAAAAATAGTCCCAATGCCAATACATCCATTCCCACGCCGCTCTAGTTGGCATATAGCCGTGCTTGTGTTAGCAGATGGCTAGATATACTGAATTTAGACTGCGTGACAGAATCGTCAAGTTACAATCCACACGTGTGGCTTCGCTCAGTCTGTACTTTTGCTTTAAAACTCTTTCTATCATTGATATACCTGATACAGCTAAGCTCACTTCTTCCCGTATCCCATATACGCCGCAACCCCTTCCCATTCCATAGAATGCCGGGGCAGGTATCACTGAAAAGACGAACAAAAGAAAAAGAAGGCTTTCCATCATGCCCAGCGCCGTTTCCCAATGCCAAAAAATGAGTGGTGCCCATCTGGGTCTCGGCCCACAATCCCAGGAATGCTGGCGTATCCTCTAGGACCATGGGCATGCATGCGTACACAAGTGTTCATCACCCGCTCCGTTACCAAGCCGAGTTGATCCTATACTCCCCCATAACAAAGACCAAACAAGCGCTGATATGAACCCCCTATGAGAACACCAGAAATGCAACTCGCTCTTGGTAATGCCTGCTCTCCAAAATCGAAATATAGTTCATAGGGGTTATCATGATGTAAATGTAGATGTAGTGGTAATGTAGTTTCGTTGATCCAAGTAGTCTGTATCACTGGACTTTCCGCGCTTCGAAAAGATGCAAACTCAAGGCAGTGTCGTTCTCGCCAACATTCGGGGTCGGCTCACTAAGGAGCTCCCATCTTCTTATAGCAAACGGGCTCAGCCGCTCGGGGAGCATACCCATGCCCAAGCCAAAGGCCATGGCGCGGCGCTCATTGATGCCCATGTTCGGCGGGGGTTTCTCGCGATGAGCAAGCATCAGTTGCTCGGCTGGATTTGGCGCGAAGCTGAAGAGATATCGCAATCGAGGGTCCGCAGTGACGTCCTTGACCGCACGCACGCACTGCAGGCGTGTGTCGTCAGAGAGGCCGTCGGCAAGGAGCAAGGCAAGGTCGAAGGCACGTTGCGATAGGGCGGATGAGGGGAATTTGTCCAGTTCTTGGACGAGGCCGGCAAGTACGAGAACTGCCCGAGCACGGGTTTCATGAATCGGCCGGGAAGATTCGGTCGGATTTGGAAGCGGCGTGGCGTGCAGCGTTAAATACGACAGGAGCAAAGGTAGCCAGTGCGAGAGGAGAGTGTCTCTCAGCAAGCTGGCTTCCGGGCTCGCAGACGAGAGAACCTCCCAAAGATCCACCAATTTATCCACCATCCCGTTGGAGATCTGTACAGGCTTTGAGGTTGGCACGCCACGAATGATCATGTCAATCACCGCCAGCAGGTTCTCGGCCACACTTGTTTCTTTGCCGACGCCATCCTCGGAGCTCACGGAATTCTTCAGTGAAGGCAAGATTTCCAGAAACCGGGCCTCTGCGCGACTTTTCATGTGCTGTGTGATCTCGGGGCTCAATGAGGGGAGCATCCCAGTCCACATGATATTGTTGGCGTCGATAGCGTTGTCCAATGCTTTGGAGAGCAGGGCTAGCTGAGACTGGAGCCGTTCCGTACCCTCGGGGCTATTGCAATCGTCCATTGCCAGATTCATAGACAGCTTTACTTGGCAAAATGGTAGAGTAAACTCGTTCGCGAGCTCCAACACTTGCTCGAACGTCTTTTGTCCCCCGCCTCCCTCGGGGACTAGTAAATTCGTCGTAATGTTTTCAATCAAAGAGCAAAGTTTGGGATCTGGGCTCTTGAGTGACAGAGTTTGACTGGCAGCTTGAGGATCGACGAGTATTAAATTACGCAAAAGTTCGAGGAACTGGACCCGTGTGTGATTGTCGTCAAGTGGCTGCGTCATGGGCGGCTGCAAGCTTTTCGACGTCGAGTACTCGGCGAGCACACCTCTGATCAGGAGCATGAGTTCTTTTGCGTGGTCAACTTTCGCCTGGTCCTGGATCAGACGGAAACGATAGCAGTCTTCCGGCGTCATGAACTGATTTGGCACCAACCCCATCATCAACATCTGCAAGACCTCTTGCAGGTAAATTGAGGCGGATCCCGCAAGCGGGCTTTGCTGTGCACCGTTTCTACCCGCGGTGGCGAAGAGAAGTAGTAGCGACAGGCACCCTGAGCTGATGAGTAAGGGGAATATGTGAGATATCGGCGGCCGGTTTGCCAGTCTCCGGACACTTTGTACCCAGGCCTTCATCAGGTTATCGAAGTGCTGAGTATCAAAAACCCGAAGTCTAGTCAGCAATACGCAGTACGGACGCTGCCGCTCATCCGCCTTGCCCCAGCAGATTTGCAGTCGGCCGATGATGGCTTCGAAAAGGCGCTCCATCGTCGGTCTGTCGGCACTTGTGTAGCTGGCAAGCTTCTCGATTTGTTCGTTGAGCTCTGTTTCGTCATCCTGCAGCTGCATTGCCATATTGTCGGACAGTGGCGAAGATGCGTCGACAGCACTGCTGCGGTCCGTTTTGATGAGGTCGTTCTGTAGACGGGCAGCCATGAAGTCCAAACCGGGCATCCGTGGCGCGAGTCGTGAGAGAGACGCTAGCAGCGGACGAGCTCCAATGCCTTGAAGTTCACTGATAGCCTTGAGGCGTTCCAACAGTGCGCTGAACAGGGGCTTCGCTGAACCGGTCGCGGCGAAGACATGGAGGTGCAGGTTGACTGTGTCAGCACAAGAGGCCAGGAGCTCCGGATTCGAACAACCGACAAGGGCCTTCAAGACTCCCTCCAGCATTGTGAAGTCTTGAGCCGCTTCCAGCAGCGTCCGTACAGAGTCAAATTGGGAGCTGGATAACTCAACGCCGCCCTTTTCCGACCGCATATTCTCGGTGTAAGTGGCCACGAACTGATTACATAACCAATCGCCGATCTCTGATTGATATGCCCGACTACTCAGTTTGATACGCTTGACCAGTTTCTTGATGCTCAGGGGCTTCCTTGGAAGGCCAACACCGTCCGCCTCCTGGGCAACACCCAATGTTTGCTGTATGCATCGGACCGCGTTGGCAATGTCTTCTGCTTCAAGCTCTGTAGAGAATGCACCTTTGCGTAATATGGTCGAACGGAGGCACCGTATCGACTCTTTGAGGTTATGTGTTGGAACTTCGACTAGGAGCCTAGTCAGGCACGGCCCCTCCGGTTCTGTCTCGGCAGGATCGACCAATCCTCCTCGGGCAATCAGCCACTGGAGGTACTGAGGAATCGAGAAGCGGCCGGACCGAACTAGTTCTGATACGAGGTGGTAAACCAGATGTTTCCGATCTAGTTCATGGAGCGGGTCCTTGTCCAAGAAGTCCAGGATCGTCCCGGTAATATCAACGTCAAGTGCCGACCACGAGCTGAGGATCCTGGCTGTGACATACACCTTGGCGATGCCTTGACGGTATAGCGACATGCACCATTCAAGGACAGTCATGATCAGACTCGTCTTATCGTCACTAGTTTTCCATAGGTGTATAGCGAGGTCTTCAACGTAAGGCTTCCGTAAAGTCGTGTCAAGCATTTTGACGACTGTGCTGCGAACCGCAGGTCGCGATTTGATGTGTGTGCTCACAAGTCTCTCGTTGCGAGCATCTATTGCCTCAATGGCGAGTCTGTGAGCTTCGCGGTCATTGGGTAAGGCGGCCAAAATGATACTACGGTATCTAGACCAGGTCGGAGGATGCACAAAGCTCTCTGGGCTAGCCAAGAGTAGAGAGTCCAAAAGGATCTGTAATTGGTTAGACAGGGGTAGGAGGATGTCGCGGTCGGGATGCTGGTATATCTGATAATGAAGTTAGTAAACTCGAGACTGGACCCGATCCTCGAACACCAAGAAACTCACAGCAGCGTGATGGCTCAAAACTGCGGTGGCGAGCCGCCGGCCCGTCTTCCTGGACCGAACCAAGTCCTTCCAGTAGATTCGAACCATGAGGAGCCACATGGGTAACCTCGCTTGGTTGCTGTTCTCCAAACCCGAAATCAGCCACTCCGTGTAGTGATCTCTCTCCAGGAGGTATTCGCAATATAAGTGGGTTGCCAGACGGACGCTGTAGGACAAATATTAGCACCGGTAGACCTTCACCAAGGAGCCAATGGGAGAATACTGACGCATATGTCACTTTGGCCTTCCACTCGTTCTCATTGAAGGCACTGACGACGCCTTCCACAAACTGTTCGATGTGGATGGTCCAGTCTCTGATCCACTTGATCTCGCCGCCCATCGCAAAGGTACCGTTGAGGCCCTTTCTCTTGAAAGCTCGGATCTCGTTGGCGCCCACACACTTGGCTAACCAGACAGCGCGGTCGGTGGGTACGTTCTTGTTCAGACACTGATCCAACAGAACCCTTCCTCGAATGCCGTGGGGGATGGTCCTACTAAGGCGGCGCAGGGATATCGCAGGGTTGGCCAGATCCCTGAGCCAGACCTCCCTTTTTGTATCCGTCAGGGTGACTCGGGGCGGCGGCTTAAAGGTCGAGGCCGAAGTGACCTGTCCGCTGTGCCTTCTCTGATTCAAGATGCCGGTGAACAGGGTTGAGAGCGTATGCAGCCCGCTCTTGTGCTTGAGCGCAGGGAACAAGGTGGCTTTGGCTGAAGTCTGCTCCGACTGGACCTGCGCCGGCGCCTTGTCGTAGTAGCCACTGCGGATGACGCTCTCGTTCAGGCGGTCTTCGGGCCCGTTGCCAGTCCAAGGACGGAAGTCGGCGTAGGCGGCGGGCTCTCCTTTCCCCATACTGGAGTACCGAGGGGCGTCCGCGGGAGGCTCGAGGACGAAGGGCTTCGGCTTCACATCTTTCTTGACGACGGCGGGCGGGGCTGTCGGGGTCGGGCGGGAGAGGGGCACGGCAAAGCGCGGGCGCCTTGGCGGCATGGGCAGAGGTATAGAGTCGTTGTCGGCGGTCTGGCATCGCGAGGCAGGGGCGCTCATATCGGCGAGCGGGGAGGCTTCGCCTAGAGGCATGACGCGCGAGGGCGTGAATGGCTTGTTGGCCGATAGGGGATCCAGAGTCTGGGGGGACTCGGAGAAACCGGCGTGGGTGATGCCATCGTTGGCCAGCTCCAGCTTGAGCTTGGAGCCGCCCCTCCTGGGCGCGGCGCCATAGGGGCCGAGGTCATCGTTGGCGTTGAAGGTCTCCGACTTGCGTACGGGCGAGGGCGGGAGGTACTGCTGGGAGAGGGTGCGCTGATGCGGTGGTCTTTGCGACAACCCCGAGCTGGATAAGGAGCGCTGCTGGGGCTGCCGCTGCTGAACGGCCAATGGGGGCCGCGAGGTCATCGTGGGCGGGCAGCCTGGTGCGCCATATCTTCGAGATGTTCACGGTGTTGTAAGGGGCCGCCGTCGAACGGGGGATCTGGGGGGGAGGTGGCGAGTGCTGTACCTGTAGGCTGACGGTCGAAGCGGCGGTCGAGGTCGGCAGCCCGGGTCTAGAGCTGGTGTCACGATGTGCACGTGCGGCACAGAGGGCGCAATAATCAACCCAGCAGCAGGGGGAGTCGTCGGTAGCAAGGGGATGGGAGGGGGCCAGGCGGCTTGTCGTCGTGAAGGGTGACGAAGGCTCGCGGCGCGGGAGTTGAAGGTGAGATGGGGTGGTGTGCAAGGGATGACAGATGGACCGGACGTTGGTCGACCGACTGGGTCGTTAGTTAGTCGCAAGCACGCACGCCCACGCCGGCCAGCAGACAAGCAAGCAAGCGGAGCGGTTGGTAACTCGTTCGGTAAGGTGGAAGTGGATGCGGGAGTGGATGTCTTGAGTGGATGTCTCGAGTGGATGGTCCGTGGTCCGTAGTCCCGTAGCGTAGATAATCGATGTCCCTCCTACATACTGTGTAGAGGCGAGCAAGGTGCAAGGCGAGCGGATGGTGGATGGGTGGATGGGTATTGGGGGCTGGCTGGGGCCCTGTGTCCTAGGTAACTAATCCGTCGCGACTACGAAATACATGAGTACATAACTATGCAACCTCGAAAGGTAGTTAAGGTACGGATACGCCTGCATGTACTGTGCCAAGGGGACCCGAGGAGTGGATGGGGGGATGGGGGATGGGGGATGAGGGATGGGGATGGGGGGGAATGTCGCGATAGGTGACTGACAAGTCCGCCGAGTTACCGTGGTGTTAGCGGACGGGCGGGGGGAGGGACCAGGGCAACCAGGGAGTCAGACAGGCGCCAGCAAGGCTGGGCTAGCGATTAGCGACGAGACCGAGCTGACGAGCACGCCAGCGGAAATGGCATGGGTCGGCCGATGCGGTCGGTGGCTCCCGCGGCTCGGGTCAATGGTCGAAATAGTGCTGCCACTATGTAAGTTATGGCAGGCGGCAGGTACAGGCACCACGAGTGCCCTGCAGCCGAACGTTGGCAGCACGGGCAGAACGGGCAGGCTGACAGGGACAGCCTCCTGCCTGTGCAAGGAAAGGAAACACGGGCACGGCACAAAGATGATCAGAGGAGGAGAAGTCGGCGGTCCGATGGAATGCACTGTGCGTATGGTATGTGTATGTCCAACGTATCCAATGTGGGTGTTTTGTGGTCTGCTGGGCCTCTGGTGGTATGGTATGGTATGGCATGATAATGGTCCATCGTTTATACCTGCCGGCCTCGATATCGGCACCGCCGGGAGCATTCTGTCAGCTCCCTCTTGCAGCACGATTTAACCTTGCTGCTGCTGCCTCTGCCTCTGCCTCTGCCTCTGCCTCTGCCGACAGAACAAGACACACAGCGGCAACACTGGCTGGGGGCCGCGGGACGGTCAGTCAGGCCAGCAGGTCGCGTCCGGGGTGCGATCTGCACTTGCCGCCTTAGGGTGCCATCGGAACCGCGGGAAACAGATGCGTCGATGGGCTCCAGGGCCCGGGGCCAAGCAGAGCTTCTAGTCTAGATACCGCATCCTTTTGTGAACGACCATGCTTCCATCCTCCGCAGGCGACCTCAACCTACATACTCTACCTAGCATGCAAGCCAAAAAGGCGTTGCGCACTCCTGCTTTCGCCCCTGGTTAGTCGTGTCTCCCCAGGCTTGTCCCATCAAATGATCTCCTCCTCTTGCCAAGGACTTGCACTTGGCCTGGCACGGCCTGGCCGTCTCGGTTGCCGCATTTCCTTGGCGCTCCCGTGGCACAGGATTCAGAAAGCACTTCCCTTCCCGAGGCCGGTTTAGACCTGCGGCTCCTCACTTGCATTGGCCGCCCCCTGGCCCTCCCCGGACCATGCCACCTTCTGCATGGGCCAGCCAAGCTCATCCATGCACAGCTATTATTATGTGCAGCGTCTCATGCTCCAGCTACCTCAACTTGTTCACTGGCAGGAAACAAACAGAAACACGCCATGCTGTAAAGGTCGTCTATCTACGTAACAACCTGACTTGCTCTCAGCTCGGGTCCACCTACGAAACGTAGAACATGTTGCTGATTCGCATACCATGATCGCCACTACATGGTCGCGCGGCTGGATGCTTGCGACAGTACTGTGAAGGTTCGCACCCACATTCCCTATCCCGGAAAGGATGGTGGAGGCTTTCCAGCTTGCGTCGTGCCGCCGGTCTTATTAAGCAGTCCAAGTCGAATTAGGGACGTGACGTGACCTTCAGTGGCATCCCCTAACCGCGGTGGCCCCAAGCTGTGTTTGCTTTCCGGACACTAGGACGATACACACATAGACCACCAGTACCTACCAAGAAGGGGGCTGATTAATTATTGCAGTACTATGTATACACGGCCGATACCCTGAGATCGTGTCAGCAACCGTGCCCGGATTCCGCATTGGTCAAGTCTTTTCCCGAGGGCTTGAATCCTTCTCCTGGTGCATCCAAACTCCCATGGATGCCCACGTTGTGCAATCTGGTTCTTGCTTGATCGCGAGCTCATCCTGTGTGCGTGTGTGTAACGGTACCGTGGAGACAAGCTCGTATGCTGCGATCTACATGATGCATGTCTGAGATACATGACATCGCTCTCTCCTCCCTTCCAGTTCTGCGGCTGCAAGCACTGACGCGCGGGGAAGTTGCACAGTCGGACCACCCCTCGACGGTAAATGTGCCTCCCATAAACGGGCGATGGGGTACCGCTTCTGTCGGGCTTGTACGTCGGTTGGCTCTCCAGAGGGGTGACACCTCGATGCCAGGCACTCCTAAACCTGTGTGAGGCCAGCCAGCCAGCCTCAGACGTAGCCCATCACTCCACGGGCGTGCCCTGATTGGTGCCATCCATCCTTTCGTTTACGGAAGCAGCTTGCCAAGCGAGGCGAGAAACCCTCCGAGGGTTGCTAGTTATCTACGACTGGAGACCGGGCGCCTTCTTCGGTGCCCGAATGCTGACTGCTTCGGAAGGATGCAGCGGAGCACAGAGTGCATAGATAATGAATGAGCAGCTGCCAATGGAACCGACCTCGATACTCCTCCTGATAGACCGGTGTTCTGCCCACCATTGCAATCCTCCGGGTCAGGATCATCGATGCAGCAATCTATTCCGGCCCTCATGGAGAGATGGCATGGAAGCTGAATGGGCGGTTTGGATGCCTTGATTACGTTGGCTGGCTTACTGTCCGCGGGCCTTTTGGCTGGCGAACCACTCACCACCTGCGGTCTGATTGCGCCTATCACACTACAGCTCGCTTGAGCTCTTGTTTCGGGAAAATAGGAAGAATAGCCAGCCAGGTTACTTTGACCCCAGGTGTCGCCATCGACTCACCCATCTGCAGCGCCAGCAATTGGTCATATAGATATAATGAGCAAGACCCCGAGCGTGCTGTTGGCGCTTTTGTGCGTATGGGACTGAACCGAATGGAGAACAAGCCGGACGCCATGTTGCAGGCCACATGGAACAGCACTGCAGCACTGTCTCTACGGAGGCTGTACCCAGATCTCGTCCGTCTTACACCGGAAGGATTCGGAGACCTGCCCCAGGGAAATGCCCAAGTACCTAACTCACGCAATATAGTCGTATACAGTGGCATCTAGGTACCTTTAAGCTATGTCATCTGGATACTCGGAATAAATAATGCTGGGGGTTATGCAACCCCGCAAGTCACGGATGCGATTCCACGCCCGGAAGAAGGGCCCCCAAGATTCGTTATCGGTACGCTACGGGGGGTCTAGCGCGGGTCCAGCCCCAGGTTCAATCCATCTTGCCAGGGCCCCAGAGAGACAGCGAGAGGAACCAGCGAAACCAGAGGGACCCCTGTCCGGCCGGGGGTTGCGCACCGGAGCTTTCCTGGTATGGCCTGCCTCACAGGTCGCACGCAACCTCCGTCGCGATCCTCTCAACTCAACGTCGCATCAACGCCGAAATCCCGCCTCTGCACCTGTCCCGAACCGCCCGACGTGCCCAATCTCTCACCATGGCTTCCAAGAAGGACATGCGCCGCCCGGACCTGAGTATGTGTCTCTCTGTCTCCAGCTCTTCTCCCATGACTTTCCCCGGGGGGGCCCACGTTCCCTGGGAGTAGATAGACGTGTGCGACAACCGCAGAGGCTGACCAAGCTCCCTCCCCCTATCGCAGTCGTCCCCTACCAGGAGCCCAGCGCCAAGGGCGAGAGCGGCGACTTCAGCTCGACGCTGTCGTCGACGCTGCCCATGGCCGCCATCTTCACGCGCAACCGCTACATCGGCTGGGCCTCGGTCGTCTTCAGCGTCCAGAGCTGGCTGGGCGAGAGCGAGGAGGCCACCAAGAGCGCCGGCACCCCGGGCTACTTCACCATCGGCATGTCGGGTGAGTTTGCTATACCATCGCCTTACCCCCGGTACCGAGGCACAAAGACTAACTCTGTCCGACCACACCAGTAATGGCCCTCGCCACCACCTACCTGCCCTTGTTCCTGCCGCCCCCGCCGAACGCCCGCGGCACCAGCACCGGTCCCGCCGCCCCGGCAGCCGCATGAGTTCTGCTTGCGTGATATGTTGGAAGGGAGGTTTTCAGGTGGGCGTTGGTCCAATTCGGTGCGGGCTGCCCCTATGTCCGCTGCCGGACCCTCGCATCATACAAATAAGGGGGTGAAGAGAAAGGGGTGCCGCTGTAAGAGCGTCCCGGAGAGGGTCTTGATTATACCCAAGCTGGGGCCCCCGGGCCGTGGTGTTTCACTCTGTACAGCCTGTATACTGATGAATTGGCTCCGGCAGAGTCGATTGTACAAATACAACGAAAGGTGGTAGACTAAAATATAAGTTATGCGGGACATCTGCACCAATCCCACCCATGGGTGCGTGATTATGATTCCCAGCGCCTTTGATGCCCGCAGGAATATATGTACGGGCCGTTTCGGATATTATCCGTGGTGCTCGGGGTCCTTTGGTGCTTCCGTAGATCTCCTCGAGGATGTCAAGGCGCTCCTATAAAGCCCCATGATGCTAATGCCGCAGGTAATGACCCCCCCTCTGTAATGAACCCGATTCTACTAGGTGCAAGTGTCCTACCAATATCCGAGGGCTACGTGCGTGCCTCATGTCGAGTGGCCAATGCGAGATTTCCAAGCACATGTGGCAGGAAACAAGGCCTCTATCGGGCTTCACCCATGAACAACTCAGAAGGGACTTGCCTGAATCCTAGCTATTCCCACCTGAGCATGGAATACCGAGATGCGCAAGTCATGCCACGATAATCACACATTTCCACGATAATTGATGGAATGTCAGCATTGATTCATTACTACCCTCCCGTCCCCTGCCATGATCAAATTAGCCCAAAATAGTCAGACAGCCCCCACCCTACACTCAAGGGATCTGGTCCCTCCCACTCGTCTTCTCTAGTCTTCGTCAAAAATCTGGTACGTGTTCTGCAATATCGTGTCCACCACCCTAACCTGCCAGCCCGAGTCGGCGATATTGCTGCTCGGGGCCGTGCCCATCAGCGTCGGGCCGAACACAATGGCCACGTTCTGTGAGTTCATCCTGGTCACACCCGAGTTGTCCATGACACGGTGCAGGTGCAAGGTCAAGGCGCGCAGGGTCGCGTAGTTGGGGTCGGGAAGCTCGTTGATGATGGCATGCATACTGTCCCGCCGGACAATCTCGTCCTCGACCTTGGCGGCCTCGATAAAGTCCGAGTACCGAGCCGACGTGAGCAGGGGATCTGGGAGGTCGCGGAAGAACTGCTTCAATAGACCGGCTACGCTGTTCACGTCGTGGAAGAAGTTCTCCGGGTTGCGGAAGTCCAGGTTGCGTGAGTCGGAGTCTAATACATCAAAGTGAGTATGGTTGCGGGACGGAGGAGGGGCAAAGGGGCCTACGAACCTGTATCAAACATATTCTTCAACTTCTGAATATGTGTCGCGGAACCCGACAATCTGTATATGCCCTCAACGGCCAGGCCAAACAAATCCACAGCTTGAATACACTGGTAAACCACCATGGGCACTGCCAGACCATCGCGCTCATAAAGTCGGTCTAGCGTCAAACCAAACACTTGTTTAGGCCTCGTACCGCCAGCTGCTGGTGCAACGGGACCGGCGACTGTGCTAGGCGGAGAGACGGAGCGTACTGAGTCGGGAGGCTGGTAAGGGTTTTGTCTTGGTGGGGAGGGACTCCGGTTCGTCGAGCTCTGGAAAGGTAAGGCACCAAGTTGCGGAGGGCCAGCCTGACCGATACTGCCACCGTTCCCAAATCTCTGATGAGGGCCCGACAAGGCTTGGATGGAGTTCCTCTGGTTTTGTGGCGGTTGCGGGGGCTGACTGGCCTGGTTGAGCATGGCTCCATGACTGAAGCTTCTCTCATGGCCTGGCTGAGACCCTGGCCTTTGAGAAGATGGTCCCATCGAGGAAGCGCCCATTTGAGGAGGACCCATGGAGGGAGGGCCCATGGCTGTAGGAGGTCCGTAGCCCTGTCCAGGGCCTTGTGGACCCCCGGGAGACGACACGTCGAACGTCCCCTGTCTAGAACTCATAGACCCGATCGGTTGTTGAGGCGGAATTTGTTGGACAGGTGTTGGGTTTTGTGACGGGGGCCGTACTTGTTGTTGAGGCATCTGGGATGTATTGATTGTAGATATATTTGCCTGCGGGTTCAACACCGGATTGCGTTCATATTTTGGCTCCGAGGATTTGGGCGGCACTTTGCTATGAAAGCTCAACAAGTAGTCTTCCAGGTCCTTGTTATTGTCTACGCCTTGAATAACCTCCTTCAGACTACGAGAAGTCTGCAGGGACTGGTTCTTCAGGGGGCTGATCACGAGACCATTGCTTAGTAGTAGCTTTTCATTGAACGATGCTGAGGATGGTTAGCTGCTGCAATGACAGGTGGAGGGCGGTGATCTCCACGGCGGATCTTAAACCCAGAACGGGCAGAGACGCTTGGTACACTATAGTAAGTTGACTTACCGAACTTTTGCATCTGCAGAGTAGTGGCAGAATCACATTCCCGTACAAGATCGTTGAGCGCCTTGATGGCTTCCGGCCGGGTGGTGGCTACCACAGTGGCCTTCTCGGACTGGTAGGTCTGCACCTTGCCCATGTAATCCGTGTCGGCGGCCTGTACTTTGCGAAGCAGATCCTCTTCATGCTGAGCGGCAGACTTTGGCCCCTTCAGACCAAACATCTTGCCGCCCTGCCTCGCCTCGCCGGTCCTGACTCGGTCGTAGTCCTCGGCGAGCGAGTCGTACTTTGCCTTGGACTTGCGCATGGCAGACTCAATGTCGGCCAGACGTTGCTCGGCCGCCAGACCGTTTTGCTTCCAGCCCTTGCGGTGCTTTTCGGCAACGGCAGCCACCTCGAGGAGGTCATCGTGCATCTGATGGAGAGACATGGCGAACTGCTGGCCGTTTTCGGCCATCCGTTCGTGTATAACAAGCATCTCCTCATATGCCTGCGCAAAGCTGCCCTGCCGGTGGTCGGCATGGTGTATGTTCTCCTGCGTCATGCGGCATAGCTTCTTCATTCCCCTGGCATGCTCGTCCTCCAGGACCGATCTCTTCTTCAGAAACAAGGCAAACTCCTTGGCCGCAGCGACGCTCTGCTTCAGCCGGTTCAGCATGGTAGAGACGCCAATGTCGGAGCCCAGCACGTCCTGAACTTGCTGGGACACCTCGGGCCCGCCAGTTGTCGGCGACCCGGGGGTGGCCGCCGTCGGGCCAGCGCCGTTGGGGGGATGAGCTCCGCCATTCTCGGCAGCCGGACTGCCTGGTGCTGGTGCTGGCGTGGTTCCGAGCGACATGCTGCCGGAGCGTTCGCGAGTAGACGGGCGTTGGGGTGTAGGCAGATCGACCGACTGGCGGCTAAAGTCAGCCATGATGGGTGCTGCGTCTTTGTAATGGGCTGGCTGGTCGGTGGTGTTGCGCGGATCAAGGCCAGCGCCAATGGCCGGCTCGCTCGAGCTTGCTGGCTGAAGTCGTGGCCCGGGGTTGGGCGCGCGCGGCAGCGATCCTGGCGTGAGGATTCGCTGCGAGAGGATACAGGTGTAAGCCCTGTGTTGGGTACCGAACTGCTGTGTGAAACGTGGACGAGGGGTCGTCCGCAATGCCTTCGACGATGCGACACGGGCGGGATGGCCTCGAGTGAGTGAATGAGCAGGACCGACGTTCGTTCGTCTACGGCCCCCTGCGGTGCGCCTTCAGGAGCGGGCAACTGATCCGTCTGGTTGCAGCCAAGTCGATCACTCGGGATAGTGGCCCTCGACGGCGGTTGCGGGCCTAGCAGAAGCGTTGTACGGAATGCGACTCGCAGCAGAGTCGTGAGAGAACGGGCAGACGCTCGTATCGGTGATGGAGTCGTGCGGTCTTGGCCTGCGAGTCTAAAAGGTGGCACGGAGACAAATTTGGGGCCTTTTGAGGCTTAGACATGGGAGCTACGTAACCGCTATAGCGCTAAGTCGTTAGTTGGGAGCGCTATGTGCCTGCACCACCTTAACGTATCGACACCCGCCCAACCGCCCTCTAGGTTAGGTTCATCCTGCCCCTGCCAGCGTGCTAGGTATTAACTAGCCTCACTACGTACTGAATAGGTACCTACTGTAGGTATGCACAGGCACAACTGACTGGGGCAACCGGCGAGCCGGGAACCGTCAACAACCTTGGCAGCCTCCCAGATGGGACTGGCTGCCACTGTACGAGTTAGGTTACTTCGACTGGACCGCCGATACATGGTAAGTCGATTTACTATGGTATATTCACAGCTGCCCAGGTGGACTGTTGACCTGTCTGTTGGCACCACGGGTCTCCCTTCCCGGCTGGATTGTATTCCATAGCCCCCTTGGTTTCCGCTTGGCCTTGGGTCTTTATCTTCCCCGGGCATGACAGTTGCCCCATAATGAGGCCCGACGGCAAGCACCCCCGTGTGGCGATCCTCACGACGCATTCCCCCAAACCCCAGACCGAACAACGCCAAAGGTCTCAGACATCAGACGTACCAAAATCCTACAAATTCCTACTCACTTACAGTTTGGCGGCAGCGCACCCGCCTCTGTGCAACTTTGTCACCTCAAACACAGAGCCTCTGTTGTTATGGTGCAGAATGATTTCTGTTTCCAGCAACTTTTTTTGTGTCGTCCGTGTGTTCTGCTGTTGCTCTGGCTCTGCAGCTAAGAATACGACATGAGATGAACACCCCGGTCTTGCCTCTGTCGCCTCTGCCACCCGTCCCCACGATGCAGCAGACCCTGACAATTGTCGATCGCCTGCCAGCATCATCAGACCATCTGATACATGGCCTCCGGAACTGCCGGCCAGGGGTGTCACAATGCTGAAGCAAGCCGATGCTGTGCCGGCCAACCTTCACTCGTTACCGTGACGCTTGCTGCGGTGCTCACGGCATTAACTTGAACGACAATCAAGGAAGGAATTCCACTTCCTAGGCCCTTGTGAGCAATCTGGTCCGCGGCATGGGCTCGCCAACATTATCCCAGCCCTTGAAACATGCGGTCGTTTCTACAGAACGATAAAGCTTGGCTGGACTTTTCTGATTGGTACTCGACATGAGCACCTGGGAATACTCCTCGTAGTTGGAAGCAGCGCCGCTTCAACAACCAAACGTGATAAATGCGTACATTAGTCATTACACGGAGAATTACTTTCATCTATATTCGAGATTTCTTGTGCCGCAAAAGAAGCGACCGATGCAGATGAGTTTGTCCAATTCCAAGGACCCAAACAATCGTACACATCCACCCATGATGCAAACTAACCACCGCCTCCGCCCTGAGTACCTCCCTGGTATATAAGAGCCTTTTGACTCATCATGTATTCGTCAACGATTTTAACTGGACAGTGGCTAATGGCCATGCTTACTGGCGCCATTATCATAGCAAATACCTTGACTCACTACATTATTAGGACTCAGTGTAATGAGCTGGAGTTTATAAGACTGGATTCAAGTGTTGAATAGAGCTGTCCTGGGACACTGCCATATGGTAGGATAATGGAGCAATGCTCTAAAACCCCATTTTGATCCAAGTCTTGGGTATTGGTGAAAGAAACATACCTCCAATTGATCCCAACAGCAAGATATTGCGCAACCCATCGAAGTCTAGCTTGTACCACGCCCGGCATAGTCGAGTAGTTTTGGCATGCGACATATCCTTCTCAATTTTGATGCACCTCGACCAAGGGCAGAACCGAAATTGCTAAGCGCGGAGAGTAGGTTAGTTCAAGGTGTCATGTCGCAGGCGACGAAGGTCAACAACAAGGTCAAGAAGTTGCATATCATCCATTTATGCGTGGCTATCGTGATCCCTACCTACAGCGCCAGCCTATATGTATATGAGATAAATCTCCACGTCAACGTTCTCTCGCTAGTCTTCGTAGCGCTTTCGCTAGTACCTAAGGTCCTTACTACTGCAGCTCTTCGAACCAGCTTGAATAGCTTTCCTACGCGTGAGACAGGGGAATCGGATGTGCAAATAAACTAAACTCTATTTGAACATATCGGCGACGCATTCAGATTCAACCATACCGATCACTATTATCTAGTGAAACGGGCTGGTAGATACTTCATGCGCGGGATGGCGGAGCAAATCGTTCCCAGCGAGGTGGTTATCGTGAACTCTTGCTGTCCTGTGATGTGTGGCTTCTGTGTCATTACGCTCTGCCTTTACGCCTGATTGTGGCTCCATATGGACATCTGTGGAAGAAGTGACGAGCATGGTGCTTGAACACTCGTGAGCTCAACCACCTTAGGCACAGAGAGACATGGAGAGCTATGGTTGAACGATGAGCGTCTCCCGTGAGAGCGCTAGACTTACTCAAAAGGCTCTCATTTACTGTCGAACCTATGCAGGCCGGCTAACTTCATTGCTACGGAGTATGATGAAGAACTGTATCGTGAGACATTCAACGATATCATGTCCAATTTGAAGGCAAAGGGGGGCAGTCTAAAGCTTACCTAATGTAAAGAACCATCAAATCACCAAGAACGTCACATTTGGCCATACATAAGCTGAATCTATATTCAGATTCATCGTTATCGGCTATGCAACTCCTGCAGCATTGAAGATCAAGGAAACTGCACCAAACAAATGGCAGCTAAATTCCACCAAGCAGGTCGCGACAGGATAATCCTAGCGTAGGCATACTAAGAGACGTATTTCGAAATTAGACGCTCCACTACGTCAGTTTGATCACAACCACACCGACTTCTATACTAACCGTATATGATATGACTACGAGTGGCTTGCTCTATGCGAGTGCGGTAAGGTTAAGTCCTCCTCCGCTCACACCCACACCTTTGGCAACATAACATCGCCGTCGACTTTTGTTTTTCGCAACCGGTAGTAAGACCCTGGAAATCTGGCTCTCGCGGTCGAGATCCTCCTGTTGGTATCGATTTGGCCGTCCTGTATTGAATGGTGCAATGGAAAGAGAGTAGTAGACTATGTAACAACCTTTACCTCTAGGGCTAGTATATAAAGAGTTCCCATTGCTATACGGGCGGCCCAAAACGGTTAATAGGTCCTCACAATCCCCGGCCAAGCCGGAAAGTCTAGTTCTCGTAGAACCAGAATCACCATGTGGTGTGTCTCTACACAGCAAGGAGCCTCACTGCATCTTGGGACGCGATGTGTGCTCCGGGCAACGAAGGTCAGCACTCGACCAAGCCGGGATCATAGAGCACGATCTAGAGATAGTTGCGACTTAGTTATTCGACACGAATACGGATAGGATTGCAGCATAGGCAGCTGTCACCACCATCATCTCGTAATTCGACACCTTCAACATAGCTGCAACAAGAAGAGAGAATATCACTATGCACGCTGAGACGACGGCTAGCTGGGTGACTTTGGATGACGAAGCCGACAGAATGGCGAGGGGAACCACCAGGGAGACTCCCGCGACGGTTGCAGTAATAAATCGTCCAGCGATATTGGCCACCAGGACGGTGTTCTGCTGTGACCAATGGTCCTTAGGTAGTGACATGAACGATCCTGGGCTGTTCTGTTTCTTAGAGGCCCTCCAGTAACGGAAATCCCGCAACTGCTGGTGTATCCAGCGCTGAAAAGGATCGGTGCGGGATCGCGTACCAAGATCCGCGCGGATGAGACGAGTCTTGTACATCTCATGGAGTGTCAGGTCTGTGCGCATGCTCGATGTTTTCTCATCGTCCAAGAGTGACACGGTCTCCATCGCCATGATTTGGCCAAAGGCTAGGAGGGCATCATCTATTCGGTGTCAGCGTAGGCGTCGATGTAGCGGAAATCGACATACCGTATTGCTGTATCAAGCTACGCAGCTGCAGGACCATTTCTCGTGTTATAGTTTCTCTGACATCAGGTACGTTGGAGTCCGTCTTGCTGTTCTTTAGTCCCAACCTGTCGCGGGCCGATGGCTCGTGCCCTAGACTGAGACCTGCCTGGTAGATGGAATGATCGAGCTTTGCAATCTCTTCCTCTAGGAAACGGAGATTCAACAGATGTGTCGTCTTGTAGCGCCGAAAGCCATGTAGTGTGAGATTGCTGTCGTCGGTGATGCGGGGCCACAACTGGCGGAATTGCCCCGCAGTCGAGTCGACACTTGGGAGAGATCCATTATTCATAGCGCTATACAGGATATAATGATTTGAAGTCTCTGCAGACGCTGCGATTTCAGCACTAGGTAGATAGACGGCTTGAATAGTCAGACACAATACCGGCGCAATTCCTATATCTGAGTCCACCGAGTTGCCTCGCAGTAAGTTCTGCTTATGCAGACATGGCCTCCAAGGCTGCCCTGGCTGTCTCGAGATCAGTTGGCCTTGCCTCATACTTGCATATGTAATTACTACCGAGAAAAGCACGCAGGATCCAGGGCACTCAGCCACGTCAGAGGGATGTCCCCTTAGAACGGGACGCTTGGCCATCCCCCGTGGCCTCCAAGTGGCAATATCTATCATATGATCTCGTTCAAGTTGGGTTTCTTGGCAAACCTTGGCATCCCACCACATTCATGCAACGGCCTAGAATTGATCCGTGCGTACTCTGTACATGCCAATAGTAGGGAAGTAAGGTCTTAGTATACGTAGATTAAGCTTTTTTAGGACTATAATTGACCGTTGAGTCTCTGGAGTCTCCATCGCCCAATGGCAACTTTGAGGTCGCGGAGTTGATCTTATCAAGTACTCATCGTGATGTACGTTGTGATGAAGCATTTGGGAGCCAACTACTGAAGGAACTTCTGTGACATTGGCTACGCAGAGCCTTTGGTGATACGGGTCAATCATGAGCCGTTACAGAATTACGGTGGGATGCCAAGGCCCGCCAAGAAATTCAACTTGGCCGAGATCAACCAAGTAGGAGCACTTGCTCTCAGGCGGAGAATCCAGACCGATTCGCTGCTGTCATTTTATGATTTTAGCAACACGGAGCAGCAAGCGAGAACCCGTCCCCTTAACATTGAATGCGTACGATACATGTGACATCGGGTGCAGTGTGCCTCGGGGGCTGTGCAGCTCGAGTGTCTGGCTTCTTACAGCTACTTGCAGACAGCCCCTGCATCACAGTCGCCTTCACCCAATCAGATGATGAAGTTATTTCTCTATCACCTGCAGCACTTCCCCACTCAGGCACCCAATCTCATTTGTACGCCCCTTCAACGGAGTCTGTCAAGGAGTTCAATTCCCCTAAAGTGTTCCTGGCCAACGTTCTACCAGTTTTCTGGACATTCGCTTTCAGCAGTCTAGACATGTATAGCCAAGGTCAACCCAGCCAGCCTAGTATGAAGCCGCTTCGTCGTCTACAGCATGACAATTACACTGTCGCCATCTTATGTCCTATGGCCGTTGAACTGACGCCCGTAATTGACTTGTTCGACGAACACCACGAGAACCTCAGCCCGAGTCGCGACCAGAATGCCTACAGTCTTGGTAAAATGGGCCAGCATAACGTCGTAGTTACCACCGTGTGGAAGACTTCCACCATTCCTGCTTCGATTGCCATCACGCAATTGCTCAACGACTTCGGTAAGATACGATTTGTGCTGTTAGTAGGAGTCGCTGGCGGTATCCCTTACGAAGCCGGCAACAGGGATATTCGGTTGGGCGATGTCGTTGTCAGTGAAGCTCGAGGACGGTTTGGCGGTGTTGTACAACTCGATCTCGGAAAGAGCACAGAGGATGGTTTTGTGAGGACTGGGCACCTTGACTCAGTACCGCGTGCTCTTGCCAGCAATGTTGAGCAACTGAAGGCTTACATTAGCTCCGCCGAAAATCTTATTTCGCGGCATCTTAACGAGTTACTACGAAAGTATCCCAACAAGAAAAAGGAATACTGCCACCCAGGCCCAGAATTTGACCATCTCTTTAAAGCCAGCTACCATCACCAGGGCGGGGAGACGTGCGGAAACTGCGATACGGCTCAGACCATTAGAAGAAGGCAAAGAAACCGACTAGGCCCCAAAATTCATTACGGGACTATCGGATCGTCGAACGCGGTCGTTGAAACAGTCAAAACGCGACACCAACTGCAAGACCAAGAGATCCTATGCGTAGAGATGGAGGCGGCTGGTGTTATGGAAGCGTTCCCCTGTCTAGTCATCCGGGGCATCAGCGACTATGCCGACTCTCACAAGAACAAGGACTGGCAGGCCTATGCTGCAGCTACAGCGGCTGCGTATACCAAAGAGTTGCTGTTGAGAATCCCACCAGTATCTGTCAAGCACACACAGGATATCACTGACAAGAAGGAGATAAAGATTCTCGAGTGGCTGTCTCCCAAAGACACTAACTTTTCCCTTCTTCAAAACTTGTCCCAGCAAACTCGTACTCCTGGCACTGGTCAGTGGTTGCTCAAAGATGCAAGGTATCGACAGTGGCGCGACAGTACGCCTGGTTTGTTGTGGCTATACGGCGCTGGTAAGCTGCCGAGTCAGACATTCTTTTCGTTATTGGCAATTTCTTTTACTAACCTTGACAAGTGGGCTGCGGAAAGACTATTTTGTGGTAAGGAACCTTTGACTAGTCTGCTGAGAGCCACATGCTTATCATCCCTAGCTCGACTATTATAAATAACCTTCAACTGCACGCGAGACTCAACCCGACCAAAAACGTGGCGTATTGGTATTTCCGATTTGACAACAGCGACTCGCAAGACCTTTCAAAAATGCTGCGGTCGATTATCCGACAGTTGAGTTGCTCGCCACTGCCTGTAGAATTGCGTGAGCTCCATGATCGACATAGTAGGGCTGGGAGCGATCCATCATTGGACGATCTGAAGGCGACTCTTACTCAAATACTCCGAATTGACGATAGAAACACCTACATCGTCTTCGATGCCCTGGATGAATGCTCCCATGCAGACAACTGGAGACAGAGGCACCAGCTACTAGGCTACGTCAAGGAGTTAGTTTCGAAACTCCCAAAGTTGCACCTGCTTGTCACAAGTCGACCGGAGCCAGACATTATAAGGGAGCTTGGAAGTATTGCGAATCGCCCACTGGACATCGAAGAACTCATAAACGAAGATGTAAGGAAGCATGTTGAGGAAGCTCTCAATAAACATCTCCGTGTAGACAGGCAGGTAAAGGACCGGGTCGGCGTTAAACTCCTCAGTCAGAGAGAAACGTAAGTATGGTTGAGAAACTGGGGAAAATGCTACTGACATCATAATAGACGATTCCGTTGGGCTGCGCTACAGCTGGACCGTTTCATCCAATGTACTAGTATGGCAGAACTTGAAATGGCCTTCCAAACCATCCCAGAAACTTTGGAAGCATCTTACGAGCAGACTTTCGAAAAGATCAAGGATCGTCACAGAGAATGCGTTAGGCGGATCATGATGTGGCTTGCCGTATCGTATCAGCCGCTTAGCGTCAATCAAGTCGCTTCAATTGTCGGGTTAATACAACCTGGCTTCGTCGTCAAAATTTGCACAACGCAGCTAGTAACAATCCTTGATGCGAATGCTACCACACAGTTTGTCAAACTGGCTCACTTTTCGGTTAAAGAATTCCTTATTAAGAAGCTTGGCGAGGAGGTTCACATTCCATGGTATCAATTCTCGAGTGAGCTGGCCAACCAGCACGTTGCGGTTACCGCCATTGAGGCGCTCTTGGAGCCCCAGAGTCACTTGAATCTCATTCATTGGTACGCTGCTAAATATTGGCCCCAACACGCGACAGAGGGATTGTTGGTCGAGGAACGATCTAAGCTCGAAGACCGAATCAACCGCCTTTTTCATCCCAAAAATGAGAAGGAATTCCAAGGCTGGTTGAATGCACACGATCCTGATAAGACACGGCACAGCCAAAACAGCAACATGGGAGGATCTTTGTACTACGCAGCGCTTCTTGGCTTTGACAAAGTCGTACATGGATTATGGGCTAACGAGTCTCAATTGTATGGATCCCAGGGAACTCATGGAAATGCCCTCAACGCGGCCGCGGTGTGTGGCAATGTGGAAATCGTACGATGGATCCTGAAGCGATGTCAGAATCCGGCGAAGTTCATTAATCTGGTTGCCATCGCAAAATTAATCAGACTCAATGGAAAGGAGATAATCGAAGAGCTATGTATGCAAGTACCGGGTTTGAGAGTTTCCGCAGCTGTAATTGAAGCCGCTGCGGGAAACCAGCTTTGTGGACAGGACCTGATGGAACTGTTTCTGAAGAAGGGCGGAGACCAGGCCCCCATCACCGAGGACGCCGTTATGGCCGCTGCCGGGAATGAGGAACATGGCTTACGTATAATGGAGCTGATGCTTCGGGAGAGGAGAAACCAGGTCGTCCTCACTGCATACGTGGTCAAGGCCGCTGCTGGGAATGCTGATAGCGGCGAAGAACTTATAGAAATGCTACTCCAAGAGAAGGGAGACCAGCTTCATATCACCGAAGACGTACTAATGGCCGCTATTCAAAACACTTATTACGGCTACTTGGTGATGGGGGTGCTACTCAAAAAGAGGGGAGGCGAATTCAACATTACCGAAGAGGTGGCCATAGCCGCTGCCGAGAACATCTATTGCGGCCGGGAGGTGATGGATATGCTGCTTGAAGTGAAAGGGGACGACTTCGATATCACCGAGGACGTGCTCATAGCCGCTGCCGAGAATACAGTCTGCGGTCAGGAGGTGATGGAAATACTGCTTGGCGTGGAGGGGAAATACTTCGACATCACCGAGAACGTGCTTATAGCCGCTGATAATGAGGGGAGAGGTGACCAAGGGATGATGGAGATGCTTCTCGAGAAGAAGAGAGGCCAGATCTGCACTCCCGAAGACGTGGATATGACCGATGCTGAGGACTTGCAGATCATCGCAGGCGACGACGGATCATTTCGTCGTGGTCATTTCATGGGAGGGGTCTCGTATCGCCCTCAGGCAAATACAGATGGGCTATTTTAAGTACCACTCCAAGACAAGGGAACCTCCAAGGGTTTGATTTTCTTGTGGGGGAAGTGGCCAAATGGAATGGATAGCGCTTCACAATACAACGCAAATAGACACATAGGAGCAGTACAAATGTTGCTTATAAATAGGCGAGATTACTGATCGTCATGAGTGTCTCTGTGCAATGGCATAACTACCTGCACAGGCAATTCTGTTACGCTGGAGAGGAAGATGAGTCCTCTCCAGAATTACAAATAAGCTGAATGATGGCATTATCAGTCTTCCAGGTAAAAGCACCGGGCGAGATTACAGAATCAGCCTGCAAATATCCCAATTAAACTCGTTCTCATTGACCACATTCTCCGGACCATTGGGCCTGTAGGAAGGGTCACTCTTCAAGCTACACGATGATACAACTGAAAATCCTCAAAAGCAATACACGAAATATACCAGGAAATTGGAGCGGAACAAAGGCAGGCTAATTGTGGCTAAGAACGATATAGCGTCAATCAGTGGCATGGTCAGGATATCTCTCGTCACTGTAGAAGTCATGCTTGTTTCTGATATAGCCATGATACTTCGTGACCAGAGGGGACGCTCGAAAATAAGGCTTGGAGGATATTCTGCACCGGGATATGAACCAGTGTACTATGAAAACGGAGTTTCGGCAGACGTCTTTAGTACTGCGCACAGCATCCCGAGCTGACATTAAACAACAGGTAACTCCAGTCATTCAAATGGAAATAAGGAAGTGCCTTCTGCCTCTCGAAGCAGTTACATTATTAAGGAGGGCCCAACCGCAGGCGGTAATGAACGGTACTTTCAGAGAGTGTGGAAGGGAGGGCTGTAATACGGAATCGCTGCGTGGAAATTTATGAGCCAGAAGAAAAGATGGCGTACGACAAAGGCTGGAATTGCCCCTGATTCGCATATTCCAGGTGAAGAACGAGAAGTTATTCCATCTATACGATATCACCAGGATGATGGTGACTCGGGTGTGTATTATCAAGGCACTAAAATGGGTTCTTCGACTTTCGTGACGAGCACTCCGGACGCAACTTGGTGCGACAAGCCTTTCAGTCAGACGAGCCTCTGCGTGTTTACCCGCAAAATGGACGCTGGCCGAATGGCCAGACCCTCGACACTTCTCGTACCGTAAGTAATATGTCGGGTGATGCACTTACTTCGTGGACCGCCAAGACAAGCCCGGCTTGTCGTCGTACCGAGGCCATCGTCAAGATGAAGAACTGGTCAGTCACTTCTCATCCAACCCGGCGATTTACTGCTGTAGATGTGTCGAGAACAAGACTGGTACAACATCGCCTGACGCAGAGACTTGTTGGTGTTGGCTCGCCTTTCCTACCCCTTTTGCGGGTCTGCATTGTCGACACCGCAGTAGAGTTCTTTTCATGCCACCGCGCGTTCTCGAAGCCTAAATCTGATTTGTGGTATTGTCACGTCGGAGGTAAAGTAGACGTAGGCGTTGAGGGTATTTGTAGTTCTACCTATCCCATATTGAGAGGCCCCCATGACCCCGTGGGGTGATATAGGACGATGTAGACAGTTCGTGATCATGTCAGGAGTTGCCCCTGGGTATCAGAGCGAAGCGCTTGACTGACGCTGGCAGCCAGGGTTGAGAATTGATGACTGTGTATATAGAATGTGTACATATTTTACGCAAACAAGCGCGCTGTAAACACCGAAAGGGCTCCTGCCAAGATATAGGTCTTAAGGAGGGAACTGGCTGTATATCTCGTCGCGCAACTTTCTCAGGAAAGAATGCACCCTACGAGAAGCAATTACTAAGCCAAGCCAATTATTTCTCAAGCACACGCATAGCTAGTGAGACTGGATGTCTGCTGTGTGTGCGTAAGCCGCAGACAGGGGGTCCAGAGTCGAGCCTGCCTGCCCTCCAGCATACCACTCAGCTTGGAATCGTCGAGACGGTCGAGGATGGACGACATCCGGCTCTCTTACCAGGAGGATTTCGTGGCTTACGTTATGATGAGGCTCTCCAGACCCCTGGCTCTTCGGCAATGCCAGCTGGGCCTCGACCGCTTTTCTGCAGCAGGAATCGGGTGTGCCTGGGCGCAGGTGTCATGTCAGGGACGCGTTTTCAACCCAGACTCCCGACACCTAACCCCCAGGCCCCTGTCGGCTCGAACCCCTTGCCCCACCAATCCCAAACCTCCCAGTCGGCGCCGCTCCTTCAATGCACCCACCACCATCGAGTCCTTTGACGTCCAGTCCATCAATCAAGCCCAAACAGCGGCCAACAACTCTAATCCAACCGCGCCCGAGAGCCTCAATCTCGCAGAAAGTGATCTTAGGTATTGATTAGTTGCCCATGGTCTACTATCCCGAAGGAGTTGCCCAGATTAGACGATGCAATCAACCGGTGGGCTGTTGGAGCGCGCGTGCTGGTGATCAAGCGGCGTGCGAAGCGCTCTCGGCCACTCAGCGCTCCGTTTCGTTTCGACCCTGAAACTGAGAGCATCATCTCCGGCCCCTGCGACGGGCGACGTCTCACACGATGCCGTGCTTCTGCTTCTGCTTCAAGCGCCGGCTTCTCGTACGACTTTGCTTGCGTATTCTGGCGGTGTCTTGTCTCGTGCTAGGCGCCACCCAGGGCTGTTCTTCGCCCTCCGCCCCAAGCCCCAGGCCTGGGGCTCCCTGGGCCCTGTCGCGCGACCGAACGGTGAACTGACGACGCTCGCTCGCTCGCTCCAGGTGCTGGCGTCTCCTCTTGCATCCCCCACGTCGTAGTCGTCCGTCTCCTTCTTCTACAGTCCTCTTTTCCCTTTCTTGAACAAGTCTGAAGATCAGTGATCTACGTGCATTCTTTTCTCGTCCATTCTTTTCCAAGCAACCGCCTTTGGAGCGTGTATTCGATTCTGTCCGCTATTTCGCACCTTACTATCTTTGAGTATAATCTTCGACAGCTGGTCTGCTACTACTATCGCCACCTTCGCTGCCCGAGCACAAAACACATTGTGTTCCATAGCTTGCCTCTACACAAACAGCTCTTTCGAGACAGCCTCCACAAACATCCAAGATGAAGACCGTTTTTGCACTCGTTGTGGCCTTGGCCGCCACCATGGCATCCGCTGGCGTAGTCATCACACCCGTCAGGGCGAACCAAGTTGTTCCTAAGGGTGCGGATGACTGCTTCTTCGGAGTCACGACAACGAACGGTTGCGCGTATGTGTTCAGTGATTGACTCTTGGCTCGCACATATAAGACTAACATACACATAGACCTCTGCGAAACTGATCTCGTGCTCGCGACGAAGAAATCTTGCGACGGCTTTAATCAAACATTTTCGAATAAATATCTAGCTGGGGCTCAAGGAACTAATCTCTATCTTCGGAGCCACGACTGCAATCTCGCAAATCCCCGGTTTCTCCAGCGGCACACAGAGCGCAGGAGATGCCGGCATGTTGGGGGGCTTTAGAGAATATCATCAATACTAGACTGGAAGCATCATTTTCATCGTTGATCTAACGCCTCCAACCCAGACCCGGATGTTGAGTCGACGAGAGCAATCAAGACGATGGGTGGGAGGGCTATGACAAGATCTGGGAATGCAAATTTAATTTGACTTGTGGCAACCGGATCTTTACTTCTTGTTATAATAATTGGGAAATCAATCACAATATATCAACATTCAAAGACCACACAACCTTAATGTTGACGAAGGCTCACCTCCTGCATAGGTATAATCCAAATCGATTGACGCCTTCTCGTATCAAGGTTTGAAACTAGCTGGCTGCTTTTCAGATTATTAAAACTCGCGTTTCCGATATCATGCCGTGCAGCAAGTGATTGTGCGAATCGTCCCGAATGCTATTAAATCAGGTACCTGAACTCCGCTTAGATGCAATTCCGTGGTAGGCAGAGGCTTGCTTGCCAAAGCGCAATGCTATCGTCTAGACGGCGGTCATTTCTCAAGCCGTTCCGTTGGGCTTTGCCTGGCGCTCAGGCGAGTATATCCGGAACTGGTAAAAAATGATGCAGTCCTCCACCATTGTGCCCAGCGATCCCAGCAACCATGGGATTGCCTTGATGATGTAGTCCGGCTCTTGCGAATAACTGAAGACACTTGCGCCATAGGTAAGGTTTCCCGACAGGGACAGGAGGAAGAACAGGAGGGCAAGTCCCTCGCATGACTTCTCCCGGTAGTTCTTGAGAATCTGAGGAATTCGAGCACTGGCAATAGTTAGTCTCTAATCTTCAAGGTGGCCGGGGGAGCAATGTCGTACCAGAGGTAGCACAGAGCACTGAGATATCCCAATACCATGCCAACGATGGCAACGGGCGACGCCGTCGTAGGCACATCCGGCTCCTCGGGCTTGTCCCAGGCGCCTACTTTGTAGGACACGAACCAACCCAACGCACCGACAATGTACACGGCGGCGAGGCTCAATGAGTTGTGGAGCCAGGGGTTGCTATCCGGGGTCTCGTCCTCGCCCGTCACAATCCGCGTGATAGGGTCAAAACCTGACTCTTCGTGCCGGGTCGAGTTGCGGCGCTGCGAGCCAGGCAGGCCGGTCGACGACCTCCTCCTGGGTCTGAGGAGAGGGGAGTCCTCCGAGGCCTCGGTGCCGGTCGATCGCGTACGCTGGCGGGCCCGGCGGGCGTTGATCGTGTTGTAGTACAGGCATTGCATAATGAGGACAAGGTCAGAGAAGCAGAAGTAGGCTGCCAGGGTAGTAGCTGTCGGCGCAATGCCTGTTACGAGAGCACCTATATGTCAGGTCGTCCTGTTAGCCAGAGCACGTGCCATAGCGCCGTGTTAGGAACGAGGCGTGTTTTTACAATGTGAGCTGTTGCGTAAGGACGCGCATGCGATAACAGCGTCCCATGTATTGATCTGCTGGCTCGGGTGGAACAAGAAGGCGGTGTTGTGGTCACTTACCAGACAGGTTCGCGATATCGCCGAAAAGCCATATGGCAAGGAAGCCCATAGACAGGCCCTCGGCGCTCTTTGCTTTGTAGTTCGTGATAAGCTGAGGGAGCTGAAGGAAACGTTAATACTGCCAGTTCATTGCTTTTCTACCCCGGTGTGGACGCCGGTAACACGCACCAGAAGACATATCCAAGATGTCAAGCTTATGCTGCCAAAGATGCCAGACAAGGCCTCGTTGGCCGAGACATTCAGAGATAAGGGCATTGTCGACGAGTGCCTTATCGTCCGCGCGCGTGGGTGTACAGGCTTGGAACAGCAGATGGGGCCCCTGGAGACTGAGAGGTCGTATGGTGTGGTATAAAGCCCAGAAAGATGCCGTCTGCTCGCGGCGGAAAGGTCTTAGGTCATGCGATCGTGGGGTTTGGCAAGAAGAGTCAGCCGAGCCGGCATGGCATGGGGCATGATCCTGTTACCAGGATTTTCTTCTTATCGCGCTAAGTTGCAACTGCTGGAGATACCGAGATAAGGCTTTTGTGTAATAGCTGAACGGAAACAGTTTGGCGTCGTCCATTAGCGCGTGCTAGCTGCGGGTCTGCCGCCCCCACCCCACACAGAGCTGTGGGTGGTTGGCAAGGTAGATCGCCCTGGAATGGGCCACTCAGAGCCCGGCGGTTCCTCAGCGCGCCGTGACGTCGTTGCGGTGTGCGGCCAGCACTCCACAACCCACAACTAGTCGAGCCGGCGGCGGCTCCTCCAGCTGCGCTCATCGGCAGCTGGCGCGCGGGTCTCCGTTCAATAGCTGCTGTGGTTGGCTTGCTTGAGCAGCATGCTGGTAAACAGTTGCAGGATTCACACACAAAGTATACGGTACTGTAATCAATACTCTAGTATTGTTATCCTCTACAGCCCCGTTCCGGTCCCACCGTGTCTCACTGCCAGTGGCCGCAACACGGTCACCTGAGTGCCGGCCACGGGCGAATCAGGCAGCATCTGAGGGGAGTCACGTTCCCGCAGCAACCCACTGCCTGCAGGCGTCGCGAGTTGAGCTGGCACACAGGCAGACGGGGGCCCAGCGCGACGTGTCAGCCCAGTTTAACTCTACGCCGCGTTGCGGATTCAACACTCTAAAGTGAGACCGTTAGTAACAGCCTTCCACTCAGATTCAACGTCTTTCCTACTTGACGACATCTTGATCGAATTCTCCCCTGTAGCGTCGAAGTGTCTTCGCCGCCGCAACCAACTCCCATTCCATAGCTGAGCTATGAGACTTACAGGCGGCGCCGTAGCCTTTGGGCTTTTGTTACCTGGCGCTGCCGCTTGGGGTAGTGAGTCTTCGTGGCCCTCTATAGATTCCACCCCGGCTTGCTGATAACAAACACCATAGGCTTGGGCCACATTACCGTCGCCTATCTTGCCAGCAACTTTGTCAAGGAGGAGACGGCAACCTACTTCCAAGAGCTGCTACGCAATGACACCGAGCACTACTTGGCAGGAGTTGCAACATGGGCAGACAGTATTCGATACACCAAATGGGGACAATTCACCAAGAACTTCCATTTCATTGACGCCAAGGACGACCCGCCAACGTACTGCGGTGTCGACTTTGACCGGGACTGCAAAGAGGACGGCTGCGTGGTCAGTTCGATCCAGAACTACACCACCCAGCTGCTGGACAGCAAGCTGTTCCCATGGAGGCGGAACCAGGCTGCCAAGTTCGTCATCCACTTTGTCGGCGACATCCATCAGCCTTTGCACACCGAGAACGTGGCCCGGGGAGGAAATGGCATCGAGGTCAAGTGGGAGCGCGCAGAGCTGAACCTTCATCACGTGTGGGACTCCAGCATCGCGGAGAAGATGCTAGGTGGAATCCGCAGGAAGCCATATGAGGCTGCTCATACCTGGGCCGCCAACCTGACCTCCGAGATCAAGACGGGCAAATACATGGCCGAGAGCAAATTCTGGGCCGCCGGCATGGATCTGGATGATCCCGTTGCCACATCTTTGGGATGGGCAAACGAGTCGAACGCATATGTTTGCTCGACGGGTGAGCACCCCCACTCCGCAGAACTTGCTTACCAAAGAGAGCTTAACTGACGAGTCACCTTTAGTACTTCCAGAAGGTCCTGTGGCCATTGTTGGCCAACAGCTTGCCGGCGAGTATTTTGAGAAGGCTGCTCCTGTCATCGAGATTCAGGTCGCACGGGCTGGATATCGTCTGGCTGCTTGGTTGGATCTCATCGCGGACAGAATCCGGGCAACGAGTAACACCATCGGAGTTGGTGAGCTCTAAGTTAAGGTTTATGTTTGCGACATGAATCATATATCGGGGCTCGAGATGCGCCAGGCGCCGTGGGTATATTCGGCAGGGGGGGCACTGTTTATATAGGAGCATACTGAAAGATAGCTTTGTTTACTTATGCACCTTTAACCAGAGGAGCCATTGCGCACGGTTTCTCGGCCAAGTTCCTGGGCCGTCTTGGCTCTTCGAGACGGCCTCTTTTGTAACCAAGCGCAAGACTACAGGGTTGGCAGCTGGGAGATCCATCGACCAAGCATTGCTATGGCGATCCGCGAGTGGAGTGGCCACGACACACAACCAGAGCGCTCTCTGCCATGGTATATGGGCTGCATTTCAAACTCCCCGCCCGTCAAACGGGGCACCTAGGGCATTCAAGGCAAGTGACCCACGGCTATTCGACAGAAGGCGTCGAGAATGCAGTCATCCGAGCATGTACCGACAACCTGCCGTCCATTATCGGAAACATTGACAACGTCACAAAGCGCTCGATTGGCGCCTTTCATCTAAGCTTTCGCAGGTTTCATGATTTGACTTCCCCCATCGTTGAGGATGGGACTTGTTCGCAGACTGCACGTGATCTGCACCCATCGCTAGGCAAGGGGTCTCGCTGTTTCAAATGGGCGACTGTGGGACATGCCTCAAACACGATCTTAACCAGAGCTGAACTCTCAGTGCGTGACTGCTGACTCGCAGCTTTAAGGGAAATGGCGTTTGCCAGGCTCGAGGAAACCCCAGGGGAAACCTTAGGGATCACTGCGGCCGTGCCCCTACTGTTAGAAAACAGGCAGCCGATATAGTCGCGCAGTCTCGTAGTATAGGATCGTTAGTCGTGACATTAGTAAGGTCTCAAAACTGGGAAAGGATGGTCTCAAAAGTCAAGACGATTCTACTTTCGGCAAGCCAGATCTAGAAGCATTGTGTTCCCTCAGATTGCTGTTTTCGCTGTCATCCTAAGAGCACCTTCGGCTACATATATGATGCGGCCCTACCTTGTTGATCCACGATCACCGCCAAATAGGCCGATATTCTGGCTTGGCGTGCATCAATGTGCCGTTCCTGTTTGGATGGCACCTGGAAACAAACAGTACGCTTGGATGAATTTCATGGTGCTGCTGCATGGCCCATCGCTGGAGGCGACAGCGTTTGAAACGTAGCTTTTCATCCCAAGTCCTCCGAAGAACGTTGTTTCGGGGGCATCGAGCAACTGCCAGCGTGCCCAGGCGGAGGGCGATGTGAACCCATGACGGTGATCAGGACGGATCACGAAATAGCCAGAATCCCCATACCTGTTATTCGCCTAAAGCTTGCTCAGTAACCTGGGAAGCCAATGCAAGGGTATTCAGTGAGATGGGGGTTTGAGGTCCAAGGGGGCCAACAAGGGAATCTTGCTACGTGAACCTGGATTTCAGGTGGACAGCCCGAACAGGATCCAACCTGAGTACGATCCCTCTTCAGTCCATTGCTATGCGACATTGCTAACGACCAAACCGGATTTTACGCCGATAAGGTCGGAGGGTTGGAAATCAAAGGAGGCTCTGCGCTGCTCCCCCTTCCCACCCGTGCACGACGGATCATACATGAACCCACCAGGATTCGGGATTCGGCACAATAAGATCTGGGTGCTGCTGCGGCCGTGAGGTCAGGGTCAAGGCAAGGGAGAGGCGGGATTTTGGGAGAGGGTGTCGAAGGGGGCACACAGCGTCTACCCTTTAGCGAGGTGGCAGAGTCGCAGGCGCTGCAGGTACACTGAAGGGGACGGTTCAGACCACTACCAAAGAAGCTAGATCTGCTGCGGGAGGGTCGTCTCAAATGCCCTGTGGAGAAGCACCCCCGCCGCCATAGCACTTTAGCCCCAGCTGCAGGGGTGTTGGGATCGAATTAAGCTTCTTTTCCTCGATATTACATCGGGTGGAGGCCATTGGCAGCCCTTCCATGTGGGAATGGCGCGACAGAATCAGCCGCGTAGGCGACTGTGCCATCGAAGCCGACGGTTGATGAGGAATCATCGACCGTAGACCGCCAAGTCGCTCGGTAGAAACAGCAGTTCGGCAATCCTGGCCGCAGAGCTGGGTTCGCGAACATGATATGCGATTGCCTGCGCAAGATCACCTTCGGCCGAGGAGCTTTCCTGGTTTCGCAGACGACTGGCCGTGACAGAGTCGACAGTCGCCGTGTTCTATCTTCGGATCGGCGCTGATCCTAGGGCGCCCTTCTTGCGCTGACCTTGTACCATCCCGAGTCGCCTGCTTGTATGCACCTCTACCTGGCAGCCAGGCCGACAGCGCGGGAGAGATGAACAGCCCGCACTGACTTGTACACGAGCGACGCCCACGCCTACACCCAAATTCCAGTATGCGCTCAGATCCGCGCTTAGCCCTGCCGTCTCGTCCTGCTTCATCATCCCCTGGCGCCGAAACGTTCCTTGCCTGATGCCCAGAACAGGGGCCTGCCCGGATTGGCTCCCACCCCGGCCGGCCAGGGTCAAATGTGGGACCTGCGACATCTTGAGCCGCACAATCGAGCCATTCTTAAGCATCGCGAACCTCCGTAATGCTCGGAACGAATGCGTCGCGGGACGCCCCATGAGAGATATTCGCTCTGCCGGCCTGTAGGCTGTGGCTGCTCTGCTATGGGCCGCGGCAATATCCAGCGACGAGGAGTGTACTGCGGTCGTTACATGCGCCGCCGGTCGCGTAGACTGGAACCGTGTGCGGCACGAGGATCCGATCCTCTTATGTGAGCATCTTTTTACCTCGCAGATCCGGTACAAACCACAGCATCGGCGTTGGATCAGTCATGCGCCCAGCATCGTGGAAATCAGCATCTGATCAGTGATCAACGGATTGCACTCTGGTGACTATGAGAAAACCGCTTCGTCTTGGACTGTGCGGCGCTGCCATCTCGTTCTTCTCCCACGTCCGTAACGTCCTCAGTCTTGTCAAGGACCCCTGGAAAAGCCAAGATTCGGACGGACAGGGGCTTAAACTGTAAGTGCAACCCAAAGTCAGCAACTCCACACACTCTCTCCCTCTGCCGCAGCCTGCTTCGAGACCCGGCCGGGGGGTGCTGCAAGGTCCTGTCATCTTCTCAACCTCACCTCTTCCCACATACCCCGTCGATGTTTAGAGATTGTGGGTACAGCTCCAGCCCATGACACCCGACATGGGGGACATGATGTAGTGTCGGTTGCGGAAAGCTTGGCCTTTGAACCAGCCTCCAAGAGCCTAGTCGTTTTCGAAACCAGATCCTTCACATTGTATATAAGGAAGTCTTGGCTTGGCTTTTATTCCCCCCCATCTCTCCATCTATTTCGTTCGTGGGTTTTCCAACAACTTTATCATTCCTTTCCTCCTTTCCAGTTGCGCTGGTAGTGTGGTCTCATTCATTCGTTCCTTTAAACACCTTTTTGTTTCTACCCACCTACCTTCACCCGAGTGTCTGTGACCTTTTATTCTACTTTCGAAAACGGTCTGGAACCATTTTGAACTCGCGACTTAGACTTTATTGCTTTGGGGTTTAATCACCAATCAGGAGAGGGACAGAAAAACTCGATTCGGATCAGCATATCGCAGGCACCATGTTGGCAAAGAGTGTGATCCTCGGGCTGATGAGCCTTTCGGTCATCGCCGAAGCCTCGGTCGTTCGGGGCCCCTTCAACGACATCCTTCACCGACGAGCCACCCGAACAATCCAGCCTCGTCAGTTCCGTGGTGGAAACGGCGGCAACAACGGTGGCAACAATGGCCAGAACGGAGGCAACAACAACAATAACAACGGCCAGAATGGAGGCAACAACAACAACAATAACAACAACAACAACGGCGGCAACAAATGTTTGCAGGCAAACGCCATTCAGACCGGAAGCGCACAGGATGGCCAGGCCAATGCCGATGCTGGGCAGTCACCGTCTAAAACGTACGTATACCATGATAGAAGGGCTATCAGCAACGTCCCTAACATTTCGTCTACAGTGACAATGCCAACTTCATCAACTTCTGCTCGGGCCAGACATTGACCAATGGTCTGCAAGTAAAAGGAGGATCCTGCAACGGTATCCGTAAGTGGCTGCTTCGATGTCTTGACTGCCCTCTACTGACATGGGTATAAGCTATGGGAAAGATGCCTGCTTCGAACAACATGATCTCTGCTGTATTTGTTAACCCGAAGAACGGAGACAACATCGCCGCGAACCAGGATTTCAAGATCCAGGTCCAAATTGACAATCTGGCTGCTGGAACGTTCACTAACCCCGACAACACTTACTACGCTGCTCCTCAGGACTTGGACGGCCAAGGAAATGTTATTGGTCACACTCACGTCTCCGTCCAGGACACTGGTAACAGCTTGAACCCGACCAAGGCCCTTGACGCCTCCCAATTTGCCTTCTTCAAGGGAATCAACGATGCTGGCAACGGCAACGGTCTGCTAGCGGCTGATGTCACTGGCGGACTTCCCGCTGGAAACTACCGTGTTTGTTCCATGACTGGTGCTGCCAACCACCAGCCCGTCCTCATGCCCGTTGCCCAACGTGGTCCTCAGGATGATTGCGTCCGTTTCACTGTTGGCGGCAATGGTGGCAACAACAACGGCGGCAACAACAACAACAATGGAGGCAACGCCAACAATGGCCAAAACAATGGCCAGAACGCTGGCCAGAATGCTGGCCAGAATGCCGGCAACAATGGCCAAAACGGTGGCGGAAATGGTTAGTAATTCCCATGTTTTCTTCTTCCTTACAGATTCCATCGTCCGTCTATCTTTGCACGGGAGACAGTCGCCTTGGGCACCTGCCTACCCCCACATCAAATCAAGCAGATCCATTCCCATCACAATCCTCTAGGCACAGGCAGCATATCTACACCAGCAGACTCCAGCAGACTCTTCCTCCACCATCGCAGCAGCAGCAGCAGGTTCTTCCCTTGACCGTCAGACTAGACCCTCCCGTCACCTGACACTAGAGCACATAATCACCGCAGCCACCTTCGACATCCTGCAGTAAAATAGCTAACCGTCCATGACAAACAGGATTTGGTCGTGGAGTAAGTAGCAGAAGATCACCTCACCAGTTATCAGTGCAACTCTTCAGGGTTGTGCTTGCCACCATATCTCGGGAAGAACAGGCTGTGCCGATTCGGTAGAAGAGTCTGCCGGCGTCGACGCCGCCATTTTGAGCCGCCATTGTGGTTTCCACGTCATTTGCTAGGTCATTTACTAACTCGAGAACAGCGGGGTCGTCAAAGGCAGTAGCTGGCGTCGCCGCGCCCGCGGTCACGAATTCGGGTGATTCCAGCCGTCCATTTGCGGTCAAGTGAGTCTTCATGCACCGTACCTCGAGGAGCCTGGCTAATCTCTTTCAAGCGGCAATACCTTCGTTAATGAGTCGGCCGCAAAGCAGCGAGCCTGCGACATTCAGAACAATGGCTGCTCGGACGCTGTGAATGGCGGCAAAGGCAATGGTGCCACCATTGCGGACTGCCAAGCTCAGCAACAAGCCTGCATTGCAGCAGCATAAGCTTTTCTGGAAGAAGTGGGCTGAACTGTCGGTTTGGCTGTTGCTTGAGTGAGTTATAATGAGGTTCCGTGGTGGTCGACTGTTGTGCTGTGGTTGTTGTTATGGTTGGGGGTGAAAGGGAGTCTTCGTGGTTGTGTATACTCGGCAATACACCGCAATAACCCCGAGGCATGACTATATTCTGTTCTAATGATTTTATACCTCCGTCTCCTTGTACATTTAGAAGTTGATTTCCCATACCGCTTTCCTTTCATTCTCGCACGTGGGTGGGTACCTACAATACGTAGCTAGAAAAAGGAATGGGAGACCACATTATGGCAACGAAGAGGCATGAATCATTCTAGTGTCATGTCCCATATTCGCCTTTAGACGTTAACTAACAAGCCCGGCTGAAATAAGCCACCCAGATAGTTGAACCATGAAGATGAAGGATCCGCGAATCAGGCATCCCTCACATGCTCGAGGCGGGAAAGGAGTGTGAGCCACACATCGCCGAACCCCTGCAGGCAAGTCTTGCCGACATTGGAGCGAGCGCACTAGATCGAGCGCCACCCAGGTTTCGGACTCTGCGACACGGGGCGAGGCCGTTGGTGTTTTACTGTCCCCTGGTCACAACTTCCCATGCATGTCATGTAGGTCAAGCACCGAAATCTCGATTGGTCATCTCCGGGTGGTTCCATTGCTTATCGACGTGACCGAAGTAAGAAGGCCGGTTGTCACCTCTGTAACTTGGGACTGTTTAATACTCGAACCTTAGAGGACCATGATCTTCAGATGTGCAACGTTGAACCAGCTTCCACGCCTCGCTCGGCCGAACTGTGGGGCCATGCGCAGGCTTGCGCCCCCCGGAGGGTGGAACTTCGAGAACGCATTTGTGGCTTGGCTTGAGATACGCATTGCTTCCTTCTGGTCGTCCAAAGTTTGACTTTGCAAGGTAAAGTAACTGGACATCTGCCGACGCTTCTCAAATCACTGAGAACCTTGGCGCACCGCAACCTCTCTTCTGAGTCTCAACCAAGGCCACAAATAACATCTACCTGGGGGGGGCTTCGCAAGCATCTTTGACAAATCCTACGTGAAGCAGCAATACTGACTCGCAACAGTCAAGGCCAAGACTGGTCGACTAGGGACTCTCAAGTGGAGTTGAGAAAGTATGAAAACACAAAGTGATACGATAAAGTTGGTAGTAACAGCTACACTGGCAGCAGATCATAATGAAGAGGGACCCTTAAAGGATGTTAATTTGGCTTGCATGGTGCCACTACTGTAACATATTGCCTAGGTTATATTTTGCGGTGTGCACGTATAGACGCATTTGACCTAGTATCTTAGATGTGAAAGAGTTCGGCAGATGACTTCATCACTGCAAAGTGCTTGCCCCTTGATCACTCCTCTCGTAGCATTGAGTTCAGCCCGGCAGATTTGATTCTTACTAAGTTATTATGACTGATCACTCTCTTCTGTTTCGTAACCGGCTATACCCTCGCGAGCAGAATCGGTTCATCAAGAGCGGTTATGGGATGCTTCGTTATGACGCACTCTCCAGTCTTGTAGATTCGCCTTTAATCTGATTATAACAAGTCTGTTTATAAATAGAGTCCCGTTGGTCTTTAGCACTGTGGCACTACGAGATGCATGGTTACACAAGGTCGATAACGCTTGAACAACTTCTACCACTGTGCTGGCCAGTTGAACGACAGCTTTGTGAGCCATGATATTTCCTTGAGATCTCTCGAAAGAATCACGAGGCGTAAAAAAAGCAAGTCTGGCCTTGTGCATTTATAATTGAATGGACCATGACCTTGGATGTCACCGGTCTTTCCGACCTGCTCTTATGTCACACTCGTAGGAAAGGATTCAGTATAAACGATTGCTTTGTATCGAAGTTCTCACACTACATAATCACCATGGGAAGACTTACGCGCTATAGAACGTGGTTTAGGACCTGAGAAAGAACAGAGTGATGAAGCTCATACTTCACAGGGTCTACGGCAACATGAAGGCTGGGAATATTGAGAGATTAATGATCGCTGAGATTTATCGTGCTACGAAAAATGACAACATTCAAGTCATGAACGATCGTTTCGCCGGTCTCGCAATGTGAAAGTGCAGTGATAAACAGCTTCTCAACAGTATCAAAATAAAATCTCAAGAACTGATATCGGGTATCCCGTGGAGTGACATTATGCGATGGGCAGTAAGCCTGGTTACCGGGCCCCAGGAGTCAGTCAACTTTGGAATGGTATGGGTGAGATCTTCATTATTATAACCAATCGTTCTGTATCTCCGAACTTTCTACCTGTACTTCTCCATGTGTCGAACTCTACCCTCATTGCCTGCTGCTGCCCCGCCGTTCCTGTCTCCAAACACGAGTTCCACTCTCTCGTCGCCTTTCACCCTGACCATAACGTCCAACTTCCAAGTGTCCCATTCGTCTATGCCGGCACCTGCTCCTCTGAGTGCACGGGGTTCACTGGAAAGCATAGCCAGCGCGAACAGCTCGCCCACATCACCCCAAGAACTGCTGCTCCACTGATTGAAAAGCCAATGAAACAGTCCGTAGATGATGTAGCAGGAGGCGACGACTCCATGAATCATCAGAACAGAGATCGCGAACTTGGCTGTCTTTGTGTTATAACCATAGCCCCAGCCATACCTTCTAACCGCAAACGTTAAAGACACATAGTTATTGCGTTCGATCGCTTCCTGAGTAAAATTCGCTTCAGGCCCAATGTTCTGCGACCCTGCCTGCTTTAGCAAGTCGACCATAGTAAGGTTAGCTGGGTCGCGATCATCCAGCGCCATGGCGTAGCCGCGCGAGCCATAAGAGACGCGCGAGAGGCCGTCGGCCATTGCGAGACTGATGATGGCAGCAATCGTCTCGGTAGTGTTGTCGACGTAGTTTGAACTAGGATCCCACACCGGAGGCCTGAATGATCGATAATTCGAAAGCTTCGTGTCATTGGTCTTGAAGTCATAAAGGTCGGTCGTCTTATTGACCACGAATTGCATCATGATGGCCTCCATAGCCCCGACCTGGAGAACTTCGCCTGATTTAGTGTGTGCCGTAGTGTTGGGTACGTTCAGAAGGTCGGCCCAGGCAGTGTCCACGAGTATCATGCTTCCAATACCATATTTATTCCTCACATCGATATCATGGATGGCACCAAAGAAGCTTGTAGGATTGGTGGTGTTTGCGACAATGGTATCGTCCTCTGTAGGATCGTAGATGATATCTGTGGCTGTCCATCGTGCATCCAACACACATGGTATCAGGAGGGTCTCTTGTATTGAAACGTCTTTGCCGCTGTCCAATTGGAAACGACGTCTGTAAGGGACAGAAGCGAGAGCGCCGATACTGGCTGATACAGTCTTCCCATTCCAAGACACATCCTTCAAGTTAACCCAAGTGAAGTTGGTTCTGTCATAGAACTGCCTGGTATAGTTCCAGTATTGTGGCGGCACTGGTATTCCTGATTTGTCATCAGACTGAGCGAGATCGGCGAATAGGTCTGTCGGGAACGCAGGCTCGACCTTCTTGGGAATGGCATCATGCCATCTGAAGCCTTTGCATTGGACCTGGACAACAGGACTCCTTACAATGAACCGTTCATTCGGAGTGAGCTGCGGCCTGCTGATTTTGTGGATGAGACCGTCACTGTTTGACCTGACATAATGCCAGAACAGACCGGTCATTTCAGTTATATCTGAGTGCAGCGTAGATGCGATAGAAACTGACGTGTTTTTGCCCTCGATAGGATTCTTAGTTGCTGTTAGTACCCTGCTAGCCCTGCCGTATAGTTGAGTCAAGGTGATGTTCGGGGCTATGTTCTCGTTGGCGTAGGCGGTTGCATAGTCTACAAGATCAGGATTTCCTGACCCAGGACAAGAGCTTGTCATATATGAAGTCGAACATCTTCTATCGTACTCTCTGGCCAGAGAGGCGTCAAGGTTCTGGGGATACAGGCCCCTCATATCACCATCGATGTATGCGGGGTAGTGTTGTCCGTTGTACGGATCCCGAACCTCCCACCAGCTAAGACTAGGGACTATAAGAACCGCTGAGGATGGACCTACGACATTGGCATCTTGACGAGAAAGAACACAAGTTAGCTATGATCACACAAAGTTCATAGAGCGCTGTTTGAGTCGACGGTATCAAAATTGACAAACGTCCAGTTGAAATGCCACTTGACTTCACCAAGTATCTCCTGCGTTTTCAACGCGACGGCGAGTAGGCCAGTGTTACAGATCATTCTGAGCACTTACACACTATGCCCAGGCCGATTGCGAATCCAACGGCTATTGCCCCTTTCTTTTTGTTCATGAAAGAATGACGGAGAGGGGCCCAAAAGGACTTGCTGAAAAGGTATTCAGTAGAACCAGCCTGGTAACCTCCCATCAAAAATCCGAACGGGATACCACGGGTCCCGATCAGTCTCCGCCGGACAATGGAGAAGATTATTGCCGATAGGGAGGAAACTATGAATATCTCGTGAAGTTTTGCTGGAAATTGAAGTGCATTGGCGACTTCTTCTTGATCAAAACCCAAGGACCACTTGTTTGTGTCACTGTAATATTGAAAATTAGTTGACTGTATCCATCTTTAGGGCGCGTGAGTCCGAAGACAGTAGGCTAGCTTTTGGGATACAGGGCTGAAACTTTTTCCAGAAGTACTTACTAGTTGCCCCAGTTGTTTTCATCAGCCCAATAGACTTGTCGAAAACTAAGTTGAAGCACGGCGGCAGTACAGCCCAGTGCCAAGATATGGATCCAGTAAGTGAGTATATTTGGACCTCTAGTCACGACTGCTTTGTTTTTCTCGTGTCTGAATAAAGAATTTTGGCGATAGAACTGTCCCGGGTTCTTCTGATCATCGCTGTTATCGAATAATTGTTGATAAGTACCACCACTTTCAGCCATTGTTATATTGCTCCCTTTGGACATGGTGTTGTCTCTTTGAGCGTACTGGTGATAGTAACCAGTTCACGGGCCGGCAGAGCACGGAGCCAGCAAAACATATTAATCTAGGGACAGCAAGAGTCGAGAGACGCTACCACGAAGACGGCGGATCCTTTTATCATCGGAAACCGACAAACTTGTCAGCAGCCTCGAGGCAATGCCGAAGATCTTTAATTCCGAAAACATGTTCTAGAGGATTTTTTTGGCAGTCCCTCAAAGGCGGTTCTCATACTACGGAAGATGTAAGACACCTGACAATATGTAACACACCATGGATGCTGTGCCACTGTTTCTATGCAGGTGCCCAGCCTCCTAGTCAGCTGAACGATTGCTTAATTCACGAGGCTCTTACGGGATCCGCATCCTAGCACGCCACATGGGCTGATACTTCAAGAAAGCCTTACAGAGTTCTTTGCAACTTAATCCCCCTTGCAGCCTCCTCGTCGGTGCCGAGCAGCACATCAATTTTTCCAGTCGGAAGGATAAGCGCGTTGTAATTTTAGCAATGCGCACTTATTTCAAGCATCAATAAGAGCCTCGAACTCCTCCTCGAACTTGTGTTTAGATAAAGAGATATAAGCTGGAATTGCAGGGATCGATCGGGCAGAGTCACAGCCCCCAACTCGGTAAAACCCGCTCGTGGCTATCTAAATTTAGACGTTCACAAGGCTCTGCTTTCTGACTTGGAGCCTCACCTCATCTGGTGGTGGAGAGGCTGTGCACCTGCATACGCTGCAGGTCTCGGCAACTGCTAACCTTGCCTGCAGAAGTATGTCTCAATTCATCCATTTCAAGTTATATGATGACGGCCGAAGGGAACAAGACCATGTCTCAGCCCACGCTCTTTTTTGGGCGGGAAATAAGGCCGCACTCAAATCACATTATGGTGAGGTAGAATGATATTTAATTGAATCAGTGGGAATTTTTTCACCGATGCTGTTCTTTTGAGTCCTGCAACTGCTCATGCACACCCGCTTCACCCCAAACCGACTATTGAAGGTGGAGTATTAGCCTCAATACTTGGAACTTGCTAGGGTGCGACGAAGGTTTGAAATTTTTACTTCGCCGAAGGACAGATCTACAGCAGCCGATAGAGCGCTCGTGAAAATGTTTGGCACCCAAAGATCTCAGCGGCAAGAGAGCGCGGGTATTTTCAATTGCACCTTGACATGAGGATTGACTGCCCAGAACCAATTCAACATGATTTCATGATGTTAAAACTAGAAGAGGTGTTTGTGAAGTAAGATCTCTTTACTCAACATTGTCATAACTGGGAGTGAACTCCATTGATGATTAGTAGGTAATCTGAACAACCATCAAAGGCAGTATGTTGTAGTAGTACCTCATTCTAGGCGCAAAGAGATGATGCGCAAATATGACGGGCAGGCAGGCACATTCGAATATACGACTATACCCTAGATCTAGCCATGGTGACGCATGCATAGCGAGTCTACGCACTATTTGGTCGCTTTAAGTGACATAGTTAAGATATCTTAACGAGGCAAAAGCGCTTCCAGTTACCTGTCCCAAGAGCCTGATTTACTTGATCAACTCTTACGTCCGCACGTGTCCAACGAGCTGTGGAGAAATGCCATGGTGCGCCTTCGTCGACCCGAAACCCAGTCTATTTGGAGATGCTACATGCATAAGCATAACAACTGCACATTCCCTTTTTAGTGTAAGAATGCAAGTGAAGGTGGTGTTGACACGAGACAGTAAGAACAGCATCAAAGACCTCATGCTGATCACCGGAATCCAAAGTGCGGGGTGAATCCACCGTCAAGCCTTGTCAACGTTGGGGAAGAATGGGGAAGCTGAAGCGTAAGACCCGGTGGAGGGGGTTCCGCGGAATGCAGAAGCATACCTTGGTATACCCAGCAACCCAAGACACAGACCGTTCACGGTGTAGACTATCTTCGTGCAGTATTCAAGAGCAGTGGGGCCGGCGTCTCGTTTTATGCGTCGGGAACCCCGGTTTATTAGTTTGTCAAAGTTGGGGTCCAAGGTACGGACGGCGCTACCTAAATTGTCCGGTTCCGCTTAATAATTATTATGCTGTACTGCCAAGTTGTCGGCAGTTAAGCTTGGACACCAGCTGGGTCTCTATAAATACCTTATTCGAGTTCACTGTTGTAGACTTCTCTATCGTTCAAAGACCCCCCTTGCTGCAACACCCTTTGCTATCAAAGTTCTATACAATATTGACACTTCAAAATGACGCGTCCTGAAGTAGCAGCGGAGATCGACCAGATTTACAAGGAGCAACTCAAAGATCAACCCAAAAACCACGGCCCTGAAGAAATTAAGCGATGCCGCGCTCTCATTGAGCTCTTTCTTGAAACCTTCAAGTACCGGAACTACACTCGTACTCGGGAGATGGTTCATCCAGACTACATACAGCACAACGCCACACTGGGTACGGGAGTCGAGTCCATCATTGAGTTTGCGGAGAGATCATGGAGCGACGGCAAGGTTATGCCCGAAATAAGATGGAATCGAATGTTTGTGGATGGTGACTATGTCATCGCTCATACTAAGATTATGGAAGGTCCACACGGGTTGAAGGGTGTCGAGTATATGCGTTACCAGAATGGCCTGTTCGTCGAGCATTGGGATGTGATCGAGCCGGTTCTTCCTCCGGAGCAGCACAAGAACTCAAATGGAGTGTTCTAGTGGCTATTTATTGAGTAGAATAGGATGCAGATACTGTCCAGAGCTGCTAGGGAAATCCGACGACTCATAACAGCATGGTCGACCAAAACATAACAGTCGTTATATTGGATTGACAGCAAAGAACAACTCAATCTGTTCATACCGTTTCTAAAGCGATGGAAAAGCCCGTTCCGCATGATCGTTGTGACCACTGTCAATATAGTGTTATGTTATCTCTATTAACGTGCTCTGGGACGAGCGAATCGTCCGCGATCCTGTTTCTTTATCATGACGCTGTGGAACCGTTCTGCACGAATTTTGTTCTGGACCGTTCGCCAAATGATAGATATGACACCCACATCGGGCCTTCATTGTAGTTGAAGTAGTATAATTCGTGGACGTCTGTAGAATTTCCTTGGAGCCTGATGTTAGCATAATTATGCATTGATAGACTATCAGTCAGTCCTGTAACCTATAGTCTTAGATTTGCTTTTCCAAATTAGCAATAGTGGCAAATGATGTATCGTATTATCAGTGGCGCATGAAAAGTGTTATTTGAGCAGTACACAAATGGCCTAGGCCCCTTGCACTCGACGCAGCATTGGAGAACGAAGTGAAATGGCGAGTAACGGTCCATGCATCCGCATATCACACATACTCTTTCGAATCGTGTGCATGGCTCCAGCTGAATCTCTGTTATGCAATGCAGTTTCAACAGCGTAAGAATGCCGAAGTCAATGGCCTCGTTGCAGCACCGTTTTGGCGGAAGTAGTGAAACAAGACCGCATTTTCGCCAAGTGCAACACTTCTTCCCATCCAATAACACACCATCCAGGCAATTGAGCTTACATTCACTTGTAATCATACGCATAAACTTTCACTTTGTTTAAAAAGCAAACTAGGCGTTATGGGCGATAACCGCGGAGGAGTTTCGGGAATGCTGCAAATGCGTGTTCACATTTGGCGCGGCCAAAACATGTGAACACGAGCTAGGAAAAACAATATCAATGTTGCTAAGCTTCTAACAAAGCAACGAAATATGTGAGAATGAGAAGAAGGCGGAGGTACCTGTCTGACACTTATCTGTTACTTGATTTTTGGCTGCAGTGACAGATTATGACTAGGCTCGTGAGAAAGAGAGAGTGAGCATTGATTCGATATAACATAGCCCCTGCAACGGGGTGCGTTCTCGCAATCTTCTTGAATTTCTCGACTCTAAAAATACTGAGGCCCAATCCACATAAGATAGGAACACGCATTGGCCATTCAACGATGGTCCAATGCCATTGAAGCTCTCATGTCCGGAGCCTTGACAGGTTCCCGCATACTTATCGCCCGGATCGAGTTCATTTGTTAGACACTGGGTCACCCAGGCTTGGATTTTTCCTCGGGTCTCTTTCCATGCGTAGTCGGGCATGGCCCACAATGAGAATCAGGTTCGATATAGACTCCTTCAGCTTTTTTTTTGTTGGCTAGACGCATGATCGCTGTCTAATGTTACTGCGGTGAACATGGTCAAACGCGGTACCCCCAGGACGACCTTTGTTTGTGGGGCTTGACCCTCATGACCGCCAACCTCGTCCGGTTTTCTATCGCATTACCCTGTAGACTTCTAAGTTAGGTCGTTTAGCTGCGCCACATGATCGGATATGGTGGCATTGCCCTGTATTGGCAGCAGCTGGATCAGCGCCATTCATCGGAACCTCAAATCCAATCATAGTCGAAACCTCAATGCGTGGTGGCTTCGTGGGCTCTAGAGGGGAAATCTTCTTGACATGATGCAATTATTTTCGATGGGAAGGGCATGTTGATGGCCTTGGCGGTTCCATATTACCATCACTGCGCTGACTGGCGCCTGGATACAAGTTCCTCTGAAGAATACGAATACGAGCCGACTTCTGATTGGCTCATATAACACAACGCAGAACAGCGACTGGTTTCCCTGATAGTTCATTGCCCGCAAGGTCTCAAATTCAGTCATGCGTATAAAAACCCACTCTTCATCAATTCTTCTTGGGGACTTTCTCTTCGTCTATCAAGCCCAACGACCTTTGACGTTCATCTCAAATATTCATTCCATGAGAGTCAGCACCCTGCATTACATCGTGAGACAGCGAGACAAGCACAATCTTCGAAAGCGATGGACGTCAACACCGTGGCACGCTTCAGTATCCATGCGTTGTGCATAATGCTTCTATCAATATTTGCCCATGTTCTTCGACAGTTTCTTCCTCGAAGCAAATCAGAGCCACCTATTGTCTTCCACTGGATACCATTCGTCGGTAATGCGATCTCGTATGGGACGGATCCATTCGTTTTCTATTCAAAATGTCGTGAAAAGGTATGTGGCCCATACCCAATGTGACTTTACTTCTGGTAGTTGAAGCTGACATAGTGACTAACCGCAGTACGGAGACATCTTCACATTTGTGCTCTTCGGTAGAAAGATGACGGTTTACCTCGGTCTCGATGGCAACGAGTTCATACTCAACGGTCGACTACAAGATTTGAACGCCGAAGAGATATATAGTCCGCTTACGACGCCCGTATTCGGAAAGGACATTATATACGACTGCCCTAACGCCAAACTCATGGAACAAAAGAAATTCGTCAAGTTTGGACTGACACATGATTCGCTAAAGTCCTACGTCCAGTTGATCGAAGCAGAGGTTCTTGAATGCCTTCAAAGCACACCATCATTCAGTGGCAGTTTGGGCACTGTAGATATTACCGCTGCCATGGCCGAAGTCACCATTTTCACTGCGAGCCGGGCACTGTTGGGAGCGGAGGTACGACAAAAGCTGAATGCCGAATGCGCCGAGCTGTATCACGATCTCGACTTAGGCTTCCGACCGATCAACTTCTTGATGCCGTGGGCACCTTTTCCACAAAACCGACGACGCGATGCCGCACACGCAAAGATGAGCTCCATATATCTCGACATAATCGCTGAACGGCGGGCTTCGGGGAAAAAGGCACCAGACGGCCAACACGACATGATCTGGCATTTGATGGACTGCGTTTACAAGAACGGCCAGCAGATCCCTGACCTGGAGATCACACGAATGATGATCACACTTTTGATGGCAGGACAACATTCATCATCGTCCTCTAGCTCCTGGATCATGCTTCGCTTGGCCTCCCGACCTGACATTGCAGAGGAACTCTATCAAGAACAGGTTTCAAACCTCGGTCGTGGAGGCCTTCAGCCCCTTCAATACGAAGATATTGACAAGCTGCCCCTTCTACAGAACGTCGTAAAGGAGACTCTACGAGTCCACTCCTCCATTCACTCGCTCATGAGGAAAGTCAAGAACCCGATGCACGTACCCAACACCAACTACATCATTACCCCCGACAAAGTACTCGTGGCTTCTCCGATCACTACCCATATGGACACGGAATTCTTCCCCGACGCACATGTGTGGGATCCTCATCGTTGGGACGCCCATGAAGATGAAGAGCTAGAGCAGGATATTGTAGACTACGGATACGGTAAAGTCTCAAAGGGGACGAAGAGTCCTTATCTGCCCTTTGGTGCGGGAAGACATCGATGCATTGGAGAGCGGTTTGCATACATAAACTTGTGTACTATTATTGCGACCATGGTACGGACCTTGAAGTTTGCGACTATAGACGGGAGGCCAACAGTCCCTCCGACCGACTATACCTCCCTGTTTTCTCGGCCCACCCAACCAGCTGTGATTCGGTGGGAAAGGCGCTCGTAGGTCTAGACTACCACCAGTTATTCAGACTCAATGCCCGAGAGTTCCTTTTTGGGTAGTACCTGATAGCTACGGATGAATTGCTGCTGAAATGCCACAACGGGTAGATCCTCGTGCCGTTCTTCGAAATATTTTCATGTTTAACATCTACTGACTGTATAGAACTCACAATAAGAATCTAGTGTAAAACAGAGCTAATGCTTCGCCGCATCCTCGGCATATGTCCTATTCTCTGGCATCACTCAATGTTCACAGAAGTTGTACTCTGCAACTCCAGCATCTATCGCTTGCTGACCACGTGTCCTTTCTTCCATCAAGTCGAGTCTCAGCTTCTTGGCTGTCTCCAAACCCATGGGCCAGTCGCCAACTTCGCTTGTAACCATCTTCAGAATTTCAGGCGGTAATTTGGAGAAGTCCACCTTGTCATATCCTTCCGGGGCCCACCAGTCATGCTGTTGAGGAGGAACATTGCGAGTTGATGCGACTCTGTAATGAGGATCAACCAGCCACAGCACCAGGAACCGGCGGTGCCCTGCCTTGGTCTTGTCTACGAGTTGGAAAGGCTCAACCTTGTGCTGCAAGGTGTTGGGAAAGGCAATTAACCGACCCTGTGGCGTCGAGACGGATCCAAGGGTTTGCAGTGCTGGCTCGTCGCGCAGCGAGTTACCTTCGACGTCGAAAATCTCAATCAGTGGTCCATGGACGTCCTGCTCATACTGAAGGTTCTCGTCGTCCATACCCGCCTCGTTGCGGAATGAAATCCGCGATTCTGACACATTCTCAACATCGTAGTAGTAGATTGCTGTGGCGACGATATGCTCGTTTAACATGCCTTCGATATGCCAGTTGCCACCAGCATATGACGTTTTCTCAGGTGTTAGCTCTATACTCGAGAGTTTGACAATGACTTGAAGGCCCTGGGTGCTAAAGTCACGCCGGAGGTCTACCGTTGAGAACTTATGTGTGACAGCAAAGGGGTCAATCTCTCTTCTCCCCCAACCACTTGAGCGATACGGGTTGACAACACCGTTACTGACTTGGCCCGCTTTCCACTGATCATAGGAGAAGGAGACTCCTGGTTCGGGGTGGAGGACGGTACGCACTCGTTTGTGCTTTTCTTCGACCGCAGACGGCAGGCCATACTCCTCGATATACGCTGGGTCCTGAAGCGGTATGTCGTCTTCGTCATCACTATCATGCGTGTCTTGATAGACATCGCTGTTTGGTAACGTGAGAAAGTCCTTGACTTTGGCGAGAGCCTCTTCGTATGCCTTGGGCTGCTCGTCCTTCTTTCTCTCAATTTCCCACAGTCCTTCATACCAGTCTGGAAGCTCTACTGAGAATTGTGCTCCACATGTTTTAATACGTACTGGAGTACGGCCATGGTACGATTTCCCATGAATAAGAATATCATTCCAAGGCTCAATGGCTAGGGAAAGCACCTTCTCTATGGCCGCATACAGGTCCTGGTGTCGTGGGTGCAGGTTGTTAATGTACGAAGTGATGCGCACCCCAGTTTCCGAATCGCCGTTGAACTGGACCTCACAAGGAAGCCATTGAAACCGTCGAGACCAGCGTTCCGATGGATTCACTCCGTGTCGGTGATAACCATACGGATTTGACGTGTTCTCGCGAACCTCGGGGACAGGCGAGGGGCGGGTCTGGGCATATGAGGTCAGATCACCCAATTTTACCTCGCCACCGTCAACCAGTGCTTGGGTGGTTCCAAACACCAACGGATACAGAGATGGATGTATCAAGTTGAGAACTTGGTCGTTCGAGTTTGGGTGCCAGTCCTTCTTGTCATCCGGAATGTTGAGCAGTGGCTGTACAGCCTTGTTGAGTGCTGATCGGACATCCTCACCCACCAACGTGTCTGACTTGCAGACTCTGGACGCAGAGTCGAGACAGAGCACCCTTTGCTTCTCCTGGTAGTCCTTTGCTTTCTCACGTAGCTCTTGAAGACACCAGGCCCACGACTTCTCACTCATGAGAGGCATCCCCAGGGCTTCCGCCCTCCACTTCTCGGATATTGCTTCGTCGAGGATCTTGCTGTGCCAATTGGGTTTGTCCGTGAGGGCGTTCATAACACGGAGCATGGCAATCTCGCGGGCGGTAAGCCGCGGGGCCGTGAAGTCATTGGCACCGTGTTGGAAACGATACTGCGAACCAAGTTCGATATCGTAAGGACAATTGAAGCCAGGGACATTCAGCGGACGTTTGCCGCTGTTGTCGAACACAATCTCCTGCGGCTTGGCCATCATGCATTGATTTGCGGTGCTGTGCTGAACTAAGACTGGGAATGATGATGATCTGAGACGTCTGAACGTCCAATTTGCTGGCTTATTATAGTCCGCAGTTGGATTTCTCAAGATCCTTGGCGCAAGCATAGGCCTGAATGCTGCCTGCATTGCTGTTATCTGAACGGGTCCTTCCTGTAGGATGTGGAGGATGAACTTTAGGCTGCCCTAGGCAGGGTCGGCACCATTGGCTAATGCCAAGACGCTTCGCAGCCCCTTTTCAGGCCACTCAAGGCACGGACTGCCCAGATGAGAGCAGCTGAACAGCCCAGTCCACCACATTTGCGGGTTCGCGCTGTGCAACTCTACCCAAGAAGACATGCACCTGTCTATATACCCTGTGGTATGAGGTCTTCAATAATTATGCCTTAAGAACGATGAAGTCGGTTTGCCCTCAGTCTCTGAAGCCTTGTTCCCTAAGGTGATTCGGTCAGATCGTGCATTCCTCAACCGCTGTATTCTGCCGCGAATCTCTAATCAATGTAGAACTGCACTAAGAAATAGCTCCAAAGTGTGACCAATAGAATGACACTTTGTACGCCATGCTGTCCAGCTAAAAATATGGTATCATCTCTGGGAAGCTCTCTAAAGAATTAGTGATTTTAAGTTACGAACAACGTTGAGGGGAGATGAGTGGTTGCATCTATGCAGTAATGCTTCTAACCCGGCATAGGGAGAACGAAGTAGCTTTTTAGCAGTAACGGGATCGGACATACTCGTTGATGACCATGGCCGATATGAGAACCAGACTTATCGCCTCATTACTGCTTGAAAGTCCAACCGAGGCGCCGGCCCCAGAATGCAGACGGTGTAACCAATGATCATCATAAAATGCCTTCTGTTGTGCCACTGTTGGTGCACGTAACTCGCTAGAAATTATCGCAAGGGAGAAAACAAAGGAGACGGAAAGAACAAATAAAAGAATATAGAAAAAAGGAAGAAAAAGAACTGCTCACGCGGTGGAAGAATCCTGATGCCGGCCAATCCTTCCAAGAATCATCGACGACTAGTTGAGTCATGTCATAGACTGGAAATGGAAGGCAGGCAATACTTTTCGAGAGCAAGGAAATGGCAGCAAGAACCATCGCTCCTGAAGTGATGGGCCTGCGTTAGGACTTAACCACGTCGGACTTATTCATATCGTTAGTTCAATAAGCTTTTGAGGCTGCAACAAGTTGAGAAATATAACAGCACTCCGCTTCTGTCGATTGACGAGATCTTACCATGCGATTATGAAGCGAGCCATACCGGCTTACCTACCTTGACATTCCCGAATGTCATCAACTCCTTTGCCAAGTTCCAAGGCTCACGGCAAGATATATTCGTGTCGCTATATCGTCTACTATGCAATGATACATGCTCCGAGCCCTTTCTTAAGGTTGCGCAGCGTCTTGCAGTTCTCATGCGCTCGGAGGGGACTCACCTTAGTGAAAGTGGGTAAACACGAGCACCTCGAAAAGAAACTATCAGATTCCTCCAAACCGACAAGAGATCTTCTCTTCAATTCACGTGACCCTATTCTTTGTATTTTGACTGCTCCATATCGTCGCCAAACTCGTCCGTGTCGCGAAAGTCCCACCTGAATTTCAGTAGACTAATCAGTCAAGCATTGAATATATATAGACACCTGAAGCAGGCACTCAACTTCACAAGAACCGATATCCCACATTATCTCCTACTCTTGTCGATGTTTATGGCGACGCACGGGTAAGGGCTGCAAGCTGATACTTACTTTGTTGCCATTGTCATTTGCTGGTTGAATAATGTCGAGAGCTAGCGGCAACCCTAATCTCTTTTTGTTTCGCTTCCAATTGAGTCCCGAAAAGGACGGCATAATCCAGCCGATACAATCATTTGTAGACCCGTCCGCGGCACTGCGGCACGACTTAGCTGCATTCAAAGATGTGACCTGGCCCTATGGCCAGCGCCTTGTGCGCTTGATCTCCAGGCTAAGTCAATCCGGCTCCTGAGACCAGCTTGCGGCCGCACCGCTATAAGTCGCCTCAGACAGCTTAACCTTGGATCAAACTCGGTCCTTAATGACACCCAGAGTCATCGTGCTTCCTAAAATAGCTGGGTTCTAGGCCAAAAACCCCTGTATGAGCTTAATCTAACCTCACACTTCTTGTCAGATAAATGTGCAGAGCTAGTAGGCCTAAGTGGCTGGCCCGTAATTCGTATTGAGCAATTGCAGACAATCTACTGTTCTGTTGTCGACCTCCGTCGGACGTGCCTTCTTAATGCACTCCCTTGCATCAGGCTCGAGTACCATAGATTGCAGCCTTGATTCCGGCCGAGGCATCCACTTTTGCGACAGCATACCGAAGTGCTGAGGCGTTCCGGGATAACACCGTCGCTCATTACCCGGTAGACCATGACCACTTGGCGGCCTTCAGGAAGCCTGTTCATCTTTCAGAGAGAGTGATTTCTATATTTAGACATCCGCTTAAGACTTATTTCAAGATTACTTGATTCATGAGAAGCGAGGAACATGTTTCCGGGGACGTGGTGCTGGTCGCTGGCTAATTAATATGGCTAAATGGCACCCAACTGTGAGAGGAGGTCCAGCCCGAGCGGTGGCGACCGGAGGCCGGAATTGACCACTGATTGGGCTTATGACGTCCGGAGGCGAAATTTTTGAAGTAAATCTCGAACTTCTGTTATGGCGGTCTCATCGTGGAAGGATGCGTAAAGGACCCAGTGGGTTGTGCGGTCTAGACTATGGCGCTGGGTATGCATGTTCGTCTATAAGATGCTGGTTTTGTCCGCGACCCACCGAAAGGATTGTGGTAATTCACCTTACCCACTAAGATCAACATAAAACCATTAAAGTATTATACTCAGCCCAAGGTTGTTTCGACCCAACTCTCTCATCATCACCCTATTATATCATGCACCAAGCACAGATCCTGCCTTTCCTAATCCCGGTGGCCGCTGCGGCGACCAACCAAATCTCCACGCGAGATGCTCCTGGAGACCTTCCTTATGCTGCCTCTATTCAGTACTCCGGTTCGGGGTGTCCATCCAGTGCACCAGCCGTAGATAAGGCTGGAGGCTGGAACGATCTGTCGTTTCGCTTCAACGCATTCGAAGTTTCTCTTCCAGGCGCGGCACAGAGCACCGAGAATTGTGAAGTCCACATCCAGGTCGCAGGCTGCGCGAGTGGGTGGCAGGTCGGCGTCAAGGACGTGTTTGTCAAGGGTCACTTGGTTCTAGATCCAGGGGCCGAACTGAACTATTACGTTCAGAACTTTTGGAGCCAAGACGCTGGCAAAACAGTGAGCTGCCCTTCTCTCTAATACGGGTGTCAAAGACTTCCGTCGTGATGATATGAATATCTACTAAGCCTAAGCAGGTCACCGTCCGTGCCACGATCGAGAACAATGGACCAAATCGCATTGACGAGATCTCCACTGCGCATGCAACGATTCCAAACTCAAAAATAGTCTGGTCGCCCTGCAGTACCGGGAATGGCGATATCGGAATCTTGAACGTAAACTTCAGAACTGCGCTGCAAGCAGATGGAAACCAGTACGCCTACTTCGGCAGAGGGGGCGACACGGCAGCTACCGAAACCTTCGGCTACGTTTGGAGAAGGTGTTGATTGAAGGCAAGGTGTTTTAAGGTCTCTGGTTCTGAAAATAATATCAAAACATCTGTTACTTGACTAGTTTGGTTGCTAGTTCAGCATTAAATTGGTTTCACTTGACAGTCTCTATTTCATGATTGGTATATTCAAAGTGGGCAAGGGAAAAAAGTCTTGACCACCATGATGCGGGGCGCGTGTAGAATCTAAATTTTCTCCTTTTCCTCTGGCACGCCATCCCCATTGCTTGTATCAACCTGCGACTTATCAGATTCATTGACCAGTCCCTTGGGCGTGTTGCCTTGCGTGCCGAGCCGAATGAATGGCGAGAACAACACACCCGCAGCTGAGAGGGCCACGCAAGCCTGGAAAGTCCTTGTGTATTTAAGCATAGGGACTGTCATCCCCTCTGCCGTGAGCTCTACTGAGCTGAATACTGCGGTGGTGATGCCCATTACAGCAGTGCTTGATAATCGAATTACGACATTGAATATGCCGCCCGCCAGGGATTGTTGATGCGGTGGCAAGGAAGACATCACATACATCTGCCAGTGTCTGTTAGTCTCGTTACTTATATTAAGGTTGAAATCGGGCAATAACTTACATTCGCGACATTCTAGAAAGAGGAAACATATTAGCCTTTCGTTTTCCCACAGTTCCATAACACAGAATTGCTTGGGATAGGAATGTTTCAGACGTAGTTCGGACACCAGTTGACATTATCTGGTACTCTCCTGCGCTTCACAAAGGTGGAATATATTGGGGGAACGGGACAGGGTTCAAAAACTCACAAAGTTGAGGTCAGCGCCAGCCACATTGAGAACCAGAGCCGGGAAGATGAAGGCCCTTTAGACATTTCGTTAGTAACCAAGTCCTGTTTGCTAGAGGGCGGCTTGTCTGTGGCGACAGGTCGAAGGGTATGTTGGCTCTCCTCGAACGGGACCGAAAAGGTGGTGACTCCCGAATGCACATACCAGTAGTTGCTCTCCGGTCCCATGAACGCGAAAAGAAGACTTGCACCGAGGAAACAGAGTGATCCGAAAATCATGATCATAGTATTGTTGACCTTGTGGAGAATGTGGCCAGCAACAACATTCCACGCAAGACCAGCAACAGCCATGGGAAGGAGGCGGACAGCAACCATGATGGTCGAAAGTTGCTGGAAGCTCTGCATGTAAAAAGCAATCCAAAATCCCGTAGCGGTAAATCCCATCATTCCGAGCAGAATGACAATGATGACCTGCAAGCGTGAGCAAAAAATTGATGGAAGAGATCGGGGCACTCACGAGACTGAAGTTCCTGTCCTTCCATATATAAGGAGGCATTAGAGGATTAGGATATACACGCTCCCAGAGGACGAATACTATTAACAGAACAATGCCCACGACGAGCAAAGCGATGACGGTTGCGCTTGACCATCCATCATCAGGTCCCAAGCTAGTCAAAGTTAGCTTCCACTCTCAAACGAGCCAACATCACGTACGTTAAACCAGCAGTGAACATGCCTGTTCCGAATATCGTCAAGATCGTGCCCACGTAGTCGAACTTCTTGAGAGCGCCAAGCCGTTCCCGTAGAGGAGCTCGATCGAAGCTCTCGACATTCGGAACAGCCCAGACTGCGTGCGCGGTGAAGATAGCCCAGAGGATACACAGGACGACGTAGGCGGCGCGCCAGTTGGAGATCGATGAGGCGATGCCACATACGATGAGGCCAAACACGAAGCCCAGTGGATTGCCGGCGCTGAAGGCCGAGAAGGCGAGGTTCTTCCGTTTCGACGGGGTCTTGTAAGCCGCACCCAGGATACCAATGGCCGGGGGTACGACCATCGCTGAAGGCAGACCCAGAACGCCGCACAGGATGACCATCCAAAACGGATTCTGCGCAAAGGCAAGGAGCAGGACGAATGCGCTGAACGAGCCCATGCCCACGATGAACATGAGTTTGCGTCCGAGGAGGTCCGCCAGCTGTCCCAGAGCGAGCTGGAAGGCGCCTGCGACCAGACTGTAGATGATATATGTCAGTTCGCCGCATATATACAAATTCACTGGGGGAGCACCTTACGAAGTCGAGGCTGTTATCCACGAGATCTCACCCTGGGTCATCCCCAGATCACGCCCTATGTTTGCTGTGACGATCATACCCACGCCGGTCAGGAAAGACGTGGTGGCCGTGGCCACCGTGGCCTGGAAGACGAACGAGATCTCCTGGAAGGTACTCTTAAAGCACTCCGGACGCTCGCCAAAGTTGGTCTTGAATCTACGCAGCGCGCTGCCCTGTTCGACATCCGATCCTTCATCATTGCTGTCGCTGCCGCTGCTGTCGCGGCCGTTAGCTGGCGCCGTCCTTGGCTCCGAGACGGAGCTGGGGGCGGCTGTCTCGTGTGGTGCTGTCTTGGCCACGGCAGCGGCATCGCCTTTTCCTTCCATCTCCGCGACGCCGGGCAGTTGTTCTGGTGCACTGGCCATTGTTCGTCGCTTCACCTCGTGAAAAGTATATCACCAGATGCGGGTGAAGCAGGAGTACAGTCCAAAACTCTCAAGGCTCCGGGCAGGCCAGGGACCCTGAAACCCAAAGAATGCGGCCGACCACCCGCGTCACTCAATCGCCGGCGCCCGTGGCTCGGAGGCAGAGCGTGCCTGGATCTCCAAAGCCGACAGGCCGATGCTCGCTACGAGGCGGTGGGGGCCGGGCCTAGCAGGTAAGCAGTTAGGTGCGTGCCAGGGGTGCTGGGCGCGAGTCACCTTCAAGATGGGCATTGGACAAGGGTGGCCAGATTGCGCCATCCGAACTCTCTCTCCAACAGGAACCGCGTTTGGTAATCCAGTATCTGAGTCGCCTAGCTCTCAACGCGGTGCTTACCAATCTAGCAGAGTATCTATCGTGGAGACCCAGAACTGCGAAAAGGTATACCCCAAGGCCACTATCCATTATTACTATTACACAGGCCTATGCGTGATATACTATCATACAAGGATAACTACCTCCTAGGTACCATGGATTAGGCAAGTCGCTAACAAGGTTTCGGCGAACTGTCTCAGCCGCATATGAGGAACAACATGGCCCGGAAAGCTTGATTCAAGTGGGAAAGCTTGTCCGACTCAATGTCAATTTAAGGGTGCCAGTATTCAGTGTCTGAAGGAAATAAACACATTCTCCTCCATGTTAAGACGTCTCAGACGGCCAGGAGCACATTGTGAAGAAGACACTAGATTTACGCATTTGTGTGTATGGCCGTTGACCATTAAACAGTTCAATTGTGTCTTCAACCGCGAATTAATCGCCCTGCAACCACGATGTGACGCTCGAAAACTAAGTGCGCGGGCTTCTAAGGAACCCAACAACACCGCTACAGTAGCCCACAAGATTATCCAACCTGCTGCACTCTTCCGCTTGATGCTTCTTCCACTCCTGCAACGCTGCCATCAGGGTATCACTCTCCATGACCATGTCAAAATGCAACCGAAGGAAAACCGTCATCCAGGCCTGTGTCAGCTCATAATCCCGTCGCGCGACGAGGCGGCTTGTGAGGGCACGGACGAATTGAAGTAGCTCGTTGGCATTACCATCCACATCGTTCGCAGTCAATGACCGCAGTTCGAGGTCGGCGCTGGATGGGGACAAAGACTTGAGGTGCTCAATAAACTCATCATCTGGAGAATGTTAGTCATGCGAAGTCGGAGCGCATGGGAAAGAGGTATCTTACAATTTCCGCTCTCAGCACCATCACGAAGCTTGCTGGTGAAAGCCTCTTCGCTCCGAGATGACCGGTCGAATCTGGTGATCTTTGACTGGTTTTGGTTCTCTTGTGTAACCGCCATGGTGAGTTCGTCTGCCTTCGCCAATGACGAGTTGGTCGTTGAAGGTAGGAAGAATGGTGCCTTCTCGGGCAGCTTTGGCGCCTCGGTGGGCTTGTTTCTTTGCTTGATGAGGTCGAGATGCAGCAGCGTCTGCCATCTGCTGCGCGGAACCAGACTGAGGGTCATCATGTCGGTGCTGAGTTGCTCAATAGAAGGAGCAGCCACAGTATCGTCATCTGCAGGAGCTTCATCTTCAAAGGCAGCTTCAATGAGTCCTTGTCCACCTTCTCCCGAGGTTGTGGGACCTGACATGCGTCCAACCTCCTTCTCAGATATCTGCCTCGTAGGTACATGGGTAAATAGGGTCTTGTTTGTCCAGATATTGACACCTAGTTGACCTTCACCTGCTGCGGCAAGATACTCTCCAGTGACCGAGAAAGCTAGAGCCGTGCATGGCTTCTCAAGCCGAATGGCATCAATCAGGTGACTCGTCGGCAAGTCCCACACACGGATGACTGAATCTTGAGCTGCCGCCACAATCCATCGCCCGTCATTGGAAAATGTGAAGTCGTTGATTTTGCCTTCGCAACCCCAGAACTCTCGAATGGTCTGTTTTGTCTCAATGTCGACTACCCGAATGGAATGATCATCGCAAGAAAATGCGATGAGGTCGTTAGCGGCGTGATACCGGCAGCCTGTGATGGCCGTCATCGGTGCCCAGCTGATTTCTTCCAACAAGCGGCCAGTCAGGAACTCCCAGAACTTGATTTTGCCATCCAGGCCACAGCTGATGATGTACTTGTTCATGGAGTCGACAACGATGCCGGTCACTGCCTTTGTGTGCTTGCCCACCCCCGGGGCGAAACCTGTGGTCGATCGAGCTTCGAGTTGCATGACATTGTCGGCTTGCCTCAGTTGCTGCAGCTTGGCTTGGCGTGCTTGAGCTGGTGACAGGGTTGAAGGGTATCTTTGGCGATGCAGCCCAGACTGCAGATTGAACATGTCAATACCGCCACCACTAGAGCCTACTACAGCAAAGCTTCCACACGGACTCATTGCGACAGTGGACACATGCGTGCCATCGCTTGTCGGGAAAGCCCATCTGCCCGCTCTCTTACGACCCCAAAACCATGTACGGGCGTACGAATCGTTCTTGTGCGCAGTGACCACGCTTTCCCATCCCGTCATGCCACTAATCTCTGCATCTGCCGCCTTCTTCCGATTCTGCGACTTCTGCCAGAGGGCCTGCTTTCCGGGCATAGCGCCCATGCCGCCATCTCTGTTCAAGGAGCAAGCTATGCATGTGATCTCGGGGGCCTTGAGATCATCCAGCGAAGTAGTCGGGCCGTGCTTTAGGGCATTGTTGTCCAGAATACCGTATTTCTTTGCCTTCTTGCGAATGCTGCCCTGGCTCAGCTCTGTGCTCTGGCCATCGCGCCGAAGACTCCATCCCCATAGGCTACGATCCTGACCAGCACTGAGCAGCCACTTGTTACCGGCGTCGGCACCATCAAAGTCGGACGGCAAGAACTGCAAAGAAGACACCGGTGCGGCGTGTCCGCTCCTAGAGTGCAGGATGCGTGGTATCGGGGAGAAAGGCGTCTCGTCGAAGATCCAGGATTTCAGCGAGTTATCTCGCCCGCTCGTGACGATTACCGGCTGCCCTGCCAAGAACTCGATCTTGCTCACTCCTCCACGGACGGTAGGGCCAGATCGAGATGGCGGGTTGTGGGCACTCCGGAGAACACCCATAACTCTGCCTCCTTTGTTCAAATCCCAGAAAGTGATGTCCCCGCTAGACTCGGTTGCCGTAGCCATGACACCGTCCTCTCGCCCATCGTGGCCGGCACCTTGACCGTCGGTGCGGAAGCTGATGGCCGTAACAGGTGCATCATCGGACCCTGCCATGACTTGGATGACTGGTCGGTCAGTCAAGACATTGTGAATGACCAATGGGCCGTTCGAGTAGGCAACAGCCATGAGCGACAGGGCAGGCGAAGGTTGTAGACACGTCACGGCACCGCACTCTGGGGACGGGGGCAGAATGGTGTAGATCAGCTTGCCCGTGGAGACATTCCAGATCTCTACCCAGCCATCCCGGCGACCTGCAAAGATCTTGTTGAGATATGTCGGCATGGTGCATATTCCTCCCGTCAGCTCGTTGTCGCCCTTCTTTCCAGCCATGGTGAAGAGGGAGGTATAGTGCTCTAGACTTTCCGTCTTCCATACTTCTATCCTCGTAACGCAGCAGGCTATGATCCATGACCCTGACACTATGACTTGCTTGATCGGTTCATGTAGATCAAGAGGCAATTCTAGCTCGGCAAGCTTCTTGCCGCGCTGGAATACCCATATACCCTGCGCCTCGCCTTGCTGCGGATCGCCCCAGGCGGCGAAGACCTTCTGCCTCCACGCGCATGTGGCGGTAATGTCGAAGGGTGTCTGCGGTCTGGTGATGAAGACCAGGTTGAGACCCCGGCGTAAGTCGTAGGTCTGCAGCGAGCGGCCAACGGAGGTCGTCAGCTGGAAAGTCGTCTTTCCAAGGGGAACGGTTGTGAACGGGACGTTGGTCGGGGAGACTAGGCCTATCGTCTGGCTTCCAAGTTAGCATCTGCCATTGCTGCATCTCTGCGGCCAAGAGAGAGGCGTACCCTGTAGGGAGCGAAGATTCTCGACTGCTGGCCCTGAGCCTTGGAGGCTGGGGCCACAGCGAGCTTCTGGCGCTTGGCCAGAGGGCCATCTTGCTCTGAATGTGGCATTGTCGGATGTCAACAAACAGTGCCTTGGAGTGGCCGTCGTCAGCGCTTGGTTGGTTTGCAAGCTGCGATACTCTGGGTATAGGCTCTGGGCGCCCGAAAGTTTTTTGCTGGATATTCCTTATCTTATCGGGGGGCATCGCGCCCCACGTACTGTATCGGTAGTGTGACAGCGGGGACACACAGTAAGTTAACGATGTACTCCGTACTTTAGGTCTGTATCGGTAGTGTGACAGCGGGGACACACAGTAAGTTAACGATGTACTCCGTACTTTAGGTACTCCATTCGTTAGTGCCCCGGCGCCGCCAGCAGTTCCACGTCTCATTTGGCTCCTTCAACAACTGTGCAATTGTTTTATTTTACCATTGGCCCTTTCTACTAATTATGCTATGTGTACAGTGAATGCATCCCGTCACCGCCCTCGTAGTCATCCCAATCCTGTAGAGGTCGTTGCTGCAAAGTGGTTTTGTTGGTCACGCGACGTCTTGGCATCTCAGATCAGCTCCGATGGCGCTCTGGGGATGTATTCACCTAGACACGATTTCAGCAGTTGGACCGCTAAAGATGTCTCTGAAGGCGCCTGGAGCTGACCGCCCAGGGCAGTCTGGACACGCAGCGCGCGCTCCTATTCGCCAATGCGCTTACCGCGAACGCCTTCCGGGTTGGTATGCACAAACTGCAAAGGCGCTACGGCACTCTCAACCTTGGTCAGGACGTCATGAGCACCGATCGACTGGCCGACGGAGGTCCTCCCTTCCAGCAGATGATGTGCCAATCTGGACAGTGTTCAACCTACATTCCACTCGGTAGACTCTCTGCTCCACGGATGAATTAACGGCGCCGCATTTCTCTCCAGTGCCCGCATTTGCGCCGAAGAGTTATCGGTTGTAGCTATATTACTCATCCCTGGAACCGTGGTCCTGCGGCTGCTGCACAAGCAAACTCTGAACGTCGACTTCTGACAACCGCCTACCCTGCGAAGCCGCCCTTCCCTCAACTCCCGGCCAGTACCAGAGGTGACCGAGGGGAGGACTACTCTTTCACCCTCGAGGCTGAATCATCGATCGAGGTAGATGGCATAAGAGACACTTGCTTATCCACCGGGTGGGAAATCCGGCACGTGTTTGCGCAGCTGGGAACAAAGCTTGTAAGCGCCTCGCAGACCCTGGAAACACGTGTTTGACTTTTTGGGCTGCGATTTCCACTCATTCAGTAAAGCGCTCGTGTCTGGTATGTCAATTGTGAACCGCGTATTTGGGTGCACGCTGCTCGTTGCCGAGGTCAACTGGCTTTGGGGCATCGCCTCGGGGTGGCAGGTCGGTGCTGGACGGGCGGCGGCAAACAGAAGTTCTGGATCTGGATCTCAGCTGCTTTGGCTCGGCTCTGCCTCGTACCCGTGAGCCTGGGTTGTTACTGGACGTATGTAGACGGGCCTGGAACCTCAACACCATCCAGACCATCCCCTGACTCAGGCCTTGGTTCATGCACATTCGACGGTCCACTTAAGTAGCTTAGCACCAAGGGACTGATGGAGACCAACTCAAATCGCGGGCAGAACGGGAGCACCAGGCGGTCGGCGTCCCGCTCCGTGTCGCATTCTCACAAGCTTTCTTCCGGGAGCACGTCGAGCATATCCAGTCGCAAGAGCCGGCATGCTGAACCAGTTGCAAGCTTTGAGGTTCCTGTGGATGCGAGTTTATCAATGCCTCCACCGCCCCGACCCTCGAGCTTGAAAAGCCCTCGCTCGTCCTTTCTGCAGAGCCGCCGTGAGTCGGCCGCCTCGGAACCATGGAGCGAGGAATACCGCTCGAACAACCGCCTGCAGCAGGGAGACGCTGAGGGTCTCCGCTCGCAGGATGGGGACGAACTAGCCGTCGACGACCACGACACCCCTCGGCTTGGCCCTACCACTGGCATAATCCGAGACGGCAGCACCGTGGACCGCCTGCCTGATCCCGCCCTGACCTCTCGATCTTCCTTTTCCGACGAGGGAGTGGCATCCAAACGCTTGTCTGTCTCCTCCGCCTATTCTTTGGCCTCGGCTCGTGGTATTCCTAGCTCTGCTGCATCCGTATCTGCATCATCCGACGGCGGCGTCTCGCGCTCCGTGTCCGGTGTCATTATGGCTACCAACCACAAGGGCTTGGGACCAACACCTGGCCATTCCGAGGCTGGGGTCTCGAACGTCACCGTCACCACCTCCTCGAGCCCTCCGACACCCATGGGGGCTGGCCACCAGTTGATGACTCGAGACTCCACCCCGGCGAGTTCTCTGGACGTTGTCAAGAGGAACGCACCACCCAGGTCCGACCCTAACAGCAACACCCCGCGGTCACAACCGCCGACTAGATCTCGCAGTAGAGCCAAGAGGCGGTTTAGCGGTAGTACTGTGACTAGCAGTCACAGCCCGAGCAGTGATCGGGGCATCCTTCACGGCACCAAGGAAAAGGAGGAGGCGAGGCCTGCCCCTCTGGGCATTATTGGAGTCTGTGCTCTCGACTCCAAGGCCAGAAGCAAGCCTAGCAGAAACATCCTGAACCGTCTGATTGGGAAAAAGGAATTCGACGTCATTGTCTTCGGGGACAAGACAATCCTCGACGAAGGTAAGTTGCTCATTGTCCTACCCAGGTGTTCGAACCAGGACTAACCGGTTGGCAGAGGTGGAGAACTGGCCCATCTGTGACTATCTGATTTCTTTCTACTCTGACGGTTTCCCGCTAGAGAAGGCAATAGCATACGTCAAGGCAAGGAAGCCGTTTTGCGTCAATGATGTGCCCATGCAAAAGATCCTGTGGGATCGACGACTCTGCCTTCGTATCTTGGACTTGATCGGCGTGCCAACCCCCAAACGAGTTGAGGTCAACCGTGATGGAGGCCCTGGTCTCCTCACGCCTGAGGTGGCCAAGCACATCGAGAGCATCACCGGGCTCGCTCTGGAACCCACCAATCCCGAGAAGGCTGTGCGCCCTAGAAAGGTCGAGCTGCTAGACGATGGGGACATCCTAAGCGTTGACGGCACCCTCCTCAAGAAACCATTTGTGGAGAAACCCACCAGCGGCGAGGACCATAACATCATCATATACTTTCCGAAGTCAAGTGGTGGCGGCGCCCGTAAGCTTTTCAGGAAAATTGGCAACAAAAGCTCCGAGTACATACCCGATCTTACGATTCCTCGAGCTATCACCGAACCGGACAGCAGCTACGTCTACGAAAAGTTTATGAGAGTAGAAAATGCTGAGGATGTCAAGGCTTACACCGTTGGCCCCGCGTTCTGCCATGCCGAGACAAGGAAATCTCCTGTTGTCGACGGAATCGTTCGACGAAATACGCATGGCAAGGAGATCCGCTACGTCACCCCTCTCAACGATGAAGAGAAAGAAATGGCACGAAAGATATCAACAGTATTTGGGCAACGTGTCTGTGGGTTCGATCTGCTGAGAGCTGAAGGCAAGAGCTATGTGATCGACGTCAATGGCTGGAGCTTTGTCAAGGACAACGATGACTACTACAATCACTGCGCTAAGATCCTAAAGGAGATGTTCGTTAAGGAGAAAGCACGCCGAGGTGGTCTTACGCCACCGTTGCCGTCTCCCACCGCCTTTGACACTGCCGATCCGCTTGCTAAGTCAGCAGTGGGTGCGAAGGAGCAGGCACCGCGAGCAGATGCTTTACCAATCAGCCAAGCCAAATCTCCCGAAGCGCCGGGCACTGGCATGGCTACGTCGGCGGCCAAATCCATCCAAGATATCAAAACGGCGGACGAAATTCTGTCTGGTGCCATATCGCCGCCCAGATCCGAAGGGGTTTCGTCTGGTATAGCATCAAAGGTGCACAGCGGCGTATTGAGCCCAGCGAGTATCGTGCCTGCGGACTCTACGGTACCCAGCGTACCAGCAACTGCACCAGCCACAGTTCCTGGCACGCCAGCAGTGAATGCCAACAACTCGGTTGACGCGGAGTTTGACCAGCCAACCCCTCCGCCTCCGCCGCCCAAGCATCAGTGGAAGTTGAAAGGCTTGGTATCTGTCATTCGCCACGCCGATCGCACACCCAAACAGAAGTACAAATTCACATTCCACACTCAGCCCTTCATCGACCTTTTGAAAGGCCATCAGGAGGAGGTATTGCTCATCGGCGAAGCTGCTCTTAGTAGTGTCCTAGATGCAGTAGACTTTGCTCTTCGGCAAGGTGAAGAAGACATGGTCAAACTACGGTCCCTTCGCAACGTCCTCGTGAAGAAGGGGGGTTGGGCCGGAACCAAGATCCAGATCAAACCCATGTTTCGTAAAAAGAAGTCAGACGACATGGCGGCCAGCTCTACCACAAAGCTCACCGAGGCTGCCTCGGTCGAACCCGGGGAGCCACGTAATGAAACACCTGTTAACGACCAGCCAGGCGACGCCAATGCCGATGAGACAGCCATCGGACCCGACGGGAGTCGTCGCCCGCCTAAACGCAGCGACTCAATGTCCGGTGTCACGATGTCAAAGTTCACTGCTGCTGAGAACAGCCTTGTGCTAGATAAGTTGCAACTTATTGTGAAGTGGGGCGGTGAACCTACGCACTCAGCTCGGTACCAGGCTATTGAACTCGCGCAGAACATGAGGAATGATTATCTATTGTTGAATCGCGAGGTTCTCGACGAAGTTCATGTGTTCAGCAGCTCGGAGAGACGAGTGACAGCCAGCGCACAGATATGGGCCACCACTTTCTTGAACAAGGAAGAGCTCCCGCAAGACGCTATCACCGTTCGGAAAGACCTGTTGGACGACTCCAATGCCGCGAAGGATGAAATGGATAAAGTCAAGAAGAAGCTTAAAGGGCTCCTGCGCAAGGGTAACGAGCGTCCACCCCAATTTGCGTGGCCTGATAGCATGCCAGAGCCTTCGGAGGTGCAGAATCGAGTCGTGGCACTCATGAAGTTCCACCGCAGAGTCATGCAGCATAACTACAACAAGCTTCTCAGTGGTGCGGTCACCTCGTTGAGTGCTATACAAAACCCTAGCGTGGAAAAGCTAGAAGGAGAGGGTTCAACGTCGTCAATGGCGTCAGCCCTCTCTCAAGCCAATGCAGTGAACAACATTCAAGCGAGGTGGTGCTGTGGCGAGGACGCTGAGCTGTTCAAAGAGCGCTGGGAAAAGCTGTTTGCAGAATTTTGCGACAACGAAAAAGTCGATCCAAGCAAGATCTCCGAGCTATATGACACGATGAAGTTCGATGCCCTTCACAACCGGGCCTTTCTTGAATGGGTATTTACACCGCCCAAGGAGATGCTGGAGAAGGAGTACGGTATTTTCATCGGGCGAGACGGGAAAGTCACACCCAAAGAGAGTGAAGAAAGCAAAGACGCGACTGCTTCCGATGATAAGTCAGACCAGAGTCAGGCCGTAGGGTCGCCTCCTAGTGAGAGATCAGATAAATCAGAGCGATCTGATCGAACTGATCGAGCTGAAAGGGGCGACGTTCGGGGCACGGCTAAGAGAATATTCCGGAGACGCTCTTGGATGAACATGAACATGCGTCAGCAAGGGGCAGACCCTCCTGAACAGTACTTCCGGTTGCAACAATCAGGCGGTCCGACAAAGGCAAAGACCGATGCACGATTTGAGTCTTTGCGAGAACTGTACACGCTGGCCAAGGTCTTGTTTGACTTCATCTGCCCCCAGGAGTATGGAATTTCAGACAGTGAAAAGGTATGTTGAGACGAAGTCCACCAGAATCCATGAATGCTAACGCAAAGTTCCAGCTTGAGATTGGTCTTTTGACAACCCTTCCTTTGCTCAAGGAGATTGTGCAAGACCTCGAGGAAATGCAAGCATCGGATGACGCGAAGTCGTTCTTCTACTTCACCAAAGAATCGCACATCTACACACTGTTGAATTGCATTCTCGAGGGCGGCATCAAGACCAAGATCAACCGGGCTAGCATCCCTGAACTCGATTACCTGTCCCAAATCTGCTTCGAGCTTTACGAGTCGGAAATCAAGCCGCCCATTACGTCTCCGGAAAATCCTTCCACATTTGCCTACAGCATTCGCATCACTATCAGTCCCGGATGCCACATCTATGATCCTCTTGATATCCAGCTCGACAGCAAGCACTGCATCGGCTGCGCGCCGCGTAGGAGTTTGACAGATCACGGTGACTGGAAGACCGTCATCGAGACTCTGAGGGCTAAGTTTCATCAGTAAGTCCACCCTTGACGTCTTGGATACCCGATTGGACGGATCGTGGATCTCGCCTTCTCGATTCGATCTTGGCGTGCTACAGAATCAAGCTACTAACCGTCGGCTACCAGGGTTAAATTGCCGAAGAGTTTCCTTGCCATCAACTTGTCTGATGCTTTCTCCTTCCAAGAGAAAGAGCGTCAGAACTCCGAAGGCGACGTTTTGGAAATGAAGAATGTTGAGCACGCGGCGTCGTACGTGCCCCCGAGCCATGAGCCAGTTGTCTCTGGGGCTGTTGCCGGATCCATTGATCCGACAGCTCCTACCGCGGCCGACCCAGAGAAATGATCAATCGTTGGTTGTCATTAGACGGCTATCACGAGCCGCCACGAGATGCAAGCCGAAAAGAGGTTGTAGACCTGCTTAGTCATTTCAATATGGCTGTGGGTGAAGACCAGAGCTTTTCCCATTTCGGCAGACTTGCCGGTGTAATTGCCGGCGGTGAACTGTCTAATGGAGCGTAAAGAAGCGAAGCTAGAAGGATTTTAGGATTTCTTGAAACAATGGTATTTTGCCCCCCAGCGCATCCCTTGCATCGGTTTCCCAGACTAGAAGGTTTTCACAGACCAGGGTCAGCCCTGAAGCGTATTAGGCATGAAGATAGACTACATACGTTGGTAGAAAAGATCTAGAACAATGATCATGCCAGAAATGTCCAATGCCAAAGCTGTATCCCTCGTCCTGCAGTAACCGAACCGAATGCTGCTCTTGTGCTCCTTCTTTCACCGAAATCCACATCAAGAGCATCTTTGGGTCCCTTGCGCCCGCGTCTGTCCCGTCCCTTGCATGTACATATTGTGCAAGCGTGACATCCTTGCCAGCGCGGGTGACTTGGGGGTTAACTAGGCTCTCGGTCCATCGCATGAGGACAAAAGTATAATAGAAAGAGGCTCACCCGAGAGTCCAAGCTGCAGCCCGTTCCTGCCTCTATGCAACAGGGAGGAGGGGGCACATAAAAGGTGACCTGTCAGATTCTTATTCCCCCTCCTGTCAACCGTCTGTCAAAGCCGTGGTAGCCAGAGCAGGGGTCCTCCCTGCATGTAGAACGCTTCGAATTTGGAAATTCGCAGCGTGCCGCCATGGGACGACACCCCCATTTGCCTTTCCTGGCCCCGTCCGGCGGCTTCTTGGTTGCCATGTAATGTCGGGTCGAGCATCCCAAGGTTTGAGTGCAGGATCTCGAATCCAGACCGGTGTCTCCACTGAACCAATCGCGGGGTCTTGGCACCGGTAGGGTCGTGTCGGAGGAGCGCAATGGGGTACGCTGCCCGTATCAGTCAGATCATGGTCAACCGCCGGCTAGATAAGAGGAAGGACGGGTGTATAGACTTTTCGGCTCGCTCTTACTTGTGCCGAGCTGGAGGGCTAGGCGATGGCCAAGACGTCGTATACTATTTCTGTTCAATCAAATTGGTGTCAGTCGGGGTGCCATAGCTCTTAGCAGGCTCTTAGCTCCAATGCAAAGGTGAAGATGGGTTTTACCGTCTTAGGATTATGCGTATAGGCTATGGAGAAAGTATACGGTTACATGCGAATCGGATCTTAGGGTTGAACCTTCCGATCGACGGAAGGTCTAGTCGTAGAATATGCGGATCAGTGAGATAACCTCCGATGGCATTCTTCAGGGGCCGGAATGCCTTCCGACTAAGAGCTAATGCTGGCAAATGCACTTCTCTATTCCTCAATCGTGACGGGGTCGTGCCTTCGTCATAGGCCTAGTCTCCGGAGGACTTTGCGCGGCAAGTGACTCCATTACCAACCGGGCAGCAGGGGGTATGACGCCCAGTTCCGTGGTTCGGGAACCCTACATAACACAGTGTAAGACGTCGCACCCAGCCTTACAAGCAGGAGACCCATGGGCCACGCGATGAGCGCGGCTCCCTCGGGTTCGTGTCAGCCTGGCGAACGGGATTCACGGGCCCAGCGATCTGAAGTCGGTCAAACGCCAAGAAACGTTAAATCGTGAAGTCTGGTTCAGCTGGCTCGCCCAAGTCAAGCTCCGCCCAGTAGAATGTATGCCTTTCCGGGCGCTGGGGCCAAGCCACGCGTCTCAATATCTCTTGAGTCAAGTGCAACACTGAGGTTCTGGATATGTGACTGACTAAGCGGAACGGCCTGTGTAGCTATTGCGAACTTGGTGCGAGCGCCCCGTAAGGCAATGTTCACTGGAGTTGCTGCAGTACATAAATAAGTGTGGGACTTATTGTCAGCACTGAGCAGTAGCGGACGCTAGCTTGAGATCTTCCCGACTCTGCAGGGGTTTGTTAGAGGTGAGATTCTCTATGAGGATGGCGTCCCGGAAGGCATCCGGATGGGTGGTCGTCTGAGCCCGCCGGAAGACAGGCAAGTTGGCGTGTGGGTGAGGTCCGAACTTCACTTCAAGCCTCCATCACGAATAGTGCGCTACAAATGCAAGAATTTCATGAGCATCTGCAGTGAAGTCGGATCTCCTACTGCCTTTCATGGACTCCTAAGTCATGATTGGAGCGCCTAAAGAAGCTTGACTGTATTTCCAATGCAGATTTGATGTCTCACAGCATGTTCGCTAAAGCACGAGTTCATGAGTTACAGTCATCTTCATCCTAGGCTTCAAATCTTTACCACCGCCTTCTGATATCATCTTCCTGAGTGATTGAACTGGTTTGCACGCTGGACGCCATGCATTTGTTTCTCATAAAATGAAGTATATTCTGCCATACAACGGTAATTGATCGTCAGCCGTCTCAATCGTGCTAGTGGGGTGGCTGTACCATCGAACGGCCCGGCGGAGGGAGGTTCATTTCGAAGAAGAAATTAGCAGTCTTGATCTAGGTGCAGAAGCCGTCCTAGTCACTTATCTGAATGAAGTTGGGCTTTGATGTTGGGCATGCTAGCTTAAATCATGTTAATGAGAGTCAAGGATGAAAAGGAGAAGATTTGTTGATGGCAACGCAGAGAGCTGGGATCGCCGAGCGACAATCGTCGACGAATATCATCTATTTAAGACAACGGCAGTATCAATCTCTGTTTTCGCAATGTCAAGTTAGTCAAGTCAAGTCAAGAATCACTTGGCAGTTCAAGATTTAATCTAGACATCTCGGGATATCTCGAAATTGTAAATTTGGCGAGTTCCTCTTTAGTCCTGGTGCAGGACGTGACGGCCAACCAAATGAGAGTTTCAGGGATTGAGCATTTTCTCCACGGGCAGATCCTAGGAAGGATCCTTGCCTTCTGCGCCTGTCGAGGTGAGAACGGGTTCGCTGGAGCACGGTCACAGAGGGGGATGGGGGGGGAAATTGCCAAAAGGATGATAGATACTTTCGGGGCAACGTGCCGGAACGCTCAGCGTGTAACCTTACCACGTTCACCTCGACAATATCCAGCGTAATAGTCTGCGAGTTTTGCACTTCAAAACCGGAGTGAGACTTACGCTGAAGATCTCTTTCCGATGGACTGCTGATGCCTGGACTAAAAGCTCTGATTGCTACCCACATACTTGACACATCCAGGACTCCTTGGTCTGTGCCTGCCGGAGCTATGCTTTCTCTACACCTTCAAGAGAATGCGAACTCGAATGTCAGCCGCATGCTGCAAGTACGTACATATGCGAGGATACTGGCAGTCCCGGTAGAACGTCCTTGAGAAAGATTAGGTCGCATAAACGGCCGCATGGGATTTCGCGACAGCCAGGAAGTATCGGCGGCTAGAAACGGACACGCGGTACGCTAAGCAACATTGCAAGAGCTTCGCGAGTACAACGTAACTCTAGCCAAGAATAAATAGCTACGTACGCGCAGAATGCACGCATGAAGTTGCTTTCTTGGTTGACCGGTCAATGGCCTTGGACTTGAACAGACACTGGGGGGGATGGGTGACACGGGACGGCGCCCTTTTCAAATGCTCAATAGCGATGCTGACCGATCCCATGCACTTGGTCTGATCCACGATGCTACAGTAACGATCACGATTCTCGGGATTGCTGCCGATTTGCTCCGGTTCAGAGGGGGGTATTACTCCGTGCTCATTTCAAGCTTCCAAGAATTGGCGTCCGAGACCCGTTGTTGATAGCACACGACGATCTCTTGGGAGAGATCGTCCGCTCTCTGTTCAACAACGATTGCTAGGTATGGGAGGGGCGGGGATGAGATGGCCTCCAGACCTTGGCATGTAAGTTGTCAAAGAGAAATCCGTAGGCGGTTCGGTACTTGCAAGGGTCCCTCGTGGCTAACCCCACTACGAGGCTTAAATGGGGGTTAAACGGTGAACTCATGCGCACGAATGGATAACCCGGCAGGGCTGCTCGCATACTTATTGGCCTTCCTAGTTGCCCCTGCTCCACTGATCTCAGCGCTGGGTAGGCGCTGTTCAATCTGAAGCAGCGTACTATGGTAGTTCAAGGATTCCCTGTATCCGGGAGAGCCTTCCATGGTTCCAGAAACAAGAGCGATCTTTCTACGCGCATGACGCAGACCCAAGACCATGAAACCGGTGTTGATATGCTTGGGCCCCAGCATGCGGCGGACGTCGCGCCCAAGGCTCTTCCGCGTGGTCCCATGATATTCCACAGACCCAAGAAACCACTGGCTGGTGCCACTGCGGATCGTCTCTGGTGCCGAGGTGAGGGTGACCATTCGGGTAACGGTTCTGGTGGTACGGCACGTTTTCGAACGTTAGTATACGCTCTGCCGTTGCTGTCCAGACTCTAGAGGTCTTCGGCTGGCGCACGCGGCTGGCAATTGTCTTGCAGGAGATTAAGCACAACGCCGTACTCAGAAGTAGCATCGACGCAAAGGACTGACAGGCCTACCCATGAATGCTGCAGGTTGGATCCAGGGCTCCAATGCTGCTTATTGGGCGGCGTCGAGCCGCCTGTCAAGCAAACATGCCTATCACAACGAGGTGCTTTGACTCCCAGAGGCTGGCCGGCGGTGAGCATTCCTTTGCTGGAGACGCGAGAGTGCCCGAGTGATGAACACGTACTTGAAGTACTCAGTACCAACGTGGGCATCAACGTTTGTCGATAGTCAGTGCTCTTCCATGTCCGTCGTTTCGTGCTTGGGGAAAGAGAAAGCCCCACAACCCTGCGCTGCCGCCTGCGTGGCTGATGACTACAGTCATCGGTGACTGGCGTTTCCTGCATCGGGCTGCAAGGTATCGTGCACTACAGCGGCCCAGGAAGCTATAATCCACCCTCCCGATGCCTCCGGTGCAGAAATTACAGTTGATGGAGATGTGCTCCGTGATTTCGTAGACCAGATTTGATTGATAATCTGCCGCTTATATCGCATGAAAATCGCGCTCTGTGTGTCTCGTCGCATCGTGTGTTCTAGCGAAAGTCAACCCAAGACCACTGAGCCGTGTGCCAGGGACCGACCGGTGGCCCGCCGTCCTCTGCACCACACCACGGTTCCTAGGTAGTGTCAGTGTCAAGGTGGTGCCGGGCCAGGTGCGCGTTTGGGGCGCTGTTTGCATTCTCCTCGCACTTCACCTACACCATTGCTGGCCCGTCCAGGGTTTTTCACATGACGGAGGCCCAGCTTGTTGCAACCGTGATCTTTCTGGAAGGGGGGTGTCAGAGTTGAACGGGTTCGACAACGGTGACGTGTCTCACCCCATCTCTGGAAGCACAATCTCACACCGGATCGTTTGCAGTCGGGCTCGGCTATATCGGTCAGGATGCTCGTCCTCTAATTCGACCTTCTCTGACACACCCGCCCGAGAGAAAGCTCACCTGCCAGAGCTGTGGTAAACTTATGCCATCGACTGTCAACTGCGGACGTCAGCCACACCCGACTGCTGCTCAGTCGCTCGCGCTGCTGCCCCTCGGACGGCGAGTACGTACCTCCAGAAACCGCATTTGTTTCCTTACTGCCGCCACTTGCCGAGTTCAGGAAAACGCCCCTTGGCGAGATTTGCCAATCCGTATCAGGTCATTTGGGGGCCTCGATTTCTTTCGACAGTTTCTCTCGTCCTGCCCGGGGACGCTACCGAAATAGAGTTTTAGTCAGGTTCTTTCGGCTGCCCGGGAGCTGCGAGGCGCAACCCGCAGCCAAAACGTCTCGTCTACCTAACTACCTCCTCACCTTATAACTCCCAATCTGGGAGCAACCGCGTCCACACACAACACACTCAGTGCCTACAATAATCGCCGGCCGGTAGGCAAACCAGCTACAGAGGCCACCTGCCGGCAGTTTTCCCTAACTCGTACGCAAGGCGCTGTTCCCAATCGCCAGCAACCGATAAGGTACAGGACAGAAGCAAGGGGCCATGGGCCATGGCCATGGCCCTTGACACCTCTGGGAGCTATGGAGACATGGCTGCCGCCCAAGGTATCACACACCCACACACTCCAAAATGTTTCAAGGTAAAAAAAGTGCCTGACCCATGGCCGTTACCAATTGTTCACAACATCGCGCCATTCTCTGCATCGCTGCCTCTCCCACACCCTACAATTGCCCTAGTGATTTGTTTCCCGTCTGAACGGCCACTTTTAATGCAGGCGAGACCAGGGCGGGCCTGACTCGAAAGTCGAAAGTGTATTTCCATCGATGGAACTGGACCCTGTGCCCAAACCCGCGGAGCGAGCCGACTTATACATAAACCAGTACCTCGAGCCCACATTTCCCCTGGTTAAGTCGAAAACGGACGTCCCACATAGAACTCGTGCCAGGTCATTCGCTGCCACCAATACTATTAAGTTACTGTGAGACCTATACCCAGAAACCAGCACTAGCCCTTGGATCATTATGGAGCCCCTTCCCGGAGACGTCTCCCCTTCGTCATAGATCTGGGCCTTGGGAGCTACTCCTGGATACTCAGCCGTCCGTGGTACTTATGGTTGAGCCTCCCGCCTCACCGTGTCCCCATCTGCACACCTCATAACACATATGGCACCCACTGAGTACAGCCCAACCCAGGTCGTCATATCCACCGATTGTGTTGTCACATAATCAGTCCACGCCCCAACTCTGTTGCTAGCCCTACAAACAGCCTTCCACTTCAGCAAACAAGGCAAGAGTGGATCTCTGGTCTTGGACAAATTTCATCGTCTATCGCATTGACCATAAAAGCCCTTTGGTCTCGTTACATCTAGAGGACTGCTTCATCAACTCGATCACGCCCTCATAAAGACGCCCGACGACGACAACTCAGACCCATCTCCAGTGAGTTTGTCTACACTATTATTCATGGAAAATCATCTGAATCTCGACCTAGGAAACTCATCACCGCTATTTCTGAGTCCAGGAAATTTGCATTCCTATTCACCCAGCTCACCAAGAACCCGCTGCAGCAGGTACTACCATCATCATGGCCGTTGCCAACCACTGTGCCCATGCCTTCAAGATGATCAAGTCAGACAACACATTGATCCAGTGGACCTGCAATCTGTGTCATTCCGGACCGCACTGGTGGATCTTTGAGTGCCGGTACTGCAAGATTCGAACTTGTCGTGCTTGTGTCCACAACATCTAGGCTGGTGTCTGATATCATTCGTCTGCTGAGCCCCATCGCGTTCGAGGTACGTACGCAGACTCATCCATGGAGGTTTTTGTGCCCAAACTTCCGGGTACATATCACCCGTAGTAACCGATTCTGACATCTTTTCCCATAGTACCAGGCCGTTTCCTTGTCTCGTATCGAAGTCATTGCGGAGGGCTCTCGATTCGACGTCAGAACAGAAGCAATGATACTGAAATAAAAGGCTCGTTCGCCTAAAAAGCAAATAATTTGGCGATTCTGTGCGACCTGTTCACCCGGCAAATTGGATCCCTCGGTTCTAGACTTCCTCTTTGCCTTTTTGCGCGAGGAAATCCCTGTGCACATCACATCACCGTATTGTATCGCGCCGGGACGATTTACACCTTGGGCCGAGATCCACGATCCAAGCCACCGTATCCAACTCACCAGGCGGTAGCGATGGCCATGCTAGCATAAGAAGAACAACGGCCAGCCTTGCGCAACCATCTCAGAGAGTCAATCCCTGCGATATCATACGGAATTTCGTTGGGGCATTGTGTGGCAAAATGGGCGTTTCGTCACTTGTCGACCGGCTGTTTCGTTCCTTTTTTGCAGGCACGATCCACTTTTTTGATATCATGTATCATGTATCCCATCCAAGATTGAGTTCTCCCTTGCACTTCAGTCATCAGTCACATTTGTTCAGTCAACTATTCTGCAGTCCGTCATCTTGGGAGGAGACGAGGTAGAGCGAGACAGTCTTGAGCAATTCACAAAGTAGCGGTCAATGGTTCCATGGCGGTTCCAGTTTCGTTTTCAGAATTCAAGGGAGCCGTGTCCATGGAGTAGATCTCTTGGCATGCATTGCAGTAGCAAACAGATAGATTCGGTAGGCAAAGGGCATCCAATGCACCGGGACCTAGTGCTGGCTCTTGGGCGATCGAGTACGGCCGCTGAGCGGGCATCTCTCGCGGGTCACGGCTCTGGACGGCAATACCTTCCGTCGAGATGACCGTGTACCATGTGGCCAACCGTTCCAAGTTGTGAGTGGTTGGGCATTGCTTGTAAAAGAAACGGCGGGTACCGTCAATATGATCGCACTTTGTAGCCTGCGCAAATGTAAACTACGTGTTGGGAAGTAGTTTCCAGCCTTACGTCTGTTGGGAAAACAGATCTATTGTTTTTCAGCTATTACAATTCTCGTGTTTGGCATGCTAACGTCCAACAAGATGGGAATCTGGGGTTGGTGCTTTTTTGCGTACGCCACGTTGCAGCATCGATATGGAAGTTGCAATAAGCGCGTTCAGGCTGAGGCTGGCGTGCAAGACCCGCAAGCCAAACGTGCGCTTGTCTTATATTACTATGCGGGTAGGGCTGCAAACGCCGTGTAACAGTCACCACGCTTGTTGATACGTCAGAAACGCCAGGTCCCATCGCCGCCGCCCCCAAACACTTTAGCAGAAAGATGCGCCAGCGCCAGCCTGATCCACGATCGGTGGCCCCCATGGGAACGTCACCCACCTACTCTGCACTTCTGTTAAGCGGGTGGGGGTTACAGGTATACCCTCCGGCTAGAGACCTCTCTATAGGAAAATTAAGAGAGATGCATACTGCGTTGTCATACTCATCTGTCGTTTGCGCGTTGGTCCACGCGGCAATCGGCATGTTGGATGTGAGGCCTGCCGTCACCTTGGGCAGGAACACATCCGGCCACACGTAGCAAAAGGAAGTGCAACGTACAGCAGACGCAAGCCTCATGTTACGTCAGGCTTCCTTGCCATGGCACTTCCCGTGGCCTTGCAGTCCTCATCTCAAAAGCTCCCGAAACACGGCGACATCGGGCCACGTCGAACATGTAAAACGTTGGATGAGAGAGCGCCACCAATCCCGAGGTCGCTGTTTGTTCGTCTACACGTAGCATCCTCCTTGCCATTGTCCTCACGCAGTCTTGCTCATTTGTACTTCGGCCAGCGCCAGACGTCCCTCTGGTCGATGCGCTTCGTCACCGCAACGTCGTCTCCGACGGAAACCTCGGAGTGCCGCGCCAGCGGGAAGGCGTATCGGCCAAAGACTGGCGACCATTTGGAGCCCGTGTCCACTCTGCGGTCCGCCATCAACTTTTTGAGCATGGCACCCGCCTCGCCGTCGGCTTGCCGTCCCGTCTCGTAGTCAATGTTGATCGACATGCAGCGGCCGCAGTTGGCTGTCAGGGCCAGCCTGTGTTTGCCCCCGACCAGGAGCTCCCCCCAGAAGTCCTCGTCCCACTTGTCGGTGCCGTCCACCACGATGTTTGGCCGAAAGCGCTTCATGTCCATCTCCTGGTCGCCGGGGAGCCTGGCGCTGACGTCGCCAAGTGAGGCTTCCGATACCACGAGCAACGGCGCCGCCTCGTTGAAGCTGATCCAGTCAGGCTCGTCGGCTCGGCCGGTCACGTAGGATGAGATGGTTGAGAGCCAGCCTTCCGCCTGGCTCTCGCCTGGTGCGTGTGCAAGAACCGGGCGCTTGCCGTCCCCGAGATACACCAGGTTGGTCTCGTAACCCAAGCACGAACTGAACCATGAATTGTACTCATGGCCCATGCGGTATGCTGTCGCCTTGCTTCCCATCAACTCGATGCCAATGGGGTCGAGTCCTGTGGTATCAGGCCGTAAAGGTATCCTCAAAGCCGTATTCTGCTCCGCGGTCTCTGGGATCAGAGGCACCATGGGTGCATGATAGGTGACCACTACCTCGTCCCCATCAATCTCTTGAAACAGCCGCGTGCACTCCGGAAAGTAAATGGTTTGGACATTCTTGAAGCTACCGTCACTTTCAACCTTCACCAGCATGAATCGCCGGTCATTCTTGAATCCCTGTTGATCAATCTGAGCGCTCGTGATTGAGGCTGGCCGCAGAGCCTTGATGGGGTAGAGGTAAAGCTTATTTAGAGTCTAGTCAGTCCTTTCCTTGAGGAATGGGGTCACAGTTTCGTACCTGAGTGATCCTCATGTTGTCAAGAATACGAAATTCCTCAGCTATCAAAACTGTAATTTGCCAGTTTCACACACGTGAACGCGTACCTTGTAACATCTGGGCTCCGAACATGGTCTTGATCAACGCCGGATATGAAAAAGGTGCAGGTCAACAGACCGGCTTATGTATGAATGGAGTAGGCGGAGAATGCTGGTCGGGATCCACATGATGTTATCCGGCAATACTTACTCAAGCACGACATTGTCCGGCACCCTTATGCGGACCAGAACGGGCCTAGTTTAGATCGCACTGGTATTCAAATCACTACTAAACACGGGAGCTATAGAATTGTGACAAAATCGAAACTTTTTCTTGTGTATTCACTACGGCAAATTGATGATGCCTAGATGCTTGGGCACCATGACCCTCCATGTTGTTTTATGTCTGTCTATCTATTACGCAAATTGCTTCATCTTCTAGTACGCCATCACTCTTTGGCGTTCAGGATTTTCTCCAAATCCTCGAACTCGCCGCTATGTCTCATCATGTCATAGAACTGTCCCTTTGCCTCGTATAGTTCTTTAGGAGACCCGACCCTGTAACAGTTAGTACCACTAGGAGAGGGACGTTGCGTCTGATAACTTACTCAAGAACTTGGCCTGCGCTCAACAATACAACCTTGTCGTAGTCAATAATTGTCTTTAAGCGATGGGCGATGGTCACCAGTGTTCTGTCCCTGCCGTGCTCGTTGAGCTCCTTCCGAAGGACCTCCTGGATTCCTTGGTCTGTCTCGTAGTCCATGCTTGCAGTTGCTTCATCGAGGAGCATTAGCTTGCTCTTCCGGACAAGCGCTCTGCAGAGTGAGAGGACTTGGCGTTGGCCATGCGAGAAGTTTTCGCCCTTTGCTTTTACTGCTGTTGAAAGGTTGATGATCTGCGCTTCCGAGCGAACTTCGTCTGCTCCCTCTACGGGAGTACTTTGTCCGGTCTCGGAGTCGTCGCTCTCTCTATACTCAAAAGAAGCAATCCCGCTACAGTACTGCAGCGCTTTCACCACAATCTCCTTTGAAACCTCGTCGGACGGATCCAGATTCGAGCCGACATCACCACTGAACAGGACCGCCTCTTGAGGTATAATCGTGAGTGCTTCTCTCAGTTTTTGTCGTGGGAAACTGGTGATGTCAACGCCATCGAATAAAATCTGCCCAGATACGATATCGGCGAATCGCAGTAGAGAGAGAACCAACTATGAAGGACAATGAGTCAGATTTCCAAGTGGGCCTTTGGTTTGAGTGAGACTTGAAGCACTTACGGTACTCTTTCCAGAGCCTGTTCGCCCAACGATGGCAACTCTCTCACCCGCTGCAAATTTGAGATTGATATCCTTCAAGATTTCAGGCCCATCCGCGTCATACTTGATGGTCACGTTGCGAAACTCAACTTCACCACTTCGAGGCCAGTTCGGAGGCATGACTACGGTGTCATCATCCCTGTATGAGCCCGGCTCTCGGTAGTCCTCTGGCTTCTCTTCTGGCTCAACTAAGGCATACTCGCGCACTCTGTGGAACTAGAACCACTTCTATCAGCATCTTTGACTACGCAAACACTTTCGACGAAACTTACGCTTTGCATCTCTACTTCGAGCTCGTTCATACAACGCACGAGCATGAGAATGATCTGACTCAGAGTCTATGGACGTTAGTATGCACTTGGGAGCTTGGGGACCAGAACTTACCGTTGCGTTAGTGAGAGAAAAACCGACGCGGCCGGCTGGAATCAAGCCTGCTTTCGACACAGCAATTGCGCCCGCGGCTACCGTGACCAGCGCAGTCACAAAATCAACCTTGAGTGCCACCCAACGATTGCAATTGTAATCTGGACAGGTGTTAGTATTGCTCGTCCCCAATCATGCGGGAGATGGAAAGGCATTTTGGCAACAGAAAACTACGCAGCTGCAGTGTTTGTCTCTGTCGATACAGCTGACGACCAGAAGTGGGATTTGGAGAGTACTTACGTGTCTCGGAGGTTCTGACGAATACCCGTAGCTTCTCGGCAAGCTGGTTGCCAAAGGTCTTGGGCATGCCAGCTCGTGCCCGGATAACAGCAATTCCTGCTAAGCTATCCGCAAACTGGGAGAACAAAGGCGATTGTGATGACGATACCAGTCTCTTGATGGCGACTGCAGTTCTCGTGTACATCTCACCAGCAATGATTCCCACGAAGCATGTTACCGCAGCGGGAAGTATGAAGACGGGTAATACTGAGCCAACTGCGCCGATCTGGAAGACTAGGCGAATGAGAGTCTCGAAGAAGAAGCGCAGGTAGGTGGTCAGTGACATGTCGAGAGAGTTCATGTCTCTGGAAAATCTGTTGACTACTCTGCCGACGGGTGTGGTTTTGTACCACGATAATGGCACAGTCAACATGGCCTTGATGAAGGTAGCGTGCAGGGTCTTTGCAGCATACCAGCCTCCACTCTCGTAGAGAACAAAGGTCAGCGCAGTTAATAAGATCTCCCCAAAGCTCCAGGCTCCATATATTCCAAGATAGAATGCAATGTTGGCAGCTTCACCACTGTCGTAGGCTTCAACCCATACGGCGATCCATAGCCCAGTACCGATGCTAGACGCGGTGCAAAGAATGCTCATAAGCACTGCTCCAATGGCGTACAGAGGGTTTCCAAAATATTGCATGTACTTGATGACTGATTGCATGTTAGCTCCTCGTGCAGAGTATTGTAGCATGCTTTGCTGTCTGCTTACATTGTAGACGTGCAGTGGGACCTGTGCGCAATGCCTCCTGGGTGACTTCATCGCGCCGTTTCGCTTCTGCTGTCTTTACGACATCGGTCTTTGCGCCATTTGCATCGTTATTCGAGTGGCCGTTCGTGGCATCAATCCTTGCTGCAACTTCAACGGTTGCATCCACGTTGCCTTCATCTACGAGTTCTTTGTCCAGGTTCACGGGCTTTCTGACGATGCCAAGATTCTGCTGCACATCAGCCACTGCTCCATTCTCAAGCCTGATTGATAGATCCGACTGTGGTGCAATCCAAGGTAGCTGGGTGACAAGGACAATGGTCCTGTTCCTGAGCATATCACCGCAGAAGCAGTCCTCCCAAACAGTGGCGGCAGTTTTGGCATCTAATGCTGAAAATATATCGTCAAGGAGCAACACCGGCGCTTTGGAATATAGTGCACGAGCCAGAGCCACTCTGGACTTTTGGCCACCGGAAAGAGTTGCTCCATTTTCTCCCACTTCCGTCTCGTCCCGATCAGGGAATTCGTTGAAGTCGATAGGCAGTCCACAGGCATTGATGACACGGTCGTATCGGGTCTGCTCAAACTCGCTGTTGAACAAGATATTCTCCTTAATGGTCTCGCTCTGCAACCAGGCGCTCTGAGATGCGTATGCAATGTCCTTGGGTGTTGTGATGGTTCCTTGCTCGACCAAAGTTTCACCGAGGATTGCCAGCAGCAATGTAGACTTTCCACTCCCACTGGGACCGCTGATCACGTTCAGTCCTCCTTCAACAAAGTCGATAGACATGTCTTTCAAAGTAAATGTCGCCTTGTTGTGTCGCCTGATGGTGGCTTTGTGAATTCGAAGTGGGCCGACGGGATGTTGAGTGAGGGGGGTTACATTGCCGAAGTAGCGGTCGATTCTCTTGATAGACACGCCAGCCGACGTAATATTTCTTGACATACCAGTTATCCAAGCCAGGTTGCGGCGGATGGTCCTGATGAGGGTGATCGACGTAAACGCAATATCTGCCGTAAGAGGTTGCTGACGTACTGCAACATGGAGACTGAAAATCACCAACAGCGCGATAATCGGGATGGCTTCAGTAAACTCTCCCAGGCACATATACCTGACGGCAGGTATCAGTCAATTACGATATAATTCTCGAGCATGGTCAAACTTACATGATGTTGATGTACCAGATCTTTTTCTGCTCTCCACGTCGAATCTCATTCACCTTCTTGGTGATGGCGTTCTCCCACGCGAAGTATTTGATGGCCCGGATGGACGCCAGATATTCTGAAATGACGGAAATCCTGGAATCCTGGATTTTTCTCAAGTCACGCTGCAAAACCACCATTTTCTGAGCGATATACACGCCAACTGGGGACATGATGACCATGATAGCAATACCAACGAGTGCAGGCCAGCCGATCATCAGGTACAGTCCGACTGAGGCCACGATAGTGGCCCCTGGCAAGCCAAACAACACCATAATGACGTCGCGCCCACTAGTTATTGCATCAATATCAGCACTCATCAAGTTTGCCAACCGCCCTGTTGACGTTGTCGTCTGGGCCTGTGCCTTTTCCTGCTCATCCTTAGGCTTCTCGGTGGAAGACACCTCCTGGAAGGCTTCGTCATCCAGCTCCATGGATTCCATAGCTTTGTAGTACAGCTCCTGAGTTAATGCAGCTTTGACACGGACTATCAATCGCGTAGATGTGAAGCTATCGAGGTGTTTAGTCACACGAAGCACAGGTATAGAAGCTGGGACCTACATGTATTGCTGGAAAGTGACCGACCGAGCAAGCGGACCGACGAACAGGAGAACAAGCCAAACCCAGGGCCTGATAGTTGCTTCGTCATACGCACTCAGGTACCCGAGTAGGTTGTATGTTGCGTACGGCGACACCAAGTCGACGATGAAGCCAATGGAAACGTAGATTGCCATTGTGATTATTTCTTTGGGGAGAAACCGGAGGAGTGTCCATATCGTGGACTTGTTCTTCTTGCGAGCTTCTTGGATCCGTTTTAGTAGCAGAAGAGGTTCATCGTACCATGGCAGCGCAGGAAGCTCCTCAAGCGTCATTTGACGACGGGCACCGTACCACATCAGAGGTGTCAGCCAGTCGTATGTGACATAGTACTCAAGCCAACTACAGGTCTCCTCAGGTGACGCCTCGTGCACGACTTTCTCGGGAAAGTCCAAATCCAGAGATGGCGGGGTCCATTCTCTTCGAGTGGCCAAGGCGAGGATGGCGGCTGCACTCAAGGTCGCGATACTAGCGACCAACGCTGGACTCATTCCCGAGTCCCAGCTCATCTCGATCGTTGGCAGCAATTCTTCCAGAAAGACTGCCACCCAGGCGCCAAAGAGGGCAAAGTTGACCTGGTGCAGCGCTACGTGTCGCCATTCGATATCATTGATCAGCCTCAACAGGCCTAGGAGAAAGGCATAGCCCAAGATAGCCACATCTGGCCATTTACCGCCCTGCTGCACAGCGACCACGGAAGTGAGTGCCAGGGCCGCAGCCCGCAACAATTGGGCGCCGAGCTCAAACGGTAGAGAAAACGTAGACGCGTTGCCTTCTGGCCTCGTGATCTTTGAATATGACCGGCTGATTAGATGGCCTGCAATGAAGAGCACCGAGATAGCTATAACAATGAACTGGAGATAGCCGGCCTTGGCGAAGCGCGACAATTGGCCCACCCATTGCAGCTCGCTGTGGCTGCACAATCGTTACAACTCTATTCCTATGTAAGAATTTGGGGTCATCAACGTACTGGTTTGGCACTCTGGCTGCTGCAAGCGCCGCGGTATGCGCGTGTAGCGTGTGCTGCGAGCGGAAGCCACTGTCCCATTGACTGCCTCCAAGAGAAAAATACTCCATGGCGGCTTGTCGTGTCAATGTTGACAGTCGGCGCGAGGTCGGTTGATGAAGAAGCAAAAAGAGACAGAGTCCGTCTGATATGACAGAAGGGGCTGTGTGATCGGATCTCTTTCGGAACCGCGCCGGCTGTCTTCTGATCCCTGCCCACTCCGAGCCTCGCGTGCGTTGCGTGCCTGGAAGTACGTTGCTGAACTTCAGACGATAGTCGTAGGGCGGCGTAGCAGTGCAGAAGGTCCTGCAGCCGCAGAGGAACTTCTGACTCTGGCAAATAGTCCAATCAGGGCGCACCCGGGGCGGTCAGTTGATGCCTATGCGGGTAATATGTGAAGTACCTAATTGGTGCCTGGGGAATCATCACTAGTCAGGTCCTTGGTCCTTGACATCCATGGATGGCGGCCGGGGCGCGATGTCTCGACGGGGCACAGCTGCGTAGGACCACGATGTCCTGCAAGAGCCCCACCAAATCGCGGGTTGCTGAGTGGCTAGGTCGTCCGGCTGGTGCTGCGTTCTTTTCACTGGGGGTTAATTCGACGGGGTTTGTTAATATTGCGAGACGCAGGTGAGCCAGATAGAGCTGCCCGGATTGGGCAGGTAGGAACTAATTTACCTTTCCCGGTCGCTGCCTACAAAGGTACGTCCTGCGGCGCAGTCTCGCAGTCTAGGCCACAACAAGACCTAGTGCAGGCCAGATAGCTTACTGGCTGGAAACTGTTCGGGAATTAGTTCCTCAGTTCATGTCACAACCACTCTGTACCGAGTCAAGGTATACAGGTTCTGCGAGTAGGGTAGTTTTCTGCAAGAGGGATAGCCTCCAGCGACTCTTTCTCGCCGAATGCAGTGTCCCCGTTATACTGCCGCTGCTATCTCAAGAAGCCAATAACTGCAGCCAACACTGGCGTACTTTACTTCATGGCCACAGATCCCGAATGGGCCGTCCAAGCTTCATTCTCCGTGCGCAGTGGTTTGACCAGAGGTAACCACGAAATCAGTCATGGTTCGTCCGGTTGACCCAAAAGGGCTGGTCGTGCTCGTTGCGCCCATTGTCCGCGGCACAGAGCCGACAGATTCATCACGTTAGAACAGAAGGAACCCTGCCAGTCGTTTTAGACTTCGGCTTCAAGCCCGGTACCGTGTTTCCCATCTTTATCATTCACTTGTGGCGTCTACTGGGTTTCACCGTAACATAATAGAGTATAGGCCGAGCCAAGAGACGTAGTAGTGTCCTATAACGAGCCCTAGTAAATGCTGCGATAGGCAACTCGCCACCCCCGGTATCTTACTTACTGATTCGCCTGCGGTATCCCATTGGCGATCCAGCAAAATGAACGATTTGTTCGTGGTGAGTAGTAGGCCTGGTTACATTAACCGCTTCATGTACGTTCCAACTACCTTAAGGGACCTCGATAACCTGACCAAGCACGAGGAAGAATGGCATGTTGCCAACACAGGCATAGTGTTCACTGTCATTCGCAGTTTTGACCACATATGACGGCCCATTCTTGTATCAAATCCCTTTGATGGCAACTCGCGCTGGCCATCCGCCATGACATGTGATGCAGTTGAAGCTTGAAGAAATTGTCAGTGGTATAGTTGCAGATTTCAAGAAGCGAAGGCGACTCTACTTGCTGGTGGTAATCGTAATGCACACGGTGCTCTGCCAGCTTTTTACAACAACACTCCTAGGTTCACACAGTAAGTCTAGACCACTCCAAGCCTCGCGTTTCTCCATTATTTGCGCATTGCAGCTGAAAGTCCACCTGAAACTCATCATTGTTCCCATTACATGTGGTGGGCAATGCACGAATAGCGTCACGTTTCCTACGAAGGACCTCCAGATAGTCCGCAGAAGTGTTGCCATGCACATGGAAGAAGTATTCCATCATGGGTGGACAACAAGGTGGAGGTCAAGAGGTAGAGTCCATCCACTAGGAGAATGAATATGATATATAGTATCAACACCCGAGCACGTAATCTGAGACTAGGCCTAGAACTTATTGCTCTTTCACTGCGTCGAAAATAATGTTTGTCGTATATAGTCACACATCTAGTGGGTCGGCACTTAGATTTTCCTCCAGGAGCAAAACCTTGTCTTCGAAATTTGATGCAGTGGCCTGAAATAGGTGCTTATGGGCTTTTGCGCACCAATAGACGGCAATAGTAAGCTGTGGCTGCGGCACTTTTGTTGCAGATTCCACAGACCCTGTACAAGAGGTACCACGTGGATAAGCAACGATATCCGCCCGGTACGCAAACATCGATCAGGATCGTTTAGTAGGGCCAAAACAGGTGGTGGCCATGTATATGCCAGTCCATTGGGCTTATCCAGCTCAAGTGGTACACAAACCAAGTGGGAGCCGCTGAGGAATCTGATCCAAAGAGTTCGGTCCAAGAAGGCCTTAGTACATCGTTGCCAGTTGCCAAAACATCTACATGCAGATTGGTCGTTACGAATTTGACCACCGTAAGACTTGTGGTCGGAAGTGCCCAGGAGGATCGACATGGCCCTTGATGCAGATAATCAGCATAGGATCGTCCAGCCGATGCAGGAACTTGCTGTCAACACCATCATCACGTGCAAGTAGAATCCTTTCAAGCATCGACAAGCGAGAGATCAAAGTAACACAGACGCTGTGACCTAACTGCCGTAGCACTTCGGGCGATCGCAGCTGTTACGCGGCTTCTACAAAGATACACGACTAAGGCACCGACATATGCCGAGTCTCACAGGTCGCTCCTATGTCGCTCAGGCACCAGTGTATGGGAGAAGGACACCTGGTTGTGGGAGAGGTTGATTGTGACAACTAGAAATACCGCAATGGTATGGTTGAGGTACGGGTTATTTCGCCGACTTGAAATGGCTTTCAGGGGGCTAAGGGGGCTGACGTCGAGGCCAAATCTCCTTTTGAGGCTATGAATGATGTTCGATTAAGTTTTGGGGGCTGCCGAGAGCGTCTGAGACATGTATGCGTGTTTGAGAACACGAAGAACATTCGTAAGTGTTTTCAATGCCTGTTCATCAAGTATAACAAAACCGTAGAGTGACAGCAGACGACTGTTCAAGTAAGTAATAGAAGTACTATAATGAGTCATTTGACGAAGCAAGCTTGCCGACGGTATGGCAAGAGTGCCAGCTACTGTCAATACCCCCAAGCTGCATCCAGAGTATGGGAGTCATCAGACAACCAAGGACTCGGGGCGTGTGCAAGGTTTCACATAGATCATGTGCAAACTGTTAGATGGTGTCCACGAGGCATGTTGGCAAACGATGATGTAGATCTAGTGCATTGCACTCAATTCTCTATCTAACCCTGTCGAGTTTTCCTGAATTCGTACGGTAGCTTTTCGCAATGAGGATCGGCAGTTCATCCCACTGTGCAAACATGCATGAGGGGCCCGATTCAAACAGATCTATTTGACGTTCTTGAGCTCGACATCGCTGGTTGGAATTAAAGTTAGCAAGTGGAAGCCGATAATTTGGACGGCTAGAAAGAAGGAGTAGCTTACAAGATCAAGTCGGCGTTGGGTGGGATGTGACCAGTGAAGCCTCTGTAGCGAGTGTGAGTAAAATGAATACAAGAGGACTGAATGTAATGTGTAGAGTTTTGAAGCTGGAGACCACAACACTGGTGGAGAGTATTTGGATGTATTCTTACCTGGCTCCGTATCCAAAGTCACTGTCGACTCCTGTTAGCTAAGACATTCACGAAGTATGCGATGATAGCAAAGTACGAACCTGCTGATGTCAAGAGTGGCCTTCTCGCCGACCTTCATCTGAGTAACGCCCTCGTCCCAGCCCTTGATGACCTGGCCGACGCCAATCTGGACGACGAAGTCGCCACGGCCGACAGAGGAGTCGAACCTTGTAGCCATAGTGTCAGCTTGAACGCCCAGTCCCCTAAGCAATGGTTGAAGGCTATGCCTTGACCAATTGTGCTCGGAAGTAGGAAGTATGGACGGTAGCTTACTGCTTGCCCTTGTTGCCGGGCTTGGTGGTGTCCTTCAGGAAGCCGGTGTACTCAATGGTGACGGTCTGGCCAGCCTGGGCCTGGGGGCCAGAGCCCTCCTGGTGAACGGTCTTGGTGACGCCCATTGTATATGATTCTGACGTTGATATTGTTGTTGCTTGGTAAAAGTGAAGGTAAAGGTTGAGGTGGGAGGTGCAAGAGCTTAGGAGCTTGACGTATGGCGGGGTAAATGAGAACTTCGTTGGTGGGATGTTTAGCGTGGAGCCTCAGAATGACGACGAAGCGGGACGAGCGGCAGCATTTATACCTAGGCAATGTCCTGACGAATGATGGCCAAGGCAGGCGGGGCCGGGGGCAGTCGAGACTTTGACAGGTGAACTAATTGTTTTTTCCCCTTATTCATCATCTCTTAAGATGGCGTAAGTTGGTACCTTGTGTATTTGTGATCTGCTGCCGAACCACAGGGCCGGTCCCCTTGCTGCAGGTTGTCGACCAATCCCCCTCCATCCGTGTCACTCCGCAGGGAATTCGCCCGTACAGCAACGCCTGCAGAGGGATACCAAGTCCTGGGCCCGGTTGCAGAGCAAGAGCCGAGTACAAGCGAAGTAAAAGATAGAAACTTGGGCAACACGCACTCACAAGACTGCCTGACATTGGCTGACACTCGGCTGATCGTTCCTCAATGCGGGGAGCCATAATTGCGAAGATCTGAGGCCGGCGGGTAGGCCGGCGGGTCCATCCGGAGTCGCTTGTATGGAAACAATCGCGATTGATCTTTCATCTTGCAGCCTCTGGGTCAGGATCTGGGCCTCTCTGGCGGGCTCCTTCCGACCGGCACGGTGCATACTTGGGACGTGTGCCTGATTTTGCTGCCAAGTCCTGTTTCCCCTTATAGATCACGCAGCTGTGTCACGGTTAGCAGCCAAGTCATGTCAGACATGCCAGTTGGGAAGTTGACGCGGGCAAAGAATATAATTCTTTGGACTACGTTTCCTCCCTCCATGAATCAAGTGGTTATATGGACGACTACCCAGGCCCGCAAATGTGTCTTCAACCGCATGCCATCTTTGATTACTATGTTACAGTCTTGGTATGTTATGACCTCACCGCATGCCACAACGATATACAGCGCATTGATGACCGACCGCACCGAAAGGCGCGGCCGAGGAAGCTCACTGTAGTGAGCTGTAATAAACAGTAGGAGATATATCATAAAATGCCCTGCTGGGGCTGCATAATCATGCGGTGGCTTCGAATCCTTACGAGAGTCCTACGTCATGGGACCAAAGCAATTCGAGACATGTTTGCGACTCAGAACCCTGCCTGGCAATTCGACATGAGCTCAAGAAAATGTTCATGAAAGTAGGAATAAATTCCGGGTTATCATCTTGCTACATGTGATATCTAGGAGAGATTCAGCAGCCCAGCCCCGCGATGATGGTTTCTGCATGTAGCAGTTGCTTATGCAAAATAATGCAAGAGGCGTGCCAACCCGCAAACCTTCACCAGGAGGAGTTTACCCCGCATTGGTGAGGGGCATCTTCATATAAGTAAAACCGCAACCCGTTCAGATGTTGGCACTCACAGCCGACTGCAGAGGCCATTGTCAACGCAGTGTCAACGGTCGGATTATTTCTCGAATTTTGCCACCCACCAGACGTACCCTGTTTGCTCAGACTCGGGTCAACTCGCAGCCAGCTGTTGGATCTGTAAACGGGTGCTACAGTATGCGGTGTAGCCTCTACGTCCTTCGAAGGATGTGGAGGTGACTGGCTACGGTGTGGGATTTTAGACGTCGACGCCGGTCCACGATGAACACATACAGCCACCGAAATTTGAGACGGATGATAATACGGGCGGTATAGGATCATTCATTCCATCTTTATTTGACAGTGTGCTAGCGGGCAGCACTCAACGTATTGGTAGGACTGCCGAAGCTAGACTCATTATTACCAGCTGAACGCGTAATCAGTCACGACAAACGTTGCTATTCTCATCTGACCATGACATGACCAGTGATCAACAATAGTTACGCGTTCTATACGAATACTCACAGGATTCAGAAGAATAGGACTAAGAAAATCTTTGGCAGGTTCTTGCCTATAGGCATCGCCCAGATCTACCAAGTAATAAATAGATCTAGCCGCGGCACCAGCATGAACTTGCTCGAGTACTGGCGCTGCCGAAGAACCGACTTGCTATATATCCTGCCCACACTCTTTGTAGAGATAAGAGACCTTAGCTCGGAGGTTTGCAAGTGGTACAGGACTCTAGATCTCTGAGCACTGGGTAACGTGGTCGAAAGGCCACTAGTGCAGTATGCCGACCATGATTGACAATACAGCTACCCCAGTAAGGAAGTTGCACAGCACCGTCAAGAGCATCTCGATTTCCGAGCATCAGGAATCACGGGGAACATTCGTCGTTTTTGGCTTGCGTCTCCGGCCTCTGAAATTGGCGGCCCACGAATTACGTTTACTAGACTGCAAGAATCATAAAGTGAGTGCAAGCACGTTCGTCGTACCGAAAAGGACCCGAAGAGTGAAGGCAACGGACTGGACGATCGCTACCTCCATAGGAATGACGAGATCACTTGCCAAGAGATAGTGCCGAGCGTGAATGTAAACCAACCTGTTGGTACGTTTATATCATGCAGCAAGCGGAAGCGGAAGCTGTAATTACCAACCCTATAATGAGTACATGATAAGAGCATGAGAAACTGTAACGTTCCCGCAAGGACGAGAAAATGAGTATGAGCGGCAGAACCAACAGCCTCCGCAAGGGGGCCGGCCAGTGGTGTTTGGAAGAGAAGGGGTTCTTGAAGGGCTGCGAGCTTTTCTCTCTGGGTGTCGCAGGTGAAGCGCGGTGGTCGGACACACCCGTTATCGCGGTAGACCTGAGAGCTAAAGCATGGAAGTACCTGGCCTGGCCGGCCCTGAACTAGTCAGGAACAAATCTGCCATTGGCCCCAGCATCTAGCACTGAGGTAGTGCAGAATTGTGTTGGTAGCTGACCTTGGCACCGCGCCGCTCACCAACGCGTCAGTTGGATCGACATGCGATCTCATTCGCGCCCGGCGCAATTTAAAGACATGACCTGTTTTTGACAGAACAATCCAGATGCAGCGTGGGCCGTTGGATGGTTCCCAAGTGAGGACGATGCAGTGGGTTGAAAATGCCGACATTGGTAGGCTGATCACTTCCAAAACAGGCAGACTACTGACCAACATGAGATAGATTGCGCCTATGCAGCACCTAGCGGGAAATCGAATCCTTTGGAACGTGTCGTACGGTACGCATACAGACAAATCACGGACAGTAAGCTGGAAGTACTTGCCACAGAGAGTATGAACAGACCCGACAGAGTGACCAGGTCTGATTGACAGCGACAAGCGGATCAAGGTTAACTTAGCCACCCCGCGATTCTAACTTATCCATCGCTCTGGTTTCTGGGTAGCGCGACAAAGCACGTACAAGACGCTTGCCAGCGTGCCAGCTAGGGAGCGGATGACATCTCAGAGCCGTGTACCCGTCAGGAACACGCATGCGCAGGGACACTCGGTGTGGGCACCGTCGACTTAGAGTTTAGCGCCTCCTTCAAAGGAATCGAAAAAGGTACTGCAATGATTGCTCCTTCACGGGCCGAGCCTGCGATTGTTCGCATGAGGCTCAAAGCAGCGACCGGCCTCCTCACAATATGACTACGATGAGGCGTTCGACGATGAGAGAGTAGGAAGGGAAGCGAGGCTGGGTTGCGCAACTGATCACAGAATCCGAGTCTGGATCGCCAGCTGAAAAAACGACCAGCTGTCAGACAGCTATTTTCAGCCATAATCTCCTGCACGGAGTATGGTAGTGTACTTTTTGAACAGGTATGGCGCGCATGAGATGGGCGAGAATGACGGGATGAAGATCGACCGTAACATTCCGAGCTAATAATTTGATTAAAGGCATGCACCGTCCAGGACGGGGGACGGTAGACCATTGAGACGAGCTAGAGCTGCAGGAGTTGCCCACGCTCGTGTCCAGTCCATGGCCCCAGGGGTGCACCGCGTGGGTCCGCGAGATGGCGAGCGGGGCCATCTTTGGATCTTTCGTGAGGCGCAGGGCCTAGCCGCCTTGGACCTGGACAATCTCGTTTTTCGCCCGCCGTTGCTTCAGCCGTGTGCTGCCAATCTTTACTCGATCGATATGTGTCTACTGTGTTACTGCGTAGAGCAAAGCACGCAGCTCTCGCTAGCTAGCGCGATAGGTCGGCCCAAGTTCAGGTCGGCGGTCGTGCGCTCACCTCTTCGCGGCCATTCACGCCCACGAGGGTCGGCCGAGCACCACGGGGACACGGGTTGTGTGAGGTTCCAGAAGCCCAGAAGTCCAGAAGTCCAGATCTCCTACCCGACTCTGGGACTCAGCTGTTCGGGTGGGGTTACACAGGAGCCCGCATCACGAACTGCCTAATCTGTCAGCACACAGCACCGAAAACGATCGGGTCCAGCAGTTCAAGCGAAGCGTGCGTGGTTTGTCTAGGACGAGCATGACAGCACGAATGGTTGTCTTTCTTTTGTGTCTCAACTTTGCTTCTGTCGCTCATGCTTCCTCAATGACCAAGCCCCAAGCCATGTGCAACCTGCTCGGCACAATTAGCCCCTTGGACGGCTGCGCTTGAATACCGCCTGCCGCCTGCGCCCAAATACCAGCAGCACACCCGTCGCCTCTCTCACCGTTTGTGGCATCCACACTACAGCGGCACATGCATCAATATTATGTGCGGTGCACAGTCGAGAAGTTGCAAGCGCTGATGCTTGCCAGCAACAGCTGCAGAGTGGCTATTTAGCAACGGGCAGACAGGCAGGCAGGCCTTTGGGCACTCGAAGCGGCTAGGATCTCAGGTCCTTAGCCTGAGATGGGAAATTGACCGTGAGGGATGATCCATGCCAGCGAATGGTGTACCCTGCTTGTCTTTCTCCAGAGTGACTCTGTGCCTGCGCCATATTAACCGGTGCTCTATGTCTGAGAACCTGCCCAGCCGATCTGGGAGACTTTCCCTGGAGGCAATCATCCGGGCGGCCCCAAGGTACCCCATCCCCCTAGTCTCAGGTACACACGTTAATGGTGGATTGGGGTCATCCACACCTGCAGTCTAGCGCTGCCTGCGCCTGTCCATTTCCAAGACGGACCTCAGTACGTACAGCAGCGTACGCACACACAGAGGAGCGAGCGAGCGAGCGGTTGCTTTTCTGGGACACGATGTTGACTGTTGACGACGTCAGAGAGAGAACATCTCGTACGGCGGCGATCCTTGGTGTGAAATCGGTCTCGAGAACCAGAAAAGCACTGCACAGTCTCTCCGGGCGCCGAAGGGGACAGTAGGCTGCTGACCATGTGGAACCCCTTGCCCCCCGGCTGGGCTGGCTTGCGAGAATGGCTGCCGACGGTCCCTGCGCTGCTGGCGTGCGCGTTTGTGTGTGTACATGGGTGCAGTACGGTGGGAGACGACTGTGGTATGCCACCCCCTGCTCCTAAATTCGTCCACTTGCCATTGAGCCAACCATAGCCCCCTGTCATTAAACGACTCTCCCCCATGCTTCGCTCGCACTCCTCGTTCCGTTTCCACTCGTTCTGTTTCTGTGCTTGTTCCCGCCGTCCTTCGTTTGCTTTCCTCTTCCACCCTCACCTTCGCCTCACCCTCCGCCGAGATCGTGACCCAACGACAATCCCACTCGGCGTCGATAACCTTCTCGTCGGATACTTGGTCGCTCTGTGAGCCAAGTTGACGACAATTTTCTCGAGGAGGACCTCTGGAGGCCACAGCAACCCCCAATGTATCATTCGCGATAACCGATTTATCTCTCGAACCACGGCGGCATTTACACTGGCCCATTCAAGCTATTGACGATCTACTCGTCGTGTCACTCATTTGAAACCGCGCTGGAATTGGAATCGTGCCAACAAAAAGTAAGAACAGTTGGGGACAACGTTGGATGGGATCTGACGACTGGCCCAATTTCCTGGCCTGTCTGAACACCAGCCCCTCCGGCGATCCGCGGATCTGTTATGCGACTCTCTTGAGAGTCGTCGATGATTGTGTGTACAACGACATACTAACATCCTTTGGCAGTAACACTCGTTTTGACATATTGTCAATTACACTCGTTCATCAAATCGTCCTTACGAGGTGGGTGGCTCCGATATATTCCCAGTGGTTTCAACGTTGGGACTAACATGTTTGGCTCAGACGATATATCCCACTTAATTAATCACCCACGATGCATCACAAACTGGCTTTGGCCACATTGGTGGCCACGGCAGCTTTGGCAAATGCCGTGCCTGATCGCCCGCGCATCTACTTTCCCCGTGCCGTAAAGCGTCAACTGACAAATGTCAACCATACGATCACTGCAGCTCCTGTGCCGTCGGAGAGCAGCTCGACAGCATCCTCGACCGAATCTACCAAGAGGGACCCATTCAGTCTGTCGGACTTCTTCAACTCGCTTTCCAGCGGCCGAAACGGAGATACAGACACCGTAGGCTCTGACTCGACTGCTGACAGTGGTAGTGCCGTCGGCACGGGCGACTCAGCTCCTATCATTGTTGTACCCACACTCGGACTGGGCGATTCGTCAACCACGACGGATGCGTCAACCACGACAGCCTCTGACGGGACGCCGGCTGTTGATACCGATACTCCGCCGCTTATCGCCTTGCCCACACTTGGACTTGGCGATACAACGACCACAACATCTGCGGTTGCTTCTGACGCAACGAATGGCGCCAACTCCACGGCGACTGAGACTGGGGCTACTACCACCGCTGCTGAGGTCACTACTACTGAGGCCACTGCGACTGCCACCGACGCAGTATCATCGACCGGAATTGAGATTCTCCCAACCGTTACCTCTAGCGAGGGAGGAGGTTTGGGAGGAGTTATCAGCACAGTTTTGGGCGTCACCAGCGTTCTTCCTGGAGAGACCAACAGCACGACAACCGATATCACAGCCACGCAGACCGGTACCGATGTCACGAGCGCCACTTCGGCAGCAAGCGAAAGCATTCCCATTACCACGACCGATGCCGTCTCTGTTACCGCGACCGGCGACAGCCCAGTACCCACGACAACGTCTGATGGTGGTCTAGGTGGTGTTATTAGCACCGTTCTTGGGGTCACCAGTGTCCTGTCTCCCGAGACGAACACCACGGTGCTGCCGTCGACAACTGCGGAGGAGACTGGTGCAGTCCCTACCACCACTGCTTCGGCAACCGAGAGCGTCGACACAAACAGCGGCTTGCTTCCGACCCTGACGGACATTCTTACGTCCATCTTGGACCCTACAACCACATTCCCTGGAACTGCCCCTACTGCCTCGGGCTCTACAATTGTTGACCCTACAACCACGTTCCCCGGAACAGCACCAACTACGTCCGCCTCTGCAGGCATATCCGACATCATTACCTCGTTGTTGCCCATTGTCACTCCTACGACTTCGTCGGCCTCGGTCTCCGTCACTGCCCCCCCCGTGGACAATGGAACGGAGAGTGGTAGCACGACGTCTCTGCCACCTACGGTTACTGGCTCTGTCCCGATCACCATCAACACCACTACCCCGGATGTCTCGCAGTCTACCGCCCCAACGACGCTGCCAACTACCATTTCGAACACCACCGTGCCCGAGCCGACCCTGTCCTCGTCCGAGGCCCCCACGATCCCCACAACGCTCCCTACCACCATTGCAAACTCGACGGTTCCGACGACCAGCTCAGCCAGCCAAACCGAGTCTGAGACGACGATCGCACCCACTACGACGAGCGATACGGTTATCGTAACGTCCATCCCTGTGACGGCTACCATTACGAACTCCGAGTCATGGCTGCCAGGTACGATCATTATGCAGACTTCTACCTCGGCGTCGACCACAGCTTCAACCACGAGCACTGGCATCCCAACTACCCTTCCAAAGGCCATCACGCCTTTTGACACGCCGCCATCCCAGCCGCCGAACACCACTCCTATCCAAATTTCGTTCAACTATGGCCTGAACTACCAGTTCATCGCCCAAAATGGCATGGCCGCCGCGCAACTGTTCTCCCTAGTTCCTCAGGCTGTTGCCTTCGACCGTGGTTTCTCGACGGATGATGTTGTCATGCGCAGCATTGTTCCGTACGACACTACTGCCCAACTTGGATATATTACATCACAGGCGATCCTCTACGTCCCCTCCGCCAATGATACTGTCAGGAAGATCCAGCTGGACCACAAGATTCCTTCTTCGCCACTATACACGAACCCCAACCAGCTTGTGTTCAACATGACAAGTCAGATCAATGTAGCAATCGACATCATTATGGGATCGACCTTGGAGGGTAGTAAAACGACGGCTACTGATGGCGCGAGCCCTACCAGTACTAACAACAACGACCCCTTCGGAGGCGGCTCTGACAACCAGACCAGCTCTCAGAAGGGAACGACCGCTGCCATCGCTGTGGGATCTGCTGCTGTCGCTGCTGCATACGGTGCTGCTATGTTCTTGATCGCGCGCAGATTCAAGCGAAAGCGTCAAGCTGCCTCGACACACCAGCGCAGCAGTTCGATCACGTCCCCATCGGATATGCGCCAGACTGGTAGCCCAGCTTTGATGGGTGGTGCGCTCTTGTCCCGCGACTTTACTGCCGCGGGCTATGGTGGAACGGGTGGCATGAGAGACAGCCAGGGAAGCGGTACCCACAACTCGGCTCGCACCGCCTTCATCAGCGCTCCTGTTCGTACAGAGAACTCCCTCGGGTGGACCTAGAGGCCGGACATGATCTCATCAAGTATACGACCTGTATGCCGTCCATTGATTCATTTTTTCCCTTCGATACCCATCCTGAAGGTCTTTCTTTTGCTCTTTCTGTTATAGACGCCAGCGCAAAACAGCCTTCGGGAACAGCAGCAACTACGAGCGATAGCTCCTAGGTTCTTTTTTCTTCTTGGTTTTACATTCATAAAACGGCGGCCACCTTCACCAGCGGAGGCCCGTCAAAATAGTACTTGTCTAGCTCATCGTACAGGATTCTGGCCCACCTTTTGCTGGCTTGGATCTGATGGCTAGGCATTATTTTTGTCTAATTTTCTTATCAGGGGCAGTTGAGGGGTTGTTGAAAGCCGCTTTTTTGGATAGTGGTCTTTCTGGATGACGAGGGGGGGAGAGGTTGCGGACGGCGTGATGGTGGCCTCCGAGAGGGTGAGCGGCGCCAGGGGATGGAGAAGGTGTATATTACATCCAGCAGCCATGTTCATTGCGTGGGGCACGAATGAATATGGCCGAGGAGTTCAAGATCTTTACTCCTAGTGAGGAGCGCCCTCTCGAGCCATTTTGTTGTAATGTGCATATACAATGAATAGACAAAAAGAACTGCAAAAAAATTTAAAGCTTCAAATTATTCTCTTGCTCATTTCGCGACGGTGATGACTATGGGCAACCAGATCTCAAGAGTGACAGGAAGGACGTCGTCTCACGGTTACACTGCATAGGAGGCTATGGCAGGGAGCTGAGTCTCACACGGTTCACAATGAGGAGTAAGTTGTCCCTTTATCCCGTTGGCCTCCTCCTGGCTACTGAAACGAGAGCCTACAGCTATTCAATTCGACAATGCCGTTTGCTCAATGTGTGTTGCTGGGTCCGACATGACCGAAGTCTGCGAAGGGCAAGGCACGAGCGTCAGATTGTCCACCAATTCCTGCCGATCATCGTCTTCGAGACATGGCAGTCACTTACGAGCTGCTGCGTGGAGTGTCGTTGGGCAACTGCTTTCGAACAGACAATACACATAGCTTCGGCGGCCTCTAGTTGCCTTCTTGTTTCATATAGAACCGTTGAAGGGGACCCTGGTCCCGTTCGTTAAAGCGGGCCCTGGGAAACTATGGGTGCAAACAAGATCCTAGATGTTTCCATTCTCAGCTCCTCAAAACTGTGCACAATTGCGGCCACTGCTGGTAGGATTCAATGATATTCCCCTGGACATAAGAGGCAAGGAGCACGGGCTTGTTTCAACTCCGGCGTGATAGTTTCTAATTTATTGTTGACAAAGCATTCAAGAACATGTAGAACAGCCTCGCAATCTGGATCTCGCTTTGATTGGCGAACACAGTGATTGGAAGGACACGGAGTCGGTGTGCCGGTTTGCCTTTGGCGCACGCAGCTTGAGGCGAGGTGGCAGCGGACAGAGGCTAACTTAACGTCCGTGGCTGTCCCTGGTCGCAGCCCGGTCAGCCCCGGTCCGTTAGCTCCACAGAGCGACACTGAGCACTGAGCAGAGGGGCGTGTTCGTACTTCGAGACATCACCTCTCCTGGCTCGGTGGCCATGCGTTGCTCTCTTCTGGCGCATCGTCTCTGACCCAAGTCATCTCATCATGAGTTCAGATGACATGACACCTGGGACCGGGGCGGCCAATGATGGGTACGGGTCGCACCGAACGCCCGACACGTCAGCGTCGTCTGCACGGACTGGGAGCAGCGTGCACCTCACGCCGGACAGCGACTCCGACAGCAGTGGGGAAGACCGCGACGACCTCCCGCTTGTGGATTCGCAGCTCCACGGAGGGGAAGAGTCGTATGAGCTGCAGGACTTCAGTGCCGGGGGGCTTTCCAAGGCTTACCAGGACGACGATGAGCGCCAAGGCGATGTCTATGGCTCAAGCTCGGGCGGCCGGCGGAGGTTGAGCGAAAGCACCGCCGCGAGCTTCCAGCTCTACACTCCGGACGAAGAACAGGCTGTGGTCCGCAAGTTCGACCGGCGGCTAGTGCTTTTCTTGTCGGTGTGCTACATGTTGTCATTTCTGGACCGGTCAAGTCAGTTTCCGCGCCACCAAGCAACATCTTTAATAGAGGGGAGCGGCTGACGTTAGAGTATAGATATTGGCAACGCGCGGCTTGCCGGCATGGAGCAGGACTTGCAGTCAAGACCAGCTAAAGATGACTGGTACGAATGGTCCCTGACTTCGTTTTACATTGCCTACATTGTGTTCGAATGGATGAGTCTATTGTTCAAGGTGATTCCAGCCCATATCTATGTAAGTCTTATGCACCTACCTAAAGGAGTGGCGTATCTAGAGCTCAGGAACAGATATCACTTATTGTAATATCCTGGGGTATTACAGCTTCGCTTCAGTCAATTGCAACTTCATACCCGGTTCTTATCTTCCTACGGACCCTTCTTGGCATTGGCGAAGCCGGGTTCACTGGCGTTCCGTTCTATTTGTCATTCTTCTTCAAGAAGGACGAGTTAGCATTTCGGACGGCGCTCTTCATCTCAGGTAAGCTTTGACGGGTTACCTGATGGGTCGCCCTCTTGTCTGCCGTTTTGGACTATTCGATGGAAATGGCACGGTCTGACTTGCTCGCGTCCTAGCTGCGCCACTTGCAACGACCTTCGCGTCGTCTCTCGCCTGGCTCGTTCTCAAAATTGGCGAACATGTTCCCATCGCCCCGTGGCGATTACTGTTCCTAATCGAAGGTTTTCCTTCGGTCGTCATTGGCGTCATTGCGTGGCATGTGATTCCCGATCGTCCGCAAACCGCCTCTTATCTTACGGCGAGAGAGAAGAAGGTTGCGCGTCTGCGTCTCCGACACGAGAAGCCCCAGCCTCGAAAGGGGTACGGCACTCAACCAAAGGCATCGGGCCTCAAGACAAAGGAGGTCCTTTCTGTTCTAGCTGATCCCAAAGCTTGGACCATCGCGTCGATGTTCTTCTTGACCAATATGGCGTATTCATCACTGCCCGTGTTCCTGCCCACTATCCTTCGAGAGATGGGACATACCGCCCTCGAGAGCCAGGCTCTTAGCGCTCCACCGTACCTGATAGCCTTCATCACTGTTTTGATAACGGCGTATCTGTCTGATAGACTACAGACTAGGTCTCTATTCATCGTCGCGCACGCGCTCTCGTCTGCCCTGGGTTACACCGTCATGGCACTGGCACGGCCCTTGAGTATCAGTCCTATGCTAAGATACTTGGCCGTCTACCCAGCTGCTACCGGCTTCTTCAACGTGGTGGTTCTCGTTATAGCCTGGACCATCAACAACCAGCCCACGGAGAGTCGCCAGGGAGGCGGCTTCGCTCTGCTGCAGGTCATCGGTCAATGCGGTCCCCTCGTTGGCACAAGACTCTATCCCAAGCGGGATGGACCGTTCTTCGAGCCGGGCATGTGGGCGTGTGCTGGTGCTATGTTTGGCGTCGCAGCCTTGGGCGCCTTGCTCCGGCTTTACCTTGCTCGAAAGAATCGGCTATTAGATCCCGTTGATCACGGGCGAGATGAAGAAGAAGCGCAGGGTCTAGTTGGAACATCTCAAAGGGATGAACTCGGCCCTGGTCATCCGTTCAGGTTCATGCTGTGATGTCCCATCCAGCTTTGTAATTTCCAAAGTATTTAATACCATACGGGTGGCCGTGCACTCCAGTTTTGAACCCGTCGGACTAGGACTCGGGTCGATTAATATTGCTAAATGAAGTGTGGATGGCAGATCTCCATGCTTGGGTTCGTTACGGCAAAGCTTGACATGAAAGGTTGCCAGGAAAGCGGCGGTATACCTCTGCCTCGCCAGCTCGCCTACCACACGAATATATTGGACTCAGTAATGTGGCAAAATTGGTGAGCCTTTGAAACTGAAGTCAACGCCGCGACCTGCAGAAGTGGGTTCCAAGCATGCAACTCTTTGCGATCCCAGCTCGACTTCACCAGTTAGAGTATGAGAGGCCCGTTGATTGGCCGTCAACGTTGTGGCCCAGTTTTGATGCTCACTGTCTAGTTCCCCGATGGAGCAATATTGACAGAATTGGTATAGACAGGCCCGCTTTACGTTCAGGTACAGACGAGCACCGCTGTGCCGTCTGCAGCCTGTATGGAAGTGTACCGTTGGCCTGTCATTGAAACCAAAGACAGTTCTCGCCACATCGGGTTTCTAGGCTATACCAAGGCGTCTTCCGAGCGGGGCACGACATACATACCCTCCACAAGTATCCATGCTGTCAGCTTATAAGACAACACAACCTCGGGATATTTACCCCTCGTGGTCTGGGATTTACGAAAGTATCCATACAAATCGACTTTCTCGATATGATGTTGTTGATCAACTTAACAATCTGAGTTGACCCGGAGTAGAAAGGCCAGCTGCGACCTGGATAGAGGACCACTGCTCGGATACATTGCATTATCACTGAATCAGGCTCACCAAGAGCTAGGAAGCACCTACTAGATGGCTTCAATCTTCCCAACCGTAGCTCGGCTCCTTGTAAAGCCAGCAACTACCCTCGTACTTGTGCCAGTTGTCGCCGTTCTGCTCTGGTACATATTAGGTTACGCATTGTCACCACTGCGGAAGTATCCGGGCCCGCCGCTGGCAGGTGAGTTGGTTTTCCCAATCAAAATGAACAAGACTTTTGTATGTTCTAATAAGTAACCATCTTGGAAGCATGGACAAACTATTGGCGACTATACCATGCCGCGTCAGGGCATATGCACCTGGTGACCAAGAGGCTGCACGAGCAGTACGGGCCAATTGTTAGGATAGGGCCCAACCATCTCGACCTGGACTGCCCATCGCTGATCAAGACATGCCTTGATCGGAATGGCCTCTGGAGAAAGGTGAGCATCGCGTTCGTCTGAACAAGCCCCCATTGATGTGAGGACTGATATTTTGCCTTAGACCGAGTTTTACGCTGTCAGCGGCGTGCTCCACGAGGGCAAGGTGGCCTACAACATCTTCAGCGAAACCAACTCGGCCGAACACGCACGCATAAAGAAGCCCATCGCCAAATACTACTCCATGAACGGCGTCCTGACCTTGGAGCCACATATAGACAATGTGCTGGGCCACTTCGTGCGGCAAATCGATGCCAGGTTCGTGGGCACAGGAGAGGATATGGGCCCAGCATTCGACTTTGGTCAATGGGTGTTGTATCGTAAGTTGTTACCCCCCAACCCAAAGCAATGAACCTGGTGGGACAGCTGTTGACTATTGGTTCTCCCTGCCGTCCAGTCGGGTGGGACATGGTCGGCAAAGTCACGTACGGCAAGAGAGTCGGCTACCTGGACAAGGGGTACGACTTCGACGGGACCCTCAACGTCGAGGACAAGGCCATGGACTACCTGGTCACGGTCGGCATGCAGCCGGGGCTCGACAAGTTCCTGGACAAGAACCGCCTGTACCGCATCGGCCCGCCCTCGTTCGGGTCCCTGGTCGCCATCTCCCTGCAGCACCTGATCAGGCGGTACGACGGCAGCGACAAGCACGACCCGGCCAAGCCCGACTTTATGGACCGCTACATTGAGGCGAAGGCCGAGCACCCGGACATCGTGGACGACCAGCGACTCCTGTCGTACTTGCTAGCCAACATGGCCGCCGGCGCCGACACGACGGCGCTTACCCTGCGGTCCGTCTTCTACCTATCCCTGAAGCACCCATCGGTGTGGGCTCGCCTGCAGGCTGAGGTTCTGGCGGCGCCCTTCGCGCGGAAGAAGACGATGGACCTGCCGGCCTCGTTCGCCGACGCGCGCGCGCTGCCGTACCTCGAGGCGGTGGTCCGCGAGGCCCTGCGGCTGTACCCGGGCAACTGCTTCCCGATGGAGCGGTACGTGCCGGCGGGCGGGGTGACGCTGCCGGACGGCAGCTTCGTGGGCGAGGGCGCGGCCGTGGGCTTCAACGCGTACGTGCTGCACCGCAACGCGGGGGTCTGGGGCGCGGACGCCGAGGCGTTCCGGCCGGAGCGGTGGCTGCGCGACGAGGCGGCGGGCGAGGGCGAGGACACGTTCCGCCGGCGGCTCACGGACATGAACAACTGCGACCTGTCGTTTGGCGCGGGCCAGCGCAAGTGCATCGGCATGAACCTGGGCATGATGCAGGTGTACAAGACGGTGGCGACCCTGGCGGCCCTGTACGAGTTCGAGCTGGCGGACCCCGAGAGGGAGTGGAGGATTCACAACAGCATCTTCCCGCGACAGTCGGGCGTGGAGTTAAGGATGCGGAAGAGGGAGGGTATGGTCGTGCGTGGGGGATTGGACCTCTACGACTAGACGTCTACAAGCCAGGTACCACGTTCAGTGTTGAAGGTGTCGTGGTCGATGCTGTAAGGACCGGAAAAGCAGAACGATTCTCCCGTCGCTCCCAGAGTATTGGGAGTGGTATTCCTGCGTGGGGGGTTTTCATGTGTGGTTAATGGTGAAGTGGAACCGAGAGAGTGTGGGAACAATTTCCAATGCAATATGGCGGCACGAGTTCAGTCAGACCAAATTGACCTTCCATGTCTCATTGACGTCAAGAAGAAGAGGCGCATAGTCGTCGCCGAGAAGCACACATAATCACTGTAGGAAAAGCCCATCGAAAAGAAACGAAACAAGTAAACCTCGATCACACACGTGGACCCCTCCGTGGGAGTCCTATACATCTATATCCCTTCCTATATCATATCCGATCCGGGTATTTGAGCATCAGGAAACTATTTGTTATTTAAGAAGCGCTCTCGCGGCTCTTGCGGTAGGCAGCCTGCAAGATGAGGATTAGCAATGACTCTAGGTAGCATCTAGACTGGTTGGTGGGAAGCCTATACTGACCTCCTGCTCGACCTGAAGGCCCTCGATGACGGGAGCCAGCTCGTTGAGGATCTCGTAGGCCTTCTTGTGGTACTCGACCTGGGCCTGGATGAGCTCGGCGAGGTTGCGGAGGGGCTCGGGGGTGTCCAGGACCTAGAATTGGCCGTGATTAGCTTGGTGAGGATGCGGTGGTGACCGGAAGGAAAACTTACGTTCTTCATGACACCCACGGCCTCCTCGGTCTGAGTGACGAACTCGTCCTCGGCCTTCTCGATCTCCTCCTGGGCCTCGGGGCTGAGCTCCTCGGAGGAGGCGGGCTGCTCGTCGCGCGGGGAGGTCGGGCCAATCTTCCAGGTGTTGCCCTTGGCACGCGACTTGACCGAGTCGAGGGTCAGGCGGGCCTTCTCGACGTTCTTGCGGGCGCGCGAGGCGAACATCAGGTTGGTGTTGAGGGTCGTGTTCCAGCCGGCCAGGTAGCGGCTCTGGATCTGGGCGTCCTGGGCGAGGCGGGCCTCGCCAACACGCTCGCTGGCGAGGGCGTACTTCTCGAGGGCGGTGGCCAGGGGGTCCTCGCCGGCGCCCGTGTGCTGCTGGTGGAGGAGCTGGGAGCTGGCCAAGCTGGCGCGGGCCAGGGCATGGTTGAAGGTCTTGGGCTGGGGCTTGGCGGAAGGGGGCGCCGTGAGGGCGGCCTGGGCCTCGGCGGGAGTCGAGGCGGTGGACAGGAGCTGGACCTTCTCGCTGACGGTGCGGCCCAGGTCGCCGAAGGTCTCCTTGATGTTGGGCGGGTAGTCGTAGGACTCGTGCGAGTATTGAGACGTCACGGAGAGCATCTTCTGGTGGACCTGCTTGAGGGCATCGACTCGCTTCTCGAGGTCGATGTAGTCGGGGGGCAGCTGGGTCTGTCACGTCGGGGGCACGGCACCTGATAAGCACATGCGCGGCGGTCTAGAGACGCTACGGTGGCGGCCATACCTTGTCTTCAGCCTGGCCAAGCTGCTCCTTGGTGTACTGGAAGGTCCGCGATGCGAAGGGGGTGAACTGCGACCCGAGCGAGCTGGGATAGCACGAGGTCAGCGACGAGCTCCTGAAGCTGGGAATGAAGCTCGCGGCCCCAGGGCCGGTTGAGGGCGAACGGGAGAGTCAGGGTGAGGGGTATAGCTGCATAGCAACGTACGTCAGGCTGTTGCCGATGGCCTTGAAGTTATCCATCTTGGGCGATTGGGCTGGCTGTGGTGGACGTGGTGAAGGGTGAGGTGAGGTGAGGTGAGGTCGGTTGAGGGCGTGACAGATGCGGGATGACGAAGTATCAAACAGTACTGGACAGCACGGGTGTTGGAACTGGACAAGTCGGCCAAGTCAACAGCTGGAGTTAAGTGGGTGCCTATCATGAACCTGCATCCAATCCACCATGGGATGTCTGCCAAGTTCCAAGGTTAGGGGGGGGAAACGGGGGACCAGCAGCCAGATGGGTCCCGGCCAGCGCTGCAAAGCTAGTTGATTAGCTACATCCTTAGGTACTTCCAGGTTAACCAGGGCCTAAGGTAGCCGCCTACTGTAGCACTTGCATCCACAGGGTTCTTCCAGCACTGCACACACTACACACACTACTAACTTACTGACTGTAAGTCAACATCTTCACAGCACTACAGCAGTGTCTGTCTTGGTGTCACTTCCGACGGCACGTGACCTTGCGCAACGTCATCCGCGAACGCTGCGCCTCAGTCGTGATGTGTACAGGCACGCTGTTCAAGGCGTCCCAGTTGCCGTAGAGCAAATCAATTCGGGCAGATCAATTCCCGCAGTGCAGCACCGAGGCAAAGCTATGGTATCTCTGTCTTAGCGTATGCCTTCAGCCATTATCCGGTTTAGACTCCTGCGACTACGTCTGTGATCTAGACCGATAACGTGGCGGCGTCAAAGAAACGCCAGCAATTAAACTCCATCCCGCTGCTTTGCTTCTTTACTAACTGACAAGATGACACCGTGATGCCGTGTCACTCGTGCCAAAGTCCAATCGTCCCATTATGCCTCACTCAGAATAACCAAGCTCCCAGTCGTAGCTTTAGTTGTCGTGCCCGGCGTCGACCACCAATGCCAGCTGCATCCTCCCAGGCTTGAACAGCCGCCTCGCGGGCAGTCTCACAGACTGATCTGATCGCTATGACCTTCTTCCGCAGCTCCGAATCTCGACCTAGAACATCACAAAGAGCATCGGGCAACCCTCCCCTGATGCTACTGCCTGCTACTCGGACATCGCCCCGGGGCAAAGAATCGTACACGTCTCTGATGGCGCATTGCACCGACGCGGGCAACTTTTGGTGTACCCTCTGAAGTATTTTGGCCGCAAGCCTGGTAGGGATTCCGATAAAGTCCTGTATAACCACGTCGCAGGCCTTGGGAGGGTCTTCGTATCTGCTCCAGAGAGTATTGGTTGTCTCGGAAAGCTGAAGGGCGTCGGGTTCTCCCTCTAGCACCAGAAGCTTGAGGTTCTTGGTCAAGCCTGCCTCTTGCCCTTTGACGTGCAGCTCGACTGAAATTTCGAACGCACTCAATGCCCCCAGAACCCGCGGCAACCATCGTGCCACGGGCTCCTTGAACAGAAACCGTAGAGGTCTCTAGCCCCAGAGCTGTTTTTGGTAGTACACGCCTGATGCTTGCTCGCCCTGGGCTCTGCGTTTCACACGAGGCGTGGACCGGGGGAAAGCGGCGGTCGAGGAAGACTGCCCAGCATTGCGGTTAGACGCCGTGTTGCGATCCACACTATATGACCGCCAGGAACGCGTAGAGCCAGCTTCATCCCGTCCAGTCCGGATTGACCGAACAGGACGGTTTTCTTCCGGCGGTAGCAGTATGGGGCATGTGCCGTCCCCGTCAGGCAAAGTCGGCCGCGTATTGCCGCAATGATCAGCGTCAGCTGGCCATCTGTCAGGCCAACTGAATATTGACTGCAGGAAAGGGAATGGTCAGCAGGGCTGGAATGTGACTTCACGGGGTTTGGTGTGAAACTACCGCCCCAAACAAGAGAAGACAGCATCGACAGGTTGGGCGCAATTCGAGATTGCGACGGGTATACCTCGAGACCTCCAGGGCCCTGTGTGCGCAGTTGTAGGTTGCGTGGCCTCTTAGGTTTTGGCAGGCGTATATGCTCGGCTGCATATAGGTCGAGTTCGCAATTTCGGCATACTTGCGCATACAGGGGACGCAGAGCCCCAGGCGCGGGACGATGCCTCTCCAGCATTCATATGTGACCCATCTCACGGAATCAGTCGCGAGGCACATGGCGCACGGCAGTGGGCGTTCCAGGCTGGTCATCGTGGCGACAAAATAGCAACTGGGAATGGCCAGGGAGCGGACTACTGAACGGATACCGGAGTGTTTTTGCTGGTATGATGAGTACAAAGCCAATACACATAGAAGATGTGATTCTCATGATGCTGATTTGGGATGACTACTTAGATGCTCGAGTCACACCCCGTCTTCGGGGAATATATTAGGTAGAATCCAAGCCGGCCGCGATTTCTTCCCTTATCGTGAAACCTTGGCCGAGAGTCGTGCCTGTCTGTGACCTTGTGCTGCGAGTTTCCAAATCGCAACTGCCAGAACCAGCTTGGAACTTCCATAATATTAGGTAGTTCTGCCATCAACCTCGTTCCAGGTTGGCTATCATGTCGCCGCTCAGCCAGCAAACTTCGATGCACCAGTATACGATACGGAGCCACTAAGAATTGCGCATAGTAACTATATCCGTAGGGCTTGTCAACAATGCACTTTGTACATTGTGTGCTTCTTGACTATGACTACGGCGTGGCACCCAGTGGCTTTTGCAAGAACTGCTGATCGGAACAAGGTGTCACCGCCCTGACTTGACGGCCGTTACGGTCATTACCTAACCAGACACAATAATGAGGGAGTTCATTTAGCTCGGCGATGGGCTTTATAGCAGTCGTCGGCCCGCCGTTCGGGTGCAGACAGTCTTCATCCTGAACAAAGTGGCTGGAGAAAGGGAGGAGAGCCGTCTCAACTCGCGTCTTCTCTCATCGATGGCCAAGGTCCCCCCCCCCCCCCAATCTCTTAAACGACCGTCCCGTGTAACCGAGCCAACGCGCTTGGAGTGCCAAACGATAAGACAGTCTTGGAAAACCATGCCTTTCTAGTAGTCAATTCAGAGTTTGGACGCCGGGGCGTCTCGCGTGCATCCGAAATGGTCTCACAGCAATAAGCAACATGCGATTGTCACAGAGGAGCGAGGGAGGGGCTGTGAGACAATGTGCCAGCTGCGAAATGAGGCGTCTCTCGCGATGATGGCGCGCAAGCCGCCAGCTCGAGATTCCAGAACACACACACAGAGAGAGAGAGGCTTGTCACTCAGCTTGCCACCCAGTGCCCTCAGCGTGGGAGTAGTCCCCCTTTATCCCGCCAGACCTTGAAGGGGGCAAAACCTGGTTGTGAATTCTTTGGCCTAAATAAGTGATACGACAAAAACGACGCAGGGTATTATTCAGTCTATACTACCAACAAAGACAAAGACATTCGCAAGAGCTGCAATTCCGATATCATCACACACCATGCACACACATACGAGGACAGGCAGGAGCAAGACCCGGACGGACCCGATGGCACCTCCACCACCACCACCACCACCCATAACACCACCGACGTCTCCACGGGAAGCCCACTACACGCCGGCAATATCATCGCCATTGAACCCCACAAGTAGCAGTAGCAGCAAAAGCAGCCGCAGAGCCACACGATCGCCGTCGCCACCGCCGCGGCGGCCCGGCCGGCGGGGCAGCCGCGCGCGCAGCGGAGGGGGGAGGCCCGGCAGGACCCCCGTCAGCCCGACGCAGCGGTTGATGCGGCAGAAGGCCGCGGCGGCCTGGAAGTCGATCGCGTCCGAGAGCGGCGGAGCGGATGCCAAGCATGCGTTGGAGGTAGAGGCCATACTAATGGCGGCCGACCGCCGGCGGAAGAGCGTCGTGGTGCTGAATCATGACCGTGAGCAGCCCTCGCGGCCACATCAGGAGGAGCACGGGCATCAAGACGGAGAAATCGAAGAGGGCGATATCAGCTCGGAGCGGCGACAGCAGCAGCATGCAGTGCCGCTGTTCTTTGACGCTTTCGATGGCATGGGGAGTACGGGTTTGGGTATCGTGACGGCGGATATGGAGAAGCGGGCACTGGCCAGCTGCCGTGACTTCGGCGTCGTTGTCGATGATCCTGCAAAGATTAGCGTGCTCCCCTCGTACGCACACCGGCCACGGCAACCGAAAGTCATAACTCGGGGTCGGGTGCTTGTTGCTATCGGAATGTTGTGCGCGATGGGAGTCATATCAACTCTTTGGTCTCATCGCGGACTTGTATAATATAACGCCGTGTCAACAGGGCGCGAACAGGACTAATAATCTGAGGACGGTGTGGAGGAGAATTACTATACAGCGTGCAATGAGGAGAGTCTACTTGTCTCCCAATCTCCTGCCCGAGCCGGTCCCGTCTATGATTCGTTTATCTTTCATGTCTGGTGTACAACATCGTCGTGATGCATTCATCGTCATAACTATCCCAACCGTGGCTGATGCTCTCATTTCTCTTTCTTCTCCTCGGCTTCGGTCGTGGTGGAGGCTTTGGGCTTGCCGGCGCCCTCGGCTTTCTCCTTTCTCTCTTTCCGTAGGGCCACCTCGACCTGCTCGATGGCACGCTCGATTTCCACTTCGAGCTCGGGAATGTCCAAGGCCTTGAACAACTCGCGCCCGTTGGCTTGGGACAGTACCATCCTCTCCTCTTCCTCCTCGCCGTTTGCTGCTGGTGCTCCTGATTCGTTCGTGGCTGGCTGGCTTGGTGGTGTCTGTGTCGACGGTGATGACGCCGGAAGAAGACTCGGGTAGATGGATTTTAGTATAGGAGAGGGCGATAACGAGAGGAGACTATTCGAGGCGAGGAACTGGACATGCTTGCCTCCAGCTAAGGCTCGCCAATGCGACCAGGCGCGGTAGAGGAGGTAGAAGAAGGGGATATTAGGGATTCTGCGCCGGAGAGGTCAGTATGTACGTCAACCAGCCGGTGACCATGTCAGAACTTACACAGGCACCAAGGCAAAAGGCGCCGAGATGGGCATGCCGATGAGGCACCATATAAGCCTCTGTCTATGCAGCGACTGGCGCTCTGTCGCCAGCGTCTGCAGGACACCCAGGGCCTTCGTCGTGGGTATCACAGTCTCCGGGTAGACAACCTCGATCTTGTCCACGCCTTGCAGCTCGTCATCCCTCCTGCGCGCCGACAGGGGGGGCACCGACTTCAAGCCCCATTCCTCGTAGGGTATGCGGCGCAAGGCGGCGTTGCCATAGTTGACGACCGTCTTTTGCCAGCCGCTCTCCTTCTTCTCCCAGCTGGTCCACAGGTGCGCGGCCTTGGAAGTGGCTTTATCCACCAAGGTCTTGTTCTTGGCGAGGTGAGGGGTGTCGAGCTTCTGGCAGTAGAGCAACGTCCGCCGCGTCGAGATGGGCAGGAGGTAGAGGCGCATAGTCGGTGGTGTGTGACGTCTGGCGTCGGACGTCCAGGTAGGTATGCGCTAGAGGGGAAGGGCGAGGGAGAGGGAGAGGGAGAGGGAAAATGGCCGGCGAAGGACCCCGTGGGCGATGTGAGGAACCTTCTCCAAAAAAAGCCGATCACTTCATGTCCAGAACTGCGTGCACCGAGCAGTCATGTTTATGTAGATTGCGACATGGAAGAGAGGCACGCCGGGAGGGAGCTTGTCAACAAATTTTAGGGGCTCAATGCGACAAAGCTGGATGGAGACGAGACGGGGGACGGGGGCCGCAGGTGACGTTGAGCGGGTGGTGAAAATGCTCCAGCGATCGTGAATCCTTGGATGGGATCCCGGCTAGTGCCAAGGCCCACCGCCTCAGGCTGAGAGTGCGCTGGATCGCTGGAGCTCGGAGCCTATGGCGTAACGTCAGTTGACAGAGGGGTCAGGGCCGCCGCTACTGTGGTAAGGCCAATGGAAGACCGGATTTCCTCCCAGGTACCTACCCGTGCGCCTGTATAATGCTCCGATACGTAGCTCGTAGATGGGCCGCTTTTGGTTGGAAGGTTATAGCCTGCCTACACCGTTGGTTCTACCGCGGCTCGTCATCTAGTTAGGCAGGCCAATTCTAGCCTCGACAACACGGCGGGCTATGCGGAGCATGGCAATATAGAAACCAGGCATGGGGAGCCCTTCTAGATCGTTCTGGTGCGGTAGCTGCTATCACCACTTGCCTAGGTACAGACAGAGCCATGGACGGACGGAGGCGATTTCAGACCATGTGATGGCGGCTGAGCAACTCGTGCAAACCCCATCCCAGCGGCGTCCATATTGTTAGTCCGATATTGTATCTGGCGAGGGCTGGGAGAGACAACAGGCTGCTGGAACCTGAACCTGAACCTGGATACATAGTAATCGTCTCTCTACCTAACTAGGTACCCAGGCAGGTATGCCCTACGACGCTTCAAACCCCCCAAAAAGAAGTCGGCATCTCAGCTGATTGGAGCAAACGCTGCCCTGTCTGGCGGGTCGAGCTGCAGCTCCAGCACACATCCATGTACGCTATGGACCACGGGTATGGGTATGGCATAGGATGGGATGGGAAAAGTGACGCAACCTTGGCGACTTTGATAAATAACCTAAAAATCCCAACCACGAAAACTGGAACCGGCGCTAAGTGCAGACGGCCAACCGACTGCCCAGCTGCTGCTTACTGCGCCTGCTCGCCCTCGCTTCCGCCCAGCCCTCCGTACGACCAACTCACGATAATGGCAGCAGCGTCGCCAGACTGAGGGCGCGTTCCTCCTACCCTGTGTGTGTGCCTCCGCAAGTCGACCTGTCCAAGGGTCCCAGCAACACACAGCGCCCATCTTTGGCCCGCCGCCGCACATCTTCCCTCGCTGCTCCATGGCGCGACCTCGAGTGCGCACAGTGCCGCCGTGGGTAACGCTCGACGATGACGACTTTGACAACTCGTCCACCAGCGAGGCCCGGCTCAACAGCCCCGTCAGCAGCCCCCTCAATGCCCCCGAGCCGACCGCACAACCCCGTCCGGGGCTCACGAAGCGCGTCTCGCGCGACGGCTACGAGGAATGGGTCGACGAGCGCCTGCTGAAGACGTCCAAACTGCCGCCGTGGATGCGCAAACGCAGCGACCGCCCCGGCCGCCGCTGGGATCACCTCCGGACCAACGAGCCCGTCATCATGGGCACCGGCTACCGCCCGCCCGGCGTCGACCCCTATGCAAAGTGGCGCGACTTCATGCGTGACAACCCCTACCCGCCCGTGCGCGGCGACTACGAGATCGTGCCCTACGACTTCCTGGCCGAGATGCCCCAGGGCCGCGACACCATCCACGACATCCAAATCCCCTCCAACAAGCCGTCCAAGAAGCAGAGGTTCCTCGGCCGCCTGTGGAGCTGGGCCCTGCGGCATCCGTTGGCACAGCTGATCTTCCGCCTGCTGGTCCTGGGGGCTACCATCTCCTCGCTGGCCGTGTCCACCAGCTTATACCAGCGCTCGCCCTGGAGGACCTCGCCCAACGAGGCCGAGAAGAACCAGATCATCATGGCCATCATCGTGGACTGCATCGCCATTCCCTACATCCTATACATGACGTGGGATGACTTCGCCGGGAAGCCGCTGGGCCTGAGACCACCCATACAAAAGATTACGCTCACTTTACTCGACCTTTTCTTCATCATTCTCAAATCTGCCAGTACAGCGCTGGCTTTTCAGACGCTCGAGATTCGGACGGATGCGGCCACGCAAGGGCTGGCCACAACCCTGGCCTCCATGCTGGCTGTTGGCTTGGTGTCTTGGGTGGCAAATTTCACCATCAGTGTACTACGTATAGTCGAACGCCTGGGCGGCGTAGAAGAAGGGCCAGCCAAGCAGCGGCAATAGGGATACATAATGAACGGAAGGGCTGGACTGGCGTTACTCCTAGGACTCGGGGGTCAATTTGGAATTCATCTGTATAAATACACTACACGACATGACATAACACCATTGGTCTCTGCCTCTTGTTGATTTGTGATGACTTAGCACGAGGGGAAGAAAACAGAGGCTTGGAATCTGCAATACGCAGCTGTGAATTCAGATGTCTGAATATACGACTTTCCCATCGAGCTCGGAATGTGTGCGCTTAGCTCCTCGGTGTACCGTAGCCGGCCCACCGGCTCCGCCCGCCCAAGATGGCAGCTCACGTGTGGGTGTATAGGCGCGCGTAGTGGAGGTTAAGCTCCGGGAACTAAGAGAACGGAGGCTCTCCAGGCTCACCGCCCCGGATTCCCAGAAGCTTTGGTCGTCGTCGAGCCCTGCAAGTCAAGAGGTCAAGTCTCAGTGGAATGCGCTGATTGGCTTCAGACCCCCTGACACTTTCCTGATCAGCTGGGGGAGAAGCTGGGGGATCCTATCACTTGAGACGTTGGAAGCAAGCCATCAACTTCGAGTTTATCTCTGTTCTGTCGTTAGGCGCGGAAGACAAAGGAGGAGCACTCCTACTGTGTAAGAGAAGAAAAACTTGGGGGTACACAGATAAACGAGACGAACAGACATGATCCCCGCAGCGTCCGTGGCCCACGAGTCGCGTATCGCCCGCGTGTTTGCTGCATACAGCACTGTCGCTGTCATGTAATTCCTCTTGTTCGTTTTCTCAAGTTCCTGCCTACCTTCTTTTCCGCTGTGACTGCTCGCCTGCCTCACTTGAGCTGATCAGTAGAAGGACCTGTCGGCTCCTCTCCCCCCGGAACCCTTGCAATACGTCAGCGTGCAGTATCGGCCGTGCATGACCCGGACCGTAGGATAGGATAGGGACCCTGGCTGCATTTCACCCGTCCAGGATCGCAATAAGTTAACCACCTGCCTACCGCTATTTTCGCATCAGCCGAGCAGGTCGGGATCGCGATTCGTCTGTCGAGTGCGAGATTGATCGTCCGCCGCCGCCGCACCACAATCTGTTGTTGTTCACCGGCAACCCCGCGCCACAGCCGCGAACAAACAAGTGAACAAGGAGCTGACATGACGGTCGCCCTTTTCTGACTGTCCCTCGGCTCACCGAGGTCTATTTACCCTTTCTGCGTTTGAGCGAGGGCTTTCGAGCTCCTGAGACTTGATCTCCCTCTCAGCAGCTCCTCCCACCAACCATTACCACCACTGTGTGGTATCACCTCTGTCGACATGTCTTCTCTCGAGGCGAAGATTGTCGTGCTCGGCTCGCAGGGCGTGGGCAAGACTTCGCTGCTGATGCGCTACTGCAAAGGCGCCTTTGACCCGGCGCAGGTCCAGTCGACAGTGGGTGCCAGCTTCATGACGAAGCGCGTGGTGGACAGCGATACAGACACGGTTGTGCGCTTGCAAATATGGGACACCGGTTCGTACTGCCTCCTGCCTCCCCCCTCTCCCTTCTTCTTTGACTATGCACACTATTATCAGTCTTGCCGCGGACCTTATCTGACATCATGACTCCCCAACCACAGCCGGCCAGGAGCGCTTCCGTTCGATATCGCGACTGTACTACCGCGGCGCCAACGCCTGTATCCTCTGCTACAGCATCACGGACGCGCAGTCCTTCGCCGAGATGGGCATGTGGCTGACGGAGCTGCGGCGCAACCTGCCCCCGGACATCGTCCTGCACGTCGTCGGCACCAAGGCCGACATCGTCGCCCGCGACCCTACCCGCCGCGAGGTCCCTTTCGAACGCTGCATAGCATACGTGGCCGAGAACCTGGCGCCGGGCCAGGGCAACACGCCGCCGCCCACGGCCACGCCGGGCGGGATGGCGACCCCCGGCATGTCCAATGACCTGTCGGGCCTGGGCGGCATGCCGGCCGGCCTCGGCGAGCCGCGCAGCCCGAGTAGCAAGCGGAGCTCCGGCTTCTGGGGCCAGGAGGTCGGCTGGGACGCGTGCCACGAGATCAGCGCCGAGAGCGGCGAGGGCGTCGAGGAGGTCTTCCGCGTCGTCACCCGCAAGCTGGTCGAGCAGAACCGCAAGATGCAGCAGGCGCTGCTGGCCGCCGTCGCGACCCCCAGCACCCCGGGCTTCGAGCACGGCATGGACGGCGGGTACTTTGACGGGCTCAACGCCCGGGGGAGCTTCAGGGTCGGCCGCGACAGGCGGAGCTGGCTCTTCTCCCCCGGCTTCTCGCCCGCCGTGACCATGGAGAACCAGGGCCAGAATGGCGCCGAGCAAAGCCATCAGCAGGATCAGGACAAGAGGAGAAGCAGGTGCTGTTGAGCCTTGCTACTAGCGTCTGAACACAGACCGTGATTCTACGGTCAGCACGGGCGAAGTCTTATCTAGGAATGCTCACTTGGACGTCTAATAGCGACTCTCGAGCTACGCGAGGGTGCTAGAGAATCTGGAGACGGGCTCGAGAACGGGTGGACACGAGCTCTCTAGCTCATGAGGCAGTAGATGAAAGTAGTGGCCGTGGGAATTTTTCGTCCCAAGAGCTGGCGACAGTGACCTGAGGGGTCATTTCTTTGAGACGTTGCTCGCTGCTTCATCGGAGCTTCCTGTCTCTCCACTGGAGCTGAGTCGGTTCCGAGCATGATATTAGGAGTATGGGGCAAGATCACGTTTGCATCACGTCTTTTGATAAGACCATGAGACGCCCTGCTGGGCTGGGTATGAGTCTCTTCCGCATTGTCTTTCAGCATTGGTCCGCTCCATGGAACCATGGCCACCCATACGACACGGGCCACGGTTCTTACGCAAGGCATGATACAGTTGGCGGCATGAGGACGGCGTTTCCGGCATATATCGGGTTCTTTCTGGGCATCGGGGATCATGTCACGCTCTCACATCGCGCGTTGGTCTTTTCATCGTGCTTTATTTGTAATGGTCATAAGCGCTTCTCGCACTAGACGTTATTCTGGTTTTCGGTTGCCTATGGCAAAGGGGAGATATCAATCATATGCGCATTCATGTCAAACAAGGCCCGATGATACCACGCCAAGCAACAGAAGGCAGGAGGCTGGCTCCGAATGCCTCATGTCGAACCTGAGAACCGCCGAGTATTTCCAGGGAGAGAAGCCCAGCCCAAAACCTTATATAGCGAGCAGGCATTTCTCCTTCCGGGACGTCTAGGGTTCAGTAACCGATGGCTACGGCATGTCATCAATTGCTACCCGGGGGCATGGGTGGCCGTGCCAGGTCTGGGGTCCGACTCACTGCAAGGGGCAAACTCTAATTCGTGAGCCGACGTGCTGTCGGCCAATCAGGCGCTGCCTCGCGTCTGCTTATGTACTCTACTCCCTTCGTTTATAGGCAATCCGACATCCGACATATTTGTGCCTTGTATATATGATTCCCCGGGCCAAGTGATCATATTGGCCGTCCCGATGATGGTGGGCGTGGCATGCACCTAAGTCGTGTTGGCTCCCAACTTGGCATCTTGGCCGTTCCAGTGGATTGCCGGATTCGCAATGTTTGCTTAGGTTGGTTACCGGTCGAAGCGGCAGCTATCCGCTCGTTGAAATGTCTGATTTGGTGAGGGATACCGCTGTCGGATCGTGCAAAAGGGAAAGAATGTTGAGAATCTGGCAGTGAGTTGGGCACCCCGGGGGAATTAGCCTGCAATCTACGTTTTGGGCTATCACTCTCCTGCTGCTAGCTTTTGGAGCTAATGCATTCGGATTCGTCTCAATATTTCGTCTAGCAAAGGAGTGCTATATGAGCTTTGTGGTGTTCGTGAGCATATTCCTCACTGCAGCGTCAGCTAACTGGCACCGCAGACCGAGACGCTGAGGTCCACTTGTCGAATGGAGTCGGATGAATTCATACTTCTGATAAGGGATCGTAGTTCAAGGATACCCCGCTGCCCAAGCGGGAACAGCCGCCACATGGAGCCTGGACGAAGCATCATTGTGCATGAACAAACGCAAGCTCGCTTCTTGGAGGTTCACCGTTCTCGGCCTCAAAACCCCTCGGCCTCGTGAGCTAGAGACGTGTACTATTTCGAGTGGTATTCAAAGGCCATCTCGGGAAGGTTCAAGCGGCTGGCATCGACCAAGATATGAATACTCTCGTCTCAAAATTTGCAGTCTAGCGCCTGGTGTGCGATGTTCTTCACCCTCCTTCGAGCCAATAGTGACTGATCAGATCATAACCCTGCGGGCGATGCCGGTCAACGGATAGGGCAGAGCATCGGCCACAGACCGCATTCGGGCATTCATCCGCGGCGAGTCAATTTAAGCAGGAACCATGAAGCCATCCCAATGCCCAATGCTGGTATGGACTGCAGAAGCCCGCAGGGAAATGGGTGGGCTCCTGTGCTCCAATGAGTGCCCAGGCGCCATAGTAGTTCTGCTTGTGATCAATCACTTCTTGCCGTGTGTCGCACTGAGTGGTGGGTACGGGCAAAAGATGCGAACCAGGGGCTGTGTCATTCATGGAGCTTTCCGAGACGTTTTGCGCAGATCTGGAAGAAGCTGATGTTGAGATATGAGGTGGTGCTGTCGTTCTTTGTTCTGGCTGCGTGTCACAGCATGCTTAGGCTCACCGGGGCACCGTTTTCGATATAACAACCGCTGGAGATGTTGGTTATGTTGGAACCTGAGCACCAAGTCAACTGCTCATTTCCTGGGTCCAAAAGTGGTGTTACGCGGGTTTTGGCTCCTGGCAAAAGAGTAGTTGGTGAATTTACACCAGATGCCATGGTCCGAAAACGGCTGGACGAGCATCACCGAACTCGTCAGTACGCATATAAAGAGGAGGAGGAGGTATTGCTTCGTTCTCATTCTGACCATCGTCACTACTCAAAACTGTTTACTGCTAGCCGCTTCACTGAATCACGTGCATAATCACTACAATGTCTCGCAAGGAATACTTGATACGCTACATTCGTCATGCCCAAGCGGAGTCCAACTGTCCTGACTCCTCTGGGGAGGACATTATGGACCCTAAACTCACCACCCGGGCCTTAGAGGAGGATTGGGTCAAAACAAAGATACCAGGAGCGACAAAAACCAAAGTAATTGGAATGGGTCGCGATCTCGCCAGTGGTACAATGGCCAACAAGTTTGAGAGTTATGCGGCTGAGGGAAAGTTTGGATCCTACTTCATCGTCTCTCCCTTGACAAGAGCCTTGCAGACCTTCTTGATTTCTGTGCCTTACAAGACTCTCATGACGGCAAAAATTGTACTGGAGCCTCTGCTCACTGAACAGACGATTTGGTTCTCGGACAGAGCTAGGCGTCGTACTCACATCGAAGCTGTCTTCAAGACCGAGCTCGAATGCCGAACGCCCCCGAAAGGCCTTCACAAGCTTGAATTCAGGGATCTCGATATCAATTGGGGTGCTATTGATGAACGTCAGGACAGAGAATGGCAGCTAAAGGACGGTGATTGGGCGCCTGAAAAGCTCATTCAGAGGGGCCTCGATGCTACCAAGGCGATCATCAAGCACTGCCGGGCGGCCAAAGCAGACTCAGGGTACAAACCTTACTCCGTTTGTGTGTATGGTCATGGTGGGTTCGTCAACTACATGGTTGAGGAGCTCGGACCGCTCGACTTCAGTAATGAAAATATGGTGCTAAGCGCATGGGAAAAGGGCGAAGATAGAGTGTATTCAGTCGTTGACGACGATGACAATGTGCAGCCTAAGGGCAACCTTTTCAAGAGAAAAGAGATCGAGGACGCAACGCTGTCGCCTAACGTCGACCTGCGAGACGAGAATGCGAAGCGCCAGAAGCTGCACAAAATCGTTGTGAGCAAAAAATATGGGAGAAAGGCCAACGACGAGACCAAAGAACTTTACGCTCGAGCTGAAAGAGAGAGAAAGAACCCCAATGAAGTTGTCGGAAACACGATAGAATATCTCACGGGCTAGTCATAATAGCCTGCCTGATGCGGTCAAGTCTTGGCAAACGGATAATAGGACTTTAAGTTCGGGGAGTGGGGGTCTCAAAACATTGCTTTTTCTCTCGGTAGATGGGAAGTTGACCTACGGAATGACGTTCTTTACTCGATTAAAATGATCACGATTTCTCAATGAAGTTGTAGAGCAATACTTGTTGTCTTGACCATGATTGGGTTGCAATACTAGCAGCCTTCTTTTGCGTAGTAAAGTCACTAATTCCACCAGAAGCTGACGGAAAAGCTGACACTCAACCCTCGTACGTAGTGCCACCAGCCAATGGGAATGTACAGGGTGTCTCCGGGTTCGAGTATACAGTCCACGAATGGGACATGCTTGAACGCCTGCCGCATCTTCTCCGCCGCTTCCTGATCTTGGACGACCTGGTCATGATCTTGGCAGATACGATCCCAGCCTTCCATTACCCCCACATCCAGTAGGCTCGTGTTGCCCATCTCTACGCCGTCTTCCTTGCCGCGAGCCTGCATGCGTTGCGTCTCCAGTGGCGAATACAGTCGTACGTACTTACGACCAACGACCTGTACCAAGAGGTTGTGGTATGGATCGGTATGTAGTGGGGTTATCGTGCCTGGCGGACCAAACCAAGCGTTAAGTAATGGCTCATCCAATTCCGGCTGATCAATGCTTGAGTCTGTCGGATGTGGGGGAGGCGACGTGTAACAATGATCTGGGATCATGATATCGTTCCTCAATCCCGGAAGCTGCGTGAAGAGGGGATGTTGAGCCAAGTACACAATTGGAGGAGGTTCATCGTTAGGGTTCTTGGTGGACCCAGGATCGGATGATGGCCGAGAGAGATCAACGTAGCTTTCCAAAAGCTCATTGAAGGTGACGAGCTTCTGGCCCCAGCCCTCATCCACGTAGCTGCGGCCGACTTCCACCGGCACTAGTCGGCGCCCATTGAAGGTTTGCGAGAGAAGGTAATCAGGGTTTTGCCAGGGCCTGGTGGTGCGTGCCGGCCAGTCGTCAGGGACGTCCGTTAGTATGACCGGTTCCGGTCCCGGAACTGCCTTGGAAACGTGCTTCATGTGGCCTTGAAAGTCTTCCATGGACATCGAAGAGACGCGCTTGATAGGATGCTGGACTGGTGGTGTGAATGGCTCAAATCGAGAGAAAGAGCACTTGCCTGTGAATTGGGGGTGTAAACTGCCATCCGTATCTTTATCCCACCTTGGACGCTTTGCGGGCCTCTCAGGCAGATCAAAGCTTTCCTCGCTGATTTGTGCAGCATCCCACCATTGTTGAAGCAGGCCAAATGCTCGATCGATCCAGGCTCGACCCCTATCTTCGCCAGCAGCCCCGGCAAGTATCAGAGCCAGATCCAGGCATCTGATGAGCTTGTCCAGGACACCTTTATCGTCCCTAGTCGTAACTCTGCGACGATCCCTATGACTTGAGATACGTTCATAGACCAGCAAGCAGAACTTGAGGATGCTTGCATCTGTGTACAGCTGTCGCCAGCAAGCCGGAAGGTCCTTGAAGATGAATGCGTAGAACTTAGCATATGCGATGGATATTATATCGTCTAATCTCCTCAGAATGAGTTGGTGCTCTGCTGAAGGCGATTGTTCCGATGTAGGCCCAGCCAGCTCTGTTCTGTATGCGCGGGCGAGTTGCGAAGCTTGCTCTGCGAGGAGGCTTACCAACGCGTGACCGCAGCCAGAGAGATCGTCGGCGCTCCTGCGCTCTGAGCTATGAAGGAGCTGCGTGCATTCCTCTTCGACCTGAGCTGCTGCTCTGGCGCATAGTTGGCACAGTCTCTCTTGTGCATCGCTCATGGCAGACCTCCTGGTGTGAACCGGCTCCCCGAGGAACGTCAGGGGCAATAGCTTTCGAATGAGCCGACCTGAATCTGCACTATATCGAAGAGGGGTTCAGGATCCAATGAAAACCAAAGGATTCTGGATCATCAGATCGCGCCAGGATGTGGTATATCCAGCCAAGAAGCTGGGGCACTACTGGTTCCCAGGTAGGTGCTCGGGCCTCATTTAGGCTCTGAACCCGTCCGCCGCCCCACAGCCCAGGCCTTCCACCGGGTTGTAGGTCACTAGCTGGCAGGTGCTCCAACGCAAGGGCCGGAATGCTACCATCTATGAGATCGACGTATTCATTTGCAAGCTATATATACCAATACACACGTAGCTTCCCCATATATTTTACTATGTATCTTAGTAAGCACATCTATCAGTCCATCTACGACCAGGGTCGCCCATTCATACGCAATGAAAGCCAATAGATTGCTTCGATTTATGTGACTAGGCATTTCGAACCTCGGTTTGGCTTGCGTAGAACTCGTATTGCTTGGACTAGAACACGAATGGAGCATACGCCAAAGGTGGTTGGGAAGAAGCGTGAGAGGTTCGAGACAGGCAAGAAATGGCACGATCTACTTTGGGTTTGGATGGGTATCATGTCAACAAAGAATGGTGTCGTGGGCTTCAGGATTAGACTCATCCGCGACACCTATAAACGATAGGCTTTGGCTTGAAGTACTTCATTACAAGCCCAGTACTGAATATTCAACAACGCTCCTTTGAAATTGGCAGATTAATTGATTTCTTCAATAACAACACAACATTGTCAGAATCCAGAGGAAGCCAGCATATCAAGACGAGATTCCTCTTGGCCGCTTCCTATATGATTGCGTACAAGGCTGGATGAGAATCCAAACTTTTGCGACCCTGACCAAAGATCACACCGCTAGCTTGCTCATTTACCTCCTATTATAATGGGGCACATATAGTTGAAACAATTTGTTCATGTCTCAGGCGGTCAATGTTCCAAGAGCCTGGTAGGCCAGTTATCATTCGGCATGGTGACAGAGGGAGACGCCGCGGTTTACGCTATGTCTGAGTCGACTTGGACGAAGAAGGCGGCACATCACTAGAGGTATCGTCAATCCTAAGTTGTTCCATTCTTTAAACCAAGTTCAACGAGCGCAGCCAAAATGGTCTCCATCCTAGTGCATCCCCTCTAGGGGTGGGGATGGTCGTGTCCCGGCACCTTTCAAACCCGTGTGCGCTACTTCCACCGGAACCTGTAAGAGTATACTCCAGACATGTATCCCGTGCACCAGAATGCATGAATTGCAACTGTCAAGTCCCTGGTCAGCGAGGCGAGCCGCTAACTACTTAAAGCTTGCTTTAAATAATCCTTTAATACCCCATACGATGCTTAATTTCCGCAGTTCCTATTTGGGACTTTTAGACGGGCGGCACAGTTTTCTTAGCGTCTACTATCGATTCCTTCCTCCAGAAAGCTTCCCTCCACCTCTTCCCGTCCTGTTCTGAGTTAATTCATTATTCGCTCGTTGCACAGTCAAAAAAAAAAAATCGACGTTATTTACCTTTTGCGCCTTGTCAAAGGTGCGCGCCGCTCGTTTTTGAAAATGATCGCTGCCAATCTGCTCAAGGCCGGTCTGATGATGGCCGGCGCCGTTGGTCCCGCCGTGGCCCAGGCTTCGTCCATGCCCATCACGGCGCCGAAGCAAGTCACAGTCGACACGGAAACCCATGTGACCCTCGCGGAGAACCTTTTCACCTCTCCGGTCCGCATCTACCTCACTCTCAGTCCCGCCCAGGGGAACGCCCACGAGGGCGACTGGGACAATGTCTGCTACCTTGTCAACTCCACGGACGGAAGCAACACGGACGTCAAGTTCACAATACCAGCCTTGGTGGCTCCGGATGGTGCCAAGGTGCGGATCAGCGTAGCGCCGACCGTCGCCGACCCTGAGCCCAACCCAGACAACGACCCTGACAAGCCCATCTCAAGCAAGCAGTACTACTTTAGCGGCGAAGCCGTTCTGGAGGGGGGCAAGGGGATCTGGAGCAAGCCGGAACTGGGCGGCTTTGAGAGGATTGGCACTGCGGACCAAGTTCCTTGCACGGCGTACGACTGCGTGCGCCAGTGCGGAGTGAAGTACTACCTCAACGACTTTGACGGGGAGAACCCTTATGCGGTCAAGTCTGTATACGAGTGCAACGCGGCGTGCCCCGGTGTTACAATGAAGTCGTGGGCTGAGGTGACTGGCCAGAGCACGCCGGATACCCAGACTTCTCAGCAGGGCTCTTCCACAGCCATGCCAACCGTCCCAAGTACCACGTCGACCGTGTCCCTGACGGCTTCATCTACCGTATCGTCTAGCTCGACGCCATCAACTTCTGCATCGTCATCCTCTACGTTCAGTATTAGTAGTGAAGGAAGCTTTGTTTCGACTTTGAGGGCGGCAATAAGCTTTCTCGGGGCCTTGCTTATACTATAATGTGCATAGACTCACACAAACACATATAATTCATAGATAATGAAAGAAAGTATGCAAAAGTGTAGCCATTGTCAATCGACGGATGCGGCTTGTGATTGTTATGAATTTGAACGGCAGACGCTACGCCGACTGTAAAGAGTCCAATTGGCGCGAGTGGCCACCGTGGCATAGAATCGTGACATGGTCGATGCCTCAGTCTTCCCTCAGAGTTTGTTAAAGTACTTGCATATGGCCGATGCTATCATTGCGATGCCTGCTCATGTTTCGCCTACGGCTATCTCACTTCTCTTACGAGTCACATTTATATCAACTCAATTTATGAACTAGTCGAGTAATCGTACCGCAAATATAGGAAATAGAGTTCGGGCTTTTCTATTCACAGGTACATGCGGCACACAAGATCACCTCCCGCATGAGGGTGTTTTTTTTTCCTTTGTGAAAATATTCATCTAGTCTAACGCCTGCTCCAGGGGTATCTTGAAGTTCATAATACGTGAATATAAGTCAACACAGGGCCATCTAAATACTGGCTCTGCGAGGTGCCATGGTTCTCCTCAAAGCCTTCTTGGCCTCGGTCTCCTCAACGAGGGGGAGCACACCTTCCTCGCGTAGACGGGCTAGGGTTTCCTTGCCATACTGGAAGCCCATCTGATAGATCTCATCAAATTTTCCAAAGTCCAAAGTGCCGTAATCATCGATGGGCGGACGCATATAGATGCAGCCCGGCATTGCCTTGGCCCTCTCAAGGGCATCGACGCTAGACACATATGCGAGGCGGCCTTGGATCTCTGCCAATGTTGGTGGGTTGGGAATGGATGAGAATGGATTCCAACGGTTGAAGAAAGCCCACATGCCCGATAGCGAGTCTCCGTATGCCTGAGGTACGTCGTCGTCCAAAGCTCCAACATCAATTGCAAAGATAACGTCGGCGCCAATGGATTTCATGTGCGACACTGTCAAGTTGTCGATGTAGCCACCATCTAGCAGCATGCTACCTTCGTCACACAGAGGTGGCAAGAGGCCGGCAAGTGACATGGAGGCACGCACATACCGCCAAGCATAGCCGCTGGTGTGGATTTCACCACGGCTCTTGCTGATATTTGTCGTGTTGCAGTAATACTCCAGCCAGAAGTCCTCAATCTGGTGGTTGCCGAACGTCTTGAAGATACCGCGATTGAATTCGTGACCAGTAGTGTAGGAGGCGGAAGGATACGTCAGATCGAGGGCAAAACGCCACATGCTTGCCATCCTCCCAGCGAACTTCTTCGCCAACCCAAAGACCGGAACCATGTCCGCATGTCGTGCATAGAGTGCTCCAATGAAAGAGCCGATGGATGTACCTCCAATGACATCAATAGGGATGCCTGCTTCTTCCATGGCACGGATGATGCCAATCTGAGAGATACCGCGAGCGCCGCCGCCACCAAGTACCAAACCGATGGATTTGCCACAAAGCCGCCTAGCCAGCCGATGAAAGTCGCCCTTGAAGGGCGCATCGGGAGAGTAATATGGGGTGTGCCGAATCTTGCGACTGGTGTATTTCTGAATCTCGGCCTGAAGAACCTGAACTCGTTCTTTGAGCGCTGCACCAAGACGCCTGTAGGGAGGATGGACGGGGACGGTATTCTCTTGAAAGGCCATCTGCACGTGGTAATGACCACCATTGATCCAGACCCGATTCTTGAGCCATGATCTTGTGAGACCGGGTGGAGAATATCTGTCTGCGTGGAGCAAGACCAAGATCTTACGGGCAGTTGACTTCTGACCAAGCATGAATCTTTCAAACTCCCCGATCTCAGGAGAACCCTCTGCAAGGCCGACAAGCAGGATACAGTCAGCTTGTGTGATGCAAGTCTGGGTCCAGGGTGAGTTGACATTGGTATCTATCATTAGGCGTTAGCTACTATTGACCGAGCATAATGACCTGTTGGATGATGGATAGTATGTTTCAACGTTCAGGAAAAAATTAGAGTATGTTTTGGCCGTCATCGAACGAGCTCTAGATTGTGATTTTCTCATCATGAAGAATTTGCAGCTTGGGCTGTGTGAAGGGGGAATGTGACGATAAAAGGGTGTTGGTGCACTTACCAGCAACGTAGAGAACCATTCCATACTTCTCCTCAAGATCGGCAAGATATTGAGACAACTTGAGCTTGCCCATCTTATTGAACGCATGTTTGCCAAGATGGTTGAGGATGGCGGACTGGTTCAACGACGTAGCACCACCAGGAGCACCAACTTGCGCTAGTGCGTTGATCAGGCGGTTTCCAAAATCAACAACCGGTACGCCTGAGGTTACAGGTAGGATGGCAACAGTCCTCAGATTCAAGGTTGATGAGATCTTGTTGATGGAAGTCCCCGTAGAGGCCTCCTTTGCCAAAGCTAAAGACGGATCATCTACCAGAGTCCGCATGCGAGAAGCAATGATCTTGGATATCTTGATAGTAATATTCGGGTGTTCCTGTGCAAGGCTGTTGAACAGTGTCCTCGGAAACTTGACAAGTTCGGTGTCTCGGATGGCGTGAAGGGTACCTGACCGACTTGATTCGGTTAATACTTCAAGCTCGCCCACGCTATCGCCTTGACCGTATTCGGCACGGACATTCAGCCCACCGCCCTTCTTGTCCTCAACCAAACGCAATCGTCCGTTGAGGACGAGATATATGGCTTCGCTCTCTTCATCCTTGTGGAAAAGAGCCTGGCCAGCGTTCACCTGAACCCATTCGAGAGCAAAGTCGATGTGGAGGATCAGGCGCGGGAGGAGATTGGTGAGTCTCTTGGCCATGGTGAGAAGCACGATAGGATACCTCTCGACAATCCTCTCCAAGGCTGCACGCGGTACGAAACCAACATACACATCCGTCTTCGCCACCACGTCAATGAACGACCGGTACGAGGAGACGGTGCCGATGTAACCCGCTAGACCTCCTGGTTTCACGAGCCCCACACTGCGGCGACCAGGCTTCGACTTCTTTTTGCCATCGGCTGAGCTCAAGCCTGGAGTCGAGCCATTCGAAGCAGGAATATTTGTCTTGGACGCCCGGCGATGCGATGCGTGGGAGTCTTCACGGTGCATGGCAGAGAGAGACATTTTGCTCGACGAGCTCAAGATCTCAGTGCTGAAGTCCTCAGATGGCACGCCAATGTCGAGGAAACCGTCAATCACGTAGTAGATACCAGGGCTCCTTTCACCCTGCTCTACCAACACTGATCCTTGAGGGAAAAAGACAATCTCCACTTCATGTTTCATCTCTTCGGCCAAGAGATGAGCATTCGGAGACCCGGTCATAGAAAGACCACCAGAGGTCATTGACTCGGCATCCCAGTCAGCTGAACCATCAAAAGAGTCCATGAACCCGAAGGCGTTGCTGTTGAAGACACCCCGCTGCCTTCTCTGATCATAAGAACTGAGGCGGGGAGAAGCCTCAACCGAATCGGGTCCCCTTGATGAGGTGCCACCAGAATTCATCCCGAGAGCGTTGAACACACATTCCAAGATAGAGACCCGGAACGTGTTATCCTCATCGACAGATTCTCTCGGATCTATAGAGATACGCGCCCGTTTCTGAGCAGCGAATGGATTGAACGCATGATGAGCAAGAGGACTCAGCGTATCTGCCTTGGGACTGTCCCTGGATTGCCATGGCTCTCTTAGAGGTATATCAATGGTACCAGGAACTCGAGACCCGCCAGCTCGTGCGGATTGAATATTAGCCAGAAGATCACCGGGCCCAGCGGTGTGCAAGGACGAACGCTGTTGTGGCGGAACGATGGTAGAGGCTACTACGGATGTGGGACGTGCTCGGGTCATGGCGTGCACGGCAGCGTCCCTACGCAGACCCGTACTAGACCGCCGACGCCGAGTTGCAGCTGATGCGTTATGCAACGCTATCCCCTTGCCAATATCCTCCTTGCTGTTTCTCTCCCTTTCGCGCTTGAACTTCTCCTTGAGTCTCTCCAGTGCATCGCCTCTTAATACATTTGGCAGCTGACAAGTGGTGAAATTTATCATGCTCCTCTCGATGTGGAGCACCTCATTTGTCAACCCAAGATAGTTGTATGCTGTGGCGAGAGTCACCCGCTGAAAGCGAGACAATATAACATGGACGATGTGGGCAGTTGACTTGGGGAAGAGTTTGATCAAGCGACGAAAAGCGTTGGCAGGGATAATCGCAATAGTGGTGTCGACGACAGCCCGAGCCACAATGTCCGGATGGACTGAGTTTGTCACCATTCTCTTGGGAGCTGGGCGCACAGGATGCCGCGGCGGTAGAGTATTATCCAACGACATGGCCGGAATCTTCTGCCGAAAGTAGCTGCCGTTGGGAGAACCAGTCGGGATGACCTCTGGTTCCTCAACAAGGGTAGCCCGCTTCTCATTCTGGTCAAACTGTGGAGTCGCTGGCGAGTAGTCCGACATGTGGCGGCCGGCAGAGAGCCCGGCACTCTCGGGATACTGACCGTCGTTGAAGGTACTCGAGGATGAGTGCTGCACGGGGTCCTCGTCAGACGGGGTGCGCAAATGCACATCCTCGGTGAACAGGGACATGATGGAGAAGAGGGATGACATGGGAGCTCCATTCCGGACCTCGGTGAGGAGTTGGTATGGATGGCGACTTGAGCCATACTGCTGGTCGTCCTCAGCGAAGGAAAAGTCAGCAACATCAGGGCTGTGATTCCGGTTGGTAGACTTGACGAAAATCTCGGCCAGTCCATCCACGACGAGACAGAAGCCCTGCTCCTCCTCGAGATTTAGAGTTTCGCCGGCAATGAGCTTCCTGGTCTGCATACTCCGGGTCAACTCATGGAACACGGGCCGCTCCAGATATCCGAAGATCTTGATGGCGCTGAGAAACTCGTCGAGGTAGTTGGTGAGGCCGGGCTTGTCATCACCCTCATGCGAGTCTGGGGGAAGATCCAGTTCCGGCTCCTTGCGCTGAGGTTCTGGAGGAAGCCGAGAATACATGTTCAGATACCTGTATCTTACAACCCAAGTGACGGCCGAGGCCATCATGGCCAGGATCAAGGCCAGGGTGGTGGCATTCATGGTGACGGTGAGATTGGTGGAGAACAGCTGGAAGAGCAAGGTTGGGACGGATATGGTGGTGAGCTTCAGGCTCCAGTACAGGATGGAGGAGAGCAGCTGGATGACGAAGAGGATGACTCTCCCGAACCAGCCGAGCCAAGTGGAAGAGCCTCGCGCAGCGACGACCTTGTCCACCTCGACCGCGGCCGTGTTGGCGGCCACAAGAGCAGCCTCCATGGTGGAGGACAGGGTTTCCGAGGAAGCCATGCTGTGTTGCCAGGGCTAGGAGGCCAGATATCTAGTCTGGTGGCAGAAGCGCGTCCTCACCTCATGGTATGGGATGAGGAGGGCAGGAATGCGTGCCACGGCAAAAACCGGTAGACAGCAAAAGAAGGAGAAAATAAGACAAGCTGACTTGCAATGCAGATGTCGATCAACGCTCGACGCACCTGGAAGCGAGGTTCCAGATATGACAGTCGGCCGCAGACATTTCTGTGAAAATGCCTGTCTGTGAGGGCCGAGATGGAGGAAATTTGTTATGGCAGGAAGGAAAGCTCCGAGGCCAGGTCGAGGTGCTGCAAAAGAAACGGAAGCTGGCAAGGCTCAAGGGTACCTACCAGCTAGGTAGGGGACGGTGAGCTGGAGCTCGAATCACGCGCCTTGGCCGAGGAACTGGAGTGGGACCCCCCATTGTTATTTTTTCTTCTCTTCTGCGTCCACGGCTCGTCCACGGGTGCCAGTCTCCCCTTGGCTTTGACTGACTCAGGGCTTCAGATCCAATGCCAGGCGCCCAGGTGCCCAGGTGCGGTGCCCGGTTCCACTCGGTCGGAGCATGTGATGTTCCGCTGTGGCTGGAGAGTCCGCCCATCCCGCGCCCTTTTTTTTTTCGCCCACTGCGCAGCGCAGTTGTGGCCGTGCACCCGGCCGCGGGGCACACCCCACCAAAGCCCGTTTCTTCGAACAAGGCCAGTCAAATTTACTGCGTGACTCCCAGCTAATTATCGTCATCGTCAAGCTGCAACTTTCCGAGAGAGCGCCCGGCACCATCCAGCAAGAACAGCTCAGCCGACCGCCTGACACACGAGCTCCCATCGGACCCCGATCTCTCGTCTTTCTGCTGACCTCGTCAATCAACCACGCGGCCCGAATCCCGCCTGCTGCCCGAGCGCACTCGAGATACCACACCCACCCGGCCCAACGCCCGCCCGTTTCCCACCCCGATCGCCACGCCACAATACCGCCAGCATGTCGTTAACGAACTGCCGGTTTTACGAGGAGAAGTACCCGGAGATTGACTCCTTCGTCATGGTCAATGTCAAGCAGATTGCCGACATGGGTGCCTACGTCAAGGTTGGTTTGCTCCGTCCCCGGCCATGGCGACCCGTCTCCGCTGACCCTCACCTCACCCCCGCAGCTCCTCGAGTACGACAACATCGACGGCATGATTCTTCTCAGCGAGCTCTCCAGACGTCGTATAAGATCTATCCAGAAGCTCATCCGCGTCGGCCGAAACGAGGTGGTCGTCGTGCTCAGAGTCGACAAGGAGAAGGGTATGTGTGGCGTAAACTCTGTCGCCTGACGAGGGGCCCCCCACGACTGACACCACGCTGCATCACAGGATATATCGATCTTTCCAAGCGCCGAGTCTCTCCCGAGGATATCGTCAAGTGCGAGGAGCGTTATAACAAGAGCAAGATGGTCCACTCCATCATGCGCCACGTCGCCGAGAAGACCCAGGTCCCCATCGAGACCCTGTACGAGAACATAGCCTGGCCGCTGAACAAGAAGTACGGCCACTCGATCGACGCCTTCAAGCTCTCCATCACGTAAGCCATCCTTTCGCCCTTTTGGATGCCATGTGGACTCCGCCGCCAGAGACACTAACACTCCCTAGAAACCCCGACGTCTGGAAGGACATTACCTTCACCAGCGATGCCGTCGCCGAGGAGCTGAAGTCCTACATCGGAAAGCGACTGACCCCCCAGCCTACCAAGGTCCGTGCCGATGTCGAGGTCACCTGCTTTGGCTACGAGGGTATCGACGCCGTCAAGACTGCGCTGCGAACTGCCGAGGCGCGGAACACCGACGACAACCAGGTCAAGGTCAAGCTCGTCTCGCCGCCTCTGTACGTCTTGACCAGCACCTGTCTTGAGAAGAGCACCGGTATTACGAGGCTGGAGGAGGCAATTGTCGACATCCGCAAGAGCATCGAGGGAGCTGGAGGTTCCCTGATCGTCAAGATGGAGCCCAAGGCCGTCACCGAGTCCGATGATGCTGAGCTGCAGGCCCTCATGGAGAAGAGGGAACGTGAGAACGCCGAAGTCAGCGGTGATGAGAGTCAGTCGGAGAGTGACGACAACATCCCCGAGACCATGTGAGCAAGGTTCGCCCTCACGTCGTTCAGCGTTCTGGAGTTGTGTCGCACTTGTGGGGAAGCTGGTGGTCATGAGCAACAGGGCTTGGCAGCAACTGTCTATAATGAGGCCCTGGATGATGAGATGAATAGATCATGGCCGCGATTCGGTTGACCAAGGGGTTTCTCAATCAGGGAGTCCAAAAAGCAGCATTGAGATAGAGAGCATATATTCACATATGCCGGCGCATATGCAATTGAGCAGCCCTTTCGTTCGGTCGAATAATGCACATCACATCACACCTAACAGCGCAGCGTCCCTAGGTATCCTCAAGTCGCAGTAAAATTAAAATATTACGATACAGCCTACGTAGTAGACACCGCTGGTGACCAAGGACAATCCAAGCCGCATCAGAAGTAGCTCGATGAACAGGTACTTGCCAAACCCGCCAACAGCCTCAGCCTCCTGCGCGCAGCGCAGGAGAAGTCCTCCGGGACGGATTTACTCTAAAACTCGAGAAGGGGCTCCCAACCATCGCCGAGGCCCATTATGATGAGCAACTGATTCGGGGGCACGGCTTCCTTGACCCTCCCATTATACGCTCTTATCCATTTCACATAAGCCTCTTCAGCGAGCTGAGTCAAACGATCCAGTGACCATTCTCACCTGGCCCATATTATCCTGGCGGCTCCTAATGCTCTCAATGAGTCCGCCGGCGTCCTCCTTCCACGTTGTCATGAAGGCCTGAAGCCATCTCCGCCCGGGTCTGATTCACGTCAGCACGGACAAGTACCAGACTCTAGCATATGATAAATTGCCTTGAAAGCTGACTCCCCACTTCTCCGGGTCACCCGCTAGTAGGATAACCTTTGCGTCTGGGTAAAGCTCCAGGAGCTCAGACACGATAAAGTTGGACGGGATATCGCTGGTGCCCGTGAAGCCAGTCACTACTTCGCGGAAGAGCCTGAGGCACGTGCCTCCGGATCACGGCAAAACAATCGAGGAATTAGGCGCTGCTGTCAAGAAATCTCTTTTAGACTTGAGGATACACGAGTTTGCTTCTATGTACCTGTGTCTCAATCTGTGGGCATTTGGTCATATGAAGTCTGAACCGAATTGAACTGCTAAGCTCACTCGACGATAAATACATTGTGTACGGACAGAAGCCATACACTTGAAGGAACGTAGCTGATGGCAGACAAGGACATGACGAAGTCAATAGAATGCTTATATCTGGCACTACTCCTCTGCATCTCGTGGATCGTGCTGACTCCAGAACTTTTCATAGTCTTCTGGTGTCTGAGGCGGGAATGCGATCGGAACTGTGATAGGCCCGAACGGCACACGCGCCTTTTCGAATTCATCCATTCGAGCCTTTGTTGCCGGCCGGGTCTTGTTGACGCTGTACACTGTGATGCGGTGGCAAGAGCTTGTGACATGCAATCCCCAATTCCAGGCGGTCCGGACATCTGGAGGCTGGGTGTTAAGTGAGTTGTCCCAGCAGCGGCAGACTATCTCGACCCATCCTTCGACATCGCAGGGGAGATCGAAGTGCCAGGTGCGCCAGGTCCACCTTCGCTTTTCGGAGAGGTTCTCAACGGGGACAGTATACCAGTTGAACCCGCCATCTGATGAAAGTTCAACGCGCTCTGGCCAGCGACCACCACCGGAATAAGCCCAGCCCTTGCAGCGGATCTTGCCGTTGTGGATGACGACTTGCTTGGTCCACGGGGACATGATGGCAGAACTGACTGGCATCTCTTGGATCTGAATACCGTCTGTAAATTTCAGATTATGTTTGCCGACTTGCTGAGGAAAGTAGAGATATTCCTGGCTCTGTACGGGCGCTCGGGATGGTTCCATGATCGCTTTGATGCGGTATAGCCACTTGACACTTCTGGCTCCGATATAGCCGAGGACAACAACTCGGAGAGGGAACCCATGGATTCTGGGCAAAGGCTCTCCGTTCATCTCCCAGGCCAGAAGTACCTCATTCGCCTTGACCTTGGACCATGGAACACTGACGAGGTAGTTCATGGTCTTGTCGTCCTTGAAGTAGGTGTCGGCGCCGTAGAACTCCAGGTGCTTCGCGCCGTCCACCAATCCTCCGCATGCCTTGATCACCTTTTTGAGGCTGATGCCGACGTATCGAGCAGTTCCTATTGCACCTTCAGCCCAAGGAGCCTGGGGAACCTCGTCTCCTTGTCCGGGGTAACTCAGGATCTGCTCAATGCGGCGAGTACCTGAGCATTGCATCGTCACGGTCTTGTCAACTCGTGGGAATCTGCTCTCGTCCATGATTTCATCCAAGGTGAAACTGCGTGGATTCGCCACCAAGCCGTCCAGGGAGAAGCTGTAATCCTCCTTGTTGATGATCGGAATACCTCCATGATTTCTAACGAAATGCAGGGAATTCGGCGTCACAACCTTCGACGTGACCAGTCGTTTAGGAGGCTCTCCGTTGTAGGGAAATTGAAGGAGATGAAGCATATCGGGATGCTTCTCCTTGAGGACAGTTTCCCATGAGTCTTCGGGAACCTGAGTCAACTCGCCGCCGATGGCATGATGCCACATTTTCCAGTGCGTGCCAGGAAGAACTGGATTGCTCGCGGGAATGGGTCCCAGTTGAAACTCAGGGTTAGGTGGAAATGTCTGGGATTTGAGAATCTTGTGTGCTGCTTCTTTTTTGTCCGGATAGTTCTCCCATTCCACAAATCTATGGAGTACTCCGTTAGCAAAACACGGATGTTAAAGACCCGTTCACAAATATTGACGAACATACCCCGTCCACCCCTTCCTCTCGCGAGTGAAAAGGGTATTCCGATCACCCACAGCTTTAATTGCCTTCACATCTTTGGTTAGTGGCCCAAAGGTCTGAGGAGCCAGCGCCTTGGTCTCGGGCCCGGTCATGTCCAGAACTGGGAGCGCAGCCCCGGACAGGCCCTGCTCGATCTTCCACTCATCGGGTCGATTAGTTGTCTGCAAAAATGGCATCTTTCTCTCTGCTTCCAAGTCTTATGTGAGTGGTAGAAGATATCTTCAAAACCTGAGATTTGCAGTGTTTAGTTAAGCTGGACAGTCGTTTGACCTCGAAGCTGTGTTTCTCCACAACACCACCTGAGAGGCTGGAGGTAGATATCCTGCTTATCACCAGCAGAAGGTTTACTCCAAGGTTCACCCTCCCACATGGAGCCTAAGGGACGATACCAAGACACTTCCCATACCAATCAAGGTTTAATGCGAACTCTCCCCTCTTTTCGACGCCGACTTGGAAGTGCGATGCAAAGTCAATTGCATGCGGTCTTACATCAGTGGTCTGATTTGAACGATTTATCAACAGAATCCGTGGCGTTATTGGAGCGACTAAGAGGAGGCTAAACTTTGAAGGGAATTTCAAGGATCTCTTGCAGGTGGTTCGACCTCAATCCTGATTTTGATGAGTAAGGCAACTCAAACTGATACTGAGTGCCAATCGGCAATTCATCTATTTGATTGTGATCTTCAACTGTGAAGCTCGGTAACCTTCGAAAACAGCTTGTGGCCTGCTTTAGGACGAATGCTCAGACCACATTCTATCGTAAACAAATAAGCTTCTTGAGGGGGAAAATAACGGCTCTCGGACCGTCTGAAGTTATTACTACTGAATCGGTAATCTATAATAATGAGCAAATATTTGTTGAGTAGGACCAAATAGCTACTTCCAACGGAAGACTCTTCTCTTCAAAGTCTAGTCAAGAAAGGACTCGAACCACGATGCCCCATCAAGTACATTCCGACTCTAATGATCCTTTGTACACACTCTCTAATGGTAGGACACCTGTCATGTAAACCAAACAAGATTTAACAGTCGTTATCTAGGCCAGCCAAGCGACAAGCCCGGGTCTGCTCGGCAGGTTCGTTACGGTGATACAAACGGCGGCCTACTCGTCTTGAATGATGTTCAATTGGTTGAAGTTCTCGCTCATTTTGCCCGTGAGCGTATTCCTGAACGGTAATGCTCAATGGCGCTACCATACTTGGCGGTTCACTCATGATTGTATTCCAGGAGCGTTCACGCAAAAGCAGCTGGTGCTTTCGGAGAATTCGAGCTATTGGAGGACATATCAGATTTGACCGACGCAAACTTCCTGACCGGAGTCGGAAAGAAAACAAAGATGCTGATGCGCATATCGACCGTTGGTGGAGAGAAAGGTTCCAGTGACACTGTGCGGGATGTTCGGGGCTGGGCAACAAAGCTTTACACCGAAGAAGGTATTCAGGATTTTGTATTCAATGATCTTCCAGTCTTCTTCATTCGGGACCCGATCAAATTTCCGTCGATGAATCGAAGTCACAAGCGACACCCGCGAACTAATGTGCCGGATAATACCATGTTCTGGGACTTCCATGTCCACAATCCGGAAGGCATCCATGCCTTGATGCACTTGTTTGGACAGCGTGGTATTCCAGCATCGCTCCGACATATCAATGGGTTCGGTGTTCATACTTACACCTTGAATCGAGCTGCAAGTAAAATTTCTTTTCAATTAGAGCCGGACTTGATCTAACCTTGTCAAGGATGGGAGGTACGTATACGTCAAATGGCACTATAGGCCTGATGCAGGGATCCAGACCCTAGACGCAGATGAGGCGGTTCGCCTTGCCGGGTCGGAACCAGACTACCATGTGAAAGACCTCTTCCATGCGATCGAGAAGGGTGACTATCCAAGCTGGTCCGTTTACGTCCAGGTCATGACGCCTGACCAGGCCAAGTCTGCGCCCATCGACATTTTTGATGACACATACACCTGGCCCCATGAGCAGTACCCCCTGAGACTGGTCGGCAGAATGACCCTGACCAAGAATGTTAGTAACCGCCTATCACTCTGTGTCATCTACGGGACTAATGATTAAAGCCTGATAACTATTTCCAAGACATCGAGCAAGCCTGCTTCTCCCCCTCCAACATGGTTCCGGGTATTGGGCCATCAGGTGACCCAGGTATGCCAGCTACACTTGCAAGCGATCCGTGGGTGATCTCTTTGCTAACCCAATTATAGTTCTGCAAGCCAGGATGTTCAGCTACCCAGATGCTCATCGCTACCGCGTTGGCCCTAACTATTTTCAGCTGCCACCCAATAGACCGGTCAATTCTGTGTACTCGCCATTCGTTCGAGATGGTCCAGGAACCATGAACGGCAACTACGGAGGGGACCCGGACTATATCTTCTCGGAGTATCGGCCTGTTAGCCTGAGTAAGCGTACCCGAGCAGCAACGCACGAGCAATGGTCCGGGCAGGTCAGTGTGTTCTCGACAACAGTCACAGATAAGGATTTTGTGCAACCCCGAGAACTCTGGAATATCATCTGCAAAGAGCCTAATGGGAAAGAGGAGTTTCTACACAACATCATACCGACGTTGGTAGATGTTCCGACAAAGCTCCAAGAAGAAGTCCTTGGTAAGTCTGATCACCATCTAGGTTGCAGTCATCGATGTCTAAGTAATTGTAGACTATCTTGGACGTGTCGACCAGGGCCTCAAGCAAGCACTTCAACAGGCGCTCGCGACATAATAAGTTCGCTAGGGTTAGGCCCCAAAAGTCTGTCATTAATTAATTGCCAAAGTTGTATCATGATCTGCCATTTCAAACACTCTCCAACAAATAACGCATCCCCTGATCTCGCTAGCATACTTTGTAGCAGTTGTACCATAGTCGATCCCCCAATTATGGCCCCGAGGCCTGTGCTGGCGTCCTAGCTAAGGCTACTTTAGCGTCGGCGCAACTCCTCCCCTTGCTGACGTTGAAGGCGTTAGCTGACTCAGCTTGCAACCACTCATCAGTCAAAAAAGCTCGCACATTCCTGACGTCTTTGCTACCATACACTCTCCTATTGAATAATCAACCTTGTCATCATAAACAAAGAAGCCATGTCTTCCACTGCAAGAACAGAATACTTTGCCACCGCGACGTTCTTGACTGCTCTGGCTCCCACCTGCCTGGGGATCAATGCCATCCTACGCCCGGCCTCAGCGCTCTCGCTGCTAAAATTTCCAGCCCCGTCTCAGCCAGAAGGACAAAAGATCACATACTCGCTGATGCGGATATATGGGGCACGAACCTTGACCATGGGGCTCACAACGCTGATCGTGTGGGCAAGAGGGGACCGTACGACGCTGGGTTATCTGATGTTCGCTGGCATACCCGTTGCTCTGGTCGACGGTTTTGTGAGTCGCTGGCAGATTGGAGGAGGGGAATGGGGGCACTGGGGGTTCATTGGCGTTAGTTTGGGACTGTCGGCTGGGTTGTTGGGATATATCTAAGTTGTTGACAATGGAATCAAGAAAACGGAAGAAAAAGACGCCAAAGTATACCCAGGAAGACCGCGTAACTAGGAATCTCATCTCAATCGAATCGACTAGGTGTCTCCAAATTTATCTGAAGTTTTTTTCTTCTTATGTACGCCAGCACATGTAGTGTGAACACGGTTCTAAGCATCGAGTTCTGGTCGGAAGATCCTTGGTGCATCATTCAAGTCAAGAACAATGGTCTGTCTGGATGCCGAGTCTGGCAAAAATCTCTGGCATAAGTCTCTCCTCGTTTTTTGCACCAGGGGATGTATTTTACTGACCCTAGACTCAATTAAAATGGTTCTGGGGGAGGGTAGAGTTGTTTCATCCATCTCAAAGCTTGGTATCAAACGATGCATATGGAAAGTACACTCGCGCTCCATTTGAATCCTTCTCGGATCGAACTTGTAGATCATCAAAGACGAAAATTCCATGCAAATGAAGATCCAAGGATCTCTTAGGTGCGAGATGACATCATGATGTAATCCGGGTTGCCTTTCTGGGGTTTGCCTACCCAGCAAACAAAGCCGCGAAGGCCAGTCCAATCTGGACTTGCGCATTCGCAAGTTGACTTTTGCGTCTTATAAAGAACTAATAGTATTCTAAGAGTTTCTTGTCCAGAATTGAAGCCACGGGGCATTAGGCTAAATTCACTGATACGTAAGCGAGGACTGGCTGAGCTGTGGAGGTTGGCTCCAACGAATACTCAATATCCATGTCCTACCGCCAGATCCTTCGTTCAAGCACTCGAATATCTAAAAATATATGTACTATGGGTATCTATTTGCAATTGTTTGAGGAAAGCCGAGGCAAGAGTACAAACCTCGAAAGCGACGAGGCATCTGTGCTCACGACCGTTCAACCCCGTTAACTCTGATCGCAACATAACAAGTACAGCCCAATTGGGAGTTCGAGCCTCGGGTACCCGAAGAAATTCATATTATGAGATCAGCGTACACACACACCAACGGAATGGCGAAAATGACTGGATTTGGGCAGCATAACGTGGTTCTATTGGGGGATGTGACCCACTCCCCCCTTTTTCTTGGCGGGGACTGGATGGTAATTCGTACATTACCAACGAGAGCCCCCATCTCAACAACGCTTACGTCTACCAGGTATCGACACCTTTCTTCTTAATGACACATTAGCCATTTCTATCCTGCGTCTCCATCCTGCCTTGTAACGCAACTGGATTCCATCTGCTGTTCTGGTGCATGGGTCAAGATAACGATTTCTCCCAATATTCGCTTGAGTCACAGGTCTTAATATCTAAACGTTGCAGAGACCTTCTATCCCGCGTTCGCCAGAAGAACTCCCAATGGCGTCATTAAAGTTTGAAAGTGGACTGGGGGGCATTTTGCTCAGTGTGCTTCCTGATGGCAGAATGTCCCCCTTTTCCATCGATCTCGGATCACATCGCCTTCTGCTACATTCTTGCAAGATTTTTGTCCAAAAAATTGAGAACGGCAGTTGATTCAGCCGCAAACTGGACGCAATACACTTTTCTACATTATGAGTATCGCGTAGAATTACAATTATCGCCCCCGCTGATTTAGCACCACGACGTGCCACTTGCAACCATTTCGCATCTGCCAACCAGAATACAGACCGCCAATTTAGTATCACATCACTTTCGATAGTTTCTCGTCATTGATCATCGGGCCAGTCAGTAGGTGCGTGCCTGCCAAGATCCACCAACCACTAAACGAGACACCCCATCCAAAAAGGATTTCGTCAGCCCAATACACCCCGCAGTAACCACTTGTCAGCCAGGGACAAGGGTTTTCCAGGCTGAAAAGTCCAGTTCGATCCATTCAAAGTTTGCAGAAGACTGCATCATGCGCCTCGGCACGAATGTAGACCACCTGGAGTGCGCCACTCAACGCAAAAGGTATCCAGCTTCGATCCTCCGAAGACAGAGAGTAGCAACTTGCGCTGCCGCCGTCCACGAGTTGCCTAGGAGTCATTGTGTGGGCACACACATATATATGAAAAGGCTGACGCTCCCGGGCAAGAAAACATACCACGGAGGCCAAGGTTGGGTTCCAGTAGCGACTTTACGGAATGTCACCATGTTGACTTCATTGGGGACATGCATTGTCACTTGCATCATTCTCAAGACTTACTCGTAAAGCATTCTGCATGTAACCTTACCGCGTGAGCCACAACCGCGATGGCGACGGAGGTTGTTGACCCAATAACTCCAAGTGTTGGCCCCTAGGGTGTTACTTTCAAGGGTCTCGGCAAATTTTTCCTTCCGAGCCGCATCGTACACATTGCTTGATGCCGCTCCATTGACTGGTGCGTGATTGAACCTTGTATTTGATGGTTACACTCTCTGTTATTTCCCTGCTCTTTGCGTAAGCACGTGCTTTAGTATCCCCGACGTGATGGTAGATGGCGGACTCTATCGTGGCACTCCGCAGCACGCGACGTTGTAAGCGTTTGGAACAGGTAAACCGTTCGTCGAAAGAACTGGTGTGGCTCGGACCGACGTTGGATGGATGTTGATATGCTCCGCCCAGTGCTCGTAGCAGCAGGGGCGGTGCAAAGATAATGCCTCCATTCGGAGCAATCGGGTCTAAACGGTGGGAGCATGTTCAGCACACGACTCGTGTCCACATGGATGCTTACGCGGGAATCCTTGACCAGACGTTTTTTGATGCATGGTGACTTGAGTGTAAGCACGCCATCATGCCAGGGTTGTTGAAGGTGTTGTCGTCGAGAATAGTCAAGCCATCTAGCTGGTGGCTATAAAAGGTCTATCGACGTCGTTGTTTCGATTGAAGTTATTGAGAGGGTCATAGTATCGCCAGAAAACCTGTCTCGAAAGTATTCGCCTACTGTTCTGTTAGTAGACTCCAAGAACCTTGATACCTTGTGTTGTTCAACAGAACATCCTATACCGGTCCTCACCATGAAGTTCTCCCTCCCAATACTGTCTCTGAGTGTTGCAACCTTTGTCAAAGCGAGCCCTATTACTGTAGGAGACCGAGCCGTCTATGGCGTCGAAGCGTGGAGCGGAGACCATGAACTTCTAGCGAGGGCGAGTCTCACCTCCAACGAATTCACCGATGGGGGTTGTGAGGATGTCGTCTTGATATTTGCTCGTGGAACAGCTCAGCTAGGCAATCTGGTGCGTCAATCTTGACAACTCTGTTAACGTCGTAATAGAGCACTGAAACCTTTGCAGGGTGCAACTCCTGGGCTCCAACTGTACAACCAGATCAAGTCTGCCCTGGGCGACTCCAATGTTGCCGTCCAAGGCGTCAACTACGACGCGGTGGCACACGGTACTCTGCCTAATGGCGTAGACGCGACCGCAGCGGCGAACATGGCATCTCTGATCAGATCGGTGTACAACACCTGCCCCAACGCCAAGATCCTGGTGTCGGGCTATAGTCAAGGGGCTGCAATGGTCCACGCCAGTATCAAGCAGTTATCAACAGCGGTGAAGGCACGGATCGCAGCTGCAGTCACCTTTGGCGACACGCGCAACGAGCAGGACGGCGGACAAATTCCGGGGTTCGCAACTGACAAGACCCTTATTATTTGCAATGATGGTGATCTGGTCTGTGACGGCACACTGGAAATCAGGGCACCGCATCTACAATACGGACCTCGAGTACCAGAAGCAGTTTCATTTATGGTGTCGAAGGTGTGAAAGGGTGGACGGGAAGGACTTCGCTCGCGGCCAGCGATGTTTTCTCCGAGTCGACCACCGAGGGTGCTGTATCGCAGAAGATAATGGTGGATACCAGGTCGTTTATTATGGAACTGATAGGGCCGTATACGCTTGTTGAAGGTGCCGAGTCAAGGTTTCTCAGTCGTTTTGATAGTTTTGATCGTTTCATTATTAAGAATCATTTTGTGTTGAAATTTCCAGACTTCGGGAACTCGTCCTGATGTATCTGAATTACAGAAACCCAATGTTGTCATTTTGTCGTTTAACATTATGTTTAAGGATAAGAAGGGAAGGTGCTATTGTCCAAGGCCGACGGGGAGCAGTGCTCACCACCCAACGGTACAGTCTACGTTATTACCTTCCTAAGTAGGTAGTTCATGATAAGGTGCAGACTTGGCCACTGTGGGAGTAATTGGACTATAGTTGATCTTGGAACGCTGCAGCAGATAGCTAGATGGGTACTTCAGACATATGTAATTGTCATGGTAGTAGAAATGCTGTGCAATTGTCAGTTGAGGCAAAACTAGATTGAAGCCCGTACTCCAAACCTATCGGCCACAAAATCAACCTTCATTAGTCAATAACCACAGCTGCTCCTCACATCTACCGAAGTGCGTTCTTCCTCGTCCGAGTTTGCATTACAATAACCGAATACCAGCTGTATTTCCATTTTACCGCTTGTGGTCTGCGACGTTGGATTGGACAATGAGTTTCCGGTCTCCTGGGTAATGAATCATGGGGTTGAGGGCGCTGCAGGAATAAACACCATGTGGAATTCCAGCTATTTACGTCGGCTCGAAAAGTGCCTTCGGTCTTGAGTGGCTCTATGATGGTTCCCTTCATCTCCTCGAAAGCCTGGTTCGTGGGACCTAGTCTTCTTCCTTCAGGTCGTATAAATGTTTCCTTCAAACCCCGATTTCTGCGCGAGCACTTTCTGTGTTATCTCAAGGCAGGTTCCCACCGATCAAGTTCACCCGAGACGTTATCCAAACCCAAGTCGACGCCTCGTCTTTTGACTTTACAAGCCAAATAGAGACCTCCGACCTAGACCGAACATCACATATTCCCTATGCATACGACTATCTAGACTTTCGATCTGTGTCTGCGATACGATTTACATCCTCCTACATGCCACTATATTTCCAGAGTCAAGCCATTACTTGAGTATTTCTATCTATTCTGTTTGACTAGGTACTGGCGCGGAAGTTGATCTTCCCGCAACCCAGGCAAAGCCGTGGAGACAATTTTGCCAGAACCACCCCAACTGTGATGTGCTCCAAGGCCGAGCCATTCACTCTCTCATTGGTAATCAGTTTTTCTCTGTACAGGATGGACCAGATCACACCTCGGAAATTCTCAGTGCTTCCGAAACACCTTGATTGACCACAGCGATCTAGCACGGAAGCGGTAGCCAGTCTTCCGCAAGCAGTAAACATATCAAGATTTTGCTAAGAGAGAGGAAAAAGACGACTCGTAGAAATACCCTCTGGCCTACGGAATACGAATACCTAGAGCTCTCGGCGTCATCGCATTTGCAATTTTCTGTGCTACAGCAGCAATCTGCGATACCGGAGGAGTCACGACAACTGCGGAATGAACTAGAGCGTTTCAATACATTTCAAGTGCATCAAATCGTCACCCAGATAGCTAATATACGTGCAGCAGTCCAAACTTATAGATGCTTACCACAACCGCATGTTATGTGTTGCAAACCAACATTGATACCACCACTGTCGAATATTGGTACTGTGCATCCCGCACCTACACCAGACTCTATCCGAAATGAGTGGATCCAAGCAATCTGTAGATTTGCCGCAACGCGAAACCAAAGGTTACGACTATTCAAGAAGAAACAGGACCAGATGCTCACGAACAAGGATGCACGGGAAAATAGTCCCCAAAGATGTCAAGCTATTTCTGGCGCTGGACGACCAGCTTTTTCCTCTTCTACCTTTGCGGGCTTGGTCTCGAAGTTTGCGCTATATTAGTCTGGCGGAATATTATCGTGCGCGCGACAGTGATGGGATATCGTACTCTAGTTGCTGCCTGCATTCTTCATCAAGCCCTTGGTCAACCAGCTACTTCTTCTCTGCTAGTCGTCGGAATGCTATGAAAGCGTCTACCAGAAAGGATTTCACGATATAAGCCCATTTTTTTCCTTGGGAAACAGTCAACAGTACCTGCGTCTGGGACTCGTCACTTTGTACTTCGCCTTCCCTCTTGTGCCGGCACACACAATCGACCTGAGCAACAATGTTGTATGCGGAAGAAGGTGTGCGGAGAAGCCCAGCCGCCCTCGAGAAAGTGCGTCTTTTCGACATGGATGGATTACTCTGATGTTGAAGCTAAGCAAATGCTACTTTCTGAATCGAGAAGACGGTTTTATGCTGGCGCAGACCACGCTGACAGATACATAGGTGGAAATCAATAGTGGACGCATCATTCTTGTTAACTCCGTGGCACGTTAACGTGATCTGTTTCATCATATCTGAGGTGTATCATTAATAAAAGAACCAGGTTCGGCACGTATATGACAAAATGAGGTGGACAAATTAGTTATCAATGGAGTGATAATCTAATTATAATCAAACGAAGTTACTACGTAGAGATTGCTTATCACGGTAGATGCTGTCAGCATAGGAGACGTAATGGCAACGCGCCACATTGAACCGCTGAACAACTATGATACGTGGATCATAGGGTCATAAAAGTGATATGTAGAAAGCTACCCTTACCAATTCTGTAGGGGAGCAGAATTGGCCTTAAGTGGCTTATCTCTATTCTTATCTTATTTACGATAAGCTATTCTAGTGCACCCTCAAGTGCACGCATCAAACTATTTGCATAATGCACGGTATTTACACCTCGGAATAAAACATTGGGCCTATTCGCTTCTTTAGAGACCTGTATCGTTAAAATGATCAAACACTCTTGACATTTCTCGATCAAGTCCAAAGGAAACATGAGCATGTCTCCCGAATACCATGTATCGAGTTCATGGATATGTGCAATGTTAATATCTCCTTTGATCATATCAACGATATGAAACTTATTATTTCAGAATAGCAGGTTTGGCGGCACTACTTGTGCTCCCAATGGAGCAGTACGCAGCATTTAGTTTATCCAACCGTCGCAAACAGGCCATGCTTGGCAAAGGAGAGAGTAGACATATCAAGTAGACATGTTCTTCCGTCAAGCCTCTCGAAGAACTACATTAAAATGGCAACAAGAAAAAAAAGAGATACCAAGACTCAATACATAAACTAGTTGACCTGAGATTTGTAGAATATGAAGGCACAAGGGGGCCAAAAGACCACTTGCTTCACCTGTCCTCGTAACAGTACTGGGCTGCTAGGTCGTGATGAAATATCCTTCACTTGCAAGTGCCACTCGCTGACTCGGTGTTGAAATTTATGTGCAGCTCCCGGATGACGAGATCCGAAGACGCACGACAGCAACTGATGATCAGACGCCATAGCCAATGGCAAGCATAATGGGGCATGCGCCTCAAAACTCCCTTTCTGCTTATGGAAATGGAAAAATCAAAGGTGGCGAAGCAATTTCAAGTCATAACAGAAACCAAAGCAAGGGCCTGGCAAGGCAACCGCGCTGCTAACTGGTCTGACAAACGCGTCGTTGTTCTTCTGTAGCCCCGTTGTGGCGGGTTGCCTAGTATAAATTCACTTCGCAACCTCACATTAGCTTCATTCGAGACGCCAAACGGACTTCACACATATTTATTTCTCGTCAGGATCTTGTTCCAAAGACACCTGCATCTCCGCAAAAACCGAATCTTGTCATTCTCTGACCATAACCACAAGATGAAGGTGCTGAAGATGCTTCACGTCGCCACCGTTCTGGCCGTTGCCGGCGTCGCAGCGGCCAACGGCGGCGACGGCAAAGTCATGGCGACCACTGACTCTCTGGAACTGACTACTAGCTCCCCCGTTGTCACATTCTGGACTCCCTGCCCCACTGGTACCTCAATGTGCACCTACAACCCAACGACTGCCACCCAGGCCGCTCAGGCGTCTGACCTCCACGCCCCCGTCCAGGCTATCGAGCGTGATGGTGGCAGCATGACTTCGCCGGTCGTGACCTTCTGGACCCCATGCCCTACCGGCACGTCCATGTGCACCTACAATCCGTCGATGGTCACCACGCCTACTGACTCCGGTGCCGTTCATGCTACTGCTCATGCTGGAATTGCTCAGCGAGAAGCTGAGACTACAACTACACCAGTCGTCACCTTCTGGACCCCGTGTCCTACGGGTACTTCGATGTGCACTTACAATCCCACTACCACTGACGATTCGCATATCCGTACCGGCCGTGTCGTAGAGCGAGCTGCCGAAGAGACCACGACTTCACCTGTCGTCACCTTCTGGACCCCGTGCCCTACCGGCACATCCATGTGCACCTACAACCCCAGCACCGTCACCGGAAAACCCACAGACGCGGCCTTCCCCCGTGCTGCCGCCAGCCTGGGCTCAGATTCAGACAGCACCTACCTGTACAACAACAGCAACATGGGCCAGCTGTCAAAAACGGTGTACACGACGCTGGCCACGATAACGGCGGACACCGGCTCCGCGGGCCTGACAACGTACACGGGCGAGGTGAGCGTGGTCTCCATGGCGGCTGTCGCGCCACCCTCACAAAGCGTCGGCATGACCGTGGCGAGCCAGGGCTCCATGACCACCGCGGTGACGGGAATGGCTGTCAGCATGCCGTACGGCGCCGCGCCGATCGCGGCGTCGTCGTCCCTCACCACCCAGATGGCCCCAAGCGGCGCTTCGAACAGCACCGGCCTGCCGGATCTCAAGAACGGCACCACCGTTCGCACCAGCACTGGCACCGCTGTTACCGCTACCTCAAGCACGGCTACTTCCGAGGTGGCTACGCCTTCCGCCACGGCTTCGACGGCTGGAGTGGCGCCCACCACGGCCAAGCAGGCGATGGGTGCACTGGTGGGTTTGGCTGGGGCTCTGGCCTTTGTGCTTTAGAGCCTGTGGCACCAAACGCGGTATACTTGAAGGGATGAAGTCTTCGCCATGTGGAATGAAAGGGTGGAGTGGGAGACTGGAATGATCTATGAACGAGGGATTTCATCGTGGTCTCGCAGAAGAAACCTCATAAAAGACTGCAAAGTTCGGATTGGCTTCAGAGAAGCACCTGTTATGAAATGCATCATGCATCACACGGAATGAAATATGGTAGTTCAGCAGTCCCACAGAACCCGAATACTGGCCTCGTCATGCCCCTATGGACGTCTCATAGAAGCAAACACTTGTCTTGTTGGTGCGTGCTATGTAGACTCTACTGAACCCAAAACCACAATGCACTGGGGCTCTCTTGGCGCTTGCAGTCAGGCTGAGTTGTTGGGCTTGAGAGTCGCTCCAGCTTCAAACAATACCATCTCTAAGACCCAAGACTTAGACCTGAGCGATATGAGGAATGCCACGGGAATGAAGTCGAACTAGCTGTTACAGTGCTTCACACACAGACATCTCACGCCCAGCTGTCAAATCATGTCGGTCTTGATTGCATATTTAGTCTGCTTTTGATCTTCCATCCATGCTATGTAACAGCTCCATATCTTGACAGTCAATGGTCCGCCTCCAATATGAACATTGAATAATATGCTCTGATCCCCAAAATTCCGATATTAAGTTGTGCTAGACATTGAGCAGTCGGGACTCTAGAGCATCAACAGATCTCCGTTGCTGCCGCCTCCCTGCGCCGGCCTGAAAACTTGTTGTGGGGCATACTGGTTCACGACGTAGCCGGCCTCGTTTCCATTCCCGCCAAATGCATCCTGGGCATCGTGGATGCCCATGGCGGCCATCTGCTGCGAGCCCAAGCCAGCAAAGTAGGCATCGGCATCGTTAACAGCTTGATTCAGATCGCCGCCGTTCCCGTTTGCGGGCTGGCCATTGAAGTTGTCACCGTCGAAGCCTGCTAGTCCGCCTTGATTTGACGTTCGCACGACGGCGGGCTGTCCTCCCATGCCCAACATGCTGAGATGCTTTTGGTTCTCGAACTGTGGTAGGTTCTGGCTTGTTGGCAACTTATCCTTTTGCAGTGCAGGGCTGTCTGTCAAACGACGTGGCCTGGCAGACCGGAAGACGGTCTGGACCGGCTTGAGGTAGATGGTGGCGAGTGTGCCGACGTTGAGACACATCTCCTCGAGTGTCTGCGGGTCAAGCTTCTCGGACTCGGCTGTGATGGGTGGTTTCTCACCCATGACAATTTGCTTGGCGATGCTCATATCTGACGACAGTAGTCGCCAGTACATGTACGCACGATCTCGCAGATCAGGGTTGTCAGTCTCTTCCGTAGCCCATTTCAGGACCTTGGGGACTAAGTCCTGCCCCTTCGTGGGGCGCTGGATGAAGAGCTTCACAGTTGCCGTCAGGAGAGCAAGCTGGACCTCGACGGGCTCCTCAGCGAACGAGTACAAAAAGTCTTCGAGCAGAGCGTCCGAGTTCTCGATGCGCGCAGCGTATTGGCCAATAACCCAGACCATGGCTGCCTTGGCCTCAGGCTCGTCAAGCGAGTCCAGGTGCTCACAGAGCGTACCGATGATGGATTCGTACTGGTTGGGATACTTGCGGAAAATATTTCGGATAACCACGGTAGCTTCTTGCACAATGTAAGGGACCTTGGTAGCGACCAGCTCTAGGAGAAGGTTGATACACCGCCTGGCAGCGGGCTCAATCTTAATGGCCAACTTTCCGATGGCGCGTACAGCTTTGCGGACGAAATGGACATCGACCTCGGTTGCGTACTCGCGCAATTCGGTGAGAACCTCGTCGATGTTCTTCTCGTTTGCAAGCATGAAGATGAGCTCCAGTTTCGTGACCTTGACATAAATCGGGTCGTTGTATTTGCAGAAAAAGACGCGAATATCATTGCGTAGTACTTCAGGTCTCCTCTGCAGAATCAGGAGGGCATTTCGTAGTGCGAGATACTGGACCTCGGGGCCCTTGGCAAGTAAGGTGACCAGGGGCGGCGATAACTTGCGGCATAACGCAGCAACGTGCTTCTCGTTCTCGATGTAGTTCAGCAAGTAGAGAATCACCCGAATGCAGGTCAGGACTACTGCGGAATTCGAGTGCGACAACCGCGGCGCTATCCGTTCGGCCAACAAAGTGGCTTCCCCTGATTCTTGCGGGACGTAGGACATCAAGGCCTCGAGGATGTATGTTTGACCCCATCTTGCGAAATGTCAGTAGGAATTCAAGAAGAGAGCGGCTCGTGGGAATGCTCACTCCGAACAGTCCGGAAGGATAGCCACCATCTTGGAGGCATTGCTGTAGTCGATAGTGAGCTTGATCGCATCGCTCCTCTCCCAGATGTCCATCAGGCCGGCGAGCGCACTAGCCACGACCGTCGGATTGTCGTCCCTGAGTAACGAGTTCAACCTCTCTATCAAGTCTGACCGCTCCACCATGTGCTTATCGTGGTCGTAGAGCTTGGCGACACAGTAGGCAGCCGTCTTCCGGACATACGGGTCCGAGTCTCTGAGCATGTGCTTGACCAGTGGGACAGTAGCCTCCACAAACTCCCGCACATGGACGTACGACATGGTTCGCAGAGCCAGAGCTCTGACCAGCGGGTTTGAATCTTGCATGTCCTGGGCCGGGGGTCAGTTACATTGGGCATCTCTGACAGTATTACTGCTTTATCCCAGTCCCACGCACCTGTTCCAGCACCGGAATTGCCTTGACGGCGATCTCAGGCTTCATCCTCGAGTAGTTGACCAGGAACAAGAAGCACCTATCGCAAACAGTTAGCCGTCGGGCCGTCTCTTGCCCACGTCTCCCCGTGTGGTCGTCTGTGGTCCCTTACATCTTCTTGATCTCCAAACTCTGTATATGCATGCAGGCGATGATGTCGGGGAAGAGCGAGACCATCTCGTTGTTGCTCATGGTCATGTTGGCGACGATCTTCTTGAGGGCGATCTTCTTCTGGGTAAAGTTCTTGTCCTTCTTGCCGCCGCTGTTCAACTCGAGGCGCAGCTCGGCGACCTTGCCCTGCATAGTCAAGGGGCGTGAGTAGGTTGGAGGGAGGTATGCTAGGAACATGGCCATAGAAAGCGAAGGGAGAGGCGACAAGGCTCATAGTGTAGTTCGGGACTCGTGTTCGAGGGACGGTTGGAGAGGTTGCGCTTGCGCTTCATGAACGCCGAGCACAGGTGGTGCAGGGAGGTGTCGCGTGGGTGGAATGGAGAGGTCGCAGTGTACCACAGAATGGGGTATATCAAATAGCAAAGCAAGGAGATCATGGGGTATTGCGTGGGATACCAGCGCAGGACAGATACGGCGTGCGCATCTCGTGGGAGAGGGTAATGGAAAGGATCAAGCTTACTCGAGCGAACAGCTTGGAGTCGCCTCCACCCTGGGGGTTCGACATGGCGTACGGGAGGTGTGAGTGTGGGTGCGGATGTATGTGTGTGTCTGGTCTGTAGAGACGTGGTGCCTCCTCGCGGGCGTCTCCCCGTTGCTTGGTCTTGTCTCGGGTGCGCCAATCGCCTGCCCGGTCTCCGTGTCGCCCAACGAGGTCGGGCTATGCGCCGAGCAATGGGAGCGAGGCGTGGCTGTCTGGCTGTCTGGGTGCGGGCTGCTGGCTGCAATTGACAGCTAACGTAGGGAACAAGGAACAAGCCCCTCCTCGCGCGACACGCAGCGGAGCAAGATTCTGGGTGGCCGGCTGCCCAATCGTAGGATCTGGATATGGATATCAGAGGGGTCAAGGTCGGGGACGCAGTCACATGCGCGCGCTGTTACCAGGCCCCAGGTCGGTCGAGAACGGGAATCGGGGACGGGCTGAGGATGGGTCGATGGGCGACGTGGTCTGGCTTGGTATTTTCCTGGTCTTGTCCTGGGATGCTCATCCAGCTCTTGTCACTGTCGCGGGCAACAAGGCTAGGCTTTCCCCCCTTATGGAATACCTAACGTACGGTCGGTTGAAGTCGCGATTCCGGGCCCGTGGTACTCCACCAAAGACCGTTCGTCCCGGCTGGTGGTGCACCCCTTTTTCGCCATATTGCATCTCACCAATCTCCAGCTGGGGTCCACTGGACGGGTGGGGTGGGGTGGGGGATCGATTGGCGATAACAACCAGCTGCTGATAGCGGTGCCAGCATGGGCACCAAAGTGCTGTAATTCAACACGACGGCGGGCCTTACAGAGGCACAGGTGCACGGCTCAGCGGCCTCTTGGGCTCCCTGCCTGGCTCTCCAGCAGGCGGCCAAGCGGCGGCTCCAGGTGGGCCCAGCCCCCAAATCCCCACCCCCTGGTCTTGGTGGAGAAACTGGCTGACGGCCACCGTTACCCATGGCTGCATTCATTGAATAGCTCGACTCGACGTGCCAGATTACAACGTCGCGTTACGTTCTGCAGCCTTTGTCACGCCCACGATCACGACCGAAGCTAGACGACTACAGTACCGCTACTGCTCGTACCTGCGCCTCAGTCGAACCCGACTCTCCCGAGCAAAATGTCGCAAAACACGGTGCCACAGTGGGTTGCTGACCTTGAACACCCACCTCAGCCGAGATCCAAGAACAGCAGCATACCAGACCCTCCGGGCTTCCCTTCGCAAGCCGTCTCTGGCAAGGTATGTGTAGCTTCCCGGGCACTTACCCACCTCTCATGCCCATGGGCTAACGCGCCTGTACGCGCACACAGAAGCAGTCCAAGGGTCCCGCCGCCGCCCCGGCCCGCAAGCCGCCCACGGCCGCCGAGACCGACACGCTCAAGCTCAAGAAGGCCTGGGAGGTTGCTTTGGCCCCCGTCAAGAACCTGCCCATGACGGCCATCATGATGTACATGTCGGGCAACTCGCTGCAGATCTTTAGCATCATGATGGTCTTCATGGCCTTCAAGAACCCCATCATGGGCATCCTCGCCACCAACCAGGCCTTTGAGCGCTTCGAGAGCGACGGCAACCGCGGCAAGATGCTGCAGGTCAAGCTGGCCTACGTCGCCATGCAGATCGTCGCCCTGGCCCTGGGCGTCTGGAAGGTCAATGCAATGGGCTTATTACCGTAAGTCAAAGTCAACGTTGTTGCCAGCATAGGAGAAATCACACACGACTGCGCAGGATCGAATTTCACTACACAGCTAACACTGAGACAGAACGACGACATCAGACTGGCTAGCATGGGAAGCACAGAGGGATCCGATAGAACATGCCGTTGTGGCTCTGTAGACTATAGTCTGCCCGCGACGGATAGCCATATGTGAGACTAGAAACTGAACTCTTCAAAAAACACAATCTTGATACCATCCAATCTGGGCTCGTTCATCCTGAACCAAAAAGAGACGACCGCCGTGACAGAAAGCGAAACTGATGCGCCAGCTGGTCTCATACTGACCAACAACCTCTATATGGTTTGGTTGCCCGTAGCGCCCGTGCTGCTTACAGACCCGTCGTTACTCTCATCATCACCTTGGCCATGTGTATGGTCCCCGTTGGTCAGGGGCTTTCCGGGTTGGGCTTGCCCCTGGCGAACAGCGCGAACGTTGTGGTACGGGCCATCAGTCATTGACTGCCCGTGGTACGTCGCCATGGCCGTCTCACGGCGAGGCTCAGCCGGTGGGATGACCAGCCCTTCCCGCTGCCGGACTTGGTACCGCAGATTCCAGACGCGTGTCAGCGCCGCATATGCCACTCGCGTTGCGTTATCTGCTGTAGCACCAAAGGAGTTGGGATCTTGTCCGGGGCTCGTTTGTGAGCGAGCCGAATCCGGCTGTCCGTTGAGCTGGGCCCGCTCTGTTGTCTGGGCCCTTGATGCCTGATGGTGTACTACGTCGTTATTCTGGGATGTATCAACGCTGGAGCCCGAAGTAGCTGCCGACTGGGATTGGGCCGGGGCTGATGTTGGACTTGTTGATGGCTCCTGTGGTTACTCAAATCAGCGTTTGTTTCGTACGCCAACACATGGGGGCAGGGTCAATCTTACAGATGAAACCGCCGTATTCATCTCAATGATGTCCTCTTCGGCCATGTTGCTGGATTGCCGTATGTGTATAGCAATTTCTGAGAGACCTGACCTGCACCTGATCTCATTCTGTGCCAGCGGTTGAGTGTGTATCTAGAATGCAGATAAAGATCCAAACTAGGCTCTCTTCTCATGATAGTTGTCTGCTAGCATGGAACGCGTCAAGAGCCCGGAGTCTCATATTTATAGATCCCAGAACACGTGATATGGAAAGTCTGCCGATCGACGGCAAGGTGGAAGCATTCGCATACCTGCAACGTGACCGCGAACAGAAAGGGGATAGCTGCGGTAGGAGTCCGATAAGATCAGTCCCAAGTTGCATTAGTTGTGTTGATCTCATGGAAGAAGCCGGTAGATATTGCCTATGTATCTCGGCGCCGCAAGATCAGGGGTGCCTGCGCAGAAGGTTTATGTGGCTGAACAGAAGCCGCCAGCCGTTTGTCAGAGCAAGCGGCTGATGCTGTAGAACTGGAACGACCCTCGAAGAACACGTTGATCGACATCGAGTCAGGGGTTTAGCAGGGAAGGATTGGACCTCCACGGTGCTGAGACCGGCTTCTGTAGTCATGTTGCTCCCATGATCAGTAGGATCGTTTTGTAGGGCGGGAAGATTCCAAGGGGTTGGCTGGCGACTATTCAAAGCCCCCCGACGTCGGTCAACAGGTACAGGATACGTATATTGGCTGAGGATGGACTAGCCTTGGTGCTTGGTACCGTATTACTTCCGTCCTCAGTCCAGGAGCAAGACGCTGCTTCGGCCCGGGCCTAAACCAGATCGGAGTGTGGGCTGGAACGGACCATGACGTATGCGAGTACAATGAATTCTTAGGTATTGGTTGCCCTATTGATACTGATCGTGGTCTGTGCATTATCGAGTATGTTTGGGAACTTTTCTAGAAGTTACCTTGACAGGTGCAGTACATCCAAGACTTCGCAGTTGGGAACTATTGGTTGTTCCGCAGCCTTTACTCGGGGTAAGTCAGCGTCACCTCGCAGACAAGTTGAAATCTCCTTTGGACATCAGGCAATCATCTGGTAAGGCAGTCTAGAAATGAGCCATGCCCAAAAGCTTTCCGGGCAACGCAGCATCATGATTGAAATCTAGCGGTAGAAGCTTGAAATGGGTCGCAACTTGCCGTATCAAACTTGGCATAAGTAATCTGAAGGGGCGGGATGGGCCACCATACAACGCCTTCCCGCGTATTTCCTTCCTATGAGAAAGAGAGCATGGTACATAGAGGTAGACCCAAAATAGAACAACTTTTCTGGACTGTGTTACCTGACTTATCATAACGGCCATGGCGAGTTCGCCAGTGACCAAGACAAGACGACAGACCAACCACGTTTGATTCGGCTTGAAGAATCGGCAGTTGAGAGGACAGATACGTCATTCAAGGCAATCTTGGGTCGCCTACCTCCTTGTTGGGATTTGCGAGGGTCGTTGGAGCCGCTGCCTGCCGACTTCAGACTGCCAGCAAGCTCGGGCGGATGTAGGTTGGAACCGGAATACTTCCGATATGCAAGATGGCCAGAATGGCAATCGGTGCCGGACGCTCGGGTCGTACAGCTGACCTGCTAGCGATAGAGCAATCGTGGTTCATCTCGCAAGGAACCTTTGAGTATTTCTTTACAGAGAAAAGCAATTTCTTGCAGTCACCCGTGGAAGACTTGGTTGTTGCTTATTGCTAGCCAAGCTAGCCAAAATCCCAACCTGGGCCGCTGGTTTGGTCACTTACAGATGTTCAGCTACCCATCGTAGGACCTCACGAGTGTCACGTGTGAAGGTATATCTCTCTTAGATCTAGGACTTCCATATAGATTCTTGAACAAGCAAGCGTGAGGATGATGTATGGTGGTTAGGCAGTCATGCCTAAATCAGCAGAGGAAATCCTTCGAGAATAAGTTTGAAATCGAGGAGACATACAAGCAACAGGTTGATGTACTACACCGTTCCTGGCCCGACCTCGGATCTGCGCCTCAAATACCTAAGTAACTATGACTGCGATGTATTCACAGAAGTTATGAGGTTTGAAGGAGATTAAGCATGCGATGCACTCTCAGAATGACCTCACGACGAGGGTCCGATGGGCACTTGACCATGCAGACCTGGCACCAAGTACCTCGAGGCAAGTGGAGAAACATCTCAGACCGGAGTCGCCGATAAAGACATTCCTCGTGCTCAGAAAACTGGACAGGGCCCAAATCGTCCCGCCATGACCAAAGTGGGATGCTATGATGTAGTGACTTCGGTGAGTAAGAGAACAATGCCTGGTGGGATGTAGCTTCCTGGAAGCAGTGATACATTCGTTGGCTGAATCGAACCAATTCCTGTGGCCTGAATTGCTTTTGATGAGATTGAAGAGGCTGCATATCAAGATCGTAGCGAACCTATTCGTTGTACCCCTTTGGGATTGTTTGCGGTCGGGTCTCGCTGCCCACATGAGCCAAAGACCAAATCTCCCCAAACGGCTTGTATAGTTGCACAACATCACTAGGTGCATATCTGATAGGTCCCCGGAATAGCGATTACATCATCCTGCTTGAGCGAGAACCGAAACTCCAAGCAACGGAGGGCTGCCACCACGAAACAACCCCTCTCAAGTTTAACAAGCCGCCCTGATACCTGCAGCTGCAGCCACTGCTCGAGCTCATGCAGCTCTCTGCTATGAATCCAAGGCGCGCTGCAGAGTGACAGAGCCCCGGGCTCGCCGTCCCCACCGAGCCCAACAACATCCGCCGAATATCAGAACGGCGACGTAACTACCCATCATGGGCGATGCGACCGAAGCCAGCACCCCGAAGGCCAGCAGCCTGAATGGTGGCCAGCATACAGATGCGCCCATCCAGGGAAATGGAAATGGGACTGGCGAGCTGGCGCAAGAGCCATCGGGCGACCACCCACCAGGGCCGCCCGTATTCCCCCTGCTCCAGAACAGCGCTAGCAGCGAGACACTCGCCCAGAATGCCCAGGCGCAAAAGGGTAGAGCTGCTGTAGATGACACGGACGAGGAACCTGCCGTTGCCCAACCATTTGTCCGCACGCGCAGTCCCGACTCGGCCTCCAGGGAGGAAACACCTCCGGAGGATGAACGCGCCCCGGCGCGGCTGTTTCACAAGATGCACAAGTTCACACTGTACGAGACGGCGAGCCGGTATTACATCGTGGGAGGCGACGTGACAGAAAAACGATACCGTATTCTGAAGATCGACCGGAACACGCACGACTCGGACCTCAGCATCACGGACGACAAGATCATCTACAGCCAGAAGGAGATGAACTCGCTGTTGGACACCATCGACGATGGGAACAAGGGTACTGGTGGCATCAAGCAACGATGTACCGCCTGGGGTCTTCTGGGGTTCATCAAGTTCACTGGGCCTTACTACATGCTCCTGATCACCAAGAAGAGTACCGTGGCAATGATAGGCGGCCATTATGTCTACCAAGTCGACGGAACCGAGCTTATACCTCTGACGCCCGCCAAGTTCAGGCCCGATGTGCGGAACACTGAGGAATCGCGCTTCTTAGGCATATTGAACAATTTAGACCTGACGAGGTCGTTCTACTACAGCTATTCGTACGACATCACGCGGAGTTTGCAACATAATATCACGAGGGAGCGCGTGGCGCTGATGAAGGGACAGCCAGGGATCACATACGAAGATTCAAACTCCATGTTCATATGGAACGACCATCTTCTGCAGCCCGCAAATGATGTTTTGCACGAGCCTTTCGATTGGTGCCGGCCCATTATACATGGATACATTGATCAAGCCGCGGTCTCGATATATGGACGCACTGCACATATTACCATTATTGCCAGACGTTCGAGGTACTTTGCCGGAGCTCGGTTCTTGAAGAGGGGTGCAAATGATCTGGGTTATGTTGCCAACGATGTAGAGACCGAGCAGATTGTCTCAGAGTCCCTGACCACCTCGTTCCATTCGCCAGGCCCGAAACTCTTCGCGAGCCCTCAATACACCTCATACCTGCAGCATAGAGGTAGTATTCCTCTTTACTGGACACAAGACAACATTGGCGTCACCCCCAAACCGCCGATTGAGCTTAACCTTGTAGATCCTTTCTACACTGCTGCGGCTCTCCATTTTGATAATCTGTTCGAGAGATACGGGTCTCCCATTTATGTCTTGAACCTCGTCAAGGCAAAAGAGCGACACCCGAGAGAGTCTAAACTGCTTGACGAATACACCAACTGTATCAATTACCTCAATCAGTTTCTTCCAGATGAGCACAAAATGATCCAGAAACATTGGGACATGAGTCGTGCAGCCAAAAGTCGCGACCAAGATGTCATCGGGACACTGGAGAGCATTGCTGAGTCCGTCGTGACCACTACGGGTTTCTTCCAGAATGGCGATGGGGAGATCACCCCCACACAAGTACAAAACGGCGTTGCTAGGACAAACTGTATCGACTGCCTCGATCGTACCAACGCGGCGCAGTTCGTGATCGGCAAGAGGGCTCTCGGGCATCAGCTCCACGCGCTTGGCATCTTAGAGGATACCATGATTGACTACGATACGGATGCCGTTAATCTCTTTACGCACATGTACCATGACCACGGCGACACGATAGCCATGCAATATGGTGGATCACAGCTAGTCAACACGATGGAGACGTATCGCAAGATTAACCAATGGACCAGCCATTCACGAGACATGATTGAGAGTTTCAAGCGCTACTACAACAACTCGTTCCTGGATAGTCAGCGCCAGGAGGCATATAACCTGTTCTTGGGCAATTACATCTTCGCACAAGGCCAGCCCATGCTTTGGGACTTATCAACCGATTATTACCTCCACCACGCGGATCCAAGAATGTGGCTGCAAAAGGTGCCACAGCATTACATACGGTGGTTTACACCGCGGCACCTGCAGAAACGGGTACTCCCACCTTGCAACCCACTACAAGAAGATACGCAAAATAAGCCAGTATCGTTCTATGATGATTACTGGCTTGAGTACTACAGACCATCCACCCTGTCGTCGTTCCTCAAGATGTTCCCCTACAAGATGAACTCTACCATCAAGTATATTCCCTTCAAATCCACTCAAGAAGGCCGTTATGATCTGAGTCCCTTCCGTGTCCGCAATGAAGGAGAACAGGAGACTCACGTCAAGAAGCGATCGAGGGAGAAGAAGGAGTTGAGAATACTTGATCCTCAGGACGATTCTCATCGACCCAACGGCGGCGGCGCTAATAACGAGTCGCTAATGACAGAGAAGACGGGGGACAGCCGCGGAATTTCAATCCAGCGCTGGCTTCAGCCCGTCGCCCTTGAGAAGCAGCCAACTGTGCCTCAGGGAATTATGAAGGAACCCAGCAACGGCAGCGGCGAGCAGCTCCCTGATGCGCCTCGTAAGCAGACCCCACAGGAGAAGTCAAAAGCTGCCCAGTGGACTTTCAAGAAGGTCGTCTACGAGTCCCTCAACCCATCCGTCAACGCTCAGGATACCGACGAGTACCGAAGGTACATCAGCCACCCGCAGTCCCTTCCCCTCGTCATCTCCAACGAGGCACCCGAGGACGTCGACGCCTCCGAGTACCAGGACTACCTGAATGGCAGTTGGCAGACAGACGGCCTTGCAGACAACAATGGCACTGTGCCCGAGGAGGACATCACAGCGTACTGGGATCTGTTGAGGATCGGGGATAACCCGCTCACGGTCACGGATGAGGATCTGCCCAAGAAGAGATACAAGGCTTACAGGAAGTGGTTGCGGGGCAAGAGTCTCTTCAAGCAACAGCCTGTCGATTAGGGATCGGCAGCGCCCGCACCGCTTTACACGCCGCTCGACGGACCTTTAGAGGGCATGGGGGTCGATAGCCTAGTCGTCCTTCAGTGGCGTGAATAGATTTTGAAGGAGCGGCTCCTTCTCAATGAGAGGAGCCATTGTTTCCGACAGATTGTCGCCATTTGCCTCCATGATTGCGGAGAGTATCTCGGCAGACTTTGCCAATTCTGACACGACGTCTTCTTTGCTGGGAGCTCCTTGAGGATAGTCGTCCTCGTCCTCGATATTGAGGTAGCAGATGGTCAGGACCTTGACGATCTCGGTGTTGTAGCCCGTTATCCGAGGCCAGCAACACCGCATGATGGCCTGGAGGAGGTGGATTGCAGCGAGAAGCGCCGGTGGGTATTTGGTGCCAAAGGGGTCTGTTGCTACGGAAGAGATCATGGGAATGAGGTCCTTTTTTAGAGTTTAGTTAGCATTGCATACAACACGGCGTTTAGCGTATTCTCCCAACCTTCTAGGGGGAGATTGGGGCTTAGACAGACCTTTAGGTGTTTTACCGATAATATACCTATGCCATTGACGATAGACTGTGCCTTCTTACAGAGCAGTTCTGTGACGCGGATGTACTCGCTTGCATGATGATACCCAACGAGAATGCCCTCTCGGATTATCTTATCCAGAAGCTTCCTCTGCGCGTCCGTAAACGACGCGTGCTTGACCGGCTCGCCGATATCGCCCTCGGGGTACGCCAGTCCGGTGATTTGGAACAGCGCTGGGTATGCCGCATCCAGGATCCGGACCGACTCGTCCTCGGGCGTTAGGCTCGGCAGGTCTAGCACGGCAGGGAAGATGGCCTGCTCGAAGACGTCGGCCAGCCCCACGCGCGCCATCAGGCCCGGCGGGCACCGCGCCCAGAACGCGCCAAAGATGCTGAGCGCGCGCACCTTGACGGGCGCCGCGGGCTCGTCTAGCAGCGTCAGCAGCATCGGCGTATACATGTGCCAGTGGCGGGCCAGCAGCTCGGCGTCGGCGGCGTGGACGGCCCACTCGAACACGACGACCGCGTGGCGCTGCCCGTGCTTCCACGGCTTGGTCTCGGTCTCGGGCGGGCCCGAGAGGCTGCTCTGGTACTGCGAGGCCGGCTCGGGAAACTCGGCTTTGCGTCCCGCCGCCGTGACGGTCGAGGGCCGGGACTTGGCGAACAGAGGCCGCAGGAAGCCGGTCAGGACTGTGGAGGTGATGAAGGTGGCCCTGGAGCCTTCGGTATCTAGACTTCGGCCTAGAATTGCTGAAGCGAGCGCTGGGGATGCGGGAGTCGTCCACGGATCGCTGGAATTGGTGTACGCCGTTACTGGCAGGAGGACATCTGGGCCCAGATGAGCGTTGAAATTGTTGCTCAAGTCCGATAGGATGCGTAAGCCCAACTCGCCCTGGGCTGCTGCGATCTTGACTCTCGCGGCATCTGTGTCAAGTTAGTTGAAGGTCTTCTTCCCATTGGGTCGATGCTAATTTACCAATGCCAGATTGGCTTGCACCGAGCGAGATACCTCGAGCGACGTACTTGGCAAGCCGCTCGAGAGCTTCAGGCTGCGTGCAACTCTCGCGGTCAAGTCGGTCACTGTCGATGCATGCTTGCAGGGCTCTCAAGGACTTGATGTCGCCCTTCTCCTTTTTCAATGTTATAGTCAGCATGCTGGTAGCCAAGTATCAAACTACATCGCAGCTGGGGTATGCGACGATGTATGGGACCCACCTGAGAATCTGAGCCAACGAGCTCATCCAAGATGTCTTGCAGACTGAATGCGGATGGCAGACCTTGACGTGCTGGCATTAGTTGAACTGTGTAAGTCAAAAGATGGTGTAGCCTCACCCACATTGTGCAAATTCTGAGGGTACCGTAGCTGGCGATCCCACCTGGCCGTGCTGGCTAGCTGCTTCCAACAGCTCTTCAAACATCACAGAATCCAAGTCAAAAGTCCAAGGAGAGTGCCTGTGCTTGAGTTCCGCGGTCTGGTAAATTCAGTTGTCGTTTGCAGATGGTTGACCAGCGCACGTTGGGTTGTTGCTCGTTAGTTCAGTGACTAAGTTAACGGTTGAACCTCGGTGCCTGGTTGGCTGCGTCGACTGGGCGGCTGTCCACGCGACACTTGTAACAATGAGCTGAACATCACTTTGAACTTCGGACCACATCAACTAATGCGATATTTTCCAAGGAATTTGGAACGAGGAAAGCGCTTTTGGTAGTACATAATGGCGAAGAGCATCATCTATAATGTTCCGGGCCGTCGTGCACATTTTTTGATAATCGGGGCTTCCTCTTGCGTTCTGTTCATTTCATTCCACTCATGTCTTAAGGCAAGTCTATGGGTATCATACTTCCCGCATCCAATGCATTTTCCTATCCGGCCTAGAGGCCCCCAGTTTCTCACATGGGAATATTCAGCTCCTCTTTCTTGCTCCGCACCTCCTCGACCGCACCAGCCGGGTCAGTTGCATCCGGATTTCGTAGCTGCCACGCGACACAGACGTCCAAGGCCTGGGCCATCCATCTGCCTGGTTTGACCCCTAAGGCTTTGGCCAGCTGGGTCCCATCGATGATCCGCTTCAACGTTGGTGCCTCCATCACATCCAGTTCTTGCAGGTGATCCAGGAATAGTTGCCAGCCGGCTATGAATGAGGTGTCTGCCGCATGATCATGTTTGACACTTAGAACTTTATGTGCATCCACAAGCAAGGCCGAAAGCACTTGCAACCTCCAATGTCCTCCTCTGGCATCCCATTGGCGGATGGCCATGCCGAAGCGATCGCGCTCGTTAATGTACGTGGCTTTCTCGCAAACTGCAGTCTTCAGAGAGAGAATCTCCTCCCTGTGCTTGTGAGAGGCAGTGATGACATCGCACAGCTTGTTTGGTGCCTTGATACCCTCGCGGGCTGCCAACGTAGCCGAAGGTGGAAGAGGCTTTCCCTTGCCCGTGGGAGAGAGGTCTGGGACATCTGCCCATGGGGTCAAGGCAGCCAGCACCCAAGAGAAGTAGGATGCCTCATCAGACCGGACGAGGACGTCATGCACAGAACCCGGCGTCTTCGTCTGGCGCAGGAATTCTAGGCATTCGTAAGAAACGAGTAGCTTTGAAATTTCCGGCTGAGGCATGTCAGGTCGTTCAGGGTCTGTGAAGACAGTGTGGTACAGACCCAATCTATCTATCCTCTCCAAGGCCACTTTAGGGTGGTTTCCTACTAGAGTTAGCCAAAGCCAGAGGATAAATGAGACAAGACGGTATCTGAACAAACTCACCTTTAAGCATCTTCTCAACCTCAACACCGACGCGCTCGCGGCTGATCTTGATTCGCAACGCGTCGAGAACACGGCGATCCGCCATGACTCGTTCCGCCTCAGGATCGATGCTGAACTGTAGTCGACTCGCAAAGCGAATAAGTCTCAGCACCCGTAGAGGATCATCCATAAACGTCTGGAAGGGTTCCAATGGCGTCCGAATAAGCTTGGACCGCATGTCTTCCAGGCCGCTTGTAAAGTCTTCCACCCTGGCGGTGTTCAGGTTGTAGAACAGGGCATTCACAGTTGCATCCCGGCGTAAAGCATCTTCTTCCGCCGTGCCGAACTCCACCTGAGGATTGCGACTGTCATCAGTGTAGGTCTCCTTGCGAAGGTTGACGAAGTCCACATCAAAACCCAGGAGTCTGATTGTGGTGGTCTCCAAGTGCTTCGACTTCTCGGGGTTGGCTGCGATCTTGTGAAGATTCCCGATGTCGGTGGCACTAACCCCGTGCTTGTCGGCAACTTCAGGCTTCTCGCATAGTTCGACGATTTTTGAGCTGAAGGCTTCTCCCGTCATCACATTGATGGCCGTATCAATATCTTCTGACGGGATGCCAAGGAGCTTGTCCCGCACCCACCCTCCAGCCCAACGCAACACCACAGGCTCATCTGCCACACGCGTTTGGTTGATGTACTCGGCGACATCCAAAAGCAAGCCCTTTAGCTGGGCCTCTTTCGCCGTCAGCTGAATAGTCGTCGTCACCGGCGTCGAGGCCATTCTTCTGATCTGGCGTGGCCGCTGGCAGGGACAGTCTTCGTCTAGGATATCGGGCTTTCGCTTGGGCATGAGAAAGTCCGACAGAGGACGAGCAGGACTCTTTAGGTGTCTTGCGCCAAAGACTCCTGACAAAATGTGGTGACTAGGTTGGGGGCGAAACAGCAGCAGTCTGCAAAGACTCATCGAGTGTCCGAGTGAGTCAAATCATCTGGCCAGCCCCGAACATAGCCCTCCTGCCGACAAAGATCTTAGAAAACCTGGCAAGTAGTGGTCTAATAGCGAATTCGACCTCTACTAAGTCCCCAGGTGAACTTTCTGCGTTTACTAGACTTCTTTGGACAAAAGGGCTTGATTGGCGGGGGCCTAGGTGGATGAATTCGCGAATTTGTGTGAGGCTTCACCCAGAGTTCCTGTTATGTGAATTCATTAGGCTGCGGGTCTCCACAGTGGCCTTACGGGCCCGTGCGTTGGAAGCATCGTTATAAGCATAATTGCGGCTACTGGCAGGGAAACATGATCAACACTTCTTGGGATCTGTAGGCTTGGCCACAAGACGTCAAGTTTGGCTCAACGCAGATCTCTGAGTGCTCTCCGATCGCTGTTAAAATTATACGACTTCCATGAGAAACCTGTGCGCTCGGGTTAAGCACGTCGAGGGACTGGATCATATATTGATTCAAGAGCTGAACTCATTGTCGCGAATCGGCTGCCACCCATGTTAGCTTCCAAGTCCAATATTCTCCTCGTTTGTTTCAAAGCGTCGGGTTTGCCTCACAGAAAGCAGGCGATATGAGGGCAGTCTCTGACGAATTCCAACCCAGCAAGAGCACCCAGACTTCGCCGTGGAATTGTGCCGCAAGCCGCTGCCCTAATGTGTCTCTGCTCCCCCTTCCCGCAGCTTTGCCGCGAAGAGTCCGACGCGCCATGACAGCATTGTTCAGTTATCGTCTTCGTATGGTAACAGGCCATCGTCAATTCGGTCCTAGCCAAGACCTTGGCCAAGGTAAGCAGCACCACGGAAACGATCTACTTCCGCTGCCTTCATGTCGAAGCGATCTCGCGAGCAATTGCCGAGGGGTTGACAGACCAATCGGTATGGCGATCAAACTGGTGCTCAAAACATCATGGACATGTTCTTCATGATCGCCGCCCAGAACGTCAATGTCAATAGTAGTGGAGTTGTCAGGTGGGAGCCTGTGCCCGTGCCGAAAGCCCGGGCGCAAGCTACACGAGAGAGCTACCCACGCAGCAGATCACGAATTGAAACTGCCAAGAAAGGCTTGGCTGTTATATATCCCCAATTCCCGTCCCCCACGTTGACCCTCGCGTTTCGTTGTTTGCCGTTCTCGCACGAAGCCCATTGGCTCACCCAGCTTTCTACAACTCTATAGCATTGTAGCATTGACCACAGATCGCACAGCCCCAAACCCACCGCCGGCTGCTTTTTGGCTCTCATGGAGAGCGGGCAACTCCAGGCTAGCGTGCTACGCCAATCGCGAGTCTCTGTTTCTCCTGAGCCCCTGGTCTGTTCCTTGCCTGGCTAAACGAAGGCAGGGGTATCTGTGCAAACATCGTGCACCCTTCACCTGCAACCTCCATCTTCCCCTACCTTCTCCACTTCTATGGGCCTTAGAACGTGAGGCAGCACCGGCTACGCTTGGAAGCCAAGCTTCGGATCGTCCTAACGCCTTGGCAGTTCGGAGCCGCATGGCGGCTTGTTGATTCACTGGTGATCCATAAGCTTAATTCCATTCCGTTGATGCGATTGGTTCAACAGCCAAGGTGCCATTCCTCTGTCACCCTTGCCCCAGGAGATGGCAGGTCGACCTCAGCCTCGTCCCATACAACCAGATAGCTATGATCCAAAGCCCAACACGCTAACCTATTCCGCATGGTTCGATCAATGACCAACAACGAGATTCTATGACTTCGTCCCATCTGCGAAACTCATGAGGACCGTGGGTCTGCATTCCATTTCTCGCCATCCAGCTATGAAGTATTGCTTCCGGCTCCTTGCCGGCGCTAACTTGTTTGGCTTGGCAGTATCGACCGTATCACCCAGAGAACCCCTAGAAGCTATACCAGAATTATGATGATGGCTTCTGGATCACAGCCCGTCTCCTTGGTTACCTCACGGGACAGAGTTTTCTATAAGAGGGTGGGCTTCGTCCACCAGCAGAGAGCTTTTCTTTCATCATCATCAGCATCATCAGCTTCAGATCAATCAGCCTCCTCAGCCTCCTCAACCTCTTCAACCTCCTCACTTCCTTTTTCGCTTCTTGATAATCTTCTCCTGCCGGTCAGGTATTTCTCCATCTAATACCTTATTCTCAACTATTCAAAATGTCTTCCTTCAAGTCCATTGTCGCCCTCGGGCTCATGACTACTGCTCAGCTTGTTGCTGGCCACGGTGCCATCATCAACGCTGTCGGTGATGCCGGTGGCTCCGGAAGTAAGCTCCACCAACCTGGCGGCTGACAGTCAAGCAGTGCTAACAGTCTTTTTACTTAAGTGGCTATCGGTGTTGACACCAGCACCCCCCGTGACGGAACCAGGAGGAACCCGTTCCAGCAAGACTCGACTCGATTCAAGGGTGACCAGGCTGACACCTTCGGCGAGACCCTCGGCGGCGGCAACAACAACGTGGAGACCGGCACCAAGGCCATCATGGCCGAGACCGGCGACCAACTTCCCCAGGTCTCCCAGGGCGGCGAGATCAGCATGACTCTCCACCAGGTCAACGCCGACGGTGGCGGTCCTTACACCTGCAGCATGAACGCCGACGCAACTGGCGCAACCTGGACCGACATCCAGGTCACCCAGTCGCCCCCTGGACAGAACTCCCGCAACAGGGACGGTGCCGAGACCGACTTCCCCCTCAAGGCCGCCATGCCCGCCGATGCTAGCTGCACTGGCACCGTTGCCGGCCAGGAGAATGTCTGCCTGGTCAAGTGCATGAATGCCGCTCGCGCCGGTCCCTTCGGCGGTGTCGTCCCCGTGCAGAGTAAGTCAAGACCCCAGCGAGACAGACTATCGTGATACAGCACTAACACGCACCGCAGTGGCCAACACCACCACAGCCGCCCAGGCTCGCCGCGCTCTGGCCCGCGCCGTCAAGCGCAGCGACGACGAGGCCCGCGCCATGGTGAAGCGCGCCATCAGCCTCAAGGGCCTCTCGCCCGAGGAGATCGAGGAGCTCCGCGAGGACGGCGAGATCTAAATGAGAACGGGGCTCTCCGAGGCCTTCTCAATCAGTACGCCAAAGAGGGGCGCATTAGGTTGAAGGGGTTGCCGATGATCGGAGGCTGCTGTGAGGATGATACCGATACTGATGCTCATACTGATATACATATTTCCTAGTCATCTTGCTTTGTATCTAGCTCTGCACATACATGTACAAACTGGCTCCTATCGGGAGATGCTTGACGGGTCTGGCTCTTTGGGTAGTAGACATACACTTTCATTCCATTAATTTGAGCTTAACTTCTAACAAACCTCTCCTCTCTTGGTGACTGAACTTGGAGCTGGCAGTCCCGATGCTGCCGCGCTCGACCTGATGGTCTGTTCGAAAGAACGTACATTGGAGGCCTGACGATCAGACTCTTTTATTGAACTTAATCAAACGCTGGAACCGGAATTCTTTCGATAGCTTGAGCAGATTACAGCGGGGGCCGTTCTCGTCCACTTGCAAGTGGCCCAAGGTTGCAGTCTGTGTTGCAGGAAACTTGCACAAAGCATGTGATGTGGACCACGACCAAGTAGGTGCTTGGCTCGTGTTATCACCTGGGCACCGTGTCCCGGACGGCCCACAAATGGTTGTGATGGCCTGACTGATGCGTGGGAATTTTGCAGAGCCGCGAATGCCATGCATCCATGTAAGCAAATCTCGAGATGGGGCAGTCTGCAACCAAATATGCCACGATAATCTCTGAAGCAGCAAGACGTGACGTTGGCCGGAAAGACCCCTGGGCCTAGAGCTCATGGGGTCCACAGACCACCGGGCGGCCTCAGCCCCTCCCACACTCCAACTGAAGCTACCCCGGACCCACTACCTCATAGTGGGCAACCTGCCGCGGGGTCTGCGAGGGCATCAACCGAAGGTATCCACCGAGTTCACGACGTGCGTCGCTAACATCTGCAGGAATGCAACGGCAACACGGGAGAACGAATGACAACGCTTCACCGGCGCAAGACCAATGCAAGAGCTTTGCCTAGCTTTCGTTGGTATTGCAGCAACAGCTCTAGGGAACGCATCCACACACACAGAGGGAGTGAGTGCTACCTTGCTACCGCAATTGCTCTGCCGATCGCGAGCTTTGCCAAGTCGCTGCTCTTCATGTCGTCTAGCATCACGTAATGCAGCCAGGAAAGACTGCCAAAACCGCCCATCGCCAAAACGATGGACAGTGGCGTTCCCACGCGCCGTGAGCTACACGTACTGTGGTACGCACAGGAAGACGTAGGCCCCTAGGGCGAAACAAAGTGCTCTCAAATCGAATGCGGGGGATCGACGTGCCCCCCAAAAGCTCCGGGGACAAGCGTCATACTTCATCAAGCCTGCCGTGACGTCAGGAGGCTGCCCTGAGAGCTACCCTCCTACATACCTACTGGTACTTTGTTGATAGGCGTTCGTCGCGTGCACGCGAGCATGAGTATGTGCTGTGCCCTAGACTGGCATCATAGTGCAGAGGCCGCCCGCCAAGCCAAGCGAGGCGAGCGAGAATTATGAACGAGAAGCACGCGAGATGCAAGGTTAGCTCTTCTCGCTGATGAGCTGCACTGCCACGTTTCTCCTCTCGACGATAAGCTGCTTGGCGTCCTATTCCCATGATGCACCGCAGGAAGAGTCAGGGACCCCTTTGCACACAGTAGTTCGGGCTGTTCGGGCTGTTCGGGCGCTTGACCGTAGCGACTAAGCAGTTCCCGGGAAGGTGCAGGGCTGTGAAGATATTGGCATCGTCTTGTCGCCCGTGTAAGTCAGGCTCGGGAGGCAGAATGCGGCCTAGGCCAAAGTCAATCTGCTCTTGTCTTTCTCTGCCGCTTCTGGGCATCTGGGTCAGAAGAGCCAAGGCCAGGGGGCACATGTGACGAATTAGCCAATGGCCCGGCTCCGTCCCCAGGCCACCCCCAGCAAGCAACTACAGCTGCTATCCCAGCCGAAAAGAGAACGTTGTGCCGCGTCCTGGAGATTGCTTGGGTGAGAGCAGCAGAGTCAGCCGGTGGAAGAGGCAATTGCAGCCTGGGCCCGTCGGTCTTCTCAGGGTTGTCCCCGTTCGAAAGAGGCTTGCAGCGAGCCACATGATTGGAGCATGGCGTCCCGGAGTTGCATTGATATGAGGCGACTGCGAGATCTAGGTTCGAGTGACAGGCAAGATACGCGGTGATCCTTTCCCTGTTCTGCGAGCTTGCGAGAATGAGCGATTGGTCTTTGGCCCCATGGGCAGCCCGGCCTTTCCTTGCCTGGGGACTGCTCCATGTACATGTATCCGACCCTGTGACGCTTCCGGCGTGGTTGACGAGTCGAGTTGACTGGAGCGGAGCAGCAAGAGCACAATATAGCATTCACCCACGCCCCGCAGTAGCTCCCCGTCTTATAACAACGGGAAACGGCCATCTTCTTTCAACGCCTACCTTTCGCCTCGAACCCTCGAACCCCTTTGTCCTTCTTCATACCGACATCACATCTTCCACCCATCAACACCAGTATCCAGGCACTTTGGCATACAACAAACTTCGTTCAACATCACATCGAGATCACTCATAGAAGCCACTTAACTCGAACAAGAAAATCCTCAGTCAGCATGGCAGAAACAACTAGCGGTTTGTCGCCCATCTTTCATTCCCCTGCATGTCATGTCTCCCGGTGATAATCTCAAGACTTGTTGCCATGCCCTGTTCTATTGCTGACAAAACCAAATGCCAGAGCAATTCCGCCCTCAGGAGGGTCCATCGACCACCGAGCATACCTCAGCTATTAACACGGGCGGCACTGGACACGCTGGAGCACCACAGTTCAATGACAGCTTTGCTCCTGCCGTAGGCCAGAACCTGGAGAATCCCTTCTCAGGTACCGGGGAAACCAGACAGCGCAGTGGTTCCAAGGATTATACCGTCACAGATGAGTGGGGTATGTATACTTCCTTTCTCCCTCTCATGGCTGTGCCAGCCAGCATTCATACCACCCACATCAAGCCATGCTCTGTCCTACACCTACCACCTACTTTTCGGCCGATGCGGGAGAAATGAGACAAGACAAAGAGCCCTGGCTAACGCTTTGTGGCCAAACAGACGCCTCCAAGGTCCCCCCCTCGCGCTTCCAGCAGCGCAAGGGCTCCATCTACTCGACGCCCGGCTCGCGTGACGGCCACGTGGAGAAGAACAAGGACCGCGACAACACCTTCCACGAGACGCATACCAAGCTCTTTGGCAAGGTGAAGGAGAAGGCCAAGGAGGCCGGCGAGAAGGTGACGGGCCACCACCGCAAGACCAGCAGCGCTTCCAACAAGAGCCAGTGAGCATGGAGAAGCAAGAGAGGCAAGGCAGAGTAACATCCTTCGGGGTTTTCCATACGACTTCAGTGGCCTGTAAGAGAGACAGCCTGTAGGAGATATCCGAAGCTGGCGAAGGGGGAGTTTTCATTTTGATTCTGCTTATGATGATTCGAACGCGTTGGCGTTTTCCGTGGGACGTTTTGAGATGGATGGATGGCTGGCGGCGAGCGTCCTGGCCCATACCTCGGAGAGAGACATGATCGTCGTTGGTGAGATGGTTTCCAGCATGAGCACAGTAAACAAACACTTTTCAATAAGAACAATTGTACAACACATTCGCAGATTTCGCGATTGAACGGTATCTTTGTGACTGTAACCACACACTATCGTAATTGACGCTACCGGTTCAAGACCTATCCCCATGCGTCGCCGTTATGGTGCGCCTCAGATATGAATGCGTAGAAAAAAAAAAAGTCAACATGTCTGGGAGTAACATCATCCCAAGGCAGCAGAACAAACCCCTCCGGGTGATATTCAAATGCAAAAAGCCACCAACCGTTACCACCGTGCCTCCATGCCTCCGTACCATGTTATAATCTATGGTTGCAATCTGTCGCTCCTCTGCTCTCTGGCGCCTCCCACCCTTGCTATCGTACCAAAGTGTGGACGGTTTCTCAGTCGTCGTCCATGCCGTCAATGTCAATGGCGTCCGGGTTTGCCGGGGCGGCGGGCTGCTCCTCGGGGGCCAGCGTGCCCGAGATGCCCGTGCTGCTGGCGACGAAGCCGACGGGGGCGCGGGCCTGGCGCTCGAGCTGCTCCATGGCGTCGGCGACCTCGGGGTCCTCCGTCTCGGTGGCCCCGGCGCCGTTGGCCTGTTTGGCGGCCTGGCTGCGGGCGATGGCCTGGGAGGCGATGAAGTTGACATCCGTGTTGTACTGGGCCTGGACGGAGCGCTTGATGCGGAGCATCTCGCGGTACGTGTCCTCGTTGCCGTGCTGGACCTCGAACTGCTCCCACTTGGTCCAGAAGGCCGGGTTGGTGCGGGGGTCGCAGAACTGCGAGGCGTGGCCGTAGATGGCGCGGGCGCGGTCGATCTCGCCCAGCCGCTTCTCCATGTCGGCGAATTTGAGGCACATGTCGCGGGCCTCCTCGTCGGGTAGCACCGAGATGGCGCGCTCGTAGATGCCGCGCGTCGACGGCAGGCCAAAGTTGGAGGCCGACTTGGTGATGTAGAAGTTGAACATGTCGGCACGGTCCTCGTCCGACACGGCCTGCGTGGCCCGGTCGTAGATGCGCATGGCATGCCTGGCCAGGCCGCGTTCCTCCTCGAGGTTGCCATACATGAGGTAGAGGGTCTTGGCGAACTTGGGCGGGCAGTCCTCGATAGACTGCTCGAACAGGTCGCGCAGACGCTCGATGCCGATCTTGCGGTCGACGGCCTTGGTCAGGTAGAGGTTCCACAGCTCGAAGGCCACGGGGTAGCTAAAGAGGTCGAGTCCTCGCTCGTAGATCTTGAACGACTCCTCGTAGTACTTGTGCTCCTCCATCAGGTTGGCATAGTTGACGACCGTCTGGGGAGTGGCAATGCGCAGCTCGAATATGCGCTCATACACCTTCTTCGTCTCCTCGAGCGTTGACACGCTCTCTACGAGGTCGACGTAGAAACTCCACAGCTTCCAGCTCTTGTGTACCCTCTGCTGAGGCGAGAGCGTCTCGTCAAAGTAGTCCACGGTTGACCTTTTTGGCGCCTGCACCGCCTTGGCCATGATCTTGACGGCCTCATCAAAGTTCTCATTGCGCAACTCCATCTCGGCCCATTCGATCCACATGTCGGCAAGCTCAGCCACCGACTTGAAGGGAACTTTGACGGCCTTCTCCATGATGACTCTCGCATTCCGAAGGTCCCCGCCCTTTTCGTAGAATTTGGCATAATTTGCCCATAATTGGTGGAACGGTCCAACGGCCTTTTTGGGTTGGATGGCCGCAATCGCGTTCGTATATGTCTGTACCACCTCTTGCTTGTTCTCCCCCCATAGCCCAACCCGCTTCTCCCACTCGGCGACGTTGTTAGGGTTTTGCCGTAACAGCACATCGTTCAGCAAGAAGGGGCGGCGGTCCATCAGCTGCTCGAAGCGCATCATGCGGATATCCAGGTCGAAGTCGGCATCCTCGTCCTCCTCGCCCTGGGCTGTCCGGTTGGAGGCCATCTCCATCAGCGCTCCGATGATGGACTCCTCAAATTCGGTGTACGTGTCGAAGATGAGCGTAAAGTCGCGGACAGTCATGACGGTCGTTATGCCTTCTTCAAAGACATCCCTTGCGCGCTCAAAGCTCCCCCTCCTGACCCAGTACGTTGCCAGGCCGCAGACCAGCTTCCCCCTTTGGTCTGGGAACCGTTCAATACCGCTGCGGATGATCGCCTCGACGTCAATGCCGGTCTCGTGGCCGGTCTCGATCTCGTTGGCATGCTCGACCATCAGATCCACCATCTCGCTCCACAACTCATAGTGCCCCTTGCCCTGCTTGCTGTTGTAGCGCGGGTTGTTCAGGATATCGATGTACTTCTTGGCGGCCTCGGTGTACAGGCCTACTTGGACGAGCAGTTCGATGAAGTCCTCGGCATCCTCGGGGTGGACCTGCATGTAGCGTCTCCAAATCTTGACAGCCGTTTCCCCAGCGGCCGAGTTGGCGAAGGGACGGAAGAGAGCCCATATCCGGTTATGCTGGGTGATAGGCAGGGCTCGCAGGGCGCGGTCGAAGGTACGGCGGGTCAAGGTGACCAAGGGCTGCTTCAGCAGAAACTTGAGGTACAGCTCCCATATGCGCGGCATCTTGTTCAGCAGGATAAGGGCCCTCTCGAAGAGGGCGTTCACCTTGCGGTACTCGGCGGCGAATATGGCAGCATTCAGCTTGGCAACATGCTTCGTTCGGAACTGCAGATACTGTCGTAGCATGTTTGTCAGCGCTGGTGCGGGAGGTGGACCACCCAGCCCACGGAGAGGGGCGCAAGTGAGATGGGAGCAGGAAGTCTACCTACCATCTTCCAAAGCTTGTACGAGCGCGGCAGCTGCAAGCACGCGCGCTCCATGACAAAGGCCTGCTCGTGGACGGTGCCATGTTGGAGCTTGAATTCGACGTAAGCAAGCCAGGGCTTGGTGCTCCCTGGGTCCCGCAGGATATCCTGTTCGTAGACGGCATCTTCATCGGACTGTGGCGGGGTTTGTGTCAGCTATAGTCGGGCCATTGTCTTCTGGGAAACCTACCACGAGGTGTAGATCTGGTTGTCTGGCGGGGCGGGCGCCGTTCTGCATGCCGTTGGGCGCCATGGCGAAGAGGTGAAGGGCCAGTCTCGGCGCAACAGACAGCAAGGTCGAGGGCCAGATCTGTCAGCGCATGCTTGAAGGGGAGGTTGACTGACAGCACCAGCAAGAGGACAATCGAGGCCCCCGGAGGAGGAGGTGGACGCCGATGGTGTGTATAGTCGAAACTATACCCTGCTCCCGCCGTGTGTCGCGGGCGGTGGTCGAGGCTGTCTTGTCTGGCTGGTTGGCTGGTGGTGGTGTGGTAGTGGTGGTTGATGGCTGGCGCCAACTATTTTTATTTGCTGGCCGTCTGCCGAGAAACTCCTCAGCTGGCGGGCGTCCAATGTCTGCAGCGCATTTGCGCCTGCCACGCGCCGCCCCACAGTGAATAAGGTTGCACTGCCCAAGGTCCCCAAGTCCCCCCCCCCCCCAAGTTTAGTGTACACTTTACTTACCTAAGGCCACCCAAGGTCCCCAGGTAGGCGTTTAACGGGCAGGCCGGCAGGGGTCCGGGGCTATGAAGTTATCGGAGATTGCGCCTACAGTAGCCCAGCCAGCCAGCCAGTCAGCCAGCCAGCCAGTAGCCCGCCCGCCTGGGTCCTGGATATTAGTGGGGGGTTGCAGCTCACTGCTGGCTGAAGCTGGGCTGCGCTGGCCAGGGTGCGGTACCTGCTGCGCAGCAATTGGGTCATCATACCTCGACGACAACAGAACCTCATCCAACCCTCGAACGTTGCCGACGCCCTCCCCTCCTCGACGCCTCACATACGATCGATAACCCCCCGTTCTCCTGGGTCCACATACCGATCGCCTTGCTTATATCTTCGATTCGAGTCGGCCGTGGTCGGTCTGAAAGCTTGCGACCATGTCTGGAGCAGGAGTACGTCACTCCAACGCCGCACCCCCATCCCATGTTGCTTGGAAGCTAAGACAGCGCAGGATCGCGAGGCCGTCTTCCCGACGCGCCAGTCGCTCGGTATCATGAAGGCGAAGCTCAAGGGAGCCGAGACTGGACACAGCTTGTTGAAGCGAAAGAGCGAGGCTCTCACCAAGTACGTTGCCGCTGCCCTGGCCCTTCCAAGAGGTATATTTGAAGCTAACAGCTCGACTCTAGGCGCTTCCGAGGTAATCGCTCACCCACGCACCCGCCCCCAGTCCCAGCCCCAGTCCCATGCCCGCTGACAAGACGATAGATATCACGCGCCGGATCGACGAGGCGAAGCGAAAGATGGGCCGCGTCATGCAGATTGCCGCATTCTCCCTGGCAGAGGTCACATACGCTGTTGGAGGTGATATCGGATACCAAGTACAAGAATCTGCGCGCCAAGCACGCTTCAGGCTCCGGACCAAGCAGGAGAACGTGTCCGGTGTCCTCCTGCCCGCCTTCGAGAGCTATCAGACAGAGGGGAACAACGATTTCGGCCTGACCGGTCTCGGCAAGGGTGGCCAGCAGGTCCAAAGATGCAGAGAAACATACGCCAGGGCTGTCGAGGCTCTTGTCGAGCTGGCAAGTTTGCAAACCGCCTTTGTCATCTTGGACGAGGTCATCAAGGTTGTGAACCGAAGAGGTAAGACTGCCCAGCGTTCTTTTTCCTCTCAACAACATGCTAACTCATCTCTAGTAAACGCCATGTAAGACCGCACCCACCCGGACCTGCAAGGACATACCCGTACTAACGCGCAGCTAGTGAACATGTCATCATCCCTCGCACAGAGAACACCATCAAGTGTAAGCTATCGTGGGACCCCCTTCTATGACCGAGTTGCTGACACCGTGCTAGACATCAACTCAGAGCTCGATGAGCTGGACAGAGAAGAGTTCTACCGACTGAAGAAGGTGGCTGGCAAGAAGCAGAGGGATACAGCGGCTGCTGATGCCGAAATGAAGGCCAAGAAGGAAGCCCAGGCGAAGGACGGCCAGGAGAATGTGGCCCCAGAAGGCGACAACGGACCTTCTGACATACTAGCAACTGGCGAAGACGAAGACGTCATTTTCTAACCATGGGAAGGATGTTCTCCTGGTTGCTTCAGTTTGCCGTTGCGATGGAGCCTGCATTGTGTTTTTATACCTAGGATTTCGGTGATTCGTTAGTGCTGTTGAGCGGATGTTCAGCAGCGTGGCTCGTCTATCCATCTGCATGGCGCTTGTAGTACAGAGTATATATGACTTTTGGTAAAGCATTGCATTATGACCTATATTTGCTTTCCACGGCGGGCACCCACGTAACATTCATGCTGCATGAAATGTGTTTGGCCAAGCCAACATTTGGTGTCGGGTTAGGGGTCTCACGTGCTATCGTCCTCTCCTGTATTCACCAGCCATTTCCGTGCTCACCGGTGATGCCGCAAATTCTGGTTTCATGCTCGTTTCGCCATAAAGCTCTACCGGTAAGACCGCCAGGAGTTCGAATTTCTCGCTGCCGCCAGCTTCCCACGGCCGTGCCGTCTCGTGCAATTCGTACGGCTGCAGATACGGGACGCATTCCGAGTGCAGCTGCGCCTTGTCGCCCAGCTCAGGCTCTTCGGTTTCGGGCGTCACTGCCTCAGAGCGCCGCCGTCGCCGCCGCCTGTATCGAAAATAAGAGCTAGCAATCGCGAGAATAGCCAGCGCTGCTACCGAGCCCAGCACGGCGCCCACTGTCTGAGGCCAGTGGATTACATCCCGTTGGGACACTGCACCTTGGTTCGACAGAGCTATCCCATTGGTTGGTGGCGCTAGGTGGTGATTAATATTGTCAAACTAATAGAGACGCAGAAGACCAACCGTTGCCAGATGCTGTTGCGGTCGTACTAGTTGTGGTCTTCCTAGCTATGGTTTGCTGGCTCGTAACATTGGACGATAGTGTAGAAGTTGTAGCAGTGGAAGAGCCAACGCCGGGGGTAACGTTGTCTACCAATTTCGTCCCATACACCGTTTTCTGTAACACAGTGCTATACACCGTCTCTCTGTCGCCATCTTCGACAAGTTCTGTCACCAAGACTGTGCTCACACCTACTGCCACAGGAACAGCGGTTGGCAAAAAGGCGGTTTTATTCAGGCACCCGCCACAATAATCATTGGCCGTCTCAAACAACGGCTGGAGGAATTCTGAGTATATCAGGACCGCGTTCGTTGCGGATTTGCCGATGCATTTGCGACAGAGCGTATAAGATATGAGGAACTTCGACTTCGGTTCACCAACTATACACACATCGGGATTCATAATCGACCCGGAGAGTTGTGTTTCGTCGTCGGCACTTTCTGTGTGCATCATGTTCAGAAGAACGCAAGGCTAGGTTGCAGAGGAAAGAAAACTCACTACAGTCTGAATAACATGTCTTAGGGATGGGGACATTAGATATATCGTAGGCCTGGCGCTGGCTGGTGCCCATAGTGCCCATGTGCTTTGCGATTTGTGATATGCCTGTCCTATAGAACACGCCCAGGAGAATGAGTGCTTGCCAAAGAGAGATTATCACTTTCCAGGAGCACTAGTGCAAGCAAGGCGAAGCTCGGCCTCAAGGTAAACCCAAACCCGAAATACATGTCCTGCGAGTGTGGCACGCAATAAAGCATTTTGGGAAGATATCAGCAGGCTACGCTGAGGGACAATGCCTCGTACTCGCCGAATATGGCAGTGCCACTGCCAATGTGACCCAGACTATGTGTGTGGCCAACGAGATTGAGGAGGTCCAGCAGAACAATGCAGTTCATTGCATATGACATGCATAGAACTTGGAGGCGCAAGGCCGCGCCGCTTACAGGCCATCACTCTCGCCAGTCGTTGCCGGTGTTGTATAGACACATACTAACCCCGCATCCAACCATCTGGCAGTGTTCGAGATTTCTTACAACATCTGAACCGGTGCAGATGAGTCCGTGTTCAAGTCTTGTATTGAGTGGCTCTATGTTCTTACTATAGTCGAAATTCGGTCCATCACCCTCATAACTTTCAATTAGTCGTTCGATAGACTTCTTCTATCTGAGACTTAGCCTCATATCATTCGTAGTTTTAACCATGAATCATTTACGACCACTGTTACTTTCCATTGTGCTGCCTACTGGTGTAATTTGAGTCACAGTCAAGTCAACACTCACGCGCACACATACAAATATACATACATCAATGAAAGGTTCTCGGGACACAAAAGAATGCGCCTGTCAGTCCTATTTGCGTGGACTTACAGGCATCATGTATCCCCTAGGGCGGCATTACCCTTGGCTGCATTGAAAGAAGTCTCTTATTGCCAAGCAAAGGCGTACTTTTGTACACCAGTGCCGAATGGCCAATGAGAAGCTGATTATTCGGAAATGGTACAGAGTAGCTTCGCCTCTCCCGTCAAAGTCGTAAGTAGCACAGGAGTTCCTCGCATGCGAGTGTTCTATTGTCTTCACATTGAAAGTAGTGATAATACAGAAAATAGAGATTGATTTGTTACTGGACCCTAGAGATTCTTGGTAGTCTTTCATACTAGATTCTGATAATGCAGTATCTACACATCCCCTGAATAAGTGACTTGCGACCCAATTGTCCAGAATCAAAATACCTCTGGTATAACAGTCATTTCACCGGAGCATTTTCTGACTTGCAGTGAATTTCGTCGACTATCCATGGAGGCCGCCAGTATCAGAACTGCGCGGGTCATTGGTAGGTGTTTCAACTTCAGGCATGACATGCCGGATTACAATGGCTGTATACCCACCAATGAACAGGACTAGACCTGTAAATAGGTTGAACAAAGTGAATTTTGGGAGAGTATTGACGAAGCACCAAAGGCAGCGTGGCTGCAAGGTAATTCTGACGTCGATCAAGCAAAATTAAGTCAAGTGTCCTACTGTAAGCCCCGACATGAACACGGCAACACATATCGAGTCAGTGTTATGTTTTCGGGTGGCCGAGGTCCTTCAATATGGTTCCTGGTCGGATGGGAAGAAAATAGAATTGCTTTTTCTAATGCAGCCTCCCAAGTTCGTGTTCTTGATCGTGAGTGTGGAGCTAATAGAGTTGCCGGAAGCGTCCCGCGAAATGACTCGAGTATTCCGGGGGCTTCATCCGAAACCTAACCCCAGGTTTCCCCAAGCCCTTTCCTTGACTCGTTCGACTCGTTCATTCTATAGAATCTCAGACATGTCATAACAAGGGTCCAAGCTGCGTGGCTTGCTAGGGATCGGCTGCAGCCGCACCGAACTAGGAAGAACGTTCCGAGGAGGCGCAGCCTATGAGATAACACAGCTGAGGAGCCACGGCTCGGCACATGAATCGGTACCGGGATGATTGGCTATGGTCAATGTGCAACTGCCTGTGCGCTCGGGGATGTTCCGTTTTCGTCACGCGTTGAGGTTATAGTTGCTCTGGGCCTTGTTTAAGCGAACCATCCCACGGCCTCCTCACTCAAAACGCCATAGCACAGAACTGAACCTTGCCTGCACAACTCTCACTTGTCTCCAATGGAATTCGTCGAGTCTGCATGGTTTGTCTATTTTGAGAGTATGGAGGGGGTAGTAGATAGTAAACGGCATGACCTGGGAACTCCTAATTCAAAAGTATGGTTTGCCGATAATGAACAAAACGCCAGTTTGGGTATGTTGTTTTCCAGCGTCGTAATCCAGTCAACTGAAAGCCTTGCATCAACATGTGGCGTGTAATAACGCCCGAAAATCCGACTCGCGCTAATGGTGAAAAACTCCTGTCGAACCTGAATCTGTGAGATCTACTCTGTCGTGACGGTCACCTCCACCGTGCTCGAAACCTGAATTTTCGACCACTCTGTCCATGATAGCTTGTCGCTTGCATCCAGCCAGCCAACGTCGATCTCGCCGCAGCACATGACAAAAATCTTCTGCTTTCCCTTTCCTGGCGTTCCTAGCTCGAGACACGTGGGGCTAACCAGCCTCTCTTGTACGTTTATGGATTGCGCTTTTGCGCCTTGGAGCGACTTGACGTCGGTCTTCATCAAGTTGCCATCAACGCTGTTCAACGTGTAAGCGGCGCTGCCGCCTGGCGTGACCTGGAATCCATCGCAATGTTTCAAGTCGTCGGCGACCAGCTCCACCGGCCCGGTAACCTTGAGCGGTACCCGAGGGTTGCTCCCATCCAGCTCATATGGCACTCGGTGGATTGAACCGGCGCCGTAGTTCGAATACCAAAGATAGCCACCGGCCAGGCAGATACGATTTATCCCAAAGAATGCGTCCTCTCCTTTAGGTTTCATGGATTCCTCATCCGCTAGCAAGACTTCGCTTTGGCCTGTCGTCACGTCCAAAACTTGAATGCACAGCTTCACCGAATCGGCGACGAGGATGTACTGCTCGTTCACCGCACAGAGACCCAGGGGCAGAGCAATGTCCTTGATCTCACCCTTCTTCGTGGCCTCCGCCTTGCCATCGGGATTTATCTTGAGATGCCACACGGCAAAGTCCTGCCACCTGCACGCCGCCAGGTCGCAGATGTCGGAAGTGATGATGCTGTACTCATCCTGGCGCCCGGGAACCGCGACCAGATTGATAGCGGAGGCGGCACCGGGGAGCTCACACAGAGGCTGTGGCTCGGCATCTGGATTCTCCGCATCCAGGTCGTAGATGCTGGGGGCGTCCAGGCGGGCGGCCACCAGGTGGTTATTGGGGCGGACTGCGAACCCCTCAAACCACGAGTCGGGCGGCAGCTGCGTCACGAGGACGACATCCACGTCTCCGTCGTTGCCCATGGTCAAGATGGCGGACTGGGTGCGTATCTGGCGATAGGAGCAGCCTGCTGCGGGAGGATGGGGTTTTTTTTGTGTTGTGCGCGGGGAAGAGAGATCGTGTGTGTTGAGGTTGGCTCGGTGGAGGAGCGACTCAGCTCTGAACTCCAGATGGTTGAATAATGTTGCGATACCCCGGCACTGGGACAGCGTCGGCGACTAGCTGAGCTCGGCACTAGTCGTGTATCTCGGTGGATATTAGAGTTCAAGCGTCCCCGTCCCTAGATCGAGCCAGCCACTCAAGCCCGTTTCCGAGGCCGTCGCGTCCCAGCTTGCACCCCTTAGCCTGGTGATCCTAGGTGATCCCCAGGCGCAGACGCTACCTCCGTAGCCCTGGGCAATAGACGGAAAAACGGCGTCGGCTGCTATAGGTCGCTTAACCTTGCAGTCGACCCATTCGTCTGGTCCGTCGTCAGCTAGGTCGTCGCTGAGGGGCCCGACGTGCTATGTATGCAGGCCTGGCGGCCGAGCCACGAGACAGCCCCTCTCGACCGGCAGGGGAGATGGATTTTTTTCTTCCTCGTCCGTGTGTGAGTACCCAGCCAAGCCCAGCCCGGCTCTGGAGGATCATAAGGGCCAGGGATTAGGCGTGTAGCGTGGCACCTTGATCCTGCGACAAGTAGGAGATAGTCGCGGCCGGCATGACAGCGCTAGATCCCGAGGGTGCTAAATTAGGTCGCCGAACTATCTATTGCCCGCCCCTATCACACCGGACTCATTCTCAACAGACGCTTCCGTCAGTTATGGGAAAGGCACAGGTGCCATAGAATCGATACTTCCTATAGGCGCGAGCGATCCCAATTTTAAGGCTGACTGACCCAGCGCTTATAAAGTTGCACGTGAAGTGTCCACTGACCGCGGACCCCTGCGGCCTGCAGCTTGGGGGTTCCGCACTTTGATGCAGAGCCACAGGACGCCCGCCGCATTGGGTAGCGAGATCCGGACTTGATAGGTCACGTGATGTTCTCCATATCCGGGTATCGGATTAGATTGCTCCTACGTATTCCGTCGAATGCAATTCCGTAGGATTGCTAAATCCTTGTCTGGGGACGTTTCAACGCGCTGGCTAGATCCAATCCTACCCGGTGAAGTCTACATAGGAGGCATGCCTTGCAACCACCTCCTGAGCAGCTAGGATACATGGTGCTACTAGTCATGATCGTCTCAACGAATGTCGGCTCGTTACTGCTATTTTGATTCCGAGGCCTAATAACGCCAATCATAAATCCTTTACGGAGTGCTCCTAGTTATATTATCGAGGCAAGGGAATAGTACAAGCAGACTCATGAGGGTGGTTTGGAGTCTATGATCCAAGTAAGATTCAGTCCAACCAGTCTCCCTCATGTCCACCAATGCTATCCCGTCTCAGTATAATGCTTTGATGGCGTGGCTCGTCGAAGGGGAAGCCACAGCAGCCAAGTTTCCCAGACTTGACATGCTCATACGACAGAACTCGAATGCAAAAGGACAGAATTGTAGTTGTCCCATCCATTACCAGGAAAAGGACCCTTCGTGATGACAGGGCACATGCGGCTGTTCTCCGCCAATGAATCCAGGTTTAGATATATCGCGTCGTTGTAACAATAGTAAGAGCTAGAGTGTTTCTAGGGATGCCTCGGATACAGCACCCATGATTGCTTCGCAGAGGGGTAGTCTGTCATAGGGAGTAGTCATGTTCAAAGTCAGCTTACGAAGACTGCCCCAAATGCCGATGGGAAACCCTCGAGTTCCCTCAACGGCCATCAGCGCCGTATAGTTACAGGTCGCTCCCACCTGCTGTAAACCTTGCATGTGAAGACCTATGCGACGAACACATTGGTGCGCCGTCATTTTTTGGTGGCTCCTTGCTTCAGATCGGTGTTTACTGCCATGCCTAGCGCAGAACTGTCGTGTTCTCTGGACGTCAATTGACAATGGATCAAAGAACCTGCCTTGACAGCCTATATCGTAGCTTCGCTCGTCAAAGGCTCCTGGTAGTAAATCCTCGCAGTGCGTACACTATGGTACAAACGAAAGAACGAGTGGCCCACGTATCATGAGCACCAAGGCCTGGCTTGTCCCGTACGTGCTGGATCAGTGGAGACTCTCAACGAGGCGCCGATGGCGAGTTATAACTGAGAAGCTCGAAAGGATCCAAACCATCAAGCTCTTGTATCTGGCGCATTACCCTGTCTGGAGAGAAATGAGTCATCCGAAACTTAAGGGTGCCCAAAGGGGACAACGGTATTTACCTGCAATGCCCCAGCGGTTGTTAAAGAACCGAAGGCTTCCAAGGCGATCCACAATGGCCTTCTCAAACCTCTCCCACTCATCCGGAAAGATTTGGCGCAAGCTTGTACATGTTTTCACAGCAAGATAGCATGTTGGAACGGCGGGCGCCACCAGGTAGTCAAGTTCCGCTGTTTTATCGTCGGCGTCGAGGCTATTGCTGACTTTGCAGCTAATATCTACCGCGAGCTGAGACGCGAACCCCAATGCTGTCATAGCAGTTGTGAGACTGGGGTCTGACTTGATCTCTGCTGCAGTTTTGGCTTCTAGCATGGGTAGGTAAGGAAGATATATGCTGAAAAGCGCTCTGGGCAAGGTTAGTTCTGAGTGAAGCGGAGGTTTGGTTGGAATGGATGAGATCAAGAGAAAACCCGATGTGAGACACATTGTAGGTAGTAACTTACGAGATAGCCATAGAGAAGCAGTCCAGCGTAACTTGCCAGTTGTTGACGTCATTACGAAGCAAAATCATAGTTGCCTCGCGGATCTCTGCGTCAAGGCTCGAAAAGGAGTCGATAGGAGGCAGAAAGCCTGGACTAGCCCTGAGTTTGTGTTCGTGTTGGAGGGCGCGATGGAGTAAAGTTGCGACCTTGGCCGACATCTGGAATGATTCCATCTTCTGCGTATCAAGCAGAGCACTGATCGGCAGCGGTCCTGGAAGCTCTGATCGCGGTTTGCACTTGTGATCTAATAATGGCGGACACATGATGGGCCCGGGAAGTAATGTGTCCATCTCTGGGCTCTTGACGATGAAAGGCAAGTTTTTGACTACATCGTCTATATGGAGAAACCTTTTGTGGATATGATATCAGCGGCCGGTTGACGGCAATGGGATCGAAGGCTAGGGAATGGCTAGCCCGTTTCACTTACTGGTCGAGAATGAACAGTGCCCACCACAAGCCACTTCTCTCTTCCTCTTCCATAGTGCTCGGGTCTGCCCCTTCATCGAGGCGAGTGGGTTTGACATCTAATCGACTTGCTGCAGTCACCGACTTGCTTAACGTCCCGTAGGCATCTATCGGCTCCCCATGGCCATATTCGTAAAAGGCAAGCAAAGCTCCCGACTGAACCAGCTCCAACTTGGGCTCGCTGGAAAAAGACGAGGCGAGGGCACGCTTCACAAGCCAATAAAGGTCATCAAACAAGGTCCGTTCCCCGGATTTCATTAGGCGAGGACGTGTGGTCATGTACATCGTCAGGATCAGCAGTGCAAACTCCTTGCTTATGTCGGGGTCTGGAACCGAGCCCAGGTTGTCCAAAGTCTGAAATATGGACAAGGGCTTCTCGGAAGTTACCACGGAAGATATAGACATTGGTGTTGCAGGCGAAGCTGGCCTGTCGCCCAGAACGGCTAGCTTCTCCTCGAAAAGGCTGCAGTGGACAACGGCAAACCAGGAATGGACATGCTCGAAGTAACTTCGCACGGCGTCTGCCCAGCCGAAGTCACCCTCACGCCTCGCATCTGCTGCAATAAGAGAGAGCACCTGCGAGGCCGTGATTTGGTCAAATGGTACGGTAGCCTGAAGCTCGGTGGCGAGAGCACCGTTCGCCGTTGTATCTGGCGTGCCAGACTTGGTAGAGTAGAGACATTCTGCACGCAGTCTATAGTGACGCAGAGTCAGTTTTCCATCTATGATCTGAGGCTTACACGTGACTTTGCTGGGTATACCTAGTGCAGCGGGAGCAGTGCGGCAGTAGTCTATCGCATTTCCGCTTCGACGATCGGCATCTGAGACAGGCCTGCAGGGCAAGGTCGTCTAGAGGATAAGGCTGGGGCCTGAATGATGTCTGTGTTCTGCCAGGATGCGTCATGTTTGGCCGCAACAGAACAGCGGCCGACGAGGAGCCTTGCTGTATGCCGCTGGGCTTGGTAGTCGCCCTTGTCAAGTTGTCAAGGACCTAACTACGAGGTATGGAGTATTTGAAGCCGTCGATGCCGGCTTCATCGGCTGATGATTGCTCAGAGGCGATCTGCGCTAATACAACTCAGGATTAGCGGGCTGGCGCCAAGGCTCATCTCATCTGTCATCCATCTTGGGTACATACGTAGTCAGATGTTAGGTAGTAGAGGGCAACTGAAGTTTTGGCTATGCAAAATACTCGAAATGATATCGCGGGAAGAAGCATGTAACCTGTTTTGGATATCCATATTTTTCCTCACGAACTTGAGTAGTGTCGATTTGAGATCCATTACATTGCGGTTGGGTGATTTGTGGTTATGCCTAGCTTTCGTGCTCATGCCTACTGAGACGTGAGACACAGCAACTTCATGCTGAATCCTTGCTTCACAATTTAATCACCAAGTTATAACTTGAAGCATGCGAGCCTTGTCTGCCCATTTGTAGGCTACGCTATGTGCCTGTCCCCGGATATCAGACATAGCCCTCGCAGCTGCAGTTGGTGGGGTTCAAACCATGTGCTAGCGAGCCGGGGTTTCTCGTAGCATAGCTGGCGGCATCACCCTTTTTTTCTTATTTTTACAATTAATTGTCAGCTGGTTGAAAGAACGCCAGTCACGAGCCTTGCCATGGTTGTATCTTGAGGGTGCGGGATATCGTATTGTTCAAATTCGCATCTACTGTCTCTGGTAGGTCACCTTCATGAACTTGGCTCCATCCGCCAAAGCCATGCCTGCCGTATTCTCCTTCGCAGTGATGGCGCCCGCCTCGGCCTCGTACTCCACGAATGCAATACCGCGTCTGCCAGGCACCAAGCGCACCTCGCGGAAGCCTTCGTACCGCCCAAAGATACCAGTGAGGGCCTCCACATCGTAGTCGTCGGGCAGGTTCTGGACGAAGAGGATCTTGTTCGGGGGCAGGTACTCGTCTGGCACCACGGCATTGGCAGCAGGCCCGGTGGCCTTGAGACCGCCAGGGCGGGCAGCTTTGGCAGGTCGGTTGGCCATGTCGGGCGGTTGTGCGGCACCGGGTCGCTTGAGTCTCTTCTGCTCTTCCGCTGCTTCGGCAGCCTTCTTCTTGTCTGCATGCTAGTCAGCAAACGTCCCGGAGCGTGGATCCAAAGCGACATACCCTTCTCCGCCAGCCTTCGTCGCTTGTGATGCTCGAACTCATCATCGTTGCCTGTAGTCTTCACGGTGGCGTCGCTCCTCGTCCGGGCGAGGGCGACATGCATGGGCTTGTCGAACAGCTCGAAGCCCTGGACTTCCTCAATCGCCTTGACGGCCGACTCGGGGCTCTCAAAGACGACAAAGGCTTGGCCCTTGGCCTTCAAGTTCGTCTTGGCGACGATGTCGATGATGTTGCCATACTCGGAGAAGACGGCCTCGAGCGCTGCTCTGAGCGGCTCTGGCTTGACGCGCTCCTCCAGATTGCGCACGTAAACACTGCCATCATTCCGTAGTTAGCTATTGGACCTACAGGGAACAGGACCGATATGTGTCGGAGTGCAATGACACATACGTAGCAACTGCTTGGCCGGATGCCATGTTGATATGTTTCTGTGTTGTTCAAGTGAACAGCCGCGGGTGATGCAGCTACAGACGAACCGCGAACAGCGCCAGTGCGCAGGAATCCCAGACGCAGCCTTGCAGGGAGTGGGTCCGGATGTAAACCCCCTTAGTGGCATAAGAGTACGAAGAGGGAACAAGAAGACAACAGTTTAGGGCCGACTCGCAATTCCTGCCGCCTGAATCACCCCCGTTAAATACATACATAAGCACAAACAAGATAATGTAGCAGACAATACATACAAGTGCTTCACCACTCGGCACGCCCAATTCTCATACATAGTACGCATATGAGTACGAGTAACACTGCGTCTAGCCCGATAGCGGACAAGGCGAAGATCCACTGAGAGATGTAGAATCGCACTGAACTTGTTCCATACATCTTCTCCCGTATCCCCTCAAGCCAATGGCCTCTCACTCTTGCCTCAACGCCATTCCTAGGCCGCGCGACCCTTTCGTCTTACTACGGTCGGCGGCTGCAGCAAGTACAAATGACTTCAAGTGAGAGGTGACACCGAAAAGTATGCCCAAAGTCAAGAGAGGCAGTCCTAGTAGCACTGGAGACTGGAACCGAAGGCCAGTCGCTGACAGCCCGTCAAAGAGTAACGTACATATTCCGGGCTTCGTCTGCCCTGCTTAGATCTTGGCGGAATGCCGACACAAGTTTCATTATCTAGGCTTCCATGCTATCTTCAGACCCGTGGTTTTAGCGATGTAATTTGAACATCTTCTCCATGAATAGACAGATTCCCATCGCTTCCGGCTCACTAGTATCAATATTTGGTATTACCTCCTTGGGATAGCTGCTCCGACCTTTTCCTCAGTTCCTCATTCTCTTGCTCGAGCACTTTCGTCTTCCTGGCCATATGCTCTAACTCTTTTCGGAACGTAAGGAACAGATCGTTGCTGTTATTAAGTGTGTCCTCTACCTGTTGGGCAACCTAGGTCAGCAATGGTCACTGTTAGCTGTCGTATACGAGACAAACCTGGCGGAACTTCTCAACGTAGACATTAAGCTGTCCTCGAAGTTCAGACTCCGTATCTTGACCTTCTTTTGGCTGTTCCTTGAAAGCGCCTGCATCCTCCCACAGCAACCGGACATTTTCCCGTCTGGTCGCCTTGTGTCCTCTTGCACGTTTTCCTAACTGGCGTTTAGCAAGTGTATGGAATTCGTCTTCTTCCCCAAGTGATGTACGGGAGCTGTTCCAGTCCCAAACAAGTAGGAAGTCTCGTTTAGGGAGTCCTTTGGCTTCCACCAAATCTTGATAGGACGAATCTGTGTGATCAGTGAATGTACTTAAAGGCGTAAGAGCAACGGAAATGACAGCACAGTAGTCTTGATATGTTCGAATGATGATAGGTCTCGATGCTCCTCTGATGACGCAGATGAGGTCGTTCTTTCGAATTGGTATTGCCAGAGATTGCACTACCCAGGAAGCATGGAGCCTCGGTGTCTTGTCAGAGGAACCACTCGAAAACTTCGCAGAAACATCCACGATCTGCCTGTCAACCCGATTCTTCTCACTCACAGCGGCCAGTACCTTGCCGACAACGAAGCCTTGAGCCCTTATAACAGCAATATCTTTGTTGTTCCAAGTAGTGATGTCTGCGTTTTTACTGAGCAGTAGCTGTACAAGGCGGCGAAAAAGAACTCCCCATTCGATCTCATAGTCTGGAGATAAGCGATCTGAGCTTGAATGGACGGAAGCCATTCCAAGTAAAGCGTAGACCTTGTCACGGCGGTCGGATGCTTCGTGCGTGTGATACATGTCAATTAGTTCGCCTAGCGGGCGTATGCGAAGAGAGAACGTGTCTGACTCGCGCGAGAGGACTTTAGGCTTGAACACAGTATGTCTAATGAGGTAACTTGCTGGGCGAACAAGACTGACAATATCGGACAGGGCCTCAATATGGCGTCCCAAAGCGTTCAAGCCGGAGCAGAAGGCAGCTCCATCAATGGTGCTTGATCCACACATTACTAGAACATTCTGAGCTGCAGCAACTTCTTGGAGTACCTGAACGCACAACGTTAGACTCTCGTACAACTTTCGACCGCTCAGCAACTCACCCAAATACGTTTGAACCATGGTCTCTTCAACAACATGCGAATGGCATCCTGAAATGTGGGGCCAATATCTCCGAATTGCTCATCAGCAGCTTGGTGAATCGCTTGGAGAGCTATCTCGCTGTCGTTTTGTTGCTCTCCGAGCCAAACCAGAACACGAGCAGCTTGGGCGTAGATCATTGCCATGGACTGCACTTGGTGATTGCGCTCCTTCACATCGTCCTGGTGGATGCAAATAGCATCTACCCAAATAAATCGCTCAATGAAGGGGTCCCGAAGGTTCAGAAGCGCTGTAGCAAGATTCCTTGTAATCGCTAGTTGGAAATCTTCTATAAAAATCACAAAATCCTTGGATGTAGTGCCCCAAACATACGACAGGGCGTCGTAGGAATGGTCGCCGGAACCTGACTCGAGGAGAGGGTAGCTCACGATGTTACACCGTAATGGGGCGTCTTTGTCTCGGTCAGGTAGGAGTCGAAGTAGTCGGATCGAGCCATCCGGAAGAGGATGGTAACTATAGTGAGGCATGAAACCGGCCACCAGAGATGCAGTGAACGTATTCCCATTGACAACTTCGGGACTTGCAATGTCAGCATCACTGACGCGAGTAATGGACTGTTCTAGTGGATTGGCAGCATCATTCTCAATCTGTGACCCAGTATGCCATGTCGCGGCTTTCACGGAAGTATGCTTCATAGTATCGCTGTCTGAAGCCAAGTCGTAGAGTGCTATTAAGGGTGACTAGGCTGAGCAGAAGAGTATACTCTAGTAGCTCTCTTCTCATTTTTAGAGAAACTAAGCATAATTTAGGTACTTATGAAGGCTGCATGATGCTCGAAATTCAGCTCTCATATCAGACACGTGACGGCACAGCTTGGAGAAGGTCAGGTGGCTGGGATGATTATCGCCCCTCCTTCACTAAGCAGGCAGCTTAGTGCCCTTCCAAGTACCCGTGTTCCATGAACTTAACCTCGTACAACAGCTTATGATAAATACTGTTATTAATAGTTTATATCTATTAACTACCGGTGTTAACAATACATCAAACTAATATGTATAGCGAACTCCAGAGTTATAAATTACCCGCCCCACCCCCAAACGCGGAGTGGCGCTAAACGTACGTGTCTCTTCGTGGGTGTCGGGGCGTTTCCGATCATTGACAGTGCAGCAGCCCTGACGTTCACTGTCCCAGTCGGCGTAAATGATGAGACCCGGTATATTTAAACACTATTTCCAGGCGGTGATTTTCGAGACATGCCACAAGCTTGTGCTGCGCTAACCCACCTCCTACTGTCTTTTCCACATGGCTTCTTCATCCTCTACAGAGTTCGCCCAAGTCAAGAAAGAATATGACGAGCAAGCACCTTCGTACAATGCCCTCCTGAAACTTCCCTTTGGAGTCCTGGAGTCTCAACTCTTTATATCAGCGGCAGCTGGCGATGGATTCTGTAAGAATGCATCTGTTCTTGACCTTGGTGGCGGAACGGGCCTTCGTGCGCGCCAGGTGCTCGAAGCCGGTGCAGCGAGAGTAGATGTGGTTGACATCTCAGCGAAATGATGGCAGTAGGCAAGAGAGATGCGGAGGTGCTTATGGGTCCACAGGAAAGCGGTCGGCTTCGCTGGTTTCACGGGGACGTCTCCAGGCCGCTCTTTGGCGAGCAAGGAGTTGTTGGACTCTGCCCGCCCTACGACCTGGTCATGGCAAACTGGATTTTCGACCATATCGACAGCCCCGATGTTCTCAAGGCTTTGTGGCGCAATATTGCCGCCGCGGTGCGTCCGGGCGGTCGGTTTGTGGGCGTGCGAGCTTGTGATCCGCGTTGTGAGGCCATGAAAACCGGCAAATACGGACCGACTTGCCAGGACTTTGTTGAGTTTTCAGGTGGGATCTACTATAGTTCTACAATCCCCGTGTCCGGGGCCCCGTCGGTCCATCTCGAGAATGCGTCGCTTGAGGTGAGCTACTCCGGCTCCACGGAGATGCATGAACGCTACGGTTTCTGCGATGTCAAGAGCGAGCCATGCGAGAATGCTGAGATTGTCAAATCAGATCCCGGATTCTGGCAATTATGGATTGAACGTCCAGGTTTTGTGGTTGTGAAGGCACAGAAGAGGTTGAATCGGCAGCAATGAGGAGATTGATGCTCAACTTTCACGACACGTAGGACAATATTTGATTCGATGTTTTGAGAGAAACCAGTCCGAATTTTAAACCTATTGGGCATAATGAATTTAGCTGGCATCTGTAGAGTTTCTCTGAGATAGGTGCCATGATGGAGATGTTATCAACTATACATAGTCCGATTGCAAGTAGACTATCATATTCCATAGGCAGCGCCTGGGTAGCGACATCTCTATGAACCACGATTTAACAAGTGGGGGAGATGGTATTTCAACATGAAATGCTATAGCGCAGCTGACCAATCGAGACAGGCCTATTCGGGCCCCAAACATCCACGCTTTCATCTACAGTCCATCTGACTTCCAAGTGTTTGACTGATTCACCATTCTATCTCTCGAGGCCCCGTTGGTGACGGTGGATTCCAGTCATCATTATGGCCAAAATACTTGCGAATCTTTGGCAAGTACTCTGAGCCAGTTGGGCAGAAGCTAAACCTCTCTAGGTTCGATTGTTCTGGGTCTCCAGGACGTAGATACTGATAACATGGATCATGGGCTTTGACAAAACTCTCAACCTGCCTCCAATCACGACATTGACGCTTTTGGCCGTCGCCTGGCCGAAAGCCGTGGACTGAATTGAGTGGTACATAGCGTAATGTGTCGTCTGCAGTGCACATCGTTTCGACCCTCAAGCTGTCCAAGCAGTGAAGTATGTGCGCATAGTTTATGGTCTGTGTTTGGTTCGTGCGATACTGGTGTATAGAGATGTAGATATTTCTCTGTAAAAACTGGTCAGCCACGGGCGAATCATAAACAATATAACGCTAGGCTCTGACTAGACAAAGCGGATAGGGTACGCAAACTGACCACGCAGTGCAAAATGTGATGTGCGTTGAGGATGTAAATTTTCTTCCTACTCGCATCCTATGGAAAAGGCTGTGAGTCCGGAAGACCCATCTCCGCAGCCTCCTCGTTTGCTAGCGCAATGATGCCGGTCTCCCAAGGGATAGTGCTATCCCAAAGTCTGTTCAACTCCGCCTCATCTGTTTCCCCATCACTGTACTCCGTATTCCACCAGAGCGTATCAAGGTTAGAATACCCCAGCTTTACTGTATGCAGTATTAACATCAGTTGTGGTCTATCACTTCAAGATCTTACGGTATGGTGAAAGGCCTTCTGTAGCAGAATACTGCCGTACTTTGAAGCCTAGGAAGAAAATGACTGCATGGGATAACAAAGCCGCTGAGAAGATTGCCAGGCTTCTCCATAACCTTGGTGATGATACATGACCGGGTTGGAAGTGTCGCTCTGGGCGACCTGCACTTTCCGAGGCCGTTTCCTCCCCTGAAGCTCCGAGTTCGTCTTCAAGAAGACGATACTTCTCGTATACCTGCTCCGATGACATGGTATCAACTATGGAAATGGGAGGCTTAGGAGATTTGGGTTTGCAATAGGGCTGTATTGGACTGGATTGAAAGTGTCATTCACTCCCCCCCAAAAAAAAGCTGTATATATGGGTATAATTTCAACATCTCCGGATGCAGGATGCTGCATGCAGATCCTACTACAGGGAGCAAACCCACTTGAAGGATCCGTGCAAGTCCGAGAAAAGACCGATCTGACTGTTACATCAAGTCAATATAATTGCAACATTGCAATGGCCGAGTAGAAATGGCCGAACAGAAATGACCGATTAGAAATGACCGATGCACAGCTTCCCCAATTGTGTAACACAACCAACAAATAAGAAGAGTACATCGAAGAGAAACAACTATTAACATTCGGGGCCATTCTCCACAGAAACTACCCACTGCGATACAAGCGCTCATCTCGGCTATGGGAAATATCGATTATCATGATGTTCCATGCCAGCCTGCTTGTATGCAAGAATTCCAGCTCTTGGCAACTTCCAAAAAGACCGCCAAGCATGGCTTCTCCATATATACCTCGCAAAATACCTGGAATTGATGGTGTGATGAATCCTACACTGCCGCATATAATCAATGGCCTGCATAACCTATTCTCACCACCGAAAGAACAATACAGCCCCCAGTGAGGGTTAAGGTGTATCTGATGATCCCCAGCGTAGATGCGTTACAAGACAAAACTGTGATTGACACGCTGTGGTTGGTCCTTATGCTTATCTGTGCCTCATGACGGCAGGCGAGCGGATATTTCTGGCTCGAGATAGACAGGGTTCAGGCACTCAATGGCTCTCAGTCTATTGCAGAGATTTGAACTTCCACGGCGCAATTTGGTGAATATGAGTCCTGATGTATGAAAGAGTGTGAGTAGACTTAGTCTAGTAGAATTTATAACGAATGACATGATTTCGATCCATCCAACCTCAAAAGCTGCTTGTAACACCCCCTGGGAGCTTCATCACTTTTTGCATAGGCGACGCGATACCCCCAGTAGTAATGTCAACCATCCACCTTGCTGCTGATCGGATAATCTATACAAATCCTCCTGAAACGACAACTCCTCCACTCAACCGCCTCGATTGACTTGCTACCCTAGAGACAGCAGGCCATGGGCTCGATAATGCTCTCTTGGAGAGCTTCGGGGTTGGGCTCAGGGGCCGGTGCTGGGACAGCCATGACGGCTGTGACCAAGATAACGAAGACCGATGTGAAGCGCATGGTGACTAAGAAGAATTCTCAGTCTTGTTTGACACGTCAGTAAGAAATTAGAAAACCTACCTTTGCTGAGATGTTCAGATCAAGATAGGAGCGTTCCTTTAATTTTTGATGTCTTTATATGCTGAAGCAGTTGTACTGGACAAGAATAGGCAACGGTTGATGGCAGATTGATGGGGATAACATCACTTTTATATGCCAATCACCAAGCCATCACCAACCTCACATGCACAGCTGCACTGTTACGCAGGGTGAATTGTTAAACACCGAGTATCGTGGCTCAACTAGTCCCACGTCCGTAAGGCTCTGTAATTGGTCAACTGTATAGCGGCCAGCCCAATCGCATATTACTTGACTCTGCCCATAACATCGTGTGTCGGCTAATCTTGGCATACTAGACCCACTCGAAATATGGCCGGCGTATTCGTGCACTGGCGACAAATGCGGCTATCCACCAACGCTGAACGTTGAGTGAAGATTGGCACAATACTGTATATCATAGGCTAACCACCTTGTGTGAATGGCAGGGATGCTGCATCAATTCACTGCAACTTCGTTGAAAACAAGAAATCACAAATGGTACGATGGCACAATACAGCCAGTATCGACACTTAATGCTACCATCAAGGCACAATATTGATGTAATGCAATGCGGGTGGTCAGTCGTAACCTTTATGAGCACGAAATGACTCGCGGGAGTTGATCTAGGCCCTCATCAGGATTTTCCCCGCGAGTCGTAGCTGATTTGAATCAGTGTACACGTTTCATGTATGCAGCGAGCGGAGACGATCGACGAAATGGTATGAGACTCAAGAGGGTGTGCAGCACGCCGATGCTGGGCAGCTCCTAATGGATACCTCCTAGACTTTCCTATGCATAGAATGCTGGGGCCTTCGGTGTACACTCATAATAAAGGTTAAGTCAATTCGAAATGCTTCATTCGGAAGTTCCCTTCCAATTACTACGATGTCCTACGTAGTCACTTCTCAATATGACTATGGCAAATAAATGCAATTAGAAATGTGTGTTGATCATGAAAGATACCTAAGACACATTCCAACCATGTCAGTTTAATGAGGCTACATAAGACCTCTCATATATCCACGCAACGAGCATGGGATAGCTTGCGTACAGTATTTGTCGAAACTCTAACTCTTTTTATCAAGCGTCTAGCAGGTTTCTGTATTTGGCAGCCTGTATCTCAGCACTAGCAGCGACAGCCGCATTGCAGCCGCTTGTGATGGAGCTGGGAGTCACTTTATACGGAGTGCTGCAATCACCAACTGCGTAGACGCCAGGTACACTGGTTTGGTAGAAGGGACCATCAGCCTGAATGTCGCCATTTGGCGTAGTGGCCAGTCCAAGCTGTGTCACGAAGGGGCCTTGCGTAGTCGTCTGTGGGTTGTGAACTAAGAATTTCTCCAATTTGCTACTACCGTCGACGAACTCGACTGTAACGCAATCGCCGTCGTTGTTCTCGACGAGGCGCTTGATTTGACGTTCCTCGATAATGAATTTTGATTGCACAAGGCCACTGACAATGGGCTGAAGCTCCACCGTCACGTCGTCATCGCCGTTGGTGTATAGGGTGACTTGATCAGTAAGTTGCGCAGCATTCTGAGCCATATGGGCAGCGAGAGCGCCGCTGACTGGTGGAATAACGAGGACACCAGAAGATGCAGAACCTTTGGCTTCGTAGCCGTGGCAGAACAAGCAATGAAATCTTTAGGAGCAGCATTAGCTATCGCAATCCTCAAAAAGGAAGAGCACTTAATTGTTAGAAGGAGGAGCTGCATACATGCGCTTCTTCCAAAGAAGATCGTATCCCTCAACGTGGGGGAAAATATTGGATGAACCAACAGCGAGGATGACCTTGCGGAACTTTCTAACATCACCGTTGCTATCCTGGACTTCGAAGTGGGAGTCCGCCTTTTTGTCGATCTTGGCAACAGCAATATCAGCGAACTGAATAGTCGAATAATTCTCCAGAATGTTCTTTCTGGCGGCGTCGCGATAGTCTCCTGGGCGTTTATGATCCCAAGTCAGGATCATATGCATGTGATCAGCGCCAGCGTTGCGATACGACTTGCTGTCGTAGACGACGGCTGTGTGGACCTGGCGCGCCAGAGTATTGGCCGCAGTAAGGCCTGCAGGTCCTCCACCAACAATAGCAACGTCGATGAAATCCATTATTGAAGATCTGGTCAAATTTAGTTCAATAGGAGTGCGTAGCGAAAGAAGGATACGCTCGAAAGAGTAGGCTCTCCAGTTTGCAGTTCGACCGACAAACAGAGACTAGATAACCACCTTGTTTGTAGGATATATGGGTTGAGGTGTGTAAAATTCGAATCTACCGATCAACAACTATCGGCCAGGAGTTATGGCACTGCAACGTGTCGAGGCCTGCAGACTGGCTAGCACATCTTAAGATCCGCGTTTTCCACAATTCAGCCGGATAGCAATCACCTAGGTAGAAAAAGGGAGGCCTCCTTGCAGCTGGGCATGAGCTCCCTTACCGATTTACATGGGAAGATACATTCGCATAACATCCTTACAGCCCAGGCCTTGGTCCCGAGTGGCCCAAGGAAACGCCTCCAGACAGTAGCCTTTCAAGCAGTCCAACGAAAATCTGCCAATGCACCACAACCCTCTCTCATCAATCCTCGCAGGCTGGCGGGATCTCAACAGGAGTTGATGTACTTCTACGGTCAATTGCACACAGTATGTGATGATAATAACACATGCACACAGTGGTCTTGATACCCCTGTTGCATATCTACGTGCCAAGGCTGCTCCCTGCAGCGGGGACACATCCGGATGGAACCCCTTACAAGTGCCCTTATCTGCCGCACTTGTGCAGGTTTTGGCCATGCAGTTGGTTCTAGGACAGCACCATCCCAATGGAGGGTTGGCAAACGAGCACTCATGGTAAGTGTTGACTCAGATTGCCTGATTATGAATGGCCACGCCCATGTGCAAGAACAGCACTGCTCCAGAGGTGTTCTTAAGAACAGAGCCTTAAATTCAATTGGCTTTGGAGTAATAGTCAATCAAAACGAGTCAGCGCAGACGGAGTCAGTGTCATACAATCTCGTCGCAAATCATTTGGACATGGCAACCAATCCGCCAAAGCCCATCCATGTCTGGCTTACTCGCAAGTAGACTCTCATCACATTGTTGTTGGCGAGCTCTTGACCAAAGATTTGGCAGCGCCGGGCCCTAACCCGTGGAAAGTAAACCCCATTTGAGGCTCCAATGCCATGAACATTTATTAAAGATCCCATATAACTGGCATTGCCCTTGGCAGGTTATTTTCGTACTGCAAGAACTTGGGCTCAACTATGAGATCAAGTCATTCAGTTTTGCGAACGTAAAAAGCGGCCATTTATTGACGTGACCCCGAAGGGCCGCGTACCGGCCATTTGGGATCCTAATACTGGAGTGGCGCTGTGGGAATCAGTTGCAATACTTCAGTATATGATCGAGCTCTACGATGTCAACCATCGTCTCTCATATGATTTCAATGAGGGACACCTCAGCTCCCAATGGTTCCATTTTGAGATGAGCGGACAAGGACCTTACTCTGGCCAATGCGGTATGTAAGTACGCAGGATACAAATGCTCTACCAAACTCGACATCAGGCCGTCTCAGCCACACATCGTCACAGAGAAACAATTGGAGAGATAATAACGATTTGTTTTGAGATTATCTACTGCCAGAGTCATTGATGTGGCATTATTTGACATTTATCTGCTCTATGGGCGGGACCTATGTGCCTTAGTTGTCGCAGTGGCTTAGCTTAACCTGGAACCCCGTTCGGTTTGTCGATACATCCCAACTGGTTCCATGCACAGCCTTGGTGATTGTTGCATTTGAGCAAGCCATCTGAGGTGACCTCGGTGATGTCATCTGCAGTGATAGTCGGTTAGCAACATGTTCGAGATGTAAACTTGAGGACACAACGCTACCTTTCCGACGCGTGAATGTTCGGAACCGCGGACTTACCCAAGTTGATGCTCGCAGCTTTGGGAGGGTGTCCATCCCCAGTGGTCGAGCACAACACATCCATGAACGTGCTTGAGGATAGTTTGGCGTCCCAGCAAGACTGAGCGAAGTCACCACCCGGTTCGGCCTTGAGGACGGCGTCTCTGTTGGCCAAGCAGCTGCGTCATATTTGTGAGCCAGGTTTTTCGATTTAATTAACATGGAGCCAAGAAGGATGTTTACTGATTCAGATTAATCACAGCGTGCCAGAGTCGACCATCATCGCCGTGACAGAACGCATCAAACCAAATATTGCCGTGTTGCTCGTGCTGACCCTCATTGACCCGCGGTCGGTTACAGCGGCTGCTGAAAGTGTGAATGCTACCGATCGATACTGGTGCTTGGGTAGCCTTATCAGGAACGGTTGTCGCTGTAGCAGTCGTGGATGTCAGCATTGAGGCAGCGCACGTAGCCACGAAGATAGCGGCAGCGATAGAGCTGACGAAAGAATAGTACTTCATGTTGACAAATCAATGATGGCAGTGCTCTTAAATACAAGCAAGCTCTCGTTGCCGGCCAAGTCGACAGAATTGTGTTAGACAACGACTGATGCTGAGAGAGGGATAGTGCAGGCTATACGCAGCTGTAATAATTATGACTGCTTAAATACTGATTGATTTTGCTCGAGATAGTCCTGTTCAATAGTTTCTGGTTAATAGTTTCTGGTTAATAGTTTCTGGTTAATAGTTTCTGGTTAATAGTTTCTGGTTAATAGTTTCTGGTTAATAGTTTCTGGTTAATAGTTTCTGGTTAATAGTTCTGGTGAATACCTACTCCAGGCTAACTATTCAGTACTTAGTTATGGCATGAGTTGCGCATCAATTTACAACAAGAGATCTACTCTGAAGGTTGAATTGACTATAGCTACGGACTAAACAATATCACCGTGCCATCGAGTCTGCGGTATCCTGAATCTATGGGCCAGCCAAGCGTTGGGCAATTACGGTGAGCTTGATAGTTCCACAATTTGCTCAAGACCATTGAAGATGCCGGAGTCTGATCCCTCCTTAATTATTTGTAGCCAAAGTACTGCTTGTTTGCCTTTTATTATTTATCATTGACTTATCTATTTTCGAAGTCACGGACCACAAGAGAGCTACCTTAGTAGCATCTTGCAACCGTAGCTGGAACCTCGCCCCCCGTCGCCACACAGACGAGGTCGGAGCATCTGGCTGGCAGACTTGTGTATGATCCGCATGCAGCTTTGTAAGTCTCCAAAGCTGATAGCAAAAGCACGACTCCCATGAATGTCGTTAACACAATGGTATACGCTTTATACCAAATATCAGAGGCGCAGGGCAAGATGGTGGATCTGGCGTTGCCCCAAATGTAATAACAGAAGTAGATAATCGCAGTGCTACCAAGGCCAAAGACATAAAATACGCCGGCGAGGAAGGACGATGAAGTCAATGGCGTGCCACGAGGCCTTAGAAAGGGGCGGATGAAAGTCCACCACATGGCCAGAAACCAACACCCAATTAAGGAGCTGAAATACAGGGCTCGGAAACACTGACTCGGCCAGAATGAAACTGGGCGGTATCTTGAGTCCACCGACTCCTTGATATCTGGTGGTTGATTGAGGCTGTCGATAGAATGACGTGGAACATCCGTGGCCGAGTTGTTATTTGCAACCGGCCCACAAGCAACCGCATGTGTCCCGGCGAGCGCTCGCCCTGAGTACATGTAGTCATCTGTGAGCCATGGTGCCGCATATAAGCGGAGAAGTCCCATGACGGATAGAGGACCGAAGAGTCCGTCGAGTCCAAAGTACTGATTGAACAGCACTGTACCCGTGATGCCTCCAACAAGAGACACTAGTGCCTGAAGACCCTGCATAGTTACGATGGCAGTCTTGAGCATCTCGGTCGATAGCAGCTCCACCGTGCCGTGGTCAGGTAGCAGAGTGCAATAAGGGAGTGCCCTCATAACCATTTCCTCGGACCCGTCCCATCCGTGCTGGTTCCAGAAGACAGCGTTGGCAGCCGCTGCATCAACAGGCCCCCACTGGCGAGCTCGTATGCGCCTGTCCACAATAGCGGCGTATCGGCATAATATCGACGTAGGGTTCAGAATGCACACCCTGTCATGCCACTTCGGCTTTGACGATGCTAGAAGAGAGGGCTGAGGTGCTCCGGCGAGGATGTGAGCTATCAATGGTGCGAGACAGAGTGTGAGTAAGGCAACCCATTCAGCGAACGAGAGGCTCTGGCTTTGGATCTGAAGAGGGGCGACATAAAACATTCCGAGGTGTTGGGCAGTAGCAGAGAGTTCATCAGAAGAGATGTGGCAACTGTGTCTTCCAATTCTTGGGTTTTGTCGATTGTTGATGTAGTGCGTGAGGAGCTGATTGATAAGAGAAATTTCCAAAATACACGCGACGGTAAGATACTGCACGAGGGTGCCAGTAATCGAGATTACGACGCCTACGTTCCAAATAGTACAATGAATGCCGGAGCCATGCTTGAGAATACTGAAGTTAGATTGGGTTTCGGTATTAATATCAGATCTATTATCCTTTTCTAGTGCTGACCAAAGCCTGGCCTGGTAAAGAGCACATGGCGGGCGTTCTGCCCCTTACATGGTGCATGACACGTTTTGAGGGTATGTTTTCGAAGTCGAAGAGCCAGTAACATTGCTTTAAGACTGTATGGTATCTCACTATGTTTTACATAGCTTCTCGAGCGCAGTCCAATCAGTCTGCATCGCGGCAGTTCGTTGGTTGCCTCGAAAGCGGTGGCTATGCGATCTGAGCAGCGTGGAGATGGTCTTTGCCCCCCGTCTATGTTGCTGATTGGTTTGGACTAACAGCCCCCAAAACCTTGCCCCACTGTTGCTGACAGAAATGCAACGACCCCTAAGGCAATAGCTGCTGCATCAGCCGGCCTGACCTGTAAACAGCCCAGATGATTGGCGTTGTCTATTTTTTGCAGTCAGATCGATCTAGCCTTTAATTCAAGGTGCCGAGCATGGGTTGACCTGGGTTTGACAGTACACAAAAGAAACGGCTAATGGGCTCCCACGAACTAGGAAATCTGGCTTTCCACGATATAGCTGAACGTAACAGTCGCCTCACGGGCTACCAATGGCCCGATCGAATGCAATGAGAGCGACATTCAGAGCTTTCATGTCCGGCCCTTTGTCTGCAGACCTTGTCGCTTGCCACAGCGCAATGCTTGCTATTGAGATTTCAGCTCAGGACATTCTGTGGCAAACTGATCTTTAGAAAATATTGGGGTTGAACCCACAGAAACGAGAACTTGAAAATCAACGTACTCGAGATGTCAAGTATAAGTCAATTAGAAGGCAAAGACTAGTTGCCTAGGTAGGTAGTTATACTTGGATTCAAACCATGTGCACCTTGCAGTTTCAGTTTGACTGACGTAGTGGAGGGGTGGGGCCCAACATGCCGGGCGAGCCGAGCTGGCCGGCGTCGTCATTTGGTTGGAACCCGAAACTCCAAGAAATCTCCTGAGCGAACGCTGGTCCGCGAACTCCACGAAAACAACACGACAGACCTGGAGTTACTGTGCCAGTAACACGTTTTGAACTGCATCATGGCATCCCTTAAGGCACTGCGGCTGCCGCGGCCCAAGGTAAGCGACCACGCGACACATCCGTGCAGGGTTTTCAGGCTGACAGAAGCAGACGTTTTGCGGGCTGATGAGCCTCCAGACGGGCACGGAGATGATCGCGCTGGCTCTGTTGTTCAACAAAATCACCGGCCTTTACGGGCTGCTCGCCATTCTCACCGGCTACAGCCTCTCGGTCGTGCAGTTTTCGCTCTACGTCTACTCGGTCCTCGCGCTGGGCATTCTCGCATTCTGCCTGCCCCACATTCGCAAGCAGACGCCCTTCCAGAACCTCGCCTTCGCATGGCTTTACATCATCGACACGGTTGTCAACACGGCCTACACTACACTGTTCGCGGTGAGCTGGTTCCTGGCTCTGGAAGATGTTGGACCGAAGCAGGCGGAGCCGACCGAGACGGACGAGCCAGCGATGGGCGGAGTCTTGGGTGCGGTCGACACCACGACGAGCATGACGCTGATTGTGATGTTCACCCTCATCCGGGTTTACTTCATGTTTGTGGTGATGGCGCACACACGCTCGGCGCTGCTGCAGTACCGTGAGGGCGGCCAGCGCGAGTGGGACGACGAGTCACAGTCTACCGAGAACCCGTTTGCGGTGGGTTCGCCGGAGGGGGCGGGCTGGAAGGGCAAGGTCGGAAGGACTATGGTCTCTGTGGGTAGAGGCTACTGGCTGCCCAGCCTGGCCGAGAAAGACGAGTGGGCCAGGAGTATGAACTCGAGATTTCGCGGGAAGGCGTCTGCGGCATGAGTGCACTAGCCGTCGAAGCGACAGGCGGGCAGCGATCCGTCCTTGTACGCACGTAAAGCGTGTTGTAATATACATAGTATACACATGGCATTTCGGTAATTTGCAGAAACTAGGTGCTATCTCTAGAATTGTTTCCCCAGTTCGCGTCAGGCCGGCTGTCGGGCTGTATGTGTGCTAACTTCTAAGTCGTTGTTGGAGGTGTCTGGTGTCCGGTGAGGAGTCCTGACTCATGGTTTCAGCCCCAGGGAAGTAGTGGTGGCATGCCTGAGTTTGGGCCAGCACAGAAGCACGGAACTCGTTGAGCAGTGAATTCGCTGGCCCTGGTGTCGAAATCTTTGATGGAATAGTTCATTGATAGATGGTATTCATCAGACAGTCTCGCAGAGGCCCCCCCATGCACGGCTCTCGGTGGCGCGCATGCGGTGGCCCCCAGCAGATCTTGAGGCTTACGGCAGTGGACCGACGCCCGTTCAGCCGCACGCTGAGGCTCGCAGCAGTGGGCCCCGAGGACCGGCAGCCGCTACCCCAGGGGGCGCCCACCGCTCCGTCGCCCATCTCAGGGTCCTCATCTGACAAAGTGACCGACGGGATTGGCTGGGCCCAGCAAACTAAACGATCACGCCATCGCGCAATCGCAGGACATGACAATGGCGACATCTGGGATTCATAGCAATAAAATGCGGTTGCGGGGCGAAAAGCTCGCTATGCCTGCTTCTAGGCCTGTAGTTAGTTCGTCATTCCCCACGACTCGGGATCTGAGGAGCGCAGTCGAGCGGAAAATTTGTTCTTACTAGAACTGACTCTCTGCCGACATCGTCGCCGCCCGTGAAGATGTCCTTTCTCTTCCGCAAAGCAGACCCGTCGTCTGGTCCTGCCTCTCACCTCGGAGCAGACATGGATTCGCAGAACATCGAGATTCGCACGCCCCAAGAGGCCGGTACGTCACCCACACTGCTGATGCGACATGTTACATTGCTGTGATTCCTGTGCCCGTCCGGGCCCTCAGCTTTGGCGGGGCAGCGGGCAGCTTGCTGCTTCGGGCGCTGCTGCAGCCCGCAACGCCAATCACATCCTGCAACGAGACGCCGCGCTTCTGATTTGAGATCGAGTGTGTACCGCCGGCTCGCTAACAATGGCCTCTGTCTCTAGTTGCGAGAATTGCCTACCTGGCCAGCGACGTCGTCGTCTCGGTCCAGCCGTCGCAAGCACAAGACTCGGCCTTCTCATCGCACCTGAAGCGATATGCCGCCCGGAAGGACCAGAGTCTGGTCGCAAAGAGCAGCGGCGCCGTCCCAGAGGTACGCATACCTGCATATCATTGGACTTACACGCCTGGGAACGCCAATTGACCTTCTCCGCTGCAGATTCAATCCGTCAGGCACAACACAGACCCTCTGCTGTCCGTCTTCGCGCCCATCCGATCCGGCCAGCTAGTTTCAGTCACGACGAGCTCGACTGTCCTACTTCCCTCGATCGCCCACCTCTACAAGCTCGCCAACTACCCCGTGGTGCTCCACGTCTCCCTGCAATCCGGCCAGTCCCCAGACTACTCGGCCATCACAGCCATCAGAAACTCGGGATGGACTTTCCTCCAGTCCGAGTCGTTGCAGGAAGCCCAGGATATCGCAGTGACTGCACATGCACTGGCTGTCCGATCGGGAAAGGGTGTCATTCACTTTTTCGATGCCGGTTCCAGCTCGCGGGACAAGCCAATTGGCCCCGAGGACGCATCCCTGGTGCGAGATCTGCTTAACCTTGGTGATGTGCGCCGATTCCAGGCCTCCTCGATCCAGGGCTCTAGCATCTATGCCGACGACGGCAGGGTAGCTGTGGCCAGCGAGCAGCCTGATACCGTAGCTAACGGCGCTTCCACCTTGACCGACTCTACTCTCCTGGACGCTACCTCCAAGGCAACTTCTACTGAGGCATCGGTGAAGTCCGGCTCTCCGAGTGACTCGAGCGCTACGCCAAGCGTGTCGACAGCAACCACCATCGACGCAAACGCCCCAGTCGTGACATCCGAAGACATTTACAAATATGTTACTGCTATCTGGACCCAGCTGAGGAACTTGACGGGTCGTGAATACAACGCTTTCGAGTGGTCTGGACCCGCAACCGCCGAGAACGCCATTTTCGTCTTTGGATCAGATGCCGGGCTCTTTGCCGAGGCTCTGGATGCCGCCCAACCTACGGATGTCTATGCCAAGTCGGGCATGATCACAGCCAGGTTATACAGACCGTGGCTGGGCGCCAAGTTGATCGAGGCTATCCCGAAGTCTGTTAAGCGCATTGCTGTGCTCGAGCAGGTTTCGAGAAAGACTACGAAGTGGGGCCCCCTTTTGATTGACGTCCTGACCTCGATCAAGAGTGGCCCGGGAGGCGTCGAGCACATCGTTGGCTACCAAATCGGGTACATCGCACCAGATACCGTCTCTCAGGCGCTCAAGGGCGTTTTCCAGAACCTTACCTCCCCGAAGCCGCTCCAGAACCTCGAGGTTGGCAAGCGTGAAGCGCCTGAGACTCCCACTGGCTACGGCCTCGAGCAACCGAAGCTCGAAACTGCATACACCAAGATCCTGGACCAGCTGTTTGGCAACCGGGCCTATGTTGCCAATGCTCTCAACTCTCAAAATGCTGGTGTTTCATCAACAGTTGCCGCAAGCCCCGAGTTCGGTTTTGGCTCACTCCTTGCCCGCAAGGAGCACCGTCAGCGATTTGTCAAGGAGGTCAAGCAGGCAGCCACCTCCAACGCTTTCACAACCGAAGCGCCCAAGCAATGGCTCGCAAAGTGGTCTGCAGGCGCGGAGGACGCCCAGAAGGCAGGTGAGATTGCCGACGACGTAGTCTCACGCCTGGAAACCGATGGATCATCGATCGCTCGTCAGCTGCTTTCCAGCAAGGGCCTCTTCCGAAAGGAATCCCTCTGGTTGGTGGGCTCGGATGCCTGGTCCTACGATCTTGGAAACTCAGGCGTCCACCACGTTCTGGCCTCGGGCGAAAACGTCAACATGTTGATCATCGATTCGACCCCATTCTCTCAGAAGTCAGCAGCCGACGCTGCCAGACGTAAGAAGGACATCGGTTTGTACGCGATGAACTACGGCAATGCATATGTTGCTTCGACTGCTGTCTACAGCTCCTACACCCAAGTTCTGCAGGCCATGCTTGAGGCCGACAAATTCAATGGCCCGTCCATTGTGCTTGCTTACTTGCCATACTTCGGCGAGCATGATTCTCCCCTCACTGTTCTGCAAGAGACCAAGAAGGCAGTCGATGCTGGCTACTGGCCACTTTACCGATGGAACCCCGCCAACGAGACGAAGGGCGAGCCTAACTTTGCCTTGGATTCCGAGTTGGTAAAGAAGGAGCTGAAGGAGTTCCTAGCCAGGGACAACCACCTGACTCAATTGATGCAAAAGGAGCCCACATTCGCCGCCAACCTTGCTCAAGACTTTGGCACAGAGGTGCGCGCTCAGCAGAAGCGAAAGGCTAGGGATGCTTACAACGAGCTTTTGGAAGGACTGTTTGGAGCCCCTCTCACCATCCTGTTCGCTTCCGACAACGGCAATGCCCAATCTCTTGCCAAGCGCTTGGGCACGCGTGGTAGAGCCAGGGGGCTAAAGACGTCTGTCATGGCCATGGAGGACTACCCGGTGGAGGATCTTCCTTCGGAGGAGAACATCGTCTTCATCACTTCCACAGCCGGCCAGGGAGAATTCCCCCAGAATGGCTTGTCTTTCTGGCATGCTGTCAAGGATAGCACTGATCTTGATCTTGCTTCCGTCAACTACTCAGTGTTTGGTCTTGGTGACAAGCACTACTGGCCTCGCAAGCAAGACCGAGTGTACTACAACAAGCCGGCCAAGGATTTGGACCGAGTGCTGACAAACTTTGGCGGAAAGCGATTGGCGGACATCGGCCTTGGTGATGATCAGGACCCCGACGGTTTCCAGACCGGATATTCGGAGTGGGAGCCCAGACTTTGGCAAGCTCTTGGAGTTGCCAACGTGGAGGGTTTGCCGGAGGAGCCGCCGCCAATTACCAACGAGGACATCAAGCTGGCCTCCAACTACTTGCGTGGTACGATCGTGGAAGGCCTTAATGACCCTTCCACCGGTGCAATCTCAGCGTCTGACCAGCAGTTGACCAAATTCCATGGCACATACATGCAGGATGACCGTGACGTGCGAGACGAGCGCAAGGCCCAAGGCCTAGAGCCGGCTTACTCCTTCATGATCCGTTGTCGACTTCCCGGTGGTGTTTCTACGCCGAAGCAGTGGATCCAAATGGACGACATCAGCAACTCTCTTGGCAACGAAACCATGAAGCTTACCACCAGACAGACATTCCAGTTCCACGGTGTCGTCAAGGGCAAGCTTAAGCCGGCAATGCAGGCCATCAACCGTGCTTTGATGACCACCATTGCTGCCTGTGGTGATGTCAACAGAAACGTCATGTGCAGCTCCTTGCCCACGCAGTCCAAATACCACAGACAAGTCTTTGCTTGCTCTCAGAAAATCAGCGATCATCTTCTGCCCGCCACATCAGCATACCACGAAATCTGGCTGACTGATGACAACGAGAAGAAGCTGATTGCCAGCGACGCCGTCCAGGACTTCGAGCCTCTGTATGGACCTACATACCTTCCCAGAAAGTTCAAGATCACCATCGCCATTCCTCCTCACAACGACACTGATGTCTACGCTCATGATATCGGTCTGATCGCCATTAAGGGAGATGATGGCAACCTGGTTGGATTCAACGTTCTTGCTGGTGGTGGCATGGGTGCCACGCACAATAACAAGAAGACCTACCCCCAAACCGGTCGTATGATGGGCTATGTCAAGGCGGAAGAGGTTCACATTGCTTGCGAGAAGATCATGCTCGTGCAGCGCGACCACGGTGACCGAAAGAACCGCAAGCACGCCCGTCTCAAGTACACCATTGACGACCTCGGTGTTGATGTCTTCCGTGGCAAGGTCGAGGCAATGTGGGGCAAGGCTTTCGAGCCGGAGCGACCCTTCCACTTCCAAAGCAACATTGACACCTTTGGCTGGCAGAAGGACGAGAACGGTCTCAGCCACTTCACATTCTTCATTGAGAACGGTCGTATCGAGGACACTCCGGAGTTCCAGATGAAGACCGGCCTGCGTGAGATTGCCAAGGTGCACAAGGGCGAGTTCCGCCTGACCGGTAACCAGCACCTAATCCTCTCGAACGTAGCGGATGAGGACCTGCCCCAGATGAAGGAACTCATGAAGAAGTACAAGCTGGACAACGTACAGTTCTCCGGACTTCGTCTCAGCTCATCTGCTTGTGTTGCCTTCCCCACTTGTGGCCTCGCCATGGCAGAGAGTGAGCGATACCTGCCGGTGCTCATCTCCAAGCTGGAAGACTGCCTGGAGGAGAACGGCCTGCGCCAGGACTCGATCGTCATGCGTATGACTGGATGTCCCAACGGATGTGCTCGCCCCTGGTTGGCCGAGGTTGCTTTCGTCGGCAAGGCCTACGGAGCTTACAACATGTACCTCGGCGGTGGCTACCACGGACAGCGACTGAACAAGCTTTTCCGATCCAGCATTAAGGAGGACGAAATTCTCGAGATCATGAAACCGCTTCTCAAGCGCTACGCCACTGAGCGTGAGGAGGGAGAGCGTTTCGGCGACTTCTGCATCCGCGTTGGCGTCATCGCCGAGACTAAGGGAGGTCAGGACTTCCACAACAATGTGAGTTTGCCAAGCCACTACGACAAGAATTTATGACATCAGCGACTAACATGATCACAGGTGGCTGAGGAAGAGTCTGACGAAGAGTAAGAGGAGCGATAAAAGGCATCCGCCATGACAATTTGTATATATCCAATCATCATAGCAGGCGTTCGGATTGGGTCATAGGCATACTACACTGCATGCATGATATGAGAACCAAAATTGAAGATTCATTAAACGAGAAAAATTGTTTCGTCTCAGCAATGATAACCCCTGGTTACTATTGATTAGAGCTCGTAGTCGATGCACGAAGGACTCCATAGGATTACTCATTAGGAATTCGAGGGAGGTCAGAACAGCACATTTCGCATAACGGATTGATTCAGGCAACCGCTACAGTTTTGACGTAAGGATATCTGGGTCTTGCTCCCGCAGCCGAACGTCCCTAGTGCTTGACTGTTTGTGGAAATGTGACCATCAGATCCTGCGTCGTGACCTCAATCCTCAACGAGCGGGGCAAGTTGCTACAATTCACGCAAAAGGTTGTCAACAGCGTGGCAGAGTATCAGGAACTGATCACGGCCAAGTATGAGCTGACCATTTTTGATACAAAGCTTGCTGGAAAGCTATCACATGGTGGGGCTGTAGGACGGGAGGCGGTTATCTAACAAGTAGTCTCATCGAATTGGTTGTATGTATTTAGCACTTAATGTTTTATTTAATACTCTTCTATTCGGTGGTCTTGTCTACGCACATACTGCATTGTAATAATTCAATGGAGAAACCACGACAATTTTGACGGCGCCGGAGGTCGCAGTTAACTGGGGTTGGTGTTTAGTCTACTCAATAGATCAATCCCTTAGGTCAGCGCTGGTATTCTCGTATTTCGCAGAAGAATTTTCAACAATCCATATCGACACACTGTTGCAGTGATGAAGTTCCTGCCGAGATGGTGTAAGTTACTAAACGGGAACACTGGTCCTAATGTACCGCAGGCTTCAAGATTCCCCCTGAGGTCGTCTGGGAGTGCAGACGGGGAGACGGGGAGACCCAATAGAACCTCTTGAGAGCATCCTCATTCTGACTCAATTGGACATAACAAATGCCATGAAGCCAAGAAGCCCAAAGACCATTGAATTCGGCACCGAAAAGAAGATTGGTCGTCTGCCTAGGTTTCCTGAGGCAGGGCACGCTACCTTTGATAGAACAACCGAGGACGCAGCAGACGCAATGAGTCACATCTTCGCGGGGACTCCCATATATGAACTCGGATGCTCACATATCTCTCCATCAAACAATCAAAGCATCTTAGCACAGTGGAAGTCCGCCAGGCTCATATTTCCAATAAATGAAACCTGGAGGTCGCTGGATTAAAACCAGCAGGTGCTATTCTACTTTTTGCACTCACCCTTTGGCCCCCGAGTTTCTTCTTCCGTGCGTTCACGCGGTGGAGAGATAATTTGTGGTATTGCAAGAATTGAATGAAGCCTGGAATATGACTTGTTCGCTCTGTATGATTGACACTCCTACCGTGTTCTGCTTTTAATCCTACATACAAAGTTATGGCCCTATCTCCGAACTTTGATCCGGAGCCCGCCTGCCGGTAGGGCTGACCTCTTGACTCGCTACATTTTCAGGTGCATTCCCTAGAAGCCCCTTGAAATGTTTTGACAGCTGCTTGACCATTCTACAAGCAATATGAGACCAGTTGAGATGCTTTTATGACGCGATACCTACATTGATAAGCCGATCAAGACCTAACAAAAACAGACCTCGGGCGTAAACAAGTCCTACAATCATACCACCTGCCATACCAGTGATCGCTAGACACAAGGATTGTCCTCAATGATGCACTTCGGACATGCACTGCCCCGGTACGTGATTGTGAGACCGTTGCCGTATGTTTGTCGAATTTCGTTCAACAGTACCTTCAAAAACAGCGCAATCAGGGCCGTGTCACTTTTGACGACGTGTCGGAGAGCGTGGCCTCGTAATCTGTCGTCGAGGTCTGAGTGTTAGACTTGTGGTCCAACCACCGCGTAAAACCGCCCTGGGAATGTCACCATCAAGGGATTCTGAAGGCTTGTCCCCTTGATTGTCAGCAGCACTCTCTGTCTGCCCTCCTGCGCTTGCAGCTGCACCGACACATGAGACAATTTGAGCGACACTCTTTGGCACCGCTGTGGATACGGCAGTCGATTTCTGAATTCGATTCCCACCGGTAGTAGCACCAAGCGATCTTCTAGCTCTCAAGTTGTAGTTAGGCTGAGTGGGATAGCTGCTCGGGAGTCGACGTCTTCTCAACACTACAGGATAGCCAGGACCTCTGTGACATTGTTTAGTAGAAAAATTGTGCACGGCAAAGAAAAACCTACGTCAGTGAATCGGCCCTACCCCGGTAGGCATACGTCAATGGATTGGTGGGGGAGCCTGTTTCTACGGACTGTATGATCTGTTGATGATCTTCCGTGAGTATCCTTGCAAGACGAACGCTGGAGGGCAATGGAGAACCAGGCGCAGTAACGGATGTGTGGCTGTTCGAATAAGCACGTGGTCGATAGTCAGGGACGTTAGATTCTCTAGCTGTTGAGATGACAGGATTTGTCTCAGATCCCTTGGTGAAGGGCTGAGAAGCACCCGTCGAGATGGGCACCTGTGCTTCGTTTGGTCTCTTATCAGTATGGCTAGCCGTGTTGCACAGAGTGTCACTTGCTTCCTCTTGAATTGGTTGGGGCGAGTCCGGAGAGAGGGATTTCCCATTGTTATGGGCACAATATTCGTCCGAGTCTTCGACTGACTCTTCGTCTGCATCCTCGTATAGGGTTGAGATGGATAGCCTTCTACGACCGGCAGGGGGAAACCGATCTGGTACAAACGACAGCGCCACGGAGACACTTCGCGACTGACGACGAAGCTGCAAAATTCCTAGTGAGTATTTAGGATGAAACGAACAGATCGGTTCGACTGACCGCGTCGTGCCATTCGACCCACTCGTGTACGAGCTGAGGAAGCTTCTTTCTTGGAATGGCGCGCGGCCGACCTTCATCCTCCAGCATGTCCAGGAAGTTGCGCGCCGCAATGACCATACTCTCAGCTAAATCATAGATCTCGCTGATGTTTAGGAACAGGGCCCAAGAGACATTCGACTTGACTGTCTGCCAGAATCTCTCTGGGTTGCTTGCATATTCGTCACGTGCGTTGTGCATCGCCTCGAACAGCTCGGCCATCTTCGCATCAGCGTTGGCGTGGGTCTCAAGGTACTTTGCCCACGACACGTTCACGTGTTTGAGCACGAGACGGTGGGCCATGGAACCCTCTGGGAAGACAAAACCGTCTGACGACAGGAACTTCGGGAGCGCGAGAGATCGCATGATGGTGATGACGATGATGATGATGATAATGATGACAGGTGATGAATTTCCCAGGGGGTTCAAGACAAAGGGGGTGGAAAGAATTATGCACTGATGAGCGGTGATGCTTGTGGCAAATTGCGGGATGCGCAGCGATCAGTGTTCGATCCCACTGGATGAAAATAATCCAGCGACCAAACGAGGTGCGTACTGATGCTACCCATAGGGCTGGAGCTTCATGGTGATCCAAAGGCGGTGTGGACACATCACTTCTGATTCTGCCGGCGGTGAAATGAAGCTAGTGCCCTTCAATTCACCACTAGGCAGTACATCGCCAGTGGGGCCGATCCGGAGCTGGCGTAGTTCCCCCGGGCCCGAGACGAGACGGAACGACCCACCTTACATATAGTGACCCTGCGTGACGCGAAATCACACAAAGAGAACCTTCTTGGGCGATAGGGATACTGATCGGCTAGAGAATAATCGTCAGGAATTTAGGTTGATTCTGTTCGTACGGCCAGTCTTGGGTTCCTCCAGCTCTTGACAGGAAAATATCTGCGACACCGTACACCACGTGCCCCACATGCTATCATGGAGTACCAAATCCATATTCTTTTCTACAGCTCCTTAGGTATGCGATAGCTAAGCTGCCCCATATTCAACATCGTCGGTTGCGAAGTTCCCGGTTCTCTATTCTCCAAACTTGTCCAGGACCTGGTCCATGTTGTCGGCACTGAGCAGACAGGTCAAATCGTGCTCTCTAACATAGCGCTTGATCACAAGGAGGTCTCCGCTGCTCTCATAGGTTCTTGTAATCGAATACAAAGTGGGGTCACGGCAGAGTGTGCAGACAGGGAATGAAACAAAATCTAACATCGAGTATACAGTATTACATTAATGCTACTAAAGCCTGTGGCACCATTTGACGACTATGTAATAAACAATTTGAATCCCGAGCAAAGCGCCGCCCCTCAATGACATTTTGTACCAGCTATCTCACAAGTGGTGAGCTCCCCACTCAGAATGCATCCACCTACAGGAAGTATGCGACGGCAGCAGCAACCAAAGCGGCGCCTGAGAACCCGATAAGAGAAGCACCAGCAGTGACCACGGGCTTGGAGGCATAGGTAGGAGTGGACTTGTCACCACCGGCATCAGCACTGCTGGCGCCACCGGAACTACCAGAGCCACCAGCAGGCGATGAGCCATTGGCGTAGGTGGGGTGGGTTGGCTCAGCAGGAGCCGCGGTAGGGTGGCCAGTCGGTGCGGCCTCACCAGTCGGGTAGGGACCGTGGCCGCCAGTAGGCGCACCAGTTGGTACACCGCTGGGGCTTCCGTGACCACCCTCGTAGCCTCCATGCCCACCTTCGTGACCCCCTTCCTCTGCTTCCTTAGCAGCGCAGTCCTTCAGGGCTTGGTTGGTGTCTGCAAAGGATGCGGTAAATTTGGCAATGTCACCATTGCCACCTTGGGTGGGGAACTTGGAGGCAACTGTGTTCATCAGACCAGAGGCGGTGTTGGCTAGAAGTGTCTGTTAGTGCTGAGATGTTGTCACGAAGAGGTTTGACTTACTGAGAACACCGAAGGATTCGGCGATGATTTCGCAAGCACAGGCTTCAGACAGGAGTGGGATCTTGTTCTTGAGGTCGGCAACAAACTTGTCACCGGCAGCGTTGAGCTGGTTGGAAAGGGGTTGGAAGCCAATAGCCTCTTCGAGGGCAAGTTTGTCCAACTTGCTGGCGGCATCCGTGGCCTCCGTGGCCTTGTCGGTCATCTTCTCAAGGGCGCAGTCCAGCTCGTACGCCTCGCCTCCAGTATAGGCAGTGGTTGCCCCATCAACCTCGGTCAGGCCCTGAAGGACCTTGTTCATAATAGCCTCGAGCTGAGCCAGGTCACGGGGCTGGTTACCTTGGACGGCGGCCAGGGCCCCGGTGGCAAGAAGGAACATAGGCGTAGCTGACTTCATTTTGTTCAATAATTAGAGATAAAAATGTACTGCGGGTGTTGTTCGAGAGTGGCCAAGACGTCGCAGATTCTGAAAAAGAACGTAAATGTAGAGAACGAGTGTGGATGCTGACGAGATGACCTTGAGACTCCAGATATGGGGGAGGGAGCGCCATGTTATATGTGTTTTCGCCAACTACTTCCCTTGCATGAGACTGGCCTAAGAGGTCAAGACAATATCTAGACTAGTTTATTGCCTCCTATGGAGCTTGCAGAAAACGAGGCTCCTCAGCTAAAGTAGGCCAAAGTTAGTCAAGTCAACAGACGCGTCGAATCTGATTCGTCCTGGCCGGCCATGACCAAGTCACCTTGCCTGGACCAGACAAGATGGGGTGTCTGAGATCACGATGGCTTAAGCTGAATGTGTGTCTGTCCGTTTGAGTTTACAATAATTTCGGCTACGCTAGAGCAAGCCACGTCGGGCACGGGCCGAGTGTCTCCGCAGTATAGGCTTCGATCTATGAAACTAAATGAAGCAGTCAAGGCGATCTCACTAGATCATGATAGGCTTGTCATCAGGCCACAATGGCGTCCGTGAGTTCTGTTTGTTCTCGAAAAGCATCGTCGTATCTTTGCCAGCTGAATTCAACGGCAGCCTACGTTCATGTTTTGGTCATGTTAGGCAAACGGTGTACCCAGAACGTTGCATCCAAACTCGATCAGTCTGGGGACTTAGAACATTGGGACTAGATACAGATCGTCTCAACATACTATGGTCTGACATTATTATCGCTGCTCTTGAACACCAGATGATCATGGAATATCGCCAGACACTTGCGCCTAGAGGAGACGTCAATCGTAAGGAACGAGCTCATTTTGGACCACATTAATCCTGAAGGCTCTTGCCAGCATAAACAGCCAATTAGTCGTATTTGTCGCCAGCCCATCCAAGACAAACCAGAAACCTCATCAAATGTTAAGATTGCTGCTAAAAATTTAGGCACGGTTATGTTCTATGAAGGTTCATCTGGCCTGAACGCTTTGAAGTACTCAGTGGCGACCACCTCATTGAGCTACTGCAGGCTCTAAGACACCAGCCACCGCCTTTCATCGTCGCAGCGCGCAGGCCTATTGGATCTAACGAAGCGAGACTTTCCACTCGTAGTACCTGCATTCGCCAAGGAACATGTTTATTGAGCTTCGCGAATCATTGCGCTGATCCTTCATCCCCGCATTCAAGCCGCAGGCTCCAAAAAAGTTTTGTTTTGAGACAGTTCTTTTGTTTTCTTACGAGAAGAAATGCTCACTGGTTCGAAGCTAGGTGAGACACTAATGTAAGCCTGGACACCTCTGGCACCTGATGGCTGGAAGCCGAAATATCTCTTCTTCAGCTCCAACTGTTTCGAGGTTCAAATGCAGCTCGGCAACGGTCTCCGTTTCTGCGACAAATGGACCGGCATTAGCAGCCGATCTTCATTGGTATTATCTTGGTATCCCCGCAGTCATATACAAGTGTTGAAATCATGAGAACATTTCATGGAACTTAGACATCCGACCTCAACTGGCTTGATTGCCCCTCTTGCCTGTGAAGGCCTTGATACAACTGTCTCTCCTCAAAGATTCTGATATTGTCCTGATAATATGTCTTCCCATGCTTTCGAGTCTCATTCATAATTTGGCGCACACGTATGGCGTCATAATCGGGTTTGCGAGTGAACCACCACGTCCAGAGATTACTGACAAAGCCAGATATGATAGTTGAGCCTGCAATGGCAAAGCTGTTCTTGTATCCATTAACGGCCAATCTTAATTGAAGCAATTGCGGCCCTATGACGCTTCCTATTTCTGTGAGGCCCGATTGTAATCCTAGGGCAAATACCATCCCTCTGGAGCTTCTCATGGATGCCGACCTCCAAGCCCAGAACGGACTAAAGTAGATTTGATAGAACAGCCTGCCAAGGATGCAGCTTACATAGATACCAACTTGGTTGGTAATAGTGAAGAAAGAACGAAGCGTGTGACCATGCCAAGCATCACGATCCTATCATGAAATTAGCTAGCAATTCATCTGAAACGATCAAGATGCTCACATAATCAGCGCCGGTCTTACGATGACTGCCTGGTTCATGAACCAAGCCGGGGCCAACAGACCGCAAAATACGGCACAGCCGGGGGAATATTCAGTAGTTGGTTCTTATAGCCTCAACAAATCCCAAGTTCATGATAATGGTGGGAAGATGCCAGGTCAGCGCGTGACTACCAATATTGACCAAACGAGCACATTTTCAAGGGCGGCGATAATTTCCATTTCGAGAAAGCAGGATGAGTAGTCAAAGGATAATTCTCCGTCAAACGGTCCTCATTAAACTCTTGTTCTCTCTCCGCCAGCCAACGTTTACTATGGGATAGCTTGGGGCAGTCGGGAAGGAACCGGAAGACGAATCTGGGGAAGATGATGGTGAGGATTCCCTCGAGGGAATATACCCATCTCCAGATGCTAAGGCTATCCGCGCTGTTGGGATAGCTGCGGCCGTAACACAGTAAAGACCTCACGATTAGGGACAATGAGTTGAAGACGAAGAACACCGCAACTGTTGTCCCAATTTCGTCTGTCCGGTACCAGCTTGAAAGTTGGGCGAGTACTCCAGGGAACTTTCCCGCTTCCAAGATCTTGCACACAGAAGTGGTCTACTAGGCATAGAGTCGTCCAGAAAGTCAGGTTTTGGGCGCCGAAAATGGAGGCACGTATGCCAAAGATCAGGTCTAAAAATAGGAGGCAGCCACATGACTTTCCATTACTGAACTCGCCAACCTTTATATAAATGTTTTCTAGCTTATAAAATTTAAGGTATTATAATTATTATGTTGTATTCTTTCTCCTAAACACTTTGAGTATGTGGCAACTAGGCCGTCCGGCAGCTCAGTACAGCAATGCACGTGATTTCCAAAGCTTCCCAGGAGCAATGCGCATTTGCGGAGCCATACAGTGTTCTGGACAGATACTGCACATTATACGGTACTATAATATATAATGCCCCCTTATTTTCGTCTCCTCTGTTACAGAAAAAGGGGACACTCAAAATTTAATTAATACAATTCTGTTCAATCCAACGTTTCGACAAAGCCATAAAAGATGTTGAGGGTATTGCCACCAAGGGTAGTAAAGCGGTCGACGCGGAAAAGGAGGAACTACGTGCGTTTGGTCCGTCGGCTACAGCAAGAAATATAAGGCTCCAAGGCATCCATCCCTTTTGCGAACTGCGTATTATGGTCCGACCTAAGATGGGAGACCAGGTAGGTGCCAAGTAGTATTATTTATCGAGATAGAAAAGAAGAAGTTCTACAATAGCAGGGCCTTTACGAGAACACTATTTTAAGCCACGCCGGGACCCTACAGATCTAGTCACGTGCGTAGCGCGTAACCTTCATTAGTCCAGGCTTTGGACCCATAACGCTGCGTGGTATACGATATAGAACAGCACGGCTAGATGGCAGAATATCTTCGGTCATTTAGAGGATTGTTCCATTCAAAACAGATTTGAAAAATAAAAATACAAAGCGATCGTTAACACTGGCTTGAGTATACTGATAAATGGTTTTTGTTCATCTTTAAGTAGGTAGTCCAATGCTATGAACGTGGTAGCACGACGTTATTGAACTATTCACAAACCAAGGTACTGAGCTCGGGCTGGTGAGACGTGGTATAGAATTGGAGCACTACTCCAGTTCAGTACTCAGCACAAAGATAGCACCCAATCCTGAGTTGACTGTATCTTTTGATCTCTTGCTATACACTACAAGGATTATACTTGGTACAAACTTCCACTCTATTAATAATAAAAGTGGCCGGTGGGAATAAATCAATTATAAGAACCAAAGGTTGCTGCAAGACACCAAGGGACAGACAGACCCAAAGCCACGTAATTTCTGAGGACTTAAAGATAGTGCAGTGGGGTTTCACGTTAGATGGACAGACACCCCACAGCCTTCAAAACTTGGTCTTTCAAATCCTTGATTTATTTTACTGACGGTCCCACCCTAAATGTTGATTCACCCAACTGGGTAGGACCGTGAAAGAACTCATGACTAAAGTGCTAAGGCGGAAAAGTTATCCAGTTCTAATCTGAAGGAGCCGCCTATACACCCGACGAAAAGTTCAAAACCGCGAAGGTTAAAACTGGTCGTAAACCTTTCGCTGAATGTAACATACCCGGGACCAGAATCGTATGATCGCTCTATCACTTGAATTGTGTAATATAACTCTATCCCACTAGCTTCAGTTCTTATATGGCTCTGAAGTTGGCAATTTCCCTTCGCAAAGTACTTGTACTCGTACGAAAAGTCATAACTTCTTGTGGGGTTAAGAGGATCGTGGGGGAGTGTATCGAAGGTCTGCGACATCTTGCCCATAGTGAAAAAGAAATCCGACGTTGTTTGGTTGTTATCATCCCCCGAGATGACCGCAGCGTTTGCAGAGTTGCTACCGGGCCGGGTGATTCGGACGGTCGCGTTACCATCCGTGGACACGTTCCAGGGCGACAGCGATCCCCCATTGTCCTCGAAGCCAGGGTTGTAGAAAAGATTTCTGAGTGTAGCGCTAGAACCCGGGTTCAGTGCGTGGAAACATGATATAAGGCCATCCGAGACTTGACTTACTTTGTGGGCGGGGTTGGGGTGGGTGCAGAAGTATAGGTAGGAACGATGGGGTAAGAAGAGGTGTTGTTGGGTTGACGAGTATACGATGAAGTGGTCGTCGATGGCTTGTCGTTGGTCGGCTGTACGTTACTAGAGCTCGAAAGCGTGTAGGTAGTGTTTGAGTATATGGGAACTTTATTGGTATATTGCGGAACAGCAACGCTACATCGATACAGCCCGATTAGCTCGGCGGAATCGTCGTTTCATGATTAGCTGACTTGGTTGCTTACCTGCTTGCTGAATAAGGCTTCCCGGCGACGAGACCAAGACAGATAACGGTAGCGAGGAGTAGCGCGTGCATTTTGCGGGGGTCGTCCTAGATAGCAGAAATTAAAGCGCGATTTGGGTAGAACGATAGACCTGATTAAGGACCGATCAAGATGCCTGCTATAAACGATGGAACAGCATCAATTCCCTGAAATGCTAACCATTATATAAATGGGAGATTGGCACCCTCGACTTTTTTTTTTCGAGACCATGTATTGAACATAACGTAAGAGGCTGTATGTATAAGTACGCTAGTAGAGCGATCAACCAATGTGGCACATCTTGCGGTTAGGCGACCCAATCACGATTAGTATTAAATCTCTCACAAAACATTGTCTTGTTTCAATTCCCTTTTGACTGACCTGCGTGATCGTTATACAGCTGATGCTGTTGCTGTGTAATACATGACTTCGGCCGAGGAACCCTATTTGCAAATTTAGAAGGGTTGGCACTTAGTTTAGATATCATCGGATAATATGCTCGTGGTTTATTGCCAATTGCAAGTCTCAGACATACGTTGTAATTAGATCCGTTAATTAGAACATGAGACTCCGTTCCGATTTACTTTCACTTAACAGGCTGGAGTGTATAGAACTGCGAAAAGGTCTAAAGGAAAATAGCCTCGTACTTGTCATAGTTTGGTAGTAACGAAGACTGGGCCGTTGTATACTATATGTTCATGTAAAAACATCACTAAGACTAGAGAAAACATGGTCCTCGGACGCGATGCTTTGAAAACACTTGATTTGTTCACCTCTAATCACCGCCATACGCTAGCACCTGGGTGTGATTAACGACGGTCTTGGCTTACGTGCGTGGTGCTTTATTGTGTTCGTTTATTCGCCTCAGTCCTCGTACCAGAACTTACGTTGGGGTGGCTTATGCGGTTCTCCTTCGAAGTCTCCGAAACGTTCGGGTATTGAGACAAGCGGAGACTCACGTTACACTAGCCGGATGTCAAGACCTTGGGTTCCGACAGAAGTCCACGGGGAGAACTCTGGGCTTCTATTATTCGCTGCAGTAAGCTATTATTCATGTTGATTGTTGTGAATGCATGTAGTCTTGGCTGGGGAACTCGAAGCGCAGATATCCATGTTCGGTCTCGTTCCGCATATGTGTAGGCTAATTGATCTTTTAACAGCATAAGGACAAGCTTTTACGGAAGCAAAACAACGGACGTCAGTCAGCAGACGAAGCCACGGACAAGAAGTCCAAGTGAAGACAGCATTGTGTTACGGACATGGCCTCTTATGTGGTCACAATGCACGATTGAGGAGAACCACCACCCAATCAAGAGCGAAGCGTCAGACGGAGGCGATAAGGTGTGGCGGGAATTACGGTTGGTCAGGATGAGTCAGCACGCAAGTGCGCTGTGCGATGTTGTTCTTGCAGATGGGTCAGTGATGTGGTAAGATGCATAGGCCAGCTTTTGCATGGTAGCTCCTGCAGCGAGGTCTCTGCCGGCCCGTTCGGACTAAATCAGCTGGCTCGTTATTCCAATGAACAGTGATAGTGATCTGGGATAGAAATTACTCAGGAGAACCTGATTAATATGGGAGCAGCTTGTACATAAGACAATCGTTGAGTAGCTTGGTATTGGCCAAGACGTGCCGGCAAAGTTGGTCCCTATTCTCGCTAACGTATTTATGCGGAAAGAGTCTAGATCAGGTGAGACGATGGTAAAGAACTGACTGAGAAGTGAATAACCGTTCACTCTTATTGCCAGACGACTTCTACTATCGGGATCTGTCTTAGAGAGCTTGATTACAGCTGATTGGGTTTAGTCGGGACAGTGAAATCTAAACCAGCTGTCCCCTCATCTTGCATCGGCACTGACGTTCCAACGACCGATGTCGCGCAACCGAGATCCATCATTCCGTGAACAATGGTCCAGTGATAACGAAATCAGGATGTTGCTTGCTAGAAGATGCAGTTAGTCTCACAAATGCACAACGAAACTGTGAGCTTCAAACGAGACGGTCTGACTACATATGCCCGCCAAACGGGCTAAATCCGTTCCTGTTGCCTTTCATCATGATCAATCTCCAGGTTGAACTGTAGAAAATTAGCAAACATTGGGTTCGAATAGTCGGCGCCAGTGATTCAGAGCTGAGAGCTGGGGTTGAAATGTTGTGCTTGAGTGTGAGATATAGTAGTTGCAAATCGTAGCCGCTGGATGGTGAGTGAATTGGGGACTACAAGGCGTCTAGGCATAGCTCATGTGCGCAAGTGTGTGTATGAAAGAACTTGGCCATTTCCAAGAGCACTTGTGAGTTATGGTCACGCATGTAAGGCTAGACATATATAAAGAATGGGAGATACGTGCTGGCGATATCTGCAATGCAACTGTACATTGAAGTGACGACAAATGTGGTAGATCTGGTCGACGTATTTCTAACATGTCATAACTAAGGCGCTGGAGTGAAGTTCCATCCCAACTTCCAGATCAAGCCTCCTTAGTCAAGGCTGATCGCTTAGGGCGGAGCGAAGTAATTAGTGGGAAGTATTTCGGGTTCGGCAAGGCTGCTGGCTACGTTGAGAAGGGATAGCGAATATTGGGTTGTCAGAATGGTATCATTTCGGCGTCAATGGATTCATATAATCCTGAACGTAACCGCCATCCGAAAGCTATCGGGACTAGTCTATCATACATGACCTTTCATTTCAATCCGACACATCATTAAGTCCCTCTAATCTGGAGAGACCTTCGTTTTCGTCATCTTTCTCCGGTAGAACTCGCATATGCTATCCGCCCAACGCCAGCTTTCGCAAAACAACACACAAGTCCCAAATCATTACCAAGTTCGGACATAATGACGCCATGACAACCGATCAGCTACAGGCTCCACGTGGCGACGTTTCTTTCACCTGAACCTCCAAAGTTGACCAATATAGCATCAACCAGACCCTGACGTAGGGATTTAGCGGCCCAAGCTACTGCCAAGGCTACTGCCCACACTACTCATGGCCTCGCTGACTTTGCTCCCAACACCGCCCATCCACTGGGGCACCTTGATGCTCATGCGCACACGGCCCTCGACCACCATGTTCACCAAGTTCAAAAAGGCAAACGTACTGGAGCCGATGGCTCGGAAAAGCGCCAGCGCCGCCACGGCCCACATGATGAAGCGCAGGTAGTAGTTCTCGCCAATGCCAGAGCTTCCGTAGGCCTCAGAGACTGCCATGGCTAGGATGGCGTTGGCCATCATCCAGCTGACCACCATGTAAGTTCGCACGGATTTGTAGTAGTCTTCCTGCATCTGAGCCTCGCTGTCGCCAGGACTAGGCACCTCGACTCGGTCGCGAAGATTGCGGAGGGCTTCGTCGTAGCCCGAATCAATGTCGAGCTGCTCAGAGGGCATCTCTAGTTCGACCAGGCCGCCTTTACCCACAGCGCCTCCAAGATCTGTCTTCATCACGTTGTCACCCTTGGTCCCCCATGTTACATCGTGCGTGTTACAGAAGGCGTAGACCTGCAGGGTGCAGATGTATGAAGGGAGGAGCATGAAGTACTGGGCCGCGGAGGTGAACATGTGCCAAGGGTCGAGGTACATGAATGACATGAGGAAGTACAAGCCGACGGTTGAACCGACCGAGACGATCAGGTTTGTGAAGACATTGTTGCCTAGAGATAAAGCGTTCTCGTTGCCATCCTTCTTCGTGAACTGTGTCACCACGATATAGATACAGGCGAAGGTGTTGTAGGCCATAATGATGGCGTAAACGATCATGCTGGTAAGGTAGAGTTTCTTAGCACCCTGAGGCCTGTTGCCCAGCGAGATGATGAACTGCATGCTTATGAGAAGCACACAGGCGTATCGAAGGATGGTGAATATGTAGAGGCCGATGTTGTGGCCAAAGGGATCGGCAGATGGGTCCGCGAGACCGCCAGAAACGAAGTAGAAGGTAAGATAGAAGTTGGCGAGGGAGAAGTAGGTAAACAAGAGCTGCAAAAGTTGGTAGAAGAACTCGATGTGAAGCAGTACTTTGCGGGCAATAGTGTGGTCCGTTTGCCACAGTTGCTTGAAGTGCACAAGAGAGTACACGGCAGCAAAGAAGGCACCGTTGAGCCATCGGCGTCGCTGTGAGATGAACTCCGGGACACTATCTATTTGGGGAGTCAGCATGGAACTAGGATGTTTTTCTTTCGGAGGCCCAACTTACCAGGAACATCAGTCTCGCCAGTGCAACCTTTAACATACTTCAGGACCCATCTCTCGTTGCGCTTCGCCACCAACTCCCAGCAGAGAATACGATCTTCAGCTAGGTACATATTTGCGGTGAACACATCGGCATGTTGGCCGTGCAGCGTCTCTCCCTTGAAGTACTGGCTCAACGGGCCGTGTCCCGTTTCATCGTTCTGGAGGGCATGGTACCGATAGGCACTCAGGGCTCCTGGCAGAACTGTAATGTAGCCAAAGACCGACTCAAGAGGCTTATCCAAGATGTTGGACATCTTGTATTCAAAATTTTGAGAAGCAACGAGGGGGTTCAGCAACGAGGTCCCATACTTGCCCTTCATGGCCTTGATCTCACCACAAGCGCCTGCGACATTGGAGTCTTGGTCGAAAGCCTTCCAAAGATGATACAACGAGTTGCTGCCAGGCTTCGTGCCAACATCAAGAAGAATGCAGACATTGGGGTTGAGTGCCTTCCCGAAAGCGTTGAAGAACCATCTGTGGGAGTTCAACTTCTTCTGATTCTTTTCCTTCAGGCAGAAAATCATTTGGCATGGCACAATGCCCTTCTCGGCACCCTTGAACTTCAGATCGGCGTCCAACGAGACCTGAGTCGTGTACTCGTACACATGGGCCTGCACAGCCTTCTGATTGACAAAGTTCTTGGCGATACCGTGCTGGTATACACCCATAGCGGCCAGCGCATCGAGGGTCCGAGGGTGGATCTTCATTCTTCCATCCGACACGATACAAACGACGATCTTCTGCCAACCTTTCTCTCCCCAGGTTCGCGACTTGTTGCGCCCGCAGAAGTGGCTGATATTCTTCATGACAGCGTGCATTGTGCGTGTGAAGTCAATCTCGTTCTCGTTATACATGGTGACGCAGATGAAAAGCTCCGTCTCTCGTGTTGTCTTGCCAATGTTCTGTCGCAGCTTGTATCCCTTCTCGACGAAGTCGTCGGGATCACAAGTGACGGCTGTGTATCTCATATGGGTGAACTCGACCTCATCTCTTCGCGGAAGGAAACTGTAGAGGATAGTCGGGATCTTGCACTCCAGGACAAGCTCGCCGTTGATAAGCTGAACAGCTTTCCTTGAGACCTGAGGCGCGCGAACACCGCGGCGTTCCTGTTCTCCGTCGGGCAGCTCCGCGTAGAATTCGTCCTTGTCGTTGTAAGGCGTCTCGGGTTCCTCGTTGAGGGTCATCTGGGACTGCGCAGCATACGAGTCGCGGTGGTTTCCCATGTCTCCCCCAGGACCGAAGACATCATCGTTGTCGGGATCTAGTGGAATATTGACTGTAGCATCGTCTGCTGTATACGATGAGTTGCGAGCCGAAGCAGAAAACAGTGGCGCAGGGGGCAATGGTCTACGGGGACTGCCACCATACTGTGAAGAGGGAGTGCCTGGACGAGGGCTTCCATTGATGTCAACTGGTTCGTAGTGTAGGTTGGAGGCGGGCGGTCGTCGGAAATCGGAATTGGTTGACATCCTCGAGGACGGAGTCCAGGGCCGAGTTGGCGACCCACTCTCGCGGGGCTGATAGTACGACGAGGTCGGTGGGGGTATATGTGGAGGGTCGAGGAAAGATGAATCCAGAGAGTTGACGGAGGGCTGGTACGAACGTCGCGGAGTCGGTCGTATACTATTCGGAGTCTTGTGTGAGCTTTGTTTACCAGGAGATTGATCTTGGTTTCGCAGAGTGCTATGACTCTTTGAGTTCTTGCTGAGGAGAGAACTTCTCCTCGGTGAGGGACCCTCAGGTATGGTGGGGAGGTTCTGTGAGACTGCGGCCTCGACAACCTGGTCGGGCTTTTTCTTCTTCTGTAACTTCACAGTTGAAGAGCGTTGCACCTTGACAACGGGCTTGCGTTTTGGCGACTTGGGTGCTGATGAGTACGGGTTCTCAGAGGAGATAGACTTGGGTGTTGGTCCATCTTCTTGCTTCCTGAGAGCTTCCAAGTATTCTGGCGTTGACACCTTTGGCGGATCTGCCTGCCTTGTCCGAAGTTCACCTGCCCCTTGCTGTTGTTCCTGGGGCTGACTCTTGCACAGAAGGAGAGGAGGGGGAATGAGGCTCAAGGGGGAGGACAGGGCCAGTCGGGGCAATACGTACGGACGAGATTCGGGCAGCGGCTCCTCCATGGACGTGAGTAGCCTCACGGCTGCCGAATTTCCCCCCGTTGGTGTGTCGAGATCATCGTCGTAGGAGGGCAGAGCATAGTCCGGCGGACGCGATGACGAGTTTCGGCCGTCCATAGCGATCGCCTATTGTCAGCCAGAATACCGACAATGCCGCAGATGAGACAGCGAGGTCAGGTTGCTAGGTGAAGTAGGAATGCGACAAGGTCGAGTCAGCGCATCTAGCTCGCGCTGCTGCCCGTCTGGATGAGGTGAGGTCGAAGTTACTAGTGGTCGGGCGTGGTTGTCGATGCTGCTGCTGTGCTTGACGACAGAGAAAGATGTGCCCCGGCTGAGAATGAAGTCGACAGGAGAACTCAAGCTAAGCAACCCCTACCAGTGCCGGTTGATATTGGTGGCGGCCCTCCGTCGCATCCTGGACTGTCGCATGCGTATTGTTTGCGCTGCGCCTTGCTGCCGTTGACCTGGCAACGCCCTACGGCGCTTTTGACGGGATCCAGCCAAGCCAGCGGGCGGCAAGGCGGGATAGGGACGGGCGCACAGGCCAGAAACACGCCAAGAGCCCACTGACCCGCGTCGGCGCTGAATGCGGTAGGCCCACAACAAACCCCGGCCCTCCCAAACACCATGGATTCCCCAATGGGCTGATTGACGGCCAATGTCAGGTACCTTAGTTAGGTAGTGTCTAAGCTGGATTGGGACTGTGTTCTTTGAGCCTTGGTGAGGTCCTTATGACAAACTTGTTGATGTCGGTAAATATGAAGACATCCAATGTACTGGGTTCTCAATGGGTTTGGCTCTCAAGCTGGGCGCGGCAACCCGAGATGGATTACACTCGGAGTTTCCTTTACTCCCGCGTAGAGTGGGCTATCTGAACCTCACGCTCTTCCTGCCCCATCAAAGTCCCGCACATCACTGCTGAACCGCATCCTCCGGAGGTCGTTACTATGCTATGTTCATCCCCTGTTCGTCCTAGCAAACTCTAGCCCTCGCAACATCAGCGCCATCTCTTCAAAGCCGGGCAGGCGTCCATTTCGTGCCATTCTCGCGCACTCGATCCGCGCCCTCAATTCCGGGAAATCCATCCGGGTTGCTGCAATGAGCCGCTCTACAAGCAGCCAGGGCATTGGCTCAAACCCGGCGACCTTCATCCTTCTCAGCAGCGTGGCAAAAGCGTCGATGAACTCGGCCGTGCTGTCATATTGCACCCGTTGAATCTCTGACAGGGCACATGCGAGGCCCAGCTGCGCCGTAGGGGCCATGTCACCGTACATTTTCCCCATCTGCACCCAGATGGCTCGCGGAGACTTGGCGAACCATGAGTATACCAATATCCGAATACCGAGTTTCCCGCGGATTACGGCCAGAGCCAGCTTCTCGTCGCTGTGTGGGTCGTCAGATGCTGTGTTGAAGTCGCAGCTGCTATCGATCGTGTACCACAAGCCTAATACCTGCAACGCAAGCCGCAGTCCTACGGCCCACTGCATGTAATTACTGCTGCCTAGCAAGCAAGGCACAGCCTCCATGACTTGCGAATGGATCGAGGTTCCGTGTTTTATTGCCATTGTCATACCAGTTCCCCGTTACACGAGTCAAGATGGGTCAAACCAGGTGAGTTCAGCCGGGTGTCTCTGAATGTTTGCACCTCGCTCTCAATACGGGCTGTCTACTGATGGCAGCACCACATGCAATGTGCTCATAACTGCTCAAAGGTATATAGTTCGTACTAAAACGATAAAGAGCCATCGAACGGGTCAAACGCACGCTCGAGCCGGAAACCCTTTAGTCTAGGCTCTTTGGTGCCAGAGACGCAGTGTTGCCCCGACCCTGAGAAATGATGTTCCCCAGTCCGGCTGCTAAGAGTGATGCTCCCATGCCCTGCGATTCATAACTGCGATTCATAACTAGCCCGGTTTGATTCGACTGTCGGATAACATGACCCGTAGCCATCCACAGGGCGGAAGCCAGGTTACTGATGTGACAGTAGGTCGTGATAGCTTCGTAATGCGATTACAATCTGTGTTTACTCTCCAAAGAAGAAAGCGTTTGGTGTGGATGAGACAGTTAAGGAATACCCAATAACAGTGATACTTTTAAGTGCTTCTTATGTAGATATTAATTTTATTGCAAGACTAAGGCGATCCGTGTCATCCATTCTTCGCCACCAGATGGCTTCGAGACACAGGCGGTTCAAATGCTCGAAACGGGCGCGTTAGAGATCTTCCACGCGAGCCGGTGCCACTGGGGTTCTGCGAGGCCGGCAACGACGGCGATAGAACCCCGCTAGCCAATAGTATTTCGTGTCACGCCGTGCTGCCCGGTATCGCGTTAGCTGAGACGTCGACCACTCATAAGTATTGAGCATGCTGCATCCTTGCCAGAATTCAACTTCACGGATGGCGTGCTATAGCTTCAGCATGGCGAAGCCTCTGGAGTGGGCCAGTTTCTGTACTATCCAATCACAGATCAAAAGATACCTTACGTGCTTCGCGATCTGCATATACCCCACCAGTTCGTTTACCTACTCCGTATGATGTGACGCTTAATGGGATTCATTTCCGATGTGTATTAGATGCTGTGCATTCAAGTGTACGAATCTAATTATTTCAATATCACTTCAATACCTACACCTGAAGCATTGAATTCGTAACGCAGAAGGTCTGGGAAAATGGCCGAACACATAACAAGCAACGGCAGTAATGGGCCTGACAAAAAGAAGCAGCTCATTCTGAATGCCTTCGTGATGAATACGCCAGGTCACCTGGCTCCAGGGCAATGGAGACACCCGCGGAACAAGACTGCGCACTACAAAAAGCTGTCATTTTGGATTGAACTGGCGCAGCTTTTAGACAAGGCCAACTTCCATGCCATGTTCATTGCAGATACCCTCGGTCCCTACGACGTGTACAAGGGACCAGCGAACGTGGTTCCAGCCTTGGCCTCGGGCGCACAGTTCCCCGTCAACGACCCGCTGTACCTAGTGCCGGCCATGGCAGCAGCAACAAAGAACTTGGTCTTTGGAGTCACTGCCAGTCTCACGTACGAAAAGCCTTACGCGCTCGCCAGGCGCCTTTCGACGGTGGATCACCTGAGTGAGGGTTGGGTGGCCTGGAATATCGTTACCTCATACCTGGATAGCGCGGCTCGTAATCACGGGCTGAAGGAACAGATCCCTCACGATGAGAGGTACGCGATTGCCCACGAGTACATGGAAGTCCTGTACAAGCTTTGGGAGGGAAGCTTCAGAGACGATGCCGTCATAGAGGATACAGAAGGTGGTGTTTACATCGCCAACGATGCGGTCCGTCAAATCCACCACAAGGGGAAATATTTCGAGGTGCCTGGCCCTCACTTCTGCGAGCCTTCGCCCCAGCGCACCCCATTTCTTTTCCAAGCAGGGGTTTCGGAAGCAGGAAACGGATTCGGGGGTAAACATGGGGAGGCCATCTTTATTGGAGGGCAGACCCATGAGGCTGTGCACCAGACAGTCAAGAACATCCGGGCAGTGGCCGAAAAGGAAGGACGAGACCCGAATCACTTGAAAGTCATCCTTGGCATTCAAGTCATCGTGGCTCCCACAGATGATGAAGCTTATGCGCAAAGAGACGAACACTTGAAATACGCTGACAAAGAAGGCGCATTGGCCCTATTCGGCGGATGGACGGGAGTGGATCTGTCCACATATGCAGACGATGAGGACTTCCGCCTCAGTGACTCGCCTCGAATACAGTCCATTATACGTCGATGGGCAGCCACGGTTCCTGGAACCGATAGCCTCCCCTGGAACAAGCAGAGGATCGTCGAATATTTGAGTGTTGGGGGGCTCCAAGCAAAGGTGATTGGTAGTCCAACCACGGTCGCCGACGAGTTGGAGCGATGGGTTGAAGCTTCCGATGTAGATGGTTTCAATCTGGCTCATATCACCAACCCGGGGACGTTTGAAGACATTATCGACTACTTGCTTCCCGAGCTGCAGCGTCGTGGAATTTTCAGGGCTGACGTAGAGAAAGAGGGTGCGACTGCGAGGGAAGCTTACATTGGAACGAGAAGGCTACCAGAAGACCACCCTGGAAGCAAGTTCAAGTGGCGAGCTGGCGAAAGAACTCCCAAATATCAAAGCGAAGCACCCAAAGATACACTCGAGCCCAGCTCGAAAGTCTCATCTTAAGCATTATGTAGTACATGGGAATATAGCAAGTAATTCAGATGGAACTCAACTGGGAGGCGTGCGCATAAGTTGTGCGCCGTTCTCACATTCCCAGACATGCTTGGAAACCGCGCTGCTAAGCCGGCCAACTCCACAACTACCTAGCTAAACGGGTATCTGGCAGGAACCTGAAACCCTACTTGACTGTTTACTAAATTCACAATCAACTCGCTCTGTACCCAAGCTAGAAAATACCGTCTCTCAATTCCAAGCATATCTACGAGACGGGTCTTTCGCTTCTCTCATCCACGCAAGTCTATTGAGGGCGCAGGGTGGATACATCCCAAACGCGGTAGAATAGAAGGACGGATCTGGTATGTATCTGACGTGCCCCTATGCGTTTATGCTATCAATGCGACATGAAGAAAGCGGTTGAACTTAGTGAGCGGGAGTAAGCTGGTTTGTCTCAAAGAGAAGCACTATAAGCACTAGACATTAAATATTACGATGAAAAGAAGAACGATCAGCTGCCGGATAAAGGTTCCCGCTGGATATACATGATGTTTGTGAGCGCTGCCCCGATTGGCAATGCTTGCGGCCTAAGGCCTGACGCATTGTCCATACAATCTTCAAGGTGCTTGCGATACGTATTGGCGCGTAGCCGGAACACACTTGTCCTTGGAGCTGTACTTATCGTTACTCATATCTCACAGGACGAGAAAATATCATCACCTGTAAACCTAGACCTACCTTGTCTTGGCATGTTCGGAGTGTGACTGGTGAAGTACAAAACACCTCTTTCTTCATCCTTGGCAACCCTTTTCTCTCGCTTATTTTTTCCGTATTCTACATCGCTCGGAAACCGGCTAGGCTCCAGCTTGTGGCACTACTTTCTGTTTCTAAGTTTATGCACTCCAAGCCACAGGGGCTTCCAACCCAGTTGCAACACATATTCTCAAACATTCCTGACCAACTTGACCCTAGCAGCGAATATCTGCAGAAGAAAAGAAAACATGCCGGAGTTATGGCTCAATGCTCATGGTCATTGGTAATGCGTCAATGAGATGCCGAAGTAGACGAACCAGACAATGCAGTCGCGCGATTGCTGCTGTAGCCACTGAAAATAGTGTTTCTTATCTAGGATGCGGAAACAATCTTCCTAATGGAGAGGGGTAGGTGAGCAATGATATAGCCATCCTGGTGGAAAGTCAATCGGCGTCGCCATGCGGTATCTTGGAGAGACCGGATAGTGCTTTCAGGCAAACGACAAGCAAGACGGCTGAGGAAAAGCTCGCGAGTTTACGGTTAGAAATAACAATTTTGATGAGATTCATAGTCTCTCAATTTTATCATACTGTGCCTATAAGGAGAGACATGAAGGAAGATAGACAAAGGTCGCATGCGAGAAACCCAATACCTGCTACCCCTTTTTCCGCGGAAGCAACAACACAAATTTGGAATGATAACGAAAGAACCTTCATAGCTGTGAGAATATTTCTCGAGGCTAACAGTGAAGAATAAGCCTCGAAGTCTCGCATGAGCCATTGCATTGTTGAATATTGCAGAGAATCAGCTCCACCTATGCTCCCCACGTACCGACTGTGCATCCTGTCGCCCCGACCCGACGACGGATATAGCTGCCATTCTGCGGGTCGAATTGGATCAACTTCTCAAATTTATCGTTGGAGGCAAAAGTCCCCCCAGCAGCAGACGGCATACTTGTACTCTTTCCCAGTCGGGTCTGTGAGGGGTTTGGCGCATATTTGTCTGAGTTTCTCAGCAGTGGGTGTTTCATTCGGTTTGATGGAGACTTGTTGCTTGTTAAAGACCTGATATGAGCCTTCACTAGGCGATTGGGATACTCACTGGCTTCACAAGGCTGTACTCCCAATCTGTCTTTAAGGCCAACACAACATGCTTGTGTTCCGCCCCCTCCGCATGCTGGTGGACTTGGATCAAGCGTAAATGAGGTCGTTTCGGTGGTGGATGTGGGCGTTATTATAGTCGTGGTAGGTTCCGTAGTGGTACTGGTTATGAATGTAGTATCTGAGAAATCCGTGGTTGTCCCAGAGCTAGGTGTGAGCCAAGGGGTAGAGGATGCGAGAGACGAGGAGCTGATCCAAGATGAGTCAGACGATGTCAGTGAAGGATCCAATGCAGCGGTCAACGCAGCAAGAAGACCACAAAACAGTGCGTGGAACTGCATCATGAGTTTCTGATGATAATTTCGCCTTGAGAAGACAATGTGGCTAACTTGTAATTGGTGAGATATACGGAGTGTGTCCCTTTGGAAAATGTACAGTCAGGAGCTGAGTTTTTATACCTTGCTTCTTGGAACCCCAACTTCCCAATACAGTATTCTACCTGCGTTGCCTATACGACTGGGGCTGGGCTCAGCCCACGATGACTCCTGTTAGCCTTTGACCTTCGTGATCCATGAGTCTCAGACATACTTCCGTGGCTTTCAAATTAAGCGAACTTGCCATGGTCGGTTGGTTTTGATGATGGTCACGCGACGCAGCCTTGCAAGCGCTGAAGGTATGCAGCGGCGTTTTCGGGCAAGCGATATCATTGCCAAGCAAAGGTTGTTCATGGCTCAGTGAGACATGCGACAATGAGTACGCAGAATGTCCCTATTGCCAAGCAATTATGAGAGGCAATGCTGCATGGCTGCTGTAGGGAGATACTGAATTTTTCTATATAACTCAATGGCATCCCAAAATTTTCAGCTATCATGTTCGTGCGCCACTTCGCTGACCTACACACCAGCGCAGTCCAACTGAGACTGGAGTTAGCCTCCTTTTGAATCTTCAGGTAAGAGCTGTGCATATTCCTCTTGTTATGAGCTGGCATTGGTCGCAGACGAGTTTTATGATGGGTGACTTGTTTCCGGTAAGGCCACTTCGAATATTTGGAGCTATCTTTCACGTAATCTTTCAAGATGCGGCGCTTTCTACGGGACTGTCTCTTGCGCCCACCTCTTCTGTGCATGCAATGAAAACTATTAACAGAAATATGGCGCAAGGTCCGGTACCCGAGAATCAAAACACTTCGACCTAACCCGGTACGGCAGAAGTGGGCTGAGGAAGGTTGACCGAGGATGAACGGGGCTGAGCGAGCTGAAAAAAGTTGCTACACACAGCGAGTAGGACTGGAGATGGACCGCCACATGGCTAACTTCGTTAACGAGAAGGTTTCACCTTTCTTTTGCCAGTATGCGAACGGGCTACATGCTGCATACTTGCCTTGTCCAGGCTTTTGCCAAGCACATCTGAATCTAACCTCCCGTTCATATTAGCAATAATGGAAAATTCCGAATAAGCTGAAATCTTGACCTCTATTACTGTTTGACCTGATCTTGTCAACAATCATCATAAAGTTGTTAAGTTATGGTTCATGGTGTCTAGGCTTTCATTGGAAGCCAGAATTGAATTAAATATTTCTTTCTACCGTTGTCAGTATTCTAAATTCATCGCCAAATATGAATGAGCAGCAACAGAATCTCATACAACACCACAATAATGAGGATCATCGAAAGCAATCATTCAAGGCTGAAAGCTCACTCGGCCGGGGGAAAAATTCTAGGGGGCTTGTTTCAACCGAGCATGCATGAACCTTATGCATGGTACTTCTCTGTTGTGACTATCAACTGAAGGAGGATTATGAGTGACCTAAATATAGATGAGTGAATTTTCCCTACCCTATGGTCAACAATTGTAGATTTCGCGCTACTCTGAAGGATAACGTTGAAAATCTCTGGATCTCCCCTCTTGGTGGCCAGCAATGACGTAGCTCGAGCCTAAAGTTCGATTCCAAGTCTATTGAGTAGTTTCATTGCTCTCATACATTCTTTTCACTGATCCCCTCCAGCTTGGGTGAAAGCTTCCCTTTCACGGCCGAAGATATGCAGATTCAAGTTTTTTGCCAATGAATTAGATATATCATATCTAGCCATATCATAGCACTACGACCATGGGTTTGAGACTGCAAAACGACTGATTCGAGTTTTCTTATGCATTTTCGACTAAGAGACGCCCTCGTTTTATCCTGGAATTGTAGTGTTGTACACTAACGCTGAAACGTCAATGTTTATTGCACTGCCAATAAAAATGACTTCCACCGCAACGAAGCTATGTGAGAAGCCAGGCAACACTGCCATGTGGTAGACTTCGGCAATGTCAGGCATACTTACGTCGCCGTTGCAGCAAAGATCTCGATTCGCTGAGGATTGAAATCACTAACGAGAAGAGAGCGCCAAACACAGCCGTTCCACCGATCCTGGCATTGGTTATCGACAGTGGTTTTGGGGCCTCTGAAGCAATGTGAGTGACTACATCGACTATATGGATATCAGCTACAAAACACCCAATCCATCAGGCACAGAATGCGTCTTGTCTTGTTTACACATCGACAGAATGTTTTGGTCTGTCGGTTCTCGTTTTTTGGTGACGCCAGTTTACTAACTTTTCTTATCCACCTCTGTTTCGAAATGATCCGGTCAGAACTCTTGTGCGGGAGAATCTTTAGCAGGTCAACATGTCCTTGGTTTGACGCCAAATAGAGAGTTTGCCAACCGTGAATACAAGCGAGAATAAGATGAGCACTGTATCAGAAAAGAAGCATGGTCGTTTCGATATTTCCATTCAGCATCTCTCATTGCTCGCCATATTCAGATTAGCGCCCTCGTCCAGCAGTATCTGCAAAGGCTTCCTCATGTTCACCATTTGGGGCGGCCTGAAATGCTGTAGGGTTTTTCTTTTTTTCAACTGAGCATTGATGCTTAGCGCCTTCATCCAGCAGCATTCGAATGACCTGCGTGTAGCCTCCGTGAGAAGCAGACTGCGAGGCAGTGACGTACTCTCCCCCTCGAAGATTGTCGCCCACTCCTCCAGCATCGTCGGCGCACCCTGCCTCTTTACTCCCTAGTTTGATGACCATGCTTAAAACTTCAGCAACCTATCATTAGATATGACCTCTTAGATGAAGCAGGCAACAATGAAAAGAGCTTTGAGAGATGGAGGTGCCAAGGCCGCCACTGATCACGCCGTTGTTAAACTAGCTACGCGAGATTAAGACCGCTCCTTGTAAGGATTGCAAATGACCAATTGAAGGGCAGCATACGGTGTTTGCTCCTTTGATATCCAGAAGGCCGTTGGCAGTGCTATGAAGATAATGATGTCAACGAGGGGCTCTGACTCCTCCAATAATTAGAGTGTATGTTGACGCCACGGTGAAAGGAGTTATGCATGCTGCGTAGAGGCCATCGGAGCCTTCCAAACCTACGTAGAGATCCTTTCGGCCCTCTCAGGTATTTAAGAGAGATCCTGGTTAAACAATGTTCATATCAACAGAATCTTGGGTGGCATACACCATGAGCTTGGCAGAGAATGTCGCCTAACGGTAGGAGTGATAATCATTCAGCACACGTCAACAGCATACAACAGCATACGATGACAGCATACAATGATAGCCTCAGATTCCACCTGCGCCGCCAAGACATGATTATACGTGCTGAATGCTACTATTTATAAACTCTGCCGTTTGGCAAGTATCACGGAGCCTTTTATATATGCCTCTATATGAGAACAGAAGAGTAGTAGATTTTCAATCATATTACTCAACTTCTTAACTTACACTATCAATCACATTAAAATAAATTAGAACCATATCATGTGCAAGTTAAATTTCGCGAAATTCAATAGCCAAAATCCAAGATGGTTTCTGTCCGTTATCTTACAGTTGCAGCGCTTGCAGAGAGCAAACGCATCTCCTGCAGTAATTCAAGGCGATCCATCTCTTCAGACGCTCCAGCTTCGCGGGGGAGGGGGCGACACATTCCTTGCAGGAGCGCAGCTTGTGAAGGAGATCCTCAAGGCCATTGGGGTTTTCACCGAGAGTGACAAGAAGGATGGCTGGGTATGTTCTAGATGACCACAGGTACTAAAGTGCAAGTTTCATGCAGTCCGACTAACGTAATGGAACAGGATTTCAAAGATAATAAGGACATGTGTGACGTCTTCTTCACGACCAAGAACGGGGGAAACTGCTTTGTGACGGTTGAATGCAACGACGGTGGCAAGAAGGAGTATTTCTAGAATAGGGGCGACTATAAGAACTGCTTCGTCGGGGGCCGGCAATACTTCGACGATTCAAGGATTGGAGAGTTCAGGTGAGTTTTGAGAACAGACGGGTGCCGAGAGAAGCCACCGTGCGAATCATTGTGGTGAAGCCTGCTTACTCATTTCTGCTTGTGCTAGTGTCAATTTTACCAAGCGCGATGGGTGGGAGCTCCAGGGGCTTACGAACCCAATTCTCCAAGTAAAGCACGTCGCCGATTGGAAGGAATGGGACGTGTCCTCAATGTCTTCAGCTCGTGCTCATGCGAATCTTTGCGAAAAGGGCATTTCTCCGTTAGGTTGCCATAAAGGTCCATGGGTTTGTAGATGGGTATGATCACCACCATTCTGGAAGTTGCAAACCAAAGATAGCTAATTTACAATAGGTCGAGGGTGGTAACACGCCTATTGTCAATGACTGCTCCAAGCGATGGAGTTGTGTAGTTCCCAAGATTGAAGCCAAATTTCCAGACGGGTCGAACTGGGAAAAGAACAACTGAGAAGTATGGAGAGAGTATGACGGGTTAGAGGGATGGGAAAAACGATTAGTTGATCGAGTAGTCGAAGCTACTGAAGCAACTGTGTAAGATGTATAAGTATGGAATATTTGGCCTAGTGGACAATCGTTTTAGATAATGCATTCATGTTAAAACATCACAGTTGATATTAACGCCCTCGTATACAAGCAGAGGCTACCCTCACTCCGCGGCGCGTCCGAGAGCGGCGCAAACGTTGCGTCCTGTGGGGCTGAAGACTGGGCCTGATCATGCGGGCCACATTTGACCGTGTCCGGGGAAAGTGCTTCCTTGGGCCGCATCGGCAGAGACTATTGCACTGTACTGGTGACTTTGATTCCATGCCTCTTCTCACGATCTAAGTCGATTTGAACTGGCCCCCAATTCCAAGAAGAAAGCTGGATTGATCCTGTTTACTGGCATGATTGTTTGTCCTTAACACGAAGGACACCATTTTCTTATCCAGATGAGTACGCAAGGTGATATCAGGCTCACAGCTCATTGACGAGATGGTTCTAGCTGATGGCTTCCGCCGTATCCTGTGAAAATTGAGATGTTAGACTCTTTCATTCTTGATGTATACGGAAGCTTCGATGTGCTCACTCTCTGTAACTTGACGGGTTCTGATCAAGTGATGGCATCTTTTGGGACGATGGGTGTTTTCGGTGGTAGAATGACACTGCGAACTCCAGCACGGCAGCGAGGAAGTTGATCCTAGTAATTCAACAAGATATGGAATATCCTAGAGTCAATTACTATCGATATAATTCAAACAGATACATAGGTTGGGAAATGAAGGTTTGCTATTAGATGAGCCACAAGCGAATCCTCGGAAGCTCAGCCGTCAGAAGCTAGGTTTAAGTACTGGAATGCCAGTGTCCCTTTGAGTGTTTTAGCTATAATGGCGAATGCCATTTTCCACAAGCCACACATCATGGCAGCCTCCAACACAAATTGTGTAATTGGTAATCATATTCAGCCGTCGTTGCATGGTCCTCAGTGAAGCCACAAGGGATCCATCGCAATGCATCTTCAAGCTCACTGAATTGATTACATGAAAATATTTGTGCCTTGAGATGAATTGCACTTTCCGTCTATAGTATTATCTGCGTTTAGCTAGATTAGTCTTCGAAAAGAGGACAAACTTATTTACCTGAGGCGAAGAACTGCCAGAGAGCTTGCTGACTGCCAATGCGTCCGACAACACTTCGGTGTAAACTGTAAAATGTGGTTATAAATAGTCACCAATCAGATTACGGTCGCGCCTCCCATTCACAGTCGACAGTGGCCGCTGGTGCCTAAAAGGGTTAGTGGGACACATTCGTGTATTCAGCCCCCAACTTCTCTATTGGATCACATCACCCACCCCCGAGGGACATCCGCACATTTCATCACAAACAGAATACTGTCACGTACTTGTCAGGATGCTAGCATCTGTTTCGCATGATTACTAGCTGAGCATCGCACCAGGAGCCTCTTAGTTTCTACACAATAGTGATCGTCGTCCTAAATAGGGCGTGGTGACAGCCTCGCGTCAACGTTTTCCACGACGCGAATAGCCACACGGACACAGCCTTTCAGTCGATTCATGAAATGGCCTCGTACGATGCCTCGTCTCCCTTAGGAGACGGCGGAGAGTCAAAGGCCCCATCGGATCATCAGCTGTTGGACCCGGACCAGGCGCACCGTAATGTTCCTTGGTACCGCGATAGGCATGCAGACTTCGAACACCCATCTGCATATTATCCACAGGGACAAGTACAACCCTCCGGGAATCCTGGATTCCTGCACACCCCGCCCGCTACGGTTGGTACGCCAAGTGCCTATCAACCAAGCGAAATTAGCTGTGATTACGATGATGAGCATGAGGCCGACCAATCTGGGTCACATTCTCGGCATGAATCACGAGACAGTCTGGCACCACCCAGCCGTTCATCAAGCTGGGGCAGAAAGCATCGGCGAAGTCAGCAGCAGATGCCGAGTCTGAACACTGCAGTTGGTGGGCCTCAAATAGCCACCACGCAGTTGCCTCGGATCGGTTTCGGCTTACCACCGCCCCGTAATATATTACGCCGACCAAGAAGTAACACTGATAACTCACAAGAATCATCCCACGGCTCAGACTCAAGTCTGGCATTTGCAGAAAGTCCAAAAAGGGAGAGCGGTCCGCTGGTCGATGAAAATCACAGACAGTTCGAGTTATCACCAAATTCCAAAGGTGGCTTTTGGCCAAATGACGAAGATTCGCTAATGAACTCCTACCCATTAGCTCATCAAAGTCCACTTATCACGATCTCTGTCTGGGGTAAAGACGGTGAAGAGCCCTTGTCGACAGACTTACCCTCCTTTGACTTCCCGCGTACTCCGGATACCAGCCTTCCGGTCACGTTGAAACCGTCTGAAGCCTTTCCTCCGCACGTAAAAGCGTGGCATGACGAACAAAGCGCTCTACACCAGATGGGGAAACACCAGGAGTGGGGGAGATATATGGACATCGAGACATGGATTTCGCAAGTGCCGGACCTGGGCTATATTGGTTCCAGCTGGCACGAGTCTAACTCACCACAGATTCCCCAGTATGATGATGATGACAACATTAGGACCGAGCCAGTTCCTACTGAACGAAAAACAAAGAATCGTCAAATCGAGTCACAATTATATTACAACTTCCGTGGTGGCAGAATCACTGATACAGACCTGTATCTCATGGGAGAGTATAGGGTATGGGAGAACCCTCCCATATTACTTCCCATTGTTCAGTCCCCTTGGGCTCGTATGCAGCCTGCAACCTCACAGGCAGCCATAGAGAGATTCAACAGAATGGACCATGACAATGGATCTATTGTTTCGCATTGCGCATCCTGGGGTACACAACCAGAAAGCCTGCCGTCTGTTGCGAACGAAGACCAAATTATAGCTGGTAACTTCTTGCAGAGAACCTCTCTACCAGAATCTCATTCATCTCCAAGGAATCTCACAGATGAAGAAATTCAGCAGTTGAGACAGTGCCTTCCTCACCCTCGAGTTGCTAGCAATATCTCAGATGTCTTCGGCCTACCATCCTCCGAAAATAAGATTGGACAGGCGGAGAAGTTGCTCAGAGGTCTTTTCGAGATCTTTAGCGAACCATGTGCTATAGTTGGACAAGAGGACTCTGAGAGGTGAGCCATTTTCTGAAACTCCTGACCGCGCAGAGTCCTGCTAATGCTGCCTCAAGCTATCTCGCCGATGTTGAAACACAATTAACAAAGCTAGAGGCTCTGCTCAAGACTCGGCTTGGCGTCTACAACCCCTCGCAGTCGTCAGTTCTGCAACTATATGGCAGCATGGTAAAACGCGAGCCAGATTTAATTTCCGCAAAGAACGGAAATGTGGGAAGTGTTACACCGAGTGCTAGCCTCAGCATCAGCCCATGCCCAACGTGTGGAAGTAGAACTACCCTCAACAATGGCCGGAGGCAAGATGCTGCGTTCGATGTCAAGAATGAGAATAATACTAACGCGGGCAAGGATATTTTTGATGACAAAATACCCGATATAATTCAACCTACACTGCGGGGGCGTCTTGGTGTCGATTGCCCGGATGCTCCCCAATTTGTTGATGAGGGCGTCCAGGTGGACTTACCAGAAGTCTACAAATCAGAGTCTCAAGGATATCACGCCGTCAACTCAACAAGTTTGCCTCATTTCGTGGATGAAGGAGTACAGGTAGACTTCTCAGAAGATGAGAAGACAAGATATCGAAGCAGAACCAGTGATGTCTCGTCCGCTTCAAGCGCATCAGGCACGACAAATATAACACGGCATATCGAAAGCTCTGTTGTACCCGACACAAAGTTAGAGTATCAACTACTCGATATTCAGTCCAATGTCCAACTTAGGCAAGTTGGCCTCGTCAACGTCCAAATTATGCTTGTGTCCCTGTCGCCACACTGTAAAACTGCCTCTCAACCCGACGACTCGGCCGGGATTGACTCTGACGAATCCCAACTAGATGAGAGCGATCAAACTGACGCAGAAGAGGTGGCACCTAACGATGTGGAACACATGGAAGATATGCACACGGCGAGTGGATCCTCCGGTGTTGGCTTCGCAGGATCTATCTCTTCTAGTTCCAACACTGGCGACGTTCAGGGTCAACGGCCCAAGGGGAAACGAAGTGGAGACGGCGAGGACGGAGAGAACAGGAACAATAAACGCAGGCGCATGCTCCCTCTCCCATGTGACAAGCCGAAATTACCACGTCTGGCGTGTCCGTATCAGGCATATGAGAGGTTTCAGAGCTGCCTACGTCGAGGCGGATCCAATCGTGAGGGCGGTTGCGCCGGTATAAGCCGATTGAAGTTTGTGATCTGTCCCCTTCTATGTGATATTTCAAGAACTAAGTGAAACTTAGGCAGCATTTGAGCCGGAGACACATGCTCTCGTATCGATGTCAGAGGTGCTGGCGATCATTCGATACGAGAGGCGATGTGAGCAACCATGCGACACAACAGCCACCCTGCGATGCGAGACCTAAAGGGTGGGAGGAGCGGTTCATGAACATCGACCAGGAGGGCGAAGTGGAGAGAATCGGGCGCAACATGTCCGAGCAGGATGCCTGGTGGAGTCTATTCAGTCTCCTCGTTCCTGGCATGCAGAACCGTGACCTACCGTCATTGATGACACAGTATTCGCCGTGTATGTCCAGCGCTTCTCGGTCAAGAGACGCAGTAAAGCTGACCCAGTCAAGTCTACGTCTACTATCACTCCAACTTTATGATCCCAGCTATTTCCTTTTCACAGCTACCAGGCCAATTAACGCAGCGGGGCCAACTCAGCGAGGAGGGGTATACAACTGATAGGTAAGGGGCTTAAATATGCCTATTGGCCTCTATTGATCACATCACCATGCATTTAGAGGCTAATACCGGAGATAGTTCTGAACTGCCTTATCAATGGCCGGTGGATCAGAGCTCGTCGTTGCAACCCAATACGGGCTTTGCCATTCCCTCGCCAGCACCCTCTGTACAGAGCTTCCCCATGCCTCTGCTCGAGCTGATGGGCGAGCCAACGGTCGATCTAGATTCATCACTGTTCATAACACCCTCCTCGAGCGGGGCCACTCAATCAAGTTTCAATTGCACAACGTCGCCAGGGTCCGTACCTCCGGCGTACATGTCGATCGATAGTCCCGCACCCTTCGACCGAAGTAACATTCAACGTAACTATGATCGGCTCAAGACGAGAAGCGTACAGACAGAAAAGCTCAACGCAGATTTCCGTGAGGCGAATCGTGCGAACAGGACTGACATTGATCGGGTAGATACTATATTGGAGGACGTGCTCACAATTGAGGAGCTTCCGGATCTCATATTTGAGAGAATCTCTCAGGTATCAGATATATTGTCAGTGATCAAGGGGAGACTCCGATAATTCTGTGCAGTGATATATACATAGATACAGCTAAATGTCGAAATACTCAACTGACAACGCAGAGCCAAAATGGCCTGCACCAGATAACGTCATCGAAACGCGCCTAAACATTGCATCGTGGGGTATCTAGATCAGCATTCTTACGCTGAATTTAATGAAAATAATCATGGAAATAAGCATAATTTCATGCCAGCCAATACTCCACACCATGCGCGTTGCATTATAGCCACATATTTGGCTGTGGGTGAGGAACGGGTGAGTCCAGGGTGGATGTAACGGCCGCCATATACTAGACTTCAGCTGCATCATCAGAATGCTCTATTTTTGGCTAGTTGTTTTACATTAGCATGACGTGGTCGTGGTATGCTAGAGAGGTTGGATATGCCGAAGTTGATAGACTCACCCTCTTTGACCACCGCAAGCCGCAACCATTGCACAGATCTCGCTTGCCGCTGGGTCCACGCCGCCACTCGGGTGACAGTCTCGTGTGGCAATTGGCACACCCTCGAAATGTCTCCCCTTGTAATTTAAAGCGCCTGCGTTGCTTCGACAACCGCATCATTTCTTGCAGTTCTCGGCTGAGAATTTGATTTTGATGATGGAGGCGATGTGATTCTAGTTGTAGTGGCTCGCACATATCGACGTTGAGGTCCTGTAGAATGTCGTGGTTATCCTGACCTGCTGTAGTGAAAACGGAGTGATGCGTAGACGATCGTGGGACAGTCGTTGAGGAAGGATCTGTACTTAACTTAGATTCAAGCACGATACGTGAAGAAAACTAGAAGTACGAACTTGCGCCTCGCGCTGGGGGCTTTAATATTCTACATTGCACCAGGAGGAAATGAGGTTTTGTGTCGCCACTAGTCTCTCCAGGGTAAAACAACATCTGTGTTGGCAGATCGTGACCTCGGGCGGTACGAAGCCGTAGGGTCGATGTGGTCACATCTAACCGCGTGTTCAGCAACGCAGATTGGAATTGTACCCGTTCGCTCTGATCGTTGATATGAGTGCCCAGCATAGTGCCGACCAGGCTTGTTGTCTGGATCCCAAGGGCTGGCTGCGGGTTAGGGAAGACATGCAAGACCAGGCCTGATGTTGACACTTTAAACCATATGTCCCGATCGCCAAAGCCAACGTTTCGGTCAATGACTTGACTGTGGAGAGGGAACATGGTTTGCGGGTATCCAACGAGAACGGCCCATTTGCGAGGATTCTCTTTCCACGTGGCGCCATAGTTTTGGAACAGTAAATACTGGCCATCCTGTCGCCTGAGCCGGAAGTTCAACTCGATCGGGCTGTCAGCAGAAGAACTCTTCAGCCCCCGCAATGCTGCCACGGCATCGGAGGGGTGACAAATGCTTTCTATGCAGGTACCGAGTAACTCATCCGGGCGATAACCTAGCAGTCGGTGTGATGATGATGAGATGAAGACAATGGTTCCTTTGGGGGAAAGCACTTGGACCAAACCACCCGTGTTCTCCAGGAGCATACTATTCCACTCATCAGTGTCGACATGTGACATGAAATCGCTATCTGACATCAAATGTGATAACAGTTGGGAAATCCTTTGGTTCTGCTCCGTTGGGCTCCTGAAGTGAGGCTTTTGGGAATTTTCACCACGATTAGGATTGTCCTGCTTCACTTGCGAATTGCTAGGCTGCATCCTATAATGACCACTGAGCTGCGTTATCATGGCGTCCACGGAATCTGGCAAGTCAAGATTCCTTGCCATGACATTCATGGTATGCGCATCGAGCCGGAAGTTGGCAGGGAGCGATGCTAATGACATGTCGGTTGGAAAGCCGAATATGAAACGAATATCCGGCGTGTCCCAAGAAATAGGGATGATGGTTAGCATGTTCATGAAGACTTCTCCGGTCTTTTTGTAGTTGAGGATGACATGTTGAATTTCCTGACCGGTACGAATCTTCTGCTTGAGTTCGTAGGCTGAGGCACCCATGTTGAACTCGCTCGGGCGGCCAGGGCTAACCTTGCCGGGCGGGGACTGAAGAATACGACAGTTCTTCCCCAGGATATCCTCGCGATCGTATCCCGTCAGTGTCAGCCAGCTATCGGAGACAAAGATAACAGCCTCGTCGAGTCCCGACACATCTGTGACGACGAACGGCCTCGACATGTGTATGGCGTCGAGTGCTATTTGCTGGTTTGGGCGTACCGCAAGCTTGTGTAGGGCGCGGAAAATGTCGAATGGAGTGGTTTCTGTCGGCACGGAAGCGTTTTGGTAGCCATGTTCAAAGCCAGGCTGTCTCCCGGTGCTTGGATTCCTTGGGCCATCGCTGGAGCCATGGCTGGCTTCAGTTGTCGAGTCGTCGCGATGGGATGGAGTTGCTCCAGAGGAGATTGTGAAGCTCGGGCTACTGGCACAAACGCCCGCCCTGTCACTGAGTTGATCAGGGGAACGACTGTCATGCGGCGTGCTCATTCCCTGCATTGCTCCGACGCCTGCTCATTCTTGGTTCAATGCTGCGCCAGCTGCAGATGGCCGCCTTATCTGTATGAGAGCAGGTCTACGGCGAGGCTTCCGGCCCGGGATGATTGTCGGGTTCGAGAGACAAGAGTTTCCAAGGTTGGCGGCCGAGACTTTGGGGACGATCTTGAAGGAATGGTCGAGCCCGACGCAAGGCGTGCAAATGTCAACCGGACCCAGACCAGAAGAATCAGGGTCCAGACCCACCTGCGCTGAACCATGACGTTTGTACTAAACGCAGCCTGGGCAGCGGAGCTCCATTGCTCCAGTGGTCCTGGGCTCTGCTGCTAGGGACCTTGGCAACTAACTAACCGTTTACTATGGCACTGTTACCATACATAGCAATTAGTGGGCGGGAGAAGCGGGGGCGGACCATGGGACCCCTACAGACCCCTAGTCGTGGCCCACTATCAGGTCCCAAGGTGTGCTGGACCGGACAGAGCCCGGAGGAGCCGCAACTCTGTACTATGTGTTAACAATAGCATCTGGGATCACAGAACAGAGGACTGGAGAGTCGGGCACCACAAGTGACACATGGCATCAGGCTCCTGTATGATGACACTATGGGATTTAGAGATCCTATGCCTGTTCATGCACTTGTCCCAATCGCGTCTGTTCTACCCCACACTTCCCCCGGTGCTCAGAAACGGCCAGGGCGGGCAGTCGCCGCTCCGACTCAAGCACACCATCAGGGCCTCCAAGAGTCCAAAGCAAAGGTCTGCCACGGTCCAGACCTTTTGGTGCTGTGCACGCCAGAACCGTATCCCGTAGCACCGTGGCACCGCGTGGCACCCGTTCCTGGGAGAGCCGCCGAGGATCGGTTGGTTACCGTGTGCCGTGCCGCCAACCATCCTTTGGTATTGCTAAGTGGATTCGTCACCCTCTCATACATAATTCTGGCTTTGCGTGCATCTTTCCTGACGTGGCAGTATACGGTACTCGCCCCAGGGCGATTTAGACATGCAAGTATGGGGGGCATGGCCACTGTTTTAGGGCCCAAGTTCTGCGCATATCGAATTATGCGTGGCTCTGGCAGGCCAGTGATACTCGGGTATAATGTGAAATTCACTCTAACCCATGGGGCTGGATGCATCTCTACGTAACTAGCGCCAGGTTCCTCAGTCAGCCGGGTCGATAAGATAAGCTTCCACGAAGACGTCTTCTGTCTCGCCAATTTCAGAGCTGGCGCTCCTGCAGAATGAGCCTCTCGACATAATATCGACAGCAAAACACAGCAGCAACACATACGTCAGCCTCCAGCTCTAGAGCAGAGCATTCTGGAGGCCATGGCCATGTGACGGACTAGAAAACAGCACGTGCCAAGTCGCATGACCAAGGGCCAGGAGGACAGGTAGGCCAACCGAAGTACAGTATAGAAAAGTCTATTAATGCTTGAAAAGTGCCTCAGAGTGTAGGCCTCTCAGCGAAAGCACCACTAGACCGCAGAGGGGCAGGTTATGCTTCTTAGTAAGCTTGATGCGTGGGCATGGTGCCTTGCATGCGGCACTGCTCTATGGTTAGCTTCCATTTGCACCGCCGACACTATACCCTGCAGACTGCAATTGGTATGAGATTTGGGTAAAGCAGTTATATGCAATCACTTTGCTCGTGCTATTGAAGTAAAGGATTTGCGCCCGACTAAGACATGGCCAATTGGTCTTAGGACCGATAGCATTTCGAAGTTGAACATTGCACTGTACTAGGCATGATTGGCTCAGAGCATCGCAAAAGACCACTTTCACTTGGCTTTCCAAGATCTGTAGTTGTACTTCTCAGGGACCGTTCATCCGATTTACCATGATCTAACGCAGGCTCGAAGAATTGCTGTTGAGATCTTCGATGCACTCTTTTGCACGGATTGTGTTTGGAGCATGACACCGATAGGCTGCAGACACCGCCTAGTCTTTACCAAGACTTCTGGGTACGTCCATCATCATGATCAACATCGCGAACGCCGTCTAGGTGAGTTAATTATGCCACGATGATACACATATGGGAGGGCGCTAATCTGGTCTAAGTAATGTGGTATTACCACCGGCCAAAGTGATCATGGGGCATATTGGTAGCTCATATCGAACAACAAGGACGTATAGTCCATTTTGTGCAGAACCGCCCATTCTGACAACATTTGGCCTCGTCGACGCCTCCTCGCTTTGACTCAATTGACACAATCTCTGGGCTGTTGCTCCGTTTGCGGTTCAGGTCCGCTGCCACACCCACCACATGACCAAAGCCCCCATCAACTTCCCTTTCAAGTTCCTAGTGGCCAACATTAGCATTCGCAAGACGCTTTCGATGATGACGAAACAGTGTAATTTCAAGAATAAGTAAAGTAACAGGGTTCGAAAGCAGTGAAGAGCCCGCCGGGAGCATCAATAGGTGGGAGCTCAACGGAAACAAGATTGCCAACAACGGTCAATGTGACAGGCCTATCACGAATCTTTGTGAGCATGTATTCTGAGAAATGCGGCCTTGTTTTCCTTTATTACAAGCGGTCTACATTTTGAGAAACTGCCATGGACAAAAGTAATGTTCAAGGCCGGCATGTTAAGGCCAAGGCCCTTCTCTAGATGACCTTACGCCAAGGAATGCAGCGCTGTCGTCAACAGCTTATCGTGCTGATGAATAGAGGTCCTTGGCTATTGTTGGAGACTGTTTGCCTCGGCATCAGCAATCGAGATTCGTGAGGAGATTTCCGTCACGTTGGGGTTGCTTCTTGCGAACTTTCCGGTGCGTCGAATCCCGCACTCACCGAATCTACACCGAGCTATCCCGCCCAAGGGCGGGTGAATCCGGTGATTAATGCGCCCGCACTTGGCGGCAGATCATTCGTTGACTCAAAGCAAATAAGGTTTCTTAGTGTCACAGGTGGGAACCGGTATAGCACGCCCAGACGACTGGCAGACATAAACCCGGTGCCTCGCCCTGGTTTCTCGCCGCGGGGCGGGGCGTAGTCGATAAGCAGTACCTCCACGTCGGGTCCGGGTAAGATATACGGAAAGGTATCGTAAGCGGGATGCGAGGACTGCCGAGGTGCCGTCATTGGATCTTTGGATCGATGTATTATTCTAGGCTGATTGCACGATGTTGTCGCCCGAGCTCCTACAGAATCACCGAGCAAAGTCCGAACCCCATCATGGCGCGACGGCATTAGACAATCACACAATGCCGACTTACACTGTTCATATAATAGCCACTGCCGATACGTGTATTCCTGATTTAAAACTACCCGTCGCCTACAAAGTTAGCATTCTGTTTAAACAACTACCTCAACCCAACCATTGCGCTTGTCAACTCAGAATGTCATACTCGCTTCATCCCGCTATCGATAACGGCATCAAGGCCGGTCAGTCTGACTTCCCTGGAGGCAAGCTCACATGCCACTGTAGTAGTGACAAGGTGGAGATCACCATAGAGGGCAACGTTCTCCATAACCATGCTTGCGGATGCTCGAAATGCTGGAAACCGGCCAATGCCCTCTTTTCAATCGTTGGTGTCACCCCGAAGGACAACCTGAAGGTGACTGCCAACGAGTCCAAGCTGCAGATCGTTGATGAGAGCGCTGCTATTCAACGTCATGCATGCTCCAAGTGCGGTGTTCACTTGTTTGGCCGCATCGTTCAAGATCATCCCTTCAAAGGTCTGGATTTCGTCCATACCGAACTCAGCGACAAAGCTGGCTGGCAAGAGCCCCAATTCGCTGCCTTCGTCAGCTCCATCATTGAGCAGGGATTCCCTCCGGACAAGGCTTCTGAGGTCCGAGACCGATTTCACAAGCTAGGCCTTGAAACGTATGACGCACTGAGCCCGCCGTTGATGGACGCCATTGCGACTTACAATGCGAAGAAGTCTGGCAAGCTCCCGGCTTAGGAACCCAGGGGAACCAGCACAAACAATGGCGGGCGGAAAAGCATGGATGGGGTGTTATATCTGGAAAATGGGAAAATGAGAAAAAAGTGGTTCATAAAAAAGCCATATCTACGAATTTGCAAGTTTTCTGTTGCCTTCTTGCATCGTTCATCGCGCAGTGCTTCCTCTTGACGCATATAGAATTACCGCTAGTTTACAACGCTTATTTCAACTAGTATGTTCCCAAAAGACTAGAAGTTTACACAGTTGCAAAGCTATATTCATTCTTTCGATGCGTCATTTCCACCATTTCAGAGACCCTCTTCAGATCTCCATTCATCCTTACATATCCTTGCCGCATGTCCTCAAAAAGCCCCATGGCTTTCCCAACCGGGACCAGTAAGCCTTCAAATTTCTCTCCTTGCATGAACATGGTCCCTTCAACGCCATCCATATTTGTCGATTCCAGTAGACACCAATGTTCGGTGTGCAAAATGGCCGAAAATAAGAGCTGGCCAGCCCACCGTAACTCGAGTTCGTCTTTGACGGCGATGGTTTTGTTGCTGTATTCTGCGGGGGAAGAGGAAGCGGACTTCGCCGCTACAGTGATGACTTGCTCAGATCCCACAACGGGTCGTTGATGCGGAGGCAGAGTCTTGGCGTTAATGACAAAGGTGTTCCACGTTGACCATGTGCCAAGATCTATCAGAATGGCCCACACTTTGGCTGGAGGTGCGGCGATGAATACCGACTCTTCAATCAAATGCATTATAGTAATGTGAGATGTTGAGGCTACAGAGTGAAGAACACTCAAATCTCTCGCCGGCCATTCAGGGAAAACTCACGCCTATAAACAAAGGTGGCGACTTGGGCTAGCATTGAAACTCAAGCTACGAGATAGACTGTTGGGACCGAGAAACAGACGAACTCGGTGCGACGGGCCCACTTTGGGCCGCGCGGTGGAACAAGCGTTCCGGCTCTCTTAGTTTACTTAAGTAGACTTGGTGGCGTCGCGACAACTGCCATTAAGTGCATACTATTCATTTCAAAACGACTCGAGTTGTTCTTCTCGAAATCTCGCACACGCGGCACCATGAGCTACTGTAAACTGGTCGGCCTCACGATAGCCCCGAGCCGGCCTAAACGCCTTCAATTGATATACGAATCAACTTATGTAGACTTTCGAGCCTTTTCTCGGTTCGTCTTCAGTCTATACGCATATAACATTACTTGTCATCAATAAGCACAATTATGGATGAAACAAACTTGGATCCAAGGGAAACCTGCAGATGTATCTTGGATGTCGTTAGGTTTAAAGAGCAATGACTATTCTAGCATGATGATGAACCGAGACGTATGTCTCACTTCCTTACATTCAGTCGTGGATCTCGACCAACCGGGTCAACGAGGGAAATCTTGGAAATAGAGAGAAAGGCGTCTGTGCGGCGAGACTACTATTATATTTGCCAGTATCGCTCTTGGGTTTGTTATGACGCTTCCTCGTGGAAGTTATAGTAAGGTGCACAAATTTCAGCCAAATCCTGCCAGGTCGTCTAGGTGGGATGGCACACACGAACATTGACTGCGCTATTTGCCTAATAATAAATTTGCACGATAGACTCAGTCATTCTGTCATATGAATGCAACGTATATATCATGTATCATAAAGGTGAATCTACCAATCTAGCACTCTTCAAAAGACACTCGCCTTGCTCCACTTGCTAGCTGCCCGTATCCTCTTCCCAAAACAGTAAAAGACTATCGGTACGGGAATCATGAGACAGGCAAAGCCAGCAAATATGCTAGTTCCAGGCCCGACCCCGATATTATGGTAGAGGGGTGACACGACGAGCGGAAAAGCTGCTGCAAAGCTGCTCCTCAAGAAGGTGTTGGCAGCGACCGCGCTCGCGGCATACATCTGAAACGTGTCGACCAGGTAATTTAATGCCGCTTGGAAAATGGTGTTGAATCCGGTACCGACTAGATACAGTCCAATAACCGGCACAATCCAATGAACCACACCTGGATCGGCTGTCCAACCGGTGATGAACAGACCTCCAGCGAAGAGGACAGAACCCAACATCATGGGTGGAAGTCGTTTCTCGGGGACTGCGCGGTTGCCAGCCGCATGGTAAGCTCTATTGTAGTAAAGCTGATTAATGATGTTGATGACAGCACCGGACAAAGAACCGAGCATGACTGCTAGGAAGGGCAATTCGGCAAGAAAACTGTTCCAACCCCGAAGCTCCCCGAATATGATAGGGACGGCACCAAGTTGCATGTATAGGATGCCGTAGCAAAAGCTCGCGTATATTGCCACCAAGAAGCAAATCGGTGTGCATAGAAGCTGCACAGGACGAACAAGAAACTTCCTCCCTAGCTCGGCAATGCTGACATCCCACTCCTCAAACTTGGCATGAAGCGCCCAGTTGCCGGTGTCGTGACGTAACCTCCGCGCCTTGTAGACGAGCAGCTTTGGGGGATAAGACTCGTCCACGAAGATGATAGCCATGAATAGAACAAACCCCTGGAGGATACCAGAGATGTACTCGGTCCATCGCCACCCAAGCCACGGCTGAGCCACGACGGCGGCCGAAACGATAGGTCCCAAGGTCGGGCCTCCGACGACCGCCATGGCATATCCAGCCATTGCGATCCCCCGTTGCGCTGGCGAAAACAGGTCTCCAAGGACACCGCCAGTGTTGGTGACGGGCGCGGCGGCAAAGAAGGCGCCGAAAAATCTTGTGATCATGACTGTCTGCAAGTCTTTGGCCACTGCGGTTGCAAAGGAGAAGCAGGTCGCTATGAACATGGGGGCGAGCACGGCGGTCCGGCGTCCGTATACTTCAGAAAGGGGCGCCCAAAGAAGAGGACCCAGGCCAAAGCCAACCAGGAACAGCGACGTGCCCAGCACTGCAACCTGCGAGCCAACATGGAACTCGTCCGCGACCTTCTGCGTTCCGGCTGAGTACGAGGATGATGCCCATGTGGCAGTCATTGTCACCAGGCCGTAGAGCAACGTCGTGGAGACCTTCTTATGCGTATTCCAGTTTAGGGGGTGATACGGGTCATCAGGCCCGTCGAAGTCGACAAGTTCAGCCTCCGTCGTCTTTGCCCGACTTAGAGGGTGTGTAAACCGGGGCACCGACGTTCTTGAACGCAACCTGGCCAGCATAGTATCTGTCCTCGCGATCTCGGGCAGATTGCTCCTTCCGCTGGTGCGAGACGCAGTCTGCTGTAGATCGCCATCACAGCGGCAGTGCCGATGCCCATCATGTTCCTTTTCTGTGTGTATGCCGCCCGAGTTTGATCTCACGGACCGAAGCCCGCTCGACGCAACGGAGGTCAGATCTGATGTTCGGTCCTCGAGAGAGGATGATGACTCTGGCATCTTGACTTGCAGAATCTTTTGTGAAGGCCTGGAAACTGCGGTGGGCTGTAGCTAACCTGTGATGGGACAACGACATCACTTGTCTATGTAAGGCGGCACCATTGCCATCTACACATGGGTCGTGTTTATTGAACCTCGAAAACCGATAAGCCGAGCTCGACAGTATTGTGTTAGTGACGTAACGACGGTCCTAGTTGGAGATAAGTTTCGCGTTCGCGGACTCGCTAGCCGGCACACTACTCGGAGCCGAAGCGGTTGCGGAGCCTACACCGGCCCAAAGATCATGCCAGCTCATTCACTAGTTCTTCATAATCATTTGCAGTGCTGATGCCGTCCAGAAAGCGAAACCGCGAGACTTAGTAAGTGATCCCCCGATGGGTCCGGGTTGCTCGGCTCCACTGTCCCGACAGTCAAGCGCCGCGCGTTGCAGACATTCCGATCCTCGCCGGTGCTGACAAACGTACTAAACCAACTGCGCATGCGGCAGCAAGAATTATTGGAAATATGCGCCGACGTAGATAACGTTGGCATGCCGCTGGCACATCTGCTGAGTGCATATCGTAGCAACAAGCTTGCTTTATAGAGAGTGCGTACCTAGGTGTACTACCTGAACATTCTGTCTTTTTGGACCGGATGACAACTAGTGGCACTGGGTGGACCAGACAGCTCCTCACCCTGAACGTATTCCAAGATTATACTCACGATGCAGTCGATGATAGGAGCATTAAATGGGGCGGTGAGCATTGCGCAGCCAAGACGCTCTCTGTTGCCCCATCATGACACATCTGACTGAGTGTGACTATACAGTGCAGTATATGTCAACAAACCGGCTGCAGCCTTAAAACTGGATTATCGATATGCACACAGAGGTTGCTGGACGACCAGGTACCGATGAGCAACAGTTGTGGTGTCGATAACACCCCGGTCCTCTCTACCATGGTACAGGCCGGTAGGCAGAAATAGAGTTTGATGGCGCCGTGCCAGGCCTTGCTCCTCGAGTACAAGTGTCATCGTACTTATCTTCCATTGCGGGAATGAAGACACAACCTTAAGATCTACAGTACCAACCCGTACCAGTGCTAGACCGGTGAGCCTGGTATGGGTGTAACAAGATTCCTGGCGAGGCTCTTTGTTTCTAGGGGGCAACGTCACCTCCAGCCTCCCAATAATGGTGGTGTCCAAACCTCGCGGCCCGTCGTTGGGAATCAGAAACTTTGTATAAGTTATTCGCTGAAGAGTGCTCTGGTGGTGAGTACGGTGATAAAGCTGCGGGTGCTTTTGGCTATGCTGGTTTAAGCTTTCTCTATGTGCTTCAGTGGCAGTAGGCTGATAAAGTCGATGAAGATCGTGGATGAGTGGCCGTGAGCGTTGCTTTTGAAGCTTGTTAGGTATGTACAATACTCCAGGCCCGCAAAATCGGCAGGGCCATGGTGAGGGCTCCCTTCTTCAGCTGCCAAGGTCCCCAGCCCGGGGAAGTTGCCGAGACCTCCCCTTATGGGACCATGCGGAACTTCTCCACGTCCCCCCAAGGTAGGGCTGGGCACCCACCGACTTCCAATGGCAGTCGACATGCACGACAAGCTCGCAGTTAAGAACATCCAAGACAACCAACCGGAAGAGGTGGTGAGCTAACCTAGAACGTGACGAGACAGGTGGCAAGCCTCTCACGCGAATTCTTCAGCAGATAGCACAGGCCGAGGATTCCTTCACATCTGTAATCGTGGAGAAGAGGCCTGGGGGCAAACGAAGTTCGTGCACCCCACGGTGAAGCTTTCCGACGAAGCCTACTCAGACTGGCGAGCCACTGCGATCCTACACCTTGTGCTGACTTTTGTATTACCTATATAGGTAATGTTGCCAATCACTCATCGGACGTGAAACGAGTCGCGGGCTCCAACGTAGGGTAGTCACTAGATAGACAAGACGCTCATGCAATAATTCACCTGCTCCCAAAGAATCTTGTAACCTCCCCGTGTGCGTGGGATGTGGGATGCAAGAGACCAACCCCTGACCGGGATGTTCTTTGACCTTGAATTTGGTTATCCCGCTTGCTAGAGTAGAGTTGATCCTTGCCCCAAGTGCCAAGTTGTCGTCCCACTACAGATGTCATCACCCACCGCCCGCCTATCCAGGGCCCCTCTCGGGAGGGTGCTCTAGGCTGGTTTAGGGCAAGCGTGCCTGGCATCGATTGGGCCTTGACCACCCTCCTCCAGCGGGTGGTGCCCTGGACGGCCCCAACCCTGCTGGGTGTAGCCAGGCTGCCAGGGTGCCCAGCGCCCGGTAACTCGCCCTCCAGCGTCCCCGGGCCTGCCCAGCGCCAACCTAAGGCTGGCCTGGGGCCCAGAGTCGTCTGGCTTCTGGATCAGTTTCCCTCCAGTTTCCATTCGATCCCATCCATCAGGCTCGAGCGAGCGAGCGAAAGCAGCAGCGAAGCAGAGAAACAAATAGCCACCGGGGACAAACGAATCTGGGCTGAGTTTCTCCGGCCGTAGCCTCAAGCAGCATCCATTCACTCGTGCCATCAGCTACTTCCGTGTTTTCCTGCCCTCTGAACATCCAACTCAGCAGCCCGCGATTAGTCAGTCCCTCGCGCCCGCCCTCCCGCTCTACCTCCCTCCCAGACTGTGAGTGAGTGCACCACACGGGCAGACGGGCTAGCTATCCTTCAAACCAAACCCCAGTCCGGGAGCGACTTGACAACAACCTGAACCACTTGGGATCAGGTGTCACAGCCCCCTTCTCTCTCCAAGCTGCTTGCTAGTCGTGCGGCATCGTCCTGCCCGTGTCATATTTCACGTCCGCAGGGCTGTCTGCATATGAGAAAGACCTGCCTGCACCTACGTAGACTCGCTCCAGCGCCCTCTACGTCCGACCCCACATACTTACTACCCAGGCCCAGGTACTGTGTGCCCATACTCTTGGCTCCCTCAGTCGGCCGGTCGAGGTCGCGGTGTGTTGTTGTAGTACTGTCCGACCCCGGGGCTCCGCTGCGGGTAATCTCAGCACCTTCGCCTGCTGCCGTCGCAATCTATCAATCCATTCAATTCAATCAATCAACCCGAACTCCATACCACCACCTATCTACCCGTACCCATCGCATCCCCCAGACTGTCGTCGCAGCCAATTACCTCTCCGATCTCCGGACTCATCATCACGGAGACCGACCCGGCGGTTTGTCTGTCGTCAATTGAGAGGACCTGACCTCTCCCCGCACAGTGGCAGCCATGGCAGAGACGGGGCGGTCGTCGGGTGGAGACCTGGCTTCGCGTGATGAGCCATCAACAACGACATCGCACCAGACATCCAAAGCCCCCGAAGCCGTGGAGATGGACACTCTGCCGCCCAAGTCCGACAGCAACCCCCAAGACTCTCCTGCTGCCGGTGCAGAAACAACGACATCCGCACACGACGCCGACGCCGACGCCTCCCAAATACCGCCTCCCGATAAGACGGGATCCCTCGGCGCCTCCCAGCCCTCTGCCAGCGATGCCGCAACGCCTGCAGCGCCCTCGGCAAAGGCCATGGGCAAGGCACCCGCCACAGCGTCCGAGCCGGCGGAACAGGACGCCATTGGCCCTGCCGATTCACATCAGGAGCCGGCCAGCTCGGGCGAGCTCGCCGTCGACATTCTCCTGATCCTCCCGCAGACCGGCAACCGGCATCCCTTCCGCATCAATGAAAGGTACCTCAAGAAGCGGAATGTGAACGTCACAGGCGTGACCGAGGATGGAAAGATGGACCCGTTCAGCATCACAGTCTATACGCTGAAGGAGCTGATATTACGGGAGTGGCGAAAGGACTGGGACACCCCCCCAAGGGAGCCCACGAGCATACGTCTGATCAAGATGGGCAAAATGTTGGATGATAAGCTGCCCCTAAACCGTACGTCTTGTCCTGTCTGTTTTCTCCCCCTCCCACAGAGCCCCAGCTGACAATTGCCGACGCAGAATACGATTTTACACCGACTGTCAAGAGTATAGTACACATGACGGTCAAACCTCAGGATATTATCGACGAGGAGGAGGCAAATAAGAGACTCAAGGAGCCTGGGTCCCATACTGGCCGCAGTGGGTGTTGCGTGATCTTATGAGCGTAGAAAACCAGGCCGGGGAGGTCGCCGGAGATACGGCCATGGATTTGTTTTTTCTTCGTTGGAATATCGGCCGGCGTGACGGAGTATTATCTCTTATCTGTGAGCACCATCGCGTGTGCCCTTCTACGGAACGCTCGGGCAGCCCCGGAGCGGGAACGGGAAAGGGCACGGCAGACTTGCTTGCAACTGCCGTCCGTCGTGGCTTACGATCAAGCATTGGCTACATAGCGGGAGCATTTATATGGGCAGTGCGAACCAGTCATTGCGGGAGAAGAAAGTTGCCAGAGCCTTGAGAATGGCTCGTTGGCGTCCCCATGACGAGACAAGAAGGACGCCGGGGGGGAACGGGGTCATCCGCCTGGCTGGCGCAGCGTTTTTTTGTCACTTGTAATTCATAGTCTCTCGGTTCAGGCCTCCAAGGAGAGAAAAGGGTACATGGGAGGCTGTGTATAGCTGGGTATGCATAGAATGCAGTTTTTCGCTGCTATTTTGGACAATACATGTTCTGATATGACCAAGACTCGTCCGTTGGCCGCTGACCCCTAGTGATATGGCCTGGAGGGGATGGCTAGGATGATGAAAGGCCGCGAGCATGGACACAGCAGGATCGTAACGGAACGGTTGCATAGCTTCTTCACAAGTCGTTGTGCGTTAGTAACGCGGCGAACTATTACGCCTCAGTTCGTGATAGTCTATTCATCTGGTCCTGGGTCGTATCGTACATGGACAGACGCAGTCCAGAGCCATAAGTCTTGCCCGTGGCAACCACCGACGCCAACCCGCTTCCGGGGTCATCACCCAGCATACGCTGATCGATCTCCGCCCACCACCGCTGTACTGCTCATCCCAGAGAAACGCCCGGGCGTCCCCCCTCTACATCTTCAGCTTGCGCTCCATCTCGTCGTGGATGCCGACGGCCGACTGCTGCTCCTCGCCGGTGAAGACGTCCTCCCAGTCGACGGCGGCCTCGCGGCCGCGCAGGATGTCGTCGTGGACGCTGGCGGCGCTCTTGCCGCCCGACAGCGCCAGCGGCCGCCACGAGCCGTCGGCGACGATCTTGGCCTCCATGCCGCGGCGGATGGGCTCGGCCATGCCGTACGTCTTGCGCAGCACCTCCATGCGCACCGACGCCTGCGTCGCCTCCCAGGCCTTGAGCCGCGACTCGAGCGGGTGCCGCGACACGGGCACGTCACTGCTGCTGCTGTCGGCACCCGAGGCGGCGCCCAGCCCGTGCCGGAGTGTGTCGTGCAGGCCCGGGGCCGACGGCGCGCCCGCGCTCCGCAGGTGTGTGAACGAGGTCGGGTTGTCGGCGGCGGGGACGATGCGCATAGACTGGGCAGAGGAAGTCAGCATGGGGGCTTTGGTGATGGGTGACGGGTGACGGGAGAGAGGTGGTCTCAAGTCCATAGGCAAAGAGACAGAACAGAGATAAAGCGTACCATTTTGGCTGTGATGTGAATGTGTCGTTGGCTTTGGGTATTGAGGGAGAACTCGGATGAGGTCTATTCTTTGAACGGCACGAAGGAACGAGACTCCGAAGCAGCGGGGGGGGAGGGGATGAAGAGAAGTTCGGAAGAGGGTGTTTGTTCGATGGTGATGTTGAAGCTGCTTGAAGCTCCAGTTGGTGGCCGTACCTACTGCGGTACCTTGGCCACTAAGCAGCGGCTGGGGCCTCGTCAGTGGGTGGGTAGGCTCCGAGCTGGACGCGAACGCCCTGGGAGCCTTGCCTTGGTGGCCTGACCCGCCTGAAGCCCGGCCCAACTGGACCATGTGGTGCCGAGCCCCCAAGCTAAACTCAGCGACCCCTGCTCCCCTGTCCTGGCCTGTTGCATAAGTGCATACGCTAAACCCCGACTATCCCCGCGGTGGGCCGCCGCCCGTCACCGATCACCGGGAGGCTGATTGACACAACCCATGAAGTTCGACTCCCAACTTTCCATAGCTTTGACTCACAGCCATGATTGCAATGTCTGGCACTCGCTTGACTGGTGCTCTGTTCGCGACGGTCAAGGGATGTCTCAATTGACACCATGCCGCCATCATCGACTCGTTTCCCCGTGGTGAGCATTGCCAATGGCACCTTCTACCGCCACCACCCCAATGCATCGTCCATCCACCCCAACCCGCCCCTGTTCAGCAACTTGAACTTCACTCTCCCCTCTGCTGCTGAACCGCCGAGGCATTGGTCCATCATTGGTCCCTCCTTGAGCGGCAAGACGACGTTCCTCCAGCTTCTGAGGGGCCAGCACCTGTGCTTCCCTCCCACGGCTCGGAGCTTTCCATACCTATCATCGGATAGCGTGCCTCTCAAACTGCGGGTCCCCAGCCGGGCCATTCGGTATGTTGGGTTCAGCAACGAGGGCTTGTCCACGGGCCCGACTACAGCTGCATATCTGTCCGCCCGCTATGAGTCCAAACGCGAGACAACAGATTTCTCTCTCCGTGACTTTCTGCTGGGCAACACGGAGCTGAACGCGCTCAAGCGAGACGATGAAGTACCGGATTCTGCCCTCGTGGACCGCGTAGTGAGGGATTTGAAGCTGGTGCAGTTGCTGGATCTCCCAGTGGCATTCCTGAGCAATGGGCAAGGCAGGAGAGCCAGAATTGCGAGAGCTTTGCTCATGGCTCCCGAGGTGCTGCTGCTGGATGAACCCTTCATGGGTCTTGACCCCCCTACAGTCGCTGGCCTCAGTCCGTTGCTTCACGGACTTGCAAGCAAAGCCAGCCCCAGACTTGTCCTGAGTGCCAGGCCGCAAGACCCAATTCCCGATTGGATTACCCACCTGGTCTACCTGCGGAGTGACTGTCAAGTTGGGGCGATTGGCGAGAAGCAGGAAGTTCTAGATAAGCTCAGAGAGTATGTCAAGGGTGTGTGGAATGGCTTGTCAAAGGAGGACGAAAAGCTAGCTGTGCATAACCTTGTGCACTTGGGCAAGTCTCTCACGGCGAACGGCATACAGGGAGAGGCATTGCTGGAAGAAGAAAGCACCTCTGCCGAGGAAACGGATTTGAATCAGGATTCGCGCTCTGCACAAACGATAGGAGCGCCGCTTGTGGAAATGGACGGCTGTCAGGTCCAGTACCGAGGCAAGATCGCCCTGGGAAACTGGACACAAGAAGTCGACGGCGAAGAGAAGACAGGTCTTGTATGGACTGTGCGAAGAGGTGAACGATGGGGCATCTTCGGCCCCAATGGTTCCGGAAAGACGACGATTTTGTCACTGATCTGCTCCGATCACCCCCAGACCTACTCTCTGCCCATCAGGCTCTTCGGTAAGAGCAGGCTTCCGGAGCCGGGTTCTAGTACTCTACCCCTGACAATCTGGGACATCCAGGCCCGTATCGGACACTCAAGCCCAGAGATTCACCAGCTCATTCCCCGCAACCTAACAGTGCGGAAGGTCCTCGAGAACGCGTGGGCTGATACCTTTGGCTCCAAGGCGTTGCTTGATGCTGAAAGTAAGGAGAAAGTAGACGCCGTGCTACGCTGGTTCGCACCCGAGCTCAATCCGGCGCATGCGGCATCGACCGAGTCGGCGCCCGAAAGCGACCTGAAGTGGGCGGACCACTTCATGTTTGGCGAACTGTCCTTCTCCGCCCAGCGCGTCGCCCTTTTCCTGCGCGCCATCATCAAAAACCCGGACATCGTAGTCCTCGACGAGGCCTGCAGCGGCATGGACGACGGCGTGCGGAACCGGTGCCTGCTTTTCCTAGAGCACGGCGAGGCCAAGACGTACGTGACCAAGGAGGACGGGTCCGAGGTCGTGGTCGACAGCGAGGCAGCCAAGTCCGGCTCGGTCAAGGTCGCGGGATTGACGCAGGACCAGGCGTTGATCTGTATCAGTCACGTCCGGGAAGAGATCCCCGACTGTATTCGTGAGTGGCTATGTCTCCCTGAGGCAAACTCGGGTGACGCCGCGCGGTTCGGGAGGTCGAGGGGCCCGCTCGGACGCGACGAGAAGGGGTGGAGGGACATCTGGGGCATGAGTATGTAAAGAGCATTGAAGTGGGCCTAGATAAGATGCATATACTATATAGACCTGATCTGAGGTTCATGATCCCCAGACCTGTTGGATTACCCCCGTCTCACGTGGGAATGCAGACAGCGACAGCCATTTCTTGTTCTCGGCTGGCCCCTAAGGCTTTCGAACATTAAATCTAGCACGAACATTGTCAGCAATTCGATTTTTTAAAAAGGGTGAATCTAAAGTGAAATGCTTGTACCATCTGCATGTCTCCGGAGCCCCAAGGATGACTGCGAGTATCATGAGACCACAAATAACGAGTGGGCCACGGCAGAGGAAAAGGTCAATCGTGTACAGATGTATTGATATTTGTAACCAATGCTATCTTTTCTTTACTCATTACTTCGTGTTTCTCCTTCGCGTATTCCAAAGTCCGAGAGAGTATCCGACCCAAAACCGGAGAGGATGTTACAAAGCGTCTCTGGGCTCCTGTCTCCGACGTCCGGGACTTATGTTTCCTTACGAAAAGAAACAGAAACCAACATAGGTGTCGCGTTTGAAGACGAAATAGGATCGCGCAGCCCAGGGATGGCCATCCATCACCGACAGATAACGCCGCCAACTTCCCAACGTGTACGTACACCGCGAAGACCTGCCGGGCTTCGTTACCGTGACCCGCCTTGGGGTAAGCCTGCTCACCTGCTCAGGGCTATCCAGATATACAAAGAGTCCTCGATGTTCAGAATTTAAGGTGTCCTCTTCGACCAGTAGCCCGCACGAACTGTGGGGTCGTCTGAAGGCACCATCCCCATGATACATAGCGCAAAGACTTTCAGACGTCTTTCGGTAACACTGGTTTTCGTATACGGTAATATTTGCTGCCGACAAATGCCCAGCTCTTTTTCATGACAGGGGAATTTGCAAGCGATTTCATGACTTCTCGCACCACCATCGCAAGTGAAAATCCGACTGCGCGTACGGCTCCTAGGGAGGTACGAAGGATGGGAAATATCGTTGCACGGCGCGATCCAATAACTTGATGCTGACAGGCTTGACATAGAAGTCATCGGCGCCAGCGCCCTCGGCGTCCAGCCTGTCTGATGGGCTGTCTTGGCCAGTCACGATGGCGATGACACTTCTATCCCACTTGTTCTGGTCCTCCAGTATTCGTATCTGCTTGGTGGCATCAATGCCATCGCAGACTGGCATCTGAAGGTCCATCAAGATCAACTCGATTGGAGCATTTTGCCCGGCGGCTGAAGAAGACTGATGCTTGGAGAACAACTCTACGGCTTGCGCACCGTCAGTAGCGCATAGGAACGGTAGTCCTCGCTTCTTGCAATACATCTGCATAATGCGGAGGTTGACCGTGTTGTCATCGACAAGAAGCGCCGTGGGTCTAGGTGTACTTCTGAGTGTCGCAACGATTGGAACCGGAATCCCCGAGTCTTGCGGAGTATTTGTTGCAGGAGAAGTGCCGATGGCCAAGCTTGGGCTAACTGGGATGATTTTGATCGATTGAGCCATGTCATGAGACAAGTTGACCAGCGATCCGATTCCTTTATCTTTACTCAGCCTAGCATCCATGGCCGCAGGGGTAAGTGAGGGCTCATCGCGTTGAATTGGGTGTGTTAGCGACGGTTTGATCTTTACAACGAGCCCATCTGCTTCTTCAAGTGCAGAACTTATGGTCGAGGTCAAGAAAGGTCCACGAACGTAGACTATGTTACTAGGAGTTCCGTCTAGTGGAAACTCGGCTTCCATGACTGGAATTAGACAGAAGGCAACTTGTTCTGGTGGGATCTGTGAAAAGTACGCCCGGCGCTGTTCCAGGGCAGGGACGAAATCCAGAATGGTAAAGCAGTCCTCTGTGCCGTCCGATGGTGCAAAGCCTTGTTCAGTAAGATATCCGCTGAAATGTGTGTATAGAGAGGGGTTCTCGAGACCAGGGGCTTTGTAGTGGAATCTTGAGGGGAGATTCTTGAGTTTCGAGGCTGACTGCTGTGATGTAACAGGCGAGGACACGCTATGCACTTCCCGGAACTCGGCTCTGAAATGGGAGCCTTGTCCAATCCCGGATGACACTAGAGTAACAGAGCCGTGAAGTAGTGCTGCGAATTTGGACGCGAGAGTGAGGCCGAGGCCGGCACCCGTGGAGTGGCTGCCAACCTTTTCGTAGGGTTCAAATATGCGTTGTTGATCATCCGGGTGGATTCCACAGCCAGTGTCCTCAACGTCGACGACAAGCTCCTTGCGGTCTGGTCGTAGTGATGTGGTCACCACTACAACACCCTCTGAGGTGTTATGAATGGCATTGAGAATAAGTGGGAGTACACTGTCCCGGAGTAGACTCAGATCAACCCGAAGATTATCATAATCGGCAGGTACGTGATGCTTGAAGAAAACGGAAGCTTTGTAACGTGTGTCGCCCGAAATCGCCGCTAGCATCTCATTTGCCAATTCAGTCTCGAGTTGGTCGATGGTGTGAACATCATAGTGACGGTCCTTCATGGCAACGTCAGACCACCTGTTCAGAGTAATCATGCTGTTGACGATTGAAATCAGGTCTCGCCCCGCCATTTTGATAGTGTCGAGGTAGATGGAGGGCTGGCCAGACATGGCTGCAGGCGCCGCTTCCAGCATTTTCGAGACCTGGTCGGCGGTTTCGCGCAAGTTGGTTTGCTTTAACTCCTCGGCCAGGAGTTCTGCAGACCCCAGGATGCCATGAATCGGGGTTCGGAGCTGATGCGAGAACCCTCGAAGGAACTTCTCCTTTGCCACCAAAGCTTCTGCTAGAAGGCGCTTTTGCCACGTCTGCGAGAGCATAACCGCACAAGTCTGAACAAACCAGGAATCGATATCATCAAATACCAGCCGCATATCTTTAGACCCCACGACGAGTAGGGATTGACCCGAAATACTGTCGCACGGGGCAGCGATGATGCGTACAACCCGATTACAAGGGAACTCCAGATGGTTCGAGTTCTCAATAAACTCGTCAAGGTAGTCAATGTCTTCCCACAAACCATCTTCAAGGTCTGACGGTGAAATCGGGTCTCGTCCGTCAACTTCGATCTTAGCGGCCTTGGATGACTGGAGGCCGATTACTGCGTCTGGATACGTATCCCGGAGTATCCTGAGGATAGGCTCCTCCGGGGTGGCTCCATCTGTCTGTGCCTGTGCCTGAGCGAGTCGTTCGGTCATCCGATGCCGCTCTCGCTGGCGTCTTGCGCGCGCGCAGTGTATGATGCTGGACACGACCCAATCGGCCAGGTGCGCGAGCGTGCCCTGCTGCGACTTGGTCAAAGGAGGTTGCGCGGTGGCCGAGGCTACACAAAGCGACCCGAGGCCAACGGCGTCGCCAGATTCGTGATGCAAGCGAAGCGGCACACCAGCGTACGCGACAAGACCGCCCGATTCAACATAAGGCGACTCCCGGAATCTCCAGTCCTCCATCATGTCTGGCAATAGAAAGACGCTCTGGCAGGCGAGGGTTGGGTTAGCATAATCTCAGTATAGAGACCAATAACGTGGGACTTGACAACGTACACTAGGAGGCTGAGTCACAGTGTGTGCGCATATGGTTTCACCTCGCGGGAGGATGCTTAGGGGAAGACCAATCGTGGCCAGGCGGATGTAGACATTGACATCAAGAAGGCCGAGGACAACATATTCCCAGCCAGTCGCTTCCTGGGCCAGCAAGACCTTCTCGCGGAGCCCGCAGAGGAACTCGCCCTCGTCGAAGATGTCGCGAGTGTAATACCAGAGCATTGAGAGGCGCAGCCGTTCGTGCTTGGAGAGAAAGGCACGCAGATACTTGTCGGCGAGGCACTGCGTGGGCCTCTCGGGGATCGAGGCGGGCGCATGGTCATCTGCCTTGGGGGGATACAGAGACTCTGCTTGGCCGTCGGACCACGGCGCAAGGGGCTTGTCGAGGTTGTCCCGGTCGAAGATGACAAAGGTCTCGGGACGCTTGGGCGGGGGAGGCGCATTTTTGGCCGACAGGACAGCGGCATCTGCCTTGGGGACGAAGCGCAACCGCCGACCGCTGTTGGAGATCGCCGCCATGGATGTTGAAGTGGAAGGCGAAGCGATTCCAACGAAGGCGGTGGTGTTATTGTCGTCTGGATGGGCGCGAGACCATGGCGAGAAGTACGGGTGGTGGTGCGTGGAAGGTTGAGACCGTGTGGGACCGCTGCCGGGTCTGTATTTTCTGGGCTAGGTAACGTTAAGGTGCACGCCTGCTCCGGCTGGCAGTAAATGCCGTCCAAGAGCCCTGAGCGAACTAGCCTCTTCTCTTTTAATGACTTTGGCACCGACCGGTAGGAGGGCTCCCGGCGACCTGGGACCAGACACACTCAATGCACGGCAAAGCACACAACAAACACAAGTCCGTCTTCCCGTCGTGTATGGAGTATAGGTCCCTGGCTCGCCTGGGGAGGCCCTGTGACGTACCTGTGGCCGTCTCGCGGTCTAGACTCGTCTGGGTCAGGCGAGGTATGGGGCGCGGTGGAGCCCTTTTGGCAGGGTTTGGCAGGGTCTGGCAGGGTCTCAATGCCTAGGTCTCGTCTGCCAATCAAGCCTGTCGACACGCAGATCCTTACCCAGTTGCGGCCTACGAGCTTTTTCTTTCTTGCTGCTCTGGAACGCTGTTCCCGTTGCAGTAGTCCTACAGCCAACACAATAGCTAGAGCCCCGAGGTGCGCATTGCTCCGGCTTCTCCATGGTCGATATTTGCGGGCTGTAAAATCCAACAAGGTCACGGCAGAGTGCGCGGCGAGGGCGAAACTTATACGTCAAGCAGCTTGCGCCCCGGCCGCAATCGCAAGATCGAAATGATCTCCAGTCTCGGCTTAAACTTGCTGTCGCTTACTTCCTTCCTCTCTCCTGCTCAAACATCCAAAGCGGCCCGAAACCCATTATCTAGCGGCGGTCATGGGAGTCAGCAGGACTTGACTTAAGAGTTTGGTGCCAATCTATCTCCCTCAACCTGCGAAAAAGGGCAAGCCGGGTTAACCGTCAATCTTCTTGCCTTAATTGGACTGGATGGTTTTGGGGAAGCCCCCGCACTGTTGGCACTGTTGGCTCTGGCATCTATCCCCGCGGCGCACCCAACGCCGAATGTAAGCCACATCCATGGATGCTGGGACCCGGCGGGATGGCTATCAGATCATCTGCTTTAGCTCCATCTCATGATATAGTGATGCCGTGAGCCACTCCTGCGAAACCACCCTTCGCTTTCCACACATCTGAATAACCCATCGCTGGTTGCAATGGTGGCCTTCCCTCAATTCACCCGTCTCCCTCCTGAGCTGCGCCGCCAAGTCTGGAGGTTCACTGTCCAGCCACGGGAGCTCGTCCTGAACTCATGTCTGGCGGAGAACGGGGAGCTCCAATACTTCGCCAGCGATGACATCCCCGAGCTGGTACCGGCGCCCCTTCACGCATGCAGCGAATCGCGCGCGGCCCTGCAGTCCCTGTACCACAAGGCCTTCCGGTACGGCGCGCGCCCGCGGTTTATCTGGGTCAACTTCGAGGCCGATACCATCCGCACGTCGGATGTGTACGTGCGGCTGTTCGTCGCCGAGTATCGCTACATCCGGCATCTAGTGGTTGAAGCGCGCAACTCCGAGGTCCTACGCCGTGACTACGCCACTCTCGCCCGGCTGCGCGCCCTGCAGTGCCTCACAATCCAGGTCCAGAGCATCATCCAGCATGACTGGTTCGGCTGGTTCGCCCTGCTGGAGGAGTTCCGCTGTTTTGGGACGTGGGCCGAGAGCGTTGAGGTGACCATTATTGACGACTCGGGCGAGGAGTTGGCTTCGCGGAATCTGCCCAGACACAGACTTGAAGCCGGCGAGAGGATGGCCATTGCGGCGATGTATTCGCCGTCCGTTCACTCTGACTGGTTGGAAGCGAGTGACCCGTAGCAGAGGCTCGGCCATGTAATGGAGGGTTCGCCGACGAGGCCAATTACACTATGCTTGCCCTCCGAGTGAAGACCTTCATTACTGAGTTCGACAAGACTGCTCAGCTTTGATACATGGTTCATGCCAGTATTGGCCATTTGGCTACAGATCTGGGCTGTTCAGATGTATTATGGCCAATACCTAGGTGCAGAGTGGATTCTTGAGTGGCTGAAGGCTGCAACACCCGTCAGCTCCCTCATTTGGTGCAACAATGGGTTGGGTAAGCCATTGTCCAAAGTATAGCAATGGCGGTGGAGACCAAGAGTACCTGGCTGAAGCAACATAGGGGACATCGTGATATTAGATCTGTCAGCCAGTTTGCCTTCAATCTCTCTGGTCCTGCCCTCTCCGCGCCTTTCGTTGCCCATTCCTGCCAGATCGCGCAACACTTCATGGTGTGTCGCATCGTCTGCTCACCCCCGCCGTCGCCGCCCCTAAAATCTATGCCGACAAGGGACAGATATGAGGAGCACTGTTTTGGGGTCAACCGCCACGCTGCATCAATACCGACCGCTACCACTGGCTGTAGATCCGCGCGCGTGTGTGCCAGGTTGATCTGCCAACTATAGCTACAAATGGTCCGTTGACAGCTCACGAGTTCGGCCTGTCTTACACGACTTCTCTAGCTGATGTTTGACCGTGCAGGAACTCACTGGTTATTGCTTGATTGACAATGAACTGAAGGCATACCATATGGTTGGCTTTGGCCGTTAGCCCATGCGAACCCCTTGATGGCGAGAAGACTGTATATGCATCAGGTATGGACACAGCGGGAACCGGGGGCAAGTACCCAATATATATCGGTGAAATGCGTTAAGTTGGTGTGAGAAACAGCCTATAGGCATATATTTCAATAAGGACCAAGTTTAAGCTGTTGTGCACAGCCTAGACATCAGGTTTGCGCCACTCACTATTGTAAGTCCGGGTAGGGTGGTGCACTGAGAGAATACACCGGCGACGATAACAGTCATATTGTACAGCGTGAAGTAAGACGGTAACTTCAAAAGAGATACTTACAAATGTTACGAAACTATTGCAAATCGGACCCTATACCTGGTCGGAATGTAGCCCAACCGTGAATGGAGCGTTGTACGGTGTAGCCCGTTACAATAAATTGCTGTTACCAGATAAGGTAAGTCAAAACTAGCTAGCTATAGGGCTTAGGCTCCACCCTAAGTTCCCTTAGAATTGATGATTCTTACACATGCTTTTCACCCCCTATACATCGTACCAGTGTAAATTATCAAAGCTTATGGTAAGAAACATAGATTGTGTACGGTACTCGAGTGCGAGGATACTATCGACCGACCGTGTACAGCTGATGCACAGCTGCCGCGGGCTAACCACCTGTCAAGGGTCACCTCCTGATTTTGTTACGTGTAGCGCAACACCTACTTGTCAAGCACTACCTTCAAGACTGAGAAAGTGGAGTGAGGCGGGCGTGCGACCTTCTTCACTACGACTCTATTATCGACGGACTTTAGTCATGTCTGCAGATGAGCATAGCTTCTCTCACCGCTCCCATACAGAGTGAAAGTAAGAAGATCCATAGTGTGCGCAGCTTCTCCCTATGAACAGGCCGCTCACCGGACCGATCAGGCAGAACCCGGTCCATGATCCAGGGCTTGGTGTTATGTTTCTCCATGCCAAGCAGCAGAGGATTAATAATGCGCTTGCAGTCGATATCCTGCCAGTCTTGTAGCACGCGACAGAGGACATAAGCATTGGGGACCTTCCGAGCGGGAAGCTCCGGCGGGTGCGTGAAGAAGTCATGCGCCTGAAACGGTACCCAGTCCTCCAGACAGTTAACCTCATCAGTTTCTTGGCTCGTTCTTCGTTTGGCGGCTGATCATGAACTATGAAGTGCACATGCGGCACGTGCGGTGCCAATTCCATCTGGAGATGCCCGTTGCCTCCACCAACATCCACCACTGTTGTGTCCCTGCTTAGTGATCCCAAATGGAAAGAATCGAAGAGTGGGGATGATGAGCCAACGTTATAGCGGCTCGAGATACTATATATCGCTGCACTGTATCTCTGTAGCCCTCAGCCCTCTCGCGCGTCTCTTAACTGTGACCATAGGTCTCTGCCTCGACCCGTCGGGTCTGCTGGTTTACAGCGTACACTGACCCTGCCATGCTGTCTGATCGGATTGCATTGGTGGTCTCATAGATCCCTTGATCAAATATCTTACCAAGCCTGGGTTCGATCCATGCGATCGATTCAGGCATTGCGGCGCTCAAAACCCGTGTTGGCCACGTTGCCGTTGGCCGTTTGACGAAACATACCCATGAAGTACCCGAACTTGAGCTGTTTATCAAAAATAGATAGTTTATTCACGCCGACCAGCTTTGCCAATCCAGTAACAGTAACTTCACCGTTCTAAGACACTGCTTCAGCAACACCGAGGGAGTCAAGAGCCTGCAAGACGTCGATCTCAGCTGCTTGCGGTCCAGAGTAAGTATCCAAGATATATGGCCCCAATGGAGGATGGGGAGTATCTGTGTTTGCTCGATAAGTGCTGAGCGAGTGCTCTGGCTGACAGGTTAAGCTTGGGTATCGGACCAATCCCTCCGTCCTGTAAGGGAGAAAGACGGCTAGCGCAGGTGAGAATCTGTCAAGATGTTTTCAAGGGCGTTTGCTAAGTCGTGTTGTTGACGTCCTTTTGGATTGCCTCTCGATTGCCCTTGGTTTGAAAGGAGATGTTCTTCTCCAAAAGTTCCATAACCATCAAGAGTTTTCGGACACCATACTAGCTCTTCTTAGTTACCCTGACCAGCTTACTCACCAAAAACATACCGATGTGGGCTCCCTGACGGTTCTGTTTAGTGAGAAATGGGGTCTTCAGGTTGTTGCGCCAAAATCTGGCAAGTGGGAGTGGGTTCAACCCCGAAAATATCAAGCTGTGATCAACGTTGGGGGACGCTTCGATTTTTCATCGACAAGAAATTATATTCATGCCTACACAGCGTCATCAGAGAAGGACGCGCAAGTAATAAAGGGCACCGATATTCCATTGCTTGCCTGCTTCGTCCAGACGAGAGAGCCTTCTTCAAGGACGCCGACGGTTTGCCGCCAACAGACAAGGATTTTGTCAGCACCAAGTATCACTTCTATTCTGCGCCGCACACGGAACAACAGAAAAGCACTATGCTGACTGGTGGGATAAAAAGTGTGTTGGGAGTCGAAGCGTTTGAACTTTCTATATTCGCCACTTCTCGTTGTTCATGCTTCCGGTATTATTCCCCGTACATTCCATTACGGAGGATCTGCACAGGGATAATTACTATGGTATTCCACAGGTTTTGAGCCTAACTAAGTACGGTAATCTGTTCCGAAGCCCACAGGCTTGTTTGGTGTCTCTTTATGTAGTCACTTTTACGGCAGATTTTGAAAAGAGGAAATGTTAATTTCGAAGGACCTAATATATATGATACTATACATATAAAATAGCATATAAATTCTTAAAGATTTGATCGTAAGTTATGAATGTCCTGTAATGCTAGATTATCACGCGCCATTATACACGATATCGGGCCGCAGGAATAGAACCTCTTCGTGCTCGGCACCCCATGTATGTGATAGGATTGCGTATGGGGGGACGGTGCCTTCCAAGAATTCTTCCAAAACCTTTGTCTTGACGTTGACGAGGCGCATTGTGATCGGGTTTTGGGAGCTTAGCCGTGGGCCTGGACGGAGGCGACTGAATGTTTTAGGTTCCTTTGGTCAACAACATAGAGCTCTAGTTCATCCGTGTGGCTCTGGTTTGGCAGATCGAACCTCATCTAGCAAACCTAGCTACTTGAAGCAAAGGATGTGTGGATGTCAGCTCCACGAGGCCTCGCGAGCGCAGCCTTGCGCGAAATGATTTTCCCCCAGCCCCATGGATAATCTCGTTTCTAGTAATCTAATGCGGCACAGTGACACGAGAAACATATCAGACGGACCCCAAGCCAATGCCGAGACTGAGTTGTGGAACTTGGGGTCCGCGAACTTGCGTAGCATGCATATGTGTTCAGATCAAGTTAACCATGCCTCGATGTTCTGGCATATTCCCATAATGCAATATATGGGCACAACAAAGCCTGTTTCGCTCTCTAAACAGCCAACTACTGCAGTCTTCCGAGTTGAGGGTAGGTAAGATCAGTCTGGAGTTGACGTCCACATCTCCCGTCCTTGCTGTTTCAAGTGAACGGCCTTTTCAGTCATGTTACACAATGCGAATGGGATTGATCCACAGACACGGTATCTCGAGCCGCTGAGCCTGACAGACAACATCCTGGACGGCTTCTGGAAGAGAAAGAAGGCCACCCTGTCTCTTCTCGACGCGATCATTCAGTGAACACTGTTGCTGCGTAAACACATATATTTATTGGCCCTAATAGCACGATAATACACAGCACGTGGCACATAAGCCAATAATCCCAACGAGCTGGCAGTGTTACTGTTCATTCGCTACCACTATGACCCGTTCTCCAGTCCATGGGGCATTAACCAGTAGTCATGCTCCAACATGAGTCATGTCACGTTGGCGTGGCCAATTGCACGGCACGGCTATGGCAGTTGGCAATAATTCTTCAATTGGCGCCTCGGCAACATCAAACTACCTGTTTCGCATGGGCACTTCTCTACTATGTCCTATACTTCCAATGGGCCCAGTAGCTGACTGATGGGCAACTCGCAGTGTCTCGGACGCGGCGGGATGCAGCTGGCAGTAACTCTGGAACCTGTGGACAGCTGTGGTTTACGAGATAAGATAAGAGGTACCTGACCTCGTGCCCCGCCATGAGCTCCCAGTTATTCACACACTTGTTGATCCCCGACGCTTTGCGTACCAACAAGTAGCATCTGCCATATTCCTTTTTTTTGAGGCTATAAGACCAAGTCGTTCATCGACAGAGTTGAACATATATATTACGATCCATATCGTGTTGTCGTTGTGTAAGCGCCAACCTTAGGGCCGTATCTCGACAGGTGAATCACCTACCTACCCGGAAGAGTCCGCGATCGGCCCCCAAGTGAGAACCATCTCACCCACGTCCAACCTGACGCGGAAAATTTAGCCCATGCTTCTTGCGCGGCTGCGATCAGTCAATCGATTCCGGAATCTTGTCGGTTGTTACGGCCAGTACTACGGGAGAACCTTCACTTCGGTTGCCCGTCAACGATCGCAGGTGACTCAAAGCACCCCGCCCCCTCTATCGCACAAGAGCAGTAAGATGGCCCCCGTCAAGATGGAGCCGCCGCCGCCGCCGCCGGTGACCACGGCCGGTGACCTGGTCGAGTCCGCCAAGCGGGCCGCGGGCCGGAGGGCCGTCGCCGAGCACCTGGACACGGCGTACAGGCACATCGGCATCGGGTCCGGGTCGACGATCAAGTACGTGGTGGAGGCCATCGCCGAGCTACCCGCATCCCAGACGAGCCAGATGAAGTTCGTGCCGACGGGCATCCAGTCCCGCGAGCTGATCCGCGCCGCCCGCCTGCCCCTGCTCGACATCACCGACCTCTTCACCGAGAAGGAGTACGAGGACGCCCAGCAGTACATCGATGTCTGCTTCGACGGCGCGGACGAGGTCGACCTCGAGCTCAACTGCATCAAGGGCGGCGGTGCCTGCCACCTGCAGGAGAAGATGGTGGCCAACTACAGCCGCAAGTTTGTCTGCGTTGCTGGTGAGTCTCTTCGCCCTCCCTCCCGGGGAGATAAAAAGAATGCTGACTGGAGGCCACACCCACAGACTACCGCAAGCAAGTGCCCAGGCTCCTGACCAACTGGGTTGGCGTGCCCATCGAGGTGTCTCCCAAGATCACCGAGGGCGTGCGGCGCGGGCTGATCTCGATCGGGGCGCAGAAGCCCTTCATCCGTTCGGGACTACCGGGCAAGGCCGGCCCCGTGGTTACAGACAACGGCAACCACGTCATTGATGCGCCGTTCCCGACGCTGCTGCTCAACAGCGAGGCCCACCTGATGGACCCCTCGCGCGGCATCTGGACGCCCGATGCCCTGCTCAACCGCATCAAGCAGATCTCGGGTGTCATCGAGGTCGGCATCTTCACCGGCTACGACGGGCCTGAGGCCCGCGCCGCCGGTGCCAACGCCGCCCGGGCGGCGCAGAAGCCCATTGTGGTCTACTTTGGCATGGCGGACGGAAGCGTCGAGACCAAGTACGCACAGAAATAAAGGAGGCGGGTATTATAGCGATGGGCAAGTCTAAGCATGCCTCAAGTACTTGCTTGAACGCTGATCCATAACTATATACGCCGGGACGGCGGTGTCTTGCCAGCTGCCCGTGAGTTTTACCAAAGGGGTGATGCATGGATTCAAGATAGGAAAGAAGCCCTCTTAAGCATAAGAATAAACTGCCTAAAACAGCGACCGACATTACTACGTCGCTGCCGCCCCGTCCTGAGTCAATTTGCCCCTGATGGTTTAGGTACCGAGGCCCTTCCGGTTCGTAAATATTGGACCAGATTGGCAGTGGAGACGCTCGTAATCTTGGAAAATGGGGGACTAGAGACTGTAATTAATACTGGGTTTGTTGTCCCAAGTTCAGAGTCAAGGGCATAGCTTTGCGCTCACTCTCACAGGGTGGCATCCTGGTTGTACGAGAATGACGTATACAAGGCTATATTTCGCGTATATTAAACCGAGGGCACAGGATCTTCTCCAAAGGAGACGGCACAAACCACCATCATGACAAACAAGTAGACCTATATACGTCACCAACACTACCGTAAAGGACGCCCCGTGCCGTCTTTCTGTGTACAAAAGTGTGAGCTTTCGAACTCCCTCAAGACGAGAAAGAGCGAGGTGTCCCAGTCAAACGCGACAGTGAACGCACAGGTTCCATGGCCAAGTCTAGACATGGTAGAGCGAAAGCAAAGTATTACATATACTAAAATGTCATATAAGGGGACGGTAAATGCTGGCCAAAGTGTTTTTCTGTCGACGGATCTCCTCTCCTATCCATGCAATGCGGTGAACAATTCAGTGGTAGCCTTTGATCCTCCCGCCCCCTTGGGGCTCTGGTCTCTCTCGCTTTCACTCTCACTCTCTCTTGATTATTATACAACACCAATGGCTGCTCTTCTAAGTCACTACCCGCAATGATATCCTGTCTTCTAAACCCTGTCGGCGGCGGAGTCTGGTTCGCCTGATCGCAGGCACATGGTTATATTATCGACTTTGAGGGCTTGGGCTTCCCGCGTAGGGATGCATCGAAAGGTGCAATTCGATCGCGCTCTAGCATGCGCAGCCTTCCTGCTGTGTGCTTTGGGCGTTGGTCTTGACGTCGATCACTGTCGGTCAGTGGTTAGCATTGACCTATCGGGGATTGCCGCATGCTCTTTTCACCAAAACATTTTCATGACGTTATGAAAAGAACACCAGGTGTAAGGGCAATAAAGGACTAAGGCGAAGGAGGACGTACTTTGCGAAGCAGCCTGGGCCGCGGTGTCGGTGCCCTCCATGCCGGGCAGAGCCTGGGCTATCCTCCGGAACAGGGTCTTGACGTTGTGGCCGAGCTTGGCGCTGGTCTCGACGAACATGAGGTTGTTCTTCTTGGCCTCGTCCTCGCCCTGCTGGGTCGTCACCTCGCGCTTGTCGTTCAGATCCGTCTTGTTGCCGACCAGGACGATGATGACGTCGTTGCCGCGCTCCGCCCGCACGTCGTCTATCCACTTCTTGGTGTTCTGGAACGACTTGGCGTCTGCGCCCATGTCAGCTTCTTTTTTCTCTCTATCGATGTGCAACTCGGGGAGCTAGGTCGGTCGGCCAGGGATGGGACCGAGTGGCCGAACGGGGAGGTGGGAGGGGTTCCCTACTTGAGATGTCGTATACCACGACGGCCACGCTCGAGTCACGGATGTACGAGGGAATCAAACTCCTAAATCTCTCCTGTCCCGCTGTGTCCCAGAGTTGTAATCGTACGGTTCGGTCTTCGAGGTACATGGTCTATGAGGCCGGAGTATTGGGTCAGTTGCTGCGTTCCCTTCCCTCCTCAACCATACCACAGAGCGATGCCCAGGGGTCTTGCCTTGGAAAGAAAGTCAATGCCAATGGTGGCCTGGTACATGTTGTCGAACGAGTCGTACATGAACCGCGTTATCAGCGATGTCTTGCCCACTAGGTTGCATTCAAGTCAGAAGGAGGTCCCGATCGGTATCCGCCGCGGCCACCTGGGTGACAGAGGGGGGCATATTGGAACGTTGGACGTGATGCATACCGCTCTGTTCGCCAAGAAACACCAATCTGAAGGGAGAGCATGATCAGTACAAGCGTATCTCGGGTGAGGGTGTCGGACGTGGAGAGGCCGGAGGGGTGGGTGTGGTTACTTGAACTTCTTCAACGGGTTGTTGTACGACCCGCCTGCCCCAGCTTGAGCCATGTTTGCGATTCGGTGTCGGTCGGGGGAAGTGCCAAGCGAGATGCGCGTCAGGGCCGTCAAGTCAAGGCTGAGTGGCTAGGTAAATAAGTAATGGTGACGGGTTCGTGGGCGGTTGTCGGAAGACACGGGCGTGGCCGGGGGAGGAGGAGGATGAAGTCTGCGAAAAGGTGCGGTTTCGTTGCGGTGCAGCCGTAAGTCAAGTCACTGGTCAGTCAAGTCGGTCGGTCGGTCGGTCGGTCTACCTGAGTTGAGTTGACTCCAGCGGTCTTCGTTGAACGGCTATTGGTACGAATGCGGAAAGGGGGGCGCGGCTGGACGGCGATGGTGGTTCCTTTAGCGGTGGAGCGTGGGAGCATGGGGGAGGGAGCATGGAGCTCCCTCTCTCTCTCTCTCCTCTGTCGGTTCTCCTTGGGAACTGCTGGGGACTCAACTTATCGGTGCTGCCACTGGTCAAAGGATCCAATGGATAGACGCAGGGGATTTGCAGACGTCAAGGCTGCTCGCCAAATTCTGTATTAGTGACAGAGAAGACTCTATGCGTGGGAAATCACATAATGTACCTTTACTTTCTCTCTCCAAGCGCAGTATTGGCAGCCTGTCTGCTAGGCCCAGATGTCCCGGGTGTGATCGACTCTCAAGAACTAGATCTTAAGCACTAACTCAGATCTACCACATTGTCACATGGGCTTGGAAGAAGAAAGACTTGAACTGTCCACCTCCGCATTTCCTCTTCCCGTTCGTCAGCCACCGACGCCGACCGGTATGGGCATGGGCCTCGACCACGTCGGGAGTCCATGGCGTTCTGGTCCTACTCTGCACAGGATCGCCAGGTGACTTGACTTAGGGGGCAGAGGGGTCAGGCTAGGTACGTACATAGTAGTCTGGCGGGCCCCGACAGTTGGCACCTGTGGCCTCCAGTCCAGTGGCTCCACCTGCAACTGGTGGATCACCATACCGCCTGGGCGGCATCCCCCGTGCCCCACCGGCTTGGATCCGATAAGAGATTTATTTTTTGCTTATCGCTTGACATCCCCCGTCCCCCAAAATTTCGAGTCTGGGTGGTCGGGCTTGACTACTGCACCGCACCTACAACTGCCCGCCAATCCTGCCCGCCGGTCTCTTTTCTGGCGACATCAACAGTCTCTTCCTGTAACTTGCGAACTTCAAGTGCGCAGCAGTCGACCGGAACGATGCCTGTTATCAAGCCCTTGGCCGGGTCGCCCGATGCGCCCGCCACGCACAAGCAGCCCTCGAGAAAGGGAAAGAAGGCCTGGAGGAAGAATGTCGATGTCACCGAGGTGCAGAAGGGTCTCGAGGACCTCAATGAAGAGATAATCAAGGGGTATGTCGTGGCCCACTCCAAAAGACTTTTGAAATCACCAACCTAACCCTGCGCAGTGGTGTCGTGGCAGAACGCCCGTCCGATGCACTCTTCACCCTCGATACGGTTGGCGATGCTGCCATCCCCAAGAAGTTCCCCAAGCACACCGCCAAGAAGCTCAAGTCCGACGAGATCCTCTCGCTCCGGTCCGCCGTCCCCGCCATTGACTCGCGGAAGCGGACTGGAGACAAGACTACCGACGGCATCGTCCCCGGGAAACGACAGCGCACGGGTTACGTCACCCAGAAGGAGCTTTCGCGCCTGCGCAAGGTCGCTGACGGACAGACCGAGACCACCGTCGAGTTCACAGATACCGTCTATGACCCCTGGGGTGCCGAAGCCGCGCCCAAGCAGCCCGAAGGAAAGGTCTACGATTTCAGAGACGACGAGAGGAGAGCGCCCAAGTCCTTCGCCCAGAAGCCCATCTCGCTCGCAGCCACGGGCAAGACAGTGCCGGCCGTAGCCAAGCCCACCGGTGGTTACAGTTACAACCCTGCCTACAACGACTACGAGGCTCGCCTGCTGGAAGAGTCCAACAAGGCCATCGAGGCAGAAAAGGCGCGCCTCGCGGAAGAGGAGAAAGAGCGCCTCAAGATGGAGGCCGCCGCCAGATCGGCCGCCGAGGCCGAGGCTGCCGAGGCCCGTGCCGAATTGTCGGAATGGGACGAGGACTCGGAGTGGGAGGGCGTGCAGAGTGGCGGCGAGGAGCTGAAGGTTTCAGCCAAGAGGCCGGGCAGGAAGACGCAGGCCCAGCGGAACAGGATAAACAGGCGCAAGGAGGAAGAGCGACGATTAAAGCACGAGCAGAAGACAAAGGTCAGAAAGGCGCAGCTAGAGCAGATCAAGCAGCTGGCCAAGGAGGCGGTCGAGAGAGAGCAGGCCCGAGCACTGCTACAAGCTGAGGATGACAGCGGCACCGAGGAGGCTACGGACGATGTCCTGAGGAGGAAGCGACTGGGCAAGCTCAAGCTGCCGGAGAAGGACCTCGAGCTGGTGCTCCCCGACGAGCTGCAAGATTCACTGCGGTTACTGAGACCAGAGGGCAACCTCCTGAAGGACCGGTATCGGAGTATGCTGGTGCGCGGCAGGATGGAGGCGCGCAGGAGAGTGCCCTTCAGGAAACAGGCCAGGACTAAGCTCACCGAGAAGTGGACTTACAAGGATTTCAGGATATAGACCGAGACGCGCGGTACGGGAATTCCCTCAGCGCCAGGAGAACTGCATACATTATAAAATACCCCATCCGCGAAACCGGCACCCTAAGAAAAAAAAAACTGGAGTGGCGCGTGAACCGTGATTCATATTTGGCTACCCTGCTCCGAGTGTTCCATGATGGAGACCTTTTAGGCCAAGATGTGTGGGCTGAGTAATCTTGCGGTCTTGCATCGCAGCACCCATGTGCCTCGTGCCACTGCTATTGGGAAGCCTCTCTCAATGAAGACAATTGTCTGAGAAGCGAGATTGGCTTTGACCTTTGAAGGCTGCTGCTGGCCAGGAGGAAAAAGATACTTGGAAAAAAAAAAAAAAAAAAAAAAAAAAAAAAAAAAAAAAAAAACGGTTTCCCAGTTACGGGAATAAACGATCAACCCATCATTCACCCTGGACATGGGTTTCTTTAGTCTCCGAAACATCCTGTTGTGTAATTCCGAGCTGGGCCACGCCGGGCAACCCGGGTCCTGGGTGCTGGAGTGGGCCCCCCGAAAGCTTAGTTACAGCATCAATACGTGGGTAGGCCCGATGAACTGCTAGCTTATGACGCACTCGTTCCCTGATAAGATCGGCCCAGCATCCAGGATCTCGGACGGCTCTGCATTTTAGGCGAGGGAGGCTGGAATACCTTCAGCTTTCGCAATTGACTTTGCCCAGCAGAGACCTGCATTTCCCGTAGCCTGGTATTTCCCGACATGCGAGCCCACTCGTTATAGACCTTTCGTTTGTCTAGACCGACCCAGAGTAAACAAGCACACCCCAAGACAAAGATCACGGCCATGCCTCCGCAGCCAGGCGCTGCCGTCGCCCGGGCCTTTCGCGGGCGAGGGACCTGCCGCTTCACCTCCGCCTACCAGGCGAACCTCTTCCAGACGCGCGCCTTTGGCAAGCAGGCCAGGAGGCCACAGAACCCAGAGCGCAAGCACGACAGCCCGACGCAATGGCTGTTCCCGGCCAAGGCAGTCTCGCGAGCCCTCTCGGGGCGCCCCCTACCCCAGCGCCGGTCCTTCTTCCTCAACTTCATGTACCGCTCCGCAGCGATCTTCGGCACCGGTGTTGGCTTCTTCGGCTTCCTCGTCGCTGCCTTCTTCATCTACGATTCGACGACATACAAGGAGACCAGCTTCTTTGGCGAGTGCCGCGTCTCCGAGTTTGCGCTCTCGCCGCGGAGGGGTGGGCCCAAGAACCTGCCCATCATCGACGCCCTCATCGACGACGACGACACCGAAGCGAAGCGAGCGCAGAAGCAGAAGCCACGTCTGGTGATTCTCGGGGGCGGCTGGGGCAGCGTTGCGCTGCTGAAGGAGCTCGACCCCGATGACTACCACGTCACCGTGGTCAGCCCCAAGAACTACTTCTTGTTCACCCCCATGCTCCCCTCGGCGACCGTTGGAACCCTCGAGCTGCGAAGCCTGGTCGAACCCATACGGCGCATCTTGTCCAGAATCAATGGCCATTACGTGCGGGCAGAAGCCCAGGATGTCGAGTTCTCCCACAAGCTGGTTGAGGTTTCTCAGACCGACGCTCATGGCAAAGAGATGAGGTTCTACGTGCCCTACGACAAGCTGGTCATTGCCGTCGGGTCTGTCACGAATCCCCACGGTGTCAAGGGCCTGGAGAACTGTCACTTCCTAAAAGACATCAATGACGCCAGGATGATCCGCAACCAGGTCATGAGAAACCTCGAACTTGCATGCCTGCCCACAACCGATGATGCCGAGCGGCGGAGACTACTTTCGTTCGTGGTCAGCGGTGGCGGTCCTACCGGTGTCGAGTTCGCTGCCGAACTCTTCGACCTGCTCAATGAGGATCTGACCATTCGATTCCCAAAGTTGCTCAGAAACGAGATTTCCGTCCACTTGATTCAAAGTCGCAGCCATATTCTCAACACCTACGACGAAGCTCTGTCCAAATATGCCGAGGAGAGATTTGCGCGTGATCAGGTTGACGTGCTCACCAACTCGCGGGTCAAGGAAGTCCAATCAGACAAGATCATCTTCACTCAAAAGAACGAGCAAGGCGAGGTGGTTACCAAGGAACTACCAATGGGATTTTGTCTCTGGTCGACTGGTGTGTCGCAGGCCGAGTTCTGCAAGCGTATTGCAAACAAGCTCGGCGACTCCCAGACTAACCGACACGCTCTCGAGACCGATACCCACCTGCGCGTGGCTGGTACACCTCTGGGTGATGTCTACGCCATTGGGGATTGCTCCACTGTCCAAAATAACATTGCGGACAATATCATCTCCTTCCTCCGTGGACTCGCCTACAAGCATGGCAAAGACCCTGAGAACCTTGAGCTGCACTTCTCTGATTGGCGCAATGTTGCTGCTGATGTGAAGCGCCGGTTCCCCCAGGCGGCAGCTCACCTGAAGCGCCTCGACAAGCTCTTTGGCCAGTTCGACAAGGACCAGTCCGGAACGCTCGACTTTGGAGAGCTCAGAGAGCTCCTCGGCCAAATTGACAGCAAGCTGACCTCTCTGCCCGCCACTGCCCAGCGCGCCAACCAGCAGGGTCTCTACCTCGCCAAGAAGTTCAACAAGATGGCTTCTGCGGCTCCGGGCATGAGCGCAAACGATATCCGTGATGGCGACCTCGACGAGGCTTGCTACAAGGCATTTGAGTACCACCACCTGGGCGCCCTTGCCTACGTTGGCAACTCGGCCGTCTTCGACCTCGGCGGTGGCTGGGGCCTGACTGGTGGTATCTGGGCTGTATACGCCTGGAGGAGCGTGTACTTCGCCCAGAGCGTCGGACTTCGAACCCGGTTCCTCATGATGATGGATTGGATGAAGCGAGGTCTCTTTGGAAGAGGTAAGATTACCCCAGCAACAGATCCAACCGGTTTTCAGGCGCAGCTACTAACATGTATACAGATCTCGTCAGTTTCTAGATCAACGGTCCATTCCGGGAATGAGACCACAGCATTGTTTCCGTCACTTGCGTGCTTTTAAAAGTGTTTCGAGCCCAAATGGCGTCTGGAGAAACAAAATGGGCGTTGGTCAGCCCCGCCGAAAGACTTGATTCTTGCGAGTATTGTAAATAAAAGGCGCTATATAGCGGAAGTAGAATAATGTACGACTTATGTAACAGCACCTGTTCGTTCACATTGTCTAGCCGTGTTCGGTGCGTCGGTGCCCACGTCCAGCCTTGTGTATTTGGCAGGCGCACTGAAGCTCCAGCGCCTATTAGGACGCACATCTTCCCCTGCTCCAACATAGTCGCCTCGAGAAGCTTGCTTAGGTAGTCTTCGGCCAAAACCACGTGCGCAATCGATTCACAAACCAAATCCTTGCTTGACGTCGACCAGCCATCGTACACCGGTCTCCAGACCGGCGCGGCTGTGTAGTTGCTGCATACCGCCGGTTGGGCATTCTGATGGGCTGACCACTCTGCCTGCACGTGCCGCACACCACTCGTCCCGAGCCTATCATGGGCCGACACAGGTGCTTTTCCTGCATGAGCACTGCCCGCGTGTCACAGACTTGCTCCTATGTATACCTGCTTCGCCCCGAGACAACTTCGTCAGGCTGCTTCTCATCTCACTTCCCCACCACCTCTTCTTCCACTCAATTTCCCTGTCCCTTTTTCTATCACCGTCAACTTCGGTATCTCATGATGATCATATCCACTTGGTTTTGATGCATCGCGATGGCTGAAGTTCTCAGTATCTTTGCCAGCGGCGTTGCCGTTGCCCAAGTGGCGGGCACGGCTGGCGGCGCGGTCATCAAGCTCAAGAAGCTATGGGATGAAGTCAAGGACGTCCCCGAGACCATCCAGTGCCTCATGGATCAGATCGATTGCCTCGATCCAGCGCTTTGGGAAGCAGAGCAGCACATTGCCCAGAACGAGCTGCCCGCCATGCTGTGGAACGACAGCGCGGCCGTGCGCAGCGCTGAGTACTGCCGCAAGGCACTGTCGAAATTGACCGAGCTCGTTGATGATCTGGCCGTGCAGATCAGTTCGTGCCGGGGGTTGTCCAAGAGGCTGGCCAAAGTCAAGGTGGTCCTCAAGAAGGACGAGCTGAGGAAGCTCGAGAGGCGGCTGGAGACTGCGGTGAGACTGCTGCAGACAGCGCAACAGGGCAACATTATGTGGGTACCTCAATATATTTCATGCCGAGTAGCTGACCTCAAACAGAGCGATGCTCAAACTCCAGCCTGATATCATCGTTGGCAGAGTCGTTGCGAAGATCGACAACATAGCATCAAGTAGCACCCAGCTCTTGAAGGGGCCAGAACGACAGTTTGAAGAACAAGATAACGTTGATCATGCGCGCTGCACCCTAAAACAGACCTATGGCACGGAGGTTATCCACCGACGAAAGCAGAATAACTTACAGACAGCTCCATGGCGAAAACCAGGAGTTCTCGGTGGTTTTGTTTATGAGAGGTCCTCTAATCTTCTAGATGCAGGCTTTCGGCCACCGAATTGGCTTTCTGGCATCTCTTACGCGTGGGATATCAACCTGAGGAAATCTTACGATGGTTGGAACTTCCATTTTCGCAGCTACTCTATTAGGCCTTGGAACTCCGATGTTTTTCGTTTTGCTAGTCGTGGAAACTTAGAAGTGCTCAAAGGGATGTTTGCCTCTGGCGAAGCATCACCGTTTGATTGTGACGAATACGGATACGATGTGACTTGGGTGAGTGTCCGTAACAAGGAACTTGAAAGAGATATGATGTACAAGAAGTTAAACCTTTCAACAGTATGCTGCGGGTTTCCTTCAGCTGGAAATCATCAAATTCTTCATGGACTTGCATATATTTGACGAGTCTAAGACTTATCGTGATGGCTCGTAAGTTATTTCGATTGCTCTATAGTTCAGCAGGTTGACTAATTGATATGGTCCGAATGAGCGTTAGAACCGTTATGCGCCATATTTGTTCTGATTCTAGGCCCGCCCCGTGCTATGATTATAATCCAACAAGTGCAGAACTTCTTCAAGCGATTCTCAGCCAAGTGGTCACTCAACAATTGGAGTTCGAATTAGAATCGGAACCATTCGACGATATCTGCACCTGCAGCAAGGTCTCTACGTGGGCATTGTTTCAGATTGTCCAGCCTTACAGCTGTCCGAATCACAAAAACACGACTTTGCGTTCGCGGCTGGAAAGAATTCGAGACAACTGTACGTACGAAGCTCAGGTGATCAAATTCATTCTCGGCCAATATTGGGACCCGGGCAATGACATATCGGAGACAGATGGGCCGACCTTGATACATTCACTGTCCCGTTCTGGACAATTGATTCTAGGACAGTGGCCGTCAGAAATGGTTGCATTTCTGACAGAAGTAATCCGGAAGACAGATAATGTTCACCATCTTGACGAAACCTATTACGGTTATGTAAAGGGTCGCGTTAGTTGCACCCCCTTGGTTTCCCTTGTTCTTTTTTCTTTGTTTTGGGCCGACAAGCGAAGCAACATGCACTCTCATATTTTAACAAACCTCCGTCGCTGGCTAGGTGCCGCCAAGGCGGCTGGAATAGATCTTGCTAAGTTTGGTCGAAAAGAGAACGAGCTTCTACAAGGCGCCGTTCGGGGCCACCGCGGGCCGCAACATGTGCGAGGAAACACATCGATAAAATTTCAAGTCTATTGTAACTCCGGGAAGCGCACCCGCCAAGGAGACAGGCGATGGAAATTCAAGTCAAAATTACTTGCGTTCAAGATCGGCCCCGAAATCGAGGATTGGGATATCTTGATCACGGAACCTACGGACAGGTTTGCGGGCCATTTCTGGAAGATGGTTGAGACCCCTCCGCCAACGTCGCTGGTAATTCCTGGTGCTTGGGCTGATGAACCCGAGGATTACGATTCATGTGATTGGACTTCTTCAGAAGAGGAGGACGACAACACTGAGTGCGACTCGAGCGACGATGAGGACTGATTTTGAAGCCGGCTAATCATGGATCTGCACATCAGGCACAAGACGAATCTTTGATCAAGACTCGGCTGCATTTCCCCCCTGGAGTGCCCGGAGATTGTGGCCAAAAGCTATTTCGATACCCTGAGATAGCGAATATTTATATTGTGTAAGGAGCATAGCTCTCTCTAGATATTGGCTGGCAGAGTCATGCCATTGTGTGTACACTGCTTGACTTATCTTATGTTTAACCTCTCACCCCACTAGAACAAAGCAAGAGCGTTGGGTGGTGAAGCCACCAAACCTGAGATGTTCAATGGAATCGATGTTAAGAGGAAAGAGTATCGGCCTATTTTGGCGCAATGATCCCCAAGGGCCTTCAGGTTCCAAAGCTCGCCAATGTTCAACCCGAACATGGCCAGGAAGTACGAGTGCAGGACTGGCGGCAGTGGTTAATCGCTACTTCATGTGGAAATTTCTCGAGAAGGAGGTTCGTGATATGGAATCGTTCCACATACCAAGATCTCCCATGTCACCAAATGATCCATCTGCTTTCTGGGGTGGGAAGACCTCGAAAGCCAACATATCACCTGCCACCGCGGCGAAGTGTTTGTTCCAGAACCACTTGCGTTGGTTAGCACATTTATAGCACACGCACGGCGTCGATGTAAGAAAGATTACCTTTGCAGCCTCCCCCGTTCCCTCAATCCCAATCATTCCTCCTTGGCTATTCGCCATCTTCGCCATCTGCTCGTCGCCGCTGAGCCCCACAAAGTCCTCGGCCACGCCTGATCTCACGAGCAGGATGTCGCCCCTGCGTAGTTCGGTGCCTTGAAACTTCGCAATTTCCTCTAAGTCTGCAACTGTGATCACATGCCGACTGCGGGTGTCATATTCGATTCCCTTTGCCGCAGCGTACGCCCGATAATCTAGCAGGACGCCGCGTCCCACGACACCGCCGCGCTGATGCCAGTGCTCCAGACCGGGGATGCTAGTCTTCTCGCCTTTCTCGATTTCACCCTTGCTAATCCGCAGCCCGTTGTACCTTAGCCCAGTGGCCTGGTGTGCATAGTGCAGCAAGCCGTCCCACTGGCTGCTGGCCTGGGTGTTGAAGCTGAGCTCGTCGTCCAAGACGTGCAAGTGGCCGCAGACTGCCGGCGCAATGTCCTCGGCCCACGACAGCACGCGGTGCGACGGCGCCGCCCGGCCTCTCGGCACCTTGAGCACGTCTAGCGTGTGGTTCAGTGAGATGGATATGCCGTCGCGCGCCTCGGCATAGGCCGACTGGACCACGGCCGGCGTGAGGAGGTTGAGGCAGCCCAGAGTGTCCTTCGTGCCGTTCTTGTCGCTGTAGGTAGGCATGTGAGTAGGCTCTTGCGTGATAGATGTAGAGATGTGTTTAGGCGTTGCCACGACGAGGAAGTGGTGGATGAGGTGGGACTTACAAGACACCCCATGCGCAGCCTTTGGGCATACCCTCTACTGGAGGCAGCGAGTCAAAGTCGGGGAGATCAGTAAATTCGTCCATGGTGTATGGGTTAGCAGTAAAAAGAACGTGGAACGGCCAAAGGAGAGTTCGACATGAGGGTCGCGATACCTGATTGCGACTTGAAAATGCAAAGAAAAGTGCTGCGGCTTATGTAGCACCGACGGTGAGTATGCAATGAGCTTCTTCGGTCTGGTTGGCTGGATTTAAGCCTACCCCTGACTAGCAATGACCGAAGTTTGCAGTAGCGCGGCACGTATACGGCACAGGGCTTTGGTCTAGTCTCGCTAGTGAACACTGCCACGCTCTGCGTGGGTCTTTGCAACTGTTCATGATCTGACATATGAGCTTTTGGGTCCTCGTTTTTTTCATATTACGCAACCCTAGCTAGGACTTTTTTGCTATGCTGATCAGGTAGCCTACAAGGGGTGCTGGATGGTATGCTGGGATTATGTTGGATGTGAACAACTAGTCTAAAGATGCTGTGTCCGGGTCAATGGTTGATTCTTAAAAGACCTTGCTGATCTACCCAGTTACGTTGCAGCATATTCACAAGATTCCAACGTTGCTTGCACCTCCATAAATTAAAGCCCGCTGACCGTTTTATTCCAGAGCCCTTCACAAACACTTAGCCTGCCTTAGGGTACATTAACGGGTGTAATCTAACAGAATTAGAAAATGTTGACCTCTTTCACTGAACACAATAAGTGGAACGTATGATTGGATCTCCTAATCACTCAAAAAGCTTCCATGGCTTCCTTTGCCGCTTAGTTGCGCCCGGCGCAGCGCTGATAGCCGAATTTTCCGAGCGCAAGGCAGTAACTTTACTGCCCGCCCTTGGTGACCGAGAAAACTGGAACTCAACGGCGGCCAAGAGAAGGTACGGCACGACCAAAGGCCTTGTCTTGATGTTCACACTTCAGCTTAGCAAGATCACAACGGCCGAAGATACGATCATCAATGTCGTTGATCCAACCTCTACTCCCAGTACCGGCTTCATCCGCAGCTTGCGTATTGTCATAAGACCCTTTGCTTGGCCTGTCATGAAGGTCTTGGGTACGTCTGTGAACAACGCGGCATGAAGATATATAGATGCCATTGCGTCTGTAAGAGTCGTCCTGGGATACCAGCGGGAGATTTCATTTCCAGTGCCGGAAGCAGGAGGACGGCCAGCGATGCTGTTGAAAGGAAGTTGACTTGGACCATTTCCTCGTAGCCAGTGGAGTTGTTGACTTCCTGTTTGGCGTTCATGATGCTCGGTTTAAGTATGACAATATCCAACCGTCGAGAGCTGAGCAATTCCGAGTTTTGAACTAGCGAGGGCATGTTCTTACTACAGAGGTTTAAAAGACGATTAGAAGAATATGTTGTTCGTAGTAATTGGACTCAATGGCAGGGCAAGACAATAAAGCAGTAACATCCAGGGGGTTACAGACAACATGCCTGCATTCATAGGAGGTAGGGTAAACCGAACAGGATTGGTCTGACTATTCAATAGAATTCGAATAAAGATCTGAACCTTTCTACAGCCCTGAAGAAAAAAAAAGGACATCTTGATTCTTGCAAATGGTTATCAATTGGAGCAGCATGTATATTGCGGAATCTAAATTTTGAGGAAGGAAACTGGAACGATGTCTTTCGACAGGCACACAGTTTATGAAAGTTCCGCTTCGTCAACATTTCGCACAAACATAGTATACCATTTTACCACGTTGATATGGTTGAGAACGCTGATTCTCTCGTCAACCGTGTGAATGTTTCCAAGCCCACCCTCGTCCTCTGGGTCCCAACCAGGTGCGTATCGGAAGATGTGCTTCGTCACGCCCCAATAATATCGAGTATCAGTATTGCCAGTCATTAGTCCCGGTGAGACGTAAAGCTCTTCTCCGTAAAGAGCACGAGTAGTTCCAGACAGGATTGCATACGGAGTAAGAGAGTCAATCTCGGTTGGGGTGACAGGAGCCGGCTCGAGGGGATCCTTGGACAGGCTCAGCGTGATCGATGACGGTGTCTCTTCTCCATCGAATGCATGAAGAGTCAAGTTGTACTTCTGGGTAATCTTCGATGCGAGGTGAGTCAAGTGCTTCTTGACATCTGTGGATGAGGAGCCGATGTTAATACGGTGATTAATGAGTGCTGTGGTGCGTTCTGGCAGGGCATTCGCTTTGACACCTCCGCCGATAATGTCGACAGCTACAGAGGTGGTAAAAAGGTATTTGAGCATATCGCTTGACGCAGCTACCGCGTGAGCCAACTTTTCCGTCTTGTGGCGATCGCCACCCTTGTTCGTAGGCAGCAACTTCTTCCACGAGGGTGGAAACTCTGGACTGTAAGCCGCTCCGCATTGCAATGCCTGGAGAAATGGATTCTCCGAGTCAAAGTGAGGTTCATAGCGGTTGTTCTCAACCAAGGCAATGAACTCTGACATCACACCAATGCCGGTGTGTGCAGGCGGAACTGACGAATGGCCTCCAGGCATGCGGACAATTACGTCCACGTCCATGTAGCCTTTCTCCACTACTCCCGGGGTGGCAAAGTATGATCCCCAGAATGGCATGATTGCGGAACCTTCGTCAACGATGAGTGCAACTCCGTTTTCGCCATAACGCTCCAACAGAGCCTCTCCAAGATGGCCGGCGCCTTGGTTCCCAGAGCTCTCTTCATCGAAGCCAAAGGATAGAATAAAAGTCCTCTTCGGCTCAAAGCCCGCATCTAGGAGAAGCTCCACTGATTCAAGTATACCGATAAGGGTGTTCTTGCAATCTGAAGATCCTCTGCCCCAGATATACTTTCCATCATAAAAGCCGCTGTATGGTGGATGTGTCCACTGGTTCACCGTTGACGCAGCGACAGGAACCACATCTTGATGCGCCATTAACACAGTAGGTTTCAAAGAGTTGTCTGAACCTGCCCATGTATAGAGCAGACCATGGGTGTTAACCTTTTCCAACTGCAACTTGCTGTGGACCAACGGGAAGGTCTTCTTTAGATACGCAGCCACGTCGTACATTGTATCCCATCGCTTATCCTCGCCAACAGGACCCAAGTCATCATAAGACTCGCTTGGGACTTGGACGGCACCGGACAAGCGGGCAATTGTCTCGTTGCGAAACTTGCCAGAGTCCAGGTATTGCTCCAATTCCAATAGAGAATCTGTCTGCCTGACGGGCAGGAGGGGTTCCACCTGCGGACATCGTGCCTCTGCTGATTGGGACTCTCCTGGTACCAAATCACGCAGGTAATCCTTGGAATGGACAAGTAGGGAGTACCCGGCAATGAGTGCAAAAACGGTCATGATAAGACCCCGATGGGTCGTCCGAGGTCTTCGCGCACTTCCGTTTGGATCATTGAAAGCAGCACCGTGCTGCTGAACGAGCGGCAGCTTCTCGTAATCCGCCATTGTTACTCGCGGGTGGTCATCCAAAGCCGTGACGGGGCAAAATCAATCAGCGTGGAAAGGTTTGAGGTGGCTGGGCTTTGAAATTGTTGAGGGACATTTCGCAATCCGAAGGCCGAATTGCTGAATTATATCTGTACCATGATGGATCGGCGTGCAGGGATCCCCGCCTTCATAGATCGGAAGTGTCCGAAGCACAGCTCCAGCGAGCCGGGAGCCGAAGCCGTTCACGCCACCGAAGCCGCTGCACAAATCTTAGCGTACGGCATGTGGCTAATGTACCTATCCATGCACGCACGTAGTGCTGCGCAAATGCACTTTCGCCTATGAGCAGGTGTTTCCGGTATTCCATACCAGCAAGACCTGAAACACGATGGGAGAGACATATTAAATTCCATTGTATTTTAGTAAACTCGACTGCAGATAAGCCGGCGGCCATGTCTATGATTTTAAGTCAGCCGCGATCCCCGCTTAGAAGCTTTTCAGAGCGCCGATTAGGTGGAAGTCACTTTATTCCTGAAGATTACTCGCAATTGTACAAGGATTGAACCGGTTGGCATCAACCGATCGCCGACCACCAGTAGGACGTAGAACGATAACGTCTACCTGGCGTGAGCTCACAGCGCTAGCACAAAGCAACAAGTGCTAAGTATCAGCCTTGCCGTATACTCTAAAGACACGACTTGGGCGTCGATGGATCATGATATGATATTCCGCCAGAGGAGATATGAAAGATACGTGTTGCCATAATGTAGAAGCAGGAGGTTGTCATTTATCATTCGTGGAGGAGCCTAATTCGTTTTCTTTCTTCTGGAATCGAAACGCTAGCATACGTAGTAATAATGCAACAGTACGCTTACAGCCAACAGGGGGGACACTGCAACCAATACTCCAAGGATGAAAACACTAAAGTAGAATGCCTCGACCGGTCGGAATAAGAGGCTAGAACTTACTGGCATACGCCCGCTGCCCTCCTTTTTGATTTTCATATCCGCTTTGGGCACATATTTGAACTCGAACTTAGATGCGCCGTTGAGTCCGCCTTGTATAACGGCTGAATGCAACAGCTTTCGCCATTTCTTCTCGACTGTTAGTACGAGTCCTATCTCCGGAGGGTCGGGCTTACGTCAATGATCCACGCATCAAATGCTGGGATTAGCCTCTGAGCCGCTGAGAGACTTGAGACCAACCAGCAGTGGCCCTTAAAGCACGCATAAGATACCCAACCTGGTCGGCTCATCTCAAGCTCATCACATAATTGATCTCCGTTGAGTATTCTGCTTCCCGCTGCGATAAACTCTCGCGAAACGTTGGAGGGTGGAAGGTCTACTAGACAGTTGATAAAGTTGTAGCACACAACTTGACTCGTCTTAGTAACTTTCAATTCGTGCACTAACATCGACTCCATCGTAGCCTTGGCTTTGGGAACAGTTGCGAAAAACTCATCGGGGGTGGCCAAGAGATATCCTAGATACCGAAAGAGCGCAATATAGTCACGTTTCTCCTGGTCAGTGGGTTGTATACCCATTCGTGGGAGCTGCAACCACATGTGGTTACAGCAGAATGTGGCGATCGAATGGATGCTGTCCAAAGTATTTACCGGTACACCATATTCTTCGACATTGTAGTATTGAGGCCTGGTCTCGACGAGCTTCATAATTCGCTGGCGAACGGAGGCATGCAGAAGTCGGATTCTGGCCGTTGATATATGTCCAGAGCCGCCAGGTTTGATGGCAGACAAGGACTCTGTTACTTGAATGAGCCATTGAAAGGTCTCAAGAAGGCGATGTAGCAAAACACGGGTCGAGAAGCCACCCGTGCGGACGAGAACTTCCACAACGCCAGACTGAGATATCATTCGGAGTCAGATAGAGTTCTTGCCAGGATGGTAGCGTGTTGCACAAATTCTTGTCACTCACAGCTGCACTATTCTCGCCGACAAACCCCTGCAAAGCGAATCCCATGATATTGGCCGCGGCATACCGGTAGAAAAACCGCTGACCACGCTCCAACTGATCCCAATCCACCCAGTCAGGGACAGTTTGAAGCTCTGTCCACAATTCGGCTAGCACAGAATCATGTTGGTGGTTCTCGACCAAAATTTGGTAAAAGTCTGGTCGTTTTTGTGGGTTATCGGTCATGCCCTTCATTTTTGCAAGAGACTGCAGCCGCTCAAGGGCCTTGGCGCCTGTCACGTCATACTGAAACCGCAGAGGGTCTGTCTTCTTCCGTGGTAAATGCAAGTCGGTCCATTCAAACACATATGATGCTGCGCATTGCTTAGATCCGATATTTTCTTCTGCCATTGTTGCCATAAGCCAGGTATCTCGGTTCTGAGGGAATCTGATTTCCCAGGCGTTGAAGACTATCCAAATGCGGAGTTGTGCAGTATCAAGTTGCAGCAGCTAGATATAAGAAGAATAAGTGAACGGCACTCTGTCAGCAAGCGGTTGGGCTCTTCGGGTATCAAAAAATTTGTTGGCATGCGAACTGCGGCGACTTTGAGTGGGATGGAGCTACGAGTGCTGACCGCCGGTCACAGCCAAACAGTCCGCAGCTGATTATCGTGTCCCCCAATCGGAGGACGTAGCCCCCGACCATTCTGCTATTTGTCCCACTATTCTTAGGGGTGCATTCCAAAATCCTTTACTCCCACTAATCATTCTGTATCAATGAATGTCCTTTTGCGGTCAGCTTATGCAGGTGCTAGTCGGAAAACAGTAGTCCAAGAAAATGAAGGAAACTAAAAGCGGCGCAGCTTCACACCATTGATAGCTGACATGCATCGGTCTAACCCCATAAATGCGTCTCCCAAATGTGTTCAACAAATCAAACATCAAGTAAAAGTTTGCCCAGGAACAGGATTCAGCTTAGTCAACCCAGTGGTGCATAGTCTAGGAGCTATGACTCTCCTATATTTAGCCTTTGAATCGCGGCGGTCAATTATCGCGAGAGGTAACCGAGATTCCTTGGCTAGAACATATCATATGAACCTCAGTCACTGCTTTTGACGAGCCAACGTCCAGTTTATACTATACTTCTCATCGAGTCAGATTGTCCAAGGCCAACCAAGAGACCGTACCATATCGAGGGGTAACTAGGTGAGTCTCCGTGAGACAACAGATCAGTGCACAATGTGGCATGGTACCCATTCTTCCCGGGTGACTGTGATGATCCCAGATATGTTTCGTTCGTTTCTTAAAGAGCCGCCAAAATTGAATCCGCACTACAGACAAGTCAAAACAGAGTCGGAAGCATGGATATCGGAGTATGTTCTAGACTTAGATTGGGTATCGTGTTATTAATACTGATGATTAGCTTTTGTACATTCGATGCGAAGACGTCTAAAACAATTAGCAAGTGTGATTTTTCATACTTCATGGCAGTGGCTGCTCCAAGTGCAAATGCCGAGAGATACAGAACTCTATGCGACTGGGGGAATTGGGTAAGCATCCAGAGAGCCACTTGCTTCTCACTAAGTATTAAGCCCACACAGGTATTTCCATACGACGACAGTACGTTACTGACGAGGGCCACTTCTCGCAAACCCTAACTAACCTAGTCCTCTGTACGAAGTGTTCGATAATGGCCACCTCCGAGACAATCCCAAGGCTGCAGCGGATATCATGCACGATTTGATGAAACCTATGAGCAAGTGTCACGCTATGCAGTCAAATTTGGAATCGTCCCTGCCAATAATAAAAGTTCACAACTCGGTTTGGAAAAGACTTCAAGATGTCAGTTGAACCATTGGCAGCGATTCCTTTTGCTAATGAATATCAGAGCTCACCTTCTGGTTCGTACAATTAGAGCGGACAACTAGAAGAGATGTGAACTCAGGATGAGAACAGGTACACAGGAACGATTCATCCGGGCAATGGCGCATTACTGCCATGGTGCTCTTGTCCAAGTCGAAGATTGTTCGAAGAAGCGACGTCTTAGTCCAGAACAAGTATTGGAGAGGAGGCAGCTTTCCGCGGGTGTTGGGCCAATATACCCACTAATCGAATATGCACACGAACTGCACATTCCTGATTACGTCTTCAAGCACCCGGTCATTCAAGAGATCGAGCAGCTTGGTACAGATTTCGTTTTAATGTATAATTATCGACACCTATCGACACCTATCACCACACAAGGGGCTAACGCCTTGAAATAGATCGAATGATATTCTTTCTTACATGAAAGAAGAGGTAAGCCCACTCGAGGCACACTCTCTAGAAACTGTCAAGAAAGCTAAAGAACCGGGTGTCTAGGCTGAGCTCGTACCTCACAACATGGTAGCCGCTGCTCGTCTGAGTGGCCATGGGCCACAAGAGGCATTTGATTATGTTGGGAATATGCTCAGCAGCAGGTACAAAAGATGGGAAGTGGCACTCGAACACTTGCCAAGGTGGGGTGTCGCCGTTGATGGGCAAGTGGAAGCCTACATTCAAGGCGTTGCAAATATCGCAAAAGCAAACCTGAACTGGAGGTGAGTAGTATTGGTTGCGATAGTTACGCTGCGTCTGTATGAAATCAGGGGAGATTACTTACACCATCAATGACCAGTTTCCACTCACAACGCTATTTGGGAAGCTGCGGTCCGGACATTCGAAGTAGCCGTCGCATAAATGTTTTGCGATTTCCCACGTTTTTGGGGGGTCAAGCCATGGCTGAAAGTCTGAAGAGTGAACGACCTACTCAGGTACAGGATCTAGGGCAATTCTCGCCACAAACCATGGTATTCTGCTTGTGTTGTCTATGCACATTGCTACTCTTCACTAGAATATAAAGATGCCATATTTCTAGTCCAATCATCTTTTAAGCATGAGAGAATTCCCAATATAAAAGAAGGACTGTGGGATCCAAGATTGGTAGGATGAGATTCTATTGCCACTGGAGAACCAAGCTACAACAGTTGGTGCCTATCTATTGGAATTAATGTACACGACGCTATAAGGTGATAGCTATGGTCGATGACTTGGAAATAATGTGTTTGCCCTTGGAGAAACTGATTCGTAGTTATGGCTGAGATTCTGCGGCGGTTCTCTCAAAGTAGTGATCTTAATGTAATCTGTCTTGCGAGTTTCTTGAATGAACCATGTCTACAATCAGGATATTGCATCTGCCACTGAGCCGAGTGCCAGTTTCGCAATGAACTATGGGTTCCAAGAGAAGTGCCACAACTTAGAACCGAAAAACTCCATGTATTATGCTATGTATGACGCTATGCAAGAACCCGTGTAACATCAAATGGGTATCATAAAACCCAAATAATTACTAGCCTCCCTTCCCGTATGCGAATAACAGTGGCTGTGGGCCTTTTTGGCCCCAATTTCACCAAGTTGACCCAGACTCCAGCCAGCAACGTGACAACCGTGCAAGTCTTAACAATGTCCCGGACCGTGGGGTCTCTCCTGTCTCCGCTTCTTGTTAAACTCATCCAGTAGCATGTGAATAGTATCCAGCGGCCACTCATAGATACCCGTCTTCAATTTGGCGGGCCACACGTACGACGCACGCTCCTTCACCTCTTCCAAAAACCGATTGAGTCGCAGGACCTGTTCCCATGAGACTATTGCGTCGCCAACCATAAAGGCAGGGTATCGGGCCATCATTATTTCTCGCAAAATCCAGACGCGGTGGAAGTAAGGGCGGTTCTGGAAATCAGCCACACCGACCCAATGATCGTTCTTCAATGGTGAAAGCCCGTATGCGACGGGTTCCCACAGGTGCTGAATCTTCGTCATCCATTCGTGGTGCGGCGAATAGTTTTGTGGGTTGCGTGCCTCGTCTCCTGGGTCTCCCCAAGTTGGCGGCATGGCCTCGTCAATTTGCCTCAATACTTCGGCGCCGGCATCGGTGGTGTCGCTCTTTAACCCGAGCCATCCTACTACCATCCTGGCTGCGCCATAGATCTGAGCAAGGCTGGTCACTTGGTTCCCTTTCTCCTTGTCGTCGCTTTGGTTGATACAGAGCACATCGAGCCATATGCGCAGCGGTATCTTACGCTCCAGGTCTTGGTCTGGAATAACGTTGCCAACATGATTCAACAAGTGCTGCAACCACCTTGGCGCTTTTACATCCTTGGATTGAGCCCTTTGACGCGGTTTTACGGCCGTGGGGTAGAACACCTGGCGCACATGGCGCAAAGCCTGCGCAAGGTTCTCTGGGATGGCAAGGGGAATGCCATTAACGACGACCTTCTCGGTCTCGCTGGGATCTCCGTATAGCGAGGATAGTCCAATGAATTCCAAATCTTCTGTGAGCGGCACGGTGATGAGGCGGCAAACTACTTGATCCTCGATCTTCTGTGCTGGTTGTAGCTCAAGCAAGCGTATCTCCTTTCTTGTTGAATTGAGCCGTCTATAGGTTAGAGTAGGCCTTTGCGCAGGTGGGGGCGGCATTATCGACGATGATCGAGTTGTAGGTTGGCGAGGTAGTATCGTGGCGCGGTTTAGTTAGAAAAAGAAAACTAGGAATCGTGCATAGAGCCGCGTCCCCAAGATTTTGGACTCTCGGCCGGTACTTCACTCCAGTGGGACAACGGCCTTGCATAGTTGGACCCTTGATCCATGAATGGTTGGCACATAGAATCATATTATCTAGCTAGAAGCCCGTATGGAATGATAATAGCCCTGTACTATTTACCAGGTTGGGAATAGCCCCCGAGGGCCCATATAATTTCCTTTAAAGCCCGTAAGCTCGGGGTCTGCAAGGAGCTTCTCATAGAACAATTGGGGACTCATTACAATAATTCCGATGACAAGCTGGCCATTGGGGCGCTTGCTGTTTCAATGCGCTGCTTCAAAGGATTTCTACACGTTGTCATTGACTGAGTTAACACAGTCACAGCGGAAACCCAGCCATCGAAACCAAATCTTACTGAATCCCGACGTCAGGAGTGCAGTTTTCCGTAGGGACAGAGGCCGAACCCACCTATGACGGAATATCGCGGCGCCCCTGTTTGACTTTGGACCTGTCAAAATCGGGTGGTTCTTGGCTCTCATCCACGCACTCCAGGAAACCCATGGTTCATTGGGGTCTTTCTACATGGTCCCTGGCAACCCAGTAAGCGCAGCTGGGATGCACATATCCCCAGTGACTGACTTGACCTAATTAAGCGGTCAGGCTCAAGAGATGACCTGGCCGAAACAAACATCACGATAGACTCGGCGGACTTCATGAGACTGCTGGTCTCCACGTGGCTTGTTCCCGACTGTCGTGTCGCGCATATGTCGTTGCTAATCCCTACGGGCTAAGCTTCGCTTCATGTCGTCTTTGTTCATTGCGGGCGGTCTGTGACCCACCCAAGCCATCATGCCCTGGAAGTCTGGACGAGCAACCTGCAAGATGATGATCGGAACTACGTGGAAAGACAAATACAATGTGGGATAAGGTAGTACCGTAGTCGCATGCAGACGGGGACTGGCCGCTGGCGTGTAACACGATGTCCTCGGCATCCAAATCTTCGGGCCTTCTAGCCTGCTTCTAGAAGAATTCGAGAAATTGCGAATCGCAGAAATTTTTGGTCCTGCTACGAGCTGGCCAATAGACCATGCTCAAGCGGCCCCAGTTTAAGCGTCCTCGGAACCTCAACGGTTTTGTTCCTTGATTTCCCCGCAAGGCTAAGCTAATTGGCTGGCCTGGCCTTGGCAACATCCATCGGAAGTAGGGATGGTGATAGCAGTGCAAAGCTAAATCTGAAGTTGAGTCTCTGCGGTAAGGATAGGGATGCATCCTGATCTTGGGTTTCATTCTATTATGGCGTGTTTCAACCCTGGAAACTTGGTTCATCCCAGGGCCTCGTTCGGCGACTCCGTTCGGCGTCTGAAGCGAACTGTAGTCCCCCATCGATCACCTGACAAGTAGTAACGTCGGTGGGGTCATGGCACTGACGATGAATATACTTTTGTGACACTCCATCCAAGACGCGATTGACTGCGTATTAAAATCACCACACCCGATGTTTCAGAAGTGGCCAACAATTAGTAACTTCTGGCAATACTACTAGTGATAGCATCTAGGCCTGACCGCATGTTCGTATCCATCCTTGCCAAAACCCGGCCTGTGTCCTGTTCCTCAATCCCAGCATGATGGAACTGCACAGCTGTGTCACTGAGGGCCCAATTGGCGGTGAAGTATTACCAATCTACAACACCGGATGAATCATACGTATCAGCTGATCTACACCAGCAAAGAAAGACGAAATGTGAATAATTTTGCTTTATATGACAAATGCCGATTGCGAGGATCCGCACTCGGTACGGTGTGGAGTCTACTATGTTCGAAAAGAAAATCTAGGTTTTCATTTCATGAGCACGGTCGCCGTATATCCATCAACTGTGGTTGTTATCCTTGCCTACAGATGGCTTCATGCCATGCTACACGCGAACTATGCAACATGTTTCCGCTTATAATATCCAGTTCCGCCTGAGAGAGAGACAGTCATTGTATGCTCCCGTGATGGTAAGTTCTAAGTAGAACGCAATTAAAGTCGTAAGTCTATAGTACCCAAATGATACAGAGAAACCCTCTAGCTGGCTTCAGATTTCCTTTGTGCTCTCTTCCTCCCTGCGTATGACCAAGTGACGAATATCCTTAGCAGGTTATGTCATCGGCATCAAGTGGAGCCTCGAGAAGCTTTGGCTGTCTTGATTGTTTCCCACTCCATCCCTATCGCCGGGAGGATCATAAGAGCGGAAGTCATAAGTGAGACAAGAAATGACTTGGTAATGGCATCGTTCTACACCACCAACGCCTGTGGCAGTACGCCTAGAGGCACAGGTCTCACTAAATCAGTGGCGCCAGACTCCAAAGCCAAAGCAACATCCTCTCCCTGTATGGTGGAAAGGCCTTGCCTAAGAGAACTGTAGAAGACGGCCCGGCTAACAGAAATGAAACCTGCTCCACCAGGGGATTGGTAGGAGCACATCAAAGAAATGCCAATGGCGATATCATCCGTTTCAAGCACCGTTTGTACTGCCAAAATTGGTTGTTGCATTCCAAATCCCAGGCCCAACCCAAAGAAACTTGGAGCCCGATCCACTTTGAATGGCCAGTGCCCACATGAAACGTGGTCATAAATCCCGTTCCCATGGTCACGAAAACCGTGGATGCAATCATCCAATGGACATAGTAACCGTCTTCTGGACCGTAGCGCCCGAAATCATGGTGCCGATGACTATTGCCAACAGCAAGGGAATGATATAGATGCCTGAAAGGACTGCTAATACGCCCTTCACAGCTTTCAACCATAGAGCCAAGGCATATAGAATCGCGATGGAGACACCACCATATTACACATGGCGAAGATGCGCCGAAATGACAAGCTGCGTCACTTCATGATGTGTGGTGGAAGTGTCGCATCCCGTGACGCCAAGTCTGTCCGACGGTAAAGAGGATCTCAAGAATACTAGCCAGAACCAACAGCGTAATGATGCGAGCACTGTTCTGGGGTTGGATTGTACCTCTTACTGCAAAGCTAAGAGAAAACAGATGACAAATGGCAAGAAAAATAGCTGCCTTAAAGTATAAGTAGCACAAGCTGGCGAACAAATAACGTCTTGGATGCTTTCGGATCTGAATAACGGCGAGGACAGCCCCCTAATGGGTAGGCTGCCAAAACGGATGTCAGCAAGTCACAAGCTGTAAATGGTATGCATAGCACTGACTTAACATAGAAAAGCTATCTCCAGGTCACGTCATCCATGAAGGCCCCTCCGATCAGAGGACCTACCAGTTAAATGATCGATCATGAAGTAAGAGGTGCAAGAATGCGACTCGGTGCAAGGAAACCTGACCGGAGCAGTAAAACCAATAGTATCAGGCATTATACCTCTAACCAAAAGAGAAAAGACGTGAACATACGATGGGTATTGCGGGATCGTTGTCCGTTAGTCGTTAAGATTGACTCGGCCGATATGTGTAGGAAACGGGACCGATGTCTGTAACTGTAGATACCTCAGTCACCCAGGCGCGATCACGTCTGATTCTGGCGTACATATAGACAGCAGGATAATACTGTGGTACAAAAAAAGGGCACCATAAATAACAAATAAATTAGAATCCTCCGACGGCAAGCGTCCGTGTTCCGTATTGCTTCCGATTATTCTCGGGCGGATTGATCTGAGCTAATGACTACGTTGAACATGTGTCATGACTGGTCACTCTTCTGACTGTCATTAGATCACGATGCCGAGGTTAGGCGCAGCGGCATCACAAGTAATTATCAGAGAATTAATCAAACGTGTGAACCGATATGAAGGTCTCTTCTAAGCACAAACAGAATCTCTTTTGAGGACGATAATGGAGCATACTCGGCGACTAATGAGGAATCTGATCATGGTCACTTCGTCATTCAGCATGGACACGCCAGGGTTGTAGAAAGATCCGTGACTTCTCTGGCTCCTGAAATATCAAATCTTGATCTTGAAACCATTCAGAACTGTGTGGACCCATTTGGCACCTGAAGTAGGGAGTTGTCTGATACATGAGTTCACGTGTTACTTACGGCATCATATAGCTTGGAGAGAATCTCCCTTGTCCGAGCGAAGAAGGCGAAGGCAAATATGGAAAGGTGCACTCGCTAGGATTGCCCAGACTTCACCCCCCATATTCCACAAATCATGCAGCTCTGGCAAGTTTTTCTGCACAATTTATATCCTCTACAATTGTCATTTCATGCACCCTCGATCCAACAGCTCATCTTTGGCGTGAATTCCAACCTCCGGAGCATTAGTGCTTGCCTCGAGGCACTACTTTTCTCCATCTACCTCGCCTCCATCACGGTAATGACAGACGATTAATGTTGAGCAGAGATGAGAGTGCTTAAGAAGGTTCTGCAAGCTAGTTATGCTGGCACGATACAGATTGCACTCAAGCCTGCAAAACTTCTGAGTAAGACAGACCTTGGTGTACTCCAAGTCCTAGTTATATACCTGGTGTGTCATACTCTGGCGCTATCCTGCCGTACTACTCCTACTAATACCTTCTAGGTGGCCAGTCGAAACAACATTGACAGCGAACCGCGTTCGCTACTCACTGGCTTTGCCAAGCGCCTGACCATATCCATGGGGCTGCACAAGGAGGGAGACTTGCAGGATCTTGTCTTCATTTGCAGTTGAAACCAGGCGTCGATTGTGGTGGAGCGTTTTCACCATGCATAGCCGTTCTGCACAGCTTTGTAGTGTCGCAATTGTAGCTACAATTAGAGCAGATTAATTCAGTGGTCGTGCCTTTTGTGAGATCATCTAGTATTTCGCTTCCAATACACTCATGGCAGCACAGATCACATCAAGCTTTAGAGCTCTTGGCGAGAGGAATAGTAGGTAGGTGTATCATCGTGTTCCCGCATTCTTAAATCCTCGAGGTTCTAGGAAAAAGGATATTGCGACGAATTATCAACCCCAAAAGTCGAATCAGCATGAACCTCGTATCACGTCATGTTACATATTTATACAACTAATGGGATAGATCATCACATAAGACGAGATACCATTGAACCATTAGATTCACTCATTCATCCCCTTTCCAGCCGGCCTCCACGGAGGCCGTTTATCTAAATCAACTGGGGCCCGCGTTCTGCGGACCACGGTCGTCGACACCATCTGGGAAGTCGTCCTCCTCAACGACCCTGACGTGGATCGCGAAGGGGACGGCGGCGGCGCCGGATGCCGCAACAAAGTTTTGAGCCGGGCCATGGCCGCCGCGGGTTTGCTTAAGGCGCCGTCGGCGAACGAGAGCTTCGACAGGCCCTCTTTCACCATGCGCGACCAGTTGCAGAGATACTCGATGTCCTCGGACTGCTGCGAGTTGGCGGCCCGGATCCGGTCGAACGTCTCCCGTGAGATGGAAAAGTCTGTCCCGCTCCCGTCGTTGTTGTCGTCGTCCTCATCACTGGCCGTTGTCCACAGGTACATGAAGATTACCTTGCTGGCGTCGAGGAAATCCTGAGGCTCCTCGAACCTCAGAGGCTGCGTCTTAACCCCCCCTGCCCGCTCCCCAAACCGGTTCAGTGCGGCGTCTAGGATGTCATCCCATATCGCGCGGTAGTGCAGTAGGAGGCTGCTGCTCTCGTCGCCGAATTCGCCCGAGTACATGCTGTCCAACAGAGACGAGATCCGCGACGCCATCTGCACCGAGTCGGCCTTGTAGGCACCGGCGAGGCGGGTACGGCTGAAGTCGACGCACCTGCAACCGTGGCCAGCGTTACCACCCGTGGTTCCGTGGTTAAAGAGGAAGTATGGCCCGTAAGACTCGTCCATGATGTCCTTACCACTACGATCGACGGCGAGTGCCACCTCGTTGAGAACTACGGCGGCTCGGCAGCCCGACTCTTCGGAGGAAGCGGTCAGGCAGAACCAGGACTTGTGCGCCTGGCGGTCCAGCGCCAGTTGCAAAACATCTGCCAGTGTCCTAGACATTGCTTTCAAAGCTGCTGTTGATTGCGAATTGCTCGAGGTAGATTTAAGACGATGAGACTAGGTGAACTTCACGTGGATGGGGAATCTCATTATGTATAGAACATGGATCAAAAAGGGGGGCACAGGTCTCCGGCGCATTGTCTGCTGAGGCACCCATGTCTTTCAACTGGGTAGGGGCTGCGCATGCACTCGAGTCTTACAAGTCGAAGAAAGAATCGTCTTTCGCCAGAGTGGCACTTGGCGTGGGTGAAGAAGGGCCTTGTTCAGAGGAAGTAGCCTCTTTGTCCCTCCACGCACTGCGGGCTGTTTCAGGGAGCGAGTATGGGCATAGGTGTCCTGCGAACGAGTGCTGTTGAGGAATTAGCTAATTACGTATCAGGATGTCAGACGAGGCCCGGCGACCATTACTACAAGCTATCAACTCGTTCACTTGACACAGAGTTCCCGTTGCCCTGATCTGGCTCCTTTCCAACCCATTGACGACTTTGAAATTGAAGTTTGATTGAAGTCAGCTAAATTAGATGTCTTTTCGATGATTGGTTATGTGGCTTATAGCCAAACCGCTGCCTGTTAAATGCAGACTCATACATGACAGCAACAATGCCAGATGGTGATATCCTCCCTGACCGAATCGACCTGCCTTCCCAACGCCACGCAATGCAATGCACCCTTCCGGTATCCGTTGTCCGAAACTTCATCTTCCGCAAACCAAGAACTCGAAAAAGTGAAAAAATCCATGAAGTTATCAAGCTGAGCCGGGACCACCGTTAGCATACAACCCTTGCCACCTCTCCTCCACGCCGCCGATCTTGGATTTGAGACCGGATATCTCCTTCTCTAGCTCATCCACATTCCTCGTCAAGGCACTGACTTCCTCGAATCTTCTGGCACCCTGTGAGCTCGCGATCATTTTTTGCACCAAGTACTTCTGCTCCTCCAGAACAATGAGCCTTTCACGTAGTTCCTTCTCTTCGGTCTCCAACGCAGAAACGACGGTGCTCGTCTCGCTGGTCTGACTTGCTGTCTCGAGATAGCCATCTGTGCTGCCCCGTAATGGGCTTGGTGCGTGTCCGTTTGGCAAGAGCAGCCGTCGAGAGCTGGAGGAAGACGAGCTAGAATGTTTCAGGAGGCGCGGCAGGTTCTTCAGGGGGAGCATATGCATGTGCAAAAACGAGCTAGCTGCCTGGTAAATGGACTTCTGTAGGTGTTGCTGCGTCGGACTGGTCGTTTTCATATCACGAATTCGTTTAGCGGCAATGTCGTACTTGGAGAAGCTGTCCATGAGTCGTTTCCGGAGTTTGGAAGCCTCCTGAATCTGGGCATGGGTCGGCGGATTATGTTCGTCTTGCAACGGAAGTAGTGCTCGTTGGAAGCCGGGCATCAGCTGCTCTATACCACGTTCAAATTGCCGCAAGGTCTCGTAAGCTCGCTGGTCCGGGGGTTTGTGTATGATGCTGTCGACAAAGTCCCGTTTTGCGAATATTGTGAACTTGCAGTCCTGACACATCCGTATATCCACGCTTATCGGTTTGTCGCTGGACTTTTCCGATGAGAGGGCCGTTGAATTTGCGACATTTAGGCCGATCTCAGATGAACATCCTGTCTGGGGGTCCGCACATACCACTCGTCCGCATATTCGGCAGTGATGTCTCCTAAAATTCCACGATCCGAACTCCTGTTTGCAAAAGGGGCATTTGCTCACTTTGGCATCCTCCTCCCACGTAACCACCGACTGCTCGATCAGCTTCCGTTGGTTTCTCTGGCCGGCTAGAGACGTGACTGAGGACAGCAGGCTCCCACCAGCACCCGCACTGCCATTCATTATTTCTTCAGGTGGGTTTGCCAGCAGCTGTGTTAGCTTTGACAGTCTCTTCTCCAGCCGTGATATTTCCAGAGTCTGCCGCTCCACCCTCTTCTTTCTTATTTCCGCAAGGGCGTCAGTCTGGTCCCTCATAAAGCCATTGTGGTCGTTGTAGCCGTCTCTTGACTTGTAACACGTCTCACAAACCCTGTACCAGTAGCCCCTGATAGGCTCGTGAGTAGCTGATCTGGACAGCTTCATCTGATACATGGTGTGTTCCTCACAGAATAGTCGTCCACAGTTCCTACAGTTGATGCTCCCGTTGACCGCGCCCAGTCGCCTTCCACAAGCAGGGTCGGTGCAAAGGTCGTTGACCCCGGACCGCTGCCAGTGTGACTTTGTGATTATGTCGTCGGGGTCGAACGGTGTTTCCAGAAGAGCAGGCGCTTTGGCACTGGGACCATCTTTGGCGGGTACGGGTGGTGTATACGTCTCATTGGACTCAAAGACGTCTAGACCCCGGAGTTTTTGGTTGATCATGGAGAGGGGTTGGAACTTCTTGGCTTTGAGCACCTGCTTGTCGAACCATGTCTTGACCTCGTCTTGCTGGAAGTCCGGGAGCTCCTGGTGGTTGTCATCGATGTGGCGGTTGAGTTGGAGGAGCGTCAACTGTAACAGGGCCTATTGTCAGAGTTTCTCGTCGCAGAATGTGGGCATGCGCACCACGGGGGCAGACATACCATTTCCTCCTCACAGATAGGGCAAACCAGCTTCGAGCTCGCAGCGGCGCCATCGCTGGGGCCGCCGAGGCTGATGTTCGAGGCAAGGTCTTGCGCAAAACCGGGCAGCGGACTGGTCGAGATGGGGGAGCCGGAGGCGGGCGACTGGAGGGTGTCCCCAATCGATCCTCCTACGGACGGGGTGCTATCCGAGGGCGCGTAGGGGCTCGTCGCCCGCTGGACGGCGGGCGAAGCTGCTGCTGCACTCGGCGGGGCCAAGCCTTTCCCGCTGCCTAGGATGCGGCCCCCGCCGAGTTTACGGCTCGACATGGCGGGAGCGTGGGCAGTATGCAGAGGCTAGAGGATGGTCGAGGAAATACAGAGGAGAGCCATCGGAGCAGGATAGGGCGACGGGTCGATCGTGGGGTAGGGCGTGGCGGCGGTCAAGCAAACAGTAACTACTATGCAAGGTGCCGTGCCCAGTTGGCTGGTGAGACCAGAGGTCTGTGTGGCGGTTGAACCTCGTTGGTGGTCGAATTGGAGCCGAGTCGTCGACGCTGGCGGCGCAGACGCAGACGCTGACAGACAGAGGGAGCGGAACCCTGCACACACAGAGGCAAGGCGAGGCTGTAGCTCACGCCGGCCGAGCCCACGAGATAATTTGGGGTGGTATGAATGGCGGCGCAAGGCAACGCAGTGATGCGATGCAGCTTCCTGCAGGATTGCCGTCGAGGTCGTCGTGATGATGGTGGTGGTGGACTCCGGTTGGTTGGAAACCCCCTGTGGTTGGCCTGGCCGCTGGAGCCGTCTCACAACCCCCCCTGGAAGCACCAGCTGGGGCCTGGCCCGCAGGCTGACTTGCAAAGCTCTGGCAGCCTTTTAGTTGGGCTGGGCTTAGCTGGCGCGGGGCGGGTTCCACCCAAGCACCCCTTGATTCCAGGATGGACTTCCCGTCGCACCAGACAGCCAGCCCATTTGCCCAGACGAATCCCACCATCACTATGGCCCATGGGTCCCCGCTAACTTATCTGCTGCTTATCGGCCAACAGCGACAGGGATGGGGGCGGCTTCGGCGGCCGGGATAGGACAGCTTTTTTTCTGTCTGGGGAACGGGCGCCATGAAGCGGTGCCGTCATCAGTTGGCATTTCCTCGGGCTGGGTACCTAAGTTGGCTTTTTTGCTTGGGTGGAAATGGCCTGAATAGCCTCACCAACTGCTCTGCACGAGCTCAAGCAGCCAGACCATCGCACCCGAAGCCGGCCTGGCAATGTCTGCGAACAAGGAGCACGGGTTCCCTGAGGTGCAGGGCGGTGGGAGCTTGATCCTGGCCTGGCAGGTCAAGAACAAGCACGTGCTTGTCGTCGGTGGTGGTGAGGTAGGCGAACCCGTTTGCTCAGAATGAGACTTTCTTTTCTCAGTATAGCACCTCTGTTCCTTGGAAGCTCCCCAGATCTATGAAGCACAAGCGGAACGCACACTACGCTCTCCACCCAACTGATCGACTGTGGTCACGAGGGCTCCCACACATGCAAGTCGCAGCTGGCGTTCGCCTCCTGGAGCAGGTGAACTCTGGGCCGAGAGAGCAGCACGGTTCTCATCACGTTGTACATGTCTCTTTTCATTATACTTGCTGACCTGTGTCTACAGGTAGCAGCAGGCCGCATCCTCAACGTCCTCAACGCCGATGCCCTCGTGACCGTCATCAGCCCATCCTCAGGCCTCAACCCCGAGGTCGCACACCGCATAGCCCAGAACCAAGTCGCGTATATCGACCGAGTCTTCGAACCCTCTGATCTCGAGTCCCTGCCGCATCCATCGGGCGATGCCGAAAAGACGGGCGCCCCCGACATGGTCCTCACCGCCGTCGACGACCCGGCTGCCTCCACCCAGATCTGGAAGCTGTGCAAGAAGCACCGCATCCCGGCCAACATCGCCGACGTGCCCCCGGAGTGCGATTTCTACTTCGGCAGCGTTCACCGCGACGGGCCCCTCCAGATCATGGTGTCAACCAACGGCAAGGGGCCGCGTCTGGCAGCCAGCATTCGCAAGTTCATCGCCGGCGCCCTGCCGCAGGGAGTCGGCAACGCTATCGAGAGGGTTGGTATATTAAGGACCAAGCTTAGAGATGTGGCTCCGAAACAAGAAGAGGGCCCCAAGAGAATGAGGTGGATGATCAAGGTCAGCGACCAGTATACCTGGGACGAGCTTTGCGGCCTGACTGAGGAGGACATGGACAACCTGCTCAAATTCTACAAGGGCAGCAAAGTTCCAGACCTAGATGTACTGAAGGCAATGCGTGGCGGTAGGGGGCCTGAGGATGTCGATATATTTGACGGGTCTTTCGGCTTCAGTCTTGGGCTTTGATTGCATATTGAACGGTGTTTTGGGAAGGTCTTGTTTCATGGTATGTTGGTTCGCTTTCAGGTAAATATAACGAGTTTCGTATGCTTGTAAGCACTGCTAGAGTCTGCAATTCCATGACATCCAGCTCTCGAGGGCTCTGGGGAGTAAATCGCGTACTCCCAACCTATGAGAGACGAGGTTCACCTAGGCGGCTTTTTCACAACTGCTCAGTTCTGGGGTAGAAGGCATCACAACCGCACATAAGCGGAACTAAGTATATTTGATCTTAACAGTGGATGGTCAGTGGATGGTCCTCCGTATATAACCGACAAGAAGGAAGTGATGTGACATTGGCTCAATTGGCCGCACGGTTCGGTATAATGGGACTAGTGGCACGTAAGACCGTCGGGGAGGATGCTACGTGTCGCCATTTTACATTTTCATCACCCAAATCTCCCTTTGTCATGCCCAAATAAATAGATGAAGATTTCTCTCTTCAAAGAGATTTGGCGTAATCAGGGGACGTGGCTGGTTTAGAAATATATATAGTGTAGCAACATGGGAGGCCGTCATTCCTACAGCAGCTAGATTGTACACTCGGCGTTTTCTCAAATAGAGTAGCAGCTGTGCATTGTGCATCACCTAATGGTGATGTTGATTCACAGCCTCTGACCACACATCTGGATGATGCCCCATTCAAGACGAAACGTTAACTCATGAGCATGCCGCGGAACAACCCCGCCATCTGATCCTTCGGCGTCTTGATATTCAACATGCCATGCTTCTGTGGATTGAAGAACTCCAGCCGTGGTTGAATGCCATCGCCCAGGCCAGCCCGCATCCACCGCCGTCGTGGGTACCTGGTCAGCTGTCCGAAATCAGATGGCTGCCGCTCCTCCTCAGCTCCTGCCCTTCTGAGCGGCATTCCTGGGTCCAATGGAACTGGATACACAGAAGCCTCATTCCGCCACCGGAGAATGGCAGGAGCCTGCGATTCGCTGCTTTGACTTGGATGTCGCTTCGTCTCAGTTACCTCGGCCTGCTCATGTTGCTCATCAAATACTGAGGGGGGGCCAGAGCAGTTGTATTGGAACGGCCGCATCCGGCCCACATCTACGCTGAGCACCGGCAATTCAAGCCGAGTGCGCTTCCTCAGCCCTGGGCTCATTGTGGCCAGCGCTCGGGTCTCGCGCACCTCCCACCAGAACCGGTTGTCCTCCGCGAGGTCGAGACGGAGGGCAAGGGAATGCAGCGATCCTGAGTCGGCGAGTGCGGAAAGCGAGCTTAATAGTTCGGGCCAAGCCGTTTCTTGATGTAGGATGGGAGGTGAGCCGATGGTGGTGTGAAGGAGAGTGAATGGGACGCTGAGGGATAGCTCCACGGTGCGCAGGTAAGGCACATAAGCCGTTGGGTGAGTGCAGTGGAAGAGCCTCTGTGATAGGTCAAGGGAGGTGATGATAATGGTTAGAGATGGATATAGCGATTTTATAGCTTCGGTATACCTTCAAACTAGTATCAGCCAATCGCACAGAGACACAGCAATTTAGACACCAGTGCGACTTACATTCGTTTGCATGATACCAGGACAGGCAGAAACAGCGTACCCGTCCGCGTGCCTGATTTCCGAGAGTGGAGCATAGCTTCCTCACATTTCCAGTGCTCGTTCCAAGACGAAGACATTCTCCTTGCCCAGTTGGCATCGTGAACCAGGGATTGAGGACGACTCGTCTGTCGCTTGTGCCACAGTTGGTCGAAGTCACTATTGCGCGTGTCCTCGTCGCCGGGGTTTACAATGCAGTGAGAGTGTGTGATGCAACCATCCTGTTCGAAGATATGCTGGCGGATGCCCGACGCTGCCCAGAATTCTCTGTAGAGGATGTCCCGAATTTCCTGTGGCAGCCTTCCGAAGAAGGTGGACTGCAGCTGAGCTTCCATATCTGGGTGTTTGTGATCAAGCTGAAACTCAAAGTCTATCCACTTAGCGGAAATAGAGTTTTCAACTATAAAGACTGGTTGATAGGACGAAGACACAAGACAAGCGAACAGCTGCGAAAGCTGGACACCCTAGAGGTTGCAGAGTCTGACTCAGATTATATCCCACCGAGTATCTGGGGGCGAAGTCCTAAATCACCCAATAACTCAGCCACCGGTGAGGCACAGCGGCTCCGGCCCGGAACACCATCACGGCATGTTGGTGTCACAGTCAGCGGGGAGTCTGGGGTGATGTGAGCGGCCAGGATATACATCACATGGGCCTCAACAACGCCTCTCGAAAACATGATTGGCGCTAAAGGAAAATGAACGAAAGAACCAAATGCGTGCTTAAAGTTCAATCTGTATGCAGGATCGTGGCCCAGCGGCTCAGCCGATCCCGACCTGGACATGTTTGCCTGTGTGACATGGTTCTTGGCATGCATGGGACGTGGGCAGATGCGTAGTTTGTCGGGTCCGTTGCGCTCAAGCGATGGTGCGGTGGAACATGGATTCTGCAGCCCACCTGTAGTGACACACTTGTGCAACCTATGCGCTGTGAGGAGAATAGATTGCAGACGCGCTTCTGCCTTACAGCTGCTCCGTTGGCAAAAGGACAAATTGAAGAGCACTGTGTGAATTACCGTCCGATGTGATTGAACCATGATCCGCCCCAAATATTGAACCTTGGACGAATGGCTCCACCCGCAATGTGACATTCAGGCGCGGTGTTGGGATATCAGGGTCCTGATAATTTCACTGCTAGAAGCAATGTGATGCCTTCCAGCAGAACCAGGAATTTACATTTGAGAGACACCATGGCTATCTAGTAATCTAATGAGGCCGAATGTCCCTCGACGTCTGAGCCAGCATATGGGTTCTTCTTGCACCAAATCGTCTGATCCTCAGTCCTGAACCCGTACTCCTGCCCATCTTGTTCTGATGTCAGCCACTCGATCCGCTGCACGTTTCCACGCAGAGGCGGCCATGCCCAATAGCGCCACATTGGGCGCCTGACGATCTTGAAGTCGCCACCCTTGACAAGCTGGTTGGGAAGAGATCTGTTCCGCTCAGATAGCTCCGGCGGCAGCTCTACTGTGAACTCCCTTAGGACTTGGAGCATGTCCAAGCGCTTCAGGAGAGCTTTCTCAGGGACCTCTCTCCAGACCCTCCGACTGCAGGTGTCAAATGAAATTCTTAATGTGTGGATACATGTAAGATTATGCAGAACGTTCTGAATAGCCAAGATGCGGCTATTGCTCAAGGTGTGGTCGTCCTTCACGAATGGGCTGTACTCGTAGTAGGACACGTTGATCGTCAGGTCAAGATGCCGGACCTGTGACAGCATCAGCGGAGGACGCAGAACCATAAACAGATGTATGGAGGTCAAGTCGTTTATGTGAAACTTGTGGAATTCCAGAATAGCTGTCTGGACTTCGGGATACCTGAGTTGAGAAGCGGTCTATCAGCTTGAATCGGGGGGCATTGTGCTGAGTATCAACTGCCAAGAATCGCAATGAGAGTCTCTTACATTCTTTTGCACGCGAGCATCATTGACATCCATCCAGTTTCTTCGAACTTGGAAATAGGGCCGCGTCGCTGCAAGTAGCATCTCCAATGCCTGTGATCCCACTCTTCACCAGTGAGCCTTGAAAACCACATCTTCATCCTGTCATTATTAAACCCATCAACTGGTGTTGATCCAAGCAAGCGATCCATCTGCTTCTGGATGAAGTCTGGTTCCTCGTCATTGGCTGTCATAACGCATCGTGCGTGGTACAGTCGCCCATTTTCGTGATATATATGTTGGTCTCGGACTGTTCTGTTCAAGGCATGATCGTAGATGATATTCCGTATTTCACAAGGTATCTTGAACAACTGGCTACCGAGCTGCGCAGAGGTGGCATTTCGCGATCCGTTGTCAGCGTTGCTCTCTCTTGGCTTCTTCTCGCTGTTTTCCATACTAGATATACTTGATCCAGCGGAATGATTGCGCTTCCCAAGCTTCGGGCGGAAGCCGGGCAGTTTTGTGGTGGGCAATCCGAGAGCCATGATGCTTGCGCAAGGGGCTTGACAAGCGCCGACAGAAGGCCCAGCAATCCACCTCGGAAGCACACGCCTTGTAAATCTAAACGTGGTTTGATGATGTACAAGAGAGGACCTAGCGCAGCTTTGCAACTCAAATGGGAGTCATGGACTAGAATTCTGGACAAACGCTGAGTTCCGCAGGAAAAAGGATAAGGATATTGCACGGGGTGCTATGATGGGTCACGTTCTGATGGCTGTGGTGGTCACTGGTCATGCTGAGACACCGCGGCCCATGCAAGCAAATGGAAGTCCGGCCATCCTGTCCCAAAGCAAATTCAAAACGGCACTGCGCAGCCGCCAACACAGCTTGCGTGCTGCATGTAAGATAGGATTCGCCGCCGAGGAATGACTCCATAGTCGAGGCCCGATCATGACTTGATGCGCAGTCGCACAGTGTCAGCTATTGGCGGCCCACCCGCCTTCCCGCGTGGTCGGTACCCAATCAGGGGCCAGAGGAATGATCTCTATAGCTGTGCCCAGGCTCTGAACCAGCTAGCTTGGCCTCCAATGAGGGGATGCTGTGCCACTCGGTTGTCCGCCGGTGATTACAATGTGTCGGTCCGCATTAGGAGAGCCCGCTAGCCGCCGACCAAGCCATCGGTACCCGTGGACCAGTTGAAGCTCTGCCTGGGCTGGGGTCCATGTGCCGCGCCGCACTCCCAGTGGGGTCGAGACTACTTGCTCACCACTCGGGCAAGGACGATAGGCAAGGAATGCAATCCTGTCAGTCTGCTTGGTATGCAACCAGGGGCGCTATGCATCTTGTTCACGTCTATTGCGCGTCAGGTGAGGGGGGTCATTTGTGCTTTCCCTGAAGATTTTTCTTTTCCTTCTCTCAGAAGGGGCGGGTGGTACTTTCTACCAGGCGTGTCCGCTGTCACTTCTGTGCGGCATGTGCGGCATCAATAAGGAACGGGGCGTGATTTCAAACTTCGCAAGTAATGACACTGTTGCAACTTGAAGCGTGGCGTATTTACGGGCAGCCCAAGTGCCAGTAAATTCATTTGATCATCACGAAATGGAATAATTATCCACACACTTCTAATTAGCAGGAGTCAACATGGCATGTACCTACAGCCTCAGGTAGTTCGTGAAACTGCCGGGACAATCGCGAACAGTTGAAAATTCCCACTCAAGTCCAAGTTGGCCTAATTCTGATTATGCCCTGTATTTCCTATACTTAGCGATGAATGTACCCCTGATCTGTACGTATTTAGCCGATCCATTTCGACAGGGCAGCGAATAATCATGGGTCATCTACATTGACGCGCCAGATTTCGCTCAACCCAGACGACGCACATATCGCGTGGAGTTCGCTAGTGTTAGGAATAGCAGAGGGTTTTGGAGAACGAGCCTGCCTTTACGCCAAATTAAGCTTCAACCCAGCGCCCGTGACTACCATTGCGCTCGGGCCCAGATTTGATCTCATCAATGTCAATGATCTATACAAGCCTAACTCGACTAGTGGATCGCGTACGTCTCGACCGGAGACACTTCTTCATATATTTACTGGGCTACGAATGTGCACACCGGCGAAACAAAGCCCATCAACGACAATACTTGCTTTTGAGAACTTCTGTCCCCATTTGCGTATAGAAGTGGCTGATTGGACAGCAGCACTATACTGGCAAAGCGTATGAACTTTATAGCTGGCATCCGAGATCCCCCCCAAATCTTGGTGGCTCTGCCTCTCTGAATATCTTTTAGATAGCTATCGCTAGTCCAACGGATGGATTTCGTAGGTATATACAGTCAGTTATGATCGATGCGGAAAGGTCTTGGGGTTCCTATGATGGGCAGCAACTCAACGCCGACACAGGCGAGGCGTGCAGCTTCAGTGACCCTGTATGGCCACTCGTTGCATCTTACATCTCGCCTTCTCCCAACGAAACCAGTGCTGTCTATGCGCAAAACCTACAGACTCCAACAGGACGTGAGACTCGTGATTGTTGCCCTATTTCTTCAAAGCCCGGTGGACAACGCTCCCGACTTGTGATTGTAAGGCTTTCCTCACGTACACAACGGCCAATCCCAGGACCTACTGAGCTATTGCCAGAGCTTTGCGAGGTTTGCGTGGAGTATATTCCCGATTCAAAGTGCTTCAGGACCCCAGTGCCCGATATTGGTATATCAAAGGGTAATTTTATACTTCATGGCAAGGCCGGTGGAAGTGCTCAAATTTCAGCCGGCGGAGTTGGTAACAGCACAAGAGTAACATCAATGAGTGTCATCTACCACAATTTTACCAACGATGGCATTCATATTCTAAACAGCAATGCCTCGGCTGTTGTGTCTCCGAAGTTTGTCTACCACGCCAATATCACCGAATCGGGGGTATCAAGAAGGCACCCAGGTCAAAAGCGAGCCAGAGGTTTCACTGGGTGGGGTGTGAACAGTGGTAACATTACTACAACCATCACCGATGATTTCGTTCCAGTGCCCCTAACCGCTACTTATATTTTACCGCGGGGATGCCCAGACATTTTTGAACAAGCAAAATCACAAGCCATTCATAAGTGATGCATTTGATCGTTTCCGCCCGATCGCAGCGTCGGATAACCCTAAGGTTCTCAGAAAGCACGTCTTATGGTTCACAGTGGCATGTACCAAGAAAATATTTACTATTGCAAGTTAACAAGCCAGATACCAAATTCATTCAGCTGTGTGGTTCTACGTATACCAGGTAAGGCAGGCCTAGTCGAGTGCCAAATTTCCACTATAGCATGAAGGGTTACCATACGTGATAGCTTTGAGAACAAAATCCGAATTGAAATATTACAATGCCCAATCCTCCAAAGCAGACCTTTCGACAAGCCTCGGTAATAAGAGTTTCCGCAGTCCCTGGCTTGCCGATAAATGGTGAGTGTCCGGCGTCGGCCGCGACTATATTGTTGAGCTTTATCAATTCCACTCTTCTATCAGACAGTGGCGTCTACGCCCCTGCTATTGGGAGCAATTCCCTTCTCTTCGAGTACATGATTCGGCACAATTGCCCCTTCCTCCTTCTTGTCATAGTTCGTGTCTTGCATATGGTACAATCCCAAGTAATAGAATATCGAAATCCCGATAATATAGAACAGAAGCACTCCACCTGCCTCAGCAATGAATGGAACTTTGATAGAGTCTAGCCCAAAGCACAAAGCCTCCCCTGCGCCAAGGACTCCACGGAAGACCCCGACGTAATGTGTTAACTTTCGAGGGTTGTTTGTCAATGCGCCGATCCAATAGTAGACAATGTTGTGCCACAGTTGCTAGTAATATGAAGTCAGCACACGCTAATCAATGCCCATGTGATATGACTTGACTCACGCAAGACACCCATGTCAGCATGAATAACACAAAGATCCATCCAAATCTCGGCTCAGTCCAATCGGTGGGATCAAGCGGGGGACGATTGCGGTCATATCCGCTTACACGTATCTGCGGCAACAAATGTTAGGTGATTTTGTCGGTTTCTCAAGGGACGTTTGCTTTACCATCTCCCACACCCACGCCACTATCATGGGACTCGATACGGCCGTCAGCCCTATCAGTCCGCGCTTCCTCCTACCCCACTCCTTGTGATCAAGTATCCACTGTAGTGCCCAACCTGCTGGAATCTGCAACACAACAGCGATGAAGCTCAGAATTGACCGAGCTCTAAGATTGTTCAGGTGTGCTGGAAGCTATTAATTACTACACTAGCGGTTTGCGATGGATCTGGAGTGTATAATACCGTTGACTGCCCCGCTATACACAAGAAAGCATTCCGATGGGAAGAAAGCCGGAAGCATCATGAGCAGGGTTGGGTCTTTAAATACAGCCAAATTGGATCTGAGCTCTTCCCAAGCACCTCGAGGAGGATTCACCGCAACGACCGAGCCGTCATCCCTCTTGAGCTTGTGCGGCCGTTGAAGTAGGAGGCATAGCAGGCCGCCAATCACCATTATTGCAATGAATGAAATGTAGACAGACCGCGGAACGCCAGAAGTCGTGTTGGAATCACGGTTAACGATGACGGGAATGATTCCACCGATGACAGAGCCCAATGCTTGCAGATTCATCAGCATAGTAGCATAGGCTCCTTTCTCGCTTTCCTCGGGGTAAGCAGTCGCAACGTAACCGGCCGTGATGAAGACGCAACCGGCCCCAATACCAATCAATGGGCCAGAAGCATAAGGATAGTCTCGCTTGCCGGTCTCGTCGTAGTACCAAAGCGACCCAACATACACGGCGTAAGTCTGCACGCCGATGCACATGGTCAGCCCTGGACCAAGCTTATTGAGAATAGAACCACCAAATGATGAAGATAGAAACCACACTGAACAGAGTGTAGCGTTGACAACTTGAACAACTTGTGCGGAGTCCGGTCGGCCGCCACCAGCGCCGAGCAGGTTCAATGCAACATACAGTCCAGCAGAACACCCAAAACCAATGCCACTGATAACATTTTGTGTCCAGGGGCTATGCCAGCGAAACTGCCGTGTAAATTCTTTCATTATGGATCTGAAAAGAATCTTCACTATGTATAGATTCAAGAAGAGAAGAAATACGGGACGCAGTCTACCACGGTATGGATCGAGCCATGATCAGTTTTACCCGTCGTGCAAACGAACCTCGCAGGAAGGTTACATTCGTCAGCTCTTGGCTGGCGATCTTAACGTAGGCGGACTAGTCGCATAGACAGTAAAACTCCGAATTTATACGCACAGTACATTAAAAATCAGGAAAACATTAAGCAGCTTTGGAAACATATTTGCGGCGAAACTCTAGGATGCTCAACTCCGCCATTGACCATGACAGAAGATTTTGGTTATGGCATTCCCTCCCAGACCTTCTCGAGAAAGTCATCGATCCGAGTGAAATCATGGTCGGGGAAAAGTTGGTTCATCTCATCCGACGAGTCCCATGCACCCTTCGAGCTGCTTAATAGGATACCGATGGAAACCGCTTTGAGGAGCTCAGATGCCTGGTCAACAGGCACGGCTGGATGAATGGCCTCTAGCCCCCAAGATGCTTTGAATTTTCCAGCTTCAAGGTCCTCGAGCTTTACCTGATCGACAACGAAAGATCTTCCTGCAAATTATGTGAATAAAGTGTGATGATCATGTCGTCGTAGGCAGCGAGAAATCTTACCTCGAACCCTCTTACCAATCTCAAGGATCTGTGAGGACGTAACTCTATTTCCCCTGATGCCGCCTGTTGTCGGCCACCTGCCATCATAATCAACTGCCCGCGCTATGACTGCTGCAAGGTCCGCCACAGTGGTCAATGTCATAATGGCGCCCTCGTGACCTTCCATGACAATAGCTCGACAGTTTTGGAAGTCAAAGATGCTCTGTAGCGGATCTAGGTATTTCGCTGTCTTGTAGGGGAATGCCAGGTAGTCAAGAAATAATCCAGGCTGAAATAAGGTGTACTCAAGAACCTGGCCAGCAATTAAATTAGACTGGATATTTTGATACTTCACAAGTTTGGTATGATTTTGACCTCTCACCCGTTCGTTTTCGTTGACCTCTTCCAGATACCTTCGAACCTTTTCTTTGCCATGCCACCAATGCATATCCACCGTTCCCTTGCTATAGATCAGGTTAGGTTCAAGCTTTTCCGGCCACGTATATACATATGACACGACTGGTATTACCTTCCATACTCGCTTGGTGCAAAGCGTTTAACACCGGAAATGATTGCGGCGTCAATGAGGTTTTTCTGCGACTCTTGGTCGGGATCAGACAGGATTTGAACGAATGACAGCAGAGTGTGAATTCCTCGGAGAGCTCTGATCAGATTGGGTTTATCATTGTAGTCCACAACCTGCCAAGTGATTTCAGGCGCGATGTCAGATTTCTGAGCCTGGTAGGAGTATTAGCAATAGATTTCTAGGTGGGGCCGACATCTCATTCACACTACGGCTTAATATAGTTATGTCATGCTTTCCTGATGACATGAGAGCGTCAATGACCTCTCTGGAGACAGCTGTATTTTGCATCAGCAGTGTTGATAGCTTCGCATGCGACTCCTAATCAGACGTACGCCCGGAACCACCAGCTACCGCGATCCTGACCATCTCACTTCGTTTTAAGCGAGTTTATTATAACCGGAAATTTCCACAAACCGATTGTTGAGAACGGCGCAAACTGGTGTGGGATTTGTCTTTTGGACGGAGTGCGAGACCGTCCACTTATTATACTTGAGAATCTCCAGGAGAGGGCTGTTGTAAGGACTTCGCCAATAGCGCTATGGAGCGGAGAAACGATAGAAATTGGGGAGTGCATGACTATGTACCGACTACCAGCAAGTGGTAGCTACATAGGTATGTTGTTCGACCGCGGAGATAACTAGTGGGCGGTGTCTCACAGCATTGCATTGGCGCCCACTGTACGACGGCGGCCCGTGAGCCCGTGCGTTGCATTCCTCCGCCGCGGCGGAACAGAGTCGTCAACTTCAGCACTGCAAGATCACACGGTGCTGCCCCTCAGATAACAAGCAGCTTATCTACGACTTTTGGCATATGCCGCCGCATTACCGTTCCCAAGATCGTCTGCTCGCATCTTTGTGGGCCGAATGACTTACTACATCGCGGAAGCGAGAAGGACAGTTCTGGCCTGAGATGTCGGCAGATTCGCGCAGTCCTTCCTGTAGGGCGTCATGCCCGCCAACTGCGCCAAAGAGACGTAAAATCCGCAGAGGAACCCAAAGTTGCTGGGAATGCAAGCGACGTAAGATCCGCTGCACGTTTGCTGCGCCTACAGAAACCGTTTGCGACGGATGCCGAAGTCGGCGGACCAAATGCATCAGCCAGGAGTTCGACAACGAGCCAGGCAGGGGATCTCCGAGTGGACAAGAGCCCCGACATAAAAGGGCCAACCCAACGGGCATGCCCCGCCGAGATTCGCCTGTTCCGAGTGAAAATGCCGATAGAGTAGTAAGAGTCCAATTCTGTTCTCAGTCACATCATTATACTTACCAGTCATCAGCACGACACCAACCTTGAACCGCCATCTTCAGTATTTATCACAACGCGTAACCTAGAGCTGAAAAGCCAGATTACAGGGAGCCTTCACGAACTATCTCGCGCTCTCCTGGCAGTATGGCCCAATCAACACGACCTCAATGTTATCCTTAGCGTTCCCGTCGGCGCTGCCATACTATTTCACGGAGTGGTGTGTCTGTCATATTCTAGATTTTTCTCTGAACAGATAGGATCAAGTCGGTCGATATTTCAGATGCCCGTAAAATCGTCCCACCCAGTTCCCTTAGCAAGAAGGCTCTTGATGCTAGGGGTGCTTCTACAGAGCATGTCGCCCGACTCAGCCTCCAAGCTTGCTGAGATGGGCGTGGACTACAACACTATCATGTCCCGTATGGTCAATACAGCCAGCAGTCTTGTGACAAGCGACGATGACCTTGTCTGCTCGCTCGAGGGCATTGAGTGTATTATGATTGAAAGCATGTATTTGAACAATGCCGGATACTTGCGTCGTGCCTGGCTGACCAACCGGAAAGCCATGAGCCTAGCACAAGTATTGGGTCTACATACGGGCTCGAACTCGCCAAGCATGGCTCTATCAGTAGAAACAAGTCAGCACATTGACCCTGCATATATGTGGTTTCGCATAGTAGTCTCTGATCGATACTTGTCATTGATGCTAGGACTTCCCCAAGGCACTTCAGAGAACATCTTCGCTAGTCCAAAGGCACTTGAAGGCTGTACACCGTTGGAGCGCATGGAGCGTATGGAATCTGTCGCGGCTGGACTCATTCTACAGAGAAACAAGACGGCACTAAACGATATCGAAACGGTGCACAAAATTGACACAACACTCCAAGAGGCTGCTGCCTTGATGCCACCGCAGTGGTGGCTGATGACTTTTCAGCTAACTGCTGCCGCCGGCCAGGATGCCAAAGTATTTGAAGATTCCATTAGACTCACGAATCAGTTTGCTCACTTTCATCTTCTAGTGCAGCTACACCTACCATATATGTTGCGGTCGTCCCCGGCAGACAAGACCTACAATTACAGCAAGATAACAGCCACGAGCGCCAGTCGTGCTATTGTGGAACGCTTCGTGTCCTTTCGGGAGTCAGTGACAGCTAGTGCATATTGCCGTGGCATAGATTTTGTTACTTTCGTCGCCAGCACGACGCTGTGCATCGCGCATATCGAAGCTCGACGTCAGGGCGAGGCGGACCGTGCTGGACGAGCCACGGGATTTCAAGCGATCCAACACCAGCGACTGAGCGACCGTGGACTGCTTGAACGCACACTCGAGATTATGGAGGGAACTGCTGAGACAGGGCACGATGCTGTTGCGCAAAAGATATCAAGCATCCTCCGACCACTTCTTTTCATTGAGATTAACTCGGCTAGAGGCACGACATACCATACCAGCGCCTCGCATGAGTCGGGTGTTTCAGACTCTCAAGGCCCCGGCGGGACTTGTGATGGGTCCAATCTTCTGAGGATCCAGATTCCATACTTTGGCACCATAAAAATCGAGTACCGTCCCAATGTATGGGACAACTTCGGACCTGCCCAAACGGACTCCGAAGAAAGCCATCGGGAGGTGTCAATCTCGCACACAAATGATTGCAACCTGCTCAGTCCCGACGATCCAATGTATCCTCACGGCGCAGGGCAGCAGGACAAGCGAAGCGGGCAAACTTCTTCTGTAAATGGTCCTATTGGCTACGAAATCAGTGCTACGCAACCCCTTAATAGTGACTGGCAGGTGGTACCGTTGCAGCTCGACTCGCAGAACTTAGATGAATCTGTGTTTGCTATAAATGAAGGCCAGGAAACGCATTTGCTTGTGCCTGGTCTGACAGCAGAGGTAGATGACTGGGCCCTGCAGGGTGTAGATATGGCTTTGTTTAGTAGTCTCACACAGGGCTCTACCGAGTCAGCTGACCATCTCACTTAGGTACGTGAAATTTGATCATCTCATCCAGGCAAAAGGACCTACAAAAGGAGAAACATCGAAGAGAAAGAAAACGAACGGAACGATCTCTGCCCCCTTCCATATGCCACTCCAAACCCTTGGTAAAATAAAGGCGGTCACTACAAGGGTCGGACTTGTGATCTCCCATTTACCTGTTGATATAACAGTGGGAAACCTTCACCACTGGGCCAAGCGGCATCTCGAAGGGTGGATTGGCTGATAGGGAAACAATTGTCTTCGTACCCGTAGCGGATATTGTACGCAGTTTAAGTAGGCGCGCCGTACCTCCTCCGGTATGGAACGATTCATGATCAAAATGGAAAGCGATAATATGTACATCAGTTCCCTTAAATCAAGAATTGCTTGACAAAGCAGAACCTGTTGGTCGAGTGCTGTGCCGTTGTTTGCAGTGTCCATTTACGGTCGATTCTCCTCCAAGATACGACTATCACTTGACACTAGCCTGTTCAAATGAAAGCCTTGTATTCTTGTTACTAAGTCAGAACTACTGCTGAAATGTCTGACACTGGTCTTGTGAGTTACGGTTTTCACGAGGGTTGTCTATATGAGATTTCATAAATGAGATTAGACTGCTTCGCAGAGAGTCTCTTTGGTCTTTTGTCTAATGTCCGAAACGTGATTAGTAACAGCCAAGAATAATAGACTCACGGGCTTGGGTCTGCCGAAGTCACTTTTCTATCACCGCTGACTTGGAGTGTCACTGATACGGCACTGCGGCGATGCAGTGTCGAAGAAGCGGGTCACCGCCGCATGTAGGGCCGTGCCAAGGATTTAGTCCCGCCCCCGAATGGAGACGTCAGTGATCTTGCCGCGGGGGCTTAACCGCCGGGGATATTCTCGGAGAATCACACCTTGCTGTAATAAACACTCCCCCAAAACCTTGCCAGGAAACCGCCTTGCAAATTCTCGCATGAGAACTACAACAACTCTCACACAACTTGATCAGCAAAGATACACACCATGGTGACTGAAGCGTACAAGAAGTCATCCTTCTCGACCCCACAGTGGTGGAAGGAGGCGGTCGTGTACCAGATCTACCCCTCCTCCTTTCAGTCGCATCCAGGCGCAACCACAGGATGGGGCTCGATTAAGGGCATAACCTCGCGGCTAGACTATCTGAAGAGCCTTGGCGTCAATGTGGTCTGGTCCAGCCCCATCTTCAAGTCACCTCAGGCAGACATGGGCTATGACATTGCGGACTATAAGGAGATCGATCCATGCTATGGCTCTCTCGAGGATGTAGACGTGCTCATCGCCGAGTTGAAGAAGAGAGACATGAAACTGATGATGGATCTCGTTGTCAACCACACCAGCAACGAGCACGCTTGGTTCCTGGAGTCCAAGAAAAGCAAGAACAGCCCAAAGCGAGATTGGTACATCTGGCAGAAGCCCAAGAGCATGGGCGTCGATGGACAGCCTGAGCCCCCAAACAATTGGGCCCAAATCCTCGGCGATGCGAACTCAGCATGGACATACGACGAGGGTTCTGGGGAATACTACCTAAGTTTGTTCACACCCGAGCAACCCGACCTCAACTGGGAGAATCCTGAGGTCCGTGCTGCAGTCTGGGATGTAATGCATTTCTGGCTGAAGCGTGGTGCCGCCGGCTTCCGCATGGATGTTATCAACCTAATCTCCAAGGTCCCTGGGTACCCTGATGCCGAAGTTGTTCTTGGGGAGGGCCACAAGTACCAGCCAGCATTCAAGTACTTCGTCAATGGGCCGAAGCTCCATGATTATCTTCAAGAGATGCACCAGGAAGTACTGAGCAAATACGACACAATCACTGTGGGCGAGATGCCAGGGGTAAGCGATGAGAAGGAAATTCTACGAACTGTCGGGGCAAAGTCCGGGGAACTGAGAATGATTTTCATCTTTGATGTCGTTGACATTGACAAGCCCCACGTCAGAATGGCTTTGAAACCTTGGGATGTCAAGGAGATGAAGAGCATCATTTCGAAGTGGCAGAGGGTTATGATTGACCTAGATGGTTGGAATTCTGTCTTTATTGAGAACCACGACAACCCTCGGTCCGTTTCGCGCTACGCCGACGACAGTGACGAATACAGACATCTCGGCGCCAAGCTTATCGCTCTCATGCAGACCACACTCGGCGGTACACTCTTCGTGTACCAAGGCGAGGAGATCGGGATGCGGAATATCCCCAAGAACTGGGGTATCGAGGAGTTCAAGGATATTGAGACGGTTAACTATTGGAAGAAGGTTGAAGAGCTCTACGCCAATGACCCAGAGTTATTACATCATGGCCGTACAGTCGTTGATATGAAAGCCCGAGACCACGCTAGAACACCCATGCACTGGGATGCATCCGACAATGCAGGGTTCTGCGATGCGGATGTCAAGCCGTGGATGCGCGTGATGGACGATTATAAGACAATCAATGCCGAAGCGCAGATGAAGGACGATTCGGAGAACCTCTCGGTCTGGCAGTTCTGGCAGCGTGGTCTGAAGGACCGAAAAGAGCACGCCGACGTCTTCGTCTACGGAGACTTCGAGGAATTGACTCACGAGCATCCCCAAGTCTTCGCGTATACGAGGACAAGCGCGAAGGGCGAGAAGTGGCTCGTAGTATTGAACTATTCCGGTCGGCAGGTCGAATGGTTGCTGCCCGAGGGCTTGAAGGTGGACTTCTGGGCAGCTGGCAACTACACCAAAGGCCGGGTTGAGAAGCCAAAGTCTGCCATTGTACCACTCAAACCCTGGGAAGGCGTTCTGGGAAAGTGCGCTTGAGAAAAACCGCATACCATGACAGCTTTGTGGTCCAAGACAGTGTGGCAAAAGAGTGCATTTTAGAGGCAACATAGAGGAGATACAACAATAGAGAAACCCAGTGCAAGTCTTCGACTACGATACTGTGTGCCAAACACTTGATTGTACCATTGTCGAAAAGCGACACCCACTCATCATTGTATGGCACTCCCTAGACTGTACCGTAACGATGACAGGCGGACTGACTTGCAACCAATTCATGATGCTCCCAATGCAGCTCCTAAATCATCGGGAAGGACCCCCCATAGACCGTCAAACCTCGCGGCTCTGGAGATTGGACGCTTCGAGAATCTTTCGAGATTAATGCACGCCAACTTACCATCCGTCACTTCCAGCTCCGTTGTTGATCACTTGTGCGATAATAATCCGCATGATGTAATGTGCTTGAGACTTTAATGAATGATTACACAAAATTGGGACCATACCCCGTTCCATCACCTCGACGTGCGTCTACCTGCAAAACGTAGCCATAAGGGGTCCCAGTCAGGAAGCTGCCTTCCTGGGACGGCAATGGTGTTTCTCTCAGGATACGCTGAATGCGTTCGGCGCTTGCTAAGAAGCGATCCTGCAATCCTGCATACTTGTCGATGGTGAGTTCACCGTCACGCTTCTTGAACTCACCATCCACAAGGACGTGTTTGATATCGCCCACGCTGGCATGCAAAATGATGGCTGCCACAGGGTCGGCCCATCCCAGCATTGCAGGAGATCTCCCATCCCAGACCACAATATCAGCTTTCGCGCCCGGTGCAATGATGCCCAGGTCCTCGCGGCCCAGGGCCAACCCGCCATTCCTAGTTGCAAGTAGGAACGCCTGATTGACAGACATTGGGCTTTGAGCAGGGAGCTGCCATCGATCGATGGTATTTTCGTAAACGCGGTATCGCACTGACTGGAGATAGAGACGTGCCTGCGTGAGGATATCTGTTGAAAAAGTGAAATGCGTGTCAACTCCTAGCGAAGCCTGGTCAAGAATGAGATGGGACGTCGGGTGAAGATGGCCATAGTGCATCTCGCTTTCGGGGGTGATTGAGATGTGTTTGTTCGTGCTTCTTAGCAACGCAGCTCCTCTTGCATCAAGAAATGAAGCATGCGATATAACAATAGGAATGCTTGAATTGAGAATTCCAACCCGATGGAGATCCTCTGGAGAGTTCCCAACTGTGCTTAGTTAGCATGTACAGTAATGAAGTCAGAACACATGAACTAACACATCCACGGTCCTTCGACATGGTGCGTTGTGAGTACTGACACGTTGTTTTTACTGCCATAATACTTAAGTCCATATATTCGCCATTATTCTTGAGTGATACATACTAGATCAGATCTAACACAGCTAGTGTGTCGGCTCCATCGGGATTAGCTGTCCAATCGTCATAGCCTACAACAAGTTCTGTGAGGTTGCTAGAGATTTTAGCGGCAAGCTCGCGCCAATGAATAATCTGGTCCTGGATACCAAATCCGGTAGAAGCGTTTTGAAAGGTGTAAGCGAAGAAGATCCGAGAGCCACTGTCAACAGAGGCATTAAAACCTGCAGCCGAATGTTCGCGGCTCCAGGTGTGGTGCGCATGGTCCAGTATAGTTGTGACGCCAGCTGCCACAGCCTCGTAAATACCCGTTATCTGACTGATGTAGAGGTCATCGGGGGTAAATAGAGGCTCGGCTACCATGGCACTGTACCGCCCGGCATACTCTGCAAGGGTTGTGTTGGAACCCATCGTCTTGAAGACTGTTTGCCATCCATGACGGTGAGTGTCGATGAAACCAGGCGTGATAATCTTGTTTGTGCAGTCAATCACCTCCGCACCGGGTGGCACCACAATCGGGGAGGACGCATCAAAAACGGAAGTTATTCTGTCTTTGTCAATAAGAAGCGAGCCATGTCGTATTACCTGAAGTGACTCGGCGTCCTGATCGAAAGCGATAATGGTGCCACCGCTAAGCACCTTGGCAGCGGCAGCAGGACTTGCCCTATGGAAGACAGTGGACGCCTTCAACAAAAACGAGAATAAATTCATTGTAATTAATGTGTGCCAAAGTGATAAACGGTGAAGAGCGTGAGGGTGCTTGAGGATTGCCAGGAAAATGTGTTGGACCCCGCACATAAGTACATCAGCTCCGAGGTTGCCGAAAATTACGTGGGCACGATGATTAATGGTTCATTTTCACTCCGGCTCAAGTAATTTGAACATACGGATGACGTTCTGTTGTTGGAAGCTACTCAGTCTTCATATTGAGCGTTAAGAAGAGGCTGACTCCCAGATAGGTGCATCGTTGCAACACCATAGGCCTCTGCTGAATATATTATAAATGTGTCTATGTAGTATTTTCTCAACCACATCACCATCATTTTCTGGATCCTAGGTTCCAAAAGTGATATCCATAGCTAGATTGCCAGCCCGTTACGCTATCCCAAGCCGCCTTTAATTGTCCCGGGGTCAGCTATTCCGCCGTCATAGGCATTTCGGGCCAGCCAGGCAGTTGAGGGCCTGCACGCAGCAAATCAATCCAAGATGATTCACTATTCAGAGAGCTTTTAATCCTCCAAACCTCTGCGATTGTCTTAGCGGTGGTGCTGAATGTCTTGAATCCACTACTGCGCGTACAGGTTTCGAACCACTCGGTGAACGCCTTTCGTATGGTTGCATCCTCAGCTTCACAAGCCGCAATGAAAGCAGGCCAGACGAGTCCCAAAGAACCACACGCATCCCCAGTGCCCGTACGTTGGCTTCGAATGAGTGAATCGAGAACACTTGCCACCATATGCTGCAGCAGCGAGGCATTTACATCATAGATTCTCCGATAAAAATAGATCGCGAGTGCGTTCTGCACTGCGTTGGTTATTTTCGCCAACTTGTCGAGCTCGTCGGCGTTCGAATCAGGGAGACACATGGCTGAAGTGTTGTCTTGCCGTTGATACCGCTCAATGCATCTTTCCAAGATCTTTGCACGGTCCAAGAAACTTGTGATACTGGAGCCGTTCTGCCCAATGGCGTCTTTTTCCTTGCCAAGCTGTACAATGCAAGACAGGAGGCACATCAAGACCTCAGGGACACCGTAGATCTCAGGATATAAAGTAGCGGGCCACACACCCGGTCGCTCAAGATGAAGATCGTTTTCACCCTCCTCCTGTGTCTTCGACTTGCACAATTCTTGAGATAGATTGCGCCATCGCGATATGTGGAACGACACGCTGTCCTTGCTGTACATGGCCAGATTGCTGGACGCTATAGCCCTCTGGACTGCGTCTCGATGTGAGAAGTTGTTGTTGTCGTTAATACATAGGCTTTCGTAGAATATGCGTTGAAATGCGTAGCAGTGATGCAGCATGCGTACTTTCCGTGACTTCTGGCGGTTGAGACCCTTGACCCTAATGAACTTCTCGGTCTCTATAAAGTAAAAGTCGACGCGGTCCTGGCTCCCGAAAACAGTGTACATATGGATAACGGTAAGCAGCGCCATCAAGATGGTCTTGTATTTAGCCGCTTTTGGCACACGATACGCAGTCTCTAAGGCAGCATGGCAGTGCTTACGAGCTTGTCTTTCGTACATTTTGGCCCGTTCCTTCCACATCGAGTGTGACTGTTTGGTCTCTTCTAGACTGGACGCACTAACAGCTAAGGTGCCGAAGAAGATGGTGAGACTTGCGTGGCATAGATTCTCACCCATCGTCAAAGCTGCAAGGCAGCTTTTAACATGGGGGATAAATAGGATATGCCATGGTGTTTTGGCATGCCCAAAAGGGGATATGAAATTGACCACGGTTGAGCTATAATGCTTGAGCAAGAAAACGGCGTCGCCAGGAACAGGCATAGGGGCGTATGCAAGTGTTGACGGATGGCTTGTTGCCGTCTGCGAAATACGACATAGATCTATGATACTGGCTGGGAAGATGTTTTGTAGTACTGTGTCTGGTCCGTTGGATGCTTCCTGCCTCGGGGCAGCGAGAGATAACTCCGGCTCCTGCATCCCCGAATTTCCCTCGCTCAGATTTCGTAGGGTCGTACCGAGGTCGTTTACGTCCAGGATACTGCAAATGTCGGATGCATCGGGTAGCATATCCTGTAAAGAGCCATTGAGCATAGTAGCTAAGTAGGGGTCGTGCCATTGCTGAATCGTACTCAGTTGATGTGTCGACTCCTTTGGCGGTCTACACGCCGGATTGTTCTCCATTTCTGGGCAATAGTCTAGGTCATTAGACCAGTCTAACTCAAACCCAGACTGTGGGAGCTCAGGCCCTGTCTCAAGCGCGGGCCTATCTCTGAAGACCCCAAATGGGCCAGAGTGTAGCTCAATACTGTCATAGGGAGCAGCATTTTCGCAATGCTCATCCAGTCGTGACAGCTGTCTAGATACAAGCGTTGGTGGTACGCTTGACATCAGCCATTGGCTCATAGCCTTGCGTTCTGCCTCAGTGAACAGAAGTCGGCGAAAGCGGATACCATCTCGGACAAGTGCGCCGTCGTCGCCAGAGGTAAAGAAGATGTTCTTGCCGTAACCTCCACAGGCCAATCCCGATGTTTTACACAGAAGGCAAGTGGGTCTAACTTCATCACACTTTACACGTCGACTGCGACACTGAAATGATTGTCAGCTGCGCTCGATCAAGTACCGCCCAGTAAACTGATGACGTGGCACTTGACTTACCGTGTCGCACCCTCCGAACGATCGAACAGCGAGCCCTTCAGTCCCAGCCATGACTTGCCCGAGATCGAGACTCGCATTGTTGAAGGAGACTTTCCTCTGTAGACAAACTTGTCGTGGCGCCCGGGCCCCTGCTATTTTATCGAATGCGAGGGACAAAAGTGGGACCTGGTACCATTGAATCAGGAAAGTTTACCCCTGAGAGACTGCCCCGCTAACCGCACCGGCCGAGCCAAGGGGAGAGTTTCCCAACTTCAATCGTGGCAATTGACTACTAGACGTCATTGGTTTGCTGTTTATCGTTGCTCTCGGCTAGTGTAATTGAACTGCTTTGCTCGAAAGGCCGCTAGCTGGCAGGGATTCCCCAATCCATATTCAGTTCTTGAGACGCCTGAGTCGCGTCTTTCGCCAGGGTAGACAGCTCTTAGCTGCCAACAGCTTGTTCCTGATTCTTGGTCAAAAGAGATGAGAGTTGCAGGCACAGTTATTTAGAGATAGCATAGAAAGGACTAAACGATATGTATCTGTCAGATTTCGCAAGGATCTGGTGGACACATATATAAACGAGCACCTCAGCCCAACTGAGAACGCAATTTTCGTGAATCTCTTAATGCCATGACGAGTTGCAGTGTCAACCCATTCCCAAAACAAAACCTTTCTTGATGCTTTCGTACCCTGTGATCATTGTTGAGCTCAGTCTTGTTGTGGTCGCAATTTCTTCATATGTACCCGCCCGTAATCATGGCCATACCCTCCGATCAACGCTCCACAAGTCCCAAGAACGATGATGTTGAGAAGAATGCCGACATGTCCAGGATTCAAAGTACTGGTGAAGGCCAGGTTACTGAACAACACGGCACGAAACGAGCAATCAAGCCTCGCCACGCGCAGATGATTGCAATTGGAGGAAGCATCGGCACATCGTTGTTTATAGCGTCGGGTCAAGCTCTTGCTGCTGGAGGACCGGCAATCCTGTTGATTGCCTATATCGTGATGTCTCTTCTTGTTTACGGCGTTGTCACAGCCGTTGTCGAAGTGAGTCAAGAAGGCAGATTGCAGGACCATGAAGGATTGGCGATGTTCCGACATTAACCTGTGTGTTCAAGGTTGGCGCTCACTTACCACTCGAGGGGGCTTCCATGTCCATGCATTGCCGCCGCTATGTTTCTAAGTCACTGGGTGTGGCTTTAGGATACCTCTATTTCTACTCTTACGGCATTATTGCCGCCTATGAGATCACTACTGCGACAATACTTATAAATTATTGGCCCCATAGCGTCCACAAGGCCGTGTGGATCACGATCATCATGGTCATCATCATTGCACTAAACGCTTTCCCCGTCCGCGTATATGCCGAGGCAGAATTTTGGTTTGCGAGCATCAAAGTTGCCCTGATTGTGGGTCTTTTGATTCTATCACTGGTTTTGATGCTTGGGGGAGGACCAAATCATGAACGCCTTGGTTTCCGATATTGGTATGATCCTGGCGCTATGAACGCATTTATCGTCACCGGAGCGAGTGGTCGCTTTGTTGCGTTCATATATGTTCTGATCTTATCTGGATTTTCCTTTTATTTCAGCCCCGAGCTTATAATAGCGACATCTGGCGAAATGGTCAACCCTCGCAAGGATCTCCCTATTGCTTCTCGCCGTTTTTTCTATCGTTTAATGGTCTTTTATATCCTTGGCTCTCTGGCTATTGGTGCCGTTTGTGCTTCAAACTCATCAGGGCTTGTCTCGGGTACTGGAAATGCCAATTCATCGCCGTGGGTCATTGCTATCCGTAATTCCGGCATCGAAGCACTGCCTTCCATCGTCAATGCCGGCATTCTCACCAGCGCTTGGTCGGCCGGATCCTCATATTTCTATATGTCAAGTCGTGCCTTATATTCTTTGGCGGTACTGGGAGATGCACCGAAGATATTCTCCCAGTGCAATCGATGGGGCACACCACACTACGCCGTTTTCGCTGCGAGTCTTTTCATGCCACTCGCTTACATGTCCAGCAACTCTGAGGCAGGAGTTGTATTCAACTGGTTCATAAATCTTACCAACACTGCAGGATACACTTCCTGGGTTATTTGCTGCATCACATTCCTCAGATTTAGCGAAGCCAGCCATATTCAAGGCATTACGCGATCTCATGCTTCATTTATCCAGCCATTCGGTGCATGGATTTGTATCATCGTATTTACGGCTTTGTGCTTGCTGAACGGTTTTACCGTTTTCTTCCCTGGCAAGTGGTCAATCGGGAACTTTATGTCAGCCTACATAGGCATCCCTATCTTCATGGCAGTCTGGGTCGGACACAAGGTGACTGTTGGAAGAAAGGACCCGTGGCTGATGAGCCTGGGTGAGATTGACCTGACAACGGGTTTGGACGTGGTTCAAGCGGATGCTCAAACGTATGAAGAGAACGAAAGATTGCGTTCTAATAAGTTTAGGCCTTGGGGAATCATAAGACGGGGATTCTCACGTACTTAAGATCAGCCAGATGATAGATGTCTCCCCACGCATTTATGCTTGAAAAGCGGCATGTGTTTGAATTATTAGTTGACCTATGGCTAATCATTTAATTTGCTATTTACACTTTGAAGTTACTTTCGGGCCACCAAACGATCAGTGCGCAAATGTTATTGTCTGATCACTTAGGTAAACAACGTGAAACAGTCTCCTGATGTTTTCCTCTTGAGAAGACTTAAAAACTCGTACTATGACAAGCGGCAGGTCCATCACATTGATCTGGTCCGAATCAGTTGTCAAAACCCGGGTCATCAGCAGAGGGCTTGCATCACGCAGCAACATACAAGGCACAAACAACGAGTCGGACTCCCGACGATAAAGCCGCGATCTACTTGCACACCAGTTTGAACTCTATTGGTCCAATCCGTGGATGAGAAGTTCCCAAATGGACAATGCGGTACCCGCTGTTCTTAGTGAGGGGGAGGGTTGCCGAGTCCGATGGCCGGTGGTCACTAAAGCGAGCTAGTCTATCATCTGACTGTCCACAGAACTAATATAATAGATAACTAACTATCTGCACGCCGCCTACAGACAGATATCCACACTGGTGGTACCCAACCAATTCCCTGGGCGTCAATTGCTTGAAGCACCTGTCGACATTAAACCTCCTCTCTTTTCACGTTCATCCTCATCTCAAAAGCGTACTCCAAAGCATGGACGTTCCCGGCTACGCTTTGGTAACTGGTGCCGCTTCGGGAATTGGTAGAGCTTGTGCGAACACATTTGCTAGAGATGGTGCCGCCGGAGTAGCGCTGTTTGACGTCTGCCTTGAGGCCTTACACATGGTCAAAACAGAGATAGAGCAGAAGCAGTACACCCCCCAGGGGAAGCCCTGCAGGGTTGTCATACACCAAGTAGATGTGTCAAAGGAGGAACAGGTCACCCAAGCCGTGAAAGCAGTTGTTGAGGAGTATGGACGTCTGGACTATGTCGCCAATGCAGCTGGCATCGCGATGAAGCATGCAGGAGGTGCTGCATTTGCCGCGCTCAACGATTGGCAGCGCGTTCTTGACGTTAACTTGACTGGATCTCTTCTGGTGCTGAAAGCTGCGGCTCAGGTCATGTTGAAGCAAGAGCCTATTCATTCTTCGATCGATGGGAGGCCACTACAAAGAGGGACAATTGTTCTCTTCGGATCTATTCAGTCCGTGGCGGGCATTCCTCTATCTACCGCATATGCCGCATCGAAAGCGGGTGTTTTAGGCTTAACGAGATCCGCGTCCGAAGACTACGCGAAAGATGGTCTCCGTATCAATGCGATCTGTCCAGGCTATACCGAGACGCCCTTAACAACGATGAACCCTGGGGTATTCAAAGTGATGGAGGAACGAGTGTTGGTTGCGGTTCCCATGATGCGTGTAGGCAAACCACAGGAGATTGCCGATGGTGTGGTCTATCTTGCAGGCGGCAGGAGCTCTTTTGTCACGGGAACTGCGCTCATGGTTGACGGCGGGTACACTGAGAGATAGAAATGATTGCAATAGGAGATCAATTGACAGGGCATTGTAGCTACAGCATATTAAACAACACTATCACTGTAGCATCGTCTAGTTTACATGCCTTTTTCAATAGTGACCCGAATGATTAATTGCAACATAGGCTGTAATTTGTTTCCGTCACTCCTTCGACCGATAGTCATTTCCGACAGCAGCCATCCAAAGCCAATACCATGAATCGTATTGAAACTGATCAGACCAGGGGTCGATTTTGCAGAATCATGGCAAATGAGTTCCTGTGCGTTCACTTGGACCCCTTCGACACCCCATGTGTGGAGTGTGGGGAAACGCCACGGGCGACTAGCGAGACCAAGCGGAAGGCAATCCCTGACCCACCACACATACCAATGATAAGCTTGCCGAAACATCAAGATCTGTTTACCGTCGGTGATCTATCGGACCAATACAGGAAAGACCTTCCTTAATGTCAATACGGGGCATGATACATGGCGGAAGAGAGAAGAGAAGTCTCACATGGTCGGCTATCATTAGTTTTGGCCATCGATGTTACTTGGGGACTTCGAGGAATGCGTTCATAGATCTGTCAATTCACCAAGCACCTCAACCGGCTTCGCACTCATGTTATATATAGCACCAGTCTTCTGTAACCATACTACTAATTCAACAACACTGTTGATATCTATCCAGCCCCCACAATCCATATCATCCATCATAGAGTATACTCGCTGGTTTTTCTTAGGCAACATGGGATCTCTTAGTCAGCCACCCAGCCAGTACGACGTGCTCATCGTGGGCGCTGGATTCTCTGGTGTCTGCGCTCTGCACCATATACGCGAGCGTTTTCCCTCGTGGCGTGTCAAAGTGCTCGAAGCCAGTCCTGGCGTCGGTGGTACTTGGTACACCAATCAGTACCCCGGTGCGCGAGTCGACACAGAGTCTCTAACTTACCAATTCTCGTGGGATAAGGAGTTATTGGAGGAGTGGTACTGGAAAGAGACATTCTCCACTCAGCCCGACGTGCTCAGGTACATCGAGAGAGTGTGCGAAAAGCACAATCTCTATAAAGACATCCAACTTAACACGAGAATAAAGTCGGCAAGATGGCTCGAAAATTGTCATAATTGGGTGTTAGCTGACGCAAATGGCTCCGAGTATCGTACAAAGTTCTTCGTTAGCTGCTTAGGATTCCTCTCTCAGCCTGTTCTACCCCTGATTCCTGGCATTGCCAATTTCAAGGGTCAATCATTCCACACATCAGCTTGGCCGAAGCAACTTGACACCAAGAAAGACTTCGCAGGGAAGAGAATCGGGATCATTGGCACAGGAGCTACAGGCATCCAGACGATCACAGCCTTGGCAAAGGGTGCCGAGCTCAAATCACTTACGGTGTTCCAAAGAACCGCGAATTGGTCTGCTCCCCTCCGTAACACAACGATATCCCCGGAACAGATGAAGCAGCACGTGAAAGAATATGAGCACTTATTTGGACAATGCGCCAAGACTTCCTCTGGCTTTTTGTATCAAGCCGACCCGCGCAAGTCATCAGAGGTGACTCACGAGGAACGTTTGGCCCTCTGGGAGAAGCTTTACAACGGCCAGGGCTTTGGCAAATGGCTAGGCGTCTTCAAGGATACTTATACAGACCGCGAGGCCAACAGACTATACTCGGACTTCATGGCGGAGAAGATCAGAGCACGTGTCAATGACCCCGAGATCGCTGATTCGCTCATCCCAAAGGATCACGGCTTTGGCATGAGACGCGTGCCTTTGGAGAGCGGATATTTTGAGGTGTATAACCAATCGAATGTCGACTTGGTGGATCTAAGGAAAACAACAATCGAGACTGTTGATGCGTCAGGGATTAGGACTACGGATGGCAAGCGTCATGATCTGGACGTGCTCATCTTTGCTACGGGCTTTAATGCCATTACGGGGTCCTTTAGCGCCATCGATATCCACGGCAAAAACGACCGGCCACTCCTTGGATACAGTGACATAGAGACTGGAAAGAACGCCATTTGGGTCGACCATAAGCCAAGAACTTTTCTTGGAATCATGGCCCCCGACCTGCCCAACACATTTATGGTGCTTGGGCCAGACCAGCCATTCGGTAATGGTACCCGCAGCCTCGAGAACGCCGTCGATGTCGTCATCACTATGCTGCAGCACATATTTGATCATGGCTACACAGCCGTAGAGCCAAAGGCGGATGCTGTGCAGGCGTGGGGGGAGCATGTTGTGGACTCTAGCAAGGGCTTGCTAGGCAACGAGGTAGATAGCTGGATGACTGGTGTCAACACCAACGTGAAGGGCAAACAGGAGAGGACCGTTGCAAGATACGTCGGCAATGTGGTCGAATATAGAAAGCGGTGCGCTGATTGTAATGCATCAGGCTGGAAGGAGTTAAGCTTTGCTAAGTATGTATGAAGTCATCGGATAGGTTAGACCAAATACATGCATGTACAGTCTCAGGGAGATTGCCGGTACTCATACAACTTGACCAAACCTCCAAGATGAGGCAGGATGGTATGTATGCAGCGTGTTCATCCAATGATTATTCAGCTGCACTTGGGTGAAGCCTGCTCTTCGGGCCTCCTTTCGACTATGGGATTGTCATGGCCGCGATTTCTAGGTACAGTAGGCCGGGGTAATCTACTTTCCGGATGCACAGCGTGTCAAAAGATTTTGTGCTAGGTCAAGGAGACTCGTCTTCCGGTCATGACTCGCTACTTGCCGTGAGCCAGAGGACTCGACGTCTTCCCACTGGGAGAATAAGCTAATTTGTTGATAATATTCGGGAGTAATCACCCCGATAATCTGGTTTACATCCATAAGGGCATCTGCTCGGCCAGACACGCGGTGTCTGTTAGGCTATGATATCATTCTGTCTCTCCAGCCACTGATGAAATGGTGGGGAACAGTTCCAACGCCTGCTCTTTGACATTCTCGCGTGACTACGTCAATAAGTGGCCAGCGGCGAATGTCTCTTATCTCGATTATTTGAGGGGCATACCCTCCAAAGCCTAAAGGCAACCATGTTCTTGTAAGCCCGAAAGACCCCCGCTGAAAACAAATAGGAAAGTCTCCCCTGGAGCTATGCTAAACGTAGCTAGCCAGGTTTGAGTCAGCCCACCCGCAATCAATGCACGCAACATGCGCACGTAAAGTAAAGACTCCCGAAGAAGCGAACATAGTCACGCAGATAACCACTGCCTGATGGTGACCTTGCGGTAAGCCCCTGAGTGAATTACTGCCTTATCGTCCGTGTGACCAGCCCTCTTAAAACCGACCTCGGCCGTATATCGTTGTTGTTGGCACTCCACGGAATGTTCGAAGGTGCAAATCGCAAACACGAATCACTATGCATATGGCTAGGGCTTACCTTCCTATCTCAAATATCTAGCCCGGACTTGGACGGACTCAGTGTGTCCAAAAATTCTGAGTGTTATGCGTCATGGATGGATAGGAGATAAAGTAGATATGACCCTATACATTACAGCATACCCGTATACGACAGCGCTGCCATCTACTCGCGAGGCAGCACTTGTCTTTATTCAACTACGGCATTGAAGAATTCTCTGCGAGTCGCGAAACGCATTTCCGCATCAACACCAACAGTATCACCGGTCAGATAACCATGGCATCATTTCACGGCAAAGTTGTATGTGTCTTCCCAAACTGCACTGTTCACGAGCCTCGCTCTGAATCATCACAATCTAGATCGCCATCACGGGAGCTGCATCGGGCATGGGCCTTGCCACCGCGCAACTGCTCGCCTCTCGGGGGGCACTTATCTCCTTGGCGGATATCAACGAGGCTGCTGTTCGTGAGGCGACAGCTTCGCTTCCAAAGAATGGTGGTAAGGAACACATGTACGCCGTGGTCGATGTGCGGAGTAGCAAGTCAGTCGATGACTGGATAGAGGCCACGGTACAAACGCTGGGTAAATTGGACGGTGCCGTCAACATGGCTGGCGTAATTAAGCACGCGAGCCCAGTGAGCGAGTCAACTGATGAAGATTGGGACTTTACTTTCGCGGTCAACGCAAGAGGTGTCTATAGTTGCTTAAAGGTAGGGATGCTTCACGTTATATTGATTCTATATGTTGATAATATCGACAGGCTGAAATCAAAGCAATGAGTGCCGGGGAAAGCATTGTAAGCGCTCTTATATAACTGCTCCATGATGTTTTACATTGATCATTGAATAGGTCTCGGCCGCCAGCGTTTTTGGACAATTTGGTGCTCCAGGAAATGCTGCTTATTGTGCTAGTAAGGCGGCGGTGATAGGGCTGTCGAGAACTGCAGCAAAGGAGAATGCGCACGTTCGAATTAATTGTGTTTCACCAGGTAAGCGAAACCCGAGGAATTTCTGGTGGAAGTGAACCTGGCACTGATCGCGCCGACAGGCTCCATTAGAACGCCGCTATCGGAAGGAGAGAACCCAGAGGACGTGAAGCAAAGTCTCCAGCACACTGCACAAAAGCGAAGGGCTGAGCCTATCGAAGTAGCCCGCGTCATTGCGTTTCTGCTTAGTGATGAGGCTTCGTTCGTCACTGGAGCTGTGTATAACGTAGATGGCGGCTGGGTATGTTGAGCAAGCTGAGACAATAGCGCCTATGAAAATCGTTAGATCAAGTCTGGCTGATCTTACCATATATCCGGACCTTGTGAAGGCAGGCGAGGAAGGATTGACGGGCTCCAGATACCCTTTGGCAGAAACTTCCGCCCACGTTGAAAATTGGTTAGTAGTGTCGAACCTATAATATGTGTTATTACAGCATGATTGTTGGAACACATAATGTGGTAAAAGCAACATAACGTTCGCCATACAGAACTCCATGTATCGGGCCTTATGAGATGGAAGAATCCAAGTGCCTCGAACTATATTGGGTATGATGCAAAAAGCGCCGCATCGCTGTAATGCTAGCTAGACAGATGCTGATATCCCGTTTCATGAAACTGCTTCCCAAATGAGCCATGATGAAAGCAAACCTAACGCCTTCTATGCATACGTAAAAAGAGGTTCGACGAGTACCAGCCCACGATAAACGTGACTGTCGCTCATCCGCCACTGCTCACGACAAATCGTCACTCGCAATAGCACAAGCGCCAGTTTCCTCGAGGTCCTCAACCTCGGTCATCCGTAGAGCGTCCTTGACGTCCCGCACGAAGTGATTTTCACCGCCAACAAGCTCCACGATACCGCTTCTCTCTAGGAGCTTCCAAATATGGCTATTTTTTCCAGGGGCACGGCTGAAAAAGACCCTCACTCCCCTGGCTCTGTAATTTCGTACGATTTCTTCAAGAACTTGCGTTCCCGAGCCATCCAAAGATGTTACGCCGTGGATATCAAAGATGACATTGCGGTTGCTGTTAAGGGGGCGCAAACGCGGCAGCGCGGGGTGTGCCAGCCCAGTGCCATACAGTTCCAGCCTCCTTAGTCGGTTCTTCAGCTCACCAGTATTCGCAAACGTCAGAGGCTCCGGTATCTTCACGATAAGGCAGCCCTCGATGAATTCCAAGCTCTCGGCGTTTCCTTCGGCATTCTCGAACCGCTCAGTGCCCGGAATGCGACCAAGGATTTGAATTCGAGGGCGTGTGGCGTGCCGTATGACCTGCAGAAGGGACAGTCCGATGCCAATGGCGATGCCAAGGTTCAAGGAGAAGAAGACGGTGACGAGGAGGATGACTGCCATCAGCGAAAGTTCTGTCCAGCCTCGAATGCGAAGGAAGAAAGCCACATCGTGCGGGGCCTCCTCGATAAGAGACCATGCCACCACGGATATGAGCGCGGCCAGGACAGGTTTCTGGGAATGTGAGTATTCATCCATGTCTATCCAATGCATACAAAGTTGGGAAGGCTTACCGGGATATAGTAGAACCAAGGGAGGAGAAATATGACGCAAAACACAGTGATGATGCTGAGTAGGATGGAGCTCATAGGACTTGTCCCGCCAGTCGACTTGTTGACTTTGCTTCTGCCATATCCACCAAATGCCGGGATAGCCATGAAGCAAGACCCAATAAGGTTGGCTGTACCCAGGGCAATGAGCTCCCGGTTCGGACTCAACTGCATGCCCTCAATGACCTCGCCGGTGCCTAAACTCTTGGCTGCGACTGACGACTCGAAAAACCCAAGCATGCCGATCAAGAATGAGGTTCCCATAGCTTCACGAATGTGCTTCATATGGGAAATCTGAAAGGGGTTGCGGAACTCGAAGATATGGCTGGATCCGGTTTGAACGTCACCTAGCACGGGGACGCCCTGCTCGTCCCAACGAAGTTGCCATGCGAGCAGCGCAGATAGCACCACAACAAATAGCCGGTCTGGCGCGTATGCAACACCTGGATATCTAGGCTGCAGGCGTCGTTTCACTTCTCTGCACATATCATGAGTAGCGCGACCAAGGAAGAGGGGGCGCGGAAACTTACCGGAGAACCATGATGACAAAAAAGCTTACAACTCCTACGATCGCGGACAACTTGTGAAGATCTGCAAGTCGAGTGAACAAAAACTCGAGCTTCTTGACAGAGCTTCCATGTCCAACGCCAGGTTCGCTCGCTGCAATGGGAGATAGGCCAAGGACGGGAATCAACTGATCGATAAAGATGACGACGCCGATAGCCGAGATGAAACCACGCAAAAAGGGTCTGCTGAGCACACTGTCTAGGAAGCCGAGGCGGAATAAGCCCATGATGAAAACAGTGGCCCCGGCCATCCCAACAGCAACGCCGGCGATCTGGGCATGCATGACGGCATTATCGTCGTTACCATGACCAGAATCAATGCTGCTCTTCACTATGGATCCGACCAACAGCGAGCCGGCAGCCTCAGGGCCAACCACCATCTGTGGGCAGCTTCCTAGAATGCCGTATATGAATGGGTTGAAGACGAATGCATACAGGCCGTTGATTGGGGGGACGTGGGCCAAGCTATCGGCGTAAGAGAGGGCCATGGGCAGGTACATGGATGCCAAGGTGATGGCGGCTGTGAGGTCGCCCTTCAGCCAGGACCAGCTGTACTGTCGCATCCAAATCAAGCACGGGACATAGTATGACAGGTACATCATACGGGAGTCCTTGAAACCATGCTGTTCCGCGAGCGCGCTCGAATTGGTCATGGTCTTGGTCTTCATCTTGGAGGACAGAGTCTTCCTCCAATTGCCCTTCAATTGCCGCTCGATGGACGCCTCGGAGCCCAGCAGAGACCCGACGTCAAGGTCAGATTCCCTAGGGCTGCTGGGAGTCGGGCTCATCGGGCGCGGGGAGAAGGTGCCATGGTCGCAGGGGCCGGGGTGTGCTCGCTCGTGATGGAGCAGAGAGGTGGTCTCGGAGAAGTCGTCCGACGTTTCTGGAAGCGTGCTGGGGCCAGCTTGGGTGGTTGGCCGACTGCCGTCCGCCGGGTCGGCGCTGTGATCGGAGCGGCCGTCGTTGGAGAGCGAGGACGACGAGAGAGTATGGGCCTGGCGCAGGGCACTTGGTGTTGTCGGGGCGTGGTCGGCAGCCTGCCGCGAGTTGGTCCGCGACGGCGGTGATGGCCGGGGCGACATGGCGGGCGGTTAGGTTCGCACTCGTGAGACGCAAAGTCGGTCTGCCGGCCTGTCAACGGCAATGGCGGCGCTCACTGTGTAATGGGGCGCAAGGAGCTGTAGCACATTGCCTGCTTGACGGGGACTGGCGCCAAGAGTGCGCGGGCAATGTTGACTTCTGAGTATTCCTGGGGACCTTTTTTTTTTCGGACCAATCCCGCTGGCACCGTTTCCAAGCCCCGACATGACGGAGGTGGCCACAGGGATCATCCCCGCTAAACTGGACCCAACGGGCAGCGACGGGGGTTCAAGCTTTATGCAGCATTTACCCCGCAGAATCACGTGGCATCGCGGTATGGTCGCGATCTGGTCAACCATTTTCACCTTGAACACATACCTAGGTCTTGCCAGGTACGTTAGGTACCCAAGTATCTGGGCGATTCCAGTACCCCAAGTATCTCATGTACGTATTCAACGGGTATTCACCCTACCTATCGAATATGCCGAGGTTTCTTGCGGTCGCATGTCGCCGACGACTGGTCGATCGCATGTGGTGCACAGGCAGGCTTAGCCTCAAAACAAAGCACCAGGGTTGTTTAAACAGAGACCATGTGCCAGGACAGACCGTAGGGTTCTGCATTCATGTCTTACCGTTTTATCGAAGGCTAGTGAGTCCTTCTGACCAGGGACTGGTTTAGACGTTCGGGTACGATAACCTGACGGCTGCCTGGGCTGAGTCGATTGATCATTGGCCCTCTCTAGTACCTACCTGTATTTAGCTGGTCGTGAGTCCGACCTAGTAGCTCAGCTGAATGAGCAAGTCGTCTTCGCTTTTCGTCCCATCGTGACTTACTTGAATTCCCCGATTCATCCCCCGACTTGACTATCAACATGCTCAACAAGACGACACATCAATTCGCATTTCACGACATTCCCCTCGAGTGTGATGTCTATGACGCCGACGACTACCCGAACACCCGTCCGGTATTCCTCTTCTTCCATTCTGGTGGCCTCGTTGGAGGAGCCCGTATCTGCCTGCCCCCGTGGTTGGCGCAAGTCTGCTTCGAACGCCAATGGCCACTAATCAGCGCGAGTTATCGACTACTTCCCCAGAGTGGCGGCCAGGGGCTGCTGAAAGATGCTCTCGCGGCACACGCATTCGCGCAATCCTGGAAGGCTGAAGACAACGGCAAGAAACGCAGCGTCATCGCTGGCGGTGCATCCGCAGGTATGCTGTCTTTGCATCTTCGGCAAGAAGTCATTGGTAACTGAAGTTGCAGGGTTTTTTATGGCAAACCTCCTTGCCCATCACGCAAAGACACTGCCGGTCGCTTTACTTGGAATCACCGGGATTCCAACGTTTCGTCACCCCTTTTTCAACTCGTCTACTCTCCTCACACCAGAGCCAATCGACGACCAGGACATGGCTCCGTACATTGATAACCCAGTGGAAGTTGGATCCACCTCCCAAGCCGATAAAACCGTTTTCTTTCTTGATCGTATCTTGCCGTCTGGCCGGCAGAACGCCGATTTTGTGCAGCCTGTGGTCAAGCCAGTCATCCCACTACCTGACTCCAAGTGGTATCGTGGATGTCTGTACGACTACTTTCTTCACAGGAACAAGTTTCTCGACCTGGTAGGTGACGTTGACGCAGGCTTCGAATGGACAAAATCAAACCCAGATAAGCTGGCCGCCTGGCCGCCTACTGTTTTCATCCAGGGAGACAAAGATTATGATGTCTCAGTAGATGTTACATTATACGTAGTGAATTGCTTGGGCATTGAGAAAGCTACACTGTGGCTGGCCAACAATCAAGGTCATCTGTTTGAAGCGACCTCGTTCATAGAAGACCAAGGTCAAGGCATGGATGCTGTTCAGAAGGCTATTGCAAGCTTGGATGCATTTTTATCTCCTGAGGTAGCAAGGCTAGATAGTTGAAACCGGACCTATGGTACACACGAGACATTGGAATAGCATCTCTTATCGAGTTCGTTCCTCGAGCTGCATTTGTGGTATGCTCGTTGGTTCCATGTCAAAAGTAGTCAAAGCACGGTGTCCAGCATTCAAATGTATGGGGCTTGTAGCTGACAAGTCATGCGGTATCATTCCCTAATCACCTCCCCATGTGTGCTCTCTGGTGCCGCTTAGTTTCTGACTACCGTTCATGTGTGTACCTCACATAATGCTGGGGGACTATTGTGGCTAACTCCATTGACAAGTACTGTGGGGGAGATTCATTCAAAATTCACTTCACGACCTCCGCTAGTACTCATCACAATGGAGGCGTGTAACTACAGTCTCGGCGCCTGCCGCCGAGCTCTGTGTGAATTGCAACAACCGATGAGTTTCCCGTCCTCCACACAACGGAGGACAACTCTCGGTCCAATGACCGAGTGGTTTTCTGTGTGCATCGCTTTGCATTGCCATTCTTCAGTTGCTGTGCACTTTGATGAGCACTTAGCTGTCGCACCACGATACAATATTTGGAAAACTTCGCCCTTCAAAGGCTATCTTTTTGTTCTTTTGTCTTTTGGGTTTGTGTAGTATCAGTTCAGTCACTTGCTTGCTATCCGCAGAAATATAAGTTTATACCATCTCAACATAAGATTTACATTCGTTGCTGATCTACCAACATCATACATAACAACCAGGCTGATATTCTCCACGAAACTCAGATCCAATATCATGGATGCACATGCAGGATGTCAACCGTCGGCCAACCGGTCATAAACCTAATGTATTTGTGCAAACTCTATACGGGTGCGTATGCGACTGGTGCGCATTTGTGACAATCAAAATGGCCCGTGGATTGAAGTCTTATTTTCTTCTTTTTCTTCCGTTTCTTTTGCCAGTGATCTGACTCACCCTGATGAAAACGTTGGCGTCGAAGCAACATGGATGCGATTACCTTCTGTGAGCTAGTTGAAACTGGACAGACGAATAATCACTCTTCATTGACGTAATTATTCACGGCCATTTTAAAAGTCATTCACAGAACCCCTCCTGTCTTCGGCTTGGCTCAGCCTAAGAATCTTTAGGTAGAATCATTCTGTGAGTTGGTTAATACATGATCACACATCCCTTTTCGTCTCCAACAAAATGTTAAGCCAGATGTGACTCGCCTCTGCTCTCAGGTGAGCCTCGTGACGGTTCTGTTAGCATTTCATAGAATGGTTGTCGTTAATGTGCCTATGGTCACCGGGCCTGATCCCAGCCCGTCAAGTTCCTGGATTCCGAAGTGCGACTGATGTAAGCACGGACTTGTCCCTGTGCGCATAAACGCTGCCTTGATGGTCATTTGCTTCCCTTCATGGTCTCGTAATATGCCTAACCGTCGAATGACAGAAGCTGGGCCAGGCAAAACTCTGTCACTAGACCAGTCTAATCTGACACATGTCTGGCCGGAGCCGTTGTAGAAAGCCACGTAAAATCATGGCTCAGCTATAACCTACCCCGGGTAGTGCACGACGCAATTTTCAATCACTACCCGCCATTTTTTGCCGAAGCCTCCGGTGTGAAGCACATTGGCGTTTTGAAGTGCTGGCCGTTAGGCGTTCTTGGGGGGCTGTGCAGGAAATTGGTGGCGAAGCCTGTGTCCGACGTTCAGAAAGTGCTCAACAGACCTCATCAAGATTATGTAGATCAATATTGTGCTACATTTTGATGGCCATTTTCATTGTTGCCTAAATTCATTGCAGCTGGGGTTAAGTTGTCACCCTGTAAACGCGAAGGGTGACAATATGGACTTATAAGAAACACTGTCACGTGACGCGTCGCGTAGCACAGGGTGAAGTTGAGTGCAGATGGAATATTTTATACCATATTTGAAGTCTTGTTATTTCATATTCGCTACAATCATGACTAGAACCAAGTAATTATCGGAAGGCGTCCGTGTGTTCAGAGATTACCGGAGCTCCGTGACAGTCCGGAGCTCCGGTTACATGTCAGCATAACGCAAGGTCTGTCAGTTCAACGAAAGACTCTCAAGATATCGCAACCCACATCTACAGTCTTTAAAATTGAACATTTCTACTGAGTTTTATCCAACTCCTTTTGTTGAGCAGGGCCGGTAACTTCGGTTGCACAGAGATTCGTCCAGGCAATCGTGCGCCACGATGAAGATCCTTTGCCTCCACGGTAAAGGGACCAGCGGACGCATTTTTAAATCTCAGACTACATCGTTGCGGAGGAAACTCGAAGAGAGAGACCCAAAAACGACTTTCGAATTTGACTTTGTCGATGGACCTCAGCCCTCGGCACCGGCGCCAGACACACCGCTCTTCTACGACCCACCTCACTACGCTTTCTACGAAGGAACAGAAATAAAGGCTATTCGTGCTGCGCATGAGTGGCTGAGCCGCGTTGTCGAACAACGTGGGCCATATGATGGTGCGCTGTTGTTTTCGCAGGGCTGTGCGCTCGTGTCGAGCTACATGCTGTACCAACAGTGGTACGAGCCCGACTCACCGCCGCCCTTCAAGTTTGCCATGTTCATCTGCGGCGGTGTACCTATCACAGTCCTGAAAGATCTTGGAGTTCCAGTGTCCAAGGACGTTGAGGAGCTTGACCTCGCCACGAAGCGGCAGTTGCTGGACAAGACGACGTGCAAAATTACGCGGGATCGGTGGCAACTTACCGACTACGCGTCCGTGGTTCGCAGAGCGCAATTTGATTCCGATGATTGTTTTGGATTGAACCTCAATGTGATACCACCAGAGTTGAAGATTCGAATTCCCACTGTACATGTTTACGGACGCAAGGATCCTAGATTACCGGCCTCAGTTCAGTTGGCGGGTCTATGCGATCCGTATATTCGCAAGGTGTATGACCAAGGAGGCGGCCATGAGATACCAAGAAGCAAGGAGGTCTCGGAGGAATTAGCACTTTTAATGGAGTGGTGTGCTCATAGGGGCACTTGGCCAGGCCAGGAGGCGGCTGGTTTCTGACCAGCTTATTCATTCCTGCTTCTGCATGTGAGTGCTTCTCCGCAAATGTAGAAGATCGAAATAGAAGCGCTGTATACAGATTAATACCAATTGAGGCATGGGATTCTGTCCTCCTCAAACTTGATTGGCCACAGGACTATTAATGGCCCCTCAATATTCAGCTGGGTTACAGTGCAGAAGAGTGATATTATGTACGATGACATTGGGTCGTTTTGGGAAGCATTGACATCCGCAATGCACAACTGCGTAGCAACAAGGCGTTTGTCCTGCAAAATGAGAGCATGAGACCGTCCTTTTCTCGGATCTGAAGCCATTATGCCACTCAATCTTAGAAAATAACGCACAACTTGGCGATTCTTCATCCGCGCAGCGAAATGAAGAGCGCCAAGCAGCAGACCAAGCTCACTAAGAAACATGGCAAATTACTATTGTGGCTTTGGCATGACGTGAGGCCGCATTTGAACATTACGATAATGACTTCGAGCCGAGCAGTCAGCCTCAGCACTATGTAGTTATGCCGGAATCAGCCTTACGGCAGGTGCGTTTCACTCGGTCGGTCGATGGCACGGCCCTTAGGTTTACGATGCAATGTCCGTTTGACCGATCGAAGGCCTTGTTGGTGCATTGTAAGTATGGCACCCGGAGCCGGAAAGTGAGCAGTTCGCCGGGTGGAAATCTCCCTCGGAAGCACCCAAAGCCGCAGGATGAGACGGATGGCTCGGTATCTTTCATAACCTCAAGGCATGCACTCCGCCACGCTTGGCGCACAATGGAAGACTTGGCTACTCTCAACAAAGACTTCAGAGATGTTTTCCACCTAGCGTTTTTGAGTAAAAAAAAATCCCGCACCGCTCGATAGGTAGAATTGATGGAGAAATGGAGTTCACGTGCATGGGCAGAGTCCGGATGCAACTGAAATCGGAGTCGGACTAGTAGCGAGATGATCAAAGTGGAGCGCCTCGGAGGCCTGGGGTTCCCATCGGGCTAGCAGAGAGATCTTAGGCCCGGGGCAGAAGGTCTTCGGATCAAGGTTCGTCTGATGACCGGTCCCCAGAACCAGAATTTGCCACTGAGAAGGGGAACGTCATATCACGGGCGGAGTTAGGCTGCTGCCATGTGTGGTGGTCTCGGCGGTGTTGCCAAAGTCTTGGGGTTGCCTCATCGACAATGCTACAAGTGCAGCAAGCTGATACCAGTCAAGTCTAGCCGTGGAAGCGATCACTTGCACCCTCGGTGGGGTCGCATAGCTAACGTACAGGAGATCCCTGGGCAGCTGGGGGTTCGAGGTGTCGTCACTGTTTGGCGGCGACTTGGGAGGCGGGAGCATGATAAATGTTTCTGCTGGCCTTGGCGCGACGAAAGCCCAGTCGAGAGAGCGGCGACACCATTGGCTGGGCTTTGATTTTGAGTTGATGTCGCCCCACCGGGCGCCCTCCTGCAGGTTCTGTCGATCCCGGCCTCCTGGGTCTGTCGCCCCCGGAGAAAAGCGCCCCGGCCACGTGCGGGAGGCGAAGGGACTTTGAGTCGATATAAGACGTTTTGCGCCCCTCGGCTCCCTCTCGCGGCGACACAGCCCCCGCCGTAGTTACGCGTTGCCGTGTGCACGAGCGACGCTTCTTCCGTGGAATTGGAAATATTGCCATCATGGAGGCCGGAGATTTGGGAGCGCTCTGCGGAGGCGACAACAAAAGTCGAAGAACGACGGCGTTCCTTGTCATGGCCGCTGCCCACCAGGCGTGGCCCTGTTGCGGTGCTTGGCAGGCCGTCGCAGTTGCCGGATTGGTCCATCGCCGCATCGTGACCAGCCGCTAGCCCGCAAAAACCCACACGGTTACTGATTGCTGCATGCACAGCCTCCCTCGGCGTTTGGGTGAGGCCATCTCGACAAGAAACCATGAAACTCTTTCGCCTGTTTCGAGGCCATTTCGCTGCCGCCGGTGCGGGCATCTGGAAACATGTCCCAGTGGAGCCAAGCCGTCTGGAGTTGCAAGGTTCGGCCTCTTGAGGGAAACACGACTGGCAGGACTGGTGAATAGGCGTCCTGCCAGGCCTGGGTCGCTCTTGGGACGTTGCCAACGTCGCTCTCGTTTGCACTGCCCGTCGAGATTTTCGCACCGTAACGGCAGTAGCGTTCTAGGCGGCCCTTCTGGGCTGTAACTCACCTGCCACATGCGTAGTCCAAGGCCTTGGTATCTCCAATCTTTTTACATCGCACTGACAAGCGCCCGGTCTGATTTGTGTTCCAGGAGGACTCGCCGTATTGTTGCCCAGCCCAAGGCAGAACTGCACAGCCCCAGCAAATTTATCCTGCTCTCTTCTCGTCCTATGTATATGACAGCACACCGTTCCTCCAACTCGGAAATGCGGCATCTCATATCCTTGACTGACCATTGCCGTGCTGCCGATCAAGAACACAACTCATAGGGTTGCTCTACACTCTGCATCACTATAGTAATTCTATACCGGACGGCCGTGCTTCGTCATTCGCCAGTAACATGGCCGGCGATAGTCTAGCGCCTCCCCAACCCACACTCAGTGTGAACACGCACGTCCGCCAAAATAGCGATGGCGACGACACAATCGCACCCTCAAACTCATCAACAATATCGAATCCCTTCCTCACACCAACAAGATCAAATCCTTTTCTCACACCCAGCAACAGAAGTCGCGCCTCTAGTGTTGCGACGACAATAGATGTTCAAGATGCCTTGCGGCCAGACCCCGGCACCGAGGCCGATTTTCAAGTTGACAACAACCCATTCGCATACAGCCCTGGACAACTCGGCAAGCTCTACAACCCCAAGTCACTCCAGGCTTTCAAGGCGATAGGAGGACTGCAAGGGCTGGAACGTGGCCTGCAAACCGATCTCACCGCCGGCCTGAGCCTCGACGAAACTTCAGTGCCGGCCAGGGTCACATTCGACGAAGCTGTCTCTGGGGCAGTATCTCACTCAGAAAAAACCCCGTCCACAACCCACGCATCAGACGCCTTCGCTGACAGAATCCGGGTTTATGGAAAAAATGTCTTGCCTGCGAAGAAGGCGACCCCCCTGTGGGTGCTGATGTGGAGAGCGTACAACGACAAGGTCCTTATTCTACTCACCGTGGCCGCCGTCATTTCCCTCGCCTTGGGCTTGTATGAGACTTTCGGTGTTGAGCACAAGCCGGGCGACCCGCCCGCGGTGGACTGGATTGAGGGTCTTGCCATCTGTGTCGCCATTATCATCGTAACGCTGGTCGGTTCTTTGAATGACTGGCAGAAGGAGCGCGCATTCGTTAAACTCAACACCAAAAAGGAGGATCGCGAAATCAAAGTCATTCGTTCCGGCAAATCCTATCAGATTAGCGTGCATGACATTCTTGTCGGAGATGTTCTACACCTGGAACCCGGAGATATGATCCCGGTCGATGGAATCTTCATCGAGGGCCATGATCTCAAGTGCGACGAGTCTTCAGCCACTGGCGAGTCGGACGCAATCAAGAAGACTGGAGGACACCAGGTATTCAAAGCTTTGCAAGAGGGGCAGAAGACCAAGAACCTTGACCCATTCATCATCTCTGGTGCCAAGGTCCTCGAGGGTATGGGCACATTTGTGTCAACCTCGGTAGGCGTCAACTCGAGTTTTGGAAAGATCATGATATCTGTCCGAACCGATGCCGAGGTTACTCCATTGCAGAGAAAGCTCGAAGGCCTCGCGATTGCCATTGCTAAGCTTGGCGCAACCGCCGCCCTGACCCTTTTTACAGTTCTCTTGATACGCTTCTTGGTCAACCTTCCCAGGAATGCGGGTGCTCCCGTAGAGAAGGCTTTCGAGTTCTTGGATATCCTGATAGTCACAGTCACCATCATTGTCGTCGCCGTACCCGAGGGGCTGCCGCTCGCTGTGACGTTGGCCCTCGCTTTCGCCACCACTCGCTTGGTCAAAAAGAATAATCTTGTCCGCGTCCTCCGCTCTTGCGAGACCATGGGAAACGCCACGACCATTTGCTCGGACAAGACTGGTACTCTTACAACCAACAAGATGACAGTAGTAGCGGGCACTTTCGGCACGTCAAGTTTTGCCAAGTCCGAAGGTGATGAGTCCGGGGCGCAGACCGTGTCGCAGTGGGCATCCGGTCTTTCAAGCGCTGCCAAGGAGCGGATCATTCAATCTATTGCCATCAACTCAACAGCATTTGAAGGCGTGGAGGACGGTCAAGCGGGCTTCATTGGCTCAAAAACGGAAACAGCCTTGCTGCAGTTGGCTAAGGATCATTTGGGCATGCAACCGCTATCCGAGGTTCGCGCCAATGAGCAAGTCGTGCAAATGATGCCCTTCGACTCCGGTAAGAAATGCATGGGCGCAGTTATCAAGGCTCCCTCGGGTGGCTATCGCCTATTGGTCAAAGGCGCTTCGGAAATCCTGCTCGGCTACTGCGCCTCAAAGGCAGACAGCCGCGACATGAGCGAGGCGGATTTAACTCCCTCCGATCAGAAGGCTCTCCGTACCACCATTGATTCGTACGCCAAGAAGTCGCTTCGTACCATTGGCTTGGTCTACCGCGATTACCCCGAGTGGCCACCAGCTGGCGTTGAATCAGAGAACGGCAATGTCCAGCTCGCTGATGTTCTTCACGACCTTGTCTTCCTTGGGCTCGTTGGAATTCAAGATCCTGTACGCCCGGGCGTACCGGAGGCAGTGAAAAAGGCTCAGCATGCAGGCGTGGTTGTTCGCATGGTCACTGGTGACAATGCTGTGACTGCGCAAGCTATTGCAACTGAGTGTGGCATCTACACGGATGGCATCATCATGGAGGGTCCGGTCTTCCGAACGCTGAGTGACGATGATATGAATGAGATTCTCCCTAAGCTTCAAGTCCTTGCTCGCTCCTCTCCAGAGGACAAGCGCGTTCTTGTTACTCGCCTCAAGGCCCTTGGCGAGACCGTCGCAGTTACGGGAGACGGTACCAACGATGCACCTGCGCTGAAGGCAGCTGATGTTGGATTTTCCATGGGTATCGCTGGTACTGAAGTCGCAAAGGAAGCGTCTGCGATTGTCCTAATGGATGACAATTTTGCTTCGATTATTGAGGCCTTGAAATGGGGACGGGCTGTCAATGATGCTGTTCAAAAGTTCCTCCAGGTAAGATTGGAGTCTATCCCAGATGTCTGGATTTTCAACTGACTCGATCTAGTTCCAAATCACTGTCAACATCACGGCTGTGCTGATTGCCTTTATCAGCGCCGTTTCTACAGGAACTTCAGTCTTGACTGCAGTACAGCTGCTTTGGGTCAACTTGATCATGGACACTTTCGCAGCCCTCGCACTTGCGACAGACCCACCAACTGACAAGATCCTTGACCGACCCCCGCAGCCCAAGAGCGCGCCTTTGATCACCACCAACATGTGGAAGATGATCATCGGCCAATCTATTCTCCAGCTTGTCGTCACTCTAACCCTCTACTACGCCGGGCCCAAGATCTTCGGATTCGACAGCCCTGTCACGAAGGAGCAATCATTCCGACTCAGCACCATGGTTTTCAACACATTCGTCTGGATGCAAATCTTCAACGAGTTCAACAACCGCCGCTTGGATAACAAGTTCAACATCCTTGAGGGCGTCCATCGCAACAAGTTCTTCATTGGTATTAACTTCATCATGGTTGGAGCTCAAGTTGGAATTGTGTTCGGAGGCTATGATGCGTTCTCAGTCCGACCTCTCGATGGCCCGAGTTGGGCTATCTGTGTTGTCCTGGCCGCACTGTCCCTGCCCTGGGCAGTTTGCGTCCGTCTGTTCCCAGATCCGTGGTTTGCCAGAATTGCCAAGATCGTTGGAACCCCGGTGGCTGTGGCGTACCGTGCCTCGGGCCGCTTTTTCTCGAGAGTTGGAAGACCTATCAAAAAGATGTTCGGCAGAGGCAAGTCCAAGGATGCCAACCAACCGGAGCAGGAGGAGAATCTGGGGGCAGTGGATACTGCGCAAGGTGCCCCAGAGGTACTTGTGTCCGGGCCAGCGGCCCCCGTTATCAACATAGAAGACGTAGAGAAGGGTCACTCGTAGTGTGCCGCTTTGGTATCTACACATACACCTGTACAAATAGTCATAGTATGAATAATCATGAAGCAATGCAGCCAAATTTTGGCATGATCTGATCATAGTACACGCAGAATTCTACACAGTCGAAGCAAATACTGATACGCCGAGCAAGTGAACTGCGGCCCAACAGACCAACTCGACTACACACACTTTACCGTATGCTCCCAGCGAAACCGCCTCATTGAGAAAGCTAAGGTCTATAGCACACCTTGGAGCCCGGAGCTTTAAGTCCACCAGGTTGTGGTCTTGATCACGTGCTAGCGAAACGCTAAATTGGGTAGGCACCTCCACATTAGCCGTCTGAAGCGCGAAGTCGACTTCCTTTCCCAATCCTCTCCGCCATCGTTGGTTCCGTTTCGATGAGTTCTCCAGCGCAGCACGCAGGCCCATTAGCGGTACGCCAAGCTTGCAGTAGATCCCTTGACACAGTCCTAACATTTGCAGTGTGATGCATGTCGGGTGAAGAAGCACAAGGTTCGCCGCTGCACGCCCAGGGCTCGCACTTAGACTGAAATACTGAATGGGCCAAACAGTGTTCTAGAGAGCGTCCGGCATGCAGCGCCTGCGTCCAGAACCGCCGGCCATGCCACTATAGCGGGCGGGTGACTCGGTCGCCATTGACCCGGGTGTAAGACTGTTCAGCCAGCGGAGAAACTCTATGCTGAAACGATCCCAGGTACCTTACGAGTGTGGAGAATCGTCTTAGGAAGCTTGAGGGCCTGTTCACGAAGCTGCTTCCCGATGTCAACCTGGAAGAAGCACTAGCCTCGGCGCATTCAGACACCTCATCAAGTCCTCTACCTAGCACTTATCAATCAAAAAGCCCTATTTTCAATCCTGCCAGGTCACCAGAGACCATCAATCATGGCACCGGAAGCAAAATATCCGAAGCCGTACCTCAGGAGTCTGACGGCTTTGACTGGCAAGAGGACTCCAGCGAACTTGCGGATGGTATGGCCGCGTTGTCTGTCGAGCCGAGGGGAACTGGCTACTTAGGTAGGCATTTCTAACCATAACGTCCGAATAATGCTTAGATTTTCCCAGGTTCGACTGCTGGTGTCTTCTTCCTGCGCTCCTTGATACTATGGACGGGTCGATCCACACTGGGAGCTTCTTCTCATGGCCCCCTTGCCGCATCACCCAGATCTGGGGAACAAAACAGTTTGGCAGTTACAGCACTTGAGTCGTTGGTCTCCCGACAAGTGATGGCTAGCCTTATTGACTCCTACTTTGCTGTGTATCATGTCTCATACCCTTTTGTTCACGAGGCAACATTTAGGGCCCAGTTTCACGAAGTCATACCTCGACCGTCGTCTCGATCATGGCAAATGCTGCTCTCTACTGTGCTTGCTCTCGGTGCATGGTGTATGAGCCATCCGAGTGAAGAATTGCATGATGACCTTTATCACCATGCCTTGGCTCTTGGCGAGGGTACATCCACGTTCGAAAGTGGAAACCTGACGTTTGTGCAAGCACTTATACTTCTGAGCAATCTCAGCCAGAAACGAAATAAACCAAACACAGGCTCAAATTTTCTTGGTTTAGCCGTCCGAATGGCCCTTAGTCTGGGCTTACATCGTGAGCTTCCTGACTGGGATATCAGCCTGCTTCAGCGCGAACAAAGAAGGCGAGTCTGGTGGGGTTTGTATATGTTCGACAGTGGTGCTTCAACCACATTCGGTAGACCTATCCTACTGCCAGGGCTCGAATCCATGGATGTCCGTCCAGTATTGAACATCCACGACGAAGTGAGTCCCCTCACTCGATAAAGTGGGTATGACTAATTGTGAATAGCTGTTGACACCTAGGTCCACGGTCCTCCCAGTCGAGCCTACAACGCCGACAATCTACTCGGGACTGCAAGCGCAAAGCAGCTTCCACGTCCACACAAACCATATATCAAACCGCCTCCTGAGTGCAACCGGAATTTCTAAAGAAGAGGCTCTTTCACTCAATGAAACACTAGATTTATGGTCAAAGACAGTGCCTCCTTATTTCCAGCTCTCGCAGGAACCAGTGTCTCAGGAGCAATGGTACTTGTTTGCTAGATCAAAACTTTGGTGGCGCTTCTGGAATTTAAGAATTATCATGTTCTTGCAAGTCCTCTTGGGACGTTCAATGGGTGGTAATTCCATCTCTTTCCGTTCTGCTACCCAGGGACTTGATGAGACTTGCAGAAAGATCTGCGTTGAGGCTGCCCATCTGAGTATTGCGACAATTCATGGATATCTCAGCCAAGTGGTTCCTTCTAGAATAGAAAGTTGGTACTCAGTGTAAGTCTGGCCCTTGGCCCCGCTGACCCATTTCAAACCTAACCACGACCAGATTCTTCATCTTTCATGCCTCTCTGGTGATGGTTCTGGCTATCCTGGGAGATGATGGTTCTTCCCCCGATCTATCATCATGGCAAGCAGACATCGAAACGGTTCGACATGTTCTTCGACACCTGTTGGTGGATAATCGATTGGCTGAACGGTGCGCCGATATACTTGACCGCATTCACCAAGCCGAGCCGAATTTTGGCGTTGATTCCATGGAGTTCATGGAACCTGCCTCGTTCGACTTTTCCCACTGGCCTACAGGTGACGGCGATATACTAGAATCCTTTGGCTGGTTAAATCCTGGTCAAGGGCTATAGATTTCTGTCTCGTCGCTTTATAGACAGACGGCTAGTTAATAATCCGAACGTCGGGCTCAAGGAGGTGGGCTCTAATCAAGTCTCCGTTCGGAATATCGTTGTCCTCTGCTCGGATCATTGCCGCCTCTCTACTCGTCTCGATGCCAGCTGCGAGATGCCTCGCAACCAGCCGCTCTTTCGCGACATCGCGTGAGACATCAACAAACCACCTGCATACCATTAGCGACGTCATTTTCCACAGAAGGCGACGGATAGGCACCTCTCATCCACTGATGATGCAATTTTGCTCCAAGGGGCTTTGTCGAGAAGCGTGTAGTTCCCTTCAATTATCACAACCCTGCTTTGCGACGAAATTTGTATGTCCTCAGCGATTGGATCTTGAACTGCATGATCGAAACTGGGTGCGGCAATGAAGGTTTCCGCCGCTTTGTTCCCCGTAACTGGCAATGCCTTAAGTTCCCTTATTTTATCTATAAGGCGAGAAACGTCGAAGGTGAACGGTGCACCGCGTTTCCGGAACGCCATGGAAGGGTCGTCAAATGTGCTTAACATGGCTTTAGAATGGTGGAAGCCATCCTATTTGTTGTTGGCGGCTGTGCACGAGAGAATGGCCTGTAGTTGCTTACCATAGGCATTACGAAGATATCGTTTATCCCCTTTTGCTTCAAGGCTGATATCAACGCGCTGGAAACAGTGGACTTTCCTGAGCCCGGAACGCCTGCGAGTGCAACAAGCAGTCTTTGCTGAGGGCACAGCTTTTGCTTCGCGAGTAGAGACTCGACCCTTGAACACAGAAGATGTATGGTTTCGTCAAGACCGAGTCCTTGAACAGACCCCATCGTCAAAGAAAGATACTGGTAAACACGATACGCTGGGGGCGATGCTTTTGCTTCCTAGTGCGGACTCCGGAGTGAACCCATCTGGTAACGGTCTCAATCCTCGGATGGGAATACTGGTCCCACATATGTAAACCTGCCAGCCACCGTCTACGGACCGCTGTGTCCCGGCAACGCAATACTAGGCGTGGAGCGATTCCCCGAAGTAGAACAAAATGATCGGCAGATTAGAGTATGTGGGTGGACCTGCATCCCCGCCGCGTCTCGAGGTCTGGTGGAGACATGCACAAGAAGCGGATCGCTTTGACTCAATTATACCCATCTGATTGGCACGGACGACTGCAGTCCGGGCGAACTCCACGAAATCCTCCTGGCCGGCAAAGTGGCTCGACGTTTAGTTCCCCGTGGGGTTCGGACCATGAGACTTGACAGCCGATGCGGCTTTATTTAGTAGTCACATATTCCCCGTCCGGCGAGCACGGCAACAACTACGCGCAGTCATTGAGTTAGCACCAGGTTCGTCAAAATACAATGACGACACAACAGCCCACTGGCCAGGCGGCCAATGCCACTCGCAAGGGTGTGTGGCGTGAGCTGAGGGAAAATCCTTATATATTGGGACTGTCAACAGTAAGTAGCGTCCAGCACTGTTAACGGCCCGTCTGCTAACGCCGCTACAGTTTGCATCTCTGGGTGGTTTTCTCTTCGGCTATGATCAAGGCGTGGTTTCTGGAGTCTTGACCATGGAATCCTTTGCCGCAAAATTCCCACGAGTGTACCTTGACAGCAGCTTCAAGGGCTGGTTCGTTTCGACGCTTCTGCTGGCTGCTTGGTTTGGGTCTCTGATCAACGGCCCACTAGCGGACCGTTTTGGTAGAAAGGGATCAATGCTCATGGCTGTGGTGATCTTCCTTCTTGGCTCCGCTCTGCAAGCTGGAGCGAGTGATATCCCAACGGTCTTTGCTGGTATGTCCTCTCGGCCGTTTCTTCCTCGCCCAGGAGGCTAACTGTAGCCCAGGTCGTGCCGTTGCTGGTCTATCGGTTGGAATGCTGACCATGATTGTTCCAATGTACATGTCAGGTGAGTTGTTTGGCTTCAACTTAGAGTGCTGATAAATAAACTTGCTGACTCTCATGCCCAGAGGTCTCCACACCCGGCATTCGAGGTACACTTGTAGTTCTGCAGCAATGTATGTCTCTATTTCTATACGATAGTATATCCTATTGACTCAAACACTAGTGAGCATAACTCTGGGAATTCTTATTAGCTATTGGCTAGAGTACGGCACTCAGTACATTGGAGGCACCCGATGCAACCCCGACTTACCATATGCCGGAGATTCGTTCAACCCAACCACCGACGTTGGCCCCAACGGATGCACAGGGCAATCCGACGCTGCATGGCGGGTTCCATTCGCGCTTCAAATGGTGCCTGCACTAGTTCTGGGTATTGGAATGTTGTTCTTCCCAGAGTCCCCACGTTACTTTTTGATGCGGCGTAATGAGGAGAAGGCGCTTTCTGCTTTGGCTAGATTGCGTCGCGTTCACCCTGATTCAGATATCCTGCGCCAGGAATACCTTGCCATCAAGACCGAGGTTCTCTTCGACGAATCAATTGCCCGGGATAAGTTTCCCGGAAAGAGTGGTATTTCGTTATGGGTTTCCCAGTATTCATCGCTCTTCTCCACATGGCCATCCCTGAAAAGGCTTATTTTGGGGTGCCTTATCATGTTTTTCCAACAAGTATGAGTTTACATTCCCGATAAACGTTAACTGTACTAAGTCCTCTTACTTTCTAGTTCATGGGTTGCAATGCGATTATCTACTATGCACCAACAATGTTTGGCCAGCTTGGACTCTCTGGCAAGACATCTGGACTGTTAGCAACGGGGGTGTATGGCATCGTCAACACTCTGTCAACACTGCCGGCCCTCTTTCTAATCGACAAGGTTGGACGGCGACCACTACTAATGTGTGGAGCGGCTGGTACCTTTATCTCCCTCGTCATTGTTGGCGGTATTATTGGTGGGTACGGCTCGACATTGGCATCTCACTCCTCTGCGGGGTGGGCCGGCATCGCCTTCGTCTACATTTACGATATCAACTTCTCATATTCATTCGCACCAATCGGATGGGTTCTGCCCTCTGAGATATTTAATCTGGGCAACCGTTCGAAAGCGATGGCAATCACCACTTCGGCGACATGGATGTGCAATTTCATCATCGGCCTAGTCACTCCGGACATGCTCGACAAGATTGGCTGGGGCACGTATATCTTTTTTGCAGCGTTCTGCTTAATGGCTTTCGTTTTCACGTACTTTTTTGTCCCTGAGACAAAAGACAAGAGTCTTGAGGACATGGATGTGGTATTTGGGGATACGGCAGCGCATGAAGAGAAGACAAGGCTGTTTGACATCGCCGCGTCGGTGGGTCTTACAGATGCCCTTCCTAGCGAAAAGGTGGACGCCAACCGGGTGGCGGCAGACGAAGTTGAATAACAGCAATGGTGAGAAATATGCTTACGAGATATTACGGCAGACTTGTCCAGACGGCAAGACAGAGTTTGGTCTCTCTCACTTTGGTTGCAATCAATTTAAGAACATAGCCGTGTCGAATGGTTATGACTGGTAACGGTCTAGGCCAATGAGAGCCGGTTTTGTTCATTCTGGTAGTCACTGTGCACACACCCATGGACTACTAATGGGTGATTTGGTCCTGCCAACTTGCACGAATTGACTAATGCATATCGGCGAGCGAGTTGAAGTAGCAAGAGAACGACGGCCAGAACATCGCACTCTCACGTCGTGCTTGGCTCTACAAATCCATAGAATCATGGCCTGATTGCTGAAACTCACCGACATACTGCAGCTTGCACAGCATTACATTGCATTGGATTATTGTTTCTGTCTGCATTGAAGACTCGGAATGCAACACCGGTCTGAGATGCCAAAGCGATGAACCCAGCCAACGTACAATTGACCTCAGTGGCCTCGGCTAGTGTGTGGTGTCGATATGTCAACTGAAGGCTCTCGGACGAGAATTGCTTGTGATGGGCAGCCCTGGGAAGCACGTGCAGCTTGTGGTTCCCAACTTATGATTCTAGAGCGTGCACAGATTCAATGGAGGCCGGTCGATTGCAGATCATCCATCGCGAACTCTGAATCATGAATCATGAATCATGACGTATATTTCCCAATTGCGGGGCGGCTCTGTGCTTGTTCCTGGCCTAATGGGGTATCATCCCGGCAGCCGGCGAATTGGGAACCGCAATTGGGAAGGGTCCACCTCGCCGCCGGCTCAACTTGGCAACACATTGGCAGACGTCTACACAAATCAGATGTTTTCATCGCTACGGTCTTCGGATGAGTTTGAATGCCGAGGGCCCAACTTGAGGCTCTGAGTTGTCATGGGGCAGTGTCTGTTACTCGAGTGAATATAGCTGCTGTTCTATATAAGTGACATGTTACCCGTAATTTGAAACCCATCTCACTGGAAGACTACGTTCATGCGAACCAGAATACGCAAGTACGCCAAGAAAAGCCAGGATCAAAGAAATACGACCATGCAATTACACGGCCTTTTGATTTCAACCCTAGCGGTCGTTGCGGCCAGCAGGCCCAATAGCCGCAGCGTCCAAAGCCGGCAGTCTCCCAGTTTGAATGTGACATCAGCGGTCTACGATGGCGCTTGTTTCTACCCGGCAGCCGGTGCTGACTTCCCGGATGATCTGTCCGAGTACTTGGGCCGATGGTATCAAGTCGCCGGCACACCAGCACTCTTCACATTGGGCTGCTCGTGCATCTTCGCCGAGTACGGCCTCAACGATGACGGGACTGTCAGCGTGCACAATGGATGCCAGCTTGGTGGCCTTGAAAACTCCATCGAGGGATCTGCTGCACCTGTTGACACTGCTTACGCCGCCAAGGGCGCTTTCCAAGTCAGCTTCCCCAGCGTGCCTGGTGGCGGCGTGACCTGCCCGGGCCCGAACTACATTGTACAGAGTAAGTTTCCCAGGTGTTGGAAGATTCTCCGTCGCGATATCGTACGTGGGACTAACAAAGCTGCAGAGTATGACCCTCATTGGGCAATCGTCCAGTCTCCGTCGTTTGAGACCTTGTTTCTGTTGAGTCGGGAACAGCATCCTACCGATGCAGATATCAATGTACGTCCTGAATATTGCAAGCGCGCCCGAGAATTCGAGATGCTAACTCAATGCATAGGCATGGCTCGACGAGGCTGGCAAGTTAGGCACAAACTTGAGTAAAGTGCAAAAGGTCAGTCAGGAAAACTGCTTGTTCACCTAAGCGAGGCGGCATTTCAAACTCCAAGGGTGGCTCAAGGGTTTCTCTTGCAAGTAATATTGCATACGGATGATGTCTATCAGGCATAGAGTCCGCTAGAAATTCAGATTTTGGGTACCAAAAATGGAGGCACGCATGCGTAATGTCAGGTCTAAAAACAAGAGACAGTCACATAGGTTATTATCACTAAACTCGTAAAACTGTTAAAAGTGGTTTTTAACTTATTTAATTTAACAAATTTAACAAATTCAACATTATAAATAAAGACACGTATACTAACTCTGAAGCCTAAGCGTATAACATATTTTTATAAGTTTTTATAACACAACTCGTAACAGCCCTTATAAGCGCTTTACAGCTTTACGACTATGGTAAGTAGGGAAACAATGCAAATCGTATTTGCGGACTAAGTCACCTTTGTTGTGATAGTGGGCCAGTCACTTACGAGTTCACCAGCCACTCTACTTACCACATATATATCTACACACAAGTGTACCACTCCGTACTATTCCTTCTAGTTAATTATCAATCCATTCCATCCATACCATCCCTCATATCTTGACAACCCGATCCCGACACATCTCTGTGCGACGAGCCCGCTCACTCTCAAAGGGTCTATTCTAGAAACTGGTATAGAGCCCATCACTCGCTATTGGGCCTGCCCGACTGTCGGGACACCAGTATCAAAAAAAAAAAAAAAATTCACCTAGCCCCTAACCACATATACCACTCACTACATGGTACTAGCACAAGCAGAACCAGTGCCTGCACTGTGAAGTCACCAGAAAGATGGAGAACCTGTTACGTAGGGAGCCAAGTGCAGATAGCTGCAATATCAACGAGCGACTCAGGCAACGTTGTTTAGAGTATGGCATATACGTAACGGGAAGATCTAGATTTCGATAAGAGCAAGCTGCCTAGAGGAGAATCCTCGGGGACACACGGAAGTCTACCTTGCCTGCCAGACACCAGATTGTCCTAACCATGTTTTCGCCAAGGGGCTACTATGAAACCCAAGAGTCAACATCACCTTAGCTGCAATTAGTCTCACATAAAATAACCCTTTCTGCAGGCTAACTCATATATGTGAGTGTATGCAGTTCCTGATTGAACGGTCTCAAATTTAATAATGATTTGTCTTACCTCTTTTCCAAAGCGGTCGTTATTATTACGCTTCGTTTCCGTCTGTCGATGATAGATTACTTGGCGCCAGCTCAATCCTGATTCAAGAACTGGAGATTCCGCTTATTCAGGGCAGATTTTATGCCGTCTCGTACAATCGCAACTTTTCCAGCGTTGGGTTTTGCTTATTTTACAGCGATGTTGGCTCAGATCCAGTATACGGACAAATTATTGAATCATTTTCCCCGAACACTGAGAACTTTAACACGGCAAGTTTTACTTTTCAACTTCGCCCTATATATAACTTCACGCACATCAGATCTCAAACACGGTGTGGCTTTGGGGGTGGTGAAACCCTGATGTTGGATTTCGATAACGTTCTTTCGGATGAAACCAAGGAAGTATAACAGTAATTTCCACGCCAAAGGCTATTATAGCAGAGAATCTCCTATTATTCTCGTCTACCACATTCCGCCCATTCGTTTTCCCCGTCTTGATCGTTTCGGCTCGAGGGAACAATAATCATTCCCTGAGCACAATGTGCTGCCGAGGCCGCTATCCGTTGGTTCGAAACGTGGATGTTCTATTCCCAAGTGATAGGAATACAGTTTTCGTTGTCCTTAAGGGTAGAAATGTTGCGGACCAGCGGCGCATACATGGTTGTTCCCTCAGTTACTAGCAATCCGTCTCCTCGACACATCTGCTCCTTGCCGCGTCGCTTTGCCTCTGCCGGCCAACACACGAGCATACCGACACGATGCCATTCACGTTAGGATCAGCGACGAGCCTCGGGTTGGTAAATGAATAATTACTACATGAGGCAATAGGAGCCTGATGGCAAAGTGCAGCTAAAACGGTACGAAGGCAAGCCATTTGGATGGACTTTTGATAACATGACAGCACTGCCCGATTGACAGAGAAGCTGAACTAGCTCAAGCCACACGTATCCTAAGTTTGCTTCTTAAACTGCCACGGAGGCGGTCAGGCACGGTGGAAACTGAGGTCGGTTGGGGTGAGTCAGCACGTAAATGCTCGCGCGTTGTTTTTCTTGCAATATCAAAATCCCTCAGGGCTTTCCATAATGTTTATATGAGAAACATAATCAAAGATGGCCACGACTATTTTTTTTGGATTTGGGTGGTGACTTCTTGACCATATGCCGAATGATTGGGGGTTGGATTCCCTATCATCATATTTGCATAAGTCTGAACGGTGTCACTTATTACGTGGCACTGGCGCTATCACTTGAGAGGTTTTCATGTGAGGGCTGAGTGGGAAGCCCCCAATTCCCGTCACCTTGATTAACTGACTACGATTTTGATGCTCAGAGTCCCAGGCGCTCTTTGAGACAGATGGTGCAAATGATATCGTACCATAAGACAATAGGACTTGGCCACAGAAAGATTTACATATTAGCCTTTAGTTTTTGTTTGCTTGGTGCTATTTTCGTCAATTTCGGTCAAATGAATTAACCAGAACCCGAATCACCTGAGCTCAGTGTAGTGGAGCCAGGGTCAACCGCTGTGGTGGATCCAGATTGGGTAGAGGCCCCAGAGCTACCAGAAGTATTGGAGGCTCCTGTTGCACCACCGGCCGAGCCAGAAGTTGTATCTGAGCCAGCGCCGGCCGCTTTGCTGCCACAGCAGCCCCAGTCGAGAATTTCTTGAGAAGACATGGTTTACTGAAATTGATTTTCGGAATCAGGCAAGTATTTGAATGCTGATCTTCACGAAATTTGGAAACTCGGGGGAGTCAGGGTCAGTGAAGAGGGATTTATATATTTTTCGAATTCCCGCCCAGAAGTGAATTGCCTCTGCTGTTGGCGCTTGCGCATGAATCATGGTATTAGCAGACAGTGTGGAGAACTGGGACATTGTGTCGAGCACCTTGTTCCGGTCCAAGACTCTATCATCATGATCTTCAGGTGCGATGAAACTGTATGGTTACGACGTACACTACGTGCTAATCAGTTCTTGTTTATACGAACGGGTCTTCAACATCTGACAGCCATAACAAAGGTGGGTATCTTGATTATTACTGTAAGTTTAGTATGAACAACTGACACACAAGAAGTTCGCGTTTCCTGTAAAAATACCTTATCAACCAGTAGCCACATCATGACGACTGCACAGGGCTTTGAACGACAGGGTAGTCGGGGAAGTATGGCTTGTATGCCGACTGACATCGGCCGTTGTGTTCGGAAGTACAGCCTCGCACCAGGGATAGCTCATCACCAGGAATACCGAGCTTAACCAACGGGCCAGCGGTCGGTTTCACCTGCTCCCAGCCCGGACCGGCTGATGGGTTCTTGATCCACTCCACAAACCAGTCATTGATGGCGTCTGCCAAAGCCTGCTGCTCCTCCGTGACATTCGACAACTTCTCGAAGCACTCGTTGCCACCCAAGAAAAAGGGTACCTCGGTGCCATGAGTTGGAGCTGTGCCGGGAAGGCCGACGACATTATCGTACTGACCGAAGAATCGGTATTCCCACGTAGCCTGCTTCTCACTACGGAGGTCGACAAAATAGTCGACAGGGCAGTTGAAACGCGCATCGCCGTACTGGGTACCGCTCATGAGGGACTCGCTCGCGAAGTCAGACAGGTTATAGGCAGTGGTCAACACATCGTCAGGGATATGAGCGCTGTCTGCATCGAATGTGTTGATCCAGGCGTTGAAGTCGCCGTTTTCGGCCGAGTACACCACGGAGAACACTGTACCCTCACCATTCGAATTTCCGGTCAGCAATGGGACATGCGAAGCATATTCGCCTGTGGAAAATCGAGCGGCATAATCGGAAAACCGAGTGATATCATCGATCACTGGAGTGAACCAGGTGTTTGCAGTCGAGTTGAAGTACGAAGTCTGAATATCGTAGATGCTGACGTTGCGGAGACACTCGAGCTGGCCACTGCCTGTTCCGCACCCAACTTCTGCCGCAACTACATCGAGTCCAACGTTGGTCGGGGCGTACGCAGGACCAGATATAGCATTACCGCTCATTTGAACGGCGCCCTTCAGCCATGAGTCTGGGTGGTTCCAGAGATAATGGTCAACTTGTACGGAGCCCGACGAGTGACCGCCAAAGACAATGTGGCTAGGATCGCCACCAAAGGCTACCAAATCATTAGCTGAGTCTCTTGGGTCAATTGTTCGCTTTGTTACATACAGTCAATATTATGGTGGATCCAGTCCAGAGCCTTCTCTACATCCAGGATGCTGAAGTTCTGACTTTTACTCTTCTTCTGGAGTTCTGCCGAGTTCGGCGACGCCCAGATACTCTCACGAGTGTTAAAAGTAACATAGATAACACCCTTTCGCGCGAAATTGTTGCCCTGCAGTTGAGGGTTGCTGCTGGATCCGGTGACCATCGCGCCACCATACATGTAGACAAAGACCTTCACCGAGTCAATCGCTGTATGTAATTACGGCTGCAGCATGATGTCAAGCTTACAGGAAGCTTGGTTCCCGTTGATGGGGCCCAAATATTCAAGTTCAAACAATCCTCGTCCTGGCGACTGTAGTACTCGCTTGAAATGGCCTGAGGACATGTTGGGCCATAGGACGTCGCATTTGCTACGGCGGAGTCCTTGTCCTTAGGCTTGGAGATGTCCTGAGGTGCCCTCCATCTAGTTACCAAAAGGTCAGTCTTGAAGACAACAGAGCTCAGGATCTTATTGACATGGGACCTACCGATTCCGACCCGCAGTTGTCTGAGCGTAGGGCACGCCAAGATACACCGAGTTATTGTGAGAATCCAGGAACCCACGGAAAGTGCCTTGCGGCAGGACAACCTGGGGCGTTTCGGCTGATCGCGGCACTGCAGCAGTGTGGCAAGCTGTAGCAAACGAGAGCCATGCAGCCACCTGGAGCAGCTGATTTGGGCCCATTCTCCACTGCAAGTCTAACCAAGCTGATAGAGAAGGTATCTGCAGATCACCAAGTCAACGTCCTTGACGTTCAAGCTTAAAAGTGGTGAGAGAGACAAAAGCCCAATAACACGCAGATTTAACGCGACATGCAGCATCATGCACTCTAATACGACGGCCGCAGGAACGACCTTTACGCCGGCGCCATTGTCTGCAGGAACCACAGTACAGAGTCCACCGAGAGGAGATCAATCCTGGACGTTGGGATGTGGAGTGGAACTGGAAATTTGCACACCAAGCTGCCAGGCTTGCCAGGCCCCATCGAAAGTCAGTCTGCGGCGGAGCACCAACCCACTTGGCATCTGACCCCCTGAACAGTGCGGGATTTCTTTTTTGGCCCAGTAATCCATTTTTTATTCGGTCAGAATTTCAAAACAACTGAAAGAACGGCTCTACAACTTAGGTCTTGCTCGTTCACAATGGCTAGCTAGAAAGTATCAACCGTCCGTTGCAATACCGAGGTTCCACCTACGCGGGACCCCGTGAGCCTAGCCATGCTTAGGTTAGCTAACTTGGATACGGCAAATAATCTAATGCGCTCGTTGAGCGCACCGGATGTTCCCGTAGTCGCCACCCCCAAGGTCGTATTTCTCCGCGAGCTTCAAGTCCGGGCTTCAGGGCTCTCCCTGACCCACTGCAGTGTGTTAGTCTTAGAGCCAACGACTAGCACTATGGCTCAAGCGAAGTAGCTTGTTTTTGAAGCTTTAGGTGGTATTTTGGGCATCACACTCTATCCTGCCTACCAGCCCTCTGAATAGTATGACTGGTGACATCTCTTTGACTACAAATGCTATTTGTCCAATCTTCTATTCATGATCGCTATGGCTCTGGTGCCACTCCACTACCCAGGGTATGCCGAGGGCATGTACCTACTTGTTCTCCTTTCAGACGTGCCCGAAATTGCAGACCTACTCTTCCGGACCATTGATCGTACGAGGGCCCTTGCAGCATTTTAACCCAGAAGAGCCGTCCGCTTTTCTTTGCAACCCAGTTCAAAGCAATCTTCGATAATAGATCGACAATCGGGCTGTCAATAAGGTTTGACAGGTATTGCGACATATTAGGTGCATGCTGTAGGGTCCATTCGAACGTCAGTCTCAAGAAATGGTACGCGCGAGAGCCAAATCATCTTCACTATGGAAGACGGATGCTCGAGAGCTCAATTCGAGGGTATGACGCCGTCCGTGGCCAGGGAAGGTGTCTTGGTTGGTCTAGACTTCTGGCAAACCATTTGACCATGCCCCTTACAGTACTGCGTATCACATGGAAATTCCCGTCCAAGCGGCGGAGAGCGATGCAGGCATCAATAGCCCTATGGAGACAAGTGAGCGTTTAGTCTTGAAATGGGAAAGCGTTCTCAGAAGGCGAAGCTCCCTTTTCGCAGGTCTAAGGGTCCCTTGCTGCATTGATCGACATTTAACGTCTCGCTATGTCGCCGCCATATTAGTTTCTTGGATTGCTTGAACAACCACTGCGCACGATGGCGGCTGGTCTAGGACAGGTGGTAAGTAGACACCTATCTGGGCGGGTGTCTTTGGCGTTTCACACCCACATATTCACATACTGTGTTCATCAGATATCTTGGTACATCTGTACTGCTGTCGCCGTCGTTTTCGCCGGCGGCCGACAATTGAATCAATGGCGAAGGTTCAGAAAATTCACCATCGAGGATGGGTGCCTCATGTTGGCATCATGTTGCCTCGTTGCGGATCTGATCATTCAGCAGTACATGTGGAACAGGGGCATGGCTGACATGTCGAATGCAACTCGCGATGATTTCATTGCCATTATGCAGGTAAGTGAGCGTGTAGTCATGCGCAATGCAAAGCTTCGCTGACGAGACCAGATGATTGTTCCAGGATCAATTTTTTATGTCACGTCGCTATGGGCAGTCAAATTCGCGCTTACGCTCCTCTATAAGAAGATCGCAGCACCTGGAACGAAAATACAAATAGTTTTCAACATTATGCTCGGATTTCTTGCAGCTACCTGGCTCGTTATCTTCTTCCACATCATATTTCAGTGTTACCCTCATGATAAAAGGTGGTCGCTAGACCCAGAATGTGAGTTGAGCTTTGGCGGACACTGACGGGTTTCGATTAACTTGCGACCAATAGACCAATGTAGCCAAGAATCTGCAACTGTCAACTACTGGATTACAATCCTCAGTAAGTTCCTCAGTGCTTGGATACATGACTAAGCTTACCGTCAAAGCAAACATATTCGCCGACGTTATCAGTGAGTCTTCACGCCTTAACCGCGCTTGGCGTATCTAACGTCTTGCAGTCATATGTCTTCCGGTTTCAATGGTCTTGAAACTTCAAATGAAACTCAAGCAGAAGCTTGGTGTATTAGCGATTTTTGCACTCGGCATCTTCGTGGTCATATCAAGCAGTATGGACGCAATCGTGATGCAAGCTGCCCCAAAGTGCTAATAGCTGCCACAGTCGTCCGAGCTTACTACTCCAAGCGCAATGAAACTATGTTGACCTGCACAGTGTCCATGGTTGAGACATCCATAGCAATCGTCGCTGCTAGTCTTCCGGGTACGTATCTCTACCACCTTTCCGCTCGCAGAATTTCCACGAGCTCAGATTAACTCTTCTGGCAGCGCTTCGCTCCCTCGTCCTCGGACGCTCCTCACAAGCGGCTAACAGTTACTATGGGGGCCATTACGAGCTTCCCTCCGCGAATCGGCAAGCACAAAGTCGAATCGTCACAAATATAGTGGGGGGTTCCCGTCGGGGGCAGAACGACTCGGAAGACGAGCTCGTGAAGGAGAATAGGTCTGCAGTTTCAGGGGAAAGAGGAAAATCGATAGACTCCAATAGTGGGATTCGGGTCAATACTACGTTGCAGATGGAGCACGGGCCCGGACAGGCGAAGTTTAGGGCTACATAGAAGGCTCAGAAGATACCCAATATTATCCGCTATTGGGAGTGAGCGCCAGAGGACGTGCCGATGAGATTCACAGAAGCAAATCTTGGTAGAGACGGCATTTAGTACTGAACCAGTAGGACGGCCACCACCCCTCTCACTCCCAGGATTACAGATTCAAGAATCGCTGTCGCCAGAATAAATTCATAGATCGAAAGGGCATTCACTGCCGAGATCCAAAATCCGCCAGCGGACGATAGTCAGATCAAGGGTTCCCTTTTCGTACAAAGCCAGACGCGCATCGTCAGTTGCTTCGAGGGTGCTTATGCAAAACCTCTGACGCGGATCAGATGTGTGTGCTGGCTTATCTTCACCTAACCCGATCTTCAGCGCTCCACACCACAGTTCTAGACTGTACACTTGCTTTGTCAAGTCATTCACTCCAATTTCAGTTGAAGTTGCTTGTATGTGAATTTTTCAATTGCAAGGGCCCTAGAATAGAGTTGGTAATAAACGCTGTCAGGCGACATGGCCTACATATCCCAAGCCTCTACTGCAGCTTCAATGATGGGGCGAATAACCTTCCGTCCCGCGTCTGAACGCTCATGCGTCCAGACCATCTGCCTCCTCCCCAGCTCACTGGCTCGATGCCAGGGCTTGGCATTTAGTGACTCCTCCTTCTCAATAGCCTTTGAAACAGTACGGAACAGGTCATCTGCTTGTTCCTCATCAATCCTCACATCCTTTCGTACGCACAGCACAATTTCTCTGATTTTTCGCTTCTTGCCGGTTTGATCCCTGACCTTATATTTGTTCAACGCAACACTGATGTCTGCGCCAACTTGGGCGGTCCAGGCGGCTTCAATAGCAAACCAATCGAACAGCTCGCCGAACTCCGTTTTCTCAATCTGGTCTTCGAACGAGTACGGTATCGATGAGAAGCCGAGGCTCACAGTTGGAGTGCGTGGCGAGGGCGTGTCCACCAAGTCGCCTTTCCAATCACGCCTCAAGAGATCGCGGACTCCGAGGTGATCAAGGTCCTTCTTGGCATCACCGAGCTGGTCATCTAGCTCTCCCATCTTGTCCTCAAGGTCTGCACCCCGCCAATTACTCCGCCTCAAGACTCTCTCGGCTATTTTTCGGTCTTCGTCTGTAGCATCTTTGAGTCCCCCAGAATCAATGGCGATCGCAGACAAAATGAGCTCAAGCAGCTCATGAGGCAAGTGATACTCCTCAGGGAGACTCTCAAGCTCGTCGAGCATCTGCCGAGCGACCAGAGTTGTACAACTTGCCACCTTCTCAAAGATTCGAGGGTGGGCATCGGGTCCCGCTCCACTGTCCTTGTGGTGATCGAAGATGCTCAGAATTTCCGCATTGCTCCATTTTCTCAATGGCACTGGGTGGTCTACAATAATGATTCCCTTAATATCGTCTGATAGCGTTTGAGGGTCTTCAGGGAGTTCGTCCAAGGTGAGCAAGTCCGAATGCCCTGAGCTCATCAGAGAATTGTCGAGAGCAAGCTTGTTCTCAGGGCGCAAGTCCAGTGCGTCGGTTGGGGTTTGAAGCAGTGCGATTGCCTTTACAGGATTGGTCGAATTCGCCGTGGAGTGTTGCAGGTGGTACGCCCACGTGAGGGCTGCCGTCATCGAGTCCAGGTCGCCGCCCTCATTACCCTGAACGATGATCCATTCGGAGGACTTTCCCGCCTGCCAATCAATGAGGAATTGTCGCTTGGTCTCACGAGACCATTCACTAAAGTGTCCGACGCCGATCTCTGTTGAGCGGCCAGCGGACTGCGTCAAGTCAGGATTGATCATGACATGCTGCTGAGGCTGCGCTGGAGAGCTTGCGCTGACTGGCCCACATGCTGCCAGGGAAACTGCGGCAGCACAGACTGTAGAGACCCTCATGGTTCTGGCAGGTTAAAGAGTGATAGGAGGATGCCGATGTCAAAAGCCACATGAGAAACTTCGCAAGCCAGAAACCCAGGATCTTTGTGCTCTGTGAGGACCTGAAAATGATTAATTTGCCATTGCGGCTCCCAGCCACAACGTCGCTGAGGCTGAACTTTTGTGGGCCTTCATTAAAGTCCAGTAGCGCCCACATGCGTCAGCCCCGAATGGGTGCTAAAGGGGCTGGGGACAGCCCTCCAGCGCTCACCGCCACAGCTCAAAAGCCAACACAGATGGCGTCTAGTATCATCAAGCGTAGTCCTACAGGTTTTTCGGGTTTGAGCCATTCCAGTGCAGTAGAGGGGCAAAAAGTGGCTAGGAATTCGCAAGCGGTGCAGCGCTACAAGGGTTGAGCGTCATCACTTGGCATGAAGTCATCAGTGGAAGCTTGTAAGGATTGCAGCGATACATGGGTTTATGCACCGCTAAGAAGCGATGCCGGCTGTTTGTGACCAACGAAAGATAGGTCAGGCACAAAACAACACTCATGCAAGACGGCTCCCCGCCTTTAATAGAGCACCGCGATGAGCAAAGTTGAGTCAAACTGATGATTCGTTGGTTTGTTCCCAGACTTGTTCATGTGTCAAGCATTCATTGGTGTCCAACCCATGCTATCAGAAATATCCTTGTACTAGGCAAAGTCGACCGATGCTACTGCGTTTCACCCAGTCTCACTGCAATACTATATATAATCTTGCTTCCAGAACCTATTACGTTTCCCTTGGCCGTACATAAACCCTATATGCCGTCTGTGTTACTGGATCGTTAGGCATAAGTCACGCACGGTCTAGAAAATTGGCATCACACTATATCTAGCTTGAGGCGAGGCACATGAGCTTGAAGCATCGACCCAGTCTTCCGAAAGAATTTGGCTGCCAAACTCGTCGAACGAATAGGTATAGTATCACAGCACGGCTCCATAGTAGACCTTAAAATGTTGCGCAACATTGTTCTGTCCTTATCCCTGACCAGGGGGAGGGGACAAGACTTGGAAATACGCACCTCAATAGCGGTAACGTTTCAGGTACACTGAAAATGGGTGAATGCCGTTTCACGTGAGCATGTCAGCCTTGCAAGCACGCCACTTGGCTGCCAACGTATGGAGATTGGCAATCGTTTATGTTTACGCAAAGAACTGTCGGTTCTGACCCCATTCTAGTATATATATGTTGCTGCCAGATTGTACTCCGCCAGGAAATTTTCCACGTGATAACTAGCAAAGTACTGGCATGAAGTGTTATGCACAACCCTAGATCAGAAGAGAAATTAGATAGGAATGATGAATTTACCAAATGGCCCCTGGACTTCTCGTTGTATTTTAGCAGCCTTGTCTGGCAGAGCTTTGAAAGGGAACTCTCCGTCACGGCACAGCAGTTCCTCTCAAGTGGGAAATGATTTGCGCCGCGACTTCGTTCGCGATATCAAGGCTTCTACCCATCGTTGGTGTAAAATCTAGGTTCAGCATCGAACCCTATCTGATTGAAAGTCAAAAGAAATTGTTCATGCGACAGTTCGATGAACCGTGATGGGGCCAATTAAATAGTCACAAGTTAGCACCGAATAGGGCAAGGTGCTAAGTTACAATCTTGGCTAAATCCCTGCCCGAATACGAAGTTCAGCGATCCCTCCAATCAACTAAGGGTGCCGGATGCCGCGGGGTCTTCAGACTCTGCAGCTCCCTGGTTTACGATGATTGACTGTTGCATCAGCAAAAAAGCGGAGAAATGATGTTTTGTTGATAAGGTGTGTATCCCTTCCTGCACTTTTTTCCTCATCTTACACAAAACTGCGGGTCAATACGTGCACCACTGACGACACCACCACGCATGAAACATGTTGGCTCGCTATTGCCTTTTCTTAGTAGCCTTAGGGTACGGTGGTGCAGCACAGTCCTTTGAGCCAGAGCACTTCAGTGTCATAGACGCTCTCTTCGCACATGGGGTCAACATTTCGGAAGTTCCCGGGCTAGCTAATCTTTACAAGAGAGGCTCAACAACGGCGTGCATTGATGCTGTAGGTTAGATCATCAAGTCTACATATGGGCGTGCCATCCTCACACTTGATAAATTAGTGCAACGCGTTTGTCGTCATCTATGGATCAGATACGGTATACAATCGTGATGAGCCCTTGTACGAGAACTTCACGTCGTCATATTGGTCGGCATTTCAAGCCGACGTGAAGCCCGGATGCGTTTTCAGTCCCACAGACGCTGCTGCAGTGTCAGTCGCAGTACTGATTTCCAGGTTCTCGCAATGTCCTTTCGCTGTGAAAAGCGGTGGTCATGCTGCGTTCGCCGGTGCCTCCAGCATTGACGGTGGCATCACGATCTCTCTCAAGGACCTTAATACCATCGAGCTGTCTGAAGACAAGGTTACTGCTTCCATCGGGCCAGGAAATACGTGGGGAAAGATCTATTCGACACTGGAGCAGGAAAACCTCTCGGTAATTGGGGGGCGCGTGGCAGACATTGGTATTGGGGGCTTGACGACAGGCGGTAAGTTGATATGTACTCCTGTATCATGTCATAAAGCTGAACGCTGTACAGGAGGTATATCGTTCTTCTCAAACATTTACGGATGGGCTTGCGATAATGTTGCAAGCTATGACGTGAGGTTCACTTTTGTGTCTTGTGTCCATCTATACTGACATAACCCAGGTGGTTACCGCTTGCGGTAACATAGTTCATGCGAGTCCTACTGAGCATCCTGACCTTTACTGGGCCCTTCGTGGGGGTGGCAACAACTTTGGTATTGTCGTCAACTTCAATCTTGAGACACTCCCACTACCAGGGGGTGAGATTTGGGGCGGAAGCAGAGTATATCTAGAGGATTCGTTCCCGGCGCTGGTCGATGCTTTTGCGGACTATGCCATCAGATCACCCGAAGACCCATATGCAGGGGCATGGCTCGCGATGGGTGTCAGCAATGGCACGAAGCTCGCGTCGGCTGAGTTATGGTACGCAGCGCCCAATGCACAGAACGCTTCCATCTTCAACAAATGGAACAATATCGCTTCTATTCAAGATGTAGTGCAAAACCGAATCTTATCTGAGCTCACGAACGAAATTGCCTCAAGCAATCCGTACGGTCTTCGAGAGCTCTACTACACCATTACGGTGAAGGCTTCCTCTGATATCCTCCCCGTCGTCATGAAAATCTATTTCGAGGAGCTCTCAACACTCCTGAAGATAGACGGTGCTGCACCTTACATGATTTGGCAAGCTATAACCCACGGCGTCTTGGGGGCGATGGCGAAGAATGGCGGAAATCCACTTGGCCTCAATAGTCATGATGGGCCGTTTTACCTCATCCACATTTCCAGTTGGTGGAATCAGGAGAAAGACGATGCTGCAATGTATCAAGGAATATCCACAATTATGTCCAGGATCAATTCGGAAGCAGTTAACCGCGGCCTGGAAACAGACTATGTGTACATGAATTACGCAAGCCGTTTTCAGGATGTGATCGCGAGTTATAGCTCAGAGAACAAGGAAAAGCTACAGAGCATAGCAAGGAAGTACGACCCCGAACAGGTGTTCCAAGTTCTACAGCCTGGTTATTTTAAACTTGATCGGGCTCCTAGTCCAGACCTTGGTTACTTTTCATTTTAATCCAACACTTAAGCTAGAAGAGTTATGCTGAGGAAGACGGCGTTTCGGAGTTGCCTTACAGACCATCATAAATATACACCGTGGAAACCCGAGAAAACTTAGTATGTGGTTGTAAGTAACGAACAGTCTTGGCAATGCTTTATATTTTTGACATATCATTCAGGAAAACTTGTATGAGCTCAAGTACACGAAAGACAACACCGTAATCTACGAGACAGATTCGAGTGTTCAAGTGGGCCATGTCAGAAACAAGCGCAACCAGCGCCCTGTTAAATTGACTGCTCACGCCTTATGCGAAAGCAACCGGGCTTATGGTCAGAAATTCGGCATTGCGACTTGACCGATGCCTAATGATGCTCTCTAGACCCGGACGGAGGGGCTCTGCTCCACATGCCGACGCTAAAGCTTTCCCCGCGGATCTCCAGCGGGATCTATACTGCTTCGGCTCTCGCGTCAGGGCCGGCCTTATGTGGCGGCGCGGCTCCATTGGGGGATGGGGTGTTTCAATTGGTAGACATACCCGCTTTTCGGACTATTCGGCCTTCGCGGCAACAAACAAATCCGTACAACGCCCGTACATTCTCGCACTAACTCGGGGATTATGACCACCGACAAGGGTGGTGTGGTACGTTGCAGTGGTGGACTGGTAGCAAAGTCGGACTTGTGACTTATTGATGTATGTCCCTCGGCGCAGAACTTGGTACCATCACACGGATATCTCCACGCATTATATAGAGCGGGTAGACGGTACATGATTTACAGAAGGTCAGGTCGACCAGCAAACCAGCGAGCTTCATTCTCATCTTATCATCATACATTGCGTTCAACTCTAACGAACAAAATTTGTCTCTTTCTCCACAATGAACGATCCAAGCTTGCACAACTATTTTATTCCAGCGGCAGCACTTGTAGTGGCGCTCTGCGGAGTTAGGCTTCCCACATCTTTCCATTCTACAGAAGCTCACAAGATGACAGTGGGTTTACGCGATTCTGAGCAGCCCAATGGCAAAGCTGCCAGGTCCATGGCACACGAAGTGGACAAACGTTGTGTTTCGTTACAAGACCGTTACGGCTAAAAAAGTGCTCTGGGTCCATGAATTGCACCAGAAATATGGCAAGCCATCCAGAACATCAAGAGTTTACTGTCTGTATAGTTTTAACATTGGCACCTCTAGGCCCAGTTGTTCGTGTTGCCCCAGATGAAGCCAGTGTCTTAGGTATCGATGCGAGCCAGAAAATGTACTCGTTTAAAGGCGAATTCCCGAAATCCGACTTCTATGACAAAACGGCAATCGGTATTGTAAACGTTTTCACGACACGGGACATCGGCCTCCATCGAAGATACCGGAGATTGCTCGTCAAGCTGTCATATTACGTCCCTATTCCATTCATCAGCGAGGCAGTCAACAACCGCAAACGGCTTTTACAGTATAGTGAAACATCTCTTGGACGACACTACCGCATCGTCGAAGAGGAGGGTGAAGATGCTAAACCAACATTGCTCTCAAAATTGTACAAGGCCGGCGAGGACGGGTTGTCGTTCAAGGAGATACGCGCCAACGCCCAATCTTACATTGTTGCTGGATCAGACACGACTGCAAGTGCCCCGAACCGTGAACTTTAGATCGAATTGCTCATGCTTACAACTTGGTAACCTAGGCAAATACGTTGACCTACCTTGTGTACAATGTGTGCAAGCACCCGGAGGTGAAAACGAAGTTGGTCGATGAGCTACAAGGCCTCCCCGACGACTTTGACTACAATGACGTGAAGTCGCTACCCTACCTGAATCAGGTCATTGAGGAAACTCTGCGTCTGTACTCTTCTGTTCCCGGCGGCCTGCCACGCATGGTAACGAAAGAGGGTGCCGAGTTCAACGGACACTTTATCCCCGGCGGATATACCGTCAGCGTGCAGCCCTACAGTATGCACCGCAACCCGGACGTGTTTCCAGAGCCAATGGAGTACAATCCTTCGAGGTGGGAGAACCCGACTAAGGCCATGAAGGACTCATTCCTGCCATTTGGCGGCGGCAGTCGAGGTAAGTCACGTAACTAGGCGCTGAGAGACTCCGCCCGACACTGACACCGTAACTTAGTCTGTATCGGGTTGCACCTAGCCCGCATGGAACTCCGCCTGGCCACAGCTCGGTTCTTCGCTACCTTCCCGTATGCGGAAGTGTCGTCCGCGGAGGGGTTTAAAGAGGCAGACATGGAACCGGCGATGTTTTTCCTTCTCTCGCCGAAGTCTCATCGCTGCTTGATTAATGCTGCATGAGGGGCGGAAGGCGCTTAGGTGTATGTGATGTGATGCTTGCCATTTTCGGAGGCACTAGTACATGGGTGGGAACTTGGGCCTATTTCGGTCGCTATTCTTTGGAAATTGCCTGGGGCATTAGGATATGTACACCGTCGATGTTGAATGCCGGCTTCCGGGCTCTTTTGTGATGATTTTACGCATTTCAGCCTTGCGTCATGCGACCAGAAGGGCGATGAAGGGGAAGCGGAAACCAAGCTGACTACGAGGCGAGACCGCGATTGCATTTGCGACCAACCAGTCCCGACCCTTTCATGATTGATTTACCTACTACCGTCGCCCTCGTACTCCGTAAGACTTCGAGGTATTTACAATGGTTACTTGATTAGTAGAGATCAATCAGTTTCGCTGGGTAGACTGGCATGAATACAATTTACAAGATCTTGGCACATCGCCGTGATTGGTTCCAGGACTGCGAAAACGGTCAACTACGACCGGCCCCTTCCCAACCGGGCAAAACCGCCGTAAATTCGTTCACTTCACGCTCACAACCCGTGCTGACTACCACTGCGTTACAGTTCAAGGTTTCACGGCTCGCATGCTCAGTTTTGTGCGAAGGATCCATGCAGCTCGCAATCTCATCCAATTGTCCCGTGCCTCCGCCTGGGCCATGCTGCAAGCAGCCGCGTGCCGATTATCCGGCGTAAGCGCAGGGCTGAGGCCGGCCAAGTGGATCCAGGTTGCCGGCACATGTCTCACCACTTGGCATGCTGGATTTCCAGACCTGAACATCTCACAGGCCTCAAGAGTGCGTGGCGTCCAACATTCTATTTTCTGACCGACATCGCAATCGGGTATGGAGGAGCGTTTCAACTTTACGGTGTCTCGGGCCGACACGTTCCCTCGGGTGGACGAGAGAACAGACCTCAAGTATCATGACAAGAACGTTATCCACTATGACTTTAGTGGCGTTGGTATGCCGTCCGGGACTGCTTTTTATCCGGCATGAGCTGACAAGAAACAGACGATGAGGTCGCAACCGGTGAGATCCGCTGCATGTGTGAGAGCCTCTCGCAAGTCGGGTTGCAGACCGAAGTCAGGGCGGGAGAGGACCAATCGCTCTTAATCTTCGTCAGAGCTGCCGCCGAACTTCTCAGCACAGAGATATACAAGTCCAGGTAATTACCATCCATCAGAATTCCCTCGTCATCGGAATCGTTATTGACGGGGTTCCTAGAGTCAAAGACTGGCTTTATAGCATCACCAAAACCCAGCCACAAGTTGATAAGAAGAGCAAGGCACAAGCCGCCAAGTTCACATTCGAAGCCGAGAGTCTTCTCTGCGTGTATCACCTTGTGACCTTTTCAAGAGAAAACGGCGGTGCAGGCATCACTCCTGAGTTTGGCAGGTGGGAGAACGTGAAAGCCGTCTTCCCAATTCACAACGAACCGGCCAATCGACAGCTTTTGCGGCACCTCAGCAAGCGATTCTTCTTAACCAAGGATGACCTAGATCAGATCAGAGATCTCTTCGGATCCAAGGTACGTTTGCAAGCCCAGCCAATTGACCTAGATATAACCATTTCCAGGTCGCTTTCTACTTTGCCTACATGCAGACATACCTGCTCTTCCTTTCATTTCCGTCCGTGACAGGCATTCTTGCCTGGGCCTTTCTCCCAAAGTATTCTCTCATTTACGCCATCATCACTCTTGTTGGATGTACCATGTTCCTTGAGTATTGGAAGATTGTGCAGGCGGATCTCAGCATCCGCTGGGACGTCAAGGGGGTTGGATCTCTCAAAGCCAACCGCCCCAAATATCGTTACGAAAAGGTGGTTGTCGATTCAGCCGGACGGCCTAAGCATTACTACCCAAAGTGGAAGTCTTTTGCCAGGCAGTCATTACAGATCCCTTTCTTCGCACTGTGCCTTGTGGTCCTAGGTGTGATAATCACTGGTGTGTTCGCTTTAGAAATATTGGTGTCTGAGGCCTACCAAGGGCCTTATCAGTCGTATCTGGTAGGTTGTACTTAGAATAGGCAATTTGGAAAATTCGTTAACACTGTTAGGAATATGTTCCCACACTCATACTAGCAGCAGCTCTGCCGTACATCAACTCCCTGCTCGAAGATGCAGCATCATGGTTAGCCGAGTTTGAAAATCATCGTACGCATGACCACCATGAAATGTCTGTGACGCAAAAGCTCTTTGTGCTCAGCTTCATCGTCAACTATCTCCCTATTCTGCTCACAGCTTTCGTTTACGTTCCACTTGGTAACCAGATCGTGCCTTGGCTTGGATCACAGCTTCCGGGTACGCTTGGTGACAAGCTGGATAAACATTTCTTTCAAAAGGATCCAGATCGACTGCGCAACGAAGTTATCGCCTTGACTCTTACCGGGCAGCTGTCCGACATGTTTGAGGAGATGGTTGTCCCATACGCTATGCACAGGATTCGAAGCTGGTATCACGCATACAAATCCTACCGATCCCACCAGGCGTCTTTCAACGCAGTCTCTCCCGATGACCCGATGGAAAAATCATTCCTCCGCAGGGTTCGCCGCCAAGCCAGTCTTCCATCGTACAATGTCCAGGACGACATCTCGGAGATGGTCATTCAATTTGGATACCTTGCTTTGTTCTCTCCAGTGTGGCCTCTGGTCTCTGTTGGATTTTTCATCAACAATTGGATAGAATTACGGTCGGACTTCCTTAAGATCTGCATCGAACATCAACGCCCCCACCCTACAAGAACCGATGGGATCGGCCCCTGGATCCATTCTCTTGACGCTCTCACTTGGCTCGGTAGTATCTCTACAGCGGCTATTGTGCACATGTTCGGTACTGAGACCGGTTGGAGCAACACAATCCTGGGACACACGCTGGGTGGAGTCTCGTGGTGGTCTCTGCCCATCACTATCTTTGTGAGCGAGCATATCTTTCTCGTATTACGCGCAGTGGTACGCTTTATACTCCAGAGCGTCGGCTCCGAAGAGGTACGAAAAGAGCGGAATGAGCGATATGTCCGCCGCAGGAAGTACATGGACGAATTAGAGGCAGCAAATAGGGCAAAGGAGATGTTAGATGTGGGGGCTGTCCAACGACGCAAGTCGGTGCGTATGGCAGACTCGGACATATTCTGGACCAAACAAGTTGAACGCGGGTCGAGTGCGGAGACTGGTGTTTCTTTGATCAAAGCGCTCGGACGAGATGAGGCCTGGGTATTGGACAAGAAGGATAATTAGATACGCCACGGAGTGAGCAGATCCGAGATCCAACCTTCCTCACGAAGTATCGAGCATCAAAGCAGGTATTCACAGACCAATGCAGATAGATCTGATGTTTCCCTCAGACAATGATCATTGAGCACTCGAATAATGTGGCGACGGTAGTTTGAAGTCGGTTAGGCTGCCGTACACCCTCCTGCCCCAATCTCGATGGCCTTCGTTCAGGCTTACATAGAGCTCCCGGTCATATTTACAACCTGCATCAAACCATCCAAGCTCCTCTGTCCGCCATGTGAGCCAGCTGTCTGCTCTCACACCGTCGGGTGCTCGAAGGATACCTGTCGAAATGTTTACAACATAGTTATCGTCGGTCGTGTGTCTTTCTTCCCCCCAAAATAACACAGTTGCACCACAGACCCCGCAAAAGGAGCGGATATTCCCAGGCGAGGAAGAGTACGTCTGCATAAAGCCATGGGTGAGGTCAAGACCAATTCTTGGTTTAATCAGCTTCAAGGGGACATACACCCAGGCGTTCAGTTGGAAGCCGGTATTTTGGCGACAGTCGTTACACGCGTCCGTCATGGCCTTCCACTTGGTGGGATCAACTGGCGAGACGAGCCCCCTAGTGTACTCGTCTTGAAATACCTCCGGGGTTGGTCGAGGAATTGTGAAGGATACCCCACCGCAAGCACATTCTGCACGGAGCCAGTCTTTTCCATTCTCGTCCTTTTCGGGTTGGGGCATTCGAGGTTCTGCAATGTTCCCATCGGGATTCCAGACCCTCACACTACGAGGCCCGATCTTAGGCAGCCACTCATGAAGACCAGCCGGGGCTGACTTGGTGAAGATATGCTCAATGATAACGAAGTTGCCTTCACGCTGTGCGAAAATTCCCGGCGAGACCTGCCAGATGCCCGTGCTTTCATTGATTCCCCCGATGTGGCATCCACACGTCGAGCAAAAGTGTCGTATGAGGGATGTCTGCGCACTCTTGTACCTCCTGGTAGATCTCTCCAGCGCTGATGGGTCAATGAATCGAGGCCGCACACCCCCAGGCAATTTCGCATACGTGAAGCCCATGGTGCCGCTGGAATATCGACATCGACTGCAATGACACATGTACGCACTTAGTGGGAGGGCAGCAACAGGCAGCTCGACTTCGAAATGACAGGCTTTGCAGTAACACTGCGCCTCAACCTTCTTCGTGTCTGATGGAGTCGAGGTAGAAGCCATTCTGACGGTGTATTTACTTGGCGGGGAGCGAAGTTTCACGTCCCAAATATCTGCATTTCGAGGTGTACAGAAGCAGCGGGAGCTGGTGGTGCGGGGTTGTGGTTCACAAATCCCAGATTGCACGCCGCTCACGTCAAAATAGTTAACCTTGGAACTTATTCATATCGGGCCATTATGGGAATGAGCAGGCACACTCAGCCTTAAGCCAATCAAGTTGATTGCGCTGTCTCTGCAGGCCCCAAAAAAATCAAAGTTACAAGGCACATGTATACGGTGCCTAGCTTCGGTGGTTAGTTTTGCTAGACACTGCCGATGACTAGGACTAGAGAGTGTTCAGATCGGACGCAGAAAGAAATGGAAGTATATTGCATTAAATCATCACACTGAACTCAAAATTCAGCATTCAGTAGTGATGCTATCCCGGTTAGATATCTGCGATTACTGCGGCCGTGGCGTATGACCAGTCGTATGTCACTTACGGTATTTTGTGGTGTGGTAGCCGAAACTTATCGCCGTCTCAAGAGCGTGTGCGAATAACTTTTGAGAAAATAATGAAAGTACCGCGCTTATGAAGATGGGGAAAGGCAAAGCCTCCCATATTCGACTTCGTGGTCCTCGCTATCCAGCACCCGTCACCAGAAAGTATCCTTCCAGCGACAGCAGTGAACATACTGCTCGGCCAGATTTCCTATCTCTCAACTTTCCGACTGCCAGCCTCTGGACGTGTCAGATCTCATTGAGAGGCATACAAATTGCGCAGGTGTGGCAATCAGTCCCTTCGCTAACGTGGACAAACAGGGCACTACCCTACGGTGCGATTTGACCTGCAACTCCCCGTTGCCAGAGCATCAACCAAGTCACTGGGGCATCATTTCCGTGGCACGTGTGCAATGTGAGGGACGGCTCGTGGAATCCAATCTTGAGAATTTGCAAACTTCTTCAGCAGCTTGCTCTCTTTTCTATTTTTCCATCTCCCCACTTTCGAAGCGGCAGCTCCTTCGTCATCTCAACGGACTCATTCATCACCAGACTCCCCAACATGGGTGACCAAGGTCCGCCTTGGGACATCACTCTGTCCAACGGCACATGCTATTGGAAATCCGGCAAGATCGCCGGCAAGGATTTCATACCCTGTGGCAACGCCGCTCTTCCCAACGTTAATTGGCAATGCTGCAATGTCGGTGACATTTGTCTGTCAAGTGGCGCGTGCTTCAACTCTGCATGTGAGATACATATGTCCCGTAGGGTGTTTCCCTAGTCTGTGAGGCTGACCATGCTCTACAGACGGCGCAACCTATCTCGTGGGATGCACCGATCCCAGCTACGCCGACGAGAAAGCGTGCCCTAGTAAAGGTGACTTTGACGACCAACAGTGGGTGGGACTTGTGACCTGCGATATCGAACAGGAGGGAGCTGGCAAAGACACGCCGTGGGCAGGCTGCTCCGAGCCGCATATCGATCATCTCACCAGTTTCGCGAAAGGCTGCAAATGTGACTCGACCAACACGCCTCTCTTTACCGACTATCCCACCTTGATCAACAGTGCAAGCCTCCCCAAGTCGTCTGGTGGACGCCTTTCCTTCTTCGATGAGCGCACCCCCACGATCCCGTGGAAACCGACAGCCACATCAGGCTCCGTGCCTTCAGGGACCTTAGTGTCTGCCGGAGCGACGACGCAATCACTTCCCGCCGCGACAGGTGAGGCTTCGGAATCATCAAGCTCCGAGGCTGGGCTTTTGACGGGCGCCAAAGCAGGAATAGGTGCCGGTGTAGCAGGTGGTGCTTTACTCTTCGGTCTCGTCGCTTTTCTAGTCCTGTTCCTTCGCCGTCGTAGCAAGAGCGAACACACATCTGATCAGACTAACGCCCAACCGTCTTCTCAACCTGATTCCACCATTTCATCGGGTCCCTCGACTGGATGTCCTTATGCCACCAACGCGGCCAGCCCCAGTTTGAATGGCTTCAAGGCAGAACTTGCGGCGGACGGCCCGCCAAGTGCGCCGAATACGATTTCTCCAATCTCACCCGCTAGCCCTCATTTCCAGCAACAGCAGCGCCAGTATGAAGCCTACAATCCAGACAGGCACGGGAACTACTCGCACTACGGGGGCCGTTCCAACGTCCACAGCGGTCTTTTTGCCCCCGTGAGCCCTCAGCACACCGGCACGTCGTCAGACCATAACATCAGCATGAATGACAGATCGGGACAGCAACCTATGTCGTCCATTGCAGAATTGCAAGGTTGAAAGGTGGTGTTCGGAACACAAAGTGCCTAGGGGAACCACGACTTGCATTTCTGTAGGAAGATTGCTTTCAGCTCCGTTTCAACCAATGGTCCATTAAGTGAAGCAAGCGGACGAAACATTCCCGTGGGCTTATATACGTGTAGATTAATACGACAAGATTCGACATATTGCTGGATTGGCAAGACCCCAATAAACCGTTGTTAAGAGCGGCTGTTAACTCGGCAACCAACACGCGAGGACGACAATAGGACGAAACGCGCGCGACCAATATATGCCTGATAATGCAGTGAATCAGTCATGGTGTTTACTGTGAATGTTGATGGCTCATCGAATCTAAGCGTACTAGGCTCAGACTGCTGCTGAACTACGTAGCTGGTGCATTTGTGTGCATATCTACATCTTCAGCGCTGCCTTCATCGGTTCCTTTATAGCTAGGATCGATCCTGATCAGTAACTGTTTGAACCCTTCGTAATCTGGTTCAAGGCCCGGATGAAGTGTTTCCCAGAGAGCAAGCTGGGCGCTCCCGATCGCATAAGGGTCAAATGGGTCCTCAAGCTCTAGAGACTTTGCACGATCCATCACAGTCTTCGTTTGAGGATGCTCGAGAGCCTCTCCATGAAAATGTTTCTCTCCCAGCTCTCGCACGACATCTACTAGGTCACCACAGACCCCACTGTAGATCTCTTGGCGCCATTTGATGACAAATGAGGTGTACACGTCGAAAACCTTTTTATTTCCTTCGTCTTGTTCCCGCCGGATCCAATGCCTGTCGAAATACTGAAAGAATCTTCTGATGCGCTTCGCGGACGTTATGTAACGATGCCACTCTTCGAAGTATCGGCATAGCAGGTCTTCGCCACTATAGGGCTTAAATAACTCTTTCAAGTCACCGAGGTAGTCAGAGAGCCATCCAAGAAGACGGGCATATAAATATCCACCCAGATTGTGAGCGCCGGGAGGCGGTCCCGATCCAGACTCATCGCGTTTGGGAACTATCACATAGTTTAGCAATGTTTCGATACATCAATTTGCCGACAATGCGCGCCTTTTCCACTTGTTGTATAATTGGTCACCGCGCTGTGTCTCTGTCAATTCGCAGAAACTACAGGTCTCTGGTGCGTGATGGCTGAAGTGTGTATCTCACTTACGTATAAAGCCCGACAAATGACCTAGTGTCAACACCAGCGTCGGGGTCGCGCATGATGCGGTTCATGCTTGTTTCGAGGTAGTGCCATCTTCCGTTGTTTAGCACAGCCCCGGGCCTTGACGCAATAACAAGTTACTCAGGGTCCTGGTGTGTGGGGCTTACGTCTCGTCCAAGTCGGCGGGGTTTGGCAGTTGGGGCATCTGCAGGACTTCCCTGGTCTGTTGCGACATCGCGGCGTGATTCGAGCTCAAGGTATATAGGAAGGCAGCGGGATCTTCGACTCGACACAAGACAGAGTGCAGAATATCGTGTCTTCGACGTTCGGGCAGTGTTGTTCAGAATGAAGCAGATTCATGGTGCAGAAACGAGACTAGCTTAGCGTACCTATGGATGTAGGCAGCCATGCCAACACCGCCTCATTCCAGCACAGTCCATATTTAGCAGCACGGTGCCCTATTGGCCAGCTCCATATGCAGGCCTCAAAATCTTTGATCAATCCTATGGCGGCTGTCATTTGTAGGGCAACAAGGGGAGGGGGCATAAACTGTCCCCAACGTGTGCTAGGTAGACCGTGCATTAATGCCATCCTATAGCTATCAATGACATATTGCCTTGCGTGTGTACGTTATTTGGCGCATTGAGGTAAAACTACAGACCTTCCTAAAGCTCATCTTAAAACAAAACAGTTTCTCAGTACGTAGCTGTGAAAGTTGGCCAAATTTTTATTTTTATTTCTTATAAACGAGTGTGTAGAGTAGACTTGTAATGAAAAAAAAAATCGACAAGAAAAGGACCTTCCGTGATACCATGACGATCGTCACAGTCCCCTATGAATTGCTTCTGTCCAACTTTACTAGAAGGGGGCCCATTTAAGTGATTTAGCACCACTAAAGGCCGAACATCCTTGGTCCACACCAGGAATGATGTCGAAGCTCTGCTCGCCTGGGGCACTGGCGTCGCATGCCTCGGTGTTGAAGATGCGCGCTGCGTGTGAGGACTCCGAGTCAGCCTTGCACTGAACATATAGCAAGCCTCACGGAATGTTCTTACCTATGGCAGTAGCATTGCTAAACAAAACGCGAAGGTTGGTGGCTTGTGCCGGCTCGCTGATCGCAACACATTGGCTGGGAGCCTGTGTCACAGTAGTCTGCCCAGCCGGCGCGCCGCTGCACTGCGAGTTGGTGAACCATCCGATGGTAAGGATTCTGGGCTGAGCCTGGCGTGCCTCAATACCAGAGCCAGGCAAGGCATAAACACCTGCCAGGGCAACAAGAGTGACAAAGCTGGTAGTGAAGTGCATGCTGACTTATAAGTAACTGTGAGGACGAAACAGGCTAGAAGGCCGGGTGATTGTATGATAAGATGATATTGTTGAGTCGATCAACAACTGGAGTCGAGAGAAGAGGCCTCTCATTTTATGCTTTTCTCTCCAGAGAGACATCAGAGCACTCGAGAATTGCCAAGGGTGTCAAAAGGCAAGTACTGTCAGACGATCTAGTTTCTGAGGGGCTTTTCGCCTTTCCGTCAGCAGAATCTTCTTGGTTGGCATATATCAGCGACTTTTATTTTCAAAGAGGTCATGAGCACAACGCTAGGCACTGAATAGAAACAAGGATCAAATTCAGTAGCCCGATAGGTCCAGGGTTTTAGTAACCGTCTTCATACCAGCTAAAAGGATCGCTAAGTCATCTGGATATAACGAACACGACCCAGTTGTTTGCAGATGATGATGGATCTGTCTCGATCCCAGGGTTCGACCTCATGATACAAAAAGGTGTATGTTCGAAATGCACTGTCCACAGAATCCATAAGCCCTGTTGTACATCCGCTCTCCTCAAGTTGGACATTGGTACATAGTGTGGGCTGGGAAAGGGACATGAGCTCTTTCCATATTTCTGCCGCGGTACCAATGCTTAGTGAGACATGTATCGATATCCTTGCTTGCGTGAGGCGAAGTCTGAGGAGTGCCGCCACACAGGGATTTCGGTCCGGAAGCCCTTGTGCCACTCTCGGCCTGATAGGGAAGTTTTCTCAAGGATATACACAGTCAGCGCCAGGCATCGCCGTATAGTTGTAAGTGATGAAACCAATTTCATGCGTACAAGGGACTGCGGGTGCTCTGGTGGTGATGATTCTGTGATTTGCTACGACTCATGCCGCTCTCACCTCTAGCACATTATTTCCAGTCATGCCTGATAAGCACTAAGTTGACTCAGGAAGTCGCAATGTTTAACATTTAACTGCTTCAGGCAGCGTCACTGCCGCGTCCATTTTAGGATGAGGATATTTTGGGATGGTAATAGAAGTTGGTGGTGGGTATGTTGGTTTCTGTTCGCTTTGGCCTTCGCCAGCGATAGGCACTCCACCTTGCAGTCATTCAGCCTCGAGAAGTTGGATCCAACTGTTTACCACACTCCGATTACTAACTTCTTAAACTTGCGCGCAACCAAGTCAGGACATGCACTAATAGACATAGGTTGGCTAGGTCAGAACAGGCGACACTTCGGGATTCATGCCGAGAAGTCAAGTATGGTAACACAGCAGAAGGGCCGCATATGATCCAGGTCAGATGTGATGAGTGATCCACTTGGATCCTGGGAACCCAGGGTCGTGACCTACAAGCCTGTGCAACCACTAAGAGCCGCCTGTCGGTTCACTCTAAATTCTGACGAGAGCCGAGCCAGATGTGCATGAACATCACATAGGGCTGAGACTGAATGGCACTCCAGAGTTCGTACAGATGAACCATACTTAAAGGATCCATGGATGTGGGAAGCGAGCAAGTGGCGTTGCTATTCCAATCCAAATACCAGCAGCACATTCTACACCGGTTATTGTTGAGCATGAGGAGTTGTTGCAAGTTTCTCCGCGAGTAACTCTCATTTCGGATGAGATACTGACTAAGTGGCTGCTGATGCCCTCGCAAACAAGTTCCAAGTCTGCGATATGCCACGCACCCCGCATGTAGAAAGCAGCGCCGAGCCCCGGGCCGGCTTGGTGATGACGAAGACCGGAGGTCTGCCAGCGATCTTGGCATTGGTGATGCCGTTGCAGGGGGTCCTCGGTGATTTGGGTAAGTAGCTCAAAGTCAGCAACAATTAAATTCAATGAACAGCAGCGATGGTCAAAGAGGGAAAATGAAGGACCAGTACAAATGTGTACCGGGCAATAAGTGAGCTTGTACTGAGTGTATCTGCTTCGTCATATCAAATTAACCTCCTTCTTCACAAGCAGCTTTATATGTCTCCTGTGATCGATTGCTAGATGATAGGGCTGGCAAGTAACGCGGATGACATTTAATGTTGAATCCAAGGCCTGACTTTCAGTTCAGCAAAATCGCCTTGGCGGCCAGGGTTAGTACTGGCGTCTCTCCGAAGCACTTTGTGGTTGCTAGATTAGGCGGAATTTGTGGAACTCGGGCTTCCATGAGACTTGAGACGCGGCCGCGTGGCGTACATCGTTCGTTATCCTCTACAGTCTTCTTTCTACCGCTCCATCCACTCTGAAGGTTTAGCGACTGCCAAGCTGTTGGTCAATATACCTGTAGATAACTGGCGATTTATTTCCTGGGCTGATTGGTAATGAGTATCCAATTTAGGATGAGCAACACCTACGCGACCGCTGCTCAGCTCGAGAGGCTCATCTGGGTATCAGAACACTGAATCTTTTGTTCCTGGATAAGACACGCGTATATATTTGATCTACGATTATGACAACACTCTACAAATATCAGGTTGCAGAGCCGTGCAGTCAGATTTGCCCGTTGCTCACATTCAGCCATCTATTTGGGCGCAATCATGGGGTTGGCACAGCTGCACCCAATCACAATACAATGGGCTCCTTCGGTGGGGTAGCGCGAACGACAATATCCCAATCGAGCAAACATTGACGACTTGGCGGCTCCTTCACGAGCGCTTGGCGGCGTATCTAAGCTCCTTCGAGTTGCTGTGCCTCACCGATCATTGCGTCATTGCGGTACGGGTTTGTATCGTGAAAATTCCAAGGAATATACGTTCTCCGGGGGAAGTGTCCATAAATATGAAGACCGGCTAATCAGTGACAAAGAATAACGAGCAGTACTTCAGTAGCGAACCCTTGCAGCCGCAATCCCTAGCCATCATGAACAGCTTCGCCAACACAAGTGGCCTCTACAACCACTCCGAGCCCATTCTTCCAACTCCGTCACCAGGCACGTGCTCCCTTCTCACGGGGCTGGAGCGAGAGAACATCACGGCCAACATCTTTCAGCCGTGCTGTTCCAAAGCGTCACCTTCCGGCTTCGAGCACTCCAAGTGTACTTGTGATGGCAACAGTTGCGAAACGTGTATTGTGCAGCACGCCGAGGAGTTCAAGCTCATTTCTGCACAGTGCAACACCAACACCAGCGCTGCACGGGGGAGGACCAACCCCAGCATGTTTGCCATAGTATTTGTCGTCTTGTGTCTTGCCCTGCAGGCGTCTGGGTTTTCTATACCGACATAGGAGCGAGACGGAAGAACTGCGAACTACTAAGTACGTGATAAGCTCATTGGGGGCTTGGATGGCCTGAGACACTCGCTGGAGGGAGTTGAAGGTGACCAAGTTCCTGCAGGACCTGCAGGAAACGAACACACCAGGTACTACGCTGGAAGTAACTCCGCCCAAACTACATCTTTTTGAGCCTTTCTTTTTCCTTCAGACAAACGTTGGGGGAACGATTGTGATTTGGAAGAAGCTGGGCCTTTCTTGGTTGAGATATCCTGTTAGCGTCGGCTGGAAGGAGCTTGACCCCCAAAGACTGTTCTATGTGCTGGCGTGAGATTTGGTATTCCGTCTTAGAGAGAAGCTCAATCATGCAATGTTGCAGGTTTGACAGAGGCTCCTGCATCTGGTGGCAAGTACTTCGTAGGGGTCTCAGTTTTGCATTGACTCTCGAACATCCTAAAGTACAACGCGATAGTCAGGCTCATCGTTGGAACTCCCTTTCTAAGTGCGAGGTCAACTGACTGGCATGAAAGGTGGTCTATTAGTATACTTGATAGATGTCAAGAACGACAATTGCACGTGCATCTTCACTGTTGATGATAGTGACATGCACTTCACTGAAATCTTCTCCGACCGTCTTTGAGAATGGCACAAGGTCAATTAGGGTTGATCGCTCTGATCTATCTAAGGCTAGGAACCTATCAGCATGGAAAGTCCGCTATTTTGGTTAGCATGACAATTTGGATCTGTTAGATCTCTACCTCACTCATTCTGCGGTATATATGAGCCGCGTGCTTAGAGCATTCTGTGGTATAGAAACATAAGAATATCAACGTTCCGCAACAGTTGTAATGCATATCGCACACTTCAAAATTAAGTGTGCGCAACTTGTACCATCAATAATTCAATGCTGTGGCTAGCTTCCAAACTAATACGCTTTTCAAATGCTGGTACGAGTCTTGACTCTCCAACCCTTGAAAAGGTGTTAGTCTTTCACAGACGCTTGCTGGCTTGCCTGGACTTCCTGTCGCTTCCTCGCCTGTTCCTCGTCCCTGACTTGCTGTATTTGCATTCTGCGACCCTTCATCCACGACGTAAATTCACGGGCCTGATTCTTGGGCCGGTAGCCTGTAAGGTCATTGACAAACACCAGGGCTTTGCCAGTTATCTGACAAAACCACCGGGACTGCCACTCTCGGTCTAGTATTCTACGGATCTCGACCTGGAGCCACCGTCGGGGTACATGGTCCGGCCGCACCGCTCTTCCGGCCGCCCAAGCGCAAAAGGCGCTGGTTTTTGCCTCTCCCACATTTTCCATGGCACGCAGTTTCGGCAGATGGAATCTCAGGATCTCGTAGGTTAGCTCGGCTTTCTGGCTGGCCACTTCCCTGTCCAAGTTGGCAGGGTGCTCAATCCCATACCACGGCCTCATGAGGTACGAGGTTGCTAGCCAGTTTTGTGGAGCGATCGGTTGGTATCTGATCGAGCAGGCCTGGTATCCAGGGTTGATAGTGGTTGTAGTCGAGATATCAAGAGGTCGTATTGAGTTCTGATTGTTGTTAGCTAGATCCAGGGCCGTAGGGCTGTTGTGAAGAACAATCGGACTAACCCACACAGCCCAGAGACTTGGGTGAGCCACCAGATTCCCCCGCCATAGGTTTTGAGGGGGGGTTTCAACATCGTGGACAAGCGTCGCCTCAGCCCCATGGCTAGGGTTATTAGTAGTGCTTCTTGCGTCCTCCGTTGGGTGTATCGTGGGAGTATATGGTGTTGGTCCGTTTGGTACAGATATCTTGGTGCTTGGATTTAAGGGTGGTGCATTTGTGACTGAGACCGAATTCCGGGACTGCTCCTTAGGCTGACGAAGCAAGTCAGTTTGCAACTCTACCAACAGATCGGCATTGGCCGAGTGAGGTATTATGTCGTTGAAAGACATCTCGACGGAAGGCAACTGCTGTTGGTACGCCTCTCGGGATATTGCAATGGGGTCGTATTGTAGTAAGATATTGCAATTAATCAATCAAGAGGATGTGAAAGTAGCAGACGAGGTTGGTTGATATTGAATATCTGTCTTATGGACTCCTCACACTAAAGATCCCGGTTCTCATAATGGTATCGGAGAAAGATGGTGGGGCAGGCACAGGAACAATGGCTCTATCGGAAGTATAAAATCTTCTCATTTATCGAACATTGTCTACGAATGTAAACGGAAACGGGCCAAAGTTCCTCGATTGTCCATCCTGCTCTTCGATAAACTTCAACGGGAGTGGTGTGTTGGAAGAATCGATCCTGGGCGCATAGTATAATCAATAATATTGAGTTCTTAGACCTTTGCTTGCCGGTAGAAACGGTGTGGTGTTTGAAGTCTGGACCTCTTCTGCGCCAGAATTATGTAGTCATCTTACAACTGTGTTCACGTTGCGTCAGCAACTGAGGTCAGGGCCACAATGCTGCCAGGCACGGTATACCTTTCCAGCATTCAGGTCATGGCCAATCCAACTTCCATGGGCGGGCAACAAATTTGATCATCACCAGTGTGAGATTGAAAGTACCACAGCAGGATACAATCCACTAGATGCGATCTACTGATCCTTGGGGTATATTGTCCGTGATGAATTCGGAGCCGCGAATATATGGCATTAATACCCCTGGTTTCCAGCCTATCGACGAATGCCCATACGAAAAATATACCTGAATCAGAAATAAGAATCATATCACGGACGGGTGGCACTTCTGGGAAGAAAGTGGCCCGATTGTCTGAATTGCTAATTCGCCAAAGCGCTGGCTACAATGCCCAGCTAGACATTACTTGGATGCGCACATGTGATATGAATGTTCTTTTAGGGATGAGATCTTTTACAGCTTCGCATTGATAACAGCGACCATGTGGATTCCTGAGTAGTGTCATTTGAGGGCTGGCTCTCTCTCTTGGGGTACACGTGATCTCGTGTTTTGAGTGGCCAGAGCGCCCTGCGCACCGTTGGGGCCACTGGGTTCCAAGGTTGTTTTTTGGTGGTGCCCCGCGATGGGGGCGTTAGCACCTGTCCACCATGCCACCTGCAGGTTGATAGAGGCTGTGGTCAAGTCGGTAGATTTGACACGACAATTGCGTTACATGCGGTCGACGAGGACGAAGAAAGCTCACGTAGGACAGGGTAAAACGAGCTTCTAGTAGTCCCTAGGTGGTCGCCCCAATCCCCGTATGAGGGCACCCATGCGTCAACAGCGTGACCAGGAAGGGAAAGGAAAAGAGAAAAAAAAAAGGCCCCAGGACCCACAGGAAAATGGCGCTGCGGCACGCGAAGGCCAAGCAACTAGGGAGCCCCCTAGCACGTCGACATTGGGCCTAATTTGGAGGCGATAGGTGGAGGCGTCGCGACTCTGGGCTGGGGGACCGCGTACACCACAACGCAGGCTTATTGCCCCCAAAGTCATCGCTCCGGGGGCTCAGTAATCTGATCCGCAGGGGGGAGGGGGGTTTGCTCCCATGACTCTGTGCCCATCCTTTAGCCAGGCAGCCCAAGCCAGCAGCACCTGGGCACGCTGTAGCCTGTAAGCCTGTATGTGACCCCGTCACAATCTCGCATCCCGCTTGACACCGACACTGACACGGTCGATCCGTCGCGTTCCTTGGAAGTAGCAGGCAACTAACTAGCCGGATGACTATCATGTTCTCGTCCTGGTCCTGATCCTATCCCGACTCCGACTCAGACGCAGACGCAGACGCAGACTCGGACTCGGACTTGGCCTGGCACGTCTTTGCTCTTTCGCTCCCCATTCTGCGTGCATGCATGCGTGTGCTTGCTGAGCTGACGGCAATTGGGTTCTCGACTCGGCCAAGTTAAGTTCCCGCCCACCGACGCGTGTTGGCGTGTCTCGCACAAAGAGGGAAAAGCCGCATTTGGCAGCGCAAGCCGACGCCGCTGCAGTGTACTGTGCAGCGAACATCTTCCGTATCAGCTGGTGCAAGCTGCAACGGCTTTCGGCCAAGGACTCGCGAGACAGTACCGCCATCGCATCGCAGACGGGGCTCTTGGGACCATTACACGGCAACGACCGCTTGGACTGGCGACCGGCGAGACGTGCGCGCGCTATTGCTACCATTGCACTGCGGAGGGCACAACGCTTGGTCGACGACACGACGACCTCCCGCTTGCCCAAGCTGCCTCCTCCGATCCTCTAGTCCTCGCTTCCCAGTAGCACTGTCGCTATGTTGCCCGTCAACGACAATGGCTACGAGACGGCGGTAGCGAGGCCGAACGGCGCGCGCGAGCCCGGAAGTCTTGCGCAGAATAAGAAGGCCCCCGGCAGCCACACCCAGCAGCTCAACTACTCCAGCAATGACGATTCGCAGGACACGACGGCAACACACGACAGTGATCGCGTCTTCACACCCCCGGACAGCGACAGCGGTGCCAGCAGCGTCGCCGCGCCGGGCAACGGCAACGCGTCCAGCCAGGAGTCCCAGCTCCTCCAGCTATCACAGCTAGCTGCCGCACAGGAGAAGATGGCCGACGCTGGCCAGTCGAGGAAGCGGATGGCAGATGGTGCGGTGAAACATACTAGAGACAGCTCCAGTACGTCGCCAGTCCGGATGCAGGGCCACTCCAGGAATACTAGCACCGTGAGCGTTGCTTCCACCGCGGGAAGCCGTATCGGAGAGGTATGTTTACTTGTAACCGCCTGTCGCGATTGTAGTTGATCTAGACGATGACTAATGCACACACTCATAGCTCTCCGCAGAGCTCAAGACCAAGCTGTCGTACGCCATGATGAAGGTAAACAACGGCTGGCAAAGTCACTCTATCGACGAGGTTGAGTCGTTGGCATCGCACGTTGCTTCCCCTACCTCGAGCACGTCCACGGTGCATGGTCGACATGGAACTTCTGCAAGTCCGCGGGTGGTGCTCACGGGTATGCGTCAGGGGGCATCAAGTGCTGGCATAAGCCCTATAAGCCAGCAGGCGCCGCAGGGACGGACGTACGAGTCCTTCTGGAGGGAGAACAACAGCAGCAACAAGCCTCAGCACCATTCCGCTTCACCACCCACCTCCCAAGTCCCTATGCTGGCCCCACCAGCTGCAATCCAACCTGGCAGACCCGGACAAATTAACCCACGCCGCAATTCCAATGCTAGGTATACTCCTACTTACCTCTCGCAACAAGCTTCACCACATACGCCAGCTCAGCCAAGTCCTCTTCAGAGTACACCGGGGACCACAAGTATCAGGACGCCACAGGTCGATCCTATCCTGTATTCTCCACACCAGAACGTCAGGGAACAGGAGGCACTAGAAACCCTCATCTTCATGAGCAGCCCTGGAAACTCGGCTAACTTGAAACATACGTTCCCATCATCGCAGCCCAGCAGCCTGCCGTCGAGTTCTCAACCTCAACGGACGGCTCTGCCGACCTCTAGATTGGGGCCGGGGCCTCATGGCAGCCAGAATCGGAAACAGCTTCCGACCGGACGGCACCAAGCTCACGCCTCTACTGGCAAGCGCGTGGGGTTCGAAAAATCGCCCAGCAATGCCAGTTACATGGATGTAGACGGCTCCCCGCGTGGCACGCCACGCAGAAAGACCATCGGCGGTTCGAGGCCTTCCATCGCCGTGTCGGCTGGACTGGGAGGGTCTTCCCAGCCGAGGCCGCAACTGCAGGACGACGACATCGAGCGCATGCTAGATCGGGTAGCTGCAGACGACAGCTCGGATTCCGAGGGCGAGATATCTCTCCCACGAGATCGACGGAGGGAAGGTGCCGGAGTTGGAGTTTGAGGGGCAAAGCTACCAGCTCAGCCCTTTCCATTGCTTTGGCCGAACAACATCCTGTTCAGATGCATGCGACTGAGAGATGTCGCGTATATACTATTTGCGCCCCCGAAATACGAGGGCGTAGCAACAACTTGGGATTTACGATTACGACGCATCAAGATTCTTATATCCAGGAGTTTGGGACCACAGAAGTTGCGATCTAGGAGTTGGAATTGCATATTTGGAAGGCATCTGACGACCATTCATGATAGGGCCCGCACAGAAGGGGCAGATACTGGGGAATGTACTTCACATTGGCCCCTCATCTATATATATATTTACACATATTTACCTAGGTATATAAGGATCAAAAGCCGCAGCAGAGAGATAGCGTGAGAGATCCCTTGCTTGGAATGGATTGCTTTCCCGTCGGCCCGTCCCATCTGCATGCAACGCAACGTAAACCCCACAGAGAGCGTCCCCGGTGACGTACACTGCACAGTATAGCTTGTTCCCATGTCTAAGGGTCCGAACTAGCAGTTGTCGTTTCAGCTCGGGCTGTCCATACTCTTGATGTTGGTCACGTTTCGTTGACCACGGTCAGGGTCCCCGGGCAACTGGGGGGCAGGGGCTGTGATAAACGACTGACACTAGCGCCCATTGTCACACGGGGATCATGCTTGTTCGCCGTCGCCTTTGTTTGCTTTTCCCTTCACGAGTCACAACAGTCAACATCCGGTACCTACACAACTGGATCGCGGCAACGGCTTAACCCCACTCGTTCATGAAACGAGAATCTGTCCAGGTGGCTGGTCTCTTCGGGGTCTTCTTTTACCATCCGTAGCCGAGCCCGACTTATCTCCCTACCACGTCGGCGGTGAGCGAAGGCCAACGGGAGCGCCGGGCCTTGCGGGCTTGCAGGCTTGCAGAGTCGCTCGCCATAGCCCCGCCACAGCCACACCTCCGGGTCCAGTCGTTGGGCAACACTGCGGTTTCAGCGTATTGCCAACGCCTAGGAGAAGACGCGCATCTGCAAGCCCAACTGAATCCGGTCACCTGGGGCTTGTTCCCATTGGCGCCGTGCGTCGTGGTCCCAAATCCACCGCCTGCGAGGTCGGGTCTCCCTTAACCCGGTGCGACACTCCCACAAACGGCGGCGGCCTGTCTGCCGCTACTAAGCTTCGCCTCTCTCCACAAGCCTGCGTAAGTCCTGGGGCAAAGCTGCTTAGCATACATGTACGCGTATCCCGCGTGCTGCGGGTGATTACTAGGTCGAGGTGAGTAGGGCTTAGTATTAATATTAAAAGGTCGCCTGCTATCCTTTCGCTCCTTCTTGGTACGGCTCCCGTGATCTTGCCTTTCCGTATCCACACCAGCCAGTCACTTGACATTGCGACCTGGTGACTGTCACAACCTACAAAGACGAACAAATCCTATTTCTCATGAGGAGTGAGCGTCAAATCTGACCTGCAATCCTCCCATCTTTCTTTTCTGCTCCCTAGAGCAGCGTAACAGCCACCTTATCGAGCAGACAACATGTCAGCAGCAGACTACTACGGCACTTCCGGCAGCGGCGGCCACGGCGGCCACTCGCCTTACCCCCAGCAACAGCAGTACGCTCAAGGCCGACCGCCGCAACAACCACAATACGCACCCTCGCCGTCGCCTTACCCGAGCCAGCCCACGTACAGCCCAGCACCCCAGGCCTCGGGTCACCTCGCCCCTTACCCCCAGCAGCCCCAGTACGCCCGCCCGGGGTCGGCCCACTCAGACTACCCGCCCGCCTACGACGGCTCGCGACCCAGCAGCGCCCAAGGCTCGCCGTACCCGCGGCCCCACTCGGCCGACCCCTACGCGCAGCAGCAGCAACAGCACCAGCAGTACCGAGACCCCAACGATCCCAACGCGCAGCAGCAGGACGGCGAGAGGGGCCTGGGTTCGACGCTGATCGGCGGCGGTGCGGGCGCGCTCCTGGGACGCAAGCTCGGCGGCAAGGGAAAGCTGAACTCGTTCCTCGGGGGAGCGGCCGGGGCGGTTGCGGCGAACGTCATCTCGAGCAAGCTCTCCGGGAAGCACTCGCACGGCCATGGCCATCATGATCCGTACGGACACCATGGAGGATCGTCGCACCACTCGGGCGGCCTGCTGGGGAGTGTCAGCTCCTTCATGAGCGGGTCCAGTGGCCACTCGCATGGCCACCATGGAGGCCACCATGGAGGACACCACGGAGGACACCACGGCCACCATGGCCACCATGGGCACGACCATGGGTATGGACATCACGGACACCACGGGGGTCACCACGGTGGACATCACGGAGGCCACCACGGAGGCTGGTGATTTCTAAATTATGCATGACGAAATGATGGGTATTTGGTTCTTGGGCGTAACGGGTAATAATGGTTCTGGCAGGCAGTTCTTGCCACGCAGGCTCCTTCTGATTTATGGAGCATAGATACCACGTAGTCCTAGTTGGCTATCTCGCTGCTGAATATAGTACAGTACGCAACAGTTATATCAACCCCCCTGTGACACAGTCTGCCATAGCCGGTATACCTAACCCCTCCACAAGCTTCGTGGTTCGGGTACGGTTGGACATAGTCTCAACTAAGCGATGGTCACGACTTTCGCCTTTCGCAACTACCCATGCAATTGCGACAAAAGAATCGACCAAGACGTGCTTTGAATACCTTTTCCAACGTGCAAATGTAGCACATTTAATTCATGGTTCTGTCGTGCCCCACCACAGCATCATGACGTCCACCAATGTCCCGAGAGTCTTCCATCAACCAAAACACCACCCAACTACGTAACCCACAATGCGTGCCGCATCTACATCACTAGCCCAAGACATTTGATACCCAAAAAAGGAAAAGAAAATAACTCTACAGGCCGTAGAGAGCGCCAAAAAGCCGACGCCTGTGTGATTCGAACACACGCTCCCGAAGGAAATGCCTAAGCTTCGCGGAAGCGAGATAGCAGGGCATCACGTTAACCACTCCGTCAAAGCGCCCTGAGAGGCTAACCAAGCTTATGATTGGTTGTTGAAAGACGCACCTTTATTATCTCTTACAAAGCTACCAACTAAGTGGGTCTCTGTGCACCTGGAACATGCCCCGGAGATTTGCCGATAGGTGTAGGTATGTAGGTACTCAAGTACTGTATGTACACTACTAAACGTTCCATGCGGCATACGTCAAAGGACACCTGCTGAACGAAGTCAGTGAATCAAGCTGATTCATTTTGGCTCGACCGATACAGCTTTTGTCCAGCTGTACGAGGTGTGCTTCATACCAGCTGTCCCCGTCGGCTGTGTCTCCCAGGCAGGGGCCGGCCTTTCTTAAAGACGAACATTGAAAATGTTCTCCTGCGGCGATGGGCTACCTTCGCAGTCTATATATTTGGATCGTCACACGACTTCTAGATACACTGTAGAGTGATCTGTGAATTAGTGTGGTACCCGAAGAAATCACACCATAGTGGTTGGCTACTAGGATAGGTCTTTGATAGACTATGCTGGTCCCTATGCTAACGCTTGCCGTCTCTCTGTATACGGAACCCCTTCTATAGAGACATTGTGATATCTGTATTTCTCTACCCTGATTGCACTTTCCACTCCTTGCCCGAGCCATCGCATGCTGCATCGAAACCCTTAAGTGTGCAAGGTCATGGTTGCTGCTGTAACATGAATGCTTCCGACAAAACTCTTATAAAACATGATGGCGCTGACAATTGTGTACTTAAGTAAGTTGGTCTGAAAGAGGTTTCATTTAAAACAATTTAAAAAATACTTAAAAAAGAATAAAAGTGGGCATTACTACCATCATAACGTTTAAGTTATAAATATAAGTATTAAATAAAATGAAGTTATTAAGTATAAGGAGCGTTAGACGAACAGAGACGGAAAGGGCAAGTGACGGAAAGAGCGAGTGGTGGAAAGGAGCGGTAAGTGGAAAGAGCGTTAAGAAATACTTTTTTTAAGATGTCATGATTATCAGCACGACTGTCCGATGCAAAGATCACCTCGGTATCGTCCCCATACAGTCAGGATAGAAAGTTGACTTGGAGCGTAGCTTCGCACTCCTCTCCTTGGGAAGCAGCCTAACGTAATATTGGTTGGGGACGATAACGAGGAACATGCCAATCTGGTGAAACCTAAATCAAATGGCGGAGCACGACGCTCGAATAGAGAGAATACTTGCCAACATCCACTTAAAGGGCCACCCCGGCAACCCGTGCATGGGGCATCCCGCTGCATCTATACTAAGTATCAGTAACTTTGTGGTCACTGTGGTCCCTTTTAATGATAGAAAAAGCATACTCAAGTAATGCGTGCTGCAGGTGCTTATCTTAAATAGAGAATGCGAATCCTAGCTCACGACGCGGTTGTTAATGCAAGTCTTGCTGACAACATCGCCACCAACTTCGCTCTTATGAATGGGATTACCAGTATGAATCTCTAATCTGAAAGTCAAAGAGAGCTGCAGATCGAGATAGTACTCCCTTTTGTGACACTAGGATGTACATTGTGATATTAAATTCCGCTAATTATTGACAAGCTCTCGTATCTCTAGTTGAGCTGAATCTCATTGATGGGTTAGCTATGAAACCAACTTAGGTTTCCTCGTTCAATGGCAGAATTTGAGTGTTCTCGGACGTCGCTCAATCAACGGTATAAATAAATTTATATAATAAAATCCACTCGTGTACATATAACGTATGATAAGATATCTGTATGTACGGTCTCTACAGTATGAAATCAGAACTTATGGATGAGGCATTCAGCCATGTTGCCACACCCAACTTGTCTTGCCAACGATGGAATGTTTCTCGAGTTCGTTCATCTCCTCTTCTGAAAGAAGCCAGTCCTCGCTTGCGGCTCGTGCGTTCTCGTCTGCCTGAGTGGCGTTCTTCACACCCCCAAGAGGGATGGCTCCTTTCTGGATGACCCATTTCAAGGCAACAGCACTTGGTTTGACGCCGTGCGTCGCAGCGACCTTGTGTAGAACATCCAGCAGCGGGCTGAGCTGCTCCATTGGGTAGTTGCTGAACCTTCGGGCCGATGGAGGTGGATTCTCGGCCGTGTATTTGCCTGTAAGGCGACCCATCCCTCTGAAGTCACAGGTTAGTACATCAATCTCAGCCACCGAAAATGGGGCCCACATGGATAAGATGACATATGGGAAAAGTACTCACAGGGGGCTGTATGCCATCATCACAATGCCTCTACTCTTGCACTCCTCCAGCAAGCCACCCTTCTCCGGCAAGGTGCGAAGGAGAGAAAATTCAACCTGGTTGCTGGCGAGGCGCAATCCCCGTTTCTTGAGCGCCTCATCCATCTGGATCATTTCATCTCGACTGTAGTTGCTCACGCCCACAGCGCGCGTCAGCCCAAGTTCTACGCACTTGGCCAGTCCACCAGCAATAGAGTCAATCGAATTCAGGAAATGGACTGGCCCGTGGATCTGATATAGGTCCATCTGCGTGAGCCCTAGCCTCTCCAGGCTCTGCTGGCAGCTCTTGACCACGCCGCTAGGCATGAACAGCTTCCATGGCGGGAAGGGTATGGGCAAGTACTTGCTTGCGATGATGAGCTTGGTCTTGTAGTCCTCTGGGCTGGAGCCTCGGAGTGACCCGATGATGCGTTCCGACTCGCCCCTGCCGTAGACTTCGGCCGTGTCAACAAAGGTTAGGCCATGATTCTGCATGCTGGCCCAAGCTCCATCAAGCTGCTCGCGTGCTGATGAGGACGCGTTGTTCCATGTCGTACTATCTCCCCAAGCCCAAGTCCCAATGCATATGTTTGGAAGGACAATCGTGTCTGCAGATGCTTTGGCGCACTTGAGCGCGAACCGAGTTGCCATTTTTTGCCACAAATTTCTCGATCTTGGCTCCGATGAATTAGGCAGTGGTTTTGGGTTTGGGATCGCGATCAGACGCGTTGTGATTCTAAATTCGTGGAGAGATGCCAATCTCGGAGATTGTATGATGTTGCGTGCTCAATTGAATTTGCAAAGCCTGGCCTGGTCTTCTGGGTGATGCCGAGGTGATCCGCAAGTCACCCCCGAAAACCCGATATACGAGATACATGCATTACGCACTGACACAACGGAGCGCGGGTTCTGCCAGGGCCAGCCTTCAGGTGCTTAAGCTTAGATGAGCTAGAGACTAGTCGCAAATTCATTGGTTTGGGGGGGGGGGGGGGTTCGCTCTGCTCCCTACCTAACTTACTTAGATGCATAGATAGCAACTCTGTAACTTAAGCTGCCAAGGCACGACTTTCCTGAACAATTAGGGAAACAAGTACATTGATTGCCAATTCTCATGATGAAGGTAGTGTTACGAAACGGTTCAAATTGAGTTTTAGTTTTGTAATATAGAATGTCGTCTTACACAGTTGGGGTTGCCGAGTGTTTTTGACTCTAGGCTTTGGCGCGCGGCACAGTACCTTCCCTATTCGTGTGTATACCTTCCTGCTACTGGATGAATCGAGCGTGGCGAGCAAGGATCAGGCTGACTGTCTTTGCCAAGTAGTATTTTCCAGATCCGAACTACATTCGCCAGCGCTACTGTATATCGCAAAAGAAGGATTGATACGAATGAGCTGGCTTTGACAGCGCTGGTTGTATGCGATCTACGGTCAGGAACACAAAGTATTGTACCGATGAAGTAAGAGACCATCGCCTCCAAAGAATGTGAAGTAAAGAGGTAGAATAGCATTCTGCTCTATAATCTTCAAGTTTCTTTCTTTGCTTAGTTCCACACCATGTGGAACTTGAAAGCCTGAAAGGGATCCTTCTGGAGCTACAACACATCGTGGCGGGGAATATACAAAGAGATTCCTTTTGATGCGAATACAATTGCACGGGAACAAAGCATGAGACGACCGACTCATACCTACAAATATCGGCCCCCCTTTCGCTTGTGCTGGTGTCAGAATATCACGAGCAATTACATAAAAATTAGATACCTACCAAAGCACCAGAACAGCAAGTCCAGACCCAACACACGATGCCTGCCAAGATTACTAGCACTAGCGCTCCAGAGACCCCGGCGGTCGCCGCCCACAACGGAGTGGGCCGGAAGAGAGGCGGCCATGTTACCATTGGCGGCAACGCTGGACCCCGCTGCCACAGGTGCTCAGAGCTAGGCCACTTTGTCAAGGACTGCAAGATAGAAAAGCCCCCCAGACAGTGCTACATCTGTAAGGCAACGGACGGCCATCTGGCGAAAACGTGCCCTCAGCACGATAAGTATTTCCAGTACTGCTTTGTGTGCGAGAGCGACGAGCATCTTGCTCGGGACTGCAAGGTCCGATGCAAGCGATGCCGCCGGGTTGGGAAGCACATCAGCGAGAACTGCGACACCAAGTGTAGAACATGCGGGGTGGTTGGACACGTCGCCGCTCGCTGCAGAGCTAATGAGTTCGTCTATGATTCCAACGGTGACAAGCTGCCGAGGAGTGTTCTTGGGATGTAGGCATCGAACCAGAGTAGCCGCCAGATAGAAGCGGCGCGTCAGCCACCGGGTTTGGCTGACATGGAGCTGCTTGGGCAAGCGGCCGTGTCTGGTGCCTAGGTAGTTGGAATGTGACGTGTGGAATTTGGTCCCAGCCTTCAGTGTCTCCCCTTTCAGTGAGCGATTAAGTATGTCAGAGGATCGTGACCCGAGCTGATCCTCGACTGTGCGGAAGTTTACGGTACTGACATTGTCTCATCAGACCACTCGTGTAGAATTCTCGTCTGACATATATCTTGGTCTGCTTGGCTGACGCCTGGGCGGGCAACCTGGGAAGTCTGGACGTTGGGGGTCACTGGGGTGAAGAAGCACCGAGATTAAACCGGTCCCCCGCATGTTCAAGGTTCCAGCAAACAAATCCTGCCTCACCGCCGTGGGGAAGCAGCCGAAAAGTCGGGCCATCTCCGCAGCACCAACGGTGCAACGAAGCATTCTCCCCACGAAGCTTGGTGAAGCTTGGGCACTTTGGGGTAACGCGCCTCATCTCTGGGCCCTTGGCAGCGGGGAGCCACCTTCGTCAGCTCCCAAGGGCCCCTTATTCTCCCCCTCACGCTATGGGGGTCTTGGGGGTGCTTGAATTACGACGAGGCCCTTCTCACTGGCTGCAGCCAGCCTCTAAAAATGCTAACAGCTTGGCACCATGGATTGCACCCCTTCCGAGAGGTGGGGACCCCGGCTGGGGCTCTCGTGACGGTGTCCTGGCGCGTCCTGGCAACTTCTGGGCCAGCCGGCTGGGCGAGCTGGGCGGCGCTGGGCGCCACGTTGGTGGCTGCGGGAAGCGTTGGTTCGAGGCCATGGCCCCCAACGTCGGGTCCTCTGCGACGAGAATGCGGAAAAGCACGACGGAAATGGGTCTGATCGCCTCTATTTCGCGCCGGAGTTTGGTGCATGGAGCAAGGAGCCCGCTTGTAATCCGCAATTTGTAGCGACTCGTAGACGAGTACTTAAGTCTTTGGCATCCCACACGACCCGGAATGGGGTTCTCTGCCTCTTAGAACCAGTCCCTCGAGTCACTTCTGCGTCGTGCCGGTGTCTATACCCCAGATTCAGACTCCAAATCTAGCCGCGCGACCTCATTTCTGCCCACCATGGCTGGCGGCGTTAAGAAGCCCGTCAACATCTTCAAGTTGAAAGACTTGGACGAGCCCAAGGGCGTCTTCAACTGGCGACTGTGGTTTGCCGTCATTTCATTCGCCCTGCTCGGCGCAGCCCGAGGTGTCGATGAGGGTTTGATCTCGGGTGCATTCAACTCCAAAGATTTCCAGAACACTATACACTACAGCCAGTACACCGACTCAGAGAAGACCAACATCAAGGCCAACGTCTCCGCAATGGTGCAGATTGGTTCCGTCGGCGGCGCACTATTGTATGCTCAACGCCCTGTCGTGCCCGTTTGATTCGAGTCTGGCATGCTGACACATTCTGTAGTGCTTTCCTGATCTGTGACAAGATCGGCCGTATTTGGGCAACCCGTGAGCTGTGCCTGGTCTGGATTGTCGGCATTGCAATATTCATGGCAAACAACGGTAGCCTCGGCGCCGTCTATGCTGGACGCTTCATTGCTGGACTTGGAGTTGGCCAGACTCCTGTCGTCGGCCCGATTTACATTGCGGAAATCGCTCCGGCATCCGTTAGAGGTCTTTGTACTTGTATCTTCACAGGATTCGTCTACCTCGGTATTGTGCTTGCGTATTTCGCCAACTACGGCGCCCAGCTTAACCTGGGTGACTCAACTCACGTTCGATGGGTAAGCTTCCATGCTGAAGAGACACCTGCGCCTCGATACTAATGTGCATCACAGCTTGCCCCTACCAGCATCCACATTATCTTTGCGGGACTTATTTTCATCTTGACGTGGTTCCAGTATGAGTCCCCAAGATACCTGATCAAGACTGGCAAGCCAGAGCAAGCCCTTGAGGTCATGGCCCGCCTCCGTCACCTGTCACCAGATGACCCCTATGTGGTCAGAGAGATCACCAACATCCAGATCTCACACGAAGAAGAGCTCGAGGCAACCAAGGGCACTGGATTCTTTGGTATCGTCAAGGAGATGGTCCTCATCCCAAGCAACTTGTACAGACTATACCTAAGCTCTATGGTCCAGTTTCTTTCGCAGTGGTCCGGAGCCGGCAGTATCACATTGTACGCCCCTGACCTGTTCAAGATCCTCGGAATCACTGGTCAGAATGAGTCGCTTCTAGTAACGGCCGTATTTGGCATCGTCAAGCTCGTTGCTGCCATTATCTGTGCTCTGTTCCTAGTCGATGTTATCGGCAGGAAGCGGGCCCTGTTGATCGGCATCACCCTCCAGGCAATCGCAATGGTTTACGTGGCTGGGTTCCTTACTGCGGTTCCAGAATTGGGCGTAGACGAGCACTATGTGCTCCCTTCGAACGAGTATGGACCCAGTCGCGGTGCCATTGCCATGATCTATGTGTCCGGTTTTGGCTGGGCCCTCGGCTGGAACTCCATGCAATACCTGCTCACAGCAGAGTTGTTCCCTCTGAGAATCCGTGCTGTGGCCACATCATGGGTTATGATGTTGCACTTTGTCAACCAATACGGTAACTCCCGTGCGGTGCCCAATATGTTGGTTCCTAGGCCGGTTGGATTCAGCCCTAATGGTACCTTCTGGTTCTTCGCAGTAGTAACCATCATTGGCGGAGTCTGGGTTTGGTTCTCCGTGCCCGAGACATCTGGACGGTCGTTGGAGAGCATGGACAGGTTGTTTGAGTTGCCTTGGTACAAGATTGGTCTTCATGGTAACGATGATGCCGATGCACGTGACATCGCGCACAATGAGAAGGAAGACATCGCAACTGGCGCTGATCAGGTAGAGAACGTTAGCGCCAAACGCGAGGTCTGAAAGTCCGGTACTTGAGACAGACATAGTTACAGAGAAAGTGAGACTCAACTCGTGTTAGAGCAATGCAGATATATCTGAAAACAGGCAGCTGAGCTTTGAACAAAGACTATCAACGATAAGACTACTGTGTGTTGTGTGCTAGCACCTCTTTAGGCATGCGATGGGAACGCTCGGTGCGCAACTGCGTCTTGTAATTTCCACAGCCATATACGAAACATACCTCTCGTATGAGGCAGGATGATAGGTATCCCACCCAACTCTGATGATCATTTGGTCATGAATTACCTTGATACTTGAATAGGTGTAAGCATCCTTACGAGTTTGTGGGCGAATGTATTCTTCTGACTTGTGTGGCTTGATTGGGCAGCGAGGCTCCTGCTTGTCAATAGACATAAATGCACCGAACTCAGTCAGCCTCTCTTTATCTGCCACAAGCCTCATTGTACAGTCGTCAATGTAATATAAAGCCATTTTATCGGAGAGATTACTTAACGTGGAGAGCTATTTTATGAACACAGCCTATAACAGCTACTTGCAGCGATGAGTAGTTAACTTCAATCCCGAGCTAAGGCTCGAACCCTACTTCCTGGGTTGGTCATTTAAGCTTCCTACGAGTGACGGTACACCAACGTCGTTCAGCGATTTACAAGGCAACGCACACAACTTGAACTTAAAACAGCCGCATCTCCAGACTGAGTTTGATGTGAATGAGCTGGAAAATTGATACCTGAGGTAATATCGGAGATGCATTCAGCGGAAATCTTACTTAACCGGCCTCGTATTTCTCACACACATAGAACCTATATGCAACAGAAGCAACGCAAATCAAGATCAGAACCTCAAGTAAATATTGTGCTCTGAGACACACGGTCCAAGAACTGGCTGCGAGGCAACATGTCTTACAACTATCTATCGCGCAAGATTTTCCAGGGCAGCCTGGTCCTCAAAACCCAGGGAATATGCCATTTTTCTCGCCGCAGATCGCCAATAACCTTTGGAGAGCAAGTGGATCAATGGACGAGAGAAGGTAGCAAAGATGCTGCTATCGACAATATCGAAGACTCAGTAGAACAGATATTATCAAACATTCCAAAACACTTCGAGGAATACGAGGTAACCCTTCGCGGTCTGCTTTTCGATCATCTCATCGCTGCGGAAATGGTCATTGATGACCTCGGCCGCGCGGGCAATGGCATGATGAATGCTCTTTCAACCATACTCATGACAGCAAAGGACGGCTTGGAGGCAGACGAGCCAGGCAACCGCCCATGGCCCACCCACCTGACCGATATCAAGCCGATCATGTTGGCTGTAGTCAATGTGCTTATCACCAGGACCATCGAGGCGCGCGATTGGATGTGGGCAAATACGCAAAACTCGGTATGCTTCTCGAGGATGCAGAAGTGCCTCGAGGATGCCTTCATCATGGACACCTGGGCGTCGACCCACGCAGCACCGCTGGTGGCCCAGGTGACGACAGCATTCGAAGAGCTCTACATCGAGCTGTCGGACTCACTTTGGAACGAAGAACTCGACAGCCGCGCGTTGGCCAACTTTGCCGACTGCATCTGCGGTGGCTCTCTCCAGAGACACACGGACGTCTTAAAGAGCGGCGAGGAAGCCTCGAGAACGGCTGCTTTCAAGGTAAGGCGCAAGCAGCTTGGCGGCCGGAAGATATGGCCGCAGCCTGAGTTGTTACAAGCTGATCGACGTAGAGGGAGGGTGCGGCTGGCCGGGTCGCCACTTGCGAAACACGTCGAGTTGTGTGAATATGAGGACGTCGATGAATCAAAGTCTCAAGAGGATATTCCAAGGATACAGGAGAAGGAAGCTAGCCGTACTTTAGTCGCCAGGAGATTCAGCGGGGACACCATCGCGTATCAGTCCCAGCGTCAGAGATGGTTGATGGCCAATTAAACAAGGCGAGATACTCTGCCAAGGCCTGAATTTCTGTTCCTGGGCAGATGTTTAATGTGAGTGTACTGTATCTGGGTTCCAAGAAACTTCAAGAACATACGTAGTTTGGGAATGGGTGGAATTCAGTGTGGCGCATGGGACTACGTTGGGAGAAGGCAAATGATACCCCGAATGCATGATTCATAGTCAACATGGAACGCAATGCATAGGTGAACGAGCTCAATTCTCATTTGTGAATCTGTGAATCTGGGCCAAGAAGGCCGTTTGGACGAGAGTCCCATCTATCACCAGAGGCAAAGAAGATGAGAGACCCGCCAATCTCCTTGTTCACAGCCCAGTCTTCGTGATCATCTAACTTGCATAGCTATTGCGTTTAGCCACTACTGTCAAGCAGTTACATTCCCCAGCAGTTCAAAGGCTCGCCGATGGTGTTGAAGCAGCTAATCGCACCGCTGTCGCTGGCGTAGATAACCTGGTCTGTAATGGAGTGTGTCAGTTAACTGCAAGTTTTCGCGCGGGAAAGATTCATACTCAGATCGACCTCTGTCTCCCACTTGCTCGTGTGATCGATGTTCCAGCATTGGCAATGGTACTTGAAGCCATCAACGAGGTGGCAGCGCTCACAGTTCTTGTCAAAGCCGCCTCCATCCCACGGGTTAAGACTGCCATCATTGTTGCCGATGCATCTGTTCACATGTGAGTACGGCGACCCACTGCGAATTCTCGTGGAGAACTTACGCCGGGAGTTCGAGGGTGGTACAATACAAGCTGCCAGCCTTGCAGTAGCCCTGGATGCTGGTGCCGGCAAGCTCGACGCCCGAGCAACCCTTGCTGAACGGGATACCACCAACGCCCTCATGATCCCAGCAGCCCAGCCGGCCGTTTGCGTTGACGAAGACGGTGTCATCTGGAGAAGTCAGTACTGGAAAACTTGGATTAGCCAAATGACGTACCAAGGTTGACGGTGGTGTACCAGAAAGTAGCACTGTCAGCTCCGCAGGCGCACTTGAGCTTCTGGTTGTCCTCCTGGAGTTCACAGCTGTGGCAGGACGAGAATCCGCCTCCATTCGACTGGGGAATGAGAGCGGCGTCCTTGTTGATGTAGCATCTGGTTGGAGCGGCTTAGGTAATGTGACGATTTCACGGCTGGGTGTGCAGACTGCACCCCTCCAAATACTGTTATAACTTACGCGTTGAGATCGAGGGCCGTGAGAACATTGCCGTCGTTGCAGGTGGCGCCGAGATGGACGGTACCGGGGGCCCAGACGACATGAATGTCGGTGCAGCCCGCCTGGGTCAAAGCCTTGTGGCCATCGCACGAGACGACAGCAACCTCGCCGGTCACATCGACGGGACCAGCGAAGGCCATGCCAATGATGGCGATGGCGAAGACGATCAGTCTGGCGATGATAGACATCGTCGAAGTTGGTGATGGCGGGATGGACCCGATTTCTTGATGAAGGCAGAGTCACCAGTGAGGTTATGGTTATGGTGAAAAGTCCTTTACGGTTTTGTGGTGGAAAGTCCAGAGCATTTCGATCGAGGCCACAACAATGCAAATTCTAACAGAGGTGGTTGACTTCAAGGCAGAACAATCGTCGCGCCGACAACCTCGATGGGCATCACACCAGGCAGCTCCTCGATACAAGTCCTGGAGGTTGAGGTGAATTTTGTCATCAATTCACCACTAGATCAAAACAGACCCAATGCATACGATATTTTGAGCGCAATGCTTGAACATGTAATAATCCAGACCACTTCCACCCCCCCACGATCTCGCCAGCCCTTGTGTTGCACCAAATTCAAATCTTCACGGCCTCCGCGCTGCCAGGGGCTGTGTTTCCTGCTAAACCCAGCGCAGCCTGTGATATAGCACGATTGCCGTCATGGGGTATCTTGAAATCGGATAGATTGCGTGACTGGCGTGTTCTGATGCCAATAACCTGGTCCTGCCTTGTTGTGGCCGCCAACATCGAACATGTTCCTTACCAGATGGCGTTTGTTTCAAGGTCCCGCTTTGCCGCTGCCTGTTCACGGCTTGGGTCATGGGGTATGAAGGCCTCGCGATCTCGGTCACGGCCGCGGTCCTATGTGTGTGAAAGTCGACCTGAACTTGGCACGAGTTTCGGATCCTTCTTGGCCAACCAAGAATAGTACGTCCTGAGAGGGGAGAGGCCAATTCTTTAGCCACGGGGCGGATGGTGTCTAACATTAGAGAACACCATGAGTGATTGAATGGATCTTCTGGTAGAAAGTACCAGAGACTTCTAGTCTAGGTAAAGGAGAACATACTGCGATACCGGTATGGCCATCCCTTGCTTCACTTCATGACCATTTCCGTACTTTGTGCACCCGTACCAAGACATTGATTGTATCAGGGTCCCATCAGCCGAGAAGCATCAGCCGTATCTGCTTCGAGGCATGCTACTGTACTCTCGAGGTCTTTTCTTCCACCCTCAATTCATCAGCCATGTCACGAAACTGTGATCCGGCTAGCTGGAACGCGAGACATCTTGACTAAATTGTGGTCCAGCCAAGGATGGTTTCGAGAACTGGAGCATTACTTCAAGAGCACACCAATCCTCTGCCATGATCTTGGCACATGTTCTTGGCGGCATTTCCATAACCTTCAATAATCATCTACGTATTCAATCCCGGGGGACGCTGGCCGGACGGTGCGGCTGAGGAAATTGAGCGGGGCAGTCCAAGCACTGCGGTCCGTACCACACAGATGGTACTCCTCTTGCGCGCTTCGTTTGAGATAACGTTAAGGGCGCCTCCGGGTATCGATTGCTGGTGGATAGCGATGTGGGCGGCAAGGACCCCTACTGTGGGACATGTGCTGCCAATTTGGCAGTCAAGCTGCGATACTCGAGATTGATTTTCATGTCGTGCGGAGCAAATAGTACCGCCCCTGGCTGCTGTTATTGGCTCCACCAATTTTCCAGGAAGGCTCTCCCTACCGAGGTCGACCCACTTGTTTATACTAGCTTTATCTGTTACTGTGTCAGCCCTCGCAAACCCTTCTTCTGGGACACGAGGGACGATGCAACCTATCTTGCCCAACAGTCCAGGCGGGACAGATAGATATACGCTGATCCTCAGGGGACTACGTTGTGCACAGACTATGCTATCGGTCTAGTGGCAGTTGCAATCATCTTTCTTTGAATCTAGACCCAGTTAGATACCTACCGGGAGTTGAGATGACCCTACATCGTCCAAAAAGAATTACCGGGGTTTCCACGAGGACAATTCTTGGCAAAATACCACTATGCTGTCGTTCCTGGTTGAGGATCGGCTGTTTCAAAAGCACGGTCTCTGCCACTTTTGGGATCCCTGCCTTGTCTGCTAAAGCTATCGGTGGGCCAGTTGCCAGCATCCGCTGGGGCGACGACGTACATACGTACTGGTTCGATCGACCACGCACAGCTGGAGAGAGAAGTGACTCCACTACACGTGCAACCTTCCGACAGAAGCCATATGCAGAAGGCCGCAAGGGGTTGAGGTTGCAATGATGGACACGCGATTGCCTTTTGTTGTGTATAGTGAAGATGACCCGAACTTATAGCATGGGTGCATCACACTGCAGCTTTTAGCTCCAGCCTTGTTAGTGTTGGTAGTAGAAGGTGAATAGTCGTGTCAGGCACAATTATGGTTACTTGCGATTTGTCGTCTTGTACTCGCAACATTGGGCTACTGGGCGCCAAACACTGAGCTCAGAGGTGGACGGTACATAGTACGCCAAATTGGCGTGCCCTGTCGGGCAGTGAGATCTGCATTGTGCATGTTGGTAGTAATCAGCCGCGTAGCGCAGTGGGTAAACCCAGAGCCGACTCTGCATCCTCGGAAACAGAGTTCCAGACCTATGGGATCGTCGCTGTCATAGGTATGGCCAAGGAGGAATTGATCTCCGCATGCAGACGATGGGCGCCGCGCGATCCTTACTATAATATGTTGGATTGCTAGGATGCCTTCCGACATTGGCCTGCCAAAATGTTGTGGGAAAAAAAATCTAAGTTTGCATGTTGAGCTGGGAACCAAGCAACCCAAGATCTCGGCAGAATGAGACGACGAGGTTCCTGAATCTAGCTAGAGCTGGACCAAGTTGGACGACTAATCACTAGAGCGCCGAAGACACAGGGACCGAGCGGTAGTCAACCACAAGTCCGGCTAGATTGAGCATGCCAAGTGGATTCGTGTGTGAGCACTAGGTACTGGGCAAGTCATGCTACAGAGAACCGCATTGCAACCTTTCCCGGGGCGCGGCGTTGATCCAGAGCAGACTGGGACAGATTGGCCAATGAGCTACTGCATCGATGAGCCGACTTTCCCCAACGGGGCGCTGTGCCGGCAGAACACTCGCTCCACGAACCCATTCCCCTGATTCTCGCATCGTCGCAATTCGACCTTCGGGACGTCGATCATACGACAGGGCAAAGTCAATACTGGGCACTCCCTACCATCTGAGCTTAGTCTCCAGCTTTTGGTCAGCTCTTGGTAACAACTCGATCGGATGCCGCTTAGCATCTCTGTGGAGCCAGTGGAGACAGTACCCACCTGACGTGAGCCGTCTCTTCTGGAAGCGAGCATGTCCGGAGTCCGGACGGGCACAATGATGGCAGAAGGTTTGCGCTGGCGCCAGCAAACGTGTGAAACAGAAGTGCCGAGAGTGCAACAACACTAGCACGGCGAACATCCCAACTTTGCTGCTCTGAGTTGGTGGCTCTTAGCTGGGCTGGGCTGGGCTGGGCTGCTCGCAAAGCTCGGCTCTGCACGCCCTACTGCCGGCAGCTTCGAGGCGCGTCTGAGCGCCAGCGTCCTGGTCCCCGGGGAGTTATCTGCCACGCTGCAGACGCACGTATGGTAATACATAAGTACAGAAATATGGCAACATCACCCCTGACTGAGAGTGGGGGCCATGCCGATCGGCAACCTCCTCCGGCGCCCACCGTATGAGCGATTGGCGATATTAACCAAGCATTCCCGGGTCTCTGGTAAAGTTTTGCGTTCCTTGCAGAAGGTTCCCAGTCATTCGGTTCAAGGGTCGCCGTCAACCACACGCCTGGAGGGTAGCCGTCAGTCACCATGGCGGTTGTTGAGAATCGAGGACCTGAGCTCCTCAAGGTGTGCATTACGCTGTTGACATTTGCTGTCATTGCCACGTTGCTGCGATGTTACACCCGACTTTGGGTTGTCAAGGCCTTCGGGGCCGATGACTGGACCATGGTCTTTGCTTGCGTAGGTGCCACCGTTGCACAGACAAGGAATATGGCAGTCGAAACTGACTATACATGCGCATCAGATTTCTTTCATCCTGTTTGTTGCTTCTGCTATTACTGGCATTCATTATGGAACTGGCCGTCATGCCACGGACCTTTCCACACCCGACTTTGAGGAGGCAATGAAGGTGAATATTGGTTGAGTTCATGCTCCGTTTAGATCGGATGACTGACATGACGAACAGTACTGGTGGTTCTGCTACATTTGGTATTGCGTAACGATGATAACCTCGAAGATTTCTATCGGCATTTTCCTCCTCCGAATAACCGTCCACAAGATGCACCGCTACATCCTCTATATAGTGATGTTTCTCTCGGTAGTCTCCGGATTGGTGTTCTTCTTCGTCACGCTGTTTCAGTGCCAGCCCATGACCTACTTTTGGGCCAAGGCACAAGGCGGCACATGCGTCAGCCCCGTCATCATTGCCGCCCTTACCTACCTCTACAGTGCTTTCAGCGTCATTTGCGATTTCACGTTCGCTCTTCTTCCGGTTGTCCTTATTCGCGGCCTTCAAATGGATAGCAGGATCAAGTGGGCCTTGATCCCCATCTTGAGCATGGCTTGCGTGTACGTAGTCCCCCCTCCAAGACTCAGTGGCTGAGGCTAACAAGCATCACCAGTGCAAGCGTGGCTGTAGTCGTGCGTTTCGCGTACATTAAAGATTTCTTAGATCCCGACTTTCTATGTATGTCCAACCCCTAATCAGACAGCAAGGCAAAACCTAACAGTTGATCTAGGGGCAACTGTTGATATCGCAATTTGGTCAACTACTGAGCAGGGCTTAGCCATCACCGCTGGTAGCCTTGCAACCCTACAACCCCTCGCAAAGCGAACCGCCCAAAGATTTGGCTATTGGGAGACACGGAATACCAAGCCCCTATCCGACGACGCTCTGCCTCGCACGATCGGAAGTCTTGGCCAGTCGAAGAACCGCATTAGAGCCCAGTCCAATGGAGACTTCAGTCTCACCACTCTCGACTGGGAAGACAACCGCGGACAGCCAGGCCGGGATGGGGCTCGGCAGGCCTTACCCAAGGATCAGATCATCTTAACAAAGGAGGTCGCTGTAACCAGCAAACGGGGCAGTCTCTGGGGTGGTGGTGGTGGGGAGGAACGTAATGATAGCGAGGAGGAGCTAACAAAATCTTCAACAAAAGACGCATATGGAGTACGAGTCGCACCTAAAAGCTGGCTCGATGATAAATGAATTTAAGCAACGGAGCAAGGGTTTTTACAAAGGACAGAACTGGAACTACAGCACTATTAAGCGCAATGGCATATAGCCACTAATAATTTTAAATGCCATATAACGTCATAGGCCACGCCCAGTAAACAAAGTACGTATTCTGTCTTAGGTAATTATAACCCCTGGCTTGGGGTGCTACCTATTTCATACTATATGTCTCCAGGAAGTCGTTTGGCGCTAGCCAGGTCGCCTTGTTCATATCGAGTTCCTGCTCATCATATTTGCACCTAGTACTTCAGGGGCAAAATATGAGGAAAATGGGCAGATAGAAATGCCAGTGAATAACGGGTGAAAAAAAAGGGAGACGATGTTTGCTGAGAACTGAACCCAGTAAAGCAAACAATGAGAAGGCAACAACATGGTCCAACGGTCTGAGAGGTAGGGTGTTTGTACTTACTGTATGTGGATTTTGGTCGCCACTGCGCCTTACACAGAGGGACATGTGGCCAGGTGAACAAGGCACCGCATGCCACTGCTCACAAATTGGGGACAAGTATGTCTGCTGAATGGTTTTCAGTGGCGAGTCTGGAGACAACGCCTCATCTCGGGTTGCTGGTAGTGGGGGGTTTCTTTTTATCTAAGTGAATCATGTTAGCCAGTGACATTGTAACCATTGAACCATTGAACCGTGTTGCTGCCTCGTTGTATAACTGGGCGATTGTTGAGAGATAAACTGCCGAGCAACAGCGACGTGCTGCTTCATTGTCCTGACTGGCCTGAAAGGCGAATACTTTGGGGGCCAGTTCACGTTCCTCTGGCCAGTGGTCCAAGCTGACACCGAGTGTGCAAGAGTACGAAGTCATATCATCCCGCAGGTCAGCTCTGCCTATGTACGACACCTATAGAGGAGATTCAGGACCTCTGGGCACTTGGGCCGCGGTCGCTTTGGGCAGAGTTAGCTTATTTGTAGAATGGTAGGGCGTATTTCTCCCACGAACCCTACGAGGGAGTCGTCGTACGTAGCACATTGTATCAAGCAGTCAATGCACCAACAAACAAACAAACAAACATGAGTACAAAGACCTACCACGACCGTCTTAGCACCAAGGTAACTGCAAGTCCAAGACTCCCCAGACTGCCATGCGATGTTCACCGTCGAGGCACGCATATGATGGCAACAGCAACGTTTTACTACTTGATGCAGTGGGCAGACCCTCGATTTTCAATCTTAGAGGACAACGTGGCTGAGACTGAGATTTTCAAGGCTACGCATGGTAGCAGCGCTGGTCACGACTACCGCTACCCTATACGAGTGAATTATTACCTGTAAACCAGGGACACAGGCTTGAATTCCGGTGTGATGTCGGGATGATTCTGAACGATAAGCCCAGATTGCGTTGGACGCGAAACGGACAAGTAGATAAGCAGCACAATATGATGGAGGGGTTATAATTCTTCTACACCAGACACAATGTTACATAGCTTCAGTACTCGTAGACCTGTACGGAAGCACGCTTACAGTTGTCTATCTACACTAAAGCCGAGACCATATATTCTATAACCTAAGAATGCCTCACGCAACCCGCCGAAGATCCAGTGCCTTTTACTGTTTGGTGTTCCGTCGGCTTCTACCCATCTCGACTCTACCCACGACTGCCTCGAGCGTGCTTTTCAGCCCATTCTCATCATACCTTGACGCCCCGTCGACCCGCCGCCCATACACCCTGAGGCAGTCGACGCCCAGGGCCGCCAGCTCGGCCTTATCGACGGCCGGTGTGCCCTCGCCCTCCATGTGCAGCACGTGCGTGACGTAGCGCCTGACCTCGCCGAAGCGTTCCACGTCGCCCTGGCTCTCGCCGCCGGCCCGCGCGATGGCCTTGACGAAGTCGGTCGCGGAGAAGGGGGACCCGCTGGGCCCCGTCTCGCGGTCGTTGGACGAGTTGAGGACCAGGATCTTGTGCCGCACGCCCGAGTTGGCGATGGCGCTGCCCACACCCCGCAGGACCAGCGACGGCACGATCGACGTGTACAGACTGCCGATGCTGTAGATGACGGCGTTGGCGCCCTCGATGGCCTGGGTGACTTTCGGGTTGGCCCGTGGCCGGATCTCGTGGCCGTACGGGTTGATGTACCAGAGGCGCTCGATGCGGGAGGTCAGGTCCTCCTCGCCAGATTTGGAGAACTCGATATACTGTTTCCTCAAGGTCGGCAGGCTTCCAGGAAGGTTAGCGTCTTCAATGAGATCGTGTGCGTCAGTGTCCTCAGTGGCCATCGCGGCAACAGCGGGATCCGTGGTACCATTGGCATCAGGTAGCGCGGTGGGTTCGCTGGGGTGCGATATGGCGTTTTGGCCCGTGATGACAGTCCCATCACCCAAGCCGGCGGATATATGATGTGTAAAGTTTGTGTTAATGGCCGGCAGAACAGACGTCGATGGCGGAATGGCACAAATCTGGCTCAGTAGATAAATGGCAGACTCAAGAGAGCCTGTGAATATACGGGCGCTAAAGGTGGTTAGTAATATGTTGAAAGAGATTTGCGAAGTTCTATGGCTCATTCCCGAAGTTCGGGCCCAGACAGAGGAATAGGGGCAGGTCCATTCTCCGGCCGGATCGAGCCCGTTGATCAGTACTCACCCAGTCAAGAACAGATTGCCCACAGCTGCCCGCCCAAAGTTGAAAGTACTCGAAGGCCTCGCCCTCTTCACGATCTCCATGTTGACCATGTTAAAAATACTCCTGACCAATTCGCGCTTCTCGCTCGAGACTTTCATCCATAGCGCGTGCCGCCCCTCCACAATGTCTAGCCACTCCGCCCGGGCCGCATCTGCATCCGACGACAGCCTGTAGTTGAACAAGGCCTTGGTGGCAGCCAAGTCTGCATTGCTGTCGGAGTTTGGGATTAGACGGACTAGGCGACTGCGGATATCTCCGATGCCTGCCGGGGAAGTCAGTTTGTGGTTCGAGCTGGGGAAAATGAAGGGACATACCGGGTCCTCCGAGTACGCGGATCAGCTCAGACGAGCTACCGCCGTTATCGCTGATGGGAATGATGTAGCTCAGGGAGCAGTTCCTGCTTTCGCGGAGGTCGTTGAATACGTCGACCAAGCTGTTGGTGGCGGTTCCACCACCGAAGACAACAATGCCCTTGGGCTTCGGCGTGTCCATCATGCAGTGTTCGAAGAGAAAAATGGGATGATTGTTCTCAATGGCCCTTTACAACAAGAGTTTCCAAGCCGAAAGCATTCAGTAGTTGATTCGCTCGTCTAGTCGTAAGTTTGACAATGATAAGGGCGAGGAATTGCAAAGACCAGACAATGGTACGCCAGGCTGGCCAGACCAATGTGCCTCTCAATCACCAGTCTCAGCCACGATCCTGCCCAACAACATCACATCTCATCCGTAAAGCATTCACCCTCTGTCTTATAAGGCAATTTGCAGATTTCTAGTTGGGGTATTCTCGGCTCGCGTTCAGCAAAGCAGCAACGTGTTCTCGACGAATGACGTTGCACGATGAGTCAGAAACGTCCGTCCGTCCAGGCGCAGCGTTGCCGCTAAACACCCGAGATTGACCCGGCTGGCATGCTAACACGCATCTTCAGGGGCCGGAGGGTTATCACTCCTTGCTTAGGATCCCGGGCTCTGATGGAGACGTATGATACAGTGGCGGATCAGAAACCAATACCGAACTGTGGAACATAGTTAAGTATTTGTCCTTTTTCACACACAGCGGATCGTCGAGCATTGTGAAGGGATTTGGGTTGACAGTCTGTCTATAGACAAGGTGTATTATCTTTTACGGCATATCGTTACAAACAGGAGATGAGATCGACTCTTCCTCTCGCTCCCCATCTAGTCTATGTAGGCGGTGATATATATCTGCGCACGTGGTTACTGAGCAACAGCACCCTGTTGCCGGCCCTGAGCCCACTGCTGGATCTTCTGTCGTCTCTCCTCGACCTTCTTCTCGAACTCCTCAACCTTGGCAAGCCGCTCCTTCTCTTCCTTGAGGAGTTTTTCGGCTTGCACAATGGCCTTGCGCTCCTTTTCGCGCTCATCCTGATCCTTCCTTCGGAGGGCAATGTCACGAGGCCGGAAGTCGCTAAAGAGATACTTCAGAACCTTTTCGATCATGTAGCAACCTACGTAGTCGATGACCATGACAGTCGTCAGCGTGGTGCTGAACTCGTTGGAGAAGTCGACGAGCATCATCTTCTCGTTCAGCTCGGGAATGAACTTGGTTGAGCAGGAGAAGGCGATGGCGGTAACACCAATGATACCCCAGAACATGCCTCTGTTCTCAGATATGGACTCGCGGAAAGGTCGTCCTTGGTAGTTGACAGCGAACGTAGAGATTTGCTGGATGAGTTGCAGCAAGTACACGGCTGTGTTCAGGAGAGAAGGACTGAACTCTGCCTCAAGATCGACTTCCAAATCACCTCGACTAGAGAGTTGTTAGTTGACTGCAAGCGTGTGGGGGATGATGTGACTTACGGGTCGAGCTTCTCGCATAGACGGGCAATGTAGATAAGGGTAACGATGTGGACGGCAAACTGTCCAAGAATCGAGCCAATGATGTAGAAGTTGAAGATGTTGGGCTGCGGGCGTTCCTTTGAGAGACCCTCGACGGTACGAGCACGGGAGATTGATAGGAAGCACACCGACATGAGCATACCGCTGATTGTATACTGACCATCGCCGAACTTGATGCCTTCGAGGTAGAGCACACTCAAGCTGTATGCACTGATCAAACAGTTGAGAGCGAGGATCTTGTACATCTGGATGGTGGCAACAAGAGTGCAGCGGCCCTGGCGGATGATGTTTGGTATAGCCACAACGTTACGCAGCTTACTGGTGAAAGGCGCAGCGACAGATGCATCACCAAGCTTAAGCGTAGGTGGCTCGTCATCCATCTCAGCATCCATCATGCTGGAAGTAAGCTTGTCGGCAAAACCGGCGGCCTTCTGAGCAGCTTGTTGCTGCTTAGCTTGCCGCGGGTCGGCGTTGATCAATTGTTGGGCAGCTGGGGTTGTAATGGTTTCAGGGGCGTCGATACCATGTTGCTTGGCATATTCCTGGGGGGTGATTCTCTTCTTCTGGGCCTCTCGCTCAATAGCCTTCTGCAAGTGAGGGTTGGATGGTCCAGGAGGGAAAAGGTGAGCAATCATAACGGGAACCGGAGGGGCAGGCTGGTTGAAACGCTTCATTAGATCGACCTGTTTCTGGTACATTTCCTTCATCTTTGTGTTTCGGCTGTGTTCTGCGATGCGTACCAGGTCTTCCTGGGTACCGTTCAACAGTGCGACGCCAATGTGAGCTTGCTTCAAAGCACCAACATCATTGGTACCATCACCAGCCATGAGGGTGTAATAGCCCAGATCCCGCATTCCAATGAGGATTTCCTCCTTCTGCTTCGGCGAAACACGAGCATAAACCCAAGTATAACGCAGAAGACTCAGGAAGGCGGCTTGGTTGTCCCTTTCCCTTAGTTTGGTCAATGCATATCCGGTGACGCAAATGTCTTTGTTCTTCAGAATTTCGGAGTCGATAGGTGCAGAGGGGTCGACGTCAATGCTGGTCTTATCGTCGGTGCTCTTCCAGATCAGCTTGTCGCCACCGTGGTTGTGTTCAGGGGCATCCAAAATGAGCACATCGCGGTCGACAATTTCTACTTCACGAGCGACGTGGACAGCAGTAAGAGGGTTATCACCAGTGATCATGACCACGCGATGGCTGCTCTCGTTGAGCATCTGAACAGCCTCCTTGGCGTCTTCCTTCAGGGGGCATTGCAGGACGAGGAAACCAGCGAAAGTGAGATCAGACTCGACCTTTTCACGCTTCAAATCATTGATCCTGCCAGAGCCGAGTTCGCTGTCCGTGGAGAGTTGCTTGTAGGCGAGGGCGAGAACACGTGAGCCGCGACGGGTGAAGTATTTGAATGTCTCCTCGTAGTCCTGAGGAACGGTAACAAGCATCTTCATGATTGTTTCGGGGGCACCCTTGACGCCCACAAACGTACCCTTCATCTTGTTGCCAGTCTTGGAATCCATGGCATTGATGGTGGCAACGGAGCTTTGGCGCTTGAGGGCAGACGAGAACTGGAAGCGGCGTTTCACCTGGACGTTGCCTGCAATGCCACCGGCAGCGGCAACAGCTGGCTTGGCGGACAAGTGGTCATTCTTTCCGAGAGTCCAGCCCAAAGCAGTCAGCGTTGCCTTTTCCATAGGGTCACCAACAACATCTCCCTCATCAAGCTTGACCAGAGCGTGTGCAGTAGCCAGAACCAGAGTAGTCTCCATGCCAGCATCCTTGACGGGAGTCATGTGGCTGTGGGCGCCATCGGACTCAACAGGGGTGTCCGTTCCGCTGTGGCCAAGGCCGAGACCAGCGATACCCTCGACCACGAGATCCTCGCCCGTAAGAGTACCAGTCTTGTCGAAACAAGCGATATCAACACGTCCGGCATAGGGAATACGGAATGGCTCAGTGCAGAAGATGGCAAGCTTGGCGAGGGCGGCAAGACTTGTGTTGACAGCGAGACTGAGCTCCATGGGCAGCTCAGGGGGGACGACACTGGTAACAATCAAGACACAGTCCAACAGGAGCTTGGAACGCTTCCGGTCCTTCTTGACACCTTCGTCCCACACGTACCAGGATGCGGCAATGGCGAAGATCAGCAGGAACAAGATGAAGAACAGGGCCTCTGCATTGTTTGCCGAAACGCGCTCGGTCGAGTATATCATGGTGCGAACAAGACTGCCTTGCGACGTCTCGAATCCAGTCTTCATGACGATAGCCATAGCTCCGTTGTCCGGGGGTGTAGGGACACCAGACGCAAGCCTGGGCCTCTCCTCATCAGGATTGCCGTGGGTGACCTGCAAAACCTTGGTACCACCCCAGAGGAACGCATTCTTGTCCAGGCCTTCTGTGTCAATCTGGGCGTCGCTGGGGCGCAACTGAATTGAGTCCTTCAGCAGGGGAGTGCTCTCGCCAGAGAGCATGGCCTCGTTGACGATGGCAGCTCCTTCGACCAAGAGCATATCGCAAGCAACGCCGCTGTCCTCCTTAGTGCGGCTTACCGACGCAAGATCGCCGGGGAGAAGCTTGTCGCTCTGGACTTCAGTCCACCTGCCCAGGCGGTAGACCCAGACGTCATAGGGCTTGATGCTCATGGCGCGGAACTCGTTGAGGGTGCGCTGGCGTTGCCAGACCACGGTGGACTCGAAGACGACCAGCATAAAGAGGGTGAAGAGCGAGTAGTACCAGTACTCGTCGAGCATCCACAAGCCGACACAGAAGATCTGGAACACGAAGAAGGGAGCCACAGCGTGCTCCTTGAAGAGCTCGGTGAAGGTAGGCACCGGGATGTCAAACGTGTTGGTCCCATAGTGTTGTTCGAGGCGAGTGAGCTCGGCCTGGTTGGTGATGCCCTTGGACTTCTGGAAATACTCGATCTTGGGCTTCGGCTCGGTGTCGATGGCGTAGACGAGAGGGCTGAAGGACTTCTTGGCGGGGTCGTAGAGGAAGCGGCGCTTCTGGAACAGGAACGAGGTGTTGGTCTTGCCGGCGACAGTCTCGCGCTCGATCTCGCAGATCTCGGGGGTTCCAGCGTTAGCGATGGGGATGACCTTGATGAGCTGGGCCTGGTCGACGGTCTGGGCCTTGGTCGCGGTGAAGGAGGCCTTGAGGTTGACGCTCCAGTGGGTGCTCAGCCAGACGAGAGACTGGGCCGTGATGATGGCACCGCACCAGACGAAGGTCCATTCCTCGGCACCGATGTGCTTCTCGTAGAGCTCGGGGGTGTAGTAGTATCTGGCGAAGATGGGCCATATGATGGCAAAGGGCCACACGTACAGATGCCTGTAGGTGCTGAGAGGCGACAGAAGCTCTGCGCTCTGGATCTGGTCGTTGTCGACTAAAGCCATGATGGGATGGGGTGAGTATCCTTCCTCATCAATCGACGCGGCTCTGGAGAAGGGAGTGGGAAGAGTTCGGCTCGCCGCGAGATCTGTACTTTTGCTACTTTTGCCCAGGGCAGGCAGGGGCAGCAATGTGGCGTGAGCAGAATAATTGGGGACAGGCGGCGGCGCCGCGACGTCTGGACGTGTGGCAGCAGCTGCGCGACAGGGAAGCCAGGGAAGCCAGGGATGGGGGCCCCAGCTTCCAGGCGGTCGGAGCCCGGAATGGCCCCTTGGGCCCCTCCCCATCCCCCAATCCCCACCTCGCCCCCCCCCCCTTCCCCTGGCCAGAGCCGCCACATTAACTATATGTAGGTATCCATCCGCCGACGGAACACGATGGCATCCCGTGGAACTGAACTGTCGCCCACAAGTGACCAGTGGCATCTCACTGATTCCTGCTGATGATCCCGGATCCCCTGGCGGTCAGCATCGCGCTGGCAACTTCCGTGGTACTCCCAGAGTCCCAGCTCCAGCGAAGCATTGATTATACCAAGCCATCCAGGGCATCTTGCAGCCACACCCATGGATCTCTCTCTAGCAGGCATATCCTGCCACTAACTATCCTTGTACTGAGACTTGCATGCTGCCCTTCTTCAACGGGTCTCGGCTTTGGAACAGCGCTTTTGACAGGTAACGAAACTTTGGTGATCCCGAACCCTCCAATATGGTTCAACAATCAAAGCTTGCTCTGAGTTGTGTGCAACGTACTACTGCTATGGTGGTTAATGATGACGATGATACTCTGGCCCTCCTGTCGCAGTGAACATCCAACGACGGTCACGACCCGAATATCAGATGTACATCGTTCCGCTGACCTTGCAAGATATAAGAGCCATCTCCTTCCACTCAAGAAAATCCGTGTCAAATGCACCCTGCTGTTGCGAAGACGTATGAAAATGCCAGGACGTGGCGGGCCTTTAGCATGTAGACGTGGATCGTCCAACCTCTTGTCGAAGCTGCCGTAGGTAGAGATGACAGTTGGCAGCCTTCGCCATCAAGTCCCGTAGCTCGCTTCTTGGACTTCCCAACTACGAAAACCCCTAGGACCACAATGGGCGGGCTCGAGCTCGATCTCGTCCCACAGCGCTCTGAAGTCCATTACAGAACTTGCGTCACATTCGAATCCCGCCCCAAGAAACTCCCGCGGGATGGCCAACCCATGTTCTCTTACCGTCTGCACTGCGCTTCTGAGTTTGGAAGTGAACCATGATCTCGTTTGGGAACCTTTCTCTGCAGCAACAGCACCGACCATGATCTGGCACGAAGTCATATTCATAAAAGCACACGGCCGAATCTGGATACGGCAAATCGCCTTTTGGAGTTCTTGTGCCAAGGGCGTGAGGTTGGTATCCAGCTGCCGTGGCCAAAGCAACTGGATCATCAACTGTATTGTTCGAGAAGCGGCTTGGATCGATGCCTTGCTATCATGTGAGAGTTGTTGAGCTTGGCAGAGCATCTTCTCCACACGCGCCTCAACTGCATGGTCCGAAGCTGCTACGCTGGGCTGGCTGTCATGGACCATATGTGTCATTCGCCGCAGATCAACCAAGCTGTCGCAAAGGCTCTCTATCTCAAACAGAGAATGGTAGCCATATATGCGAAGTGCATTGATGATTTTCTTGTGATAGACCCGCGAAAACCCTAGAGCATCATTTGTCGCATCCCTTTGACGGGGTAAGTGGAACGGTTTTCAAGACTCGAAACAGTAACATACGTGATCAAAAAATCGTACAGCCATGAGGGAAGATCCGATGCGCCGACTGAGTGTCGGTGTCTAATCAGCTGGGCGAGACCTTCAATGTGAACCCCCCATGCAGAAGTTTTGTGTGCCAGACGCTCTCCAAACGCCATGGTGGCCACGGACAAGAGAACAGCATCCGTGGTAGCTGTGCCGGAGTCCAGGTGCCGAATGATGATATTTGTTGCCGAAGACCAGTAATTCTGCGCTATTTCCTGATATAACTTGTCTTGTGACCAGTGACGTGCGCCTACAGCTACAGTTACCTCAAGGAGAGACTGTTCAGATCCGATCAGGTCCACCCAAGAAGCTTCATCGAGATTTTGGGGCAAGTGACTTCCGTCGAACAACACTAGCGACCAGAATCTCGACACTGCGTACTATTAGCTGTGGCCTAACTGGGAGCACGACGTACATACGGTACTTGGCCTGAGGGTAAGCATGTATATGCTGCAAGGGGACTGTTGTCATTGGTGCCGCGGAATCAGCGTGACTGTACGAATCATGTTCGACACCGAATTCCTCCGTACCCAAGTCAGGGGTTTCAATGACCTTTGATTCCAACGTAGGTGCTTTTGCCTGATGCACACGTTGGCGTCTCTTTGCAAAATTGGTCTTCGTAACATGTGCCCTCATCCGTCTTGCCGCCGGCGGGGTTAAGCCCGGCTTTCCAGTGAGAGTGATGAACGTAAAACCTGCCGAGGGCATCTCTCTTCTACTTTAGGAAAATTAATTAAACATGTTGACAATGATAAGGTCAGTATCGAGCTCAGATTAGCATACCATGTAAGCGGGGACCTGCTTGGTAATGCAGGTCAGCTTATCCCCAAATAGGAAAATCAATTTTAGCTTGAGGCTCTGGTGGCCGGACCAATCAGTGGCTCGATCAATAGTTTAGTCCTGACCCGCTCATGGTCTAAGGAACTGAGCATAGGTCATTGCTTATGTATTGAGGATGTATAAGAAGCCATGAGATTTTGCCTTTGACAACTATTGTTCGTTGGAACATCTACTGCTCTTCTCTACTGTAACAAGCTATCCTTCCTACCCGCAATATAAAAATGGCACGACAATGGGTCCTTAAGAGCCAAGAAGGCTTCGAGAAGTCACTCGAATACCAAGACGACATTCCAATCCCACTGGCATCCGAGCTCCGGTCCAATGAAATCCTCGTGAAATTGTACGCTGCCAGCGTCAACTATCGCGAACTCGAAATTGCGAGCCCAGTCGTGAGTGGAAACCACGGATAGGACAAGATCATATTATATTGACGCGAACAGGGTGTCAATGGTCCAATAGAGACTCCGGTAGTGCCAGCGTGCGACGGCGCCGGAATTGTTGAGGCTGTTGGTTCATCAGTCCACAGATTTCGTGCCGGAGATCGGGTCGTGACACATGTTGCTCCTAAGCTTGTCGAATCCAGCGGAGATGAGGCACAGTGCACCATTTCGGACGTGGCTTTGTGCTTGGGACAAGGGACGGACGGAACGTTACGTTCCCATGGAGTTTTCTCCGAAGCAGCACTAGTGCACGCTCCCGAATCTTTGGGATGGCTCGCTGCCTCCACACTCACTTGCACGTGGACAACGGCATGGAATGCGCTCTTTGGCAAGAAGGGGTCGGAGATTGGACCGGATTCTTGGATTCTTGTCCAAGGGACAGGCGGCGTCAGCGTCGCTTCCCTTCAACTCGCGGTGGCGGTCGGTGCCACTGTCGTTGCGACCACATCGACAGAGGAGCGGGCCTCTCGCTTGCGGTTGCTGGGGGCAGCTTACACGGTCAACTACCGCTCTAATCCCGAAAAATGGGGCGCTGAGGCCCGGAAGTTGACACCAAACGGAAGAGGCTTTGATATCGTCGTTGACATTGGCGGTAATCAAACCTTGACCCAATCACTAGCAGCAGTACGGGCTGAAGGCACCGTTATGGTACTGGGCGGTGTAGGTGAAAGCGCAGAGCCAGTCCCTCTCTTCTCTGTGCTGTTTCATACTTGCGTGGTACGTGGCGTCCTCGCTGGCAGTCGAGCACAGCTTCGTGAGCTCGTGCAATTCATTGACGAGAAGGGAATCAAGCCAGCGCTAGATGATGTGGTTTTCGAGTTGAAAGAGTCCAAGGATGCCTACAGGCGCCTCAAGGAGAAGAAGCATTTTTCCAAGGTTGTTATTCGCATCGATCACCCGGAGGCCTGATACATGTACCCTGTTTATAGTCCTAACATGTAATGAGTGTGCCGATTAAGGCTCTTAAAGAGAGTGTAATATTTTCGTTTTAGGATCCAGTGAAGAACTGTTGCGCACTATGCAATGGATTAAGGACGCCAAACTCATAGCTGATGTCTTCACGATCCCTCCTCGACTGGCATTAATTGCAGAGCCCATCATTCCTCTGTAGACTTGCAGACCCTAAAGACTAGAGGATAACCGATTCCTTCCTAAGCACCAAGTTGGGCAAATATGCGTTAATTTCATGCTCATCGTAGTATGGCAAGTCATTGAAAGGAACTTGATGTGTCTACAGGGTATCGGCTCGAACTTCTGGATAGCTGCCTTGATGCGTCTACGGATGGAAACCTTCAGAGGCGAAGTCTGCCCAGTGTTCAGTCCATCTCCATGCGATTCATTGATGCTCTAGAGAAACCGAATACCACATCTTCGTGCGCGAATCCATCTCATGCTTCCATGCCGTGCAACCTCCATAGCAAATATTTCCTTGGCGAACTGAGTCTTGATCAAGGACCCCATGCCTAAAGAGTGAGTTCTCTCAACGCGTTATCTCGAACACGGTCCAGATCCGCGCCCCATCTCTCAAAACCCTCCCCGTCATCTACCCTAGTTTCTGGTCTGATTATCTGAAAATGATGTCCTTTCTGTCCCTCCATTCGTGCCATTTGCTGCCACTGAGGACCTATGGACGCTGAACCCTCGCGCGAGAAGACGATGATTGTCTCCACATCAGGGACGATGAACTTCAGCTCCGCGGGCGGCGAGACCGCGAGAACACACCGCTTCGGACCCAGTTTCTTCCAGTCATCGAGCACGCAGCGGCGTGCTACGGATGGTGTATGCTCTTGAATGACACCGATCCAATTGCTGATGTCTAAAGCTGCGTGGTCACTGAAAAGGATCTCTTCAAGACGGGTAGGGATGTACTTTGCATGCCACATGAAAGCCCCGTGAATGTCATGGAAGAGCGCCCACTCTGACTTATGTGCCGGCACGAGTGCTACCCGCACATAACCATGAGCTTTAGACTTCCCTTGAATGATGTGCTAAAAAATTATGTAGTCTAAGCTTGGTGCTGTCTACAATGCATTCCTATGCCATCTCATGAACATCGAGATACCCAGGTTGGCGTTTAGCCCAACCCTGTTGCCGCCATTGCGTTTCATTTTGATCATGCCACAATTGCTGTTGGTCGTGCCAGCTATGATGGGCTAACTCGGTCGGCCTCTCCTCCGTCGCCAGCATAGCTGGGCTTCTTATGCTGGACAGCTCTTGAGGGGTCTTCTCTTGCTGCTGATCGTACAAAGGAGGTGTGAGTTCGCCAGGGCGGCCATATCCAACACCGTGAAGTGGCTGTTGTTCATTGGGGTTTGTGGCTTGCTTTGTGCGACGCATGAAGAAAAAAGCCGCAAGAGCTGCCAGAACAAGTGCAGCTACACCTCCGACTACTCCTCCAACAATTGCTCCGATTGGCGCTGAGCTTGAGGACCCCGAACTTCCTGCCGAGCTGCCGTTGGATGATGCGTTGCCGCCTGAGCTGTTACTCGACTTTCCTAGTTGGCGTTAGTGAACGGATTGTCATGGAAGTCTGCTAGAATTTTACCTTTTCCTACGAACAGCGCCTTTACGCTATCCGAAGTCCAAGTGACATCTTTCTGTTTTCTAATGGAGAGAATCAGTAAAAAGTGTATATAAAATAGTTCAAAACGAGTCAACATACCCTGCGCTATACCATTCGTTGACCACACTGGGTGATTCATAGTCAGCCACCTCCGCGTCGTACTTGCTGCTCCAGCTTAAAGACGAAACGTCAAGAACATGAATGCCGTTGATCCAAGGGTCCGGGTCTCGAAAGGAAGCTGTGAACCCCTTGTCCGAGTTCTTGCCACCGATAACGAACATTTGGCGTCCATACATGATGCACTGCTGACCTGCCCGTGGCCCGCCTGTCTTGACATTGGTTTTGATCCATACGAAGCCAGGGATCGACAAGACGTACACGTCCTGGAAGCTTATCTTGTTCAAGGCGTCGTAACCACCCCAGAGGAAGATTTCTACGCTTCCATTTGGACTATCAGCACTTGCGGTGCAGAACTTGCTCCGCGGGCTGGGTATGTCGCCGGTGGTCTGCTGAGAAAACCATGTCTGTGTCTCGATATCCCAGAACGTCAAGTTCCCAAGTCCGACCAGGTTCGGCTCGCTGCTGTTGTAACCCTCCCTTCTGGCTATTTCACCACCAATTGTCATCATCATGCCCTTGCCCGAGGTTCCAAACGAGGGTAAACAGGCGGCGGACCCACCAATCAAGGTCTCGTAACGGTTCACTGCGGCCATGGAGTTGTTGGCCCAAATGCCGCTCGTCATGTTGTACGTTAGCATTCCGGGGACTGGCGTTCCTAGACTGCCTGTAGCAAAGGAATTGTCGGTCCACACAGAGCCGAAACCACCGGCATAGAACCCCATACCATTGCACGTTGTGATTTCGGCCACAGTGCTCCGCTTGATCGACATGAAGACATCTGGGTTCGCTGCCGCCTGCTTGCTCCATGAGCCCGCGCTGCCCTCTTGTTCAAACCTCCAGAGATCACGGGTCTTGCTTAGGTTTCCCCACGGGCCCTGGCCTCCCCACATGTACATAGACTTCGTGGACTGGTCAACCCATAGTGCCGCACCATCAAACACGGGTGCAGTCTTAGCGATCGGGGTTATCGGCACGGTCTGGTTGGTCCAGGAGACACCGAGAGGGATCGTGAGGGTGTCGTTCACTGAAATGACGTGAGCATCACAGAAACTGCATCAAGGAGCGTTCCCGGCGTCACGACTGACTTTGATATGTAGATTGTCCCTGAGAAGCTTTGCCATCGTAGAGTAGCGCCACCTCGCCTCCATCAATGTACAAGGTTTTGCCGATAATGGCGACTGATCGGTTGAATTAGTCAAGGTGTGCATCCCGACGGCGTGTATCGCATTATTTACCAGAGTGGCCTGTCCTACGAATGTAGTCACTCGAGGAGTAGGGGTCGACAGCGACTGCGCAGACGCTGAGCCAGCCGAGCAGAGCAGCGGCACTACGCCATGAAGCCATCGCGACTTTGGTCGCGAGAAGGGAAGAACTGCCCCAAGCGGTGCTTTGAAGAGACGAAGGAACTGGAGCAGTCTTGAGACATGGCAACCAATCCTGGCTTATGACCTATTATTAATGTAAGCTTATATCTTTCGCGAACCCTTGTCACGACTTCATCTGCAGGGCCCGCGTTCAGAGGCTGGGGGCCTTATTCTTCGGCGATCACAGCCGCGGTGATCACAGCCGCTAGTTTTGTAGGGCGCTAGGCGACGATGGTCACTTCCGTTCCAGACCCTCTCTCATCGAACTTCCGAAGCGCGTGTTACATGGGTTATATACCGTCCAATTGCGATACATACAATACTTATAAGTTATTTGCAAAGTTGGGAGCAACCAAGCTGCAATTCGCGAAACATAGACAGCTTCCAAGACTGGCTGGGCGGCAATTGCTGGCCCATTAACGTGCCCAGCAGGGGCGGTGCCACCCAGGCGGTGCCCTACCCGGCAGGCTGGTGCAAAATTTGGCTACTAATTTTGTCCTAGGCCGCAGTGATAACCAATCCCGAGGCGAAATGCCATCGACGATGCGTAAGCACTAGGCGGTATGCATTCATATTTCCCAACTCAGAAGGCTTGGAAAATTATCTGCGATCGTCAAATGAACCTTGGCACAGCCGGTGTATGGAAAGTTGTCGTACATGACTTGCGAAAGTCATGTATTGCATCAATACAGCAACTTGTGATCAAAGATTTGGTCGGACAGCTCAGTTGAAGCTAGTCATTTCTGATGTTATTGTTTTAAGAATTATGTAAATAAACATTGCCAAGTGTCTTGTATGTGTTGTAGGGTTGACCTCACTGTGTATGCGCCGTGCTCTAAGAATGTAGGAATCCGCTTAGGGAAAGAAAACCTGATGGGCAATCCCCGAATCCGTATGACATAGTAAAAATTAAAGAATTGGCTGAACCTCACCCATATATGCGCCTAAAGAGTAATCTGGATCGTCTTGGCCACGCTAGGCACTCCGGTACTTGACAGCGCAAACAGGTAGTAGTAGCCTGGGAGAAGGATACCGGAGTCTTTTTCTAGGGTGAAGCTGTACTGCGTTCCACTCTGTGTAGTGGTGCCGATCGGGATGCGCCTCTGGTCGGTGTTGATAGAGTGTGTTGCAGAGCCAATCCTGACTAGAGAAAACTTGACTCCTCCAGCCGCGCTGCCCATGGTGACGCTCAGGTTGCTGCCGACTCTCATTGAGTACGATGAGACTGAGCTAATCACTGGGCGAGTTGCTGCGGTGTTATCTGAGTTGAACAGATATGGAGGAGTAAAGATCTGGCCGTCGGCGTGATTTACAGCAAGGTTACAAGCGGCATCCGATGCGCCCTTCGAGCCAACGTAGCATAGCCCTCCACCGCCGCTGAACACAGTGCCGTCGGGCAAAAGGAGTGAGACGGAATGGTAGTTGCGAGCCACTGCTGCCGATGCGAGTGTCTTCCAAGTCTTGGTGGTGGGATTGAACAACTCAGCAGCCAGGGCCCCGTCCGTGTCTGTAAAGACGTGCGCTACTTTCTGGCCGCCGGTGACTAGGACAGTCCCGTCTGGCAGCACAACACCATTGCCGAATGCGCGGGCATACGCCATGTCAGAAACTTTCTCTACTGTTGATCCTTGGTTTGGTTCTCCGATGGTAGTGATGTGTGCCGTCTTCCACGCCGTGCTGGCGTCGTAGTCGGATGCGCCGCCTGCAGAGAGAATCTTCCCAACATCATACATAACATTGATGCCGCACATGGCATCATCTGTATCACGCGTAGCGGCTTGGACAACGGATCCCGTGCCCGCTGTTCCATACCAATGCTGGGTTCTGGACGGACCTGCTTGGAAAACCTGGATTTTGAAGACGTCAGTCAAGCTGGCCAAAAGTTGCTGTGTATGCGCCACAATTCCATGTTGGGCATAATAGCAGAGACCGGACACATACCGATCCGTTTTTCCAGCCATATAACCACCCGTGATTGTCTTCTCTCCAGATGCCCTCGTGATCATCAGTCAACATAACGTCAACTTCTGCCCCAGCAAGGAAAGTCCAAGTGTTGGTGGCAGGGTCGTAGATCTCCCCATCCTTTCCTCCATACCCACCCGAGTAGGAACCTCCGATAGTAAACACGCGGCCATCGGAGAGTGTCGTCGAGGACTGGTAACCACGAGCGACTTTCATATCCGGACCGCGAGCGAATGTATTTGTTTTCGGGTTGTAGATACTCGTTTTCTCAGCATCCGATCCGCCAGTGATGATGATCCTACCATCCTCAAGTTGACTGATTCCGGGGCAGAACATGTCGTGGTTGGTATTAGAGATGGTCTTCTGGGATACTGTCCCCGTCTTCCAATTATAGTCCGCAAATTGAGTCTCGCCACCGGCACCGCCAAAGGTCGTGCCACCCCAGGCTGCAAAAATAAGCATTCTACTCGTGTCGGGTGACTCTGGTACAACATATGCGGCAACAGGGATGATAGGTAGACGAATTATGTCAGACCACTGACCGGTAGCTGCTGGCGTTGCTGCAACTTTGCGCTGGATCACATCGTATCTCTTGTTCCTACAATGCCAAATGTCAGCGGTACTCAGGGGGTGGCTATCATCTGTGCAATAAGAGAAGAGCGTATCGTTTCACGGGTAAATAACATCAAAGTGCCAGAGTTATGTAATGTATGCTGGGGGAAACGACTTACATGGCCCAAATCAGCATTGCAGTAGTGTCTTTAATGTGACAGACGGAGACACTTTTATCGAACACGGCCTTGTCACAACCGGAGGTAGCATCGCAAAGCTTGGCACATGCGGCTGAGGATGCTACACCAGTCACGATTCTCGCCGATGCTCCTTGCAAATCCGTGCCAGGACACGTTTGGAATGTGCCTCTCGCACCAGTATAGCTAGTTTCACTAAAGACGCACCTGGCGATGACCGTACCCTCTGAGAACTGATTGTTGAGAGATATAACATCATATCGGGTGTTGGACACCCATGTCAAAGTCGCTGCCGTGTCTTTGATGTGGCAAACTTTGCGCGAGGTGTCGTAAACTGCTCTAATGCATGTCGAATTTGCAGAACACAGTTGAGCACAGGCCGCAGTAGAGGCAACGTTCTGCGTGGCAACAGCCGTTGTTCCTTGCACTGATGAGAGTCAGCCAGTCTCATCTGCCTCAGTCGTGCTATAACATAGGCATCTTATTGTCTACATAGTTGTACTCAGAGGACAGTGTAGATCGTAAGGTAGGATGGATTAGGAAAATGAGTGACATACAATCAGTATCGGCACAGATAGCGTACTGGGCGCCAGTGCCATCTGTATAAGTTGTCACGGCCGTCGGACAAGTATCGAGAGCTATCGTAACACGAAGCTGCAGCGCCAAGGCAAGTGCCTTGAGTGCTCTGGGGAAGAACATCTTAGGCCGTTGTCAGGCAGAACACAACCCCGAAGGCGAAAACGACAAGTGTTGTTCGACTGTCCCAAGAAACGAACGTAGGCCACAGCCGATGCTTATAAGTACCCAGTACGTAGACAACGTTATACAAGACGGAGGGTGAGAGTGGAGCATTCGGGCCTGCCGGGTGGCATGGCTTTGGTTTCCACCGTGCTGTATATAGATAGACCATGCCCAAGGCCTCAGCATCTGGCCAAGAACGCCTCCTCAGCAATGTTGAATGCAGTCAGCCTGTTGATTTCTGCATTGTCGTGATGTCATGGAAGCAGTCAAGACTCAAGAGACTGACCAACTCCTTCATCAGTGCATAGCGGCCGCTGCACAAGCGGAAAGCATAAGCGTAGGAGTCGGAGCTCGTCGTAAGCCTCTGCGATACCAGAACTGCTCCGGGCCAGGGAATCTACCAGGTCAAAAGGCGAAGAAGATATGGTTTTTCGGCACGACCCGGGCATCCCTGCTAGGCCCTGCTAATCGTCCCCGTCCCAGCTCCCTAGCGGAAATTGTCGCTGGAGCGTGGGATCATGGCAGCCTCAATTGTGGAGATCTGTCCAATGGTGCTTGTGACCGGTACGGAACTCAGCTGGCTGCTGGACCACGGACCACATCGTGCACTCGCCGTGGCTTGAAGAAAGCCATTTGACCAAGAACTAATATATCAGGAGGCGTTGGTTCGGTGGGCCTTCACTTTGGCACGGCGGTGCCGCGTCGTGAACTGATTCGTGACAGTTGCATTGGCTTGCGCAGGTGGTCAGCGACCTGGGTCTTGCCAAGATTCAGGTCGGAGCAAGTCCAACAAAGGAAAACCACGCGTTGTGGTGGACGCCGAGCGCAATGTTGAAGCACGCACGCGATCGGGTGGTATTCAGATCAGGGAAACCCAGGTTGCTGGGACGCTGAGCCGCTGCCAGGCACAGCGTAGTGATCCAATCGGACCTTTCCCACTGTGGATTTGCTCAGGCCAGGATGGGAAAGCCGCTGCGTTCGGCGGCACTCGCCTTTTGGAAGGTCCGTTGCTTATCGCAGAAATGGCGACAGGCTCAGTCGAAGTTGGAGTTGTTCGCTCGAAAACTTGCATGCGCATTACTTTTTCTCTTTTCACTTTCTAAGAATAACCCACTCCAATGCTACCGATGCATTGGTAGCGGAGACAGCGGGCCGGCATTCGTTGTCGACGCGATAGGGGCTGTCCACTAACGGCCGTTAGCAGCTCGAGCGCGGACTGCAGGCTCGACCCAATACCAAGGAAACTGGTGTCAGCGTTGGGTACGACTAACAACAATACAAGCCCGTTCACCATGAACCATGCAGGCTGCAGTGCCAAGGCACGTACCGTCCAATCTCTGTGGATGACTATGTATTGCAACAAGATCTCATTGCTTGTGGCTTAGATCGCACATGACTCTTATCGGTCTGAACACGATCATTCTCCACGGGCAACTCCCTCGATGGTGGAACGGTTCTGCGAAAAGGCTACATTTGCAACTAGCCCCGAGAAACTTAACTTGCCTATGCACTAGCTTATCAACCCGCTGCTTGCAGAAACGTCCAACTAGACCATTTGTATCATTCACACAACCTCCACCGGTCTCAAAGGGCCATCACACAGTGCCGCCTGTTTGCTCAGAAGATACTTCATGGATGACCGGCGTCCACTATGAAAACAATCACTGGTGTTATTGCGGGCCAGCAGAAGCTCGTACTGCCTCAGGGTTCAACATGGTAGTGGGTCTGAACGAAGATTTCGTATCGGTACGGTGGGAATTCGGCAACAGTATTGCCGGCCTGGTACCAACCCTGTACTCACCCATGCTCGTACCTGCGCCTCACGCCCTTTAATATAACTGGAAAATCCTGAGCTTACTCACAGGTGAGTGAGACCCTTCACCACAAACTGAAACAGGGTGGATGCGAACACGGTAGGAAAGAACCCTCAAGGCAACACACCGCGATCTTGCAGCACGAGGTGCCATCACCATTCCATCATCATACACAGAGTAGTGGGTTTTCACCTTTAAGAAGTGCAATCCACCTTCCGCACGAAAGTCTCATCCCTGAATCTGGATTGGCAGAATGCTAGCCTTCAAGCATATTTGATTGTACGCACTTTTTGACTGATTACAGGTAGAAGCATCATCCCTGGTCCAGGTTTGTTCGCTTTGCAGAGAAGACCACGACAGGTGAGTCCATCTAAACGGGGGGTTTCCCCTCCAGAAATCATGCTCGTATTAGTGTAATACATGCTATTTGGCGAGAAACGGTTGTGTTTCTCTCCTGTATTGGATAAGTCACGACCCCCCAGCTCCATGTAGCTTGGTCTGATAAAAAATAGTGACATTGTTTCAGTTACCTCCAAAGCTTCTGTTGGCTCTGGTTATGTTCGGGCTTGCATTCGAGTCTATACCAAGCCAAATCCGAGGTTTTGCCGCCTTCAACGTACACGGCACAATTCACTGCTACAAAAATACTAGAAAGTTGTGAGAGCAACTACTTTGTGCATGCAGGTGTAGTAAGAATCCATGGTTGTACTTGCACCCCATTCTTGAGGCGTTGGACAGTGACACATATACATTCAAGCTTGCATTGACAGCTACAGGCTAGCCAAATATTGTGCGCAGATTGGACTCCTCCATGACTTCAATCCAATGAGTGTAGTTGGCTCCCGGCTTCTCTGAATCATAACTAGTCCAGATGGCTTGTACCAAGCTCTTGGCGACGCGTACAGGGGCTGGTGGGAGGGTATGCTCAAGCGCACTTAGTCTTTCCATAACAAAGCGTCGTGCATAAGTCACTTCGATAGATAGTCTCGTGATAGTTATTTGGGGTTCCTCGGAGTTACCATTGTCCAAGGACGAAGGAATGGTCGGGTCGGGGCTACTTGAAGCTCCAGAATGCATACTTGACAGATCGCTCATTGCGCGTTCTGCCAAGCGTTGCTGCATGAGAGTTTCTGTATCAAATCGGAGCCCAGTACTCGCTGACAGGTATAGCAACGGCTGGATGCACCTGGTTCCAGAGTTAATCGGAATCCCTTGCAGAGTCTTGACTAGGCGAAGGCTGAGGGGGACTATCCAGTTGTCCCAAGGTACAAACCCGGCAAGCTCCGTGGCGTCTTGAGGAAGGCGTCGAGCAACCAAGTCTGGGAAGGTCTGGTATAGTTGGAGTAGAGATGCCAATCGGTAACCTTCAGCGACGTCAATGAAATGTGATTTTGGTGACATTCGATCCCCAGTGTCGCTGATATCGTGGGGATCGTATTGCTCGATACTCAGAAGCTGTTCTTCGATGTCTTGCGCTTCTTTGATATCCTTTAACAGGGTCTCCAGGCTCTTCTTGGTGGAGACAGCTCCTGGCTTGTGATGACGCCGGAATCTACGACAGAGCCGCACTGCTTGCGTGAACAGGCTTTGGGCATTAGCAGAAATGCCTGTCCAAGGGTGCGGTATGATTGGGCGGGTCAGCTCCTTATTCGAGGGCTCCTTGAGTTTGGGAATGCCCAAGTCGTCCTTTTCGTCGGAGACAACCGCTACAAGCATGTTCCAGTATATGACACTATTGTTGAAGAAAGACATCATCTGTCGATCCTGAATGGACAAGTTGTTCGAATCCAGGTTTATTCGCCTCAGAATGTGTTTCGCTTCCCGTAAAAAGGAGCCCCCTATCTCTTTGGTATCAATCCAGCACGCCGCAGTTCCAACGCAGCACAACGCCAAAAGGAGCTCAGTAGGAAACGTTCCGACCGGCTGTTTCTGCGCGACTTGGAGGTCTTTCTGGATTGCTTTGATTGCTGACCTGAGATGCGAAACAGCAACCTGTCTCATCTGCGGCATCTGACTGCTGAGGCATACTGCTGACATGCTCTGAAGACAGCTTCTTACTGCTTCGCTCTTGGTCCAAGACTCATGTGCTAGCCTCCGGTTCAGATTCACGTCAGAGTCAAACCCTGACCACATGGAGCAGACCCGACGGAACCATTCTTCCACCAAGATAGATGCACTGTCATTGATCGTGCGCGGAATTTGTGAAAATATTGGTTGGTATTTGGGGCTGGCAGCTGGGCCAGCAGTCCAAAATGAGAAAGGGGACTGGTCTCCTGGAGTGTTGAAGAGCGAGAATGACTGGTCAGAGAACTGGATATCGTTCTTTGAAGCCCCCGCCGGCACTATCTCATGAGACTGAGGATCCTCTTGCCATATATCCTGGAGCAAATCTGCTATCCCGTAGTCGTATTCCGGGAGCATCAAGTTGTCTAATGTCGGCGGCGAAGACTCGTCGGTAATACCGACCAAGACATCCGGGTGGCTATTGCCACCCAACGCTGAAGGATTATTCAAGGTAGAATCCGAGTCAATGGGGGTGTCTCCTATTGAACCCGGGGGTTTCTTCTGCCCTTGGCTGTTGTCCCTGGGTATTGCCTTGGAAGTCGCGGTGACCAAGTCTCTGAGATTCGAGGGACCTTTGGCTTTCCCTACCAGGCTCTTCTCGTGCTTGGTAGACCATTTAAATGACTGCGTGTAGCCGGGGCAAGTCCTGCCATTTCTCACACACATAAGGCATTCAGGCTTCGTCTCATCACATTTGAGCTGTATCTATGTCTGAGTGGCTGACTATAGAATATATGTTTGCGGCGAGCTGGGATTGACTTACGCGTTTGGCCTTGCACTGTGGGCAGCCATTACGAGACCTGGTCTTGGTAGGGTTCTTGGGTTTGGCCTTCGCAGTGGCAAGGCCTCGCTGTTGTCGATCTCCCGTCCCAGTGGACTGCTGTGACATGACGGTCGTCGGTTTACGTAAGCCCTTGGAGACGCGCGCAAGTCATCCAATTGGGAATAAATATCCGCTGGAGCACGACGAAAGACTTACCCGCGATGAGGTGCCCCGTTGCGATGGACCTCGCGCGGAGAAAATCTAGATTGGAACAGCCACGGCGGAGGAAGAATACGACGGAGGGGTAGAGTTGCCGGTTTAATAACAAGTTCCACGGCTGCGGCTAGCTATCAGACCAACGGGCGCGCAACGTGCGAACGCGACGGGTTATGCGGGATTGGAGCTAATCGGGCTCTCCCACCACAACCCGTTTGCTCCAAGCACTCTGAAGGCGACCAATCCGCCGCCGCTGGGTATTCGCAGAGGGTGCGTAATCGGCGCGACCGTCATGAAACAGGGTTGCCCACGTTCGCCAGCAATCTGCGGGCTGTCAAGTGCCCCGTAGATAGAGTTGGGGATGCGCCCCATGCTGAAAATGCGGGGGCGGGCGACGCCGCGCGATAAGACATGGCAATGATAGCATGCCTCTATTGGGCAACCTGATGCTGTCCCAATCAGAGGCCATCACGTTTGACAGGACACATTGTGGGCAAGTTGAAGGCAGATAACCCAGTCAAAATGTGGTGCACATCTGTTGTGCCAGAGTTTTATGCACCATGTACCTATGCAAGGCCCGTCACTCTTATAGGTGACATTGCCAGTGAGTTCCTTCCCACTAACTCTTCATCCCAACCAAGCTCACAACCTGCAGAGAGACTAGCGCGAGGCGACATCGATAAGATAGAGATCGCCATGACGCTCCTCGATCTGTTTGGAGGAACGCGGCTGCTTCCCGCCCCATTGTTGCTCTTGGTGATTATATCAGTCGTTGTTTTCACGCGCATCCGAACCCCCAGCAGAAGACCAAGCATCAGCCAGTCCAGAACGCCTCAAGATGGGACATCACAAAACAGGAAGTGCAAACCAACCAAGGCGCCACGACTACCAGGCCAGTGGACCCCAAGTGACTTCGTCTTCCCTACGCCGCCTCCATACCCCAACTGGACCTTGGAGTCAACGAAGCCGCTCCCATACAGAGCCTTCAGATATGGTCCAAAGTATAATATCACCATGGGTCTTCGCTCCTCACCTTACGAGGACTGGATCCAGCTTGATAGCCACTACCCTAAATACCACTCAGACAAAGCAGCCAGGATTGAGGATAGGGGCTCGAAGTGTTGTATTACAGCCCCCGAAGCATATCCGGCAGCCCTTGAGCTTCTTGAAGAGCTCACAGCTTACCTGCCATGTCGGTACCCGGCACTATTCAAGCGTACATCTACAGGTATCTCAAACATATGGTCCGGAGAGTCATTTGATATCACTGAGAGGCCGCTGAAGGAGGATCCAATGATCATGTGTGGTCGTCTGGTTCAGGACGACCTAGCGTTGATGATCGAGAGGCCCGACGGACAATATTATCTGCTAGCAGGGGCAATCTTGCTCGCAGGTTTCTGGCGACTGGAAGACAAGTTCGGCATGCCACTATGGAAAATCCACACATCTGGTGACGTGCCACAGTTCAAAGAAAAGCTAGAGTGTGGCATGACGAAATTCTTCTCCCGACTGAGGTGCGAAGAGCTCTATACTCGCAACAACTACTTCCTCCAAGTCGACGACTCATTGCCCTGGAGTTGGAGCATCGGGGACGAAGACAGCCCCGAGGTGAGCTGGGATACGGCAGAGAAGAACCGGGCCGTTGAGCACCACTGGTTCCGTTCTGAGAGGCAATCTCTCCGGCGACTTCCCAAAACTGGAGCTGTTTGCTTCACTATCCGCACATACTTCCACCCCATCATGGAAATTGCGCAGGAAGACTACGTGCCTGGGAGGTTGGCAAGTGCTATACGTAGCTGGGGTGACGATGTCGCCAGATACAAGGGCAAGGAGCGCTATGGAGATGTACTACTTGAGTACTTGGACAAGGAGCATCAGAAGCAGCTAGATCGAGGTTTGGATTTTGCGCGTGAAGATGATATCCGGCAATACCCCTGGTAGCAAATCGAGGTAGTCCGTTTTTCCACGGCATAGCCGGCAACAAGACAGGAACGAAAGATCCCCTTATTGAATGTAGATAATATCGGTGCGCCTGAAATCAATAACGATAAGGCTATAGCTGGTTCCCTATGATTGTTTTATTCATATATAGCGGTGACTGATAGCAATAAGTAACCCAGAGACTACAAAAGTAGGTCGAAATCATGCTTCCCAGAGTAGTCAAATGAAACAGCTTCGATTTTTCAAATGACTGTCATACAGGCACAAGGGAGGTCACACACATATTATTATCATTATCATTATACTATACTTTTTGTTTCTTTCACGTTCATTTATTGGCACGTACGGCTTCTGGTGACTCCAAGTGCTGCTTATTGGTATAAGCTGATTGGAAGGTGCGAATATCGCTCAATTGCAAGCTATCAACCTCATCAGGTATATGCGCGTCTAAAAATCGCTCTCTTTTCTCTGTCCAACGTAAAAGGCCAAGCCAAAGCCTGAAGTCGTAAATGTGATAGTTGAGCCCTTAGGGAAGAAAAATACGTCGCCCTTGGTGGCTGTAACTTTCTGACCAGTCTCATCGGAGATGGTGAAATCTCCTTCTATTGAGGCTTCCTGTCAGAAGAAGAAATCCTTACTTGGGTAACAATTATCACTTACCCAAGATAATCTTCATCTCATCATACTTGTATGTGTATACCAACGGCTCGCCTTTCTCTAACCTATAGAGGCCTGATGAGATGGGCTTCTCAGGGTTGCTCTTATCTGAAGAGAACAAGTCTCCTAGATATGCATTGTCTCCTGCCAGGAGGGGGATCTTGTAGGTTGACTGTGCTTGAGGGTGATGGGAAAATGCGATAGCGCTAGCAGCCATGATGTCTTTGGATATAAGGCGGGTTATACGATTCAGATGTCAGACTTTTCAGCAATAAATTAAGCTGAATAAATGAAATTTCTAATGATTCGTATCAAATCCGTCAATAGCACTGCCCCTCAACGTCGCCATATATATATATGTCTTACTGTGGCCGACGAGGACACACTAAGGGCGCTGATATCCAACTCCAAATGGTGACATTGCTTATTCTGGGGCTATTATACAACGATAACTATTGAATAAAAGTGGTCCTAATTGGAGTAGTTTGAGCGGATTGCAGCTAGAAACCCCGACTTTGTCATGCATTATGCGCCATACGCGCCATATGGCCGCCTCATGGATATTTTTGCCTATTGCGTTCTAGCACGCAGTCGGAAGGTTTGCAAATCTATGCGCTAGAGCCCGTACGTTAGCCCAACAGTCAACCGTACAGTGAGTGGCACGTTAAGCATCAGCTCTCCTTTCTTATTATCCGTGTTGAACTGCAAGCTTAACACGTCATGCTCAGCCCAAGATAGCAGATTCCGTGCTAAGCCGAGCTGCACACGCTACTCATTTTTCTTTTTGTATGCTTCACGTGAATGAAACATATTTTCTGTATCTTGTCTGACACAGTCGTGCGACGTAGTTTATTCGTCTTGTAATTACCGCAGCAACCGCGTGGCCTCGAAGCGCTTAGACATGGAATCCGTTCTTGGAATCACCGTGCCTCGTGTGATGGGTATCAATTATGATAGGTGGATCTGGTTACTGATGACCTCTCGTCTCCCAGGAACCTGTACAGTTACAACAAACGAAACCGCCCTGACTGCTCGTGCTATGATACATTCCCGAAAATTGATTCCGAACAAAGTGAGATATGAGGGATGGCGTTTGTTATGAAGTCTCGCCTCCCACCTTGAGCCCCGAATCCATAATAATCAGTGCACTGGTTACCGCCATCACCTCCCAGGTCCAGCCGAGGATGCGACTTCTTCCCGTCCCAAGAAAGGCGAATCGCCAGTCGCCGTGTGGGCCGTGCTCGTCGCCGGAGAAGACCGCGACGATCTCGGCGCCATCGGTTGTCTTGGGCCACGCGCCGCGGGGTCCGGCCAACTCGTCCGTAAAGGCATCCTGGGCCAGGCGTACCAGCTTCCACCCGAGCGACTGTCCGCCACCAAGTGCTCTCCTGATGTTGTCGTTGTTGCTACTTCGCCATTCAAAGTGTTCACGTCGCCCGCTGACGTCTGTCTCGATTGCGAATTTGAACACAGGCCTCTTCTGTGCTCTCCAATCATTCCCCGCTGAAACCAGCTCGAAACCAGCCTCAGGCTCGGCACTTCTTGGCGGCAATCTTACTTTCCACATTTTTGGAGACCCGTCGATGAAACGAAATGACGCAAATGTCGCATCTTTCAGAGAGAGGCCATCGTGAATAATCACGTCTGGCTTGTTGCCCTGAGGGTGTTCCCTCCGGCTGATTGCGTACAAAATCTGGTGCTTGTACTCGGACAACACCCACTTTGTTGACGAGTCAGGGCTGTATGGGGAGATGTAGAACGTGTCCGGGAACGCGCGACCAGCGCGCTCCACAAGGCTCGCTGAACCTTTTACTGCAATGGCTTCCACATACGGTGGTGGGAGGCTCCCGGCCTCGACGACGAGTTCCGCCATGAAAATAGGGGCTGACTGATAGTGTCGGCAAGCGCAGGCTCAGAATCGATGTGGTTGGGGATACCGAACGATGGAATAGACGAACGAGGATTGTCTTTCCTCAGCAGAAGCCCTGGAGGATGATGCGAAAACTAGATTTAAATACGTCCCACGAAGATTCGGGACGTTCTGTCACTTGCAACTTCAGACGAAGCGGTGGGACTCGGTTCCGGGGCAGTGGTCTGAGTCGTCTTACCCCAGACTTGAAGTGTGGAGATGGGGCTAGTTCACGTGGTGTTTTCTTAACTTGGCGCATTAAGGGCTAAGACAAAGTGTGCCCATCCCAAGAACTTTTGTTCGCTGCCCAAGAGTTCAATCATTCGATCAAGATGCAGATACGTATCCACATCATAACTAGTATATACATGAATCGCTAAATAGCAGGCGCTCAACATCCTTCGCTTATTCCAACCGAGTCGACAGCCGAAACACGCCGACATACTGCTTAAACACGGAATGAATCTCGGAACGCCCTTTTGCGCTGGGCGCACTTGGATGGCGGAGTTGACGAAGCTGTACCCTTGGCAGCAGAGCCGGATGGCGCCGTCACCGTAACTGCCGTGGAGCCGCTGGAGGAAGCAGAGTTTGCAGCCGCGGCAGAACTTACAGGGAGAGCCACTAGCACCGACAGACGTTGCAAGATCCGAAGTGAAGCTGATAGCAGAGCTGGTGGACAGTATCACCGCCCCCGGGTCGGAGCCTGAGCTGCCTGACAAAACCGGTTTCGCAGGACCTGCGGAGCCTGTGACAAGGCTCCGGACTTCGCTGGCGTCAACGGGCTCGAAGAGGAATTTGGTCAGACTAGAGAAGGCAGAGAGAGCATTCGAGGACTTCAGGGATGGGAAATTACCGCTGTCCGTCGAGATCTAGTTCACAACACAGTTACGGCCGATGGCAGATGAACAGGCACTCGCTGCTGATGAATCCGGAACATTGTAGAAAGTGCCAACGGAAGCTGCTTCCTCGGTAATAGGAGTGTCAACAGCGTCGAACATATTTCCTTCTACTAGGATGGAGGCTTCATTGTAAGCATCAAAGACATAACCTTCCATGTTCGCAACGTAATTGTTGGTGGCCTGGAATGTCCCGGTGACACCATCTTGCCCGAGCTTTGGCGCGCGGCCAGAAACATCGTCGAAGTAGTTCTTGTCAACTGTGACTTGGCCGCCATCCGCGATGAACATCTTAGTCCAGTAGTGGTTACCATTGCAGGTCGCTGACGTGATGGTCACGCGGTCGAATTCGTTGTTTGGCAATGTGATTCGGGATCCATCATAGTGAGAAACAACAAACATGCGGCCGACGAGCGAAAACTTGCAGTGGTCTACCCAGACGCCGTAATTGTTCTCTTGCATGTCTAGCGCATCACCTCCCCAAACATACTCTGGGTTGATGTTGGTGAACTCGATCCCTTGGATGATGACGTTGCTGGCGCCTCTCTTTAGCGAAAGACCCTTGCCGTTCAGCGCGCCCTGCCATTGCTGCTGATAATGCTCTTGTTGCTTCCAACTGCCAATGCGCTGGGCCCAGCGGCATCGTATGTAATCGAACTGATTGCAGAGTTACCCGAGCCACCGCAGGAAAGATCTCCAATGTATAATTGCCCACCGCTGGTTAAGGGGAAGCTGATACGAGAACACCCAGCTTCGGTCGTAGTTGTTGCGGTAAAGTCGTATTCCTCCTCATCAGTCACAATGACACGTGCAGTTTCATCAGAAAGCCATTCCGCCAGTTCTTCAATATTGGCTGGGGCAGCTGCCTTAGCAGATCCACCACCAGTCACTCCAGTAGCAAACCGGTACACAGTACCTGATACAGCCTGTGCCGCCACAGCTGACACCGCAGTCAGAGCAAGTATGGAAGCAACAGCATAATGAAGGAAGGGGCGATGGGGCAATGAAGTGGAATGAATGAATTACAGAGAGACCGTTCAGGCCAGCCGACGATTTTGTAGAAGGAATAACCAACAAAAATGAAGAAACGAGTGTTGGCGGTTGACGACCGTCAGAGAAGAGATACGATCCACAGAGGTGCGAGATCACAGAGCGGCTCCTTCTTGATATATTGCGACGGCTCTTAGATTTTATGCATCAGCGGAGAAATGACCTGTCGGCGTGTTGCCAAGATCGTATTCTCAACCGCTGCATGTGTGTGGTAAACAAGCACCCTTGAAGGACCCTCATGAAGCCACGGCGGACTGGTTCCACGCAATCACGGGCGGCGCTTGCTAATGCTAGCGACAGTTCATCCCCTGTACTCAGGCGAGCCCTAGCGACATGGATCTGTTAGGTCCAAATGACCTACCGCCCACCGTCCCCGCCCCCCTTCTCTCTCGTTACCAGCCGGTTACCTACCCTTTTTGCCATGATCAGCAGCCTCTACTCCCCAAAGCGGCTTGATTTTGCGTAAGGGTCAGGCTTCAGGGTCAACAAAGCCATGGCATCCCTCAAAGAGCAGGACTAAAAGGTGCGTTCCCGACTCGAAATCGGGATAATATCCGTTCTGAACTGTAACAGCGTGAATACAAGAAGCAGCAAATGACATCAACGCAAATTCGGAGAGCAGTACCATGATAGAAGATGTGTGCAAATTGAAATGAAGCCTGGGTACCGAGCCAATACAGTTCCGGGATAAGGGTAGCCTCTGGAGGCACGACCATTGCTACGCCGAAACGGCCGTGGGTAGTGAGAGCTGGACAGAGGACAATAGTGGGAGACTCTGTCGAGCTTAAGTTGGTTGAACTAAGGGATCTACACGATGGTTCACCGCCATCTAGCCAAACATATAAACAATTCCCAGATTTTGAACTTTTGTACTTTCCAACCCCATTCAAGATTTTCTCACCTTTCGCTTCACGGAAAGAACTTTTGTATCACAAGCCCTTAGTATAAGTTAATACCAGCCCGTGGCAGGGTCAAGATGCCCAGGTTTTATTGTCAGCCAGATGAGGAGAGCCAGGTAGGTGCAGGTGTAGCTTGAAAGGGGCACTGGCCGTATGGTAGTAACACGAGCCTGTCTTCCTAACAGAAAGGTACCATGATTGTCAGCATCGTATGTCATACTTTTAGGAGTTCCCTTGCACGCGTTCGGATCTTCTTAGGTTCTCTTACTGAATTGTCTCACCATAGTTATTCAAATTTACGACCGTTGATTTCGAACACGATCTGAAATATTATTTGCCCAAGGAATACAGTTGACGAACATTGAATCAGGCAATTTTGTATGCATTTCCAAGGAGAATCATCATGTGCCAGGCCAGGCAGTGTCCGAATCTGTCTTTGAAATTTTCCATCCGCCAGGACAAAGCTTTCGGAATACCTGCTGCGGACTTTATGTTGCTGCTACCATCCTCATCTTGGATATGTTTTCATACCTGTAGCTTTTAAGAACCTGGGACATATCCGCATAGTTCATATATATCCATGAGAAATTTCCGCTGTCGACAGTGATCCTTGCATATTCTTGGATAGTTCTATCGCAGATCTGATTTTTGGATATACAAGTGCCTGCTGCTCGGGTGTCTTCATCACAGCCGACAGCAGTAAGAGCACACCGTTGCTTGAATGACGTTCTAAGCCCATGATATTCCCACCGGATGTAGATGAGTGCTCAGCAATGAGCTTTGGCACATGTTGAAGGATTACAAACAATGTCATACCCCTCATGGTCTCGTCCCTTAATCTTTTTCTGGTATTGTGCACACAACTAAATAGTATATTCGTAGGGTACATATAGCCTTCGTCAGACTGGACAAATCCCCGGACAGATGAAAATATGAAGATGTAAAGGCACAGGGACGTGAATTGCTAGAACTAAACGCCAATGGTATCAATCGTTGAGACCATTTGTTGGAGGTGCACAGGTAGGAGCTGATCTCTCCACTTTGACAAAACAACAATAATAACAAACCCGCCTAGGTGGAATTATCCACGATATTCAAATTGAAATCATCAGACTTCCCCCTTCTTTACCGCGTATCCGTTTCATAACACGTCAACGAACTCTAGTGTCGAGTTACATACACGACCTCCGTCTTCAAATGAATGCCGCGAATAACGAGCCCGGGACTTTCGGAAATTGTCAGATTCCAGCGGTTCACGCTGGCTCTCCTCCTAAGTGCTTGTTGGGAGTCCGGCTGCCATTGTCGCGTCATCGGTTGGAGTTGGCATATCAGTGCTGGTTGGTTTCTGAAACACAGACGCCACTAGTGTTTGAAACCCCACCGAAGGAACTCGAGCAATGACGGACTGAGGGAATGGAATCGAAATGGGGATAAGCGATGGTAGTGCTGTAAACGATGGTAGCGGCGTAAACGACGGTAGCGGCGTAAACGACGGAAGCGGCGTAAACGACGGAAGCGGCGTAAACGACGGAAGCGGTGTAAACGACGGAAGTGGTCCAAAGGACGACAGAGGTTTACTTTCTGCCAGACCGCCTAGCAGTGCCAATGTGAATAGAGCGAAATAATACATGATTCAAGACAATAGGTCTATAAAATAGGGTTCGAGTTGAGTGATACGTTGTGAATGGGTGTTGCTTGACGTTTCTAGACACATCGAACGAGAAACACACTGAACTTATATATCTCTGGCCTGGTGTACGTCGCAGTTCCAGAAACGTCACTGGGGACAACGTGGTAACCTCAATCTCGGTGCATCCATCCGCAGGATGTAATGCATACGGTCGGGAGTGACTCTGCATCTTACGGGTGTTTGGGCTTCAAGGCGTTATGATCCTACACGAGTTCATACGATAGTATCGCATGAACATGCTCCGGTGATACGCCCCTTAGTGGCTCATAGCACCCTGTCCTCTAAACGAAAAGAAGGATTTTTTATCCTATTCTTTTCTATACTAATTCAACTCTGCTTGTATCATCTTGGAGCGGTCATACACGAACCACGTTTTGGAACCCTCCAGGTTGCATCGTTGTACGGAGGTTGGAAATCCAAGTGAGTTTGATCAGCCAATCATTGTGGGGATTGTCTGGTAGATCTAGGACCATGGAAATTTCAAGGCATGTAGCCCTACAGTCCCTGGAAACGCCGAGTAAATTGATTTTGCAAAATTAAATGTACTTCGGCCGTTGTTAGGGACTAGCATACCTCATCTGACGCGAGCGGGGCCCATAGATGAATATGTCCAAGCAGATAGGGTTTGTGTGCATCTGAAGCTCAGATGCTTTTTGCGACATGTTATCCGTGTGATGGGGTTCATGCAGGTAAGGTTTCACTTGATGGTTCACACGTGGGAATAGATTTTGCGGCAAGCAGGACCTGGGTAGGCCTAAGATCCTGTCAGACCTAAGGATTCTTGACTCAATGCCGAACATACATCCGGCGCGATACGAACTGTGATCCAAAGCCTTGCATTGATGGATACGAGCGTGACATTCTTTCAAGTTTCACCAACGCTGACATGTCAGCTGCTCCGTTACAGCCTCCAAGCCCCCAAATCAGCCACGTTTACAATGTAGATGGAATTTCAAGAAACGATGCAAAATACCACCATCAGGGTGGTCTTACCTGTAGCGCGAGCTTTCTTAGCAAGCATATAGCCTACGTCAAAGACCATTACCCATAGACCACTTACAAGCCCTTTATGATGATATAATAATGCACAGCATACACACGGGTGTCATACTGTTATCTTCGCATTGCTGGGTACAAAAGTACGTGTGGAAAAGTGGACGGCAAGCCCTAATCCTATTCTGCTTTACCCCTCACAGCGACATAAAGCAGCTGCAGATCAAGGCGCATACTGCAGCGAGTTGAGGCAATAACCAGCGATACACGATGCCAAGATCGCTGCGGTGTAACGGTGGAGTTAGTAAGATTCGCACCTAATTCATGGTCCCCATCCGCTCCCTACTGCACCCAAGCAACCCGTTTCCTGTAGGACTGGAAATCTACGAATAACAATGGTGCTTCGGCACCAAGAAGAATCGGTAAGCGGCGGTGTGCCCCCATTGCCTATCTCCCGATACGCCTAGTGTCTTCAGTGCAATGGGGGGAGCAGTCAGGGACATACATAAGTAATGTTCCCCTCCCTCCCGACTTTTCTCGAGTAATACGATCGCATTCTTTTAACAAGCAAGAAGAATATAATGATGTTATTTCGTTGCGCATTAAATTTGATTTTATTGGCGACAAGCCAGGCTCATGAGCGGGTCCTGAAAGACAATATTCGCAAAGATGATGTCTTCGACTATGTGAGTGTTTTCAGCTAATACCTCAAAGACTAGATGGCGTAGAAACCATCTCACTTGATACCATACCTTTCACTAACAATGAGGCTAGATCATCATAGGCGGAGGAACAGCCGGAGTGGCACTGGCAACGAGACTGAGCCAAGGATTGCCAGACCGCAGCATACTTCTCATTGAGGCTGGCCCATCAGCCCCGCATGAACTCAAGATCAATGTACCTGGAATGCGTGGGTCTACCATTGGTGGGCCATTCGATTGGAACCTAACCACTGTTCCCCAAAATGAATCCGCAAGGCGAGTTCTCATAACGCCCCGTGGAAAGATTCTTGGAGGCAGTTCAGCGTTCAACTTCATGCTGTGGAATCGTGGCAGCAAAGCAGAGTACGATGGATGGGAGGAACTTGGAAACACGGGCTGGAACTGGGATTCTATAAGAGAAAGCATGATGAGCTCGGAGAACTTCACCAATTTGAGTCCCGATGAGGCCGGCGACGCAGGTCGAGGAACGGATGGCCCAATACACACAGCTATCAGTCGGTACATAACAAAGCAACAGCGCCTTTTTATCTCGGCTCTGGAACGCCTGGGAGTCCCTCATAATGTTGAGTCCTTGAACGGTACACCGCTGGGGGTCATGAACCACCCGAGCAGCGTCGACAGCATTACCTGGGCACGATCGTACAGTGCAAACTCGTACCTACCTCTTGCTGGGTCAAACCTTCAAGTTCTTCTATCGACACAGGTAGCGCGAGTGAATCTTAAAACTAGCTATAATACGAATGTCAGAGCAGCTGGAATAACGCTAAGTGATGGCTCGGTGATCCAGGCAAGCAAGGAGGTCATTCTGTCGTCGGGGAGCCTACTCAGTCCCGGCCTCCTCGAGCTATCTGGCATTGGAAAGAAATCGGTCTTGGATGCAATTGGCGTTGATCAAGTTGTCGATTTACCAGGTGTTGGAGAGAACCTGCAAGACCACATTCGGATTTCAATGTCCTATCGACTGAAGCCAGGGTATAACTCGTCGGACGAGCTGTTGTACAATGCTACATATGCTGCTGAACAGTTGACGCTATGGAAAAACCGTGAACTGACTGTCTATGACGGCGTTCCAAATGGGATTTCCTTGTTAAATTGGAAGCAAGTAATCGGTGATGATTCAGGTCTTCTTGGACTCGCGGAAGAGGAGTTTGGACAGTCACGGAACCCCGTTGTGCAAAAGAAGTTACAGTTAGTCAAGGACGATTCTGTGGCAAAGATAGAACTTGTATTCCTGGATGGCTATGAAGGCCTTCAGGGGTATCCGGCCCCAGGAACGCCTCACTATGGGGAGGGATATTTTACCATTGTGGGTGCGGCGATGCATTCGTTCAACAGAGGCAGCGTCCATGTATCATCGCCAGACATTAGCCGACCACCTGAGATTGATCCCCGCTACCTTTCTAGCGAGTACGACATTCAGGCCCTTATAGAGATTGGGAAGTATGTGCGGAAGGTTGCACAGACTGAGCCCCTAGCAAGTGCCCTCATAACCGAGCACGAGCCGGGGGCTACACTTGTCAGCACAGACGAACAATGGCGCGAGTATATCATCAACGCCACAAACTCCTTCTATCACCTGACATCAACCTGTTCCATGCAACCCAAGGATGATGGAGGGGTGGTAGACCCGGAGCTCAAAGTTTGGGGCACTGACAATTTACGCGTCGTCGATGCAAGCGTGATCCCCGTTTTGATTGCATCTCATACTCAGACGGCAGTCTATGCGATTGCAGAGAGGGCTGCACAGCTTATCATTGAGGGCTCACAATCTTGACCCATGGGTTGTTAGTGAAGCGTTGCTGTTTGATGGCCTGAGTTCTAGTGAATGTATCGTAGTAAACAACTCTGGCACGAGAAGACATCTGAAACTAGCGGCCATTCAAAGTCTCACTTGGTCCCCAGTCTTGAAATCTTTTCGTTTATCACTGCCATTCTGAGGATAAGTGCACCCATAGTGCAATCTAGGTGCATCTTAATGATGCATCGCGGTCTAGGAATCTATGTAGAATTTGAAATTGCCAAGAGCTTGGCATAGTTGGGAGATCCCAAGCCAGTAGCAGGATCCCATCCCTAACAGTAATTATCAGCGTCTAGTACAGTTCAAGGATGATCATTAAACTCACTGAGATGGCAGAGAAACCAGCGCCACCAGATATGGCATTACGGCAACCGGTGGTTTTCCCGGTGGCGATATCGTTGAAGCCCGAGCTGGCGTTTCCGTACAGCCAAGGGTTCAAGAAACCAAGACCGGGTTTTCCAGCGGCTAGTCGTGCGCTGTTCAGCAATTGGATAACACCTGCAAAAGATGGAGAAGCACAACTAGTCCCAGAGACAGCCGTTGTTGAACCAGACTCCACAATGCGGAAATTACTGGCAAGAGCGGCGACGTCAGGGTAGGCACGGCCTGAGGCGTTGTAGTACTGAGATACGCCATCCTTGTTGTTGGCAATCCATGCTTTGACAGCGGCTGCTTGGTAACTTGGCTGACCAAAGACCTCCGAGAAACCAGCTCCACCACTAGTCCAAGCTTGCTCTGGAGCGCTGCCTTGTGTACCTCCAACGGTGGTAACCCAGGGGCATGCAGCGGGGAATGCAGTTGTAAACTGAGTCTTGCCGTTGAGTTTGCAGGTCGTTCCAACCGACGAGTCTCCAGAAGCGACCAGTATCGAAACACCACGGGCACCAACCTGGGAGAAGAGGTTGCATACATTGTCGGCGTAGCTCAGAGGGACACTGCTTTCATCGTCACCGTAGGAAATGGAAACGGTGTTCGGCAGGTCCTTGTCGTCGAGGCCTAGCAGATATTCCAGGAATTCGAGATAGGGCTCGTTGGTGTTTGAACCACTGCCTACAATAGGTGGTCGGCCGCCAACACTATAATAGACATTGGGGATCGCGTTCGTGATAGCACGAGCGTACTGGACATCGAGATTGGCCTCAACCCCAACAGAGTTGCCTGGATTGGCAGGGCATTTGCCTCCGTTGATGAGATCACAGGTGTAGCTCTGATCCGTGTTCGATGAGATGGCAAACCTGCTCAAGAATGTTGAGAGATCTGATGTGCTCGGCCACTGTTCGAGGAATCCCGCGATTCCCAACTTGCCGTTGCTCTGCGCAGTAGACTTGGAAGAGGCAAAGTTGTAGAGATTAGAAAGACACTCGGGAGTCACGCCGTTGGAGCAGCCAGCAACTGCGTCAGCAGCATTGATATGGATTGCACTCTCCGACTCAGTAACGGGGGAAACCTTGCTGACGCTGGATCGAAGACCGAAGAAGGTCGTGGGCTGAACCATGCTGACATGCTGCTTGAGGGTGTCGGGAATTCTGTACTCGAGTGTACGGATGACCTGCTGACCCAGTTCCGCATTGTCTGATAAACCGTCAGCGAGATGCCAAGATCGTCCGTTTCATGGAGGTGGCAGGTGAACTTACTGTAAACATCATACTGAGCACCCAGTAGCTTCTCAGCTTGGCGCACGCTTGCCTTCACGACGACCGTATTTCCGCGGGGTGAAAGAACAGCGTCCTGGTCAAGACCCTGTTGGCGGAGCCACTCGAAAACCAGGGATTTCGACTCGTCCCTGGGGGCTATCATGGCGTCAATCACATCTTGAGATACATGTTGCCCGTAGAGCTCATGGCTAGGAGTAGCGATCTGCAAACATTATCAATAAATGCCGTGACTACCTAATTGGACTGACTCGCCGTAGCGAGGATGGTAGTTTTCTTTCTCTTTTTTTTAGGCCCAAAGGTGAAGACTGGGGTTTTACGTACGTTAGTAGCCAGCTCATGGAACTTGTCCATATTCTGGTGCACCAGCTGGATTCTCAACTCCGCCGTCGCCTCGTCCTTGCTGAAAGCAGCGACATTCTCCCTGACCCATCCACTGGGCGGTGCAGGGACCGATTCGAAGACACTGGTCGCCGCAAAGGACCTCTTCTCTTGGCCAAGACCGAGCGTGGGGAAGGCCAAGCCGCCGGCAGCAAGAGCTGCGACCGTGAGAGGACCAGATACGTGCATGATGCCGGGTGTCCTGGCTGGATGGAGGAAAGAGTGCACCGGCGGGACGTGCTGAAGAAACGAAGGTGTGCATGCCAAGTAAAGCCAAGGGCAATCAAGCCTTTTAAGTACTTGCCCAGGCCTACATGGCGGTGATTTCAGCGTGCTGGATCCCCCCGCAGGGACGCTACATTAGCCTGATTGAGTGTCACCAAGGCAGATGCGACCTCAGCAAACACGGCCGTCAAAACCAGAGGAACCAGATGCGGCATGTCAAATGGCTGGCGGGGATGGGCGTTGCGATCGGCTGCCGAGACGGGGATGTGCATCGACGCGCTAGAACCCGCAAAGGAAGGTCGTGGACCGTCCCCAAATAAGGTTAATCAGCCACCTCGGAAGGCGGCCGGAATCTACGTGGGAGACCGGTACCTTTGGTATGGATTATCCATGAGGTCTATTACTACTACTGTATTCTACTTGGACGCTCTGTGGCAACGGGCAGGTCAAGTATTGGCATTGTGTCATCACCCATCTCGCCTCGGTCGTGGTCATTGGGTTGCAGAATTGCCGGTGGCTCAAGGCCGTCCGGTGCTATTGAAAATGGGCTCCTAACCACCGAGACGAGGTACACGATTACTTATGGCTAGACAAGCATCGAAGGATGTTATAAATATCTCCGGGGCTCAATCAACTGGAGAAGGAGCTGGATGACCTGGGACCCATGGGGATGCACCAGGTAGAAGTGCACATCTATAGATGCATAACCCTGAGCATACCGCCGACACGTTCACTACATTTCTCACCTTAGCAAACTAGAAATGCAATCATGACGTCAAGCAAATCCCTACCAATCCCAACTCGCCCGGTCCTCACGCGATGAGCTGATGGCGGAATATGAAGCTGCTGTCCGCGAGGAACTGCTTGCACTATGCATATGCATCAGTTAACTGGCAAGCTTCAAGTAACCAACAGGGAAACTACTTGAGTATCATAGTAAATTCAACGCATGAAAGCGCGGCGGGCGGCATCAGCCGCCGCCTCGGAGGGGGTTCTTGCAGCAGGTACCGAGCTTGGCGCCTTGGCACAGATCGGTAGCCAGGCACATCGCCTAACTAGTTAGGTACCTAAGTTAGGCAGCTAACGTAACTACCATGGTTAGTAATGTCATCCTTTCCGTTAACAAGTTGCTGGAGGTGTCATTAGACATGGGTTGGTTCGATGCCTGACAGCACTAATGGTTTCGCTGCTCTGGCTCAACTCAAGTGTGGCGCGGGGCACATGTGCACCAAAGGGTGTGCTCTACAGCTAGTCGCTAACACTAGAATGGTCCATATTTCCGTCGCCGTTACTTCATGCTGTGTCTTGCCACAGAAACAAGCCTGTTTTTTAATTGTGGATATATGGGAGTTGGTCCGTCTCGGGCCGTAGCGGGTTTCCGAGAATAAGCTATACCTCAGTCACGCAACCTGGAAGTGACCATCACATGACCTCAGCAATAAAGGAGGCCTAAAGTTGAAAATCAATGTCCCGAATGCTGTTGCCTTGACACTTTTCCCCCAACTCATGTTGAACTATCATTTACAATCACCGTGGAAACTGCTTACTGATCTCACTAGACCCGTGCTAATGTAACCAAATCCTGCTGCCTTGACGGGCTGACCGGCAATGTACGGGGTCGGCCCTGGGTCTGCAGCCTCTACGACAACAATATCAATGTAAACATGCAACCTAATAACAATACAAAACGGTGTTGTTTGGAAACTCTCCTGTTGATGACTTTCATGTCAACGCACCTTTTCAGTCTCCTTTCAGCACCGCCTCGTAAACTAGATCGATTGGCGTAACTCCTCACGTTTGGCGTGCACCAGCCGGTTTTACCATACCGTGGAATATTCGATAGTCCAATATGCGTGAAATTGTAAGTACTCCTGGCTTTCGTCACTGATCATGGCTCTTTGTTCTTAGATTCATCGTGGTGAACAATAGTATGTAGTCGAACACCCGGCTGACCTGTACGTCCTCATGAACAGATTCACCTATCAACTGGACAATGCGTAAGTCAGTCGAGAAGGACACCGTCGATAAATCTAACGCAGTGTTGCTTGGTCACAGGGAAACCAGATTGGTTCTGCTTTTTGGTAGGTAGTTTTCTCCGCCATACTGCTTGAATAGTTAACTGATACGGTGCGTAGGCAAACCATTGCCGAGGAGCATGGACTTGACCCAGATGGAAAATACCAAGGCACAACTGAGACTCAGCGAGATCGGATGGGAGTTTACTTCCACGAGGTTTGGCTTCCTTGAGGGGTTTCGGTGGTTTCACTCTCATGACTAATGCCTACAGACACCCAATGGCAGATATGTCCCCCGAGCGGTACTTGTTGATCTAGAGCCTGGTGTGATCGATGCCGTTCGATCAGGACAATACGGCAACTTCTTTCGCCCTGATAACATGGTTTTCGGCCAGGCAGGTGCTGGAAACAACTGGGCCAAGGGACATTACACCGAAGGCGCTGAACTAGTTGATCAGGTGCTCGATGTTGTGCGCCGGGAAGCAGAGAATACGGATTGCATCCAAGGCTTCCAGATCACACATTCTCTGGGTGGCGGCACAGGTGCCGGCATGGGCACCCTATTACTTGCCAAAATCCGGGAGGAATATCCCGACCGCATGATGGCGACATTCTCGGTCGTACCGTCGCCCAAGGTGTCAGATACAGTTGTCGAACCCTACAACGCGACTTTATCAATTCACCAGCTCGTCGAAAACTGCGATGAGACCTTCTGCTTTGACAACGAAGCGCTGCACGATATTTGCAGTCGGACTTTGAAACTCTCTAATCCCTCCTATGATCATCTGAACCATCTGGTATCAACAGTCATGTCTGGTATATCGACCTCTCTACGGTTTCCTGGCCAACTCAACTCAGACCTGCGTAAGATGGCCGTTAATATGGTCCCGTTCCCACGTTTGCACTTCTTCCTGGTCGGCTATGCACCACTTACCAGCATGACACCCGGTGCACGAGCATTCCGAAGCCTCACGGCTCAGAGCCTCACCCAGCAGATGTTCGACTCAAAAAATCACATGGCGGCTTGCGATTTCCGCAACGGTCGCTACTTGACCTGCTCAACGATCTTGTAAGTTGTATACGTTCCCAACTGCATATCACGTGCGCCGTGTCTGATGCTGAAACCGTGCAGTCGTGGTCGGGTATCAATGAAAGAGGTTGAAGATCAAGTTCACAATATGCAGAGTCGAAACTCGGACTACTTCGTAGACTGGATTCCCAACAATATCCAAGCATCGCACTGCGCGGTTGCACCAAAAGGGCAAGATTTGTGCAGCACGTTTGTTGGAAATTCAACGGCAATTCAGGGCATACTGAAGCGAGTCGGTGAGCAGTTCGCGCTCATGTTTCGCCGTAAGGCCTTTCTACACTCGTACACCAGTGAGGGCATGGATGAAATGGAGTTCACAGAAGCAGAGTCTAACATGAATGACCTGATCTCCGAGTACCAGCAGTACCAGGATGCCTCTGCCGATGACGATGCAGTGGAACCTGAATGGGAAGAGGAGATGGATGCGGAAGAGAAGTAGCCGACACCAATCCTTGCCTATATATTGCCGTGAAAAAGGTTGTTCCGCTTAGTTAGTAGTTATTATGGCTTTTGTGTAGACCATCATAATAAGATTGTGAGCGCTAGTTCCAAAATCGGAGACTCGTGTATGTCGGTTGAGTTGCCTGGGTTTCGGAGTTGGCCTATGAAGCGGTTATGCATATCCAACCTGAACATGGTAGCATTCGATGCCTCGCATTGCATACCCTCAGATGGGTTACGATTGGGCTATGTAACGCGCATTCGTTGGCCAAACGGCCCCCAAAGACTCGTGCATGGGGTACTTTGGTTAAGAATGCAGCCAACTTGCAGAAGGTTGAATTTGATTCGTCTAGGCCTATGCATGATAGCGGCCGAGTGACAATTGTACTACCACAGAGATTTCTTCCTCACAGCTAAGATCAGCGCATCACTTGACCCGTGCACCAAGATATAAGTAGCCCCTGAACGAAGCATTGCATGGATATTCATCTTTTCTTTTTATCATTTCGCCCAAAGGTACAAGACACGGTAAAGGCTACTATTGTTACTATACTACCCCCCATTTTGGCTCGTGATTACATATTTGTCCGGTATAACAATTCTTATGCATTATCAGCTGGCTTTCCCGTGTTTGCTCTCTTTCCGACTCATAATGGGACTATCTGGTCGGGTAAAAACACAATTTGCAGCTAGCAGAACTCTGTCAGCGCATACTTCATCCAATACAGACGGAGCCGTGCTGTTTCATCGCCGGAGCTTACCTACCCTAGCTCATACTGACTATGGACTTGGTGAACATTCATGTAAGGAGACTTTAAACGATATTCGCAATAGTTCTAACAGTTGTTGATAGGCATTGACCTCGGTACTCCAGGGAACGGCTTTTGCTGCCCAGACGACATGTATTGCTTTTACGAACCTGACTGGACAATAGGATGTTGTGGCTTTGGCAGTAATTGTGATGAAGCCTGCCCAAGCACCGCCGTCAGGCAGAATGTGACCTCCACGGAAATATCCATTGTCACAACTACTGGTAATTCAACACTTCTATCAACACGTACAATATCCCAAGCATGCTCCCCTCGAGCTTGTGCTGTATCGGAGTACCTTTGCCCCTCAAGTCTTGGAGGAGGTTGTTGTGGAGCTGGGTATAACTGTGAAACCACTACCGGATATGGTTATATGTGTCACTCCGACATTTATCGAACGAACAACATCAGATACATCCTCCATGCCAACGATTTTCCACTCTCCTACTGAATCGATCGGATCCAAGAGCTCCAAGGTGGAGACAATCGGGCTGGGTGTCGGCTTGGGTGTCGGTCTTGTGCTTGTGGTATTAATGTCCGTGATATCTTGGCAGATTTAGAAACGGAACCGCGTTCCTGGATCGTCTGACAACCAGTTCGAGAAGGCAGAACTCCCAGCATCGAACACAGTTCAACCTCAGGAACTAGATGACACAGCTTTACAAGAGCTCCCTGAGGACCAGGGCACCCATGAGCTCGAAAATAGTGACCCTGGTCCACATGAGCTGCCAAGCCATTTTGAATCGAGTGCGCGGGAAACTTAAATAACGGCAACCAAAGGTGTTGTGAGGTCCAGGGGGCGCCGATTCGTGTATGAAGAACGGAATCCATCGAGGCTGTCTAGGCAGAGTTTTCAGGGTACTGGGTGCAAATAGTCTTGAGTCAGGACATAATGAACCGGCCTATCACGGAGTCCACTTGTATCAGCGATCACCTCATGTCCGTTCGTCTTGTGAGAGAACTTGTTTCAGTATTAGAACTCTGTGACTTCGTTTCAGTCATAAGTGCTCAACCAGGCGTCATAATGCATGTAATAATTTCTTTTCATTCACACATCACCTCCAATGTGCCCATCAGAGAAGTGATATGTAAGGACGTATACGAAACGGTACGTGAATAAATCCGTATGATTTCTAGCAATTGGTCTTCGAAGGAACATAATCAATGTATCATGTCAACTCGCAAAGCATTGCTTAAAATACCCAGGCCAAAGCATAGTATTTCGGGTAACGATATTATCTCATATTTATTCAAGCACCTGCCCGTATAACGTGAAACTTCGAAAACAATTACATATCTTGCAATGCTGAGAGCTTACTTTGTGGTGCCTTTTCAGTCTGGCTGAATCTTTCACCTCTTGGAAAGAAGGGGGGTTGGGCTTGAGATACTAGCACATCAAATTTCAATTTTGTCGCGCACCACGGTTAATTTACCTAAGATCAGAAGAAAGTTCATGTCTAGCGATATTCATCCCTGATCTGGCCGAGAGATCCCTAACATATGCCATCCCAATCAATAAGACGCTTTGAAACCTCATGCGATACTATCTAGTAAGGGAACAAATACCCCTGTAAAGGTGAGCCGCACCTTATTTAGGGACCCTGAGCCGCTGGCTCCCAAATATTGCTGTCACTGCTCGCCTGCCCAGACTTCCCCTGGGCTTTCAAACTCTTTTCAGTAACTTTAACCTTATTTCAATTACCCAATGCATCCGCCTGACAGCGTTCGGTGCCAAATTTCGTTTTGTCGCTGTAGTTTCAACGTCAGAGCAGGGTTTCAGTGCTAGGTTTCAACGCTGGGTTTGAGGTCGTATTCAACGGCGTGCCAAGCTCACGCAGACCATCCCACGCAGCCGGCAACCTGGTTTATGAAGCATGCCAAGATTGCGGAAACCAACCAACTCCACAAAACTTAATTTTCGTGGGATGATCTGGGAATATCGCAGTAAAGTGTTAAATGGGTAAGAGGACGTTGCTGTGCTATGGAATACTGCTGCGACGCCCTATTCCCTGTATGGATACCACCAGGGGACGGTTCTAGCGGGTATTTTCTGGATGACATGCGGCATCTACTTGGTTAGATCCCAGCATTGACAAGGTAACAAGTCGGCGTGCGAAAGTATCTATAAGATCGAGAGATTGCCCGCTCATCAGCAGATCATACTGTTCGATCCCAGTCCGCTTCCCATCATTTACAGCATCTTTTTCCAAACTCACGTTTCGCTTCGCTCGGCCGGTCCGTTTACTTTTTTTTTTTTTTTTTTTTTTTTTTTTTTTCTTTCGCTACAGACCACCCAATCATCCTCCAGCAAAATGTACCGCAAGTATTCAGCCCTACTTCTGCTTGCCAGCAGCTTCCTTGCCGCCGCCTTACCTAGGCCCGACATTGGCGATCCCGTAAATAGTGGCCTCCCTGCCGACGTCCAGGAGCGGGTAGACAGCAACGAGCTGGATTGTGTCGAGGTCGTGGATGGTGTCACGTGCAGTGACCGTTCTGGGGCTTCATTCTTCGTGCGCGAAGTAAGTTGTCCCTCTACCTCTTGTTCCTGGTCTCCCACAGAGGCAGTTGATGCTACAGAAAAAATGAACAGAATGCTGACTCGGATTTATTCATGGGTCGCGTAGGATACCAATAATGACAGCGCCAATAATGCGGCAGTTAATCGGAACGATGCAAATACGGGCAATCCTGGGCCGTTACCCGCGGATGTCCAGGAACGCGTGGATAGCGGAGAACTGGACTGCGAATTCGATGGGGAGGTTACAGTTTGCACAGATCAGTTTGGTGGTGGCTTCATTGTGAGGAACGGTAACAGCCGTAGTAGTAACAGCGACAACAACAACAACACCAACAATAATGCGAGCAACAATGCCAGCAACGGAGCCAAAAACAACAGTGCTAATAACGGTACCACAGACGATGCCACGAACGAAGCGAACAATGCTAACACGGGCAACGCACCTTCACTGCCCGCGGATGTCCAGGAACGTGTTGATAGCGGAGAATTAGACTGTGACTTCGATGGCGAGGTTACAGTGTGCACTGATCAATTCGGTGGCGGATTTATTGTGAGGGATTAATTCAAGTGGGAAGACGCAACCAAGCTCTGTAATAAGGTTCCTTATGGCAACAGAGGTTGTATCGATTCTCGGCCCAACATATTGGCCTGAATCAATCTTACAAACAGCTGGTTGTGAGATTTTAGGGTCGAAGATCACTCCGAGTATTACTCGTTCTAGACTGCGAATTATTAGTCTTTGAAGACTAATTACTGCTCCTTTTGATTGGCTGGCAAAGTACTGCGTATCACGTCGCATCCAATCTGTGTGAAATGTATACTCATTATAATCAGAGAACCAGCTATGAGAATCTGGTTTGAGGCTGGTGTAATAGTATGAGATTAGGATATCAGACTTTCGGGCCTCTGCAGAGTGCCAAAAGGGGAAGAGTACTCGAACTGAGAAATGCTCGTTCAACGAACAAATGTTAGCCAAGAAAGAAGTCAACTCCCTTCGAGGAAGAATTTTAGGTTCATAAACTCTTCTGCAGGTATTGCTCACTTCAAAATAATCTGGAATCAGTGGATGTGTACTTTGTGTTCTTTGGGCCGGGCTTTCTGCTTGGAGCCTCCAAAAAATTGCATGGTTATACATGTACCCACTTCTTCGTTTCCAGACAACGCCATCTTTGCCCTCAAAGCATAACCAGACAAAATGCAAAGACGATTTCAAGTATATAAAATGGCAGCCAATATTGACCGCTGGTTGCATCAGTAGTAGCGTGAGAGTAAGCACTGGGTTTTCCTCTTCAGGCAGAGTGTTGGCTATCGGAGTGTCAAGTTCACGCTCGGGATTCCAACTCAAGAGAAACGACAACAGCCAAAGAACAGGAGAGCAATACGATTTGTGTTTCTCTAGTATCAGCATCGTAACATGGGGTCCAAGTCCAGTCGAACCCATAGAGAATCTCCTACAGGTCTTCGATCTGTGATCCTTCTTTTATCACCTTCATGGAGAAGAGGGAAAAATAAAGGTTCAGACATTCATGGTAGGTGATAATGTTAACCTGGCAATTTCAATTTTGAATCTCGCCTATGGTGGCGCTTATAAAAGATTTACTAACCATTTGTCCAATGGATAAGTGCGGCTAGCTACAGCGTCGCCCCTGAGTGTCTCGTTACCCGGTATGTCCTCGTCTGTAAGATTCTGCGATGTGGTTGTCTCTCACTACCAGCTGACGTAGGATCCCATGATAGGTTTTGACTTCCAGTCTCTGTGAAACTGGAAATTGAGTCCCCGCTACCAGTCGTGTCTTCATCTCGCTCATTTTTAACCAATCTGGCTTCCCCCTTGCCGCCTTGTATTGTTACTTCGATGGGCTCTCCATCGCCCAACTTGAGGTCTCCCAACGGCACAATTTCGTTATCTGAACGTGTCATGCAGAGAGTATCCAGCTCTTTACGTGTACCAGATGCACCGAACGTACGGAAAGCATGTTCTCGCGACGGTCCCTGCTGGTCGAGACCATTGTTACGGGACGACCTCTTTGTTTCAGACTCGCCGATCCAACGGGGGGCCACGAGACGGAAGAAGCGCTTGGCTGTTGGGAATGACGCACAGATAGTAAGGAGGTTTCCTTCAACACAGCTAGGAAACGACAGATGTCAGCACATCAGTTGTTGAGATTAGAGTCCGACAAACGCATTCAAGATGTTCGCTCTGCCTGACAGCCAAGGTGAAAAAGAACGTGGTTATTGGACTCACATCCACAAAACTGGCTGGCTGAGTGCCCAAGTCTGATCTGCGTCCGATAAGGCGGGTACCAGTGTAACCAAACGCATGATGGAGGTGACCAACGTACTATGAAAAGGCATGAACATAAGCAATCACTGGCGCAAAATTGTAGAAGCTGTCTTCACTCACGACGAACCAACTACAAACATCAACACCAAGCCAATCTTCTGTCTCGATGGCATCTGTAGGCCATAAATCATGGGCATAGGCATAATTATAAGCCCAACATCACTCAGAATCTGCAATGCTGCTATGGCGATGTATAGATATGGTCGATTGACGCATTCTCCCTCTGTCATTGTGACATCCCAGCTGCGTCGGATTGGGTTGCAGGCGAAAAGCATGGCGAAGGTAATGGCAACGGTGTAGCCTGCTAAGACGAATATAGATATTCGTGTGCACCATATCCACCATCGTGCGGGTGATACTTTGTTGTAAAAGCATAGGAGAGAAAGCTTGGCGAGGCCGGTTGTTGGGGTGTAGATCGTCGATGAAACATAAAAGATCTGTGTAGGCTGTTAGCATCTTCTAAATGCGTCGAATCTGGAATGAGAGAGTCTAGATAAGGTGACCAGATGACAGTGGTAGACTTACAAGAGTCCAATAATTGTACTTTTCAAGTGACATCTCCCAAGCATGAGTACCAGTCAACTTAGCTGCGACCGTTGCTTGTGAAAAAGTTTTAGGCATGTTCCTTGGTAGCAAAATTGAATTATCAAGTACTCACAAATCAGTAGAGCCTGTACAATCTGACTCATGATCCATGAAGCTATGAGGCAACCTGAACAGCCTCGAGTTAGAAATACTGAGAATCTGTTCTGTATCTGGCAGTGGCAAATAGTATGGAACTGCCAGACTTACCTGCCTCGGTGTCAACTTTACGATTAACATAAAGTTTGACATAAAGGTTTTGCACAAGAAAGAAAAGTGCCAGAGCAGTTCCAATTCCATAGATCCAATACGTCTGGCGTACCAGTGTTAGGTTTCTCGTTGGGTTCGCAAAGTCAACCTCGAAGCCTTCCGGTGGTGGAAGCACTATTGCAACTCCGTTGACGACTGACATGGTACCAGTCAACTTGTCGATGTCCACCGAGATCAACTGCGCTTTGGACAGTACGTTTATCAATGCGCGTATGGTAGCAGATCAGGAATTATTTTGAGATTGAATGTATTTCTCCTCCCTCCCCGAACGATATAAGAGGATCTCTGGAAAGTCCTACTGAACGATATTCCTTCCTACCTTACGCTCATGCTGGGCGACTGAGGTTCAGCGTACCGTAGAACTATGGCTCGCTCAGCTTGACCCCGGACGAACCCCAGACTGTGACCTCGCTTATTCTGCAACAAACCAGGTACTTACAGCCGATCATTGCATCAAAGGGAACGCACTACGACTTGGAAAACCCAGATGGTCTCACGGAACACCGGATTCAACTTCCGGCTTGCAAACCATGCTTGTCACTTGATTACAAGTGAGCTTTGGATCACAGAGTAATTTCGTCAGCCAGAAGCACAAAGCTCTCCACCCCTCACTACGTTGTGTTATTACCCTTTGCTTCTGTGCCTGGAAGCTTAAATTCATCAACAGCTCCACATTGTTGAGATTTTGCCCTAAGCCCTTTGCTCAGCTGTAATATGGAACCAAGGCTTATCGCGCTCCACCCAGAGCTCGGAAACCCTTCAACAGGGGCAGTATATGCTAATTACATGCAATAACGAAGGTCCTTTGCAATGAAAAAGCTGCACATCTTGAGAGTTAATGTCATAGTCGAACGGCGCATTGCCCTACCTAGTACATCAATTGATTGCAACCCTGTCCTTGCTCTACCAGGGCCAAATGAAAGCTGGCTGCTCCGCGATTGGCTGCTCCGGGTGTATCATCTGCGGCATATTCCGTGACCCCAACGCGAAGCCTGGAAGCCAAGCCAGCCGCGCAGAAGCCATGGCAGGCATAGCAACATGGGTAATCGGAGACTGGCACCGCGTCTGTTACTCAATTTACCGGGCCAGCGCTCTGCGTTTGCGGCGCAGCGCTCGGGGTCTCGGGGGTCTCCTGAACGGTGCAGCAGGACAAGAAGATTCGCAAGCAGGCAGGGCAGGATAGGCAATAAAACGTGGTCATCATGAAAGGAATCGGAAGATGACGCCCGACACGCTGCCAGCGCAGAACTTAAGCGACCTTGCTTCGTCCGCTTGTTTGCTTAGAAACGCAAGTCGGCTGTCTTGTGTCACCCAGATCTTCCTTTCTCTCGTTTCCATCGGCTGGTTCAGAATCTGCATCTGTCAACTTGTCATCACATCATGGCTGAAACGTTGCCACTGCGCGCCTTATCAACCTGCGCCGTCGGTGTAGGCGTCGTGCTGACATTCCTCCTTGCCAGGTGGGTGCTCGGCACGCTCAGACCAAAAGGGTTCCCCCCCGGACCGCCCATCATCCCGGGCCTAGGGAATCTGCATCAAATGCCCATACAGAAGCCGTACCTGAAGTTCCACGAGTGGGCGAAGCAGTATGGTGACATTGTAGGTTTGAAGGCTGGGACCGGCAACCTGGTCCTTTTGAATACCCCCAAGTTGGTTCACGAGCTGTTCGATAAGCGAGGTGCGGTCTGCTCCGACCGTCCCCACAACCACATCCTTACGAAGCACGTGTTCACGGACCCTGAGGAGAAAAGCATCACTATCCTGCAATATGACGATTATTATCGGCGATGGCGCAAGTCGTTCCAGTTTATACTCAGCGCAGCTGGCATAAAAAGACTCCTCCCACTCCTCGAGGCCGAAGCTGCGGACTTGTGCCGAAAGTTCATCGATGGCGGCAAAGACTATGAGCAGAAGGTGAGGCACTGGTCCTTGGCCGTGCCATTGATTGCTACGACTGGCGAAAGGTTAGACGACCTGCCTGCGGACTATGCTGACAAGCTCTGCTACTCTCAAGACGAGCTCTTGGAGCTGCTTCTCCCCGGTGCTGCGCCGCCCGTTGATGTTTTCCCCATCATGAAATACATCCCTGAGATATTAGCCAAGTGGAAGGGGAACGCTCGTCATGTGAGGAAATTAATGATGCAAGATTCCGGTAACTACCTCGCCGGAGCAAAGAAGACGTATGCGCAGATTGAGAAGGACCCGGACTCAGTTGGATTTGATAGCCTGCTCCCCAAAATCATGAAGGAACAAGCTGCTGGTCAGAGCAGGGAGAAGTTCACGGACACAGAATTAGCGTACGTGGGACAAGCTGCTGTGGGGGCTGCTGTCGACACAACTCTGGCTACTTTCAAAAGTCTCATGGTTGCATTTGCTGCGCACCCAGAGACACTGGCCAAGGCCCACGAGGAGATCGACCGGGTTGCCGGAGACGAGCCCTTGAAGAGCGACAGGATTGGTGAGCTGACATATCTCAAGGCATGCGTTTCGGAAGTAAGTAAAGAGGCCCAATCGTGCACGTTGGTGTTGTACTCATAGTAGTATAGGTTCTTCGGTGGCGCCCGACTACACCATCGGCCTTGCCTCACGTTCTTAGCAGGGATGAGCGAGTTGGAGAGTACTTCTTTCCAAAGGGCACTGTATTTATTGCCAATGCCTGGACGATTCATCGGAACGAGGAGGAGTACGATCGCCCCAACGACTTCATTCCTGATCGCTTCTTAAACAATCCCTTTGGGTTACGCCCCTCGTTCAAGGCCGATGAATTAGAAAACAGCGGGCGCCGAGCTCTTTATGCATTCGGTTCCGGCCGTCGGCAATGCCCTGGAGAGCAGTTCGCAATGACCTCCGTACTGCTGGCGGCTTCCAAAGTTGTCTGGGCGTACGATATATCTCCACCACCCGGTGGTCTAGACATCAGTGTCGAAACTGGGTTCAAGGATGGAACTGTCACTCAACCGGTCCATGCTGAGGTTGTTTTCACACCCAGGAGTGAAAAGAAAAGAGCAGGCGTGCTGGCGGATGCAGAGCGCACTGAGCACATCGCTAGGGAGATGATTGGTTGAACGATGAGGTGCAAAGATTAATTGGTGGTGCTGCTTGGAGTGTTAGCTCGCCTTGAAGTCGATCGTGTGCAACAGCGATGGATTATCATCATCCTCACGCTGGTATCAATGGCTGTTGTTAGCACCACTAGAAGCGGAGTTCGCTATAAGCTGTCTCCACTGCAAATTACTAGATAAGAAGCCAATACATGCATCGACTCCATTAAAACGCACGAACAGATTCTCTCAAATCTATGCATGTCTCCTTTAAACGTGATGCGCGTACCTCGCTCAATTGCCGCGTTAGTGCGACTCCATCTTCGCTAGAATTCATTGCAAATCCCTAATCTCCTTTGTCACCATCTGGGCCTAGTGCTTATAGCAATCGAAATGCCACCACTTTAAGCGTATTGCAAGGATATGCCTCCGACGTGGCTGCGATTGCAATTTCCACCATTGCTCTTACGGTGGCTGCATGAATTGTATCCATTGCCTATCAAACCAACTCGATTCTCTCGACCAACTTGGCAGAAGTACAAGAGGAGGAATCATCAAAATGCTTTATGCACTTTAAGTACCAGGCAGTGGTGCCGAAATACTCGTCGATAGGACTAATAAGTACTTATGGCGAGGCTTCGTGTAAAATATTGTTTATTAGAGATAATAATTAACTGCGCCCAAACGATTGCCCCGAACCAGCTGCAAAGCAGCCAGGGTCGTCAACAGTACAGTACAGAGCTTATAAAGAATCTCGCTATCTAAAATCTGTAGCTCCAATGGAGTACTCAGTACAAACCACTGGAGCTGGCCAACAATATAGAGATGTGGAAGTATTTCGTAAAAAAAAAAATTAATAAATAAAGAGGAGTTTACAGGGATAATTAAGCGCCCTGCATATATTACCCCTTATAGGACATTTACGGATGAAGTACAATACCTGCCCCCAGGTAGACGATGCTATGCTATGCGCCAGCCCGGTTATAATCAAAGTGATGCAGTGACTTGCGTTCGGAAGCTCGCAATTCGATCGAGGTGGTAGGATTGGCCTAATTGCTTTTTTTTCTTCATTTGTACAACAGATACGATAACGTAATTCATCTCTGGAGTCCAACCTTCTTACAGTTCCAAACACTTGGGGAAGGTGACAGTCGTAACTCGTAAATACATATGTACAACTAAACTCGTAAAATAGATTGTACCCTTCAAATAGCGTACATTTTAAGCGCTTGCCAAGCTCAGGTTGTACTCCAGCTCCCACTGGGCCTGAGGGTCATTCTTGCGCGGCACGAAAGTGACAGTCAGGTCATCCTTCACGGCAAAGACAGAGTCGTTGTCAAGGTAGTCAGATTTGTCATCAAAGATCTGGGTGGTAATCGGCTTGTGACCCTCAGCGATAGCCTGGAAAAATCTGGTGTTAATTCATGAAATGACTTGGAAACGTACGGGTCAGTTGGCAAAATTTGACTTACAATGAGATGAATGTGAGCAGGTCTGAAAGTGTGACGGTCCATCAATTTCAACAGCTTTCCGGCAGGGCCATCTTCCGGAACCTGAAGTGCGTGGTTAGCGTTTGCTTGAAGTATTTGCGGTGATTTTAGCTGCTGAACTTACGGGGTAAGGAGTAGGGCGCAAGCAGTAGAACGAGAAGCGTCCCTCGGAGTCAGTAATGAACTTTCCGCGAAGGTTGTGCTCTACTTGGTTTTCATCTTGCTGCTCATAGAGACCTATGCATAAATGTCAGTCGTGGTCCTTCTGCCCAAAAGTTCCATCAAGACTACTTACCATTAGTCGAGGCTTGCCATGCCTCAACAGAGGCATTTGCTAGAGGCTTTCCAGTATCGGCAGAGGTCACACGGCCGTGCAGGAAGGCAACCTGGCCGTCTTTGGGGGTATCAAAGGTAATTGTAGTGCCATTCTCACGGGTGGGGGTGTCGTGTCTCCAGAAGGGCCCCAGGATGGCAGAGGCGGTTGCTGAACCACCAGACTTGGTAGCCTCTTGATAGGTGATGTCATCCACGAGCCTGTGCAAGGTTAGTGGATATTTCATTCCTGTGAGCTATCATTCAGATTTGAGGTTGACTGACGATTCCAGACCAATGACGTCGCAGAGAAGTTGGCCCTCATTACGCTTCTGGTTGCTCATCTGACCAGCCTGGTTGATCATCTCAACACCCAGCATCCACTCGTCTGTGGTAAGCTTGACCTCCCGTGCAAAGTCATGGACATGCCTAATCAGCGACGACATAACCTCTCTCAGCCTGGGCTCCGTCTTGGGGCCCATAGAGTTGATGACCTGCTCCGTCCATTCCTTACCGAGAACATTGCTTGGGGTGCCGTTTGAGACTGAACCCATACTTGCGGTTGTGAAAGTGAGACTGCTGGAGAAGGCGGGGAAGCTGCAAACGGTAGAATCTGAAGCAGATGATGCTAAGTCTCGTGCAGTGACTTTGCAGCAACGTCCTCGCTATAAGGATGTTGAGGTCAATAAGGGGGGGGTTCTTTGCTCGAGATCAGCTGATGTTGTCCCGCCCACTCCGGACGGGGGCTCTCAGCCATTGCATTACTAACACGCCAACGGCAATGGCGGCAGTTGCACGGGAGTGCTCTGACCGCGAGCGGCAAGGAACTTCGGATTTGCGGATAGCGGACCCAACCTTGGGGTTGATCTGACTCGAGATGGAGCTAAAAATTCTGGGGCCCCGTGGGTCACCACCGTCACAGCGACTAGGTCCGAAACGGCTTCGGCGCCAAGTGGTGAGCTCAGTACTTGGCCGTACCTTGGTTTGCAACGTTGATTTTGAGCACTGAGCTAAGCAAATTAATGCTGCTGCTGTTGTCAGAGTTCGCTGTCGTTCTACGCTTTGGCGTAGTGTTGCTCATTGCCCGCACAAGCTCGTGAGGCCGCGACGTGCCATCCCTCACGTGCGAGTTAATGTTCTTCGACGTCGGACTAGTCCAGATCTGACCGAAGTCAGTAGGTTAAGTCAGCCCGGGGTCTGCGTCTTTATATCTACAACCTAAGAGTTTAAGTGCTGTGATGCTTGAGAATAATGACATTATGTTAATTGATTCTACGTAGTAACTAGTACAAGGCTCGCTATCGGGGTATTTGTAGGTGCATAGCCTGCAGCCAGAAAGACCCATTCCGCCATGCATGAAAGAATCCATAAACCAGATCTATTTCCTGTAGTCCTTGTCGGAGCCGAACTCCCACGAAGCCTTGTCAGTCCCATTGGGCCTGCTGGCGCGTCGAAAGCTGATATCAAGGCCGTCAATCTCTACCACCGGCAAGACCGCCTCGACATCAGCTTTGTAGCTGTCCGCGTACCAATGGTCCAGGTACTTCTTATCAAGTGTCAATTTGGGAAACACTTCCCTCATCTTGCGCAGTGCGGTGCCCGAAATCTGGTCCACGCTGTGTGCGTGCCGGAGGCTCAAGAAATCGGGACCAACCCAGCTACGCAGCGACTCCTGAATATCTGCAGGCAATAGTCCAGCCTTGAACAGCAGCAAGTCATACTGGAGAAGGGAGACCTTTCCGTGCCACGAACCACCAGCAGTGGCTCGATGGTAGAGCCCAACCAAGGCTGCAATCGCACCCATACATCCCGTTCCGTAGTCAGAAATGGGGAAAGGGGGAACTACAGGCTCGTCGAGACCCATGAATTTGCCCTGCTCCCAAGCAATACCGGACACCTAACAGTCATTAGCAAACAATGTTAATAAAGAGTGCGCGAGATGACGTACGCAGTCAGCAATCTGCTGCCAGCCAGGTCGGTGTGCCCATTCACCCTCATAGCCGAAGCAGTTGACGTTGACGTAGGACAGACCCTTGCCCCTCTTGGCGGCCAAGTTGGCCATGTACTCAGGTCCATATCCCAGCTTTGCGATGGCTTCCGGACGGTAACCATCAATGACCACGTCAACCTCCTCAAGGAGCTCTTCGAACCTTTGTCTTCCCTCGGGAGACTTTAGGTCAAGTTCTGCCGCATGCTTGCCCATGTTACCATCAACTTGGAAAAATGGCACATCACTCAAATTCGGGCTGGTTATTTTCAAGACGTCGGCTCCGTACTCTCCGAGGATTCGGCACACTACGGGTCCGGCAATAATGCGGCACAACTCCAACACTTTAATTCCAGACAGTAGCCTCTTGCCATCAGTCATTGGCAGAGGTACCTTTGGTGTCTTGTCCTCGAGGGGAGTTACGGCCCAGGGTGGCAACTGGCTATTCGTCTTGCCCTGTGCAAGTGGTCAATATCGGCAAGTGAGAGAAATAGGGTCATAGTTCTAGCTTACATGATGAGTCTGCAGGAATTCATCATGCTTCAAAGCCTTTACCCCGGCCTGTCGGTACTTGGCGTTGAGTACCTCGAGCTCCTCGGGGGTATACTTCTTCACCGCCGTCTCGATGACGTCCACGATTTGCTCATGGGTCTTGAGGTCTGGTCTAAAGGGCTCGAGTCCAAGAAATCCCAGCGTCGTTGAAGCTTCAAGTGAACCGTGGATATGGTAGTACTGGCCTGGACTTGCGGTCTCGTATAGGTTGGCTGACATGCGTCTATACGGGTCCGACTGAGCCTGTAGAAGATCGGTATCTAATCAACAAAGGTTAGGAACCAGGTGATCAACGCGTGATACGCATCCACTGCGTTCAGAGCCGCATAATTTGGGGTCCTTACCTTTCAGGAGGGCTCGGACTTCCTTATCCAGCTTTCCCAGGCCCCCGACCTTGGCAAGATAGGCCTGGAAGAGGAACGCACTGGTCTTTTCGAGGTTGACCGTGATTTTCCGATTGCCCTGACCAGCATCCTTTGTTTTAGCAAGCAGTGCCGCGACAGAACCCTCAATGGCCTTGAGTGCCGCAGTGGTTTCTGTCTCCTTGAAGGGGATGGGGAAGTACGGCAGGTCGCGGTCTGCGGTAAACTGGATGTCTGCCTTCACGTCCTGAACTGCACGTGGCAGAGCCACATCGTCAAACAGGCCACAGAGCAGGTCAAAAATACGCTGGCTCTCAGCGGTAGAGCTGTAGTGTGGTTCCATGGAACCCATGGCTGTTGTCTGGCTGGTTGAGGAACTGTTCGCAAGAGAGTGACTATTCCAGTGGCCAGGGTAAATCGTGGGCCGAGGATTCGCAACGCTTAATCAGGCTTGAACGTATGGGAATATAGGCATGCGGTTTGTTTGAGAGGAGCAAAACGGTATCCAGGATTTGCACGGATCTCGAGATCGGAACCGCGGCCGAGCCAGATGGCCCTGTCGCCCCCATTCCGACCCTGCCATCGTCACTAGAGAGAGAACTAATTGCCGCGGGTGGAGGATGGTCCACTGTGAATCGTGAGGGTGAACTGGGTCCCGGGCCGCCCACTTGTCCAGGGGAGGGGGCAAGGTCGGTGATCCACGACTGGCCCTAAGTTGATTAGCGTTGCCGCTTATGAGTGGGGCTCACGCGTGGCTCCTGGACTTGACAGAACCGATATCGTCGACCGGGAGACTTAACGGACCTGCAGACGATGATATCGACGTTGAAAACACTAGGTCAGTTGGCACCATCACCTGCCTATTGTTCCCCAAGATAATCTTCTCCAACAGGCGAACGGAAGCCGAACAGTTGCGCGCCAAGATGCCTTTTCTCGACATTAGGGGCAAGTCCCTCTACTATACGAAGAGCTCCCCTGAGAAAGGAAGTGAATCGGGAACAACTTTTCTCATGATTCACGGACTTGGCTCTTCGAGCTCGTTCTACGCAACCACAATCCCCTCGCTGGCTGCAGCCGGCCATACCTGTGTGGCTTTTGACACTCATGGTGAGTACAGGGCCTGACAACACCTGGTGCCTAGAATTGAAGCTTAATGTTGCGAAGGCAGTGCATTGTCCAAATACAACGGTCAATACGGCGGTATAGATGGAATCGTCGAGGATGCCGTCGAACTCATTACAAAACTAAACCTGAAGCCGGAGAACGTGGTCGCTGTCGGCCACTCGATGGGTGCCATCGTCGCTTCGAAGCTTTCGCTACAACTTCGGCTTCGGGGTGTCGTACTCATTGGCCCGGTAAACCCGAACCCAGGGCTTGCGCCTATCTTCAATGCAAGAATCGCTACGGTCGAGAAGTCTGGGATGGAGGCCATGGCCGATACAATACCGGCTGCGGCAACTGGCTCGAAAAGCACAGCCACTCACCGTGCTTTTATCAGGGCGCTTCTCCTGTCGCAAACTTCGGAGGGTTATAACTCTCTTTGCAAAGCAATCTCAGATGCAGAGCCGCCGCAGTATTCCGACAGCCGGAGCCCGTTGCTTATCCTTTCAGGATCTGATGACAAGACCAGTCCTCTGGCCGCAGCCGAGGCGATATTAAAGAGGTAATTATTAGTCCATATGCAAGTACAACACTTCACTAACATGGCTGCAGTTGGAATGCCGATGTAAGTACGGCGCTGGAGATTCTGGATGGGGTTGGGCACTGGCACTGTATAGAAGCGGCTGACGAAGTCGCCAACCGTATCAAAGCTTTTGCTGGCAAGCTAGAGTAGATTTACATTCCATGTCTTTGAAAGTCAAAATGTTATACAACCTGTCGACATCACAACCATTCTTGACGTTCGTATGTGGCTTGCATTCAACTACTAATTATGGGGGCACTCTTATTTCTTGGCAGACAATGCAGCAGTATCCTACGAGCCAGTGCGTTAGTAACTTGACAGAATGGTATGTTCGTGACTGAGACGTACCAGGTAGACTTGATAGAACTGCATTCTGAACTTCCCATCCTCGTTGGACTTGACCAATTCTGCTCGGCCTCCCCACTCCACGTTCGCCTTTCCACCGGCCTTCAACTCGTACTCGACGGTGCCGTACAGCATGACTTCGTGGCTGTTGTTGCCAAAAGGGAACACCTTTTCGACGGTGTGCTTTCGTTGCGATACCGCGGTCCACATTCCTAATCTCAAGTCCGTGATTTCTGTATAAGCGCAGTTAGTGGAGGCTCGACTGTATGAGGGAAAATGCGTCTCCGTACCCTTCCGGCCCTGCGAAGTCTTTGAACCCAACTTGAACGTTGCGTCCTGCGTAAACTGATCAACGTAGACATCGTGGGCACCAGGAGTATCGGATACGGCGTAGAAGTTCTCAAAGAAGCGGACAACCTCCGGGTCAACCGAGACCTGGGCGGGGTATGCGGCTTTGTACGTCGACATCTTGAATCACTGGCTTGAAGACAAGCAACTGTGCATTCGAGTACTTGCTAATGAAGGTGTACTTATCAGTGTGTAATATTATATTAAGATGTTATTTACTACACAGGGGCTCAATGGGAAATCCATGTTGCATCAGGGTCCTGCAAGCTGGCGACCGAGAGCGGGATGCCGTCATACCTGGACCAGGACTCATGGAGGGGCCGTGACCTTAGCGCCAGGGCAGTTGGCAACTGAAAATGTGGCCGTTGGGTTGTACCCGCCCGGGTTAGGGGTGACCATCCGCCACTGGCACCAATATCAGCGGGCACAATTTCTGGGTCCATGGAGCACGACAGCAGAGCGACGCAACGACAGTGTCGCCAGGTCGTGCTTCGGTCCTGACAACAACCTTGGGGGCTGGCAGGCTCGGTACAATCCAACCCAATGGCTTCTTTCTCGCTGGCCCCGACCACCGTGGGGAAGGCTACCCCACAACTTCCCCCTTTCAGGACCCTTGCAGAACGTGTCTCGAGTCCGGGGAGTGGATCACTGCCGGCGGATATTGCACCAGCGCCCTGCCCTTATCCGACACCCCGCGGGCGGCATCTCGTAGTCATGGTCGTGGGCCATTTGTCGATAGCAGGACGCATGTGGAGGAACACTACCGACCAGCATGGGGGAGATTGCTCACTCGTGTCTCGCGAGAAGGGGGCCCCGGAGGTCGCTGGGACAATGGAGCCGAAAAAGCAATCGCACGCGTTTCGCGACTTCGGCGTCTCCCTCCGGAGGGATGCCGGGGTGTTATATATTCACTCAGTTTTCTTCATGCCTTTTTGAGACAGAAATTCATACCACTACCAATCTTGCTGCCTCTTTAGTTGGATTCCGTTCGTCTTCCATATTCTTGAAGTCTTCCAGCATACACGTACACATACATACATTCCTCACAGCACCATGTTGGGAAAGGTAGCTCTCGAGGAAGCCTTCGCGCTCCCCCGATTCCAGGAGAAGACCAGATGGTGGGCATCTCTCTTCGCAACCGATCCCGCGAAGCATGCCGCTGAGATCGGCGATGTTGCCGAGACCCGTCTCAACTATATGGACAAGCACGGCGTTGGTCACACCGTCCTTTCCTACACAGCCCCTGGTGTCCAGGACATCTGGGACCCCAAGGATGCACAGGCTCTCGCAGTCGAGGTCAACGACTACATTGCCGGGGCCGTCAAGGCTCACCCAGATCGATTCAGTGCTTTCGCGTAAGTCACTGCTGAATCACACACCCACAGTCCAATACCTAACCGCGACCAGCACTCTTTCGATGCACAACCCCAAGGAGGCTGCTGCTGAGCTGAGACGTTGTGTGACGGAACTCGGCTTCAAGGGTGCTCTGGTCAATGACACCCAGAGGGCAGGTCCCGACGGTGATGACATGGTCTTTTACGATCAGCCAGAGTGGGATGAGTTTTGGTCGACAGTGACCGAGCTGGACGTCCCCTTCTACCTTCACCCTAGAAACCCCACTGGCACCATTCACGAGAAGCTGTGGGCTAAGCGCAGCTGGTTGATCGGCCCGCCCCTGAGCTTCGCCCAGGGTGTCAGTCTGCACATTCTCGGTATGGTCACCAACGGTGTGTTTGACCGCCACCCCAAGTTGCAGATCATCATCGGCCATCTTGGTGAGCACCTGCCCTTCGACCTGTGGAGAATCAACCACTGGTTTGAGGACGTCAAGAAGCCTCTCGGCCTATCTTGCAAGCGCACCATCCGCGAGTACTTTGCCGATAACATCTGGATCACCACCAGTGGCCACTTTTCGACTGCCACCCTTCAGTACTGCCTCACTGAAGTCGGTGCGGACAGGATACTGTTTTCCATTGACTACCCCTTTGAGTCTTTCGGTGACGCTTGTGGCTGGTACGATGATTTGAAGCTGAACGAGGTAGACTTGAAGAAGATTGGCAGGGAGAACGCAAAGAAGTTGCTCAAGCTCCCCGACTTCAAGGACTGCAACGCTTAAAGATATACATCAGGGAACAAATAATAATTCACAAGAACGCACTTTTGGATCTTTGACTTGGAAAACCTGAACTACTACGGAGTGACCTGTACTGCCTTCTGATATCACACAACGGAATTGCATTTAACAAAACAAAAAGATGGGAATGCCAACTTGCACATGAAAATATCTGCGATAAGGGATTCACATGAAAAAGATTCTGAACAATACTCCTGAAAATGTATTTTTACTCACGGCGTAGGCCGCGCACTCTTCATGCAACACAGTATACATGGCTAAGAGAATGTGGTTTTAATGTATGGGCAAGCTGGCATTCATTCAGGACTATTTGAAAGTATGGTAAATGTAGCAAAAGAGCCCACATTCATCAAAACTATACCGATAGATTTGTTCCTATGGAAACCTCGATAAGTGGTGGATTGTGGATGAGGTACGGTTGATCTGCTAAGTCGCCCGAAGTCTAGACAGCATTATGCAGTGTGACATTCCTTTAGCCCTATTTAATGAGCGGATACAAACAAAATTACTTTTTGAAATTCTGTTCCAAGGCTAGGACAAATGACATAGGCGAAATGTTCGCCCAGAGCCCGTATCGGTTTCACGACATGATCGTGTTGCCGCTCTTAATTGCATCACCCAATATCTCACCATGGCCAATAAAGGTGACTTGCAGATTCTGTAGAAAACAAGCCGTGGTAGCCCGTCTCAAGGCGCCGACGCCTGTCTAATATCAATGAAAACTTTCAGATATAAAAGCCATTGCAGAACTCGCGCCGAGCCAACATCTTTGGCTGGAATGTTAATTGAAGGTGGCATTCAAAAGCAAAAATCCACGACTACAAAGTAAACCCCAAATTCAACGTCTACAATCAAAGAAAGTAGTACTCTTCTCAATAGGCACGCGTAGAAAGACATTACCGCTACCGCTACTAGTCTTTATCTTAGAAGCTCACTGCGACTGCACGGCTCACGATGTGTGTAATAAACGGGGCTTCATCCTCTATCCTAAATAGGGCATAAGTAGATGTCACCCCAGAACCGAAATTGATGGCATCCGTCATACTAGGTCAACCCATGACACCCCTTCGTACCTACAGCGAGGGAACCAATCACCAGCTGGCTCATGCTCATACTTTCTTGTACACATCAAGACCCTTTGACAGCCACCAATTTCCACTGACTTTCACCGACAAAAATATCCCTGCAACGATGTCTTGCAATATCAACAACATACGTGACGCCTTCAATGCGCTCAGAGCTTTTCGCTGGAAGCTCGTGGAGGTAGATCGGTTCCAAGAGTGGATCTACTCGCAGTGGCAATCCATGCCAGAAGAGCTTGGTCATATCCAGTGTGATATTCTAGCGGCCGGGGCCATCAAGCGATTCCGCATGCTGCAAGGCTTGGACATCAGCCGGTTTGCCTGGGCGCATATCGACGCCGTTCGACGCTGTGTACAGCACATCGTTGACCAAGGCCTAGATTTGGTGGCCGCTTGGGAGGACTATCGCTGTGACTGTCTTGATGATCTCGTCGCTGAACGCAAGAAGGAGGAATCAACTTCCAAGGATGAAGCACACGCCGAGATGTCCCACGATGACAGTGAATATGAGGATTCACAAAGTTCTTCGGAGGAGGAAGAGGTATGTTTCGAGCCTATACTCCAGGTTGGGGCCAGGACTGACAGTCGACCAGATGTACGGATGCGACTCTTGTGAGTTTGAGACACGTCGACTCAGATTTCTCTATGAGCACAAGCTTCGCGCTCACACAGTCAATGATGATGCAGAGGATCATCTTCACGGCATCATGCGTCTTGTCAATGGTCATTCTAGCCTACCTATCAAGGGCAACATGGCCCGGGACTACGACTTTGATGATGGCGAATGGCCCGACCACATTGATTTCATCAGCGACATCCCAGATGACTTCGAGAAACTTCAAGATCATGTGGCCAAGGCATTCTCCAGAGAAAACTTCCTGCGAGGCATGGCTCGTGACCTGGACGAGAGACGAAGCGCGGGTGAAGATGTGGACCCGCGGGTTAACAGAAACCTTTCCAGGTGCATAATGCTCGCGGAGATGAACAACATGAAACTCACGATAACGCTCAAGAGACGGGAGCATGGTGAGCTGATCAGGAAAGAGAACTCCTCCAAGATCTTCGCATCTCGGCTAGGCGACGATGCGCAATTGGATCTGTCGAGGGAGAATGAGAGACGTGCAAGCGGCAGATACGGCATGCACCCGCTTTCCGTCCCAAGAGAGCTCGACGAACTGGTGGCGAAGCTGGGTGAGACCCAATCCTGTGTCGAGACCCTGCAGCTCGGTTTGAACGGCTTACACGGCACTGACAAGGCTTCCCGGAGAACTGGGGCCAAGATCCAGCTAAACCATGCTCGACTGCATCTGAAGCTTCTGACCAAGGTCTACGAGGGCGAGGCTACCCGCGACATACTGGACAAGATGAACGAGGCCTGGGCCTGCCCCGGGTCCAAGGCCATGTTCGCTGAACCATTGGCCTTACCTGCCGTGGGAGGTGATCGTCTGGACTGGCGGTGCTTGGGCCACGTCGACCAAGCTCGGTTCATCGCAACGATGCCGAAGTGCCTACCATCTCAGCATCTGAAGAATTACCCTGGCTATCTTGACCTCGTGGGGGACTCGATGAAAGCCAGCCCCAATTTCTTGGTGGCGAGACTCCTCAGAAGTCTCGTCATCCCGAAGCGACCTGTGTTGGACTGGGAGACCATGGACGATGCGCGCAAAGCAGAGGCCGTCCGAACACTGGACATTGGCAATGTTGGTGGATACCCACAGTGGCTTCGGTACCTCGAGCTTGTCGTAGCTCCAGTCGCTGGAGGAGGTGGAAAGCGGAGTCGCGAGGCAAGCACGCCGAAAGAAGATGGACAAGATGGCAGAGCGGAGGATGAGGATGGAGCGAGCCGTGTCCGCGGCAAGAAGAGACGTCGATTCGAGGCCGGCTTTGTCTGAGATGGAGCAGTAGTGCCGGCCCTACCGCCAGGGCAATGGGAGTACTGCAACGTGCCTGTGGTACTCGGGGGAAGGGGTGAGGCGTTAGGTTGAGTTGTGATTTCTGGATGGCGGCAGTCCTGTCTTGCTGGGAGTTTACCGTGCCAACTGCTAGATGAATGAGTTGCGAGGCGCAACTGGCCACCATCTGGATATCAATAGGTTGATGCACCATAGGAGTCACATACTTGGGTTGCGATGCGCAACTAGTCAGATGCTGCAATGATTGCCAGATTTTCCAGATGGACGTACTCGTCAGGATTCCTTCTGTCTTATGACGCATTCGGTCTCCTGTCTCGCGCCCCTCTCCATCCGCTTGTTCCCCAATCTGCCCGCCCTTTGGCGATAGCTACATAGAGACTCAGCTACGCAACGACGTACTCTCCTCCACCTAGGTAGTCTCCTTGAATCTAGAGTCTTGTTGACGGATTCTACCTGCATCCTTTAGGTGCGCCTTGGAGCACCCGACCAACCGACCATCCGGCGCCTCTGACTTCCAATGCCTGGGTGACCGGGGGGACCAACTGCACTAAGCCGCTAGGGGCCAAGGGCGGCGGGCCTAGCAAAGCCTGGCAGGCCTGGGCGGCTTATCTGCTTATCAATCGAGGGGCAAGTCGAAACTTTTTTGACATTTTTCTGAACGGCGGACAGACCTGTCGAGTGACGTCCCCGCCAGACTGCCGCCCGTTTGGTTCGTGCCATCACAACCCAACCAAACTCACCTTCACCACCGTCTCTGGTTGCCGGCTCCCGATTCACGATTCCCGATTCCCGACTCCCAGCCGCCCGTCCACAGTCCACCAGAGCCTGCCGCGCGACGCAGCAGCACATCTCAAGATGGCGGCCATGGACGTAGACATGGACGCGCCGATATCCATCGCCCCTCAGTCAGAGGCCCCTCACGGCGCCGCCACCATCTTCTGCTGCGAGTGCGGCGCCCCCATCGACGGCACGACCTCGACCAACGCCCTGTGTCTCGACTGCGTCAAGCTCAAGATCGACATCTCCCAGGGCATCCAGCGCGAGGCGACGCTGCACTTCTGCCGAGACTGCGACCGATGGCTGATGCCCCCGACCACCTGGGTCAGCGCCGAGCTCGAGTCGCGCGAGCTGCTGTCGCTGTGCCTCAAGAAGCTGCGCGGCCTGCACAAGGTCCGCATCATCGACGCGCACTTCATCTGGACCGAGCCCCACTCGCGCCGAATCAAGGTCAAGCTGACCATCCAGGACTCCGTGTCCGACGGCGTCATCCTCCAGCAGAGCTTCGAGGTCATCTACATCCAGGCATGGCAGCAGTGCCCCGAGTGTGCCAAGTCATACACCGCCAACGTCTGGAGGGCCTCGGTCCAGGTCCGCCAGAAGGTCCTGCACAAGCGAACCTTTCTGTTCCTCGAGCAGCTGATCCTGAAGCACGGCGCACATCGCGACACCATCAACATCAAGGAGGCCAAGGACGGCATCGATTTCTACTACTCGGCCCGCAACCAGGCAGAGAAGTTTGTCGACTTCCTCAACTCGGTCGTGCCCGTAAAGACCAAGAAGTCCCAGGAGCTTATCTCACAGGATACCCACACCGGTGCCAAGTCGTACAAGTTCACCTTCTCGGTCGAGGTGCTGCCTATTTGCAAGGACGACCTGGTAGCACTACCCATCAAGCTGGCGAAGCAGATTGGCAACATTTCTCCACTGGTCCTGTGCTACAGGATAGGTACCGCAGTCAACGTCATGGACCCGAATACGCTGCAGAGTGCCGACATCAGCGCCCACACGTACTGGCACACCCCGTTTGCTGCCTTGGCCGACGCCCAGGAGCTGGTGGAGTTCATAGTTCTGGATATTGAGCCGCTGGGACACACCAACGGCAAGTGGGTTCTGGGCCAAGCAGAGGTCGCGAGGGCCTCGGATCTGGGCGTGAACGATAAGACCTACTTCGTCCGCACTCACATGGGTGGGTTACTCCACGCTGGTGACTCGGCAATGGGTTATATGCTCACCGGCACCAACTTCAACAATGAACAGTTTGAAGCCATCGAGGCGTCCAACACATATTCATCGACCATTCCCGACGTTGTGCTAGTCAAGAAGCACTACCCCAACCGTCGCCGCAACCGCAAGAGAAACTTCAAGATTAAGCGTATGGCTAAGGACGAGGGAGAGCTGCTTCCCAAGAAGGCTGATCAGGAACGCATGGACCGCGAGTTTGATCGCTTCTTGGATGACATCGAGGAGGACGCCGAGTTCAGAAGTGGTATGCACCTGTACAAGAGCGAAAAGAGGCAAGCGGACGAGATGAGTGTGGCAGAGACAGAGGACGAAGATGCACCCGGTATCGACATGGATGAGCTACTAGACGAGTTTGATGAGTTGACGATGGAGGAACCGTAAATACGGGGCTTTTTAAAATCAATATACCAGCAACGTGTTTGCACATGCACTCTAATCCCAGACAATTTCATTCATCCCTACTACAACCTGCAGGTGGGTGAGATATTTGCATAGGATATGGTACATGTGGTCCGGGTCCCATGTCAATGGTTTAATTACCGAGATAGTCAGGTTTCATAATGCCGACGCTTCAGATGTTGAACTGGAGTGGTGCTCCAGGACAGTGCTGCCCCAAAGCCACACCACGCCACAGGGCAAGCCACACCACACGAGCTCAATGTATGTAGACCTGGTACTCAACCCGAGGCCGGAGTGCCAACCTAAAGAACAACGGCAACAAGGAGGACATGCATGATGCATACGTTATTCTTTGTCTCTTACTATGTGCGACAAAGAGCATATGATCATGGCTTCTAAGAAGGCGTAGAAGAGCCGCTGAACAACGTTGCGTAGGCATTCGCAACAAACGACAGTTGGGCTAAGGCTCGTGTCTACCTGCCCGCGGCTGCCATTGACACCAAGCAGACCGTGGCAGACAATAGCGATCGAAGTCATTGAACACCACAATGCCCTAATCTGACAGATTGACGTTTTCAGGGGTGAGGGATTTAATTGGTAAAAGAGTCAGAATAATCAATGATGCTACGAGTAAAGCCAAGTTGCAGGGTGTGGAAACGATTATGGCGACGTGCAGGTTCGCTATCTGATATACCACCCACTCGGGTTAGAGACGACTGCAAAGCAGTTATAGGTGCCATGCCGACGTCACCGGAGGTAGTCGGCCATCTTTTGCGAGAGATTGCCCAGAAAGACTACATCGGGCCCTACACCCTCCACGCTGACTACGATCGACACACCGGCTGTTCTGCATTTTTGATCCTTCACAGGGACGCAACATTTGCGTCGCCCATAGAGCTAAAAGACGACCGCTACACCCCGTCTGTGGTGTTCCACCATGCCACAGAACTGGGTAAATGCCAATGCGTCGACTTCAATGCGCTGCAAGTCCACTGGGACGCCTTCCAAAACGTGAACCGCGCCGCCGTCGCCGCGGCCCGTCGTCTGTACCGCCTCTGGCCCAACTCGGAATTCGACTTGAGAACGCACTACCGGCAGCTGTGGTTCAGCATCGTATCCATGGCTGTCTCCAAGCACGGCCGGCCCGAGAGGTTCCGAGAAAAGATTCCCGACGGCGACCATAGATGGCCGGCCCGGTACGCTGAGGCCCTGTTTCTCGAACTTTGGGAGCGCGGCCTGCCTGGATATGGTATCGAACCACCGAGGGCCGTAAAGCTAAATCAGGAACTGGGGTTATCACAGTATGATGTCCAGGAGCTGCTCATCGTCGCCGCTGTCCGCACTGAGCGCCAGAAAGGCACGGATTATATGCTTTGGTTTGCTGAGAAAGTAAGACTTTCTTTCTCTTTGATGCACCTCGACCTGTAGCGATGGGCGTTGATACTAAGGGGTGTGACTCTAGGCTTTCAAAACCATGGACCGGATCCTTAGACGGCGAAGGCGTACCGCCAAGAGGTATTCCGAGCCAGAGCTGGAATTCGCTGGAAAAAGTATTTCCGAAGATCCACGCGTCATCAAGGTCTGTGACAAGGACAGGTACGCAGACACTACTCAAAGAGGATATACCTGCAGTCGGCGGTGGTCCAGTGGTGACATCCACGCCGGTGAGAAAAACCGAGAGAATGAGCGTGCAGACGCCTTTGAGCAACTTGAGCAACGACGGAAGTTAATATTCGATGCCGTGCCCTCTGATCGCTGGAAGGAAGACGCAAAAGGGACCAGTAAATTTCCAGTGGCCGTTATCCATAACGCACAAGGTGAGGTCCCGGCCGTTTCTGTATAGACACATTTCTGTATAGATACATGGCATTTCTCAATCCTCATTCACCTTGAGACTTGCATGCTCAATTTAGCGTTTGGAATAGGATGTGGTACCTTTGGATTGGTGTATACCTGAACTAAATATGATATATGACATGAGACATAACTGGTTGGTGGAGAATTTCAAAATGATGAAGATGGACAACATCACTCTAGGTAATCGGTGCTGTGAGCCCATCTGACTGGTTCCATTCGGCTCCTTGTTTGCTCTGATGCCAGTCCTAGCTGGCATCATTCACCACAAAACTACTAGTTGGCCACCCATTTGCTGCGTTATACTCCCACAGGTCGGTAGTCCCATGGAGAACCTCATATCTTGTCATATAGCCGCTCGTAGCGTTCCCCCTGGAGGTGATATTATTGCCCAATAACGAAGCGATGCGCATGCCCACCTCCTGGCCTTCAAACCAGGCACCGTGCAAAAACCCAAAGTATTCTGCTGAATTGGCCTCTCCCGCGAACCATAGCCGGTCAACGTTAGCCCTGAGATTTTGGTGCTTTTCGAGCGTCATTCCGGGAGGCCAGTTACTATATGAGCCGAACGCCCACCTTTGCACTTCACATTAGACACAGAGCACCTTCGAGATTCCGGGGTAGACTTACTCTTCCTGGCTCCACCTAGGGTACAAAAACGCAATAGGATCGGGTATGTCGATATCAGGAAACATGGCTGATAAGACAGCCAAGCATTCTGCCTTGGTTTGTTCATCCGGTTGTTGTTCTATCCGGTAAGACTCGGAACCCACAACCGTGGCGAAAATGATGTTAGAACCCTCTAGAAATCCAGGGGCTGATAATGACTGCCAAACCGGATAGTAGCCACGGGTGTCCGGATCAGCGTAGAGGAAGAACTGCGTATCGGGGTCCCAGAATGTCTCATTGAACTGCAGGAAGATCTTGGTATACGTTCCCATCTGGAACAGCTCAATTGCCTCAGCTTTCCAACGTGGCAGCGGCGGCTGGAAGTCTACGACTTCGTTTTGCAGAACACCCAGCGAAAAGGTGCAGACAGCATGATCCGCCTCGATACAACCACCGCCTTCAAGATCCACCACGACACCCTGCTGGGAATAACTGATGCTCGTGACTACCGTTTCCAAGAGGAGTCGTGAGTCGTTCTGAGTGAGGAACTCACTGGCCTCGCCGATCACGAAGGCATTGAACCCTCGCTGGTCCCAGACCAAGTTGTTCTCGTCGCTGAATTGGTTGAAGGTAAGATTGGACCCTGCGATGCCGAACTCGAAGCTACTATCGTCCGGAGAATATGACGTCTCCCAATCCCAACTCCACCACTCCACGGCCTGGGCATGCATGTCCTTCCGGGGTTTCCAACCCGCTAAGCTGAATCCAACACGTGTGTTGGTATCTTGAAGGTTCTCGGTGAGTATCCTTCCAGCTTCATCCTCTGCAATATCATACGCAGTATCAAATGCGTCCAGAATTTCAGAGTAATCATTAGCTCCGGCCTCATCGTATGTCAAGAGTGAATCGTAATCTGAGAATGTGTTATCTAGTTTATATTTTTTCCCCAAGGTCCATATAGGGTTCTCCGGCCCACCCGGTGATCCCAGTCCCTGAATCCAATTGGCGCCGAGCTCAACTGTGTACGATGAGCCGTTTTGATCAGAGCCGAAGCTTGTGTGCGCGACCCTTCCGCCGATGTAGTTATTCCGGTCAACAACCAAGAAATCTGTTATGGATGCGTTGGATAGCGCCTGTGCTGCTGTAATGCCAGCGACGCCTGCGCCCAGGATTGCAACTTTGGTCCTGTAACAGCTCGTGGTGTTTGCTGGTTGACGGACGACTGCGGCACGGGAACCGTGTGTGAGGCATAAAAGTGTTGTCAACAAACAACGTGCTGTGAATGATGCCATCGCTAATATTTCTCTATATGAGGGAACAACACAGTTGTGGTTGACACGAGACAGTGATGGAAGTAATTGAGCTGAAAATTGATGTCCAATGAGGCTTCATAAAGCAGAAACAGCATGGGCTATCAAGGTAGAAGGGAAATGGCATGACCCAACGGCCTGGCGAATCGGAGATGAGGGAAACTGCAATGACAAGGCTCTACTGATAAGAAATTCAGGTACCCCGCATGTTCGTTCCTGCAAGGTAATCATGCCTCCCTTGTTGTTGCATGCCGACAAGGGGGGG